ATATTTACTGCGCTAGTTCCGGCCAGTCACCCATGCTGCTCAAATCATGAATTGAAATGGCATCGGCAATCCCAACTCTGGCTGCTTTTCTTCTGGCCATGTACCCTGACAGCCCCACTGCAGGAGCCGCGGCCTGAAGCTTATGCAACTGTTTGGTTGCAGGACAGTTGCGAATATTTTCCAACGCGGTTTTCAATGTTTCCACATAGCCCTCGAGTTCTTTTATAGTATCGTCCGTGGGAAACCCATTGATCGTTGGCGGGGAACGAAACTCTGGATCAAACCCTATCCACTTATGCCATGAAGTGGAAGCAACACTTTGAAAATGCGTAGCCGTGCTAGCGGTGATCGATCCAAACGAAAAATTATCCAGCCCGTAATTCTCAAGTCCAGTGCGAATCGAATGTCCAAACATCAGCTCCTGGGTCATAGAATGGAACACCTCTGAAGCGGTACTGTCACATTTGACATAATTCCGCATAATAGCTACCATCGCTTGACGTAGCTCCTGAGTGTTGAGCCCTATTCCCTTGAGTAGAGTGCTATTGTACCTGTCCTGACGGTAAAGCCTTTCCCGGCCTGTGATAACAAACACGTATCGGTGAAGTACAAACTGCGATAACTCGGTTGCCGTGCCTTGGAAGTCCGGCCAGTCGTCCCTTTTTTCCATACTGTACTCTGGGCCCAGTAGGTTCACCTGTATTTGACGCAAAATCACAATGTAGTACAACAGGTGAAATTTTGATGTGGTTGCATCCAGGCGCTTGGTAAGGGGTTGGAAGGACTCGTTTTTGTTGTAGGTGGTAAACAATATTAGACATTTGGTTTCTTCATCGATGAAAATACTGCGGTCGCGTCCGGCATAGGTAATTGCCACGAGCTCTGGAAATCGATAAGAGTAGCCACATCCGAAATAAACCATCCAAATCAACGGCTCAACCATCTTGTCAATGATTTCTAGAATCTCATTCAGCTGCTCTTCAGACAAAGCCTCATATCGGTTAAACATAGGTAGTAAACTCTGGAGGTACTCGGCAGGGAAAAGGTCAAGCAAAGACCCTTTTGGTTCAAAACGGCTCTCCATCAGAGAAATATCACTGCAGTGTAGCAAATCAACCGCCAAATCATCGACCGAGGGCAGCCTAAAGTACTCGCGCAGCTTCCACAAAAAATCATCAAACTGCATTCGCATGGTTTTATAAAAGTTGCGGATCTTCTGCCGGTCCAAAACCTTAGCGCCAACGGCAACACCTTCGGGTCTTTTCAGCGTAACTCGATATTTGGAAATTACCATTCTCTCCTGGACAACCTTGTTGTACACTTCGTTCACATAAAGCCAGATGTTGGTGGAATGCAAAGCAGATCTTTCCTCAAGTTTCCTACCAAAGGGAAGAGTTTCACCACCGTCGTCATAGCACAGCGCTGTGTTGATGAGAAAAAACTTGAGAGCATCGAGCGAGGAGCGTAGCATGTTGATGCTACTCAGTTCTGGCTTGAAAAGCTTTTCATCGTTGTCGACCGACTCGGAAAAATTGAATGCCATAAGTTTTACCAAAGTTTCAATTAGTGCAGCCAGACCATCACGGTCACTGAGCATGTCACGAGAAAATGCGGAAACAGCTTTGAGTTTTTCCATGCTGAACGGCATGTCCTCTATGATGCGCAAGGGCTGGAGTCTTTCCGACAAGTACTCCTTGTTTGGATATACAAAGAAAGACAATTCGTGAGCATGTAGAAGCAAAAAGTAGGAGTTTGCAAACCTAGAAGCGTAGCCGCCAATGGTGGTTGCTTTGTACCTCCTCACCAGAGATACTGCCTTGCGGCTATAAAAGTTGGCAGGTCGCATGTATCTTGAATTTTGCTGGGTCATGGTCAGTTGGTAAGCTTTTGTGAATATCTGGCGACACTCATCCTTATAGTGCTGTCTTACTATGTGAAGACGCTCGAGTATCTTGGAGTCTGACCGATTATCAAAATGGAAAGTATCAGCCATGAAAACGTTCTTCAAGATGGTATTGAGTTTTTCGGAAGCCAGCTCCTGGTTTTGGTACGGTGAGGGTCTAGCAACCTCGTCGCCTAAGAGCGGAATGGTTTTAAAATGAAGTTGCGGGCGCATTTGCTCGAGATGCGCAGGCACATACACTAGGAACTTTCGGCCAACTTTACTGTAGTAAAGAGGGATCACATTCAAAGAGTAAAGAGGAATCTTCGCGTTTGTAATTGGATCTCTTGGCATGGCACACCTTGTGCAGCATTTGAATACACCTTCATCCCAGTAAAAAGAGACCACGATGCAAGGAACCACTTCAAACAGGGTTTTTGAGGTACAACTGAAAAGATCACCAGGCTCCTTATAGTATTCGTAGATGTTCTTCAGGTTCTGTGTTTTGAGAAACATACGGATTGCCTTTGCCATTCGGAATTGAAAGGGATTTGTAGCATATACCCTATGCTTTTGCTTAGCAGAGGGATCGATCTTCACGACATAGCCGTCGATGACTGCAAACCCAGAACAGCTGGGAAACTCAAGGCTTAAGGACGTCATTGAAACTCTTGTGTGTATGTGTGTGAATTGTGTGAACTGTGGAGTAGAGCCAAAGCCTGTTGGTTTTATTTTATGGTCGGTCGTTCTTTTTCAAAATGGACGGTTGAAAAAAGGACTGTGGGAACGGTCTAAGTTCAAAAAAAGAGAATTGAGTACTCGTGAGTGTGTGTGTCGACTGTACTCAACTCTGAGTACTCGTGAGTGTGTGTGTCGAGTGTACTCATCTTTGAGCACGTGCGCGCGTGAGAGACTGAGTACTCGTGAAGGTGTGTGTCGAGTGTACTCATCTTCTCAAGCACGTGCCTGCGTGACCAGTATTTCTTGGAACCAAGATTCATCAGCTAAGGTGGGTGTTTGCATGTTACATCAAGTGTATAGAAATGCATGGTTTAGCGCGAGGATTCTTATAAGACAGTTAAACACAGAAAACAATTTTGGGGCCCTTGGTACTCGTAGCTGTACGTCGGGAAACTGAATTTCGGTGAATTTGAGAGACTAGTAATGGTGGGAGAAAAACGTAGATTGAGTCACGACAAGCCATTAGTATGGTAATTTCGGCGAGGTGTGCTGGCGCACACCTCTGACGAGATCTTGTCGTAGTCCCGTCCTGCTAGCTGGACCTGAATAGGTCGAAGCACCATAATGTAGAAGAAAACGTAATTGGATGTCTGTTTCGAAAGCATCTTTATGATAGTCCTGTGACCTCGGATCTTAGAGTACGTCGTCAGTAGTTGAATACACCTGGTCTTGTTGTCGACAAAAACATTTCTTTCATTGCCCGCAAACTTTAACACCAGCGCCACACGTGAAGAATATCATCCACAGGAGAAGCACTGTACACTCATCCAGTGACTTGATCAAATCCGGGGCGAAAGAGCCCGCGGGCTTCAGCTCTTTGGGGTTGATTCTTGATTTTGCGGAGCGACTGACCAGCTGTTGAAACGCCAGCTTTGGCTCCGACATGTCTTCTCCAAAATGTTCACGTGGATCATCCAACACTTCAAATGCAGCTTCTTTTACTGTGGGAATTTGATAAAACTCGGTGATATCCTTGACGATCTCTCCAGAGTAAAGACTCCGAATGTACCCACGGGAGAAAGATTTTCCCGAAACAATCACGTCATCCGGGGGCTGATACGAGATTCTGAAGGGCAGCTTTGACTCGTGCTCTGCTGCAAGCTGGCGGTAAACACTTTTGATCCAAGCCCATTCCGAAGGAAGATCCTCTGTAAAGTACTGCACATTCTCATCAGGACTATTTTATAGCGTAGAGTAGACCACAAATTGTTTGAACGCATCCAGTTTTCGGCGAATCCGATCAGGAGTGTCCATGCTTGGACGAAGATCATCAACTTTGAAGCCGTTGAGACGAACGAGAATATGGAGTAGAGGACGCATATCGGGAATTGTCAGAAGTCCATGAAATATCTTTGAAAGCCGCGAAGCTTTTTCCTCCAAAGAAGTAAATTCCCAGTGCTTGGTGTCGACTTTGATAGTGGTGAATGAAAACTCCTCAAGCCTTAGCAAAACAAAATATATGAAGGCAAACAAGCCACCATACCTTTGAATTGTTTGCGTCTGCAGCTCTTTGATTATGTGGTCATCTCCTTGCGGCTTACCAAACGTCATTCCTATAGGTCGCGATAGCATTCGGCCCCGCACTGAAGTGTACATGTGTCTTAGCATCAGGGTGCATGCCTCGACGTAAGGGCTTTTGTCGCTGAGAAAACTGTGCGTGAGATCAACGTCGCCCTCAGTAAATTTCATCTCTTGTAGCTGTAGGAACTTTAGTCTGGGGGTGCTGGTACGTTCCGTGTAGGCTCCAGTGAGACGTTGAGAGTCCGTTTCCTCATTTAGAGCAATCAGGGTTTCGTCGCGGTAATACAAGTACTTTTTCTTGTTATGAGGAAAGACAAGAGGAGCAACGCTCATTTCAAAGACCTGCTGATGTCTTTGTTGACGTAAACGTGTCCTTTGTATCAATTTCTTTCCACCATCACTAGTGTAGAACAGCTTTTTTTCCTTGTCCACGGCCTCAAAAAGACTGGCTGAGCTGCAGCTGAACAGATCGTACTCACTGTTCATGTAGCGTGACAAGTCGTGCATGTCTCGTTGGTGCCTCATGTAAAGGGAGCGCTCCTCTTTTGTCATTCTTTTGACATTGCGACCAGGTACTTTTAGCCGTTGGTGTCCGTCTTCATCAGTATGAACAAGGTATCCATCCACAAAGGTATACCTCTCTGAGAGCTTAACGGTTATCATCGAAGAAGAGGACAAGTGATAATAAAACATGTGAGTAACTTTGACAAGTGAGCAAAACGGGCCTTTGTTTATAGTTTTTCGAGGAACTCGTAGAAACGTACATGGTTTCATAAATATTTGAGAACCTGAAACTGAATGTCGGTAGTATACTCATATAAAGCTCTCTTGGTTGTTCTAACGTTGTTGGTGGTCTCACCTCAAAGTTCAATTTACCCCATATAATATAGGCGTATGACCTTGTATTTCCACAAATAAGCGTAGTTGTTCCATACCGTAGTTAATGCCTTGACGCAGTACTTCCACGATTCATTGCTCAAGCAGGATTTGCCGCAGTGATTCCTAATGGCATAAAGGTGCAATGAGATAGTTCAGGGAAGATTTCCTCTTTCCATACATCACCAGAGTCTCGGGTTGCAACTTGAGCAAGAAGGGTTGGGGGTACCCTTAAAACTATCTGCCAGACTTCGCCCTTCGGATCTTTTTTTCTCACACAGATTATGACACTCATCAATTACTTTCATGTCTAGCTCAACCCAGAACATGCTCTCTTTGACATAGATATCGATCATTACACTTTTTTCGATTCGCACGTTTCTTTGTTACTCGTAGAATCATGCTTTTTGACAAATCTTTAGGAACACTTTCTAAGCTCGACAAAGTTGAAATATTGCGTTGGCGACACCACGTAAATCGCATAAGAGTGATGAATTCAGATAGTGAAAGAGACGTAATTTGGATAGGTCAGATAGATTAGAAATTCCTCAGCTCTGACGAGGTTGTGACGTTGTAGTGAGGTCAGATGACCTTGATCATGTGACAGTAATCTTTACAATTGGGATAAGAGTCTGATAAGAATGCATGTGACTGAGCGATAGAATGATAAGTTATCTTATCTATTTTCGGATATCAACCGATAAGCTAAACGAGCTGGGGATCACGGATCTGCGTTTGTCGACCTTTCAATTATCCATGTCACATAGACAGCCCCCCATTAATGGCATCTTTGTATGCTGACACAACTGTTCGAAAGAGAAAAATTATCAGATAATCCCAGAGGGCCCCACTACTGAAGTCGGAAGTGGCCCTGAAAGATAAAGGTTTATTCTTCTTTAGAGACTCTGGTTGAGTCTGCGGAGTTACGTGGTACTTCAACCGTTCCCAACCTTTAGTTATATGTTCCATTGAGTTTGAGGGACAATTGTAAAGCTCATATCTCTACATTGTTTCAAACGTACAGATGATGGTCTTAGAAGTTGTTTAAGTATGCTCTTCTATAAAATTTGGGAATAAGAAGGGTGTGCCAGCACACTTCGCCAAATTCCACATAAAAATGGCCCCTTTTTTAATGTCGTTATCATCGGTAAGATTTCACTTGCATTGACGTGGTGTGACAATTGACTAGACCTCTTTCGAATAATACCGCGCTGTGCCATTCATCAAGCGTTGCACCATGAGCGGAAAAAAGCCCAAATGGCGGTACGCGAAAATAATTGTTTACCAATTCTGACGCTGTCACGTATCATGTACTCCGTAGCACCCTGTCTTGAATCTTCCGCAAGACTTAAGGGGTGGGTCCGACAAAATCCCATATCCGCGTGCGCTCATCAAAGCTCAAGTAGCGAAGTAACTCCTTCATTCCAGTACTGCTAGCTGTTGCCGTCAGCAGAACGACTTTCCAGAAGTGAGAATATGCAACTTTGGGAATGCCTGCAAACGCTGCGCTTCTGAACTCCTTGTCTTCATACAGATTATGACACTGGTCAATTACGAGCATACCAAGCTCAGTCCCCACTATGAGATGTCTCCACATCTCAAAGGTCTCTACCAAATATTCATTTCCAAGATCATCAAAAGTCCCCACGTACACTTGCTCAAAGGCGTAGTTCCCCTGGGGATAATCTGCAAGCAATCTCCTGACGATTCCAACCCGAAGTCCATTTTTTCGGAGTCGTCTGGTTGCAGCTTCAAGAAGCGCTTGAGATGGGACAAACACAAATGATACCACTCTTTGCTCTTTTAGTGCAAGCATCGGAATCTCGTACATCAGCGTCTTGCCAAACCCGGCGGGTGCTTGAATCGGGATAATCTCGCTATCGGACAAGTAAATTTCGATTAATAGGATGACCTGTTCTCTACGCAAATCAATACCAAGAGACTCTGCGATATCCATTACGTCGCCAGCACTTGACATGGGAGGACTGAAGACTGAGTAAACCTCACCTGTTACTGCCGCTTTCGCCGTGACCTCACCGTCGTAGCTTAACCATTCATTCCACTTCTGCGATACTGCAACTTCAAGCTTGAACTCAGTAGCCGGCTGTATGCTGGTGGCCGACGATGGGTCAGCAATAGTTACCGAGTGAGCGGCTAACTGCTCCTTCACTGCCTCAAACTGCGCGTTTCTCAATAAATGACCAGCCTTGACATACTTCCGAAGCAGTCCTACCATTCCATACCGTAAGTCACGCAACCCCAACCTCAAAGCTTTGGGAACTGTGGAAGGGTATTTTTCGAGAAACGATTCAAAGACCCAATCCTTGACCAAATTGCCTTTGCTTATATCCACGCATAGGTGCATTCGCAACACTTGCTGAGACAGCTCCCTGCCATCTAAACTTTCCCCGGTTTCAGAGAATATCTCGATAATCTCCTGCTCGTATTTGACCTCGTCAGATATATCCCGTCTGAACTTGTCGTACTCCTTCCCCGCGAGCTGGACTTGAATAGGTCTGAGTACCATGATGTAAAAAAAGACATAGTTGGATGTGTTCTTTGAAAGCATCTTCATGTCTAACCTACTCCCGCGTAACTTTGGGTAACCCGTCCAGAGAAGAATGCATCTGGTCTGCTGGTCAACGAATATGTTCCTGTTACTGCCCGCAAACTTCAACAACAATAGCTCAGGGTAGCGGTAAGGTGAGCCACAGGTGAGATATATCATCCACATGAGAAGAACTGTGCACTCATCGAGTGCCTCAATCAAGAGCGGAGTGAGAGAGTCAGTAGGTTTCAGCCTTTTTGGAGTAATCCTCGAAAGTGCTGATCTATTGACCAAATTTTGAAACGCCCGTTTTGGTTCCAACAAGTCTTCTCCAAAAAAAGCATTCGGGTCATCCAACACCTCAAAAGCAGCCATTTTCACCGACGGCATCTCGTAAAATTCGCTGATGCCCTCGAGAATTTCTTCAAAACGTTCCTCACAAGTGGAGTAAAGACTCCGGATGTAGCCACGCGAAAATGACTTTCCTGAAACCCTCAGACAATCGGGGGGTTGATACGAGATCATGAATCTCAAGTCATGCAGGCTTTCTAATTTAACCTTGTCATATATATCTTTGATCCAGGACCATTCCGAGGAAGTTTCCCCTGTAAAGTACCGTACCTTTTCGTCAGGGCTATTGTATAGCGTTGAGTACATCACATACTCTTTGAACGCGTCTAACTTCCGGCGAACTTTATCCGTGGTGTCCATGCTGGGTCGAGGATCATCGATTCTGATCCCGTTCAAACGTACTAGGAGATGGAGCAAAGGATGCATCTCCGGCACTGTCAGCATCGCATGAAACATCGTTGAAAGCCGCTTAGCCTTTTCCTCCAGGGAAGAACGATCCCAGTGCTTGGTGTTGACCTTTAGTGTGGTGAAAGAAAAATCCTCAAGCCTCAACAAAACGAAATATGTGAAGGCAAACAAACCTCCATATTTTCGGATTGTTTGGCTCTCAAGCTCTTTAGGTAATTGCTCATATCCATTATGTTTCGCAGACGTTCTTACAAAAGGTCTCGATAACATTCTGATTCTCACAGAGCTGTACATGTGTTGGAGCAGGACAGCGCTCTCCTCAATGTAGACGACTTCGCTGCTGAGAAATGTGTGTATGAGACTGATGTCCCTATCATCAAACACTACTTTGTGCAATTGCAGGCAACTCAGCCTGGGGAGGATGGCACCTTTCGTCTGAGCAGCGGTAATTCGATGTGGATCCGTCTCGTCATTTATGGTAATTGGCTGCTCGCTGCGGTAGTACAGATATTTTCTTTTGTTATGAGAAAAAACAAGAGGAATAACCTCAAATTCAGAAGCCTGCTGCCGATCTTTGCTGCGTGAGCGTGCCAGCTGTAACAATTTCTTTCCACCATCACTACGATAAAAATACTTTTTTTCCTTCTCCACGGTCTCGAAAAGAAGTTCTGAGCTGCAGCTGAAAAGATCATACTCGCTGTTCTTGTAGTTTGACAAGTCTGGCATATCCCGTTCGTGTTCTCGGAAGACGGAGCGTTCCGCTTTTGCCATTCTTCCTACATTGCGGCCAGGTACCTCTAACCGCCGACGCCCATCTTTGCCAGTATGAACAAGGTATCCATCCACAAGGGCGTATCTTTCTGAGAGTTTCACGTTGATCATCGCAAGTAGAAAGGAGTGTATAGCTTCAAGCTATTCACATCTGACAAGTGTGCTTCATTTATATTTTTTTTATCTACTAATTGCTTGCTTGATAAAGAAAGCAACAAACATCATCCGCGTGATCTATCACTTCCTACACCGTCCCACAGCTGCTCAAGGCCTTGTTGCAGTTCTCGGTCAGTTTTATCATTATACAACCTTTTGTTGCAGTTCTTAATACCGTAAAACTGAGTTGGCTTTTCTTAGAGCAGTTTCTGGGCTTTTGTAGCGAATACATATATTGCAATTCTCCAATAACCCACGCCTATTGTCCCGCACCAGTAAGATAATGACTGCTATTTATTCTAGTAAAACGCTAGAAAGCGGCTTAAGTACGGGTGCGCATTCAAAAGTATGACTAACACGCTAGAAAAGCCTTCACCGGCTGCTACTCAGTATGCAAATACTATCGCGTTTGCAAAAGCTCCAACGACTAAAACTGCGTTTCATATAGCGCAAACAGACGCGTCATTTTAGTCATGGGAAATCCGATTTTTAGTGAAAGCAGGACTAAAAGCAGGAAACATCCAGCTGTCGCGTTTGTAAAAAGTTACAAAACACAGTGTTAGGCCCTATGAACACAGCTTGGTACTAAGGTCGCTTACGTAGCACTGGAAGTATAGTTTCATGCACTCTCCTTGCCCCGAGCATGGCAATAAAGGTCTTGCTTGCATTCAAATCTCCTTTGAGCGCCTCAACAGCGAACAATGCTGACAAGCCTTCTAAGAAAGCCAGCTGTTTTGATATAAGAAACTGTTACAACTCGGAAAACCTTTGAGCGGACATTACACTTGCCACGTTAGATTGAAAACCAGGCTTTTACATAAGTTTTGCAAGGTCAAGATTTTGGCGCATAGTCATGAAATAACTTTCGACACTGTTATGCTATTCTCTTTACTGAGAATAACAACTTGTGTCTGAGCTTATTGCGGTAGTGCTGCTCAATAAATTGGCTCATGACTCCAGTTTCTCGTACCGTGTCAACTTGCAAAGACAATACTGTTAGTGTCTCCTCAGAGCGGACTTACTGTGACTGATTTGCCTCTAATTACTCAAGGAATGTTTTCTTTGAGCCCATTGTGTATCAGATATCGAAAAAAAGAGAAACTCTGTCATTGCGCATGATTTTCAAGAAACCGTACGCCTCAATGCAGTTTCTCCTTCAAGTAAATCTGCAAGACAATCTGAAGCCAGAAATAAGACGAGGACCAGATACAGTGAGCGTGTGACTTTTCGGCACAATAAGCGTTTAATCTCATCGACCGGAATAAAACAGCGCATCCAATTTTCAATGATCGCTCGACAAAAGTATTCGATTGAGTCGTAGGGCATAAATTATTTCCAAGCGTTATGAGCCAGAATTACGTCTCAAATTGCCATTCAGGGTCGCTCTAGTGGGAGCCTTTCTGCAAATGACTCTCATATAGCCTCGGAATTTTCGTATACCATAGCGCTTATTAGTGCCTTTTACTCATGCGTACTCCTCCAAATCTTTTCGTACCCGTTTTCACTTGATAAGAATTATTGTATCTGAACCCTTACTCCATTGTGATATTCACATTGTTTGGGTAAAGAGCTGCACGCAGATATCTTCACAAGCATTTTATTCTTTGCATAAACACAATTTCTGCAGGACGCACTTTTTTGAAAATGTACCAGGTGGCTCCAACATTCGCGCCTCTTGGGGAAAGTTGAGTGAATAAAGCGAACTAACTGACATTTAAAAATGCTTAGTTTCCTACAGGTTTTTCAAGAGACCAGCATCGAACATTGTGACGTTAAATTAGGTAACTAACCATCTACGAGCGATGAGACTGTAAACTACGAACGAGATCCGAATATGATCAAGTCATGAAACAATGCAAATGGCGGTTTTTTGACACGGATAAAGCTTCAAAGATGATAATGAATCATGGTTTCGAAGCCGTGATTAATATTATTTAGCCATCAGACAAGTAAATCACACATTGCTCGATGTCTGTTATCAGCTGTTTGGTGACGACGGGCGACACAAATCAACGTTTTTTAAAATTATAGAGCTTATTTCAACACTACTGGTCATGATAAAATATTCTAATGAGCATACTGTTATCTAGTAATATCTGACATAATGAAAATGCAAGCTTTTAATCTTGGCTTGTCGCTATTTGATAATTTATTTTACGACATGGTCCTTAAATGTGCTGACTAGAAGTTATTCCTAAGCAACTTCCGCGAATTTACAATACTTAACGGGAGTCAAAATCATTGAAAGAAGTAGAATTAATGTTCTGTCGTTTTTTGGCAAATCCGATTCTCTACTTTGAGGGCTTAGCTTGAATAACCTATTCACCAACACCGTGCTTGTTTGAGTATCTTATTAAAGAGCTCGAAGAACTATTTACACGTACAATTTGAATCTGTTCGACATGACCATACTTAGCATATGAAGCAGTTTTTGACCGAATGAAACCAAATCTGCTTGTTATTTAGTCTCTTACTGCCGAGAGCTGTTGCTGAAACTACCATGGAAGCTCAGAACCATCATAGCTCAAGAACTTTCCGGCGTTTTTTGTCTTGAGGCCCGTTAATATGTTCTTCTTGATGGCATTGGCGGACTCATTAGGGGTGAGCATTGGAAGAGCGCTTTTCAACTGGTCAGCACGCTCGCTTCCTAATTGCGCAAAAGTGTTTTTTGCCATGTCGCTCTCTACAAGACCTGGGTGGATGGCTACAAAGCTAAAGCCCTCAGAGGACAATTCCCCCGCAAACCCTTTCACGACGTAGTTGGCGGCAGCTTTGGACACTCCGTAACCCGAAAGACCCATGGGTAGCTCGACGTTGAGGGATCCAGCCAAGGAAGACACAACGGCGACTTGTCTTGTGTCTTTCTTGTCTAGCAAAAATTTAAACGCTTTTACCAATCTGACTGGACCCACGGCGTTGACGTTGACGTTGAACTGCTCAATATAAAGATTATCGGGGTGGTCCAAAAACCTACCTGCTTCTTTCATAATTCCAGCATTTGACACCAAGACGTCTAGCCCGTCAGGCAAAAGCGCTGCAGTCTCCTTGGCGGCGGCCTCAGCACTTTGGCTGGAAGAGACATTCAATTGCACGATTTTCACATTGGAATGTTTTGCGGCCCAGTCGTTCAAGTCTTTGGCAGACTCTGGCTGTCTAGCGGTGGCAATAACAGTGTTTTTGGCGTCAGAACTCAGTTCTTTGACTAGCGAAAGACCGATACCTCTGTTGCCGCCAGAAACGAGATAAGATGTGGAAGGCATCAAAAAGGAATCGAAAGGTGAAGAAATATGTGCGTTTAAAAGCCAAAGTCCAAGGACAGAATTGCCTCGAAACTTGATTGATTTGCTTAAAACAAATACCAAGAATCTGATGTAAAGAATCCCAAGAAAACCTTCTTTTATACCTCATACTTCTGGTTAAATGAATTGTGCTCAAAGCCGGTCTCCATTTGTCATCGGCTTACTTTCTTTGAAATGGAATAAACGTGGAGAAAGGTGGTTAGGGTTTGTAAAGTGTCATCTATAAACAAGATTTCGGACCTCAACCAACATTAATCATCGAGGTATACAATTCTATTGAGATGTCGCAACATCTTAAATAATCAGGGTGTGTTAGATTGTGTGCCCGAGCAAAATGAACGTTTTTCGAGCTTTCCATCATGCGTCTTCAAAGACCTATCGTTTGAGGACTTGTATTAATCATCGCGTTTACGCACGTTAAAAGGAGGATGGTAAAACGATTCAGGTAGCTCCCGTTTCTTAGGGCTATTAGGACCATAGTCCCTAATTGAGCCTAAGCTTATAGATCCTTTTTGCGGGGGGATCCAGGACTGAACGTGCGTGAGGATGTTTCCAAATGGCTCCGGTAAAGTACATTGGGATTTGACGCTCTAAGCAATACAGACACCAAGACAACTTCGATTTCCCGGTAATTATGTCACATTATTAGAATGTGCAAATAATAAAGTGAGTACTTATATATCTGTTATCTGTCCGAACGGTCTCAAATGTTCCGGATCTTTTTTGACCAGCTTGTCGATACTTTAGCTCGCAACACGCTCTCATAGTAATTGGCTGGCGAATAAGGCAACGAGATATGGCTAACTGATAGAAACCTCGAATTCGTTTGCCCTCTAAACAGGCCAAATCGAGGTTTCTGAATCGAACCTTTAGAGAATTAGTTTTGATGGGACAAGTGGTCAATTATTACCGGCCTTTCATTTAAAGAGCAAGTCATTGAGAGGCAGCCAGTGTCATGGCCGCGGCACCACATATTGTTCTTTTTCAACGTTTCCTTTCAACGTTTCAAACAACATGAGCTGACAGCTTTTACTTTATATTCATGTACCAAACAAAATCGTCACCGAAGCAGAATAATCGTCACTAAATTTAAGCACGGCAACTTTCAGCAGGAAGAGGCAAATCTAAATTTTAATGAAGGCTATATAAAAGCGCAAGCTTTCGATTGGCATTCACACCAGATTATATTCTAAATATATCAGCAGGTCTAGTAGTTGACATCATTTGGACAAACCGCTTCAACCTCAATGGCCTGACACCAAGGTGGCAAAGTGTCTTCGGCATTGAAAATATTGACAGTAGGAGATTGAAACAAGTCGGTAATAAAGCCAGGGCTGCAAATAGCGACCTGGACGCCGTAAGTCGAAGCTTGTAGCAGTTGAGGAGCAATTCCGGTGACCGCTGTCGAGTTCATGCTTAGAGAACTCCAACTATCGTAAGACAGCTCATTGGTCACAGTGTTAATGTATGGAACGACTGCATTTTCAACAGCCACGAAGTTGCATGTTTCCTTGTCGGTTGAGCCCACCAAGGGACGGAAGTTCGCGGTGTCATTCAAGGTTTGAACAGTGGTTAGTCTTGGAATGAAACGGTACTCTTCGCTGAGAAATCTGCCCCATGCGTCAGTGGCGTCGTTAGCGAGAGCGTCGGCGCCAACAAAGTAGCTTTGACCTATGAAAGTATCATTTTGGCCCTTGACTTGCAGCAAGTAGGTTCCGCAATGAGGTCCATGAAGGCCTTTACAGGTAATGTTGTTCCAGTTGAAGCGATAGGCAGCAACCGAAGTTGATAGAAGACCAGTCAGGAATAGAAAAACAACGCTTTGCAACATGACTTTGATTTATCTGGAATCAGATGTTTACTTTGGAAAGGTTTTTATATTTTAGACTGTAAGAGGATAAAGCCCAAGAGGAGGGCAGGGTCCGACTTATATACAAAGAGTTTTATTTGAATCCAAATTGAATCATACCCAAAAGGTTTTGACCTTAGCGGCTATGTGCAAAAATTCTTTGTCAAGATTCAAGTCTTTTGCAGGTACTATCGAGGTTATTCAAGACATTACAGTACTTAGCGGCTAAACGAGAACCATCTTGTGGGTAATTTACTGGTGATTTTGTGATGGAATAGATGGATCCGGACAACACCTTCCAACGCCCATCTACGTGTGCCTGTTAATGCAGTGAACAAGAGCTTCTTTCCATTGTTGGGCTTGCAATGTAACTTGATTTCTTCTACTATGCGTGTCATAACCCTTATTGTAATAACTGCTCGGAGTTACTGCAAGGGTTCAAAAAGAAAAATTACAAACCTAGTGTGATGTCGTGAAACATGATGCATTTCTACAGGCGTAGCGAAAAAACGTAAGGCGGACGACTTTACTCGCACCATTTGGATGTTTTCTTGCCTTTCTGCATCTTTTCGAAGTATACGGAGGTTCGTTCCTCATACGTTACTATGACCTTCAAGATAAGTTTTTCATTAAGGTGTATAAGTGCCCTATTAGCGTCAAATTGCATTTGAAAGATATTAAGATCACATAACACATAACGTATGAAAAACCTGTAACTATCCGAGGAATAATAACTTGTTGTCTTGGGGATTTACTACTCTAATGGCCCTTCAATGTACTCAAAGCTTGTAGGTCCGAAAACAGTGGGAAAATTTCTTGAAATTGTGTGAAGTGGTTAGAATCCACAACCATCTTCCTTGATGCTTGATGCATTTTGAAGAGAAATTTACCACCTCAATGGCATTCATTGCAATTCACGAAGTGGAAAATCAAAGGTGTATAACGTCTATTGTATGTAACTACCAGATTTTGAACTGAACTACAGTGGTGCCTTTTCGTTTCCTATAAAAAACCATCAATAAACCCATTTTCCTGTCACACCAGGAAAAGCAGTTCCAGTGGAAATAAAACGCATCTTCGCGGCGTGGAGCTCCCGAACCTTCAAGAAAGGCTGCCTGCTAGCGCAAAGAGCTGAAAACTTTCACCCGGTGTCACAACGTGCTTCGAGAGAATCTCCTCAAGGCTTAAGGAATATTTTTCTAAAGGCGAGTTCCCAGCCTTCTTGATAGTTTTGGTGATATTCTTCAAGCTAGTATGTATCGCAACAATGAAAGTAGGTTAATTTCTTGTGTCTTCTTGATCAATTTATAAAGCAGCAACGAAACGCACCTATCGAATGAACACCCTCACGATTTTGAGATCCCACTATTTCACAACAGCCACCGAATGCAGCATCAGTGAAAAATGATAAAATAGGTATGGTGTAACGCGTTGAGATTTCGATCTTTTGAGAGCTACAAACCTGCAAGCACCATGAAGCGGGCCTCATAGAGCCGTATAAACAGTTAATCGACTTTGGAGTGTAGACTACAGGTGCCACTTTGAACTACGGCCTCATCAGCTCCTTTGAGATACCGATCGTCCGCCAAAAAGCCCGCATTGTCTGTAACAAGATTAATCAAGGCAGGCGTCTCGGGCACTACCCTAAACAAGTTACTGCGATTGTACTTTATTTTGGATAAGTAACCGGGATTTCCAAATTTTCTGGGCGCTGGCTAATTAAGTTTGTTTGACACTTTTGCTGCTAGAAAGCACACAGCGCCGAGCTTGGTTGGTTTTCTTGCAGCTCAAAAGGGCGCTGAGGATATGATCAGTTGGCCAAGGTTATCGAATAAAAGTACCCTCAAGCGCGAACCTTCCGTGGTTGGTATAAATTGAAGTCCAGCGCATGCAATTGTCGTCCAGCAGCGTCATTTTACAAATTTGCCCCACTGAACTTATTTGCTGGAAATACTTCTCAAGTAGCACATATCAAACAGATGAGCGGCCATTTGTTAAACTGTTATCATAGCCTAAAAGATTGTTAAGCCAATTGAGGAATATTTCCACAAATTGGCACCATACTAAGGTCATCATTTGCTTACACATATCGAAGCCAAGTAGGCTGTCATGTTGCTTTGAGAAGTTGCCAGCCTACTCATGTGGTCGTTGGTAAAAAGGGTGTTCTTCATCAGAAACACGAAACCAGGCGGCTAGCGCTCATCAAAACCAGTTACGGAGCAACATTAGGAAATTGATGGATCATATACTGCATGATCAGCTCGGAATGAGAACACTAAGAAGATATTGCCAGAATGAATCTTTTGTTCTTGAACCTAATTGATGAAGAATGACGTTAAAACTTCACTTTCGTCGTCTAGACCGCCAGCAGTGGTATTTTTCAACTTTTTTCGCATAGCAAAGGATCAATTCACAAGTGCTGCCATTTATACGATTTCGAAGATGTTGAAACTATTTTCTTTCCTCTTCAGCCAGTATGGGTGAACTAGTACTCACACCAAATTTAGATAGCTTTTCGTGACAATTAATGTCACTAGTGCGGGCTATTCCAATCACACATAAACGTTGGAAGTAGCAGTTGCGTCTGATCGTTGCCGATTTTAAGGTTGCTTGGTGAGTGCTTTTCTCTTTCAACTGCCCTAGATAGATGCACTCACATTCGAAAAGCCGAAACATTGTGACATACCTTTCTCTCAAATAGAGTTAGCCAACCTGCCGAGCTAACTCAGAAAGAATAATGTATTAAAGATCGCATATTGCCGAATCCAAGCTTGAGTGAGTATCAGAGCCGGCATGTTCAGCTATACCATCTCCTCTTTGAATCTTAATAATCGAGAGGTAGTAATGGAAGCGCAAGCACGAATTTCGACTTTCGACTCGTAAGGCTATTTCCGCATGTCAAGGCAGCCGCGTGTCTTTATGAATCGAAACTTCGGACAAACAAATATGGGCAAGAAAGGTTCTTGACTCTGTTCATAAGATCGAATGTTACCATAAAATACTGAGAGGGCTAGCGTGTCTAAAAAGTGAAGTGGCCATGTGCGTATACTTGTAGCTAAGAATTCTTTGTGAAAATGAAATCGCCGGAGTAGCTAAAAGACCAGAGAAGTAAACATTCGTGATTGGGACCCGCGCTCTCTCTGTTTACTCAATAGAAACACCAGAGCTCTTGACAAGCTTTTCGGAATCGGTGATGAATTGGTTCACATATTCTTCCGTAAATCCCTTTGAAGGTTGAATTGATTCGGCAGAAGATCCGAAAAATTTGGGACTATTTCCATCCAATTCTGGCGCCACCATCATGGGTCCTATTTTCTCAGCGTACTGTGCTGGGGTTGGATACCACCATCCAATCAGACTTTCCACAACCCGGGACTTCAGACTTCCTTTTCCCAGAAAATTGTCACGAATTGCGGTTTTGACAAGGCCTGGATTGATACCGTAGAATCCAACCCCGGGGTAACGGCGTGCACTATCAAGCACAAGAGCCTCGTTGCCTGCTACGGTGGTCATATGTGTTTTCATAGCGCTGTATTTGCCTTCCGAATTTAAATCGTCCACCGTGCCCAGTTCTCCAGTGCCCGGAAAACCAAAGATGAACACACGAGGCGTTTTGAGATAGCTGGTATTGGTCTTCGAAAGATTAGGCACTAACGTGCGCAACATAACGAGCCTGTTGAGATAGCTGACGGCCATATCGCGCTCAAGATTCTCAGAGGTCACTTGGCGTTTACTTGCCGCAATGATGCCTGTACTTAAAATGACCATGTCGAGTGGCTGCTTTGATAACTCTTGAGCTACCCGTTTAGCTTCTGTCATCAGCTCCAGGTCTGCCTTGATAAAATGTATTTTTTCCAAATGATTATCTCTGAACGTTCTCCCAACGACCGTGACGTCGGCTCCTTTAGAATACAAGAATCGGCTCAAGCTTTGACCCAATCCGCCTGTTCCCCCAATGACTGCAACCTTGAGGCCCTTCAAGTCCAGTGTTTCACCCGGGACCAGGGTATATTTGAATTCTTTATCTGGCGTAGTACCAAATGCCATTTTGTCTGATGATGGCTAAACTTTGGTAGTTTGATTCCTTAAGCTCATCGCCCATCGCTCACATCGTCCACTTTAATACTTTTTTTGTTTATGGTATTAGCACCCTTTGATTACCTCAAGAGCCCTTTTTTCATAAAATACTGATTAATGACAGCAGAATCAAGCCAAGATTACAGTAAAGAGCAAACACGGTCTTTCTTAACTCAATTCACGAAGATCTTATGACAAATCAATAACGAAATAGTAACAAGACGGTTTTTATTCAACGAGTCGAGTTGTGAGTTACTAGGGATTTACACTCTTTCGATGCGGCCATGTAGTCAGCCCAGTACCCGTGAGCCCTATCTCATCTTGTCGCACCTTCTGCATAAGGGTAGCATTGTAAACCCTCCTATCCCTGGCTATAACATTGATTGGACCGAAAAAAAAATCTTATATCTCCCTTTTTAACCTCTGTCGTAACCCTTGCGTTCTTCATTTTTGCAGGAGAGGTGTTCTTTATAAACATTGAATACTTTCTATGGCTGCCTCAGAACTACAAACCGACAAATTCCATCTGCTACGTATCTCTGTACTCCTTTTTGGGCCAAAAACTTTGACAACATAAAACTGTCAAATGATATTATACCCATGACTACACTACATCCTGCGAAGACTAGAAGTATAGCCTATGTAGTCGCCTTGAGCATCCTTCTGTGTAGGATAACAAGAGATATGTCACTGGAAAAAATATTTTTTGGTTTCTGAACACCACCTCTTGCTCCAGTCTGTCGATTCTGGTAAGCATTATTCGAGCAACAGGCGGATGCACAGTCAAGCTGTATGATAAGATAGCTCTACTTGGCCCTTGTCGTTCGCTCTGCCGATCGTTCTTTGCCAATTTCCTGACGTTCTCAACTCTTATTGACTTGAACGCTGTCTTAGCTAGAATGCAAACAAGTATAAACCAAAATAAGCCGTTTTCAAAACGCCAAGTTTGCTTGTTCTTTAACTCTTCCGAACCCACCGGATCTACAATAATTTCACTCGTGTTTCTATCTTGCAGCAACCCATTCATAGCTCCGTTTTGACCTCATGCCACAAGTCTATCGGCTCATGATGGTTGACCACCACAGACCCAGTAATTGACACAGGAGGTCACACAGGCCCATTTTCTCTGTTACGCCTGTACTTTTCAATTGCTGGCCTCCACAGACGTCCATGTAATTGAGCTACGTTGAGAAATAGCCTCTCATTTCTACTCGTCCTACATATCTGTGTTCCCGGACCTGGGTGCTCACGCATCTTTCTTTGAATTCCTATATGTGGTACGGATTGCCCAAGTCCAATTCCCTATAACTACTAATACAACGCTGTCAACAACAATGGAAAAAATACTCATACACATGTACTTGACCACCAAAGTATCTCTCTCATCTATGAGACTTTGCAAGTGTGAATCTTAAGGTTTAAAACGCGCCACGGTCATCACTTCATAGCTCCGACTTCACATCATCTTTACCATTTGCATAGACAACGAATTGCCATGTTGACTCACTCAAAGTTGAGTTATCTTCTCGTTAAAATCCCGCCAGTTTCTGGAGGTGCGATTACTTTTCACCTTCCAAATCGGTTGAAAACTGCAAGCGTCTTTCTCTTTTCGTACTATCAGTAGTCTATTGTCTTATCAATACTATCTATGGATATAAGTTGAGAAAGAACAGAAGCCCAGACATAGTACATAAGTGCATACCCTGAGCGCTACAACATCACCCTGCCGATGTACAGCATGCTTTCCTTCTCTTTTGGAAGCCAACTTACCTAAAATTCTATTCCCACCACATCTTACTAAAAAAATGTCTGTACTAGTAACAGGAGCCACTGGATTCATCGCCCTACACATCGTTGAAGACCTATTGAAAGAAAACTACAAGGTCATCGGCACTGTCAGATCGACTGAAAAGGGCGATAATTTGAAGGCTCAGTTTGGCAACAACCCTTCGTTATCCACTGTAGTGGTAAAGGATATTGCTGCTGCCAATGCCTTCGACGAGGTTTTCGAACAGCACAAGGATGAAATTAAAATAGTTTTGCACACAGCATCGCCATTCCATTTCAAGACCACGGAATACGAAAAAGACTTACTTATTCCTGCCATTCACGGCACAAAAAGTATTTTGGAGTCTATCAAGAAATATGGTGCTCAAACCGTCGAGAGAGTGGTGGTAACTTCCTCGATCGCTGCTGTCAAGGACACCGCCAGGTTCGCTGAGGCAGACTTCGTATACACCGAAGACGCATGGAATCCCGTCACTTGGGAAGGAAGCACCGTTAACGCACCGGACGCCTACAGAGGATCTAAGAAATTCGCAGAAAAGGCTGCTTGGGATTTCCTGGAAGAGAATAAAGACGTTGTTAAATTCAAACTGGCTACTGTCTGTCCATCGTTGATCTTCGGACCTCAAACTTTTTCCAACAGCGTCACTGGTCAACTGAACACATCATCTGAGGTCATCAACTCGTTCTTGCACGCGGGCCCAGAGGCAGACCTTTCTAGCTTGAAGAACGATTTTGTCGACGTCCGCGACGTTTCCAAAGCCCACTTAATCGCTTTCCAAAGTGATGCTGCCATCGGTCAAAGACTAGGGCTTTCTTCAGGTCAATTCAACAGTAAGGACTTGTCCGACGTTTTGATCAAAAAATTCCCAGAGTTGAAGGGTAAACTGCCCAAGACTACCGCAGAGGGTGCATACAAGACGGAACCATATGCCCGGTTCGATAACTCGAAGACCAAGAAGATCCTTGGTTTTGAGTTCATCAATCTTGAGCAATCTGTTTATGATACTGCCAAGCAGATCTTAGATGCCGAAAAGAGCGTGTAAATAGCGGTATGTACAGGGCACATGTTGAACAAAAATATAGATAATGCCAAGAGTTATGTATGCATCTCAAAATCAAGCAATTGCATTTAATCTTGCTCAAACAAACTCGGCCCCATGACCGAGCATAGTCTGCTTCTCGAGTTCTTGTGATTTTTATATTATCAGTTTTAGTGTGGAAACACTCGAATCAACCATGGGTCGAGTACACATATATTCGCCTTTGCCGCTTAGTTGTAACGACCTAAAGTCTGTTTCGCATTGTCCATATCAATTGTGCATGCGAGTTCTTGGCTCTATCCATTCGCTGATTATAAAATGGAATGCACTTTCTGCCTGTTTGCCCGTCAGTATGAGCAGTTCACTGCCAATTATCCCACTCCGGGGATTTGTCTTAGATAGACGAGCCTCTCGGCGCGGGCAGTAAAGAAAATGATCTCATGCGTTTGTGAAAGCTAGTATGATTTGTCGGACTGAAAAGAATTCCATAAGTTCTTCCAGTCATCAAAGAAATTCACATACTTGCCGCGCTTGCCCCTGAACCAAAGTCATACTGTGAGAAGTCTTCTTACCAAGTGCTTTTATGTTTTCGAGAGTAAAAATCGAACTACGTTACCAAACATTGCCAGTGTATCAACCCATCTGCCTTATAAGAACTGGTTCTTAAATTGCGAAACAAATGTCTTGGTTTTGTTCACGTAAGACATCCCACCATGACTTTGACGTGCGCCAACATTCTTGCATTACTGCTTTTGCCTGTATCGCAGTTTCCACTCCCAGCTCTATAAGAAGATCAATTTGAGCTAAACACGTTTTTCGCCTGGGAACGAGGCACTCCTCTATCAGTTCGCATCCACAGCTGAAAAAACTGAAAAGCAGACAGGCACCCGAATACTTGACAGCGAGGAATTTCGTTTCAATCATATCGGTCATGTTCAACAGTAAATCTCGCACCATAAGGCTCTCGTGTGTCAGCCCCAGCACTCTGCGTCGTAGCTGTAAAAGGCCAGTCATTTCAAACAGTAATTTTATGGCGTTCAACAATAGCTTTTGATCTTGAGCACTGTTGTGGCCTCTGGGTCTGTAGCTTCCGTTTCCTTCACTGAGTAGAGAAACGCGGTCCAAGTCCAGCCGCCTCGAGATTTTGTAATCTAGTTCCACAGCTTTTTGCAGGATCGTAGGCTGTATTCCTTCTGTGGGTGAGGTTTCTTTCTGTACGATGAGACTTGAGATTTCGGCCAAAAACGACATCACTTTTAAGTCCATTCCGTTAGCAGATAACACGTCGTCAATTAATTGAGTCTCGTTAGAGCTGTCCGCGATACTAAAGTCTATGCGAAGTGGAGAAACAATCTGCTCACCGGTGCGTGGGAAACGGCCTGCTGAAAGGTATCCCATGATCCTTATGTACACGAACCACCTTCGCAAAAAGTGGTGTGGGTCTTTTTGTGTGCTGTATTTCAGGTATTTTTGCTCAATTCTTGAACCCGGCCCAAGCTCTTGTAAAATGATGCCCTCGGCTCCCACCATGTGTATATGCCACTTTTTACCCTTACCAAAGAAAATATAGAGACTAGCTAGTACGAGAATGCTAGCCAGCAGTAGATCATCGAGGATTCTGTGAGAGCTAGAGAGCTCTTTTATCAACTCACTGACGCCCTGCTGCTCCAACTCTCGGATCAAGGGTTCCAAGTGTCTTTCACTAGCAGAGACCTGACTGAACTCGTCATCCAACGAGAAAACTTGTTTTCGCTGTAATAATAGCTGTCGTCTATCCCTGTGCATTCCGCCGAACGCCATAACAATTTTCATCAGGGTGGGACTATGAAGTGCAAGCCGTGGCACAATTGTGGAAAACGGGTTACTATCACCGGCTTTGCTAGACGCCACGAACGAGAGGGCAGTTTCCTGCACATAATATTCGAAAAAATCAGAGTGCTGAAGCGATTTGTTTAACAAATCTAGTCCTGGCATATGCATTGGTTTTAAGACCCTCGTTGGCGGAGGTACAATAATTGGTAGAAAAGAATCCAGGTCATTGTTATTTATCGATTCAAAGGATAGCGGACCAAATTCCGGGCCCTCCTGGGCGTCCTCAGCACACTTGAGCTGTATACTTGAACCTGTTTTCGGGCTTTCAAAAATGCTTTCTATCAAATTGTCTGTATTTTCCAAGGTGATGAGCTTTTTTTCAATGCGTTTCTTAAGCTTGACTTTGGCAGGTTTTTGGATGGAAAAATCCGCCATTAGCACACCTCCCACCATCTTGGTGTTGGGAGGCAGTTTGATCCGTTTGGTCTTGTCCTTGTATGGGCGCCCACCCCATTTCAAAGTCATTGGATAAGAGCATTTGACATTATTTTCGAGGCAATAAGTGCATTGTGGTTTCTTGAAATCGCAGTGTAACCCTAGCGATTCACATGCCCTGCACGTCCTAGCCTTTGAACCCATCCTGTTGCGGTTCGCAACAATGAACAATCCATACCTGAAGGCATTCGAGGTTGAATTGGGGCCTTTTGACTTTTTAACTCTTGACTTTCCAACTCGAGCAGGAATACAGCAGGAATTATTTAACTCTTGATAACTGAGAGAAGATAAGACCAACAACCAAGCGTTCACGTGAAAAGACAAGATAAGACGGGAAGCGTGGGCTGTTTAGCTTGTACAAACTGTACCGATTCGTGCACTCGAGACTGGTCGGTTGGTCAAACACAGGCTTTCTTCGAAACCTTTTGTTTGCTATGCATGTAGTTTTTGGTCTTTGCTAGGTGTCTCTGTTTTCCTGCTGTTTTCCTGCCTTAGCTAAAAGAGAAAAAGTGACACAGGTTGAAGATAGGGAGGACAGCAGAATTGGGGTCTGTCTGTCGATCGAGGCCAATATGCTTCAGCGATGAGCCCGGATACGTACGAATGCTCTTGAAAATAATCGTTTCGTAGTGACTGGCTGAGGATCTTGGTAAATAACTAGTCATTCATTGAATTAGAGGAGATTCTGGCGGGGCGAGGACACGGTAGCTCACATCATAAAAGCGTTGAGTATACAGGATTTGCGTTCTCACAAATCACATAATTCATGTCTTCAGAGACATCATGGAAGTTTTCTTTCTTAAAAAATCAGAGAAATACAGATTAACCAGAACCATTTATATATCTCGAAATTAAAAACCCATCTTCACCTAGATGTATCTAACCTTCTTGTATCAAATTATTATGTTTTGAACAAGTTCATAATCAGAGAGGATATATGAACTCTTCGTTCTCAAGGTCAGTCAAATCCAAAAGAGCGACGTTTGTCTCCACTCTTTCGCCGTCGTCCTCGACTACTGCGGCTTTGTTCTTTGTAGTGCCAATTTTGGCGAGTCTCTGCTTGTTTCTACGCCTTAAAATAAACCAAATCAAGAGTGCCAATGATGGAGCCAAGCAAAACGACAGCACGATTTGAACAATCCACGCAGGTATGTAACGAGGAGCATCTTTTTCCTGCCATAATTGCGGAGAAATTAAATTCGAGACACCAAACCAGAACATAACGATACCATTTCTTGTTAGCTTCTTGGTATAGCCCGAGCACGTTTGTGCGTTCCAGCTGAACATCAAAATCCACGGGATGCCAAAGACGGGTGAGGCAAGACAAACGAATGCCAAAAGCCCCACGGAATTATGCCATGGCAATGTAGCTGCACCAATTGACCCCACAAACGAAATAGAACTCCAAGCGACGACAGAGAAGGCCACGAAGTTCTTCTTGTAAAGCAGGAAAGTGGTTGCGATAATCGCGCACACAACAGCGAAACCGCCGGATGCTACCGACACCAGGGTAGAGTCCAAGTTCGAAATCTGGCCCAAGTTTTCAAAAAGCAAGTTCTGCTGATACGTCAAGTTGTTGGCCAATTGTTGCAACAAGAAAAATGCACCAAAAATCCAACTGATAGGATCCTTAAGGGCTTCTTTGACTTGGTATGGCTTGAATGTCTTCTGCTCAATCGAAGAGCCCGTGGATTCTTGAACTCTTCTTATCGTCCATATTCTCTCTTTCTTTGACAAGAAAACAGCGTCAGTTGGATTGCTGGGGTACACGAAAAAGATCAGAACGGTGAGCAGGAATGTACACCCACCAATGATAATGGTGAATATTTTCCATGCCGCGATGGGAGGGTCATTGATGTTTAGAACACCGTACGCAATGAAACCGACCGGGATCGTTACACCCATACATGCGGCGTAGAACACTGGTGCTGTTGCAGATTTCTCCCGGGGTGTCAAGAACTGACCCATAGTGGTGTTAAGCGCAGGAATGGCTATCGATTCCACAAATCCCAAGAAAAAGCGCAGAACGTACACACCTTGGTAATTGTGCGCTGTGCAATGCAGGAAAATGATAACAGTCCAGAGAGATGTCATGACCACCATTACTCGAGAAAGTGGAAGTTTCTGGATGAAGTACAAGTTCCCCTGTCCGACAATGTAACCAACATAAAACAGTGTGTTTGCGTTATTGTACTTGTTTTGCGTGAGCCCGGTGTCTTCGAAAAAAGTGAAAATCGCTGCGAAGGACATGACTGCTTTGTCTGCATACAGCAGCAAGTTGATAAGCGCTGTGAGTCCCACAACAATCCACATCGTTTTTCTCGAAAGTTTACGTTCTTCTTCCGGCGTGATGGGCTCGACCAAATGGTCATTTTCTCTCAGAAATTGGAGTGTGACATCTGCGTCTCTGGAAGTAACAGTCTTGTAGCCCTTTTCTGCCGAAGAATGCTCACCGGACTGCGAAGACACGACCGAGCGAGCCTCACTTTTCATAACATCGAGTCCTTCGTTTTCTCTTTTGGAAACTTCAACAACAACTTCTTCGTTGGTCGACGAAGAGCTGTTATTGGATTGCGACATTATATTATCAGGAACCTAGATAAGTCCAGTAAACTTGCTGTTGGCAACTGTTGTGCTTGGTACTACATATTATTTCTATTTCTGGTCAACAATAGCTGCTAGTCTCGTCTTTATATACTTTTTACCATGCATGAGCGTTCACGTCTGCTGAATTTGGATTTTTCATCTTTTCCACAATCTTTACTTGGGCTTTTGCATTGTCTTATGCCTTATGCCACAGTTACAGAGTTTTCGAGATTGCACGTGTGTACTCCGAGAGACAGTCAAGTTCAATAAGTAGCGTCAAAAGTGAAAAATGTATGGCTCAAGACAGAGAGACTGGGTGAAGGACTTAAGATATGTCAGTCACCCACATAAGATTCCGCACAGGCGTTTAGAATACGATGATTAATCATGGCGTCGCCTTTAAATTCGAGAAAAGGCACTAGTAGCACAGCTGTGAAGCCATTGTCCTGACGAGCGAAAAGACAAAGGCAAAAGAAGAGTCGTTAGCAGTATTCTTTGAGAGAAACAAACGAACACGATTTGGTTGAAAGGCAAGCTTTTTCGGTCACCAGGCAAAGTTGTAGGAACCTGGCCATTTTCCTGGAAGCTTGTAGACGGAGCCTCTGAGGCTTAATGGGGTGCTTGTTCGGGGTCTGGTTGCTCTCATCATAAATTTAAATAATGCAGCTTAATTGGTCAAATAGGATGTCTCGAGTGCAAGCATTCTAGTCATGGGATCAGTTGAAGATTCACTAATTGGTGGAATCGAGGGTGCAGAAGGTGCAGTAGTAGATCGAAAATTCTCTTTCAAGATCCCGTGTGAAATTTGAAGTGCTGACTAACAGAACAATTGCGTTATGAGTTGTGGTAACTTGGAATGAACATCAAGATAAGCCATTTTTTGCCTAGGTGCAAGAAGCAATAGTATACTTTGGTAATAATGAGAAGTGCGCGACAGCGCGCTTCGTCGAATATGGGATTTGAGGCCTGCTCCCAGTATAGCTATCGTTAGGATCCTGGTTCGTGCGAAAATGACGTGGTGATAAAAACTGACAAGATTGTAAAATAGATTGCGTCACGTGATATTGTACAATTGTGACTTGTCGTATAACGTGATAATTACGCATATATTTTAGATAAACTATGGGTAAGGTTTTTACATGAGTAAGTACATTATAACTCACAGGCAGAACTGTTCATGAGTCCTTGACTCCACCTAGAGTCCACTTCCCTTTTTAATGATTCTCGGAATCAAGTCCGACGTATAAAGTGACTTCGATATGATTTTCTATTGTGAGTCCGGCAATTTATTGGGTTACATTTGATATTCGTTGACATTGATCAACTTTAAGACTAACAACCAACGCACTTAACAAACCCATTGAAAGATGTTGGTAACTTGGGAAGCTAGAGTTTTACATGACAGGTTCTCACTGGTATTTAGATCTCTTACTTACTCGTATCATTGACCTTGGTAAATTTTAGAAACATGGGCGCAACAGCAAATAATTGAGAGTCACGTGACAGTTTCGTATACAGTTACCAAGATCGCAAGATGAACGACTCTTCGTTCGTATAAAGGTACTGGACTCGCGACTGTCCCCGGACTCATGACCAAAAAAGCCGGGATCGCAGGAGTCGTGAACAGTGCTGCTCACAGCTATCATCGCACCGTTCAACATTCACAAGTCTTGTCAGTTTAGATGGTTTCTTGCACAACGAACGCCCCAAAGGTCCAATCATTAGCTCTGTGCCCTTTGTTTTGTATCGTAAAATTCCATAATCCTTGTTTTCTGTTATATCTTGTATACCCTCAACGAACTTATAAAAGCACGCATTACTAGTTTCCTACAGAACAGACTGAAAAAGCCCGTTTCTCGATAAGAGCCATCGCCTTTGTTTTTGCAGGTTGTGCCTTGAGATTTTTGGATCCTGAGGTTTTCATCCACATAGGTACGACGCCTAATGGCTCCAATTCCTGTCACGTCATACCGAAGTGGCGTGCATCTTGGTAATACTGACAAGCTTGAGAAGCACACTTTAATTGATTGCCAAGCCAAATCCTCGATGGTTCGAGTTTGGGAGGCACATGCATAGTATTTCTTCTTTCCTACACGAATGGCATGTAGCTCTCTCACAACTTCATTGGATAGAACATCCTTCTGAAAAAATTGGCCGGGCCTCGTCCCATCACATCCTCATTGTTAAATTCCTCCTTCTCACTTTCATTCCCCTCCGAGCTTTCCAATGTACCTCTAGATTGATCCCGTACTTGTTCCAGCGTGTTTCGAACACGTAGCTCACGAAATACAGCTATTAGCAGCAGGGCACAGAGGAAACATAATCCTGCAAAGATTTGTGTGTGCAAATAGGGATTGGTCGGATGCTTTGGGTCGGTCAATGCTTGCGCCACAAGTTCGCATACTAATAACAAAGGAGATCCCAATGCATTGACAAGACTCCACGCTGGCAAAAAATCTGCGGGGTCGACAATATCTGCTACCAACACTGTACCCATGACGTTGGCGACACCCATGCAAGACCCCACGCAAATGGAAAACATTAAAAGCTGGACGAAATTGTGGGCGGTGATCCAAAAGATAAACACAAATACAATCAATATAGCTGTAAGGAAAACGGTCACATTGATTCTCCCAAGTTTATCGCCCGAATAGCCGATCATCGGTCTCCCAAACGTTTGTGCAGCATTCATGCAAGTTGTCAAAATTGAGGCTTGATGAGACGATAAGCCTTTGGCAACAGCAGATGGTGACAGTGTAAAGAGCACTAGATTATAGCCCAGTAACGAGAACGCGAACCAAACAGCGACTAAGTCTACTCTGTAGATTGTCGTGACCCTCGTAGAAAAAATGCTCTTAAATTCTGTCACGACTTTTGTTAAAGACCTGATCCCTGCTGGTTTAGGAGGGTTTCTTGGTTTCAGTAATATAGTTGAAACAATGCAGGTGATGGTACAGGAAATTGCCATCATACGGAGCGGCCACGCTTGGCTTCCACTTTGTTGAAGTAGTTTTCCCACTGACACCGCATACGTCACACCGCCAGCGCCAGTTCCAATGAAAGATATCCCGATGGCCGAGGACCGCTTTCTTAGAAACCATCCAGGAATGATTGTTGTGGCTGGGGCATAAAGCAGGGCTATGGAAATTCCGACGAGGACACCTTGCGTCAAGTAAAGCTGCCATAGCTTAGTAGCAAAGGACGCCAAGATAAAGCCACTGAACAGCGTTACAATTCCAACGTACATTGGAGGCTTGCAGCCAAAGAGCCTTGTTAAAAACATTGCAACAGGGGCCATTCCTTGACCAAAAGCCGCGGTCATGCCAGCAATCAACGCATAGTCGTATTTGGTGGCGCCAGGGAAGGTACCGCTCTTGATGTAATAAGCCAAAAACACACCGAATCCAGCATTGGAACCCCAAGTGGAGAACATGATAAGCGTCACACAGATGCAACATACCCATCCGTAACCTCCATCAGGCGGCAGATCTAACTCTCCCGTGGATTTGTTCGTGAATACTTTAGCGACGATCGTCTCATCATTATCTGTATGGCGACTTTTTGCTGACGACAATAATTCGCCGCGAGCCGCATTTTCTTCTTGGTGCGCGTTCAAACATAGAGAGTCCTCTACTTCGAACCTCTGTATCAAAAGTTTGTTTAGATCCTCGTTCTTTTGCACTGGTCCAGTGTGTTCCTGAATGGAACTCTGCTTTGAAAGGGTATCGCTGTTTTCGCTTAGGCTCGACGCCAAGGAAATTGGCCGTGAATTCATGTGGTGTTGCTTGATTACAGCGGTGAGAGAGTTCGTTGAACCATTTTTGATTGTTCTTGCCAACCGATACCATTATAAAGGTCCAGTTCACCTCATTCCCCGTGAACTCATCTTGATGACTATAACCTTTCAATGCACTGTAAGAATGCCGTAGGCGTACGACTCGATATGATTCATAATGCTGTTTGTCATGCACAAAGGAGAAGAACTTCTCAGAGTATACTTTGAAGAACTCACTTTCCTAGGCAAAGAGTATCCGTGGATTGGCAAGAGCTCTCACTGGCCCTTCGACCTGGTTCACCAACGTTAATATTTCCAAAAAGACTCAAGATGCCCAAGATGACTTTCCATGTGTGAAATGAGCTTTAACGATAAGCACCGGATTTGGAAGGTCGAACAGCTCGTTATCAACGTGTCTTGGTGAAGTCAGTAACGCCAAGGCCGCGCGCGATTTTGAGTGAGATAAGATGCGTCTCCGAACTCTTGCCATCCGTCGCAGCTCTATCCGTCGAGCTCTCTCCGTCCCAGCACTTTACTTTGCCTCAGCAATTTGGGGGAGTCTAAACTATCGAATGCCGTCAGTTTAGGACCACATGCTCGAAAATGCTATGTAAAGACACGGGATTTGAAATGCAAGCCTGTGAATGCTTGCAGTTCATCCATGGCTCTTTTTCTGCACTACAGAGCTATATGTTCATCATGTCCAGTGTATCGCAGCATGTTTGGATGAGCGATTCCTTTCAAAACCTTCGAATGTTAGTAATTGATGCGTTCCCAAGCACTTTGACATCGAATAAATAAAATGTAGTCTCGTCCTAGTTCTCAGCCACTATTCTTGTCCTCCACGATTCGGTCCATAGACCTAGTTGAAGACAATCTCCTTTAAAATCACAATACCGATATTGAAAAGTTGCATTTTCATCCAAATCCTGCCCTTAGATTTTGAAGCGATGGAAGCTGGGATAGAATCTTCCTTTCCCATTCACCACTGAGTTGACTTTCAGAGGTCTAGAGAAGACGTCTTTCCATGTAGATATATATTATTTCAATACAGTATAATGTAGAAAACAAGCAAGGCATAAACCATCAATTTCCAAGAGCATGCGGAAGAAAAACAGCTCATCATCTGTCTAAAACTTCTATTACTCTTGATTGAGGGTACGTGTAAGCCTGAAAGTTCATGATTCTCACTTCACAGCCCGAACATAACGATGGACGCCATGAACAGGGCGTAATGACTTCGTCAGATAATTGATCACTTCAACTACGTGACAACTAATCCCAACAACCAAAAATGTCCTGCAAACCACCTCCATGAAAATACACTTTCATAATCGTTTAATCTTCCGTACTTGAGTGCTTCGAATAGCTCGAAGCGTCCCTTCACGCCTTCTTTATCTGGCAGGTGACAGTATTTACAAACACACGACAGTATCGTGATAACATGATGATGGCCTATCGCGATAACATCGTCTGGTAAAGTGGTCTCATGGAAATAAACAGCAGCTGAAATTCTTGCAGATTCATATCAGGACTTTTCCCGCTCGCAAATCTCGCTCTGTGGCTTGCATTTTGTTCTTCAAACAGGCAATTGCATCCGATGACTTCGATATAACGGTTACGATGGATTAACCAGAGTTCATATTAATATCGAGTGGATCATCCTGGGATGAGAGAGAGCATGCCCATCGTTCGGTACTGATTTCAAGTCGTGCGTTCTTCATCAAGTCCAAATTCAGCTTCCTATACTGAAATACAAATAATGGCTGAAGAAGTAGTGACTCCTCAAGTTGTTAACGATCTGGTAGACTACAACAATGTCGGGCAAGTTGTGAAAGAGTTGTTTTGTGGCACCGTAGGTGGATTTGCCCAAGTGTTGGTCGGACAGCCCTTCGACATGACAAAAGTGAGAATGCAAACTTCTACGGTTCCTGCCAGCGCTACTGACGTGATAAAAAGACTGGTGAAAAACGAGGGTATTCTAGCTTTTTACAAGGGAACGCTCGTGCCGCTTGTAGGAGTTGGGGCATGCGTATCGTGCCAGTTTGGTGTTAACGAAACAATGAAAAGGTTTTTCCGCTGGAAGGACAATAACAAACATGGTGCTCTGACACGAGGGCAGTACTACATGAGCGGGTTCGTCAGCGGTACTGCAAACGCACTTCTCGCCACGCCTATAGAGCATGTGCGCATTCGCTTGCAACTGCAAAGAGGCCCTAAAACGACGGCAGAATACCAGGGCTCTTGGGATTGTGCCAAGAAGCTTTTACAGAAGGGCGCCCTGATGCGTGGCTTAACGGCTACAACACTGAGAACATCTCACGGATTTGGGATTTACTTCTTCACCTACGAGGGTTTACTGGCAAGAGAGGCACGCCGCGGGGTGCTCCGACAAGACGTGCCAGCTTGGAAGGTGTCGTTGTTTGGTGCTCTGGCCGGGGCCTGTTTCTGGGCCACAACGTACCCGTTTGACGTAGTGAAGTCCATCATTCAGGCGGACAACCTGATTGGACCACGGTATAAAGGTTCCGTGTTCGAAGTTGCCAAAACTGTCTACCGCGAACGTGGAGCCCGTGTATTTGTTTCAGGGTTCATGCCCACCATGCTGCGGTCACTGCCAGTGAATGGTGCTACCTTTGCAGCTTTCGAGACTGCAATGCGTTTGGTGAAATGAGAGGACTAATCTATCTGCCACTGGGCTGGCATCAGGGAAATACAGATATAGACTTAGATAGTAAGAAAACTTAGAATTTTGGAATGGCATTGGAAGTGGTTGTCGCTACAGCTTTTGGGTTAGAAGACCGTACCCTCTGGTATGGTGAAGCTTCTGTTGACATTTGTCTACAACACCTTTTCAGCGAGCCATTTAACACTGCTTTTCATCAGAAGAAATTGAGCTCTCAAGCCAATAACTGCACAGATGAGCTAGATAAGTGGAGGTTTTTGGGCAATTTCAAGTCGAAGGCCAGAATTCACTTTGAACACGCGTGCAAGCTTTGCCCTTGTCTTGTATAATGGTAAATTGAAAGTATACGACACGAATTGTCTCTTAAGGTTTTCTATTTTGCCCTCTACACCGCTGCTTTCAACACTGTGCGCACTACTAAGATCGACTTTTACACAAGCATCCCACCTATGGCAAACTCGAATAAAAGATTCTCATTTGCACACTACGCACTGCCTTCTCGGATCATTAGGTGGCCTGTAGTATTGGCTACTCGCCTTGCATTCATTAGCAAGCTAGGAATATGGCCGCATATTTTTCCAGCTCAATTTCTCAAATCTGCCTTGGATCTCTAATACTCATGGATAACGCATTCGCCAAATACCTGTATCTCTCTTCAACTTGGTGCTATCTCTAACCTACCATTAGTGTACTGTTAAGACAGTCAGCTTATCAGCGGAAACTCTAGTGGAATTTCGAGTCTCTAATACAATTAGTAGATAGATTGATAAAGACCTAAAAACACAGTCGAAAATACAAACTGATGGAAGTGATAACGATGTCTCCGAGTTTCCTGTTTTGGACTATCTAAGTCCACCCATCATCAAGAAGCAGATGAAATACACCAGGGCCCAACATAGCGCCCACACTTGGTCATATATAACTGAAGGACATCGCAGGAATGTCAATGGCACTTCACCAGTAAGAGAGAATTGAATCAACAATACATTGTTGTACGCTTTAACCAAACTTTAAATATCATGACTGTCGAGAAAACTAAGGTGCTTTTAATCGGCTCCGGCGGTGTCGGTACGATGGCCTCATATGCCCTGGAATATGCCGGCAAAAGTGAAGTCACCTCTGTTCTACGTTCTGACTACAGCAGAGTTACTGAAATGGGTTTTTCGATCGACTCGTGCGATTACGGTCAAATCGCTTCTTTTAGACCAAGCCATATCGCGAAGAGCGTCGAGGAGAGTTTGCAGTACGGTCCATTTGAATACATCCTAGTTGTAACCAAGTCTGTTCCAGAAGTTGGCAGCATGATTGATGTCATTGCACCAGCTGTCTCCGAAAATACCGCTATTGTCCTGGTCCAAAACGGTATCGGTATCGAGCTAGAAGCTATCGCCAAATTTCCTGAAAACGTTGTTCTCAGCGGTGTCAGCATGATCGGGTCCTCTAATATCAACAGCCACATCAACCATGAAACTACAGACGCCCTAAAGGTGGGCGTTTTCGAAAGCAACGAAGTAGACAAGGATGTCACGCAGGCCGTGTGCAAGAAATTTGTCGACATTTACTCTAACGACAAGAACTCATGTCTCTACGACGAGAGCGTAAAATTCACAAGATGGCGCAAACTTGTCTACAACGCATGTTTGAACCCAGTATGTGCCATCACAGGTGTTGACGCCGGTAGATTGGAGGTCTTCGGTGGTACCGACGGAATCATCCGCAAAGCTATGAGAGAAGTCATGGCTGTGGCCAAGTCTGACGGCGTTGAGCTACCAGAAGACGTCATTGAATTTATGATCCGCTCAGACGACCCCGTCTACTACGCGCCATCGATGCTGATCGATGTCCATAAGGGCAACTTGATGGAAATTGAAGTCATCAGTGGTAACCCAGTCAGAATCGCAGAGAAGAATGGTGTTTCTGTTCCCTACCTAACGTTGCTTTACGAGCTACTCAAGGTCATCCAGAAAAAGACTATGGAGAAGAAAGGCTTGATCACTGTTCCAAAGGTTAGACCGGTACCAAAATAAGTAAAATGGATCACATACTAGAAAAGAAGTGTCCATATAACAGAGATTAGTTTATCCGTTGCACTTTTGAAGGCAGTTGAACTGTACTAGATTCTTAGAGGCATGAGTGCTAGATTAGGGTCATGGCATCAGCGGAATTCGTGCCTAGTTTGCCAAAAGCCTACAACCAAGTGTCAATTCCTCTGAATTACAAATGTACAATAGAGCGGCCTTTTGTTTTCTGAAAGGCTAGACATAGAATCCCTGTGGTCGTTGAAATCGTGAGAAGTGTTGACATGATAGCGTTGGCTTCATGACATGCGTTTGTCAATATCACTCAAGAGATCAACCTCTTTAAAAATATTCTACAATAAATACAGATCATGCCTAACATGATGATCACGTCAAAGCTTGCAAGCTATGTAAACATCAAACGCCAAAACTCGCTATCCTGCAATTTAAGAATTGTTTAGAAGTGATTTCTTGTCGACATCGCATTATTCGGATTCGCAATAGAAATCGACTTAAAGCAGTTCCAAAAATTCACAACAAGCCGACTTTGGGATAGTATCATGTTCTCGATGCGGGATAGGCCTTTGATCAAAAAGTGACGGAGGGTATGTTTTTACCATATATGTCGCCAATCCGATTGTATGAACGTGATCAATTCGAGTCAAAAACTGACAGTACATCTCGAGAAGAACGAAGATTGACGCTGTCGAGTAAGGGTTCTGTCAAGAATTTGTTGGAATCAAACTGCAAGTTGAAATCAAGAGGTTTTTCCAAAGGGCAGTGTCATTCGATGCAAACTATTTCCAGCTTTGGCATAACATAATAAAGATTATCAAAATCGGTTTTAGTGACGTTAGAAAAAGAGCCCTTCATGGGCGAGTTTCCGCATGCCAAAGGCGAAGAGATGCTTAAACGTGAAACTACATCTACATTTACACCTAATTGATGCCAGATTAACCCAGGAGGTTTTTGAAATGCCGTCTTTTCGAGAGCAGTAATGTCTAATATCATCCAAAGCGTCCAAGACATAAAAAACAGCGATTCTTGTGATTTGAAATTGAAATCAAAACTGATACCTTAGGTCATGTATGTGAAGCTTTTAAAACGCTTTACGTTCTTTAAAGCTTTGCTAGTAACTGGCCATCAAATTGGTGCTGGATGTGGATCTATTCTCTCTTCGTGGCTGCAGTTTGCTGGTCATTTTCGGATGGCGAAAATATCCACCTCGAAGACCCACCACCATATTATACTATTTGAATAACAAAAAAATAGTTGGAACGCATACAAAAGCATCGAATTCTTCACCCATCAATAGTATCAAGGTCGTCTTAGATGTATTGCGCTGCGAGCGATGCTTGGTCGCCTTTTTGGGCTTCGTAGTTCGATACCCATATTTGTCAGTGACGCGAATCGAGAATGATGATCCAAAACTGGCTTAAAGCAGCTTCAGCAGACGCTAGCCAGATAAGCTAGCCAGAGAAGCTGCAACGGGAAACAAAAGCCAACTTTATGCTTTTCTTCAAACGACAAGCATAGTTGAGCAAAGTCCAAGCAGCAGGTTTTACACTCTGGTTGCACTGTTATGAGAATTTTGAGTGTACAGCTTTTTGGTGATAAAACAAGGCAATTTCACGAATTGATTTAGGTTCGAATTCTCATTTGTTGTTTCCATCTGGAAAAGCCATTCGCGATCGGGTTGCTTTATCCAGTCAACGTTGCTCTTTCTGCTGGTTTTTGACCACGCTCATACAGCCAAGGGTGCGCGGTCGTTTTGTCTCCAAGTTACCTTAACGTTTTTGCAGATCATCAATTGAACGTTTGAAAAGGCTCTTTGTTTAGAAGCTGTTCAATGCTGTGAAAGATAACAAACTTCGTGTTCGTGAAGAAACTCTCAACATAGCCAAGGAGCACGTCATAGTCTTAATGGTGTTATGATATATCAGCCAACATGGTGTATGATGGGACCAAAGATCAGAAGCGAAGTTCGCCGTAGCCTCACTGACACGGCAAGCCTAAACCAATGGGTTTGAGGCGCCCACATTCTCTGGAGCAGGTGAGGCTTTCCATGGGTAAGTTTTCAGCGCAGAATAGCACATGGTGCTTGCGCAGTTTGTTTGTTGGCTGGAAATGTGAGCACACGAAGGACCAAAGCGGCTTGAAAAGTGGGCTAGAAGCAGGGCATTTCAACGTGCGGTAGCTCGCATTTTACAGGTTCTGAATCCTTCAATTTTCTAAATCCTGTTCAACAACATTGTTTCGTGCCAACGCTGGGTATCGTGAGTGCCCGAGGAAGCTTCAAAGAAAACGCCTCAACGAGAATCTCGCAATCTTGGTGTTGATGTTTCGATTATTGAAAAAAGGATGATGATCTTGACCAAGACCTGGAGAGCTCTCTTACCGCAAATACCAGTTGAAACAGCAGGATTGACACTCCAAAAGCTTGAGAAGAAGAGTCGGCTATGTTCTTCGGTCTTATCCCATAAAGCGAGGCAGACTGAGAGGGCTTCCATCATCAGCAATTCGGCCATATTTGGAGGAGCTGGAAACGCAAGCCTTGCTCTATCTTCAGAGTATTGGAGTCCGTGTCTTTCGTCGAGGGAAGCTAACTTCGCCTCTGAGGAAGGCTATGATAATTCCTGATTACAGGTCTCTGGAATAGCTGCGAATGTAAGCAGCAGAAGCTGAGAATGTACACGGAATTCAATCCAGATCCGAGCATTGGGGAAACCCTCGCGATACAGCGCTATATTTCAGGAAAAACACGGATTTGAAATCATTTCATAAAATAGTCCTATGGTGGCCGAAACCTGCTACCGAATCTGCAGCTAATTCGAAATCTCGTTCCCTGGCTCGCGATCTGGCTGATACTCATACTTCTTACCATTGAGAACTGCTCGAAAGGTTTGAAGAAACGCGGTTCATGATCTCAGTGTCTCTACTCAGTGCTCATTGTTCAAACCATGTCCATGTCCATGTCTCTTACAAACCCACACGCTAAAAACAATGATCACTGAAGTTCAGAGCCCTCAACCACCGGCCGTCTTCCTGAGATTCCGATGCCATAAGCCCACACAGATCGGCCACTAAAAGAAAATACAAAGAACTATTGAAAGTACCGGGCCTTTACAACAGCGGATCTGCTGCGAATACCGAGATACCACCTACAACAAAGAGAGGTTTTCATTGATGCTACGGAAAAGTCATTGACTGTCGTGCACGGAGAAAAAGAAAATCATGATGCGGCAGGTCTGCAGTCGTCGCCAAAGCTGAGCAGTGGCGGTGGGTAAGGCTATCTACTGTGCTCCATGCAGCTCGTTGCACTGTTATTTCGTGGCTGCGTCGGTGCAGATGGCTTCGAAAGGAGAGATTTCGAATGATGTCCACGGGGCACAAATGACTGTTCCAAGTGGTGCCGAAGACGACTTTGACCTTTGGGTGTAGGTGCTATCATGGCTACGCTGCGAAATCGAGCAGCCAGAACTATTTTTTCAGCGCAGTCGAAGACGGAATTGGGTGGTCTGAGCGATTGAGATATTTGGGATGGACAGCGTGGATTGAAATACAGGACGGGCAAACGAGTGAGAATTAGTGGAGAGAACACAAATCGGATTGACTTGCACTTTTGCACTTTCTGACGTTTGTGGGCTCAAGACGAAGCCCAGACCTTCGCAACATGTATTGTCGCGCGCCCTTCACAATTGCGGTACAGCTGGCAATGATTTTGATCATGCGAGAAGCTCTCGACGGAAACAAAAAAATGGTATCCGTGCAGGCATGTTGTTACGTCACTCCTTCCCCTCTGGAAGCGACTTCAGACCCGCTGCAGCCGAGCACAAAGTGGAGCCATATTTTTTCGCAACATGTTTTGCACAACTTCCCACGCCTAAGCGACCTTCCTACATTTCACTTCGCTAGCGTTGCTTGATAAGGTCCCGTCCATGCATGCACTGGCATGCACAACAATTGCTTCCTTATGGTACGCTTGGCCACGCTAATTTACGTATTTACAATGGACCTAATGCGTCTCCGGGCTCGCTTCCTTCAGCTAGGCTTCCTTCAGCTAGTCTCCCTCTGCTAGTCTCACTCTGCTAGTCTCACTCTGCTAGTCTCACTCTGCTAGTCTCACTGCGCTAGTCTCACTGCGCTAGGCTTCCTTCCTTCTGCCAGGCTCACTCTGCTAGGCTCACTTCTCTCTGCTAGGCTCGCTTCTCTCCGCCAAAGCCCGGCTCACCCCGCATAAACCTCGACGCTTGCCAAGACTTTCTCCCCCACGATCCTTTTTAGCACAGCGGAGTCCGGCATTTTTCGCGTGGGCCTGAGTTCCCGGCCCGCGGCAAATTTAGCTACCACGGGCACCGTTTTTACACGGTGCATAAACAGCAAGTGCTGTCTCTAGCAAATCGCGATGCATTTACGCATCCTCAAGCATACAAGCACGACAGATAGGCTACACAGTACAAGGAACTCAGAGATGGACAGGAAGAGAGTCAGAAAGAGAAACCGATCTGTGTTTTTGTGGTATTTTTCTTGTGATCATATCGCGTTCGTGGCGGCGGTCTATCATGTCACTGTTTGGCCTTGAAAGACTCGAGAAAAGTTATAAAAGAGGACAGGTTTTGCCAGTTGCTGTGGGGTCTGTTTGGTTACTTTGAGCTGTGAACTTCTGATTGAGATTTACCTATTTTCATTTGGTAGTTATCCACAAACTCATCAACATTTCCACTCGCTTAAATCTCACTGTTCTGCCCCGCACTCCTTCAATGCACTACTTACGCAATGCCATGCTTGGCGCAGGTTTTCTAACCGCTCAATCGCTAGCGCTAGTGTCGAACTCGTCGTCGTCCGGTGTCGTTGGAAACTACATTGTTTCAACCACAACGGGCAACACCACGTCGTTCGGTGACTCGTACGTATTCCTGCACACCACGGAATTTGAGGTGTCATCGCCCGTCAACGGGCTCACTTTCGAAATCGACCCTCGTCTGGGCGGTCTTCCATCGGACGACACTCCGTACAAATTCGACTACGGGACTGCAACGCTCCACGACGGTAATATCACCGTGAACTTCACGTCTGTGCCTCCTTCCGGTCGCTACAACTTGACTTTCCCTACGTTTATCGGGCAAGACCAGAACCAGCTCGTGGGTGAAAACACCTACACCACCACCTTCGAAAACCAGGAATTCAACAACACCATCGACTACGTGGTTTTGCCATCGAACCGCGCCGTGTTCAACTCGATCGAATACGACTCTGAAAATCAAGCCTACTTCTATCTCAACATTCCTAAGGACGCCTATTTGGGTGGCTTTACTTTTAACACCACGGGTCCCAAGTCGTACTCTTATATCGCGAATTCCTTCGATTTCGGGTTTATAGAAACCCCAAGCGACTCTGCAGCCATTGGTTCCAGTTTGATGATCCTGCGTCCACCCAAAGCACTCTCGACAGTGTTTACCCACAATACTACACCCTCGATACCTCCAGCGGTGGTGTGAACTTTGCTTACAACGGTAATATTTCCGTCGATGCCACAGACGAGTCCGGTTCGACTGATATCACCTACACTGCGGCTTACATCAAATTCGAAGTCAAAGCACCATCGGGCACCAACGTTTTCGAATTGGATGCAACTTTAACCTTCAACGGTGACCAAAAGTTGACCTACTCTTTCCACAACTTTGGCTACGGTCCTGGGTTTTTGAACGCTTACGAAATTCCATCCTATACTATCTCTACAGGAACTGGTGGATCTCCTTCCTCGTCTGCTTCTGCTTCTGCTTCAAGTTCTGCTTCAGGTTCTGCCTCTGCCTCTGCCTCTGCCTCTGCCTCTGCCTCTGCCTCTGCCTCTGCCTCTGCCTCTGCCTCTGCCTCTGCCTCTGCTTCTGCTTCCTCCGGGTTCAACTCTACATCGTCGACTGCACCTTTCACTTCTACTCTAAGCTCCAATGCTTCAAGTGGTGCTTCATACCCAAGTTCCTCAATGTCGAGCGGTTCCGCTATTACTGGTTCTTCCTCTAGCAGCGGTTCTTATATCTACCCTAGCTCGAGTGTCTCGTCTGCTTCTGGCTCTGGATCTGGCTCCGGTTCTGGCTCTGGCTCCGGTTCTGGCTCTGGCTCCGGTTCTGGCTCTGGCTCCGGTTCTGGCTCTGGCTCCGGTTCTGGCTCTGGTTCTGCTGCCAGCATCACCACAACAAAGAAACTTTCCACTACTGTGATCACTACTTGCCCAATTTGCACGGGCAAGGACAAGACCACTGCCGTGGCTATCTCCACCGTCACCACCACGCAAAGCGGCGTTGTCACTGAGTACACCACCTTTTGCCCCCTATCTACACAATCTGCCTCTTTGTCGGTGTCTTCCGGTACTACTGTCAGTCCATCTGTGGGGATCACCGAGATTTCGTCTGGCGTCTACACCATTTACACTACTTACTGCCCATACACTGCCACTGCCGGCTCTGCCACTGCAGGTGCTTCATCTCTTGGTGCTGTTTTTTCCGCTTCCTCTAGTCCCTCCAGCACTGCCGCTCTCGTATCCCAATACGAAGGTGGTGCCAAGTCATTGACCTTCAATCTTGCAGCTGTGCTAGCTTCGTTGTTGGCATTGATTTGAGTGGGCTTTCGGACCCAATCAGAACAGGTCAGCATAAATTTACAGTGTCGCCAAAAGACACTCTCACAAACCAAATTCAATGACAGAATATGGTTGTTTAAAGTTCGTTACAAGCCCAGCTCCAGGCCAAAACTTTGGCCCTGTTGCAAAGGACAATTATTTTTTTCAAATGAAAGCAGCTACGTACGGTTGAAGGCTCACATTTATGTCACTTCGCTCAACCAGTCGCTATTAGTTGGTATAGGTGTATGGTACATTACAATCGCAACGTTGCTGCCAAGAGATCGTAAAAGCTGTGGGGAACACAGTGTGGGATAAGAATAGATTGATTAGTCAAGTATATATTGTATAAGAGAGCTCTTATACTCAGGAATTAATAGTATATGTCGATTGATAGCTCCAGATCCTTTGGTTCACGAAAAGCTCTTTGCGCCTCTCGAAACCATGAAATCCTTGGATTTTAACATCCTCACAAACCAAGAAGGTACTCTCCATCCGAAAAGTACACCGACACCGCCATTTCTGGAGATTGGAACCAGCCCCATTTCAGGAGTATTCTTGAGCGGTTTCTTAGCACTGGATCCACCGAACACCAGAGCTTCGATAGTTGCTGATAAAGTCGACGCCTGGACTCTTTCAATGTCGATGATGGTACAAGGACGGTTGGAAACAATATCACCATATGCCAGAATATTTGAATATGCCTTAGAAACAAGAAATTCATCGGTTTCCACAAATCCACGTTTGTCCAGCATTTTTGGATCTAGAAATTCAGAATTTGGAATAATGCCATGGGCAGATATGGCTAAATCGAAAGTTTTCGAGGTTCCGTCACTGAACTGGACCTCAAATTTCCCCTCACTGTTTTCTTCAATTTTGGAGGCTTTTATCACATTCACCACTTGAACGTTCAAGTTCTTGAGCTGTTGCGATGCCCTTTCGGTGACTTTAGAGTTCCAATTGGCCAAGGGACCTGAGGCCCCGGTGTAGATAGATATGCTTTTGTCTTTACCGTAAGAAAGACCGAGTTCGCCGGTAGTTTCCACGGCGGTAGGGCCACCGCCAAGAACCGCGATGGTTTTGGCGCTTTTGATCTTGTTCGACAAGTCGAGCAAGGCATCTCTGCTTTGTGTGTAGTTTCCATGCAATTTGAACGCTGGTGAGTGGGCTCTGGAACCTGAAGCCAAAATCAAAAAATCGTACAACACAGTTTGTTGGCTGCCCGTGCCATCTTCGACCACCACAGTGTTGCTATCCGCGTCAACTTTGGTTGCTTTACCTACCACAACGGAAACATTTTTGTTAATCTTGCTGGCTTTGTCCTTTACCGAGTGGAACAGCTGTTTAGAGACTTCAGGTTCCACCAGAGCCCTGGGTGACGCAACTGAGAAGTATGCGTGTGAGGACTCTGAGATGATAGTCACTTTAACAGGTTTCTTCGAGCCTGTAATAATCTCAGCCGCGCTAATGCCCGCGAAAGAGCCGCCGATAATCACAACATGGGGAACTGCACTCATTGTTACGCTTTTTGTTTTAAAGATGTTCTCACCTCGTTGGTATTGAGAACTTTGATATATATATCTATCTAAACTATCTAACAAAAGGGCAAAAACTAGCACTACAACCTAACCTATATATACAAGATCTTTCTGGTTCTTCCCGCACACACGAAAGCACTTGTTTGTGGATCAATTGAGCCCTGAAACCTTGGTTTCAACCAGGTCTTTTCTTCAAAAATTTGTTCGCGGAAAGTTGTGGAATATTCAAATTTATCAGCATTACAGATCTATTATCAATCTTATAAATATCACCGATATCTTGACCAAAACTTATCACCGAGAACACCACTTTTCAAGCACAAGATCTTGAGACGTGGTAGATGCTACTGAAGCTCTCTGTAGTTCGTGTTAGTAATAGAATTAGGTAGCTTATGTAGAGAAACTTGACGGCGCAATGTCTTGCACTGTTGTTGAAGAACTTGATGATGTAGAATAACGCAATCAATGCATGACAATGAGAGAAATGTGCTGATGGTTAAGAAGCGCAGGACTGAATTTGACCGTCCAATAAGACGTATTTGGGGCCTAGTTTGAGATTTTTGAATATCTGGAGTTTTCAGTGGGGATTTGGTAAATATTGGATAATGCAGTGGACAGTAGACGACAATGGGGTGCCAGATTTTTTGGCAGGCTTTCTGTGTACAGGATCGGATCCATGGGAAACGGAACTGGATCATAACTGTAGTGTCTCTTTGATCCCAGTTATGCGGTTTTTAAAATCGGCACACTACTAGTCCACCGTTTTCCCAGTCAAGCAGGTCCCAACAGTATCGTAAATTAACAATAAAAAACTCTATCTAACGTCTGTATAGTCTGAGGCTCGCATCGTGGGTCATAATGCGTTGTGCGCTCTACGGAACAGCTTCGCCTACTTCAACACTGGTAATAGCGTTGTCGGGCCATTGAAAATATCCCCTTTCGATCAGCTCCTCAATACTTGAAGCTCTTTTGCCCGTTTCCTTCAAGTAGGCCAAATGGGCCTCTTTCAAAGGCTGAATCGAGCTCCGGATCTTGATCTGGTCACTTGTCCACTCCACACCGAAATATCCGTCATTGCCAGCGTCGTGGATTTGTTGGTTGAGCCTTTGAGAGTACTGGACGTCCATTGGAAATTTGAGGTCGTGGAAGGCACGTCCGGGCCCATTGAGCTTCATAAACCACTCCTCGTAGTGCAGCATTGTGGCCAAAGACGGCAGCTCAATGCGGCCGCTCCAAACTCTAGCTAGCCATGCACCCTGCGTCTCGCTGAGTCGTGTGGGTAGCACATATTTGGGTAAGCCAATAATGCCAAGAGTTGGCAAGTTGTAAGCCACAATGTGGTTGTAAAGATTATGCACTTGTCCACCATCGGTGACCAATGAGGCCAAGATCTTGTCACCCTGGGATTCGGCCTGTGAGATGGTGGGCAAGAACGGCAGAGACTTGAGATAACCCGTGCAAAAGATGATTTTATCGACATTGGATACTTTGGAACCGTCCACGAAATACACAGTCTTGGTGTCTGGGTCGAACCGCGACACATCGGCCACATCGTTGATGCGCTCGTCGAATCCTGCGGGCATCAAAGATTCCGATCTTTTGCTCTTGTGAATGCGGCGTTTTAGGTGGCCGGCCAATTCAAAGGCCAGGTCTGATCCGGACGCACTATTCCCTACAACGATGATTTCGCCAGCAACGTTTTCGTAGTCCTCGGGAGCGTCAAAGTCCTTGGCGTGCGACACAGAAGACGGATATTTGGCATGCCATTCTTTCAGACCGGGACGGTCAGGAACGTAGGGGAGATCGTAGAAGCCGCTTGCGACCACCACGGCATCGAATTCCTCGGTTTGAGAGTGGTTTGTGACTAAATTTTTCGTCGAGACCAGATATTTTTTTTGGGAGTCGTTGTAACGTAAGGACACCACTTCATGATTGAAATGCACGTACTGTTCGACCTCCTTGGAGTAATCGACGATGTAGTCGAAAACCTGTTCCCGCACGGGGAAAAGCGGCGTTCCAGCGGGGAACGGAAAGTTTTCGTATTCCATCAACAGCCGGGGCACATTGGTGTCTAGATATTTGTAGACTGCCGTTTGGAACACTATTCCGTTTTCCTGGCTGATATGTGGCTCATTTTTGCCCTGTGGTAGTTCGCACGGGATCGACGGACACGCTGTGATGTTCTGTTTTTTGAACACAGGTTTTGTGTAGTTCCACAGACCTCCAAACCCGCTTCTTTTTTCAAAGATCTTGATTTTGCCAAACCAGTTCTCATGTATCAATGCTTTAGTCACTCCTGCACCCACGGGGCCTGCCCCGATTACTGCGATTGAGCTGTTTTTCGCCAGTTTGCCAGACACCAATTGGCTCGAAGCAAGTTCACCAAGAGTCATTTGCTTATTCTGTGTCTACAAGTTTCTTCAAAATTCTGAAGTTTACGAGCTTCTTTAAAATCCTGAAGTTCACAGTCTTGATGGAACCTTGGAATTCTAAACCTGTAAACACCACATCCTCATATACACTTTCCTATATATCTCAATAACCCGCCTCTTTTAACTATGGCACCTAAATCCACGACCTATTTCCACCAATTATCACCAATTATCACCACTTTTCACCAATAATCATCATTACTAACTATCACCACTACTATCTCTCCAGACCTTCTTTTCGATCTGCTAACAATGGCAACTTTTGTCTATTGTGGCTCTTACAACAAAATTCCAATGGCTCTGCTGTTATCTCCGCAAGAACTTCATGTGATGGCAACTTGACAGTTGGCAAAGACCAGTAGAAGCTTTGAGATGGACAACTTGACGACTGCTACAGGTTACTGCAACAGTCTACTGCAACAGTCTACTGCAACTTTGACATCGGTGTGTGTATGTATGTGTATAAGCCCAAAAGCGTCTTTATCACTGGAAAGATTGCCCAGTAAGATGATGACCTCTGTGTTCAAGATTGTCCTTTGCAGTCAAGACCAGCGCACTTAAGAACGCTAGCTTATCATCAAGCAGTTGCCGTTACGGACCGGTGCGATAAGTGCGATGGGATCGGTAACAGCTTGAAGAGTCAGAAAGACTGAATGTCAAAAGCCACTACGAGAGCGGTGTTAGAATAGAACAATGCAGCTAGTAGAGAAGTGATGGTGGGATGGCAAGCGTACATTTGAAGATAAGTAAGTAGGTCTAAAGTTTGGAGACCCCGATCGTGTGTGTGTTGAGACATCATATTCATGGTGCCAAGGGCTACTTTCGTCCAGACCACTGCAAACGGCAACTCAACTACAACCTGTTTTCCACAACAAGTGCGTTTACTTCCATTAATCATGCATTGGCTATATCTTACATTCCCACACCGCTATACCTTCTCGATGGCCACCACAAATGCCTTGTCACTGTCAGTTTGAGTGGCTTCGTGCGCAGCAAAGCCCTCAGAAGGCAAAAACGCCTTGGAGTGACGGGCACTAGAACAAGTCTCGAACAGCTCGTCGATCTGCTCCAATGTGAGTCCCTTGGTCTCATATACAAAAAAGTACACGAACAAGAAGCACAGGAAAGTGCAGCCGCCCCAGATGAAAAACACCTTTGACTGCAAATTGGCGTGCTCGCTGTCAACAAGGTATGGGGTAGCGTACGCAATGGCAAAGTTAAACAACCAGTTGGAAGCTGCACACACGGCTACCGACTTGGCTCTTACTCTGAGTGGGAAAATCTCCCCCACCACAACCCAGGCTAGTGGACCCCATGTAGCTGCAAATGACGCAATAAATGTGCAAGAGAAGGCTATCAAAGTCTTGTTTGCGGAAAAACTGTCCGGAAGTGCAGTTCCCACAGCAGCAACGATCAGCTCGCTCACACACATGCCCACTGCACCCCACAGCAGCAGGTTTCTTCTGCCAGCAATCTCGACCAACGCAATGCCAGGAACGGTCATGACCACGTTGACCACATTCATGATCAACTGGATGATAAATGGGTTCTTGATGCCGGAGTTTTGGAAAAACTGTGTGCCGTAATAGAAAATGAAATTGATACCGGTAAGCTGTTGCAGACCCTGGATGGCGATACCGGTGAGTATGCGCTTCAATTGGTTGTTGGCAGGTCTGAAGCAGTCGAAAATTGAGGAAGAACCGAAGGAACACTCGTAGTTATAGTTGGCAACAATTTCTTCCAGTTCCGATGCAACGAACTCGTGTTCCTCTGGTAGCCCTCTTAGTTTTGACAAAGCCCTGCTTGCCTCTGCGACCTTGCCCTTCATAACGTAAAATCTTGGCGATTCGGGCAAAACCATCATGCCAGCAAACAAGACCAACGCCCATAAAAGCTGGATGGCAATTGGAATTCTGTAGGAACCCGAGTCAGTTCTGGAGTGAGTGCCTTGATTAACACACGCCGCAAGTAGCAAACCGATGGTAATTGCCCACTGGTAGCACGACGTAACAGCGCCTCTGATCCATTTGGGAGAAGCCTCTGCTTGATATAGTGGAACGATGGCGGAAAGAATACCGACACCGGCGCCCGCGATGACTCTACCTGCAATGAGCAGGTCTTGTTTCGTGGCCGCTATCTGCAAAACCACACCCACGGTGAAAATAATGGTGGAAATAATGAGCCCCAGTCTGCGACCCAAAGTATCGGATGCCAGCGGAGCCAAAATGGCACCGCAAAATGTACCAGCAGATAGAATTGCGGTGATCAGCGAAGTTTCATTGGCGGTGAAGTGGCCTCGAGAAGTAAAGTGGTCTTTGACGTAGTCCATTGCCAAAACACCGGATATTGTTCCTGTGTCATAGCCAAAAAGGATACCGCCGAAGGCCACGAAAAGGCCTACAGCAATGGCTCTAAATTTCGAGCCTTGGATATTTTCCTCAGCGTGGAATAGCTTCTGGAGAATTCCCATTTTTGTAATTGATTTTGTTTTTGGGAGTTGCCAGAATGGTAAACGTTCTAAACACTGATGAGTGTTTTTTGTTGATTGATGGGGATTTAAATGGAACCAAAACGAATTCTTTCCTGGAACTTGAAAAGGTTTCAGGATCTCCTTTTTATACCAGCAATGACCGGTATAAACTCCTCCTATCCGCCATCTACTCGTTGTCGATCCGCTGGACCCATCCAAAGAACGTTTCGAGTTGGAATCCATCGAAAGAGCCTGATGTACGTGGCAACAGGCGCCTGCATGAAATTTATGCATGTTGTTTCTCGAAGAAAGAGTTTTTCCGCTCACGAGAAAAGAGAAAAAGCGGAACAAAGGAAACAAATTTATCGGAGAAATGTTTTTCCGGGGAAGATGCAGAATATAATCCTGCAGAGACCAAAAGAGAAGCGGGGAGGTTGCCGCGAACATGTTTGACGAGATGTCAACATCCTCAACCCCGTGGCATCCGTCTTACTGTGAACAAGAGCTATTGGGGCTTAGTTTGATGATTGAACAGTTGTATCGAAATCTTTAACCCTAAGTCAATGTCCAAAATCAGGATGGGTGCATTAAGGTTATCGTACGCTGCGAAAGTACCGAACTTCAACTTACACGTATGTCTTTACTCTGCTGGTCAGAATTCACGTTCACTTTCTTGAGTCATAAATGTTATGTAATTTTAAGTACCAGCTCGGCCCTAAGATAGTTACTCAAGGGACACTGAGCAGCGACTACCGGTATGTAATTCGACTATCGTTTCATTAGATGGAGTTCCAACACATTAAAGGATGGAGGTGTCGAATGTTGGGCTTGGTGGAGTGACCTCTAGGATTGCAGGACCAAATAAGATATTGGAATCAGTCAGGTTTCCAGAGTTGTCAGAGGTCAAAAAGGCATACGACTGACCAGAGAGCTGGTAAGGAACTTCTGCAGACACCAAGTTATCGGATACTGTTGCTGCCGCAGGTATAACATCCAGCCCGCTCACAAATGTGATGTAACTCTGAGCGGATGGCAGCTGTCCGCTAACAGAGAAGGAAACGCTGATGTTTTGCGCAACAGGCATGCCTTGAACAAAATGGAGCGCTGGGTACGCCTTGAAAGGTAGACCCGGGTTTGAGGAGGGACACGAGACAATGAATTGCGAGGCCAAGGAGTACACGGCGTTGGCGCCCATCGGAGTACTGAAAGGATTGGCCATGGGAATCTCGCCAACCGCATTCCGTGAGGCAGCTTGGTGGAGAGCTTCTGTGGCCAAAATGGAGCCAGCAACTGTGAGATACTGCTTTGAAGTCACCATAGGTGCGGCTCCTAGATACGCGGATATTCCGACGCCGTCGAGAATAGCTGCCAACTGTACAAATTCCTTGGGTGAAGTGACAGGAAAGCTGTAGGAGCAAGCAGCCACAGGACTCACGCCGGCCGTCTTCAGAGCGTTCTCTAGGAACAAAACGTGGGTTTCCTCGTCATGCGTAATGTATTTCAATTGCGTGTAAAAATCTGAGCTGAAATTGGCCGCGGTAAAGTCGTCCAATGTAAAGTTCGACAATGCTTGTTTGAAGAACGCGTTTTCAAGATGTTCCAAAGTTAGAGCAAACTGTAGGATATCGACATCAATATCGTCTCTTTTTTCAAGTGGTACTGGAGCTGCCAGAACAGTAGACGAGACAAAAAGGGCGGCAAATGCAAGAAACTTCATTTTTTGATGAAAGAACTCTGATCGAGTGAAATATAGGTCAGTACAAGATATGTTCTTGCAAGTGATGCCTGAAAAAAAAACACCAAAGGAAGACAAGAGACCCACAGCCATCACAGAGGACAGAGTATTCTTACCATTTATACCAAAATTTTGATGTCGATTAGGAAGTCATCGTCCCGATCTAAAGCAATGTTTGTCAGCTTGACTCGTTTTCTAAATTGTCGTCCATGTGCTGAATCCTTTGTTGTTCTGTTAATGACAAGAGATCCTACCCCACAATCACCGCGGGCACCCAAGGAATCTTTCTCTGATCTTATTTGGTCAGGAACTTTTCTGAGACGACAGATCGAAATGGCCAAATGAACGTTTAACGTCCTAACCTTTAGAGAAGTGTCAACAAGTCCTGCATATAGTTGACGACGGAATGACGTCAAACCGTTCTTTGTTGGTACAATGATCCGCCTCCTTGGCTGCTAAAGGTGCCAAGGATTTACGATGGTTGCATAACTTACCGTTAACAGCAACTATTTGAACACTTTGGCTGCAGGGGCTATGCTGAAAAGCGGATTGATGTAACCAGCTGCATAAACGAAGGTTGCCGATGTAATGAAGGGGGGTGAAAAGGAAGGAGCAGACACATTTGTTGGAGATGTTTATATTTTTTGCTTCCTAGGGTAGTGAGGTTTTAGTTGTTCAACTGCCAAGCATTAACATCTTCAATTAATTTTTTCAAAAATTACAAAAATATGAGCGGTACGAGAATCGAACCCGTGTCCCAACCTTGGAAGGGTTGGATGATAACCACTACACTAACCGCCCAGTGCTGTTGGAAGAGGTAATTTTGACGGTTACATAGCTGGTTCTTTGTAGCACTGATCTGAACCTTGTTCAAGTACTCAAACCCAATTTGCCAAGAAAGCCCTCTTTTGCAAGTGAGACTTACTTATTGTTACTTATCGTCTCGAATACCTGACTGAGTCTCATCCTTCGTAAGCCATGTTTCCTCTCCGGCTAAATGATCTCTCTTTATATGTAGTTTTTGATTCAATATGAGGTCAAGTATGAAACCTGATGATTGTATTTTTTATTATGTCTCCGCGCCTCAACTAACGTTCGTTCCCCAATTACCTCTTGATGCCTCGTATCGTTTCAACTTGGGATTCCGCCCGTTTCAGCCCATCTTTTTATGAAGTTGAATTTTGTCATTTTGGAAGTTCAGGCCTATATTAGGGTATGCAAAGCTATTTGAGGTTTTAGCTATTCGCTCGATAACCCCGTAAAGGTTGTGCTGGTCGTCAAGAGCTCTCTGTGCTACGGAGAAGCTGGCAGTTCCGATCCCAAAATGTATTCGTTATCGAGTTTTGGTTAATTGTCGAAGAGCACACTTAAGACAACATCAACGGAAATGAGACTTATATGTCAAAAACATTAAAAATTAAGAGTTGTTCTACTTATTAGGCGATGACGAGACGCAAAACAACAAAACCTGAAGCTCGAGCGTTTTCGCTGATTCCAATCCACACAAAGCTTATGAGTCTTCTCTGGCTTTATCCCTGTGACTCTAGAAAAATGATGAACTCTACATACCGATGGCACTATTATATATACATACCTAATCATCTACAGTTATCTTTCTCCTGTATCCTAAGCAAAATGGATCCCGACCTGATGGAAAGCATACAAAAGCTTCAAAAAGTCTGTTTGGTCGCACTTCCCCGCTCTTTTGTCCGAAAGCCCCGTGCTGGTCAAAACAGCTTCGATCTTCTGCTTGACAACGTCTATCATGGACCCGGCCGAATCGTCCACCATTTCCGAGCCATCGTTCACAGTTGCTAGATATGCCTTGTAATTCTTTTCCAAAATCTCTAGTACGGTGTTGGATTTAAATCCAGCTGCAATCGTTCTATTTTTCCGCACAAACACTATGCGCAGCAGTCCGTCCCACTCGTTGAAATCGACTTGCGGTCTTGGCTTCTTGATTTCCACACGCACAACACTAGACTCCACCTGTGGTGGTGGTCTGAAATTGTTTTTTCCAACTTTCATGATGTGAGTGACATTGGCCCACATTTGGACGTTGGCAGAGAGTCGACAATAAAGGGAATCTCCGGGTCTTGCCAGCAACCGCATGGCAAACTCTCTTTGAAACATAAGAATGGACACCCTTGGTGGTTGTGGTTGGTTTATTAGCTTGAAAACCAACGGCGAAGAAATCTGGTAAGGTGTGTTACTTATGCAAATGTCAAAATAAGGCAATTCCGTTTTCATGAAATCACCAAGGAGAATGTCCAGCTTTTTCTCGCCCGCTGTACCATGCACACGTTTAGTCAATTCGGCACCCATTCGAGGATCCATTTCGACGGCAATGACTTTGCGAGCCTGCTCCAAAATACGCACCGTCAAGTTACCAGTACCGGGACCCACTTCCAAAACTGTGTCTGAAGGTTTAATCTGCGCTTTGTCGACAATTCCCTGGGCAACCAAGGGGTTCTTCAAAATGTGCTGCCCCAGATCCGTGTTGAACTTGAACACTGAGCTTAGATGTTTGTCCGCGGAAACTTGTGGACCATTGCCAGTAGCGGTTGTGAATTTTTTTTTGGCGGCTTTGCCCATGACGAGAGAAGGATTGAGCTATGGGATGAGACTGGGCGGCTGTTGCCTTAGGTTTTTTGATCAAAGAACCGTGCGATGAGTGGTTCGAAGAGATGAGATGAGATGCGATGAGATGAGATGAGATGAGATGAGATGAGATGAGATTAAAGACGCCATTTTCCAAAAATTTTCCAGTCAGATGACCAAGAGAGTGGATGATCTCTTGACACGAATACACCATCCTACAAATACGTACGGTGTGACTATTAATTAATGATTTCGTATCAAACGATTAAATTACGATACAGACCACGTGACTTCAAAGATCTAAGATGATTTGTGGGACGATGTCTTCTCTCCAGCTGTAGCTCGGATCGTTTTGATGCCCGGGGTCTTTCCCTGAGTCAGGGTCCTTCACGATGAATGGATCGCTTTGCAAATGAAAATTTACGATTTTCCCGATTGTGCGCTTCAACTGTAGCCCTGATTGGCTGAAAGACGTTTCCGAGCGCCAAAATGCTCAACTTTGAGTATTAAAGCATCCATTTATTGAGGGTATTCGACCATTCTTCGTGCTGATCGTGTTCCGAATCTGTTTTTCACGCTCTCGTATTTTAAAAAATATCTGTGAGAGACTTTGAGGAAAGCGATTTTGGAGGCGATTGAGAAGCTGACCTCGAGCCGCTGCTTTCAGTTGTGTAGATTTCCCACGTTCCAGCGTGATCATCCACATTCAAATCAGCCATCGGCCGTCTAGCAGGCGAGGCTTGAAAATGTAGTTCTTCCAACTTAGGGGTTTTCGCGTCGTTTTCCCTGTCTGCAACCAACGTCGGCGTGTTTTCCTGTGATTTGCGCAACGTTTTTTGCTTCAGCGTTGTCAATTCCTGGCTTTCTGTGGACTCTTCGAAGAACTGGAAACTGTCTGTTTTTGAGAGCTGATCACTACTGTTCCGCTTCGGACTCGTTCGAGTGGGACTGGAACGCCTGGATTGTGTTCTCGGCAGTAATTCTGCTTTTTTAGGAGAAAAGCTGCTGGAGCGATAGTTTATGTTTTTGCTAGAAAGGGCACGACGTATCTTAGTGGGGGATTTGCTGTTCATGTCTATTGGACAAAGAGGTAAGGTTATTTGAGTTCGACGAGAACGACTATTATTTAGATAGTGACTATGAAGAAAAATTAAGCCAGTTCCAATGCGATTACAACTATAACCGTTTACATTTATATCGAATCCTTTTACTGAACAGGATCTTAACTTTTCATCACGAAAATTGGTTGTTATAATCGACATCTCACCTTAGAGCGCGAAATTGACGAAAACGCCAATATAAACTCCAGGTTGGGAAAAGTAAGTGCAAAGAGGCCGGTTTGAGCCTTTAAGAACGCGTTGCGATGACATCGCGATTCACCGAATATATTCACCGAATATGATAGGTTTATACTATGTTAAATTATGTCCTACCCGTTAAGCTAGCTCATTCTTATAGTCGTAGTCATAGTCGACGTGAATGAAAAGAGTCGAGAAAATGTAACGCTCACCGCCTTCGCTGTAGAGGGGAACGTGGCGGTAACCCCTTCGTAGATAGCTCAGCTTGAGACAGCAGGTGGCTAGCTCGGTATCTGCGGTTTTGATCTTGAAAAGAAGAAAGTTGAAAAATGTGTCCTCCACTGTAATCTTGAATTTTGTTTCCCACACAGGATTGAAGCCGTTTTCGCCGCGGTTCGGAGTGCAGCCCGACGAGTCCGAAGACACTAGTCCATTCTCACTTTCCAGAGGTTCTATTGGCCTGCTGTTGCTGAACACATTGAGATTCACGCTAAAGCAGGGAAACGCTTGTTTTTGCTTTTGCTTGAAGTCCTTCGGTTTAGGAAGCATCTGAGCGGAAAGAATCTCTATTCGCAAACGAACACTACGTTTCTGAAGGCCCTTCCGCATCGCCTTGATATCGCCAGCTTTGGCAACGTTGTTCAGCAGATAGTCGGGCTTCAAGACATAACCAGAGTGCCATAAAGGCGCGTCTTCAAGCGGTAACTGAAACATGGCCTTATTGATCTGTTGACCCACGTCAAAGGTCTGCCAATTCGTAGCCACCATCTGAACACCGAGCTCCCAGAATTTGATAGGGTTAAAGTTGGAGGACTTATACCGCAGTGCGTGTGGATACACTCTCATGAGAAAGCGTCGATTATGTTTTTCGATCGCCAGTTTTTGTAGTTCATCTTTCGTGAGGTTTTCGAGCTTTTTCTCGCTTAGAGAAAAACAGTGGTTTTCTGTTTTAGACTCCGGCAACGAAAAGTTTCTGAATTTGAGCCCATGGATTAGTGACATCGCTACTAGGCTTTCGATGACATGCATCTTGGTCGAAATGCTGAGCCGTCGCCCCGACCTCCTCCGTACTTCATTTTCGGAGTCATAAGATGAGCTTGTGGATGATGTTGACGATGTGGATGAGTCTTCGTCCTGCAAAGACTTTGGTACATCATTCTTGGATTTCTTCACTTTGATCAAAAATTTGTGCTTAAGATCGGCGGGAGAGGGTAGTGAACCTTTGAGTGTACGATTGAATATATTGGTGCCCAATTCCTGTCGAAGGATTTTGTCCATGATAATTTGATTTGCGAGCTTGCAATGCACTTCCAAGGAAAGAACTAGAGGGTACGGAGATGTGATAAAGGCGTACTTTCGCACGACCTTCAAAACATTAGCAAGGGGCAGTGAACCGGTCAATCTGCCATGGCAAACTACAGGGCCTTCCTCGGAGTCCCATATGTCAATTTCTATGCATCGACAACCTTGCTGCAATGCAAGTACGTAGGTCTCCACTGTTGGATTTTCTCCCAGCTGTTTGCCCTGTAGGTACGTGTTATGCGAAGAAGAAATGAAATATTTGTTGATCGGATGCGAATAATCAGCTTTGCTATCGTTCAAATGTGGCTGGGATGTCAAAAACTTCCGGAAGCCTTCTAGCCTCATCGTAACACTGCCTTGACTAAACTTCTCAAATTCACTTGTAAGTTTGGTGTGAGACCATTCTTCATGCTGTTGCTCAAGCACAAAACGCGAAAAATCGTCCACATTCAACTGATCAGTGCCTCTGGTGATATCGTGCCAAATTCTGTACACTTCTGGCCGGCTTTTTAGTTCCTGGACAAAAGTCTGAAACTCTTGAAAGCTCAGAAGGCCATTTTGATTCACATCCGCAAGGTCAAAAAGCCGTCGTAAGTAGCGGCTGGAACAAAATATGTTGAACTTGGCACAAAGCTCTTCCACGTCTTGAAATGAAAGTACATCTATGTCATCAGCAGCTTTTTCAGCAGAGACATTCGCACGCCAATGGACATTTGCAAACATTTCATCGTCCGGGTCCGAGATACTTCTCATAAGGTTACGTCTCGAGTCGACCATGCTGACGATGCCAAGGTAAAAACATTCATGGTCTGCCTGGTTATGGGCTACCAGATGTAAGGCGCGAAATTTGGTGCCCAGCTGATATATGATTGTGACCCAATTTTGGGCCGCTGCATTGGTAGCTTTGTAATCCTCGATGTAGTTTTTGGCCATATCCCCGGTTCTTACATCCTTGATGGTATCAATGCCGATGCTCTTAGTATCACGCCATTTGAGTGTTCCGCTTTCGACATGAAAAAGCTGGTCGACTTGTTTTTTACGACTCACTTTAGTTAATACAATCCCGTTCTCGAGCCTGGTGTAAAGTTTTCGGAGATGATCATCGCTCAATTGCATTCCACCGTCCTTTGTAAAAAATGCATCGTTGTAAGTCACAGGCCCCATTATTGGTGCCTTTTTCAGTGTTTTTGGTCGTGACACATAGTTGGCGGTCCGGCGGATTATGTGTTTGATTAATTGTTTGGATGGTTCTTCGGCGGTGTGCTCTTCAAATTTGTCATCAAAACGTGGCGACGATCTGTCCAAAACTACAAGACCATCTTTATGACTTCTTTTAAGCCAAAATTGGGGTCTTGAGGGTGTTCCTTTCGTCGGTGATTCACTCAAACTGGTGCTTCTCATCTTATCCCTAGATGCTCACGTTCTAGCCCGCGTTTTCGAATATACCAAATGCAAGCCAGCACATTCAGGTTATCCACGCGACTATTAAGATAAGCTTTGACAGAAGTACTATTCGGTAGGTCTGATCTTTGGTCTTTGGCTTTTGGCACTTGATGTTAAACTTAAAATTGAGAATCGTCTAAAGTTGACCTAATTTTTGTCAACTTAGCTGCAGCTTAGGTAAGCACGAAGATGAAAGCTGACACTTTCTGAATACTTCGGACTCGAGAGAAAACAGATTTGAACTCTTAAGCACCACTTTCATCGGATCTGATAGATGGACTGTTATCGAGTTTGCGATATTGGATTGATGACAACGGTAGACGGGAATTCGCGACTTTAAACTCGAAAAATGGACGATTTTCTGTTGCAGTAGCTCAGTTGTAGATACTTCATCCATTGGGTCAGATTCTGCACTCTTGATTGGACTCAAAATGCTGCTACCTTTTTTCAAATTACTAGCGTTGGGCTGTGAAAGGTTTGGGATACTTTCAAAATTCAGGCGAGCGGGTTGTGACTTCAATGAAGGTTGGTATAGTGGTTTAGTCTTCACTGCAGACTTGGGTGTAGTATCAACCATGACAGGTTTAATATTCATGCGCTTGAAGAGAAGGGCGCCAACGCTGGAGGAGCGTGCTTGTGTTGGCCGTTTTTCGGTAGATTCCTCCTGCCGCAGAGACAACTTCTGGATACCGGATGCCAGATCTTCTTCCGCATTTGCTTGTGAGCACAATTCTTCAATTTGTGTTCCAACGTCAAGCCACCGGTTGGCTAGCTCGTTGGATTGATCTGCCACATCGACGCTCAACACAGAGCTATGGAGAGCTTGATATACAATATTGAAGTTGTTCTCAATTTCCCGCTGTAATGAAAGGAGTTTTGCACGTTCCAAAGTCCCTATTTTTGAAAGCGTCACCAATTCGGTGACCATAGCACTAGCGGCCGAAATATCCTGCTCAATAATTTTGTTCAAACTTTTGAAGAGCTCCTTCCAGCGAGAATTGACAAGCTCTTCCTGAAGCAGATGGAAAACAATCAACAGTGACTCGTGTTTCTGACAGACTTCGTTGTATTTCGCCCTCAAAATGTTAACCAAGGATTCCGCGTAATTGATTTTGCGACTGCCAAACTGCTCTATCCTGTGGTGCAATGTGTGACGCAGGTTCTCTTCAAGTGGTTCCATAGTGTCTCTGATAGTGACGAACTTTTCGAAAAGATCAGATTCCTCGAGAAGGGTAGGCACTCGAGCAAATCCCGTTTCAGCACACTCTGAAAGCACACTACTGACCCTCTTTTCACTGCCGAATGAAGTCCGCGAAATTTCTGAGCTTTTCAGGCCCTCTTTAATCTCGAAGCACTTCTCAGCATTTCCATCTATCAAAGCATCGAGTGCCAGGATATTGTCGTTTAAAATCGCGTTGAATTCTAATCCGCTTTCCAAAGTGTATCTCGAAGATCGAAGCAGGATCTTTAATCGATCAAGTTTCATCCAACAGTCCTCGAAACTGTCTATCAATGTATTCAAATCCTCGCTATTGGCTTCTTCTGTAATGCTAGATTCCACGTCGTCCAGCAACTCCACCAAGCGAGACTCGATAACCGCGATTGTTTGAAACACCATGTAGAAGTCGTTTTTGACCCTGGCCATATCAGCAAATTTCTCAAGCACTTCTCCGTAAGAACATTGGAGATCAAATCCAGACTCCAAAATCACCTGTAAATGTTGCCATTGTCTTGACAGTTCGTTGAGATCAGCAACTAGCAGGTCTCGGTGATGAGCATCGTTCTTGAGTCTTGAAGATATAGACGAAAGAGCTTCCAAAATTTCTGTGAAAACGCCTGATTGGGTTTCAAGCGAGACATTCAGCTCCATCGATACAACATGAGCTGAGGACTCATATGATTTTCGGCTCATTGTTCGGACTTCGATGCTTGCAATACACTGTGTTGATAGTTCATAATGTCGACTACCATCGTCTACGGTTACTTATAGAAGAGTCGACCGTTGGTGATCCTATCCTTTGAAAGAAGCTCAATTTCAATACTGGGCCCCATTCCAGAAGCCTCAGTCTCGACTCGACTCTAGGTCTCTCTGTTTAGGTTAGATCAGGCCAACTTCATCTCCTAATGGTATGAATATTCTATTAACATTAACAGTATCACCAACGCGCTCTCTATTATGTACATGTATGCTTGCGTCCGTATTTCTATCAATTAAATTCTGTCGAGGGGTGTTCGTGAGGGTTTGCAGGTAGTGCATGCAAATGACAGCTCATTCAAGGGGTCAGCTTGGAAGATTTTTGATCGAGAGTGAAGTCGTTGGCAACGCGTTCGCGCACTTCGTCATCTACTTTACTATGTTCCTCGACGTCTTCAGCCTCACCAGGTGCACGTTGATCTTGCGCGGAGGTTGGATTACCGCTCTTGTTTTTCTTATCATTCAGCAATTGGAAGAGCTCGCTCTTCTCGTTTGCATATAAATCGCGGAATTTGCCCATTTCTACAACCGAACCGTCGTGGCCGAGAACAATGACATTCTCTGATCGTCTGATGGTGCTGAGCCGATGTGCGATGCTAATAATGGTCAGCTCTCGTTTTTTCATTAATCGTCCTAGCGTATAGTTGATGGCACCTTCACTCTCCACGTCAAGCGCAGACGTTGCTTCGTCCAAAATCAAGATCTTGGGCTTCTTGATCAAAGCGCGAGCAATGGAAATACGCTGCTTCTGCCCCCCACTCAGGGAAGCACCCCTTGGACCGATTACCGTATCGTAGCCCTCAGGAAACTTCGTTATGAAGTTATGACAGAAGCATTTTTTGGCTGCTGCACGGATTTCTTCCATCGAAACCTCACCATTCAAGCCATATGTGAGGTTATATTTTATGCTCCCCGACATCAGCATCGGCTCTTGCTGGACCACGCCCAGGTGGCGTCTGAGAGACTTACAACTCACCTTGGAGATATCCTGACCATCGATGGTAATATATCCACTAGTAGGATCGTAATAGCGCAGCAACAAGGACGCAATAGTCGATTTACCTCGACCCGAAGGCCCCACTATGCACACGTTTGAACCGGGTTCGATAGTAAAGTTGAGCTTGTTGAAAATCTGATTGTTTGCCCTCGTAGGGTACGCAAAAGAGACGTCGTTGAATGTAATTTGACCTGAACGAGGGACAAAAGCTTTGCCAGAAGTCGGCTTTATCTTTGATGCATGATCTGTCATTTCAAATAGTCTGGAAGCCGCGCCTGCTCCCTTCATGAGTTCGGAGTAAAAGTTCGAAAGGCCAAAGACTGCAGACCCTGTGTATTCGGTGTAAAGCATGAAAGCGGTTAGTTCACCAACAGAAAGAGCACCTTGCAAGACAAGCTGCGATCCATAACCTAAAACGATAAGGAAACTCAAGTCGCCCAATACACCAGTAGAGCTGAAGAAAGTGGCATTCGTCAAAGCTTCTTTCTTTCCAAACGAAAAGACTTTCCTGATTGCACTGTTATAACGTCCCAGCTCCTTGCCTTCGGCGACGAAAGATTGAATTGTTTTAACTCCATTGAGTTGTTCTTCTGAAACTTTGGTTAAGTCACCTGTGGACTGCTGGAGTTCCCTCGAAATCGCTCTTATCTTTTTCCCGTATATGGTAGCGCCCACTAGTAGTGGAGGAGCAAATAGTAGTAATGCTGAAGTCAAGGAAGTCGAAATGCTCACCATCATACCAATACCAACACCACCACAAATAATGGCCTTAAACCCATCGGAAACGTTCTGCGTCATGGACCGGGAAACGACATAAGCATCTGAACTCAACCGTGAGATGAGGTCACCTACTTTGTTGCGGTCAAAAAACTCTGCGTCCTGATGCAAAATCTTTTTGATAACATTAGACCGCAGTCTAGCGACCAGCTTTTCACCTAAAACCCTGAGCAGCACAATTCTACCAAAATTGGCAACAGTTCCCAAAACCAAAGCACCAGCAAAGACTCCAAGAAATTCGTACATTCCTAAGTTTCCAACTATCGGAGGCAGGTCATCCAGGCTGGTTGGTCCAGAATTTGCAGCATATGCATTTTTTATAGAATCTAGGACCATACCAATAACCTTGGGTATGGCCATCCCAACAGACGAACTGATGGTTAAAAGTCCGATAGCCAAACACAGCAATTTCCAGTCATGCCGGGCCAGTTTAAACAGTCTCCATACCTCTTGAAAGTCCATTTTGGAGCTCTCCTTCTCGACTTTCTTTTCCGTGTACTTTGAAGCATCCTCAGCCGCTTTCTGAGCCTCAAAGCGGGTGACTGATACAGAAAATTGGCGTATACCATAATTGAAGTTACCACGCGTACTTTGAAGGCTGAATTCACTCGGCTCGCGTTTCAGAATGAGGGATCTTCGAATTGGTGTTGCGCTCCTGTGCATAAAACGAAGTAAGAGAGTGGAGCCTCTCACACCATCTGCAACACCGCTGGAACGCAGCATTTGCAGCGATCGTACCAACATCTCTTATATAAAGAAAATGGCAGTACAATGGAGCGACAAGAGCTGATTGCTTTGAGTAAAAGAGATGAAATAAACCTTTGACGTTCTACTCTAATAGACTCGATGGAATATATTGACGTTCTAAGGTTGACGGTGAGGAATTAAATATGAGTCACGTGAAAACTTCTAGAATGAGATGTTGGCGAGACTTTTTGGCCGTATACTTTGCCAGAGATTGTGAAGAAAAGATGCTACGTCCACCAGAAATTTGTACCATCCTTCTGACAGATCTTTCTTCTCAATCGGGCAGCTGTGGGATCTGTTGACGCTCTTTCAAGAAACTGTCACCAGAGTTTCTGAATAAGTGGGAAAATAAAAAAAAAGAGAGAATGGAATCCAATTAGAGTCTCGTTTAGGCATATTTGATGCTTCCAGCAGTCACCAATGCACCACTCTCACATTTTCTAAAACTTCAACTTGGACTCAAATGAGCATCTAATCAAATGTCACTTAGTACGAGACCTCGAAGTAACTCCCGTTCCTCACGTTCCTCACTTTCCTAATTGTAGTATCCGTTTTTCTGATGATGCTCCTCCTCATTGCACCTTGAGATTCTTCTCCTCCGCGTCTCTTGAAATTTCTATTTTATTACTGTTTTGCCCTGTTCAGGGCCACACACGTAATCCTATGAATATACATAACATAAGTTGGAAACGCACCCCTTTCGGTACTTCCCCTCATCGATCGCAGGCTTATTTCTTCAAAGCGACAGCTTCGGTGGCGGACTCTCCGCTCTCGTATTTCACAAACTTGGCTTCGGTCTTGCCTCTGGCCAACACTCTGGTGTTTTGAGCTTCGGTCTTCAAAGCAGAACGCACCGTTTGAGCGGCGATAGCCATATAGTTGTTGTATGTCAAACCAGCTTTTCTCCACGCGGACATTATGATGTTGATACACTCGGATCGAAAGGGGTCTTACTGAGGGAGTTGATGCAGTAGTTAAGTTGAATTCCAGTAGTTGGTGTAGCTATTAAGTTGTAGATGATATCCTATTGGCGGAAAATTATTAGAAAAATCTAGTCACGTGAAAACGGATCCGGGTAAAAGATTAAAAAAATGTATCACGTGATAAAAATATATTCAATATTATAACTAGGCACGAAAGCTCATCGCGTTTTCAAATAACTACCATCTTTTCAACCTCGAAAGCTGTTCAACCAGAGCGACGCCAACTTGCACTTTAAGTCAACAAGGAACTCGCCAAGGCTTCTCCTTCTTTAGCCCACCGTGTTCTTTGTCTAGGAATTTCTGGGTATACCCGAAAAAATGAGTGAATCTGACTCTGTGTCGACCAAGGTCGATAGAGATCTGTTCTACAAGCTAGCGTCTGACCTGTCTGAAGAAAGACTGCAAGCAACAGTTAACCTAGTCACTGAGCTATCGAAACTACCAGGTCAATCTCCTGAATGGAACTATGTGCTGTCCAGACTCATCAATGGGCTTTCTTCCAGCAGAAACGGTGCCAGGCTTGGATATGGATTGTGTCTCACCGAAGCGGTATTTTTGGCACTACAAAATGAGGTGTTGCCTGATATTAGCCACTACATGCAGCTGCTTTTCACTTCGTTATCCAAAGAGGCCGTAAAAAACGGCAAAGAAGAACGGGGCCTAATTTTTGGCAAGCTTTTTGGTCTCCAGGTTCTGCTTAACGAGCCATTGTTTTCCCACGTCTTCAAGACCAATGATGCTAAATCAGGATCTCAAGTTTTGAACCTCGATTTTACTCTGGAGTACGCCAGTGCACTGATTGATGTTGCTACCACTAAAACGTGGATTCGCGAGTCTGCTCTGTACACCTTATACCAAGCCATCGAGAAGCTGGCTCCATTTTTCAATTCCAGCGCAACATTGGATGCGATACTAGGGTTGCTAGAAGAGAGTCATTTAACGCTCACCAGCGAAGGTCTCGCCATATACATTTTTCTCTTGCATACCTGCCCTACGACCAAAAAATTATGTTCGCGCGAGGGGACTCAACTGCAAAATGCTTGGAAATCTGGTGACCCTCTGAAGAAGGGCAATCTTCCGCTGATCGCAAATGCGCTCAAAGAAGCCAATGTTTCTGAGGAATCCACCCTCAAACAAAAAGCAGTCTGGGCTCCCCGCTTGCACTTTGTCTGGGATGTTCTGCTACCTGCCATTTTACGCACGGGCGGCGAAAATCGTAACGTGTCCGATAAACCTGTTTCTAAAAAGAGGAAGAAGGAATCTCATGATAAGAAGCAATTGATCGAATTGCCAGAGTTCTGGAAATCGGTTATTGACGACTCATTTTTCAGCGAAAAGGCTTCAAGTGAAAGGAAATATTTGGGAATTTTAGTATTCGAGAAGGCTCTTCGATTGGTTCCGGCTTCGGAACTTCCAGACATATTTTCCACGAACCTCATGAGGTGTCTAATAAATCAGTGTGGTAGTCCTGAGAGAAATTTGCATAAAATATCCCAGAAATCTTTGAACACAATTGTTCGTGTTTGTCAAGAGAATCCAGAGAAGACGGCAACTGTATTGGAGGCTATCGCTTTTGGCGAGACAGGATCTATACATTTCGACAAACTGACGAAGTCCAAAACCATCACCAATCTGCTGGCAAATAAAATTTTCCACAGCGAGCATCTTCTTAAAGTGACAGAAGTCTTGGGTCATCATCTTTTCAAGAATGACAACGAGATCTCCACGACTAGATTCGCTGTAGATGCCGTGCTCCATCTCATAAGAGCGCACAAACTACAGGCTGATGTTTTATGGATTGAACCTTGTATTGACCTGCTCATAAATCTAGGTTTCTTCCAACATCAGGATCCTGTGGAAACCGATGAAAACGATCTCCCCACGCAATCGATTAGCACGGTCGCCGTTGAGAGGCTATACTCTGTCCTCGCTGACCTCCTTTCGGCAGAAAAGAATCCTTCCAAGACTTGTTGGCCATATTTGGCGTTAAAAAAAGTCCTCTCAAAAAAAAGAGATCATCAACTCATTAACGAGATCGATGCCGAGCTCATCAGCATCTTTTCCGCTGCTGAGGCAGAACTCGAAAAAGTCAAAAGTAAGCTTTCTCAAGACCAATCTAACCTGCAGCTGTGGGCTTTGCAGTTACTCTTTTCTGTCAATCTATTAGAGGCGTACTCTGGCGAAGCAGATTCTGTTTCTGTGTTGGAAGATCTCATATCGTTTTCCGAGTTGTATGAAGAAAAAGAAGATAGTTCTTACGCCGGCTTTATTGAGATTCTGCTATCTTTGGCATCTCAAAGAAAGGCTTTACTGAGAAAGTCTAGCTTGATGATTTGGGAGTCATTCGTTGGACAAGTCTCGTCGGATGACCTTTCGGTTTTGCTTGATGTACTACCAGCGAGGGAAAATAAAGAAGGCTATATCAACCTCTTTGAGGGCGCTAATGAAGGCGAAGGATCTGAGGGAGAAATTGACGAAGGTGAGCTAGAAGCGGAAGAAGAGGAAGATGACGAAGAAGAAGAAGATGATGATGACGAAGATGTTGAGGACGCCTCGCAAGACGACGAAAGCAGCTATGCGGAAGATGAGCTACACGATGGCGGTGCAGGTAGCATAGAAAAGGAAGCTACCAGTGCTCTGGCAAAAGCCCTGAATCTACCAGACTCTCTAGTGGATGACAAAGGGGAAGTACACTTCGACGATTTGAGCGGTACAGATGACAATGATGACGAGGAAAGTGAAGAGGATCTCGATGATGAAAAGATGATGCAACTGGATGGCCAGCTCTCGGAAATTTTCAAGCGTCGAAAGGAAGCTTTGTCTCTCATCCCAACAGGAAACAAGAGAAAGAAAGAGGTTCAAGAGTCAAGAGAAAATGTTATCGCTTTTAAGCACAAAGTGGTGGATATGCTTGAAGTGATGGCACGTTGGGCCGAGGCCGAATCAAAGAAGGAAGATTTTTCTGACGCCCTGGAAAAAATATTGGATACTGTTGTTCCTTTGATAGAGTGTGTTAGAACAACTCTGGACAGACCATTGGCAGAAAAAGTCTCGAAGCTCGCCAAAAACAAGGTCACCAAGTTGAAAGTTAGCGGCGTCAAAGCTGCTGGAAGGTATGACCGGGATACCATAGCGGGACTACTTGAGAGTGTTCACCAGTCCATGCTCTCGAAAAAATCAGGGCAATTCCCAAACCTTTTCTTCTCAATGTGTTCTTCAACTTCGATCTTCTTGGCAAAGTTAATGATCGAGTTGGACTCTTCGATAGAGACTTATCTCATTTTGACAGAAATCTACCATAAATCGCTGAACGAGTGGCTGAAGCGGGGGAAATTTGGTGTCAGCATGTTTACAGATTTCCTCAATTGGCTCTCACTGAAGAAGCAGCAGACGGCAAACTAGTTTGGAGGATGTGTTGGATAAACGCTTGTTGTACTGGAGCACCTGATAAACATTTAATGCCATAAAACTTTGGTGACCAATTATAGAAGCGTTCGTATATCTAAAAGCTCATCATTCTCGAAAGTTAGACCATTCGTTCTTCGAAGTTTGAGTCGCGGTGGCTGCGGAGTGATTTGCGTGGGGACGAAAGCCGCTGAACGCTCAACACCATCTGTTAAACGAAGTCGTAAACGATACAATTGACACAAACAGCAGCTATCACAACGAGGCTTAACGACACAGCCGAGCATTAGAGCACAGGCTATAAAAGAGCTGGCGTCGTCCTCATCGTCTGTCAATGTCTGGAGCTCACCATGCAAGAATGAAGGGCTTCGCCGGTATCAACAAGAAAAACGTGATTTTCGACACGACAAATGGTCTACAAAATGGTGTCGTCTTTGCAGCAACGTACGAGGATGCTTCGCTCTCAGCTGCAAGTGAGCAAGGTGTCAAGAACAGCTCAAAATCTGGTCAGGGTTTGACACAGAACAAAATACAGATTGCATTGGCCAAAGTCATCGATAATTACGCTGAGCTCCGTACAACTGTGAATTCAGATATGCAATTCGAGCTGCTCGATTGCGTGCCTTATGATGATGTTGTGCTCAACGTACAGCTCGAATGCTTCAATGACAAGCACTTGGATTGCCATGGAGGTATTCCACCCTACATTTTACGCCAAATTCTCAGCAACAACACGTGGAGTACCGGCAAACCGCTGTGGAAACTTCTTCTAGTGCGTGATAAGATGCTCATCTTCCATGGACATGACGCACTTTTTGATTCTTACACAGCTGCAAACTTTCACAAACTATTCCTCAACGCACTCAATTCATCGGAAGAATCGCCCTCCAAGGTTTCGAAGTTCATTTCCCAGTACGGTGCTAAGCTCACGCATTTGCAAAAATCGTGTTTTAACAGACAGCCTGCTCCAGTTTGTTCGCCAGAGCTCTGTTCGTGTTATGATGGCACTTCGAGCGCAGCAGAAGGATGTAACAGCTTTTTCAGGGCGAAACCATCCTTCTCGCTTGAACACGAACAATACGATCGTGTTATGATGCCATCAGCAGCATTGTACAACAACGCCCGACCTGTTCCGCTTTGTGGGAAAGTTGTCTTTGGAATTGTTGACACAACGAGGCTGTCTGTGCTTCAAAGCTATGTCAAAGACAGCGCTACAACACTTCAGATGTTTCTCGCTGCTGCTACGATTTTCAGCCTTGAGAATGCAAACTTTAAGCACTTGGCAAATTTGAGCTTTGCCATTCCAATGTGCCCAAGAAATTCAAAAGTGAAAGCATCCGAGGGAGGATTCAGTCCCAACAACGTTTTTTTGAACTTTCCTTTTAGTGACAACAACGATGAAAGTCTGAAGATATCAGATCATAAGCTAGAAGACCTTGACGGCGCAACCTTGAAAGACCAGGCTTTTGCAAATGAACAATCAGATAAAGGTCTTCGATTTGAGGCGCTACTATCCGCTGTATCGAAGAAAATGAAAGACGCTAAGAGAGTTTTGGACAATACAAGAAATGAAGATTTAAACCATAGAAAATCAACCAAAACCCCTGTTGTTGAGATTATCGATCTAACTAGTCACACTTTTCCAAAATCAGAGAAAGATCAATATTTTATCCAGGATGCTTACGCTGCAAGAAGCAGAAAGACTGATGTGTTTATGTCAATACATTTTTGTTTGGCATCCTCTGGTCTGACAGTCAGCATCCATTACCCAGAAGAATCCTCCATGGACGTCTTTGTAGAGCACTTTGAGTCGTTGATGGAGCTATACCCAGAGATCGTATAAGGTATAAGATCTATATATATCCTAGAGCCTTTACTCAAGACTATGAATGTCGTAATCTTTCGGAACATATGGATCTGTAAGATTGCTGGATGGTTTCCAGATCTGTATAGTATTCTCTTCCTCAACGCTAGCCATGAGCCAAGGAATTTTGGCGTTGCACGAAGAGTCATTAATAGCACTTCTGTGACCCGCATGCATCATCAGTAGTTCGGGAACACCATCAGCAGCATCTTCTTGAGGCTGCTCAGCACCGATTTGAAACAAATCCCACATGAGTACTCTGCGATCAGAGCCCGCTGAGCATAAAATACCGTCCTTATGAGAAGCAAAATCCAAGCTGGTCACTGCATCTTGATGGCCAGAAATGCTGTGGAGTGGTGTTGACGGCTTTCGCAGATCATAGAGATAGACCAAAGAGTCCGTTCCGGCAGCTGCAAAAAGATTAACGGAATGCTTGCTAAAGGCCAAAGTGTTAAATGCTTCGCTTTGCTTCAAGGTTGCAATAGGCGTATCCGAACGTTTATCGTGAAGCAGGAGTGTTTTGTCCTCAGATACAGATCCGAACAAATCTGGATTTGTTTCATGCCATTTCACTTCATTCACAATATCAGAGTGGTTTTCGTCGACTTTCGTAGGCGTGCGTTTTGCAGAACGTACGTCCCAAAGGGCCACTGTTCCGTCATCTGAGCATGAGAGTAAATCGCCTGGCGATGCAACACTGAAACTGAGACCATACCCGTTCTCCTTATGGAAAACAAACTCACCTCTCAATGCACTATCTTTATCCTGCGATCTATCGTACAGAAAAACGGTCCCTGCACCGTTGATGGTAGCTATCAGATTACTGTCAAAAGGCGCATATCGAGCTCTAGTGATCTCTTCTTTATGCTCGAATTTCTGAGTAATTTTGATCTTTGATTGTACTGAGTGTGAAGCATTTTGGCCGTTACTTTCGCCATCACCATCGCCTTGAGCGTTATCTTCTAATTTCCTGTCGTTCGAAGACCCATCTCGGAGGATTTCCTCCGGCAAATCTACGCTTGCTATTTTCAAGTAGTTCTGTTCTTCTCCCGACGTATGGGTTCCCACAATCAGCTTTTGATGCAAAACATTGGCCTCTTCGTCAGGTAGCCATTGTATCGTAAGTGATGGCCATAAAAGTTTGGTCTCACTGACAAAATCATACATCAGAGAAACATTGGATTTCCACAGATCATATTCCTGATCAACCGACAGCTCTTGATCGGGTTCAACAGTAGTCATTGGGCTCAATTGGGTCAAATTGGTTTGTTTAGTTGACAATTAGTTTCTAGCTTGGTCAATTAAGAGAGTATTTAAATCAAAGTTGGTATAATTTTATAGCTGTCATTATATAAAGAAAGTGATGAGCTTGGTTTTGGGAGAGTTTTGATCTAGACACAGCGATCAAATGGAAACCATCGGTCAAAACCGAAACAGTTTTTTCCGATGAGTATTTTGATGCCAATTACTTGATACATTCTCGGGAATTTCATCTTGCTCGCCTAACTTGACATTTTTGCATCGAAAGAAGTCAAATTTGTCGTTCGAAACCTAATCTCTGTCCGAACACTGGTGTATCAAAAGTTTATCACAGATGTATATCAACTCTTCATGTAACTTGAGTCTCTTTCATCAAGTTTTGCAAGATGTGAAAGAAAAAAATCATCATCTTCTTCTCGAAGTCTGCGCTGCCGGATCTCTTTCTACCACATTTTCTACACCACCCAGAGATTCCAGCTTGTCTTCTTCAATTCTAACCTGCTCGCGTCTTTCCCACCAGCGATCCTGGCACAACTCGAAGGAATGCCTCTTTAAATGTTTGCCCTTGGCATCCCGCTTATTCGAAATAGCCCACTGCAGAAATTCAGCACCAGTGCGAATGTAGAATTCACGCCGTGATTCGAAAGCCTTTGGATGTGGGAGCCAGGGTCTTAGATCGGGTATTTCTGGTTCTTCTTCTTCCTCCTCCTCCTCTTCTTCCTCGTCATCTTCCTCGGCGACCAGCTTTCTATCACCCACGTCTTCCTCACCATCATCATCATCATCGTCATCTCCATCCTCATTTTCGTCTTCGTCGTCTTCTCCGTCCTCGTCTTCTCCGTCCTCGTCTTCCATCGTCGCTTTCTCAACCGCATTCAGATCTTCCCAGAATAATCTTACCCCATCAAGTTTATTAAGATCAATGCTGTAGAACGAGTCAATTCCGTAGTCCTTTTCACCATACTCCCAAATACCTCCAAATATAAATAACAGATCATCCACCACTGCCGTGGTAGCATTGAATCGTGGGTGGGGTAGCTGGGTCAAAATAGTGTACTCCTTAGACTTGTTTTCAGCTTCTTCCTGCTCGTCAATTCTTCGCAATTCTTTTTCGATCTCATCATCGTAAGGATCTGCGCCGTCGTCGTTATCGGCAAGGTTTGCCTTTTTCAGAATGTCATTTAGGATATTTTCAAGCTCTTCGTCTTTGTTTCTGCTGCTTTTCGGAGCTGCAGCTACCCTCTTCTTCTGAGGTCTCATCTTCAAGGCATACCACCTGTTGGACTCAACCTGATACGAAAAGAGATCATTGAAAAACTCCGAGTTTAAGCCTTCTTCGGTTTCTTCATAATCGTAAACTCCTCCAAACAATATACCCCTGCCCTTGTGGTGCACCATAGAGCAACCAACACGAGGCGATGGCTGAAATCCTTGTTTTTTACGCCGTTCCCATCTGATGGCGCTGATATCTGACTTCATGACAAGATACCAACAATCCGTGAGAATTTTGCCTTTTTGCAAACCTCTTCCAGCTTTGACTTTACAGTAGCCTCCCCACAAAACGGCACCGTCTTGAGTTGGAATGATGGAGTGACCAGAGCGGGCCTCCGGAATCGAATGGCTTGGAGGGAACTCTATCTGCTTCCATTTGTAGGTGGTAATATCGAATAGCCAACAATCCTTCAAATAAGTGGTTGAAGTACCCAGGTCGCGGAACCCACCATGCAAAATGAAATAATTTTTCCATACCGTCATGCGGTGTCCAGAACGGGCACTAGGTCCGTTTTTTTGCTCGATCTTAGTCCACTCTTTGGTATCGCAATCCAAAAGCCAAGTGTCTGAATAATGGTAGAACGTATTTTGTTTTGGAGACGAAAATTCACCGCCATGAAAAAGGGCCACACCACTGGGATGTGCCGCAGCAGCGGCAGAAGATCTAGGCATTGGGGAGTTTTTGGATCCGAATTTACGCCATTGGGCACTGTCAAGTGAGTAAGTGAAAAGTTCGTTGTAGAAACTAGTGGTCGAGGTCGAAGAATTTGTGTGTTCACCACCAAAAAGAATCAGTTCTCGTTTTCCATGCATTGGGTTCGAGATCATGCATGAGTTAACACGTTGACTTGGTCTTTCTATGTTTGACACAACGATTTCCTCGAAATCGTCTTGTTCTTTGCGATAAGCTGCTAGTACCTCATCAATGTCCAAATCGTCATCATCCTCAGAGTTTAGCTTCTTGCTTCGCTTCTTGTCTTTGTTTTCAGCTTTTTCAAGGTTTTTCTTGTTTTTCTGTTCGGATCTGGCCTTTTTGGCCTCCTTGTCTTTCTTGCTCTTTTTGGCCATCGGAAAGATGCTATTCAACGTCTTTAGGGAATATTGAAATCGCCGGGAGTCGTTGAAGAAGTAAGCGATGAGCTGTTGAGTTGGTTAAATCCATTCATTTTAGCTAATTAACGATGGTTCAAGATAAGAAGAGTTCGTGAGCCACGACACACTTCTTTACAAGCGTTGTTTAACGACTCCCAGCAACAAATTCGCCATTGATTCAGACTTGATTTGGATGCTATTTCAAATGCTAGAACATGGATTCTCTTTCAATCTTTTCTGTAAGTAAACCTGCGGTTTTGGTACAGGCTTTTTTCGATTGATTGGGATAATTCTCTTTCTGATGATGAATGAGTCCGAGAGGTTTAGAATCGGGACCAAAAGGACTCAAAAAAGAGGAGCTCAGAATGTATCATAATTGAACACGTAGGCAAACTTTGTTTATGGCTGAAATTACGCGGATTCTCGCGAATCCCAAGTAAGTAAAAAGGTAGAAAAAGAGTTTATAGGAGCACACTGGGAGAACGATCACAAGCGATATACCTCAAGGAGTATACCTCAAGAGCTTCCCACTCAAGTGAAACATACAGTCTTCTCGATACAAGATCTTCCAATGAAGTCGCACGTAACATAAGGTTCGAGTCAGGAATCTCATAATACTGTTTAATCTGTCGCTGTCGCTGTCACTGCTCACGTAATCTCAAGTTTTAGAGTGTTGAATGCCCTAGCTATATCATCGAACAACAACGGTGATGTGGGCTGTCATTACACTTCAGGATCCTCATGCTCATACCGGTCACTTTCCCTCTCACTAAGTTGTGGTTCTTTTGAGTGTATTCTGTTTTTTGGTGTTGAATAAAACCTAGTTGGAACAGCGGTTTTTTATATGGTCTACATTCGAATACTTGAGTGCATGTGAGATCAGTATGCTTCCCCTTGAGTCTTACTTCAACCTAGCGGTTTTCCTCGATATATCTAATTTTGAATTGACAGAAGCAACACTAGCATAATCCATTACTACCTCAATCCATGTGAGCATTCCTGCTCATACGGCATGCGAATGTTAACGCTACCGTCTAACAATTCTCAACAAGTTCTCCCACCATTGCGGCCAATTTGTCGGCCTGTTCCCTCGTTGCCGCCTCCGCATACACTCTCACGGCGTCTTCAGTTCCACTTGCCCTCACGAATGACCTCGCTTTGTCGAATTTCAACACAAGAGCGTCGATCTTTTGTTGGAGATTGGCTGGGCTTACAAGCTGTCTCTCCGCATTTGTCGTTTTGAACATATTTCTATCTTGCACCACGACTTTGATCAAACGGTTGGGTAAGTCCGTATACTCTGCATCCCACTTTTCAGGCGTCCACTGCAAAGTCAGCAGAACGGCCAAGACAGCAAGCATGTCTGACAAAGCATCTCCCACTGTCTGGTTTATAAGCTTTGTGAAAACTGATAGCAGTTTCAAGGATTTGTAGGACTCTGAGGATGTTTGCGGGTGCGCGGCAAGCTTCGATTTCAACAATTCCACACATTTCGATGAGAAAACGACCGTACCGTGGCCGTTAGCCTCAAAGTAGATTCCAATGTCAAATTTAACCGCTTCGTGATGTAGATGTTTTACGCCTGTAGACGTGCACTTGACTGTTACGCCTAAAACTTGTTCGAGGTAGTCAGCGGAGCTTCCGTTGGCATATGCAGTTTGAACAACACCCATTTCAACCTCTTTTTCCAATCCACTGCTCTGCAGAAGTTGCTGGAAGAACTTGGCAAATAGGGTAGCCATTTTATCACCATCTAGCAATTTGAAATGACCCTTAGGATCGCTGTAATAGAAAACTATTCTGTCGGCATCTCCGTCAAATGAGCAATTGATACGGTTCGCGTTGAACGTTTCGCTGACGCTTATACCATGTGGGAGTTTTTGATTTGTCTTCACAAAGTCTGCCCCGCAACAATAGTTGAGCGCGGCATAATTTTGCCAATCGGCGTTCAAAACTTCATATGCCCCTTTGAAAGCTTCGCGTTGCGAAAGCATTTCCTTTATCTTTGGACCCCCGATACCGTTGGCGGCATCAATTTTCAGCTCGAAAGGTAGCTTGTCAATGCCATCAACTGCTGTGATTTCATCCCAAGCCGAAAGAAACTCTTGGTAATATAGGGCTTCATTCTTGTCTACAGTTTGGGGTAGCTCATTGGTTTTACTCGTCAAAAAATGCAATTGTGGAGTGGTCAAAATGCCATAATCTTTGTTAATTAAAGCTGGAAAGGTCTTCAAACCAGCTTTAAACGCCTCCAACAGACGTGGGCCCGATTCACGCGAGTCGCGGGCCACAATGACCTTAGCTGGAAGTGTCGTGTCAATTTCCAGCGCTTTAACCAGTTCCTGCAAGCTTGTTAAAAAACTAGTATAGCTTTCTGAAGCACAATTGGCAAGTTGAGTGGCATATTTTTCCCAGCTTTGTTCGAGCATCTCACCTCTAGGCTCCACAATTTTCACGCCATTGTCCTCTGGTGGGTTATGTGACGCAGTTATCATAACGCCTACCGTCTGTCCACCAAGATAAAGAGACCTGAGACCTGCCAAAACGCCTGTTGTGAACATTACCGTGTCCAAAACATTGGCCTTGTAGCGGAACCCGGCTGTACCATAACTGTACTGGAAACCATGTTTACAATGCCTTTCGTAAAGAGCTTTCAAAGCTTCACTCTCGAGCATTATTGCGTGTTAGTCTTGAATCAAGGTACCGTTCGAGCAGTTTGGAGGTTTCGAAGTTCAAGAATTTCCACCAGGTTTTATATATATTCGTTTCCCATATTTAATTATTGAATTCAAAAACATACAAAAATGGTCTCTCGAGAGAAAGAAATCGGTGAAAGAGCCGATTTAATTTCACTGGATCACCACTTTTAGCAGTTAAACATATACCGACTCTCTTAGACCGCCTTGAATGGCGCCTCCAACTCCCGTCTTCGGCAGAGAAGAGCTTGAAGTGGTGAGAGACAGAATCGAAGAACCCTGTCAATTGAAGTCTCTGATTCAGCATGAATGTGAGTACAATGGACTACAGTACGTGTGTCTGCCATTTAAAAGAGTATTCCAGGAGTGTATAGTGGGCAAACAACGTCAGAAAGTTCGCTTTGAAGTTACAACTGAACTCACCAATGGTGCCGTTGATGCAACGGTGGAGAAGTTCTGGGTTACCGCTGGAAAAGAGTCAGAAGAGAAAGTTGGGTAAGCAGCGAGGCTTTCATTGAAAACATGGAATAAATCGATATCAAAATCTGTGAGCTTTTTTTTTTGGAGTTGATCGAATCAAGAATTGAGACTGTAAAGTGCGTGAGCTAATCTTCTTCAGGCTTGCCACTATCTTCTACTTTATGAGGGATGCCAGAATCTTTTAGCGTCATTGTCCTTCCAGCTTCTGAGCGTTCTGCTTATCAGTTTTCACAAGCAAATGTGAAAAAGTGAGATGAAAGCTACATTTGACATGAATGCGAAATATACACCCAAAGTGAGCTACTTGTCGTCCTGCAGTCTCGCGTTCACAACGGGGGCAAGCTAGCTTTAATTCAGCAGCGAAAGCGGGGTTTTTCGAAAAGTCTCGAATATGCAGGAGTTCCCGCCCTAATTCGGCTAAATCTACAAACTATAACGTTCAGCCAAATCTGAACAAAAATCATCGGCGCATGAAAACACAGTTCAAGTACCTAAGATTATCTGTCTAGCCTTATGAAGCATGCTTCAGGCTCTCATCCATCAAATCCTAACATGGTGTAAGAATCCCTCTCTCGTGTACTCGTACTCGTACTCGTACTCGCGCTAAGGGTCCATCGGTTCGTATTTGTAAACAAACGATTAGTGACACAAAAACGAAAAGTTGAGTATAAAAGCTAGAGGCCGCAGAAGTTTAGCACTTCTCTGGTCACTATCACTTTTGAATGTAAATTGAGCTCACTAATTCTATCACACCATCTTAGACCTTGATCTCGACCGTGCTCTATTCGAACAATGTCCATAAAGTTGAATAACAATTAGAATTATGAGCGGCTACGGATTTCTACCTGGATCAGAGGATGCTATGGTGTCGATACGATGTAAATTGTAAGTGTTTGTAACATAAAGGCGTCTAGCGCTCCATGCGTCAAGCCGGACACAATCAGCAACAAATCCGTTCTGCAGTAATGGTGATGAGACTTTTAAAACCTCCATGTATTGCGAAGATGTAAGCATTTTTCCTAAATTGTAAAAAAGGACGTCAAATAGACTATAAGAGATTTTCCACATATGTCCAAAGTGCTACTCGAGAAGAACTGCACCAATCACCGCCCCTTGGTTTATTGAGGATAACGTGAGACATGCCTCAACTCTTTATGAGAGGTACAAGGAAACATGCGCCTCCTGTCTTATCCTTTTTCTAGTTGAATCTCATTTTGGATCCCCATTTGCCGCCCGTTGACCTGATCTTTCTGATCCGATGCTTGTTATATCTATTTCATCCGTGTTCGGATCCGAATTTTCAATTTATTGCACATGATACGTTTCGAAAGCATTAGAATCGGTGATAGATATATCCCAGCGTTCGCGCCCAAAACGTCTCCGGATTACAGTTTGCAAGTCTTCAGCATCAGGCAACACCCTTTTCAATTCGACATCTTGTTGCAATGTTCAAAGCAGCGTCTCAGAGTGCAAGCAAGTCACTATCTCAGGGCAAGGCCTCAGCTAGGCTCTTGTCTGCCTCCTCCGTGGCACGCAACAACAACTTTCGTGTGGAAACCGATGCTTTCGGTGAGATTAAAGTACCAAGCGACAAATACTGGGGTGCTCAGACGCAGCGGTCTCTTGAGAACTTCAAGATTGGCGGTGCCCGCGAACGGATGCCAGAGCCTGTGGTCAGAGCATTTGGTGTTCTAAAGAAGTCTGCGGCAATTGTGAACGAATCCATTGGTACGCTCGACCCTAAGGTCTCGAAGGTTATTCAACAAGCTGCAGATGAAGTCATCAGTGGTAAACTACTGGACCATTTTCCATTAGTGGTCTTCCAGACGGGATCCGGCACTCAGAGTAACATGAACGCCAACGAGGTTATTTCCAACAGGGCCATTGAGATTGTCGGTGGTGAAAAGGGCTCCAAGTCTATCCACCCCAACAATCACTGCAACCAAGCTCAATCCTCAAACGACACTTTCCCCTCTGTTATGCATATCGCTGCTGTCACCGAGATCACCGGCCATCTTTTGCCCGAACTGACCGCATTGAGAGACTCTTTTGCACGCAAGTCCGAGGAATTTGACAGCATCGTTAAAATCGGTAGAACCCACTTGCAAGACGCTACTCCTTTGACTTTGGGACAAGAATTTAGCGGATACACTCAACAGTTGACTAACGGTATTACCCGCGTTGAGCAATCTCTGCACCATTTGAAGTACCTTGCCCAAGGTGGTACCGCTGTGGGTACCGGCTTGAACACCAAGATTGGTTTTGCCGAAAAGGTTGCCGAGCAGGTCAGCAAGGAGACCGGCATTGACTTCAAGACTGCTCCTAACAAATTTGAAGCTCTAGCTGCTCACGATGCCGTTGTCGAATGCTCTGGTGCCTTGAACACTTTGGCTTGTTCTCTATTCAAGATTGCCAACGATATCCGTTATTTGGGTTCTGGTCCTCGCTGTGGTTACGGAGAATTGTCGTTGCCTGAAAATGAGCCTGGTTCTTCCATCATGCCTGGTAAAGTCAACCCTACCCAAAACGAAGCCTTGACTCAGGTTTGCGTTCAAGTGATGGGTAACAACACCGCCATCACTTTTGCAGGTGCTTCTGGTCAATTTGAACTCAATGTCTTTAAACCAGTTATGATCTCCAACCTATTGAGCTCTATCAGACTACTTGGTGACGGCTGCAACTCTTTCAGAATTCACTGTGTGGACGGCATTGTGGCCAACAAAGACAAGATTGGCAAATTGCTCAACGAATCCTTGATGTTGGTTACGGCCTTAAACCCCAAGATCGGATATGACGCCGCTTCTAAAGTCGCCAAGAACGCTCACAAGAAGGGCATTACTTTGAAGGAATCTGCTTTGGAGCTAAAAGTCTTATCTGACTCCGAATTTGACGAATGGGTGGTTCCTGAGCACATGATTGGTCCTAAATAAGGCTCAAACCCAATCTAAACTCTATCGAAAAACACATTTATTTCCTTATGCCATCCTTCCTCGTGCATAACATTCCTATTTAAACAAATCAGTCCGTGTTTTACCAATTTCAGTAGTTCGCCATTGTTCGATGCCTTCGTTGCTAATTACTTTAGGCTTCGATTGATGCAGTCTGTGCATGATTCGTTTAATTGTTAAATGACGCATTGCAAGCTACGGAACGATGCATGAACCTCGAAAACATCAAATGTGGTGGAAACCAAGCCGAGAAAAGAACAATGAACTTCAGGAACCTTTGAATAATACAACTTTACCCCCCACAAGCAGCGACAAAAAGCTTTGGGCGCAATGAACGAAAAAAGTTGGAATCTTTTGCAGGAGATGCAGGAAAGAGGACACGCACGAGAGTTGGGCCACTTGGAAAACTATTTTACCGCTTGTCAGCGTCAAGATCTGTACACAAATTTCAGCATGTTTTGTGAGCTATCGGATTCATTTACTCGCAAAGAGTTAGCTTGTGCAATAAGAGCGGTTTGTTTGGATAATCCGATCTTAGTGCACACAGTACTTCCCAGAAACGACAAAAATCACAGCTTGGAATACTATAGTAGTGATGAGCATTTATCAAAACCTATAACGTCGCATGAATACATGAGACTATTGCAGAAAGTTGAAATCTCTGATATTCTGATGAACGAGCAGCCCGAATACGCTAGCATTTCGAAGGAAATACTTAACCTTTATGAGACCCAAGGTCATAAGTATACCAGTGAAATCTTCGACATTGGATCAACAATCCGGATAACTTATGGAGACCCTTCCAAGCCCAACTGGAGAATTTTGTGTTTTCCTGGAACGTCGGAGGATTCGTTTTCAAAACTGTTGCTATTCTCCAACCATTGTTCAAGCGATGCTAGCTCAGCAGCCAATTTTTTCAAAGACTTGTCTTCCCACCTCAACAATCCTCCCGTCCATTCTGCACCGGACGGAGTTATTTTTGACTACACCGCTGACTACAATATAGTGAGTAAACTGCCTATCCCAATAGACGAACGCGTCAACTACAAACCACCTTTGACTTACCTTCCTCGCTTGATGGGAACCGGCCTTGTTCGCAAGTATCTCAGCTACCACTCAAATGGTGCTGTGGTCTCTCGCGTGACAAAACCAGATGCAGGCAATCGTGTGCATTCTCACATTCTCAATTTTACGCCAGCAGAGGTTCAGCACATGAGAGATAAGATCAAGGCACATGATTCCAAGTGCACCATGACGCCTTTTCTTCAAACATGCTGGCTTGTTTCCATGTACCAGTATGGCAAAATATTCTCTGGCTCGCTACGCGAATGGTTCATCGATATGGTTGTGCCCATGCATACTTCACAATTACTTCCTAATGATCCAGAAGTCAAATCTATGTATCGATACGGCAGTAATATTGGCGGATCTCGTTACAATCTTCTCATTTCTTCATTGAATGTGGGGGACGACAAGAACGCTTTTTGGTCATTGGTCAAATACTATAGTGGTGTCTTCCACAACGCCAAAGAAAACAACGACTACCTCTATCCACTAGGTGCCTTAATGCTTGACATGGTCCGTGGAAAGACAAATGTCGATAAGCTGGTGGCAGATGATCTACTTGGGCTCCCCCGTGAAGGTGTTGTGCTGAGCAACATCGGCTTTGTGAAACAGAATCCGAAAGTAGAAAGATTCAGGATCAGTGACTTATATTTTGCGCAAACCTTAGGGAGTCTGAGACATAGCTTCACCTTGAGTTCTTGCACTACAAGTACGGGCGGCATGAACCTGGTTATGTGCGGAGCATTGGGAACAGTCGAGCACAAGCAAGATTGGATTGAGCTTTGTAATTTATTTAAGCACAACGCCTTGGCTTACTAGGCAGGCCGGTGATTGCAACTGAGTTCAATCGCTCTTTTTGAATAATATTCTTGAACCTTCAATGCGCTTCCATAGAAGTTGAAAACCTCAAGGCGCTAAGATCTATAAATTTACGTCAACAAAGCGTTAATCGAATTTTCGAAATAGCACTGAGCGGAACAAACAGCGCCACACATGAAAAATGGTCACCGACCACAAGTTCGTCATTTTACGTTCTCGTACCCGTATTTTACTGCACCTTTCCTCATAAAATGGTTTATCAGTTTCCGCCAGATTTTGTTTTTGGATGCTAATGTCGTCTTATCTCCCACCATGAATAAGCCGTATCGAGCTCGAGTGAGTGCGACGTTCAGTCTTCTCTTATCGTTGAAGAACCCGATTGCGCCGCTTTTATTACTTCTCACGCATGAGAGAATAATAAAGTCTCTTTCATAACCCTGGAATGCGTCCACTGTTGCGATCATCGTTCCATTGACGCTGCATACACATCCTTGTGAGTCAAATTTTCCTTCAGCACATTCAGAATCCCTTTCTGTCGAAACCGATGAACGACTCTGTTTCAACTGCAGGAGATCTTTGGCCATATTCGTGATCAAATCTCTTTGAGCAGAATAAGAAGTAATGATACCAATCTGGCCAGGCTGAACGCCTTTAGTCGAAATTAGGTCCTGAACTATTTTCAAGGCAACTTTTGCCTCAGGCAAATTCTGATGAGAGTTTGTATAATGAGAGTTTTTATGAGAGTTTTTATGCTGATAGTTCGCGTCAACTGTAATTGCAGCTTCATTTTCATTTTCAACATGGTAAAAGGATATGGCTGGCAACGGGGCCGGCCACTTTCGCTCTTCGGAACTGATGCCGTCTTTTAAAAGACCGTTGTAAAAGTTGCTGGCTGGAAACTCAGAAATTAATGGATGCATTCTGTACTGGGTATCCAGCATGATTGGAGAACACTTCTTATTAGCGATTAACCCTTCGAAGAGTGATACAAGCCTAAAAGAATAACCCGAATTACACGACAACTGCTTCTCGTCTCCTAGAAAAACTAGCCTCTCGACATTGGGCAGTGATATGGGCACAATTGAGGAAAGCTCTGAAGCCTGTGTGCATTCATCCATTATCACCGTTCCAAATTCGTAATAATTGGCGTACGCCAAACCACCACAGGCTACATTAGTGGTGAGCACAACTTTAGCTTTGCTCAGTATCCTACGCTTTAACTTCGATTGAATGACCCACAATTTATCGTAGTCGTCTTCTGCTATTGCTCCATATTGCTTGTTTTGTAACAGTTTTTTAACACTCTGGAAATATGGACTTAAACGGGAAAACATGATGTTGTGCAGGCAAATATCTCCCAAGTCGTCATCGGGCGGGTACATGTGCTCCTTATAGGAAGACACTACTCTGAGCACGTTTGACTTGTCGCAGAATTCGGAGAGTCTTTCATACAGGTTGTCCACTGCAACGTTGGATTCCGCCACACATAGTATTGGCCATCCTTCATTTAGTTTGAGTAAATTCTTGACAATTTCAACGATGACCGCAGTTTTTCCAGTACCTGGGGGACCTCTAATGACAGTCGTTTCCTGATTCAGAGCACAATTCACCGCACGAGTTTGCGATTCGTTCAGTTTCTCGTCTATGTCATACTTTTCGTTGCGGTAGTTAGCAGTCACGGTCGGTCTGATACGTCCCAATGCGACATCAACGAATTTAGAGTAGTTTAGTCTCTCTAAAGCTTCGAGAGTCCGCTTCCCCGTCCCGTCCATAGGCAGTATTTCGATCTTCGCTTTTTGCAAATCAAATGGTAACCTACTCTGTCTGAAACTGTAGAGCTCGAGGCGTACTTTAAAAGACTCGCCATGATGCATCGACCGTACGTAAGCGTACCACCGACCTTGGCCATCTTTTGAAGACAAGATAAATGGTTGATAGTAGAAGAATGGGGCGAATGAAGGGCGTTGTAAAAAGATCGGGTGCTTCAGATCTTCGCTTTCTCGATTTTTACTCGGACTTCGCAGACTTTTCCAAAACTTTCTGGTACAGAGCAAATCTGAAAATTGGTCATCGGCTTGATTTCTTTGAATGTGGCTTCTGCTATCTTAGTTAGAACGTAACTCCTGAAGGAATATATGTTTGCGTGAGATTTTGGCGCCAGTTGAGTTTGGGGCGAAACGGCTAGTGCCACCTTTGTCTGCACAGATGCCTCTTTTACTGGTTGGCTAGGTTGTTCTGGTTCCTTCTTCTTCTTTTTTCTCTTCTTGGACTTTTTTCGAAAAGAAGCACTTGTCTTTTTCAATTGGACATCCGCTATCGCTGCCACGTTAGTGATCCCGTTAAGGTCTGTGCGCTCTGTATGTTCTTGGTCAGTGTCCCTTCCAGTCGCTACGTCGTCAACATATGCTTTGAAAATAGGAGCGTCATCCTGTTCACGGTAGAAAATCTCTTGGCCGGTTTCAGCTGCCGGTGGACTAGTTGAATAACCATGAATAACATCGTTGTTGTTATCCGTGATGCTTAAAGTGTTCAATAACTGATCGCCCAGATTTCCGATGTTAGAATGTGAATTTTCAGCTGCCACAATGACGGTTGGGACCGAACTCTCTTTCAATAAGTCAGAGATGTCGCGACCTTCAGAAGTGGAAGGGTCAAGCCTCGATTCTTGACCCTCAGGATGGACTTCAGGAAGTGATCTCTTGACTTCGGTATAGTCCACCATGGTTTGACTTGAATGAGACGTGCAAGACTGGCCAATGCTCCATACAGAACATTATTACTTGCTCATACTTTAGACAGCACTTTTATACTCCAATGCCTGGTTTCAGCCATTTTTGGGCGCGTTTCAAATCATATCTCGATTGCGATGTTCTTCCATGGTTTGTAACGGGTGCACTCTCTTCATCTGTCATTGATACTTGGTGCACTTTGCCATGACGACATGAAACTTAGGGCAACTTCATTTTGTTGAAGTGATGGGATTCCGCACACTTTTTCAAGGTGACGAAAGGCTCGGGTGCGCGCTTGTTACTATGACTTGTTATGCCGTGAGCTATGTGAGGGAAATTCAATGGTAAACCGAACCTTTGAAAAACTTCAGGATTTTGGTTAAGTAGAAAACCTGAGTGACGGTCGCGCTCCATTTTATTCAGTGCTTCTTTCGGCGCCCTCCTGAAATAAGTATGACGCCATCGCGTTCGTGAAACCCTTGCATCATCAACAATGCCGTTTCCTCCTGTATGATGCAAATCTTTTTTCAATGTAGTAACCAGGGCCCTCCGAAATCCACGACAACGATGCCATCGCGAAATTTGTAGGAAACAAAGTGAGCAACGCAGGAACAACGAAAATTGTCAAATCATATTATTGTTAGTGGGAACTGGAGAACATCTCTAGCGGATTTGGTGATGAGGTAAAATATGATCGTCGATCAGAGGTGAGAAGATAGTAGCTCTCTAAGGTTCCTGCTGGCAGCAAGTGCTACCCTGTGTCTTCAGGCAGGATTTACCGAAAGTTCCTAAGGCCTCTTGGTAAACATCCGCAGGCTGATCATATAAAGTTAGTGAGCATCGGAGCCAGGGCAGGTAGGTGGACAACTTATTTGATTCAAGTCAGTTGCACAGTGTATGACCTCGATCAAACGTGGCTGGTTTCTTATTCAAAAGAAACGATGTCTATTTCACAACTATTGTGACCGGATCTTTGTAAATATGAGTGTTCACTCGAGCCGACTGGTTCGCGTCATGTTGACTTGGCCATAAAGAACAAAACTTTCTCCTTATAGCATCCTGGATACGTGAAGTGAGAGGCACTGTGGTATAGCAGAGATGTGCGCCGCTGATCGAAGGAAGGAATACAGATTGGTGAGGTCATGTCTTCCGCCCGGCCGTTCAGTCTGGTCAATAAAAGCGCACGTTGAGGTTGGGAATCGTTCGGGCCACTGATTCAATAGAGACCAATTGAACATTTTGGTGAGGATCTATACGCAGAAGCGGCAATCTTGACTGGTGGATCCCACCCAGGGCTTGAAAACACTCTATTTGAGTAGGGGAGTGGCTAACTTTCCAAAAGTGAACGATATGCATTCTCGCTTCTTCAAATTTCGGGAGAAAAGTGGTGATTTGAGGTAGCAGGATTCACCACATGTTTAGTGCACCTGGCATACGCTAAGCTCATTGAATAAAACGACTGCTCGGCCTTTTCGTAGCACAGATGATAGGGAATTTGGTTTAAGATGCAAACTAAAAAATTTCCATCAATACCGACATTTTTAGACCATCCTTGCGGGGCCTGCACATTCGTTACCTCCACATAGTAACTACATCTTAACGAATTGGTTGAGTCATGGTGCACTCTTTAACATTGGAAACCCTTTCTCTCCAAACCATAGTCCACTGAAATGAGTAAAGAGCATGCTCTTGGCTTCAAGGCACACCAAAAGCCCCATTTGACAGCCTGCTGGGTACTGAATGTTTAACAAGCCCTTGACACGAGAAAACTACTCGTGGAAACAGGAATTGCGTGAAAATTCACAAGCTGGACAGGACATTCCACCTCCCTGAAATTGTTGTTACTCTGCTCTGAAGAATGATTCACCACGGTCAGAAATCATTTCAAAAATGGCACATCATTACCGCAAAGTCTTGGAGCAGGTTTCAAGAGTATTCTAGCGAAGAGATCTTCTTTATTTCTGCAAAGTGACGTTCAAGATATGATATGTTGACAACTTCTCGAGATTTATTAGAATCTTGGAATTAAAGCTTGACAAGAAAGAAGTGAAGCCAAAGCTGCTGGAGGTGGGCAAGGACTTCGCTCCAAGGATTTTTCAAGTGGAGAAAATGTCCAAAGTTGCTGGGAAGAGCTTAAAGCATAAGTTGGAAAAATTCTCATTGACGAGCTTTCTCGTTAGCCAGTTGCAGCGTCATGTTACTTTGACGATGAGATGAAAGTGTAGTCAACAACGCTCAAAAAGACAGATCGGTACCCATGAAGCAGCAAACAAGTGCTTACACCAGGTTATGAATGTGAATATATTTACGATATCCGTGGCCAGGCCTTTCAACAAGGAAAATACTGAAATGCCCTGTATGTAGACGACAGTATTTGGCAAGACGGGAATCTCATTCATTTACAGACCCTTGACTTCTGGATGGTGCAGCTCTCGGTGAATGTACAGAGGAATTGATGTCTTCGGTTGGTACAGGGCAAAAGACAAATTTTAATAGGTCTCGAAGGCATTGCGAGGAATTTGAAAGTAAGGAATATATTTGGAGCTGTTGAGACCGCGGAAAGGTGCCTATCATTATGGTCAGGCACTGGTAAATTTTTGAAGTCTGAGAAGCAAAAGGGCCATTTACGGGAGAAGAAGGTGACGAAGATCATGCTGCGAATATGAAGAAGACAAAAATAAATTTCGGAAATGGGAGCTCATAATTCTTCACATTACACTTGGCATCTACGCAGGTATTGGAGTGTGTCTAGAAAATGAGTATACCACAACAGTGGTGAATTTAACCATATTTTGCAACCTCAATGTTTGAGTTACCAATGGTGACTGTTTAAGAGAAATTGTGCGAGGACAAAGCCCTGAAGCGTTAATAATCCCCCACAACTTTCTTGGCCAGTGACGCTGGATATTGACTAAACATACACTAAACCTAACCCTAGGTAACACCTCTAGGATTTTAAATTGACACTACAGTGGTAATATGAAATGTTAGCGACACACTCGTTCAAGATGATATTTTGTGTCAGCGAAAGAAGAGCTGTACATGCTCAAGTCTTAGGACTACTAATTCTAACGCGTTTAAAATGTTCTGAATGCCATCGGCAATACGAAAAAAACCAGTTTTCATGTTATGATAAACATTGTTTTTTTCTCGGCTGAATGTTATCTATGCTTCATGTCCAAGGGCCCAGATTCGTTATTTCGCTCATCTTGGATATATTGGCTTCTTGAGTTTACTCTTGATGGATCGATAGTATGTGAAGTCTCTCAGTAATCGCAGAGAGAGAGAGAGAGAGAGAGAGAGAAAGAGTCAGAGACAAAGACTGAGGAGTACAAATCAAGTCACGTGTACGCAAAAAAAAGATGTGTACCCTCTTACGAATTATCTATTGCTTACGTAATTTCTAACCTTCTTTTTTTCTTTTCTTTTTTTGTTGCATTTATGTCACGTGCATCTCTGTTACCCTGCTCTTGACTCCCAATGTCCTTATCGTTCACGTGACATCCCCCTTCCATCCCTTGATATACGCCGTACAAAGGGACGCCCCTCGTTTTTTATAAGCTCTCCCTCTTCTCAAGGGGGGGGCAACGGCCCCCCAGAGGCTTAAATTTCATAATTTCTGAGAGACTATATAAAGGCCAAAGGTTTCTCGGGGGTTACCGATAATTGTACCAAACACTTTTAGAAAACCCATACGCTATCGTATCGAAAGTGTTTATCTAAGTAAAGGTAGACATCTGGAGAGAAAGATACGTAAATTTTTCCAACCAAAAGTCTCTAATAGCTGTATTTAGTCAGCCTTTTTTTTTGGGAAGTTTTCTGGTTATTCTGCTGTTTTTACAAACCTTTACCTTCTCGAACACCGTTTCTCGACATTTCAATCTAATTTAGTGTTCACAACATGAAGATCGAAACTGCAATTCCCGTGGCTTTTGCCGCAGCCGTTGGTTCGGCCTTGGTGCTGCCAGACTTGGAAAAATCCTCGCATGACGTTGCGGAACGTGTTACCGGTGCGTTGCGTAAGGGTGAATCCGTTGTTTCATCGTTTGCGAAGGAAATGACGAAAACTGCGGCCGAAAAGGGCGAATCCATCAAACTCGCCCCGTTCATCTCCCACACTGAAACTCCCTACGGAGTGATTCCTCACCGCTACATTGTGGTGTTCAAGAGCCACGTCTCGCCTCAGGAGGCCGACTATCACCACCAAGTTGTCGCGCTGGCGCAACAGGAATCGTTGGCTAAGGTTCCCCTCACAGATTCGTTCTATGAGGCTACTGCCGGTTATCCTAGCGAGGAAGGAAACGATAACTATGCCAGAATATTCGGTAAGGCCAAAACTGTCGACGGTGGCATTCAGGACACGTTTGACCTAGCCGGTCTGCTACACGGGTACATTGGGTACTTCACGCAAGAAGTGGTGGACTTTCTCCGTATGAACCCTCTTGTTGAGTTGGTCGAGCAGGATTCTATAGTGTACTCTCAAGAGTTTGACACTCAAAATGGTGCGCCATGGGGTCTATCGCGTATTTCGCACCGTGAGAAACTCAACTTGGGTTCTTTCAACAAGTACTTGTACGACGATGCCGCCGGTAAGGGCGTCACCTCCTATGTCATCGACACCGGTATCAACGTTGACCACAACGATTTTGACGGCAGAGCCGTTTGGGGTAAGACCATTCCTACGAACGACCTGGACCAAGATGGTAACGGCCATGGTACCCACTGTGCTGGTACCATTGCTTCCAAGCACTATGGTGTTGCCAAGAACGCAGAGGTTGTTGCTGTCAAGGTTTTGAGATCTAACGGTTCTGGTTCGATGTCCGACGTTGTGAAGGGTGTCGAATTTGCCGCAAAGTCCCACCAGGATGCTGTCAAGAGCAACAAGAAGGGATTCAAGGGCTCTACCGCTAACATGTCATTGGGTGGAGGAAAATCTCCCGCGCTTGACTTGGCTGTCAACGCTGCTGTCAAAGCCGGTTTGCATTTCGCCGTCGCTGCTGGTAACGAAAACCAGGACGCCTGTAACACTTCTCCTGCAGCTGCCGAGAACGCCATAACTGTTGGTGCATCCACTTTGGCAGACGACAGAGCTTATTTCTCTAACTGGGGTAAGTGTGTCGATATTTTTGCCCCAGGGCTAAATGTTTTGTCCACCTACATCGGCTCTGAGACTGCCACTGCGACCTTGTCTGGTACTTCCATGGCATCCCCTCACGTCGCTGGTCTTTTGACTTACTTCCTGTCTTTGCAACCTGACTCTGACAGTGAGTTTTACGTTGCCGGTGGCGTCACCCCAGCACAATTGAAGAAAAAGTTGATTGCTTACAGTACCAAGAATGTCTTGGGCGATTTGCCTGAGGACACTGTAAACTACCTAATTTACAACGGTGGTGGCCAAGACCTGAAGAAGTTCTGGGCTGAAGAGACTGACTCGGAAAATGAAGCTGATTCTTCGAAGGGCGCTGTCGCTGCCGAATTTGAGAGTTTCATCGAGGGCTTGACCGAAAAAACCGATCACATCAATGAAGAAATCAGAGATGTTTTTGACAAGCTGACCGGTCTATTGTAGCCAAATCGTTTGCTTTTTAGGTGTTTTCTTTGCACCGATAATTCTCTCATTGCGGATAGAAGGTGTTGACAGGCATTTGACGCCAAGGCCTCAACGGAGGAGTCTTGGTACAGCTTTTAATTTCGCGCACGGTGTAACTCAGCAGGATATCTGAGTTTACTCTTTTCCACTACACAATTGTTTGTTTCACGTATTAAATTCATAATTAAATCGTTCTAGATTTGCGAACAGCTACTTTGTCGTCATCTTGACTGGGTTATTAGAGCTCGATCAGAAACACGCAACTAATCATCACCACCATATATGACCACGTGACTAACAAACTATTCTTGTGATGTTAGCTCAAAGCTCGGATTCGTAGGGTTTCGATTAGAAATATAGCTTCAAATGCTCTTGGGCCCAAGTTTTTCGCTACCAGGTGCATCGTGTGAACGTCTGACTTCTTCAAAATGCGACAAGTTTTAAGACTTCGTATGATGTTATCTTGTTTGTTGATAATTAGAGATGAGATGCCGTCAAAGATCGCCAAGAATTGGGTACTTTGACTAGCAATTAGAGAATAGGATCATCTTTTGATACATTTAGCTCGAGACTCATTGTTATATTCTGATATGGTACTCAATCCCATAAACTGATGCGCCCCACGATACCATATCCATTGCAGGATGAAGATGAACCGCCTTTGTCAAAAGACAGAGCGAATATTGGACAGCGCCGTTGCGAGAAACAATCGGTACCGCGTCGTAAAGCCGTCCAAAAAATGAGACAGGAGAAAAGACCACACACCAACAAAGGCTGGATGTTTCCTTTCGCGGCCAAAAAGCAGCGGTCCAGTCTTTTCGACTCAGATTCGTCATCTTTAATCAAAGCTCCTTCGCCTGCTATTTACGATAATTCAACCCTGGTTGATACTGGTGATAAGATAGTGATGAATCGCTCCCGTAACGCTGAGCCGATCCGTGCTGCAATGACTAAATCTCAATTTGTGCCTTTTATTCCTAATAAATGGCACGAGCGCCCTGTATCCACACACAGAGTGGTTTCCAAGGACCCACTTGATTGTTCAGCTGCAGGGCTTGTTGAAGGAAGCTCCAAAGTCTCTGAGGACTCCCTGGGCCGTGTCCTATCACTTTTCATCCTCGTCACTGTCGTCGCCATTTTCAGCTCGATCACTGGACAACTGATCGAAGCTGTAAAAGATAAAACGGGTTTAAAGTGAAAGAAACGGTAATCTAAACTATCACTTCTAGCCTAGCTCCTAATAGTCGCATTACTGGCCTAGTCTGCGATCTTTTCCAATCCTGGATTTAGTCACGTGTCTGGACATACTAAAATTTTCCAATTCTCACTGCCATCTGCGATGAGATGAGATGCGATGAGATGAGCTGAGATGAAGTAAGTTCACAACATTTCTCTACACCGCGAAATAGCGAACCTTTTGCTGTTGGAACTTCCGTCTATCAACACACTCATTCACAATGCGGCAAAAAAGAGCCAAATCTTATAGAAAACAGATGTTGGTTTACCATCACAACTTCAAATTCAGAGAACCGTATCAGGTTCTCGTCGACGACAAAATAGTCTGCGACACACATAAGGCTTCGTTCGACCTCGTGAAGGGTCTACAGCGGACTCTGCAAGCCGAGGTCAAGCCCATGATCACGCAGTGCTGCATACAAGCGATTTATGACACTAAATATCAGGATGCTATAGATTTGGCGAAAACATTTGAAAGAAGACGTTGCAACCATCCCCCAAAGGAGGCTAAACCTCCATTAGAGTGTCTCGAGAGCGTCGTGAATATTAACGGAGTCAACAAACATAGATACGTGGTGGCTAGCCAGGATACAGACATCCGCAATACTTTGCGTAAAGTGCCTGGCGTGCCAATGGTGTTTATGAATCGTTCCGTTATGGTCATGGAACCGCTCAGTAGGTCGAGTGAGAGGCTGAGCCGAGACCAAGAAAAGCAAAAGCTTTTCAAGGGCTTAAATGACCCATCTACGGCTGGAAAGCCTGCTGCTGCTGAAAAGACATCGGAAGAGAACACACATGCTTCTAGTGGTAAGAAGCGCAAGGGACCCAAGGGACCCAATCCATTAAGCATGAAGAAAAAGAAGGGAAACGAACCTACAGGTGAGACCAAGGAATCCGTAAAGACAGAGACAACGACAACGAATACTTCTTCGTCGCGCCGTCGGAAACGCTCTCATAAATCAGCAAGCTCTCGTCAGGAGGAAGCCGGCGAAACCAGCAGCTGAGAGAAAGCGATACTTTCGGCGAGTAGCCGCGTGTCCGATACAGGCTGACTTTAATTGAAGCCTGTAGTGGCTGCAATGGCTGCTGCTGCGGCGGCAATGGCTTCAGGCGGTTCGATGAAAGAATAGAAGTGGACCTAGCATTATTGACGAATCCCGTTTGTCGTAGGCTTTCTGGCATCTTTCGACATTGGATAAAAAAACCCATTACTCAACACTGTGCTAGCACGGTGAGAACACCTTATTTGCGGACACCTTAAACATGGGGTAGTCCAACTGAAATTGGTTTTTTTAATGCAGTTTGTTAGAGAATTGAGTTTATAGCTATACGTGTAGAATTCATGAAGAATTGATAAATTGTAAATACAAGTGTCTCGACTAAAAACGTAGGGGAAACAAACAACGGGATACGCTATTTCAAGCCAATTTCAGTGATCATCCTAAGTGCAATTTCCTCGAAATTTTGATGGGTATAGCAGTAAATATCTGTAAATTCGAATCACTGCCTGTAAAGAGGTCACCAATGACGAGCTAACAAAAGAGTGGTCCTTCAAATCTCTGTAGCATGGAGAGTTGACACGCTTAACGCGCCAGCACTTCTAGTAGCACAGTGTGCTCAGTGAGAGATCTCATGAACCATATGGCCAACTAGATTCTTTTCAACGGTTGTGTCACATGCTTTCAGGTCAGGCTCAGAATTCCATATCACGTTTTTTTCGTTATGTCTCTAGTCATGCTTATTCTCTAGCTATGTATCACTATCGACGACAATAACGCGTTTAATATTATTGTAAACAAACTTAACCATCAACCATCACCCACCAAGACAACAACAACAACAACAACAAACAAGAATAACCATCAGTCTTCTACAATTGTGTCGAGTCTCTCACTAAGTGGGTCTTGTTCAGCATCTTCTGTTGTCCAAAATGTCTGATATCGAAGAGCTCAACATCACCGTGGCGGTTCGGTGTCGAGGACGAAATCAGAAAGAAGTAGAAGCACGTAGTTCTGTGGTTGTGACGGTACCAGATGTCACTGGAGAAAACGAGGTCTCGATAAATACAAGTGGTGAAACGGGTATAGCAGCACAGCTGAATTCGAGAACGTATACGGTGGATAAGGTCTTTGGTCCAAGTGCAGATCAGCAGCTGGTGTTCAAGAGCATTGCAGAACCGTTATTTCGAGATTTCCTGAAGGGCTATAATTGCACAGTTTTGGTGTACGGAATGACCTCTACGGGCAAAACATATACCATGACCGGAGATGAGAAGCTGTATGATGGAGAATTGAGCCAAGGAGCTGGTATCATCCCGAGAGTTCTTTTCAAAGTGTTTGACGCTTTAGAAGATGCTAACAGCGACGATTACATGATCAAGTGTACATTTGTCGAACTATACAACGAAGAATTGAAAGATCTTCTCGACGAGGCTCACGACTCCAACAATAACGTACCGAAAAAACTGCGAATATTCGATTCAGCGGGGAACACAAACAGTGCCAACAGTGGTAGTCGAACAAATTCGAGAAACAATTCACCAAAAATCGCAGAAAGCCAATATATATCTTCAGCGGGCTCAAATTACGCGTCGCGCCGCAGGATGCGCATGGGTCCTACTCTGCTGCCCAAATCTGCAAGACCAGCGCTTCCAAAATCCAGCTCTAATGCGGAAATTTCATCTGCGATTCACATTCAAAACTTACAAGAGTTCCATATCATGAGTGCCAAAGAAGGTATACGGCTTCTGCAAAGAGGATTGAAACAGCGGCAAGTCGCCTCGACCAAAATGAACGACTTCTCGAGTCGTTCGCACACTGTCTTCACAATAATGCTATACAAAAAGTGTGATGATGAAAACTTTAGAGTATCCAAGATGAATTTGGTTGATCTCGCGGGCTCCGAGAACATTAACAGGTCCGGTGCGCAAAACCAGCGAGCAAAAGAGGCTGGCTCCATCAACCAAAGTCTTCTAACCCTCGGTAGAGTGATAAATTCACTAGCAGACAAAAATGCACATATTCCATTCCGCGAGTCAAAACTGACCAGGCTACTGCAAGATTCTCTTGGAGGTAATACTAAGACGGCATTGATCGCCACGATTTCACCAGCCAAAATAAATTCCGAAGAAACATCAAGTACATTGGAGTATGCCTCAAAAGCTAAAAACATCAAAAACAAGCCTCAGGTAGGAAGTTTTATTATGAAAGATGTCCTAGTAAAGAGCATTACAGCTGAGTTGGTCAAGATAAAATCAGACCTCTTATCAACAAAGTCCAAAGACGGTGTTTACATGAGTCAGGAAAACTATAAGGAGCTGACGAATGAGTTAGAAAACTATAAGACTGAGGTTCGAGAATGTCAGCGATCAATCGAAAGACTGAATACACAAAACGCCATTTTGCTGAAAGAACGAAAAGTTTCTAACGAGCTCAATGAATCCCAAAAGGCAAAGGTACGAAACCTGGGAGATAACATCGAATATCTGTATGACAAGATTGACAGACAACACAAAAACGAGCAAGAGCTATCGAACGTCGTACAAGAACTAATGCGGGCACTTCATGTCATGCGTAAATCTCTTCAGCTCTATGAGGATCAAGGCCAGAGGTTTCAAACCGAAATGGAAAAGGTGCTTTATGACAACATTGGATCTTTTAAAAAATCACTTATCGATGAGATCGAAAAGCTAAAAGAAAATGTAGACGAAGATAGCATCGATGTTGACGGAAACATAAAGAATGTCAGTCAAGAGCTTTCAAGGATATTCGATCGCTTAAGTTCATCGAGCAATGAAATAAGTCAGAAATTTATCCAAGATATTTCACGGCAAACTCCAAAGCACTTTCAAGAGATTCAAAACCAGGTAGAGAACATTACCACAGTTGTAGAAACATATTCTTCGAGCCTGATAACACACCTAAGCAGTATCAGCGAGGAATACAACAATTTGAAAGACTATCTCAATGAACAGTTCTTCAAGAACAACTTCCAGGAAGCATTGGATGTTCATGTTGAGCGCACCTATCATCAGCTGAAAGTATCGGCCAATACAGTCTTCATGAATTTGCGGGAAATAATGAATGAGCACCTGGAAAATAATAAAACTACCATGCTGCAAAGCTTGAGAAGTGCTGCGTCCGAGGTAGTTGAAAAGGAAATGGGACTCTTGGATCCGGTCAAAATGGCATGGGAGAAGTCATTGGAAAATATTAACGAATGCGATAAGCTGAATAATAAATTTGAGTCTGACATGAGCTCTGCTGTGAAAGAGGTCTATAGCAGGATAGACAGAGCAGCGAGCTCGTCAAACGCGGCACTTGTCGAAATTGAGAGCGACCTCGGGCAGCTCAAGGATGTATCTGCGAATTTTCGTGACAATAGCCTTATACAAAACAACGTTGAAGGCATCAAACGGAAGCACGAACTTCTTAAAGTGCAGGTACAAAATAGCGCAGATTACATGCAAGCTGCCACGCACAAATTTGGCGAAATTGATCAATCTATTCAGGACTTGTTGAGTACGCAGGCTACTCCACAACTTAATAATGAGGAGCGGATAGGAATACTTCTAGAGCAACTTAATGAAAAACCGCTGAGACCTTTGGGCCCATCGGGAAAAACTCCTATGAGGACAACGTATCAGGTAAGTCGTACATCTGAAGTTGTACAACCGCCGATGAAAAGGTCATGTTCGACTTCGCCCATCAAGGAAATTGATGGAAACAGGCGAGCTCCATCTCCGCTTAAGCGAAGGCTACTAGAAGAAGACATCTCGTTGAAGCCCAAAGAGATAGAATAGATAATGTAACTTATTTACTTTAATCTGATGTCATCAGTAACACTGTGCCAGAAGGCTAACTCATGTAATCTTTCAATTTCTCATGTGTTGACAACATTGTAAGGTCCCAGATCTCTGAGCATGCCCTCGATTTCTTCACGGCCCTTTTCTAAGCGCGAGCATATTTTATCGAAGCTGTCGACATCACGAACAGCCTTGAGTAGAATCAGCTCTTCGTTTCTCCGAGTGACAATTGATTGATAGACGTCGTTTCTCTTTCTTTCGTCTTGCGAAGCAGGCGTGACGGGCCTTCTGATTTCTGAGGCGTCCCTGCTCAAAGCGTCAGAACCAGCTGCGCTCAAGCTTCCTTTTGTTGACCTATCCATAGAGGATCTGCTGTGTTCTCCAAAGAAAAAGGTGTTCATAGGGTTTTTGGCAAGCGGGTCTGGGGTATCCTTGATAGCAAGTTTACGATAGACATCGTTCAAAGCCTCTTCGGCAGCATCAGTATTAGTAAAATGATTGCGCGTCTTCCGCGTAAACTCGCTGTCGATGCCCACCTTTATATCTGCGGCAGAGAGTAAATTGTTCAACCCACCCTTTTTCGTGACCCATTCACTGCCCACTAAGTTAGAGTCCCTAGGTTGATCTAGAGGGCCAAGGGCATCAAAAAGGCTGGCGTTTTTCATGATTGGGAAAGAACTGCATCGATAAAGCAATCCATGAACAGTACCAAAAGTAATAAGTCGTCTAACGTCAATTCTAGCCGCACGAATCTTTTCGGCATGTATTTTGTACCATTCTTTGACGCTTTGACCTTGAGTCAATGACCTATAGAGGTCAAAAAGACATGATTTTGATGGAAATGGAAGATCACCTTCTTTCAGTCCTCTGTTTATGGGATACGAATTGAGTGCATCGCCGCTTGGGTATCGAATGGAAGATTCGTGTGACGGAGGAGTACTGTAATGAGCATTTACGGAGAAGTCAATTGCTGAAGATGCGGATTCACTCTTGGGGGCATAGAAGCGCCCCTTGCGTAAATTTTCTAATGTTTCGCTTCCGTTGTGGGTTCTTGAATAGCTATTGCTGAGGCGTGGTATTCTCTTATCGAATGGAAGAGACGGGATATGCGTTGCATCTTTGAACGTGACATAAGATTGGCAAGCGGTCGCCAATGATGGATCAATTAGAAAGCTGCCCAATGTGCTTGTTGGAGCATAGATATTGCTGAACTGGAAAATATCGGCTAATATAACGCAGTTATAGTAAATGAAATGTTTAATGCATTCCGTCACTAAACCAACGTCACTGTCACTCAACCGGCTGATTTTGGAAATGCTATTGATCCCATTTATGTAGGGAACAATTCTGAGCATAGTAGGATCCCAGCTAGCATCTATCAGTTTAGCCAAATTGACTGTAGAGATAGGCACGTCTTCAAACGACAAGTTCGAAGTTGGCGGTTGCAACAAGGGAAACAATTTTATGTCCACGGCATTTCCAGAGTCAATCGGGATCAAGCACTCAGAATAGTTATTCAAATCTTGAAATATTTTTGTTATCAAATCGTCGACCGCAAGCCGTTTTCCAGGCCCGTCCAAATCTTTCAAAATCTCCTGGTATTTCTCGAATGCGTAGTCTTGGTCGTGTGGCTCATTACCATCGAGCCCCATTCCCAGCACACCTGGTTTTTCTGTGCTTCCAGGCGAAGTTTCCTGTTTGGATCGCTGAAGTGCATCGCCAGCCTTCAACTGGAAGAAAACACTGCTGTTTTCGGCTTTTGACAAAACTTGGGATTGCTCTTCCAGCACCGTGAACATTTTACCTAATCTTTCGATGGACGGCTCATAAGGCGACGTGACGCAGTCATAAGGAAAGATGAAGACAAAATCAAAACTGAACGAGTTTCTTGCATAGTAAGGTGCAGCCACATTCACAGGATAGCACACCAGTCTCGATGTACCATACTTGAACGTCAATAACTTGTTGCAAAGCTGAGGTTTGGGAATCACATAGTTTTTGATGGTGCTGAAATTGATATCGCTGTCAGCTAAGCAGCCCGGAGGAAACTCGTGCTTGACCTTGGTACCCTCTGTAGGATGGAAAACACTGTAAAATACACCTTGTGCAGGTGCAAACTCGCCCCAATTGTTAGGCATTGGCACCTAAATGGTTCAAGTTTCTAGCGCATCGACCGAATCTTTCACATCATCAAAGAGAGAGAAAGAGAGAAGAGACCTTGATTGATAGATCACCTGCTTATTCAAAATTGGAAAATTAGAAAAGTCACGTGCTTCTATTTTTTCGATGTCTTTCTCGAGCTGATTTTCGAGGCGGATATCTAAGCGACGTCGCCCAAGTTCGTGAACCCAGTATAAGCACCATTTGCTGAAAGAAGGATTTGGTAGAGACCGGTGTTATTCTGTGAAAGAGGATCGAGGAACGGTTTGCCTCTCAATGCACTAGCCCGACACTTATCCAAAGTATTCTTGAGTTCTTTGAAACTTTCTGTAATTCTGATTTCTTTAACATTTTCTGTAATCTTGTCAATCATGCCATCGTCCGTAATGGTGCTATGGATAAGTTTCGTAGCTCTGTGAGAGTATTCTAGCAATCGAACGACATCAACGCCAAAATTTTCGAGCTTTTTTTGGCTTCGGCGATGTTAGCTCGACAGCCATCCTTTCAGAAATAGTTCAATGTGTAGAATGGAAAAGCTGCTAAAGTGTCGGTACTTTACATGCACGGATAGTCTTCCTCTGGAACCAGACATTGCTCCTCCAAGCATGCGTCCAACCAGGCACTGCTGACAAGTCTTGGGACGCGGTTTTCGGGCGAAGAATGACGACAAAACGTGGCCACAACTTGCTTTCTTACATTTTGCGTGAATTGCGAGCTGTCTTCGGGTGAGCGGTGAACTAGCACAAGGTTGCAGTCCGACAGATTCTCAACCACCGAGCCGCCAAATCCTTCGATTGTTTTCTTGTAAGAAAACGCAGCGGATTCCGTGCCGCCATAACAAGCGATGAACACCCTGTACCGCTGGAACATAAACAATGGAGCTGTGTCAAGCTCCAGAGTCAAAGGCAGCTTTTCTTCCGAGTTTTTTGTCTGTGTCGACTGCTCTAGGATGTGGTCGTATTCGACGTAGCTCAAGGGTCTACAGAAAGTGTCGCCGCACATATCGACCCTCTTCTGGCAGTTCTCGAGTAATCGGCTAGAAACGTAAAAACAATGTTTTGGCTCCAAACTCAATTGCATCCCGGAGGATATGCAATCGAAAATCCAGCTGGGGTCGATAATGTCGTAGCCTCTGTCGAACAAAGAAATGCATTCAATCGTAGCTCTGCCTCCAATCACAAAAAGGTTTGGCAAGTTCTCAGGCCTAACGGTCATATTATGCATCACAGCACCGCCATGTTTGGTTACGTGGCTTGCGATCATACTTTTATCGTAGCGGCGCCCAGAAGAATCCACGTAGTCGCCCAAAATGTAAAACTGCAAGCCTTCGAACAAGTTGCTTTCCTTCGATTCGGGCCCCGCTCCTTCACCTTCTAATTTATCCCGCCGGCCGACCTTACGTGTTTTCTTCTTTCTTGGCGACAATTGATGAGCTCTCCTCTTGTATGTGTAGTAATTATGCGCGATCTTGGCCTGAAGATACTGAGCTAGGGTCGCACAGGTAGTCCAGTCTTTATCGTCTCTAATCTGCCGGCAATATGCACCATGCAGGGTACTTCCAGCCTTGTATTTCTTACCCGAGAGCTGATTATTGTCAACAGATCTTGCTTTAACCTCTAGAACAAGCGACATGCGAGGATCAATCCACTCGACAGGAGTCTTCGAACCAAACTCTATCAAGCTTGTTTGAGGAGGATTTGTTGTGAAAGATTTCCAGCAGCCTCTGGTTTTCCGTTCGATCTCTTTGAATTCGGCGTCAGACACGCCATTGGCTACATTACAAAAGGACAGAACTTTCAAATTGGTGGCAATATCAGGGTCCTCTGTACTTGACTTCAGCAGCCCTTCATTTTGGCCGACCAGATCTGAGTTAGTGACGAGACCGCACATGAGTGAATCCTTTTTGCCAGGATCTCTCCCAATGATGATCAGGTCCATGTTCTCGCCAAGGTCTTCGAAATATTCGGGTTTTATTTTGATCCAATGGTCATTTCGAGCCCCGATATCGTACGTACAAGACTTTTGTTTGAGAATAAGACCCTCGGACCCCATTTCAATCGCTTTTTGTAGCGATGTTTCGATGGCATGGTGATTTGTGCATTCAAGTGCTGAAACAACCTCCACGGCTTCTGCCACAGGTGTGATGATTTGCTTGAGATACTCCTTACGAGTATGCAAAGGCAACTTCGTGAGTGAAACCCCATTGAGGTAGACAAGATCGAAAATCATGTAAAGAGGACGGTATCCTTCGCTATCGATACTAGAGCTGGAATTAATCATTTCCTCAACCGCTGCTGATTTAACAATACCGAATGGAAGTACCACTTTTTTTTCCTTATCAAAGCTCACCATCTCTCCATCCAAAACGCAATCACGCACTTCTTCACGTAGCTTCAAGAATTGCGAGATGACCCCGCGCTCAGTGTTTTCTCCATACAGGTGAGTGTAGTCTGTGCCCCGTCTGCTGAAGAAACGCAAGCGAGAACCGCTATCCATATAATGAAGTTGTATGCGCTCGCCATCTAGCTTCTCTTCTAAAAAGAATTCATTTTTGAGCTTGACACAAGCCTTTTCATAAGATATGTGGAGCCTTTTCGCAAGATGAGGAGCAAAAGCGTGGCCAATGTTAATTGAAAGCTCCTTGCGTCCTAACCTCATGGAAGGATCCCAAAGCTTGTGGGCAAGAACTTTCAAATCTGAGACTACGCTCAAGTAATCCTGTGCATCTGGATGCCAGCAATTCAAGAACTTGTGCTCTAGGCCACCAATAACTCTGACCTTTAGAATTACATCAAAGAAATATCTCATCTCTAGGAATGTCATGTTCTGTAAGCAATACTTGAAGGAAGGCGAGTCTGATAGTCCTGTGAACCCCCATTTTCTTGTGGAAGCCTCTTTAGATAGCTCATTCAACACTTCGTTCAACTTGTCGATGGACATAGAAGATGTAATTTCGGGCTCTTTCCTTCTTTTGGCTACTTCCTCAACACAAAACGTAGACAAATTACTGCCACGCGCCGCATATTGCTTCCAATTGATTAGTCTTTTCTCAGTGAGAGAATCTCTTGGTAAGTTGAGCGACTTGCAGATCGCTTTGATCAAAGTAAAGTCCTTGATATTGTATGTCCTTATGTCCCTGTAAGGCAAAATCAATCGAAGTACTGGAAAAAAGTCATCGCCTACTGTGGTACGCCAAAGTTTGATGAAGTGAATGATAACCTCAATGTACTTAACGGAGGCAGATTTGCCAAATTTGACGCGGTTGGTGTTAATGCTGTCTAGCCTTGCGAACAATTCAACGCATAGCCATCGAAAATCTGGGGAAGGAGCGAAATTTTTGGGCTTATAATCGTCACTGAGCTGAGAAGAGTTGTTTGACAACTGGCCAGCAGAATCGTCCATATGGAAGGGAGCTCATCGCTAACACTAGCAGTCTGTATTGTGCAAATGGAGTTCAGTATCTTAGGGTCTGGTTAATGAAAGACAACCTGGTCGCTCAGTACGTGCAACAGGCTCTGTCCTAAAACCAAAGCTACATAAAAAACTCTATCTTACTGATTTGACCACTCCGCGTGGCTTGTTTCTAAACCTTGCAAAAATTCTATTTCATGGAGAGCCCCTCCAAGTGTCCTTGTGCTTCAGAAACCGGATCATTGATACCACCTTTTTCAAAAGGATGTTGAGGATGGTCCTCCTTATCTTCACAATCGCTCTGTTCTTCATTTTTATCATCCTCGTCCTCTTCCTCCTCGTAGATCACATTTCCTAAACTGTCAAATTTGACAGGTTTACTACTTTGAGGTCCATCTGAATCTTCAAATTCCTCGTCACTATGGCTGTTTTCCTCTTCCTCATCCGATTCCTCATCTGCGTGGGCCCTATTGACATTGCCTGTCATCCAAATATCGTCGTCCAGACTACGTTTCTTGCGCTCTTGCGCTTCTCTTTCGATCTGCTCCAGCCATGCATTTTCAGCGGCCTTGACAGAATCCGAGTCCGTGCATTTCTGATACATTTCTAGTAGCTCTTTATTGAGTTCCAAGAACCCTAGTCCCCATGAAAAATGCGATAGGAGCTCTGCGGCCAGGTCCATGCGGCCAACAATAGCGAAGCATGCGGCAAGGGCTTCCACACAGTTGAGTCTCCAGGGACGGCCGTAGTTGACCTGGTTCGCCGCCACCAAATACGGCAGCAGTCTCTCGTGCTTTCCACCTATTTTGTTGAAAGGTATTTCCTCCAGTCTAGCCCACGAACACTCCACCACTGCAGCGCCGTTTTCTTCCACGGTTTGTAAGTCGTTGGGACACACCACACCCTTCCCGTTAGGAGATACCACGATGCCCTGAAACTTCTGACCAACACGTAGTGATTTGATCAAACCCAGTCTTTCCAGCTTCTTACCACTGCATCGCTTGGGATCGCACTGGTCAAAATCCCACATAGCCAATTTCACTGGGAAGTTTTTGCCGCCTCGGCCAGCTCCATGTTTTGTTTCCGCATGTTTGTGGCGTCCTGCATGACCACCAGAGCTTGTCTTGGCGGACCCACCCGATCTCGAGTTTCCTTTTCCTCTCTCACCTTTGCTCATCGACTAAATATGATATACTTAACCAGACCTAAACCAGACTGAAAAAGAAGTTGCTGAACGTAGGTATTATAGAAGAAGAAGCTAGAAAGAGTGATTGGCCAGCGTCAAGTACTTTCTGATTCCTTCGAGGTGTCTTTCCGTAGCTAAAAGTCGTATCCAGATCCGACTTTTAGTTCTTGTCTGATCGTAACCTTGAATTTGGGCAATTAAGCGAGAGTCGAGAATTGACAAGAGGATTGACAAGAGGATTGAGGAAAGATCGGACTTGATATAAGGCTAGAGGATTGGAAAGATAATCGATTAGAGGATTGATGAGAGAAGTCACGAGACAAATAAAGCTGTGAAATAGGTAAAATATACGTATGGCACAGATGGTGGCAGGATATACATTCTGACTATATACTTCAGATCTAATGTTGAAGCGTCGGATTCGAAAGAAAAATGAAGTGTAAATTCTCTTTTTGGCAATTTATTGCTCGCACTAATTTGTATCCTTAATCATTGCAGACAGCGCGTTGGAAAAAGTGAACAAAATAAGATTGTAAAACAAGACTTAATTAAAGCCCCTGAGAACAGCTAACAACGCTCCCCGCACGTCTTCAACTGCCTTCCTACTATAAATCTTATGAGGTCAACATATATAATATCATTGTAGACGGTTGAGTCGCTTGCCCAACAAGGTATCACTTTGTACTTGAAAGTCGCCGGGCGCTCGAAACTTCGTCCACCAGGTAACGTCGTAATCCCTAGGCATCGAAAAGCGCTGCTTTAAGCCCGTTATATGCATCATTGCATAATATAGTTTTGCTCATAATCAAATGTTCTCGACAGTACCAACAAAACACTTCAACTGGCTTCTGAAACTCAAACTCTAGCTACTTTCATACCAACGACAGACGTTCTTTAGACTGTATTTATCACTACCTGGATTCCCGGAAAGCAGAGATTGACCTTTACCTTGCTTTCTTCCATTTTTTGTTCATTGCAAATTTGTTTTAATCGTCCGTTATGCGTTTGTCTCATTTCTCACAATCTTCCAGTCTTTCCTCAAAGCCTCGACACTTGGCATCGAGCTCTAAAATGTGCCTCTTGTACAAATCAGTGACCAGTTCGAGTTCACTAATTCGTGTCTTAAGCTTAATCACCTCTTCCTGACCTTGCAGCAGACTAATAAGAGAAGCGCTTGAGGGAATTGCTGCCTCATCGGAGTTTTGTCGGCTTCCACGCGACGAGCTGATATGCATATCCGCGTTGACGCTGTGTCCGATACCATTGCGCTGTTGTACTTTCCCTGCATCTTCGCGGTGTTGATTAATGCGAGCGCCCTCATGTTCGAGACGCTGGCGTTGTTGCTCGGCATCATATTCATTAGAGGTTCTCGCTTTCAAATTGGCATGGCTGCCTGCGCTAGTAGAAACACCCATGGCGAAGCTTGTCTGCGAGTCAATAGGTGGAGGTGAATTAGACGTTTGAGAACCCGATTGAAGCTGGGATGCGTTCCTTTCTTCTGAGTTACCTTGACGCAACACCTGGGATACAGGGCCATTGAAAGATAAATTATGTGCACCAGGTGACTGTGCTCTTGATGCGTTGCTGCTGCCTGGTCTTCTAGCGTCCAATGGGTTAGTGTAAGGGCCTGGCGACTCGTTTTTGGGCTTTTGGTTATTCAGAATCTCGTTGATTGAAGCCATGTGCATCTGTGGAACTTGATTGCCCTCACCTGCCAATCTACTTGGGTTGACTCGCTGTGTCGCGATGTTCTGATAACCACCATCTAGCGCTTGTCGATCGTGCTCTTCGAATTGCCACTCTAAAGCGGTTGGTGGAAGAGGACGACTCAAGTCCGATGGTAAAACAGCCCCAGAAGGCCTGTTGGATAGCGAAGGTTTGCCGCCGTTACCAGAATTCTTTGGTGAAGTCAAAACCTGCGGTTGCGGCTGCGGCTGCGGCGGTGGCGACGACAGACCCCGCTGCTCCTGCATATGGTGTTTCAAAATCTCAGGGTCTAGAGACGAAGCCGGTATTTCCTGTATTTTCTGCGCCAGTGATTGAGATTTATCATCAGCGCTTTTCACGGACTCCAGCAGAATCGATAAATGTGGCAAGGGCCCACTGGCCTGTGATGGAGTAGACGTCTTTGGCGGAGGAACAGCTGCTCCAAGTTGTGAAGGAGACAGTGCTTGATTTGCGGGTATTATTTTGCGCCAGACATGCATGTTTCCGACGGCTGCGGGGCCTCCGTGGTTCGGCGTACTGTCGCCTGGCTGTGATTCTGGCAATTTAGGCATCTGGCGAGACCTCTTTTCAAACTGCAGAATAGTCTCCAGCGTTTCTGCCGCGTTTATCTCGCGAGGATCATGAACCTTACGCTTTTTGGTCTCTTTTTTGCGTATATCAGCTGGCGATTGATGCAGCATAGTTGGTGTCGAGTTGGTAGCCGAATGCGCACTTTTACGATTTCTGGACTTGATCACGTCTGTTTTGAGACTGATGGGTCGAGGACGACCGTGCAGTTTGAGAAACAGCCCGCATGCGTTACAAAGAACCGCACCGTGCTCACTTCTACGCCAAAGCGGCGTTGTCAGCGTGTGACAGTTTTTGCAAACAGGGCCCCCATTGGGCTTTAGGGTAGATTGGGCTGCGGAATCAGGCACGTTTCCAGCTGTTGGTGGCATCAGAGCAACACTACTTTCCGTCATAGCACTGCGAAACACGACTTTTAGTTCCTTTTTAGAGATTTACGCCCAGAAGATCCCACAATTAAAAGCCTCCCACAATGTGCAGAACGAAGTAGAAGGTCTGCAGACTTGTGATGCTGCTTTTTCTAGCTTCGATCTCTCTTTTTCTGCAAATACCAGAAAATTTTCAGGTAAGCTTCCCGAAAAGAAGATGCTCCAAACTCAGAGTAGCTATCGAGAAGACCTCAGAAAGAGTTTTCAAAGTCTTGTACGCGGTTTGATCTGCACAAAATCCTTCAAAATTTTGCGAAAACTATAGCTATCGTCGAACTTCTGTTTTTCACTCAAATATGCTCAAAACTCAGTCAAAAATGCGCCTATAATCACCAAAAAACGCACTTTCGTAACTCTCTTGATCGCTATAGTTGAACCAGAGCTTCTAAACCTGCGCAAAACCTCCTTTTGGTTGATTGTTGTGGGTTTGGTCTGATGAATATTTCTTGATTTTTAAACTTTGCATTATTGAAATCATTAACTTTTATTAATTGATATCACCCATCATTTTTCACCATGAAATAGTATGCTTATCTTATCTGAAATTTAACACGATGGGTAACACGATGGATAATCTAGCGAGTCACATTGACCTTGAAAGGCTTGGCCACATGATGTGTGTATGAGGGCTACCGATTCTGCTCGCTTTATCGCGATTTGCCGCTTCTTTGGGTCTCGTAGATAGACAGACAATCCTGATAAAGAGTGACCGGTGCAACTTTTCGGATTAGTTCTTGAGCCGATGATTTGGATTAAGGCCGTGACGATGGTGCTAGTAGCTGTATTCGGGGGCACGGGGATGGCTATTGGTGATTAAGGCTTTCCCTACAGGATTCATGACAAAATCGGATAAGGTTTCCATGAGAACAGGTCGTATTTGGTGGAAAATTCGGGCCTGGGAGTTGTGAGAGTTGTGTTTTTTGATTCGATCATGTTGGGTATGTTGCGATAGGTTCTCCGCAGCTCTTGTCACAGGGCTGACAGATTTGCGTGAGTAGATAGATGACGGCTTCTTGATTGCTAACTGATTCTGATTTGCCGGGTTTTGGGACGGCCACCGATAGCGAAGAAATCCAGGCCGTCACACGGAGAAGGAAAGTGTGTGTGACAGAGGCCTGTCTGCATGCTGTAGTGTGACGGGGGGTGATTTGCGGCGACGTGCGGCGAAGTGGAGGGGAATTCGGTGGTGTAATGGCCTCCAGTGAGACCTGGGGTTGTGAGTATGATCGGCTATGGAGGTAGTATCGGATCGGAGGATGGATGAGTTTGTTGAGAAGGAGGAATGGAGCTCTGACCACTGTTTTCGTTGGCCGCAATCGTAGCAAGCATTCGTGGCAACAGTTTCGGACTATCAATAGGTTTGGGGTCATTTACGGATGTCTCGGGTCATTTTTTAATGGTTTTTGGTGCCACACTGGACTGATGCTGGATGAGTCATGCAAATTTCGGCGATCCCAGCACTACAACGAGCTATTTGATCGGAATTCTGCCTTTTTTAGCCCTCGATTGATAGCTTCAACAAAAGGCAGGCGTTTTCTCAATTAAGGTGATTGCCTATACTAGAAATGTGGACTTTGATCGAGTCCACATGATGCTGCAGATCCGCAATGAGTAGCATCGGCGGCTGCCTCGTAATAATAGGCTGGTGGGAAGGGCATCGATTCTCCCATGTATAGACTCAAGCTGGCAGGTTACGCACTGGTAATATTTCGTGTCCTTGAATCCACCATGATAATTCCCATTGGTCGGAAAAGACTCTTTTGAGTATAAAAACTGACATTTTCACCACAAGAAACCTGTTTGATATCGGAATCGAAATATTGAGTATCTGACGTCAAAGGTCGAATAACGCCCTGTTTGCTAATATTCCCCATGCAAAACATTTCTCCAGGCCCGAAAAGTAGCTGATTTGAATCCTATTTCAACACTCTGACGCTAGCTATGCCATCGAGAGTACTGTTCACCATTCATGACTCACACGAACATTGCAGGGTGGTGCTTTTCGTTTTGAGAATCTTTACCACTGTTTTTTCAAGAGAATTTTGGAAGTCTAGACGAACATGTATGGCTTGAAAAGGTGCCCGGTTGGTAGAAACATAAGCTCTCTGCTTTGGGATATTTGTCAAATCTTAACGACAGCTCTACAAGAGCTGTGATGAAAACTGACGCAAGTAAGGATTGGAAATGACAGCCTTTCAAAATTTCGCTCATTCCTTCGACTACGTTGCTCCTAAACTACCCCAAAATTCAAGCACACGTTCAAAGGCACGACTGGTCAAATCTACCATCAAACCCTTTCGCTTAAATGGTGAGTATAGGAAAGATTGTTGTAGGAGAGATTGTTGGTCATAATTCTTATTTAGCCCTAGTGTCAGTGTTTAACCACCAGCGAAACCAGTATAGAAAAACCGGATGTTTCACCATTCACTGTTAGTCTCGTGAACATTCACTACGACATTTGGCTTAATTCCTTTCGCGTTAAACAGTCAGAGCTGTCAGATTGCGATTTGTATTAAATATGTTATTTACACCAGCTACAGGTGAGTTTCCGAAGAGCTTGAAATTCCTGTAAAACCATCTCTTTTAACTCATTGCAATTGATTACTTTAAAGCTTCCATCAAGCCTCTAATTCGAAGCCCTTTCCCATTTGGTTCCGCTATCTTGGTGAACTGTCGTATTTATAGGGCATTCTATTTAATATTAAAATGTTTTGCGTATAATTAGGAGAATGGCTCGAGCACATCGCATAGTCCAAACAGTATCCTCATCAAAGCATTCTGATATGGGAGGCGAGCAGCACGATGACGCCCCTGGGCGCTCAAAACCTGGAAGTTTTCAAGGCGCGCTTATTCCTGGCGTTTCCGACGCTAGGGAACTAAACAGCGACGAACAGCAAGATACGGAAACTGAACTGGAACAAGAATCACAGCAGCAGGACGGGCTTTTAGTTGGAGACGATCATGATGCAGAAGCACACTTGAAGAACCTTAAATTCCAAGGTGTGCCCAATTCATCTATCAAGCAACGCCCAGATGGACCCGAAAATGAAGAAGTAACGGGACAAAGCAACAACGGCGTCAAAAAGAACAATCGTCAGGAACAGTTTTCCGAATGGCGTAAGGAAATGAGTCAGGCTTTCAAAAGATTCTCTAAGCTGGCTGGAAGACGAAGCTCACGGCCAGAATCGGCAAAACACATAAAACCGCCGCTTTCGCAAAATTCAAGTCCTGAGGATGAGTATACGCAAAGTTTGGCGTCCGATCTTATAGATACCCTGATTGCTGGCTGTCCTGCAGCGCTATTTGCTAGCTGTCTTTTTCTTCGCGACGAACATGGCGTGAGAAGAGCCCCTATGCTTCTGGCGATGCTAGGAGTAAAAGTGACACCTTCAAGCGGACATGGAAAAACAGAAAACAGTGGTAAAGATCACAATCGGTCAGAACACGGTAATTCAGATGGTCAGAACAACAACCTCAGGTTCAAATTGGAACTCGAGTACGGAGTAGGCTACAATCGCATGAAATGGTCGGTTGTCAAATCTTATAAGGACCTTGTCTCGCTCCACGCCAAATTGAAATTGATGTCGTTTCAACAGAGTGCAATCAACAAGTTTCACATTGACAACAACAACTTCAAGTATATGCATCTGCCACATTTTCCTCGTTTCGACGACGCCGCTAAAGAGGCAAACGGCTCTATGATCAGTGTTTCGTCTCATGAAAGCTCTATGAACAGATCAGACGAAAATGTGGTCAACAGGCTGCCAAGCTCACAACGCAGCCATGAGTTTGAAATACGGAGGTTTCGCATGAGGCACCTGCAGGATCTTCTTGCTGAGCAGGACGATACCACGCACCCAATGCATGTGAGGCTTGAGCGGTATTTGAAACTATTAAATCTTGCTCTTTGTCTCAGACCTCAGTCTAACCGTCTCTTCCAATTTTACGAACTATCTCCCATCGGCAATTTACTCAGCTACGAGAATGGGTATCAAGGAAAACAGGGATATATGGTTGTGCGCTCAACTGCAAGCACACAGGGATGGAGAGTTTCTCACTTGAAGCTGCAAGATCTGCAGGCCATGATCGAAAGACACACCAACAAATGGTTTCTTGTGAGGCACTCATATATCCTCTATGTCTCCGATCTCCACTCTACTACGCCATTAGAAGTCTTCTTGGTGGACTCTAACTTTCAGATTAGGGTTCTAGGGGAACTCGGTACTGTGCCAGACGATTATAAGGATTTCGATCCCATGGGAGACGACACCAAAAAGTTGTCAACCAAACTGATGATAACTCTAGAAAACAGTGAGCGAAAAATACAGGTGCTTGTGAAATCGGAGTTTCAACTTAGGTTGTGGGTCGCGTCGATCTCAAAGATGGCCCAATCCACAATTTGGTCGCAGAAGAAAAGGTTTGATAGTTTTGCGCCTATCAGAAAGAACTGCTTTTGCAAATTTTTGGTTGACGGGAGAGACTATTTTTGGGCTTTGAGTGAAGCTCTCACGATGGCACAGGACGTTATTTTCATACATGACTGGTGGCTTTCACCCGAACTGTACATGCGCAGACCAATTCAAAATAATCAAGGGTTTCGAATCGATAGAATTCTGAAGGAAAGAGCGGAAAAAGGTGTCAAGATCTTTATTGTTGTTTACAGAAATGTTGGCAGTACGGTGGGTACGGACTCTTCGTGGACTAAGCATTCAATGTTAAGCTTGCATCCTAACATTCATTTGATCAGATCTCCCAATCAATGGCTGCAAAATACGTACTTTTGGGCTCATCATGAGAAGTTCACGGTCATTGATCATAGCATAGCTTTCATGGGAGGCATAGATCTTTGCTACGGAAGATTTGATACACCAGAGCACGTTTTAAGAGATGATAACGCGGACTTAAAGAATCAAATCTTTCCTGGAAAGGATTATTCAAATGCTCGAGTTTGCGATTTCTACGACTTAGATAAACCATTTGAGTCGATGTATGATAGGAATGCAGTCCCTAGAATGCCTTGGCACGATGTTCATACTATGACCATCGGCCCTGCTGCTCGCGACATGTCTCGTCATTTTGTGCAGAGGTGGAATTACCTTTTACGTCAAAAACGTCCAAGTAGACCAACGCCTTTGCTAACTCCACCGAGCGACTTTACAGAAGTCGAAATGGAAAACTCTCCATTGTTTCAAAGCATAAAAGATCGATCGACTTGCGAGGTTCAAGTTTTGAGAAGTGCAGGGAGATGGTCTTTAGGATTGAAGAAAACGGAGCACTCCATTCAAAATGCTTACTTGAAATTGATTGAGACGTCGAATCATTACGTCTACATGGAGAACCAGTTCTTTGTCACAAGCTCTAGTTGGGATGGTGTCGTCGTCGAAAACAAAATTGGCGATGCTCTCGTGGACAGGATTATAAAAGCCAATAGTGAAGGTAAGGCCTGGAAAGCTTTTATCGTCATCCCCTTGATGCCTGGCTTCGATTCACCCGTCGATAAGCCTGAGGGATCAAGCGTGCGAGTTATCATGCAATGTCAATACCAGTCGATCTCCCGAGGAGAGTCATCTATTTTTGCCAGACTCAAAAAGCTCGACATTGACCCGCTGCAGCATATTCAATTTTTCTCTCTGAGAAAGTGGTCCGCTTTGGGCAAGAATGACCGGCTAGTCACCGAGCAGCTTTATGTGCACGGCAAGGTTCTGATTGTTGACGATAGATCCTGTATCATCGGTAGTGCCAACGTCAATGAAAGATCAATGCAAGGAAACAGAGACAGCGAGGTTGCCGCTATAATCAGAGACACTGACTTGGTAGAAACCAAGATGGGCGATGAGCCGTACTTGGCTGGTAGGTTCGCATGGGAGTTGAGGCAAAGGCTGATGCGAGAGCATTTAGGTTGCGACGTAGATTTAGTCGAAGTTGTGGAGAGAAAGTTCGGCAAGCTCGAGCAGCTCGCAAGGCTAAATTACGAAACATTGCACTTGCTGCAAGGCGAAGGGCATAGTAAATCGGCCAAAATTGAATCCGCGATCATTGAAGTAGCTTACAGAGAGGTTATGCTTACAGACGCGAGTGATTCATGGAGGGAGAAGTACGGCTCAAAGGTGAGTAACTATGGACTTGTAAATCACAAGTATGAGGACATTGATGATACCCCGAGCTTCGAACAGGAGGAGGAAATTGAGAAGAAATCCAGACTGCCATGTGCAGAACACGACCATGACGGAGACCTGTCTTGCTTGAGCCATTATCACTCGTTCAACAATAGAGCAGGAGAGGCTAATTCGGGAATTCGTGATAAGAAACCAATAAGCACAGATTCGCGATTGGTAAATAATACGGTTCATGAGGCCGATGTGGACGGTCTTGGCCTTGATGAATGGAAAAAAGTCACACACAAGCTGAAACAGAATGTGACTGATAAGTTACGCTCCTGGGCAGAAAAAGTTCTTTCCACGCAACTTGGTCAAAATAGTAAGAACAGACGTACGGATTCATTTTTGCCCGATCGGAATGATGTGGAAGACTACATGAGTGATTCCAGTGTTACTGTTTCCGAAAAATGGGATATGCTAAAACGTATATGCTACTTGCAGTATCTGTCGCACAAAAGTGAGCAGAGAAAACATTCATCAAATTCAGGCCAACTCTCAAGCTCGAGAAATTCCAAAAATTCTTCTGGTCCGCTTTCAGAATCTCCTGAAGTGAGCGATGTTGGATCTCCAGCAAGCCATGTGAGCGCTGTGCAAGACCATGAACTAGATGACGAAATCATAAGCGATATGCTGGCCCAACTTCTCCCTCCTATTGGAAATCACGGCCCACGCAAGCAAAGCTTTCTGAAACTCAAATTTATAGATCCATACACCTTCGAGGATCCTCTGTGTGATGCATTCTACGAAGACATGTGGTTCGCAGTTGCCCTGCGCAACACGATGCTGTTTCGCTTGGTGTTCCACTGCCAGCCCGACAACTCGGTGCAGACGTGGCGCGATTACAAAGACTTCAATCGTCTCCACGAGGAGTTTGATCGCGGGCAGGACGCACTTATCAATCTCGAAAGAGACGCACCACCTCGTGCACGCTCGCACGGAGACGACGAGGAATCCTCGTCTACAAGGACTGCTGAGAAAAGTGCGAACGGCCCAGCGCCACCAGCTAATTCTCAATCAGCGTCTAACGCTAATTACAGGGGTCGCTCTCGTGCACTGAAGATGAAGCTCTCGAGCAGTGTGCTTTACGGATCCAACCAGCGTCTTTTTGACAAATACACTGCACAGCGGATTCTTGAGAGAATCCACGGCCATCTAGTCATTTTCCCCACCGACTGGCTTGCTCGAGAGGTTGAGTCCAAGAACTGGTTTTACAGTACAGACAGGCTACCGCCCATTGACATATACGATTGAGCATCAAATTGTGGAAGTGTTCAAGATGACAGAGAGAAACGACTCGAGCTTTCGAGAAAAATTGAGTCTCAAAGCACAAGGCTAAAGACGCAAGGCGCAAGACACAAAGCACTGTGATTTCTCGGCAACCCAGTTACTACTTCAAGAGACTTAAACGTTGCTGCATACTGGTTGTCCAGCTCAAGAGCCGGAATGTTAGTATGTATCTACGATCAATGATTCAAGCGGCTTAAGGCTGTGAAAACAAAATCCAGACGTTGTGTGGGACAATGACTATTCCAATGGTTATCGAACATCGCATTTGTGGTTATCTGTTAAGTAATATGGCGTCAAACTGTTCTTTTCATGATATGATGATGAAATATTAGCCATAGTTTTCTTTGCAGATATGATAAGATAAGGTCAATTTGGATCAAACTTGATCAGAAATGATCAATGATATGAAAGTTGCTTGAAGTTTAAGTCAAGGAAAGTCCGTTGAATATTGATAAAGGCAGAACCAGACCTTGTAGAAAGCAAGCTACTTCTTGGCTTTTCAAGCAACTTCGTAGCCAAAAAATTGATGAAATTAATGGCAATCGAGGTTGCACCAGCCGAAGTGAAGGGTACGGGCTATCAAGTTGGATATTCCGGTATTAAAGAGGCTCAAAGTCACTATGAGAGGCCGCACCACGTACAGCGATCCCGCCCGCAACACTGATACTGATGTGGGCAATACAAGCGAGCTTTCAGCCATGTTCAGTGCGGACAATCATTATAAGCAGAAACGAGTACCCCTACTGCGTACAACTTCACTCAAACTTCCAAATAAACAGCTCTACACAGTGAAGGAAAATAGCCATGAGGAGCCAGCTATCCCCAGCACAAATGTCTCTTACCATGCCTCGAAATTGATGGCGAACCGTCAGCGAAGTTCGGCAGCCAGCTTGCTCTATACAAACGTGAAAAACAAACGCAACAGCAGTAATCTTTCTTTGAAAGATATGCACAACAGCTCCACTGCGTCAAGTGGTCACAGCTCCGTCTCAAGCACCTCTCGTCCGGCATTGAATGTTGTTATTCAGGATCCAAAAAATAGCATCGCAGATGCACCGTTGCCAGCTACCCAAAATAACCCTATCAATCATTATCAATTTGCCCGCAACATGGCTACCAGACCTAAAAGCACTGGTACGGCTTATTTGGCGGCAGACCGTGCAGGCTCGACAACCTCTCTCAATGTAGAGCTTCGACCGCACAAAACCAACGCAAACACGTCTGGATCACAGGGCTCAACCCTGTGGCCCCATCCCGTTCATATAAAACCGGGTGGTCATCTCTCGCAGGCCGAGAAGACCTCCACCTTGGGAGTGGCTGGCACAAATGGCGACCACACTGTCATGTCTTTGGGTAAGGATGCAGCAGGTGAGAACGCGCTTTTAGAGACTCAGATCGAGACCGCAATGAGTGAAGAACTCTTCTCAAAGGACTATGTTTTTGATAATTGCTTCGATGACATTATACAAGACACAGCGACTGGTGGAAATGATAAATTTCGCAGTGCTGCGAGCTCTAATCAGTCCCCCCTCACGCGAATGCCAGCCAGAAGACTGTCTAAGACTGATTCTGCGACGCTGGAGGACTTTCAGCACGACCTACTGAATAGGTCGAGTGCAGGGTCGCAGGACACGGCCTATACGTCTCGTCTGCAGATGAAGATGGAAACCATGAAAAACCGATTCGACAGTTTCGTGACGAATAATGACTCTCTGGGCGCATCCGGTAACTCTACTGCGATACACCAAATGGATGCTTGCTCCCATGAAAGTGACAACTCTATCCTTTTCACCGTCCCGAATGTTTCAAAGTCTGTGATAGATATTTACCGCGAAAAGAACGATGAAGCGGTCGCAGGCGACCCTAAGGTACAGTTTCCAAAGTTCTGGTTCCACCATGATTTGAGAACAAAGCTTTTGACAGAAGAACGAAGTAATCAACTGAGGACTATCGAACGGTTCTCTTCATCAGGGGCAGCGGGCGAGAAAGTGGTAACTTCTAGAATAAAGTCTTTATCACAGGAGGGATATCTCACGGACCTCAGCGAAGTCAAGAAAGGTAAGATTAACCGTGCAAGAGGGTTAGGTACTGAGACGCCTGTTTTAACCATGACGAATGCTCTGGAACACTCAGAATTTGAACAACTTTTCTTGAGCACTAGAAATTTTATTTCATCAGCAGAAAACTCAGAGGCCGTGCTTGATCCCGAAAAGATGTATTTGAAAGAACAGATTCTTTTTGGGAAAGCGGTTTTTAATAAATTTTGGCGCGACGCTGAGCAGATCGAACTTATGCAACTCAGTCTTCCCGGTTCAAGTGTTCAGCAGTCTGGGGATGAAACTGCGACGACAAAAATTGATGGCGGATCTGCTTCTTCCCATATTGATCGGGTCTCCGATGCTGGAATGCCTTTCTCAGTCCCTCCAAATCTTCTACGGCAAGCGAGCCACTGAAAACTGAAAACATATTATAAGGAAATGTCACCGAACCCGCACAATTCGAAAAATCGAAACAAAGTATGCCATTAACATTCCCGTAAAACTTCTAAGGCCAACAATTCACCAGTTAATGATAATCCTGAAATTGACTGCGTTCGTCTGCGACAAAATAACAAAGAAAGCAGGCAGAAATACGAGAAAAAAAACCCGTAATGAAGCTGTCAAACACAACAACCCACTCAGATGGATAAAGCCTGAACCAGGTCTCTGAATAGCAACGCCTTTGCATAATAAATTGTCATATTTTCGAGCACTTTTTCCAACGAAAGTCAACAACGAAAGTCAAACAATGTAAGGAGATTGAAAATTACCAGCTCAAACAATCTCTATCAGTGCTAGAACACTATCAAATCCATGCATTCCAAGAGTCCTTCAGTCTCTTGAAAGTCTCGATGACACACTCACACGTATACGTCCAGTATATACAACCGTTAATTCTACTCGATAATGATATCACTATATACGTATGTCAAATCTTATAACAGATCTGTTCGAGAATGACATAAAACTTGACCGTCACCAATCGAAGCATTCGTTTTGGCACATTAGCAAGATATAATCACTCCACCTGTGTTTGCTTGACGGGGATGCTAATTTAGACACCATAGACCCGACAATTTCTCTTCAAGCCCGATTTCAACTAGTGGTTTAGCTAGCCTGCATGGTGCGTGCTGAAAAGTATCGGAAATCTGTCGCCGCGAGTGTTGAGATAGAGCATGGCCCATTAGGATTGTCAAATATCAACGTTAAAGTGGGCAACTCGAGTGTTGTGGGAATCGGAGCTTGTACTTCTCGAGTAAACGGCCATTCCTGGGGATTGTTGCATTTCAATGAAGAGTCAGACCTGAGTCCCGCAGAATTCAAGCTTTACTGTATTTTGCAGGAAAACTCACAATTAAGGATCGATTTCGTGAGGATCGAATTGCATTCGCTTGATGAACAGGTCGTCCCATGGGAAGGTGCAGAACCCGAAGATCCAGATTACGAGGTTCCAAAATTAGTCTTTGAAGGTTCTCGTCCAGGAAGCGAAGATTGTGAAATTGCACCATTTGTAGGAGCGCTAGTTTTCGAGTAATGTAGTATGTGCCAATTATCTGTTCTTTCATGATATGTCTCGAGCTTCCGTATTTCTAGTTTCCGTAAGTAAGAGTCTCACATTATGCGCTCCGATGGTGGTCTTACCTTGGCTTATTACGACTTTATCAATAGGTGCGAAAGCTGAAGGCCTGTGACAGATCTATTCCGATTATGCTGACCACATACAGTCCAGCGAAGAATATCGTAGGCAGCAAAATAAAGTTGACGTTCTTCAAAAATGGCAGCTGGCTATACCCATAAAACGAAAGTACGAAGTACTGGCCGAAAGCGACGCAATACAGTGTGTTCCCGACGAAAAGGCCTATCCAGCGGTGTAGCTTGATGACTGGTAGTAGAATAAACTGCACCAAGTACAGCAAACACCAAACCACCAAAAAAGCGTTGCAATGCACGTCAAAACAGTAAGCCCACTCAACACGCGAGTTTTGCGCGGATCTGAACTTGAAAAAGGTTCGATTCAGTACCAACCAAAACAATGTAGCTACGGCAAACCCAAATGCAAAGAAGTCCACCAAAATCATGTTTAGCATCATCCTAACAAATCCTAAAAATGAATGTCCATAGACTATTGACCATACCAACGAGCTGACTGACAAAAGTCCGATCTGCAAAATGAAAAACGAGGGATCATCTCGCGACCACCGGTTTCGGGTTTGTCTTTGATAATAAAACGCTCTATGTGCTTTTCGTGGTTTAAAGACGAGATTGACCATTTCCGATACTGCAGATTCAAAGTCAAGATTTTTATGCGATTTGAACAGTCTTTTGAGAACTGTGGGCAATTCAGGCTTGCCATAGCTAAAATTCAAGTCTTGCGATGTAATTGGAAGCCCAGACATAATGTTATTGGGTTGAATCGACGGCCTTTTATCTGGTTTGTTCTAGCAGAGATGATGTTGATCTTTCATCATCAAGTGTATTTTAATATACAGCTCTATATAACACACGTATCATTACCAAGTCAAACTTCACAACGAAAAAGAGAATACAAGCTAGTCTTTATAAGTCGACTATAGATGTCCTTAAAGTATTTACACACGCAGTTTTTAGTTTTTAGTTTTGTCTTGTTTTCTAGGTTGATCTTAGTCCAGGTATCTATCAAAAGGCTCACCTAAAACGTTTTCAACAACCTTGACCAGCCCAGAACGAACTTCGTATTCGACTTCTTCGTCGTCGTCTTCAAGCAATTCGGCAATGATCGGCACCAGTTGAGGTAGGAACGAAAGCCAGGCCTCGCCAACTTTGGAGTAAATGGTTTTGACAGTTTTGACGGCCCATAATTTCTCGGAACTCGAGCAATTGGATTTCATGTGCGAAATCAACATCAAGTTCATGGCCTTGTTGTGTTCGTCTGCACCGGCGTTGTTCATCGCCAACGAACTGATTGCCTTGACAAGGTAGCGGCCTACAGGCTGTTCGATATTGGTCAATTGTGCGATCAAAACCTCCGAGATCAGTTCAAATCTTGACGTAGACTTCCAGTACTCTTCCCTGTCGTATTTGAAGCAAGAAGTCAGCGAGTGGAGCACCAAACGACGCAAACCTGCATCCGAGATATCACCCTTGGTGAAAGATTTCAGCAGCTCAACGGTGGGGTCCAAAAGATACGTGAAGTAAGAGGTAATGATGGCTTTGAGATGTTCCTGGAGCCTTCCGAAAAATTTGAAAAAGGCAGACAGGCGTTGGGTTTGACTAATTTTATCGTTGCTGACGCCCTCTCCATCAAACGCCCATCTTACCATGAGCGCAAAAAGCGGTCTAAAGACCTTATCGTTCAATTTCAAAACGTAGACGTTCGCAATACCGTGAACAGAAGCTTCGATGCGGCTGATCGTGTTATGGTCAAGTTCGCTAGTCGATCTAAACTCAAATAGTGCAAGAAGCAACTTGAAAAACACGGGCGACTCTGATGTGGCAGATTTCTTGTCAATTGTATCCACAGTAGACTCTAGAGCAGTCAAAAATAGAGAAAGGGCGGTGGAGTCGCTGGTTTTATTTACATCAGAAAACCAGACTTTGCTGAGAGCCCTCAAAGTTTCTTTCAGTTCAATATGCTCAACAATTAATGCAATGACGGACAAGCGAACCGAATTTTCAACCTCGCTTGAGAAAAATACCACCTTCAAGACGTCCACTAAGTTCGATAGTAGGAAAGCAGGAATTCGTTTAACCATCGCTGCAAACACTAGGATAATGGCCAACTGCAGCTGCTCCTTCACATCTGCCTCACTGTTTTCAAGCTCTTTGAAAATCTGCAATGCTGGTGTAACGATTTTTGGGTAAAATGCAATTGCCTTGACACCAAGTGCTTGAATACCACTTGTCAAAACAGCTAGTGAAGATATTTCGATTTCCATCTTATGAGACAAAAGTAGCTCACTTGATATTTTCATACCTTTTGTGATGAGTCCAGCGTCTATTCTGTCCCCGTATTTGCCGATTAAGGATTCAACTGTATTGAGAGAAACTTGAACAATGCCATCATTCTTTGAGTCTTCATCTATGATCTTGAAAAGGGCTTCGATGACTTGGTTTGCAAAAACCACAGATTCGCCGGGCTCTAGCTTGAACTTTGAGGAAAGAACCAAAATCAGATGATTTCTGATCGTATCACTGGAGCTTTCTTTTGCAAGAAGTGGCAAAGTGGCGGATGTGAAGTCTTTGATAGGCAAAAGATCTAATACGTGACCCAATATCTGGAATAGAAGTTCACGAATGTTTTCTCGTAGTTCGGAAACCTCGCCTTTAGAAGCAACCTCTTGACTTTCAAAAGGAACATCAGCGATCGTAGCCGAAGCATTCAGAGAGGTCAAGGCAGTCTTCAAGACGGCTCCAAATTTCGACTTAACCTCAACCTGAAATTGTTTGTCGCTTGAGCTATCCCATAGAGCTCCCATGATTTTCAATTTGAGGTTTCCTGTGCTCTGAAGGCCTTGTTCATCATCAAGAATAATGCTGTCGACAAATTTCAAACCGTTTCTCCTCAAAGCCAAAATCTCCATTTCAGAGGAATTCAAAACACCATTAGAGAAAAGAGTTTTAGAAGCGTTCTGAGCTTTTTCTTCTTCCGAACAGCTCTCGGAAAACGAGCTTAGCAGAAGCAGAAGCTTATGAATTCCCGCCAGTTGATTCAGAACCGAGAATTTTGCTAGGAAAGGTTTCGTAAATTCCAAAACGCTCTTGCTCTCAGAAACTTTATATTTTTGAACCGACGAAGAATACTGCTGGGCGATCAAAAACAAAAATGGCCCTAGAGCATTGGTTGCGCCAAGAGTCTTCACAAGAGTTGTGTAGAGTTTAACGCGTCTATGCCTTGGAACATGAGTAAATGCAGTGGCAAAGCTGATGAGGAGGAATTCTGTTTCCTCAGTACTGTTGCTTGATTGTTTAGATTGTAACAAAGCAGGCACGACTAGCTGAATAGTCCTTTCAACAACGTAGCTCGAGTATTCGTCATCCTGTCGAATAGTCTTGGCACCCATGAATATGAATATTGGCATCACAGAGTGTAACACTATTTCTGGACTTAGTTTGGCCAGTTCTCCAATCACCAACAAAAGCTTGTTTTGCACTTGTGGAGAGGCGGAGGACGTTATGGCCGATACAAGAACGTCTGTTCTGAGTGACCTGAGCTCCGTTTTATTATCGAGCGATAACGAAGAAATGATTGATAGCATGCAAGAGGCCAACGTTTCTTGAGCGTAAAGTACTGGGAGACCGCCATCTTGGCCTAGGGTTTCTAGATCTGAGAGTGTATTGAACAAAGTTGATAGAAGTTGCTCTGATCCAGTCGGTTTGATGTGATCTAGCGCCTCCAGAGTTAGTGTAACCTTTCGCAAATGAAGTTCGGCAATGTGTGAAACCTCTTCTCTCTGTAAAGCAACCTTGCTTGCAGAAGACCTCCGTCTTCTCTTTTTCATCAAGTCGCCCATATCCTCTTCATTGGCGTTTATGCGGTACTGCGAAAACAACGAGACAAAGATTTCCGAGGTCAAAGGTAAACCTTGCAAAAACTCAACTGAATCGTAACACAACTCTCGTTCGGCTGTGAGATCTATCACATCCTTGATAAGCTGTTGTTGGTGAGCAACCTTAAGTTTGGAGAAAATCTCTGATAGGCGGCGGGACACCAATGTCGCCAACTGTTCAAACTCGCATTTCAAGCAATCTTCAGCGAAGCGAATAATTTTCGTATTCTTCTCTTTATCAGAGATAATTGAGACAATAGCCTTTTCGAAACTTTCAAAATTTGTCTTGTTGCCGTGACACTTACTTTCCCAGTGACCTCTCTGTTCAAGATAGTTGCCAAGCATGTCTTCAAAGAGTAGTGAGTAGTTTGAACTGTAAGACTTGTGACCAGTTATGAATCGAATAAAAATCGTCTTCGCGTGTGGTAGCGGCATATGAATGGCCTGGTTAGCCCAGAAGATAGCGAAAACCTTTTCTAACTTCTTTGGTATAACCAGGCTGGTGATATTGTGGTTTTCTATCATGTAGTCCTCTAGGAATTTATTGATCCAAGACTCCGCGTCCTTTGGACTGATCATGGGGATATTAACATCTCCGTACAGCTTATTAGACAGAAAGTAGTGCTTAGTGAATGGTCTTTTGGCAATTTGGTACAAAATGCGTTTAACTGCTGTCCTCACATTCTTAGAGGTATCATGTAAGGCTGCGATGAGAATTGGCACTAAACTGAACAAGTTAGAATCTTGACCGATCTGATGAATGGATTTGGAAAGGTTGGATAAAGACTCTAGTCGAAGAGCTATTGGGGCCGCGGGTGAAATGATGACCCGCAATAAAAAAGTGAGTCTACCTTCAATGGTGGTGAAAAAAGAAGACAAGAACAAGCCTGCTTTAAAGCCTTTGGAAACCGCTTCAACATAGAGCGAAAGAAGTTTAGAGTACTTTTCTTCCTCCTCAATTATTATCGATGTGACCTTTGTTGTGATGTAACTCGAGTGTCTGCTCAAAAACTCTTTGAAAGGTTCAGCGTGCGAACTGACACCCAATACCTTCGAGGACTCAAGTTCCTTGATGGAACCGTCTGCACCGCCCTCCTTGGATTTGAATAGGGAAGTGGTTAGTCTCAGTTCAAAAAGCTCCGGATCTAGGTTGAGGGAGTTCAAGCACTTGATCACCCGATCTTCGTCTAGGGAAATAAAATATTCAAAGACGTCGACCAGCAGTCTTTTGTCGTCGAAAACTTCAGACAAATGAATCAAGTCAAGAATGATGAGCCTACTCTCGTATGCTTCTAGCTGTACCACCTTGAAAAGTGATATCAGGGAGTTGAGCTTTGGGTGATCGTATCTCAAGACCGATCTGACATACGAGGTAAGGAACTTGTCTATAACGAGTTTATCAGTGCCAAGCAGCTGTTGAATCAATGACTCTAGACTGAACTTCGAGTTAAAAAGTTTGTACAAGCTGGCTGGCATCTGATCAACATTTCCATGGCCCTTCAGAGTCTGAAAAAGCTTACCAATCGAGATGAATGCAGATCTCTTGGCCTTATCGTCCACCAAGTTGGCTAATATGGTTTCTGTTGCTGCGAGAATAATCTCTTTCTTCAAAGGCAATGCAGTTCCGAACACCACCAAAATGGTGTTGGCAGCTATTTGGCAATCAGACAGATCTGAGGCAAGAAGCTTTGCACAGATCTCCAAAACTGTGGGTACTAGTGCATTCAATGCGTCCAGATCGTTTGATCTGAAGGCAATGAGATTGATGAAGGAGCAGGTCGTGAAAAGCAGCTGGTTGGTGTAGGCCATTTTTTGTTCTATCACCTTGCTCAGGTACTGAATGTACACTTTTAAAAAGTCTGAATCGCTGAAAAGCTTAATGATTGTAAGGCTCGAAGGTGACCGATCCGTCCTTACAAAGTTGCTTAGTGCGTTGAACAGAGGTGGTAACTTGACAATGTTGAGGATACGCTTGAACACTGGGGTTTGATAGTAGTCCATTGTAGAAAGCAATAGACACTCCGCGTTGTGAATGTGTATTTGAAAACGGCGCACCAGCCATTCAGTGGCATGCAAGGTTGGCGACAGATGCCATTTGGAGGAAGCCAATATCAAATACAGGTTCACAGCGTGATCTAAATCGCGAATCTGATCTTTGGTTTGAACGTTTCTGTCAATGCTAGCCGATGACGTGCCAAAAAGAGACTTTTGAAACACAGAGAATCTCGAATCAACTTCGATCAGTTCCTCCAAAGAGCTGATGGCATTTTCGTAAATAAAGTCGAAGTCTTGAGTAGCTGCTGTGTTTGGGTTGTAGATTAACGAGGCAGAATGTAGCTTCTGTCTTTTTTTTCGATCAAAAGCTACTGTAGCGTTATTGGCAGCTATCTGAGATAGCTGATCACTCAAAGACATACTTACGCCAATGCTTTGTTGATCCAAGGCTGTTCAAGAAGAGCGATGTCTTAGAAGAGCGATGCTCATCGCCAGAAAATTTTCTGAAATATTTCAATTATTCGATCAAGTGACTAGATGAACGACTACAAGAATGACTACAGGATATGTCAAAAATGGACGATGGACACGACAGATCTACTGTGTGCTCGATAACAGCCTGATCTTGGTTGTTGTTCTTGGATTGAAATGATGCTGTCACCAAGAAGTTCCCTGTTCATTTAGCATCAAAATACTCGTCCTGACAATATATGTTATCTTGTTAAAAGAGTCGAAAAAAGATATATATATCCTTTACCGAGCCAAGCTGTATAGAAGCACTTGGCCCATGTAAGTTATGCAAAATTTAGAATGCGATAGTCCCCTTGGGCGGAACGGTGAGTTTAGCGAAGGCATTTCACGCTCAAAGAGTGAAAAGAGAAGTGGACTTTTTACCGAATGGGTATACGAAAAGAGTTGAGGCAAAAAGTCCGACAGAAATACCAATGGAAACTTGAATCATGGTTACACCGAACGACATTGACCCGGAGATGTCATTGACTGCAGCAGTGTTATCTGTACTGTTCGAACTGTTTGTAATAGCATTCGCACTCTGTACACCAGCGAGCAACGAACTTTGCGAGGCCACACCGGAGGGCACCTGAACGAATATACCTGGAAGCATTGCAGAAACAGCAAGACCCTTCCAAATTCTCGAGTACAAGTTGCCCAGAATACCAATAACGAAAGCACTGATCGAAGAGTTGAATTCAGTCGAGTTTTTGAAATGCAAACCGCAAGCGTAAGTAACGGCGTAACCCGAGCATGATATGAATGTCATCACCGGCAGTTGCGACCATCTGGCCTGGTTGATAAGGGCCAGACCAATTGAAAATGCCGGCACGAACAGAAGTTTGAACTGTGTTGGAACGTGTGGATCCTTACAAGTTGTGTCGTTGGTAGCGTCGTGATAAATCCAACCAAACAGCGCTGCACCAAGTGTGATACCGAAACCCAAGAACAAGGAGTAGATGATGGCGTAGAACATTCTAACCGAACCAGCGACCAAGTTTCTGCTTTGTAACTCCAGCGACCCACTCAAAATAATGAAACCAGGTAAAATCAACGCAAGAGAGCCCTGGACAGTGGACCCGAAGCAAATGCCACTACCAGGTATGGATCCCAGTGCTCTGCCGCAAAAGCTGACGACAATCGAGGCTGTCACTTCGAAGACATTAGAGTACAAGCTCGAGCGCTGGGAAACAATGAATTGCAAGCACCCGACGCAACAACCGATAACAAAAGAAGTAGCCATGTTAACCCAGTCACCACCAAATGCAAAGGGCGTAACCATGGATGAGCAAAACCCATATAAAAAGACACAGAGCCAGGGCGGATATAAGTTTTTATCTTTAAGGATCCGATCAATGGCTATGTTGGCTTCTTCAGCGCTCATCAAATCATGCACAACTTGTTTGTAAATGGCATGGACTTGATGCAACTTCCACAAGTTCAAGCCCTGGGCGCACCTAACAAGTTGAACTTCGGATGTTCTTGTAGTGGCATCACCAAACGAAACCACCATACATCCAGGGACGTACAAAAATTGACCGTCAATCTCTAACACCCTGGACGTCATCACCATATACTCTTCCAATCGATGGGTAGGGGCACCGTAAAGCATTAAAGCCTTACACAAACGCATAATGAATCTTTGTCTTTGCAGGAGGGCAGCAATGTGTACAGTAATCTTAGCCTCGGCATTTTGCTTGCGACGCAACTTGTTGGCTTGCTTAGCAACCTGTTTGAAATTTTTTACCCTGGGCCTTGTTGCCTTGAAATTTGGCAGCTTGCCATTGTTGGGGAGGTTTTCGGAACTCAACATGCTTGAGGCCTTGCCTTTTATTCCTGAAAATGAAGGAGTGTTGAAAGAAATCTTTTTGCCTTTCTTGTTTGGCTGCCCAGATTCTATTGCTGTAATCCCTGTGAGTGGAAGAGATTCGCCATCGTAAAAATCGATTGGCTCTGGAGTAGTGTCGAGCGAAACTTGAGAACGAGAAGCGGCATCATCTTCGTTCTGGTACAGTTTCAACAAAGATCCCAAAACACCTCCACGTACCCGGTTTGGTGGGGCAATGTAAGAGTTGTCCTCCATCAAGGGATTGAAACCGTCTGGATCATCGTCAAAGTCGTCGTAATGGCCCACTCTGTTGGCGAAAAAAGAATCATTTCCAGAAGTCACCATGGTTTCTCCGTCTGAAGGATTGTTCATTGGGACATCGAGGTGGGCGTTTGCGTTCCCTGGAGCGCCGTGTTCTGGATCATTTGGATTATGAGATGCAGTGGCGGCGCCATGCTGTTGAAGAATTTGCTGAGCCGCCTCACCAACGTCTACACCATCTACTGGCTCTTCAAGATTTTCCTGGCCTGTGACGTGCTCTGCATCATGGTTGGACCTCTGAGTGCCCGACCTTACCAGTCCCGGCGTCATGCCACCGCCGGTATATTGCAAAAACTTGTTGAGGAAACCTCCTTGATCATCGTCTTCGTCATCTTCTTTTACAGAACGCATGCCGCTGGGTCTTGAGTCATGGGAGGAGCGACGTGTGGAGGAACGCCGTGTGGAGGATCTTCTTCTGAAGAACCGTTTGAAGTTGTCAACTTTGTCCTCGTCGGAGGAAGCATTGTCGTCATTATTTTCTTGCTCTCCGTGCTGAACAGGATTGTTGAATGGGTTTTGAGATTCCGTAGTGGCCACCTGTGTGGGCGAACTTTTGTCTGAATCCTTGGGATCTACGTTCTCGTCATCTGAAGACGTATAATGCAATTTTTGAGGGTTGTAAGACTGTGCTTGATCAGTATGTTCGTCTCGATTTCTCGTACCGGAATGCTGTGAATCCTGCTCATTATTGCTATTGTTCGCTTCAAAATCCTGTTCTTCGCTTTCCTCGTCGGAATTGCTCAAAGTGTTGCCACTATTGACTTGAATGGTATCTATAGCATCATCTTCGATATCCCGACGTCTGTTCTGGTGCTGGGAGCCAGGCCCACGAGCAAAAGACGGCAAGTTTCGCGAAGCAGGCCGTTCATGTGGATGGTCTGGAATGTGATCGTTATCGTCGGAATCGGAATCGGAATCGGGATTTGAGCCCACTTGTTGTTTTGAAGGACGGCCGCGAGGCGACGAACGGGGTTTCAGAAACTGGAAACGCTCGCTCGACGATTTTCTGTTGGCTAACTTTGGACGTTGATCAGACATGGTAGTTTCAGAAAGCTTTCTCGAGTAACTAAGTTATTCCTTGCTTATCACAACAACAAGAGAGAAAAGTTCGATTCTTGAAGTGATTTTTTGTCCTGAAACCTTGCTGAAAAAGACTTTCGTGTGAGAACCGACGGTGGAAACTCAAAGCTGGACTATTTAAGTTCTCAGAGTTCTTCCAAGGTTCTTAAAGTTTCGGCTTTTTTTCGAAATTTCGCTGATTCGAAAAGTTTCGATTTCCACTTTTAATTGATAGATTTCAATAAGAGTAGTAATAATAGTATATCGAAACCCGTAGTTGACAACCAAACTACTGAAACAACAAAACTATAACAATCGTGTGTTTTGAAGCTTGAAGACTCGAGCTGTATAGTATTGAGCCAAGACGATTGGTTCTCTGAGCTTTTTGCAGTACCAAAATCACACGTTTGTAATAGATTCGGATATCAAATCAACGTAGAACCCCAGTAGTTGTGTGTTTTTCCCACTTGCACTATGTCGTTCGAGGATACTGTTTAAATGCAAAGTTACAGACTATGCTCCCAACCCTTCTTGTCCAAGACCTGTCTTGTTTTATATAGATCAAATATCTTTGCAAGGATTCTTCACTGCAGACTGCGGCGCAAACATTCGTGATTGAGGAGAAGAAGCACAATTTTTTTTTTAAATATAGCCTTCTATTATAATCGAAGAACGTACAAACTAGTTTGCTAGCGCACGTACGTGGATACGTGAATACGTGGATACATGGATACGTTTCACGATTTTTGTTGCCAATAGAGGCACTACTCATCGTCTCGAGAAACAGTGATAAGGTCTACGTCATCATCACTTTAAACGAGCTGGAGCGGATGTTTTATTGAATTTGGTATAATGGGTGAAAACGAAACGCGAAATTTAACGGGCTAGACAAGATATTGAAGGATGAGTCTCAAATCTGGAAACTGCAGAGACTGCGGAGACCTTGATGTGTCTTTTTCTTTTCAGAGGGCATATGCAGCGAGATACGGTTGGATCACTGGCTTTTTTTTTTTTTACCTTCCTCTGGTCGCGTGTGCCATCAGCTATTAGACAAGGCTTAACGGTGGGGGGGAGGGCCTAACTTGTGTCAGTACGAGGAATAAATGATAGACTTGGCAAGTTGCAGTGGGTGAGAAGCGTCACGTGGAAGGGAACTGGAAGAGTTAGATTTTTACGAGAAATAGGGCATACTTTTACAGTCAATCGCGCTTTGTACGAAATTCGGTTTAGTTACTCATGAGTTTTCCTCGTAAGTTAGTTATTTGACATCTCTTTCGACAAATCGGAAATTTCAATGTCACTCATTACAATAAAGGAGAATATGAATATTACCGTGATACCTGTCATGATGGAGAAGCTTATAAAGAACTGGCCAAATTAAAATGGCAACCGCTTAGAAGGGTTATTTTTGTAGACTTAACGTGTTGTGTAAAATAATCATAAATCTAAGGTATCTTTGTACGAAAATATGTAGTAAGTTACTAACATTTTGTACATTGGACTATTCATGGACTACTGACGTCCCGAACGATCGGTACCCATTGGCCTTTTTCGATGGGTCGCTTACTTACTGAGTCGCAAAAAAGTTTTAGTTTAGTAACCGACTGTACAAGTATGGAGAGAGGTGTCTGTGTTTTTGGGTAACTTTGTACGGATCCGTTGTCGCTCGAGCTGTGGGGATCGTGTGGGCATGCAAATTGGCAGCCATGGGTTTCTTTGAGCTGGTGAGATGGTCTAGTGCAGGATCAAATTGTTCCACGCATAGTTGTACCTCGTGGTTCGCTGTTCTTTCAAGAGATTCGTTATTCCCACGACACAGCGTGCAAAAAACGAGTCGGTGTCCAAAAATGGGAGGCCACCCAGCCGCATATGGCTATTTTATGTTCACCGCACTTTGTTAGCCATCAACCCGTCCATCCATTTTTCAACGTTCAAAAAGATCTTCCCAGTATCATTCTCAGTGCTGTTTAGTGTATCTTCTCGAGACCCGGTTTTCAACCCGGTTTGCAACCCGTTTGCAACCCGTTTGGCCAACATAAACAAGTGCCAGATCACTTATTGCCGGTCTTAGACGCCATACCCGCCGTCCTAGCGTGCCTGGCTCTCCGATCGTGTCCGATCTTCCGTCACGTGGTCTCCCGGTAGTCTCCGAGACCCGTTTTCATTCCTTTTTTTTTTCTTTTCCATTTCTTTTTGCCCTTTGAAAAATCGGCAGACATTAAGCATTTCTTTTTATAAATCTCTAAATCACCACTCTCAACTGATCGCGATGAGCTACATATGCAGAAAGAACTCAACGATGTCGGTATATAACCATCAAGAAATACTCCGAGACACCCGGATCTGAATTCACCAACAAGCCCACTTGTTTCGACCACAACTTCTTCTTTTTCCAATCATCTAGCCCCACACAGTTTACGATGATCAACGAATCGGTCAAGGAAAAGGAACCCGTCAAAACACTTAAGAACATCAAAGCTGAGACGGCGATGCCCGCGGTCACTGCGCGACCAGCGTCTCCGCCGTCGTTTGATGGTTTAGTGAAAAACCGTGTTTTGGACTCTTTTAAACAGGAAAACGATCTACATTCATGCTCTTCGGTGGAATCGCTAGAGTCTCTAAGACATACACCGGAACCGTTGTCGTTGTCGTCGTTTTCGACGGCGAGCGGGTCTAAAAAATACATCAGCAACGATTTCTCACCCTACGGAAGTCGATCCCAGTCTCAAAGCCCGGTGAACGGCTTGAAGATTCGTCCCACTTGTACTACATCCTACCTTAAACCACGCAAAGAGTATACGGGATTCCAAATATCCGGCTACAAGAAGAATCACGTGCACGTTGTTTTGCAAACCGTGGATTTACCGGTGCAAGGCTGTGAGACCGCATGCGTTCCGCATTTGACTGGTTTTTTCACTATTCGGGGTCTCACAGAGCATCAACCCGAAATCACCACTTTTTTCGAAGGTTTCGCGGCGACCTCCAACTCCGGGTTTTTGTCCTCAGACATGCCTTCTCAACTCAAGGACTTGACGGCTGCAGACTCCACAGACTTGGAGCATTGGCTCAATTTCCCCAGTTTCCAGGAAATGTGTCGCGACGAAAAAGTTGCATCGTCAATCGCAGACGGCTCGTACGTGCACTCTGAATACCTAGAGAAAAGGTTCATCTACATGCGTTGGAAGGAGAGATTTCTGGTCCCGGACGCAGAGCTTGATTCAGTGGAAGGTGCCTCGTACGAGGGATATTACTACATTGTTCACGACCAGCTGACCGGTGATGTTCTCGGTTTTTACTACCATGCGGACGCAGAACGCTTCCAAAGACTGGAACTGGCACCCGTGAACGACAGGACAAGTGGTAGTTGTGGATTTGAATTCAATTGATCAGCCTGGGCAGGTCCTAGCAGCCGAGAAAGAAACTACACACGACAGACACTATAGAAAAGACCACTATTCGGCAGTGGCAGTGGTGACAACAGCAGCAAAACCACTCATCTCACATAAGAGAACATAATAATATAGTAATGGTAACAATATTAGGGTTTAATATAGAAGCATGGGGCATAGAAGCATGGGGCATAGAAGCATGAGAATATCACAGCGTGTATCCTGAACTATCACTGGTAGGATCTGCTATTCAAGAGACAGTACTAGGTACTCGAGTACTAATCGTTAATTAGAGTTGAAAAATAACAAACAGGGCAGAACGATCAAGTGGATATATATGCCAACTCACCTACTATTCGCTTACTCCAGAACCCATAGGCTGTCTTACACTGGCCTAACTCCCGCCGATTCTCAAAAATGAACAATTGCAAACGACCTGATCTGATAGTTGAGTATGTCACGAGTCACTCACGCTCTCTTCTTCTTCGAAGACCTTTTACTAACACCCACGCAGCTACAAACATGTTCCAGCTCCAAAATCGCTAACATCCTCCGCAAGCCAGGGTATCTTGGCACAATCCATGCCTATGGCGGCCATGTTCATGAAAAACAAGTTTCTAGCGTGGTTTGCCATGCTCTCCACCGTTCATTACGCTCTGAACGGACAAGGTGATGAAGGCTCCGCTGACCAGGCGCCTTTGCTGAAGGTAGTCATGTCCTTAGTATCGATTGCTGTGTGCTACATGAACGTTATATTCCCTCAGCCCGGCCCCAGCGACAAACAGGCATAAAAAACCTATGGTTTCCCGGAATTTCAAAAATTAAGATTGAGGCCCCAGCCCTATAAGAAGCGTATTATGCGTACGGTATAAGACAACAATTTGGTAAAGATCTTCGAGTTGGAGGCGTGCAATCGTGCTTTCTTCCCAATCCACATTTGTGATACTGAAGAATCTGAAATATCACAGATTTCAGCAGCCGAAAAATTCTACGTCTTACAATTGCAATGGTTTGTTCGCCATAGTTGACCAAACAGAAACTAAACGTCTGCTGCAGTTCACTTCTACGCTAGCCCTGTCTTCATCCATTTGCAAAGAAGTCAAATATCACTTTTTACCATAATGACGCTTTTTTTCGCTCTCACCGATATATTACCCATATATATATGAATATATATCAAATGAACGGACTTTTATCAAGGACATCAACCATCTCAAAGAGCATAAAAGCCAAAACATCTACAAGATCTGCCTTTCATCTCAAAACGTTTATTCGACACAGGTTTTACCTCACGAAAGCACTGGTTTTTTTCCATTTTCCTTCTTGTGACTTTACTGCTTCGCACTTGATCACTGGCTTCTTCTAGGTGCAATTGTTGTTCAGTACAAGCAAATCGATGGTTGCCCGCTTGTGTAGGGTTTTGCCCGGAAAAAGCTCTTTCATTAGACGGTATGCTGTTCAAAGTTCCAACTCAGGTTCGGAATCGTCCCAGGAGCATCCTTGGCCCAAAAATAGTCATCCCACACCGTACGAAATTTTTGGTCTTCCTCCAGGGCAAGTTGAGCCACGTCACTTGAAAAAAAAGTACCATGCCATGGCCAAAATCTACCATCCCGACATCTCCAGTGGTATCAACGTGATGCAGGACAATACCACCGAAAGTCACCACAGCTATCGTATCGATGAATCTGCGCTTCTGTCCCCTCAGGATAGACTGAGCCGATTTCAAGTGATGAACGAGGCATACGAGCTTTTGAAAGACTCCCGCAAGAAAAGCGCATACGACCGTTTCCGCACAGGCTGGCTGTATGCTCCTGCAAGTGTCAGAAACGCTGCTTATACTTCAGCTGCAGCAACAGCTCATGGATATCATAACAACCATAACTACGAATACTGGAATGCAGGCACTTGGGAAGACGTGAACAGGATGCATGACTCCGATCCCGACAAAAAGCTTTCTCTTTGGGTGGTTATCGCCTGGATATGTGGACTTGTGGTCTGCGTACAGTGTACTGCCTTGTTGACACGAATTGAAGAAACGCTCACCAAGGGTCATTTATCGCATGATGAAACTGAAAACGATTTGATTCAGGCATACGTGAACTATGGACTCGACACAGATAAGTGGTCCAGATTAAGACGGTTTTTGTGGTTCAGAACATATGGAATGTATAAATCCAAAGACGACTTAGACAGAGAAGCTCAGAAAAACGAAAAAATCGTACAAGAGCTCAAGAGTAAGGAACTAAGTCGATAGATGCCGTAGGCCCGTGGTGAACTCTTCTCCGGCATGATGGCTGTGATAGGGTAGAAATAGAAAGGAATCTAAATAAGAATTGCAATTTAATGACTTTATGATGATGGTGGCATGTAAGCCCGTGGACTTGAGAAATCAGAATCTGTACGCCAATTTGCGAATGTGGAACCCAATTGCAGTACGAAGTTTCAATGGGATTTGGAGATATATCTGATGTCGTAATCGAGCGGGACTAGTGAACTCACTTTATCGACTACGACTTTGACATATGAGCATGACAGTCCTATGAAATCACAAGAATCAAGCTTTAGGGACAAGAAAATGCACAGAGGTGAAAGAATCCTAAACTCTTGGAAACTTAAATTTCAACTGTTCAGACAGCTTATTTCAAAAACAATCAAATGGCATTGGTATGGCGATGACGCTGGCACTGAGATGTCAGTGATCTCTGTAGCAGATGCGAAATAAATGACATCTCAACAACGGGACAGCTCAAAGAAGTGACATGACCATGAAATAATGATCTCACAGGACAAAGGTGAATGATAGTGTCAAAACTGACAACCTCACCAACCTGAAGGACAGTAAAACTCTGGGAAACTTGGTTGAGATGTGTGTTTGGTCACGTGTTTTGGTCTTCTATTTCATATTTTTGATATAAAATACCAGCCAAGTCAGTCAAAGTTTTCAAAGTAAACATATCGATTAGCAGCAAAATACGAGAGAAAGAATAAGCCTTTACATCGTTAAAAAATCTCTCCTCCACACATTCTTTCTTGAATCTCTAAAATCGTCACGTTCTTTATCTTCTCGAGATATCAATCTTTATCTTCATCATCACCATATACGTATCATCAAATCCTAAAGATTTCACCATGGTTGAAATATCCATATCGATAGTTCAACCTTTTAAGCTAACAACCCCGTAAATACCATCATTACAAGTTATCAGCGCCCATTGAAGTTTTAACATTGGATCTTTGTTAAGCTTTCTTCACGTTCGCGCTGAAAATGAATTTCCTGAAACCAGAAACGGTCCTAGACCTGAAAAATATCCGCGATGAGCTCGTGAAAATGGAGGATACAATCATCTTCAAGTTTATCGAGCGGTCGCATTTCCCAACATGTCCCGCAGTCTACAAGCAGAATGACCCAGAGCTCCGCATTCCTAATTTTGATGGTAGTTTTCTAGATTGGGCCTTGACAAGTGCCGAAAAGACACAGTCACAATTGAGAAGATTCGAGTCCCCCGATGAAACACCTTTCTTTCCTGATGAAATACTGAAACCAATTCTACCCAGCGTGAAATATCCTAAGATTTTGGCATCTTACTCGCCAGAGGTGAATTTCAATGGTGAGATCAAAGACGTCTACATCAATCAAATCACACATCTCATCTCAAAGTACGACGGTGACAGCTGGGAAAACCTTGGATCTGTGGCTATGATTGACATAGAATGCCTTCAGAGTCTCAGCAGAAGAATTCATTTTGGCAAGTTCGTTGCGGAAGCCAAGTTTCAAGCTGATCGTCCATTGTATTCGAAACTGATCCGTGAGAAAGATATCGAGGGCATTTACGAAAATATTACCAACAGTGCTGTTGAGGAGAAGATTTTGGAAAGACTGTGCGTCAAAGCCGAAGTCTATGGAGTTGACCCAACTGATAAAGCAGGCTATAGGAAAATAACGCCCGCATACTTGGTTAAGATATACAGAGAGCTCGTGATTCCACTCACCAAGAAAGTGGAGGTGGACTACCTTCTTCGCAGACTGGAGAGCGAGTAGTTAAAATGCATTTATTGAGATAGATCAATAGTTTAATCGCGCGTTTATGTGTCTTTTAGGTTCGGCAATCAATACTTGAGTTTCTTGAGGCCTAGATCTCCTACCCTAGGACTCGCATTGCCATTTCGAAAGTGGCAAAAGTAGCCGCGTTTGCAAAAGCAGCTCTGAGCATTGTGGGTCCGAAGCCTTTGAAGAATGCCTGCCAGCCATGCTTTGCATAAACATTTCGCGCTACTCGTACCATATTTTTACCATGCACTTGCTGGTCGATCTTGTCCGTTTGCATGATTGACTTAACAACATCAAGTGGATACACGGACAGCCATAAAGCAATACCTGATAGACCTCCGTAGAGGCACAGTTTCCACCCGGGAATTTCTGTTCGAGCAACACCATTTTTCATCTGATTGGCCACAAGCGCTTCGTAAGTCAGAAAATAGGCACCGCAACCTTGAGCTTCTCTTAAAAGCGTTGGTGATAGCCCGCGCATCAGAGCTTTGGCGCGCACAAGTTTCTTAATGCAGTCCCAAGGGCCATTGAACTCCGCCGCTGCACCTGAAGCAGTCTGGGTTTGAAGTCTGATTCTTACATGCTCAATTGGAGCTGCCAGAAACGAATTGGCCACACCACCGACGAAACCACAAGCGTAATACTGTGGTAGTGTGAGCAGGCCGTTTGGATTTGGCTTGTCACCTCTGAAAAACCGCTTCATGGCTTCGTTGACCCCAAATTGGCAAGACATACATGCACCCACGCCGATCAAGGGCGTTAGAGTTCCCTTATAAAACCCGCGCAGACCTTCCTTTTTCACCAGATTTTGGACCACCTCTATAGCCGAAGTTGGTGTTGACGATGTCTGCAAGCGCACTTTGGTCGTGTCAAAGGGCTGGCCGACCAAAACCTGGGCCATACCACCCGCGGTTCCGGCTGCCAAGTCTTTAAACACCCGGTTGGGGTCTTGACCACTTTGATTCTCATCGATAAGCTGTACAGGTGCTATTTCGTCAGACATTAAACAGCAAAGTTTGCAACAGTAAGAGCAGCTAGAAGGATGGATTTTTTCGCGTGTTAGCCTGGACTAGACCAGAATTTGAGGCCAGTAGCAGTCAATGTGGTCCTCGAAGTATCAAACCTCGTCACATCTCATTGATTTGATGCCAGAACGGTGCTGAAAGTACTTTTCCCATGGGCATTATCAGTATATGCCATGACATCTACGACGGCAGATAAACTGGGATCACATGATCCTTGATATTAGATGCCAAAGAAATTCGAAAAGGTGACATTATCAACAATATGTAGTGTCAATGAAGTTTTTGGAATTTGTAGAGATTTTGGTTTGCTTTGGATATACTTATTGGAGAACGCAGATAGGTAATTCTATAAGCGTTTTCTTTACACCAAAAGTATATTTTTACTTCCAAAACCGTAAATTATAGTTTGATAGCTGTGTCTTGGCATTTCATACGAAAATCATAATTTAATGTGTAGAAGACGCTTTTGTAATTGTTAACCCGAAAGACTATACTTGGTTGCTCAAACGCGGAGCCTTCTGGAAATTTTCGCTTTATTTCTTTACTTTTCGGGCTCAGATTCTAAGATATTTTCATATCACTTTGTACTATTATGTCATCGTAAGGGCCCTGAATCAAATGTCCTTACAATGTTCAAAAAAAGTATTCAAAAGAAGCGAAGCGTGTAATTTTCTGGCTCAAACGCCCATTTCTGCTTGACACTACTCAATCTAGTTCCCTGACATTTTGCTCGATATTTTCGGTTAGTATCAGATTTACCTCTACCAGAGCACGTCATGTGACCTTCAGGAAATTGAATAATTAACACTCATATCATATATATCAAATTAAACTACATTTCTGTTCCTCGAGAACCGTACTAACAGCACTCAGAACCAGAATGTTCTTGAGAAACGTTGCAAAGCAATCCGTTAGAGCTATGTCCAAATTGACTCCCGTGGCTACCAAGCTATCGCCACCCGCTGCGGCCTCCTACTCCCAGGCCATGAAGGTCAACAACTTGATCTTCGTGTCCGGCCAGATCCCTTACACTGCTGAAAACAAGCCTGTGGAAGGTTCTATCGGCGACAAGGCCGAACAGGTGATCAAGAATGTCAGCAACATCCTGAAGGAGGCCAACTCCAACTTGAACAATGTCGTTAAGGTCAACATTTTCTTGGCAGACATCAAGGATTTCGCCGAGTTCAACGTTGTCTACGCCAAGTACTTCAACGAACACAAACCGGCCAGATCCTGTGTTGCTGTTGCCGCTCTTCCATTGAACGTGGACTTGGAAATGGAGGTCATTGCCATTGAGCAGGATTAAACCAGCTTTTTGGGGAAACACACCCTAAAAGAAGCATTGTGCTCTGCGCTCGAGAGACACAACATGAAGTAAATAACGATAAAATAGACTTCCAAGAAAACTTAGAACACGAACTACGCCATGGGCGGTACCGGGACTACATGAGAGATCGACTGTTAGCGTCATCGTCTCCGATTCATAAAGGCTGTACACCATTTTTCTCTGTGTCTGCGATTTCGCTATGAGAATGCTCTATGCAACCCTGACATTGCCCACAACGACCCGATATATAGCGCCAAGTTTACATGTAGCTTTGGCATTGTTCACTACCACATTGTTCATTACCACCGGCTATTCATCGCTTAGTTCCATCACTCTGGCCGCTTCCTAGGATCTTTGATTATACCTCAGGGAAAGGAAAGAGCTGTCATTGAAGTTGTATGAGGCCAGCCTAAGTTGTGACTGTTTTTTGTAATGTCTGGGTTTCTTGAATCTTTTTTTCGAATTTTTATCAAACATTTCAAAATTTTTCTATTGCACCAGATCATCTTTCCAGACAGGATAGCCCACGACAACCTCTCTAGGACTGCTGAGTTGGAAGCTGTCCTAGGCAGAGCTCCCACCAACGCCACACCGGGGTCCTCTGTCTAGCTCTCCCTTAGCTCCCGCCTAGCTCCCGCCTAGCTTCCCACGCACGTAGCTCAAAAGACGCATAGATCTGGTCATCTGACCGCAGATTAGCGGCCTAAAGATCGTGACAGACGAGAATCTATAGGTATCTTCTCACGAAGAGCACTGTTTCTAGCAGCTGAAAAATTTTGAAGAATTACTCTCACATCTAAGAAAACCTTCAGTTAACATCGTTACTGGTAAACTTCCTTTAGCAGCAGCAGGAGAACTCACAAACCAAAGATGGTCCAACGTGTTACTTACAGAAGAAGAAATCCATGTATGTTTGAAATGAAAGAACTTTGAAAGGTTGATTGCGCTGTTGTAGCGAGCAATGTGATGATTCATGCAGAAATGTCCAGTTTTGCTAGTAAAGTAATTTGAAATGCCATTGCAGCATCGGTGGTATTGTTGTTGCTGATCTCGGTGACCGCAAATAGAGTGTCTAACGAAAGGGTCTTGATTGGCTTTTCGAATTCCACTGAACACAAGCTTTTTAATTTTTCTTCCCAGATGATACTCGGAACATGCCATGCGAATATACCGGTTTTCTGCAATCGAAACGTCAGCCACTTCAAGAGCTGCTGGAATCATTACGTGCCCTCCAATGAGACTATGCCAGTGAATTATTGACCCTTTACTAACTTCATCATCCAGACAACACCCGTTCCAACAAGATCAAGGTCGTTAAGACCCCAGGTGGTGTTTTGCGTGCTCAACACACCAAGAAGTTGGCTACCAGACCTAAGTGTGGTGACACCGGTGTGCCATTGCAGGGTATCTCTACTTTGAGACCAAGACAATACGCTACCATCTCCAAGACCAAGAAGACCGTCTCCAGAGCTTACGGTGGTGTTCTATGCGCCAACGCTGTCAAGGAAAGAATCGTCAGAGCTTTCTTGATCGAAGAGCAGAAGATTGTCAAGAAGCTTGTCAAGGAACAAACCGAGTCCGCCAAGCAAACCGGCAACAAGAAGTCCAAGAACAACAAGAAGAACTAATTTGTATAACTTGTACGTGTTAAAGTTTTAAAGTCACTTAGGTTTAGAAAAGAAGGTCTGAGGACTGTGCAGCATGTGTGGCGCTCGCTTCTGATCTTTATGGTGTAGTATGTACATAAAGCTGTGTTGAGTTGTTGTTCGTGGGTCATGAGCGCTCGGTAATGAATCTTAGATGCTCATCATCCGAACAAGACGTATTCCGATACAGATGAATTTCATACTGCGCACCTCTTAAAGCCACTGAAGCCATAAGCAAGGGCCCGCATCGATCCATGAGTAGAGCTAGTAAAATTACACTAGGCTTGTCGTGCTTAGCCACAGCCGCAACGGTCGTGGGTGTTCATTACGTGCAAGAACTAGAAAGAGACACTTTGCATCAGGGACCCATCAAGGATGCAAAGCGGATAGCCGAAAGGAAGGCTGGTGGTTTGGACCCTGAAAAAGAGAAAAAACTAATGTTCAACAAAGCAGACCACGAAATGCAACAAGAACTTCGCAAAAAATACGAATCAATGCAACCATTGTCTGGCGAGGTTTTGACCACTGGCGGGAAGGAAGTAAAGTGATGGATTCAGAGACTACTGCTCGAGACTGAAATAGCGAAAAAAGACCCTCTGCAAGGTCCTTGAGGCTTTGCTTTGATGACATTTTAGGACTCACAAATGAAATTGAGAAGTCTGGGACTGAAGCATGCTGGACAAGACATTACCAAGCTTATTGCCCGAATAATGGCTGGTCTATATCCTATCGTGCCCTGCCTTTTTCACTTTTCGAAACTTTTCTTGAAAGTTGCAGGAGATGACAAGGGCTCATTTCGAGCTCAAATGCACAACAAAGAGGGGAAGAATAATAAATTACAAGGTTTCATTCAAAATTTAATACTGAATTCCATCGTGAAAGTGTTCATTTTACACTCAAGCATAAGTGGCCGCATTAGAATCCCATTTTACTCCCAATGTGGACAAGGGCTATACCAGCAGATACCATTATTTGGCGGTCTTCTGCCAACAGAAAAACGACTGATTCAAGCCTGCGAATGCATAGTTAAGCACTACGACGCGATTTATTATACCATCGTCTTTTCCTGTCGTCACCTAGATCTGGATCTCATCACTTTGTACTAAGGCATCCATTTAAATGTAAATTTCCAAGGGACCATGAAAAGAGCCCAAAACAACCTTTAAATATACACTTTTGCACCTGTTTCGAGCAAAAAACCAAACTTCTGAGACTTATATACTTGCTTTCGTCAAATTCGGCCTGTTAACTTGTACTGAATTTGAACTCTCAGAACTTCAAATGGCCCGGAAACCATCGTTTTTGGAGCACATTTCAGACCATGACAAAGATGAAAGTCAACGGTCAAGACCAATGTTGATTCCTCGGCAGGAACCTGCAGTGCATTCAGAGGGCGGCACAAGTGTTACCGAAGAAACTTTCAGCAGCTCACACTCCTCGGAGTCATTCGTTCCCGCAGAAGATCACCCTCTGTCGAAACATAGTTCCCAGCAGCAAAACCATCAAAATTCAAGCCAACAGCTTGCTGAGCAGGAGTCGTGTTTCCGGGTGGGATCTAACGTGTCGCAGCTCTCTGGTATTGCACAAAATTCGCCGCGTAGTATTACGCAGCGGAAACGCCCGTCATTTGGACGACGAAGGAGCTCGTTTTCTCGAGGTTCATTTGTGGGCCAAAATGGCAGCTTCATTTCGACTTCGTTGAAAGAAGATCATGACCCGACCAGCGGGGAAGGGAAGCATGAACCATTTTTCAAAGAAGTTCCCAGTAATGAATCCGAGGAAGAGCTACTAGATCCAAACACAACAGTGGATAACATCCGAGAAACGAGTTCTGTAACTTCTGATCGAGAGACCACAATTTTCAATACAGAGCTTGAATCGAAGGATGACGAAACGAACAGAGCATCTCAACAATCCAAATACTTCCAAAGTCCCGTCCAAACCCATGATGAGCTCTTGCAGCAATACACACCTTTCCACAATGGACCGACCTCCACGTCAAAATCGTATTCTACCAGTAAAAACGTCCATGCAGTGGCTGGTGCCCGCCAAAGCGACAAGATTGACCCGGAACCTCGACTTTCGGAGGACCCGGAGCTGATAGAAATTGCTAATTTCCCAACAGATCGTCTTTTGGACATGCTGACTGCTTTGCTCGACAAAATAGTACAGTCGAATGATCTGCTGCACCGAGATCGGTCTCCGAGCGAGCGGCAATCAGAGCCAGAAGTAGGGCTACCGACTCAAACGTATAGCATGGGCACAGGGATGTTTGCAGAGCTTCTGAGTTTTCGCGGAAAGCACGTACCGGCGATCACACTGCAACAGTATTTTCAGCGAATACAGAAATACTGCCCAACAACCAATGATGTTTTTTTATCGTTGTTGGTGTATTTTGATAGAATAGCCAAGGCTTGCAACAATGGAAAGGAACAAACGTTTGTGATGGACTCTTTCAACATCCATCGGTTAATCATATCTGCGGTCACAGTGAGCACCAAATTCTTCAGTGATTTTTTCTACAGTAATTCCAGATATGCAAGGGTTGGCGGTATCTCTTTGAAGGAGCTGAATCATTTGGAGCTTCAGTTTTTGGTTTTATGTGACTTTGAGCTGATCATAAGTGTTGAGGAGTTACAGAAATATGGGGTTTTGTTGCGGGACTTTTGGCAAAGGGAGCAGGGAGAACCTGATCCTGCGATTGTAGTATAGATAAAATTAAGCAATGGCGTGTAGTAAAAAGCATTTGATTTGGAGCATGTTAAGAGGAGACTGGGGGGTAGGTGAGGTGAATGCATGGCTGTGTGTTTGAAGAAAGTTAGGTGGAATGTTGTGAAAGAAATGAGGCATGTTGTGAAAGAAATGATGGCATGTTACGGTAACCGTAGCGGTTACTTTGAGTTATTGTCGATGTGTTCTAATTTTTAGGTGATTGAGAAATTGCAGTTGTAGGTTCGAGGGAAAAGAAAACCAGAGGGTTAAACAGGGTGATAGGGCTGCTCAATTGTGGTTGGTCAATTCTTGAGCTGCAGAGATGGGAGAGAGGTTAATCGGCACTCGTATATGGTGATATATTCGGTATCAGTACAAAGTGACACAAAAGTGACTACGGGTCTGGCACGTGACTCTAGTGATAGGAGAGGGGTTGATTGTTCCCGTGTATGGTGATGCCTCTCTTATTAGTACAAAGTGACATTCTTTTAACTGTATCATTTTTAACGATCTGAATAAACCCCCTTTTCCCCTTTCTACGTACACAGTGACATGGTTCCAAAACCTCCCATATATCAGACTTCCTCCCCTCTCTCCCTTCTTCTTCCCTGTTCCCCTCTGCTTTGAGAAAGAAACCACTTCAGCTTTCCAAGCAAAACAGGAGACTACCAGAAAACTATTACTATGCCTTGAATCTTAAAGCGAGCACACAAATTGTATTCGATTCCCATCCTCACTATCGATTGTTCCGATGTCGTCGAGCGACCGTAGTGTTTTGTGGCTTTCTGTCCGATAGAGAGTCAGATAGCGGCTACTACTACTACTACTACTACTACTACCACTACTACTACTGCTGCTATCGGTAAGTTGTATGGCGTGTGTGTATCTATCAGAACCCCATAGAGTTCCATCCATCATTCACAATCGCTTACTTCACCGCTGGCGATTGTGCTCATATCATATCATATCTATCTCATCATAGAAGACCCTCTGGAATAGCGGGCTGTCCCGGCCGGAAGTTCCTGCTCTTTGTTTTTTTTCTTTTTTCCCTTTTTCTCCGGATCCTCAACCGGCCTTCCCGGACGGCACACCCCGTTATCCGTCATCTACACGTGACCCACACACGCACACACACACGCATTCGCTGCGTATCTCGCCGTTAAGGGAAAAACCCAAAAAAAAAAAGAAAGAAAAGGAAGCCCAAAAAAAAAAAAAAAAAAAGTTTCCCTTCTCTCTCTCTCTTCCTCCTCTTTTCTTTTCCCTATCCAGAAAAATGCCGTGTGAGCCTTAGGCGCGTTTAGCTTCGCCCGCATCTGTGCGCGTCTATCTGAGTTTCTTTCTCAATGGGGCTTGTCGTCTCCGACGATAACGACGATTAGACAGACACCTTTTCACACCATCTTGTTCGTTCGATATAAAACTAAGCGATGAGATGCCCATTTGCATGGAAAAAAAACAGCAGTTTTGAGTGGGAAGGAAGTGAACGCGTCAGATATTCTCTCTCACACACACACACACACTCATCTCTGTTTCCTTGCCACGATGTCGACGTCGAAGGAAAACTACGAGATTCGAGACCTGGAAAAACGCGGCGGGTCGCGCTCCGACGACGACTACGCAGAATCGCACTCCAACCCGGCTGTTGAAACCGCAGAGGCTGAATACACAAAACTCTCGTTTCTCGACAACCTGGCCGCCAAATTGAGAGCAGAAACCAAGGGTATCGAGCCGATCACGGACGACGAAAAGGACGACCCATCCATTCTGAACGCTGCATCAATGTGGTTTTCCGCCAATATGGTCATTGCCGCTTTTGCCCTGGGTGTTTTGGGCCCCATGGTGTTTAAAATCAACTTCTGGGGGTCTGTTATAGCCGTTGTGGTGTTTTCGTTTCTCGGGATCTTGCCTGTGGCCTTCTACTCCGTGTTCGGCGTCGAGCTCGGCTTACGTCAGATGGTGCTGTCACGTTTCCTGCTGGGAAACGTGACCGCCCGTATTTTTGCCCTGATTAATGTGATCGCGTGTGTTGGCTGGGGTGCCGTCAACACTATTGCGTCAGCACAATTGCTGCATATGGTCAATCCACACGGCGCACAATGTCCGCCCTGGGCCGGATGTCTTATTATTGTGCTATCGACTATTCTGGTAACGTTTTTCGGGTACCGGGTGATCCACGCGTACGAAAAATGGTCGTGGATCCCTAATTTCGCGGTCTTCTTAGTCATCATCGCACGACTCAAGATCAACGGGTCGTTCACAGTGGGCGAGTGGGTTTCGGGTCCGACCACGGCCGGTGGTATTTTGAGTATGGGCGGTGTGGTGTTTGGGTTTGCCACCGGATGGACCACTTACGCGGCTGATTACACGGTGTATATGCCCCGCTCCACAAACCGGGCCAGAGTTTTCTTCGCGGTTATGGCCGGACTTATGTTCCCGCTGTGCTTCGCGATCATCTTGGGCGCCGCAGCCGGATGTGCGTCGCTCAACAATAAGACCTACGGCGATTTTTACGAATCCGACGGCGTTGGCGGTCTGGTGTATGCGATTTTGGTGCCTAACTCCGTCGGCGGTTTCGGACAATTCTGTTGTGTGCTATTGGCAATGTCCACGGTGGCTAACAACATCCCTAACATGTACTCGATCGCACTGGGTACTCAGGCGATGTGGGGCCCATTGGCCAAGGTGCCTCGTGTGCTGTGGACCATCGCTGGTAACTTTGTGACTTTGGCCATTGCTATTCCAGCTTACTACAAATTCACCTCATTCATGAGTAACTTTATGGACGCTATCGCTTATTACTTGTCCATCTATATCGGAATCTCGATCACGGAACACGTGGTGTTCCGTAAGGCGCGCTTTTCGAGCTATCACGTGCAGGACTGGAACACGTGGTCGGCGTTGCCCGTGGGTGTTGCTGGATGTTGTGCGTTGTTCGTTGGTGCTGTGGGTGTTGCGTTGGGAATGGAGCAGACGTACTGGACCGGTGAAATCGGACGCAAGATCGGAGATTTCGGCGGAGACATCGGGTTCGAGCTCGGGTTTTCGTTCTCCGTGGTGACGTATCTGGCGCTGCGTCCGCTGGAACTACGCTGGTTGGGACGCTAGACAAAGACAGGTGCCCAATTCATTTGGCTTTTGAAAACACCAGTGTGTTTTGAAAGTTAAAACCATATATGTATATGTGTGTATATATTTTTGAATCGACTAATGTAATTGATTTGTTAGGAAAACAGAATATAGCAGCAGGCTGGAGTTTCTGTTGGGAAGTCAGGGTCAGGGTCAGGGTCAGGGTCAGGGTCAGGGTCAGGGTCCTTATTATTACATATATGAAGTGGCAACAGAACAATTTTAGCGTGCCAAACCAAAGACAGGGGCAAGAGAATAAACAAACGGGTGGCACGTGACCAGCGACACAGTAGGTCAGAGACGTCAAAATACCTACCAGAAACGAAGACAAAATTGATCTACGGGGCCCCCAACGTTCGCTTACATGCGAGTGAAGCAGTCTTACCTCCAAAGCGTCAACACAAAATCACGAAAATCCAGTTTTTATACCATAACCAAATTCCCAACAATGGTTTCGAATTATTGACCGCCACCATCTTACCTCCGAATATCTTTCAAAAACTTAGCCTGTCACTTAGAAGCACTAACCCACCTTCAGCGCAACAGAGCCTCTGAAAACCGCAATATTATCAACGCTTTCTACAAGGTTCCCAATATGTGCTATCGTACACAACAAAAACAACCGTTTTGAACAAAAGCATTTTTGAACAAAAGCATTTTTGAACAAAAGCATTTTTGAACAAAAGCATTTTTGAACTCGCTGAAGCTCCAGAAAACAACTACAATTCGCTTTATCCAGTTTTTCAACCTCCCAAATCTTGGTTCCGCTATAATTGCTTCAGGTTTACGCAAGGTTCGTCTCCTTCCTGTCACTGTTCTACTGACGCTCGCCATATGCCGAACTACGAAACCGATTCTAACATAAATTGTTCTTCTTGAAACTCAAACTCAAACTTAGCCGCTGCCCAACAACTATCACGACAACTCCAAAGTCGCCTCTAGACCTCTATATATCTATCAATTACATAGTTTCAGCCCTGCTGTAGGCTCTCTGATGTCTGTAATGCTCAATCTGTTCAATTTCATTGACTTTGGCTTTTATACAACGTTTCTGGTAGGTATATTGTCACTGCTACTTGCGAAAATAAGAGCACCTTTGTTGCTGAAGTATGGCAAAACCTTACCCGAGGATGCCAAGAATGGTCAAGATAAGAGTCTCTGGGCTCTTTTCCAGCAACTTACGGTGCCGAAAGGTTGGTTCAGTCACTTTTATGTTTACTCCGGGATTCTTTCGTGTGTAAACTTGATAGCGTTACGGCTCAACATCCTATCCGTTTTGATGGCCGTTCATTCTTTAAGACGACTCTACGAAACAACTCATGTCAACAAATCAAAGCCTAGCGCCAGGATTCATGTGTCACATTATATGGTGGGGTTTTGGTACTACTCTGCAGTTAACTATGCCATTTACAGAAGCAAGCCCGAAACTTGGAGTCCACCTCTAATCAAAAGTTTTGCAATTTTGATGTTCATACTCGCATCATGGGATCAGTACAAAAATCATCTGTACCTATCGCAGTTGCGTAAATACACGTTGCCCACCAAAGGGTTGTTTAGGTTAGTAGCCAGTGCGCACTACTTGGACGAAATCTGCCTTTATTCAGCAATGACACTCTATTCGCGTTCCACAAAACTATTAGTGTGCTTGCTATGGGTCATCTCCAGTCTTTCTGTCTCTGCCATTGAAACAAGAAAATGGTATAGTCAAAAGTTCCCACAATCAACTCCTAAGTTTGCAATTTTGCCTTACATTCTTTGAACGCTATGTATATGTCTGTTGCTAATGACTTTTACGGCTCCCACTTCCTGAATAATAATGAGGAGTTGATACCACCAAATCCAAAACTGTTTGTTAGCGCGTATTGTAGTTGTTGCGACTCTGGCTTTCCCTGAACCAGGTCCAACTGTTGCCAATTATCCAATTGATCGCCGGGCGCGCCTCCAGCTTTCTCCAGGTTCAATGTATGTGGTATCACGCCATCTTGCAGGGACTTGATAGTGAAAATGCTTTCAACCGCACCCGCCGCTCCCAACAAATGGCCCATCGCTCCTTTATTGCTTGAGACCTTCAAACGGTTTTCTCGAGACTCTCCTGCGAATATCTGGGCGATTGCTTGATATTCGGCCCTGTCGCCAAGGACAGTTGAAGTGGCATGCGCATTCACATAGTCAACCTTTCCAGGATCGACCGTATTCAAGGCCATTCTCATAGCTCGGCCAGCACCTTCCCCGTTTTCAGATGGTGAGGTTATGTGATGAGCATCACTTGACAGACCATATCCTTCGACTTCTGCATAAATGCGTGCCCCTCTCTTTTGTGCGTGTTGCAAAGATTCCAAGACTAGTATTCCTGCTCCTTCGCCCAAGACAAAGCCACTTCTGAGAGCATCGAATGGCCTTGAAATTCCGTCGGGTGTTATGCTTTTGGCGCGCAAAAAGCCCGAAAGCGCTAAAGGATGAACACAAGCTTCACTTGCACCTGCCAGACAAAGGTCATTGTAACCAAGCCTAATAAAGTTATACGCATCCCCGATGGCATTGTTTCCTGTTGCACAAGCGGTCGACACGCAATGCGATACGCCTTTCAGCTGATATTTTATTGATACGTTGCCGCAAGCCATATTGGCCAAGATCTTGGGAACAAAAGTAGGAGCTAGTTTTTTTCCGCGGTCAAATGCCAGGATCGAATCGTACATGTCCTGGATTGATGCTATTCCTGATCCTATAACGCACCCAAATCTTTCGACATTGATTTCGTCGAGTTTACGCAGCAAGCCAGCATCGTCCAATGCCTCTTGAGCCGCGACAACGGCGAACTGAGTGAAAAGACTCATCCTTCGAAGATCTTGGGAAGTGAACAGTGAACCATATGCAGTTGCATCAAACCCATCGATCTTACCCACACCAACATTTGCAGGGCAATGTGGTTCGTAATCTTTGAAGTCAGCTAACTCCGAAACAGGACGAATCCCGGAGTTCCCGCGAAGTAAGCTTGACCAGGACTGTTGCAAAGTTTTGCCTAGCGGTGTGAGCGCTCCAAGCCCAGTGACTACGACTCTGGAGGTCATGTAGGTCCTGTTTGGATGTGTTTTCGACAATGAAAGGTCGCGATGGACGGAACTCGTACCTTTAATAAATTGTCTGTATGGGACTATTCCAAGTGGAAAACCGGTTTGACGACAGTAAATTCAGCCAGCTTTGAGAAAGGTCGAACTTTTGGAAACTTTATGGACAGCTCCATGGATTCTGATTTTTTGGAGACCGAATTGTGCGACATCTGTCAAGATTTCGATTCAGCAGATGTTTTAGTTAAAAATTGGTTTGCGTAAGTTGGAAATCGAAAGGCATCACTTTTGGAGTCTTTATTACAAGATTGACAGCTCAGAAGCAAGCTCTTTTTGGTCATAGCGCGAGGAAAGCTTATTGAGGCGAATTTCTTGTAAGTTTTTCAATGCGGAGAGAGCCACACGTTCGGTTATAAAAATTACTTCTGATTTATCTAATGAATGATGGCAGCCTTGGTTTGATCTCCTCAATGATTCCATTTGCCGTGTGCCGATTCAGCATCGACGTCAACTCGTTGCATGCCTTCATATCACTTTTCTCTCAAAGCGTCATTTTCTGGTGAAGTTAGCCTATTGCCTTACGTAAGCAAAATCAACCTGATAAAAAGACAAGTCAAAATAGCACCACAGAAAAAGAAGTAAAAGCCTGATTTTTAAAACACAGGACGCATCACATATAATTTGAATACATTTGGGTTTGATCCCGTTTACGTGCATCCCATCTGTCACGAAGAACCTGTTAGCCAGTTTTTATCGTTTATAGTGATGGTTCAACGTCTTTTTACGTAAATAACGATAGAGCGTCCAGGGTCCATAATTTAAGCGGTTTATTCACTTTGAGATGGTTACCAATTGCAATTGGAACCGTAACTAATTGGCATCCTGGTCTCAGCATGGCATTTCCAAGCCATCAATCGAGAATCAGAGTTACACCAGGCCTTCGGTATTCTTCTCTTATTAGTTGACTTCCCACCCGCCAGTTATAATTATAATAATATGCTTGTGATTTTGTATGGGACTAGATACGTTACCTTCCTATGAGGCGTTGTATGTATGCTATTGTACAGTGCAACTGAATTAAAAGACTGCGAGGAAATGAGGCCTCCTCAAGGTCCTAGAACATTCAGTTGCGTCGTTTCATTTACCATTCCAACAAGTCGTCCTTGGCGTACAAGTAGTCGGTGAAGACAAAGTCGACTTCGTCGGTTTCAGGGTTGTAACCGCCAATCTTGATGGATTCGTGGTTCTTGACGATGATGTCACAGCCCTTCTCCTTTAGGAAGTCCAAGTCGAAAGTGGTGGCAATACCGACAATCTTGCAGCCGGCGGCTTTACCGGCAGCGATACCGGCTGGGGCGTCTTCAAAGACGATGACCTTGGACTTGGAAGGTTCCTTCTCGTTGATTGGGTAGCCCAATCCGTTTCTGCCCTTGATGTATGGTTCTGGGAAAGGCTTACCTTGCTTGACGTCGTTGGCAGTGATGAAGTATTCTGGTCTCTTGATTCCCAAGAGTTCGAACCACTTGGTGGCCATAGGACGGGTACCAGAGGTGGCAACGGCCCATTTCTCCTTTGGCAAGGCGTTTAGCTCCTTGCAGAGAGTGACGGCACCTGGAACTTCGATGGAGTGTTCACCGTATTTGGCTGGGATTTCAGCTTCTAGCTGGGTGGCGTAGTCCTCGTCGGCAAAGTCTGGGGCGAACTTGGCGATGGCGTCGTAAGTTCTCCAGCCGTGAGACTCGTGGATCACGTGCTCCGCGTCGAAGTAAGGCTTGTCCTTACCAAAGTCTCTCCAGAAGGCAGCGATAGCTGGTTGAGAGATGATGATGGTTCCGTCAACGTCGAATAGAGCAGCGTTGACTTTCAAAGATAGTGGTTTTCCTAGAGACATGGTTATTATATTGTGTGGTTGTTGTGTGAGTGTCCTAAATGACAGATGATGATTTATTAGAAAAACTACTAATACAACAATGCCAATTTATTTCACATCAAAAATCTCATCAGACCCTCACTATTTATACACTTTGCAAAGACATCTGGTCCAGTTTCCGTGAGCTTCCTGATTTGTGCGGTGAGTTGCGGTGGTTCACTTTCTTTCTGCGTGCAAAAAGAAACAGGAGATTTGTTGTCTAATTCTCGTCGTTGTCGTTGTCGTTGTCGCTGTCGGTATTATTGGGAAAGCAAGCGTGTTAGAATAAACCGCTGCTGCAGCGGCATCTGATGGGATGCTATGCTAAAATGGTGAAGAACACTAACGACAATAACAATATTCGTCGTTTCTTTACGCCACGATAAACTGGCCAATTTTTCTTTTTCTTTTTCGGGTTTGCTTTCTGGGCCCACCACGTATGTTTTGGTGGTGACACTCGCACCACCAGATGATCGCGTATTGGATGATGATGATGATGGGCTATTATTCTACATGAGACGTTATGTTATGGGCTACGTTTGGGCTACGTTTGGGCTACGTTTAGGTTGACGGTGGGTGGTGGTAGCGAGTGATTGAGTGATGAGATTGGACTGGACTGCCTATACGTAATGGGCTAAGACGAGCAGCTGCTTATGTCAGCGGGGCACTAACATGTTAAGAAGGAAGGAAGAAAACAGAAAACAGAAAAAGAAAAAAAAATTACTTAATTTTTGACCCTATTTGGGTCAAAAGAGCAAATTTTTGACCCAGAGAGGGTCAAATGAGAAGCCGGAAGAGACCGGGAGGAGACTGGAAGCTGGGTCGCGTGACAGGAAGCTGGGTCACGGGGGTTGTTGTTGGTGGTTGTGGCGGCGTGTGTGATGATAAAGATTTCTACACCCATACACCAGAGAAAAGAGATTAGAAGGGTTTACGGTGGGAGTGGTGTGGGGTATCATCATGAGATTTGATAGAGAGAAAGAGAGAAAGAGAGAGAGAGAAGATTGGTTTGGGGTGGTGTGTTGAAAACGAAGAGAAAAACGATAGGCAGGGAGGAAATTTGGTGGAACTCTTCTTTTCGGTCCGGAAACTCGCAAATGAGTTTTTTTTGAAGTGAGGTGGGTCACGTGATCAAGTAAATTGAAGACGACTCTCACGTACGATGTGATACAAAAGTGTCTATTCTCTTTTACCAATGTCATTCCTGTACTCTCCATCATTCATGCATGCAACAACCATATGCTTCTATTAGTCTCTGCATGCAAGTCCTCTTTCCCTTCGGTGTCTCACCTTCTCGAGCACTCTTTTCACTCCACCAAAAGTAAACTCTCCTACCCAAAGATAAACTCTTCAATTTTTTTTTCTCACTGGCTCCCACTTTCTGCTACCACCACACCGGTCGTTATCTTCTCCTCTCTTTCTCCCTCTTCCCTCTCTCTTTCGACTTGTCTTTCACCGAATTCAGGCCTGGCTTTTCCTGTCTGGCTTTTCCCATAATTAAAATGGTAAAAAAATTGGGAAATATAAACTATAACCCAATCCTAAAAAACTACCACCTGTCATCTACAAAAACACAGCATTCAAACGATGGCCAACTACGCTCAACAGACTGTAAAACAGCTTCAGAAGGAGCTGGAATCCAGAAATTTAGGTACCAATGGGATCAAGAAAGACTTGATCGCGCGATTGGAGTCCAATGACGCCGAAAACTCGCAACAAACAGCCGCACAGGAGGAAGAACAGCAGGAACCAGCAACCAAGGAAATCGGTTCTGAACAAAAAGAAGAACAGCCCGAAAAGGTTGTTGCTTCAACTGAAGAAGAGAACGAAGAGAACCCCGCCGCGGCTCCCGTTTTAGAAAACCCATCAGTCGCTTCTTCTTCGTCTTCTGGTTCTTCCAACCAGCCAAAGTCTGAGGGAAGCCACGGCCATGGGAACGGCAATATCGACGAAGCGGATGCTAAGCCCAAACCTTTCTCACCCGAGGAGGCCAAAACCAAGGCATTGGAACATTTGCAGGTCAAATTGCGTCGTGCACGCAAGTTCGCAGCTGACGAGTCCACGATCGAATCGCTAGAACGCCAAATTGCTAGAATCCAGAAATTCGGACTCGACCAAACCACCCAATTGGCACGCGAACTAGGGTTCGGCAAAGGCCCTCAAAACACAATTGCGCGCCGTGGGAACAAGAAATCGCATCGCAAAGCTTCCAAGAACAATAGAAAGTAGCGTCACGAAAAATGTGTTTTGATATATCTCCCAAGCTAAGCGGGTGATTCTCTAGACCATAATTACGAATCAACTAACCACAACAACAACAACAACAACAACAACAACAACAACAACAACAACATCGAACAAATTTTACCAAAACAATACAAAAAGCACAGCAATCCACGAAAGAAATCACCCATAGTCGGAACTCGAACTTTTACAAGTAAACCTCGAGACTTTGCAAAACTGCGTCCCCCGATTCTCTACCTCCTGTCTATCAACTTTTCAATCACCCATATTGTCTTTCAGAGCTCTTTTTGGTGCCTCTCTCGAGACTCGAACCCGAGCTTCAATTTTCCGGTCCACGTGACCGATGGAAATTAACTCAGATTTAAGAGTGTCTCCGCCCCTTCTTTGAAATTCGAATGGGTCTAGAATATCAGGAATTTCTGACTTTTCTAACTTTGACAAGTTTCGAAACAACTCTTCAAACTTCAGCATCGATTCAAGCTCTACTAATAGTGCGTCGATTCTTCTCACTTTTGGTCATCCGCGGATTCGATTGATACCCTTTTTTTGAAATTTCCGATTATCAGGTCTGGTTAACAAGCAAAGCCCTGCAAGAGAAGAAACCTCTGAGTTTTTGACAAAATCTAGCCAAAACACTGTTTTTGCGCTGTTTTTTGACTTTCCAAAGAACTTGAACACTATTGGCCGTCAACAGGCTAAAAAGTATTCTATAGCCAAGCATCTCAGTTGGTTTTACGGCCGAAACTGAAGCTAGCAGTCGATAAATGGCATTTTAGACATACCCTTCTTTTCTTCGTCAGACAATGGATCAGTCTAGCTCTAAAGTGGCATACGTGAGGATAGACAACCTACCTCCGGGCAAAACCTGGCGTCAAGTTAAATACATGGTCGGCGGGTTGATACATCACACGTCGATTTTACAGGTCAAAATGCTGCCTCCAGTGCAATCCATAGTTCCGCCCTTCATGCCATTTCAAAGCTGCATCGTTTCTCTGAAACGCTCAGACGCTCAATTGAACCGTCTTCTTATCGACCTGAACGGATATACGTGGGATTATTACCGACTCATGGCGTATGCTGTTCCGCCTTTACATGCACCCAACAATGCTGCTTTTTTAGCCGCGCCAAGCACGGGGATGGATCAACTCAGCCCTCCCACATCTGTACAAAGCTCAACTGCAACACCTGTACCACCACCCTCAGCCCACCTGATGATGCCTTTCGCGCCCATGCCTCCGATGTACTATCCTACTTCCAGGTCACAGCCATATTCTCAGGACAGCTACCTTCGACAGCAAAACAATCAGTATGGAAAGAAAATGCGACAGGTTTTCAGTGAAGAAAGCTTTCGTCGGCAAATGAGTGCAAGAGGCATGCACCAATTATCATTAGGCGGATTTCCGCCCTGCTTGCATTGGGACGTTAATGGAAATTATGGAATGGTGTCTCAAGAGTCAGGCTCATCCACAGACATGCCTACCATACACATCAAGACCGCTCATCCTGAATACTTTGGGAAGTTGAAATGGACAGTTTTGAAAGATTTCATAAAGCTGAAGTGCCAGAGGCTACTAATGATGGAAACATCTGGTGCTGCAGCCAATACCCGGGAGTTTTACGTGGGCGTTTATGAAGATGCAGAGACAGCAGTAGACGTTGAAGTTTTGGACTCGACGTCAGACTCTGGTTCCACATACAGCCATTCAGATCGCGTTGAGGACAACGTACCCGACAATGTACCCGTTCAAGAAAACGAAATCACTAAGGAAGATATCAATGAAGCTGCTCATGGTTTGGAAGCATTGTCATTAGGACCTACTCGCCGCGTTGTTTCAGCAACTATCTACAAAGCCATAGTGGGATTCCATTCACGAGAGCTTTGCGATCTATGCAGAGATAGCCTTCAGGATCAGGAATATTCGCTGGGCTATAAATTAACAGTAAATGAGCTTCCGCCATTGGAATGGTAACATTCAACTAAGCAACAGGTCATCGTTGGTATGGATGGTGGTGAGCAGGAAAATTGGACAAACTTGGGAATAACGGCACGTAAGTAGGAACGGGAATAAATTCAGAAAAAGACACAAAATGGACAAGAAACATGTATTACCCAGGCACTTCAAAAGATCTGCGGGGCTGCATGGCAAAGTTTCTCATATCAACAAATAAATAATCTACTACACTTGAGAACGCAACAGCACGCATTCGCTTCACAGCAAGGGCTGGAAGACTAACGGTGACTTGATCTTTACGGGTCTAGCTGGAAACTTCTCCTCATTCTCTTCATCTTTTTTAGCACTAGGTGCAATGCTGCCCTTGCTAGTGTTACTTGGTTTGACATCGCTAAGGTGTTCCTTATGTTCGTGCATTGGAGATTGTGAGGACTTACCAGAGCGCTCTGTGTTGTGTGTTGGCGATTTCTGTTCCACGAAAGTAAGGGCAGATGCAGAGATGCTGCTTAGCATTTCAAGTCCATTGAAAGACTCTGGTACCTCCTCGCGGATCTCCACCACGATCTCTTCAGATGTGAACTTATTAAAAATTTTGGCAAGCTCCAAATCGTCTCTTATGGGGTCGTTATTATGCATCAAGTGCAAGTTTTTTGCCTGCGAAACGATCTGAAACAGATGACGAGAGTTTGCTAGCACTTCTGAGACTGTCGGTGGTCCATTGCTCAACAAATGGAACGTGAACCTTTGCTCTCTATCTTTGAACTTTAGAAGTACCTTTCGATAGACATCTTTATTTGCCGATGCTGGCGTCATGGAAAGCGTAGACATGATTGCAGAACGTTTGCAGTCCTTGTTGCGCTGACTGGCTAGTGGGTATTGTTTTAATATAACGTCATGCATAATCTCGCTGAGAGGATATATACAAGGATCAAACCCAAAATCCTTGATGATACCGCCCATAGTAAGATTAAACAATTTCAGTTGGGCATCCTTGGGTATCTGCTCAAAGTGATGCTCGGTAGCTGGCTCGAAAATTTGAACAGCCACATATGCCAGTCCCGCTGCAGATGTGAGCTTCGAGGTGATATATTCCATTGAGGCACCTGATAAGTTCGTAAAGAATCGTTCCATGACAAAGGCGACCGAAGCCTTCATGGACGTTTGACCCAAAATTTCCAGAGTTGAGTAGAGTTCTAATGACCCTTGTGAAGAGCTCAGCTCCAAACACGACCTTGATCTTTGGATGTGCAATAGTATCTTCTCCCTCAAGAAAAAGGGAATTTTGCCCTTACTATCAGTGGACTCTGATTTGTGCGAAGTGCTTGTGTAATTCGACCCAGGCAGGGCGTGAGATTGGAACGCCAGGTTGAGAAGTTCGCCGTCGTTACTTGACAGGGCAAAGTCTGTGAGATTGGGCGTGAAATTATCCTGTTGCGATTGCTCATGCAGCGATACTCGGTCGTGGACCACATCGGCTATAATAGTCTTTATAAGTTCGTCGTAATGATGGCTTTGAGTTGAGACGATGGGTGGTAAAGAAGCTGGCTTCGGTTGAATTTCCGGTTGTAGACGTGGCTGTATCGCGGACAATGCTGGAGCTTGGACGAAACTGCTCTTAGGTCCTAGATCATCGCGCCGGAGTGAATGTATAAACAAAGATGATGCTTGAGCTTCTATGGTTTCTCCATGAGGTGATGGTCCCCTTGATTGCGGCTCGCCGTGCTGGGCGTTGAAAAACAGATCTTCAGCACGAGGAGTCGGAGTATCATGGAACCCTGGAGGTGGGCTTAGACTTGTCGCCGACGGAAGGGATTGAGTGTGTGAACTCAATTCTGAAGTCTTATGCTTGTTAGAGCGCTTCCGGTTGCGCCGAACGGACTGCACGGCGGCCGTTACCAGTTTTTCGAATTCAGCTGAAGAGTTCAATGGGTATCCAAATTCCGTTCGCAGAATTGTGGCAATTTGCGATACACTGTTGTCCTGCTCGCTGGCTTTGCGTTCGCTGAGCCTGAATTTCTCGATCAACTCTAATCTCCGTCCCGAGAACTGCTTCCAGCGTCGCTCATCAGTGAAGTTTAGATGTTCTCGAATCTTGCGGGTCGTACCCGCTCCAGTGGGTTTCCGAACTCCCCCACCGTCACTGATCATATGTAAGTAGTGGCTCGGAGACTGGGTGTATCAACTGTTCAAAAGCTTTATTTCAATTTGTTATGCGGTCTTGATTGAGTCTACTTATGTTCCCACAACGCTCTTGAATATGTATACTTGATTCAATTTGAATCATTTTTTGAGATCACGTGATACCAAATGAATCATGCCATGACTCAAACAATAACGGTGCACACAGCGGTTTGGCCAGTTTTCGATCAAGATCTGCGCTCAAAGTCAGTCAAAGTCGATCCTTCAGAGTTTTCCCCTGTCCCGGAACTGTTCCTCTGTGACGCCAACACCCATTGCCGCTGTGGCACTGACACCACCTTGCGCCAATTTCAAAAGACTGTCAATGTACTCGGCACCAGACCACTTTTGATGTTTGACAATGTCCACGTTGTTGTTGATCTCTTCTTGCTGAACAGTTGATGCGTACGATAACATGCCCCGCTTGCTAAAGTCCTTGGCAAAAGTGTTCACGGCAAGAGCGCTTGTGTGCAACCCGGCCAAGGTGATAAACTGCCAAATGTAGCCGAGCTGGCCCAAACGGTCGATGAACGACCCCAGTTCCGTTGGGGACATGGCGGCATTCCAGTTGAACGAAGGCGACAGGTTGTATGCAAGCCATTGGTCTGGAAATTCGGCCTTGACACCCTCAGCAAAAGTCTTGGCCTGCTGGAAGTCTGGAGAGTTACTTTCCATCCACACTAGGTCCGCGTATGGTGCGAAGGCTCTTGCTCTCATGATACTGCTTTGAGTGCCACCGCGGTAGCGGTAAAGACCTTCGCGCGCGCGTGGTAAATCCCAATCGAAATGGATTGTCTCGCCCAAGAGCTTCTTAGCAATCGTCTGCATTTGTCTTATGGACATACCGCTCTGAGGCCCGGCTTGTGAATTGAATTCCGAAATGAGTTGTTCACTTTTTGCAGACTTTTGTTTGCGTGCAGCGTCAGCAAACGCCTCGTGGAACAACTTAAGGCCAGCCTTTGCACACCATTGAGTTTCCAATTTTTCCAATTCCTTACCGCTGTGACCTTTCAAGATAGCGGCATCCATGCTTTCCGAGAGCGATTCTTGCAAATCCGGGTTCGTGGCACCCACAATGAAATAATGGTCCCGAGGATCGATGGTGGAGCTCAAAAGCGTGGCTTCTTCCGAATCGGTACGAGCCACCAATACCAAATTTGAGTGCATGATGTCGGCACACATACGAACCGTTGTTAGTCGATTGATGTGTTCCTGCACGGGAATCACGCACCGGCCAGCCATGTGGCCACATTTCTTGTTGGTAGAAGTCTGATCTTCCATGTGGATTCCTGCAGCGCCGTTTTCGATGAACATTTTGGTGAGCTTGAAAACCGCCGTGATACCGCCGTGTCCTGCGTCTGCATCGGCAATAATGGGTCTGAGATAGTCGATGGGGGGTCCCAAATTGTCCCATTCGCTCTGCGATTGGCACCGCGAGCGCTCTTCCCATTGTTTGCGGTCGTGGAATTGCTGGGCCTTGAACAAATGGTCTACTTTGGTGGGCACCGTGTCCATAGGGTAATCTGCAAGGTCAGGACCGGGCTCATTGCTCGTCGACGCCGTCGACGAGCATTGCCAGCCCGAGACGTACACAGTGTCGAGAAACGGTGCCATTTGCGTGACGTGCACGGGATCGAGCGCTCCAAACGTTTTGCTGACGGTTTTACGGTCGTGGTGTTGTGTCAACAATGCGTACAACTTGCTTGCCATCACGGACGATGCGTTGTTGGTATCGAGGGGCATTGAACCGCGACGTGCGGCGATATCGCGGGCCGTGTAGATTCGTTTAGTATTTTTCCACCGGGGCTGCGACCACCATTTTTCGATTTCTTGAGTTTGTCGCTCCAATTGAGCCTTTGCATCTGCAAAAGAGTAATTGTTCATGATGTTGTTGTTGTTATAGTTGGGTCAGTTTGATGAGAGGCTCTTTTGTATGAGATTAACTCCGATACCGGTCTTTGATAATAGTCTGAAACCAGTAACATGTCCCAGAATCCTATTTCAAAAAACCCCACATTTTCGCCCGTATTTATACCTTTTTTTTTCGCTATTCTGCCCCCCACCCCCTTCGCCGCAACCGCCCAGCTTCTCTTCGCCGAGCTCCGGCCGATGACGTTCTAGACGCGCTGGAAAGGCGATTTGATGATTTGGACCGAGGAGGTCACGAAGCGAGCACCTGACCGGTCGATTTAGGGGTTTCTTTTTGCCGGGTAAATGCAAGAAAGCCGCCGATGAGTACGGGGAGTTTTCCCTTTGGGCCTAGGTGAGGGGACGGTTGAAAGGGCGGTTCACGTATTGTGTGATGGGGGGGAGTTGTGACAAGGGTGTGACACATATACCACATGATAAACACGTGCTTATCATGGGACTGGTTTTGTGATGCATTAGTCATGTGTTTGAGGCGTGATTAAGGCGTGACACACCTGGTCATGTGCTCATAGTGCTGCCCTGCTGGTGTTGAATGCTATAGAGGATAGATGTATAGATAGATACATACATACTAGGTCGTTGAAAATTACAGATGAAAGGTGTAAGGGTTAAAACAAGAAGGAGACCTTGACCAAGAAGGTACTGGAAAGCAGAAGCAATAAAGATACAAAATCCTGGGCATGTAGAACCAAAAGAAAGAAAAAACAAGGGCTTGAACTACTGGAGAAGGGTGTTTGTCACGTGATATATGACAACGGCTTTTTTTTGCACAGAAATCAAAGCACCATTTCGAGGTAGGAGTGAGTTCTTTCTTCTTTCCGCTACTTAAGGTACAAAATGTTGAGTGTTCAGAACAGTAATGGAAGCTTCATTCGAGCCTCTCAGATGAAACAGTTTGAAAATCATCAAAAGAGGCTTTCTCGTCTCTCACGTCACGTCACGTGACCAGCGTCAGTAAAACTATTTCCCATTCTCGACCACGTCTGTCAACTGTTAAGCTACTTACCAGCATGCTTTACATGATCACCAAACGAAAAAGGCCCTTCCAAACTTACAAGCCTGCAACGCAACACACTTAACAAACCCCATTACGGTCACAAACTGTAAAAAAAAAACCACTCCCACATTAAAAAACTGACTCCCTCATTGTAAAAGGCACTCCCCCATCGTAAAACTCACTCCCCCTTAATCAATGACTATCCAAATAAAGCTCTTTTGTTGCGATTTAGTTCTTGTCATCATTGATGTCAAAACTTATCCGTTCTCAATTTCGCAATTCACCACCGAAACATTAAATTTACAACCATCATAAAAAACACTCACATTACACCGGGAAAAAAAAACCTAATAGGAACGTAACTTTCATAAAACAAACGTCCAAATCAAGCAAGTCTACACAGCCGAGTCTTTCACATTCTCAACTTCTCATCCTTCAAAAAAATAACGTCAGCTGCCGGATTTGAACCGACGCGGGCAGAGCCCAATAGATATCTTTATTCCTAGTAGATTCAAGTCTATCGCCTTAACCACTCGGCCAAACTGACTGTTTGATGATCCTTGAGAGAATCGAACACCTGAAATCTCAGACGCTCAGCTGATGAACCATTGATGGTCCTCATTTGATGGAAGAGAAAGACAACACTGAGTAATATATACAGGCTGAAAAATTGAAAAACTTACGTCACATAGTGTCTTAAAGCCTTTTTACAAGACTTGCAAGGCTGCTAAGGCCAGAACAAGCATTCCTTGCATGATTCATGTTATTCACCAAGATCATGGGCGACAATTGTCTATTCTAAGTAACGCGCTTCCAAATAAGCTGGTGCAAGGTCGCAAACTTTCTGTGCATTGCACGTTCCAGCAGCAGCCACCGTCATCACCCGGGTGTCAACTCCAAAACTTGACCCAGTACCAAAACGAGTCACCCTGCAACCATACTGTTGACAACATGACTGCTGTTCACCCCATACAAACTCTTTAAACCCTTCTCTCCCTACTCTCTAGTACTCATCACTCCATCGTTCCCGCGAAAAACAAGGGACTTGGGTGAAAATGTGGGGTGAAGAAAAAATAGCATGGGATGCGGCGGGGTTTCTTAAAGTAATGGAGACTATAAACTGACGATCCCTCTTCTCTAGCCAACTATATAAAGGGTTCAAAACCCTCGCTTCTTTCCGTAGTTCTGCTGTTACCTCTTCTTCATTTTCAAATTACATACACTACAGTAACACACCACACACACCACACTCAATCTTATACACTACGCAATGACAAAAAAAGACAAGAAATCAAAGGTCACCACGGTGATCACCAAAGAAGGCGAAAGCATCAAAGTGTTTGAAGACTTGGACAGTTTCGAACTGTACATCAAGAACGAAACGGAAGACGACGATTTCGACCATGTGCGATGCCGGTTGAAGTACATCCCACCATTTGTGCTGCATGAGTCGCACGAGGACCCTGAAAGGATCAAAGACTCGGTCAACTCGCACAGCAGAAAGTTTGTGCGCCATTTGCACCAGCACGTGGAAAAACACTTGCTGAAGGACATCACAGACAGACTGCAGATCCCAACACTCAAATTCAAGGACAAGTCAAAGGTGGAGACCCCAGACAACATTGTCTGGAGATACAACGAACACGCCCAGTACCACAGCCGTGAGTTTGATATCCACGTGTCCGTCCAATGCCACCACGACAGTGCTATGGTGGATGTTGACTATTTGACAGAACCCACCCGGCCTGCGGTACAAACACCTGTAGCCACGTCCGTGGCTGCAGCGTGAATTTGCCCAGCGCAAGCCTGTGCAATTTTCTACGTATAATTTGAATATGAAGTAACGAAACGGAATGAAGCGATGAAACTTGAGGAGAGAAAGAGTAGGGAAGAGTGTTGTTAAGAAACGTGTCACTTTGTACTAAAATGTTCAGAACTCAGCTTGCGTGTTTAGCCTTCGAGAAAAAGGCTGAATAGCTTTTTGACCAGCAGTTTTGTGAGTCGTCAAAAAGAGTTCAAGCTATTTGATATGCTACAGTTCTTTTAAACTCGGATTCATAGCTGTAACGACACGAAATGAGATGTTCATATATTTCAAAGCACGAAATTTCAAGATACATATATATATATATTTATTTATCCGCTACTATAGCGTTTTAGAGTGGTCAACGCGTCGTCGACTGGGGGTTTCTTAGTAAAGAGTAGCATAGAAAGACCAGATCGGATCTTAGAAGCTGCGAACAAAAGGCCTGGATGAAGCGTCTGACAGAAGCTCAACTTCTTTAACCTCTACTGTAGTGTCCAAATGCTTGAATTTACCTTGAGAACCTTTCATCATCGAGTCACGTGAAAATCACGCGCTCTTCTTCCTAGGGCTCTTTCCCCCGTAGAAAATGCCAGAACTATTCAAAGCTAACGCTATATGAACATTATTCTCTAACTCTCTCTCTACATCTTGAACAAACAGCCTGAAAACAACCCTCCATCAAGCCCTTCACCATCTTAAATCGCCATGAATAAAACTACCACAACTGCAAATATGCACGCCATTCAAAATGCGCTCGCAAACTACGACACTTCGTTCCTTTCCGACGACGAAGAAGATTACTGCCCGCTATGCATCGAGCCCATGGATATTACGGACAAAAACTTCAAACCGTGTCATTGTGGCTACCAAATATGTCAGTTCTGCTACAACAACATTCGCCAGAACCCAGAACTGAACGGGAGATGTCCCGCTTGTCGTCGGAAGTACGACGACGAAAGCGTGGAATATGTCGTCTTGACACCAGAAGAAATGAAGCTGGAACAGGCCAAACAGGCGCGCAAGGAGAAAGACCGCAAACTGCGCGATAAGGAACGCAAAGAGCACGAGTTTGCAAACCGCAAGCATCTGGCTGGAATGCGGGTCATCCAGAAAAATCTGGTGTATGTGGTGGGCCTAAACCCACCTGTTGCATACGAAGATGTAGCACCTTTGCTGAGAACCGACCGGTATTTTGGTCAGTACGGTAAAATCAACAAAATCGTTGTCAACAAGAAGACCTCTCATAACGAACACCATAGCGGCCCTGCAGGATACCATCACGGTAATCACCACACCGGCTACGGCATCTATGTCACGTTTGCCCGAAAGGACGACGCTGCACGCTGTATAGCCGCTGTGGATGGTACCTATATGGATGGACGAATCGTGAAAGCCGCCTATGGTACCACGAAATACTGCTCTTCATATTTGAGGGGCCAGAGTTGTCCAAATCCAAACTGCATGTTTTTGCACGAGCCTGGTGAAGAAGCAGATTCTTTCAACAGACGCGAACTCACTAACAAGCAGAACAGTGAACACGTTATGCCGTTCAAATTAGCCGGCCCAAGCGGCAGCGTATCGGCACACCTCCCACCAAAATCCGCTACTGCGGTGGCTTCTGCTTCGCCTGTGCCGTCCCCATTACCTACCAGAGCTCAGCTACACCATAATGAAGACGAGAGCAACCTTTCATCTTCGTCTTCTACGCCCGGTGGCCAAACACCCGTTCTAACGCCGGCTCCGGTTCCAAGTGGTTCGAATCCTTGGGGAGTCAACACTGCGACACCATCACTTTTCCCTACTGCGTCAAGTAAACTGGCAAGCTCTTCGGCGTTCCCTACTCTCGGAGAGGCCACTTTGGCGCAATCTATGGCTGCATTGTCCAACAACCAGCCGAACAGCAGTAACAGCGCAAACCAGGGCGGGAAGAACAACAAGAAAAACGCTAACAACAACGACAGAAAATACGTGGATCCTTTTGACCCGCTATCCAGCGCTGTGAGATTCATTGACGAAACGCTCAAGATGTTGTCTTCCTACAAGAATTGCGAGTTCCAACTTAGATCCGACGTTATTGACGACGCTACATACCAACGCTACCCTTCACTTTTCTCATTTGAAAACATACCAGTATCAGAGACTTCCGATAATGCTTTGGGTCGCAAATTGGTAGACATGCTTGCTATCAAACCTGTAGACCAGCCAGCATCGGTATTGCCATATCTGCAGGGCACTTCCCCAGCAAACCCCGCAGTTTTCCAACTACAACAGCAACAACAGCAACAACAGATGCTTCTGGTAAAACAACAGCAACAGCAACTTCAGCAACTACAACAACAACAACAGCAGCAGCAACAACAAAATCAGCAACAACAGCAGATGTCCCAAATGAAGGTCCAACAGCCTACTCCTCCGGGCATGACTCCTCAATTATTGCATACACAGCTACAACAGCAAAGGGCCGTCAACACTCCACCACCACCTGGAATCTTCTCACCAACTAATCCTCCTGCTGGGCCCAACCAGGTCCCAGTTTCAGGCAGTAATTCCTCTGATCTGTTGAACCAACTCATTAATGGGAAGCGCATCTCAACAAACTGATCAACAAAGTGGCAGGTAGTGCACCCGCTCACCCATTTCTTCTTTCATAAGGTATACTAGCATATGTCGATGTGTTCTACCGAGCTCATCGCTCACCTGTTTATAAACAATCTATTAACATATAATACTTAAAAATCAACCTTCAATCCAACTTACTGAAGAGTCGATGGATATATACAAGGGAAGAACGTACTTAGAAGACTCTAAACATTCAGAATATTGAGTAACACTTGCGTACTAATTCTCAGTTATAGTTGGTAGCTTAAAAGATGGCCACAAAGTACCCACAACATGTTGCGAAGTTGTTCAAACCAGGCCCACCAATTGAATACAAAAGACCAGTTGACTATCCCATAGAATGCCGTAAAACCATCACGAATATCAGCGGAGTATCGCGGTATTTGGAAGAATTCAAGAACTACCAGCAGGAGTTTCCCCAGGGCCTAGAAAATGGGCATTTACGGGCTTACGATGAAGCAGACCAAGAGCGGCAAGCGGAAAACAAGAAACTGCGAGCAAAACTGGACGAGTGGAAACCACAGGAAGACGCCAATATGACTGAAACGGATCCATATAAGACAATTTTCGTGGGAAGACTGCCGTACAGCGTAACGGAAGTGGAGCTGCAGAAACTATTTGTCCGTTTTGGCGAAATTGACCGAGTACGTGTGGTCAGAAACAGAATCAACAACAAGAGCCGTGGCTACGGGTTTGTGGCGTTTAAAAATGAACACTCCGCAAGGACCGCATGTAGAGAAATCGGGGTTCACCGCGGCGAAGAAGTCGAGGGACGCTCCATTATTGTGGATATCGAGCGTGGAAGAACAGTAAGGTATTTCACACCGCGGAGATTAGGCGGTGGGCTTGGAGGCCGGGGCTACATGAAGCGCGACCGAATGGCAAGACTGGCGCTGGCCACAACCACAACCGCGTCCATGACAAACAGTAGCAATGGTTCACGAGAGCCTCGTGAAGAGGTGACTCTGCGCGCTAGCGGTTTCCCCCGGATCACTAATCCTGCTCCTCATCGCAGCCGGTTTTCGGGCCATACTGGTACCACTGGCACCACCGGCACCAATGCCAACACTAACTACTCACCACCACAACCACCACATCGTGAAATGGGGCCTCCTGCGACCGGTTACCGCTCCAGAAGCTCTAGAACCGGTTCTAGGTTTGAACGTTAGCGCCCACGTGACACAAATTGACCGAAGAGATCATGTGAAAATCACATGTCGTATCAAAAGGAGTAAAACCCGTAACGACAACCACCCCCCATAAAAAACAAGCAGAATCCACTCTTTATTCCAGCCATCAACGCACACCAACGGCTTCATTTTTTCGATACCATTTTCCATTTTCTGGGTTTGATTCGTTTTTCATCCCATTTTTCTCCCAACTCTCAACCTTCGCGTTCCAAAAGGCCAAGGCGACCCAGTCAAATACACTTAGCAAAGTCTCAAAGCGGCCATCCATCTTTGGCCACACATTTCTTCGAGACGACAGCGAGCATTGAGTCACATCACGTTTAAAGTGACTCAATGCTAGTCTTTTTCACAGCCATTTCGTGGAATATGATAGCCCATGATAAAAAAGTTATCGAAATCAAGAACTGATATAATGGTCACAACAGTCTGTTATAACTTCTACTTCTTCGAGACTTGTCTTTTACTAGTAAGTCGTCAAGCAGATTGTCAAGCAAATTGTCAACTTATCCTTCTTACCAGGTCTTCTCAGTTTTTTCCAGAAAAAAGCAGCTTTTTTTTTCGTGCGGCGCGAACGTTGGATCTAAATAGGAAGATTATCAAATGTCGTCCAAATTACTGGTATCGCTGAAGGGCGTGAAGCCTGCAAGATTGCAAGGTTTAGCGTCAATTTTAGGAGTAAGCAATAGCCCAGTCAACAGAGTGATACAGGCCGGTACTAAAAGAGTGGGATATTCCAAGAGATGCGTATCTAGTGTTAGCGGCGTGGGCACTGAAGGCACCAGATCGACTGTGGTGCAGTTGCTGAACAACATTGGGTCGAAACGCGAAGTAGAGCAGTATTTGAAGTACTTCACGTCGGTGTCGCAACAACAGTTCGCAATCATCAAGGTTGGTGGTGCTATCATCAGCGATAACCTGCAAGAATTGGCTTCATGCCTGGCTTTCCTATATCACGTGGGATTGTACCCGATCATTCTGCACGGCACAGGACCGCAAGTCAACGGCAGACTCGAGGCTCTGGGCGTTGAGCCAGACTACATCGATGGTATCAGGATCACCGATGAGCGCACCATGTCTGTAGTTAGACAGTGCTTTTTGGAGCAGAACCTCAAACTTGTTACGGCCCTGGAGCAATTGGGCGTGCGTGCTAGACCCATCACCTCCGGTGTTTTCACCGCTGACTATCTTGACAAGGACAAGTACAAGCTGGTTGGTAACATCAACGGCGTGTGCAAGGATCCAATCGAAGCTTCCATCAAGGCCGGTGCCTTGCCAATTTTGACCTCCTTGGCAGAAACCGCTTACGGTCAGACTTTGAACGTCAACGCGGACATCGCCGCTGGTGAACTAGCCCGTATCTTCGAGCCTCTCAAGATCGTGTATCTCAACGAGAAGGGTGGTATCATCAACGGCAACACAAAGGAAAAAGTGTCGGTAATCAACTTGGACGAAGAGTACGACGATCTCATGCAACAAGGCTGGGTCAAGTATGGTACCAAGTTGAAGATCAGGGAGATCAAAGAACTGCTTGACTTCCTACCCCGCTCGTCTTCTGTGGCCATCATCAACGTCCAGGATTTGCAGAAGGAGTTGTTCACCGACTCCGGTGCCGGTACTATGATCAGACGCGGCTACAAGCTGGTCAGAAGATCGAACCTTGGCGAATTCCCCTCTTCAGACTCTTTGAGAAATGCTCTACAAAGGGATCTCGATATCGCTTCGGGCGCCGAGTCCGCAGCCTCTTACTTGCGTGATCTATCTTCATCGCAATTTGTATCTTATTCCGATGAACCTATGGAGGTTTTGGCCATTGTTAAAGAGAACAAAGTGGTGTCGCATCTAGACAAATTCTTGTGTTCCAAGGTTGGATGGTTGAACAACGTCGCGGACAACGTATTCGCCTCTTTGAAGCGCGACTTCCCATCTCTACAATGGGTTGTTAGAGAGGACGACGAGAACATTTCCTGGCATTTTGGTAAGTGTGAGGGCTCTTACTTGAAGAACGGCAAAGTCTTGTTCTGGTATGGTGTCAAAGATTTGAACACAGTGTCGCAGCTAGTCAAAGAGTTTTCTTCCTCGGTCGCCCCAACCACATCTCCAGCCGGACAAAAGTCCAACGCTTTCTCCTCAAGTCAATCAACCAGATCGTATTCGACTAGAAGCACACCTAAGCCACAGGGAGTGAACAAAGAAAAAGCTCGCGTTGCCCTTATCGGTGCCAGAGGGTTTACAGGACAAAACTTGATTACTTTGATAGACCAACATCCTCTTTTGGAGCTTGCTCACGTTTCATCTCGCAAGTTGAAGGGTAAGAAACTAGAGGGATACACCAAGAGTGAGATCATTTACGAAAATTTAAGCACTGATGATTTGAAGAGACTTGAAGCTGAAGGTGGTGTTGACATGTGGGTAATGGCTTTGCCAAACGGTGTTTGCAAGCCATTTGTGGAGGCCATTGAAAGTGTACACGGAAAGTCCAAGATCATTGATCTTGGTGCTGACTTCAGATTTGTCCCCGAGACCGAATGGGCTTACGGTCTTCCTGAGCTCAATGACAGACAAAAGATCGCTGACGCTAAGAAAATTGCGAACCCGGGGTGTTATTCGACTGGTGCTCAGGTTGCTATTGCTCCTTTGCTCGACTATATCACGGGCTTGCCAACCGTATTCGGTGTTTCTGGATACTCCGGTGCCGGCACAAAGCCATCGCCTAAGAACGACCCAGCCTTTTTGAATAACAATTTGATTCCGTACAGTCTAACAAACCACATTCACGAACGGGAGATCTCGACAAGAATGGGCCGTGACGTTGCGTTTGTTCCACACGTAGCGCAATGGTTCCAGGGTATCTCACACACAATCTCGATTCCAATAAAGAAGGGTTCTTTGACCTCAGAACAGATCCATGAATTGTACGAGAAGTTCTACGAGGATGAACGTCTGGTGAATGTTACCAAAGATGTTCCACTAGTCAAATCCATTTTCGGTACGCATGGCGTTTTGGTTGGTGGATTCAAAGTGAACGATGCTCAAGATCGCGTTGTTGTATGTGCTGCAATCGATAACCTACTGAAGGGTGCCGCTACGCAATGTCTGCAGAACATCAATCTGGCTCTGGGATACGGCGAATATGACGGAATTCCCGAGGACAAGATCGCCCAGAAATAAACACTAGCCTTAGTTACAGTTTCGTAGCTATATTTGATTGCAGAGACTTTTAACATTGTTTTAGAAAGAGACCATGACGGTAGATCAGTATAGGGTTCAGTGTTGATGAGTAAATACGCAACATATCTTAATATCACTTTGTACTACGGAGATTCAATGGGGTGGTCTTGCAAATTCTTGTGGGCATGTAGCAAAACTGCATGTAGTGCAAGAGTACTTGGATGGTTAAAACGAGAACAGAGTAGCTTGGAGTTCTATTGCGCCTATATATGTTATCATTTTAGTTAAGCAGATACAAGGTCACGTGACATAAACTGACAAGACCATGAAATGAGGTATTTACTTGTTTAAAGATGTTTCGTCTTACGCTGAGATTAAAGCAGATAGTAAACTCTAGCGAAGCTTTAGAAATACAAACGCACATCCTCGTTTTCGGGCTAAAACATCCCTCTACATGAACGCTTTCGACAATAATCCACCACTCACGTGATCAATTTATGAGAAATGCACGTAAATTAAACCCAAATATCATTCACACACATACAGATTGAAGAACATCTATATCCAAGAAAGGGGTCGATACTACATACTACTACGAGCACCCACGACCAATTGGCTAACAATGGAGGATTGGAGAAGAATAGACATTGATGCGTTTGATCCGGACAGTGGACGGCTTGTTCCTGAAGATTTAACCCCTCCAAATCTCAAACCCGTGAATGCTGGCGAAATTGAATCCAAAATCTCACAATTGCGCTCTGCTGCCACTAGCGGCGACTTTTCAACCGCTCTACAACTGGTGACGAATGACCCTCCATACAGTGCGGACGAAACGACAAAATCGCGGTATTTCGAGGCGGTTTTGAGCGCTCTTACCCAGGTCCGTCAAGCAGAGATTGCAAACTTGGTCAAACAATTATCACCTGCACAAACAGACGTGCTTATAAAGTATTTGTACAAGGGCATGAGCGTACCAGAAGGACAGAAACAAGGTGGTATTCTGCTCTCGTGGTTCGAAAAGGTAACTCAGGATACAGGTGTAGCCCCGGTCGTACGGTACTTATCTGATAGAAGGACCGTTTGACCAAGGCAAATGAAAAAAAAACACGACGAGAGTATCCAAAGGATGAGGCAACTCATATATGAATAGCACAAATCAAATTACTACAATGCTGAATAACTCTATCGCCATATTTCGCGGGTCCAAGACCATAACTTACGGAACCACGCGATATCCACGTGCTATCTCTCAACTTACATAATCCGGTGTGGACACTCTGCTTTTCAAATTACGTACACAGTGACCAAGTCAATCTTTTAATTAGAGCTGTACTTAGTTAAAAGTGGTTATATAAATCCATCCATGTTTAAAGAGGAAGTTACCAATCGTGTCCCTAAACCAACTTCATTGCCGCCAATTGAGATGAGTGAGAGCATTGACAAGCCTGAAAGTCTTGTTGGAGACAACAAGCCAGTCGAGTCGGCTTCTGCCGAAAAAACAGCGTCTTCAAAGCGTTCCAGGAGCCCAGAAAATGGGGAAAACGTTGACGAAGCTGGCCACGCCAAAAAGGCCAAGAATGACGAACAAAAGAACGATTTGAGAGCCTCTGGTGAGACTGAACCTGCTGTGGAGAAAAAGGGTGAGACTAAGCCAGCAGGAAGCGAAACTGCGGAAGAAACTGTACGAAAAGTAGGTCAAGAAGTTGATGAGAAGAACCAACAACCGTCGCCAACAGCCGAGGATAAAAGCTCAAAGACAAAAGAATGCGAAACCGAGTGTTCTGCTAACTCGAAAGATGAGCAGAATGTCAAATCCGCCGAAAAGTCATCTGAAAAGTCCAGTGAGAAGCCCAAATTTACCTTTGGAGCATCTTCTGGTTTTAGCAGTGGATTTGGTGTAGCGAAAAAGCCCTCTGAAGCTGAAAAGAAACCAAAGGACCTGGAAACCAGCAGCAATGATAATTCTCAAAGTACGCCCAAACCAGCAGCTTTCGGGTCCGGATTCGCCTTCGGTGCCGGTTTCCATGCGTTGAACAAGGCCAAATCCACATCGAGTCCAAAAGTTTTCGAAAACGAAGCTGAAAAGGCCGAAAAGTTCGAAAAATGCAAAAGTGCTAGCTCGACGCCAACGGGGTCTAAGGAAGACGAAAAAAGCAGCGGTACAGAAAGCGATGGAGTTGTAAAACTCACAAAGCAGGAAATCAAGTCTGGAGAAGAGTCTGAAGAGTCAATTTACCAAGCAAACGCTAAGTTATACCAGCTAAGTGACTTAAAGGATGGTTGGAAAGAAAGAGGTGTTGGGGCTATACATGTTAACACGGACCGCAGTACCGGCAAAGGCCGTATTGTAATGAGGTCTCGCGGTATTCTCAAAGTTATTCTCAACGTTTCTCTTGTGAAGGGGGTTATCATTCACAAAGGGTTCCCTGCCTCGCTTAACGGGGAGAAATTTGTTCGCATCGTCACTGTCGATCACGAAAAGGCTCCCGTTCAGTACGCTCTGAAAACGGGAAAGGAGGAAACCGCTAGCGAACTGTACGAACACATCTCTAAGCTAATACCATCTTGAACAAAAATGTCACAGACAGTCCCAGCTCTGCTTCTTATTCTTCTTCGTTTTTTTTTTTTTTTGGGAGCGTAAATACCTGCATTCTGTACTATAAACACACCTCATTCGACGCTACCTTTTCACAAATGCTAAACTGCAAATAGTAGATCCTTTCTGCCCGCCGAATCTGATTGCTGGGTACTTGATACTGGTCCATAGCTGCAGCGACCCATTTTTTTCTATAATCTGTTTAAGCTCTGTTTCTGTAAAATTGCAAGACGTTATCAAAAAGATGCTTTCCTTTTCCATTAGTTTCTCAACTACTGCTGGATACGATTGTACAATCGAGTCCCCGTTGTCAGCTTTCAGGCCACTCAGCGCGATTGCATCTAGTGTGCCCTTGTCGAGGACAATGTCAAATTTGGACGGCTGCCATTTGGGGTCAAAAATATCTGCCGCTGCAAACTCAAAGTTAGCTGAGTCCTGGTATTGTGTTTGCAGGATTTCTTTGGCGAACTCGACAGATTTCGTCGAGTAATCCACACCAACCATTTTTCCATCAAAGCCTTCCTCATGGAGTTGGAAGAGTAAATGACCATTGCCGGTTCCCAAATCAATCATTGATGATGTCTTATCGATTTTCAACTGTCCGAGATGCTCCATCAGAAAGTCAACCATTTTTTCCTCTGCATTACTGTCATCGAACCAGCATTCACCAGTATCTTGTGGATTTTCCTCAAAATTTGACTTTTCAACAGCGTAAAAGTCGTCCCAGTATTGTTTGGTTCCCAGTTTCGATGTGTTCAGTTTCGTGGTGTCGTCCATAGCTCAAATACTTGTTATTTGTACTGTTCTTTCGATTTCGATGTTCAGTTTATGCTGACGATGCCCGATATAAATTTCAAATCCATAACTTTTCTGTCAAGGCTACTTACCTTAACCATCAGAACCAAAACACATTTAACCAGCCAAAGTGAGCGTTTGAGTACTTCAAAAGGCCATCATAATACCAGCTTAGACCACTTACTTGATCAAAATGGCCAAGATCAGTTTTCTACCCACGCTTGAAGATGCTTATGGAGCTCTGTCGGCTGAACAACTGGAAATATTGAGACAACAGGTTTTGTCGGAAGGTGGTGAAGTAGCGTCGATCCAGTCGAGATTCAACTACGCTTGGGGTTTAATCAAGTCTACGGAACAGGACGACCAGCGACTGGGAGTGAAGCTGCTCACGGACATCTATAAGGAGTCGTCTATGCGTAGACGTGAATGTCTGTACTACTTGACAATTGGGTGCTACAAACTGGGCGAATTTTCAACTGCAAAGCGGTATGCGGATGCTTTGCGGTTGCACGAACCGGAAAACAAGCAAGCGGGTGCGTTGCAGTCGATGGTGGAAAGCAAAATCCAGCGTGAAAGTCTTAAGGGTATCGCCATAGCAAGCGGGTGTGTGGCCGTGGCTGCTACCGTAGCAGGGATGCTATTTAGGAAAAAGCGTTAGCGATGCAATCCGAATTGAAGTCTGAATTGAAGATTGCAAATGCTTCAGGGAGACTCTTTGAAAAGGAGGTGTTCTGGCTCACACACGGGTGTTTCCTGAGGGCTACCGGGTGCCTTTCGTGTGCTTCTTGATGAGTTCAGTCTACGGTGGACGAAACTCGATTGCTCACAAGTACTTGGCAAGAATAGAATTGGAAAAAGGGTGACATTGGTCATTTGAAAGCCCAAGGTGTCGATCATAAGCTCAGTGCTCTTGAAGATTGGTGTCGTTCCCAAAAAAAAAAAATCACACTTGCTGATGATTGATGATTGAAAGATGAAACAGTATCGTCCTGACCAAAACAGCGTAATTAGATCCAAGGGGGAGCATCAGTCTTCATTCTAGGGAAACTTGTCTATACTCCATTTCGCGGAATTTTCACGAAGTGACACATTCGACTAAGAAAAGACCGAAAACAGGCGAGCTTCTATTTACAAGGCCCGACAGTATCATATCTTCCTACGCTCACCCTAACATTGTAAACATTCATTCACCTATGCACTTACGTTTATACCCATTGCAGCATACCCTACGTACCAAGCTACGACTCCATCAAATGCGAATGTCGATCACGGTATTCGTGTTTAACAACTAGAGACTAACTTCCACAACCTTCTCCACTCCATAGCTAAGCATTCCGCTTGCTCACTTCGTCCCCGTTCACTCTGGCTTCGGACCCTCGAGAGTTTGGAAGATGCATGAACAAGGATTGCATCACGGCAATCTCAATATTGGCACCCCGGTCTTGATCGATCTATGATCTACTCTTCAGGCCTTGTCCATCTGATGACTGCCAATCATTGCTTCTTAAACGACAAACTGACCTACGCTTCGACGCGTAAACACTTGGTTCTGTTGATTTACGCGAATCTCGCGGTGTAATAAATAATTGTTTACGCGTTTCGCGTTTTTTTTGGCGATGCGATGACAAACGCGTAAAACGCAAACAATTTTTTTTCGACATATAAGAGGAAGCAGAAAATGACATATTTTGGCGTTCTCTCTTACACTTCTTCCAACCACAACGCAACACTTTTGAATTGTAAAGCTCTTCAAGGACTTAGAAATCCATACACTTTGAGACTTTTGCCATGTTTGTGTATAAAAGAGACGGACGTCAAGAGCCGGTCAAATTTGACAAAATCACTGCACGTATCTCGCGTTTATGTTACGGATTGGACCCTAAGCACATCGATGCAGTGAAGATCACTCAGCGGATCATCTCTGGTGTGTATGAAGGTGTGACAACGGTGGAGCTGGACAATCTTGCTGCCGAAACATGTGCGTACATGACAACGATTCACCCAGACTACGCAACTCTGGCAGCCAGAATTGCCATCTCGAATCTTCACAAACAAACCACCAAGCAATTCTCGCAGGTGATAAGCGAATTGTACCATTACGTTAATCCTAAGAATGGAATCCACTCGCCTATGATCTCGCAAGAGGTTTATGACATCGTGCAAAACAACAAGGACGAGCTCAACTCCGCGATTGTTTACGACCGCGATTTCCAATACAACTATTTCGGCTTCAAGACGCTGGAGCGCTCTTACCTGCTCAGAATCAATGGCCAGGTCGCGGAAAGACCACAGCATTTGATCATGCGTGTGTCTGTCGGTATCCACGGCAACAACATCGCCAGGGTATTGGAAACTTACAATCTGATGTCGAACAAATACTTTACGCATGCGTCTCCCACATTGTTCAACGCCGGTACTCCACACCCACAGATGTCGTCGTGCTTTTTGGTCGCCATGAAGGATGACTCCATCGATGGTATTTACGACACTTTGAAAGAATGTGCTATGATCTCCAAAACTGCGGGCGGTATCGGATTGCACATTCACAACATTCGTTCGACCGGGTCTTACATTGCCGGTACGAACGGTACTTCCAACGGTCTTATCCCCATGATTCGTGTCTTCAATAACACTGCTCGTTACGTCGACCAAGGTGGTAACAAAAGACCAGGTGCATTTGCCTTATACCTTGAGCCATGGCACTCAGACATCTTCGATTTCGTCGACATCCGGAAAAACCACGGTAAAGAAGAGATTCGTGCTAGAGATCTGTTCCCAGCCCTTTGGATTCCTGACTTGTTCATGCGTAGAGTCCAAGAGAATGGTGACTGGACTCTTTTCTCTCCAAGCGAAGCTCCAGGACTTGCTGACGTCTATGGAGATGAGTTCGAAGCTCTTTACGAACGTTACGTTCAGGAAGGTCGTGGAAGAAAAACTATCAAAGCTCAGAAGCTCTGGTATGCCATTTTAGAGGCTCAAACAGAGACTGGTACTCCTTTCATGCTATACAAAGACGCTTGCAACCGTAAATCGAACCAAAAGAACTTGGGTGTTATCAAGTCTTCGAACTTGTGTTGCGAAATTGTCGAATACTCCGCGCCCGATGAAACCGCTGTCTGCAACTTGGCCTCTGTATCCCTACCCGCCTTCATCGAAACCTCCGAGGACGGCAAGACGCAGTGGTATAACTTCGAAAAGTTGCACGACATTGCCAAGGTGGTAACGTATAACTTGAACCAGATCATCGACCGCAACTACTACCCTGTCGAAACTGCCAGAAACTCTAACATGAGACACAGGCCTATTGCACTTGGTGTCCAAGGTCTGGCAGATGCTTTCATGATCTTGCGTATTCCTTTTGATTCCCAAAAAGCTAAGGAACTCAACATTCAGATCTTCGAAACCATTTACCACGCCGCTTTGGAGGCATCCCACGAATTGGCTTTGAAGGAGGGTTCATACCAATCCTTCGAGGGTTCTCCAGCTTCCAAGGGTATTCTGCAGTTTGACATGTGGGACAAGACGCCAACTGACCTATGGGACTGGGCCACTTTGAAAGAAAAGATTCAAAAAGGCGGTTTGAGAAACTCCCTTCTTGTGGCTCCTATGCCAACTGCCTCTACATCCCAAATTTTGGGTAACAACGAATGTTTCGAGCCTTACACCTCAAACATGTACTCACGTCGTGTCTTGTCGGGTGAGTTCCAAATTGTGAACCCTTACCTACTACGCGACTTGGTTGACCTTGGTATCTGGGACGATGCTATGAAATCTCATATTATTTCCGACAATGGTTCCATTCAGAACCTACCGAACATTCCACAGGAATTGAAAGACCTTTACAAGACCGTTTGGGAGTTGTCTCAGAAAGCCATCATTGAAATGGCGGCCGATCGTGCTTGCTACATTGACCAGTCTCAATCTTTAAACGTCCACATCCGTGCCCCTACCATGGGTAAGCTAACAAGTATGCATTTCTATGGTTGGAAGAAGGGTTTGAAAACCGGTATGTACTACTTGAGGACTCAAGCTGCTTCTGCTGCCATCCAGTTCACCATCGACAAGTCTGTGGCTTCTCAAGCTGGAGACAAAGTCGCCGATTTGGAGAACTTGAACAGACCATTGTATGAACCTCGCAAGACTGACTTCAGCAAGGGAGCTGCCGAGGTCCAGCATGTTGGTGTCGCACAGGAAACAACGGAGCGTTCTTCAACGCCATCCGGCGAGTCTTCTCTCGCCAACAGTGTTGCGTCTTTGAAAATTGAAGAGCGCAAGCCTGTGACACCGGCCATTGTTGGTGACACATCTTCCAAAGCCCAGACGGACGTCCAGCCAGATGACTCGAACACAACGGAATTTGACATCTACAACTCTAAAGCAATTGCGTGCGCTATAGACAATCCTGGTGCTTGCGAAATGTGTTCAGGTTGAGGCAAGACATCTTGCGCGCACACGCAGGTCTTGCTTGATTCTTTTTTGGGGAGGTTTTAATGTTTGGGTAATTACATGCACCGAGAGATACAGTCATCTCTTGTTTCTAGCGATATACACTTTTAGATATCAATTCACACTTTTACGGTTACTGTGGAAGTTGAGACATCAACTTAAATGCTTCAATGAAATCAAGGTAGACGCCGACAAACTAACTCGACGTTGATATCATACCGAATCCTATTCTGTTCTTTACCGGTTGTCTTTTGGTCCGTTAACGCTAAGTTCCATTTCTTCAAGATAAACCTAGGAATAGCTTTTAAGACACTCTGCTGAAATCCAAATTCACAGAACAAAGCTTAAGTCTTGAAATCATGAGTCAAGATGCCAATTCCACTCTTTCGAATGGGAAATCAAGCCTCTTGAAAGATGCGGATGAGAGACTCCTAAGTGCCGGAACTGCAGTACCGGAATGGGATGAATTCGAAATGGATGATTTCAACATGGAAGAAGCTGAACGTGGAGACGTTACAGCGGGACATGAAGCAGGCTCTAGAAAAGAGCAATGGCTCTATCTCAAAAAGTCCAATGCTTTCATGAGAGCTTTGCGAAGGTTTTGGTATGGACCGGAGGTCCCGGAAGACCTTCCACCTTCATTTCCAGGAAAATGGAAGCTCACTGAAAGGATTGACAAATTTCCCACCTCGGGGCTCCGAAAACGGTATTCCTGGAGCATCAGAACAATGATACTGGTCTTGTATGTTTGCATATGGGGTGCGCTAATGTGCGGTTTCATTCAGTACTACTACATCAAACCACCGGCCTTTCATCGAGATGACGGGACGCAAATACCAGTAAGAACAATGGATTGCCAGTCCACGCTGTTTTGGAAAGGCAAGAATAACGATTGTGGAATAGATGCCTCTGAATGCCTACCGTTTGAAGATGAGGAAGTCTACATAAGATGTCCAGCACTGTGTGACCGCAGCGCCTGGACTTATTCAGCCATAAATGTGGGGGATAGAAGAGTGAAGTACACGGGCTTTGAGATAGGAGGAGGAGAGCTTCATGAGGACGAGAAGCTGTCGTATCCTTACAGAGGAGACTCTTTTACATGTGGAGCAGCTGTCCATGCTGGCGTTGTTTCCCCTTTCACTGGCGGTTGTGGACGTGTGGTAATGACAGGAGCGCAAGAAGCCTTTGAATCAAGAAAAGGCCGTTACAGAACTGGAATGTCGGTTGGATTTGACTCATTTTTCCCTTCGTCTTTCGAGTTTAGAAAGTTGCTGAACGGCTACAGCTCCAGATGTTATGATCCGCGCATACCGGTGTTGGTCGCGAATATCGTGCTCGGGCTACCAGTGTTTTATCTCAGCGAAGGGCTGTACGGCTACTGGATTCTGACTATTGCTGGTTACGTGACACTCGTCTTTTTCTTGGACCCTCCAATAATCGTTGACCCTTACGATAACGAAGGATTTTCCCCATTGTTAAGCTTAGCCTTTCAGCGATTCTTGCCGCTTGCTTTCGTCTTGTACGTTCTTTGGAAATGCTCAGTGCGAAGAACTCTCACAAATGGGTCCCCATTGGCAAAAGTGGTCTGCTGGTTTCCAACGTTTTGGCTTGGAGTCATGAATAATGTGACATTTGACAGATTGCCCGTTGATCGGCTGACCATCACGGACTTGAAGGAACAGGCTGGCGCTTTCTTAGCTGTGGGGTCGATAATTGCGACCATAGTGTCGTGTGCTGTTGTTCAAGCGTATTCTTTATGGAAATCTGGTAGGTTCAGAAAATACCTATGCATTTATCTCTCATTCATCGCAGCTCTTGTCGCGTTGAGTCAATTGCCCGGGCTCTCTTTAAGGATACATCACTACATCTTGGGGATGCTGCTCGTCCCGGGATGTGCGACGCGAGGTACTTCTGCGTATCTTTTCCAGGGAATTTTGGTCGGGCTTGTTCTTTCGGGTGTAAGCAGATGGGATTTTGCCAGCATAGTGGAAACAAGAGTGGCACTGTTAAGAGGTGAGGCTGGTAGCTCATGGGATCCACCCATGCTCGAGTACAGTCAGAATAATCCAAACTTTATCTCATGGAACTTTGCAAATGCAACTGAGGCTCAAGATGATGATCTAAACGCCTTTTCTCTACTAATAAATGACGTAGAGCGTTATGTCGGTACAAACAAGACTGTGGATCTAGCTGCGTTGATACAGCAAGATGCTAAACTTGCAAAATGGGCTGACAAGTCGATTTCTTCGAAAGGCTTCGCCAAATTATACCTTCGAGTGGCCAGAACTTCTGAAGACCCTTCACTAGAATTGTATGGTGATTATACAAATGCTGCCGTACTAGAGTGGCCACAAGGACGCTACCAAGAACCTGAGCCGGGCGTCTCGTAGGTTTTCTTGTCAACGGCTCGTTTTCGGTGATGGCTGAAGATACATTTATAGATCTTAAAATGACACTACAACGAGTTGAGTTAAACCCTAACACATCAGAACTGTACCAGATGTCAACGTACGCGCTCCAACGAGTATCTGAGCTTCTGAAGGATGACTCTACCGCTGAGCGAACCAGAGAGATAAAAAGTCAGCTACAGAAAGAAAAGTCGACCGTCGAATACCAATTGAACAAGCAGTCGAAAAAAAGCTTGGATAACGTCAGTGATAACCTTAAGAAGGTACAGCTTGCTCGTAAAAATGTTCACGATTTGCGAGGCAAATTGAGCGAGATCCATCGACTAAGTCAGGAAAACAAACATGCCATAGACCGCTACGAAGTTGTTGATGAGGCCACCACTATCCACGAACTTATAAAACAAACAGACTCCATGTACGACAAGATTGTGGGCTTTACAGACCTGCTCAAACAGATTAATGAATTAATAGACGAAGAGATTTCACTTGATACATTGGAAACTGGGGTACCCCACCTTCTGCGAATTCATTATCTTCTCACGATAGCTCTAGATTTCCGGGATCAGTCCACGATCTTAGCGCAAACGTCGACGGATGATGTTCAAAGGACAATGCAGCGTGTTTTTCAAGGTTTACCGGAGCTAATCAACAGATTCAACCAGCTGTTGGTATCATTGATCTACGATATTGTGGAAGCCGTGAGAACCAATAATCAATCGCTTCTGATACGGCTATTCAAGATTATCGACCGGGAGGACCGAGAGGACATTAAAATCATTGCCACAAGAAAGATCATAGAGACCAAAGAGCGAGAAGCGGAATCTCGAACAATAAAGAAACTACCATCTTCTTATGGAAAATTGGGAGGCCTTGACGATTCAACAAAGCACGAATATCCCTCCCCGGCTGCCTTGACGCGGGAAATCAAGAGCGGCATGATAAGTTCTAGATTGCTACCTCGCGGTTACAAAGAATTCATGTTTGATACCATAAGGAAATCCATTACCGAAATGTTTGTTGAAGTCAGAAAGGAATACCAAGGAGAAAAACGATTTGAGGTGCTGCAAAATTTGGATTGGGTCTTCAATGAGCTGATGGTAGTGAAAGAGCATGTTACAAAATTGTGCCCAGCCCATTGGCAAATTTTCAAAAGGTATTTTGACATGTATTATACTGAGCTGAATGCCTTAGTGACAGAGTTAGTGAATGCTGAGCCTGAAACTCTGATCATTCTTGACATTTTGGACTATGACAAAACATTTCAAGTCACACTCAAGAAAGATTTTGGATTCAACAAAGATACAGTTCAGAGCGTGATTGGAGAAAAAGAAAAGGACACATTACTGAGAGACTACCTGCAGCTAATTGTCAAGAAGTCCGAGGAATGGTTCAAGAACTTGGGTGAAGCCGAAACCAAAATATTTGTGGAAAGAACGACCCCTCCTCATACTGATTCAGAAGGACTTTTGTTTCTGGATGGTACTAAAACATGCTTCCAAATGTTTTCTCAGCAGGTGGAAGTAGCTGCAGGATCAGGCCAAGCTAAGATTTTGGTGGGTGTCGTGGAGAAACTGTGTCAATTGTTAGGGGCTCGACAAAAGCGGTGGATGACTGTGATAACTACAGAAGTTAACAAAAGTCTCGATTACAACCACAAGCTCGAAAAATCCGAAGATGGCGTTCCACCCCCAGAAGAGAGTGCTGGAGGTCTCGTCGAATATTTGGTTTCGTTAGCTAATGACCAGATGCGAGCGGCCGACTATGCAGTCGCGATATCTCAGAAATACGGCGCGATGGTGACGAAAGTTCACGAAAAAGCGATTTCTAATCATATTGAACACACATTGGACGGATTTGCAGAAGTTGCAAAATGCAGTAGCACAGGCCTCATCAGCTTAATTTTTGACGACTTACAAAAGCCATACTCTCAGATACTGGGTAAGCATTGGTATACGGGTTCTGAAGCGCAACAAATTGCAGACACCATTTATGAGTATTTGAGTGACATTCGAGGTCAAATGAATCCTTTTGTCTACTCGACTTTGGTTGAAAGCGTGGTGGAAGAGACAATATTGAAATTTGTGGAGTGTCTGAAATACGAGCACACTTTCAAGAACAAGAATAACAAGTTTTTGGAATGTATGAAACGCGATTTTGAAGTGTTTTACAAACTGTTCGTTCAGTTCACGCCCGAGGAAGAAAAGGAAATTATAGACGATAAATTCAAGTTGATGGAATTCTTCATGGACTTTGCATGCGGGCCCTTGGATGGGATTGTGGAAGTGTGGTCACAAATACTTGAAGTTTACTGGGATTGTCCCGTACCGTTTTTGACTGCTATATTGCGGTGCAGAAAAGATGTGGATTCTTCCACCCTCAAACATACCATAGCGTCTGCTCAACGCATCGCGTCGAGTCCACAGAGAGCAAACCAGCTGAGGTCACAGGACCTGCAAGCGACCTTTATCAGCCGTTTTGCTTTATGAGCACACATTGTGGTGTCTATTTGGACAGCCAAACGATTGTCAAGAGATATTTCAAGCCCGGACTTGGCTCAAAGGCATGCGTAAATGCACCGTCCGTGGCCGTATTCCACACTCCGCCCACGTACGAGTCGATGCCGAGATCGAAGTTCGAGCCCTTCACAGCGTCAATTTTCGTTGCTGAGATCACAAATTTATGCACCGAGGATGCTTTTCTGAGCTCGGCGAGGATTTTCTCGGTACATTCGGTGATCTCGCTATCTGCACTCACATCTGTAAGGTTTTTCTCGATTATCGAAACGAGTTTTTCGGGACTTATGGGGTACTCATTGGATGAGGGCTGAGAATTGACCTCAGTATTCGACATGGTGTGGCAATTGTTGTTCGAAAGCAGTCAATCGGTAGAATTGAACAATTTCAGATGTGTGCTTAAACAACTGTGATCAAAAAGACACAATAGTCAAGGACTTATGAGTAATTGAAGGTTGTTGTAGAAGAGTTCTTATGGTGTTTCTCTCGCTTTACAGGTCTATGAGGAATTACAACTCAATACAATCGTTGTACACGAATTAGATTCCTAAACATCCATTTACATCACCATAGACGATAATAAAAACATTTCGTACAAAAGAATTGATATTACGTCAGCCGTCTCACCAAAATCACGTGCCGTATTCATAAACAGATCACATGATACTAACTCACGTGCTCATTACTTTTTCCTTTCTTTTTTTTTCTTCTTGTAATTTCTTCATGTTCCCTTAATTTCCAAGATTATTGACCCGCACGTGTAAAATTAAGACTTAACCCGGCACGAGGTTTAAATTCACGGGTATATATATAAAGACCTATATATCTATAAATTACGAATGAAGATACAAGAAAGCTAACCCATCGCTAACTAAACCCGGTCGAAACACCACTTATATAGTCACAGCGACCGCGGGAAGCGTCTTACCACTTCAATAGCATAAGCGTACTACCAACAAACGCACCACACACGTCTACGCACCTACACACACACATACAGACAGCATGTCTTCCGCTCCATTGCTACAGAAGGCCCCCGGCAAGAAAATCGCTCTGCCTACCAGAGTTGAACCCAAAGTGTTTTTCGCGAACGAGCGTACTTTTTTGTCGTGGCTCAACTTCACGGTGATGCTTGGCGGTCTGGGAATAGGATTGCTGAATTTCGGCGACAAAGTGGGCCAGATTAGTGCGGGTTTGTTCACGCTGGTAGCTATGGCGACAATGGTTTATGCGCTGGTCACGTACCATTGGAGAGCTTCTGCCATCAGACGCAGAGGTTCAGGACCCTACGACGATCGTTTGGGACCCACTGTGTTGTGTTTCTTTCTACTCATCTCTGTGGTGGTCAACTTTTTGTTGAGACTGAAGTATACGTGAGAAGGGTTTGAGGAAGAGAAGAAACCGGCGCAGAGACAGAGAAAGAGAGAGATTTACAAACACAACAACGAAAATGACAGAGGGGAACTGAGCTACAAGTTTCTCGCCATTTGGGACGAGCGAAAATCAAATTTAGAAGAACGCTCATATAATAGTGGTTTAAATATAATAATAAAGAGTATCTGACGTTTAGAAGGAGAGGGAGGGGGGTAGGGAAGGAAGACAGAGAGACTAACGCAATCATTCAAATCGGTGTTTGTTGCACGTTTCCATTCCGACCGTTAATCACGTGTGCTAAATATCTCATGTTATATCTTTCTCAATTATCAAAATCAACGAATATCCGATATAGTGTAGGGGCTATCACATCACGCTCTCACCGTGGAGACCCGGGTTCGATTCCCGGTATCGGAGTAAATTTCTAATTTGTCACCAAATTAGATTACCTTCTTTTTTAGATCAGAGAACTAATCAAACAAACAGTTTACTTGTCAAACACACAGTTATCTAACCTCTCACATCAGCGACAAGGCTCTTCATCTAAGTATCTAATCTCTCTTGTAGCATGAAGTTTACCAGTTCTTTCATGGTTATAGTCACCTTGGCAAGAAAAACGTGCTCATAGTTGTCCTTGTGACAACCTAAAGCGCTTGTGAAGACTGCGATCTTTAGCACGTTCTACTTTTCCTACAATGGCCTCTACGATCGATACTTGATTCCAAGATGTCAATCAGTGCTCCTCACAATCTCTACGTTTCCCTATGTTGTCAAGCAATTGCGATGGCCTTTCTTATTTGTCAGTCGTTGTTGAAGACCAGGTCTTCTCTTAATGCATTGCAAAGTCCGACCCAAAGGAGAAGGGCCAATCCAGCAAACGGCGGTCCACGGAAAGCCCAAAATTCAAGATAATTGCCGTTCTCGGCCGTCAACGCGTTGACGGCCCGGAAAGCTAAAAGGAGAAAAGCAAGGCAACGATATGGTTCAAGTGCCTACCAGGTCAAGAAAAAACAACACGCAAGGCAACGTGTCCACCGACTGAAGGATTATCCTGGCTGTTTGAAGAGGGGCACCAACCAGAGCATCCCTCGGAAGCAGTGCCAGCGACGCCCGATGAGGGGCATGCGGGTGAAAAACACCACGCTTTGTTAGGTGATAGGAGAAAAAGAAAAAGAAAAGAAAATACTGCATTATCTGCTCGAGGGCTCGACCCCTCGAGCCTTCCGCCTACGTGATACTTGGTACACGACCCTACGTGTAGCCCAACAGTATGCACCTCGTTCCGCTCGCACGGGGGTCCCCGCAGCACTAGTATGCGGCCGTACTCGGATTTAAGATCGTCATCGAGTTCAAGAGGGGAGGAGGCTGCGACCGTTGTTGGTGCTGGGAAGTGTACCCTTGGGCAAAAGTATAAAAAAAGGGCAGATATTTTGGATTCTAATGGCATAAATCGAAACAAAAGTAAGGACGCTTCACGATTTGCTCGACTTCTGTCACTGTTGGCCAGTCTGTCGTCCTAAAATTCTTGTCGTTTCGACTACTATCACCGTTAGCCAATAAAACATCAAATTGAGATGATGTCGTCGAAAGTGATCCATAGACTTGTCTTGGGTTCGAAACTTTCCATACGCACATATGCTATCAGACCGCTAAAGGTACCAATCACTCTTCCCTCTGGAATCACCTACGATCAACCCACGGGTCTGTTCATCAACGGGGAGTTCGTCACCTCCAAGCAGCACAAGACTTTTGAGGTGCTGGACCCTTCTACAGAAGAGGAAATCACACATGTCTATGAGGCCCGCGAAGAAGACGTGGACGTAGCGATTGCCGCTGCGAAAAAAGCGTTTGAGAGTAGCTGGAGCACTGCAGACCCCGAGTTGCGTGCCAGGTGTCTCTTCAAGCTCGCAGATCTCGTCGAAGAGCATTCTGAAATACTGGCAGGTATCGATTCTCTCGACAACGGTAAATCGCTGCTGTGTTCTCGAGGCGATGTTAGTCTGGCCTCCAAATATCTGCGTTCCTGTGCCGGATGGGCTGATAAACTTTACGGCCGTACAATCGACACTGGCTCTTCGACTTTCTCATACACCCGCCGTGAACCTTTGGGCGTGTGTGCTCAGATCATTCCTTGGAATTTCCCACTTTTAATGTGGTCATGGAAAGTAGGTCCAGCTTTGACAACCGGTAATACTGTGGTTCTCAAGCCCGCCGAGGCTACTCCATTATCTGCTCTTTACGTTTCACAATTGGTTAAACAGGCTGGTGTTCCGGCCGGAGTTGTCAATATTCTTCCTGGATTTGGTAAAGTGATTGGTGAGAGAATGTGCACTCACAAGGATGTAAAGAAAGTCGCCTTCACAGGATCAACAGAAACGGGGCGTCATATTATGCGCACTGCATCAGATACTATCAAGAAAGTCACTTTGGAGCTAGGAGGAAAATCTCCAAACATTGTTTTTGCAGACGCTGATATCGACAAGGCCGTAAGCACCATTGCTTTCGGAATTTTCTACAACTCTGGTGAAGTATGCTGCGCTGGCTCTCGCGTTTACGTTCAAGATACAGTTTACGAAGAGGTTTTGCAAAAGTTTAAAGACTATGCCGAGTCACTGAAAGTGGGTAACCCATTCGAAGAAGGAGTTTTCCAAGGCGCTCAAACCTCGCAAATGCAGATCGACAAAATTCTGGACTACGTCGAGGTGGGTCAAGGGGAAGGCGCCCGTGTAGTTACGGGAGGTGAGCGTTTGGGAAACAAAGGATATTTCGTGAAACCCACGATTTTTGCGGACGTCACAGAGGACATGCGTGTCGTCAAGGAAGAAATATTCGGACCAGTGGTGACGGTATCTAAATTTTCCACAGTAGACGAAGTCATCGAAATGGCCAATGACAGCCAGTACGGTCTCGCTGCAGGCATCCATACGAGAGACGTGAACAAAGCCATTGATGTTTCTAACCGTGTCAAAGCTGGAACCGTGTGGATCAACACCTACAACAATTTCCACCAAAATGTGCCTTTTGGCGGATTTGGGCAAAGCGGGATTGGCCGTGAAATGGGTGCCGAGTCCTTTGACAATTACACACAGGTGAAGGCCGTCAGAATGTCCATTGACCATGTTGAACGCTAATCTTCGAAGGCTACATTACTATGTTGGTCACTGAAAGTGACATTTGGGTGGGTAAGACGCTGGTCAATTGCGGATTAAATAGGGATATAATTTTGGATACAAAAAGTACTGAGTATATCAATCAAGGCGGTGAATGTTCCAGGATAATCTCTTGAATTGCCGAATCACCACTAATTTAGGCTTTATATATCCCCGAACCGCGTATCTCAAGTGTAGTGTTTCTAGTTTCCACAGGAAAAGTTTCTACGATTGACGCAAGTCTTCTCTCTATATTCTAAGGCTGCATTATAAGCATTCAATATTACAGAAAAGTATACAGATACAGAAAGTAGTTAGCGATCATCGTTAAACACCATAAGCTTCGCAAGTGTGCTGATACAAAAAGTTTCCCAAAATCGGTAGGTGTGTTCTCTAAAGTGGAATAATTATGAGTGAAATCCACAGAAACTACTTCAAACCAAGACGCTAGACGTGATTACAAAACCTACTCATCTGTTAACAGTTCAGGCGTTCTTTCAGTATTTCATCATTGTTGTTCTTCTTTTACTGACACTGACATTTGTTTGTCTTGGTGTCTTGAAAGACCACCAGGTTGTGACTGCTTTATTCATTTACACCCAGACACCAATTTCTTAATTGATAAAAAATTGAAATAAAAAATCCAGTGAAAATTCAAAAAGTTGCGTCGCTTGGTTCATGAAGCACTCTTTCCAAGCATTACCGGCCAGCAATCGGCGTGTCCAGACAGACAGGCCAGGCTAGGATGGAACTCCTCAGCGAAGCCCGGTACCAGGATAGTCCCCGTTTGTACTGGCTTCCTGCCTAGGGTCAGCTCTCTCTGCCTAGACTCTAGTGAGCTCCTTCTGGCTGCTTCTGCCTAGGGCCCGTAAACCACCCGGCTCACCAAACCTGCACAGCGGTGGAACTTTCTCAGGCTCTAACCAGACCGATCAACAGGTGTGCTAATTCTTCAAATTAGTGAATTTCGAACCTAGTCGAAGCTTTCAAGCAACTAAAGAGGGTATACAGAATGGTATGTCTGATAACGAGAACATAGAGCGCTTGCGTTGGACAGAGAGTGTTAGAGTACGAACCCGGAGGATGTTTTCCGAGAACATAATGTTTCCCAGATGCTGAATGAAGATCGTAGTTTACAATTTGTCAAGAAAACCTCAAGAAAACGAGTAAGGAATCCGGATATAGACAAGATGCCAAGGGTATGAAAGAGCTTCACATGAAGAGCTACAGCAATCAGCACCGGTTCATGTTGAAATGAAAAGGTGTTTTCACCAGGTAATCATACCAGCAGAATTGTAGAAAAACTGAATCACGGGAAAAACCATTGAATTGTAATCTTCACACAGTGTCTGAAGCTCATACGAACTACAAGGCCTCGGTTTTCATGGTTTCATCGCATGCGCTCCAAACATTCACTCATAGGTTCCAATTTTTACTAACAACCGCCTTCCAGTCTGACGCTATCACTATCCGCACCAGAAAGGTCATCACCAACCCATTGCTGGCTAGAAAGCAGTTCGTCGTCGACGTCTTGCACCCAAACAGAGCCAACGTCTCCAAGGACGAGTTGCGTGAAAGAATTGCCGATGCCTACAAGACTGAAAAGGACGCTGTTTCCGTCTTTGGCTTCAGAACCCAATTCGGTGGTGGTAAGTCCATCGGTTTCGGTCTAATCTACAACTCTGTTGCCGACGCCAAGAAGTTCGAGCCAACCTACAGATTGGTGAGATACGGTTTGGCTGAGAAGGTCGAGAAGGCTTCCAGACAACAGAGAAAGCAGAAGAAGAACAGAGACAAGAAGGTCTTCGGTACCGGTAAGAGCTTGGCCAAGAAGGTTGCTCGTCGTAACGCCGATTAAGGTAATCGCTGTTGAAATTTTTCAAAACTCGGCATTACTTGTAGGAGAAAACTCCCCAAATACTTTCTTATATTGTGTTTTAATATAACAAAAATCATCCACATTGTTACATCAACAAGGATCCACTGATGTGAACTTCAAGTTCTGTTCAGTTAACACTGACGCTGGCGCTGATACTTGAGCCAAATAAAGTACTCATGGACTTGGAAAGTCAATCGTCTTGATCACGTTTTAAATTTCAAATCAATTTCGTATATAGTGCTACGAATTAAACATCGATTTAAAGGTATAGTGACAAAGAACTAACAGCATTCTACAGAGCTAGTAAAGACTTCCAGTTACACTCGAGGAACACAACTAGCGCTGTTATGATATTTGGACTTGGCAGGCTATTTTATGTGGTGCTGCTGCTGATAAACGCTGTGGCAGTTTTGAGTGAAGAAAGATTTTTGAGAAGAAGTATGGTTTTTAAATATAGGTGACATATCCACCGAGATATCGGTATACTAACTTGTCTTTCACCAACAGTCGGCCTGGGATCCAATTCGAGCCAGAGCCATGCTTTCGGACAGCAGGAAAGCTCGACCAAATCAAAAATCATCCAATTGATTAGCGCCATTCAAACGCTATTAAGAAGTATGTTCCAATACGACATCGAAAAAAGAGAGTTCCTCAGGCCTCGCATTGTTACTAACAAGAACCACTTTTGAATCTCAGTTCCGCTTATTGGGATAAATATACTGGTCATCGTCTATGAACTTCTTCTTGGATAGTCACCAAGCCATAGACTAAGGTAAAAACCTTTGGTCATGTCAATTACAATAATCATTCATTAGCAGCATTATATCAAAAAGAGAATCAATCGCTCTACAATAAACATCAAAAAAATTACTTGTATCAAAATCAAACATTGAAATTGTTGAGGGAAGTGTCTCTCTAATCCCCCACTTTTAAGTCTTCCCTTCGATAAAAACATGTCACTCCTGGCGGACTTTATGGCTTCTCATTAACTTTCGCCTCCAGAAACCGCTGCACAATGCCCAGACTCTCGGCGCCTTTCCAAAGCACTGGAGGACATCCTCCTGGGCACTCCTTTGCTTGCAAACACATGTTGAAGTAAGATAACAGGCAGTCATAAATGAAGAGGTACTGGTTCACGTTTTGAACCATAGAGATTCTCTGTTTGCGGAACTTGTTGATAGTAATGATGACAGGGTCGAAAAGCTTACCATCTAAACAGTTCGTGGGATGGGGCGACCATGGGTTAGTTTCCTTTGATCTTTTCCTACCTGTCCATTCTTCTTTAAGTCCATCCAGCTTTGAGGCGTTGCTCAAAACCGTGTCAAGTGCACATAGTGTACCCGTTCGTCCACAGCCAGCAGAGCAGTGCACTAGAATGGTCGGGAGATACCCGGCTGGATAAACGTGCTTCTCAAACAGCTCTCTGATGACAAGATTTTTTAAGCACACAATTTCTAACACTTGACGTGGGTTGACCATGATCCCCATATCGGGCCAATTCCTGACCTGGGCTTGTAAAGTCTCCAAGACTTCACCGTCCACTTGACGTACCTGTATTCTCCTTAAAACCACGGGGCCAGCATTAAACCCAAGCTCATCAGTAGCCTCCACATTGTATTCCTCCAAGAGCTTGATTTCTATACCGTCGTAATTTCCCTCTGACCAAAAACTGTAACATTTCTCAACACCGTTTTCGAATTCGTCCGTGAGTGTTAAAATGAGAGGCACATTATTATTCAAAATGCATGTGTAAAAGTCATGAATGGTTGCCTGTAATGGTGCTTGAGTAGCGATGTAGCGAACATTAATGCAGTGTTCAGCGGGAGGGTTTTGAAGCCTCACAAACGGGTTCACCAAATAATTTGCATTGATGTAAGTATCCCAAATATCATCCGATCTTGCATGATCAAAAGAGGGACTCTTTTTTTGCAATACTACCCTAGTATGCTCGAAGGGAAATATATCTTTGTATCTGTTCTTAGAACCAAGTTCGACACCTGAAGATATGCAAATGTGCTGATCTTCTTCATCGGAGTCATATTCGTCAAACCAAGAAGCGGCGCATTGTTCAGTTTGGAGTTGAAAAGAACTAGAATCTTTGCGACGATTATTGGTCGAAGGTTGCCCAGTGTTGGAAAAACAGGAACTGAGTCTTCTCTTCTCCAGTAGATCAATTTTTTGAAATTGAGCTACCACATCCAGCTTGGACACTTTGGCTAGATCTTGGAACCATTTCGGTATCACTAAGTCAACGGCATTTTCACCATAGTGCTCATACATATGAAGTAGGGAGTACTGAAAATTGAGTTTGCTGTTGCTCGGCGTCACATCATTGTAATAGGATCCGCTGTCATCTGAGCTCGAATCCAAAGGAAACTTGAAAGGGGTGCGGGGTGCTAGCATTGATAAATTCTCAAAAGAGGATCGCGAAGAATCGCCCATGCTTCGCTGTTTTTCACCTAATTCAACAGCACTCAGATACGACTCCAAATTAGAAACTTCTTCGTTTCTCGCTAATTTGAAAGGAGGAGGAGTACCTGACGATAATGGTAGCTGGAATTTTGAAAGTGCCGAAGCCGGAGATGAAGATGGCAATGGAGACTCCGGATTAGAAGACGGGGATAGCATAGAGGCATACTGATTGAAAAATTTGGCCTTAGAGCCAAGTGAAGGCGCAACGTCGAGTTTTCCAGGCAGATGAGGAATATTAGATGACGATGAGGGTGATGCGGCAGCAGGAGTGACCGTAAATGATGGTTCACATGCTTCGAATGAGGGAAACCCAGGGTTCAAAATGTAAACTGAAGGTCTTTGTTTCTCCGCCGAGTTCCATTTGTCAGCGGATGCAAATTTGACAGCCATGCCGTGACAGTTCACACTAACAGAGCCGTCAGAAGCGGCTTGCGTTGTGTTGTCAAAGATCACCACTTTCAACTGAGAGCAATCAGTGCGATCTATGGCCTTTACCCTGATTGCCTTGCGTACATCTTCTGGTAAGTTTTCTATCAGCCGTTCTATAGTGAAGGTTTTTCTCCGTAACAGCGTTGACGGGAGGCATACATGGAGTGCGCTTATGATTGTAGAGCGAGAGTACTCGACGAAGGGCCGTACATCCAAAATCATCAAGTTCTCAGATGGTTCTTCGGCGATCAGCTTCCCTAGCTGAGCCGGAGACAACGCTTTTGTACCATCAGGACGCGGTAGTCGGGTTTCTTTCAACTTGAACGAAGGTAGAGAAGGGTTACTCATGGAGCGGTTCAAAAACGGCATCACAGGGGCTGTTGACGTATTTGAAGAGGGCGCTGCTTGGAAGCTTGACGTTGACGTTAGATTCGGCGAGTTTCGATCCAGCGAAAGTGCTGATATAGCTCTCCGGTGGGGTCTGGATGACTGGTAGCCCGGTTTGCCCATCCCAGCGAGATCGCCGACTAAAGTCGAAGACGAAGAAATAACCGAGCCGGAGTCGGATGCTACGTCTGCCGATACCTCAGCCAGACTTTCAGGCCAGTTACCGACCATTTTGAAGACCCTGCGAGCAGCGTCTTTCTCTCAACCACAAGCTTTGGAAAAAGAAATCAACAAAGCGTAACCAAAGACCAAAAAAGATAAAATCTTTTAACTGCGGGCTGTGAGCTATGTGTGCTGATAAAACACCACAACACGAACGACAAGAGCTTCACGATGTTTCCTGTTTATTCGTGCTGTGTTTAGATACTCAAATTTTGAGATGAGTGTGGGTGTGATAAAGTTGCGTGTGTGTGTATGATGGTGGTAAGCCAATGTGTGTCGTTTTTCACAACGTGATTCTGATTCGGGCCTCGAGCACTAGAGTGTCACTCTAGACGGGGAGTGTTGAACTAATCGTTGTAGAATTATCTTCACGAAGATTTCGGTCCAGAAGAAGCAGATTTCGAGTGAACTGAGTGGGTCCAGGAAATTTCGACAAAGGACACTGATGTGTTTTCAGGAAGCGAGGGTTCTGGTGATTAGAGAGCAGCTGAGCAATCTCCTTTTTTTACATTCAAGGTTGTAATTTTTTTCCTCTCAAATTTCCTCAATCGCTGTGTGGCCTGTGTTGATCGCAACAACAGCTCGAGCAGGAGAGGATCTCTTGAGTGCTTCGTGGGAGCTTGGCTTGGCAGTCGTGGTGTCTCTATGCGTAACGAAAAGGAACTTTTCGCACAGAAACAAGAAGAGCAGATAAATCACGTGCGGACTGTTCTGTTTCGGAACCTTCTATACTGAAGGTCCAGAACTCGCTAGGCGGAGTGCACGAACCGGGAGCGCAAATTTGGTCATGTATGATCAATGTTACGTGCAGTAATTAGCCTGACATCTCTAAGTTGTAGAGTATACGTCGTGTTTGACATGCTTTCTTCGCCCTATCTTCTGGGTTTGTTTCTAGGCTTTCCATTCCGTGTCCTCGTGAGGCGAAAAAAGAAAAATTTGTTCTCAGCCTTGCACGAGTCAGAACCATTCCCACAGCTAGTAGTAGCAGCGGTGCGCGAGACTTGGCGCATCGTGATGTCACAACCCACCCGGGGTAAGTAAACCTTTGCGTTAAAAAATTCACACCCTTGCAGGATTAGATGCAGGTTTCCAGCTAAACAAAAGCGGTGGGAAGCTATATTTGGACTGACACAAGCCTAAGGAAGCAGCTGGTACTGCTCTGTCTGTCTACCCTCACAGCAGTTTGGTCTAGCTGGGTGGAACATGGCCGGGGTTAAGGTGACGAGTCCTTCTTGATTTTCTCTGGAGCTCCGTTGGTGTTCACAGTGACCGTGAATTCTGCTTGAACGGCTCGAAAAAACGGGGTGGCAAATGCACAGCACAAATAGCCATTTGGGGATGCTCAAGATGGCTTCAATCTCTGCCGCAAAAGTGCTTATAACCCATAGTTTGGGATGCGCGTTGAATGCACTTCGATAAATGCGGCGATGTCTCATGCGAAAGAAGCTTTGTTCCGAATTGTGTCTCTTGTTCATGGTCCTCGTAACTGGCTGTGGAGTAGCCCAAATTTGAAGCTTCTTTCGCGATGCGAAACCTTCCCGTTAACTAGCTCAGAGAGCGCATAATGAAAACCCGATTGTCTTGCAGCGTACAGCACGTATCCTAATAGAAAAGCGTAAGTGTTTCCCGAGGTTATTGTTGCATGTAGCTTGGAAGGTTTCTTAAGGATCAATCTGTATTTGAATTTCGGTAATTACGGTGTGCCAAACCGCGATCACTGGAAACGAGGTACCCACAATCCAATCAAAAAGTCCGAGGTGACAAAAGTCTCTACTACAACGCCAATAAGATCTACAAATATGGGCACTGAATTCAGGTTCTTCATTAACCTTCGAGATTCAGCAATCGGTCTTTATTTTGATTGTGAATTCTTAAAAAGTGGCCTTCTCGAGAGTCGATCCCAAGACTAAACATTTCATTGACCGCTACACTACGGAGAAGGATAAAAAATTGTGGCGTTGATTCAGTTACACGAGTACAAACGTACTCGCCATCTCTTTCTTCCACTTTCGTTCCAAGTGCTCTAAAATTAAATCTCAACCATCTTTAGCTCATCTCTTCAACTTCTGTCATGATCCATTGAATCCAGAAATCACTGAGAAAGATAGATAATACTTTCCTCTGTCTAGAACTGTACAATGCTCTCCCGCCTACTGACCCGCTCTAGTCTCATTGCATCTCGCACTGTCCGCCAGTCCAGCTTCGCCGTGCGTTTGGCAAAGCAACCAAGACTGAACACTGTTGTTGCCAGATCTTTCCATGTCTCTGCCGTTCCCTTCAACAAACAGTGTCAAAAGATAAGTCAAGTTCTGGAAGGTGAAATTGCCTTGGAACTCGAAGAGGACGCCCACGCTCTACCAGAATCGTTGCAGACCTTTTTCGACAAGACTGGATTTTCAGCTGTCACTTCGGAGGGTAAAAACATGTCCGAAATCGTCCGTAAGGCCCCAAGCGGTGAATCGGTTCATGTGTTCTTCGATATTGCTCAAGTAGCAAATTTACCTCTAGAAAGCTCCGGTTTGGACAATGAAATGGCTGCCCAATCCGAGGAAGAGGATTTTGACGGAGTTTCGGACAATTTTGCCAACGTCAACGTCGTCGTCGTGAAAGACGCTGACAATTCCGCTGCATCTTTCGAGCTGCTCATGAATCTACAAGAGGGTACTTTCTTTGTCGACAGCGTCACTCCCTACGCCAACGCCAATGCTGCGTTGGACGAGTCTGCAGACGCTGAGGTTAAGCGTGAACTTGTGTACCATGGTCCTCCCTTCTCGAACCTCGACGAGGAACTGCAAGAATCTCTTGAAGTTTACTTGGAAAGTAGAGGTATCAACGAGGAGTTGGCTTCTTTCATCGGCACATATTCGGAGTTCAAGGAAAACAAAGAGTATATTAGCTGGTTGAAAAACATGAAGTCGTTCTTCAACTAAACTGTTTCTAGAGTATTCTGCTAACTTGTACATAACATCATTATTATTACTTTTATCCCTTCGCTATTAACCCTTTTGCCTATAAACTGCGCTCATCTTGTGTCGACATTTTTGCTTCTGGAACTTCTTCAATACCCACAGGCATCTTAGTCGTCCTCAATTTGTGAGCCGTTTGTCTCAGAGACTCTTCCACGCTTTCGAAATTATTCATCTTCCCCTCTAAGATGGCGACATAAGCCAAAAGTCTATCTTTCAGCCTCAGGAGAAGCCTTCTATACAGGAAGTTTTCCCGTTCTAAACCGTCTGCGGGCTCAATTGATTGCTCAGCGTTTTTGAACGTCTCCGCAAATGCTCCCAAAAACCTTACACCTTCGATGCTGACATGTCTAAGCCCTGGATATTCTTCTTTGGTCAGCTTACTAAAGTTCATCTGCCCCGACAGTAGAGTATCGATGTATTGGTTTAAAATCCATTCAGTTCTTCGCTTATCGAGAGCTTGCTTCTCATTGGCCCTGCTTATGACATTCCAGCAGAACATCCATGCTCTCCAATCGAGGACACTGTTAGATCCTGGCAGGTTCTGAGTTTTTCCATCAAACTTGACTGCAAACCTGAACAGATTTGCGATTAGTTCACTGCTTTTAAGAGGGCTCTCATTTGTAAACTTTCTACCCGCTTGTCTCTCAAAAGCTTTGTAAACTAAAACCAAACTAGCCTTGTTGATTTTATGCCGACTGTCTAATTGATCAAAAATCTGCACTGCCATCGAACTGCAGGCGTTTGGAAAGCCAGCAGTAACAATTCTGATCATCTTTTCAAATGCTGAAGGTGTTAGCATTTGCGGACGCTGAGCTATCATTTCTTGATAAGTTTTCCACGCAAGCATGCACTTGCCGTTCTTCGCATGGTTTTCTAGCAGAAGCTCGATCACATAACCATTCACATCGTACTTTTTCTGCACATCCCAGTACTGTAACTCCGGTAAGGTGACACCGTTTGGGATCTTGCCTTCAAATGCAATGTTTTCGAGCTTGAAATACTTGAAGATCGCTGACGCGGCAACAGAAGACAACGCCTTGTCAGAGCGGCAATGCCAAGCACGACAATACTCATAGATGAGTCGGGCATCCAAAAACCGCTTGGGTACGGTGGCCATAATTGCGTCCACTCTTTTTAAACACAGATCGTCGCTGTCCATCTTAGCGGCGCTTCGAAGCAACGTAGTGTATGTGATGGCGTCGCATACCAGGCCTTTGGGTCTTGCGTCAAACAGTTGAAACACAAACTCCTGATCTTTACTATTAAACAAAGCGTTTAGAGCAGCATTGAACTCTATGATATTCATTTTTCCATTGGTAATCAGTTGCATCGCAATTCTCAGAACTCGTTGAGCTTGTTTATGAGCCAAAGGCTGTCTTGATTTTGCAAGTCCATCGAATAATATCGTAGCTGTGAACTCATTTGGCGGAATCCCCCATTTTTTCCTCCAGTTGTAAATGTCTATTGCAGACTTTCCATCCTGCTGTTTCCAGCAAAAATGCTCTATGATCTTGTTCATTCCCACTACTCCCCGGCTTTTCGCCAATCGGGCCAAAAATATAGCTTTTTCCAACTGTCCTCGGGCTAGAAATTTTGAAACATCACCTGCAACCAGTTTTGAATCTCGAAGCTGCTCGCCCGTTACTCCCAGAATTGTGAACATCAGTCTTTTGTCGTGAGCTAGCTTCAGATATTGCACGTCCGATGCGCTTGTCGGTCCCAAAGAAGTACCACTCAGAGACGTATTTGAAATGTCATATTTCTTCTTCAAGACATGTTCGGCTTGCTGTTTAGAATATGCCGTTTTATTCAGTTTTTTAAGCCTCAATCGTTGTCTTCCAGCCTCTCTTTCTTGTTCGACCGGTGTCCGTCTTATAACTTTGTTATGTCTCTCAAAATGCTTCAATTTACTCTTTACTTGAGACCCGTAAAGTAAAGTGTATACCTGGAATTGCCTGGTGAAGGTCTTGAAGCTGCCCGGCTTCATATTCCTCGGCTTTTATACAAAAATTCGGAGTGTTCTTGCTTAAGTTCGATGCGATGAGCTTGATGTTACGATATCAAAATTGAAAGATTTCTTCAAATTTAGTATCATGAGCTTCCGATGAGGTGAACAAGTGCTAGTGTAGCCTATGAAACCGTCGGATTGAGAAGCTCACTGCCCATAGCTTGAAGCTGGCGTGTTCATGAGTCTTATCGTATCATGAATTCATCACCTTTCTGTGGACCAGTTCTGGTAGAAAGAGCAGCTTTCAATCGTCACGATGATCAACTGTCGAGAAAAGCATCCGAATATCTTTCCGCATTGCAGGATTACACATCCACGAGACTGCCGTCAAATCCAACCTTGCACAGTTTACGACTCAAGCCTGGTGGATCAGCGCCAACAGCTGTCGAGGAAATGGTAGTAGCCCGACTCATCACGCATGATTATACCGAAGCTGTTGCAATCTTGGAAACTGACGGCCAATTAGGATTTCTGAGAAAAGTGGAGCTGATGGTTCAAGTACTTATACTTTGCCAGAAATGGAAACATATTGATGAACTTTGCAACAGGCTCAATTCGTTTGCCGAATCTCAAAGTCATCAGTACACTTTACTGGATGAAAAGTCTCACATAACCACAAGGCTACTTCTTTGTGTTGCATATTACCTACAGGGCCGCTTTTTAGACTGTCTGAAATGCTTTTTCGTTGTGATTGAAGAATTCCCCGACGTTGTGCAACAGTTGAAGAATGAAACTCCCGATTCATTCTGCACGCACTCCGAGTTAGTCACCATGATCTCTATCTCTTTGATAGTTTCAATCCCGCTAGACAACTACGAGGATGTTGCTCAATTGGAGGAATTGGAGCCGTTTTACAAGGTGGCAGGCTCTTTGACAAAATGGCTGAAGCTCTTGATTGAAACAAGTTATCGTAAGTTTCTACAGGAGTGGAGTCTTCTGAATCCTACCTGCTCCTCCAGTATCTTCCTCGCTCAGAAGTGGCCTGCAGCTCAGCGAGTTCTGCGAGACAAGATATACCTTTTCTACCTGAGGATTTCGAACGCCATTGAAATTCCATATCTTTCCGAAACGCTATGCATCGAGCAGGATGTTGTTTCTGATGAAATTCAAATGCTTATCGAAGAGCTGGAGTTGAACTTTGCTGTGGAAGGTCTGTTGGTGCAGTCCAAGGAGAGATACAATGTGCAGAAACTCGCTGAAGATTTGCTTGATTCTGGGCAGCTTTTGCAAAACAAACTTGACTTACTCGTAACAAGAAACGAGAATCTGGGAAGCGAGGTTCAAGGCCTGATGAACGAGAACAGTGCTGTCGGGAAACGCATGTGTAGTCCACAGGCCGAAATGTTTGAAGATGATTGTGATGTTGACGTCTCTGACTGTGATAATGATCGCTGCTCTTAAAATACAAAATATACAGTTAGTCCCGTCGGCTACTACTTTTGATCGTTCAAGCACATACCAAATTCAGCAAAATATGTCGGGGCCTGGTTATTAGTCGATGTGTTTTAGCGGAGAGACTTCGTCTTCCTCAATTATGGTACTGACCCCATGTTGTGCAATATTTTCAATATCAATAACTTCTTTAGCTGCTTCAACTGTGAGATTCGTGTGTCCGTCGGTTCCAATGGCTATGTCATCTTCAATTCTAATCCCCATGTTTCTGAAGTATGCGGGGTATCTCTCATCATTAGGAATGTAGATACCTGGCTCGATTGTTATCACTTGACCAGCGCGAAGAGGCGAGAAGCGCGATATTTGGGGAACGTCGTGAACGTCAAGTCCCAGGTTATGACCAATGTAGTGGGGATATAGCTTTGAAACGTCGAAGTTCTGATAAGAAGGAAGGCCGATATTTTTGAGCTCTTCTTTTAGAAAAGTAATGCTTTTCTCATGAATGTCATTCAGCGAATACATGTTAGAGGCAGCGCAAAGATTAATGCACTTTCTTTGGACGTTTAAGACAGCTTCGTACAAATCTCTCTGGGCGGCAGAAAATTTCCCACTAACGGGCCATGTTCTAGAAATGTCAGAACTATAACCTCCCAGCGAACCAGCTGCATCGACGAGCACCATTTCATCATCATACAGAACATCGTCATTGCGGGTGTAATGGATACAAAGTGAGTTGGAACCACCGGCAACAACAGGGATATATGCAGATTTATCACAGCCTCCCGCAACAAACTTGTAATCCAAAAAAGACTGTAGCGTTCTTTCGTTGCGAAATTTTTTGGCATACGCTTGATTAAAAGCTCTTCCGGAAATTTGACCTGCTCTTCTCATGACTCTTATTTCGGCAGGCGATTTGATGGAACGTAAATCGGCTATTATGGACTTCAACTTGCGTACATGTTTCTTTCCGGAGCTTTTGATGACACTTGTGATTGTATCGACAGAGGCAGGCGAGTGTGATATGGAGAAAAACGACCCAAAGAAAGCCTCTGCGCTAGAATTCATTTTGTCTTGTGGTTTGTCAAAGTATATGTTCTCGTTTCTGTTGATGATCTTTGTGATGTAAATCGACGATTGCCGAGTATCGGTTGATTCATCTGCATTGAAAATCTCGCATGCACCCTCGGCTCCTGTTCTTTCACCCTCCCACTGTTCAGAAAATGTGTCCTTTGGAGGAACGATGAGGTGGAAAACAACATCTTCGATATTGCTGGTAGGCTTTTCTAAAATCATCACGGAGTCTGGTTCATTCCACCCTGTGAGATAGAAGAGGTCATTATTTTGCTGGAATGGGTAGAAAACTGGGCCCGATGCATATTTTACCTGTGCTCCAGCTATGATTGCACAACTCTTGGCCGGGAGGTGGGCCGCCAATTTGGCTCTTCTTTCAAAATATTCTAATGCCGTAATCCCCGGCGTGAGTTCACCAGGTCGCAAAAGCTCTGGTCTAGTTTCGAACAACGGCTGACCGGTGCTAAGGTTTGGTCGCGAACGATTGACAAACCGCGTTTGATATTCCAGTCGCGTCGATCCTGAGAGGAACCTCTTTGACGTGAGGGCATACGCCGTTTTTGAAGCTGTCACTGACCTTAAAGCATTCAGCATAATGCCAAGTGAACGGGACTGTGTGACGGAACCAGTTCCTGATCGTGTTTTTCAATCTTGCAAATAGCTAAAGCTATGTAGAAGATGAGCTCAGGCCTTAAAATTACATGAATTCAGGAAGCTTTTTTTTCTCTCGTAGGTAGAGCATTAACTCCACAAGTGATGAAGCAAAGGGTAGAAGGGCAGCGTGTGCTAAGAAGGTCCAGGATCAGGCTAGAGAACTAAGCTAGCCCCTACCATACGCTCCTCAAAGTCTTCTTAGAAGCACTTATTTTCCTGATTTTCGTTGTATTGGAGTTTTGCTCATTTGCTATATCCTCAAAGTCATGATCTCTGCCTATATCTAGATCTGGGGTCAGACTCTGATGGCTCCTTTTGTTCGACTCTAAAGTGTTTTGAGTATCATCATCTATTCTCAATGAACTGAACTCTAGGGACGAACCCGACGAATTTCGAGCGATCAAGTTTTGGGCGGCAGAGTGCTGCATTCTAGCAATCATAGCAAGAGACCTTTCAACGTTTTGCAAAGCATCTTGTAGAAGCTCTAGACTTCCAAAGGTTACGTTGGTATAGGCAGATTGAGCATTGGGAGAGTTAAAGACAAAAGTCCAAACCACTCGGGAAGGTGCTGAAAGCTCGCCAATGCCCTTGACCATTATGCCACGATGGTCCACATAAATGTAATCTGATGACCTCAGGTACTGTGTTCTTCTAGCCTGCTTTCGCCTCTCTTTTTCCAAGACTAGTACGTCGTCGGAAAATAGAATTGAAAGAGCCAAATTTATGATGTCGATGACATCTGAGCCGGGTTGCTCTCCTGCCAAAACCTTGTAAAGCTCGGAAACTTCACTCGGAAATTTTGGCTTTTTAATCCAAAACCTGTAGATCCTTCTGAGCATCATCAGCACTTTGAAAGCAATTGCTGTAAAATCGACGACGTTGTTCCTGTTTAAACACGATAGGCACTTACTGATTGTTCCGTGAGATAGGTTTCCATAGCAAACTTTGTGAAGCTTCCTCTTGCAGGTACTGCAAGTAAGCCAATGGGTACCAGTTTGAGGGAAAGGCGTTTCACATTGACACTCATAGTCCGCGCGGTTGTCGGCGAGATACTGAGTTTGCGCGACACTATCTGATTGAGATGAAAGAAGCCCTTGTAGACAACGACTTGTTTGACTTGGACCTTCGATTGTTTGACTTGCGCTCGAGGTTTCATCATCTAAGCTCTCGGACTCCTCAATGAGGCTAAACGGATCAACATTTCTGGTAATGGTTTTAGCTGATGCATCCCCAGTTTCGACGACTGACAGGACTTTAAGAGCAACCCTTTTGGTTTTGTTAGTAAGTGTTTTGTAAACAATGCATGTTGCTGTAAAGGGTCCAGCAAGTAACTTACTTGTGATGCCTTGTATCAAGTGACCCCACTGAATATGTGTCGAGGTCTGTGGACGCAGGAACTTGCACCGTTGCAGGCCTTTCCCGGCTTACGTCTTTGAAAAGCAGGGGTTGATAGTCAGCCGGTGTGTTTTCGTTGAATAACAGTCGCATGGAGAGAAAACGCTTTTCGGGAAGCGGTTCAAGTGATTGAGTGATGATAATAAATCGCCGCATAAGTTGCTGCACCACTTTTCTTGAGTCTAAAAGCGAAATGGACTCGTTCTCTCCATTCATGCTAAGATGAACTTGTCCATCATCGCCGTAGCTAAAACTGAAAAGGTAATCCTCAATCAATTCCGTTGGTGCATCTTCTTGGGCGAAAACACCTAAACTCAAACCTTTCAGGTACTTGTGTCTTATAGACTGAAATACTCCCTTTTCCAGCCAGTCCAGAAAAAGGTCTGCCTCGAGTGTCTTTCCACGTACTAGGGTTTTGATCTTGATCGAACTAGACTGCGTTGCACTACGATCTTTATCGTAACCCTTTCTCACCTTTTCTGGCACGAATCTTTGATCCGCGAAGTTCTCATCGGGAAAGAGTCCTCTGAGGAAGGCAAGGCACCCAAAAGACATGGTGAGCATTGTCTGGACAAGCTTCTGAGACTGTTCGCATGTGATGCTAGTGGTTGTTGTCGTGCTGGTGACATTTTTGGGCTTGACTTGCTGGAACGTTGACATAGTGGGAGCTCAATAAGCAGTGGATGGTTGTAGAATGACGTTTAAATAGATATTTATGGGTCTTTATGTATTTAGAGTCTGATGTAGTCTGTTTTCTTGCGTCTTGTGGTAGGAAAAAGAAAGACAACATTTAGCCGCCAAGCTCTCTTATATAGCTTTGACTTTCGTACGACGTGACTATTATACAGTAAAGTACGTACCACCAAAAGTTCAGGAGTGAAGCATAGAAATTGATTGACTTTTAGCTAGAAAATGCATAGTTTTCAAGCCAAAGTTTGGCCATTAGGCTCTCCCAAAATATATATTCCAAAACATACGTGTGCTTCTCCAGTAGCGACACGCTCGTATAGAGTGCCAGATTTCTGGGCACTCAATATTGTTACATAGCTATAGCTTTGACATATTCCTTACCCTTTCGAAAACCCTACATTCGAAAAGCATTTATCCAAGTGTTTTTTACCGGTAGATCTGGTGTGAATCGAGCAATTGCAAGGTTTTCGTGTCACCTATCGCCAAAGTCTTGTTTTTTTCAATACCAGAAAGCAACATAACGAATACCCTGCATACTCTCTTTTGGCTTAAGTATACATTAATGAATGACAATCCTAGCCATAAGTGGTCATTTTATAGACATCGCGTTCGAGACAACGGATTATCACAATTCCTGCCGCTGTCGTCACTTATCCAGATGGCACAGCCGTACAAAGAGATTAAAACATTCTCCCCTCATTTCTCTAATCTGAGATTAAATGAAAGTCTAGATCATCAAAACTACCCCAGATTTAACGAATCGAGTGAGGCGATCAAGAGCAAATCGACCCATTATTGCCACTCCGTTACCTCTCCTTCCGCTACCTCCCCTTGATACCCTGATCTCTTTGCACAACCTGAACTATGGAGGATTCTTCGGTATTTTCTCGTAGCACGCAGGATGTTTCTTCAGCGATATCACTATATAATCTATCTGCTGGCGAAGATGCGTCTATGAAAGCAGTATTGGATTATGAACCCAACGACGAAGTACAGGGCTCTGTGATCTCGCGTCCACTTTCAAGATCTTCGGTGACTTCGTCTCTATCAATGGTTGCTACAAAAGACGGTATAGAGGGCAGAAATATCCATCGTCATGGCATTCCTCAGTATTCGTTGAACTTACTGAGCTCAATGGCCCCTCCTAGCAATTCGAAGACTAAAAGCTACTCCAAGCAGCAACAAGGAATCCCTCCTCACTTATCAAACCCAAAATCCTCGGCATTGTACTCTGAAGAGCAGATGGATTCCATTTCCCATTCAGACTTGTCGACAGGCGCGCCAATGACTCTCAAAGAGAAAATGAAGCTGCTCAACTACAAATCAGCACCTCTGCAGTACACTTCTTCTGCAGAATCGCTCCAAGATCGTACGGAACGGTCCCAAATCGATAGTCAACGTAGCAGTCACGGAACAAAAGAGGGACCAAAGTCCATCGTAGCAGTTGCAGGAAGCGAAACCAACAGCAACCATAGCACCAACGGTGATGACTTTTCGTACTTGGGCGACGCTAAAGGTCTACCTCCAGTTTTTGTTTCGGTGGAAAACGACCACGAATAAGGATGTGAGTTTCTCGGAAAGGCTGGACTTCTCCGACTTGATACTTGACTTGAAGAGATGCCAGGCCACGGATGGAAGAGTTATAAAGAGAAAAATCACAGGATTTTCATGATATTTTGGCAGCTTATTCAAATTCAGCGGTCGAGTATCGAAAAGCTGTGAAGCTTTTAGAGGGCTCTCTTGGGGAAAGGTAAATTGATTTTTAGTTTGTTGAATAATGTTCGGTATCTCCCGAATTCAAAAAATACTGCTAGTTCACAATTTAATGAAAGCCTGGACATCAAAATACTGGTTCAGGCTGGTCTCGATTTGTTTTCATGACTAAAAGCTTGTTTTTCAGTATTTACGATCTCAAAGGCTATATATTCATTTCGAGGTTATATCAAGAAACATCAAAAAGTTCAATTCAACTTGAACTTTGAGAATATAAAAGGTAAAGCGTAGGTAGACAAAACGCAGTCATGCTCCAGAGTAGTCTTGCATTGCTGCGTCAAACCCGGAGACCAGCGTTGGCGCTGTGTAGCTCTGCTACAAGATCGTCTGCGTCTCGCCACATTTCCAATCAGCCATCTGAGACGTACACTAAACTGCCGGATGACAACGACCCTCAGCGCGATGCCTTTTTCAAATACTCATGGGGTTCCTGGCTCAAAAACGATCGTGCGGAAAAGGAGAAAAGGACTACTCGGTTCTCTATCGAAGGTCTCACCGACATTATTGCTGGGCTTCACGCTCAATCGAAAGAAGTAGAGAAAACCAGTGGTTCTGATGAAAAAGCTAAGATTGCAGCACCTTCCTACGACCGGAACCTAACGGTTTCCTTACCTCACAATCTCAGCATCAGTGAAATTGGAACATTGAATCCCAACGAATCCTTGAAAATTACAGCAATGGCCAGCATTCATGAAGGAAAGCACCATCGCATCTACAAAGTGGACACCAATGCCAACAAGTCGTTTGTGCTGAGAATACCGTACCCAATAGACGGTGAATACGCTATCTCTCAAAGACTGAAAAGTGAGGTTGCAACCATTGATTTTGCCCAACTGAAGTTAGGGCTTAAGGTTCCAAAGGTCTACAGTTATGGTGTCAATGCATTGAACCCCGTCAGACAGCCTTTCATTCTACAGGAATACATTGAAGGAAGACTCTTGATGCGAGACTGGACCCCATTGGAGGACGATGCCCAGGATGGGAAATCTCATCTGGCCAAGTTAAACAAGGTTATCGAGCCACTGTCACAATTCCAAGCCAAGCTGTTAAGCGTTACCTTTAATCAGTTTGGTAGTCTCTACTTTGCCAAAGATGTTCCGGAAAACGAGGAGTTAGCGTACAATGGCGAGAAAGATGCTTCTTTGGCAAACAGATGGAGAATTGGACCTTCTGTGGAGAGATGTTACTGGAGAAAAAAATCGGCGCTACCTGTGGAAGAGGTCAAGAAGTACGTTGGTCCTTGGGCCAATGACAAACCTATGAACATGGTCAAGGACCTAGGACAATTGGAAGCTGAGAATGCCAAAGCTAGGTTGGCTCTTCAACAGGCCGACGCATCGCCTGAACCCGTGGAGGAGGCGCTTTTGAGAGGCCAGGTCCAGGCGTTTGAGGGTCTTTCCCAACTTTCTGGCTCGCTGTTCAACACCAAATCGAGTGTGATCCCCAATATCGCAGAACTATTGAAGCCACGTCTGTACCAGCCCGATTTGGACCCGATGAACGTGATCCTCAATGAAAAAGACGGTGACCAGGCCTATCTGTTTGACTTTGAAGGCACCACCATTAAACCCTTCCTGCTACAGAACTCGCCTCAATTTGTCGCCTACGACGGACCCAAGATCTACAACCTGGAAGAGGACGTCGAGGGCTACAAAGAGTTGTCGGATGCGGAGAAAGTACAGTACCAGTTTATGTACAAACGCACGCGCAACCAGCACCTGTGGGAATCGGCTTTGAACAAAAATTCAAAAACTTTGATTTCTGCAGTAGCACCACCTGTGAAGCTTCTGAGAACACCGTACGTGGCGACCGTGGAGCGCAAGAAAGATGCAGAATATTTGCTGGTGGATGAGAGTCTACTTCAATTGCGCGAGGTGTGGGAAGTCTTTGCCAAGAACGAGCTAGTTGCCAGCGCCAAGTTCCCGCTGGAGCTGGGCGAGGACCACGTCAAAGAACACGCAGAAAAGCTCAACGCGTTCCACGAAAAGCTCATCAAAAGCCCATTCGCGGCCACCCAGGGCTGGATTCCGCAAGACATGTTCGAAAACTTGGTGAAAGCAGGTATACTAGTTAAAGATGCCAACGGGGACCACGTGATCAAAGAGCAGGGGTCATAATTGACGAATCTCTCTTTTGCGATGTGTTGTTTTTTTTCATCCCGAGTCGCATGAGGCGGGAGGAAGACGATTTTTTATTTTTTTTTGACTCCTTCCTATATTCCGGGATTTAATATTCGTATGTAATTATGTCTTTTTACAAACTCCGTCACAAATGATACACGTGACATTTTTACACCATTCTACTTCCATAATCATTGATCGATAAACTAATTGCATGGTTGGTTTCGATATTATAATAATCACGCATCAACCAGGTCTAGCGCGATACAAGTACTTTCACTACGCTCGTACGTTCGTTCTTTCCTTCCTTCATTCCTTCGTTCTTTCGTACATGGAAAAAGGCCAGCATCGTAGCTGCTTCTACCGATCTAAATAGTGGAAAATCCAATTCTACGTAGCAAGCACACACTCACTCACACACACACTCTCTCTTTCTCTCTCTTTCCCTCAGCCAAACGCTCGCTTATAATGGCATATTGCCAGAATCTAGAACTTAACTTTCAGCCACCACGAATCTCCGTCCACGAACGCCCATCCACGAACGCCCGTTCTTCTTCTTCCCGCCGTAACCATATAATATCACATGCCTTCAAAAATTTTCGACTTGGCCGTTTTGGCTTCCTAACTTGTACGAATCTACCACAGTGTCATCATTTTCCAACCACAGCATGACTATTTGCATAGTAGTGACTAACTACTATGTATTACACTATACTACAGCTTAGCTGAAAAATTATTATAGAATTTGGAAAATTATTGACTACCGATGACCACCCAATAAATATTGTGAAATATAAAGAGAAGAATACAACTTATAAAGCAGTATTTAGGTGTCAGGAATAGATACTTTAGACTTTGTATCTCAATTCGTGCTTGATAAGAAACTCCATCGTCTAGCATAGTCTAGCATACACTTTAGCCGGGAGTTCTTTTAATCTCGTAATTTACATTACATTACACACAGTACAGACCTTCAAAATCCAAAAATCCAAAAATCCAAAATGTCAGCTCCTCAGCAAATCAACAACCTGAAAAATTCGTTCCAAAGAGCCGTCAACTTGGGCGGCTCGCCAGGTGAGGTCTCAACCTCGCCAACGCAGTCTTTCATGAGCTCCATCCCCCGTCGTATGAGTCTGTCCAAGCAAACTAAGGCCCTAAAGCCTTTTTCCACCGGGGATATCAAGATTTTGTTGCTGGAAAACGTCAACCAGACCGCAGTGGAGATCTTCAACGGCCAGGGCTACCAAGTGGAGTACCACAAGGGTTCGTTGCCCGAGGAAGAGCTCATCGAGAAGATCAAAGACGTGCATGCCGTTGGGATCAGATCCAAGACCAGACTGAACGAAAAAATCCTCAAACACGCCAAAAACCTGGTCGTCGTCGGCTGCTTCTGCATCGGGACCAACCAGGTCGATCTGGACTACGCTGCCAAGCTCGGTGTCTCGGTTTTCAACTCGCCCTTCTCCAACTCCAGATCCGTCGCGGAACTGGTTATCGCCGAAATCGTCACCTTGGCCAGACAGCTCGGTGACAGATCCATCGAAATGCACACGGGTACCTGGAACAAAGTCTCCAAGAAATGCTGGGAAGTGAGAGGCAAGACGCTGGGGATCATTGGGTACGGCCACATCGGATCGCAATTGTCTGTGCTGGCTGAAGCCTTCGGTATGCACGTCCTGTACTACGACGTGGTCACCATCATGGCCTTGGGTACTGCCAAGCAGGTGTCCACTTTGGACGAGCTATTGAACAAATCCGACTTTGTCACCTGCCACGTCCCTGCCACCGCAGAAACCAAGAACTTGCTATCTGCGCCGCAGTTCGCCGCCATGAAGGACGGTTCCTACGTGATCAACGCCTCGAGAGGTACTGTCATCGATATTCCAGCTCTGGTGCAAGCCATCAAGGCCGGTAAGATCGCTGGTACTGCGCTGGACGTCTACCCCAACGAACCTGCCAAGAACGGTGCCGGCGCCTTCAACGACGAGCTCAACAGCTGGATTTCCGAGCTGGTGTCCTTGCCTAACGTCATCTTGACGCCTCACATTGGTGGCTCCACCGAGGAAGCCCAGAGTGCCATTGGTATCGAGGTTGCCACGGGTTTGACCAAATACATCAACGAGGGTTGCTCTGTGGGGTCCGTGAACTTCCCAGAAGTCGCTCTGAGAGGTCTGGACCTCGACCAGGAAAATGTGGTTCGTGTTCTGTACACCCATCACAACGTCCCTGGTGTTTTGAAAACCGTCAACAACATTTTGTCCAACCACAATATCGAGAAGCAGTATTCCGACTCCCAAGGCGACATTGCATATCTGATGGCCGATATCTCGTCCGTGGACCAGAGCGATATCAAGCAAATTTACGACCAGCTGAATGCCACCGAGTACAAGATCTCCATTAGACTGCTATACTAAGTCAATTGACAAATAGAAATATTATTTACATATGTTTACGATGACGCCCTAACGTTAGGACACTGTACAAATCCTCTATAACCAGCTACAACATCACTTTCGAGCGCACTGATCGCCGAACACTAGACAGCAAACTCGTGAACTACTTGTACTGGTTATATTTCAGAGAAAGCATTGTTCCCATCCTAGTATCTTTCCTGTCGTTCTCTCTTGTCACTATCTACCATTCTGTTATTTCTGTATCTCTATATACGATAATCAATAATTCGAAAAATACGGTGGCAAATTAACTAGGGTATTTAAACTAACTACAACTTACTTCCCTGTTCGAAGACCAGTGGCCAAAACCCTACCGTAGGCTCAAGACTGGATAACTAGAGCACGATGTCTGTTGTAACGGCCGCACCGCTTTTGGCCTTATTGAAAGAGGACGACCAAGTCGCTCAAACGTACGCTTTACAATCGATTAACGGGATTGTGGACCAGCTTTGGTCTGAAGTATCCAACGAGATCTCACGGATTGAGGCTTTATATGATGACAACGCTTTTGAAAATCGCAAATTGGCGGCAATTGTGGCTGCCAAAGTGTACTATAACCTAGGGGAGTATGAGTCTGCTGTGAAATTTGCCCTTGCCGCTGACGAATACTTCGATGTCGATGAAAAATCACAGTTCGTGGAAACAATTGTTTCACAGAGCATTGACATGTACATTCATTCCGCAGCGTACAACTACGAAAACCGCAAAACTCAGAAACCCATTGCTCCTCAGCTTGAGTCTGTTTTTGAAAGAATGCTGCAAAAATGCGTGGAAAGCGGGGAATACAAGCTAGCTTTGGGAATAGCCATAGACAGTTACCGTTCAGACGTGGTGGAAAATGTCTTGACTGCGCGCGTGGCCGAAGATTCGGAACAGAACGCCTTGAAACTCATCACGTACGTGCTGAGTGCAGCGTCGACTACTGTGACCTGCACACCGTTCAGAACTGACTTACTACAAAAACTCTTCAAAATCTTAACGTCAACAAAGTCCCCAGACTACTCAACGCTCTCCAAGATCATCGTGACGCTTAACGACTTGAACTTGGGTAAAGTGCTTTTTTTCAAGCTTTCACGGGAAGAAGCTCCTGAAATTTCGTACCAGATCGCCTTCGATCTTGTGTCTTCTGCATCCCAAGGGTTGCTAAACGGTCTGGTTGGCTCTATGAGGGACGAAGGTTACGATCCAAAACTATTGGAGATTTTATCTGGTATACCGACATGCGACTATTACAACACATTTCTTTTCAGAAACAAAAACATCGATTTGGGCCTGTTGAACAAGACCAAATCCTCAATGGACGGCAAATTCTCTCTGTTCCATACTGCTGTCAGCGTTTCTAACGGATTCATGCATGCAGGCACAACTGATGACTCTTTCATCAGGTCTAACCTTCCATGGCTAGGAAAAGCTCAAAACTGGGCAAAGTTTACAGCGACGGCCTCTTTGGGTGTTATTCACAAAGGCAACCTCACAGACGGCAAAAAAATTATGGAACCCTACCTACCCGGTAGTAGAGCGGCCTCTCGCTATATCAAAGGAGGGTCCTTGTATGGTCTCGGTCTCATTTATGCCGGATATGGTAGCGAAATCATTGAATACCTAAAATCGCATGTGGTCGAGAACAGCTCATCCGTTGGTGATGAAGACGTCGACGTCTTGCTACATGGGGCGTCCTTGGGTATCGGGCTCGCAGGAATGGGTTCTTCGAACAGCGAGCTGTACGAAGCTTTGAGAGAAGTGCTGTATAATGACTCGGTTAACTCAGGAGAAGCCGCTGCCTTGGGAATGGGGCTTGTCATGTTGGGAAGTGGTAACAAAAATGCAATTCAAGATATGTTCACATATGCCCAAGAAACACAGCATGGAAACATCTCTCGGGGTTTAGCGGTTGGTGTGGCGGTCATCAATTTCGGTAAAAAGGAAATGGCTGACGACATTATCAGAAACATGATAGAACACGAAAATAGCTTACTGCGTTATGGTGGTGCTTACACAATAGCTCTTGCCTACGCAGGTACCGGTGATAACAAAGCAATCAAAAAATTGCTGCATATCGCCGTTTCGGACTCCAACGATGATGTTAGAAGAGCTGCAGTTATTGCTCTGGGATTTGTATTAATTCGTGATTACACAACTGTTCCAAGACTGGTAGAGCTGTTAGCCGAGTCTCACAATGCACACGTTCGTTGCGGTACCGCGTTCGCATTGGGTGTCGCTTGTGCTGGAAGAGGCCTGCAGGCTGCGGTCAATTTGCTTCTACCACTAACAAAAGATCCAGTTGATTTCGTGCGCCAAGCGGCTATGATATCTCTGTCATTAGTGTTTGTTCAACAAACGGAGAAAACCAATCCTAAAGTGAAGGAGATTAATGACTTGTTTTTGAACGTGATCTCGAACAAGCACCAAGAAGGACTTGCCAAATTTGGAGCTTGCGTTGCGCAGGGTATCATGAATGCTGGTGGTCGCAACTCCACCATCCAATTGGAAAACATCGAGATGGGAACCTTGGACACCAAGGCGGTAATCGGACTTGCTATGTTCTCGCAATTGTGGTACTGGTTCCCCATGGCCCATTTCCTGTCACTATCTTTCAGCCCCACAAGCATTATTGGTGTTCGCGGTAAGGATTTGAGTATTCCACGCTTCGATTTCCTATGTCACACTAAACCCGATGTTTTCGATTATCCACCTATGTTCGAGGAAAATACTGACAAGAATGTCGAAAAAGTTGCAACTGCTGTTTTATCGACGACTGCAAAGGCAAAGGCGAGAGCCAAGAAAAGTAAAAAGGATGTCAAAGAAGTCACCGAGGAAAAAGTCAAGAAAGAGCCTTTGGCCGATGCCAAATTGGAATCGGTGGAGGAATCCCGTAAAGCGGACACTGAGATTAAAGATGACGCCCCTTACAAAATAAAGTATGTTAACAAAGGTTACAAAATTGAGAATGCGTCGCGCGTGGTTCCCCAGCAGCTAAAATACATTGCCTTTTCGAAAGACGAGAGATTTGTTCCAGTTCGGAAGTTTAGAGGCAGCAACGGTGTTGTTGTCATGATCGACAAGACCCCAAATGAACCTGTTGAACTGATTAAGACTGCAAAGCAGAAAAAAGATGTTGATGCGCCGTTACCTACGCCATTCAAGGTAGAAGAGGAACTAGAGTTCTCCAAAATTTAACGACAATCATTCACCAGCATATAAAGCATAATAACATAAATACATCAAGTGTTCATTCTTTTTTATCAAGTGCTGGCATGAAGGGAAGTATGTGTACTGAAGCGGGAAGCATCGTTCTACAAACTCTTTACGGTTTAACCAAATCTACTTAAAGCTTCGCTGACAAGGTCGGTGTGGCCCTCTTCAATCTCACCTCTTTTGACCTTCTCATTACGTTGACGGGCCTCTTTCTCTTGGGTCAAAAGGGCATTTACTCTTAGCTTTCTTTCATCCACGACATTCTGCGTCTTTTTCCGCAAGAAGGATCGCAGTCCAGAGTTTTTACCCTTCACGCTAGGCTTCGCTTGCGGTACATCTTGGTTGTTTCTGGATTCGTTGGCCTTTTGATCAGTAACCAGAGCTAAGTCTTTAGCATTGAGTCGCGCCGTGGAGGCACGTTTATCAACAGTGCCGATAACATTAGGATCTAGGGCAATAGAATCAGCAGGTAGTTTGTTCAACAAAGTTCTCACTTCTTGCTCTTGTCTTTGTTTAGCAGTTTCAAATGGATTCAACTCCAAAGCGTCGTAATTGGCCTCACCAGCACCAGGTATTATTAGGTTACGCACACCATCTTGATGTCCAACACCTAAAAGATCTTCGAACGGCACAAACTGCATGTTGGTGACCCTGTTTCCTGGAAGTATGCTGGTCATGTAGGGAGTATTGCGATCGACATGACCGCTAGACCCGAAATATGGTCTTGAAGATTTGCTTGACTTGAAAGCATCCTTCCATAGCGTTACATGTGGGCCTCTTGAGAGAGCCAACAGCCCTGTATCGGAAATGGTAACGCCGGAGCCAGGTGTAGGTAGATTTTCTACGGTATGCAGTTCGCGGAATGTTCTGATGTCCCAGATTTTCATGGACTTGTCGGCACCCGTTGTAGCCATGTAGCGGCCTTGGCGATCAACGGCAACGCCAGTGACTGGACCACGAGCTGTCAAAAGTCTTGCCAAAGGAGTAGGCATGTTTGGGGCCCACATTGTTACTGTACCATTGCTGTGGCCCAGATTAATCACCGCATTCCATGTATTTTGAGCCATTGCAGTTGTGGGTCCCAATTTGGTTCTAATTTCCGCCTGTAGCTGTCCTGTAGAAACGTCCTGGTATTTGAGCCATCCAGTTTCTCCCGCTGTGGCCAGCAAGTAGTGGTATGGCAGAAACTCCATATGTTTGACCTCGATGTGCTGTTTGAGTCTATGCAATTCTACACCTTCGTGGTCGTAAATAAAAGTGTATTTTTTTTGAGCCACGGCGAAGTACTGCTCATTATGCAGGTAAGTGGCAGCGTTGCACGTTTCATTCAGATTCAATTCTGCTCGCAGTTGTCCTTTACGCCAGTCCATGGAAGCCACATGGCCCTTACGCCCGCAAATCAAGAGATGTGTCCCGTTCCGAGAGTAATTGATGGAATAAGGACCAAATTCTCGTAGCTTCAGGTCCAGTGCCTTGTTAGCGGTACTTGAGTCTACTGCACCACGGATTTCGTCTTGCTTGACTCTGAATGTTTTTTCCATTTCATTCTCTGCCTCCAAAAACCCACTCGTTTCGGGCAACAGATATTCCGTGGCTGTTGCCTCTGAAACTGCATCTTTGTACTGTTGATCAATCCTTTTCAAACCGGCTTTCAGTTTCTTATCCTTGGTTTTGGACTTATAGTCACTTTGCTGTTTCGACTTCATAGAAGTACGGTCATATTTCCCACCGCTACCTCTATAGCGGTCAGAATCGGACGGCTTCTTCGTGGTGTCAGTCATGATAATTGGAACTTGTGCTAGCTGATGAAGCAATCTTTAAAAGAGCTGAACGGTAGCTTTGATTCGACAGATTTGTTGTTTAAACTCATCGCATCGAAGCTCATCTCATCGAAGCTCATCTCATCTCATCTCATCTCATCGCCAATCGAAAATTTTACAGCCTGAAAAAGTGAAGCACGTGACTTTAAAAGTATCAGAGATGGAAAAAGTGATGTTGAGAGAGCATGGCTTGGTGGAATTTGGATATGATGGCAACGAAGCTGGTTAAGAAGTGGGTTGTAGCTGGTTTGAAAACTCTCGAAAATTCGTGGTGACCGAGTGGTTTCAAGATCCAACATCCCGGAAAAGGTCCTGGGTCACGTGACCAGCGACAGAATAGCGAAGGAATTCCACTGTCACTGGGGTGTTTTTGACGACCAGTTGTGTAAGAACCCAGCGGTCTTTACTCGTGTTGTTTGCCCACAGGTACAGGAGTAATTTGATTTTGTCAATTGCCAACTGGTTTGGGACGATTATCCAAAAATCGCCATACTGTCGCTTCAAACATGATAGCACGGTTGTTGCACCAGGAAAAATGAATCTGAGATGATGAGAGATTGCATGACACATGAGTGGTTATCGTAGATGGTGGGTGGGTAAGTGTTTTTTTGAAGGGAAGGTATACCCAGGGTAGGAATGGGCGCTCAAATGTGTTACAGGTTGCTGCAAGTGGTTAAGTGGGTGGTTGAGCGGGTCCTATAGCGGGTACTTGAGCAGGTCTCGAGCGGGTGCTTCCCATTTCAAGGCGAATCCCAAATGGGTACTAAAACGGGTACTAAGCAGATACTTCCAGGTACTTCTAAGCTGCGCACACAGATCTCAAGGACCTCTAAGCGATCCCAAATTCGCACGACACACATCATTCACCATAACTAACAGCAACGCAATACTGTCAAGCTCTTCTATAAAAGCATCACACAAACGGGTCGCCAAACGGGTTGCTAAACGGGTCGTCGTCTTGTACGAAAATCCATCTTCTTCTCTACCCCGGCAACAATTGCATTCTTTAATTATTCGATAGCATTCGTTGACCAAAGCACTGTGTCATCTGGTATTCATAGCTCTGGTGCTCACCGACGGCGGCAAGCAAACGCGACTCAATTGCAAGGCCCCCAAAAAGGTAATCGTCACCGACACACACTACTGCGGCTTCTTTTTTCTTCCACGTCACGTGCCAAAATTGTGGTTCCCACAAAAAATATCTGATCATTTTTTCTTAAACTGTCACGCCATCTTACTTCTCATGGTCACGTGTGACATTTGTCTCTTTTTTTTTCCTCTCTCTTTTATCTCTCTGTTCTTTCGCTTACCATCCAACTCAGCTCAGCTCAGCACAGCTCAGCTCTTTTCTTCGCTCTTAGTGTCAACAAACAAAGTAACTATCCGATTGTCATTCGGTTCCCAAAGCAACCGATTCAACCTCTCGTCCAAAAAAAAGAACCCTCATTTCCCGTAGCTTTCTCTCTTTTGTTCCCAAATCGCGCCCGCATGTGACTCTGATCCCACTATCTCTACCACACAGTCCAAAATTCCCGTGCAAATGCAAGATCCAGTAGTTCCCGCCTCAATGACACACACACACACACTCTCTCTCTCTCTCTTACAAGGCCCAAACAAACAAAATCCCGATAGCAGTGATTTAGGACCTCTCTTTCTCCAAATAGACTCGAGAAATATTCGCTGGTGATAGTGTCATCGGGCATATAAAAGCGAACAGACAACAAACCGACTCAAAAACACTTGAATAACTTGAGTAACTTGAATTTCGAGATTTTCAAGATCTCGGAAAGTTATTTTTCAGCACGAACACACTTGCTCATAGAGTTTTTATCAAAACCGCATTGAAGCGTGAATACTGTGGTGCTGTTTTACTGTTTTGAATATCCAGTTCCCAATTGAAGGTTAATTCACAATCATAGTAAAGCGTGGCTGTTTGAACTGTTTGTTTGTTGTTTGTTTGTTGTTTTTCGTGTGGTTTCCGCTCGAGTTCGTCTTTCTTCTTCCCTTCCAGTATAATATAACAATAATAATAAGTTGTCAAAGGTTCAAGAATCAGAAACCTTTAAACAATAAAAACAGTTTGCATTTCACAGATCACAAACAATGTCTGACGCTCTTCCATTGCCATTCAGATACCAGTTCGCTGCCGGTGCGGTAGCAGGGATTTCAGAGATCCTGGTAATGTACCCACTAGACATGGTAAAGACCAGAATGCAGCTGCAGGTGAAGGGAGGATCGGGACCCGTGTATTCCGGGGTTTTGGACTGTCTGAAGCAAATCGTGGCCCGCGAAGGTGCCTCGCGTCTGTACAAGGGTATCTCGTCACCCGTGCTCATGGAAGCGCCCAAAAGAGCTACCAAGTTCGCCTGCAACGATGAATTCCAAAAACTGTACAAGCGCGAGTTTGGCGTGGATAAACTCACGCAGTCGCTCAGCGTGCTGAGTGGTGCGTCTGCCGGGTGCTGCGAGGCGTTCGTCGTGGTTCCGTTCGAGCTGGTCAAAATCCGGCTCCAGGACGTGAGCTCCAGCTACAACGGACCTATCGACGTTGTTCGCAAGATCGTAGCCCAGGAAGGTGTGCTGGCCATGTACAATGGGCTGGAGTCTACATTGTGGCGTCACGGTGTCTGGAACGCCGGTTATTTTGGTGTTATTTTCCAAGTGCGCTCGCTTTTGCCCCCAGCCCAAAGCAAGTCCCAACAAACCGGTAACGACCTGATCGCAGGTACCATCGGTGGTACTTTCGGTTCTTTGCTAAGTACACCTTTCGATGTGGTCAAATCACGGGTGCAGAACACTGCTATCGTTGCTGGTGAAGCTCGTAAATACAACTGGTCGTGGCCATCGCTGTTCACCATCTACAGGGAAGAAGGTTTTGCTGCTTTGTACAAGGGTTTCGTGCCCAAGGTTCTAAGACTTGGACCGGGCGGCGGTATCTTGTTGGTGGTGTTCACGGGTGTGATGGACTTTTTCAGAGACTACCACTACAAACGTTGATCGAGGGCTTTAGGTCCGCTAAAACTCAGCCTAGACTGAAAGCACGGTAGGTAGCAGTTTGTCTCATGTATTCACAATTTATTCAATTGAATAGTAGCATAGCTGGGAAATTTGAAAATCCAAGAAATCCTATTATTTGGAAACTTCATTTTGAACCCCATCAAACATTGTTCAGCGATGCAACAGCACGAGAATCATCTAGGGTCTACAGTACTACGTCCTTCAAGAGCATAAATATAAACAAAGAAAAAAGATAAAAAAAGAATAACTGGTTTGTACGTTCTACCGGCCCTCGCAGGTCGTTTTGCGCGCATCCAAGAGGACTTGCAACCGACCCACAAAAGAGCGCTGAGATGAACGAGATGATCTCTCCGATGGACTTGACGCTAGAATTACGCCATGATCTCCGAAGAGGGCATACTAGCAACACGGTTTTATAGTCCTGGTTTGTATAATCCGCACGATTATTGGTTTTTATAAGAAAATGGTATAAAATCAAGAAGATGGTGTCCTGAATTTCTTGCGCCTTTTATACTTTTTTTAGACCAAAGGTTACCCGGACGGGACTTCATAAGGTTATTTAACAATTATTGATTAAAGGGCACCTTTAGTTAAATCTAGAATTGTAGTGAAACATTCAACATCTAAAGCATAAGCCATCAGTCAAAGCTTAGCAATGGCAGCGTCGGAAGGGCTGGCAAGTCATGCGGTTCAAGACCGAACTGTTGTGGTTCGTTTCGCGTTGGAAGAAATGGAAGACCTGCCCTTGAACGTGAGTAATGTGGATCTGGAAACGGTAACGGTGCCATGGTTGAGACGCATGTGTAGACAGCTGCGGGGCCGCTACACGCACAACAAGCGTCTCAGATTCATCAGAAATGGTCGCTTTCTCACTGGACACACGGATTTGCAGCTGAGACGTTATTTCGAAAGCAACGAAGAGCCGGTTTTCTACGTGCAATGCATGGTGGGTCAAGAAATGACACCTGAAGAGGCATCCAATGAAGATTCGCTGGACGAAACTCAGCCTAACGCGGAAGGGGTCACAGCTCAGGCCATAGGGTTCGATCGATTACGATCAGTTGGATTCAGTGACGAAGAAATCGAGCTTCTGCGACAGCGATTCCAGAGCACCTACGGAGACCTTGAAAGTCTCACACGAACTTCAGATGGGCCCCAGGATATCCGCCAGCTTGAAGAGCAATGGATGGAGACAGGGGCTAACGACGACACTTCACAAATGGGGGCCGTGGGTATCGCCAATTACAAACACAATGCGGACCTGCTGATAGGGCTGGTAGTAGGGTTTGTGCTTGGCGTGGCGAGTTTTCTACTGATGACGCAGGACGGCCTGTTCAACAAGCGGCAGAAAATGGCCATTGTAGGGGGATTAATCATAAACGTGTGTTTCGGGCTCACGCTGGGGTTTTCAAGGGGATAGCACTATTTACAAGCATTTTTATCGAGGATATGTACAAGAATGAGAACTCAGAGTTTTGGACATCAATTCAGCCAAAGACAATAACGGTAGCGGACGCTACTCTTGCTTACCGTGACTGTTGTTTTGGAAAACTTGGTCTAGCAAATGCTCTATAGGTTTATCGAAAAGGTATGGCAGAACAGGAACCACACTCAAACCGAGAGCTATTGGACCCCACGTTCTCAAAGCCGCATTTTTTGGAAACTGCTTGTTGAACCACGTTCCCGAATATTTCACTGTGCTATGAATCGTGAACGCAGGCAAACCCATTGACGCCACGCTCTGAAATATCATTCTCTCGAGCCCCACCATCTTCCAGTCTGGTAAGTGGGCCAGTTCGCCGCTTTCCACCAGTTTGGGGTCTGCAGCTGGGATTTCGTCCCATGGTTTCAAGCCAGCTCTGTATCTGCCTTCCTTTCTCAATTTGGCAACCCAGGAGGTGTAGGAGACGTCTCCCAAGATGTAAGCCCACGAAATGCCGTAACCGAGCTTCACAAACACTGGGGAAAACACAGGACGGAACGATTCGCCCACATCGGAGGTGTAAGCAACGTATCTGTGCGATGCCATTGCAATAGTTCTCAACCTACTTGCGTAAGCTGCGTAACGGACATTGGAGTCAGTGCTATCTGGGGCTGGGGCTTCCTCGTATGAGGCCTCGGTGACTGAGGTGCTGGTAGAGCTCATCGAAATGTAGGGAATCTGAATATGGATTGGGTTCGTGAAGGTTGTATTATCGGGTGTAGAATATCTAAATTCTCAGATCGCCAATGCTGTTATATAAGCTGTAGCTTGATGGCGGGCACATAGTTGTCGTACACGGTGATGTGGTTGAGATAGCCTTTCGATCATTCCGAGTAGAATGCTTTTAAGAGCGATAGAAGTAATTCTAATTTGTGGTCACAATTGCAAGATTTTTTGCATTGAAGTGTGAGAGCAGCTTCATTTTTGAAGCAAATTATAGAGGTTTTTTTTTTCTTGGCGTGCTAAAAAGTCCGGGATTTTGCCTTGGTTAAGAGACGGATATTGCAGGTGCTTGGATGAATACGTTCCAGGAAATTATCACACGTCTGTGGAAACAACACGACGGAATTCTAACATATTGAATCTTTTTGTCGCTCTTGGATTTTCCTGTCGTCAAGTTGTTATTGATGATGTTCTATATTGAGGGTCACGTGACACCAGTTGTCGCACTAAAAGGAAGAGATATCAACCTTTCTCTCCATTGGACACGACTGCATTGAAAGAGTTGTCCCTTGAGTTTGAGAATTGTTATACTGTTTTGTACTCCATTTTTGAAGATCGGCTTTAATTCACGCCTAAAACCGCAAGCTGCAAAACTCTCTCATTTGTCTAGCACAATATTCGTTAGTATACAGTTTATGTGATGATGTGAGGCGAAAGCGTCTCCTTTGTTTTATGCTAAATGTTCGTCGTGTGCGGACTTGAACCGAAGCTGGATCGAGCACTTCGCAGCCTAACAGAAACCTGTTAACACTACCCTCATCACTTTTTGGGATCAGGAAATCTTTGATTTTGCCACTTCTACTCAGCGACGGATCAAAAGGTAGGCGTTTTCCTGCTTCAAGTTGCTGAGACCACGGTAGTTTCCCTCCAAACGCATCAGCAGACCTCCGAATGAGTAGTGCACGGCAATCAGATCTTTTTTGCCAGCCACTTCTTCGAATCTGTACGCCGTTCCGTACATCACGTAGTCGTAGTCGTCTGCTAGAGATCTCTCACCCGGTTGTGGTGCTCTCCAAGAGCTTCCCTGGACTGGCTCGGCGCCATCGAGCAATAGAGTAGACGAAAGCATCACTGTTAGCGTGTCATTGACGCGGACCGGGAAAAGTTCCGTGTTGATATCTAGAGTGAGCTGGAATTCCTGGGAAGTGGAATGCGACTCAATTCGCGATACCTTGTTGTACCGACCCTGGTCCACTTCCGTGACCTGGAAAATATCGTCAAAAAGTGTGGTGGACATGAAACTTCGAGTATTCAAAAACTGATGCGAATTGAAACCTGGAGAGTATCCAAAGCTTGTAGCTGCTGCTGCCGTTGCGTCTCTAAGATAGTATTTTAGCTCATCTTGAGCTGGCTCATCTCTCTCTCTCTCTTTACAGTGATAATTACTTGATTTCCAGTAAAATTTTCAAAAGATGCTTTGATACGACAAAGCTGGAGACCTCACGTGCTTATCACGTTTGTTGATGAGTGGATAAATCAACAGGCGAGAAATGAGCACTTATTCTTCTTGGCAGACTCTTAAAGAGCCATTTTTCAGCTTGTTCTGTGGTCCCAGCTCGATACCCCCAAGAAAATAACCGTAGTTTCGCAGTTCATTTTCGCTGCTAGATTTTTGTTTCGTAAACGGAATAAATTATACACATACCTTGCAATACCTACATACACCCCCATGCCTCACACCGTGCCATATATGTATGGCCACATTTTTTGTTTTTTCGATTTTTGGCCTCCCCACCCCCTTATTTAAGAACGGTTGTCTTTCTCTTGGATCTGTAGTCCTTGATGGCCGCTTTGATGGCGTCCTCAGCCAACATACTGCAATGCAGCTTCACTGGGGGGAGACTGAGCTCTTTGGCGATTTCTGTGTTTTTGATCTGCGAAGCCACGTCCAGGGTCTTACCACGCACCAGCTCTGTCATGTACGAGCTGGAAGCGATGGCCGACCCGCAACCGAAAGTCTTGAATTTGACGTTTTCAATCACACCCGTGTCGTCGTTGACCTGAATCTGCAGTTTCATGACATCACCGCACGCTGGAGCCCCCACAAGCCCGGTTCCCACGTTCGACAGCTTTTTGTCCAACGATCCGATGTTTCTGGGGTTGGTATAATGATCGATGACTCTTGGATGGTACGACCTCTTTGCGATCGTTGGAGCGGCCAAAGATGCCAATTTCATGGCCGGATTTTGAACCAAAGAGCCCCGGGGTACTAGTGTTCTCAACATGCTATTGTGTGATGGGTTATGAAAGTCTAAAGTCACTTATCTTGTCAGTACTTTGTGTACTTTTTCTTGATTTTAAAGTGGTTGATGAGAAACAGGGTTTTTTCAGAAGTTAGATATTTTTTTGTAGGTCTAATATTACAGCCTAATATATATATACTTATTAATATTATCTTGAAAAACTATAGACAATGGACTAGACCGATGAAGACGATGTGATGACGACACACAGTCAACACTGAATGACTTTCAAAATTTGGGTGCGTTTTTTAAAAGGATTCGCTGAATTTATCGAGTTAAATTACAACCGTGTCCGTGGTTGAATTCTCGGGTGGAATAACAGGCCACGGACTTTAAATCGTGATTTGTTCTTGTGATTATCGGCCAATGTTGCGTAGATGGCCGGCTTTGTAGCGATCCGGAACACATTTCGTCATTGATGGCTAATTTTTGAGTATTTTCTGATGTCTTTAGGAGGTTATTTCCGAGCATTCCGTAGTCGGACATTACCGGACGGATATCGTGATAAGAGTGAGAATTTCTTGCATGTGAGAGCAGACCAGGACTTCGGTGATACAGGAGAACGAACGGGGGTCTGAAAAAAGAGGATAAGGTGAAACCAAACGTGAAGGAAATAATGCTGTTCCTCTTGCTTTGCAGCGGTGAAGAATAGGAGACGAAAAGAGAGATGACAGTTTATGGGTGCGATTTTGTTGGAAGACATTGTCACTATATACGTATGTGACACCACTGGTGGTTATATGATAGAAGACGATGACTGGGAAGTGTACAAGGTTCGTGTTGGGTGGGCGGAGAGCAGTTGGAACCGCTTATTTTGTGCCTTCCTGACGTTCAAGTCTAAATGGGGTAAATATGTTTGTTTTAAGTAATGTGGGTGGTCTTTCATTGTGAGAATTGCGTATCTTGAGCTGAATCAGTTATATCTAGCTCTTTTCAATGATATAATTTATACTACAGACGGAGTTGTAAAGGTCTTAGTTACCGAGGTGTATTGTGGGTAAAATGAAATGTGTCACTCTGTACTACTGTGACCACACACCCAAGTATTGTTCCCGTCGAACGTCAAACGGGCTGGAAAGGGGCTCAAAAAGCGTTGTTCAGATTCGACAAAACAGCTCCTTGCATTCCAGTCTATATTTTACAAATAAGTCGTTTTCTTCTCCCTCAGTCATCAGTAGAAATCCCAAAAAACAAAACTGCTCTCATCGCTCTAAAATTTCTTACCTTACAAGCTAGAAATACACACTCTTCTTCAAAAATAATCCGTTGGCAAACATCTCCAATTTACCCACATATTTATTGTTTCCAAGACCACTTCTTAGTATCCACAATAATTGCTGACATGCTCAAACTATTGAACTATTAAAATACCTTCCAAATTATCGTTTCAACTTCAAAATTAAGAAAATTTTAGAACTTTGGACTCTTTCGAATCCTTATCATTTGCTAAGCTCTGTAATTTTAATTTTGCTTTCTCAAAAGCTTTGCTTTCTCTGTTGTTCTCGCTTTATTTTGAAATCTCTGTACAGGCGGTGAAATTAAGTCTTTGAATTAATTCATCTACCGTTCCGACCACTGAAAACCTTTATCAACCCGAAGACTTTTAAATCCCAAAACCCAAGCCAATCCGGACCCATTAGTGCGGCAACCCGCTACTGATCGCTAGAGCTAACGATGGGCAACTTTTTGGATGTAGACGTGGAGGTAGACTGGCTTTACAAGGGCAAGAGACGGCCAAAAACGCAACCGGAAGTTGTGCGTAGAGAACGGTCATCTTCGGTGTCCAATGGGTCTTTGGGCCGAGTGGCCACCAGAACAGAGTCTCAGGAGCCCGAGGAACCCGAGAAACCTAAGCAAACGAAGCCAGAACGGCCAGTGCACGAAGCCAAGAGAGCTGGAAGCTCCGCAGCAGGAATTGCAACTGCCAAGATTCCGCAACGGTCGAGTTCGATCAACGAAACTAGTGGAAAATCGAAAAAATCATTGTTCGGATCGCTCTTTAGACGCAACAGTCAGGGATCTGGCGAAGCTCCCTCTATTCCGATTCCGCTACCCAAAGTTCGGTCCCATACCGGATCTGCTGCTGCCACAAATCAAAACTCGGGACAGGAAGCTGCTCCATCAATGCATGCAGCTGTTTCACAGTTTTTGAAGGAACCCTCATCTCCGGAAGTTTCGGATCCAGCCCCTATTCATGATGAAAAAGTGGTTCTAGACAGGAGCCAGCAGAAGAAATCAATTCCTATCAACACACTCTCCAAGCTACCTCTCAAGAGAGTAACTTTTGCCGTTGACCGTTTTGGAATGGATCCACCACAGCAAATTCCAAGCCGTAAGCCCAAAAAGGGCGACGTCTTGGTGCCTCAGGACATGATATGCCCCACTCCGTCAATCTCCGTTGGCATAACCAACACGCAAGGCAGTGTAGAGCAAGCTACTTCCCCACACAATGAACAATCGAAAGAATACAAACTGGCAATGGAATATCATCGTAGGGCTTTGAAAGAATCGGAAAAACATCAGCAAGAAGCACATTATGCCGCCAGACGCATAGCTCACGAAGTACAAAACTTCAAGATCAAAAATGCTGCAGCGTCTTCCAATGTTCAGAACTCCGGAAATGTGGCTGCTGAACAGACAGCAAGCAACAACGACGGGCTTGGCACGACTGCTAACACTACTCCGATTGATGACCGAATCAAAAATTTAGAGATTGATAAACCTATCCACAAGCATGAGAATTTCTTTGATCATGACACTCAAAACTTGACGTCAGCCTCAGAAAAACTCACTTTAGACAAGACATACACCCGTTGCTGTCATCTGCGAGAGATTTTACCCATTCCCTCTACTTTGAAGCAGGTTAAGGACAAGACAGCACCCCTCCAAACTTTGAAGTTTTTGAACCCGAGACCCACGCTGATTGACATTCTGTCTTTCTGTGACTTTATCGCCATTACTCCAGTGCACAACGTCATCTTTGACAACGTCAACCTTACGCAGGAGATGTTGAAAATTGTCATCAGCTCTCTAGTCAATAGCTCCTTCATCGAGAAACTAGGACTTAGAAATGTCACATTTAATGCTGACAGCTGGAAGCTGCTGTGCAAGTTTCTGCTCGAAAATAAATCCCTTATGAAGCTGGATATTTCTCACACTAAAGTCAAAACAGACCTTTCCAAAGAACTTTATCGGGCCAATATGGATTGGAACCTTTTCATTGATGTCCTGCGAAGCCGTAAAGGGAAGACACTCGACGAATTACTTGTGAACGGTGTCAAATTTGACAACACAGGAACTTTTATCAATCTACTCAACACCTTTGCATCTGTTGGACAACAAGCAAAGAAACGACTTGGAATTGCACAATCTGAGATCACTGGAGAACAGATCAAGTTTCTCTTGCCATGGGTCAGCGAAAATAACATTGAGGGTGTCGACTTGGGATTCAATGACCTCAGCCAAATTGTCAAACCCTTGGTGGGGAAACTTACCTCACTTCCATATGATAACATGCATTATTTCACTCTTAACAGTACCAATATTGCATCTCCTTATGATGCTGCTTTGGTGTTGCGAGCGTTATCGAAATTACCTAACCTCTATTTCCTCGATTTGAGCAACTTACCCCAAATTTTCCCGGATATCTTCCCTTACCTCAACAAGTATTTACCTCGCATGCCCAAGCTAAAGCGACTGCATCTCGATTCCAACGAGTTCACAGCCAGAGAGGTCATCATGGTGACAACAGTTCTTTCCAAATGTAAAGAGCTTCTTCACATTTCGCTCATGAATATCCCAGAGGACTCCTTCACAACAACGATGAGCGCTAATGTCTACGACTGTGTGCGCCAGAGTCCAAAACTCACACACCTGGACATTGCTTATGGCAATATGCCCGAAGAAATTTCATCCCGTATAGCGCTCTTCCTCATGCGTAGACTACACAGAGACTTCGAGCTTGACGACTTAGCCAGTCAAGACGATTTGCTATTTGACGGTACTCTACTCTCTGAGACTGCTGGTAATATTTTCGAAAAACTGAACACTTATGAAGATGCCGACACTGATACCACTAGGAGGTATCTACTCAAAAAATACTGGGAACGATTCAATCGTGTTCATGACAATGTTCAGCGCACAATCGATGAATTATTTGAGAAGAGAAGTGCTGGTGAGCTCAACCTTCAGGGCAAGGAAAACTTACTGCGGCTTTTATTCCTGGAAAACAATCTATCGCATATTTTGAGCATTCTTAAGACGTATCCGCAAGTGGCAAACATTGCGGGTCTCGATTCCAGTGCAAAGCAATCAACATTTGACAATGATGTTAACAATTTGCGGGACGTTGAGCCTCCTGCTCATACAAGACCTCACTTGATGGCAACCGAATCCGGACAAACTATCGATTTAACCACGGGTAAAGCCATACTGGTAAAGCAACCTTCTCATGTTGCGCTGGTCAGTAAGAAACAAGAGGAGGAAGAAGGTGAATTCCACAAATGGGGTTTTTTCGTTCAGCAACAAAACTCTATTTATCCTGATCATCAGGTTAGAACCACCGTTGAGGACCCGGTAGGAAAGAGGCCAGAAAGTTCTTCGTCCACGGAATCACCCAAGTCGTCACAACCTTCCACAGCAACGCAGGCCTCGCATAGCTTGATTGCCAAGATCCCATCTGGAACAGAGCTTCGGGATGCCATCATGCGCGCCAAAGGTATTGACTCCATTGAAGAGTTGATTGAAAATGTCAGCGGAAATCGTGAAACGCTGGATAAGATCTACGGAGTTCCACTCCATCCAATGCCACAGTCAGTATCCGAAGCTGGGGCTAACCGGAAGTTGCCGCTCTCTCAGTTGATGAGGTCGGAATCCAATACATCGATGTCATCGTCGGGATCTGGCGACGAGGAGAAGGTTGATGAAACATACGACAAGTTGCTCAACAGTTTGAGTAAAGTACGGTCTAATAAATAAGTATTTAAGGTGGAGACTATAAAAAAAGGGTTCGAGACCTAGACTGGATTAAGCCTTATCGTAACCAGCTTCAAAGGCTTCTCCAAGCGTAATTCCCAACGTAAAGAGGTGAACTGTCCTTTTTTTAACGAATAACCGCTTGCAGAATGCGCTGATATTCGCTATTGTAAAATACAGGATTGGCCTTTGAAAGCCGCCACAAACCAATAAAGCCCATACCTGTGAGGCCAAGAATCAAAGTTGACATGCTTTTTCTCATGCTCAAACGCCTAACTCGCGCAAATTGGCACAAACCTGCACCGAAATGATAAGTTGCTGTCCATATGAGCGCCGATAATGGAATGATTCCAATCCACCACTTGACGAATTTGCTGTCATTCTGTAAGATCCACTTGACAAAATCAAAATCTATGTCAATCCCTTGCTGGCGTGGAACCTTTTTCATGAGATATGTGTGGTAAAAGATTGCAGGCGCCAGGATATACCCTGTGAGAACTTGTGGGTTATATGACAATTGCTTTGTTACCCCGATGAAATAACCAGAAAGACCGCCTACAAGGCCTATCTCACGCTGAGATTCGCGCTCTAGAGAGTCCTGCACCCTAGTTTTGGCTCTTTTCGGTCTATTCCAGTTTGCTGCCATACTCCACAGTCTGAGGGCCAATCCGCTAGCCAAGTGAGCTGCTACAGAAACACTCAAAAGAGTTGACATAAAGCCCGGCAAAAGCTCCCGCACCATCATGAGCACATCATTAGGAGCTCCCTCGGGTGATATTGCTGGTACTATCAGCGTATTGATGGCGTGCAAAGGAAAATATACAGCAAAAGGCCAGATGGAGTGTTTTTGAATTTTCCTCAATGAAATCCTCAAAATTCTCGGATTGAGCCAGTTTAAAAGGCCACTGGGTTTCTCGATGCCCTCTACAGGTCGATAGTGAGCCACAGGCTCGGGATCAAGCTCCTTTAACTCCATTTCGAGGGTCAACTACCCTGGCCAAATGCAAAAGGTCTGAAATTCATTACAGACCTGTAGATCAATGTACGTGGTGTCCTGCTGATACCGGTGTTTTCTGAGTTATCACATTCGTATGGGGTGACTTTTGTATTGAATACGAATTTTTAAAGATTTGCAGTTGATTCTCGGGATGTTTTTTTTCTCAAGCTTTTTGGGTCTTTCATGGTTTTTCTGGAGCACTTGAACGTGCTTTGGCTGAGGATTTGACACCTGTGGATTTGAATTCCAGCTACAAATTGAATTGTTCACGTGACTGGTGATAATGTCAGATTATTTAAATAACCACTATAAGTGAAAATAGAACTTTGATTCTTGAATGTTTTACACCTTGAAGGTATAGTCTAAAGAAAGACTATTGACCTTGTAGCCTCCTCATAAGCAGCTGATGATTTTCCAGTGCAGACGGTCTTTTTTTTAAACTTCAATCCAATGAAAAGTAATTTTTGATCATTTTCGACACTAGATGATAGTTCATGATTGATGTTGAATCGCTTAATGACAATGCGTACAGCAAAATTCATGTTTTCATTAGACCATTAAAGATGGTGATCGGAACGCGGAAGAGGAATCCGCCTTTTTCGATATCGTCACTTTTACATCCGCTGTCGCTGACGCCGATCATCTGATCCATATATTCTTTCTTTCCCACGCTGACTTCAAATGTTGCAAGTTTGTCGTGTTATTGCTTGACCTCTCAATCTATGAAATTCTGTCTGTTTTCCCTAGTTTTATGTGCGGTATGGAAAATTCTCGAGGAGTGGATCGTGCCTATCCCGCTTTGTGGGAGACCGAATTAGCTCAGCAAACAGTCCTCAGAAGTATTATCCCATTTCAGATTCTCACTGCTGCTCAACAAGATATCTACAATAAATACCAACGTCAATAGAATACCAATAGGAATCTAAGTATCTTATTCTTGGCACCTGAACTCTTTTATAACAGTAATGACATAGCTGTCATGATATGTTAATGGTGACATATAGTCACGTGATCGAAGTTCAAGTCTCTCATTATTTCACCAATTTGAGCATTTTGACCTCCTGACCTTGCAATTTGCACTGATACTAATCTTATATCTTTTTCCGGTGTCCTTTGCTATCCAAAAGCTCATCGAACTCACGAAAAATAATGCTGAGCTCTCAATCGAAAAGATCTGAGCCATACATTTCCGAGTTTATTCATCCACCTTTGGTCTCAACCCAGAACCTTAAATATTATGGAACAAGTCTCCATAATTAGCTAGGTAACTATAAAGATGGATAACAGGATTTGTAAACCATCAAAAGCTGAATAGCCTTTTCCAATTCAAGTATCATGTTGTACGAAGCCCATCTCGAAATTTCCTGTCATCTTACCATAAGATATCAGAACTTAGGCGTCTATCCATTTATCAACCACATAAAGCTTCTACTATAACGCGTCCATTCGATCCTGTCTGCTCCAATGGTGGCCCTTCCAGATTGGTGTCCAACATACAGTCCTCGAAAGAAAGACGCTGATACTGGTGAAGAAGTGTTCTGCATCTGTAAAAAACCCGATTCTGGGGAACTAATGGTGGGATGCGATGGATGCGATGATTGGTTCCACTTCTCGTGTTTGAAGGTGCCCAAAGAGTACAACGAGCTGGTCTTCTCGTTCTACTGTCCGTATTGTCAAGCCGGAATTATGGGTCCAGGAGCCCATGATGGGAAATTGCCCAAAACGTTGTGGAGACGGAAATGTAGGGTCCTGGAGTGTTTCAAATCAATTGCAGACAATAGCAAGTACTGCAGTGAGGAACACGCTCTAGCTTTTATGGAAAAACTGGTGCAACGTGTGGAAATCCCTGGCCAAGATCCTAACCTCGTGCTGCGACAAATGCTGCAGGAGCCCGATTTCGATCATTTTAAAAACTTGGGTCAACATGGTCTTCCCACGCCTTCAGAAGATCTAGCATCGAAACTTTTCTCCAGCGATAGCACGCTGCAGGATCTGGAGGCCCAGCTGCGTGAACTGCGAGGAGGAATCAAAGGTGATGTTGAAACGCAAATAGACCAGCTCACACAGTATTCACAGTGGGTTCGAACAGCCAATGATCTTCTGTTCGGTAATGGTACGCAAGAAAACGCCAACGATGACTCCACAGCCGGTTCCAAGACTTCACGAACGCGGAAACGCAAACAAACGATTAAGCGGAAAGCCATATGTGGCTACAGCAGCGAATTGGTGGCGCCCTGTTCTGCGGAGGAATTCGTGGAAGACTTTAGACAAATGGACTCTGAGCCTACTGAATTCAAGGGCGTCTGCTGCAAACTGCGGTGTATCAGACATTCGGACTGGGCATCCACGCGTGAGAGCAGCTTGCAATTCCAGCTGGAGTCCTTGCAATCGTCAGAGCAACGTCTACCGCTATTGATCAAGATTCGCCAGGACCAGCTCAAAATGCAATTTTACAAACAGATCACAAAGGTGTGACAATGAAGTTGGCCACCCACTAATAAAAAATACCTTTTTCCATGGGGAAAACAAATCCTGAAAGCACAGAGTATAAACCGTTGCTGCCTTGTAGCATTATCCGTTTCTGCTATGCTTGAGAGCGCGTCTATGGATAACGTACTCATCAGAGTACTCAGCACCTCGTCCAAAACGGGTAACACCACTGCCGATCGTCGAATTATTGAATATCGACTGATTTGTTCGTTTACCTCGAGAGTCGATCTATAAAGGGACGTTGAACAACTTGATCTTGATCGAATTTAAAATTGGTGGTCGTCAACCGGCAATTCGAAAAACATGGTTGGTATGTTGTTATAACGTTTTTGGGACTATTGGACTCCGAATGTCGAAGGATACATATTAACAGGCCATGGAATTGATGATGCACAGGCGAAAAGATCAATAAGATACGGAACGAAGAGTTCAAGATATGGAAGAAAGCAGTACCTTCCCTTTACCAGCACATCTCGACCTTCAAACCTCCATATACCACACTTTTTGAAAGCGTGGAAAAATTTCCAAAGGCTGTAGCTTTTACGCATAAGATAGCTCCAAACAAGGAAGCTGGTACTATGATAGCATCGTTGTTGTGCTCTCAAGGTGGTGATATTTACGAGGTTGAATTTCAACTGCCCTTGGGATTATACACATCGGACGACGATTTGAAGGACCCAAAATATGGTACTGCCTTCGCTGCTATCGCCAGTATTGGCAAGATGGAACCCAAGTGGACATACCAGGGCCAAACGGTAACCAAGATTGAGTATGTTGGGGGCTCTTATGCGGATGCAGTTGTGATGACCTCCAATGGGTCGTTGGCGTGGTTCAAGGAGGATTGTAAGGTGCCTGTCTTCGTTATGGAGGAGCTGGTTGGCGTTTCAACCAGCTTTTCACAGATTCACAACCAAGAGCAATCCCGCAGTGTGAAAACCGACTTTGCGGTTTCTGAAGATGTCGAAACTTTAGTCAAGTCGCAACCAAGCATGGCCTCAGGTCAGGAACAAGATCGTAGTTTACTCAAGGTTGTTGACAACGCACAAAACCCGGGCCAGCTTGTTCGGGCTATCCCCATTTCAAGCACTTCTTTCACCCAGGTCATACGATTTCTCGACAATCACCTTTTTTGCACTTGTTCCGATGATAGCACTGTCAGATTTTACGATTTAAGAGGAAATGGGGAGCCACTCTGGTCGATGGCTGATCCTCACGATGGAAAGCTTCTTTCTTTGGATGTTTCTCCAATGATAGAGAGTCTTTTCATGACTGGATCCGAGACCGGTGTCTTGAAGCTGTGGGATTTGAGAACTATAATCGCGTGCTTGGAAAATAAAGAGGAACCTGTGGAAATAGCAAAGCTTTTCCACTCTGCCGCAGATCCTGTGGTTGACGTAAAATTCGGGATCTCTTCCCCAACGGAAATCCTCTCTGTCGGTGGCTCTGGTAATGTTTACCACTGGGATTTGGAGCCTTTGTTCTCGCAGGAAGCTGCAGAAGCTGAGGATCTTGCCGATGCAGAAGAGTTGCAGCAACAATGTCTGAAATTTATTCACACAGGAGGTGGAAGGAGACAGACGGAGTTTTACAACCAGCGCGAAACTGTTGCCTGGCACCCACTCATCAGCGGTCTTGTGGGGTGCGTTGACCCTGATGGCCTTTTGACCGTATACAAAGGTTTCTATGGAAAAGAGGATAACTCGGGCGCTGCTAGTGAAAATGAAGCTGACGTCTAATTTTGAAATGGTTGCGATTAAAGTAAGACGTTGCAGATCCTTGGGTGTTTGCAATTATGAGGGTCGGGTCGAAATTGGTATTGACGAGTTCTAAGACTAAAAAGAGCTCTTAAAAGTGAAGGAAATGTATAAAACACGGAACAAAACTTGTCGGAGCCGTTTGACGGAAACCTAAGTTATGTAGTGTACGTAAATTATTGGAGAGGAGATACCCATTGGTGTACACCTAAATTGATGAGAACCCTACGAACAAGTAAAATCAAACAACTTGTTAGAAAACCTGTCAGTGCTTCATTATGTTCAGCAGACGAAGCTTTGATTGGTTTGTTTAATGTGTGTTTGATCTGGTAGCCTTACTGTTCCTGTTTAAATGTCTTGATTTCCCTCAAATACATAAACACAGGTTAACAAACCTAACACTTCCAAACAAAACAAAATTATACGATAAGTCTAACTTCTACATTTAAAATACACGCCTTACGATTCAAATTTATCTACCACTTCAATGCATTTTCTGGGGTCGTTAGATGCCAACTCAAAGATATGCTGTCATCGGCAGAAGCGTGAAATCTGAACGACGTATCAACAACAACAACAACAACACCAACAAGAGAACGTGAAAGCTGTGCAGTCAAAAATCACCTAAAACATCTATCAAGAACGAAAGGCCATCACCGGCTTATAGTATCAAAACTCTTAAGAAATCACACCAAATGATATTTTACTGTCATCTTGAATAAGTAGCCTTTCAAGCCACTTAGCGACTTGCAATCTTGAAACTTAAAAATTGCAGCAACCATGTCAGCAGAATAAATAACTCTCGATTACACCGCTGATTAGCTCCTCATGATGAGAAACGTCCATGGTTTCGCAAGCTTGTCGAACATCACCTACTTTATTCACTGTCACCACACTATACGTTTTTCATGAAATTTAACCAGATTTATAAGATGTTAAGTTAAAATGCCCTCTGCTCCAGTTCTGCAAACTTCTTGAGAAAGCTAACAAGCATTCAATTCGGCTAACTGATCAATCCCATCTCTGAATATTCTCAGCGACTGGTTTCGTGTATATAAGTAAATGGAACGTCGAGTCCGCAAAGCTGCGAGTTTTGAGTGCAACAACTTACTTTTATAAAGACACTACTAATATAGAAGAAGACTTTACAGTAACCACATCTTGCGGTTTGCAGGGAGCAGCGATAAAGTTCAATAAATCCAAAAAGCCATGGCGTCTATGTTTCGGCCACCAGAATCAGCAAGGAGCAAATCCAAATCTCCCAAACTGACTTTGCCGTCATCTCTCAAAAATTCTTCTGGTGAGATGCCGACTCCTGCATTGGGGTCGATTTCCAGCGCGGCCACGCCAAACTCGTCGTCCTCTTCACAAACACTGACATTTCCAAAATCGGAAAAGTCGTCATCATCTTCCTCCATCAACACACTGAAAAAACGACCGGCACCGCCGCCCATTCCATCTCTGGCTATTCCAACGAGCGCTGGCGCAGGAACACCAGAACATGGCTCTGTCACCGACTCACTCACAAGATTGAGGCTCGAAGATTTAGAGAATAAACATCCGGCAGGGACACCTGGAAGGGAAAGAGCGGGCGGTATGGCCGGATCGATATCGCCAGCAGCGGGAAGTGCCTTCGCAGATGTAGACACGCTAGACGAGGAAACATGGCAATCGGGGGCTGTCAAGGATGATATCATTACTATGGGAGTACTGGGAGAAGGTGCTGGTGGGTCAGTAACAAAATGCAGGCTCAAGTCTGGGTCTAAAATCTTTGCTTTAAAGACCATCACCACGGTGAATTGTGATCCAGAAACTCAGAAACAGGTTTTTCGCGAGCTACAATTCAACCGTAGCTGTAACTCTGAGTACATTGTGCGATATTACGGTATGTTCACAGCCTCAACTAGCTCGGCAATATACATTGCGATGGAGTACATGGGTGGTCGATCGCTAGATGCCATTTACAAGCATTTGTTGCAAAGAGGTGGTAGAATTGGGGAAAAAATCATAGGGAAAATCGCTGAGAGTGTCTTGAAGGGACTCTCGTATCTACAGGAGCGCAAGATCATACATCGAGACATTAAGCCTCAGAATATTCTTCTCAATGATATGGGGCAAGTCAAACTTTGCGATTTTGGCGTAAGCGGGGAAGCCGTCAATTCCCTAGCCACCACTTTCACAGGAACGTCGTTTTATATGGCTCCGGAGCGAATTCAAGGACAGCCCTATAGTGTGACCAGTGACGTTTGGTCCTTAGGGCTTACGTTGCTGGAAGTAGCCCAGGCGAAGTTTCCGTTCGATTCCGGTAAAATGGCCGCAAATATGCCACCAATCGAGCTGTTGATGTTGATTTTAACGTTTACGCCCGAACTCCGAGATGCACCTGAGCTCAATATCTCGTGGAGCAAATCTTTCAAGTCATTCATCCAATACTGTCTCAACAAGGAGCCCAGAGACAGACCCTCGCCACGACAAATGCTACAGCACCCTTGGATTGTGGGCCAGATGAAGAAATCCTGCAACATGCATAAATTTGTCCTCAAATGTTGGGAAGACGAAGAGTGATACGGCAAGGACAGTTTTTACCGTGGATGGCAATGGAAAACCGGGGGGGAGAAAAGTGAAAAAAAGAGATGAGCTTCAAACATACACAGAAGGGGTTATTATAAAGAATACTATGGGTCAGAACTCTACAAACACATTGAAGCATGTACGATAAAGAATCGCTTTTACATCATGAGAATCAAGATAGGAACAGCAAACAAATCGATCACTGGCGAAGAGGTTAGATTGTGTAGAGTCATAATTCAGCCCTGACGTTTGTGGTATTGTGGACTTGATAAGTATAGGTGGTGGTGCTCGAGTAGTCGCGGTCAAATCAGATACCGCTAACCACGTGACCACCAACTAACTGACATAATCAATATATCATTACAGTCACGTGACACAAATCGATCTTGCTCACACCATGTGATCATCATTTGCCTTCAATGTCTTCTTCAATCACCATGAACGAGCCTTTTCAAATTTTCATAATTTCGTTGAAATAGAGAGAAACCCACTCTCAATGAGAAACAAGAAACTATTCGAGCTTTAACCTCTGAAAACACTGATTAGATCACGATCGAAGGACGACATCTAGAACCGTTTACGAGATGTTTGGTAGACTTGCTGTGAGAAACGGCGCTCCTCGTTATGCTATGCAAGGGTCCCCCCTTAGAGTTGCAGCTCTGGCTCCCCATTTTTCCAGAAATGCTGCCAGCACAAGATTCTATTCTGACGCCGGTAAGGACGCCAGTAACGAGTCTGGTACATCTTCGGGAAGTGCTGATGATGTGCCCGTGAGTGAGGAGCAACAGAAGATCAAGGAGCTACAGGAAAAACTTGTGGCTAAGGACAAGGAAAGTGCTGAATACAAGGACAGACTACTAAGGTCGGTTGCTGATTTCAGGAACTTGCAGGAAGTGACCAAAAAAGACGTTCAAAAGGCCAAGGACTTTGCGCTACAAAAGTTCGCCAAGGACCTTTTGGACTCTGTGGACAACTTTGGCCACGCTTTGAATGCCTTCAAGCCCGAAACTTTGAAGGAGTCTAACGAAATCGCCGAGTTGTACACCGGTGTCAAGATGACCCGTGATGTTTTCGAAAAGACCCTCAAGAAGCATGGGATTGAGAAACTCGACCCGCTAGGTGAGAATTTCGACCCCAACAAGCACGAGGCCACTTTCGAGCTTCCTGACCCCAAGAAGGAACCAGGCACCGTTTTCCATGTTCAGCAGATCGGTTTCACCCTCAACAACAGAGTTATCAGACCCGCTAAGGTCGGTATCGTGAAGGACCCTTCTAACTGAGCACTGAGAGACGACAAAATGAAGAAAATCAAACACACGAACGCACTTTGACGAACGTGTGAAGCTTGGTTTTTTAATGACCCAAAGGCCTCGTGTCTAGTATGCATATCTTGTATATAAATAATAGAAAGTATAACAAAACCATCGTGTATTTATCCGTTTTTTCTCCAGTGCCAGTGCCAGTGCCAGCGCCAGCGTCAGCGTCAGCGTTTTTGATTCCAGATATCTAAATTTGGTAGCAATCATCCTTCATGACAGTAAAGACCTCGTACCAAGATTCACGAGTGACAACTCGACTTGGAAGTCAGCCCAACCAAAACCACTTCAAAATGCATCAGAAATACAAAATAACGTTAAACAATTACAGCTATTAAACATAACGAGCACTGTAAGAAAAAGACCTAAAAAACGACAATGGAGTCTTTAACCCAATTGGTAAACCCACCCGATGACATCTTCGTAAGAGGTGACATATTTCGAGCAATTCTGAAACCAGGAAGCGTAAACAAAGCAGTTGTTGATCTTTCGAACACGGTTTGAAAGTGAACAAAATACGGTCAAGAAGAGCATTCCGACCCTTGAAAGTCCACATTATATAGCGCGGGCCTTTAGTTGGGCAGCAACAGCGCGAAACAGCGGCTGTGTTAGCTTTTAGGATTCTGCCAGGAGAGTTGTTTAAGTTCGATTGGTCTCAGCATCACCAAGACATCGTTACTTAACTTGCGAGCCAGTTTTTCGGCCTAGCTACAGTCAGAATTTATCACAGGTGTATTCAGGAAGTTACCCAACAGCCAAAAAGCCGAAAAAAAATCAACAAACGATGACTTCTGTTCCGCAGAGACACACCTACTACGGGGCACCATCGTCCGTGTACACTCAATCCCGCCATCTCTCTGCATTCGAATCCAGCACAAAACGCAAGCATGTTACATTCGGTCCGTATATTGTGGGATCCACCCTGGGAGAAGGTGAGTTTGGGAAGGTGAAAATGGGATGGTCTAAACACCCGGCATCGTCTTTGGACGTACCAAAACAGGTGGCCATCAAATTGGTCAGAAGAGACACGATCCCAAAAAACTCCGAAAAAGAGGTCAAAATTTACCGCGAAATTAACGCCCTGAAGCATTTGACCCACCCCAACATCGTGAAACTCGAAGAAGTCCTGCAAAACTCAAAGTACATCGGCATTGTGCTCGAGTATGCATCAGGCGGAGAATTTTATAAGTACATCCAGCGCAAAAGAAGACTCAAGGAAAGCGTAGCGTGCAGGCTTTTTGCGCAGCTAATCAGTGGGGTGTGCTACATGCACTCCAAGGGCTTGGTCCATCGAGATCTGAAGCTTGAAAACTTACTTCTAGACAAGCAAGAAAATCTGTTGATTACGGATTTTGGATTTGTGAACGAATTCAGTCCTGAAGATGAGCTTATGAAAACTTCGTGCGGATCGCCTTGTTATGCCGCTCCGGAACTAGTTGTAACCACCTGGCCATATCAGGCTCGAAAGGCAGACATATGGTCTTGTGGTGTCATCTTGTATGCAATGCTAGCAGGTTATCTGCCCTGGGATGACGATTCCGAAAACCCTGATGGTGATGACATTGGAAAGCTCTATCGTTATATTACAAAAACACCACTCAAATTCCCAGACTACATCAGTCCTGTACCAAGAGATCTCCTGCGAGAAACCTTGCAATCAGATCCCAAAAGAAGGTACGGAACGACCCAGATTTTGCAGCACAGATGGCTACGACCTCATCAAGCGTTTTTGAGCGTTCTGCCTGCGGAATGGGATCAAGTATCTAAGAATCAAGATGTTTTGAGGAGGCCGCCTTCAAAGAGGGATGGCGCAAATGCTTCGCGACCACGTTCTAATTGCTCGGTGTCATCATCCAACTCCAAAAACGAAAAGCGGAATTCACTCATTATGGACTCAACATTGTATTCACAGCCGGTACCGCCACAACAATCACAATCGCATGCCGTGGCGACGCCATCTTCTCCTTCTCCAAGGATGCGTCAGTCTCCGGTTAAGATAAATCGTCATAGCCGCAGCAATTCTGCTGCCTCGGTTGCACTGCAGGCTGTCGTTGATGCTGAGAAGGAATACCACGCAACACACACGAACCCACCTAGTTCAGCATCACTGTCAGCACTTCAGTTGGAAAACTCGCCTTCGAGCGGCCAAAATACCTCTCCTCGTCTTCACTCCCATGCTCCCAAGAAGCAAAGTCATGCAACCGTTTCTTCTTTGAAAGATAGTATTATAGTCGAGACAAGCCCTCTGAAGGGATCGTCGGCTCATGTTCTTTCACCTTTACAAATTGACCCAAACACTGGTCTCATACTTTCCCCCAAATCAGAGGGCCCAACAATTCCCCTCACGCATACCACTCATAAGACATCTCACACTACAGTTAACAAGACTCATAACCTTCCAGCTCACAGACGGCCAAGACCAACCTCCTACAATCCTACATCTTATACTGCATTCAACGATACTTCCTACGCAATTCCTGGCTTTACTGTCCCGGAAAAGAACAGCAACGAGAAGGGGTCAATCGAGAACCTCCTATCCATGGACAAGACATCTCAGCATACTTTACAGAAAGACTCACAGCGTCTGAGCCAAACATTTCTGGACATGCAGATAGTCGCAGGTGACCTGATCAAGACAGGTGACAACGGCGCTACTGCTGCCAAGAAGATTCACGACCAGGTCGAATACGCCGATCATAGAATGGATCTCATGAGGCAGCGAAGGCAAAGCCAAAGGTACAGTGCTGTCTATGATAAATTGTTCGGTGCTGTTCCTGAGCAGTCAGAAGTGCTGACTGACGAAGAGCCTATCAATTCAGAACCCAGCACTCCTATAGTGCAGGAGCTAAAGGTGAGCCAAGAGCCAATTAAGGGAAACAAGAAAAGATTCAGCATACTTTCGGGTTACTCGTCATACAATACATCTAAAACCAGCATAGAATCAGAACATGGGAAGGACAAAACTAAAATTACAGCTAACAACGAGGCGGAGCTCGAGGGACGCTCAACGAAAGCAAGTTCGAGAAGCAGCTCCGCAACTCATAATGTAAAGGATAAACGGGACGAGAAAAGAGAAATCTCCAACACGGATAAAACCAAAGCAGCCGAGGAAGTGAGCAAGGACTCGAGTTTATCTCAAAAGACGGAGTCGAGAGCGGACCAAATGGAGTCTCGAGAACAACAGTCAGCGACTCCACAGACCGTCAAGAGAAGCTCATCTTTGCGCAAGACGAGCAAGAACTCGACGAGACCCAATCGTGGCTCGGTGATGATCTCGTCAATATCGAGACTCGGAAGCTCCACAGACAGCGGCAGCAATAGGACTGGGAACAATGAGGCCAGACCTCGCGAGCAGTCGACGGCCAAGAAGGTCATTGACTTTTTCAAGCGCAGAAGCATGCGTCTTTAAATTAATCAATACGTAACGCATACATACCCATCATCAATTCAAACAAAACATGCGGGAAGCTTACAACATTATGGCGTCTGGTCCTTTTGAACCGTGCAGTGCAGTGCTGTGAATTGCAGTACACGGTGCGCTGCAGTGCACCAGATTTCACATTTCGGCTCAGAAACAATATACAGACATGCCCAAAACTTAAAATATTCCTTCTTAGGCTTGCGTTATAAAAGCGTATGGGTACTTATACAGAGGGGCTTTGTGTCGAGTGATGAAGTGCTATCAACATTTAGATGTTCGATGGGTACAAGAAGATTCTGACGGAAGCACCGAAAGTCTTGGCTGGCAAGTTGGATCTGAAAGTAGCTCTGACGACACCAGAGTTACCGTGAGTTCTGTTGATCTTACCCCAGATGACTCTGATCTTAGAGCCTCTGATCTCCTTGGAAGCTTTGTAGACGTAGGCGACACGCTTACCCAAGTAGAACTTAGCGTCTTCTGGGTTGGCAACGCCCTCGATCTTGACCAACGACACGTTGGGGTTGTTGGTCGACTTGGATCTTTGGTAGGACAAGTGCTTACCTTTGACGTACACTGTGGAGGATCTTGTTAGTAGCTGTTGTGGGTTGAAAGTCGTTTGTTTGGGATGCGGTGGTGGAAGAAGCTGAGGAGAGACTTTGGAAAGTTTGGCATCAGACTGGAAACATGTCTTACTGGAAACAAATTGGAAACAAACTGGAAACATCTTTTTCAAAGACATTGGAAAACGACCTGGACACGATAATTCGCGAGCGCATGATTGATCTTCCACTCAATGCGCATATTCCGAGTCCTTTGAAGTCCCTTGGTTTTTTAACCCACCAGTGAATGTCTTTCGCTCGCGCGTTTTCACGTTGTTGCCGGCGCCATGTTTTCTGCTGAAACTTGACTTTCCTCGGTCCTAAAACTGCCGTAACTTTCACCGCGTTCCTGTAACGTCTTGTTCGTGGTGCTGGTGTATTTCACATACATCTATGGGATTCGGCCATTGTGTTTGATAGTCTTTGTTGAGTCCTTCTAGCTAGCAGTTGGAAAAGCCCTATTCAACACTTGACTAGTGTCAATGTACTAATTTTGTCAAAGTTTCGCGAAGCTGGTGTATCGTCCAGACCGTGATACTGTCTCGCGCTCTGGGCAGGGCCCGAGTGGCTCAGCGTAGAAGGAGACTCTGCCTGGAGCCAGGCAGAGGTCCGGATGGTGTCCACGACCGTGGGTCAGGAGAGCTAGGCAGGAGCAGAGACACAGACTCCGCCTGCGATCGAACCGACCCCCAGGGGCTCACAAGAACAGCACCGACTCTTTTTATTTTCGACGTGAAATTTCAAAACCTCAAAATTATTTTTCAAAATTTGGACAAATCAAAAATGGTGTATGGGTGTATATACGAAAACAGTCAAATGTCAAGAAACCTATCCGGTTCACTAATTGGGTTTAGGTAACCAGCTACGAACTGTGATGTTAATTACCTTGTAAGTATGATGATGGGTAGGGCATCGCGCTCCACAACTGCTGTCATTAGGGTTGGTTGGTGGGGAGCGTTACGAATAGGGCAACAAAGTAGATATATAGGAACTAGAATTTAGATACAAATTTCTTGTACAGCTGATTGAAATTGTAAGGTGGTTTTTTTTTCATGGAGTCCTTCTCTATTGTAACCAGACGTTGCAGACTCGTGGTAACAATGCCCGGTGTCGTGACTCCGAAATGCCATATTCTTAGCCCAGTAATAGCAATCACAGCGTCACATGTAGATCTAAACCTTGTAAGCCCTAACCTCTCCAGATCAAACTCGTGAACTGTACTATATAGTGCGTTTTCGATGTTTTCAACGCCCAGTGTCAGTAAAATGACAAAACGAGCTTATCTAATACAGCTTCAGCCCTAAAAAGTTACCCTTCCTCAGCTGATCGCCTCCACCTTCCTAATTGGGAAGTAGAAAAACCCTAGCCCTACCCTGGAGATTACCCGGCCTGGATCGAAATCCAAGAAGAAAAAACTATAAAAAGAGAGCATGTCGATTAGTATTCTTCCAATCTTCTCCTCTTTGTATTTTTTTTAAAAAGTTGTCGACGTACTTCAGTATGCATTCCCCCTAGTAGCTCTGGAGCCTCACTGGCTCCAGCTACCTTTTCCTCCCCATTTCCCCGTCAAAGCTCATTAGCCACTAACACCTTCAACAGTAGGATCATTTCTATAGGAATCGTCACTCTTTGACTCTTCAAAAGAGCCACTGAATCCAACTTGGTTGATGAGCCTCAGAGCCTTTGTACCCCAGAGTGAGACCGAAGATGTTACACCTAGCTTGGTCCACAGCCCTTAGCGGCTTGGCCATCTACCCACATTCTTTGTTTTGCCTATTGCTTAGCAGTCGTATATCCCACTTCGTGTGGGCATTACTTCTGTGTCTAAATAGGCGCGATGATCTTTGCCCAGGCTGTGCACTTCTTCGTGAAGGGACAGCCATACTGGGTGGGTACGAACGGCAGTCTGACAAGTTTTATTCTTTTATTTTTTTCCTAGTTGGTCATCCAAAGGTTTGGTTGACGGATTAGAAATTGAAAATTGAAAGACGTGGCACCGTATTAGCGGTTTGTTCCTTCCATATTATTCATGAATGGAATGACGTTGCATCATGGGAGTTGTTGGCTCTACTTCTTTTTGCATATTATATTAATCGAGCTTTAACCACTTAAATAGCTAATCCTACATACATCAATTAATCATCCCCTGATCATCCCCTGTCTACTAGACCAACGCATTCCCTGCACAACAAAAGCTGATCCACGTTCATCTGACTAGGACCCCCGTCGCCCGCCATAGTCAAATAAAACGGCTTTCGGCTCTTCTTCGCACATAACTTGGAAATTCGCACCGCTGTTTCTCGTACTTTGTCATCATTGGTGTCGCTGAGCACTGTCGACAGCACATCTGTTGAAGTGGGAATTGAATAAACGTAACATAGCATCTTGTGCGTGGCAGAATCTGCTGCAGTCGAGATCACCATTGAGATTGGCAATTTTAACACATTTTCCGTGCCTTCTGAAATACTCAGCGAAACGTTCACCGGTGGACCCAAAGGGTTTTCGATTGTATGTCTCGAAGTTTTGACCATTGGTATAGGGCCGTGAACAGAGAAGAGAAGGGCGATGTTGATGAAGGGAGATGTCTCAAATGGGTTCGAAACCCATTGTAAGTTTTCAGAATTGAATTAATATCTTGAAACGGTAGTGTCACGTGACCGCTGTTGTGGAATAGAAAAATGATCAAAATATTGAGGAATGATATCTAGGAGGATTCCGTTGACACGCTTACTTCTCACACTGACACAATTGGCTGACTGTTTGTCATATATCTTTATCGAATTGTTGAAGATACATTTTTAATGTTTCGTTCAGTTTTGATGTTATTCGTGTTCGGGTATCGTTAGTTTCCGATAAAAGCCAATATCTTCAGGTTTCGAGACTCCATGCAAAATTCAAATTAAAACCAGAGCTTTGGCAATACACATTGCCTCCGTTCCTATTCTCGCTATAACGCGCGAAGTACGTTGCAGGAAGAAAACATTCTATCAACAATACTGTTTTCACTGTCATTTTGTCTTGAATGTCAAATTGATATCCTATGAACAAAAAAAGTCGAGCTCCAACGATATAGGTGAGCTAAAAACCGACTTGACAGCCATGCTAACGCTTAGATTTTAAAGATGAACTTGCGTCAGCCTGGTAGATCACTTACATCACTTCCGACGGCTGTGTTCCTAGTGGATTTTTCAATATGGATAATACATTAGACATCTATCATATCGAGAAGCGATGAGCTAGCAGAATACAGTTCGGCACCTCACTGCCGGACTCAATCATCTCAACATGGCACCAAAACCAGCCATCATATCAATCGTAGCATGTCTCATGCCTGAGATGGGCATTGGGTTCAACGGGAAACTCCCTTGGAGATTAAAGCAGGAGATGGCATACTTTAGACAGGCAACTACAAACACTTTTGATAAGGACGCCCAAAATGCTGTGGTGATGGGCAGAAAAACATGGGAATCCATCCCGGCTAAATTCAGGCCGCTTCCGGGACGCGTCAACGTGGTGGTATCGCGCCAACACGCCGAAGAATTGGCACCGGCAAATAAAACGGATTCATCAATATGGCTAAGCAACTCGCTAACTCGGTGTCTTGAACTTCTTCCAAAGCAAATGCCCAATCTAGAACGCATCTATGTCATTGGTGGTGGCGAAATCTACGCTCAGACCAGCAACCTGTGCGATTACATGCTTATAACAGAAGTTCGACCCCAAGATGAGACCAAGCGGCCTGCTATGGACACTTTTCTGGATCCGGCTGCGGTACAGAAACGATTTCAGCGTGAGGAAAGCGTCCGTGGGTTTTTTCCTGCCACAGTGAAACTGCCAGAAATTTCAGAGATACACGAAAATGGCTACGTCTACGAGTTCGCTCTCTACAAGGTTCGCGAGGCAGATTGATACCAAGGGCTGAGAAAAAAATAAAGACGGGGCTCATTTGAGACATGACCTTGACTCATTAAGCGAATTTTCAGTTTGCATGCAAACTCATTACTAAGAGAGAGCAGCTTTAAGACAGAAGTGCAATCTGATTTCAAAGGCTGAGACTTCATGTATATGCTGAATCATGATTTCGCGGGAAACGAGTGGGTACACGTTCACTGATATCGGCAAATACCTGCATGAACTTTCAAAGACCAGAACGACTTTTTCAGAGATGCCAAAAAACCTATATGAAAACAAAGACAGTTGTGCTCATTTTAAGACGCCTGAGTGAAATCGGGATGGATAAACTGCGATTTTACCTTGCTTGAAATACAGCGATACCTATTACACGATGCATTAGTTGTTGATTGAAAGCTATCAAAGTCATCATGAAAAAGGTTTGCATACTAGGGATATTGGCAGTTTTCTAAGCTACTCTAAAACCTGTAGCTATTGTTCTACTGTCCCACAACTAGCTTCAAGATCTCAAGTCCATACGATGGTCAATCTCACCTCGTTTCACTTCCCTAGCAATCAAATTTTTCGCCAAATATTTACATCAATCCAGACAGACGCGAGAACATTCCGCAATGCGTCAAATTGTGTTAAATAAAGAACGATGTAGTTCCAAGATGCCCGTTACAGTGCGATATGTTGACTTCCACCACGGGGCGTCCAAGAAAGGGGAAAAATTGGGAGCGAGAGAAGGAATGCAAAACTGACTACTAGAAAACGTTTCTGAAGCACTAGTTGGTCTCGAAAGGCTCTCCTTTGATCTGCTGTGTGATTCAAGCTGGCACTGTCGTCGTGGGTCATTTCAAACGACAGTGACCGAGGTCAATATAAATTCCTTTACATCATTTCGTCAAAAAAGACCTGGCTCGGTTAATAATCCCGCTAATGAAAGAAACCAAGGCATTCAGTCGAAATGATGATCATAACCATCATAGAAACTTAAACAAAGCGGGTCATACCGAGTCTATCGCTAGTGCTACACAACTGTACACGACAGTAAGCACCACTGAAAAGTTTTTGTGTGCCAAAAGAAGCAGCTTTTTAGGTGCATTTTCACAGGAGTTAGGGGATCAAATTTCAAGTTGAGTTGTGTAAATCATCTTAATGTCGAAATACGCCAATTCCGCTTCTTGGACTTCATTTTTGAAGTCGATTACGTCGTTCAACGGTGATCTGTCGACTTTGACGGCTCCTCCCTTTATTTTGTCGCCTACATCGCTATCTGAATACTCGCAGTACTGGGGCGAACATCCAGACTTGTTTTTGGGTCCAAATTTCATTACAGAGCCCGACGAGGATGGCACAAGTGTCGAGCACCTCAGAATGCTGGCTGTAGTCAAATGGTTCATTTCAACACTCAAGTCGCAATACTGTTCGCGTAATGAAGCTTTGGGCACTGAAAAAAAGCCTCTCAACCCGTTTTTGGGTGAACTTTTCGTGGGCAAGTGGGAGAACAAGGAGCATCCAGGTTTCGGGGAAACCGTGTTGCTGAGTGAACAGGTGTCGCATCACCCTCCTGCGACTGCATACAGCATTTTCAATGATCAAAACAAGACGTCTTTGCAGGGGTATAATCAGGTCAAGGCCTCCATTGCTACAGCGTCTTTGAGCGTCAAGCAATTTGGACACGCGCTTTTGGAGTACGAGAACTTGAACGAGCAATACCTGGTCACACTTCCTCCGCTACACATCGAGGGGATGCTCGTGGCTTCTCCATATGTCGAATTGGAGGGCAAATCATATATTCAGAGTTCCTCTGGACTTTTCTGTATGGTTGAATTTTCTGGCAAGGGCTACTTCTCGGGTAAGAAGAATACTTTCAAAGCCCGAATTTTCCAAAATATCTCAGATGCTTCTGACAAGGACAAAGCCCTGTACACGATCACAGGCCAGTGGTCGGGTCTTTCGAACATAAGCAAGGGCAAATCCAAGAAGGGTGAAGAGTTGTTTTACGATGCTTCCAAGTTGAAGGTTGAGCATTTGAAAGTCAAACCGGTCGAGGACCAGCATGAACTTGAGAGTAGAAGAGCGTGGACGAAAGTTGCAGAGGCCATCAAGTCGGGCGATTTCAATCAGATTCATGAGGAGAAGTCTTCGTTGGAGAATGCTCAGCGTGAACTGCGGAAGGATGAACAAGCGCAAGGTGTCAAATGGCAGAGACGCTGGTTTGTGGACGAAGACTACTCAGCAGACGTCGACGATGCGTTTGTCAAACTGGCGGCGAGTCTAAATTTGTCGACCAAAAACGTGCCCAGCGGAACGCTGGTGGGCGACAAAGACGACAAGAAGGCAACTTCTGCAATGCACTGGCGGTTCAAGCGAAAATTGTGGGATGCTGAGAAGGACATCAAGGTGTAGTGACACATTTGACTTGGACAAATGATGGGAAAATAACCAATATTTTGTCCTCTTCTCTCTTTGTTGTTTCCCATTTTTTTTTCGATTTCCAGGGAGCATCTTACAGACTAGATGAATTTTCCAGTCTGCTACCTATCAAACCTGGAGCTTCCCAAAGATCTCTAAGTATGATATATCATGACTGAACAGCGACGTTAATTTTATAGACCGAGTGTGTCATTGTATCTAGCATGGCAAGGTGTCATTTCTTGACCAACGTGATCTCTTGAAGTACTCGCTTTTGTAGTAGTACTCTTCGTCAACTATGATGTTCTGAAAAATTTGAAAAACCCGATGAGATGAGATGCGATGAGCTGAACTCTCTGCGATGAGCTAGTGTTTCCATCAACTAGGGAACCACCATAAAACTTGATCCTGAGCTATCCCAAATCCATTATAAGATGGCTAGTGAACAAGCGAGACCCTCTCAGTACAAGCAATCTTCCCGCAAGGGCAAGAAGGCGTGGAGAAAAAACATTGACATTTCGGATATCGAAAAGTCCATCCAGCTTCGAAACGATGAGGAAATAACGCATGGTTCAAAGGACTTGTCCAGCTTGGCTAATAAAGATCTTTTCCAGGTTGATACGGAGGGTGATGAGGAGCTGAAGCGTAAACTGATCAAACGGAAACAGATCAAGAAAAATCTGAAATCAGCAGAAATCCTAGATTCGATCAAAACAAGATCGAAAGTTCCAGCGCTCTCACATCCAAAGAGTGGCTCCAAACAGGCACAAAAGGCTGATAAAATCCAAGGTGTTTCGAAAAAAGAGGTCAAACGGTTAATGGCTCTGGCTGGTAGAATAGATGGAGAGAGCAAGCTAAAAAATGCGGTCAATAAGAGGGGTGTCATTAGAGCAGGAGGTAACAATGACCTGTGGGGAGCTGAGGATGAACCCACACTACCATCTGGTGTCAAAATGTCTCTGAAAGAGGGCCAGCAGATTCCTGATGAATTGAAAAACATGTCTACCACGGGGTGGTCGAAGGCATCAGTGGCTCCAGATACAATCACCAGAGCTCCAGTCCTGGTCAAGGCTTTCGAAAAGACTCCACACGCGGGCAAGTCTTACAACCCAAGCAATTCGAGCTGGTCTCAACTGATAGAAACCGAGTACGAGGGGGAAAGGGCCAAAGAAGAAGTCAGGCTTCAAATGGAAGCCTATAAGGCCAGAATCGCTCATCTGATCGAAACTTTGGACAACGATGAGGAGGAAGAAGAGGATGAAGAGGAGGACTCCGATGATGGTGAAAAGTCTGACGAGCAGGACGACAGCGGTCTGAAACTCTCGCTTAACAAGCCTGTGATCAATAAAAAGAAAACGAAGTACCAGAGAAACAAGGAACGTCGACACAAGCAGAAGATGGAGGTGCAATCCGAGCTCAAACAGCTCAAAGTACAGTTGCGTGAATTGGAACGGTTCGAGGAGCTTCAAAAGGCCGTCGAGGAAGCTGAGACGGCTCGTGATGAAAAGACAGCACACAGGGTTGAGAAACCTTCCCGAGCAAACAAGAAGAACAAACTTGGTACAAAGCATTCGGTTCTTGACACTAATCTCGAGGTCAAGTTTTCCGATGAGCTCTCTGATTCATTGCGTAAGCTAAGGCCCGAGGGAAACCTTCTTTACGATACGCTTCGGAAATTGCAAGGATCTGGTAAGATCGAAACCCGTATACCAGTCAAAAAGGGTAGGAGATATTCACCCAAGGTCACCGAAAAGTGGACCTACAAAGATCTCAAATGAACTGAGAGCTACCTGTCTCTCTCCATTCGGCATTTCTATTTTGTATACTAGTAAAAATTTGGGTTCGCAATTAGAAGATTGCATTGCCAATTCACAGAATCTATTCAGCTAAAGCCTGATCTTCTCAAAGCTACCTTTGAGATATCGAGATCCTTTCATCTTTTCACTGTCGCTGTCTTGACGAGCGTGTGTCGTTTGCATCACATGCAGGCTTGGGTGATCGAAAACAATTAAGGAGATCTGTCCCTGAGTAACCAACTTCGATAACCTAAGGCACAGTAACGAGGAACCGGAGCATATTCCTATGGCCAAGTCACACCTTATTATCGTGCCCTGTCATTCAATTTGGAAGATTGACAATGGTTTAGAACCCGAAAACTACGGTCAGTCATCCAAACATTGGTTTCTGGCACCGTTCCAGTATGAAGGCCGCGACCATCTTTCTTTTGTAATGCATTCACTGTTGGCCATTGAGGAATTACTGAAAGACACAGAGAATTCCTTATTGCTGTTCAGTGGCTCATGCACCAAGAAGGAAGCCGGCAATGTCTCAGAGGCCCATTCGTACTTTTTGCAAGCCCGCAAGCTGTTGAACGCAGTTTCTTACGGCTTCGATCTCCCCGCGACGTTTACGAGCCACAAGGACATCTCAAGATGTTGCCACTCGATCGACCAAAAAATGAAAGCCCAAAACCTTACCGTAGATGAGCTGTTTGCGAAGCACATCGAAATAGAGGGGTTTGCCTTGGATTCGCTTGACAACTTGTTGTACTCGTTAGTCAAGTTTAAAGACTTGACATCGAATGATGCATCCAGAGTAACCCTTTCGGGATTTGGCTTTAAGAAAAGACGCTTCCTTGAGCTGCATGCAGGTGCAATTGACTACCCTGCAGGTAAAATCAACTATATCTCTTATGAGCCCAAGCCAATTTCAATTGATGCCGAAGAGTTGGAAAAGTATGCTCAGGATCTTGAGTATCAGGAAATGAAAAATGCGCTTGTGCCCTTTAAAGCAGACTGGTACGCCTTGAGAGACCCCTTAGTTGAAAAAAAACAGCAACGCAATGTTTTCAATTTGAAGCCAAATTATAAACTACCGTTTGACAAAACCGAGAATAATGGAAATGACTACGAGTTCTTCAAAAACCACGTCCAGCACAAAATGCCTTGGTCTTCCAACGCTCAAATATAAGCGAGTTTCCGACTGAGCGCAGTGCGCTCCTTTTCCCACAAATTGACGTTCTCCAGTTTTTCTTGCAGAGTTTCAATTTCTTTGTCAATAGACGTTATAGCTTCGTCTGTACCCAAATCTTGCAGACGCCACGTCTCGTCTCCCGTAATGTCTAGTGCAAGGTCGTGATACTTAATCAACGATGGGCGCTGTGATATAGTGATAAAATTAAAGCGGTACCTTTTTAGCAAATTGAACAGGTAGTCCTCCATGTCCGAGCTAATTGCATTTGTGGCTTCGTCAAGCACCACGAATCTCGGTTTATGGAACATGATTCGAGCAAAATTCATGCGCTGCCGCTCGCCCCCACTCAAAACGTCCTTCCATTCGGCGACCATATCCAGATATTGCCATCCAGTACCTCTCTTGAGTAGATAATCGAGTTTGACTTCACCAAGAATGTGAACCAGCTCTTTGTCTTTATGACCCGCGTCAAAAAAAGTGTCTGCAGACATGGGGTATATGATCTGATCACGGAAAGTCCCGCCTTGGATAAAGTATGCTCTTTGAGGAACACAGAATAGATCAGATGCACCTGGGACAGACAACAAACCGTTCTTATTGTAGATTGGCCAGATCTCAGCAATAATGCGCTGGATAGAAGTTTTACCACAACCGTTGGGCCCCAGGATCAACATACTGCTACCGGGACCTTGAGGCATCAGCTTTTGACTGAGATTAATCTGAGAATCGGAATTTGGGCTGTCCAGAATGGGGACTGGCGGAATTTGAAATCTCAATTTGTTTATTAGCTTTGTGCCCTCTTTACCGTACCTAGAGGGAATAATAACATCAATGTTTTCGAAACGTATTCCGTTAAAGCCTTTTTGCACCGTTCCTCGAACGGTTTCAGTACTGATGGTAGCTTCATGGTCCACTCTCGACTCGACGTCATCTGTGGCAGCGCCGTAATTGAATTCTGTTGAGTGGACTCTGTGCAAAACAGCGAGCAGTGTGAATATTCTGTTCGTGTACCCGGTTAGCTGTGCTATGTCTTTGATGGAATGCATGAGTCTGCTTCCCGCGTCAGCCAAAGACAGCATTAGCCGTTTATTAACAATGAATTCACGCATGTTGATTTCCTCATTGTTGATACCCGTGCTATACGTCGTAACCACGATTGGAATCGAAGCAAAGACATAGCCTAGCGCAGACCAAGTGTATTTGAGCACATAATCTTCGAGTATGTTGTAGTTGATTTTCACGCGATCAACCAACAACATCTGGTCCATTAAGTAATCGTACAGCGCATTAACCTTTGTCCGCTCAACTTTTGTGCCGTGGTAGAAGGCAATCTCTTCGGTGTTGTTGATTAAATTCAAATGGTAATTGTAATAATCGCCTTCTGCCGCAGAACGCTTGCTCACGAGCTTACCCAGTGGCGGCGTCCAGCGCTTCAGAGTGTAGCCGGTGATGAAGTAATTGACAAAAATGCCCACGATACCAAACGTGCCGAGGTTATCCCTAAGGTATACGGAGAAAAAAACCAAGTCGATAACGGGTTTGGCTATATTGGCAAACACCGAACATATTGCGTCACAGAATTTCGTGACGTCGTTGGTTATAGAGTTGTCGATGTTGGCAATAACCGAGCTGGAAGCCTGATTATCGAAAGCCAATTTGTAAAACGACAGTCTCTTGTCCAAATACATGTCGTGAATGTAACGGGTCAAGTTGATCCTGAAATTCAAACTTAGCTTGCGTTGCAGAAATTTAATTGCGCTATTGGTGTAGGATGCGGGGAATGCAATTAGAAACCAGCACAAAAGATCTACCAGAAATTTCTTGCCTTTTCCGGATATAATATCCTTGACGATTTGACCATCTAAGCGTGCCACGAACAGCGACAGCCATGTTCTCATCACCAAAAAAAATATCTGGAAAGCTATCAAAAACGAGTTTCTGTCTGTGAATTTGGGGACCAAAATGCGGTAAATAATGCTTAATTGACTGAGAAACTTGGAGTAGAAGAGCTGAGACGGTTTGTTTTTGCCCAGGTACTTAAACAGGAATTTATCGTGCTCATACCGATCGTCATTTTTCGGTCTGATCAGCACTCGTTTTTTGTTATCCGCATTTTCATCGTACGGCACATACATTACCCTTGCGCCGTTGGCAAGCATTATCTGCGATCTGGTGCGTCTCATGACTGGTTTGCGGCCAAAGGCGCCTGTTCGAATGTTTGATATCACCCTGTAGATCCCGTAGCCCACTCCGGACCCGGCCGTGACCACTGAGAACGCCAAAGTGATCATAATTATCTGCGCTCTTTTACGATAAGTTACCGCAGAATTGGGGTTGCGAATAAGCTGCCACAGGTGTTTGAGCACCGTTTTGGCCAGTTTCGAGCTGCCGATGCCAGTCAAATCCAAACCCAGGCATTCGTGCGGCAGTCTCAGCAAGAGACGTTTCAGTTTTTCCGCTGAAATTGATGTTTCTGCCATTTTAGTTGTACAATCTTGGGACGTTAGTGGTTTAAAAGTGAGAAGTCTCGCCTTTGAGCTTCCTTTTTAAACGCAACTGGTTGATCCAGTAATCTTGGAATGATTTCTTATTCGATTACGAGTCTAAATGTTGTTTAGAGACAAGAACATAAGTTAATGGTCTTCGAACAAATCTCTGCCTTTATATAGTCAAAGGTTTCAAGAGGAGTTCTTAAAATCAAGGGTCGATGACCTGTCATGGCTATTTCGTGACGCTGTGTAATTAATTTGGGGAAGTCCGGGCACGTGATAAACACGTGAAAAAGAGAAGTATATGACGATTTTGAGGAACCTTGAGCCCGGTGCTGATGAGAACAAAGGAGTCCTAGAATTTAGTTTTATTTGATAATTCATGATGGCTTCAAAGCATTCGCTGCTGTGATAAAGAGAAAGTGAAGTAACTATTGACGAATTTGTACTTTGATGTCAGGATAATAATTAGTGATAAACTAAGAAGAATAAATGGAAATGGCGAATAATCATGAGGAGAAGGTTGTAGGCAGGAAACGCCAACCCAAATGAAGTTGAGGGGTCCGATTCATGCACTCTTTTCCTTCATCAGTGTTACAAAGACCTGTTAAATGCTCCGCCGAGATCTGAGTGTCAAATTGATAAGGAGATGATCTGGATCACGTGATACACGACAGCGTCAGAATGGTAAAGCATTCAATTTTGAGACGTTAGGTTTGCCTAGCTCTCCAACGGCCAGGAGGCAAGCGGCAATGAACTTTTGTTGCTCAATAACATCATTCCACATAAATATAATCTGATGCTCTTCACTTACACCGATGGTGAAACGAATCCCAAAAGTTTATATAAGGGCGCAGTTTGACCAACCTATAAGACCGTCCTCTGTACACTCTTGACAGTGCTGAAAGAAAAGGCTATCAACTATATACTATAACTTCTGTAACTCGCTTCCAATGGAACTTTGTACCCAAATTATAAAACGGTTATTTTGCCGTGACACTCCGGAGACTCGAGAACAATTATAAACAGCTCTTTTCTTACTGAAAGAATTCATCATTCAAAAATTTAGTGAACAATGATAGATCAGGAAGTCTACAATAATAGTTAAGCGTCTGCGGTGTGGCCAAGTCATTGATCTGGCATGAAAATGACTCTCCCGTGACTTCCCAGCCAAAAATTTGGTGAAGCATTCGCAATTGATTTACCCACCTCTGCTCACTGATAAGATCAAAAATACTGGCCTTGAGGGCTATATAGCTCAGCTCTTAGTAGTAAGAAACGCGTTTTGACCACTCAGAAGCCATCTATAGAAAGAGATTCTGCCAACGGCCTATATCACTTTGAACGTAATCATCCACAAATATTCACAAAGCTAGCTACCACATCCAAGGTCGGTACAGATACATCGTCACGAATTTTTGATTCAACATGAACACTCTTTAAGCAGTGCCCGAGTGTATCGGTCGTTACATTGCTCTTCATAGTTTATGATGATATCTAATGGCCATTCTTGACTCACGTGATCGACGACGGACGACGAATAAAATTAAGAGTGACACATTTAAAATACATACAACTATATGAATGATATGCTGTCGCTAAATGTTAAACAGTCTTGTTGTCAAAGAGAAGCGTATCAAACGGATCGAGAACCGTTTTTCATATTAGTTTCCTGCTGTTCCTTTTTCCCTGCTATTGACTTTATATTCTCAATTGAGCCTAAAATCTAATAATTCTCGCATATAACACACCACTGAAGAAACTATGATCAGGATCGATAGTAAACGAAACCGAACAATCCTAATTATCCAGAATCTATGTTCACGAGACTGTGATTTTCTCCAGCACTGAAACGATCTTTTTTTCGTATTTCTCCGGCATCTGAAAGACCAAGCACTCTAAAAGCCATCACAGAATTTCACACAACAACGCTCCTGAAAGTCAAAGGATATTATACAAGAACGCTTCTCAAAATAATTAGAGGTGGCACTTCGGTCACAGCCCAAAAGGTGCGCCAACAGATATCTCTTTGAATTTCAAATTTCTTTCTAACCATTTCCGCACCCACCCGTGAGTGAACTATTTTATCCCAACCTTCCACCAAATAGCGGTCTTTGAAGAAATGAAACTGGAATTCACATTTGAATACAACGCTATGTGGAAACAGTCAGTTCAGCCAGGATTATCACTACTGACTGCTAATTCAGTGTTGCCCGACAATGGTTAACATACAGCACCCATAGACTTATCGTACAAGACAACAACTATAACCACCGGATTCTCGAACCTGAACTTCTTTACAAGATAGAAGCCCTAAACGCAACCGTTAGAGTCCTCTGGTAAGCTTTGAGAAGGCGGATCATTAGCGACTTAAACCGACACTAGTTGTGACAAATTTCCATAGATAGAATTCAAACGTAGCGATGTCTTCTCCCGGTATTCTACATGCTTACAAACCAGGACAAGTGGCTTTTGAACTTAGTCCCACATCATTGAGCAAAGTGGTTATTTTCATTGGAGGCTTGAGCAATGGGCTTTTTGGTGTCTCGTACATCCACAATGTGGCCAAAGAATTGGGACCTTTAGGATGGTCTGTGCTACAGATCCAGATGACTAGCAGTGGAAAGGGATGGGGGCTGTCCTCTCTCGACAAAGACATCGAGGAGCTTAAAGCTCTCGTAGACTACTTGAGAAGTCCTTCTGGAGGAGCCAGAGATAAAATCCTACTGTTTGGTCATTCAACTGGCTCCCAGGACACCATACACTTTCTTTTGAACCACGGTAGTTCAGTTGAAGGTGGAATCATGCAAGGACCGGTTTCTGACAGAGAAGGCTTTGGCCAGTTTGTAGAAAAACAAAAGTGGGACAGACTCAACGCCAAAGCCAAAGAATTGGTCGATAATGGACATAAGAATGACATTTTGCCAACGGAATATGCAGAAGTCATGGATAACACCGCAATCACTGCGTACAGATGGTGTTCGTTGACACTCCCTGGTGGAGACGATGACTATTTTTCGTCTGATCTATCAGAAGAGCATTTCAAGACAACGTTCGGCAGGATTCAAAAACCCTTTTTGATGGCTTACTCCGAATTCGATCAATTCGTGCCGGAATTCGTCAATAAACCACAATTGTTGCAAAAATGGGCCACCAGCAGCAACCCGATGTACTATTCCAAACACTCGGGGATCATCAAGGGTGCTAGTCATGAAGTTGCTCAAGAAGATTCGAGATCTCACTTGTGTGAAATGGTGAAGAATTTCTTGAAAGAGTTCGACCTCTAGTCGAAGGCCTTATTAGCGCTTTCTTATTATTTCAAGTGGCCCCTCAGCTACAAACTGACTGCTAAGAAATGGTAAGATGAGTTTCCTCTCAATGGGGTGCACACTCATAGCTCCGCGTCTTACGAGTCACACTTGAAGTCAAAGCACAACTTGGCGATGAACAAACATACATGCTTCTTTTACATCAGATAGAATAGCTATAATTCTCTAATATTCTTGCGTCTTCGGGATAAGAATAATGCGTCGTCGCAGCGACGCACGGGCTGTAAAGCTAAAAGCAATGATCTAACGGAACAATTCCACAACACGGTGGAGTTCGACTATTCAAACGCCACTGCACGTATTGCAAAGAACAATTTGGCATGGACTCTGCTAGGTGTAAGACCAATGAGCTTTGAATGCCAGATCCTGCCTATAGTGACTTAAATATTATAAACGTACAAAGTGATTCACGTTACATTTCTCGAGCTCCAAAGGCGATAATCTCGAAGGCCCTGATAAGACCCTTCGTTATGACATTCGATCACGAATCGTTCAAGAACTTCGACTAACGACTTAGCTCGGTGAGTTAGCTTAAAAGATACAATTTTCTGATGTCGAAAGATCTTGTCAATGGGCCACAGTTTTACGAGCCGTTGGCGACAATTGAGCCTCTGCAATTCCAGCTATTAAACTCGGAAAAACTCGCCACTGCATTTCCGATTTACTCTGCCAAAGATGTTCCCGACTCTCTCATTGACTACATGCATGTTGCATTCAACAAGGAGATTGAAGCTGGCCAAACATATCCGAATCTGAAACAGCTTACCAGAGATGAGTTTCTGAAATTGTGGTTTTTCTCTTTCTGCGCCATTGTTCTGAAGACTGATCAAACCGAAATCGACCCTAGCTGGACTAACTGGGATGATTTGTTTCTTGGAACGTTTTACGTTAAGCCCAACTACATTGGAAGATGTTCTCACAACTGCAATGCTGGATTCCTCGTTAATACTTGTCAACGGGGCCAGAAAATCGGCTTTCGTTTGGGACAGCTGTACTTGAAATGGGCTCCTCTACTGGGATACAAATACTCGGTATTCAACCTTGTCTTTATTACGAACCCGGGCAGTTGGAAGATCTGGGATAAACTAAAATTTGATAGAATCGGATATATTCCCAAAGTCGCGATTTTGAAAGGATATGACGAGCCCGTAGATGCGATAATGTTTGGGAAAGACTTGACAAGCACCGACAGTGCTCTTCTAGCTGGCCTTCAGTGAAAATTCATGATAGGTTCTTGAAATTGTTAGAAAAAGGACAAGAAAAAAAAGCCTTAAAGTTAAGTATGGGCCGTTGAGTCTTGTAAATTCGAGTGGATTCCTGAACTACCGTGGGGCCTCTATTCGAGTCTGTTCCATAACGTATATCTTGTTCTTAGCATATGGGAAGAAGCGATGCCCATCATATATCATTTGTGACGTCTGCATTGTAATGAAATCCATCCTTTACTGTAAACCTATAAGCACACCAGACCACCAGACCACCGTGTTTGTCTAGTTAAAGGGCTCATTCAGGCTCGTATTGCACTTCGCTGAGAACCAAGTCAATTATAGTGCTTGTAACGGGCTTCAGCGACTAAAAAAACTGGCCATTGACTACTTTCACTCTACGAGTAGATGGAACTGATTATAGTTTCTAAAAGTAAGAACCAGTAAAGAACTGACGTCGGGAATACCAAAAGGAATGCACTTACAAGGTAGAGTTTTTTACAGATGCCGATGTATGGACTGAAACCTTCACCCTTCTTTAGAGGTTTTAAAACGAATATTTTGGGCATAGGCACTGATATTGTGCATATTCCAAGATTTGCCAGATTGATGGCCAGAGATGCCTCCATAAGGGAATCGCGTATAAACGAGCGGATTTTGGGCAAGTTCATGCATGCCGCCGAGCTTTCGAGACTGCAACGTATGCGTGAGGAAAACCATAGCGACAAAGCGTTGATCCAATTCGTCGCCGGCGTTTGGGCCACCAAAGAAGCCGTTTACAAAAGTTTATCATCAAGATCAGGTCACAAAAAGACAGCACTTCCGCCCGCAAAATACATTTACACCCAGCTGTGCTACAAGACCAACGACGAAGGTGGTATTCCGAGACTGGTGATCGATCCAAAGCTGACAAGTGTTTACCCTAATTTTACCCGAGACTTCATCGAAAACACAAAGTTTCTGTTGAGTATTTCTCATGACAACGATTACCTTGTGAGTTTTGTTTGTCATGTCAGCGTGTGAGCCTTTGACAGTAGGTCACAGTTGTCCAAATTTCTTTGCAGACTTGAACAAAATGGCACTTAAGCACCAGAAACCTCGGAAGCTTCTAGCCTTTGCTTAAGTCACTACATGGATCAAAAAGAGCTAAAGTTAAATCGTCAAGGACCATCGCCGATCACTGTACAACGTCAACTTCCAGCTCAAGTTCAGGAACTTGACCACTTCTTCACCATTCATGTGACTGAAGACGAAAATTTTGAACTAATTCCTTCATCTCAGTAGTCTTTACAACGTCAACGCAGCGCAACTTACCGACAATACGATAGTCTGGTGGGCTTTACCAGTGAGCGATAGAAATGGGTGTTGCCGATTTGATTAAGAAGTTTGAAACGTTTAGTTCCGACAAGCCTAGCTCAGAACAATCTGATGCTGGAAAAAGTGTGGATGCGCAGCGACCATTTAAGAACGAAACTAAACCCAAAACAGATGAGACTGGAAGCATAGTTGCTTCTAATAATGACGAAAAGAACGCTCCAATTGTGGAAAGTGAGAGCACAGACAAACATCAAGATGAACCGACGAAGGAATCATTGACTAAAGAAGAACCGTCCACTGGGAGCGATGAGGAAGATAAGACTGAACACTTGAATGAGCAGGAAAAATCAGAACAGAATGCTCAAGCTTCTCAGGAAAAATCAGTAGACGACAATGCCGTTTCGGGCCAGAACGAAGAATCATCTGAGGTTTCTGAAGACCTCCCCAGTGAAAAATTATCTGAGGACAAAGAAGAGAAGTTTGAACCAGTATTGAAAGACGAGAAACAAGATTCAATTGCTGAGCATGAATCCAAAGACCCATCTGAGGTTCCAGTCACTCCAAGTGAATTAGAGGAACAAACAGGAGAACAGGAGGAAGAAGGGAAACAGAAAGATCAAGAAGAGCAAGAAGAGCAAGAAGAGCAAGAAGAGCCTGAGACGGCCCACGACGAGGAGTCTTCAGAGCCAGCTCAAGAGGAGGCCAAAGGGGAGAGTGCATCTAGTAAGAAAAACAAGAAAAAGAAGAACAGAAAAAAGAACAAGAAAGCTGCTGCTGCCGCTGCAGAGGGTAATTCTGCATCTTCCAACCCTGAACTTGTAGCCCAGGAAGCTTCTGACTCGCTTAGGCCTATCTAAATCCCCAACAGATAAGGAAATTGAGATTCTGAACGCAGAAGTTCAAGAAGAGACTATTGAGTCTGCAAAACACGAGGCTGAATCCTCAAAGGAATGCACTCCAGACACACGCATTGGACGTGACGACCCTTTCCAGTTCGGGCAACGGCAGCTCACTGAGGAGTCAGATGTCTGGAACCACAACGCTTGGGACAATGTTGACTGGGGCGAAGAACAAGTTCTTGAAGCGGAGGAGAAGATTGCCGAGCAACACAAGTCCCCGGTCTCTGATTTTGATAAAAATCTCTACAATTCAAACCCGGCCAGATATTGGGACATCTTCTACAAGAACAACAAGGAGAATTTTTTCAAAGACAGAAAATGGTTACAGATCGAGTTCCCATCATTATATGATGCCACAAAGGCGGACGCTGGTCCCAAGACCATCTTTGAAATTGGCTGCGGTGCGGGCAATACAATGTTTCCTATACTCAGCGAAAACGAAAATGAGCATTTACGAATTATAGGAGCGGACTTCGCGCCCAAAGCCGTGGACCTTGTTAAGACCAGCAAGCATTTTGATTCGAGATATGCCCATGCAGCTGTATGGGATCTTGCAAACCCAGAGCATGAGCTGCCTGATGGCGTCGAGCCTCATTCTGTAGACATTGCAGTCATGGTCTTTGTTTTCAGTGCACTCGCTCCAGAGCAATGGGCCGATGCAATGGAGAACCTGCATAAGATATTAAAGCCTGGTGGTCAAATACTTTTCAGAGACTATGGGAGATACGATTTGGCCCAAGTCAGATTTAAGAAAAACAGGCTATTAGACGAAAACTTCTATATTAGAGGTGATGGTACCCGTGTCTACTTCTTCACGGAGGATGAGCTCAGAGACATCTTCACGCAGAAATTTGTCGAGAAGCAGATTGGCACAGATCGGAGATTGCTTGTTAACAGGAAAAGACAGATCAAGATGTACCGAGTCTGGCTGCAAGCGATGTTCGAAGTACCATCGTGAACTCACTTGAAGTAAAATATTTAGATTCCAAGCACTGTATAAAGCTTCACCTAGCATTTAAAACAAAAGACAAACAAATCGACCCTAAGGTGCGTCACTGTCTGCAACAAGACAGAGCGAAATGTGTAGGAATCCATCGAAACTGGCAAGCTGTTGATACAATTTCCAGAGTGGAACCTCCAAAGGCACAAGTATACCTTGTATCACGGGAACTGCAAGGTTATGCGATTTACCGTCTGATGCAAACCACTCCGGAAACTCGCGAGCAAGGACTTCGCTCAACTCGACTTCCCTTTCGTTGTCGTACGCACTGCACACCGGCTCCACCAGCCGGATGTCTGGAAGTGCAAGGTGAATTTTGACGGGTACAGATTTCACCTTACCATCGACAGGCAGGATTCTTTGTCTTATATCACTGAAGCTGGCGAAGCTAGTCTGGCTCCTGCACAGTACACTTTCCCAAAAAGACAGCGTATCGCGTTTGGAAAACGACATCACCAGTTTCGAGTTCCCGTTCATTACAAAACATGCCTGTTTCCACTGGTGCATCCACAATTCTCGGATCTGCTCACTTCCGTTGCGTATAGGTATGAATCCACGCGGAAGCTGTTTCCCATATCGAAGCACCAGATTCCACACGTTGATGCTGTTTTCCCGAGACTCACAAGCTCGGGTTTTTGGATTCAGACCCGTGAATGAGTCGTAAAGTGCACCGATGGGGAAGTTCCATGGAATACAGACGTTTTCCATTTCAAACCACCATCCTTGATAATAATCCCTGACGTTCATTCGCAGCTGTTTTCCCAACTTCTGAATGATGTGCGGGAGAAACAGTATCAGGTATGAGTCCCTCGGTACTTGAACATTGACATATGTCGAATTTGTTGTTCTATCTTCTTCCTGATCTTTCACCTTTAACTCTGTCAAAACCAGCTCTGGATCCAATTTTATCTTCAAGTTGAGCGTTCCTGCCCAAACCAGCCGCTGCAATTCACTCATGGCACATCGGTAGCTTGCTCCAGTGGCCAAAACTAGCGTTCTGATCCATTTCGAAAGGTAAAATGGTCAATCTACAAGAATTCAAGAAGCTCATCGCATCTTAAATTACTAGTCAACCTTAGTCGTCAAACTACAAGAAACATCAAAAGAATGAGCCAGGAACCCACCAAGGACTCACTTAGTACACCAAAACAACTATGGCTGAATGAATCTGATGATTACCTGGATCTTGTGGAAAAACCGGACGAAACTACGCTGTTTTTTGGTATATTTTACCTTGATAAATGGAACAATAGAGATGATGATCTAGAGAAGCTGAATGAGGTGAAAGCCAAACTGATAGAGTTAATCGATCTTTGGAATACGTTTTATCCATGGGGAAACTACGAGGGTATCAAGGTTGACACAATTGTGGAATCTGGGGAACGTCCGGTTGTATTTGGCTCATTATGCGTGGAACGTCATCAGGAAGTAGAAGAACGCTTGGTGGTCTGTCTTTTGCAAAAACTATCTGAACGATTGGAAGCCAGTTTTTTCATCAAGACTTGCACCTCAGAGGGCGACTTTTTGCTGATGGAGTGCCACGATGTGCTGCCGTCAGAATATCAATATCCAATGGGCAACAATCGATTATGGGTACACCAGGGCAAGTTCAAGTTCATACCTGTGGATTTGGCTCCAAAGAGAGGAATCAGAAAGGAAGAGGCGTTGCAATTCTTAACAAACGAATATTTCAAACTTTCAGAGGTTCCGGACGTCTCACGTCGAATTGAGGAAATCACTGGATTGGCTCGATTTCCCGGCTTACAGGTGGAAGAGTTGGTATCTTTGCCTTTATGTATGGCCGATGAAAAGACAGGTGCGATTTTACTTAAAGACCCGAAAGCCATTAGTTTGGCTCTGAATAACATCTATTTCAACGGACAGGATACTAAAGAAACGGTGGTAATCAATCAGGCTACTGAAAAAGAGGACAAACATGAACTACAAGTTCTCATATCTAAGGCACAAGAAAAATTCTTGGCTGGGTTTTTGCAAGACTCGGGAATCGATCTAGAGAGCAACGCTTTACCTACAATAACTGGTCAAATCGTATCTGCATCGCTACGGGATCTAATGCGCAATGAAGAGCTGAGAGCACCTTCACCCAAAGGGTTTACAATGGATTTTGTGTCGATTCTAAAGGCGAAGAGCTTTTTGGTTAAAAACTATGAACCTTCTAAAGCTGACTTTATCGGAGCATTGCGTCGCGAAGACGAAATTACCGACGAGGATGTCATATCACGTATGCAACGTCTCTTTTCCAACATTCGTATGGATATGGATTCTGGAAATGCCCAGGAGGCAAAGGACTCAGACAGCTCAAGCAATGATGACAGCGAGGACCTAGCAAATATCGAAGCAATGAATTATTTCCGAGATCAAAACATAGACATTGACGAGGACGACTTTTTCGAGTATTTCGTTACGGAAGCCCTCAAGTTGAAGCAAAGTGATCTTGACGACATGCGTCATAAGGAGAGCTCAAGTCCGAGTGGATCACCGCCAAATCACGAAGAAATGCAAATGCTCCAAGAACTTGAGAACCTTTTCGGTCTGAAGAATCAGGCTGGAAGCGTATGACTTTCCTGACAATAATATTAAAGAGGGTGTGCAATAAGAATAAAGCTCTAAGCCAATCGCGCGGCGCTGCAAAGTGAATTAGAATGCGATTAGATTCCCAAGTTCCTCTTATATCTAGTTAAAGGCTATGAAACATGTTCTCTCGAAAGCTGATCAATCTTCAAAAGAATTATCTTCATCATCAGCAATACCTAGTATCGAGTGTTCGTCGTGAATATCGTTAGGCTTGAGTGCCGTTTCCGAGTTGCGATCTTCCAAAAAATTATGGGACCAAACACCACTGCTACCACTTAAGGATCGAGTCATGTCAAACAGCACCGGTCGGCGGTCTATTGGCGGGGTTTCTGGAATCGAAGCTGTTGTGACTGGAAGCGAAGATGGTTCTTGTGGAAGTACGCATTTTGGCTCATTAGGCCCCCCTCCTAAAGCAGAAACATCAACGTGCACAGGGGGAAGTTCGGCATTGTCATCTTCATCATCAAATGAACCTTCCTCTTGGATGACAGACTGTGCGGCTGATGTGTTTTTATTGAGTAGCTTTCTGCTGATGTTTCGTTTTGGAAGTCTCCCTCTTCTACCGACAGGCGATCTTCCTCTCTTAGCAAGCCACTGAGAACCTACGATACTCCTCGGTACAGTGCTGTCAGCGTTAGCGTACGTATGCATAGCTCGCAAGTCCATTGTTTTGGGCGATGAAGCTGTTGAAATTTCGTAGAATGAGTCTGTACGAGAACTTTTTTCTGACGCGCTCGAGGCACTTGACATAATGCTCATAGATCCACGAAGGTTGGTGCGCGACTGTAGAGAACTGGAATCAACGCTGTCTACATTCGGAGACAAAATTACACCATTTCCGTTTCTGGTTGTGTGCGAGCTCAAAGAACTAGCGGGCTTCGAATTCGAGGCGTTGCCATCAGTTGAGTACTCTGAATTGTACGTGTCATTTGACATTTCGGACTGCTGTGATAATATCGATACGGGTCCAGTCTTTGAGATGTCATTTGTGCTCTCATCGTAATTGGACTGGCCATTGAGTGCGATCGCCTTGTGATCGAGTTCACTGTCAAAGTTTCCCAACGAATTTTGACGCGACATCTCACTGGATGTATTGGACTTGAACTTTTTGAGACGAGGCTCTTCTATTCTCAGGATATCGAATTTGCTGTGCCCATTTGGTGTAGCAGGTGAAATGGTATCGTTATTTTCATTAGGGGCATTGTTTCCAGATCGCGTAGGTGATCTCTGTGGGCTATTCTTCCGGGATTCGAACGAAATAGCGTTACGTTTCCTCTTATCTGTAAGCCCGCTGTTCGGGCTTATGGATTGTTTATCGGCAGCGATTGGAGGCTGTCTTTTATTTTTGAAAAAGCTGGTCATTTTGTGAAAGAGGTTGGGTCTCTTGGCAGACTTTCCACTGCTAGTTTGAGAAACAACTCCGTCTAGGGGTTCTGGGTTTTTGGCTCCTTTGTTTTGCGCTGTCTGAGAGGGAGGTCGTATAGATGCTGTGTCGCTCTTCCTGCTCATGATTCGCTTTAGAGATGTGGCCTTGCCGAACGTATCGCTTTTCTTCAATTCTTCAGTGGACTTTCGGCTTGGAGCCGCATTATCGAAAACCTTTTTAACTGATAATACTGACCGACTTCTCTTTGGATGGCGCAAGCTCTCGCACCTTTTTTCCTTCTCCACTAGAAGAAACCACAATCCAGATAAGCTATCACATCTTTTCCTGTTGACGGAATGCTTGATGGCCTGAGTATCAAAACCACATTGCTTCAGTCTTTTTAAAAGCTTGCGTTCCAATTTGGAGTGGAATTGTTTGGTGCCATGACTTTGACGTTTGAGAATCTTTTCGGTCTTTTCAAATATCTGGATCCCATAAGGTTGGAGGAATGGATGTTGCAAAACTTGGGCCAAAGAAGGTCTTTGTTGCGGATCTTTGTTCAAGAGAGTCGATATAAGATCTTCACCAGCACTATCGACAAGATTGCGATTGTAGACCGGGTTTTCATTGACAATTTTGAATTTCGTCTTCGATTCGTCTTCTTCTTCAAAAGGCATACACCCGTGAATCAAGGTGAACAGAATGATTCCTAAGGACCATATGTCTGTTTTATAGCCTTCATAAGGTTTTCGTTCTATTAGCTCGGGAGCCATGTACACCGTGGTTCCACAAACAGTCTCCAAGATACCCTTGGTGGCGCATTCGCGGGTGAAACCAAAGTCTGTAAGCTTGGCCTGACCCTTATTGTCCAGTAAGATGTTTTCCAATTTCAAGTCTCTATGGACACATTTCATGGAATGAGCATAGTAGACTCCGCCCACAATCTGAGAAAAGAGCTGAGCACATTCAGCAAGTGGGATTTGTTTTTTGTTCAAAAGGTAGTCATAGAGCTCTTTTCCCGGACAATACTCCAGTGCCATCCAAACGTGGTTTTCGGTCACAATAACCTCGTAAAGTTTGGTTATGTATATGTAGTCAAACTGGCGATGGTAGAACACTTCCCTCACGACATTGGGGTCATTCTTTGAGCCCATTTTCAGAACTACCTTTTGGTGCGTCAGCCGATGACTCGCGAGATACACTTTGCCAAAGCTCCCTTCGCCCACAACATTGAGAAGCTTGTAATTCCCCACTTCCCGCAGCTCACTTGTTGAAAACTCACTATAGAGCTTGTTGTAAGAAGCTGCAATGTTGGCCTTGAGCTTGTTTTGCTCAAGTTTCGATGGGAACATGTCTGGCCACGAACTTTTTGCCGAAGAAGCTGGAAACTCGGTTTCAGAAGCTGGGACTTTCGAGGTATCCGGTAAAGCGACCTTCAGAGGTTCGATGGGTGGTAAGAATGAGAACGCTGGATCTTTATAGTCGTGCTAAGTTTCGAGTTTAAGTTGCCAAAGTGTACCGAAGAGTATGATCTTGAATAATTCCAGTGATTACGTCGAAGATCACATGAGCGAAGAGCTAAGAAACTAATTTCTCGGGAAAGAAGCCTGAAGTTGTTGTTATTGGGTTTGAGGACCTGCAATGCTTGGTGAAGCATTATTAGAATTAGCATGGGCGTTTAGACTTGGAGAGGATGGATTTCCGCAAGCTTTCATATTATGTTGAATTTTGAGATTGACTAGCGGCAGAATAGTGATAAAGTGATGTGAGTCACGTGACCTATGGGACGACAAGTTATGGTTGGCAGCTGTAGTTCAGTATTATGTTCTTCAGATGGTACCACGAATGTTGGAAGCTCAAGTTTTGAAGGACATGCCACCTTTCAGCACTGTCACTTTCACATATATGATAATAATTACTGACGCCATATATGAGGGGAGATGAAATAATATGCCTTGATACGATACTTCCGAACTCCATGATAAAGTAGCCTCGAGGATTGGGAGCGATAACTGAAATTAGTTCCCAGTTAAAGTGCCATTCCATCAAGTCTTTAAACCCACTTATAGTAATCTTGAAGCGAGCATTTTCATAGTTTGAATTGACATGTGTCACTATTCACTCATTCTGTCGCCAAGAAAATCTAAATTGATCTCACGTGACCGACGACAGCGACAGGTTTCTGGTTTTTTTATGTTCCACGTCTTGACTGAAGCTTCCATCGAAGTTTGATTCAATTTGGGCAGTAAAATAGACCGCCACTAGATTTCTCTGTATTATTCTCACACTTGTTCTCTCATAAGAATGTTCCAATTCTAAAGATTCACAGGTGAGATTCCACACACCAGAACTTGAACCCGAACCCAGACTATAAAAGCTCACCAGAATATCAGCAATATTTAACCATCTAAATCTCTCAATATTGAACTCGAAAAAGCCCTAAACAATGAAATGCTCGAACTTTTGAATACTTATCAACTAACTATCATATCACGTGACTCTTTCACATCCAACTAATATACACGATTAGGATGCCATATCAACACATCACCAGCTTCAACAATCATATGCAAATCTAGTAAACTTAAAAGACGACAATTGTCCGTCTAGTTTCTGAACTCTTGTTTTGTATTCATCATATGCGACTCAATTGGCCGCTCAGAATGTCTGCCAACGTTTCTAGATCTTACAACGATGCCGTATCAGCCTTAAACTCATTGCAATCTAACTATGCCAACATCATGGCTATCAGAGCATCTGGCGATCGTAAAAACCAAATGAATATTTGGGAAATGCAAGAATGGTGTCGTCGAATTGGCTACGAAACTGGCGATTTTGACAAGCTCAACATCATCCACATCACTGGAACCAAGGGTAAAGGATCAACGGCTGCTTTCACGCAATCGCTGCTACAACAGTATAACAGCAAAATTCATAAAATCGGACTGTACACCTCGCCTCATTTGAAATCGGTGCGTGAAAGAATTCAGATCGGTGGTAAACCCATTTGTGAAGAGAAGTTCTCACGCTATTTCTTCGATATCTGGGACAAACTGGACAACACTTCGTCATCGCAGGAGAAATTTCCACATATGACGCCTGGCAGCAAGCCAGGATACTTCAAGTATTTGACGCTACTTTCCTTCCACGTTTTTGTGCAAGAAGGCTGCGATTCGTGCATTTACGAAGTGGGTGTGGGCGGAGAATACGACAGTACCAATATTATCAGGACCCCAACGGCCTGCGGGGTTTCTTTACTAGGAATCGACCACACTTTCATGCTTGGCGACACAATCGAGGAAATCGCCTGGAACAAGGGCGGGATTTTCAAAAAAAACGTCCCGGCCTTCACAATCGACGTGCAGCCCGCTGCCGGCTTGAAAATGCTGCAGGAGAGAGCTCAGGAAAAGAATGTCAAGCTTCAGCAGGTCCCGGTCTTCAAAGACGTGAGAAACTTGAAGCTGGGCCTTGCGGGTGATTTTCAAGTCATGAACGCCTCACTTGCGGTTGCCTTGGCATCTCAGCATCTCACCAAACTCGGGATCATTGCTGCACCTCTAGCTCTTGAAGCAGACACCGCACTTCCTCATGAGTTCAAGAATGGGCTCACATCTGCCGAATGGAAAGGCCGCTGCCAAACAATACAGGCTGGCAATATAAAGTGGCTAATTGACGGAGCCCATACCAAGGACAGTATTGTGGCTGCTGCTGGATGGTTCAAATCACAAGTGGCGAATACCAAGAGCAAGAAAATCCTTCTTTTCAATCAACAAACCAGGGATGCTGATGCGCTTATCACCACATTGCGGAGTTGCTTGACCCCGGGAGTGAAATTTGATCGCATCATCTTCACTACAAATGTTACATGGAAGTCCGGTGAATACAGTGCCGATTTAGTTTCTATGAACACTTCGAAAGAGCAAGTCGACAGACTTGAGGTCCAAAAGGCTCTCCGCGAAACCTGGCTCAGCCAGGAACCAGACGCGCAGGTGGATGTTGTGGGAAACATCGAAACAGCCTGCGATATTGTCAAGACATATGAGGAGCCCATCGAGGTTATTGCGACAGGATCGCTTCACCTCGTAGGTGGACTTCTCGTAGTGTTGGATGGCCACGAATGATTATAGACTATTATTTTATTAGGCGTTATTTGTATTTTAAACTGAGTAATCGCTAAAGCGCATCACAATTCGAATGGGTTTTGATTTGGAGTCAGATCTTCATGTAGCAAGGCCGTTCTGTGATGTCGCGCCCATAATTGATTGACCATTCCCGGTAGTACTTCCTGTTCATGTACGTGCTGGGATTCTCATAGCTGGCAATGACATTCATTGCAGACCGAATATCAAAATAGCTGATGGAAACGCAAAGTTTACGTGAAATCATCGGCGTCACCTCAGCTATTTTTCCAAACTCGGCAAAATCCCGTTTGAGCTCGCCGATATCAAATTGACATAACTTTTTAGAAGACAACTGGCGGGAGCGTAAATGTTCTTTGTGGCCTGTCTTTTTAACAATTATACATCGGCGCGGTGTGGTCTCGGTCGTGTTGGTGCTCGCTCCGGTTCCGTGCACTTCATCGTTTCGGGTGCCAAAATTACCATTCAAGTGATAATTCATCGAGGGCAAGACCCATTCCGGTGCCAAACTGTATCCGTTGATGTGCAAGTTCTCAGACTGACCGAAATGCATGAATCTTTGCGCATCCTCATCTGAGATAAAATTGAGTCGTATTGCTTTGATGACAGATTGGTCTTGTGGATCATTCAAAACATCAATTCTTTCGAGTGGACCACCAGTGATTTGAGACAGCAAGCTGAGCAGACCACAATTCCTCGGCAAATTGCTGAGCTGCAGAACCCTCCCAGTTTCTGCTATCTCAACGTTACCCATGGCAGGTCCAAACTCAAAATCGCTGTCATTAGAAACACTTTTCCGCGCAACTGTGTAAGCAGGTGCCAAAACAGCACCAGCTTCACGCGAATTCAAGTTAGCACGCTCCGTCATAGAATACTGCTTTTTTTTCACACTTGCACCGTTGCTCGATGTCTGATCCGCAAACGACTCCATCGAAGTAGAGTAATTCTGTCGCTTCTGCGGCAAACGATTGCCAACTCTGATCATTGTCCCACTCAAAGGATGCGTTCCCGTTGATCCCGAAATTTTCACGCGGTACTGGTGCGATCCATTGACAGAACCGTCCTCTTTTGTGTGGATATCACCACTTTTGAAGTAATTTTTCGCTAGTCTCTTGAGCCCAAAGAGATCATGAGCTTCTTGCCTCCATCTCGATGCAGAGGTTGTTCCAAGCGGCTGAACAGATCCAATCATTGATGAGACAGAAACTAGTTTTGCTGGTCTGGTCCTGTTGCTTCCCTCATCGCTACACGGCTTTTGTACATATACTGTGCAGTCGGTCAACGTCGATTCCCGTGGCGCCATTAATATAGTTATTTGAGTAATAGATTTCTTCTTTGCTTGAAGTTCTTGAAATATCCTTTGCCTTGAAACGGTGGCCACCGGAATGAGTTTGTGGAGTCGGTCTTCTCACATTTTGTCCTTCGCTTCCAGCACTGACGCCAGTTTCTCGAGCCGTGGTATACAATTGTAACGTGATCCTGATGACAGCTCGAGACGTCTGGCACAGCACCGGGATGAAATCTGGTAGGAAGATAGCACAGTGCTGTAGTCCTAGTCTTCATGATCTAACAGCACACATATCACCACGACGAGAGGATTCGATTTTCATAAGTTCGCGCAAAAGCATTGTTGCGTATGCAGAAACTCCGAGTCTGAACGTCAGTATCACGGCGGTGCTGTCACCGCCTTTATCCTCTGGGAAACGGTTCAACTTGTCCTTCATAAATCTCTGGCCGTTTTCCTTGCCCTTCTGGTTGTTAAGAATTTCCAAATCAGTGTTCACAAGCTGTTGAGTTGGCGATGAGTAGTGCAGAATCTTGTATTCGAGATTGGTAGGTTTATGAATCACATTTCTGTAAGACCCAGCCAGAGAGAAATCACGAGCTTTGCGTCTCATGTCGAAAGGATCTAGTTCATCCTTCTTCATCACGTCCACGTATAGCTGGCGCAGGGTCTCGTTGCCAGGGTAGACAACATCAAACCCGGGAGTGGGCAACACCACGTCTTCAATGCTGTACTTGCCAGACTCTACCTCACTCTGGGTGACCGGTCTCGCTCTCACAAATTGGGCTTCACGCAAATCCTCTGCGAAATCCTCATCTTCCTCATTGGTATCCACATTTGCGCCCTCTTTAACATCTTCAGACGTTTCATTTGCACCTGAGTCTAGCACTAAGTCACCAGCAACAATCTTCAAGCCAAAAAGCTCTATACGCTTGCTGGCCACTGCATTCCAGATGTAACTTTGGTAAGCGTGGGCATACATGGTTCTCAAATTCCGGGGAATTTTGTTAATGGCCTGGAAATAGTCCAGCGATGTTGAGCCATTTCTTTGCTGCTCGACAAAACAGTTCAAGATAGCATTTTCTGCAACGCACTGACGTGGCATCTTACCGATAGCGGCTTCGGCATCTTGAGTATCGGACCAAATTTTTCTTGCCTCTTTGGAAATGGGCAGAACATTCTCCTGCTCGGCGAGAATCAAATCAGCCACCTTCTTCCAGTCACCGCGCAAAATCCACTTACCGATTTCGTGAGTGGAAACACTGAATGTGCCGAAACGTTGCATCCCAAAATAATTGATGAACCCGTTGTTTCTAATCGCGGAACAACTTTCCTCCAAAATTTTTTCCAAGGGCAAGCCAGCGTCTTTCGAAACCTCCACATCTCTAATCGCGATGGTAAATTCGTTGCCTTGCAGGTCACCTAGACTGAGAGACTCATCCTCAAAGCTAAACCCGCCTAATGTCACACCTTTCAGTACTCTGTTCAAGGCGTTCAATCTTTCCACGCCGATCTTCGAGACTGACATACGCTGGCATGTAATAGCTCTGCGGTCTTTTGTTCCAGCGTATCTGATCAACCTAGTGGGGGTTCTCAAATATCTGGCTAGGATATTGGCAACATCCATAGTGTCTTTATTCTCCTTATAAGTAGTGAAATGAACAAACTCCTTGGTTGGGCCATAGCCCCAATTCTCAACCCCATTGGCATCCTTGGTGCGTTCAATCATATCCTTGCGACTGACACGAGACTTGCGAGTTGCAAGTGCAACATGAAAGGTATTTTCGGGAGATGTGACTGATTCCAGCTGATTGTTGAAAGCAGCACGTAGAAGCTGGTGAAGTTGAGTACGTTCGGCCTTGTCTTCGAAACGCTTTGTTGTCTCCATCTTGGTGACATTTCTGTAGACATCTTCGATCTTGGCCACATCCGATTCACCAAGCACGTCGACAAGCTTGGCTCTCAGTTCGTCGTCCACCTTAAAAGATTTACGCTTCTCCAATTCCGCTTTTTCTTCCTCGGCCTCTTCAGATTTCGTCTTCTTGGGTGGCTTAGGCATCTTGAATCCCTTGTCCGTCAGATGTACTACAGAACCTTGCTTGTCTATCTCGTTGACCAAAAAATCTGTGTATCTTTGTTTGATCTGGCCTGAAAACCCTGCAAGCTTTGGTGTAAGAAACCATGTAATCCCTACATCGCGCTCTGTAATCCCATCAGAGGTTGTGGCACTTTTCTGTTCCACCGTCTCGAGCTTTGACTTTTTATCCTGATGCTCATCTTTCGAAGGCTCTGAAGAGTCAGCTGGAGCGCTATTTTCGCCGGAAAAGTCTCTGACACGCTTCTTATCCTCCAATTCGGACATGATACACTATTCGTGGGTCTATGGAGCGTCTAGAATTGAAGCTTATGCTGTTTACGCTTGAACTTTGATCTATGAGATGCGATGCGATGAGCTTAAAATTTTCCATGTAAAGGGCTTATTTCAAAATGCAAAGCGATCGAAGGGACAAAAGTGGAACCTAAGGCCCATGCTGCTATGTCCAGAGAGCTTTTGGCTGATCCGGACGATGCACGTAAAACGTACGTGAACGTTCTGTGGGAAAAACGGTTCAAAAACCTTGCCGTAGTGCCGAGTTACATCCAGGAAAAGATCGACGAGCGGAAAACAGCGTTCAGGCGCCATCAGGAGCTGCAAGAGAGCTCTAAACTCGAAAAAACTCAAGATAATGGTGCCTTAGTCAAACACCAAAGCTCTGAGGAGCCGAATGGTGCACTGCAAGCGGTGGTTGGTGCAGTGTACGGTGAAAACGACTTATTTTCCAGCTCTTTAGCAGAGCGTCATAATCGACGCATGGCAGTTCAGCCGGGTTGGCATGCGCCTTGGAAACTCATGCGGGTCTTGAATGGCCATAATGGCTGGGTCCGGTGTGTGTGTGTTGATCCTGTAGATAATGAATGGTTTGCAACGGGGAGTAACGATACCACAGTCAAAGTTTGGGATCTGGCCACAGGAAGGCTCAAATTGACGCTTTCAGGGCATGTTATGACTGTGAGATCCATAGCCGTGTCTCAAAACCACCCCCTGATGTTTACTGCCAGCGAAGACAAGCTTGTCAAATGTTGGGATCTCGAAACAAATAAGGCCATCAAAGACTTCCATGGCCACTATTCGGGCGTTAATTCGGTCGACGTTCACCCAACTCTGGACCTTATAGCGAGCGCTGGTCGGGATGCGGTGGTCAGGCTGTGGGACATAAGGACTCGACTTCCTGTTATGACGCTCGCGGGCCATAAGGGCCCCATTAACCAGGTCAAATGCTTTTCCGTTGACCCTCAAATTGTCAGCTGCTCCACTGATGCGACTTTGAGAATGTGGGATGTACGGGCTGGCAAAAGCGCCAAGATTTTGACCCACCATAGCAAAAATGTCCGGACGATAGCTGCGAGTCCCATCGAGTCCTCGTTTGCTTCAGCTTCTACTGGGGACGTCAGATCATGGCGATGCGAGGATGGCCAGCTTTTGACCAACTACAGCTCAGAAGGTCTCGGTATTGTCAATAGTCTGTCAGCGAGCCCTGACGGTGTGTTGTTTGCTGGTACGGACGACGGGAATTTGGAATTCTTTGATTACGAGACTGGTCACAAGTACCAAGAGCTGCCGACGGTCAAAATTCCTGGCTCTCTGGAGAGCGAACGGGGAATTTTGTCTAGCTCTTTCGATCAGACCGGGTTGAGACTTATTACTGGCGAAAGTGATAAGAGCATTAAAATTTGGAAGCAAGACGACACTGCAACACCACAAACACACCCGGGACTGCCGTGGAATCCAAGTATTGACTCACAAAGGTTTTGAATGAGTTTTCATCAATTCGTGAAAGCTTTCAACCAAACGTGTCAAGATATGTGAATGTTTGATGACGCATAATTATTCAAACTGGCATTAGTGCCAAACTACTGATTCTAAGACTGAGACCTTAAGCTGTGCAAGCCAATACTTGCGCTTTAACCGATGGAAGACAAGCACTGAATGTGAGACCAGTTTTTACTGTTTTCCTCCGGCGTCTTACTCCTGTGTCCTCCTTGTTGTTCTACATACAAACTCAGCGGCGGCTCGCTTATGTGCAAGAAACCCTAAAAACTTCTTTCTACTATCAAAATGATCCTCTAGTCATGCGCATGAAGAATATGGCGTCGATAGATCGATGAAACTAAAGCCTTTCGAGTTATTCTTCTTTATCGAAACTCTTTTAGACTCACACTCTCTTCGATGAGTTAAATGACCTTGTCAAGCAATCTGTTTGATGTTTACCATCAATTTTAGGGGATCAGGGCTTTTATATTTTTTTAGGGTTTTTCGAAAAAAATGGTATAAAAGGGACCAATATCTTTGATCTTTTTCCTTTCTCTCGGCGGCTACTTTTAAAACATCTCACACAGTCATAATGAAGAACAATCACGACACAAGGATAGGATTTAGTTGGGACTCAGTGTGTCCTTAGTAGCACTTATATACAAAGCTAAAACCGTATGTAAAACGAAATGTGTTTGCTCAAAAAGAAGCTAGTTTGTTAACGTCTTTGTTGCTTCTGGATTTGATACGAAATCAGCACACTGCAATCAGTTGCAAGGATAACATTCTCAAACGTTCATATGTGTTACGCAACAGCTCTTATGCCCCTATCCCAAATAATAGGCGTTGTTCGGAGAGGTTTTCTCTTTTGTGTTGGCGGCAATTGAGGTCAAAGATCCTGAGAAAAGCAAGATCCTCTCTCGTCACGTGCCACTGGGGAATTTGGATCGGAGATCATGGACTACAATGTGAAAAACGCTTATTATTGTATGTTGTGCATGGTAAACTGTATATATAGGTAGACTATAGGTTAGAGGCCGTATAGCAATCACTTGGTCGGCTAATCCAAGCGCAGAAGACATGGGAACTGATGAGGATAAAAAACCTGTGGCTCCGAGACAGATACAGGATGTGAGTGAGATCGTTATTGGATGCAAATGTTGGGTGGAAAAGGATGGAGCAGAACGGCTGGCGGAAATATTGAGTATAAACAGCCGTAAGAAGCCTCCCAAGTTTTACGTGCATTACGAAGACTTCAATAAGCGTTTGGATGAGTGGATTTTGGCCCCGCGGATAAATGTCAAGAAAGAGGTGTTCTTTCCAGTGTCAGAGAATGACAAGGACGCCGAAACGGACAAAGCGAATAAGAAGAAACAGAAACAGAAAAAAAGTTCCGAACCGCCCGATAACGATGAGAAGGCGCAGTCTGAAGCGCAAGCGCCAGATGGGGGTGATATCATGGACTTGGACTCCTTGAACGTTCAAGGAATAAAAGATGAGGAGATTTCTAGAGACGACGAGATCAAAAAACTACGAACTTCAGGTTCGATGGTGCAGAATTCACACGAAGTAGCAAGAGTACGAAATCTAAGCAAGATCATAATGGGGAAATACGAAATAGAACCGTGGTATTTTTCTCCTTACCCTATAGAACTTACGGACGAAGATGTGGTCTACATCGATGCGTTCACGCTTCAGTACTTCGGTTCCAAAAAACAATACGAGCGCTATAGATCTAAATGCACACTGCGACATCCGCCTGGTAACGAAATATACCGTGACGATTATGTGTCGTTTTATGAAATTGACGGCAGAAAACAGAGAACTTGGTGCAGAAATCTTTGTCTCTTCTCAAAGCTATTTTTGGATCACAAAACGCTTTACTATGATGTTGATCCTTTCTTGTTCTACTGTATGACAAGAAGAGATGAGCTGGGTCATCATTTGGTGGGTTATTTCTCCAAAGAAAAAGAATCTAGTGAAAACTACAATGTGGCGTGTATTCTCACTCTTCCCCAATATCAAAGAATGGGGTACGGACGACTTCTGATAGAGTTCTCGTACGAGCTTTCCAAGAAAGAAGGTAAGGCTGGATCACCGGAAAAGCCGTTATCGGACTTGGGACTTCTGTCCTATAGAGCCTATTGGGCCGATACTCTAATCAAGCTGCTAATGAATCATGTATCCGAGATCACAATCGATGAAATAAGCTCACTCACATCCATGACCACCACAGATATTCTGCATACGGCTAAAGCGCTCAACATCCTTCAATATTATAAGGGCCAGCATATCATCTACATGAATGAAGAGGTAGCGCAGCGGTATGAAAAGATCAAAGAAAAAAAGGGCAAACGCAACATCGACCCCGCCAAATTGATCTGGAAGCCGCCCGTTTTCACCGCCTCCCAGCTGCGGTTTGCATGGTAAGTTAAAATATATCTATATGTGTGTGTGTGTGTGTGTGTGTGTCTCGTGTGTTTTACGTTAATCGAATGGTAATCTTTTGGCACCATTTTTCTGACTCCCGGAGGCAGCAATAGCGCTCGGTACTCTAATACCACAGCAATCACCCCAGGTATTTTGAAGCGAGTGGTCCTTGCAATTGTGATGATCCGACGGGGTGTGCGACCCTGGTGGAGATATACCATCAGGGCAAGGTAAAATAGTGCCGAAGAAAAAGTGCTGCATAATCGGGAGCTTACTCAAAACTTCTGCCTTGTACATTTTCATCATACCCTCGGCGACTTTTGACCAAGTTTTTACGCCGCTGATATCGTCGAGCATAGGAGAATGCCACCTAAGTGAGGCTGTCGTTTTCACTTTGTTGATGAAGGATATGCAACCGAAATACAGATATTTGTCGGCAAACATTTCTACCATGTCAGGGTTGTGAATAGACTTTGGTTTGAGATGTTTGTGGGTTGACAACTGGAAAGCCCCGAACAGGAAGGGAAGGAAGTGGTAATCATCTAGGCCCCAAACCCCATGGGATCCAGCGGGTTCAAGCCAATATTTGGTTTCAAGTAACCGCATGAGTGAAAGGTATTTGATGAACACTTTCAAGACGACGTTTCTGCTGTGGGAATGGTCGAACACACCAAACTCTCGCAGCCCATACAGAAAACAGACAAAATTCAATTCGTGTCCCGATCCATAATCTATTCTTTCACGATCACCCCAAGATTCTGTGAGATACACGGCAAGCTCTTCGGCTTGTGGATCTGTTAGAGTCGTGAAATGCTGAGAGACCATGTTCTGCGACGTTGATTTCAGCTCATCGTAAAAGCTTCGAAACTCAACTTTGCCGAATCTGGATGTTTCTGCATCTTCTATTACTGGAAATTTATCGATAATCCCGTTGGTCTGCTCGAGCAGCAGCATGGTGTTTTCCACAGACGCATCGACTGGTTGCTGGACTTCGTCATTTTGAAATCCTTCAACAGATGTTGCTAGTTCGCGAATGTAAAGCACCAAGTTTTCGCACACTGAGGAGCCCTCCCAAATCTCAACGTCTTCTTTAGTGAGCAGCCGTTTTTGAGGAAGCATCTTGATCTAGCTCTTGGAGTTGTGATGTGGTTATCTCTTTAGTTTGGTACTTTAAAGGTACTTGAATTAATCTCATAACGGTGGTAATTTCGATCAGACAATGTGATTTTTGACACGATGTCAAAAAGGCTGTCACAGAAAAGACAATTCAAGTGACCATAACTATAGGATTATTTTGAGCCACTGAAGATCACTGTGGGTCACTTTTTGTCGTGAATGCCTTTTTATTTATTCTACAAATTTTAGTTCTTGGTGTTCGTACCCAAACCGCTTGCGGTTCGAGTAGAAAATCCTCTCAAGTTCTTCGAGGTAAAGGTTTTGATAATAATCGATATCCTCAAGAGTAGGATTCTCATGTTTTTCCTTGACATAGATGGGTGCGCCTGTCACAACGTTGATAGGACTGCGGAAGGGAATAAGACCGAAATCGTAGTTGAAAAGTCCACGCGCGAAGAAAAATGGGATGGTGAACCCATAAGATTTCTTGAACCACAGTTGAAGCCGACGCAAGTAGGAGGCATCATCCGTTTGCAGAATGTTATAACAGTCTGTTTCCCCGAACGCAAAACAGGGCACGAGACTTACGTTTCCGGTTTCCAAAGCCAGTTTGATGAAACCTTTTCTTCTCTTGAGCACCAAGTCTGCAGAGCCAATCTTACTTAGCAGAGCCTCCTGGGCTCCTCCAACCACAATGCAGATAGAGTGATTGCGCTGCAGAACTCTTAGCGCGTTTTTTTTGGACACAGACGTTATTCCCAGCGACAATAAATAATCCCTGTAGAAGGGAATTTGGAATTGATTGATAAGTGTCATCAAACACATTTTCAGGCCTGGATAAAGCTGTGAGAAATTCGCTCCTTCAGTGGCAAAAGCTCCAAAGGCTCCCAAAGCAGCTACACCGTGTGGATGGTAACCGAAAATGTAACGAGGGCCTGTTGCCTCCGTTTCTGGCTCCAATGAGCTGTTGCTGCGTTTGAGAATATTGAACTTGAGCGAGTACCTGAAGGGCCAAATCCTGATTCTGAAGCTTATCAAATATGGACTTTTGGTCACATCATGTTTCCCTGATTCCTTGACTGTGAAGGAAGGAGGTAAATCTGCAGTTTTGTGGAGGCGAATCGGGTAGTAATCGCAGTAGTAACGCCAAAACGAAAGGCTCCGAAACCAGGGAGAGTACCGTTTTGTGACGTTCCCATTGGCCGGAGAACGGTCTATGGCGTAGTACCCCATGTACGGAATCATTAAAACCCACATTATAGGATTTGCCAATGCCAAGATAGCAAATGCCAAAATGTACACAAACGACCCCACATGCCAGGCAACAGCCAGAGTTTGCAATCTACGTTTCCAAGGAGTCTTTACCGAGCAAAAATTGGGTTTTTGCTGCTCTAATGATTTTCCATCTTCATCTCTGATAATACTACCGTTTTCCTTGATTTTGGAAGTATGATTGACCTGCCGGTCGAGTTCCTGCTCGTTTTCCAATTTTCCAGTTTTGGTCCTTGCTTGATGCTGTTTCTTGACGCCATTAGCAAGTCCGTTCGGGATCGTGGGTTTCCCTCTGTATTTCACTTTACCTGGCGAATCCATGCTTTCAGATTTCAGAAGTAGTCTTTTACTAGTGAACGCAACCCTCAACCCAAGGTAAAAAGTACAGATGTGGGAACTCAGAAATGGAATGGGAAACCCTGCCGTCCGATAAATTTCCTAGCAACGGCAAAATCAGCAATCTCGCAAATGAAAAGCTGTAGTAGTAGAATGCTGTGAGAACAATGAAAGTTGAGGCTTCTTATTATATATCTCGAAGGATGCGATGAGATATAGAAAAAGGAGGTAGAGGTTCAAACTTATAAAAAGGGAACCGGGAGCAAAATAAGAGCAGGTCTGGAATTATGGAAGGAGAGTTGTTCACGGAGGTATCCTTTCCATTTTCACAAGGGCAACGAGCGAGCGATGCCTTGTGACTCTCTCCTTTTGTTGAAAGAGATTATACACGGGATAATGAGATGTTTTTTTGACATTTCGTGACGTTATATAAAAACGGGAATTTTCGAGGGAATTCTGTACGAAGAGAATGGAAAGAGTTGAATAGAGAGTAATGGATTTGGAGACTCTTTTTTGAAGGAGGGAGAAGTGAGGACGTTGCGTTTCTGATTACCAGATTTCTGTTGAATCTGCCAGTTTGGAATTCGGCATCATCAGATTTACTGAAAAGTGAGTATTGTCACGTGATGCATGACAGCGTCAGAGCTGATAATTTGGAACAATGTATTGAGGCATGGTGTCAAAGAATCGTTATTACTGATGAAGGTCGTTATTGTAGCTGGTGTGGCTTGATATTTTGACGGGACGCAAAAAAATAAACGTATGTTTGTTTGTTTACGAAATTCTAAGCCCGGCCAGCGGAGAAGCGCTTTAATATCAGCTTATGAGAAAAACTATTTTTTATTTTGGACATATAAAGCTACATTCGGTCAGAACAGCACTGAAAGGTCCCAAGTCCCAACCTGTTCCATAAGCTCGGTGAACAACACTCCTCAACTAGCAAGCTGAATCATCCCCGAATATCACTCCTCAACTACACGGACGTTTGTTGATTCCTCCCCAGCTCAAAGACCCATTTCCCCCATCATCACTTCCGACGGCCAGAGAGAAACGCGTAAACTTTCACTAAATTAAATCAACTCTATCCTTTCGCGTCGTATGGCACATTTCGCTACTACTACAGTCTCCAAAAATTCAAGCATTTCATTCACACTTGACCGACCATCGCGGCGTATCGCACTCGATTCTCGTCTCGGCGATGGACTTCATCACACAGCCTACCCAACAAGCTACTCAAGCCACTCAGAAGTACGTTATAGAGAAATTCTCACAAGAACAGATCGATGATGATATCGTGTGTCGAATGATATGTACCAATGGCCACATACCAATTCGGGACCTCAAAGCCGAGCTGCGTGAAGTCATTCGCAAGCGCGAAGGTATCAAAAAGACCTGGATATTCGGTCGAAACCCTCAAAGTGACTATCATTTGGGAAACACATCGCGCTTCTCCAACAGACATTTCCAGATCCTACTGGGTGAAGATGGTAACCTTTTACTCAAAGACACATCAACGAACGGAACTTGGCTGAATGGTGAACGTATGGAAAAAGGCAGGAATCACCTTTTATCACAAGGAGACGAGATAACGGTGGGTAAAGGAGTTCCAGAAGATGTGATAAGTTTGGTTATATTCATCAATGAAAAGTTCAAGCAGCGGTTGGAAACGGCCAAGCTACAGGGTCTCAAACCTACCAAAGGAAAGAATTCCAAGCAAGCTTCTCCCAATGCAAACTTGACAGGAATTCACAGGGACTACACTATAAAAGATGAGGTTGTAGGACAAGGAGCTTTTGCAACGGTAAAAAAAGCCGTTGAGAGAAGAACCGGCAAAACTTATGCTGTGAAGATAATCAACAAGCGAAAGGTAGTGGGTAATATGGACGGTGTCACTCGAGAATTGGAGATACTGCGACGACTGCACCATCCAAGAATAGTGCGTTTACAAGGATTCTATGAGGACAAAGATAATTATTATTTGGTTATGGAGTTTGTATCAGGAGGTGATCTAATGGACTTCGTAGCGGCTCACGGAGCTGTGGGAGAAGATGCAGGACGCGAAATTACTCGGCAAGTCTTGGAAGCTGTCACATACATTCATGCGATGGGCATCAGTCATCGGGATTTGAAACCTGATAACATTCTAATAGAACAGGACGATCCAGTACTTGTCAAGATTACGGATTTTGGACTGGCCAAAATACAAGGCAACGGTACTTTTATGAAGACTTTTTGTGGGACATTGGCGTATGTTGCGCCTGAAGTGATCAGCGGTACGAACTCTGAGGAAAAAGAGGGAAATAAATACTCATCCATGGTGGATATGTGGTCAATTGGATGTCTTGTGTACGTGATTTTGACAGGCCATTTGCCATTTAGTGGTAGTACGCAAAATGAGCTTTACAAACAGATCAGCGCTGGATCGTACCACGAAGGTCCTCTGAAGGACTATAAGATCTCTGATGAGGCAAGAGACTTCCTGGAATCATTTTTACAGGTCAACCCTAGCGAGCGTATGACGGCCGAACAAGCGCTACAGCATCCGTGGATCAAAGCTACGAAGACGTCAGATGCATTGGACTCTCAAATTAGTCTCTCCCAGTCAATGTCTCAACAAAGGCCCGGTGAGAATCTCAGCGACGCGCAGCAACAATTTTTGAATATGAGAGCACTGGAAGAACAGAAACGGGAACAGAAACCACACAAGATTGCCAGTCAAGCTCCAGAAGCGGCAGCGAGCCAGAATTTGAAGCCATCCCAAAAACCAGTTTTCAAAGTTCCTGTACGAGCACCTGTTCGACTAACGCAGCCATGCGTGCCGGCTGAGAACTCGGAGCCCGACAGTTTGAAGCAGGTAAGAACAGCAAATTTTGACGTCAATTATTCCATTCCTTCGAGCTACGAAGAACAGACCCCAGAACATATCCCACTCAGTAAAGTGGATCCTAGCCAAGTTGAGAATAACGCAGATCACGACGTGTGCATCAATACGGATGGTGTGTCGCTCGCAGGCGGGAAGTTCATGACACTTAGATCCACCGCTCACAGCGCTATAAAGGGCATTGTAGAGATAAAGCAAGGTGTCAACCCGTTTTTTATTGGGAGATCGCCTGAGTGCAGCTGTAAGATCGACGATAATCGATTATCGCGTGTGCACTGTTTTATCTTGAAAAAACGACACCCGATTGGTGATAGCATTTACGAGTCTCCAGCACAAGGTCTCGAAGACCTATGGTACTGCCATGCGGGGACCAACATGAGTTACTTGAACGATGTTCGGCTCACACATGGCACTAAGGCTTTACTGCACGAAGGCGACGAAATCAAGGTAATATCCGACCGCGTCAATAATTTTGTGATATCGTTTGTCGTCGAGATCAACGACGCTACAGGGCTGTTCAACCAAGGAAGACTTCTGGCAGGCCAGCAGCGGCTGGTTGAGCCCCAGACCGCAGATGAGCTCCAATTGGCCGACAAAATGGGGTCTTTGGGAAGCAGTCTGGCACCACCCAAACGTGCTCTTTCTATCGTATCTGCTAGCCAGGACTCCATCAAGAAAGCCAAACGGGCCAAACTCGACAAAGCCGACAAATCTACACACACTTAAAAAGGACTAAAGACAACTGATAATTATAAAACTTGGTCAATCACAAAGAAACTCTACTTTATCGCTGTTAGCGGCTAATTCAAGTTCTTTTGCTGAGAGGAGTTTACTACAGGTAGTAGTAGCCGCCCTGTTTTCGACTTTTTGTGCCGCTTTTTATAGTTGAGCTCCACCAGTTACCCGCATCTGACTTTTCAAGGGGTTCGAATTCAAGTTACACAAAAGCGAAATTTAAGTGGCTTCCCCGTTTTCTCAACTTCACTATAAAAGGGCAAAGAAACTTGAACAGCCCAACTTCTCTGTTTCAAGAACAGCTTGACCAAAAACCCACTGAAACTCGACGAGGTTCATATCATACACGCTAAGGAAATCGACAAGTCCGTGTGTGTAAACTGAACGTCTCCTGAGTGCTCAGTGACTAGAAAATACGATAATATCATAAAGAAAAATGCATTTGCCCTCGCTTCTTTCGCTGGCCACACTACTGGTGGCAAGCTTGAATGGCGCTCAAGCCAAAACGCACACAGCCAAGGTGTATAAGAACAAGGTCAATGCTGATGACGCGGAGTTCCTGGTGTTCAAAAGCGCAAGAGAACTTGGAGACAAGTACTTGAAGCAATTTTCGTCTGCTTATCCTGAAGCCAATCTAGCAGCAGCCGACTTTCAAACGCATTTTGGCGTTCCTGATGTTGACGAGGATACAATGGTCTCTTTGGATAGCCATGACGTTCCCTTGTCGAACTACCTCAACGCACAGTATTTCACCGATATAACGCTTGGAACACCTCCACAGAGCTTTAAGGTCATTTTGGACACAGGTTCGTCGAACCTGTGGGTGCCAGGTGCTGAATGTGGCTCGTTGGCGTGTTTCTTGCACTCCAAGTACGATCATGAGTCCTCCTCCTCGTACAAAGCGAACGGCACCGAGTTTGCCATCCAATACGGTACCGGGTCCTTGGAAGGTTACATTTCCCAGGATACGTTGAGTATTGGTGACCTGACAATCCCCAAGCAGGATTTCGCAGAGGCCACCTCTGAACCCGGTCTCACTTTTGCTTTTGGCAAGTTTGACGGTATCCTAGGTCTTGGCTACGACACTATTGCCGTCAAGAAAGTGGTTCCTCCTATCTACAAGGCGATCGAACAGAAATTGTTGGACGAGCCAAGATTTGCCTTTTACCTCAACGATGCTGACAGCGCTGAGGAATCTGTGGGTGAAGTCTCATTTGGTGGCATTGACAAATCCAAGTACAAGGGTGACATCACGTGGCTGCCTGTTCGTCGTAAGGCGTACTGGGAAGTCAAGTTTGACGGTATCGGACTTGGCGACGAGTATGCTGAGTTGCAAAACACCGGTGCTGCTATCGACACAGGAACTTCTTTGATTGCCTTGCCCTCTGGTCTTGCTGAAGTCTTGAACTCGGAAATTGGCGCCAAGAAGGGCTGGACCGGCCAATACACCGTCGACTGTGAGACTAGGGACCAATTGCCAGACTTGACCTTCACTTTCAACGGTCACAACTTCACCATCTCCGCCTATGACTACACTCTGGAAGTGTCAGGCTCTTGTATCTCTGCGTTCACCCCAATGGACTTCCCAGAGCCCGTGGGGCCTCTGGCCATCATTGGTGACGCCTTTTTGCGCAAATTCTACTCGGTTTACGACTTGGGCAACAATGCTGTTGGTTTGGCTCAAGCTGTTTGAGAATGCCAGTCTTATTGGCGGGCATCCAGCCAACATGAACGTTTTCTAGAACTACAAAATCAGACTGAAAAAGAAAAAAATAATAGGACAGGAGACGACCGAGCTAGATTCCAGCATCCTGTAAGCTGAAAGCAAGAGCCTTCGTGTTGCCGTTCCCGGAGTTAAATTAGGAAAGGTATTGTTGGCAACATCAAAGGTAAGAAAAGGTCTAAAAGACTATACGCAACTTTTTGTATATCTACACTACGTTGAAGTTATAAAAGGTCTCGAGAAGAACATTCACTGATTTTTACGTGCGGTTTCTATTTGAAAATGTCTTTCTGTTCATATGTTTCTTATACATTACGGGTAGGTTGATATTTATAAATTACCGTTTATACTACTACCTTCAACAATGATTATCTCAAAACAAACTCTAAAAGACATAATAAACAGCTTGAGTTGACCCATTGAACTCGCTTAAATAGCCACTATATTTGATAAGCCCTCTAGCAGCCCTACCGCACAAGTTTTTGGTCGAAAAGTGGGCTGTTTTACTTGATTTTTCACTGATCAATTTCACACTTTTGAATCTCGAGCATGATTCATAAGAGTCCCACTCGAAGACCTATGCCGAGACCCTCTTACCAGCAAATTCCACAGAGTCCAGTAATACGCAGCGGAAAACCAGTGAAGCGAAAAAACTCGACAACGCCATTGTCTACGCCAATATCAGTGTCATCGACGTCGTTGAGGAATCGACATGCTTCACCTACTCAATCGCCGATGGTTTCTTCTCCGACTCGAACAAGCTCAGGCTCGAGCAGTCGTGGGAAGACGTCAGATGGAATGGTGAACTTGGACTCTATTTGGCAGAATGGAGCCTCCCAACAATATCGTGGCACGATATCTGTATCAATTCGTGTGAAACCGTCAGAGTCGAGATTTAAAAATCCATGGAGAATTGGTCAAAATCACACAATATCGCATGAGGACCATGGTGAGTTCAAATTCGACAATGTTTTTCAGCCTGAATCCAGCAACACAGAGGTTTACGAAGGCATTGGGAAACCGCTAATAGATCGGTTATTCGAAGGTTATAATGGCATAGTCTTTGCTTATGGAATGACAGAATCGGGCAAAACCTACACTATGAGTGGAACAGCAGAGGAAGCGGGACTTATACTGCTTTCAGTTCGACAAATTTACGACCGCATCAACAATGAGCAACAAGACAATACTTTACTGTCAGTTAAAGTCTCATATTTGGAAATTTACAATGAAAAAATCTATGATCTTCTCAACTACCCAGACCATAGAACCGGGTCATCCACATTTGCTCCAAGAACGTCTCAAGCATCATGTGCAGCCGAGCTGCAAATAAGAGACGATTCCAAGAACGGTGTGCGAGTTGTGGGTCTTACAGAGCAGAGTGTTCATACCACAGAGGAACTGATGAGATTCATTTCCGTCGGGAACAGCAACCGTCGAACTGGTGAAACCGACTATAACGCGAGAAGCTCGCGATCACATACAATTGTATCCATCACCCTTACGCGCACTAACGTGCTAGATGGTACAGAAACCAGTAGCACGCTTTCTTTGTGTGATTTGGCTGGTTCTGAAAAAGCTGCCGGTCAGCAAGAAAGACGTAAAGAAGGTGCATTTATCAACAAATCGCTTTTGGCATTGGGGACTGTTATTTCAAAACTTAGCGCCGGTTGCACACACCCGAACTCGAGCTTTGGGACCAGTCATATTCCATATCGAGACTCAAAACTGACACGTATATTGCAACCTGCGTTGTCCGGGGAGAGCATCGTCACAACTATTTGCACTATCGATACCAAGTTGGATTCCGTACCCGAGACGGTCAATACTATTCGTTTCGCAACGCGAGCCAAAGACGTTTCGATGACGGTACGAAGAAACGAAGCGGAGTCCAATACTGCTAAAGACAAGCTTGTCAACAGTCTGAAGCGACAAATTGATGAACAACAGGAGATTATATGGGAATTGCGGCAACAGTCGAGCGGCATAAACGACAATCCCACGGCGACAGCACATCTAATGAGATGGGAATATCAGACAATGAAAGCGAAGCTGCAACACTGTGAGAGGTTACTAGATAAAGATGATACACCTGTCCAGGACGAAAATTTCTTGGAGATTGTGGAAATGTTGCCTCCTGCAATTGGGGCTGTACTTGAGACTAAGATCCAGGGCCTGGAATCAAAACTGCGTGAGCATCAAGCTTACAACGCAGTTTTGGAGCGCAAATTGAAGAAGGTCGAGCAACAGCTTGCCGGGGAAGAGAAGGAAGAGGAGAGCGTTGTTGTGCAAGCTGAAGGTCCTTCACAGCAGTTGTTGAAAGAGCAAGAGGAGGAAATTCACGATTTGCGTCGGGCTTTAACTCGCAAGAATAAGATGTTGGAAGCGTTACAGAGTGCGAAACGTCTGCGTGAAGGGGCGTTGAGACCACTCAACTACGAAAACCGGAAACTCGAGGATTCGACCGGGAGGAAGTAGGACGAGGGCAAGTCGAAAAGTAACAAGAAGACAAGAGAAGCAAGAATACAAGAATTTGACTTTTCAGGAAGGAATTTGGCTGGACTATAAAGGAAGTTGTACTATTAAGTAGGATCAAGATGAAATGAAGCGTTATAGAGAGCGCCAAAAATCAATTGTGAGTCAAAGGGGCGGCCACTAGCTTTGTTGGACGACTGAGCGCGTCCGCCATAAAACATGCGATAAGCATTTTTTAATTTCTGAGAGCGTAGTGGTCAGTCCTGAAATGAAGAGCCTACGTAATTGTGTTTTGTCAAGCATAGCGTTCGAATAGTAGAGACAACAATGAAGGTAGCAAAACAATTGACCGGTGATGTTTTCGATGGTGATCAGACAAGAAGGACGGGGATTTGACTTTTGTCAGTCGCGACGCCGGTCGTGCGAGAGTTGTGCTGTCGAGCGAGTTGCAGTTTTTGAGATCCCGTTTCGTCAACGATCGGGTACCCGGTTGGGAGCCCGGTTTGTGACCCGATTTGGGATCCGTTTGGGACTTGGTTTGGGACTTGGTTTGGGACTTGATTTCGGACCCGTTTGGGACTTGGTTTGGGTACTCGCTTTGGGACCCGGTTGGGAACCCGTTTGGAGACCCAGTTTTGCCACGTGCCAGCAACTCAACTCGAGCGACGGAAACGGATCCCAAACGACACACGTTAGAGATTAACCTTGACACAGATCTTCTCATGTATTTAACAACTTAGTGCCAATCACATACCTATGCTAGAGATCGACTTTTCGAGCGCCTCGAGCTCTGCGATGGGTTTTTCCTTGTCACAACCCATTGTGATCCGTAAAGACTCTTTACGTACAAGGCGATAATCCGTTTGCAACCCGATACCTTCAACCGGGGATTTCATCACCCCAGACGACGAAGTGTGTGTTTCTCTTCCATATCACTTTATACCGCTGTGACACCCCGGCCAAGACACAACATTGAAAAAGCCTGGCGCGGTCTCCAAATATACCTTCTACGCGGCTCAAAATTGCATTACTCCAGTGCAACCATCCCAACCAGCCAATCCTATGCGTCTATTGGCCCGGAATCCGCGTTCCATGCCAAGTAGGTGCATATTTTCCGCACCAAGCCGAATTTTCCCGTTCAAAATTCACCCGTTCCGGCAGTCTTTTTGACCGGTGTGGACCAAACCACGTATTACAGCGCTAAAGCGATATGCCCTATTTCCACGGACTCTCTCTGTTCCGCTCTTTTTCAATTTTTTCACACTTTTTTGAACGGTGCCAATTTTCGCGATTTTGACATGGCTTAGTAGCCCATACGTAAATTCCACCGTATTCCTAATAAAGTAAAGAAGTGATGATAATGATAACCATCGACTAAAATCTCCACGTTTGGAATTTTTGTAAGAGATCCAGAGCTTCTAAAAACGAGTTTGAGGGCTCATTGCATAGCCACAAATTAGCTCGAATTTTGACACTAGCTTTTTTCCCCGATTTCGCGCGCTTTTGTTCGGTTTCTTGGGTTTTAGTCTAGCTTTTCCCTCGTAGTTTCATGCTGGCAAACCTAGATTGCAACAGATATGATACCCAATCTGGGGGTGTTTTTCGCAGATCTGAGCTGGGTCTCGAGGCTAAAACAGTCTTTGGGCTCGTCATGACGACCCGGTGCGCCTAGAAACGGCTGCTGAGACCGGCGTGTGGCCCATCCGGGCTTTCAAAGATAATAATAGTGAGGACACTCTCTCTACTCAAACAGTTTCGTATTTGTCCTCATCACCAAGAAATGCCGAATTCGGAAGACGGCACGGCCAGAAGAGGTAGCGAGTGAAACATGAAATCTCCGGATGACAGCTGCCATCTATCTGTGAGGTGATTTCACTACTGGAGACCTGGTTGTTACTTGGTTGTTTGATTGGACCTTCGAGGCGGAGTAGTAGTAGCTGGATGAGTATATGATATGTATCAATATCCATATATAAGACGTAGATGTCTGATGTCCAAGACGGACTGGAAAATTGTAGAAAGTTTGTAGAACGCACTGCACAAATACCGAAAGAAAGCCAGTGCGTTGTGTGAGTTAGTGATAGCGTGGTAGGTAACATAGGATATATCCACTCGACTTCCCGAAACAAACTCAAAAGAAACCCAAAAGAGACCCAAAAATGAGTGTCAAAAATGGCAATTGCAAGAAATTGTCCAGTAAATCGTCTAGAGCTGTGTCATCTGCTGTAGGACTGCTGTTGCTGCTGGCATTCGTGGCATACACCAGTCGTGACGCAGTGCACAGATATGGAACAAAACCTCAGCAAAACGTCGCTGCATTATTGGTCGCGGGCACCGCAGAAAACGAAGACCTCACATCTGCATCTAGCATCACAGCCACACGGGCAGTGCCAGAAACTATAGCGTCCGGTCTGGACGTAGACGACTCCAAAGAGGTGGAACAGATTTTCTCGGACATCAAACTCGATATCGGCGAGTCCGGACGTCATACGGGCCACAGACGTGCAACTGCAACCCGTGTGGCTTCCCCTGCAGAAATAGTACAGTCCGAAGTGGTACACGGACCTCGTAACTACAAGCCTGGCCGTCCAAGTTTCGACCCGGTACTGAATTTCCACGAAATCTTGAATGCATCGCCCGTGGTGGTGTTTGTGAACTCGAACGAGGAATCCCAGCAGCTACGCATGCTACTGCAAAACCACTACGAAATCTCGCCTCCTCCTGTCGTGGTAGACCTCGAAAAACACTCCAAAGGCGCACAGCTGGAAACGTTTATCGAAAACTATAAACTGGAACGAGTTTCTAGCGACGAGGAGACCAAGGAATCTCAAAACGGCATGCACGATGCTCCATACCTGTTCATCAACGGCCAGTCCGTGATAAACAGAGGCTTCCACTCCGACATTCACAATTTGCATATCCACAGTACTCTACTGGAAAAGTTGAGATCAGTGGCCGATGGTAACGTTATGATTCACCGCAACAACGTCCCATCCAATTCATAGAGGACCACAAAAGGTGTAAGCAGAGTGAGCTGGCCTAACGAGTCTTACACATCCATACACGCCCAAATAACATTTTTTAGCATCCCCGGGGGCTTTCATTCTTTCACATATCTTTACAGACGCAAGTAACAACACGGTTTTTCATTCAACTTCTCCCAACAGCGAGTGAATCTAGCCATCAATATCATAGTCGATGTTCGACGACACCGTCGTCTGATCTGGTGTCGTCTGATCTGGTGTCGCCTGAGTAGCATAGTTGTAGAACTTTTCCCCCCAAAAACATAGAATTCCTTTCAAGTAGTTGTTGTCCTTGACGTAGAGAACTTTGCAACGAGCTTCGTTGCCCAAAAGCTCACGGGTCACTTGTGATACCTGTCCCAAATCCGAGTTGCGCGGCAGAAACAGGATAACGTTTTCACTGACACGCAAAAAGCCCTTGAGCGTCTCTCGAAGGCCCTGGGGCTGCAATGACTCTTCCAAGTCGTAAACCTCGCTTTTCAAGTACTGTGGGCCGCCCCAAGGCGGCGAAGAAAAGATACAGTCGATGTGAAGTTTTGCAAATCGGTTTTTCCGGCTCAGCGTGGGCCAATCCCCATATTTCAGCCATACTCGGTCTTCCACGCTGTACGCTTGAGCGTTGCGATACGTGCAGTACAGATGATCCAAAGAATTGTCCACTCCGTAAACTTTTGGGAAGTACTGTGCAAACTGGATGGTGTTGCCACCACCGCCGCAATAGACGTCCAGAATAACTTGGGCGTCCGGCAGACAACTTTTGATGAATCTAGCTGCAAACTTGGCCACTATTTCGGGAGTGACGCTAAACCATAGCTCCCGCGTCATATACAGGTTGTGCGTTTGCATTTTCGAAAACAATCGATGCCTAGTTTTCCAGTATTTGAATATGGATTTGTCTGTTACTTTGACATCGGGATCGATCCGATACGTATCTTCCTTGTACAAAGCTTGCAATGACTTGCGCTGTTGGCGATATTTGCGCTTGGACAGATGAAGAAAATGCTTGAGCCGTCTTCGGCTCAGCTTGGAGCCTCTTGCCATCGAACTGTTGTGGGAAAGTGTCTTTGCAATGAGCTAGAAGGGTTTTCAAGGTTGAGATGAGATGCGATGAGATGAGCATGTATAGTTTTCCATATATTATATGGGCTATAACTGCAGGAAAAGAACAAGAAAATTGACGAAAAGACAGAGAAAGATGAAGAGTATTGATGGATCTTGTTATACCGGCGACTTGTTGTCACATAAGAGCTCCGTTAGGGTTTTCAAAGGGAGAGAATCCGATCAGTTTTGACCGAGTTAGCCTAATTTTTGTTGAAAATCGATACTTCAAGAGCCCTGGGTACTGCCACTGAATAGTGGTCGGTGCGTTTAGATTTGAAGGATGACCAAAAAATGTGGGAGCAGAGCGCAGCGTATTTGGTGTAGCTTTTTATGGAGCGGCTCGTGGAGTATAAAGCTCAAGTGTGCAAGATGTCTTTTCTTCGGGAAATACGAATTGAATGAGTGATTGCAGCCTACAGTAGAAAGTTACCACAAGCAGAATGGTGTTGTTGCTCTCAATATGGCTGTTTGGATACCAGACTACGAACAGTTTTGCTGTAATCAAGAGACCAATTGCAACAACGAAAATTCATGGCATTGGCCTTACAACGAGGATTTTGAGCATTTGTCAGGAAATGAATCAACGCCGGTCTTGAAATAGACTCTCAAGGTCACATTGCTCTGGAATTTCCGTCCCTACTCGAAGTTTCTATAAGATTCACACCGTTTACACCAGTTACCTCAAAGAACTAAACCAAAACTCCGAATTTTGGGACCCTGAGAAAACCACAACCATCACAATGATCCCAGCTTCTCACTCAATGCACCAGAGTTTAGCCAAGTTCAAAATACTGACTTTTGGCTTGTCTCAGAGTGGTTTTCATCTGAACTTTTTGTAATAAGTGGCTAGCTTTATGGAAAATTACCACTTCATTAATCTCATCAACCAGCCATCTCGAACATCAAAAAAATTGAAATCACCAAGAATGACCGGAAGAGACTATTTCTCGAGCTGAGTGGATTGGAATCAAGCGGGGTATTGCTGAAATCATGATTAAAGAATTTCTGCTGTATAAAACACCTGCATTTTTGGTCAAGTTGTAACCGTTCTTTTAAGAACGGTCATCGACCTAACAGATAATCGCGATTGTTTAAGGGACCCAAACGACAATACAAGAATTTAAAAATCTCATATTGATGCTTCGATCTCCAACCAGGACCAAGACTAGCTCTTTCGGCGGCTCACAGGTGGATTTCCAGTTCCCACCTTCTCCGTCTACCATCCAGGAAAAGTCGTTGAACAATTACCAGATGTCAAATCACCATTTGCTCAATTCCGCGGTGCTCGCACGAGACAATGCGTCCAACCTCTTCTCCGATAGCTCTGCAGGTCTGTCCAACGGAATTGACAGTGGCAATTACTCGTTCGCCAACATATCAGACAACACAACTGCACGCCAAGGCGTCCACAAAGGTCCCAAAGCATCCTATGCATCGTCTCGGGGCTCCAACGCCTCCATGGTACGCCAAAGATACCCTGAAACTCTTGCACCTGGCTACCCATCAGCTAGAAAGTCCGATACAGCCGCTTTTCTTCACAGGAAAAGATCACCCGACATGATGGGCCACCAGTCGATATCCACAGATGCTTGCACTATACCAACAGCAGAAAACATATCTTTCCAAATCACCTTCGAATCCAGCCCGAGCGAGGACTCACTGGTCAGCCTGAACAAGCCAGCGCCCGCTGAGCCAATACAACCGTCAACCCGCAAAGAAAGCATAAAGTTGGCTAAAAAACCATCCAGAGCTAGGACTGTATCGTCAAATCGCTCACGTAGCAAGCTCAAAAGATCCGCCGCGGTGCGTTGTAAAGGAGGCCTCCTTCACTTCTTCTCACAGCTCAAATCGCGCACGAAGAGTGGAGTAAGGCGATGGAGATTGGCCGTAAGAAAGAAACTTTTCACCTACAAAGCCAAAAGGCTGGCTAAAAAGAATCAAAAGCAAACCACGTCACATCTCAAAAGAGCCAATGGATACGTCTCTAATATCCAAAGATCCATTTCTAATAACTCCATCAAAGTCAAGACTGTCAAGTCCGATACTGCGGCGAATGTTGCCGACACACTTGCAAAAAAACGCGAAGATGTGCAAACTCCAGTTCAAAACTCACATAAAAATGGTCACAATTCCCTGCGACGTTCTCCTTCGTCCATCAAAAGAGCGGCTTCAACGTTAACGCGTGTAAACACTCTCGCAAACGCTTCCTCAGAAACAGCAAACACAATTGGCTCTGAACCTAGATCCAAGCTGGTCAGATCTGATCCATCCGTGTCTTTGAGCTCAATTGTTCGTCAACCTTCAATAGTTGTCAGTAATAAAGTCATTCCGCTGTCTAAGCTGAATGGCGAAATGAACGATTTTAGCATCAAAGAGGAGGATGAGGATGAGTACGTTATCGATACTGAGGTCATGAAACGAAGCGACGATAACATGTCTTTGAGTTCAAATCAATCGTCAAGTTGCGATGAGCAGGACTACCAGGATACCTTCGAATATCCTCACAAGGAAGTGCATCCTGAAATCTCACAAGAAAAAGTGTCAGTGGCATTGGATGGTTGGAATCACTATCTGCGGGCAGTCGTGGCCCAACGCATTGCCACTAGGCTTCAAATCCGGAAACTCCAATTGTCAGGAACTGACGCAGCATGTGAACAGCTTATTAAGTCTCTAATCCCAGATCATGACGGCTGTTCTTCGAGTCGCTACAGCGATGATGTTGAGAATGAGCTTGGATCTACGACTTCTGGAAGTGCTCACAAGTCACCAGGTCAAAGTTCCTTCGACACAGCTTCCAGGAGAAATGATAGCAGCATGACTTTCACACCTTTGAGTTCTGCTCTTCAAAATAGCGTCAAGAGATCCTTGACGCTACCTGTGGGATTGCGGGTCTGATAATGAATGAAATGTATTTGAATATTAAATATAACGAAACTAATCGATTTTCCGGATGAATCTTATGCTCAATAGTTTCTGACTGTAGCATCGACGAGACGATCGCCCACGAATTTGTTTTTGTGTGGCAACGTTACAGAATCAAGGTCCGGTTTCAAGCCCTTAGCTGAGATTTCGGTATGGAAGGCGCTGAAGAACCTGCAAAGTGGGTCCTCATACCAACGTTCACCGTTGGCATCAAACCACGCAACATGCCCTCCTTTACTAGACTCTACCAGCAAAGTGTAAGGATTACCTTCAATTTCCCTGTAGGGAAGTGATTCTTGTCCAACAATCGGGTCGTCCGACGCGCTTATCGCTAGCATAGGGGTCCGTATCGAAGGAATTCGGTTTGAGCTGGTACCATAACGGTAATACTCATATGAGCCGTTAAATCCGAACATGCGGGACGTAAACCAATTGTCAAATTCCTCTACAGATTTGACAGAATCTAGTTTCTCCGCATATAGCTTTGCCATGTAAGGATCTTTCTTCAGAATATCTAGGTTGTCTGTCAGCATTTTGACCAGGCTTTGTGCGAAATGGCCCCCATACAGGTACCGTCCTATGAATGAACGATTCATGTAATAAGAAGCGTTACAGAGATCCCAAGGATTGGCTAAGATGGCAGCACACTCAATATCACTCTTTCCACCTTCTTGACCCAGATAGTTGGTTGCGATAGAGGCACCGAGAGAAAACCCGACGAGATAAAATTTGCGTTGCGGGAATAGACTGCGCAGCTTTTTCACAAAATGACGAATGTCATCCGTCCACACTCCGTTGTATAATTGAGGTGTAGTGATACAGGATTCGCTGCAGCCTCTGGAGTTCAAAACGCAGGCCTCAAATTGAAACTTACTGGTCATTTTGTTGACCAGACTACGAACATAAGCCTCATGAGATCCACCTGTGAGCCCATGCAGCACTATGAGCATTGGTTTCGAATCCTGACTGGGCAGATTTTCCAATTCTGTAGGCGTGAAAAATTTGTATCTTGGTTGTAGCTTCCTGGTCTGATTTGGCGGTACGTATTGTTGTGTTTTTTCGCTCTCAGCATCCAGATTCCATGGTTCAACCCTGAAATCTGCTGTAGCTTCACCACCATCGCCCAGATTCAATACCATGCGCTTGTAATAGACGTGGTCGACATCCTGAAAAGTCTTGAGAGCTGCTGCTACCGTTTGCAAATGGCCATTGAAGTATAATCCATGAAATAACGAAAGTGAGCCAGCACTAAATTCGGGACTGTATCGATCCACAAGCTTGATTAGATCAACCTGGTTTCCGAACGACAATGGCTCCAGAGGTCGGGTTTGTCGCACATGGGAATAGAATGGCAAATTGTGCAGTATAAAGTCCATTGACAAAGAGGTCAACTGAGCCGAAATGAAGGAGAATTCAGCTGTTAAAAGGTTTAGTTTCTCGAGCGTTTTTCTTGAAGATAATTGTAGTTCGATATACATATATTTATGTTTATATATTTACGTGGAGATTTTGACGAAAGTCGATATTTCCGAAGAGTTTGAAGAGAAAGACGACTACTTTTTGAACGTTGATAGTTCAAATATTGCTGAACATGAAGACGTGCTGATTATGCAGTCTTTTCTGCAAAAATACAGACATTATGCGTTGTGAGACGTCAAAATCTCGGAATTTCATGAATAGTTTCGGAGATTCCGGAAATGAGTAGTAATAAATCAGAAACAGAGTACAAAATAGAAAAACTAGAGCTGGATTTCCTTGCTGGCAATATATCTGGGGAAATGGGGTTTGGTTTGGGCTTGGAAAAGCGAACTTTAGTTGTGAAAAAATAGTATCACTTTGTACTAGTGCGGCATTGAGATGTCAGATTATAATCTTTTCGACAAAAAGAGTTGAAGATCGTGGCCAAGAGCTTGAAAGCTAAGGATTTTTGAGTCTATACAGATATGAATACTCTCAACTAGGTTAGGGGCAAATATGGAAGATACGATCAGGTAATGACAAAACTGACCAAGAAAAAACGAAAGAGAAAATCAAGCTGATAGCGAAATAAGCATTTAGAGAATCGAAAAGCTAAGAGCTGGGTATTGATAGAAAATTTATGGCTTATTGGCAGTCTGCTTCAATAGCCTGCTTTCGGAATATGTGAAAGTGAGTATAAGCGTGCTTATCACTCTTCACAGATAGCGTCGCTAATAATGAGAGCATTGCAAGTCACGTGCCAGTTCTTAACTCCCACTCAAGACCGTGGCATGTTCAAAGAAACGCTAAACTGGTTCTTTGATTGGTCATGATCGGCATCCCAATAGAACCTCTTGCAAACTCACAGTTTGTCTCTTTTCGAGACTGTCCACCACCGCTTCTTCCGAGGCCTGTTTTGGACGTGAAGCCAATTTCTTGAAAAAATTTACCTTAAAGCTTCCTGTCGACAAGTGCCTCTTCTTCCTTATTTGTATCCGTAATTGTTTGTTACGCACCCCATCCCAAAGATGTGACCGTACCAATCGAGCATTTCTTTACAACGAAAATAACAAATAGTGTACTCTAGGATAGAATCATTATATTTCACAACTTATCATCCCAAACAACAAACTCCGTAAAACAATTTCATCATCTTGCGTCAAGAAACACTGAACTCAACGCACACCCAGTTGTAAACCAAACCAGCGAACTCTTATCATTAAATTCACTGCTGTCATCTTTAGAGTCCACCGCCTGCTAGTCACCTCTCTACTCAATACTCTATCCGATTATCTAGTCGTGTACTCTCGTGTACTCGTCCAGAACCTGCAAGGATTGAATTTAACTACAAGATGATATCATCGAAACATGACAAAGAAGATCGTCCCAACTATCAACACCGACTTTACCACCTTAAAGACTCACCTGTCGATGCTCAGACCCGTCACCACAGCACGACTCGGCCACGCTCGCTGTTTTGGCCCTTTTTCCGCGCGAAGATTGCAGTCCTCGTTCACTTTTTCGAGCAACAAATCGCTACTTCAAAAAGACCAGGTCAAGGACGAGAAACGCAAGAAAAGAGATGGGAATCAAGCTTCCACGGACACCAAGGGAGTTCCCGTTGAAAAAAAGCCTTTGTCGCGGGAAATGCGCTCAAAATGGCGTGAAAACGCCGATTTTTCGTGGCTGCCCAAGGCCCCGTCAACGGCACATTTAAATGCCCGGGATGTCAGCACTTCAGTACTGTACTCGGGATATCGTCCGTTTTTCATGAAACCACAAGAAAAAGCACCCAATGAGAGTACACTGTATGAATTTGCCATGAAGTTGGAGAACCTAGGCGATCCTTTGCCCTGGATTTCGTCTGCAACGGGAACAGAATTCTACGGAGAGTGGGATAACGTACCAACCGATGTAATAAAACGACTCAAGCCATTTCAGCCACCTCCCAAACGTAATGAAGCACAAGCCGCCGCGAGCCGTAAGCTTTTGCATGAAAAGTTGATAGAAAGTGAAAAACAAAAACTCATCAATCGATCAAAAGGTCGAAAAAAGCCCATAATAAGGTTAATGCAGCTACGCAAGAGTTTTGATGACCAGGGCGGCGATTAATGACGACATGCATTTAGGTTAAAGGGTTACGATTTAAACAAGTATAGATTTGCAGATTATTTTTCTAATTCACGCTTCTTAGCAGCGATACCTCCTCCCCATCGCAAGACAATGGCATCGCCGAAGGAAAAGAACAGGCCAGATATCCCGAAGCTTTCAGTTCTATCATTCGCACTCTAGCTCTCCAGTTACACTTTATCAAGTTTTCGCAGCGTTCAAGTATATCGTAGAGACTATGTAATTCTATAAAGCATCACCACACTAATATTAGATGTTGGAAATGATAATGCTAGGAGCACCAGGAACAGCGCTTTCCACAGCTTTCGCAGAGAAGTTGATTTCGACTTCTTCTCCAGTAAAGATATCCTTACCGATTTTGGAACCGTATGGGAACGACAAGAACTGGAATTCTTGGCACTTGATTGCCTGACAGCATTTCTTCAAGCTAGCCACTGTAGATTTCACTACAGCAACCTCCTTGAAAGGCAATTCTCTGTTGAAAACAGTATCCACAGGTTCAGCTGCCAAGCGCTGCTTTAGCATGGAAATGAAGGGCATCGCACGTTTCATGTCCTTTGGATCCACAGCTTCTTTGATCTTTTTGTTGTCGTTGAGCGACTGAGCTTCGAACAGTTTGCGCACTAGCTCGATGTACTGATTCTGCCATTCAGGGAAACTTTCTGAGATAAGCATGACCATCTTGGCTGGTTTGGTGACGTCAACATCGGCGCCCTTGCCCTTCTTCTTCTTCATAGCCTGGCCTTCAGATTCTCTGATTCTTCTTTGTAAGTCTCTTAGGTAATCCAAAGCGGACAAAGCGCCTTGGTCCACAGGTTTAGAAGCACGAGGGAATTTAGCGACCTGAACAGAGGTCTTGTTACCCAAAACCTCACGCCAAATATATTCGGAGAAGTGGGGCGCGATTGGAGCCAATACCAAAGCTTGCAGCTCAATGTAGCGTAGAACGAGATCCTTGTGCATGGTCTCACAAGACTCACGGTAGTAATCTCTGGATGTCTGCAGGTCAAACAGGCCAACCTTCAGAGCAGCCTTGTAGTTGGTCAAATCATACTGCTTGTAAGTTTCCTCGATCAAAGAGTTCATTTCGTTTTCAAACGACACGTCAAAGAATTCTGTGATAGGACCCGAGCGGAAAGAGGAGATGTTCTGAACAACCTCATCGGCCCATTCCTTCAAATTGTACAATCTCAAAATAGCCGCGTTTGCGTTAGTTTCGTCCAAATTGGCATCTTCGACGGTATCACCAGCGTCAGCCAAAGCAATACGAGAGGCATCGGCACCGAACTTTTCGACAATTTGTTGCAAAGTCATGAAGTTTCCTGTAGACTTGGACATCTTGGCATTGTTCAACATCAAATGCCCGTTTGCTCTGATACCCCTTGGCCAGAACTTCTTTGGGAATAGGGCAACATGGGTGTATATGAAAAATGTCAAGTGGTTGGTAATCAAATCCTTACCAGAAATCGAAACATCCAATGGGTAGAAATATTCGAACTCTCTTCTCAATCTTTGCAAGTTCTCAATCGGTATGTCGGTCTTGACATTATCAGTATGCTGGAAGACGTAGTCAAAGACGGCAGGCGTCATTTGTTCGGCTTTGATACCCAATGGGCCAATTTCTTTACCGTAGTAGTCCTTGAAGAGCAAGTGAGCAATGGTGTAGAACGCTTGGTATATAGTGGAGTCAGATAGGGACTCCACCAGGTATTTTTCATCCCATGGTAGCTTGGTTCCTAGACCGTAGGTACGGCAAACAGCCCAGTTCTTTAGCCAATCTAAGCAGCCTTCAAAAGCATTTCTAACTTCAGGAGCAAATAACTGCATGTGATCCAAACAGTCTAAGGCCTGTTTCTTCCATTGTTCCTCACCATAGTCAACGTACCATTGGTCCTCCAGAGAGACAATACAGTCATCGCCGGAACGAGAGACAACCAAGGATTCAGGCTCATTGTAGACAAAAGCCTCGTTGGCCGCAAGCAAATCAGCCTTCAATTTGTTCTTAGCAACCTCAACCTTCTCGTTCTTGTACTTTCCGTAAATCATGGTACCGTTGTAAAAGTCCTCCTTGTAGGCGATCTTCTTTGCCTCAGCAAGTAGAACGGAGTCCTTGGGCGACTTGATCTTTAGTTCTTCACAAATGGTTTGCGCAGTGAGGTCTCCGTACTTTTCAGAGTGAATGATGGGCACTGGTTCGTGCTTAACCCACTCAGGGTTTATCCCGTAAAACTCAGACTTGTTCTGCAAATCTCTTGTAGTCATGAAATCATCTGGAGAGTTGGAGGGTACACAAGTAACGACACCGGTACCTTTAGTGGCAATCACGGTCTCCATTGGCAAGATTCTCAAGACATCATAGGCAGAGAGTGGTGCGTGAATAGTGGACCCAATAAATTCTTTACCGCTTATCGTCACAACAGGTTTGTATTGGCCTCTGACCGGGGTCAACTTTTGATATGACATGTTTTTGAAAGCCCTCTCAGTTGTGATATAGTATGAGTCACCTGCGTCAAAGACACCGTAGTTGATCTTTGGTGAAACGAAACAGCATGTTTGACCATACATAGTCTCAGGTCTCAAAGTGGCCGCCACAAAGTAGAATTTCTTGGACTTGTCGATGTTTGCAGTAGAGTCTATGATCTTCTGAGCACCGTCAGCGAATTTCAAAGTTTCAATCTTGATGCCGACGTATTCCTGAGGGGTCACACCCTCACCCGACTGTCTGTCGTGATCCATACAAGCCTGACCGTCTTTTTCAGAGTAAATGGTGTAACGCTCACCAAATTTAATTTTGCCGGCTGCCTTAAGCTTTTCCATTTGCCATCTGATAAAGGCGTCATAATAGGCGTTCATATCGGTGGTGATGAAGGAGCGTCTCCAATCGATACGAGCACCGATTTTAGTACAGTCCTGTTCACAAAGAGGTGGAAAGTGTACGAGCCAGTGCTGAGGGTCGGCAAAGCTCTTCACTTCTTCTCTAGGAATTCCAAGCTGCAGCATGATTTCAAACTGGAACTTACCACGGCCCTTCTTGGCGGCTGCTTTGGATTTCTTGGCCTTGAACTTGGTGACATCTTCGGATTCCTGCTTGGCTTCTTCAGGCTTCTCTTCAACATCTTCGTCTTCAGCTGGGGCGTTGGCGAAATCTGCACCGAAAAGCTCAATTTCTCTCTTCAGCTTATCGGCACAAGCCAGAATAGGCATACCAGTGCAGTGGAAACCCAATGGAAACAATGCTCTTTTTCCCTTCATTCTTTCAAATCCCACAGAAAACTCGACTTTCGAAAGCGTAAACAAGTGTCCTGCGTGTAGCACACCGTTCATGTAAGGATAAGCAAGCGAAGACATGAACTTGGGGTACTTCTTTTTCAACTCCTCAGGGTCTATGCTCACATTTTCCTCCTCAATCGATGGTGCATCGATTTCGAACAAATGCTCCTCTGCCCACAATTTTTGATATTTTTTCTCAATGGCTATCAAAGCATCTCTACGTGCTGTATTTTCCAAGACCAAACCCTTGGCTTCAGTCTCAGCAGACATGATTAAAGGCTTTGTCGATAGTTGTCGTTGTCAGGATATTTCTAGTTCAGTTGACTGATTTGAAAATTTTCTTATAATATAACCACCGTGACAGATTATAGCTGAAGTTTGTAAAAGAGCAAAGGTTTTAGAAGCAGACAGCTAAGAAAGGGGCTGCTTTTCGATGAATGGGAATATCTGAAGCTCGAGCAGCGAAAGTGAGGTTTTCAGCAAATTTTTAAAATCAATTTTACGATAACTCTGTGGAGCGCAAGAATTGTAAATAAACCATCTTGCCAATGTGCATGTTTTCAATGTGAAGGGGAGCCTTTCTGGACATCAAAGTGCTCCTGAAAAGATCTCAAACAATTGAGAGCTTCTTGGGAAGTTTTTTGTATTATTTTGAAGCTATTTCTGAGACTTATAAGGCATGATGACAGGTTTAATGCGCACGTTAGAATTGAATAGAAAATTGAAAGGAGGGAAAAAAGGCAAAGAAAGTGTCTAAAAGCCATTCTGGCTAGAGCACAGCTTGAGCTTGTTATAATAATAGAAATCATGACATTAGATAAGACCAGACTACGATTAATCTGGCTCGAAGAGTTTTCATCGCTTTGTAGTTTTCCGTCACCTGCAATGTCCCTTCTTCCATGAACGTTTCGCAAGCTAGAACACCTGATAGTACATTTGTTGGTTCTGAATAATAGTCTTTATTGTGTTGTGCGCGGCAGGGTATAGTGTGCCAACTTCAAAATATTACTGTCTATTATGGTTTACACTGCGCACATGAGAGTTTGTCTCTAAGATGGCACTCCGATTACCTGGAAAAAAAGTTCAAAAATCGTATCCACGGTCTCGTAGTTCATGGATCGTCCACAGCCAAGTTGAAGCGGCGTTATCGAGGTTGTTGGCCACGTAGCTTGGTTTAGATTCTCGCCCGCCAGTGGTGAGGTACTTCCCGTTATCCCATTCCCGTTCGAGTTCTGACGAAAGAGCTGCTCTTAGTGTAGCAACCGAACCCTGTTCATTGGAAACTCCGAAAAAATAACCCACCAACTGAAAATAAAACCAGAAGAAAATGCCCACAATAGGCAGCCGGGTCCAATAGCTGAAAAGATTAGTTTTCATGACTAGACCTGGATGCACAGACATGCACAAAACATCTGAATGCTTGATTGCCAGCATTTTTGCAAACTGGATACAAGCAGTTTTTGCCATTGCATAGCGCATCCACGTAAAGAGTATGTTGGGTTTGTAATTGAAACTTTGCGATAAGCTAAAGTAGGAGAGCTCCAAATTGTGGCCTATAGACGAGACAGAAATTATTCTGCCACGACAGCGTTTGATGTTGGGCAAGAGCTGCATTGTAAGTAGGAAATGAGCCACGTAGTTTGTTTGAAGCTGTATTTCAAATCCATCCTCTGTGACACTGTACGGAAGGGCCATAACCCCAGCGTTGTTAATAAGGACGTCCAGAGACGACTCTAAACTCCGAAACTTCTTTCCAGCTTTCTCGACGGTTTTCAATTGCGCCAAATCCAGAGACAAATACAGAAGCTCGCCTACGGGATGTCTATCTTTCGGTTCCAGTTCTTTGAGTCTGTTTTTGGCTTCCTTTTTGATATCCTTAAGTGCTCGAGAAACTCGATTAGCATTTCTCCCAGCGACATAAACCGCAAACCCGTGCATGTATAGGTGCAGAACGGTAAACCACCCAATGCCGCTGTTTCCTCCTGTTACCAGGGCCACTTTGCGGTGTTTGCGAGGGTCATAGTAGGGCAGGGAACTTAGGTCGAAATTGGTCATTAAACGGTTATTTTGTTGTCAATGAAAGAGGAGTTTAGACAAAAACTTTTGACCTGCGTGTTCCTCTAACTTTTTGGGTCAAGTTCCATGCAACTGTGCTTATAAAATGTCTTGTGATTGGTGGTTTATAGCTGCTTTATCTTCACACTTTTTCTTAGCGATGAGTTGCTGAAAGCTGTAGTTAATTTCACTGTAATGAAGACAACTAGAATATCTTTAAAAGGGCAACTTAACTCTCAAGAAAATGCTTTAACGACAGTACTGGCAGCGCATTGAGAACCAATCTCCAACTAGAGTTGCTGTGCTAGCCATTGAGAGTTGGGATGTCCAAAAAATTGGGAGTTTTTAGGTTATCTGAGCGACCTTTTGAATGAGAAACTTTTGATCGAGAAAGGGAAGTGTCTGAAACCTAGAAGTTATATTCGAACTTAGGTTTTTGATAAGGGGCTACGAGACCGTACTTCTAGATTAGAGTAGACGGTTTTGGGTCTCTAGAAACCACTTCTTTATTCGTATGGTTGCATTGACATTTTGGACTGACATCACAAGTTGTATTTCGGATAATGGGGAGCGGACCACACCCTTGTTACTCGACACTTGATTGCATAGGGACAATTGTGCTGTCAGCTTAACAAGCTTGATTATAGGACCAGTTAGGCTTGAGAATAGAAAATAAGAGAGTTTTTCTCTCAAGGGAATCTTGAAACCCCGTTTCGTGTCACAACAACATTCCAAAAGTGGTTAATGAAGTTCGAAAAAAGATGGAACGTAGTCACAGCTCGTTATTTGGCCTGAAGATCACAGCACTGGGGTTTAAAGAAGTCTATCAATCGCTCCAAAAGTGGCAACCTCGCAAAGTTTTCGAAGTCACAAAGAAAAACTTAAAGCACTCCGAATGACTTGGGACCGATCAATAACATCTACAAGACTATGGACACACATCTAGAGAACCAATGGGCCCAAACTAAGCTCAATGACACTCAACAAGATGAATACACGTGACAGTTTTTTCCAGTTCACACAGTTCATCCATCTGTAATGAACAACATATGTCATCTCATCGATCGCTCAAAACATAACAGAGACCTTTTGCCTGCTTGTGGGTCACTGAATAGAGCTGGTAGTATTGCCAAATGGACTTTGACAAGCTTTTGCATCAATTGGAACCATTACTCGATAATGGTGCCGTTTCTAGGATCCGGGACGACCCGAGTACAGCGGAATACAGTGTTTCGACGTTATCACAACTAGCAATCTCTCTTAGGGCTCCAAACAATAGAGACGTATTACGAGAAAGTGGTGTTTATGGTCGATTACTGGAGCTTTTCGACTCCGCCTTGCAAAATAACCCACCATCGCACAACGTCATAGCCGTGCTAACTGAGCTGATTCGATGTCTTGCCAACTGTTTAGCTGACAACGACCCTAACAGGGTTATCTTCATGGCCAAATATGTCAATGGGAAAGAAGCCGATGATTCCAGTCTTGTAAACCTGTTGACATTGGGAATTTCTGGCGTGAGTTGTTCGAACCATACTCTGAAATTCAGATCTTTGGCATTGATCAAGAATCTGTGCTTGGAAAACAAAGAGTATACAGAGGCATGTTCTTCAGTTTTGACTACAGCGCTGTTTCAGGTCCTTCAGTCATATAGTGTCGATACCACTGATGAAGATGAACTCGACTCAATCGCTATGGCAGCAGATCTGCTGTTCGAATTTACCGAATTTTCGTTCATGGCGGTTTCGAGGACAGACCCAACCATACTCGTTCAGCTGCTGCGACGGGTTGCACCCAGGTCTGGACTACAGAACTCGAATGAAAATAGCAGCGACGAAGAAGATGCCCATGGCGAGATATCACAACTCTTGGCAGGGACTTTGGAAGGCGTGCTCTCAAAAAATGACACTTTAGATTTCAAAGACGCGAATGCCACGCACAAACTACAAAGCGACGTGCTGGAGGCATTGGCCGTGTTGGAGGCGAAGCCTGCGCTGGAAAACAAGCTGATCATTATGCGCAGACTGGTTTCTGTTGCGGGACTGATCTCGGCCAACAGATCCAACTCTAATCTTCAGGACAGAGACATGTGCTACCAGATAATCCGGGAGGCCATTGGCGGATACACTATCGCCGCTGCGCTCATTATACTGTCCAATTGCGTTTCTTCCCGTCAGTCGGCGGACGAAGTGTCTCAACATGTTCCCCTGTCGCTCATCATTCACAAATGTCAAGCATTCCGCGACCCAGTGCAATTTCAAGGCTTTTTGGACCTTTTGAAGAAGCTTTTGAACCTTTCTAACGCACATGAGCTACAGGAACCAGATCTAACCCTTCTTTCTTTACAATTGAAAACATGCCATGACCAATGCCAATACTTCCAGAATCTAGCACCGCTCGTGGATGCACTGCTCGACAAAGTGGTAGCCGTGCTTCCTGGTTCAGTGCTTCGAAAAATTTTGGCGGACGACAACTTCAAAACCGTCATCACCGAGCGTGGTGGCATTGCCACCGCTCTTCTGATAGACAAGTTAGTTTTGCAGCGCAGAGGTCACGAAGACAATGCGCTTTTGGCCACCTTATGGACGTCCTTGTTCCGTTCGTTGCAAAATTCATCTGTCTCTCAATCACAGGGAATCTCGACGCCATTTTTGTTCCAACTAATGAAATCGCTGGGAATTTATCTACGCTCTTTGAACGCCAGTGACCCCAATCCTGTGTTTGAATCCCATTCTCACCAGCTGTCCATGTTGTTCGATACAATTGCGTCGTTGGCGACCAAAACCGATCCGGCTAGCAAAAGCATCTACAACAACGCCCGTTTCGTCGCTGGAATGACTATAAACCTACTCAGGGATCAGACAGGACCTGTGAACCACGCCCAATTGCTGGAATCTGCCACCCAATTGCTCACCGACACCGTTAGTTCGAACTCGATGACTACAACGTGACCCAAATTTCACCTCATCACTTCCTAATCCTATAGACAATTCGATTTGAGAGAAAGGGCATCGCATCACAGATCACACAATTCACAACAGAAGTAACCCAATAGCCATCCATTCTTCGTTTGTAAGCTGTATAAGTACTTAAGTTAAATGATGGCTATCGATAGCGACCAATCTTGCCAATTGTTGGGTCCTGTGTCGCTATTCATACAGTCCTTAATGGGACTTTTAGCCATCGGTGGTGTCCTGGTCAAACGGCGGTATGAAAGGCCCAAAAGACGCTGGAAAGTATGGAGTTTTGACGTTGGGAAGCAGGTTCTAGGATCTTTGATCCTGCATTTCCTTAACGTTGGAATTAGTATCTTAAAGCAGCAGGGCGAGACCGTGTTGGCTGTAATGAGCTTGAAAGGATACAACGGGGACGACGACGATCCTGGTGGCGACCAATGCGATTGGTACTTTCTGAATCTACTGATGGACACTACGGTGGGCACACTGGTGCTTTGGATGACGCTGCGTGTGCTAGAAAACTTGCTTACGAAATGGGGAGTGGAAAACATTGAAAGTGGGAATTACTACGCGGAGCCCATGGGGGAGCTGGACCTGGAGGAGGCTTCTGTGGAGAACCCAGATGGCGGGAACCACAGAATGGAGCGCTACGAACCGCTCTTTAGCGCGTTTGGCAAACAATTGATGATGTTCGTGTGTGGACTGGCACTGACGAAAATGTGCGTTTTCCTGATTTTGACGTATTTCGAGGTCCTAGCCGTGTGGTTTGCGAAGCTGGCCCTCAGCTGGGCCAACGCATGGCCCAACTTTCAAGTTTTCCTGGTCATGTTTGTGTTTCCGGTGCTGCTGAATTGTTTCCAGTACTTTTGCGTCGACAGCATCATCAAACTACATCCAAAGACCATGTCCACTAGCGAGCGGGAAAACTTTGAGGAGGACATTTACAGCTCCCTACCGGGCACGACTTCGGGAAATAAGAACGGCTACGGTGCAACTCTCTAAAAAAAAGGTCCCAATTTTTTGGAAAAGGAAGCTGTTGAATGACGGCATCGAACATATTTCCAGTCTCCAGAAACAGAAATACAAACGTTACAGACGTGGAGAAGTCATTGCGAAAGAAGGTTCCTACCTCGCGTTCTTGAGCTTGATACAACGGTTTTTTTCAGGTCTTTTTCCACAAATGTATGCCAGCAAAGCCTTTTTTTGGCAAAAAGATGGAAACTAAGGCCAACGGAATGCTTGCCAAGACGATCTACGAGTGTGATGCCAGCGTATGTCGATATCGTGTCCTTGACAGCACGCCCAACAACGTCACATGGGAAACTCGTGGTTATCGTCGTTGTAGTGGAAACCTGATTTTTTTCGCGGAATGCTGCGCACATTTTTCGCGGTATTCGTGGTATGCAAGGTAACAATGCTCGAGAATGGCAAGGCGGCATACCTAAAAGGCTAAACATCATACTGGTGGATCGATCGCGACGGTTTCGCGTTTCGACACAGCATCGCGGTATTTGCACCTGGCGTTAAGGTATAAAAGAGACACACAAATCTGGATTCTTGCAATGGTGAGACTATTTCGCGATCTTGAGTTTTTTTCTGTTCTTCTTCTTCAAGCTGAACCTTGCCAACGCCAACACACAACTAGCCTGAGCCACTTTAACAATCGGTCTCGTCCACTCATTCGTCTTTAGCGTTTTTCAACCCTCAGTTCACCAAGCTCCCAGTCTCTCATTATATTTCCCGAATTTTTCACCAAAAACATCCATCATTAGCCATTCATGAAGTTCTTCGCCTTGATCCCAGCCGTTTTGGCCGCCAGCGGACTTGCTTCTGCCTTTGAATACTCCAATTCCACCACTACCCTTGCACCCAGCAGCAAAGCCGTGTTGACCACGGAAACTACTGAGTTTACAAGCAACGGCAACGATTACACTTCAACGGTCACGCTTATGACCACGATCACGATGAGTACTGGCACTGCCTCCGCTTCTGCCTCTGCCCCTGCCTCTGGCTCTGCCTCTGCCGCTGCCTCTGCCTCTGGTACTGCTGGTGTTTCGGTCAGTGCCAATGGTAATGCAAAGGGCGCAAATGCGCTCTTGACCACCTCTTCTACGACTGAGGTGTGGTCCACCATCACGTCCACTTTGTACACTACACAGAGCGTCACTCTTTCAAACAGTCAAGTCTCTCTGTCGACCAGCGAGTACGAGAAACAAATTGTCGTGGGCACATCCAACCCAGCTTGCGTTCCTCAGACTGTCACTGTCACCCAGGACAAAACCCATACCCAATACGTCACCGTCACTGGATCGAGCTCTGCTGCATCTTCATCAGCCTACACCTGGGCTCCAGCATCCGCTTCCATCTACAACGGAACCAGCACTGCTCGCTAGTGTCAGTGACGAAAGACTGGACTCTCATTTTTTTTTTGCAAGATATTCTAGATTCGGTATATCTACGTATTCATGTTATGATTATACTAGCTTGCCCAATTGCCACGAATGTGGGTTGTATTCACCCAGCTGTCTGCTGAGTAGCTAGACTGTTGCTGGTCCTGCTGTCGCTAGTTGTAAGCTTTGCCCTGACACTGTGTCAAAATAGTACAAAGTGACATGGTAAGAAAATGTCGGTATGGTAGCATCAAGTGGTTTGACAGCGGCCGAAGTGGTGTCTCAGTAGATCCCAATTGAGGATTTAGCTGTATCTGAGTATTTACCTTGTAAGAATGGACAAACGTCGAACGTTTTTCCTTCCAATGAAATACTTGAAATTGTTTCGTAAATAGAGCAGGAAGAGTAGTTGTACTGCAAAAACAATACGGAAGGAGCTGAACTGAGATCACAGAGGTTTAAGCGCCTGTAGAAATGAGTAATGAGACTTTATATGCTTGTTTCAAACTGAATAAAGCAGTGAGTCACGTGATCAAGAACATATCACTGAATTTTTAAAAACAGTAGACAATAGCCATAGGTAGTTAGCTACAGCTCACTAGGACCATTACCATCACTACTCCTGAAGATAAATTCGGGAAATCTGACACTTTTAGTATCGTATCGTGCTGTACGAAATACAGAGCCATCATAGTATACGAGATTTATCTAAATTACAAAATCATTAGAAACGAACAAACTCATCTACAAGTTTAATCCAGATACAATTCAAAGCTCAACACCACTACTCAGCTCATCCTTCTTTTGAGCAAGAGCAAGTTTGCAAAGGCTGTTTCGAACACTGGTGTTTTCACTGTTAATCTACTCAAAAAAATACCTCGAAAATGATATAGAATGGTTGGCGAAATTCGCAAACTGAATGCAACTGTTGCTAACACCATCGCTGCTGGAAAATCTGTAAAGTGCATTACCACAGCGGTCGGAATGCTATTGGAAAACAGTATAGAATCCGGTGCTTCAGAGGTGGAGGTAGTTCTGGATTTGGACCACTATGCGTTCACTGTGCGTGACAACGGATGTGGCATGAACGCTGCAGACTTGCTGTATTTTGGACGTCTTGGATACTCTTCCAAAGGTGCAGAATCTGGTCTCACACGCCACCAGGGTCGTAGCGTTCACGAAATATCATGCTTGGCAAAAGTTACAACGCTAACCAGAGCTGCTGATGACACTTTTGCTTACTCAAAACGTCCCAAGGGCGAAATACAACCTTGTGACTTTGCGATGCCTTACGGGACGTCAATCGTCGTAACAGATTTTTTTTTCAACGTTCCCGTTCGTCGTCAAGCTTTGCAAGCAACTTCGAAAAGTCTACTCTACGACAAGCTTCGCTTCATGGTTTTTGATCAGCTGGTGGTGCACCCAGATCTGCAGGTCTCAGTCACATCTGCAACTATGCTGGAAAATGGGTTTTCAATTTTTGAATGCCAGAAACTTGACTCAGCCGTAGTTTCTGAGACTGAAAAACTATCGCACTGTTTGTTCAGCGTTTTTGGCTTCTCCTCTCAGAATTACGGCATGAAGCCGGTTCGTGCACAATTCAAAAGCTATACACTGGTGGGTTTGATATCAACTGAGCTGTCCTCCAGTAAAGAGATGCAGCTTATATACATAAACGGTAAAAGGTGTCGGGATAAAGCTTTGACAAAACCAATCTCCCAGCTGTTGTCAAACGCCAAGCTCCAAAATGGGCTTGACTCGCGTCGACAGTACTTTTCGTATGTGCTCAAATTCTCTACCCCATCAGAAACAGATGGTGGAAATTTTCTCGAGATGCACTCAAACCACTCTAGTGCGGTCAGTGTATTGAAGTCTCTCATTTCTCGCATCGTGAATACGGGCTCCAAAATTGGCAGTTGGTCACCTCGCAAGCGAAAAGTGCGCGAACCAGAGACCAATTTAAAACGCCTTCAAACTCGAGATTTAGCCAATGATGATTCAAGTGTCTTTTTCACGTCGTTTGGCAAATCGGAGCTGGAAACATTTGCAGTTGTTGATCAGATTGATAAAAAGTTTATTCTTCTCAGAGCAACAAGGTTCAACAACCCCAATTCTCCAGTATTGATTCTAGTCGATCAACACGCTTGTGATGAACGCATCAAGCTGGAATCAATGCTTCAGGAATTTATATGTGAGTTTGCACTTTTTCCCCATGCATTGTTTGCGGATGTCAACTTCAACATCACAGTAACACTGCGAGAGTACCAAATCATCAAAGCTTTTGAAACTGAGTTTTTTAAATGGGGCTTACGTTATAAGCTTGAATCTTTAAACGAGGGGTCCTCCGAAGTCGTCCTAGTAATGACCACGCTACCAAAGATTTTACAGCATTGCTCGAAAAGCGATCTCAGAAAGTTACTACTTAGGCATGCGGATGACCTTCGCTTGTTTAGAAGGGCTTGTGTGAATAAGGTTTCTGTTGCAGACAACTTTGAGTGGTGGAATTATACCAAGTGCATGCCTTCAATGTTGCTAGACATTTTACGTAGCAAAGCATGCAGGTCAGCTCTCACATTTGGTAAGGAGCTATCAAAAACAGAGTGCGAATTGATGGTAGCCGCTTTACGCAAGTGTAGAAATCCGTTCTATTGCGCTCACGGACGACCTTCACTAGTTCCTGTCACCACCGTCTGCGAGTTTGAAGGAGCTGGCTTCAATTCGGATTATGCTATAGAGGCGGATTAGAAGCTAAATACAGTTTAGCAACGGAGAACTGCAGATCGGGTTCTGCATATGCAAAAATTTTGTGCATGACACTGCGTAACAGGTGAAAGCACTCCTGTCGCTTTCCCACCAGAAGAAGAACTTGTGAAAGAAGTATTATGGCGTTGCTCATAAGGAATCCATTTTCTGTGGACGCGGCTTGTTCCAACACTCTGGAAAGTATCGGCAGCGCTCTCACTTGTAGGCCGCAGTTCACTAGGATCCGACACTTGGCCAATTGAAAGTGATTTTCATTATTGACATCAAGGACTTCTGATTGGCATTCGAGTATCCTGGAATTGACAAAATTCATAGCTTGGTCGTATTCCCCAGAAGACATCCATTTTTGTATGATTTGTTTTTCGAGACGACGCTTTTCATGGTATGCCAAGTCTGGACCTTCAAGTTGGGTTAGAAGCTGCTGTACGTGGTCTGGGGGAGGCGGAGGAGAAATATTTTGAGAGTTCTCGCTTTGTGCAATATTTTCGTACACTTCCTGCAGCCCTTTGGATCCCAAATACTCCCATACCTGAGCACTGTGTTCGGCCATCAGTCGCACGCCGTTATTGCGCTGTAATGCCAATAGACTAGACTTGAATGATGACTCCAGAATCTGTTTCACGGAACCTGTATTCTGCACAGTCCACAATGTGTCATATCGATATCCCATTTCAAAAACGTATGAACTCTGATCTGGCGGACAAGTTTTCAAATACTGTAGAATTTGTGCTGTTGAGACGTGAAATTTAGTGGCCAGGTTTGGGTATTTGCACATAAACTCGAACACCCACATCAGGATCAAATTGAGCGTGTGCGTGTCTTTGTTTTCGCGAGCGACCGCTATAGCTTCTTCGAACGTTTTCACGGCCGCTTCACCGTTGTGGAAGTGTGCATGGAACGAAGCTAGCGACAGTAGCGACAGGTAGAAGTTGGGTTCCGTATTTTGGCCCAGCATGTAGTCAAAATATCTGTATAGCAAGCCGAGAAAGTCATCGTAACGGTTTTGTCGTAAATCCTCCAAACCTTTCAGTATGTACACGACTGGAAATCGGGCTGTGTCTTCGAGAGACATATTGTCGATCAAAGCTCTTGTCCGGTCTTGTAAAGGTGAGTTACTGTACAACATGGAGTGCGTCTCGTGGGCAAACAAAGCCTGCAAGTGATCGTGGGAAACCATCATCAGTATGTTGCGGTCGTCACTTGTCAGGTCAGCGTATCGGTCGTTCAACCCTGCCTCTTGTAATTCTTGCAATCCGTCAAGATCTGCGTCCGACTCTAGAATGAATCGCATTAGCGGATCCAGCGAAGGTAATTCGTAGCGGAAACCCGTCCACTGGGGACAATCGTCTTGAAATTGTTGTATGTACCGTCGTAGATTTCGCCATAGTCTTTCAGAGTCTTCAAAATCTTGCAGTTGCTGTTTGGACATGCATTGGCAAACAAACTGACCCAAAAGGCTGGTCTTAGTGAGCTGGCGATTCAAAACACGACCCTTGCGAGCTTCAGCAGCGGCCCGATAGTTGTCAACAACACAATGGGTTTCGAGAACATTCAAGAGTTTATCAATGGCTCCCACAGTAGCGATACGCTCGAGCGATGCAACAAGTCGTAAAGCTGCTGGAGCACAATTCTCATTTTCCAGTAGCTTCACAAGGTCAAACAGCAATGGTGGGATCACATTTGCCACATCTAAAACAGGACCGCAGCAGTCAAATGGTGCCAAAACTTGCGTGGGTCCATTAGGAGCTGGAATGAGCTTCAACAACGTATGATGGCTTATTTGTTCGGTATCTGCACAAAACAAAGCTATAAGCACCAATAAGGCCACCTCATGGGGCGACAAGGTGTCTGTGATGACTACCGTGCACTTGTCGGGCATCAATTGGGGGTAGAAACGATGTTTAGTTGAGTTTTGGACGGTTTAGCTAGCTATTATTGTAAAGAGACAACTAAGAGGACGACAGCGACACAAGCAAAGAAGTGAATTTAGGTGAAACAGCTCAAACAGCCATGCCGGAATGAGCTTATTGAGTTGTGTTGGGGGTGCTTTTCTTAGAGTCCAATGATATCTTCTTGGGATAGTTTGTCTAGGTGTATGTACAGTTTTCTTGAGTATTTGAATGGTAGGAGGTTTTGATAGTCATTGAGACCTGGCTCAGTCGAAGGTATGACTTAAAGTACTATTGAGTCGAAGAGTGGATGAGGAGCAGTTTTCAAATTGTTTGCTTGACTTTCAATCCTTGAGCTGCGAACTCAGAAATCAGTGGTATTGATGGGACTAATTGGAAGAAGTTGTGAAAGTCGACGTTGTGGACCCACTCGGAAGTCCAGGACAATTAGGATTGCAATGACAATCAAGCTTTGGTGTGCGGTCAATTGAGTCCCGAAGAGCTTTGTACTTGTTCGTTGGTTTAGCTGCAGGAATATCAAGAACATGAAGACTCTTGAGAGGATGAGGCAGAAGGGGTAGAAGGATTTATCTTGACAATAAAACCGGTCTGCTCAAATTCTGTAGATCAAGTAGTCAGTGGCCCTTCTGTTGATGGCCAGGAGTGCCAGGTTGGGCTGGTTGCCGTGCCTAAAGTGTCGTGATGACACTTTAGTCGAAAGTGAGAACGACGTCTAAAAGTGTTGCCAGTGACTGAAGCGTGGTTCCAGATAGAAAGCGAGTAGATGCATTCCAAATCGATTTCATAGCTTTCAACCTCGTCTGCAGTAGTTCAAATTGCTCTATCCATATTTTGGGATGCCTCTACTGTTAGATTTTTCTTTCAGGTATGAGCATATGCAAAGTCCCGGTGAACCAATGAGTAAAGCATAGATTTTAGGCGTCATGTCGAATCCGACTTCTAACCATTTATCAGACAGGCTTCGTGTATCCTTTACCTACGTCTCCTCTTCCCTCACCAAAAACTTGAAAGTTTTTTGATATGCCAGCTTTTAAGCAGCGTCGACAATCAACGTCGCTCCGACTCTTGTTTGCATGCTTCTTTACTCAAAACGTTGCCCAATCTCAGAATCCCCGGCACATAGCATCGTGCTTTATCTTGGTTAGCCAATTGCCAACTTAAAAAGGCCCCGTTTGTCCAGAGAAGTTTCATTCAATTCAAGGAATCATATTCCAGGACTGTTAATTTGATTGTAGATATTGCTGTCTCGAGCCCACGAAGCTGAATAGTTTCTCTGAATATAGGCCATTTATCTGTGGCATGTACCTTGTTATGTACGCCGATTCACGTAACGTAACGGCCACGTTAATGAGATTCTAGTTCATCTTTTCAAAACCGCTAAGGTGACTGAAACACAACAATCTTTGACCGCCAGTCAGCAACCCGGACTGAGCACTCGATGTAAATTAGAGATAATTTTGTTCACATTCATTGGCTTGACCATCTCCATTAACCACGCAATCGCGTAAAAAACGGTTTTTCAGCAAACCAACACGCTTACAATCCCGGTTCAAGCTTTCAGACTAGCACTTCACGCTTCAAGATCCTTAGGACTTCACCTTAAAAGCATCTGCATCTCATGCAAACATCACACGCAATTAAACTTGCTTGGGGTTCGGCAGGCAGCTTCATCTCGAAGTTGTCTACTCCAGATACCTACTTTCGGTCAAAATCAATGCACCCTCAGGCAAACGCCCTGGGACAGGCAACAAAATTCTTAACCTTTTCCGAGCATCATGAACCTCTAGTATCAATGCAAACCCGAGAACACCACTTCTAGCAACTTCCTCAGGCGACGCAGACCTTGGTGCATAGCTTATTGCGACTAAGGCATGCTGCAAATTACTTGCGTTAACCTCCACGGACTTCAGTCGAGCCTGTGGCGCCTCTGAAGAACCAGATATGGCATTTTCAGGTTCCCATACAGTCACTGCGTCGCTGTCGACGCTTACGGCGTATGGGCTCAACACAGTCGAGGAATCTCCATAAAAATAATCTCTTATAGCACCGCTCTGCAACGCACGTATTTGTACATCGTCATGCAACACCACTCCGCTCGAAGTGGGCAAACGTACAATGGTCAACGTCTCGACGGGTAGTTCGCGATGCAGTTTCACGGCAAGAGTGTCATCCGAGGCACACACCACTACTGCGTTGATATGGAATAGATTCACTATCTCATGTATCAACGAAAAGTCGTATTCGTCATCTTCCCCTTCGCCCATTTCACGTAATGCTGGCGTATCAACTATGATGCCAGCACGGCGTAGAGCCGCATCGTTTGCCAGACGAGCGTCAAGTGACGTGGCAAGCTGCTGCAGCTGCACACGGTACCACTCCCGATTACGCGAAATGCGTTCCAATCCAAAATTTTTGACCAATGGCTGTTTTGCGTGCAATGCAGTTGCACCGCTCGTAGTACTATGACCCCATCCATTATTTTGCACATCGATCAAATCTGAGATCGGTGTTGCAGATAGACACCCAGGAGGCGTATATATGCACTGTTGTGGGTCTAAGTTTACCACAACTGGGCCCTGGTCCCGGGTTTTGATTGCGTAACTGCTCAAGGTTTTGGCCAAACTAGTCTTGCCAGAAGCTCTATTGCCCACCAGTAGCACCCTTGGGCCTTGGGAACCCGCTGCTCGCTGTTTTTCGAGTGCAAAATGCAAGTTGTATACATGTGAAGCGTTTGTCTCCTTTTCATCGACGATCTGTTGTTGTACTACTGTTCCATTCCATTCTAACAGCACGTCTTCAACGGCATGCACTGCAATGCTAGTACCTTGAAACCTGTAGGCCACGGCAACAGCAAGTTCTATGCCAAATATCTCTGCGATGCCCTCTTGAACCGTGAGGGACAGTTGTGAGTCTTTGCCTACTTGAACTCGCCATTCCGAGCCCGCAGAGAGTTGAAGTGAATGAGGACCCTGTGAATCAAAAGATTCGAGTGCATCGCCGGCGTACTGGTCCAATGAACCGTTGAGTCCCGGCAGAGAAGCCATGAGTGGTCACTTTTTCAGTTGAAGTAGTGTCAATTGGTGTGTTTAACAGTAGTGTAAAATTAGTGATGAGATGATGGAAAATTGTAAAAAATGGTGAAAAAGGGTATACGTAGAGGGTATTTAGAGGCCGTAGTGGTCGTTGAGGTCCTTTCATGCCTACTTGCTCACTTTGACTTCTCCTCCACGCAAAACCCATTCGGTCCAGCTGCCATCGTAGAGCCGGACCTTGGGCACCCCGGCGAGCTCAAGTGCAGTCTTGACAATCACACCAGTTACACCGGTCCCGCACATAGCTATTGTAGGCTTCTCTGGATCAAGAGAGCCTCCATTTGCGGCCAAAGCCGCAGTGATGCGGTTGTGCATCGACTCAGTATTTTCATCAAAACACCCAAGCTCTGCGAGAGTGGAAGGGAAAGGCAATGATTGAGAGCCAGGAATATGTCCGCTGGGTAGTCCAGGCCGAGGTTCTGGTGCTTTACCGGCAAATCGGTCCCAACTGCGAGCATCGATTAGGTTGTAACGGTCATTGAGCGTGTTGGATTTCACCAACGGCAACAAGTCTTCGAAGTGAACTACTTCCTCAGATCGATTGTCTGTGTGCGAATTGTAGTCAGATGGCTGTGGCAGTAGTGACACCGTAGTTCTTGTGGCAGTGTCTAGAGGTAAACCGAGCTGCTTGTATTTTGGGAAACTGTTTAGCAAGTAGACCTGAGGGTGTCCAAAGAGTGCAAAAGTCCAAGCTGCTCGAGGGGCAGAGAAGTTTCCTGCACGGTCGTACACCACCAGCACGTCAGACTCACGAATTCCAAGAGTTCTCATGCTGGAATTGAAGGTTGGAAGGTCCGGTAACATGTGTGGAAAAGGCGAAGCAGCGTCTTTGACGGCATCAATATCGAAGAAAACCGCATTCTCTAATCTTTCTATGGTCAAAAACTCGTTGCGGGCATCCCTGCGAGTGTTGGGCATGTACCAGGACGCGTCGACAGGAATAACTCGACGACTAGTTTCGCGAGCAAGAAGGTCGATGAAGGCCGGAGGAGTCAAAAGTTTTGGAGGCATGTTAAAGGTGCTTTAGTGATCAATCGAACTTTTTGTTGAAGCTGGCAATGGCTTGTGAAAGAAGCTGGAGAACTGAGAGGTTTGAAGGTTGGATGTGAGTTGAAGAGAGTACTCGAAGGTAGCACCAGGTGGTACTCACTGGCGTACTCGAGAAGTATATCTCTGAAGTACTCGCACCACAATTTTGCTGGCGGTCACGAAAGACCATAGTGATATGAGGGCATCGCCAACAGGCCTGGTGAACATAAAGCCAAGGACGGTTGAACCAACCAGCTGCTCCGGGCCCGGTTTGGGTCGATCAACACAATTAACAATTTGACAGGCTAGCCAGGGTGTTAGTGTGTCTCTTTGATCGGAAAAAGAGGTGTTTTTGAAATAGCGTCAGTGGTGAGTGGTGAACGTTTTTGGCAGAGCTCAAGGACTGGAAATGGCTTGGTTCACGCCGTTTTAAGGCAAGTGATTCAAGGACATTGTCAATGGAATTGACGCAATTTGTGTCCTAGTGTTTCTCTTTCAGCGACAATTGTATGCGCAAATGTTCAAAAATGTGAACTTGTTGAGGCAAAACGAGACCTGGAGCCCTGAACGGCAACTTCATAGCACAATGGTCAGCATCAAGCTAGCGGCTGCAGTGGAAGAAAAGTTCCAAGCTTCATAAAGCCTCAATCCCAAAAAACGCCCTTATGGAGATCGTGAGCCGAACTAGAACAATGAGATCCGAAGATAGCTTGCTGTAGTGCACAGATCTTCACACAATCGGGTAGCTTCGATTTGATATAGCATCTTACTCCTGTAGTTTGGTTGACGAAGACTATCAAAGTCTCAGATCATCAGGCAAGGTGTGGTTTTCAGACGCTCTGGTCATAAGCCAGCACAACATACTGTTTAGCAAATCAGTTTAGGTGTTAGTATGCAAGTCGCACTACTCATCCCCCAATACACAGTGGAACACGAAATTAGACGTCAAATTGCAGCTCATCTGAAACACAGTTCGTCATGTACTCAGTTTATGTCAACTCCGTGTGATGAATTGATAACCGCTCTTAACACAACTTGAAAGTGTTAGTGAAAACCGGTCAAGAACAATGCAGACCTCTAAAAGCAGCTAAAATTCATGAGCTTGGCGGCCAATGGCTATTTGAAAACACAATTCAAAACCTCCTTCACAAGCGAAAGGTCCTTTTTCAGCGATGTGATTTTGGTGACGTAAAGATCAGGATATAAGCGCCAACAGCATTGGTGGGTATACAGATATAGGTATGTAGCTAGATAAGTGACCACTATAGAAAACCTTAGATCTAGTGAGCCACATTGGCCATTCATGGTCTTGGTTTTGACTCTTGTTAGGTTAGGTGAAGTCGATGAGAAGTATCAAGACCATTTTCGGAGTTTTGTAGTTGATAATTAGCCGTACTCGTAGCTGTACTCACTATGGAAACGACATGTTCGTGAGCATACTCGGACCAGTGCGACTCCAGCGAACAGCTGCGAGTGGATAAGTACTCCTGGAAGTACTAGAAATGAACTCCAAGCCTTCTTTACCGGGTTGTAACCCAGGGGTATTGGTACTTTCGCTGAAATCGAAAAGATTGACCTAGTTACGGGCTTCGAGGCCAACTTGGTAGCGAACAGCATCGAAAATTGGCTGAAGTTGTTGAAAGACCTTTGATGCGCAGATACTCCGGCTATTTGAGCTTCCCTTTTGTAGTCGTCGTTACATTCTGTCGCAAAAGTCTCTGGCATGTCAGTATTATGCCATCAATGGCTGACAGGACGCATTGGCCAGGAGTGATGCGGGAAAAGTGGCCCGTCTCTTAACCTTAAGCTGGGTGTTAATAAATTTTGCATGTAGATTAGTGAGTTAAGCATCAGCAGCCCACAGAAACCCGCTGTGCCAAGGTCCAAGATGGGACCCATGTCCCTGTGATATTCACACCGCGCTGTGTACCGAGGGCCCTTACTTTGTAGTGGGTCTGGAGAAGTTTGGCCGATTAAAAATGTTATTCTGCAGCAGAACTTTATGCCCATCAAAACATAACGATATTTGCGTGTCACGAACCATATAAAACAATATAATCATTTCCGTTGTCGCTATGATCAAAAAAAAGGTGTCTCCATTTCAATGACGTATGCGCCTGAACATGTATCATGGTGGATTTCGGGGTTTCAGAACACTCAGCTTTAGTTGCTACCTGTAGACTTTCAAGCTGAGCATTTCAATAGCGTAAGTCAAAATACCACACCATTATCTTTTTTTGAAAGCCCCGTTGTTTCACACAGTATTTATAGTTGCAGTCTATCCAAGAGTGCTTCCTCTAATGCAGACTTACTAACGCTCAAGTTCGATAGCTCGCTTAAAGACGAATCTGGTTGAGCCTTCCCATCTCCTGGAATCTTCTGATTTAAGATCCTGGACCACCTTAGATTCTTGACACCCTCTGGAGTTCCATTTTCTTCTTCTTCCTTTGCTTTTGACTCTCCATCTTGGCTACTTGTATTTTCCCTCAGGTCATCGCCGTCGTCGTCATCCTCTTCCACTTCCAATTCTTGTCCCACGTCCAATCCGCGAGTCTTGGTCTCAATTTCGTGCTCTAGCATCCGCAAATGCTTTGCAAACAGCCTATAGCTTCTCTTTCGCAGGAAAAACTCCGGAGTTTCGAACTCCCGGCTCAGTTTCACCCAATCGATGCTCTTCTTGTTGCCAAATCGTGATATCTTCAACCACAGCTTCTGGTCCTTCTCCAGATCCCAATGAAACTTTGGTGGCTCTACAAATCCTTCCCGATCTCTACCACTGACTTTAACATAGATAATGGTATTGTCAGCGTCCATTGGGAGCCGATTTGGTGGTTCAACAGGGTGTATGATTCTTATCCTTAAAAGTGAAATCTATAATATTGGAATCTTATGAGCTCATCTCATCTCACTACAAGAAGAGCAAACTTCGCACATAAAATGCTAGCATGGGTAGTGCGACCACGCCTATTGAGCCACTCTCAACTCTTTCCCAGGACTTGATTCACATTCAGGTCAACACATATGACGCTTACCACGAATCGCCGGGCGATTTTGATAGAATTACAGGGACAAGTTTACCTGATTGGAACTTTGATGCAGTGCCAGTGATACGAATTTATGGATCGTTACCAAGCGGTCACAACGTCCTTTGCCATGTCCACGGCATTTTCCCTTACATTTATATCCCATATGATGGTCGGGACCACGATTCATTGGGTGTAATGCGATCGCGTTGTGCTACCCTTCATGTCAAACTTGAAGAAAGACTCAAAGAAGCATATTCTCGCGGCAAAAACGATAGCAAGGATAAACAAAGTGGGGATGAGAACGTCGAAAGCAGTGCAAAGGGTTTGAAGTTCGTGGCAGACGTCTCTCTCGTCAAAGGTGTTGATTTCTACGGCTTCCATTCCGGCTACACTGCGTTTTATAGAATTTCACTTCTTGCTCAATCCACAGTGGGAAAGCTATCAGACCTTTTGCGGGATGGCAAGGCCACAGGCCGCAAGTGCAAAGTCTATGAGGCACATATACCGTATTTGTTACAATTTTCCACAGACTACAATATCTTTGGCTGTTCATGGCTCCGATTGCATCGATGCTACTTTCGAACTCCCATTCTAAACCCAGATTTTGCTCAGGATACACTGCTCATGAATGAAGATCTCAAGCAATTTCTGAATCGGTTTCATCAAGGTCGCACTGATGAATCGGGTTCCAAAATGTCTAGAGTAGGCAATAGTCTTTTGGAGATTGATGTCGTGCCACAGTTCATACAGAACCGCGAAGATATAACTTACAGAGATCTTCACAATTCGCTTTTTGAGAAGTCCCTGGATGAAAAGGAAGAAACCCTTTTCATACCCTCTACCAAAGAGCTGTGGACGCAGACTTCTCAATTGCGTAAAGAATTCGGTTTGGACGTTTTTGAGCCAGCACCGGAAGGCACAAGACCAGAACATTTCCCGCAATGGCAGAGTCATGAAGAAAACACGCTGTTTCTCCAAAGGGCTAGAGAATTCATGTCCTTTCGCAGCAAAACGAACAATAACCAGGCCAAAACAGGCTCCATAGACCAGTTGGAATTGCCTCAAACATCTCTCACTGCTCTTTGGCCATCGCTGGATACCACACTGTCTCAAAAAAATAACGGGTCTTTGATAGAATCGAACGGCTCAAATGCAGATCTCGTTGTTTCCCGAGATCCGTCTGTGCTTAGCAGCAGCGAGGAGTCCTTGGTGGAATCTGAAACTGAACCCAATGATCAAGAGCAAATCATCCCGAAGGAACCACTTGATGATATAGATGGTAGTTCAGTTTCACCAAATAGTATTGGCGACGCAAAGATTGTACCGCTATCTTTCGATGACCGTATCCTGACTCAAGCTATGATGCAAAAGCGCAAAATGTCCAGGCCTGTCCATAGTATCGAGAGACCTTTGAAAGTGCGTAAAAAGTTAGATCATCAACGATCATTACCTGAGACGCCAGGATCTTTCAAATTCAAAGAATTTTCTCTCGACCACGCCAGCATCCTTGATAGTCTAGAGAGTTTGGGTTATCCCAAAACTGAATTCAGCGATCCGTACTTTGAAGATCCTGAGGACCTCAAGAAAAAGGACCATGTGTATTCAGGACGTAAATTCATGATACAGTCAACGCACTTGACCTGCCGAAAGCCCATTGACTTCCGTGGGGAAACAGTACGCTTAGAATCCGATTATCCAGCTGAAGCGGATGACAATATTTCTTGGAAGTATGCAATCGAGCCGCCTTGCTATTCTGCAGTTCAAGAGTTTACGCAATCTCGAAAGCGCAAGTTTCGTTCTCAAATTGATTTCAAGACTCTTAGCAACGAGTTCGGTTACAAATTCAAGAGTAACAAGTCTTTGAAAGGGCTGAGTACGGGAGATCATAACGCCTTGTCTCACCTTACACTTGAAGTCTTTTCCAAGAGTAGAGACACGCTTTTACCTGACCCCGCAAATGACGCCGTCGAGCTGATGTTTTGGCAGATAGACCCATCGTCTTTGCCAATTGACTTTGGAATATCCAGCGACGGTGTTATGGCATTCTGCAGTGATGATGATAGTGCATTCGCAGCTCGACTAGAAAGCGCTGCGAGACCCACGCCCGTGGCTATCTACAAATCAGAAGAGGAGATGATAAGAGGATTAGTGGATTTGGTGCTTTTAATTGACCCTGACATTCTCTCTGGATTTGAAGTTCACTCTAGTTCGTGGGGGTACATCATAGACAGATGTGATCAAGCATACGATCGCGATTTCTGCGAGGAAGTCTCGAGGGTCAAGTATAAGCATTTCAACAAAAGAAAAGACGTTTGGGGGTTTTCTCACGATTCAGGAATTCATATAGCCGGGAGGCATGTTCTGAACTTATGGCGTTTATTAAGATCTGGTCTAAATTTGCTGAAGTATACTTTGGAGAACATTGCGTTTCATGTTCTGCATGAAAGATTAGCACACTTTCCCCCATTAGAGTTGACCAAACTTTGGAATGCGAACTTTGACATGACTGGACTCACAACGTTGCTGTCATACTGGAAAAAGAGAACAGAAGTCAACATCAGACTACTTGATAGCCAGCAAATTATCAATCAAACCGTCGAGCAAGCGCGACTAATCGGTGTGGACTTCTACTCCGTCATTTCAAGAGGCTCTCAATATAAAGTTGAATCTGTTTTGGTCCGTCTCTGTAAGTCGGAGCATTTCCTCGTCTTATCACCGAGTAAGGTGCAGGTCAGGAAGCAAAAGGCTTTGGAATGCATTCCTTTGGTAATGGAACCAGAGTCAGCGTTTTATAAGAGTCCGCTGGTTGTTTTGGATTTCCAGTCATTGTATCCATCGATAATGATAGGTTACAACTATTGCTACTCTACTATTCTGGGCAGAGTTCAAGAGTTGAAACTGAAAGGAAGTGAAGTTGGTGCAACAAAAATCAACATTCGTCGAGGGTTTTTGGATGAATTGAAGGAGTGTTTGACTGTTTCCCCAAATGGCGTTCTTTTCGTGAAACAAAACGTAAGAAAATCCATGCTTGCTAAAATGCTGGCTGACATCTTACACACCCGTTTTCTTGTTAAAAAGACAATGAGCGATTTGAAATCTAGAAACGAGACAGTTTCTAAGCTTCTCAATAATAAACAGGTAGCCCTTAAACTTCTAGCCAATGTCACTTACGGCTACACCTCTGCTTCCTTCTCGGGAAGAATGCCGTGCTCAGATGTAGCGGACAGTATCGTGCAAACAGGTCGGGAAACACTGCAAAAAGCCATCACCTTGATAGAAGAGAAGGATGAATGGGGTGCCAAGGTAGTTTACGGAGACACAGATAGTTTGTTTGTTTACCTGCCGGGAAAGACTAAAGAGGAAGCCTTTAAGTTTGGAAAACAAATGGCTACAGAAGTGACAGCCTGCAATCCATTTCCTATCACTCTTAAATTTGAGAAGGTGTATCATCCATGTATCCTAGTCAGCAAAAAGCGATATGTGGGATACTCCTTTGAGAAAGAAACCCAGAAAGAACCAAAATTTGATGCCAAAGGTATCGAAACTGTAAGAAGAGATGGACATCAAGCACAACAGAAAATAGTTGAGAAATCTCTGCGAATTCTCTTCGAGACCCAAAATCTGTCAGCCGTTAAGGCTTATGTCCAGGATCAGTTCCAAAAAATAACCAAGGGCCAGGTGTCAGTACAGGACTTTTGCTTTGCGCGCGAAGTGAAGCTTGGGTCTTATAAAAGTGATAAAACGGCACCTGCCGGTGCTGTTGTAGCGCAAAAGAAGACCAATTTGGATCGCCGAGCGGAACCTCAGTATCGAGAGCGTGTCCCTTATGTGGTAATAAAAGGCAGGCCCGGCCAAATCCTTCGGGAACGGTGCATTCCACCAGAGGTCTTTCTTTCAAATGAGAACTTCGAGCTGGACTCGACTTATTACATCACCAAGACACTGATTCCGCCTTTACAACGATTTTTCAATCTCATGGGTGTTGACGTCACAAGATGGTATGCAGAAATGCCCCACTTTCGAGACATGAGCTACAAGCAGTTCAAAGAAGGTAAACTGCCTGATTTCATGCGCTCTACGTTGTGTTTCAATTGTAAAGGAGAAATCAAAGATAAAAACGTTCACAGCCTTCTATGTGCCGAGTGTCTGCTCCAGAAGCCACTCACTGTGACCAGTCTGTTGCAAGAGGATATGGCTGTGAAAAACCAGTTGGGTGCCATTCTGACCGTTTGCAGGAGCTGTTGTGAACCATTGACCAAAAACTTACAAGATGACATGTCCAAGATAGTCATAAAGTGCGACTCTCAAGATTGCCCCGTGTATTATTCCCGAATCAAATACAAAGGATACGCCAATACTGATAGAGCTCGACAACGCTTGAGGCTTCTATCAGAGCTGGACAATTGGTGAGAAAGTGGTGAGAACCATTTTACTGACACTAGAGTCCTGCATCACCTGCTTGGCATCTGACCCATATGTCACGTGACGTAGCCATAGTAAAATTCTCGATGCTCATCGCATCGAGTTTTTAGACCATCACACTAGAGCTTTCCACCAACGATATCTTGAGAAAATCATTTTTAGAGCCAAAGGTGTTGCCAACAATACCAAAAGCATTTCAGGATCTAATAGATCTGCACGAGAACTTCCAGTAGCTTTTTCCAACGAAAAAAATGCCGTTGTCTAAGGCTTTGTCGAAAATTCAGAAAAATCAAAAGGGCAAGAGCGTCGCAGTGCATCCAAAGGGCCGTAAGTTCCAGAAATTGACCACGGCGACGCTGCGCGAGGACAAAATCGCTGCGAAAAAACGGTTACACAACGAGCGCAAAAGTCATGAACTCAGTAGAGTCAAATTTTTGCAGGATGTGGTGAACATGGACACTTTCAAAGACAGAGAAACGTTCACGTTAGAGGAAATGCTTCTGTTTGCAAACCAGTTCATTGGTCGTGATGACGAAGAGCTGGATGAGCTCAAGAAGAAAAGAAGATCCAACAGACCGCCTTCTAACAGACAGGTTGCCTTGCAGCAGAGAAGAGACACGGAAGTGAAAGAGTTGCAGTCTGGATTTTTGGTACCGGATCTGACAGAGGCTGCTAATGTTGAGTTTTTGAGACGTTGGAATCAAACCTTTGGATCTATGAACACTTTGCAGCAGATCAGAATCAACGATAAGGCCGAAAGAGTAGTTGGAGGCAACAAAAGTGCTCAGAAGGGCTCCGCAGATGTAGACATGAACTAGCTGGAAAATGAGAGGCTGGTGTAAGATGTCTATGTTTCTTTTGCATGGTGATTTTGAGAATTTGACGAAGCGGTTTTTTGCAATCGCTGCTCTCTGAGCTGCAATCCATATGACGCAAATCCCACGAATAGAATCGTGAGTCCTATGTTTAATGCTAGCAGGAATCCACGTTTACCGGCAGTTTTCTCGTGTTCCCGCTTGAAGACCAGCTTTCTTGCCCCGTCCACCGCGGAGTCTCCTATCAGCTGCCATTTTTCGCGCTCGAGATCTGTAATGATCTTGAGCAAATGTTCTGGTGATCTGCTGCTGCCGTTTATCACCGTGAACAGGTCCTTGTACTCTATATGTAAATTAGTCAATTGAGCTTTCCATGAAGTCAGCAACTTGGTCCCCTTATCCAGATCATATAGAAGCAGTTCGGTAGACATTGCCACAGGAGCTTGATTACCTTTACTATCCGGCTGAGCGATGCCTAAACCCTTCCAATAAAAAATCTTTGAAAAGAACGACCTTCTTCGCGAGGTACTGTTATCAAAAATCAGCATACCCGGTGAGAGTCCGGTGGTGCTACCGGAGTTCTGGTTCCACTGATATTTTCTGGTTTGTTCAGATGCGAATTGTCGCTGTTCTCGTTTCGTTTTTTCTGTTGTTTGAAGAAAACTCTGTAAGGACGAGAGGTTTATATCTTTAGAGTTCGAAGCAGAGGCTACCCAGTCTGCTTTCTGGTTTGGTTCAACAGTACCACCAGAAGCTGTCATTTCAGGACTCAAAATGTCCAAAGTCTTGTGAAGCTCTTTCGATGTGGACGGATGCAATTCCAGCAAGTCTGAACGAGCCTTTTCCGCCGTTTTAAATGTTCTAGCCTTGGCCTGCGGTTCTGTTACATTTACCATGCCGTCCTGCTCGACTAAAAGAGCACTGCAGGCTCTGTCGATGTGCGAAGTGCTCACTTTTCCCTGCAAGATGAGTTGGAACAGTTTTCGCAGCTGTTGCAAGGACACTGTGGTGTTTGGCAGCACTTCCTCGAGCAGTATTGACACTGTTTTGTTCAATTGAGTACCATGAGCGGGAAGCTTGCCAGTATTTAGCTGGTGTTCCAGGGCATCGAGTAAGAGGTTTCTATTCTTCTTCTTACTTCCATTTTTGTACCTAAAACTGCTCGTATCGCGGTTGTTGTGGACTCTTTTTGAAGGCCTAGTTGCGTAGAGTCTCAAGTCTAGCCTTAGAAGCAGTTTAGTCCCTCTAAGCATCTGCTGTTGTCGCGTTTTCGTTATTTTATCAAGAGATCTTGAACATATTCTGATATAATAATGTTATTTTAGAGATGCTATAGCCCATCAACTAAGTCAAAGTCAAGCCAACACCACCAATCAAGCACATTTCGAGTATCCACAGCAATGGCTAAGGACCCCGTTAACCTTGACAACATCTACGCCAACAATGTGGGAACTTTCGCGAAGATCACCAACACTGTGCTGCCAGTAACATATCCTGAAAAGTTCTTTGACGAACAGTTTGATGAAAAGCATAAAGGAACCTTCTTCGGCCAATTGGGCTACTTCGGGGAAGTTGCAGTGGGTGGTATCAGAGCTGAGCTCATTGCCAACAAAAATGGCGGTGTGAAGCCAGCTGGTGTGTACATTCAAGTTCTAGCAGTGCTAGAAGCGTATCGTGGAAAGACCATAGGATCGAAGCTATTGGGCTACATAGAGCAACAGTCCAAGGAGCACTTCCAACACAAGATCTTCGCACATGTGGCGGTCGACAACGAAACGGGTTTGGAATGGTACAAGAAACATGGGTTTGAAGTTAACGGCTCACCACTCAAGGATTACTACAAGGACACCACCGGATCACCCGATGCATACGTTTTGATCAAAGAAATATGATTCCTTTGTTTCAAGAAAACGAAGTGGTTGATTTGACTATATACTTCTTTTATCATCATTATAGCTTTACTAACTACCATGGCCGATCGATATGAGTCGCTAGAGTATCCCAAAAATTTTCTCAACACACCTAGTTTTTAGCAGCGTCTTCTGCTTCTTCATCTTCGGTATCTGTGTCGATATCTGTGTAATCGCTCTCTTCTTCATCCAATTCGTCGTTACTGTCATCGTTTTCATCCAGATCGCTGTCGTCCTCCGATTCGGAAGCTTCATCGGCGGCCTCTTTCTCCATCTGCTCAACAGGCGATGGATCACGGACAGCCATTGACAGGGTGAAGTCTAAATCGGGTCCGAAATACTCTGTACTTTTGACAATAACTCTGAAAAAGAAATCGCCCTTTTCTTCGGGCGCTGGCTGACTGAATGGGATCTTGATGTTACCGATAACCCATTCCTCAGGTTTGAATTCTTCCTCCAAATTTTTAACCGTTCTCTTGTCGAAATCTTTGTTCAGGTTTTCGAACGATAGTCTATCAATGAGCATCGGAGTCTGAATGACCTTACCATCCTTTTGAAGAACAACCAAGGCACACCAACAACCGCTACGTTTGCCAGGGAAGTATGGCGCAAAAGTTTGCGGCAGTCTGGGCTGCTCCAAAGTAGATGCAAATGGATCTTTCATGGACTCGAAGTCATCTCTGTCTAAACACATCTCGTCAGGAATCATATTTGGTGGGAAAAATTTGTGCTTGGCAGAACGAACAAGAACCTTCAGCGAAATATGAGGTGTCGATTGAGGCGTCACTACACTTTCACCGGGAACCTTGAATTCAGCCCTGATAAGCTTCAAGTGTGGAATAGACGATGCAACGCTTAGTGTTTCCTGTAGTTTGGTACTGTCATCTATTCCCAAAATTTTGCCGATCTTGGCATCTTCATAAGTGAATAGCTTGCCGAGAGTACGAATGTCGTCCACTGATCCCTCAGTCAAGCTTTCAGGATTGACGTTAGGAAGCTGAAGAAGTTGTGAGTATGGTGAAATCGAGGTTGCTTGGACGATAGCCTTGAGAGTGTCAATTGTCATAGTGGAGATTTCCAAGTTCCGGAATGTAGTTGCAATGTCCAGTAATCCAAATAAAAGAACGTTGCTTTTAGCTACGATTCTTAGCTTTGCGTTTTCAAGATTTCCACTGTGCTTGCGGTTGATCTGGTCATGCAGCAAGGTCTCGAAAGTTTCCACGCTGAGTTCAGGAAACATAAGCTTAAACTCCTCAGCATGCGATAGCCAATTTACAATGAGATCCAAAGTAACCACTTGTGAGGGCTTGAAGTTGAAAAGTCTATTAGAAAAGTAGGATGCAGACTTGACGTGAATACCTTTTTTAGTCACGGATTGAGTTCTAGACCACCATCTACTCACGAAGTAAGGCAAAACAATTCCCAGCAAAGCGACGTACCCCAGAATTACAAGCGTAGAAGCAGAACTGTCGACCAAAAATTTTGGCAGGGCAATTCCGTGAGAAGTCGCTTGTGGCCCATCGGGATGGCCATATTTGAGGTAGTTTTCGCGTGTAATCTCATCAGTCAATGACTTGTAAGCCTTTGTAATCAACACGTATTGTTCTTCCAGCACAGAACGCTGTTCGGAGCTTAAATCTTTGGAAAGTTTGTCTGGATGGAATTTGACGGATAGTTTACGGTATGCAGAGCGAACCTCGCGATCGGTTGAAGACGCAGATATGTCCAGAAGTGCATAAGGATCAAACAGTAGGGTTGCTGCATCTTGGATGCCTTCACTTGAACCGATATACTGAATCAAATATGCCACTACAGTCCAGCCTGCAATGATGAAAAGATTGCGTTTTGCGAGCCACTTGGACTTTTTCGCCACAGACTTTGCCCTGAACTCTAGAATTTCACGACTCGCGTACTTTTCAGACATCTCGCCAAGGATTGACGCTTGATCATTCAGAGTTTGATCACTTTTCCCGCCTGAAACCAATTCCCACAGCTGCATCGCCGTTAATGGGACTAAAACCACGCACAGAACGGCTAAAATGAAGAACGGCCAAGTCTCGGAGGCCTCATCATAGTCATAGCTTTGCGGCATGATCGATGAATTCAGAAATCAAAGGTCTTAGAGGTAAGTTAAAGTCGAACTAGTTTGGTGTTTTCAAGCTTTGAGTTGAGTGTCACTGGAATTATATCGAGATCTGTATTTGAGGTCGCTGTATACGATGTGAGCGAAAGATCTTGTAAAAGTCGATAAATGTCAACTGGAAATAGACCTCATGGGAGCATTGAAATTTGCAGCTTGTGTGACTGGCCTTGGATTAATTTTTACTTTGATACAAGGCACAAATTTTCAGCTCATATTTGGAATACTTTGATTTTTCAATTTTTATTACTTTCAACTTTTTTTAAAAACATCGTGATAAGTATTCTCCCAAGAGCTTTTGGGATCATTCATTCGGTATACTAGGAGTCAGGTATCGAAGTGGCTTGCGATAAACATGTCCTATAGTTCCAAGTTAACTAACAAACAAGATTCGTCTTGGGTCACGTGATGCGTGTCAGTGATAGTGAGCGAGATCATTTTTTGGCCATCCTGACAAAAAAATGTAGTGCTGGCCATCAAAACATCCTATTTTAGCATCATTGACATTTGTTAACTATCTTGGGCAAGGACATCTTCTCACTTTCAGCACTAACTGCCCATGCTCTTCCCGTCTCTTTACTTCAATAGTTAATTAATCACCATTTTGGTCACTTTGTACTAGTGTGACTCTGTCGTCTCAGCCTTCATTAAGGCAGTTTCACCCCATAGAATTGATACATCTCAGCCCAAACAATGATTCCATATTTCGAATATCATGTTTCGCCTCCACAAATCTAAGAATTCCGTCAAAACCATCAACAACAAAAAGTGATCCCAATGCATACCGTTAAAAGCCCAAAAACACATCATTTGAAGTTGAAAAGATCCATAAAGACCCAGAGTTCAAGCAGACATTTTAAATGAATCAACACACCTGAATTGAGCACGTCCCGCGTGAACTTTACCAGCTTTTAGAGTATTTCCGTATAACACGACCACTCTCTCTAAATAAAAAGTTTTACCATATTAAACTCCATATTCAAATGGATTGGTCAAATACAGAACTCTACCAACTTACAACTGCAATTGGCACATCGGCAAGCTTTGCTTGGCTTCCAAGTACCCGTCCATTCTTACAAGCAAGTCGAGGGAATACTATGATGCAAAACATTTATCAAAATCCGACCGGATTTGCCCAGCAAAATGCTTTGGACAAAAGAGTGAAGATCAGTGTGAAAGGCTGGCAAAATGCAACCAGACAAGACCTTGTGAGCTTTGTGAGCCGCAAGACGAGAATAGGCATCGTGGATTCGACTGTGGAAGGAAATCTGGTGGTCGGGTTCGTGAATAGCCAAACCGAGGCCCAATCGTTACTCAATTGGAATGGCGTTCGATTTGCAGGCAATGCTTTGAAATTCGAAATTTTGGGAAGCGGTACGGGGGATGCTGGAACATCGAAGACAATTGTATTGCTGAAATCGTTTCTATTCAAGCGGTACAGTCCTCAGGCGAAAATGCTAGACTTGGGTAACCTTCGTAACGACCCAGACCTGGCCACTAACGGATTATTTTCCTCACAAACCACCCAGTCCAAGATTTTTCCGGCGATGATGAAACTGGCTTCTAAAGAATCCCAACTGGTTGTGGAATCTGTCAACCTCTCCGATAACGAATTGAGAGATTTGAACATGATCTCGTGCTTAGCGCAAACGTACCCAAATCTCAAAAACTTATGTTTGGCCAACAATCAAATATCGCGTTTCCGCGCTTTGGAAGTATGGAAAAATAAGTTTAAGCATCTGCGGGAACTTCTAATGATGAATAACCCAATCACCGCTGAGCCTTTGTATCAATCAGAAATTCTCAGGCTTTTCCCAAGACTTGTGATTCTTGACAACGTGGTGGTGAGAGATGAAGCGAAACTGCAACAGGTTTTTTCAATCCCTATGAAGTTGCAGCAGTTCTTTTTTGAAAACAACGAGCTGGGACAATCTTCTCTCGAATTCGTGAGTAATTTTTTGACGCTGTGGGATACAAACAGAAGTCAACTCATGCCCTTGTATACACCACAATCCCAGTTTTCTGTAGCGGTTGATTCCTCAGTCCCAGCTTCGAGCGTGCCCAATGCAGACCAGAATCCAACATTCGGCTATTACCTTCCGCTATCACGCAATTTGACTAAGGTGTCTAGTGAGAGAACCAAACAACAAAGGCTTGCTATGGGCCAAGAAGACATCGACAAGATCTTCAAGTCTATTCCAAAAACCAAACATTTTCTTCAGGAGCAGGCATCAAGCTACTCTCTTGAGGCTTTTTCATATGCGCAAGTTCAAGGTTTCACAATTACACTGCACGGTTACTTTGACGAAGTAGCTCACCCTGACGTCGATGCCAACAAATCCACATCTAACTCGGCTGGTGGTCGTAATCGGCGTTTTAATCACGGCCATGCCAACACAACCAACAAATTGACCAGAAAATCATTTGATAGAACGTGGGTCATAGTACCTTCGCAAGGCACCGTCATCATCGCATCCGATCTTTTGAACATCAGATCGTATGTCGATGGCTCCTGGATCCCTCAGCAGCAAGTTCAGGAACCACTGGTCCAGGGACAATCGCCAGCTCCTCCATTAGGACCACAGCCCGTTCAACCCATGCCGCCGGCTCCACTGCAACCGGTTGTTCCCGGTGCCCCGGCTACCGCAATGCCCGCAGCTCCTTTAACGTTGCCGGCTGAAGTTCAGGCTAAGCTCAATCCTATTCAACTCGATCTGCTCAACAGACTACATCAACAGACAAAACTTAATGCGGAATTCACCTACATGCTTGCAGATCAAAGTGGCTGGAACTTTGATGTGGCCATGAAGGGATTTCAAGAAAGTGTAAATAACATACCTCGAGAGGCTTTTGTTTGATAACAAAGCTTCATAAAATATGCATGAAGGTCGGATTTCAAGATCTGTCTTTCCACATTCTATCAGATTTTCCATAAACTACACAAAGTCTATTTAGACAAGAACAGCATTTCGTAATTCTACGTTGTCGAGCAGTGCCTTGTCAAAGACGCAAGAGTTTGGGTGACATTTTTCCAAGTGGTGACGGTATTTACTGAGTGACGGTATTTACTGAGTGACGACGACAGTGTCAGAGGCAAGTATGTAAATTTATCTAACTTATAAAATCACAAACAGTTTCGAAAAGGGCGTGGTAGGAGCCACCAGTCGTGTATTTGATCTAGTCTTTTTCAAACGATCGAGTATGAGAGCAGTTCCAGTTCCAAGAAAGTCCAGAGCTCGCTTTCTGCGGCGCAAAGCCGGACGTCTCTACCAAGTCGTGTCATTCCGCAAAGTCAGACGTAAACTGAATCTCCATCAAATACATCAGCTTCACCGTAGGAATGCAAAGAATTTCCGAAGAAAGCGTTTTGATGCCGGCAAGCTGATGACACCAATTGTGGCAGGTGATGGTGTGAATTTATGGTCTGGAATAGAATCCCCGGCAGCCAAAAGCAAGCCATTGCTGATTGCATCATTTCCAAATGGCTACAGCAGGTCGCCACGAGTTAAAGTTTTGCAGAAAAATAGGCTTTCCAGGTCATGGGTCAGTCGCAGACGATACCGTCTGCATAAATACAATCCTGGATTGCAAAGGTCCCATATTCCAGAAACCGGGAAAGAATATGAGGAATGCGTGCGTAGCTGTCGTGCTATCAAGAGGCAAGCTTCAAAATATGCAGATGTCAAATTCAACTTCGAACGACAAAATGTTATGAGGACCGTGTGCATTCCCAATTACCATTTGCAGGATCAAACCCCACATTTGCTGGAATTTCATCCGGATCATAGCATCAGATTGGAGGAATTTCCGTCTTTGCTGCGATCTGAGACCAATGCTGAAAAAATTGTTGTGGTGCACTCGGAGGCCAAACCAGGGTTTCTCTCACTCGTGAAGCGTAGTGTCAAATCACAATTGAAGAACATAAACTGGAAGCTCAGCGAGTATATGCCCCAAGCATCGTTTCTGAAGCTCCCTGACGTGATTATCTGGAGCAGCATTGCCCCTCCCATTGACAGCGGAGAAGATTCGGCCGACGCTGGCGCACAGACGCTTCACGATAAACTCAACGCTCTTGTAGAGGCTTCAAAACTGGCTGGCACTGCCTTCAATAGCTACAATCGTATGGTTCAAAAGCTCGAGACCGTCTCGCCAGGTGCTACTCGTACCATTCGTAGGGCCACAGCCAGGCGTGTAGCCCGGCAATGATTATTGCATAACTACGGACTCTACACCTAGAAGAACCAAAAAAAAAAAAAAAAACGGCCAAACGGTTTCTGCCTTCAATTATTGACGCCAGCTTCTGGTACCAGTTTACCAATGCAAGGATATTTTTTTTCGAAATGCTCTAACCAACCATCCAGAGCTTCCATGTCCTCCTTACTCAAGTCCGCTAGATCGTCTATTGGTTGATCCCAGTGTCTGAGGGTATCGAGGTCAAAAGAATTGGTGGCTAGACCGCGTGAAGCGTCGTGACCCGCAAAATTAGAGTAAGGTCCACTGGGACCGTAAAACTGTCTACCCTGTGTACAGTCGAAAACTTTACCCTTGATGGCCAAAAAAATCTTTTCATGGTCGTGACCATTGAATTTGTAAAGGGTTCGTGGGTAGAAAGTTCCTTCTACAATAGGCTCCGAGTTGCTTTGATCGTCTTTGGGCACGTCGGACCCGCCTGTAACACCTGTAGGGTCTTCGCTTGTCTTGACACCTCCAAACAACAAGTTTTTGACAAACGACATGTTTCTATGCTGATGAAACTTTAATAAATAGCACCTCTAACAGGTTCAAACGCTTTGTAACGCTAGTTTTGAAAGTTGAAGAGGTTGGTAAGGGTTTAAGTTCACTTTAGGACCAGGAAGCCTTTATAGTCTAAACGACATTTATTAGAAAATATCCAAAATGCGACTGTTTGGACAAAAGTGATCTGAGCCAGATCTATCATTTTTGTCCAGTCCAGTCGGTTACTTAAGCAGAAATTTCTGGCGATTCAGTAGGTAAGCGACCCATTGAAAAAGGCCAATGGGTACTGATCCTTCAAGACGTCAGTATTTTATAAGTAGTCTAACGTACAAAGTGTTAGTAACTTGTTTCATACTTCCGTACAAAGGTACCTTAGATTTATGATTATTTTACACAACAAGTTACGTCTGCTAAAGTGACCCTTCCAAGTAATTGCCATTTTAATTTAGCCAGATATTTATGAGCTTCTCCATTGTCATTTTTAAATGAGTCGCGTCATAAGTAGTCGGTTACCAAAATTTCCGATTCGTCGAAAGAGATGTTAAATAAGTAACTTACGAGAAAAACTCATGAGTAACTAAACCAAATTTCGTACAAAACGCGACTGACTGCACAAGTATGCAGATTTATGCTAGATGCAGGGTATAAATGGCGAATGTATGTCAAAAGCTCACAATAGAACTCAGCGGCAGGGTTAAGAGCTCCATGAATTTTCAACATACACAAGTAAAAGGTCGAGATAACACCAATTCGTTTGTCTAAAGCCAAAAACAGGAAAAGAGCTTTTGATGGTGGCTCTCCCGAAGCAGTTTCGAGTGAAAACGATCAAAAGGTCGAGATAACACCATTTCGTTTGTGTGCAGCCAAAAACAAGAAAAAGCCCCTAATGATGGCTCTTCTGAAACAGTTCCGATCAAGTTTGAATCAAAGATTGTCCCTTTCAATTACCGACCCGCTTCATAAACGCGTTGGGTAAAAAACTATGGGCTCTCCTGAACTAGTCTCCAGATGGTAAGGTCATGGTCAATATTCAAATTCACATCCCAAAAGCTAACAGAAAAATGGACACACACCATGGGAGCGTTTTCTCTGCTACATTCAGGTTCAGTAATAAACTATCACATTTCAAAAAGATAAGTGACCAATGCGTTTAGAGTCGAGACAACTGGCTTTTCAGGTTAACACGAGGCTCACTCCCTCTTTTATCATAAAATCGCGGTCTAAGATACAGGTATCAACGATCCCAATGCAACAAGACTTGTCTTTTCGAAGTTCGCCTGCTAGTTTCTATCTCCGAGTACTCACATGTACTCGAAACGATCTGCCGGCGTAATTAAAACTGTGAAAAGTGTCAAAATCCTAATCAACAGCTCCTTAGTTGAATAACCACGGAGACTCAACCGCTTGCAATGGACCACAAGGACTCTGAAGAGCAGTTCATTGAGACCATTGAAGGCACTCCAGGCTATAATTTTGATTATGGACCTTTACCTCGAGACATCTTCAGAAGCAAACTATCGTGGGAATTGAAATTCAGAAAGTGGTCTAATGCATCTTATGTTTTGATGATAATAGCAGCTTATTGGTTTTTTAAGCTTATGTTGTCGATAATACTAGGCCTTGGAATTGGGATGACTAGTGTTAGTCCTATTTTCGGTTTGGTGTGGTTTTTTTTCTTCAGGTGTCATTTAACATGGGATGGAACGACAAAAGTGCGCGTACCTACTTGGTTGAAATAATCAATGCAAACCCAGGCGATGATATGAATAAGTGGGATTTGATCGCGGCCAAAATGAATACTATCCTGTATGAAAACGACGAAAATGCAACGAGGTATTTTTTCTACGACGGTCAGCAATGTCTTTCGCGATTCACTGAGAATTACGTCTCGCCTCGTTTGAAGAATAAGAAAAACCATTCTCCCAGTCTAGAGCCCTTCATCAAAGCTGCTGTAGAGCAGTACATGGAAAATTTCAATGAGCAATTACGTCAAATGACGTCGGGCAGTTCTACAGGTCAAAGAGAAACTGCCAATCGAGATGATGTGGATAACGATACTGCAGTTAAATGAACTTTTAGTCTTAAACAGCCAGCGCAATCTCGAATGCCAGATTTTGCGTGCACACAAGAGGAAAAAATGATAGAGACAGTACAAAGCGGCAATAACATGATACATGCTACAGCTGAGGAATCATACTAGCCGTGGTAAACTTCCTCTTCCATCTTGGAAACCAGCATATTGCGCACGAGGACCACGTGACACGCGCCAGCGACACGAAAATAATTTTCTGAGTGGGGGAGGTTTCTCAATGCTTCAAAGTACCACACTGGGTTTTCGAATCAGTTATCGATGTTTCCTCCCGGCCAACAAGTTTGTTTCGGCCTCTGCACGGGCAAGTATATCAATTAAAATGAAACCGTAACATTTTATGACCTCTCACTCGCTACTCTGTTTTTGTCTTCAATTCGACAAGACTCCCAACCGCATCTCTCTGCAAGCCCACCAACGAAAGAGGTATCGTCGACTGTCTTTTGCATCGTCCGCAACAAAACGTTCGATCCCAACAAAAGTCTTGAAAAAGCGCCGAAAAGCGCCCAGAACAATGACACAAAATCCAAAACTTTTTCACTCACACGAAGCCCATCAGAAAGAGTACAAAATGTTAACAGTCCGTCCCGGACGTCCTTTTCTCTTAAGAATTTCTCTACCGATTCGATTAAAATGTCAGATACATCACTTCATACGAACATAACAGCCCTCTTGTAAGGTTTAGCAGCATTATGTTTCAATGGGAAAATCCCTCTATCTCGGTGGTATGTTCTTAGATTTTCCCTTCTTGTTCGTGTTTCGAAAACCGGCGTGGAAATAATTCGAGTAAATGGTTTTTGTTGGGTGATGCACTCGATGAAATTTGTCTTGGAATATTAGTCCATTTGCTTGTAGTATTCGTTGACTTTTATTTTCCGGCTTGGTGGTCTTATTGACGTAATTTTGGTGTGCACCCTGACGCTCACGCCTCTTCAGAATTATCGAGGAAAAGTTCCGAGGATTTTTGAAGCAGCTCCGTAACAAGACCGATTTGCTCTTGAGCACGACCCTTGTCACCTTCAGCAATAGCGTCTCTTATGCCAGGGAAGCTCCAGGAATCATGAGAGCCCTGGTTCTTGACTGAAGGACCGAAAAGCACATTTCGGTAAAAGCTACGATTCGGTAGCCCCTGCGCAGCACAACTGTGTTTCTCGAGGCTCGCCAATCTTCTGTTCCAGGCCCATCTGGTCACTGAAAGCAATGAAGGCTCGAGACCTTCGTTTTCGACCAAAACAATATTCTCCCATGCACGAATCCAGGAGTTCACTCGTTCTCCGATACGTTTCCACACGCCAAGTTCCGCCACCATATCCCTAAAATTTAGCCCCATTTCGCCTGAGCTTTCCTTCAAATCTTCCAGTAGTCTCATCAATAAAATCGCATACGTCTCGATATCGAAGGGTATCAATGGCGAGTCTATCAATTTGAGGCAAGTATGCAAGATGTACAGAGTCAATTCAGACGAGCGCTCCCAGAATTCATCGTCTATCTTAGCGGAAAACACCTCGAAATTGTCGTCGCAAGTGTAAATTGGATACTTCCGCTCCAAGACATGTGGAGCAGATAGAACTGCCACGGGTATACCATTTGTCAAGTAAGCGCTCCAGTCGCCATACTGTTGGACGCCTCTGACGTTTTTTTCGAACCCCATCATGAGATTGTCGTTTTTGAAATACTCAAATAGTAGAGGATGCGCCTGTATGTCCAGTTTTGGACCATTGGGATCGATTCCAAGTTGACTTATATCGATAACAGCATAAATCTCCTCTCGTATTTTTGAAGATTCAGATTCCAAAAGTTCAGTGGCACCCGCATGCCCATACTCAGATCCATCGAAGGAAATGAAGTATATGTTTCTGAGAGGTTTCCAACCAAACTTATATTTGGCCTGCTGGAATAGCTGTACCAAAGACAATAGAGTCGCAGTGCCATAGTTCGGGTATGTGCATCCAGTGCACGCAGAATCCCTTGCGGCGCTCAATATGATGGCTTTGTCGTCTTGTTCTCTGCCTTCAATTTTGCCCACAATACTCCAGGAGGCGTGTTCTTCCCGCTCTACTGGTTCCAGCAAGAGATTCACTGTTACCTCTCCGTTGGCACCGCTATACCATCCATCATCAAATTGTTTTCCCTGGCTTTCAGCCAGTAACTTTTGAAGATTCTCGGCCTGTCTTCTTGAAATTGGAATAGTGGGTATCTTGGGTACTATACTGGACTCTGCCAGTTTCAATCGCTTGGACGAAGCAGAACTCCAGCCGGGAGAAAGGGGATCTCCCATACTGGTACGAAAGTTGTTGACAGATACCTGCTGCACGCTATCGATTTGCTCTTCGCCATATCCATCAGAAATGAAAATGACACCTTGGTAACCAAGTTCCTGTGCCCTCATGACCTGTTCGCCAGGATATAGATCATAATGCATAAGCAAAACGGTGTTTTCGCCAGCGATATCCTGCTGGTCCAAAAGCTGGAGATCCTGCTCGGTTCCAAAATGGGCATAGGCCAGTTTAGCGTTTTTGACTTCTCCCTTCATACTTAACGGGTTGAAATTTTGATCGGTCAGATTCAAATCTAACACCTTCCCAGACGAAGATTGCACACTGATACTGGCGTTGCCTGGATAATTTAAGTACGTTTCGAAAGCCGCGTCACCAACAATACGTAGTCCATTGTTGTTGAATGCTTCTTCGATATATTGTGCGATGGCCAGATCACCCTTTGTGCCTGCCATGTGCGACATGCTGCTTATGAATTCCAAGTCATTTTCCATTTTTGACATGTCCAAAGCCCTCTTTGCATACGCCATGATTTGTTGCTGGTCTGAGAACATTCCTCGAGAACCCGTAGCTGTGCCGTTAGGTAAAAGTCCGCTGGACGAAACATAGTAGATAAAGCACGATACAAGCAACACATATACGAAACGTCTCAAAATGAGTGGATTCCCAACCTTGCTCAAGTAGTAATCGAACTTGCGAGAAACGATGGCCATTATAACGGCCAATGGGTCTGTTATTCTTTCCCTTACAGGAACTACAACGTAATGCTGAAACTTGACCTTCAGACGCTCCACCTTACTTGGTTCTGAGCCGGCCCCGAAAAGCGGTTCATCAATCTCAAAATGCTCCATGCCTAACTCAAACTCTGCTGCTCTGTCATTTTCATACTGAGGCGGATTTGCAGGTAATTCTAAGTTTTCCTCGAGGCTATTAGCCACAGTACTACCCTCATTGGAAAGCCCTTGATCGTCTTGATCGACCGGTGTGTATTTTTGGGACGAACGCGCCATTGGAGGCGCTATGGAGATGGGAATAGACTTTCAACTTTTGGTTCTTGTAAGAATTCAAGGTTGTAATTAAAGATGCGGTTCTTATAATGACAGAGCGAAATATACATTTCTACGAAGTCATTTTTAAAAGCGAGATTTGAAAAGAATTGGACAAGCTAGCGTCTAAATCACTAATTTTATTGAATTTACTGCTGATTGTTTTTCCGGCGAGAGTTTGGAGGTTTCGGGGAATTTTCTCTGAGTCTCTTGTTTTTTCTTGATTTTCAGACAGACACCAAGACCTTGAGAGGTTTTGAGACTGCAAAACTTAGCGATTAGCTCAAAGTCCTAGATTCTTAACTGGAGTAATCGTTAATGGTTAGCTATCGTCTTAGCGGTAGTCTTTTTTGACTTATCGTAACATTACAATGGTCTCGGACAGTGCTAAAATACGTCTGGTGACAGTTTAGTACATAGTGATATACGCTGTCTCCTGGCAACCGGCTTGGAAACCGTTAACGAAACACACCTCAGTCTCCAGTATTTCACGAAACAGCATGATTCTGTGATTAATAGAATTCGGTAGCCCTTTTTTTTGATGGTTTTTCGGCGTTGTGACATTTTCAATCCAATGTGAAATTTCGTTCGAAGTGGGCTCTCAACAGCACAAGATAGTGAACACAGGTTTATCCAGCTGTGTCCACACATGCACATCTATATGCCGCTATTAAGATAACATGACAGCTCTTTCGAATCATGTGTCAGAATCTGTCGTCACCATCGCGAGTACCAATTTTACCGCTACGAGTACCAAATATATCAAGACTGATATAATCTCGAACTAAAGTTGAAGCTCATCGCTACTCTCAACTACACTTCAAATGACCAGCTCACATCGCCTCAATGGCCTATAACATAGCGTAAGTGCCGTCCTAATTGTAGCTTCAATACAAGCCACGCATCTTTTACTAACTCGTCTTTTTTCAAGCATGGTATGCGACTTTTTCTACCCGCAACTGGGCGGTGTAGAGTTCCACATCTATCATCTGGCTCAGAAACTGATCAAAGCTGGCCATTCGGTCGTGGTTATAACGCATGCATATGGGGATCGAACGGGGGTGAGGTACCTGAGTAACGGACTGAAGGTCTATTACGTCCCATACACGATCTTGTACCGAGAAACCAGTTTTCCAACGGTGTTTGCCAGTTTCCCCATTTTGAGAAACATTCTGATCCGTGAGCAGATTCAAATTGTGCACTCCCATGTTAGTGTGTCTTCCTTGGCACACGAGTCGCTGTTGCATGCCACAGTCATGGGACTCCAAACAGTGTTCACGGATCATTCCTTATATGGCTTCGACTCGTTATCCTCAATCCTCGCAAACAAATCGTTGCGCTTCACACTCACAAACGTAGGAGCCGTAATTTGCGTATCCAACACTTGCAAAGAAAACATGATTTTGAGAGCAGACCTCGACCCGTCTCACATATCTGTAATTCCAAATGCCGTGGTAAGCAAAGATTTCACGCCTGTGCCGAGACATACGCGCAAGAATCTCGACCAAATAACTATCGTAGTGATCAGTCGTTTATACCCTAACAAGGGAGCCGATCTTCTGACGCATTTGATTCCTCAGATCTGCAATATTCAGCAAAATGTTAATTTTGTAGTCGCTGGCGATGGCCCCAAATTTGTGGATTTCCAGCAAATGATCGAGACTTATCGTCTCCAAGAAAGAGTTCAGCTTCTGGGATCAGTTCAGCATGAAAAAGTGCGCGACGTAATGTGCCAAGGTGATATATACCTGCATGCAAGTCTCACAGAAGCCTTCGGTACTGTGCTTGTGGAGGCTGCATCGTGTGGGCTTCTAATAGTAACAACAACTGTCGGTGGTATACCTGAAGTTCTGCCGGAGCATATGACGGTATTTGCAAAAGAGACATCTGTCTCTAGCTTGGTTGATGCCACGCTGAAAGCAATAGAACAATTAAAACAAGGCAAAGTTGATACCTCGCTATTTCACTCCGAAGTTGCTTCGATATATGATTGGACGGACGTGGCTGAAAGAACTGCCGCGGTATACCAAAAACTTATATGCGAGTCTGCAACAAGAGATCTAACTTGGTTGCAGCTGCTGAAAAACTACCACAACCGCGGCGGGCCTTGGGCACGTTTCTTATACATGTTATGTGCTGTGGTAGAGTTCATGCTATATCTGATCCTAGAATGGTGGTATCCGAGGAATCAAATCGATCTTGCAGTCAAATGGAAACGGAAAGTGGAGTGAAAGTCATTAGGCAACTCCCTTAAGTGGCGAGATTATGCAGTTGTTCCATCAAAAGAGCATTTCTCTCGTCAAGCCACCTGCAATGGAAGCCCAACGAGCTACTTGTAGAAGAGTCGAAACTGACAGGTGCGATTTCAGCATCGCGCAGGAACTCAGAAAACATGCTTCGAGTATTTTCTAAATCGTTGAAAAAATTGGCATTTACAAACGAATCCTTGGACTGTACTGGTTTCGCTAACCAAAAGTTTTCATCCAGGCCGTCGTGTGCATGCTGCATACCCAAAATTGCTGCTTTCAAGTCGTTGATCTTACTAGTGAGAGCAAAATGATCCGCATCATCTGTGTTTTTGGCCAGAGTGATAAGCTCTTTGTTAGGAAACAGAAACCTACGTCCAATGCGTTCGACCTCCAGGGCCTCTTTTAGATTTGTATTGGCAATCTCCAAATTGCGGACAGACGATTGTAATTCGTCGCGAGAAAGCTGCAAGCCCGACAAATCGTTTTGGAGAATTGATACAATATCTTCCTGCATCTTCTGCCGCTGTAACTTATTTTCAAAGACTTTGAGTTTCAAATTCAGCTCCTCGATATTGGCGGTTTTGGCTAAAACCGTCTCCCTCATTTGCTCTAGCTCTAGCTTAAGCTTCTTAGCCGCAGATGTAGCATCTTCATCATTAGTGACCTGCAATTCCGAAGACTTATCATCTCGCGCGTCAGTCGCTACAGTTACTTTGAGCTGGTTCAATTTATCTGAAAAATCCCGTAGGAAAGAAACAGTCTCGCTTTGCTCAAATCCATTACATTCTAAGGCGCAGACGACGTGTTCAAAAAAACTTGCAGCTGTTACAAAAACCTCGTTGGTTTCGAATAACATGATGCTCCCTTCAGTGCCAGGTGTCAGCCGATGATGACACAGATCTCCCAAACGGACTAGTGCTGAAATGAGGTCATCGCCAAGGTCGTGGCGTGTATTTATTAGCACACTCGATATCTCATCAAGTGTACGAAACAAGACCAGTGGATCTTGGTCAATCATAAAATTATTCGAATTTAGAAAGGGTTTCACACCTAGTTCCACTAGTTCTTCTGGGACTTTGTCTTTGAAAATACTGTCTTTCCAACTTTCGATTTGATCTCGCGTAAATATCTCAAAAGAAGAAGTTTCGAGCTTCGTGAGTCTGGCAGTCCGAATTGCCGATGTGTAGGACTGCGAAGCAAGTTGAAGAAGAAAGTATGCTTGTAGCGTTTTTTGCGAACTGTCGAAGGAGCCAGCCTTCAAGAGTTTCGACAAAAATAATAGCTTCCTGGACACAACGAGAGGAAGATTTGTACTTGATTCATCCCAGCTTTCTGAAAGATATCGAATGTTCAGAGACTTTTGATGAAGCTGAATGTGCAGGTGTTGGATTTGGCTAGTTAGTTCTTGTAAATGACGCTCAGCAGAAGGATCGCGCAACGTAAGCTTGCTGGAAAGCTGTGAGTTTTCTACTTCAAGCGCGTTTATTTTTTGCTGAGCGCTTTCAAGCTTTTCGCGTAGTGAGTGCAATTGCTGTGAAAGCTCCTCTTCTAGATCTCGATAGATTTGCTCAAGATCGTTGGCAACTGCGCGTTCAGATTGAAGTTCTTCTAGTTGTGCATGCAAGTTGGTATTTTCGTGAGTGAGTTTGTCAACAATATGGTCATAGGACACCTCGGATTCCAATTGCGAGTCCATATTTTCCAGCAAACGACGTAGACCGTCTAGTTCCTCATTTGCGTCTTGCAAACTTTTTTTCATGCTTTGATTTTCGCGACCCAGGTTTTGGTTTTGCTGTTCGAGGTTCTCATTCAATGTTCGGAAGTTGTCCGAACAGCTTTGGATTTTGACGAGTGTTGCTTCCAGCAGCTTATTTCGTTTCCAGAGAACTTCCGATGTCACATCTCCTTTCCATTCTTCCAGATCGATACTTCTTCGCAATTCGAGTTCTTCTGCAAGTTCTTGGGTGTGAGCCATCAAGTCTTGATGCTCGATTTTCAACGTATCTAATTCAATTGATAACTCTTCAACTTCTAGTGTTTGTGCTTCTTTATCCATAACACATGCTTCCAACTCGAGTTCCAACTTCTCGTAACGAGAATGGATCTCATTCAGTTTATCCTGCAGTTTAACCACCAATTTTTGAAGCTTTTCGTTTGAGCTTTGATTTTGACCCATTGGCAGCTGGTCATTTTGTACCTCGCTTCCAGAACCTTGTACAGACTCCAACTTTGCAAACAGTCCATAAAACCCATCTTTTTTGACAGTTTCGAAATACTTGATTCCATTGACAGAGCCATCGTTTTTGCCCGTTTTTTCGTCCAATTCAATACCACACCATACTCCCGGGGCAAACTTTGTCTCACCTATAAATCTAACGGTACCCACAAACCTGCCGACTCTCACCTGGTGGCCTAGTTCAAGCATACAGACGATTTCATGAGCATCGAGTTTGATGTTCTTATATGGTAGTTCAAGATCTTCAAATTACATTATATTACATTATATTACATCAAATTACATCAAAATAAAGAGTTAAGAACTCAGCATAATTTGGTTCAAAAGTAGGGCAAAAAAGCGCCATTGCCGACAATATGAACCACAGAAGATCGACACCACGAGGTGCTCTGAACGGTGCCAACTCTTTTAAGAGTTCTAGCGCTGAAAACGGAGTACTACAGAAGGAATTATTGGAAGAAAACAAACAAGAGATCTTTGAAGCGTTTTCGCTCTTTGACATGAACAATGACGGCTTTGTGGACTATCACGAACTGAAAGTGGCAGCCCGGGCGCTCGGGTTCGAATTGTCAAAACAGGAGCTGCTGGAACTGCTTGAAAAATACGATCGCGATGGACGCCGTTTGATGCATTACGATGATTTTTTCGTGGTTATGGGCGAGAAAATCCTGAACCGGGACCCGCTGGACGAGATCAAACGTGCTTTTCAGCTATTTGACGACGACAACACGGGCAAAATCAGTCTGAAGAATCTCAGAAGAGTGGCCAAAGAGCTGGGCGAGAATTTGACCGACGATGAGCTGCGGGCGATGATCGACGAATTCGATCTCGACGACGACGGGGAGATCAGTGAACGTGAATTCATTGCCATCTGCACGGATACGTGAGGTGGAAGTTGCTGCAAAGAGAATTAAATACCGGGTAGGAAAAGCTATACAAATCTGTACTATATAATTGCTGTGTCGTCTTCACCGGGCGACAAAAAACGCAAGGGAAGTGATAAGAACTTATTCATCAACATAGTTGGGGAGTCTCCACAAGAGCAGGGTTTCGTTCACCTAACGCCTTCCCCGACGAACAGAATCCGGATTTAATCCAGTACATAACTACTCCAAGAACCTGTCATTAGTTTTTAGAGGTCTCTTTTTTGATCTAAAACATAAAAACCGAAAAGAAGCAAGAGAAAAAGAGACGACATCTAACAGCACAGTAGCCACTACGAAAGCTGGCTTTATCAAACAAAATCGTATTCAGGTCCCGAAATTGATCGTAGCATTCGAAACCAAATTTTAGAAAAACGACATAAGGACTCGACATATGGTCCAAAAATCCTGATTCGAGTGTCAAAAAATTCCCAAAAAATCATTCTACAGTTTCTGCTTTTTAGAATTTTGTCAACGCTCTTTAAACTCATGTTATTCACCTTTTCTCATCGCTGTCATCGCACCGCCTTCAAGCTTTCTATAATTCTCAATATATTAAAAAATTTGACCATCGAAATCAACTTGATGAAGTTGAATCCACGACAAAAGAGAGCTAAAACGATCTTTTGGAGTCCGTTTCACATACTCTCAACCACTCCATCAGATTCGCAGGTATCGGTTTGCTCGAATAAGCTCAAATGTCAGGTTACCAACATCTTTCCAAGGCTGGAAGCCGGTTCTTAAAGCAGGTTGAAAACAGACCAAAGCATTTGGTGGATCACTTCAAAAAATTTGAGGAAAAGTCCATGCCATCATTCTTGGTGCCCTCTATTCCACGAGTAGAAGATGAAGAGCGGTTCAAAAGCGTCAGGGAGTGGAAATACATGCCCGGTGACCGTGTGGTGGTGACCAAAGGCAAATGGAAAGGCCAGGTCTGTGTGATCCATCAACACGATCGGGAAACCAATGGGTTTGTCCTGGACGAAAATGGGCCCACTAAGACGGTTCCCGTTCCCAAACAGTTTTGGTCTGAGGGTCAAAACTCTCACATGGTCACTTTTCCAATGGCAGTTGCCCAGGCGGACGTAAAGCTCGTTGCAGATATCGACGATCCAAAAGTCCCAGGAACTAGCAAAACCGTCGCGGTACGTGATATTGTGTTCCGTGGATCGTACTACGATGAGGCGTACAAAAAAGTGATGCCCTTCAGATGTGTCTCGGGACAAGAAGACTTGGTGATACCGTGGCCCCAGCCTGAGACCAAGCCCGACGGATTGCTAGCTACACCTCCAGACGTTGCAAGAGAACAAACTTTCTGGGTTTCCAGTATAGCTCGCAGCCCGATTCCACAGGGCGCTCTGCTCACAATTCGTAACCCCAAATCCAAATTCAGAAGAGGTACGCTCACTGCTAGAGATATTGGCAAGCTTGTGGCTCCAAAGATGCCTTTGACCAAGGCCAAAAAATCGTATATCGCAGAGAAACAAGAAATGGCTGCGGGTGCAAAGCGGAAACTAACCGATGAAGACAGAGAACTCATAGGATCTAAGGTCTTTGAACATTACAGTCAAAAGATTTAAATGCGGACGAAATACAAAAGTTTCCAGCTTTCTGACCAAATTCGCCAGTCGAAGAACATGCATGTACATAGAACTACACGATATATAATCACCACGGACCGATCGCTCAGGAAATGAAGATATTTGACCTAATACAATTACGACCATAGATACTGCTCATTGAAAGAGATACAGGAACATGAGCTTCAGAGACGCGCTAAAAGTGTACATACTCAATCCTGCTGACTACCCAGAGGATGTTGTCTTCCATGATGATGATGTTGTGATTATACAGGATCGATTTCCTAAGAGCCAGTGCCATTATTTGGTTTTGACCCGGAATCTTTCAGAATCCAAAAAGAGGCCTTGGGCTTTGAGCCCAGAGCTGAAGCTGAAGCTACAGCCGTACATAGATCGGGCTTCGAACCATGTATTTGAGTCATTTATCAAAGAGTTTAAGTGGAAAGGGACGAAAGTTGCACCATTCGAGAATAAGTCGCAATTCCACAACAAAAACTACTTCATTGAGAATTTCACTCAAGTGGGCGTTCACAGCGTTCCATCGCTGAACAATCTACACATTCATGTCATGACTAAAGATTTCCATTCCGATAGGCTCAAACACAAAAAACACTACAACTCATTCAATACCGAGTTTTTTGTCCCTTGGGACAAGCTCCCACTAGAAAGCGTGGATGCTAAGTTTATGGAGGAGACAGTACTCAAAAAGAGAGACTTGAAGTGCTGCTATTGCAACGAAAATTTCAAAAATAGGTTTTCACAACTGAAGTTGCACCTTGACCACGAATTTACGAAAAGGTTTGCTAGATGCTCTATGTAGTTTTTACCTGACCCCCACGATTAATTTCGATTGGATTATAGCTTTTGATATTCGATCTTGCCTTCAAGCTTCTTAACTTCAGCAACCTTTCTCACCGCTTTCATCAAGTCGTCTTGAATAATGTACTCACGGTCATCGCGAATGGCAAAAAATCCGGCCTCTGTGATACAGTTACGGATATCAGCACCGTTGAAACCATCGCTCATCTTCACTGCAGCTTCAAAATCGAACTCGCCTGCCTTTTTGACAGGAGCACTATGAATCTTGAAAATCTCGAGTCTTCCGGCCTCATTAGGTAAATTGATCTCGATTTTACGATCCAATCTCCCGGGTCTCAGTAGAGCAGGGTCGAGTGTGTCCGGTCTGTTGGTGGCCATGATAACTTTTGTCTGTCCCAAATTGTCAAACCCATCCATCTGAGTGAGCAATTCCATAAGCGTACGCTGGATCTCACGGTCCGCTGAGGTACCCTCGCTGAATCTACGTCCACCAATAGCATCGATCTCGTCCATGAAAATGATACAGGGTTCGTGTTCCTTGGCATATGCGAACATTTCACGGATGATACGTGCCGATTCACCGATATACTTGTCAACGATTCCTGACGCAGGTGAGAAGATGAAATTGGCACCAATAGTGGCTGCAACTGCTTTTGCTAGCAAGGTCTTACCAGTACCAGGTGGCCCATACAGCAAAACACCCTTTGGAGATTTGATGCCCACCCTTTGGAAGATCTCTGGGTTTTTCAAAGGCAATTCTATAACCTCACGAAGTTCGCGAATTTGTTCTGTCAAACCACCGATACCTTCGAATGTGATTTCGCCTGGCTCGAAAGAGGTCATATTGTACACGAGCGGGTCTGTCTCACGAGGCAAAACCCGCATAATTGTGAGAGTTGTGATGTCCAGGGTCACACGCACACCCTTTTTCAGTTTTTGACGGTCCACACTGTTACGCACACCAACGATATAACGGGGTCCTGAAGAAGCTTTGACAATGTATTTTTCCTCCGAGAGTTCTTTCATCACTTCACCGACCAGTTGGCCGATACTTTGTAGCGCCCTAATGTCTGCTTCGGTGCGCTCGTATTCCTTCTCCATATCGCGGATCCCCTGACGTTTGCTCTTCAATTGATCCTCGTAGCGTCTGTGTTCTGCGATTTTCTTACGGAAACTGGACAAAGCGCGCTGGCGTGCTTCCTGCGCTATATCCAGCGCCTGTTGCTGTGGATCTGTGCTGGCATTATCGTTGTTCGCATTGTTGGCACTGTTTTCTTGATTTCCACCTTCACCAGCGTTTCCCTCAATGGCACTCAGTAGGGGGTCTTGTTCTGCACTCATATTGGTCTCAAAATGTAGCCTGAATCAACGGTTGTCTGACTGCAGGAAAAAGGACGTCTTGAAACAGTCTTTTGGGTCCTTTTTGGTCGCTTTCGTTAGGTGGCGAATGGTTTGAAGTTGTGATGGGAGATGTTAATTTATATGGATTTTTATATAGCGTTATGGATGTTGTAAGAGAAAAGGCAAAAAGAGGAGAAAACGAAGGATTCGATAGCCAAAAACCGAACAAAAAATAGCTGTATACCATCTTATCAAGTATCAATAGCTATACAGAATTTTCAAGCGCTCGAAAAGCTCAATTTTTGGAATTCTTGTCTCATTTCACCGAAGAAAGTATTTAATTCATTCAATTCGCGAAAGTTCCTGATATTAAGAGAAGAGTTAACGGAAAAGCGTGATAAATTCCAAATCAGCCAGTTGATAAGTACTCTCCTGGCAGCTTCTGCTCTGTGTGTGACAATGTTTGTTTCTATATCACAGTCAGATCACTATGTACTATTCTAGCATCTGTCATCTGTCATTAATATATAATAAATATCTAGATATACTAGTAAATCAAAGATGAAAACTTCAAGATACATAGACTTATTGATATGGAGGATGCTATCCGAAAGCTTTGACAATTTTTGTAGTTATCCCATGAATTTTCAAGAATTTTTACCATGCTGGTAACGAGCAATTTTGAGGTGACTTCTAAATCAACCATTTTTTATCCCAGACAACTGGAAAAACTCTCTGCGAGGAAAAGCCGAAAAAAATTGAACAGACATATTATTAACGTTTAATTATCAAGATAGGCCAGGGAAAAACATGATCAAAGGCCATCGCTTCTAATGGGCTTCGAAAAAGGATTGTTCTCTAGCTTGAATTTAAGCTATTTTCGTACAAAGCTACATGTTTCCAAAATTTAGCGATGAGCTCAATTGTATAACCCAACTTTCCATCTAATCGATCTCAAAACCCCAGAAACTTGACCACTAGCACTCCACATTCGATCCCCATGGACCTGCAAGCCTTTATTTTATGTGGCAAAGGCGCTAAACTTGTACCGTTCACGCAAGCGCGCGGCGATTCGGGCCTTTCCAAGGCGCTGTTGCCCATTGCAAACAGACATATGATCGAATACGTTTTGGATTGGTGCGAACAAGCGAATTTCTCAGAGGTGGTTGTTGTGGCAGGATCCGACGAGTCGGCACAAATTCAAGACGCTCTCAAAAGTTACCAGGACATTCGGGAACGTCAAATCGCGATACTCACATCACAGCATGGTCCCAATGTGACAGGCGGGACACCTCTGAGACCAGTGCCCATCAAGTTCATGACCGCTAAAAACGACCAAACAGGTGCTATCCTGCAAAAAGAGCTTCTTCCTCGTATCAAGGGCGACTTTGTGCTTTTGCCCTGCGATTTTGTCACAGAAATTCCTCCACAGATCTTCATAGATCAATTCCGCAATAAGGACCCAGATAACTTGGCCATGGCTGTCAGATACCTCAATACCTTTGACTCTTTTGACAAAAAACAACTTGATGTTTCCTACACTATCTACTCTGAGAATGAAAACTCTGTCAAGCAACCTGTGCTTCTAGATTCTTATTCGCAAGAAGATGTTGAAAGATCCAAATATTTGCAGGCAAGGTCTCATTTGCTATGGCGTTATCCAAATACATCCGTATCCAAGAAGCTTTTGGATGCATCTGTGTATTTCTGCTCGTATGATCTAGTAGAATTGTTACAACCGGCCGAACTATCCACAGCCCACTCTGAAACTGAATCCGATAACGATGACGATGCTATTGACCCAAAGCAGAAAGATGATCTGGTGCAACCGATTAGGTTTCGCGCCAAATGCAAGCTTTTCAAAGACCCTATCAATTGCAATAAACCAATCTTCAAGGTCTTTAGAGATCTGGCCAGACGCTCGTGGCAGCACTCCACGCCTAGAGAAACCATCGGACTCTTCATTCTCCCAAGTTTGGGGTTGTTCATTCGTTCCAACATCCTCAGTGCATACATGGAGGCAAATCGTTGCATGCTTAGGGTCAGGTCCTCTCTTTTTGCTACCCATGGACCTTCAGGCATGGGTAATGCGATCGGAGGTGATTCGATAGTGGGAGCGAATTGCACAATTCTAGAGAGAGGTAGCATCAAACTGTCTGTCGTAGGCAACAATTGTCGGATCGGCAAACGCTGCCGCATAGTCGGATCGATAATTCTTGACAACGTTGAGATTGACGATGAATGTATCCTCGAAAACGTTATTGTTGGAAGTCTTGCGAAAGTGGGCAAGAAATGCAAACTTACGAACTCCTATGTTGAGGGGGCATATGTTGTGGGAGCGAAAACCGTTGTCAAAGGTGAAACGTTATCGCACATTTTCCTAGAGGAAAGTGATCAAAGCTCGGGCTCTGCGGAATCATCAAATGACGATGACGACTCAGACAACAATGCTGACGATTACTACGATGAAGAATTTGAAGACGACGGACTTTTTGAGCGTTAAATAGAGCTGAATGAGTGCGAATATCCCTTATTAATTTTCTTATTTACAAGAACAAGCTATACACTTAATTTTGAACTTTTGGCTTCGCTTTCGAAAAGCCAATCCCAACGACCTTTCTTGTGTAAAATGGCCAAAATCAAGACCGCTGGCAAATGCAGTACGCTGACCCAAAAAGTCTTGCGTGCATACACATTTGCCAATGCAACACCTTTATTGAACTTCAATCTGTCTTTCAGTATCTTTTCAGAGTAATTGTACCTCTGTTGCCACCAAAACTTCATTGCCCAGTATGATAACCAGGCGTTGGCAATGGCGGAATCCAACTGATAGTACCAATCTGTAACGTTGTAGTATGACAGGCCGAAACATAGCGGGAACATGAGAAGTGAGTATCTGAAAGCAACTCTGGCGTTCAGCTTAGGATTCTTCCAGCATGTCATAACATAACCGGCGTCTTTATATTCGTTTCTGATGTTGTGACTCAGCGTGTTAAAATGTGGGAACTGCCATGCATATAGGAACCCAGCCAAACACCATCCGCCTGGATCGGTGAGAGAGTTGGCTGCACACCAGCCCATAAGTGGCGGAAGAGCTCCCACAATCGCACCTACCCATGTGTTAATAATGTGTTTTCGTTTCAGAGACGTGTAAATCCACGCATACAAGGCGATATTTGTTGCTCCTAGCGCAGCTACTGTTGTGTTAACTCCCAGGTACAGAATAGAAACCCCCAGGGACCCTGTCACCAAAGCGAATTTGTACGCCTGTTTCGGTGTCAAAAGACCACGGACCACGGGCCTTGCTTGAGTTCTCACCATTCGTCTATCGAAATCAGGTTCTCGACCCATGTTGATGGCATTCGCTGCAGCGGAGCTGAGCGCTGTACCGACCGTTAATGACATGAGTTCTGGGACCGTAGCGGCCGAAGGACTGAGTGCGTACGAACAAATGCAGCTGAGCATCACGAGAACAGTGAGCCTAGGCTTCGATAATTGAAGGTAAGATTTCAACAGCTTTTTCGCAGCCTTTTGAGTCAAAACGGAATCATTGGAGCTACCCACCTTGTTTCGCTGTTTGCGATCCAGCGGTTTTACCTCGAACGGAAGATTTGGCGTTCGTTGCGTTGTAACGTCATCTGTGCAGCTTAGGACCTCCAGGGCCGAGTTGGCTGACTTTTGATCTTGTTTTTTCGCAATGTGGGCCGAGATGTTCGAGGAAAACTCGATTGGCGACGTGTTGAGGGGTATTGAAGCCTTATTACCGTCGTTCACTTCTGCATAGTAGCGAACTTTCCATGTAAGTGAACTGAGCCTGTTACACGTCAGAAATCCACCAAACTTGGCTCCTCGAAGTGCTCTTTTTAACAGTATGCCATTTGCAGCATACAAGCTGGCCATCCCAAAGGTTAAGAGCCACAAATGCTATGGTAGAGGCTACAGATCTCGATGTAGACTGTTGTTCAACATCATCGGGTTATACTACAGCTGAATATGATGATACTAATAAAGCCAATTTTCAATACGTGTTAAATGATCTGTGTAAAGATATTAGTCACGTGTTGCTTCAATTCGAAAACTTGAAAGATTCTGACACCTTGTAGAGTTAAATGGGTTTGATACTTTATGAAGCAATCTTTAGAACAGTATTATTATTATTGTTGAAACTTTCTTTCAGTTTAGCTCTGCTTATTTCCATTTTTTTTCAAGAAATTCACATGTAGCTTTTGAAGACTTGCTACATCAAGTGGGTCTACTAAACATGTTTTAAAGCAACGACTGAACGCTGATTATGAATTTTGCTGTGTAGGATCAATTGATGAATGGAATTTGACTCTATTGAACGACATTTAAGGTGGACAAGTTGGTAACTTGAATTTCGATGTCACATTAGTATAAAGTGATATAAGAGTCAAAAGAATCACTTGAATGTGACCTTCAGTGTAGACAGCGTAAAAGGTAAAACCAACTAGTGCGAGCTCAGGTTTGTATATCGTGAGTGCAAATGGTGAGATTGAGTATTCACTCATACTTAAAGAGTTACAAGTAGTTTGCATATTTCACGGTTGCGGCAAAAAGACTTTTCTTCTCTATCACGCTCTATGCCCTGATGATATCTTGTGTAGATGCCGAAAGATCTCTTTCTCCCGGTCACGAGCATCATAGGACCCACATAGGAGCATCATCTTGGGAAATAAAAGGACTCCTGCCATGTGTTGCATGCTTGAAACATGTATAAGTCGAGTTTTTTTGCTCTCGGAGTTTTTTTCCTCCATTACCCAAAGACGGCACGACGTTCTTTACTCAGCTCATGTTGCGACGGCTCTATGATACTCGGATGTACAAGTCTCAAAAAACAAAACTCTTTGTACCTAGAATTGTGTGCTTGATATGAAGGAGCAAAATCGCTAAACCATATAACTCGGATCAGCGATTTTCGCTGTCACCAGCTTGGGCTTGGGAAGAAGCGGTCTCCTTTTCGGTATCCTTTTCTGAATTTGTACTCTCAGACTCAGTTTGTTCATGCTGGCGTTTCAGGTTGGTATTTCTGATTTTGTTTTCGATCAGATTGTCGAAAGCAATGATAGCGCGCACCAAGTTGCTGACGTAGATGACCATTAGCTCATCATTGGTCTTGACTGCCAAAGCTCTTTGTAAAGTATTGGAAGCAGCTGCAAGCTGCTCATCAGACGACAGCGCAAGCTCGTCATCGTCAGGGGCTCCCAGGTTAGGCAGAAGATTGAAAACGTCCTGAAGCTTACCTAGAATCGTGTGATTTACCGGAAGCTCTTTACGGCTTACCCTGTCCAAATATGCGGCAATGTCTGCTAGTTTTTGTTGTAGACCCTTGAGAGACTTGAGCTGGTTTGTGAGCTTGATAGAAAGCCCGCCAGCGGCCTGATCGCGCACGTCACGCAATAAATGTTCTACACCAATTTCCTCTGCTTCTTCAGCCTCTATCGACGAAGGCAAATGCAAAAACGTCTTTTCGGTCGAAGTACCATCGTCCTTGACCTGTTCTACAGCCATGTAAGCCGTTGTGGGCAGGCCTACGCCCTGCTGTTGGACATCCACAATGAGCAACAGCGGTTGCTGTTGGCGTTCCCCTGTGTATTTTTTGAACACCTCGTTTATCTTAAGATCTGCAGCCTTCAATTTAGGCCCGCTGTGATACCATCCGACCAATTTTTCTTTGGCATTGATCTTCTTGCACATTTCATTCATGCTTTCGATGTAGTTGTGATCCAAAAACCACACGTCTGAGTTCTTTTCGTCTTCTTCAAAGGGTAGCGCAAACGAGTTCGTGACTCTTAAACTGGTTCCCTGAGCAGAGCCCAGTATCACACCAACGCATCTCTTGTGAGCAGGTGTGTTGATACGTTTGTAGTGGTCCAATACCGAAAGCAACACTAGTGGTGCTACGGTGACCTGTTCGTAATTCACGGACATGGAGTGGCGGGAGAGGGCTGGTTGTAAAGGTCAAAGTTCAGAGCTGTCGCTAATGGTGCTTTTAAAAACACACAACCAGTTGATACGGAGTTGAATTGGATGACTTTAGCTGTTCTCGAGGTATGTCGAGAAAGGTGGCAAACCTTTAAGTTGAGTAGTGAAATCAATAAGTTTGGCTCTTTAGTACGTACAGAGTGATGTGTTTGGAAAACTCGAAGAAAGCGATGGAATGAGACGGTTGATTCGGTGAATGTTGCCATTCAAGTTTAGGTTGTGATTTTTGTGCTTTTTTGGTGGCTTCCAGTTAAGTTTTCCGGTATTTTTCGTCTTTTGTTTTTTCGGTTTTGGGTTCTTAGAATTGGGCTTCTTGAAGGCGGGAAAAAAATGGTACTGTCTATGTAAGAAGCCGATGGTACGTTACTGGCGCTGCTGGAGCCGCTGTGTTTCTCTGTCTCTCTTTTGATTCAGTTTACATATTCGTGTCGTCGTGCTGACTTACATAATATTTCATCAGAGTAATTGAGCGTCTCTCAGTCGATTCTCTTGTCGGGACCTGAAGATCAATGGAATGACATGTCCAAAAACAGACGGGAAAGCAGGAAGATTCAACCTAATCGGTGCCTCTAGTCAATCATAGCTCGGAAATCCATGTCTCAATGTCTTACATCTCTCGTGGGAGGGCTTGCCAATTACAAATCTGTTGATTAGATGCTTAATATTCAAATTCATCTGTAAAGTACACATCTAGTTACGCTAGCACAGCTCTCAGAAAAAATCAGACATTTATCCTAGTTATCAAGAAGAGTAGGCTTTTCACGCTACTAGCTCATTTCAGTGCTCTCGGGGCTTCCTTTTTGTTGTGTTCACTCTGCTGTTTTTCCGATCAACATAGCTTCTCTCTGTCATCTTGCATACATTTAACTGAAAAATTTCGATGAGCTCAAAGTTCAACTTTTGTCGACTGTAAGTCAACGTCACAAGCGCCTCCAGCAACTATGCCGTTCGGTCAAATCGTGATAGGACCCCCAGGATCAGGTAAATCGACCTATTCTCACGGTTGCATACAGTTTTTTAACGCTATTGGACGTCATGCTCAGGTGGTGAACATGGACCCTGCAAACGACAGTTTGCCCTATCCGTGCGCTGTGGATATCCGAGACTTCATCACTTTGGAGGAAATCATGGCAGAGCAACAATTGGGACCCAATGGGGGCCTGATGTACGCCCTGGAATCCGTTGACAAATCCGTGGATTTGTTCATATTACAGGTAAAGTCATTGGTACAAGACGAAAGTGCATACGTGGTGTTCGACTGTCCCGGCCAAGTTGAGCTCTTCACACACCATTCCGCACTGTTTCGGATCTTCAAGCGTCTAGAGCGTGAGCTGGATCTTCGACTCTGTGTGGTCAACTTGATAGATTCTGTGCATCTCACTTCTCCCTCTCAGTATGTCTCGATTCTGCTTTTGGCGCTTCGATCCATGCTCATGCTAGACCTTCCGCACGTAAATGTGCTGTCGAAGATCGACATGGTCAAATCGTATGGTCCATTACCAATGCGTCTTGATTACTACACGGAAGCACAAGAATTGGAATATTTACAACCCTTTGTGGAACAAGAGAGTTCTAGCGTCCTAAGCAAAAAATACGCACGGCTCACCCAGACTATTGGGGAACTTGTATCAGATTTCAATCTGGTGTCTTTCGAAGTTTTATGTGTTGATGACAAAAGAAGCATGATTTCGCTTCAAAGTGTCATTGACAAGGCAAATGGCTACATTTTCGGTGCGTCCGAAGTCGGTGGTGATACAGTATGGGCCGAAGCCTCCAGACAGGGTGCTGCTTTGGTCGCTGACGATGTTCAAGAGCGCTGGATTGACAACAAAGAGGCGTACGATAAACAAGAACAAGAACAGAGGGAAAAACAGCTCCAGGAGCAAAAACTCAATGACCAGGAAATCAATGTCGATGAAGAAGACGAGTGGGAAAACGCACTGAAGAACTGGGAAAGCGAGCACGGTGCAAAGTATGCGAAATAATGGGCTGGTATGGCATTGTCTTGTTGTACGAAGTGTACCAGCCATCTCATATATTGATACGGGCATCGGCTCGACGACAAGCATAGCTTAGCACAAATTCTAAGGCAGCAAGCCAATGCTTCCCGGATCGATCTAGTATTTATGCTGGGTTGACGCTTCCGGATGCATTGTTTTGAGAAGATCTCCAAATTACTGGACGCGGTTTTTGTAAAACGGAAGGTTAGTGGTTATAAATTGTGGGAAAATTCTCGAGTGCGTCGTCGCCCCGTTCGAACTCTCCCAATCTGAACTGGAAGCTGAAACAACCATTTAAATTCGAACCAATTCTGGTGAAGCCTCTGGTGTCTTTACAACAGCAACCAGCATGCCTCGCAAATTTTTGGGCAATAAGCTTGATCGGAATTTGGATTTTGTGAGGCCAGCGTCTCTTGATGTCACTAGCTTCGATCTAAACAACTTGCCCGATCTACCTGACTGGAGCTCGAAGGAATTCGTAGAATCCGAGAATTTTTTAAACACTGGAAATGATGGGCGACGTATCTCAAGAGCATTTGGCGGAACTGTGAAGCTGAAAAAACGACTGAGTTCAGTTCCGGAGCTTTTGATGCACAGAGCTGGACGATTAGAACAGAAAGAGGCCGAAAATAAGGATTCAAACCGTGCGTTCCCGATCCCCAAACCCGCCATAACCAAATCGTCACAGCAGAAAATTCCCGTAAATAACCATCAAGTTCCTAAAGATGTGAAAAGTGCAGACCAAAAAAAAATACTCGCAAGACCAGTGGTGCCGAAACGAGCTAGTCGGACACATGCCTCGTCCCCGCTAGCCGGTCCGCCGATAATGGGCCATCATACAAGTGTCATGGCTTTTCCAGCGATCGCTAGCACTTCCATGAACATGCGACACAGTCGTTCAAGATCGATAGGCGAGGTGCTCTTCGATGAAATTCTGACAGCATACGGTGCGCTTCCAGAGGACCAAAAATCAAAAAGTCGGACAGTTGTGCGGAAAAGTTATGAACATCCCGTCAATCGACAGCTGAAGGCTGCTTTTTCAGCTTCGAAGAAACAAAGTACCGCTTTTTTTGACCCAGTCATTCGCGTTGAAGACAATGACCAGCAAGGCATAGCTCAATTGGGCGATGTTGGGAATGCAGAACCAGTAATTGAAGAATCTCTTCCCAGTCCATGCTATTTCAATTCCAGTGGATCTGATCCATCAAGTTCTGGAGAGGAGTTTTCAGACATTGGCAGCATAATCAGCAGTCTCAAAACCCCACGCAGTGTGAAGACCCACGAAGGTGATGACGAGTCTGCTGCGGAGGCATATTTTTCTGCGGACGACAATCTAACGAGCCCCGGGAAAGTCAGCGTTGCAAGCTCACTGAAAATACAGCAGCCTCTGTCCAGATGCTCACTACGGCATGTTCGCACCAGTCAAGTGAATCCAATCATTTTCACGCTTGACGACGATCTTTCGGAAGACTGTGGAGGATCTGACGAAGAGCATCAGGACCGTTGCATTACCGATCTACAGGAAGAATTAACAGATCTGGAGATCGCTGATACTTCTAGTTCGATCTACAACGAATAAATAGTTTTTGGCGTACTACTACATACAAATCAAGAAACGGAGTTTAAAAAGGGCAAAAGAAGAGCTAGAAAGCTCGAACTTGGAGCATTAGAAGCGGTCGACAATGAATTCCAAACGGAATTTCTGAGTTTAGAGTTCAAATGCCGTTAAAGTTGTATCCAAACACTGTTTTTATCTCTTGGATGATCCAAGTTGGCTATTTGTTAAGAATATATTAAGAACTAGGTTTCTTGATGAGAACCATCGAAAGAACAAAACATCAAAACTTGAAGCTAAAGACATCAAAATAAGGCCATTGACCGTTGTTTAAGGCCAATTGATACTCGAAAACATATCCACGACTTAAGAAAACACCAATATAATGGCACCAACTCAATTGGAGATCAAACTAAGGTCTTTACAGAGACTTTTGAAAGAAGAAAAGTACTATCAACAGGAGCTTCAAGAACAGAAAGACCACGTCAAACACCTGGAAAATAGCGAAGCAGTGGATCCCTATGATTTGAAGAAACAAGTAGAAGTCTTGCAGGATACAGAAAGACTGGTGCCTGCGTTGTACGAGAAAATCGAACAATTCAAAGATGATTTGGAGCAGTTTTCCGAGAGCTACAATGGAGCGGAAGACTTGCAACCAGTGAAATCTACATTGGAAGAAGCTGAGAAGCTCCTGGCAAAAAACTAACAAGTTTTGGAATATCAAGAAGGAAAATATGCCACATGCTATACTGAAGTTCAGCTCAACATCAATTGCATTGCTCGAAAATACAGATTTCGACAGCCGCACTTCACAGAAACCAAGTTTAGCCTCTGAGAATGAAGAGAAGATCAATTGTGAGGCAAAATTCCCTTTAGAAGCTTTCATACACAAATCACAGTTCGTAAAAGCTCATTCCTCCTGCAAAGATGTGGCTAATGCCTCGAGAGTATAGGAATTAGCATAGAAGATTCTCAAAAATGATTAGATGCTGTTAAGCTAGTTAGCATGCTGAATGGTCAACCCATCCCGGCCATGAACTCGTTCTGTCGTCAGCTAGCGAGTCAAGAGCCCATTATCGTACAATGTTAGGTGGAAAATTCATCTGCGATGAGCTTTCTCGTGAGTCAACCTTGAGGTAGCCCTCATGCCAACCATTTCAACTCCATGATCCCAATACGACGTTCCAGATGTTACTGCTCATTAGATAACTCTAGCTTGTCTCGAATAATCGCCATCAACAGTGCCAAAAGCTTTCAGCAGTCGCTTTCGAGCAATTTGACACTTGCAAAACTGGCAAAAGCTTACCAGAACGGCAAATTCGCCATTGATGACGGCAGTAAAGAGATCTCCGATGACTTAAACTCAACTAGAACATTGCCGCTGGTCAAGCTTCCTAAAAACCAGATTTTCAATGAGGTTCTGAATGATCCAAAGGTAGGCGACTGGAGAAAGCCCGCGACAAAATGGTTTCGTTTGGGGAAGAGTCTGTTGAAAATGTATATGAATGGAATTAAAAGTACTTGGAAGGTTTATTTCGGCACCAGAAAACTGATGCAGGGATCAGGAGCTTCTAGATCGATAGTGACATCAACTTATCGAAACTTGGAATTTCAGCAAATCCAAAATAGAGTCAAATCTGATGATACAGTAAATCTTGGGCTTACACGGAAGCAATTTCAGGAGATTCACAGGCGTCAGGAATTTTGGAAATTGCCGGTTTTTCTGATTTTGTTTTTGGTGTTCGAAGAAACACTGCCCTTCATATGCTACCTGGTTCCTTCTCTGGTACCCTGGAATTGTCTGACACCAGGCGCCTTTAAAAAACTTTCAGAGCGCCGAATTGCTTCCCAGCAACAATTGCCATATCAAAATTCAGGATCAGACGTCTGCTATACTACGCCCTATGCTTTGCAGTGTTCATATACCAGTGATCTGCTCAAAAGTTTCAAAATGCTCTCCAGCACCAGAGCATTGCTTTACAGCTGGTCTGGGAACAATAATAGGTTATGCGAGTTGCTGGCTCGATTTCACCAATATCTGGTCTTGGACGATTGGTTTCTTCTGCAAAGCATTTTGAACACTAACGAAAAAACTATCCTGTCCCAAAGCGAGCTTGTCAACGCGATTCTTGAAAGACAACTTTACCGTCCAGGTGAAGATCTGAATCAGCTGGTCTCCACTGAATATGGTCAGAAAGTGCTTGCTTGGCGTCTCATCATTTACTGGTCTTTCAGATTTCAGGGCACCATCACTACTGGCGGAACAAAGACCTTTTCGGAGCTATGGGGCGTTAATAATATTGGGATACTGAACTATCCTGGTTCCCAAAAGCTTGTTGATGAATCAAGTCTGCGATGTATCGAAGTCAGGGACTAAATTCCGCTTGGAGGACTCTATTCGTTTATTATACACATCCTCATATAATCATTATATGTTAACGCAAATGCAGACGGTATTATCAGCTGCGGTCTGTAGCTCAGCATAGCATACAAGTGCTACCTTCCCTCATAATGTTCCAAATGCGCTTCTTCTTCGCACACAATTGTATGTGTATGCCCTGCGGCGTTCCTAATCACCTTTTTCATGTCTTTAGTACAGTATGGAATAGTTGAAAACCACGGATCACGGTAAACTTCTTCCATAGTTGCTCTTTCATTAGGATCAATGGTCAATATTCTAGACATTATTGGCCTGGAGGCGTGCGGCAAGAGACGCAGTAGCCTGTAAGGTCCGTGCATTACTCTTCTCCCTCTACCATGTTCTCGGGCTCTAGGCTTTTGTTGATGAGCTTCGGGATTTGACGACGACGCTGGACCTTTCGCTGGATCCGCAGCATGATTTTCGTCTATCCGTGGAGCTTCCTTCATTCCATCTTGATGCTGGTTGTGAGTTGGAGCAACGCCTTTATCGCCCGGTTCCACCGTGCGCTCCTCATTCTCAATGAATTTCTTTGTTGCTGGAACCTGTGGTTTGATCTCCTTCTCAGGATCCAGCCCCTGCTCCATCATATTGGAAGTTTTGTCCTGCTTAGTTTCCGTATCTCGTTTCTCTGCATTAACGCATGGGGCAGCTGTGTGTCCAGCTGTGGCATTCGGTGTCGGCTGTTCTGTGTCTGCTACGCTCTCTTGGGCATCTTCCTTCAATTTTCTACTTCTGTGCTTCTCTTGGCGTCTTTGCCTCATTAGCTTCTCATGTTCTTGAGCAGACTTGATATAATCATGTTCAACATCGTCAGGTAAGCAAAATAGTCGGAAGTTTTCATCGCTATCTTTGGGTGTCTTCCATGGAAATCTCTTCAACATCATACAACAGTAAATGATACCAATGGACCAGATATCAACACAGGTTGGATCATATTGTTTGGTAGATGTCATAACTTCCGGAGCCAAGTAAGGATCGCTACCGACAATCCCGTGGGCCATGGTGATACTAGAGTCAAATGGATATTTGTACACGACCGCGCTACCAAAATCGATGAGCTTCAGAAGACCATCGGTACTCATAACGCAGTTATCCAGTTTTAGATCTCGGTGTGCTAAACCCATCTCATGCAAGTATTTGACACCTTCTGTGAGTTGACGAAGACAACAGTTAATTTCTCCCCGTGTCATTTGGCCCGACATGACAACCGCGAAGAAATCAATTGGACAGTATTCCATAACCTCATAGTATTTGTTCTGTTTCGCATCGCTGAAAATATCCAGCGTTTCTATGATATTAGGATGATGCAAAGTTGAGCCGATGCAAAACTCTGCTGTGCATTTCTTGGCGTAGTCCTTGACTAACTCATTGGGCCTTCGAGGCCGGAACTCTTTCACGGCAAAAGTGGCACCGTCACTGGGCCTTGTAATTACACGTACAGATCCACCTGCACCAGAACCCAAAATCTTACCTAGTTTACCGTATTTCTGAGCCAAAATGGCGTCGTCGTGGTATATGTTGACGCGATTCGAAAGCGACAACGTCGAATCCGAAGAAGGTGGGATGGCAGACTGTGTGTGCGAGTGGTGATCCGGCGATCCGTTTCGCATGTTGGATTGTGAAGGCTTGCGGTGAAGTATGGCCGGGCGGAAAAATCGTTTCAGCTCGTTCATGGATCCACCGGAACGTTTCACATTGCTGCGGCCTTCGTTTCCCGAGTCGCTGCCCACTGATTCTCGGCTACTGGTATGGTTCATGAATCCGAGAAATGATCGACTGCTCCGAACATTGGGCTCTGTTTGTGGGTTATGGTCCGCATTAGGTGCGTGGAGGCCCTTTCCATGATGGAAGACGCTTCTGCCAAGTAGATTTGGCATCTTTTGTGGCAATAGACGTTAATATTGCCTTCCGTGCAGTATACAGGGCTGTCCCGCTTGGTAGACAGTTTTGAGGAGCTTTTCCGCTAAAATTGAAGCCAAACTTTCGCTAAACTTTCCAACGTGTAGATTCGACGCAGAAGTATCGATTGGTGCACCTCTCGACCGCTTTATAAGGGTCCGTAAAGCTCAAATGATGTCAAAATAAAATGACTCAAGATGAAATGTCCTTTTCAACTTTTGATCCTGCTAGACAAGTCCAAAATCCACGAAAAGACCAGCTGAAAAACGCCAAACAGTTTCTTGTAGTGACGTTCACCTTTATTGAGTGATCCGAGATACTATTAAGCTCAGTGGCCTTCAAATCCTTTAGTTTCTGTTCTTATAAGTGGTGATTGCTGATCTTAGTTGAGATGTTTTTTTTATAGGGTGGATGACACAGTCTATTTTACAGACTATATTTTGACATAACCTGGATAAGATTCAAAAACTATAGATATCGGACGTGAATACGGCGGTAAATAAGTGTTGAGATAGTGTTACATGAGGTGTTTACTGTGGTAAACTTTTAGGTTGGTTTGGGATTGTTTTGTTACAGTTTTTGGCTGTGAAAAATTACTAGATGATATATGTTCGGGGATGGTAACATGGACTGAATTTTGGTTGGAATTGGGGGGTGAGACGTTGTGATGAAAGCTGAAATTTTGGGCTATTTAATGTGGGTTTTTCTTGGATGCTGAATGGACCACCATGGTGTTGTTCTTGCGTGAGTTTAGATTGTAATTGATTTTGGAAAGAAGACGGGTTTTTTTTTGGAGGAGGACGTTGTGGAGAGGTCGGAGGATACTATGCTGGGTACTTTGATTCAAAATTAGATTTATGGCAGAAGAGATAAGTGGGGTCCTTTTAGGACCGGTTTGCATATAGCAACGACACGTAAAGTAGCGATTTTTTTTGCAGTGGACAAGATAATTAATTTTAAAAGCTGTCTGAAGCCTTCCGAGACGCATCCAAGCCCACCAGGGCAATATTTCAAGGGTTTTTAGACTTATAAAATTATCAACTAGTTCACAACGTAGCTGGTTGTGACGGGCGCCAGGGTCTGAACTCCTATAAGATGGTTGTAGTTTCTGGTCACGTGACCTTGACATTAATACTTTTTCCCATGAATTTCGACGCGCTTACATTTGATATGGAGAATAGGATAGTACTAGAAAGGAAAAACACTATTTTTTGACCAACTCATACTCCCAATTGATGTTTTCCAGTTAGGTTTCCCACCGCACCGACCGGAAGCCACAATTTTATTCCATTATTGCCTATTAGCGATCACGATAAATTGCAGTGATATATCTGATGAAAAAGGTAATTTAGACGAGTCATGTGACTCGAAGACAGCGACAGATTTAATGATTTGGAATATTCTTTGGAAACTCCAGAAAATACCTGACATCTATCATTCTTCAGCTATCAATCCTGATTCAAAGTACCCGTTTCTGTTTGACATTTTTTGCTGCAAATTTAGGTACCTTTTTCGACTCCATTGCGTCAGATCTGTTTTCGAAATTTACCTTTAAAAGTGTGCATTTTCTATCATTTGAGAAAACTCAAGCTACGTCAAACTGGAAATCGACACAAGAAAAGAACATATATGCAATCTTTTGTGCTCTCTTTCAAGCTCCTGTGCCCTTGACTCTATTTTGGAACCACGGCTATTTTTCCAAGAGGAAATTTAAAGTTCCGAAACTTCACAACAATCTCCATCAAACAACAAAAACCATAGGAATGACAATCCAGATCTTCTACCGAGTCTCTGAACATTTCAGCGGCCGCTCCAAAAACATAACCAAGATCATCAACTGAAATACTCGCTGTCATCGGCTCGAAATTCTTCACATGACTTTAGGCTCGATCTCATCTCTAATATTCGTCCAACTTGACCATCCATCTTCTATCCATCAAAACTTCCCATCAACAGCAGCAGCATAGCAGTCCAGTAGATGAGCTTGCTACCCAATGATCAGCGCCAATTGCTTCACAAATGTCTTCTCAAATACGTGCGAAATTTTTCCTCGAAAACTGAGCTCAATTCGGTCTCTGGAACCGAAGATATCGACGAAAACGCTGTCATGAACACACTGGCAAAATGGCTTAATGTGAACTTGGAAAGCCTGGACGATAAAGAACGACCCGTGGATGCCACTTTGCTGCCCCGCAAATGGAACTCCATTGTGCGATTGCAGCGTAGAATCATCGAGCTCGAAAAACAGATCCAGGAACTGGCGCAGGAAAACGAAACTCTGATGAAAGATGGGCCGGTCTCGTTGGCAAATAAATCGTCTCTGACATGGATTCCTCGAGACCAATGTAAGCTCAGCATTAATAGCGGTGCATCAGTGTCGAGCGTCGCTCTCCATCCAGAGCTTCCACTGCTTTTCGCTGCAACAGATAGTGGGAAATTGTTATGTTACGACCTTATGAACCCATCTATGCCAATAGCATCTGTTCAGGCACACACGAGAGGAATAACGTCAATGGATGTTATCCTCAGTGAAAAATCGGAATGCTATGTGGTAACAGCTTCAAAGGACCTGTATTGCAAAGTATTTCGCTTAAGCGAATCCGAACTTCAACCAATTCGAAGTTTGGCCGGTCATGAACATGTCGTGTCTCAGGCCCGAATATGGAAGCACGGCACCGATACCCTGGTGGCTACTTGTTCCCGGGACTTGACTTGCAAAGTGTGGGACGTATCTAACGGTTGGTGCCTGAGATCATTCCAGCCTCACAGCGAATGGGTACGATCACTAGACGTCTTAGGAGATTTTATCATCACCGGCTCGAATGACTGCACTGTACGACTGTCCCATTGGCAGTCTGGCAGAGGACTCTCCAACGGAATTGGCCACACATTCCCAATAGAACGGGTAAAGATTATTCCCATGCTTCATAGCGACTCAGTCGCCGATCAAGAACCCAACGTTTACAATAAATTTGATGAGGAATATGCGAATCTTGGGTTTTCGCATGTAGTTACAGCATCTCGAGATAACACAATTCGCATATGGCAGGTGCCCTTGCCCAAATTCGTGGCCCACCGACCACCTCAACCAGATCAAACTCGACAACATTTCAGCTTAATAACGACTTTAAAAGGACACACATCATGGGTTCGGGACCTATGCATAAGAGGCAACTATCTGCTGAGCTGCGGTGATGACCGTACCATCAGGGTGTGGGATCTCATGACTGGTGAAGTCGCTCGAGTGATAAGTAGTTCGCACGACGGGTTCGTAAACTGCATTCACACAGATGGAGATGGTCTTGTCAGACAGATACTGGCGTCAGGATGCGCCGACGGGAAAGTGAGAGTATTTATAAAATGAAATATTATACTTTTTATTGAACAGATAGTTCGAATTTTATTTTGTATCAAAAAAGAGTCTGCGCATTGTCTCTAAAGTGTCTCTGCTTATTCCATTGATTCCACATCGACTGGCTGAAATTGGAATGGCGTGTATGGCGTACCTTCACCTTCGAAAAACTTCGACATAGATTCGACCCAGTGCAAACGCAAGGAATGCAACATGGCCGAAGTACCCTCCATCAAAACTAAAATAACGCAGGTGAGCACGAACCACATAGTAAATAGGACGACCGTCATGATAACACCGACAACACCGGTCATGCCAAATGCGATTTGGATAGTCATTGTCCACAAAACAGTGGACAATTGAGCGTGTGCCAGCGACAGAGCCCATAAACGTAAGTAAGATGCAGTGTGGGAAACCGTGTTCAAGCAGAATTCAATGGTATGGATGACTTGGTGAATAACAACATCGCCAAACTCTTCACCATGACCACCTTCTTCGTCATCGTCGTCAGTGTCATTCTTAGCAGCGTTATGCTCGATTGCGTTGCCCTCGTGGCCTTCGTTCGTTTCAACAGCTTCGTAACCATTATCAGAGTGGGTAAGCTTGAAATGAATAGGTTTGATGAGTAACAGACATGGGATACAAATTAGGGCAACAATCAATAGGAAGACTTGGACCTTCGCCTGATGGGGATATAACTCTTCGTCCACATTTCCAGGCGATAAGAACATGTTAATCAGAGTGTTCAAGAGACCTGGAGCAACCCGGCCATCTTTTACCCAATCAATAGTCCACTTGTAAACAATGCAAATGGACAAATATCCGAAGATACCTTGCATGAACAAAAGTCCGGGGATGAAATTCCCGATGATGTCGATCCATTTTCCAAAATAAAGCGCATTCACTAAGGCAAACATGTACGAATAGGTCATATGGATGAAACCGAGAAGAACGGACAGTTTCATCTTGTAGGAATTGCTAAAAAGTAGAGCATTGTCAGTACCATGCCACGCCCAGTCTAAACCAAAAACGTAAGTGCCAACAGATGTGGCCTCGATAGGTTCACCAGCTTTCCAGTGAGAGGGCCATTTCCAACCGGACTTGAACAAAGTCAAAGACTTTGAGAACATGTCGTTGTATAAGAACCCGGTGTAAATGGAGTACAAACCCATCAATAGAAGGATATAACGACCGGAGTAGGCCATGTCAAAGATTTCGTCCCTCTTCATCTTTCCAAGAGGTACCTCGTAAAAGACCAACAACGCGGCCACCATGGCCATCAACATACCGTGTCCCATATCACCGAACATGACTGCAAACATGAAGGGGAAAGTGACAATGGTGGGCAAACCGGCATTCACCTCGCGATAAGTGGCTATACCGTAACAGTCGACGATGTTCTGGAAGGCATCGGTGAATTTGTTGGTTCTGTGGAAAGTAGGAGGGCATTTGTTTGTTTCCAAGACTTGGATAATGGAAGGAACATCCACACCCAACGAGGTGGTGAGCCTTGCCAATTGTCCTTGTAGGTCATCCAATTCGTCTTTGGGCACCCAACCTTCGCCAATCAACGTCTTACGGTTGGAATCGTAGTCGAAGAGGTTCAGGGTTTCATAAACAGCCTTTTCACGCGCAATATCGGAATTCCAGCCTTGCAATTCCTTGGCGATTGCGTAAAGCTCTGTTTCCAAGGTAGTGTTGGTGGTTTCCAACACTGTGTAAACATCGGCAAGACGAGAGTTGATTTCGTTTAATTGCTTTGAGCGGGCACCGTGGTCGTCACTGATATCGTAGAGATTAGCGTCTAAAGATTCGGCCACTTTTTTGACTCTTTGCAAGATTAGGTCACCATGCGAAAAAACGATAAAGGCGTCTTTCAAAACCGTGGTTTTGGCTTTTGAATCGTAGAGTGGCTCTGGCAATTGCACATGTCTGAAGAAGAGATTACCTCTCAAGACTCTCCACAAAATTTGTTCCAAAGTCCCGGCTTTGGCGCGTGGGATCGTACCAGTAACAAACGAAACCGAAGATGGGATGCTTTCGTCCTGGGACTCCGCGTGCGAGAGACCCGGGGCATTTGCGAAAAACTCGTCGCCGGCCTGCAAAACGTGACGGAACTGCTCGAGATTAGATTTTTGCAATTCCAGTTGTTCGCTAGCTTCCGCTAGCTGTTGCAACCGTTCTTCGATCACCGACCCGTTTTCGATATGGTCGTCGATCTGAGACGTGCTGGGAGCGATCCGGAAGGCCCCCTTGGGAGTATCCTCTTCACATTCTTCGAAAATCTTGATTTCATGTTTGCGCAACAATTGGTAGAAATACCTGTATTGTCTTTGCAAATTATCCAAACGTCTCACTTCTGGCACAAAAGTTCTCTGGAAAGCACGAATCTTCGTGTTGAGATCCCTAAACTGGACTAAACCTTGGTCTCCCAAACTGTAGACAGAGTCTCTGCCGATCTCTTGCGGAATGTAGAGTTGAACCAAGCTCATTTCCGCAGAGCGGAACATCGCCTCGTACTTTTCGACCATCCCGAAACCTAGCGAATCCAATGAGCGATAAGCAATGAAGACTTTCTTGACTTGATAAGAACACGCTTCTAGACGCGAATTCTTGATGTGGTTAGTAGTTTGCTAAAAAAAAGTGGTGTTAAAGTTGGGTGATGATAGGGATGAAGTTCTTTAGTTTATATATATTACGCACTGTTTAAATTGAAATTTTGAGTTTAAGCGAGAGAGCATCACGTGTAACAATTGAATTTAAGATTTTTCGTTTTGATGGGAACTTTTTGGAGGAATGTATGATTTAAGTGTTGAATTTTATCTTGTAAGTTTGACATGGGCGACTTGTTTCGTACCTGCATGTGTTTGAACGTATGGTAGTGTTCGATTTAACATGTATGCGTATCGAGAGACTTTGGGTCACGTGCCTTGGTGACTGAAAAATCGATTTTGACAACATTGACCGAGAGCACTTAAACAAGCGACATTCGCTGGAGTGCCAGTCGTGTGGTAATTTGAGAATGGTGTTGCTTCCAGGCTTAATGTTTACTGATCTTCTAGGCCGTAACTTTAGAAAACGATCATTCTGTACTTATATGTCGCTTGGTGAAAAAAAAAATCAAAGTCCGAAATATTCTTGAAAAAGCGATGAGGTTATGCAGTGAAAGAGAGCCGTATCTTAAAGTGCTGTATATTGTTCACGCTCTCTTCCAGACCTACCGAAAATGTTTTGAAGGTAATGAGATGTATGTATCGTGTATAGTGATATTTCGATATTTCATCAATTGAGACATTATAATCCCGTAATGGACCTCAAATGTCATTGCGTATAAATGATTTGAGAGAGTGTTACTATACTTGTGTGGATCTCCCGATGTTTGTGGTTATATTTGAGTGGCAGTTTCTCTCGCCCTAAAAGTTAAGTGTTTCGTCCTAAATATCAAAATGATTTAAACTCCACTGTTTAATGAAACCCGTGACTCTTCTTCTCAAACTCAATCATGCTCGTTTGAAATGCTCGGCAACTCGTAAATGTCGTGATGATTACAACAAACATAAAAGTGCTTATACCAGCATGATAAAAACGGGCTTGCAAATACGTTGCAAGTATCTAGGGACCAAAATAGTAGGCTTACACTCAATGCTATACACACGTATATAGTGATATATATCATTACCAGACTCGTTCATAATGATACAATATAAAACAAACTTGTTTCTCAAACTGATGCCCTTCCTCCAGATTCAAAAATAACGCCTCACTCACTATCTTTCAATCCCATCAAGCTAGCTCAATTTTGTCTTTCTACTTTGACTCAATAAGATGAGGGTGTCTTACTTGTAGATAGAAGCTTATTATGTAATTTTATACGTTATATGTGTCAATTAGGAACACGTAAACTCCGAGCTCATCGCTAAAAACCATGCTACGCGATTCACGTCTGTTTGAGATACAGAGACCGCAGAGAGGCGTTATAAGCTCTAGATGACTTACTAGTTTGAGGATGAGTCAGGGATGTGAGCAAAAACAACTTTCAAACAAGGGTTTTCGAGTCATTCTATGACAGCTGAAATAATCGTATGTCAAGCGAGGAAGGAAATCATTCAAGGGACGATTTTCACCTCTTTTTCGAGAAAATGATGCAAAAATCGCCAAAAATCTCGATTGCAAGTACAAAGCAGGCCACAGCAACGAGATTGGTGCCCGCTAGGATCTCCTAGAGGTCTCGACCTTCTTATCAAAAGCAGTGATTTATCAATTGTATAAGAGCTCAGGGGCCGATTTGGGTCTTTCTTTGAATTTTTGGAGCTTATATCTCGGACTCCAGACTTTCTGATCCCGATTTTACAAAGTCCAGCGTCCAATGGTGACCTAAGAAGCTTCATCTTCATCATGAATATTCAAAATAAAAAAAAAGTCTCAGTAGAAACCTTGCTGATTCTTTGACATTCGAAAAAACAACCCAACCACATGAGATTCAACCATAAAAGCACGGACAGCCTTCGATACAACAACACCAACAACAAAAAAATTGCCCTGTCTTGTCTACACGACGCATTTACATACCCATCAACGCTCAATCACGTGACCGTTCTCAAAGTCTCTCCACCTCTATTTCACAGGCGTTTGTGCTACTCTCCATTCCTCTCATCCGTTAAGTTCAAACCATGCTACGAAAGAAACTCAAAAAAAAAACACTCACCATTGCTCCATGTATCCCATGTCTTGCTCGAAACACTCATTGCATGCTTCTCTCTCTAAGTGGTAAACAACTTAATATTAATCACCAAATGACCCGTAATTATACCACTCCCGGGACTCGAACACCAGACACCAAAATTTTTCTCTAAATTGATTCGTCTTTTGAACCACGTGACGAGCTTGTGTCGTACCAGATTACACAACATTTACAGGAACGACCAATCTCACGCATCAAACGCTTTCCAACCTCAACGGTTCTACAACTCTTTATCCACCCTTCAAAGCTCAGTTCTCAAGCGTCTCCCGCCTTCTACAAAGTACAGGGTTTCTGCAAACACACAATTGACCATGTCGCTCCCGATTCTCACGTCCGCGCCAGGAAAAGTTATCATTTTCGGTGAACACTCAGCAGTGTTCAACGAACCTGCCATTGCAGCGAGCGTCAACTCTTTGAGAACCTATCTTCTGGTGACAGAAGCGGCAGATAGTGACATTGTGGAGCTGGATTTCCCAGACATCGGACTCGACCACAAATGGCATGCCGAAGAACTTTCTCAAATAGCTGCGCCGTCTAGCATCGCCGCCAGCGAACACTCCAAAAATTTGAGCTCGGCATTGAATTCTGCGCTGGAGCCACTTTTAAAGCCCTTGCATGGGTCGCTGCAATACCATGCTGCTTACTGTTTCCTGTATTTGTATTCTTGCTTGTGTGGCAGTCGAAGAGGTGTGAAATTTAGCGTGAAATCAAGCTCGCCGATCGGCGCCGGTCTTGGATCTAGTGCTTCTATTTCTGTGTGTCTGGCACTTGCAGTTGGTAAGTTTGGTGGCCACTTGAATTCCAAGTCGGAAAAATTAACCAAACAGGAACTCGACTTCGTCAACGAATGGTCCTTCATCGGCGAGAAATGCATCCATGGAACACCATCTGGTATAGATAACGCCGTGGCCACGTATGGTAACGCTGTTCTATTCCAACGACAACCAGATGCAGAGACCAAAATGGAGCATATTTTGAACTTCCCTCAAATTCCTATGATTTTGACCAATACCAAGATCCCACGATCCACTAAAGTGCTAGTAGCCGGTGTCAAGGATCTAATAACCAGACAACCAGAAATTCTTAGCCCCATTTTGAAAGCTATGGGTCAATTGGCGGAACGCGGCGCCAAAATTCTTGCGGATTTGAACGACTCAAATTTAACAGAATTATGCGAGCTCGTACGAATTAATCATGGTCTTTTAACTTCTATTGGCGTGTCACATCCTGGACTTGAGGTCATTAAGAACCTTGGCGACTCTATGTCCATCGGCTCGACGAAACTTACTGGCGCCGGTGGTGGCGGCTGCGCTTTTACCATTTTGAATCAGGACGCTTCGCCGCAGGATGTTGAGAAATTCAAAAGCACGCTTGAGAATCAATACAACTACAAAACATACACTACCGGACTCGGTGGGCCTGGGTGTGTGTTCATGGCACCCGAAGAGATCAAACAAAATATATCTGTTATCGAATCTCTTTTCAAGAAGGAGTCCAGCGTTTCCGATTTGAACGCTACATTGCTGCCCGGGAAATCTGACCTGAAATGGGTACATTGACCATGTCGCAAGTGCTGTATAAAATTGAGATATAGAAAGCATTATCGTTTGAAGTAAAACAGAACAAAACAAAACTTGAAAGAAAGTGAGTCTATTTAATATGTCTTTTAAAGTTACATGCGACTTTAAATGCCTCTGTTGAACCAGACCTTATCGATGATATCACCATGCTGGTCCTTTTGGTTTTTCAAATTGTCCTCTAGTTTATGAACGTCAATTTTTTGGTATTGTGGGAAAACTGCCAATGCGAATGGAAGAGCTGCCAAAGATGTACCTAGGATCAAACCCAAGTTTGCGAGGGTTTGGACACCCATGGACTTGCCCTTCAAAACACCTCTTTGGAGTCTTACCAATAGTAGAGGTGGGATGACCATGATAGGCGTAGCATTTATGACTCTGCTGAGGGCAGTTTCGCCAACGGCTAGGAAAGCGGCCTTTTTCGATTTTCCGACCTCGTCACCGTTTTTGTCGTAGACAGAAATACCCTTTTGGATCTCACCACCTCTCATCAAAAACACATTGATAATACCAGCACTGACGACAGCAGCAAATGGCACAAGTCTACCTAGCACTAATCTCGAATTCGCAGAAAGATGTTGCAGACGAGGCACAAGCTTGTTGAGACCAACCGCCACACCGCAAGATGCAGTTACAGCCATGGCGTAGTTACTTGCCAATTGAAGGTTTGACATTGGATGCGATTTGTTGGCATTTGCAGAGTTAATGGCGACATTCAGCGATTGGTTGGCCCATTGCCAGAACACAGTACCCGCGGTACCCAAGCCTGGCGTCAGCATACCAGCGGTGACGACCAAATTGGACAAAACGCAACAAGACATACGGAATGGCAATAAAACTGTTTCTCCGGTGTCTGGGTGAACCGTAGAATCTAGTTGTTTTTTGGCATGCCAGAACTCGGGAGTGGGCTCTTTGAGTTCACCACGACGATAGCTGGACACAATTTTGCGCGCATTACTTAGCTGCTTTTCGGTGGTGAAAAGCATGAACGGATCACTTATTTCAGAACAGTGACGCACTCTTCCCCAGTATGTAGATAGGTCGAATTTCGACTCTGGAAGAGGGAATGGGCCAGAAACCGAAGATGCCATAGTGAATTGAAGCTATTCAGGAGATAAGATTAGCTCAAAAGATCGGCTAAAAAGAGGCCTATTTGGTTGTAGAAGAGCTCAGCGCAGCGGCAATCGGTTTCTGGAGAAGAGTTTTCAATGTAATTTCAAGATAATTTCACAGCATTTCGCGAGTACTAATGGAAAGCAGTACTCGCGGTGGGAAAAATGGCTTTCGGATGGAAAGCTCAGGACTACGAGAGAAGTTGTGAGAGGAGAAGATAGTGATTGATAGTGGGCTAGAAAGAGTAAATTATCAGTACTACTCTGGAGTCGATACAAGATGATATGGGTTTCTGGTGAAAAAGTCACGTGATCGGTGTGACGACAGCGTAAACGATAGTGACGAGAATGTGCAGGTTTGGGTATGGTTACTGATTTAAACCCGGTGTTAGTATCATGGAGTTGGGCCCAAGCTGTCCAACATGGCGGCAACTTTCCAATAAACTCTCCTACCGAACTGAAGAAAAGGAATTTTTCCCTTCCGCGAATTGAAACAAACTCCCAAGCAATATTTTCCCGCAATCGACATACCCCACAGCCAACACCGATTCCAGCGCCAGTTGTGTGCCTCGAAAACACCAAATAGACCCAAGCCTTGGTCTCTCTATCCCAACGCTTTTCTCACATGCTTTTTGTCTGCCTCCAATACCTTCAAACTTCCACTCCCGTTCATCAAATACGAGAGTTTGGCCGAGTGGTTAAGGCGTCAGATTTAGGCTTAACTTCAATAATAAGTCAGATTCTCTGATATCTTCGGATGCGCGGGTTCGAATCCCGTAGCTCTCATTTATTTTTTGCAACTAATTTATCTTCAAATAAGGACCAGGCAAGCTAAAGGACAAACCAAATTCCCAACCATTCTGCTCATTTGACTGTGTACTTACTTTACTCTCACCATTTCACACATATCCGTTCTCTTCTAAACCATTTTCTGCCCTAAACCAGCTTTTCTCTGTCGTTACCCAGCTCGCTTTTTCCCTCTGGGTATAAATACGAAAAATCATCAAAGCTTTCTTCCTTCTACTCACCACATCTTTTTGAGATGTTCTTCATAACAGTGATACGAAATAATAATAGCCTTCTATTCACTGTGCCATCTCTATATCCGTAGATGATCAGAGGGGAAAAGAACGGCTAGACGGAAAATCGCCAGCGTCCTCATACTGTCCGAATCGATATAGTTTTTCACTACTGGGTTCGGTCGGTAACTGCGCAAGCGAGACATCTCCAGCCAGATAAACACCATTTGTAGTAAATGTAGAACAACGTTACGGGGTGTTAGAAAACAAAAAACCTGCTTGTTCTAGGTCCCATCCGTAGATCAATCAGTTCGAAATTGAGCGTAGTATTTGACTATCAGGTCTAGCAAATCAAAGTTTCTCTAACTACACATATTTTAGCAAAAGATATAGAAATAAACTACGCGAAACGCATTGAAACCATAAGTAGTGGAGGCTGGAACAGTCGTGTGCTCAATACGGTGGTTTGTCTTGCGAAATCGTCCGGTAGCTGTACTTTTTTCACTCAGTTCCTAGTCGTCCTGTAATTATATTGAAAAATTTTGAAGAGCTCATCGCATCGATCAAGCTCATCGCATCGGTAAAACAAGTTCTCACGATCGAAGCAGTGGCGATAATGGCGGAAGAAGCACAGGTAAAGGTCAGGTTCTTCACCAGAGAACAGGACGAGAATTTGAAGATCGAAGATACGACTCTTTTTGCTCCAATATCGCTTAAAAGATATGGTCTTTCTGAAATCGTGAACCATCTGCTGAAAGCAGATTCGCCCGTCCCGTTTGATTTTCTGATCGACGGCGAGCTCCTGCGTACCTCGCTAGACTCGTATTTGACCAAAAAGGGTCTCTCTGCTGAAACCCTGCTCAACGTGGAATACACCAGGGCAGTGCTACCACCTTCGTATTTGAAAAGCTTCAACAACGACGATTGGGTCAGTGCCTTGGACGTGGGCAGCGCACGCATTCTGAGCGGATCTTACGATGGTATAGTGCGTACCTGGAATCTTTCGGGCAAAATCGAAAAACAGTACGCTGGCCATTCTGGCGCTGTTCGTGCCGTTAGATACATTTCCGGCACCAGACTCGTTTCCGGAGCCAACGACCGCACTTTGCGTTTGTGGAAGTCCAAGAACGATGATTTGAAGAACAATCTCGACGCAGACGACGCAGACGACGTCGAAGAAGGCAAAACTTTGGCCATTTTGGAGGCTCATAAAGCCCCAGTGGTCACTCTGGATGTCAGTAACGATCGCATTCTGTCCGGCTCATATGACCATTCGCTTGCATTTTGGTCTACAAACCACAAGGAAATGACCGCGCTCGATCCTATGGATGCCTTGGGATCTTCAGTGTCGTCGGCTGCCAAAAAGAGAAGAAAGCTTGCTCTCAAAGACAATTCTGTGAGAAGGCGGTCTCCTCTCGCACTATTAGAGTCCCACACCGCTCCCGTGGAAGCTGTTCGTTTCGACGCTCACGACAACACGGTTGGTTACTCTGTGTCCCAAGACCACACCATCAAAACTTGGGATTTGGTCACAGCTCGTTGCATTGATACAAAATATACATCTTACTCACTATTGTCTCTGGCACAGCTTCCACAGCTAAATCTGTTAGCTTGCGGGTCAAGTGCTAGACACATCACGCTGCATGATCCTCGCGTTGGGTCTTCTGCCAAAATTACTCAACAGCAGCTCAATGGCCATAAGAATTTTGTGGTGGCTCTAGATACATGTCCGGAAAATGAATATCTGTTGTGTTCGGGATCTCACGATGGAACTGTGAAAGTCTGGGACGTTCGTTCCACGTCCCCAATGTACACTATCACCAGGGAAGCTGATGTTGTTAAAGGTGTGAACGACAAGGTATTGGACGTCAAGTGGGCTAAAGGCCTAGGTATCATCAGTGGTGGACAAGACAAGAAGATTCAAATCAACAAAGGAGACGACATCTTCAAGGCTTGATATAAGAATCAGCGCGCCACACATGTGTAAATTATTCATTCTCCTGTGTATTCCGAGTGAAATCTAACTAATCCATAGAATCCCTGGTAAAGCGATTTTTTGTTCGTGAGGTAGCCAGACAGCTTTTCGGTATCAGCATCATGAAAGAGATCCTTCCACTTTCTAATTTTGCGCAGATGTGTCAATTCTTCGTCTGTAAACTGTACTTTTGGCCTGGTCCCATACTTTAAAGGACCTATGTTTATCCAGTGCAACTTCGAGCAACAAGTCTTGAGACCCTCTACAGCATCGAAGTAATCAAATATGTTCTCCGCTGTGTCAATGAAGAATGCAGACAGAACCACTATGTTGTCGTAAGTAGCACCAGGTTGGAAGTTGCAGAAATTGCCTAGATGAACTTCAAGGTTCGCGGGCCTGCGTATTTGGGCCAAATTTATGTCAAACCCAGCTGTTTGCTGCTGTACGGACAGCTGCCCTGAAAAATGTTGTGCGAACGGTTTGATGTTGATTGTCTCGTTGTAGTCTAGTGCAAATTCGTTGCAGAGGTACATTAGGGTGGAGAGCTCGACTGAGTGAACGTCGAATTCGGGAAAGGCACATGCGATTTCGTAAGCTAGGCCTCCAGCCCCAGATCCAGGCACGACCAAAAGCGTCTTTCCTTTTAGCTTGAGACCCTTGACTTTTGAAATGATGAAATGAGTAAGTGGTTCACGTTCAGCTTTAAAGCTGGAGTGCCAATCTCTACACATATGGGAGATGGCTTCATTTACGCGCGATTGTCTTGAACTTGGAGAAAGCGTAAGTTTGTGGACCGGGATCCGTTTCAAAGCCGAATCACCGTCCACTTCAAATCCCAGGCCCTTGAAGACAGAAAGCAGCTCTTTGCCGTTTTCACTATCGAGACGATTGTTTCGCAGCAGCTTGATAAGCGAGTTTTCCACAATTAGCTGCGTAGTCGTACTATTGTCACCAACAGCATCATTTATTTGTTCTAGTTTCTCAAAATACTGTAGAGCCCTCAATTGCTCGATTTGGCCGGGATCAACACTTTTGGACATATGGTACAGCGTTGCATTGTATTTGAGTGCTCTGGCCCGGTATTCTTGCAGGTATATGAGCGAATCGTACAATTCCAACAATCCCACAGCTTCGGTAAAATGTTTGGACTGTTCCAAACGGAAATTTGTGGATATTGGTACATGTTTGGTCATCTTCGATACAGAACGCTGAAGTATACTTGCCAAACGCATTTTCCAAGCTTTATTCTTGTTCAAAAGCATCAAAAGGATCGAAAGAATTACCGTAAAGCAAGTGGATAGTGTTGAGTTCATTTTACAACTCCAAGGAACCCAATGAACCTCTTGAAGAATGAGTTTTTGGTTATTTTTTGTTAAGTTGACGAACTTGACGGTTTTTATAATTCAATGTCATCGCGATGAGATGAGCTAGCTGTAATACGAAAAAAGATTCAAATCGAAAACAACGAGGAACTAGTTACTTGGAATTTGTAGATTAGTGTTTATTTATCTAGTTGATCTGAAATCTAGACAATCGCGTATTTAGAAACCTCACGAGACGCTGCAGTGTCCGCAGTGGAAGTGCGGGTGTGAGATGAATGTGTGTCATTTGCAGGTTCAGGATCGCTATTGGTTGGCTTTTTATTGTCATTCAAGGCCTCTTCAGACTCCTGGAGTGTGGATACAGCATTTTCGGATTTGGTGTCACTGCCAGAATCCTGTTTCAATGAATTGAATCCAAATGTGGAATTCTGACGCATGGTCTCGCCATACCTGGCAAAAATCCATGGTATTGGGATCATGGCAATGCAAATGAAGCCGAACAGGGAACTAGCCCAACTGATCTTCAGCTTTTCGTACATCTGGATTGTGAATAGCGGGAAAACACAACTAGTGACGTATCTCAGCAGGTTGTTGGCAGCCAATGCAGACGCCACGAACAATGGTGGGTAACACGTCGAGAAATACATGATGACGCTGAAGAAAATCAAAATAAGACCGAATCCGAACGGCACACCGGCGGCCATTGGGGCCATCCAGTGAACGCTCGAACGTCCGGTCCAGCCAAGCCAGAATAAACTGATCGGAAGCGCTATTGAGCCAATTTTGCAAATATCCAACAATACTTCCGGTTTGAGCACGATTAACTCGCCCGTGTCGGGATCCCTGTGGCCTCTGTAGGGCTTGGTACGTTTGGAAGAGGTGGAAACCAAAGGAGGAGTGCCCTCAGGTGCTTTAGGGAAGAAATAACGACGATCGTAGAAAATGTAGAATAGCGAGCCTAACCATAGACCAATACCGATCCCGATGAACGCCAAACCAGCCACTCCGGTGGTCATATGGTACACACCGCGGAAAATGACAGGATATGCCTCGAAAAAGGCAAACAGCACTGCAAAAATGAAGGCAACGTAGATGGAGAAAAACAGCACGGTGGGCTCGACCGCCAACATCTTGATGGGTCTGAAGACGGTGATGGTTAGAGTCATTTTGAGGAAATCCTTCTTGGCCTGGGTTGAGAGCTCGATGAGATTGAGCTTCCGTTTGCGAGCTCTTTTTATTAGAATGACACCCTTGTGGGTCTCGGGCATCAACACTAGGAACGGCATGATCAAACCACCGGCAAAAAGTTGGATGTAGGTGGCCCATCTCCAGCCTTCTTTTTCTGTAGCAAAGCCAGCGATGATGGGACTAATGATGGGACCCAAGAAGGGTGCCAGACAGAAAAACGACATGGCGACCGAGACTTCGTCCTGGTCCCAAATATCCATGATGGTGCCCGATGCTACTGAAAGAGCAGGGGAGGCGAAAACGCCGGAAAAGAAGCGCACGGGCAGCACCACACGCATTTTGCCGCCAGAGAGAGCCACTCCCATGGTGAACAGCATGGACAATGGCAAAGAAACGATGTAGATGATTTTCCGGCCGAAAACCTCGGACAGAGGAGCTCCAACCACGGTGGACAGCCCGAGTAGATAGAATGTGAGCCCTGAAATGGCCAGGGTTTGGTCGTAGTGGTATTCGGCCACCATGCGTGGAACACCGTTGACGTACAGCGACGACCCCATGGTGACCACTAGACACAGCACGGCTGCGGACATGGTGGTGAACCATTTTCGCCAGGTAGGCCAGTTGTGTGGGTTGTCGGAGTCGAGCGGACCGTCCCAGTCCAGCTGGCGGGGGTCAATTGGCTCGTCCGGCAGCTGCTCGACAGCGTCGGAGTAGTGGGATTGAGCGGCCATTATGGTTGATATGTGATTGGTATGGTGTGGGAGAGAAGCGATGAGATGAGATGAGCTTTAATTCTCGAGGTGTTTCTTTTGGGTAGAGGAATGGGTAGACGAGTGGGTAGACGAGTGGGTAGAGAACCGACTAGATAAACGGGTAGAGAAACGGGTAGTCGGTCACGTGCTAATGTCCTTTAGTCCGTTCGAAAAAATTGATCTTGTTTCGTGCGAAATGACTTGGGGGAGTTTCGGTGTTTTTCTCCGTTTCGAAGGAAGAAAACAAAAAAAGAAAAACGGAATAGTGTGATCTGATCCTGAGAGAGCTGTAGGTAAAATAAGAAATCTACGTGACTTCTTCACTACTTACAAAACACTAAGATCACCACAGGTCCACTTGTATAATATACAGTGAATATGCAAATAGTACGCCTTTGTCCTGGCTCAAATACCTATTTTCTTCCATTTTTGATCTGGCCCCCTCGTCTTTTTATATGTACATACATATATATATATTCATACTGAGCTCTTCCGCCCTGAAGCCCTTCTGACTAGTGGTAACGGGTATAAATCCCAACATTCCGCAGCCGTATTCACGGTCGTCTTTAATTCTAGAAACGTAGAATTCGGTGTTAATGATTTTAAAAGCGCCGGATCCGCGGAGCGAAAACGGCACGGCACGTAGAAACGGTCGCAGAGCAGCGGAAGTTATGCTGTGGTGTGTGGGTGTTTTTGAGCGGTGTGGGCTATATAGAATTACGAGACGCGACAGGTGCAGCAGGCAGGCATATGATGAGATCAGAACGCGTGAGTACTTTAGTAAGTAAATAAGTAAGAAAGTAGCGTGTGTGTGTGTGAGAGAGAGAGAGTTACGAACGGAAGCGGTTTGCGGGGAGTCCGGCGGCGAAGGAAGCAGGAAGGAAGCAGGAAGGAAGCAGGGAAAAAAAGGGCTTTGTGTGTGTAGAAACGATTGTGATAGCAAAGGAAAAGAAATTGGTTCTGGATTGTGGTGTGGCATGTGTCACGTGACCTTGGACGATTGTTTGGTGAACGATTTGACTCTATTGTGGGACCCTTTAAAGACAAAGAGGGTAAGAGTGAGAAAAGAAGCAATTAGGTACATAACGGGTTGAAGGGTCTGGAAGTGGGTCAAGAGTGGGTCGTAACTATATACGGAATGGGGAAGCTTTTTTGATCGGGGGTTTATTAGCAATGGAGTTGAATTTATCTAGATTACAAGGACGGATGCCGTTGGGTAAACAAGAAACGCACGTATCGAATTCGCCTTCATCGTCAAAGCTAATGGAGATTGGTACTGGGTTTTGTTCTTGTTTATAGCATTTCGCGTGTTTTTGGATCTCAGAGTGGATCCCAAAATTGGGGAAATCAGGTACTTTACGGATACTTGGCTCCAAGATGCAGGACCCTCAACGTCCTATGTCTAATAGAACTCTTCTCCATTAATTAGAACCCCTCTCCGTATGTAGTTACGATCCATTTGGGGATCCGTTTTTTTTTGTGCGTTCGTCGAACATGACTGGACCTCCCGGACTTTGGGTCACGTGTCTCAATGGGAAAGTACTTTTAGTAGCCTCTTAATGAGCGTTAGCTAGTGGAATAACTACTGCGTCGTCAAGGCACTAACACGAGAAGGCAAGAATTTTGACGATCTTCCGGTTCTATTATGTGCAACCATACAATGGAACATTTACTTACCCTCCCCCCAGTAATGAACCTCCACTTTAAAAAAATCCTGTCTCATTGGCCATCATTAGTCTTCTCGTCATAACAAACTACCACCAAAACCACTAGGCCAAGATACGCCAAAAATGGTCCACACCCAATCCAAATAGAAAACGGAAAGTGCCAGATTTCGCGACACCCACGTACAAAATGATACCACCACCACCACTGTCATTCACCTTCCAGAAACTGGTCAAATGCCGTCATCCCATTCCATTAGCCTGACCAAAGGCGAAAAGACCGAGTTTTTCAGCCCTCTTAGTTTGTGGATTCTCCATATATTGTCTCCCTCTTAATTCAGCTTCACAAACAGCCACCGCCAAATTCACAACAGAGGAATCTGTATGCACAAGAATCTGTATGCACAAGAATCTGATCTTTCACTCCAAAAAGCACTCCCAATTCCTTCAGTTTTCACCATCTTCCTTCGAAAGTGTCCACTTTTTTTCGAAATTGTTACCTCGATTTTTCGCATCCCACCTCATCTCTCAAATTGGCACTCTCCAAGGATCTTAGCAGTTTTCACATACCCCGGCGTTTCCTACCATCAACGCACCAGATCAAACTCATTTGCCAACCCGCCCTCACCGTAAGTAAATCCATTTTTTTCAATCAAGGCTTAACCGACATGATCAAAACCCTTTCACTCAGGCGCCATTGTGATATGACATTCTACAGGCAGGCGTGGTTTAACAAGCGTTAGATCTGATTCAGAAATCTTCAAAGTTCCTCTTCCAAGTTTTGTGCTCCTGCGGTGCTCTTTTTTCTAATGCGTTTTACCTAGGCTTATCCCGAAGCATGAATCGCCAGGAAGATCCCACTTTCTAAACCGTTTCGTATCTGTCGCCAGCAGTCTTGAATCCTTCGACAAACGAATTGATCCTTTGCAGTTCCGACTCTGAAAGATGTTGCAACGTAAAATTCTCCTGCACACGGCGCGCAGATGAGCCTCCCGGTAAAGGTATGAATTTGGTGCCGGGATATTTGGAATTGAGTGACACAATCCACGCCAAGGCCACTTGTGGGAGCGTTATACTATCTTTGCGTTTAGCAATGATCTCATCCTGCAAAAACTTGGGCAACTGCAAATTGTGCTCCAAAGCTTCGCTGGAAAACCTCTTGAACATCTTGCGGTAGTCTCCGTCCTGAAGGTCTTTGGCAGATTTGATCGATCCCGTTAAAAGCCCACGGCCGAGAGGAGAGTAGCACAGAATTGGTAACCCTCTTGCGCTACACGCTTCAGCGACACCATCCGACAAAATCTGAGGGGAAAACAACGACAATTCCACTTCGACGCATGCGATGTAGTCGTGGTATTGATCGTCAATGGCGGCAATTTGGCCGGCATCTACCTCGCTCAGTGAGATTGCTCCAATGATACCTTTTTGCACCAATTCCACCAGGGTATCAAAGGTTTCTGCAGGGAAAGCGCTGGATCCGGCCAATTCAACGTCCAGTCTTGCTGGCTCGAAAATATCGATGAACCCGCCGATTTCACGAACGCAGTTCTCGACAGATTCAATTACGCTGGCACGATCGCCCATGGGTGTGAATGTCGCTATGTCGTAACAACCTTTGCAACTGACAATGACCTTTTCGCGCACACCTGGACGACTGTGGAAATATTCACGAGCCAAACGCAAGTTGGCGAAGTTGGGTCCGTAGAATTCTCCCACGTTGAGCAAAACTGGGCTTTCGTTCAATTCAATGGCTTTGTCAATGGCCTCGAACGCTATTTCTTTAGGTGCGGAGTTTGGGCCCACTGTAAGACCCATCATACCGTAGCCGGCCGAAGCCTTGAAATGAGCTGTTCTGAGTTCCTGTGGTGATAGTGGCATGAGTGTTCGAATTAGTTTTTGGCAACCGAGGAGTGAAAACCGCTGTGAAGGTCAACTTGTCGAACGGTGTTGAAACTGCATCATGTCACCTCTTTTATATTTCTTGACAGCTTCTTCAGGTACCCTTAAGACTTTGGATTTGAAGCTGGGACCGCTTACAACATCATAGGCTGCATATTGCTCCTCTGTTGATACCACTTGATCTGACAAATGATTCAAATGTTGAGATCAAAAACCTTTCTGGTAGTTGACCAACTGGGACAAGGAGTCTGGGATCAGCAATGAACTCTGGTGACGCTTGTTTTTGAGGTTTGGGAAGTGTTGCCATTGTAGTTTGACAGCGTCAAATCTTATAAAGTTGTCAGTTCTTTCTGTTGCTTCTTGTCATGGCATGTCTATAACACAATTCTTGTTCGTGTTCATGATCTAGTTCTTACACCAGCTATGTTCTTGTTCTTGTTTGTAAAGTAATGTTTCCTAGCCCATCGCCTTTTAACTTAACAACCTCTTTAGTTTCACGTCCTAAACCCTCTTCACACTCAAAATGACTACTTTGACTATCTTTACAGAACCATCTTCTTTCTTCTTTACCATCAGCTTCGAAGACTTTGTCACAACGATTCTCTAGATATATCGAAAACAAAGCATCTTTTGTTTTCTTACAGTTTACTGAACCCAAGTTTCTCAACTACTACCTTCCCGCTTCCAGGCTCATGAACATCTAGTTCAAAACACTACATCAAACAACTTTTGTCGACTTTTGCCGTGAATATATCACCAACAACAAACTTGCCGTCTATTCTACACGTCCCTCCACTGCCCTTCCTCCTGCCAAACTCTACCGATGCGTGAAATCATCAACATCAGTGCTTCTCATCGAACTAACCATGTTCTAACCCAGTTCTACAACGGCCAAGAACAGCTTCTTCAAGATGACAACGCCAACAATGAGACCGGCGTGTTTCTGAACCCAGTGGTCGATAAAATCAGTAAAACTGTGTCATACTCGCCAAGAGCGCTGTTGTGGGATGCCAGAAACGGTGTAGGATCGCTAGGACTGCACGAATACGAAACTAGCCACGATTACTATTTCGACCCAAACCGTAAGCCTGAAGAAGCTACCCAAGACGGCGTTCAAGTCATCCAAACCCACCAGAGAATACCAAAGTCTGAGTTCCAAACGGCAATCGATTCCAGCGGCATCTTGCCAGAACTGAACGACACCAACACCAAATATTGGTCCGACTACAGTAAACTGGTGTTTGGATCATCAAATCTGAACACTTTGAAGGATTGGTATCACAACGTGGACGATCCATCGCTGCCGGACTTCCAAGACCAACATCAAGCGTACTTCAACAGCTACGAGGTCGGCTACAACGAATTCAAGAGCCAATACAGCGCGGATTTTATTGACGAGAAACTACACTGGCAACTAGAAGCCTGCGATGGCCTCCAGGGCATCAATCTTCTTTCCGAGCTGGACAACGGCTGGGGCGGGTTTTCGTCCAGCTTGCTGCTAGAAGTGCGGGACGAACTTCCCAAGACCGACATCTTAACGTGGGGGTTCAACAAAGACGACGCTTTGTCCTTGGAGAAGCCCGTTCGTTCGTCCAAGACCAATTTCGACCTCATTTGCAATAAGATTCGTTCCACCATCAGTCTTGTGCGCGACTCGCAGCTGTTCTTCCCCATGTATTCAGACCCGCAGCAGTCAATGTGGAGGTCTGCTGGCGCTGCAACCTTGCTTTTCGACGCTGTCAACGCCGTTTCGTCCAATCGTGTTGCTGAAGACTGTGTCTCGCTCGGCCAGATTGCCGGGATGCTAACGCAGGGAGAAACACGGCGAAACGTCGTCTCTCAGCTCAATGCCAACGGCATCGATTTCTCGTTCTACTCACACGTTCCAAAGCTCAAGACGACCGGGGACGAGCTTTACAACCAGCTAACCATTTCGAGAGATCCAAAATACGTCTCTAGCGAACCGTGGATGTTGAAGGCCTACGAGTGGCAGCCCTCAGATACGATACCCGTGGACTACCGACTAAACACCACTTACATGACAAACCTGGCCGTCACGGAAAAGCCCAGAGACGTCTTCAAGAGTTGGTTTGACTTGGTTTCGCGATACTTCCGCTACGATTCCGACCGTGAAGAACTGAAAGAAGAATTGGGCACTCTGGCGAGCGAGTACGAACACGGATGGTACGACGACGATGAATCTGGAGACGACTACTGACGATTTTTGTTGTTGATACGCGTGTACGGCGATCTCATCGGCAAAAGCTAGTAGACAGAGAGAGAAGAGGTCTATGATTTCGTTGATTTTAAGCGATGAGCTACTGATGGCTTTCGAAGAACTTTGAATGCTAAGAAGAATAGCAGCCAAACTGAGCATGTCAAGACCCAAGGTCATTGTAATTGCGGGTACAACGGGCGTGGGCAAGTCCCAGCTGTCCGTTGAACTTGCAACTCATTTTTCCGGTGAAGTTATCAATTCAGACTCCATGCAAGTCTATAGACACATTCCTATCATCACCAACAAACATCCAATAGCAGAACGCAATGGGATTCCACATCACGTCATGAATCATGTTGACTGGAGTGAGGAGTACTACCTTCATCGTTTCGAACAGGAGTGCTTGAAATCTATCGATGATATACATTCCAGAGGGAAAGTACCTATAATAGTGGGAGGAACTCACTACTACCTCCAGATTCTGCTCAACAAGCGCATAGAACAGAAACACCGCGTGCCGACCCAAGAGGAGCAGCAACTTCTGGACCATGGAGAGCCAGAAATAATCTACAGCACGCTTCAGCAGCTCGATCCTGTCATCGCCAACAAGTACCATCCGAACGACTCTCGAAGAATTCGCAGAATGCTCGAGATTTACTATACAACAGGCCAAAAGCCCAGTGAGACTTTTGCCCATCAACAGAATACTTTGAAGTTCGACACTTTGTTTCTTTGGATTTATAGTGCACCCGAAGAACTCGATAATAGACTTGATAGAAGGGTGGACCAAATGATGGACAACGGTGCATTGAAAGAGATCCAGCTGCTTTACGAAAAATACCAGGCTGAAGGTCGCAGTCCAGAACAATGTGAAAACGGCATTTGGCAGGTAATCGGATTCAAAGAATTTCTTCCTTGGCTCGAAAACCCCCAACCTGGCTTGTTCGAATCTTCAGTAGAAAAAATGAAGGTACGAACTCGCCAGTATGCCAAGAAGCAAGTCAAGTGGATCAGAAAGATGTTGTTGCCTGACGTTAAAGATCATTTATATATGCTTGATGCTACCAACCTTGATCAGTGGAAAATCAATGTTATGGAACGTGCGGTTTCCATCACAAACAGCTTTTTAAGCTCAAGCAGTATTCCACAAGAACATGCACCGTCAAGTGTCATCTCATTGCTTTCCAAGGACAACTTGGGGGACAACAGTCCCAAACTCGAAAACGATTGGCGTCGATTCACATGCGATAGTTGCCGAGATAGAGATAACAAGGCTTTGGTGGCTATTGGTGCCAAGAGCTGGGAAATACATTTGAAGAGCAGGCGTCATCGCACGAATTTGTCGCGAGCCAAAAAACTGGCAAATCATGAGGTATGGAAGAAAAGGAAAGAACTGGTTGCGGCAAAGGAGACTGGTCAAGATCCAATTCCATAAAAAAACTACTTCAAAATATCCTGTTCTTTAAGTTTCTTCTTCTCTGTCCGTGCAGCCTCGAAAATCTGAACATCATTCAACAGCGCATTTACTGACGTCACCAGGTCCTGATAGAATTTAGAGCCACCGTTGAGATTTTCCTTGACATCTTCAAAGAGCTTCATTGAGTATCTGAAATCCTGGATGTATAAATCTCGAGCATCTAGTCTTTCCATCTTTGTATCATTCCCCTCACCTTCTGCATCCAGCCTGTCAAGAAGTTCCCTATTGTCATTTTTCTCCTTTTCGATTAACAGCAGGTCATTCTGATAAACCTTCAGCCCCTCGGTGAACGTATCCTCAAAGTCCGTTTGGCCGGTTTGCTTGTACAGAGAAACAATTTTTGGCAGGAGAACGTTTCGGCTTGCTTTGGTTTTCACCTGCGAGATTATATCTTCACGACGATCAATGACCGCATTGATTTCTCTGGCAACAGGATCGTTAGACTCAGGAAGCTTGATGGGTTTTGTGAGAAGATTCTCGTCGATTGTGTTGAAGAGCTGGATTGTTTCCAGGTCAACCGCTTTCCCCGTTTGTAAATAAGACTCCAATTTAGAATATCTTGACCAGTATTCAGCATTTGCTTCGTCAGAGGGCTCAATTGTCCACCTGTCAGTACCGTACTTCTTTCTCAGGAGCTGATCCGTTTCATGCTCATGGTTCAGTATTTCATATATTTGATGCAAAGCACTGGCTACCTGTCTAGCGTTAGTCTCAGACTGACTCAATGAACCACGACAAGCTTCAAACTCTTCTTTAGAGATAGGCCGAATATCAGCGGAAATTGCAGTCGGTGGGGACTTTGCATTGATGATTTTGTTCAAAGCTCTTAGTGGGTCGATAATATGCTGCTGGATATACTGATCCTGACGCTGGTTGAAAGCATTAGAACTTTCCATGACAGATATCGGAAGAAGCTCTTTGAAAAGATGATCATGAAGCCCATTGCTCACTGAATCAGAGGTATCCTGCAAACCTTCGAAATAAAGTGGACTAACCATCGTAGCTGGTTTTAAGTTCGTGATCGCAGGAGGCACGTCCTGAAGATAAATAAGGTCATTGTCTCTCTCAGAAGTTTTCAATGCCTCCTGAACCTTCACTGTTAAAGAACGCACTATATCATCCTTGGAGCTCAAAGACTTCAAAAGTATCAAACTGTCTCTCAACGCTCTTATTTTTTGACCGGTCAGTGCAGTATCGCCACAACCCAAGCTGTATCGATAAAGAGCGACCGCTCGAAAATAAATAGACTTTTCTGTGAACCGCTTTTGCCAATCGGATCTAAGAAGCTGACTAGCTGCTGCTTTTTTATAACAGATATCGTAAAACTCGGCAACTTGGAGAGCGAGCCTAGATATTAGACTATGCTTCATTTCGTCCCTTACTGCTTTCAACCAGAAAGTTTCTTGAGCTTGGGCAAGCATCAAATTCTTCAGGCATGCGATACATTTAGGTTCCATGATTGGGTCGCTCATGGACTCTAACTGATTCTCGATAAACTCAAAGCAGCCAGCACCATGTCTGTAATAAAAACATGCCTTCTTGAGACCCTCAAGAGACCCATTGTTGAAATCTGCTGCCAGAAGAGAGTACAATGCTCCAATATTGTAAAGGATGTTAAGTTTTTCGAAATCGAAGCTTGATTCTTCTCTACCAAAGGATTTGAGCCCTAAAGTTTCGAACCACTTGACACTGATCTGTCCATCTGGGAACTTTCTTTTGAGCTGGTCAAACTGGAAGTAGTAGTCTTGTAGAGCGTGAAGTCCCGCTAAAGAAACTTCTGCTTCCAGCGCTGCGTTTCGAAGCCTGTCAATCGTTTTTAAATCGGCATCGAACTCCGAAGCTACTTGATAGAAAGTACTGTCGATAACCTTAGCGAGTTCAGCACCAAGGTCAATTGTTAGACTTCTTTTGAATGGAATACAGAGCAGCTCTGACATAATGTAGCCTAGTTTCTATGGACAGGGTACAGAACTGTCCGAAAACAGGAAACTTTGAAGGTAATGTCATCGAAAGCCTTTATTTCAACTTCATATTCATGTATCTAGAAGCCAGAAATCGGTGAAAAAAAACAAGAACGGCAGAGAAAGCGCTTCACGCTGCGGTTAAGACTTGATGTGACTTTTGTTACAATTTAGACATTAGTTATGTAGTGCTTTTTCGTTTTTAGGCGGTGAATAGCTTCCCTCTTGTAGATGTGATTTGGAAATCTTCAGTGGCATCTTGAAATTCCTCATTGTCTTCCTGGAGCTTAAGAGGAATGCTCAGGCGCTTGGAAGCCCTGAAGGCGGTGTTGTTGAACTTGAGAGACTCGGATCTGGCAAGATCTGACTTTTCAATATTCACCACTTCTTCTTCGTCAGGGTCTTGAATTCTGCTTTCTTGGCCATCATCGCCAAGTTCAGATAGAAGAAAAGTGATATTTGTGATGTGAGACCTCACCGACTGCGAGCCGTGAGATACCACGTCGCGTTTTTTCCGCAGTGCTCCATTACTTCTCGCGGCCTTTAAATCCCTGACCGTTGGTGACATGTGCTTGAGAGATCTGAGAGATCTTGCGTCATTCCCAAGGCCGAATTTCGGTATGGCACCGAAATCTTGGGTCAAGGGTGGAGGAATCGCGACGCCGTCAGCTAGCTTACCATTTGCGTCGGTTTCGGAGCGAATGGTAGTATTGCCGTTCGACAGTAGGTCTGTTGTGGAAACATTGATCTCTTTGGACAGAATGATCTGTCTGCCTTTGTCTGAGTACTTGTTGGATCCCATGTCTGAATAATAATTGAGTAAATCGTCTTGACTGAACCTTTCTTGTGACGCTTGCTTGAATTTGGCTTGGGAGCGGTAATCGCTGATGCCCAAAAATGTCGCGGCTTCTATGTGATAGTTGAAGTAGCAGCTCTTTTCAATATCATCAATTTCAAGGTAGTGCTTCAGACCTGCTAAAAGTGTGAAACCTTTGAACTTGTCAAAAGCTGCGGACATGAACGTTTGTTGCGTTTCAGGAGAGTTCAAGCTATCCATCACATGGAAAAGTTTTGAGATGGAAAAAGAGCCGGCAAGAGTGCTGCTGACCACTCTGAATAGTGCCACTGGCTCGTGAAGGTAAGGGAAAAGCTCCAGGTAAGTGTCTAAGTTTAGAGAAGGCGTGAATGTGGAACTTGCCAATTCTTGCAAATCTTGGCGTAAGCTGTCTGTGTGGGCCGAGTTTCTATCGTCTTTGAGTCTTATCAATATTTCAGAGAACATGTCCGAGGTCTGGTCTTTGTAGTAAGTTTTGCGATTCAAGTCTCCGATTGTGGTTGCACACTGGCTGCTGATCTCTTTAGAAATGCCGTCTGTGATTTGTATATTGAGCAGCTTTCTCATAACATCAATAATACTCAAGCCAACGATACTGACCTCGGACACCAATAAGCTTGATATTAGCTTCAAGCTCACCAATGAGCGCTGAGAATCTTGACGCAATTGGCGAATAAAAATGAGGACCACAATGTACCTCAAGTGAACGGGTATACCGTTACATATGAACTGCAAAAGCTGTTGGTTCGGCGTTTTCACCAAAACACTGAACAACGCTTTTATCGAAATCGTCAGTTTATCGGTTTCGGACGTGCTAAAGAAGGACCTGAGCGCTTCTATGGCATAGTCGTCGCTGTTTATGAGGTCATCCAGCCCTTCTGTGTGCGTTTGAGTTCTTGTAAGCCTTTTGGCCATTGTGAGGTCGCCTGAAGCCTCGAGACTTTGCACGCGATACTGGGCGTTTTTCTCTTGAAATTGTGTGAGCGCAATTTCTGCAGCTCGCGATATCAACATGCTGCCTTGTGGATTGAGCGCGAGGTTTTGCACGGTCGAAATGTCTGTACAGCCTTTGAGCAGCAATTTGTCGTCACGTAGTCTCTCAGTTACAACTTGGAAATACAAATCCACAAATTTTTGAAAGGAGTCGATAAAGTCAGCATCACCATTGCACAATGCACCGTCAAGGAAGCGACAGATACTCCCAAATGTCTTTTCTGCGTTTTCAACTACGCTGGCATCGTTGTTTACATTGTTATTGGATAAAATCTTGACCATAATCTGTAAAAAGTCTCGAACAAAAACGTTCAAATTTTCCTTGCAATGAGTTACAATCTTGTCCATAAGCTCCAGCGTTACCGAGATATTACCGATGCGTCTGTGGTTGAGGTCTGTAGTGCTTTTACGCGCCAAAAAGCTGCTAACCTTTTCTAGCTTGGTTCTCCTGGAGTTCACATAGTACAGTAAATAAGACGTCTCTGAAGACTTGGGTTTCTTGTCCGTTGTCCGCCCGCTAGGATAGCATTGATTGACCAGTTTCTGATGCTTTGGAGTGAACAGTAGTACCATGGTAGCCCTTGCTGGCTCTCTTAAACTGATAGTTTACCTGGGAAACTTTACTTTGTCTATAAGAAGTTGTTAAATTGAGTAAATGATAATTGATTTGACAATAATCCAAGAATAGAGACAAATCTAAGCTTTAAAAGGTGTAATTCTAGGTGAGTACTTGTTTATTTCGAAATTTCATCTGGGAGGTGATAGCTGGAGCTTTGTGATAGCTTTTTCTGGAGGGTTTCGCGATCAAAAACGGTCAAATATTGAACAATTTTTTGACACTTTTCTTAGGAAACTGTACCCAAGCTTAAGCTTCATCGAGCAAGAGGCTGAACTGGAAGCGAAGATTTAAGAGTGGTCGTTTCGGCTCTACACCTTATTTGTTGATAAACTGCGAGGTTTGGCATCTGTGAAGTAAAATACCGTCATGCCACCTGTACCGGTTTATGTCAAAGGTGGTACCTGGTCCAATATTGAAGACCAGATTCTAAAGGCAGCGATAGAAAAATATGGAACCCATCAGTGGAGTAAGATAGCTTCGCTTTTGCAAAAGAAAACTGCCCGTCAATGTGAACTGCGGTGGACAGAGTTTTTGAATCCTAGCCTCAATTTCACACCTTTTTCAAAAGAGGAGGACGCAAAGCTCCTTGAGCTCGTCAGAAGACTGCCTAATCAATGGAGAACCATCTCAGATGTGATGGGCCGTACGCCACAAGTTTGTGTTGAACGTTATAATGTACTTTTAGAAGGAACAGACTCCGACGTGAAGCTTGGTAGCTCTTTAGATCTGGAGGCCGGCGATATTGATCTTCACGCGGAAAGCAGACCAGCGAGACCGGATCCTATGGAACTGGAGTCAATGGACAAAGAGATGCTAGCAGAGGCCCGCGCCAGACTTTTGAATACGCAGGGTAAAAAAGCCACCAGGAAAATACGAGAGCGGATGCTGGAAGAAAGCAAAAGAGTGGCCCAGTTACAGAAAAGACGTGAATTGAAGCAGGCGGGAATCGATTCCAAAATAAGAGCTCCTCGAAAGAAGTTTTCAACTCAAATCGACTATAATGCGGACATCGTATATGAAAGGGAACCGGAAAGCGGACCTTACGACACCACGTTGGAGGATGAGCGGAGTGCACGGGCAGTACGGGCATTCGAAAAGTCCGTGGAACGCAAGGGATTGCACGAAAACGAAGAGGGGAATAAAACGAAGCGGAAAAGAAGGCATGAAGACGTGTCAACAATCGTGGGCCAAACTAGTGTTCTCACAGACGATTACAAGAAACCCAAGCTAAGCTTACCACCGCAACATGATAACGAAAGGATGGGGCCTGAAAGAGCAGCAATAAAACGCTCCAAGCGTAGCATCCTCAAATTATTTTCCCGTCTCCCGCAGCCCAAAAATGATTTTGAATTGGAATTAGACGAAGAAATTGGTGGCGCTGAAGGTAGCGATGGCCCGGACGATGACGAAGCAGAAACTGATGCTCATAGGACAGCTGTAGACATTTCAAGTGGGGCTAACGTTGATTCAAGCATGAATGCCGAAGATGAACCTTCACTATCGACGTTTTCCAGGCTGCGAGCCAATCTGCCGCTTCCCGAACAGATTAAAACTCCCTCAAACCCTGTGGAACGCGAATACAACGAATTGCTGGCTTCTGCTATGAATCCAACGACCACCCAGACGGAAAACCTGCTTTTTGAATCTATCAAGAGAAAGTTACAGCAGTCTCTTCCTGATGAGACGCCCGGAGAGGTGTATCTCGACCAAGCTGCCAAACTGATAGACGCTGCTCAACATCCAGCAGGACCGGGTGTCGAGCAAATACGGGAATTACAGTCACGTCTTCAAGGGCTTCAAAACACTGTGGATGAAGTCACTTTTTTCAAGACCAAAAATCAAGAAATCAGTGACACGATTTTCTCGGAGCTCCTGCCCAAAGTTGCTGAGCTTCGCCATTCATATTTTGTGAAGTACAAAAAGTACCAGAATGAATACTACGCTTGTCAAGTCAGGCGGAATAAAATACAAGAACATCTTTACGAAGCAGGGGCAGAGAAACCGGTATGAATTTTTTGGAAAAAATAGGCTCGAGAGTTCAACTACAATCTCACAATTTAGCATGGGGCTCAAATACATAAAACGCATAACGCTATCGGTACTTTAGCTTATTTTATCTATTTTCATCTTGATCGGCCGTCAACGCTGTCATCGACATTCATTTGCTCAAAATTCATGCTAGGAAAGAGCTTCAAACTGGAATAGACTCCTTGAATTTACAACCAAATTTTCACGTCAAGCTTGAGCTATCGTAAAGCTCACTGTATCCAGTTTGTCGGCTCTCATCATCTGTTGATAAGTTTATTCGAAGGTTTCTCAACTTTCACCTGTCTTATGAAATATGAAAAATTTTGAATAAAGTTGGTAAAGTGACAGTAGTACTAGTCAAAGCAGATATCAGAAGTGAAACCTCTCCGAATACTCCGTCAACAGTTGAGTCGAGCAGATATCACATATTAAGCACAATGGTCAGATACACCGAAGAAGAACTTTTGCAATTGCAACCCGACGTTGAAGTTCCTGTGAACTTCGACATTGACTCTTTCAGAGCAATCATAGACAAGGTCAAGGAAATTCAAGGTTTCCAGGAGGAAGAATACCAGCATTTTAACCGCAGAAGATCTTCTCACCACCACGGGAAGCCAAAGATTAAGCATTTGAAGCCTAAGATCAAAACGGACTCTGACGGATGGTCCACATTTGACAAAAACGCTACTAGAAGAAAGTCAAGCGTTGTTGCAGGCGGTGCTGGACTTTTGAACAGCAGCGATGAGGACGCCCCAGCCAAGGAACCCACTACTATCGCCCAGGAAACGCTGAAGGTCAAGCCTAACAAGAACATTACTTCGACGAAGCCGGCAGATGCTCGTGACATTGTAGCCGACAAAGCCACCAATAACTTCAATGCGTTTGCAGCTCTTGAAAGTGATGAGGAAGACGAATGAGTTGGGTGCTTGGTGCAGACAGATTTTGTTCGCATGCAGGATATATAGTTTTATACTAAAAAGAAAACACTGAACTCATTGTGTGGCCTTTTTTTGCGTTGTAGCAGTAGCATTGTGAGAAGCAATGATGGGGCGGTGCTTAGGATACTGCGCTAATTGAGACTCGAGTTTGGCCAACTTAGCGTTGAACCCATCGAGATAGTAGTTTTGACGCTGTACGGGAAAGGCGTATAACGTGATCAAAGACAACAACCAAAGAAAGCCATGGGAAAGTGTGTTGAGCTACAAGTCTCAAATTCTTGAAAAGCTCATATAGATGTGCGACGTTTCTCTCCGTCACTCAAGTAATAGAATGGCCAGATTGTAGTTGATCCAGTTTGCGATCTTTCAGGGTCACATGATCTATATGATACTTATGTTGTCACGCTAAGACAAAAGTGATAAAGCACAGATGACGGGAAACCGAAGTACATCCGTTTTTACCGAGAGTGCTTAAATTCAGGTTTGAAATACACATGAATTCTCAGTTTCTTTTACCGGGCTTTTCAATTGCGGAATATATTTGCTTTGTAACGTTCTAAAATATTTCCTTCAGAAGCCCTGGTTGTGCAAGAAAATTAGTAAAACTGCAGTCAAAAAATATATGAAAAAATGCAGAATAACATATTTGGTCACCATAGGATTTTATACAAGAGAGCGGAGTTTCTCGATCTCTTCCTCAACAGGGACGGGGATCTGCTTTTCATGACGCTCCACCGCCAATAAACATTTTATCATTTGCGTAGATCACTTTGTACTAACCTGACATCTGATTCACCGAGTGGTAAATTCAGCTTGAGTCGCAACGAGCGTGAAAAGCCTTTTAATAGCCAATTTGTGATGTTTTGGGTGAGTCTTGGCCTTTACTTGTTATCTAAATTTATTATTATTCAACTGTGGAAATTGTTTGTTTTTTACGCAAATCACTCGCAGCAAATTGTAAAATGCGAGTCTTGCAAGCTGTTTGAAAGAGCTTTGAGAACACAAGGCTACAAAAATTCCAACATCAATCAATCAAAGCTCATTCAAATGCTTATAGAATGCATTGTTTATGCATCAGCTATATACAATTTGATGTCACGTGATATGTTCTCGAGAATACGTAAACAAGTTCTCTCGAAGACAACACAGCCGCAAGCCAGTTCCCAAGAGCCTATTCGCAGTATTATAATCTTTGGTAGCTTTCACGGAACTTTCTAATCTGTTTTCGCAGTTTTGGTTCAAATTCTCTTCTACAGGACACGAGTACAAAAGTACTCACCGTTGACTAGATTGATTACCTGGCATCTCTGCTCGATGAATAGCATTTAAACGCATCTACCTACAGAACACATCTGCCAACAGATTCTACTGCAAGCTTCCAATTGTAGCTGTAACTCCTGTATTATTTTTCAGCTCATGCCGTTCTCCTGGTGTAGAATTATCGGTCTTCTGTCGGTTTGTTTGCTTGCACTAGTGACGGCACAAGATTATTACGGTATTTTGGGTGTTGCAAAGGATGCATCCGACAAAGATATCAAGTCTGCGTATCGACAGCTATCCAAGAAGTATCATCCAGATAAAAATCCTGGAGATGAGGATGCTCATCACAAATTTATCGAGGTTGGTGAGGCATATGAGGTGTTGAGCGACGATCAAAAACGTCAAGTGTACGATCGCTACGGAGCCGATGCGTTGAAAAACGGAGGCAATGGAGGCCCGGGAGGACCAGGAGGACCTCATGGTGGATTTGGGGGTGGTTTTGGAGATCCCATGGATATGTTTGAGCAAATGTTTGGAGGTGCCCATCGTGGCGGACATAGAGGCAGACCTCGTGGCCATAACCTGGAGGCAAGAGAAGAACTTACTCTAAAAGAATACTATCACGGCACTACCTTAGATTTCACATTGAACTTGAACGATTTTTGCGATCATTGCCATGGATCTGGTTCTCAAGATGGTAAAACAACGCAATGTGGACAATGTCAGGGCCAGGGTGTGGTTATCCAAGTGGTAAGAATGGGGCCCATCACGCAGAAGCTTCAGCAAATCTGTGGTGCATGCCAAGGCAAAGGCAACATCATTAAAAACAAATGTCGCACATGCAAAGGCGCAAAAGTTGAGAGAAAAGCCAAACCGTTCCATGTTGACGTGCCTGCTGGTGCACCTAGGGATTTCGTGGATGTCAAAACTGGCGAAGCTGACAAGGGACCCGACTTTGACTCTGGAGACGTTTTTATCAAGTTTACGGAATCATCCAGAAACAATATGGGCTACAGAAGACGCGGTGCACATTTATACAGAACTGAGGCATTGAGCTTGGAAGAAGCACTCAAAGGCGGATGGAACAGAAATATTGAGTTTTTCGACAAGAACAAGAAGGTCAACTTGTCTCGTAAAGCTGGCGTTCCGGTAAGACATGGAGAAGTCGAACGTATACCGCACTTTGGTATGCCAATACCAGGCAAAGCCAACACTTTTGGTGACCTTTTCGTGGATTACGTGGTCATCATGCCAACCAAAGTGGCAGACCAACTGATAAAAGACGAATTGTAAGTTTTCGCCCACACGCATCACTTGATCAACGTATTCTATTCAGCATTTACATAGATCGCCTTTTCAAGATTTCATTTACTTCCATAAGAGCAGCGAAGTTGCATTAACTTTCACTTCTACTTTAAGACTGAAAAGATTGTCGCAAGAATCATGACCAACTATATCAGATTGTTTAGCAACAGAGAGAGAAAAGTCTCTCCGTCAATTTCAACAGCTGGAGATACATCTTAAACCATTTTTCTTCCATGCGTCGTAGTTAAAAACCACTGATCATATCAGCATCGAAAATGTGACCTATAATGTCGCCACATTGACGCCAGTGGAACGCATGGGTTAAAAGATGGCCTTTTAAAAAACAGGAAGCTGAAAAAGTGATGTAAAAGAGATTAAAATGATGTGATCAAAATGAGTCTTTATATACTAGTTAAAGGTCACTTTACACGAAGAGAATACCACAAGACCTCATTGTTCGGCAGTAGAGCTCTGGTAAGAGCTCTACCAGATCTTCATGGGCTTCGGTTTTCCTTCTCTTGAGATAGTCTTAGTTCTGACTCTCCTGCTTTGTCTCTTCTTGAATTTCGAAAACGTAGTTCTAGTCGTCGTCATACGTTTTGAGCTATTAAGGCCAATGCCAGTACCAATAGAGAAGAATACACCAACTGTTCTTCACTGTCCATTTCATTCAGACTTCGAGCTTGTTGGGCATGCTCGTCTATTACCGTATATTATCGGCTTTTATACGTTATACATCTTCCAATACATAACAGTAGTGGCTCCATAATTAGCTGCCAGTATGCATACACTTCACTTTCTATCAAACGCTATGTGGGTGTCGTCGCTTCGAAAATTCGTAGTCCCGCTACCTTTTCCTGTTTTGGTGTGGACTGCTGATTTCAGAATGACTTGGATCCTTTCGCTTTCAAAAAGGACTCGGTTTTGGATCTCTGCAGTCTATACCAATAACTTAATGCGACGTCGGCAGCCACGTATCCCATGGCAAGCACTGAAAGATTTCTGGGAGTAGAAGCAACTTTGATAGTTTTGATCATTGGGTTTGGTGCTGATGGTAGTTGGCCATTCATAGGCGCGCCCAAACCCAAAGTAAGGTCGATAGCAAGCCCGCTCTTTTATAATTCGAAAATGCCAGCTCAAAGAGCGCTAAACGCATTTCGATCGAAAAAATTTGAAGTCTCTTGGGCGTTTTAACAAATCACCTCAATGTCCAAATGCCACCTTATTCTCGCCAAACATAGTCGGAACGAGATCAGTTGATTTTTTCCAACTTCTTGTTAAGTCCGAGGTTACTATGAGTTCAGTGGTCGAGAATCTGCCATCGGCGGAATGTGATCTGCAACATGCGTCTCTTCTCCGCTTATGCTATCCTTTTTTTAAGCCATGAAGACAGAAGAAACTTAAACGAAGGACTGAACTAGACCATCTCGAAAAAAAAAATAGTTGCATCCCAATAAGTGAAAACGTGAAAGTCAAAATACGTCAGACTTTAACGTACGTAACGCGCTTCGGACGAAGTCCACCTGTAGAGTCTGTCGTTGGGTCTCGAACATCTTGCAAATGACTTCTGTGGAAGAAAAAACTCGTGAAAATCTTGAGAGCTTTTCGATTCATCTCTTTGGATGGTGCCTTGTTTCTTAGTGTCTTGGATGCCCTGCGACTTCTCGCGACCAGCCGGGAATGTCTGCACCACTACCGTACAGTTGTCGCTCGCTCATTTGCACGCCTTCAAGGCCCACTGTGTCGTTCAACCAAGGATGGTTTACCATTCCACCTGCATCGGCCCTTTCGTTAGGATTGAGTCGGAGCATAGGTAGCAGGAAGTCCGATATACTCTGTGCTTCTTCGTCAGGAAACTTGTACTTTTCACGCAAGACGTCCTTCAATGGCCAAAACTTCAATTTGGAGATGTTTCTCAATTGGCCCCGGGAGTTGAAAAAAGTACGAGCGTGGCGGCCAGTCCGCAATAAATGGGACGGTATTTCGCCAAGCAATTCCACAATCTGCGCTATGTGGTCGTCATCTTTACTGTAAGAATGCCCTTCATCAGGCTCAAAGAGAAAATCTCCTGTCAAAAGCTCAAAAATGAGACACGCAGCAGACCATATATCGGCGCTAGCTCCCCATTCACACCCAATAATGACTTCTGGTGAGCGATATTCGCGCGTTTGGATTGAATTTGTGTAGTGCTCGTCAAACCAGCAAGCATTTCCAAGATCTGCTATTTTCACTTGAATTACGTCAGAGTCCGGACGCAGCTCCTCCTCCGTTCGGTCATCCGTGACGTTTGAAATTTCCATTGAAGAAAGTGAGTTGGTGACCTGCTCTTCTTCGCCACCAGATACATTATTCTTTGGAGTGGTGGGCATCGGTCTGGGTAGCGATTGACCCATCATTTGAGCCTTTATCTCAAAAAAGTTTGTGGAGCTTAGAGGTGAGGGAAGAGGCTGTGATCCAGTAATCAGTGTGTGTCTTCTGAGTCTACGACCACTTAACCTTTCTCGAGATCCCGATGTGCTGCTCCTGGACGATACTGTGGCTGAGGGCGTTTCGATAGATGATTTTGTCGCGCGCCTGTGAACTTTTCTTTGATCTCTTTTCTGTTTGTCTAGAAGTTCGACCATTTTCACTATCGCTTCCACATCACCAACCTCCATTAAAACGTTTTCTGGTTTAATATCCGTGTGAATCACACCGCATTTTCTATGCATGTAGTCAAGACCAAGTAGCAGCTGTTTTGCAATCTGCTTCACGTACATTGTAGGAATACCGCGATGCTCGTACTTTTTAATCAACGCCAACAGGTTTTCTCCCAAGACTTCAAACACCATCACTACGTGCTTCCCATTAGGGCCAGTGTGGGTGAAATTATCAGAGAGACTGAGAATATGTTTGGAAGCGTCACCACAACCTTCGAGGAACCCGTCGCCGGTGCTGACCCGTTTTAAAAGTTTGATTTCGTCCAACGCGGCTTCTGTGTAGACTTTGTCACTACGTACCACTTTCATGGCGACGTGTGCGTTGCTGATGGTATCCTTGGCGAGCCAAACAGTCGAAAAATGACCCCATCCCAGCTTACGGACCAAAATGTATCGACCGTTGTTATACATTTCCCCCCGGAACGCAGGATGGTAGCCACCAGGTTTATAGTCTATCAGACTTTCTTCATTTTTCTCGTCACACGACGAATAGTCTGAATCAGAATCCGGTCCATCATCGTGTCCTTTATGAACCGAAAGTTCGGGACTTTCTTCTTCGTCATCTTTCTGAATTTGCAAGGCCAGCGAAAGCTTCGATTTTGCGGCCCCTTGCTTGGTCTTCACGTTTTCCCTATGGAAAACAGGGTTGGACATAGCCGACTGGTTAGGTTTACTGACAAACCCTGGATAATTGATTGATGACCCCATATGCAAACAACTCGACAACTCAACTTTTGCTAGTCAGTTTTTCCACCCTCCAGACCCAATGTTTATCACTGATGTCTTCCAAGTTTCTCGACGAATCAATAAATAATCCAAGCTGCAAGACAACACCAAATCCTCTTTTAAAAGCCAGATTTTTCAGCTTATAAGTTGGACTAAGCTTTAGAATGTGCAGAACACCTTCAGAGTCTTCAAAACGCGGTCTTGACGTGCTTTTCTTCCTCTTGAACTGTATATTCTTTCAGTTTAAATAAGAGTTCATGCATTAATAGTTGTATTTTCCTACATACTAAAAACAAATGTGCCAGCGTACGAGACGGTAAAGTTTCGAATCAGAGAATCCAAGAGAGCCATTAGTTCCGCAGGGATGAGGCATTGTTGGATTGATCTGCGCTAGTCTCCGACCTTTTCCTTGAAACTGGCTTTGAGCCTTCTAATCTTTATTCTCCGATAATATTTGACAACATAACGTAGTTCCGAGATCTGAATTTGATGAAGGAATCAAACAAATGTCTGGATCATCAAGACAGTGTGAATGGGCTTTTGGATGTTGATTTTGTTTTGTTTTTTTGGATATCTTGACACTGAAGGCCAAGTTTGTCTAATCATTGTTGTTCGAGTTGTCATCTGTTCTGCGTAAATCGTTGTTCTTTGAGTGTAATAAAAATCACTTAAAGAACTCAAATTTATTGGGCTGAAGGCTCTGAGTTTTTAGTGGTGTCATTTTCCAGTGGCTCACTTGACAAATGCTCCGAACTATTCGTGGCATCATTCGTTGGTGTTTTGCTCGACAAAACTTGTGAGTTGTTGTTAGTGACACTTGCTGATGCTTCGCTGCCGCTGTTAGAGACCGGCGCGTGGCCTGTCCCAGCAGTTTTAGACGCACTAGACTCTGTGGGTGCCGCAACAACTTCCGTAGCACTCTTCGTCCCGTCAGTTGAACTTTCCAACTGTGCATTGGGCAAATCTGCAGGCGCCGGAGGAGGTGGCAAGGACGTCGTGTTCTCTTGGGAGGTGCCTTGGGGCAATGTTTGAGGGGTTTCCGCGTGTGGTTTTTCATCGCCATACATGTCCACATCGAGGTTAGGGCGGGATTGTTCTTCTGGCTTCTGTTTCTCGTATGCGCCTTCGTATCTTGGTTTCTTCAAAGCCGCTGCATTGTTGTGCAAAACATCTTGGTATGGAGCAGGCCCATCATCTGCCCGCACCCTTGCGGGTGATAGCTCGCGCCTTAACACAGCGTGATCCGGTCTTTGGTAGCCTCTTGGTCCTCGATGGCCGAAGGAGCCTCTGGTATTCCCGTAATGCATATCTTCTGCACCCGGTCTTTGGCGCCGAAAATCATCGCGCGAACGTTCTCTGTAGTCGTCCTGCGGCTCATATTGATCGTCTCTACCCTCGTCAGGTCTAAAACCTCTAGGCCCTCTTGGATAGTCCGATGCACGACGATAGTCTCCCCGAGATGGCTCTCCGTGTCTATGGTGACGATCTGGCGCCCCTGAAAACCGCGAAGGACGGGCCTCTGAGCGTGCCAATTGGACTGTAAGTAATGAATGTGGGTCGAATGACAGAGGTCTTTGATTAAGCTGATGGAGCGCATCTTGGGCTTCTTCTGGAGTTTCATACTCGACGAAGGCGTACGGTCTAACAAATTCTGATCTTGCTGGAGGCATTTCTATTCTTACGACTCTGCCAACACTTATCAACGCGGGATTCCCTTGTCAGTTTTCTTGTTTTTTGTAAAGACAAAATGGAGACAGTGCTTGTTGCACTATGTAACGCTTTAGCACATACCTTTCAAAATCCGGAGCCAAATCTCTGGTTCTGACCCCGCGGGGGAAGCCACTGACATGTAAAGTGGACCCAATGGCCATCTTATGGTGTGTTTGCTGGTGAGTTGATCTTGAGATCTTGACCTGGAGGTTCATTTCATTTAAAGCTAGTGCATTTAAATTAACTATGTAATATACTGGCCATATCACTTTTTCATTCAGTGACTTTCATGTTAAGCAGCACGCTAAACTCTGTCACCGTACATTTCTAAACAAGTAAAGATCATATTTTATACCGCTGATATGATAACATGCTGATTCGGTCAGAAGCGCTGATATTTTGACTCGAAAAGAATTTTTTTGTTTATTTGGAAGCATCAGAAAGCTCTAGAGAGATGTCGTAACAAACTGGAAATAAAAAAGGTATTTGAACGGGACTGTTCTCCACAGCAGCACTTATATGGTTTTTAATATAGGTTTTGTCGATACCGAAACCGCCAAAATCATGGAATGCTGTATTTCACGACCAAATGTCTTGGGCTTTTTTCTTCGTTAGCCTATTTCCTGACATTTTGAACTATGAGTAAGTAGTGGAAAAAGAGTTGATCATGGAAGGAAAGGGAGAAGAGCCAGGAAAGGAGGGGAAAAGAAGCGAACTTGGCTTGAGTGTAGGATGTTGCATTTCGAATTGCATTCCAATTCAAAAAAAATTCTAATATCGTGATCGGTGGCTCGGTCTGCTGGTTTTATTATGTTGGAAATTAGTTTGCGACAGAATCATAAAGAAGAGCGTTATTTTTGAATTAGGAAAGGTGTGTGTGAGCAAGAGAGAGAGAGCGAGAGAGAGATTGCATATATGTAAGCACAAAGTGCTTCTTTCCGCATTATTTTGTATATGGGTTTGTAATAGAAACGTCCTGAGGAAGATAATGTATTCACATATCACTAATTACTCCCATCGTCGCTGTCGTTGACCGCCGGGTGATCACGTGCCTCTGGTAAGAGTAGAAACTAGCTAACGCATTCCACTCTTAATGAGCTCTACCACCTCATTCCAGGCATCCATAATTCACACAGTAAAAAAGCCAGCACAAGGTACATATTCGTCCTCGCAAGTGCTTATTTTATTTTAATTTATCGTTTGGTCACTATATACGATGGTGTCGCGCCAACTATCTACGAAATTAAGCTCAGGTTTTACATCTCGTAAAGAGGCGCATGTACATACCTCATCTCTTCCCTATTCAACCGCATTTTCTGTCATGCGATAGCTGCTTCAAGTCCGATATATTTTTCATGCACTAATTTAACATGCTCGCCGTGCGCCTACAAACATAATGCAAGATCGGTATGTAAAAAAAGCTTATTTTCAGCTCTTTAAGCAGTATCCAAAAAAAGTTCTGATCACCGGCTTAATCTGTTCTTGAATATATCTGACTCTATCATCGCTGGTTTTGACTCATAGACCTCCTCTAAAATATATTAATTTCACAGTCTTATCAAAAAGCACTTTACACGGCTCATCGAAAATTTTCATTAAAGAACCCAAAAAAATCACATTCCAATAGGAATCCAAATATTTGTAGTCGAGTTCTAGCATTTTAAACAAGTTTCCTCCTTCTGGGTTTGTTGCTGGAAATAGCTCTCATTTCGTGGTTGATTGAGCTGCCGTTTTTCTTTCTCTTTCCTACGATTTTTTTTGGCTCAAAACTAGACATATACATTGCGCGATGAGCTCGACAGTTGAACAGGTTTCCAGTGTTTTCGACACCATTTTGGTGTTGGATTTCGGTTCTCAGTACTCCCACTTGATTACCAGAAGACTCAGAGAGTTTAATGTGTACGCAGAAATGCTGCCATGCACTCAAAAAATCTCCGAACTTGGCTGGAAGCCAACTGGTGTGATCTTGTCTGGTGGTCCATACTCGGTTTACGCTGAGGATGCACCACACGTCGATCTAGATGTGTTCAAATTGGATGTCCCCATTCTAGGTATTTGCTACGGTATGCAGGAATTGGCGTGGCTCAACGGTAAGCAAGTGGCTCGTGGTGAGAAACGTGAATACGGCCCAGCTACTTTGAACGTCAAGGATGCCTCAAGTCCTCTTTTCCAAGGCATGGACCACTCCCGTGTGTGGATGTCTCACGGTGATAAGCTTCACGGCCTGCCAACCGGCTTCGAAGTCATCGCCACTTCTGACAACTCGCCATACTGTGGTGTGGCCCACAAGGAAAAGCCAATCTACGGTATTCAGTTTCACCCAGAGGTGACCCACTCCACCCAGGGAAAGACTTTGCTCAAGAACTTTGCCGTCAACATTTGCAAGGCCAACCAGAACTGGACTATGGAGAACTTCATCGACACCGAGATCAAGCGCATCAGAGAGCTCGTGGGACCCACTGCAGAGGTCATTGGTGCCGTTTCCGGTGGGGTTGACTCTACTGTTGCCGCCAAGCTAATGACTGAAGCCATTGGCGAGCGTTTCCACGCTATTTTGGTCGACAACGGTGTTTTGAGACTCAACGAGGCCGCCAACGTCAAGAAGATTCTTGGTGAAGGTTTAGGTATCAACCTAACTGTTATTGACGCTGCTGATGAGTTTTTGGACAAATTGAAGGGTGTGACCGATCCTGAAAAGAAGCGTAAGATCATCGGTAACACTTTCATTCACGTTTTTGAAAGAGAAGCTGCCAGAATCCAGCCAAAGGGCGGTGACGAAATCGAATTTTTGTTGCAAGGAACTCTATACCCAGATGTCATTGAGTCCATTTCTTTCAAGGGTCCATCTCAGACCATCAAGACCCACCACAATGTAGGTGGTCTCTTGGAGGACATGAAATTGAAGTTGATCGAGCCTTTGAGAGAATTGTTCAAAGATGAAGTCAGACACCTGGGTGAACTGCTTGGAATTTCTCATGAGCTAGTCTGGAGACACCCCTTCCCTGGTCCAGGTATCGCCATTCGTGTCTTGGGAGAAGTCACAAGAGAGCAAGTGGCCATTGCTAGAAAGGCTGACCACATTTACATCGAAGAGATCAGAAAGGCTGGTCTTTACAACAAAATTTCTCAGGCTTTCGCCTGTCTCTTGCCTGTCAAGTCCGTCGGTGTGATGGGTGACCAGAGAACCTACGAACAAGTCATTGCTCTAAGAGCTATCGAAACTACCGATTTCATGACTGCTGACTGGTTCCCCTTCGAGCACGACTTTTTGAAGAAGGTGGCCTCCAGAATCGTTAACGAAGTTGACGGTGTTGCAAGAGTGACCTACGATATCACTTCGAAGCCACCAGCTACTGTGGAATGGGAGTAAGTAGTATTGTATCATACATAATTCATAGAATTTCTCATCCGACTAGGATTCACTTAATAAAAGAAGAAAGCTTATACAGATCTTGCACACTATTGATCACCTCGAGTTTTGGTCGACGTTGAGCTTACGATGAGCCCATCTAAGATTGTTCTTCTGAAAAACAAAACTACTCCTATTGATCCTTACGAGGTGAACCTCAAGCAAGAGGAGTTTGATCCAGTTTTTGTTCCATTAATTCAACATCAGCATCTTCCCACAGAATGTTTAAGTCTTCTGAGAGATGAAAAGTATCTGCTACGACTTGAAATTATTGTGATAAGCTCCCAGCGTACCGTGGAATGTCTGAATGAGTCAATCATCCCGAAGCTTTCAGACTCTCAAAGATGCCAGTTGCTGAGCAAGGTTGTCTACACAGTTGGACCTGCAACCGCTAATTTCCTGGAAAGATGTGGGTTCGAAAATATAAGAGGTGGAAAAGATGCTGGTAATGGGAGCATTCTAGCTGATCTGATCATTTCAGATTTGAGTAGCAAGAGCGTTCAATTGAGCCAACTTCCAAAACCTTTACTACTCGTGGGCGAAACGAGAAGAGACATTGTTCCCAAAAAACTAGCATCAATTGGTATAGAATCGCAGGAAGTTGTGACATATAAAACCAAGGAAAAAGATGACAACTTGACGCGGTTCAAATCACTTTTTGTTCCGCAGTGCTGGGTTGTCTTCTTCAGTCCGCAGGGCACTGAAGAAATCATCGAATATCTAAGGAACGAAAAAGTCAAGATTGCAAGCATAGGCCCTACTACTGATGAATTTTTGAGCTCTCACAACGTGCGCTCCCAGGTGGTGAGCAGTAAGCCTGAGCCCAACGCCCTGATCAAAGCATTGAAAGAATTTGAAAAAACATTGCAAGCTTGAAGAAAAAGGCATACATATTATTTATCAAAGTACCAACGTAACTTCGTTAGAGTTGCAATAGTTTACTTCTGAAATCTTCCGACCGTTTTCTGTTATTTCGATTTTTGGGTACTTGAGATAACCTCTTCGAAGCGGAATCATATTGATCGTGTGCGCATCACTTTCTCCTTCTATACTAAACCTTCTCTTTCCATCAATAAGCCATTCGCTGGAGTTAAAAAGCTCGAGGATGTGATTGTTGGCCTTGCTAGATGTTGTTTGCCAATCAACTGCAGCGTCTTTGACGGATAGTGAAAAGGACATTACCTGGCCCAATTCCAATGTCAACCCTGGGCCTTTCTCACACTTCAAATTCACCGAAAAGAAATGGCTCAATCGAGGAAGAGTTACGGGAACCAAAAGCATAGAAGGTACCAGGTCCTTGGTATACTCATCGATTTCGAGACGGGAAAATTGGAAACCTTTTTGGATTGCCTGTAGGCACTTCGTTGATGCTTCAAGGAACTGCACGTCGTGTATTCTAGAATTCAAGAGTAGGTTTAAGTCGTTCACATAGGACTCGTCTGAAACAAGCTTCAATGAAAAGGTACTCTCAAACAACGAATAGTCATATACCAATCTTGTGAGGATCATGGAGTTCCAGGTATCACGATATGACTCCATCTTTGAGGCGAGCTGCGGGTTTCCTTGAATCAATATCGCATTGGTCACCAAGTGATCCAATTGGTCTTTGAGTGTATTGAAGGCCACGTTCAGATGAAATAGGTCTTCGCTTGCAAATCGTTCTGAAGGTTTGGTTGAAACCTGGAAAAAGGAATAGCAAGTGTCACTTTCGCCATTTTTGACCAGCAAAGAACATTTTGGTATGAATCCTCCGCTGATACTGTACTTTTCCGGTCTCAATGATGAAAGACTTGATTTATGCAGTAAGATTGGCTCCGTGGGTGATGAAGAGTTGATCAAAAACTTGAAGTAGAACATGCCATCCAAGACAATATCCTCGACAGAAACACTAACAGGCAAAGTGGACTTGATGTCCTTTACATCCCGTTGGTAAAAATCCTTGTCGGGGTAGTCGCTCATTTTGAAAGCAAGCTCCTGTTTGAGTTGGAAATCGCCCGACGGGAGTCCAAATAAATCCACATTAGATATGCCAAAGCCTTCAATTTCTTTAGAAAGTTGACGACCATCTTTGTCGAATGATAACGGGGCTTTTGAACTTATCTCAATGGCTGTCAGAGTTAATTTGAATTTCTCTACTCTTTCATTGTTGAAGTATTTCAAGTTGATTGAGGTTTTCCCAATCTCAAATTTGTTTGACGGGGCTGCAATTATCTCAAAATTTCGAGCCTCTATGGGACGCTCAAGCTCGGTGACTCGCCCGTCATCGGGACTGAACTCTTGGCAAAAAATTGTTTTTCCCACGGTGCACGTTAAACTAACAATTTTCACAATACCGAAGTAAATTCTTGTGCATTCCAAGAAAACTGCATTCTCACCAGGTTTTACAGTGACATCTTGCAAATCAAACTCTAATATATTGTCATCGCTGCTTTTGAAACGTAGTTGCATCTTTCTTACCTCCACAGATTTTGGTATCTTATCGTTAGTTATTTTGACCTTCAAGCCAAAATGATTGGGTCGTGTCACAATTAGTTTCCCCTGAATATCGAAGTCGAATAGGTTGGTCAGTGGATAAATTAGACTCCCATCACATCCTTCATTTATTTCGATGAATCGATCCCACCAGTAGCTCTTAAGGTCATCAGTTTTGACAGAAGTCAGTAAATCTAATATTGAGTTGCTCAAGACAGTGGGGGCTGGAACGTTCTCGTCACCTATGGCAAGTGTTTCCACCTCGGGACATTTTATCAAGCAATCGATGAAACATTCTAACAAATGGTAAGCCAAGAGGTTCCAACTAGACCCCTTGTAATATTCATGACACGGGTGTAGAATGCTAATGGCCATATGATACTCTTCACGTTGATAGTGCAGAAGTCCAAGTTCGACAGAAAGAAGGTCGACCGTTCGATACTTCTTAGAATTGTGACCGTTCAATAAGGTGATAATTTCTTTTGTTGCAAAGAAATAGCTTTTGTGGAAAGTCTCTTCGTCCCTGAATGTCGCATTCAAACTTTCCAACTGCGTCTTGCTTCCTCCGGCTGGATAAGTTCGATGTAGTAGTTTAAAACCCTTTGAAGCGTATGCCAAATCTATCCAACAGTCTCGTTGAAGTATTTTAAGATCGGCCACAATCTCGCGGTAGCTGTGTGACTCTGCGGAATCGAAAATACTGCTTTCCAGCAAAGATGCCACAAATGACCATTTGAAATTGTTGAGCAAAGGCGAACCTCTGAAATGTCTACCGATTGTCTTTAAAAAAGATTTGGTTAGCTGATAAAGACGCGCATTTCTTGCGGCCTGTGCATGAGTGCTTTGAATGAGCTCACACTGTTTTAGGAAAAAAAACTTATTGAGCCCGAAGGTGGTGCTGTACTTCTGATTATCAAGATCCATTTTGAATGAGTTGCTTCTGGCCCTTTCATCATTTGGTGAAATTTGGAAAGGAATCTCCAATTCGCCGGTGGGCGATGCTGCGGCCATGTTTTGAAAAAGCGTGTGTTTAAGACTTTCCAGCTCTCGGGAAGCCTCGTCATTGAGATGAAAGCTCAAAAATAGATTCAGTATATTTTCTTGTATCGCAGCCAGTTGACCCGTTTCACCAGTTGCGATGCTGCTGCGTTGGGTTTCCAAATAAGCGAGCCGTTGCTCGAAAACCTCCATTGTATAACGACGTAAACGATTCAGCGTCCCGTTCCAAAAGTCCATCTTCTCTTTTTCAGATTTGTAAATGGTCTTGATCTCAATGGCAGTGAGAAATGGGAAGTCTTTACTAAACTTCTCAGAAAACATAAATGTTTTGAAGATATTGCTTCCTGAAACACTGGAATTTGTGTGTATCAATGCAATTCTTTTCACCGGCATGCCGTGAGAGCTATCTTCATCCCCAGTCCCGTTGGATGGAGGGAGCCACTGTCTCACCAATGGGCGTATTTTCGCCCTGTAATCATCGATGGATGTGCAATTTATCACCAAAAATAGTATGAGCGGTTGCTTGCTGCAGTCAGATCCTGATTTTTCGTCTGTTTCTCTCACTAATCCCACCGGAAGACTCGAAATTGTCCGTAAGCTCTCATTCACTGGCTTCCAATGTAGACTTTTGAACGGAAGTCTATCTTCCAATTCCTTTCGAATGCTTTCGAAAACATCGAATGGGTCAAAGTAACTGAATTTAATCAAATTTTGGCTTATACTGACGTCCATATATTTATATATGGCCGCTGTCGAGACTCCAACACTGTTCTTACTCTGATTCCTGACTGTACCTTTAGGAAGTTTCTGTATAATAAATCTGATAAATTAAATGGGAATGTTGATTTTGATGAACTTCGACCCAGACGCTCGAAGTTCGAGCTCTATAGCACTGAAATGGAGCCCAAAGAACGGCATTCTCTCCAGAATGAGAAGCGTCAACAGTATACCACACCTCAGGCAACTTTGGTGCCAAGAAAACGCTTCGTTCGGTACAATTCTGTGCTTAGAAGAAGAGGACCTTTGAGTAACGATCGCTTACTGGAAAAGAGAGTTTTAAAGCCCAATAAAGCTAGTTTAGCTACGCCAGATAGTATAGAAACGTTGCAATGGGCTCAGAAGTTCATCACAAAGGGCCGAAGTTTGTTGAAGTCGGTTAAGAATGAGGATTTGCAATTTCAAAGGGAACTTGAGCAAAACGAGATGCGCACGAAAGCGCATGAAAGATATGTAGCTGGTCTTTTGCAAGAAGTGGACACCGAAAATTCACATGTTTTGGAAGACGGTGATCGTTTTGCAGACTCTCAACGCTACGGAACCGATACGTCCTTTAAAAACTACGACGAGACAATAAATGCCAGCCTAGCTTTCACGGACCTTGCAGCATCCGATAGCTACTCTGAAAAGTCACCCGAGGTACCCGAGACTTATGATACCTCTGGAGAGAGCGATGAAGTGGTAAGTCAAGAAGAAGAGGATGACTATGATGATGATGATGACGAAGACGAAGACGGGTACGCGAACAATCAACCTTATGGGTATGAGGAGCGCCAAGTATCTACCGGAGATAATGGGCCGAACGGTGAGGATGATGTTATCGAAATTCTTAGCGAAGAAGAATCAAGTGCTGAGAGGCCACTTTCTACCGCAACTCAGCTCGGAGACGAACGCGATGAAGACAGCTCCGATTTGCCAGAAGACATGGATTCAGACAATGTACAAGAGGAATTCTCTGAAGAAGACGGCAGAGGCATCTTTCACTCTGACGATGAAAACGAGGATGACGAGCTTTCTGAATCCGGTGTCCATAGCGATGAGAAAGCATCAGAACTCGATTCAGAGGCTGAAAATGCCGTCTCAGTAGACGCTTCTAGAAAGTCACAAAGCGAGGCCCTAAACCAAATTGATTCTGGCTTCAATGACGAAAAGATGGAATTAGACAACGGTGAGGAGCATGAAGAAGATTCTCTTTTCGATGGGGATGACAGAGCTGATCAAGATTCCGGTGTATTTGACAGCGGCAACCTTCCACAGGTGAATCAACACGGAATCCCACCAGCATTTGACTTTGCAAAAAACGAAAATGAAGTTGATCTGGTAAGTAGCCAAGAGGAAGGGAGCTGGTCGTCACAGGAGAGTCTACATTCTGAAGCAAGCGGAGGTTTGACCGGCGAGGAAGACACAGAAAATTCCGAAGATTTTGATGGGGAGAAACTGGGTAGACCTCAAAAAATTGTCGAGCAAGTGTCACTTGAAGCCGTAGAGGAGTCTGAAAAGGACGATGAGAATGCTTGGAATTATGACCCCAATTTAATCAAAAATCGAGAGCTGCCCGTTGGTTCTGAAGCTGCATTCGAGTTCGACTATACAAATATAGCCAGGGACGCCTTCAGTCAAAGAGACCCAGCTGACACAGCTAACACCAATGAAACAATTCTTGCATCACCAGTAATCGCAGATTCCTACAATTCCGCTGTACATCCCGAGAGTGACAACAGCCATGCGGCTAAAACTCTGGGATTTGAAAACCATCAACTTGCACATGCCGGTGACAGCGAAGGAAATGCTTCAGAGAATGAGAGCGGTAGCGTTAAGAGTGAGGCTGAGAGTAGCCACATTCTGATAGAGAGAGTTCACGAAGAGGCGGAGCATCAACTACCCCAGGACAATTTAGCGGACGATGAAAAGATTGACGCTTCAACGGAAGAAGCATCTCAACTAAACGCAGGCCAATCTTTGCAAAACCAGACCGAGGGCCAGACATTAGAATCTTTGGAGAATGTTGGCGCGGAATATTTTGCAGGTTTTGAGGGAGTTGACATGCAAAATCCACGTCAACTTGTACCGGAAGACACATCATTCCATTTCGAAAGCAATGCCAACAAAAGTGTCACTACAGCTATTGGCGATACGACTTACTATTCATGTGGAGACGAGGCCAAACCTATGTCTGTCCTACATGACCTAGACCATGCGGAAAATAAGCCTGCCAAAGGTGCTAACGGCACCAAGTACAACCTGGTATATTCAGAGTCACTTTACAGCGAATCTGAAGATGGTAATACCGAAGATCTGGCACAAGGTCATTCGACCGATTACATCTCTCCTTTTTCAAGTGATCCATTCTCAGTTAAAAATATCGATGCAGAACTCAAGATAGTAAAGGAACTTATTGGAGGGCTGAAAACTGCAAGTCGGAAAAAAGCGACGGATAAGGTGGCTGAATCAGCCGAGAATGAAGCTGTACAGGAGCCCGAGGTTCTTCTTGATGCGAGTCTGAAATCAGAAATCCCTGCAATCTTAGAAGACCTCAGTTTCAGTGCCCAGAAAAGGGATTCCAGTGAGGGGACGCACGAGCATACAAATGCTCAACGGGCGAGAGACGATACGGCCGACAGTCACGATGTAAAATTCTCACCTGGCATCGGAACCGGTGAAATCTCAGGCGAGATTTTTGACCACCTTACTGATATACAGACCGTCCACGGCGTTGAAGCGAAAAAGTCAAAAACAGAAGAAGTTTCATCAGTTGAGAAAGCTGTTATCTATGCAGAGCGTGAATGCTTTACTACGAGGCCATCAGAGGAGTCTTCGAAGCCTCGTTCAAGGGAAAGTAGTCCTCCAGTTGAGGACCAGCTGAAAGACATCGAAGACCAAGACACCATTTTAGTCGAAGAGATTTTGAATGAAAGGGAGAGCTACACCACCATCTATACAGAACCTGACGTTTCGATGGTTGAGAGCGAAAGGGAACAATCCAATTTTGCTGTGTCTAATATTTTCGAGACTTCGTCGTCCGGAGACGCGGACTCTGCTTCTCTGGATGATCTTCAGAGCCAAAGCTTGAAGGAAAGCTTGGAAGCGCATAACTTGAGGAATTCTGAGAGTGATGCGCCAGCAGACGATTTGCACGATAATGTACCAGCTGATGCTTTGCACATTGACGCGCCGGCTGGTTTGCATGGTGCAGTCCCATCAGATAGTTCGCATAGTGCTGAGTTTGATATCACGGCTTCTACAAAAATAAAGGAAGAAACACCACAACGTGCTGATGATTATAAGCCGCCAAATTCACCGAAGAGCGTTTTGTCAAACAATGAGAGATCTGAGAGCTTGGTAGTGGACGAGAAGGTTGGCATTGAAAGTGAGATTAGTGAAGATAACTCAGAAGACGCCTTGAGCTTCAAAACTCCGCGCCCTCAAGACAGTGACAAATGTTTAGAAAACTCTAATTATGAGACCTCAACAACGAGTGGTGATGGCTCTCTCAAGAGGACACGCGAAGAGGACATTGAGTATAGTCCGCGCAAAAAGCGTAGCTTCTTCCAAAATACCCTGCACTCGACGGCGGATCGGTTGATTAGAGCTAAGGCCGTTCTCATCGACATGCCCGGCAAAGTTCGGCGAATCAAAGTTGTTCCTGAAAGAACCTCCAAGCTCGCTAGGAATGCAACTGCTGTCGGTAATTATCTAGCTCAGAAGCCTCTCGCGCTCGCCACCAATTTGAAAGCGACGGTAGAGGAATTGACTGGGAGAGCTGAGCATCGTATTACAACTGGCTTAAGAAACGAAATAAGGGCTTTGAAGGCGAAGACTTACAACGACAGACTCCTGCAAAGTCTGGAGCATTTCGACTCCACTATTGATGATGGCGAGTTCAGCGGTACTAGTGACGAGAGTAGTGACGAGAGTAGTGACAGCGATGAACGTAGCGGGCGCAAGGGCGAGGTGTCAGCTAAAAACGAAGAAGAAGACAATGGCGATGATGATGATGAAAAAGAAGATGATGATGATGAAGATAATGATGATGAAGATGATGAAGATGATGATGTTGATGTTGATGACGAAAAGGGTATTTCGATTTCGAGCTCCTCGGATCAAACCGACACGAGCATGTCTGCGGGGGATCTTACGGACAGCACGTTTCGCGGTTTTGATGATTCTTTCGAGGGTTTTGGAGACGAGGGTGAGAGTAATGCGTCACCGGCCCATTCAGGTCAACCAGAAGTTTCGGATCAAGACCTATCTAAAAGCAGTGAACCTAGATCGGCCGGCGAACCTGAAGAAGAAATACTTTTAGGCGAATCAGCAAAGGAACAACAAAGTGAAGATGCTTCATCTCCGCAACACGATGAACCACGATCTGAAGACGACCTCCGTTCCACAGACTCTGACGAAAGTTCAATAGATCCTGCCACCATTGAAGTTGACATGAGCATCAATTTGATGAGCACCCCTGACGATTCTGACTATCCTCTCAGCGAAAGCATAACGAGTGACACCGATTCCAGCAGTTCGTCTGGCCCACCTCCAAATGCTCTCGCGAGACGTAAAATTCGCAAGCGTGTCAGTAAAAAAGGTCGTAAAACTCGAATTTGACGGAAATCACTCCTAAAGAATCCCAGGAAATTCAACACCTCTCGCAATCGCTGGTAGACGCTCTCTGTAGGTGCCTAGAGTCCTATTACACACTGTATGTAACAATATCTTTCTTCTTGTCGTCACTTACCAGTTTAATTGACGCTGGAATGATAAACGTCTTGATGAAAAACTGGAACTTTAAGCGATGCCCTAAGCGTTTTGAACCATTCGAGATCCAACGGGCGTTTAGACGCTGAAAGTACTGATCTCAGAACATTTAACATCTCAATTGATCACTCACATGCAGTCTTCAAGAGCTTTCAGTGCTCCTGGAAAAGCTTTACTAGTAGGTGGACATCTGGTGCTGGATCCTCAGTATGGATCCTATGTAGTGGCACTATCTTCACGAATGCATTGTGTGGTTAGCAAGCAGCCAAGTAACAATGCTGACGAATTTTCGGTAGTGATTAAGAGTGCACAATTCGACAACGATGAATGGAACTTCAGAGTCTCAAGAGACTCATGCTATAAGGTGGTTGAAAAAGACGGAAAAATGAATCCTTTTGCCAAACAAGCCGTGGAAGTTTTGGTCAATTACTGCCAACCAGATCCTAGAACTACGGAAGATTTGGTTTTGGAAGTTTATTCGGATCCTGCCTATCATTCTGCAGGTACCAGTACTCTCAAGAAAAACGAGCATAAACAATTTCGATTCCACGATAGCACGATCACCAAGGTTCCTAAAACGGGTCTAGGATCTTCCGCAGGCCTGGTGACAGTCTTAATTACATCCTTGTTGTCGGTTTTTCAACAAGATCTCGATGTGAAGTCTTCGGAGGACCAACAGATCATCCATAATTTGTCACAAGTTGCGCATTGCCAGGCCCAGGGTAAAGTTGGTAGTGGATTTGACGTGGCAGCAGCAGTTTTTGGCTCAATCAAATATCAGAGATTTGATTCCAAACTAATCGAAGATTTACCAACAGAACAGCCTTCTGAATATTCTTCAGCCATTCGTAACTTGATTAGAGTGACGGATTGGCATTTTATACATGAAAACGTCACTTTGCCCCCAGGAATCCGTATTGTCATGGGAGATGTCAGAAGTGGATCTGAGACAACTAAGCTCGTCGCTAAAGTCAAGGCCTGGTACCAGCAAAACCAGCCTCGAAGCCTAGACGTTTTTCAGAGTATCAACCGTGGAAATTTGGACTTCATTGAGGGTATTGAGAAACTGACGACTTTGTCCCAGAAGTCTCCTGAGGCTTACCAAAAGCTTCTTCAGGAACTGGATTCGGGCCTCGATTCCAGTGCAAGCGTTGAGATCAGTCAAATACGGCATACAATTACTCAAGTAAGAGATAATTTTCAGCTGATAACTCGCGAGTCTGGTGCAGATATCGAACCTTTGTCGCAGACAAGCTTGTTAGAACGCTGTTTGAAGCTCAAAGGGGTTATAACTGGCGTTGTACCAGGTGCCGGGGGATATGACGCAATTGCATTAATTGTCACTGAAACTGCCAACATTTCGAGCCAAACGTCAGGAAAAGCTGGTTTTTCTGAAGTGACTTGGTTAGATTTACACCAAGAAAATACTGGCCTTGTTGAAGAGAAGCCTTCCCATTATTTGAACCTACGGTAAGTCATGGGAGCCTCAAGATTTGATAGAGATCATGCAGTTATGATAGAGTTACACTACACCCTCAAATATGTATGCTAATTTTTGTCCGTTTGGTTAGGTTCGTTCACATAGTCCCAGTCTTTTTTCCTGACTCCTGCTAGGCCACCCTTGAAGCGTTTCATGATCCTGCGTATCTTACTATTGTGAATGAGGTCATTAATTTTGATTTGTTCTGGTGTATGCTTTATGGGGACGAATTTCTCCGGTATGAATTGATTTTTGTTTGGTAGAAGCCAGTCGGATCTTCTTACCGGGCTTATGATTTTCGGTATGATTGATTCGAAAAGATCCAGGATTTTGGGATTGGCATCTTCGAAGCCTGCTTCCTGTAGCCGACTTGCCTTTTTTTCGAGAATTTCTCGCTCTTTCGAGGACAGCCTGGATGATCTCCGTACGTTGACGTCAGTATTGTTTGAAGGTATGATGCTGCTGGCTGATGTGCTGGTATCAAAAACTCCCGTATTACTCTTTGCCGATTGAGGAGCCGGTGAAGAATTCAAAAAGATATCTGACTCAGAGAGTTCCTTTTTGACCACAGAGCTTTGTACACGCTTTGAACGCCTTTTCTCTTTGCTGCCCGTTTCGCTTTCCTGTGAAGAGTCGTCCTCGTTAGACCCATTGTCGCCATTTCTAGTGATTTTTTCGTAGTACACACCCGTACTTCTGGTTCGGTTTTCACCGATTCCTACTCTGCCACTAGCCGAAACACCTTTTCTGAATTTCTTCAACACAAAATAGTCTTCGTATGCTTCGAATTCAAGAGGATTTATGCATTTTCTTAATTCCTGAGTTTCCTCAAAAATCTGACGCCTGCGTTTTTTGTTGAATGCCATTTTCTCTTCTATGCTCAAATCTGAATAGCTGCTACGCGATTCCGGATTGGTAAATTCAGTAACGTTTCCCCATTGGTTGAAGACCAACAATTCGTCAGGTTTACCCAAATCAATAGATTCTCTTTTTACCGAATTTTTGGTAGCCTCTGGTGAGGCCAATGGATCATCCAATAAATTCATTATAGTAATCGCAGGCCGGGAAAACGACTACAATATCGTTGAAGCAATATAAAAGCTTCTTATGATGCGATATCGATAGAGACAGTTTCTCAATCGATAGCCATCAAGCTCTTTAAAGTTCAAATTTTTTGATATAAAATATACTTTATGACCCTCTGCGAAAAAGTGATAACTATCTCGAATACCAACGACACGCTGTATAAAATGTATGTAACAGTTATCTCAAGCCCGAATCTTTATATACTTCCGTAGGGAGCCTCTGCATCAGCAGAAGTTTCTTGAACTGGCTCTTCGGTAGCCATGATCTGTTCTAAAGCCCGAATCTTCTTGTCACGATTTTGGCTTTCCTTGAATAAAAATGTAATTAGTGTCGTCGCCGACAATGCCGTTAAAGACACCAAAATCAGGTTCACTGGGGTCGGGTTCATGTTGAATCTTGTATGAGTCAACTTGTCCAAATAGCTTTGGCCCATGTTGAAAATACCCGACAAACACATGAGCAAACCGTAAACTGTTCCGAACGTCTCGAAACCGAATACTTTGGCACTGTAGTCAGACACCACAGTGTAGTAGAAAGGCCTGTATGCCACGAGCATTAGTACACCGACCAGATTCAGAATAAAGGAGGGGAAAAGGCCAAGAACTCCAATGGTGAGTGAGATGGACGCAACAGAGATTATGGCTGTAATAACAGAACAATTGTCTAGCACAAGTCCAATGAAAGGTATTGAAACTATTCCACCAACGGGGAGCGCGATATCAAAAATGGCGTTGAATTTCAAAGCCAGGGCGGCGTCGCCCAGCAGGTACTCTTCCTGCGATCTTACTGTTGCGACAAAATAGTTGATTCTCAACATGCAGATAATCACAAAGACCAGCATCAATCCGAACCATGGACTCTTGATTTGTTCAAAAGCTGAGTGGCCATGCATCGCTCCGAAAATTCCACTAGTTTTCTTCTCAAGCTTCGCCTCCACATAATTTTCCCACATCGACCTCCGGCGAGAGCTAGATGACAGGACAGGATGAATGCCCGAAGAATGGTTGGACATAAGTGATTGTCTTTCGGTAGCATCTGGGATGATACGAGATCCATCCTCGCCTTCTGGAAGGGATCCATCCATGTTGAGGCCCTCTACCTCCATTTTTTCGATGGCTCCAAGGGTCTTGTAGGATTCGCTAGGCATGACGAATAGTTGACACACAAAGATAAATACGGGGACAATCAGGTACCCTGTGAAGAATTTCTTGAGTGTCAAGTCAGGCAGCCATCTTTGATAAACAATCCTGTAAAACAAGAAAAGAGCAGATGAGGAGTCGAATGCACCAGTTAAAAGCGCCAAAATGGTCCCGGATCTGCTAGGGAAACTGTTGGCCAGCTGGAAAGTAGAAATGAACACAAAGGGCCCGCCAATGGCAAGAAGAACATAGCCTGTGATGTAGGGGTCCAAGAATGAGCTCAATTTTGAGCTCCAAGCAAGACTTAAGGCTCCAAGGGCCAATGCAATAGAGCCAACAAAGCCACACACCCGTGGTCCCTTTACGTCCAGCACGTACCCGACCAAAAGTGCTGCCACATTGGTGGTTCCCGCTCCCAACGTGAACATCATGTTAAGCTTCAAATCCTGAGCAGTGCAGGGCTTGAGCTGGCTTTCCTCGAGCCTTAGAGATGTCAAAGCATTTTCCACAGATTTAGCGGTCAAGTTGGAGCTCAAACAAAGTTCCGAGTAGACTCCCTGGTCGATCAAAATAGGTTTTAATGCAGCGAACCCAAAAACGATGCCTGCAGCGAATAAGCACCAAAAAATGGCACAAGCGACCTGAACAAATTGCAGCGAGACCTTGTACATTACCTTACTGCGTGTTGGGGGGAGTCTATATCCCAACCTCTCCTAGTCTGGTGGTCTTTATGTATAGTTGACTTATCTTTGAACAGTGTTTATGTAGATAAGATTGATGATATTTGAGATATCGAAGAAGCTCTCTTATTTCTCAAATTCAAGAAGAAACTACAGCCATTGAAATCCAATCGCTGCTAACTACTTGAGGAGACTACTCGGTCGGCCTCAAGAAGGCTAACTCAAAGGCATCATTGGATGTTTTCTATAGAATTTTTATTTCAGTTTACACCTGGATTAGTATGTAATAGGTAACTTGGAAAGCTTAATTGAACTGGTAACAGAGAAAGAGTATCTAATCGTAGCTCTCTTGAAAAAAATTGCCCCTCGACTCAGTTCGGCTATTTGAAGCCTTTCATAACCTTCTTAATCTTACCTGATGCTTCTTTGGCTTTCTAGCAAAGACTAGGGAGGTCAAACTCGTTAAAATTGCAACCTCAGAGCATTATTGGGTTGTATATTGCAAACCCGTCTAGTCCCCTTCTATTCTCACCAGTGTAGTCTCTTCTACCAAGGCTTTCCTCTGCATTGCTTTAGTCTATAAGCTCTCTCTTATACCTTCCCAATCCCGTCTATCATGGCCAAAAGATCGTCATCAAGATCTGGCTTGGAGGGGTCTGAAGGAATCTTCTTCGGAGTCTCAGTTAAGCTTTCACCAGCCGCAGAAGTCTCTTTGTCCAGCACTTGTAGCCAATTGGTCACTTTTGTGACAAAACCTTTGCCGTTCGGTACAAAATGGCCCCCAGGGTGCTTCAAGAGCGTTCTGGTTTCCGAAGAGCAAGCATCGAAAAGCGCCATGACTCTGCTGCTCTCAACCACGGTGTCAAGCTCTCCCTCTACGTGCAATGACGGTACCTTGATGAGATTTTCCTTGTACTGATTTTGGAACCATGCAGGTGCCATTCTGAACCCACTGAAGCTGATGAAAAACTTGAAATCCGGTTGTTGTTCCAGTGTGAGTCCCAGCAGTTGACGAACGTCAGTGCACAAGTATCCTGCGTAACCGGCTCCTTGACTGAATCCAATGATGCCTTCAAATGGACCATTTTCTATGATATAGTCACGCAAGAAGTCGACCGTATTCTGCGGAACCTTGTACTGATCGTTGGGATCTTTGAGCCACCATCCAAAGATGTCATCAGTGCCAGACTGTGTGTTGAACTGAGTTGCTATATCATCAAACTCTCTCATATCAGCACCGGCAATTCTGTTGGGTGCACATGGATAAAAAAGCTCATAACCCAGCTTTCCCAGCGCTTTTCGAAACCCGCCAGTTTTGGAAGAGAAAATGGTGCCCGATTGAGCGTATCCATGGAGCATTAAGACCTTTTTCACCATTCTTGTCTCTGTATTTCCGTTGCCTGGTGATTTGATGTGAACTCGAGCAAGCTCATCGCCTTTAAATTGTATATATTCATATAGATAAATATTTACAGGCGTCACTTTAAAAACCAAGCGTAAAGTCAAACTCAAAGTTCATTTTAAACAATGTTTGACTGTCTTTTGAACTGATTCAATTGCGGAGAGCCTGTTGCAGCGTTTTTGAATCTGCAATGCCTGTCTTCAACGAGACTGATGCGATGTCAGTAAAAAAAACGAAAATCATTGGTGAAGAACCGTTTGAATTTAGCCAAAGGCCCTTTCGCTCTTTTGGGATGGACTGACCCTTTACAGCTGAATTGATGGCTGGCTCTGTTGTCCTTTGCGTTGTGCATCAACTCATCTGTCATTCAAACCATCTTATGTGAAGAAGTTACATATAATATAAGATAAGGTCATCGGTCCAGTCCAAGGTTTTATAACTCAACAGCTAGTCATTCGCGTTTATTAGAGACTTGTTGGAATTAGACAATGTCTATAAAGACCTTGCAATTGTAAAGACCAAGAATGCCGACTTCCGCTAGTGAGACTATAATGTATCGTTGGCTCAATATTTTCTATCAAGTTCATAAGCTCGCATACACGCGCCGAGCCTGCTAGTACAAATCCAGAACGAGGTCGTGACACTGTTTTTTGTAACCACATCGCATCGTCTTCGTGAAATTTTCTTCGTAGTTCATTCATTTCGTAACTTCGTGAGCACTCAGTCAAGAGAGTCAGTAGTAGATGTTCATTTTTCGTGCAAGCAAAGTAGAAAAATTATTCTTTGCATGCTTGAGTGCCATGAGGAAAGGGACTCCGTTGAGGATCGTCCTTGTACTCATGGCTGAATGGCCGCATCAACCCCAAAGATTTCTTTTATTTTGAATATCAAGTCCGCTTAAAGAACGACTGAGATCTCCATCTAATTCTGCGCCCAAACCCATCTGGGATGAACCGTACATCATTCCATGGTTTTGAGAATCCGCTGCCGCGACAGCTGGATCGTGGAAGGAATGCACCGAGTAATTGGAATGGATGCTGCTGTTGGTATGCTGGGGCACAAGATTCTGAGAGTTGTTGTAGCGGCTTTCACCCAAATTAGGCGTTGAAGGTGTTTGGGAGTAAAACGAGGGCATACGCTGGGCCGTGTTGGGCTGTATTTGATTTGTCGTTGGTGAAACACCGGCATTTCTGAGCAGCGGGTTGTTGGACGACGGGGTATTGTGCTTGTTTGTGTATCCGGTTGGTATACGATTTTGCAAAATAGAGGATGAAGGGGTATGTGAGGCCTGTGGTCTCAAAATCGACTGCTGCTGTTGATTTTGAGAGTCCATGTGGTGAATAGCAGTGGGTTGGAGGAGAGGCGACTGCGAAGGTGGTGGCGCCTGTGTGGTCTGGCCCATGTTGCTACCCGCGGCAGCAGCAGCAGTTGCGTGTGCTTGTAGCAACGAGGTGTAGGAGTGGGAGCGAGACATGCCAGATCCGCCAGTTGAACTGGGCTGTAACGGTTGCATCAACGATAGCTGCCCTTCGTGCTGCAAGTGTGATTGCAATGCAGCGTGATCCAAAACCTTGCGACGAATAATGATAAAACTGGGATCATAAACTTCCACAAGCCCCAAAAATGAGCAAAGAACATTGATTACTCGCTTCTGGGTCGCAGAGAGACCTACCGGATAAGCCAACTCGTGATAGCTCTTTTCACGGTCCTTAAATAAGAGAAGCTGCGAGTAGAGTTCCAAGACATCGGGATCGTTAAAGTCCAACTGTTGGGGAGGTAACGGAAGGTTCGCGGAGGCAGGAAGTGGTGCATAATAGCGCTCAGAAGAGAAACCTCCTATTGATTGAGGAGGCATGGTCATGGAAGTAGCGGTGTTTTGGGCGGATAACAATGGCTGTGGAGCCATTGGTGGCTGCGACGAAAGTGCGTTTCCAGTGAGAACGTTTTGATTATCATTATTGCTCTGACCAACAAGACTCTGAAAAAGTTGCGAGCTATGGTTGGAAGAAAGTGGTGGTGGTACATTCTGACCCTGAATGCCAGAGAGCCCTCCTAAAGGCGTCTGTGGTCTCTGAGAAGCAGCAGGGGTGTTGTCTGCCGAAGGAGCCTGGTTTAAAGAGTTGATGGGGCTCGTGTTTTTATTGTTTCCAGCGCCAGAAGGCTTGTTCAGGGACTGCAAGGAAAGGGCAGATGTGGTGCGGTGTTGTTCTTCCAGTTGGCCGCGTTTTTCACGTTTTTCACGCTCAATGCGCTCCCTCTCCACCTGCGGTAGCATTTTTTTGTATTCAACACGCAGTTTACGTCCTCCGATTTCTTTCCCATTCAATGTACTTACGACCTGAGTGGTTTCCTCAGTGGTAGCAAAGTTTGCAAACGCCAGTCCACGGAAAACACCATTATCAAAGTGATAGTTAAACGCATACGGTAATGGCAAGCTCATCTTCGCTATTACTTCGAGCAGTTGCTCTTTTTTAATTGCAAAAGGGATGTTCTTTATCACAATGGCCGTGGGTATCACATCATCGTCAGCGTTTCTAGAGCTGTAAGATCCAGCGGTGACTGCCTCTGACAGAGCAGACGTAGTAAGCTCCGACATTCGGACACTGCTTAGCGCTGACAGCTTCTTTCCAGTCCTTGTGACAACAAATAAAAGATGGAGTTAACGATTTATGTTCAGCACCAAAAGTGGACCAAATTTCACCGTTTGAATTCAGCGCGAGTTCTTTCAAGTCACACCAGCACACGCACAAGCTTCTTCAATGCTCTAACGGCTTGGATGAAACGTTATGTGACGGTTTTCGAGTGAAAGATGACCTTAGCAGTATTGTTCTTAAGCTGTTCGTCCAAGGAGAATTGAAGAATTAGGATTTTCACTGGTTCGGAAAGTAGGGTAATCACTTCAGAGGTCATCTGACTTCAAAAGTGACAGAATTGTCAAAAATGACAATAATGGTTTCTGAAAGGCTCATTGCAAATGGCGATGTTATCTGAATGCTGTGTGTGTATTAAATCTGAGCTTTATGTTCGAGCAGCATTCGATCTTTTAATTGGAGTGAAACGTCGAGCGCTGTGCGAAAGAATAGGAATGAGAGAACGATTGGAAAATATCGAGAAACTATATGTATGAACGCGTGCATAAAGAATTAATTCTGGAGCATATAACTCTTCACAAGCTGGCAACACAACAGTGATGACGGTATTTGGTTTAATTGTGTGATTGGAGTGGTGACACTCAAAGATCTTTATTGAACCGATGCAATTATTGCAGTGGAAACCTATATCATTATGTACTAATCTGTCTCCGACGTCAAGAATTGAGTATCGGCAGCTGAAGAGGAGAGGAGAAAGCCAAAGCACGCATCCTTGGACGTTTGCTGGCATAATGAGACTCCGTTATCGCAAAATGTTTTGTCCGAGGGTAGGTACAAAACATTTCTGATAATCAGATCTCATATCGTTTTCTGCTATTGTGTCGTTCGATTGCTCCAAAATAGTCCGAAGTCGATTTTTTCAAATTAAAAACAATTGTCAGCTTTTCGCAACTTACTATCTGCCATAAAGGTGTCTTATTCTAGTTTACCTCTCGTCTTTTATATCCTAATGCCACTAACTGAAGCCATCTCTCATAAGAGGCGACACATTCGTGGAGAGTGATTTGTTTTCAATAGGTGCGTATTCTCACCCATTTATCGGATTAAAAAAGCCTTGAATTCCTCTAGCGGATACCGCACAGGCCATTAAAAGTTACTGTTCATCTGCATTCAGCACGACAAGATTTCGGCTCATTTAAGAAACCATTTCGCTCCCCGAGTATCAAGACTTTACACGTTCAAACAATAGTCGGAAAAATCATACAGTCCCAAACAAAATTACAAGGAAGCTCGTGAGAATAATCTCAGCAATTTCATACCTTATAACATGCTGAGATACCACCTGTCAAAATATCACGGGTTCCTTCAGTTCCTTCGATCTCGTGACAAACTCGAATCATCTCATCCCAAAGTCAGGGTAACGTCGTGTCAAAATTAATATAGTCGTGTTAACTAGAGTTTACCACGACCAAGCTAACATCTCGATAACTCCAGGAGACCAATTGAACGTCCCAGATCCCTTCACAGCGCTTCTATAATAACCTCAGATGTCGACCCCAACTCCTCCCGGTGGCCAGCGCACTTTGCAGAAGAGAAGACAGGCACAATCTGCCAAAGATAAGCAACAGAAACAGACTCCAGCTTCGACGAGACAAGCTGGATTTGGCGGATCGTCGAATAGCATTCTCAAGCTTTACACTGACGAGGCCAATGGACTAAGAGTAGACCCATTGGTGGTTTTGTTTTTGGCGGTCGGGTTCATTTTCTCGGTCGTGGCCTTGCACGTCGTGGCCAAGATCACTGGTAAATTGTTTTAAAGACAGTGTCAAAAATCACCGCCCCTGCAGCTTTTGATAGAGAAATTGAGCCGGCCCAAGCCAGGAGCTTAGGCCTACGCGGTCTATCAGACATTACAGGGGGCTTCAGTGGTTCTTTTTATTCGGTTCACCACTTTTCACGTACTTCGTTCAAAAATTTACATATCTGTCAATATCACGTCTACTACGTCTTTGAGATGATCCTTGTGACACCTGTGTCTCTTGACAAGATCGTGCTCTTCTATCATTTCATCACAAGTCCATCCCCAAGCGGCCCCATTTTCAGCCTGTGAGATGCGCCATGCGTCTGTCATGTATGGTGCGCGGACTTCGATATCGAGGTATGGCCACTGTTTCTTGCCAACGATGATGCAAACGGGGATGCCCAGAGTGTGACTAGTAGCTATTTTTCGTCCCAAGTTCGCCTTAGGGTCCTCGTTCACCCATATTTCAGAACTCCGGGCCCGAAGACTATTGGTGACCTCTTCTAAAAGATCATCGGACTTGGCCCCACATACAGAAATTTGATATGGGGCCACAGCCTTGGGCCATCTTAGCCCCATTTCATCACGCGTTACCTGGGCGATAGCAGCTACTAGGCGACTGACCCCAATTCCGTAGCAGCCCATTTCACACATCTGTTCCGTGTTGTCCCTGGTAGTGAACTTGACGTTGAACGGTTTCGAGTACTTCTGACCCAGATAGAAAGTGTGCCCCACTTCAATGCTGTTGGATGCTTTCAATTTGGCTTCCTCGCAGGACCCACATATCTCGCCCTCCTCGGCATCTACCAGACTTACGTCGTCTAGTTGTGAGAAATTACTTTTGAGATACTGTTTCAAAGGAAAGTCAGGAAAGTTGGCCTTCGAGCTAAGTCTACAGTCCATGACACGAATGACAGACGAGAACATCAGATCATCTTCGTTCTTATCAGCGTGAAATAATTGAAGAACTGTTTCGTTGCTTGCATCAGCCAAAGAAGAGTCCACATCTTTTTCCATAGCGGCCAAAACCAAGTTCCAATTGAGCGTCTTGTTGCTAGGGTAATATAAACAGATCAGTGTGTTCCGTGCTGAGCTCAAAGCGTACCGTACGCTGACATCTCCAGTGTAGGTGTTCGTTTCGTGAGGATAAGAGACACATTTTTCGACATTTGACACATTTTTGCAGTTATCGCATTCAAGAACAACGTCTTCGCCAGTTTCATGCACGAAATGATATTCTTTGCTCATATCGCCTCCAATAGCGCCGGAGTCAGCCCAAGCACTTACAAAAGGTACTTTGAGATCTTTGAAAATCAAGTTGTAGGTTTCGTTCATATTCTGGAACGTAGTGACAGCATCCTCTTTGGTCTGATCGAAAGAATATGCGTCTTTCATTAGAAACTCACGTCCCCTCAAGAGGCCTCCTCTGGGTCTTTTCTCGTCTCTGTATTTTCTGCCGATTTGGTAAACTGTCAACGGCAAATCTTTGTAGCTCGAGATGTAGCTTCCCATTAACGAGGTGATCTCTTCCTCGCACGTTGGAGCGAGACAGAACTCAGATCCTTTGGAATCCTTTAATTTGAACAATTCACCGTTTTTCCACCTGCCAGTGCTCTCCCAAAGCGATTTTGGCGATAACACGCTCAAAGAAACTTCCTGTGCTTTCCCGTGGTCTTCCATGCGGCTTTTTATAATGCTTTTGATCTTGTTCAGCGTACGAAGACCTAGCGGTAGCCAATGCACTAGACCACTTTGGCTTTGCTTGACGAAGCCCAACAATTGCAGAAGGTCCTGAGTGCTGTGTGTTTTTAAACCATTCTTATCCAAGTTTTTAGACTGATACAAATGCACGTATCGAAGGCCTGCTCTAAGCTGGCCAGCTCTCATGGTTCAGCTCGCAGTTCGAGATGCAAGATCGATGTTAATTTTCGATTCTGATATTCATTATATATACCTTTTTGATGTTAGCTTACAGGAAGGATCAAGAACGAGTTATTCATCAACACGAGCCAAGCTTAAATAGTATTTGTTCTTATCCACGCTAGACTCAGCGTTCACGATCTTACGTATCTATAAAATTTCCTTGTGCTGTAAATGCTGTGATTGTCTTTACTGGAATGTCATTTGAACTCGACTCATAAGCTCGATGCAAGATTGTTCTAAAACTTCAAAAATTTCTGGTAGACCATGTTCTCAGTCTCGTCGTGGTATCTGTATCCTAGATCACTCAAAAAGCTTTGGAATGCTTGTTCATCATTAGGAGGAACTGAGATACCGGCCAAAACTTTACCAATGTCGGAACCATTGTTTCTGTAGTGGAAAAGAGTTAAATTCCAGGACTCACTCATGCCATCCAAGAACTTTGTAAGAGCACCGGGACGCTCAGGGAACTCAAAAGATACGATTTTCTCGTTTTCAACTCTGGAAGCACCCCCCACAAGGTATCTGCCATGGCTCTTAGCCATTTCGTTGTCAGAGATATCGACAGCCTCAAAGCCCAGCTTGTGCAGCTGCTGAAGAACCTGGTTGATCTCCTTTTCACGGTCAACAACGCTAAAAGATGTGTAGATGTAGGCCTTAGGAGTTTCAGCAGAAGTGTCGTGTTCGTTATAACGGTACGAAAACTCCGTAACGGCTCTTGGGTGAATGACTCTTTGCAGTTTTTTGAACGACCCAGGAATGTCTGGGATGGTAACAAGCATAAACACTTCTTTGCCTTCACCAAGGACAGCACGTTCAGATACAAATCTCAGTCTATCGAAGTTCATGTTGGCGCCAGACAAGATTGGCACGTAAGACTTTTTGGAATGGTCAACGTCAGGATAGAGCTGAGTGATATATTTCTTTAGACCTGCCACGGCCAACGCGCCAGAGGGTTCGACGATGCTTCTGGTGTCCTCGAAAATGTCTTTGACGGCAGCGCAGATCTCGTCAGTATTGACGAGCACGGTCTCATCAACTAGCTCTTGACAAATACGGAATGTTTCTTCACCAATCATACGCACTGAGGTACCATCTGCAAAAGTGCCCACCTGTGGCAAGGGCGTCCTGTAGCCGTTGTCCAAAGATGTCTTCAAAGTGGCGGAGTCGTAAGTTTCGACAGCCACGACTTTGATGTGGGGCGCGATTCTCTTGATATAGGCTGCAACACCGGCTATTAAGCCACCACCACCAACGGGGACGAATACCGCGCTTATCTTGGATGCATTGTGCACTTGTCTCAAGATTTCCATGGCTACGGTTCCTTGGCCTGCAATAACGTAAGGGTGATCGAAAGGTGGGATGTTAACGAGGCCTCTTTCTTCCGAGATTCTGGCACACTCGTTCTTGGCCTCGTCGAAATCATTACCAAAGAGCACAACTTGTCCTCCGAGTCTTGACACATTTTGGTACTTGATGGATGGGGTGTTGACGGGCATTACAATGATGGCAGGCATGTTGAGGTGTCTGGATGCGAAAGCCACACCTTGTGCATGGTTTCCCGCAGAGCACGCAATAACACCCTGGTTGCTTTTGGACTTTTCCGATAGTTTGGCCATCATGTTGTAGGCACCTCTCAGCTTGAAAGAGAAAACCGGCAGCAGGTCCTCTCTTTTCAAATGAACGTTGGTATTAAGACGTGACGACAGACCAATACCGCGCGTCACAGGAGACTCTTCAATAACGTCGTAAACGGACGACCGGAGGATCAAACGAACATAGTCCGGCGTATTACCTGGTAAGAGCTCATCGCTTTTCAGATCAGCATGTAGTCTCTGTAAAGCTGGTGAAAGCGTCGATTGGCAGCGCAACAAATGCCTGGTGCTTAAAGCTACCTTGCCACATGCCACCATAGTTGTAGACATGATGGGATCGTGGATATGAGATGTCTTGAAACGTTGGTTACAAGTGTTGTGGAATAGTAACCTGATCGATGAAAGTGATTTAGTTGTATTTTTCATAATATAGCTAGATTGGTATCTTGAAAGAGTCACCATATATGGCGGAAAAGCTGACACACAACGTGACGTGAGATTGGGATAGGAAAGGCCGATGCTAATGGAATCATATTGAAAGCCAACAACGCTAGCCAAAGCCATGGCATTAGTTGAGACATCTGTGGCTGCATTTGACCTGCTTAATGCACTTGTATGTATGTCACACTGTACGACGCGCACCGTTTATGTATTTTCCTTCTCTTTCGGAATCAAACTCTGATTCATCTCAAGCTTTTGACGGTTTCTCAGACCAAACCCTTTTTATATTTCGATTCACTCACTTCTTACACAATGCATGGCCCCCTTTCATCGATCGGGAGCCCTTTCAGTTTTGGTCATTGTGTACGATTGTGTCACCCGTGTAGTAACACGCTCACCAAAGCTCTCAAGGCTCCGAAATCTGTGGCTACTACGCACACAGCTTCTTCGTCAAGCTTTACTATATAGATTCGCTTTCATTTCGAAAAAAAGCCTTTGGCTTTGGAAATTACCTTCTTAGGAAATCAGCTTCCCCTTTATGGCACATCATCTCTCGCTTCTTCCACTTTGGGTTTTTTTCCCAAGATCGTCAATATTTCCCAAAGCGGCAAACCATAAACATCAACACAATTTCACTCAAATTCATACAATCTCAGCTCGGGAAACTTTCGAAGGCCCTCCTCTCTCCTCAATACCTCTTCTTAAATAAACTCACTCAATAACAACTCACTTGCAACCTTGTAAGAATCGGATCCTGACCTCACCGAGACTGAATTTTATCTTTACTACCTGGAATCCGATCTTAAGGGACACTAAACATTTCAACTAAGTGGTTCAACGCTCAGGTCACAAAGCAAGAAACTTTCTTTAAAACAAGGCAATCTTTCTGGACATCCTGAGGCAAAAAGCCTTGGCGCTCAACGGAACCCCCATATACAGATCTCTCCAAGTCAGTTAGGAAAACAATACTACCCAAGAAGTTTATTTAAGTGTCCAACCGGTCCCCGAGGCACTTTGAAAACCTTGCTTGAACAAACGACTGCAAAAGTCCCTCTTATAACAAGCCGAAAGAAAAGGCATTACAGGCCAAAAAGTTATTAACCTCAGTCAATAAAAAATCTGTGGAACAGCAGCTGGACGCTTCTCTTTTACTCCCAACTATATTGTCATTCGCTACCAATTTCCGCATTACCGATTTCCAAAATGAACACACCGCCTATGGGTCCAGAGCAGCAGCTCACTCCAAAAATGTCACCAATCATGATGCATCTGGATGATAATCTGTCGTCTTTGTCGAACCCGTCCTTCATGCATCTCGATGACGCACACAACAAAAAGACAGGTGGTTACTCTGCCATGTACCGTACGTCGCTGTCCAAGCTCACTGAACGTGGCCGTCAGGGTCGAGGTAGAAGTGCAGATCCCAAAACTCCAACCAAAATATTACGCTCAAATTCTCCTATACGTGCCCTGCTTGGAAATGCGCCCAAAATGCTGAAGCCCGAGTACATGGGTGTGTCAAGACTTCTCAATAACTCTAAGGGAGCATCAAGTGGGCCAATAACGACACCCTCTATGATTTTGACTAACTCAAAACTGCTATTCCATCAAGTTCCTTTGTCGCACCAAGAACAACAACAACAGCAGCAAAAGCAGCAGCATCCAGCAGAGGTATCACAGCACGAACAGAGTCAACAGGCAAGTTCAGATGAGGTCGAACAAACCTTAGAATCACCTTTCGAGCCATTGTTTTTACCTCAAAAAGTACCCGAAAAAGCACATTCCAGAGAGATTTCCAGTACATGTTCCCTGAAAAGTACAGTAACCGCTTACGAGCCCGAGCCCAGAACTGAAAGTCAGCTACAAAAAAACACAGCACCAAAACTTTCCCCAGATGCGAAACGCTCAGAGCAACCAGCTAAAGCAGCGAACTACAGATTTCCATCTGCAACTTCTACGGCCTCATCCGGCTCGACGCTGGATAACAAGGAATATCACGAGAGTCTCAATTTCGAAGTGCCATCATTGGACAAAGACGAATTCATGTTGGCTACTCAAAGCAAAAGAAGTTCGTATATTTCGAGCGTAGGATCGACCAATGACGACGATTTGAACGGATGGTTTGCGCAGTACACAGACGAGAGGCAAGTCGCAACTTTGAATATCAGCGACGCACAAAACAATAGACAGCAGGTTGACACTTTGAGAGAAAGGTCGTTTCAAACTGAACACTTTTCGCTCAAAGTAAAGCAACTGGAATTGAGCATAGCGGAGCTGCGTCTCCAGAATGAACAATTAAGACACACAATGACCACTCACCGCACGGTCCAAGACAGATACATGTTTGATGCTCTGCATGACGTTCAGCGGGAGAAGGAAAACAGCTATAAAGAAATGAACCGTAAGATGAGGCAGCTGGAAAAACAGATAGACAACTACAAGCGCGTTGTTCAAAAATTAACCGCTCCCGTGAACATGTCTCCTGCCGTCAAGCCTAGAATCCCCCTGGTGGATGCACTTACGCTTGACGAGCTGTCAGAGGCCAATTCCTCGAGCGGTGATGAGACAGAGAGCGAAGTACCTGAGAAAAACGAAAACGATAACGATCACAGACTGGGCAAGACTACAACCATAACGCTAACATCTAATGACGAAACTAGTCCGCAAATGCCGGAGTCCCCTCGCAAGAGACTTGCTGGGATCAAGCTCGGGCTAACTTTTGAGAAGTGAACAAATTAAGGATTTCAGGTTCAAACAAGATTTCATTGTAATATAACACAGCAGAGCAACGCCGCTCGCACCATGCATATTATTGAAGGTTCAATTAATGTCTACGAAACATAATCAAATACAACATATATAAACAGTATATATACACAATATATCGCCGCAGGGAAGGATTGTAGAGACGACTATTCTTTAAAAAAACAAGCGGGTTCAGTTGTTCACGACTCTGAAGTATTGAGCGAAGTAAAAAAAAAAGTCAAAAAATAAATTTGGACGAGACCGGAGTCGAACCGATGACCTCTCCCATGCTAAGGGAGCGCGCTACCAACTACGCCACACGCCCGAATTGTTGAAGAGGAGACAAAATACGTATTGTATATGAGATGGAGGTAATAGCGTGAACAGGTTCGAATGATCGGAAGAGCTGAGACTTTGGAATGTGTTGTGCTCTGAATCTATGAGTTTAACTTACCAGGCAGTATTGTTGAATTCTGTGAGCTTGAGAGTTCTTGCATGTGTTTTTCGGAGTTGTGCTCCATACACATTGACATCAAACAGTAGTGTCAGTAATTAATTCGAAAAGTCACTGTTCATCTTCTTCAAACAGCAATGACAGGGTGAGCAGCACATGTCGAGCCAAATTCTTAGATGATTTCTTGTCGTCTTTATATACCCTCAATATTCTCGAAGATCGGACGACAACGAAATTCATCTCTATGCTGTCAGATGTCAAAATTCATCGGAGAAGAACAGAAAGAAAGAGAAAAATACAAGGAAGATCTATTATGGTAATTCTGAGCTGGGTAGAAGCTTCAAGCACAATCAAGAGCTCGAATAAAGGTGCGTCCTCGAGTTGAATTGAAGGTTGGAATGGAACAATAATGTATCACGTATGACGAAGAGCTCATAATATCGAATCAATGAACAAGTTGCAGATCTTCCAAAGAAACCAAACTGCAACTGCATCTTGTTTGCTCTCCAAGAGGTTTTCTGTCTTGAAATCTCTAAGCTGGGACCGGAAGGAGCTTTAACTGTTATCCACGCGGTTTTGAAGCTTCTCTTTTTGCATAATATATCGGTCTTCAGCACGAAATCGGTAAGAGATGTCATCATCATCATCATCGGTGAGAAAGCCTAGAGCTAAACCATGGCAAGGACAGGTTGCAGATGATTTAGAGACTGAATCAGCGATGGTGGGACCTTCACAACCCGTAACTTTAAAAGTGGGGTCCTCCGATGATGAAAGAAGTGCACCAGAACTACCGCACCGGCCAGCAGGCCTCGAAACCGACTCTGATGCGAACAATAACATACGCAGCAACGCTGGAAACCAAACCAACTTTTACGGACAGAATGGCATGGGATATGGCGGGTCTTTGTATGGAGGCAATTTCGGTTCGCCCTACGCATCCAATGGGTACGGATCGATGTATGGATCAGGTTATGGCTCGATGTACGGATCGGGTGGTGGTTATGGTTCTATGATGGGTGGAGGATATGGAGCAGGAGGCATGTATGGGATGGCAGGGTTGAATGCCAATGCCAATGCAATTGCAAACGGGGCACCCGGACTGGCAGAATCGACCCAAGCGACGTTCCAGTTGATCGAAAGTCTGATTGGGGCCGTTGCAGGGTTTGCACAGATGCTAGAGGCAACTTACATGGCTACTCATAATTCATTTTTCACAATGGTTTCGATGGCAGAACAGATTGCAACTCTGAAAGAGATGCTGGGATCGTTTTTGGGAATTTTTGCAGTCATCAAGATGCTCAAGAAAGTGCTTTACAAGATCACCAGCGGGAGACTAGGCACAGCTCCTCGTCTTAAAGCGTCTGGTGGGGCTCAAAGCGAACTTGCGAAAGAATTCGACAAGTTCACAGGACGGGACCTGGAGCGCGACAAGCGTGGGAAAAGACGTATTTCGTGGAAACCATTGTTGATCTTTTTGGCCGCTGTGTTTGGATTCCCATTTCTACTGCGAAAGTTTGTTGCAAGACTGGCCGAGATCCAACAACGGAAAACGTTGCAGGCGCACAAGAACGGGGCCGGTGGTTCTGGAGGGCTGGACCCACGGAATCTTGAGTTTGCACGGGCTACGTACGATTTCACGCCTGAGAATCCGCAGATTGAAGTACAGTTGCAGAAGGGCGATCTGATGGCTGTGATGAGCAAGACGGATCCTATGGGTCGCGACAGCGAGTGGTGGAAGGTGCGTACGAAAAAGGGTGCTATTGGGTACGTACCGAGCAATTATCTGGAGTTGATTCGTAGACGTGTGGAGAGTGTGGAGAGTGTGGAGAGTGTGCGGTAGAAGGGACGACGAACACTGGGCCAGACGAACGATGACGAACACTCTTTGATTCCATTCGTGGGTCGTCAAACCACAGCATATCTGGCACATATAGAATTCCACCAGTGACTACTCTCCCCCCTCTCTTCAATGCATATTCGTTAATCGTACATATCCAACTACAGACTTGGTATAGCTAGCTTTTGTTTGTTTTGGCAGGCGATGGGCGAAGCTCTTTCTACTGCTTGTACTTTCCAGCCACGTCCTTGGCCTGCTCTTTGGCCGTGTTGGCCGTTTCACGGGTGGACTGTTTGAGATCCTGGGCCTGGTTCTTGGCGTCGTGTTTCAAATCCTGGGCTGTGTCTTTGGCGCTGTGTTTAAGGTCCTGGGCTTTGTCCTTTGCGTCGTGCTTCAAGTCCTGGGCCTGGTCCTGGACAGACTCGCCAATGTGTTGTGCTTTGTCGATCCCGGCAGCGGCGGCCTGGCCTGTTTTCTTGTTGAGGGAATCCAGGCCGCTCTTGGCGGCCTCAGTAGCGCGATGGCCGGTTTCCTCCACGTTGTGCGAAGCCTCTTGCGCTTTGTCGATGCCTGAAGCGGCAGCTTCGCCGATCTTCTTGTTGAGATCGCCCAGTTTGTGGCGGACCTTGTCTGAGATCGATTGCTGGGCCAAAGCTGACGAGTGTAGCGAAGACGAAACGATTCTTGGAGCGGCCATCATTCTGGAAGGCAGACGGGTTCTTAAAGTGTGAGAAGCGGTGGATCTGATCATTGTGGGGGAGGAATATAAAGAGGGATGCTAGAGTTTGATGCTAGAGTGCGATACTAGAATGCTATACTAGAATGCTATACTAAAATGAAGCTACTCTTTCTAGAGATACTATCCAGATGTATCCTACAGATGTCCAGTTTCAACACAACGTGCTTATATATATATATATATGTGTTCGAAACCAAAGGTTTGCGCTTGTAGATACCGGTGTTTGCTACTGGTATCGCGTGGTCTTGCTATGGGAAGGGTAAGCAAGTTGGTGTGGGGAGGCCTTTTACCTGGGGGTCAGTCAAGTATTACGATGTTGCGTTGTAGAACAGAGCAAAGCTTGTTTAGTGGTGAAGTCACAATGAGTAAGAGAAGAAGAGGTCTTGTGGTGAGGGAGGAAGAGCGGAGACGCTGGAGAAGGGAAGTACAGGGTACAGGGTCTTACAATACTCAAATGTTGTACATGCAATACAATGATGAGAATAAAGATTGCTTATGGGGGGGGGAAACAAACAAAGATTGAAGTCAAGTCAAGTTTGCAGAGATACAAAGGTTTTCGAGCTTGTGGGGGGGTAGGAGAGAAGGGGTAGTATAGAGGAGGAATTGAGGAGAGAAGGGGAAGTAGAGGAGAGTAGAGGAGACTAAAGACTAAAGTAAGAGTAAAGACTAAAGTGAAAATAAATGAAGAAAGAGTAATGTAAGAGTAAAGAGTAATGTAAGAATAAAGGAGGATGTTTGTTAAAGAAAGAAAAAGACTAAATGAAAGAGACTAAAGTAAGAAGACTAAAGGAGAAGTACAAAGGAGAAGTAAAGAAGAAGATGCAAGAAAGGAAGTACAAGAAAGGAAGTACAAGTAAGAAAGTAAAAACAAGAAAGGAAGTACAAGTGAGGAAGTACAAGTGAGGAAGTACAAGAAACACAAGAAACACAAGAATGTTAATACGAGATCTAAGCGTTGTGAGCGTTGCGTTGTGAGCCTTGGTGCACGTTTGAACCAAAATTTGATGTTTCCTAATCAATTGAGTTCTGCTGTACTTTGTGCTAGTAAATCTTGACTCCCAAACGTCATTTCAACGCCCTCTTTCCGCCCTCTTTGTTCTTGCTCGAGAGCTCTACCTTGTTGGCTTATGGATCTGTCCATGGATCTGTCCCCCATAGCAATTGTCTTTCTTATTGCTAAAAGATATCTAAGTCTAACAATAATAAATTGTAAAAAATTAAAAAATTGCGCAAGCCCGGAATCGAACCGGGGGCCCAACGATGGCAACGTTGGATTTTACCACTAAACCACTTGCGCGGGTTGTTGGAGGACAGAGACTCGGTGGAAACTATGTACATCGTGGAAATCCTCATGGAGTGTGGTAAACGTGTGTCAAAAGGAGTGACTACTATACATAACTTAGTTAAGAAGAAAAGCTTGAAAAATAGGTAATAGGGAGTAGTATCCACCCAAAAGGTCAGTCAAACTAAGTGATCATTTATAGTTTGTCGTGGTTCGTGATAATTACTTACAATATAATCACGTGTGTCACGGCGTTACCTAGTCGTACATAATGTTTAGGGGGGATCAGCTAAATAAGAGTTTCGAAACATAATCAGATGAAAAGCCAAACCACCTGGGGGAGGGGTTTCCGTCATTCTTGCAGCAAAAAAAAGGCTCCCCGCTACTCATCGCGCGTCGTTTTGTACGAAAACTATGTGTAACTGTCCCTGGAAGCTTTATTATGCCCATACATGTCTTTAGCATATCAGTACATTAACAATAGGTCTAATAGTGAGGTGAATTCACTTCCCACCACACATAATTCTGGCACTTCTTTTCATATGGCGGATACACGTGATACGCGACAGCGACAGAATTGATAAAAAAAATCAGTCTCGAGTACCCAATCCCATAGCCCACGATGCAGCGGGCAACGAATGGTACCATCCGGTATCATCACATCACTCAAGTTTTTGGTCTGATTGATAATCGCATCATGCAAACGGCAGTGAAATGTACTCACTTTCATCGATCCTCAAGATAGCATAAGATGGCACAGTTTACCCAACCCATAAGAGCTTCCGCTGTACACTCGAAACAGTACAGAAAAGATAAACTTACCGGCTATATGTTATATTAATAGTCGCTCGATCTCGTTGGAACAAACCGTTGTCGTAACGTGACACTCCGGGGACTCAATCAGAGTCTCACAACAAGTATGAACAAGAAGTTTAACAAGAAATCTGACATAATTCATTGGCACCACCTACTACCCTTTCCATCATGACATCTAGAAAACTGGGTTTCCAGTATCCAAAATGGAATGTTTACGAATTCTGACACTGTCATGTGTCACGTGCACCAGCTCAACCTTGTCATGAGACTGATACTAATCACTCAAGAGTAGAAAGAGACCCATCATCTTGACGTAAAGCCTTTGAAATTTGAAGCTAGCAGGTACCAAAAGAAGAATAAGAAAAGCAGGCCAGGTGATTCATGAATAGAGTGCTAAGTAAATAAGTTGAGTCTTGGAAAACAATCCCGTGTGTAGTGACTTTAAGCCAATTCTGATTTCGTCGTATCATTCGGAGCGTACCAGAAACCGAGCTGGCCATTATTTGTCCTCAAAACTATCTGAAGAACTTCCCTACTGGACTAGCCCGTCTTAAACTTGTCTTTCGCTTTAGATCACTATATACCCAGAGCGTCTCAACGACAGAGCATTTTAAACGAATGATTTCTCAAACCGAGCTTCCAATACGAATTCAACTTAACCCACCTAAAGAGACTAGATCTTTGATTAGGAGTAAGGAGTGACAAATAATAATCCCAGTCTCGTTCAAAGGTGCTCACCCCTCGCAAAACACATCACATTACTTGTTTTTTATAGTAAAATGGTGTCACGTGAGTATCACATGATGAACAAACTAAAAGCGGCTTTTGTCATTTAAATCTCGCCATCTGTTACGTTTCCTGGGTATTCAACAGCCCACTCTTGTCAATATTTGCCTTCTCCCTAGCCAAAACATTACCGTTGCATTGAAATTTGCGATTTCTTTTGGGAGCGAAACCGTCGTCTCTAAAAAAGTCTTAAATCCAGCCAGTAACCGTAGCGAGTTAAAATTTGGCATAACAATTCCTTCTCCACTATCTGAGACGTTCACTCACTTTCCCTACACCATAGACACAGTCTCAAAACCTAGAATTGTCAAACTACCTTTCTCTGTAAAACGTCAGAATTACGATAAAGTGATAGCTGTCTCGTGACAGCGATGACAGCGTCACAGTCCCCAATGATTCCATGTATCATTAGATAATTAGCTTTATCCTTGCGGACTACCGACTTTCACAGCTCCTTCTCGATGCAGCAACTATGAAGCTCAGGAAGGCGTTTCCAAAGCTCTTCAAGAAAAGTCATACTTCTAGACTAACACATTGCAATTCATGGGCTCCTAATCCTTCAATGTTTGTTCCTCGTTCTTTTGCACCTTGCTGAATAAAGCCTTTATGCCACAATTTTTCAACTCTCGATAATACCGTTTTTGAATAACTTTCAACTTCCAATCCTCTTCTTAAGAGAAGAATGCAATACGCCCATATATGTAGTCATGAGTTCTCTTCGTCTCAATTTCTATTAGTGTACTCGGTAACAGTTCAACGTTTCTTAATTCTAATACTGTCATCATGTCAGAAGTACGCTGCACACTAGTCAGAGAATCTGACATCAAATTCAGTTTAACAGGAGTCCAGGTAGCTTTCCTTCATGTAAAAAAACATCCTTCTTTATTTTGTTTACTAGGCCCAGTTCAAATCCTGAGGATGATGGACTGTAGGCTCTCTCATAACGCACTTTTCTAAAAGTCAATGATGCACTCCAAAATATTGAAATTCTCAAAATCGTACTTTGTTTAAAACCCCGCAGATCCTAATCAAAGCGACCTCCTAATCGCCACACCGCTTCCCATTTTCCCCATACGCATCCACATCCAATAGGTTCCATAATAATTCTTGAATATTTTCTACACGCTTCATATTTCTACACGCTCCACTACGCCAGCCACTGAATACTGACATACTTTTCATTTCTCATCTCATCATTCTTCATGATCGTTAGGATCGATCTTGAAGATCTTATCAGGATTCAAGATTCTCTTGGGATCCATTGCAAGCTTCAAAGACCTCATGAGATTAACAGGACCATCTCCCAACTCCTCCAGTAAAAATGTTCTTTTACCAATTCCCACTCCGTGTTCTCCCGTGCACGTACCTTCTGCGGCAATTGCTCGCTTCACCATATTGTCCACAAGTTCTGTTGCTTTGCTCCGCTCTTGATTATTGTATAGTATGAAAGCATGGAAGTTTCCGTCGCCTGCATGGCCAACAATAGCATTTTTCAGTCCGCTGGAGTCCATCTCTTCCTTTGTGGCCTCTATGACACCGGAAAAGCGGGATAGCGGCACAGCGACATCGGTGGTCCAAACATTGATGCTTTCGTCTTTCGTCTTACCTTCATTGATGACAGACCATAGTGCAGCTTTGCGGGCTTCCCAAAGCTCCATCTTCTCATCAGCGTTAGTCGCATATTCGAATTTGTGACAACCGTGCATATTGGCCACACGGTTCACTTCGCTTACCACTTCAGAGATGATATTGTCGTTACGCCCTCCGATTTTGAAAAATAGTGTTGGCTTTTCAATCCAGTCTGTCTTGTAGGTAGCACCGCCCCTGTTAATAACTCTCATCATATTGTCGTCCAACAATTCCATTGCATTGAGCTGAATACCTTCTTGTATCAGCCTAGAAGTACATGCGGCAGCAGCTTCCACTGTTGGGAAAGACCCCACGGCAACAGTCTCCTTGACGGGCTTGACATGGCACTTAATTGTGGCCTCTGTTACCACAGCCAGAGTACCTTCCGATCCGATCAACAAACCGTTCAAATTGTAACCGGCGGATGACTTACGAGGTCTCTTTTTGGTCTTGATAATAGTACCGTCCGCTAGCACGGCAGTGATGTTGACAACATTTTCCTTCATGGTTCCGTATCGGTAAGCCTTAGTGCCCGAGCACGAATTAGCAATACAACCACCAATTTGTGCACCTGGACCAGGGTCGCATCCAAACAAAAGATTCTTCTCCCCCAAGAAATCGTTGAGATCTTCCCAAGGAACGCCAGCCTGTACTTCTACGTCCAGGTCCAAATCGTTCAATTTTATGATTTTGTTCATGTACATTGACAAGTCCAAGACCACTGTGAATTTGCATCTAGTCGAGACGAAATGGCCCTCTAAGGAGGTCCCGCCTGAAAATGGAACCACCGGAATGGCATGCTCATGGCATATTTTCATGATTTCAGAAACGTCCTTGGTGGTGTGAGGGAATAGTACAATGCCTGGTCTTTGTTCAGGCGTGGGATGGTGACTGTTGAAATACGTATCGGAATGCGAATCCAAAGTTTCTTTGGCATCAGAAAAGGATTCAGAATCGTTGTTCAAGACAGCCTTTAGTTTTTCGACAGCGCTATTAAACTCCGATTCGTCCTGACAATACTGAGGCGGTTGCAATTCCTCGAGGGAAGTGGTAGAGGAAAACTGGTCATTATTGATGGACCAGTAGTCACAAAGTGCCAGTGAACCTCCTATTGCTGCACCCAAAACTAATCCCGCAATTGGAATCCTGTATCCCAATTTAGCAGAAACTGACGCTTTTGAGCCCTGAAAAGTGCTTTGAGAACGCACATTCCTCGACAAAATTCTCAATGATCGTTTAAACATGCCAGTCTACTTAAGAGTACTCAATGGCTCGATCTTGATGTTGTTCGAGTTCTTTAAATTTATCGGTTCTTGGCATTTTTCAACAATGAGATGAGCCAATTTTATCTTCTTTATATATTCCATTTTCCCGACGGAAGATACAAATTTTTGAGTCGAACTTGCTATTGAAACAGCCAGACCTGAAATCATCGAGGTTGCTTCGAAATGTTGCCGAAAGGCCTATGTAAAAGGTGAGGTTAACCAAAGCTATTTTTTTTGGCTCAAAATTCAATGATTTAAGCGTTTCTGGCCAGGTTTTTCCTTTAAAAATGAGTCCAAAAACGATGGTGATCAGCACTTGGAATGAAGGGTTGTTTCGGAGTGGGAATGGAATATAGGTTGTGCTTGGTAGCTTGAATTGAAGACATTTCATCCCACGGTTTTGTTTTCAAATTATTGGTGCGAGTGTCAGATTTGAGAAAGAACCAGCATATATGAAAAGAAAACCATCGTTCTTTGAGCATGATTGGAAAATCATAACTGAAAAAGGATTTCTCAGTACCCAGCAATTTCATTTCTTTGATTTGGCTTCGAGTGAAAGGCCCAAGTTTATCCAACCTCTGGCCGTCAATTGGAAAGCGACATAAAAACTTTCAAGTTCAAACGTGTTAAAAGTGCAAATTTCTATAGGTGCGGACTCACTTTGACGTGGAACCCATGTAAAGCAGTACTAAAATTTTACATGAAGTCGTCATCGGCAAAATCGTCGAATTCACCCTTCTCGAGGTCGAAGTCTTGATCTTTCTTAAAAGCACCTCCCAGATTGGCTTTCGCAGCTTTGGCCTTCTTCTTACCAGCACCACCGGTGGCAGTGCCGCCTCTGACTTTGGCCAAACGGGCCTGTCTTTCCTGTCTTTCCTTGTCCTTCATCAAAACATTCAGCGTTGCAATTGTTTGTCTGATGGACTCGACGTTCATTGGCGCAGCCACGTCTCTGATAAGGTCGATGGCCAAACCAGATGAGTAGTTAAGTTGCGATTTTTCGTTCATGGACGTGACGGCAGTTGCCACAGCCTTTCTAAGCTCTTGGAAGTCTTTCTTGGTTTCTGCAGACGTAAACAATGGATGTGATTCAATGGGCGTGTCCTTTGTGAAGCTTGCGGGACGTAAGAGTGCTTCCTCTTCCTGTTCCTTGCGCAATGCTTTGGCCCGTGGGTGCTCGTCAGCGACACCCAAACCTTCGAACAAAGAAGCTGCGTTCTTCAAATCAGCTTCAACTTCTGCTTTTTTAAGCAGCTCTTTCCTGGTCTTTTCGTCCATTGTGTCTATCTCCAAGAGTACCGGACCATTGTCCTTCTTTTTGTCATCTTTTTTAGGACGAGCAGATGCCTTTTTGGCAGCCGCTGGTTTTTCGGTCTCTTCTGCATCCCAAGACTCTAGAAGCGCTTCGTCATTGTCATCGCCAGCAGCACCAAACTCGTCATCCCAAGAGGTAGTGGCTGGTTGATTTTTCGAGGCAGTTGGGATATCGAAATCTTCGTCGTCCCAAGACATTTTTGTATCGTGCGTTTCTCAAAGTTAGAATCCGAGTAAAAAGACTCTTTGTAGCGGGGCTGTGGTGAATCTAGAGTACGACTATCCGAACAATTCTTGATGTCGATCAAAGTTGTCGAAAAGCTAGAAAGAGATGGGTGGGAAACTCATCTCATTAATCTTTAATTTTTCAATTTGATAACCATCGCTATTGACGAGAGCATTCAGGTCACGTGTAAGTCTACAAGTTATTTTCTAATTGATTTTATGGTCGACGAGTAGACAAATGGGTAGCTGGCGAAGAGGAAGTGTACGTTTCAATCCTGACGTCGAGAGCTGAGTACAAGATACTATGACATCGCGTATTTGCAAAAGCTCTATATTAACGTTGAGATGAATACAATCAAGTGTCAAAACCATTTTTAAGTCCAAAAAAATGCGAAGGTGATGCGCAAGACGAAACTACTTCAAAAATCTTCTCAGATGCTGGAAAAAACTTAGAAAAACTGGTCCTTACCGGTTTCAACCTCTCATTAATGCGAGTTCGAGGTTCTTGAAGTTTTCAAAATTTTTGAAAACAAAGCAGCGGAAACAACTTTCTTGAAAAAGAAAATGGACAAGATGGAAAAGATGGACAAGATGGACATAAAAATCAAATTAACAAAGAAAACCTGGTTTAAATCCTCGAATCCGTCTGAAGATGAATGGATTTCCTATCAATTGTTGTCTCGATTTTTGGCCGATGACAAACATCATTCTAGACGAACAGGGTCCACCCATTTTTAGATTGACCTGTTCAAACAGTGATCTTGAAATGATATTCATTGAATCATTCATCATCTCTAATTCAAGATATTTTCCCGAAAGAAAGGGGTCTTCAGTAACTCTAAGAGCTTCGCCAGCTATACCATCGTTTTCCTCGCATTCGAAATTAGGTGACTTCTTTTCAAAACCAAAATTTAGCGTCATTTTCAAGCGCACTTTTTCTAATTTCAAGATTATATCGTCTCAATGGGTGAAGGCTTCAATGTATACACAGGAAGAGGTGGTGCTGGAAACATAGTTTCTTCCTCTGAGAAACCATCTCCAAAAATTGTGCCCCAGGGCTCTCAAACTCCGAGTTTGTTGCAGCCTGTATTTAGCACAGGAAGAGGCGGTGCAGGTAACATGCGCAAGAACGTGGATAAAAACCTGACACGTAAGGCTCAAGACGTTGAAGATTTCATACCGCCCGTTGACGAAAACGACCGTTCCTTGAATTTGGACTCAGGTCTTGAATCTACAAAATCTCCAAAATCTGACAGTGCTCGCCCACAACGAAGTGGAAGAGATTCTTTGAAAGCCAAGAGTAGTAGGCCAGAAAATCTTCCTCCTCAAAGTGTAAGCATCGGAAGAGGCGGTGCAGGAAACATTCTGTCACCTTCAAATAGCCGAAAATCCAAAAGTGGAAGTAAGGACCAAAAGCGAGCCCACAAGACGAGCTTTTGGCACAATGTCAAAAGTCTCTTCAAATAAGTTATGATCGCTACTATCGCATACCACTTGAACCACGAATACAACTCGTATGCGGCAAGCTCTAATATATAATGAATGAATGTAAACGTAAAAGCAGTTGAGGGCATTTTCCATTACCTTAACGCTTCTCCGAAACAAATAATGAACAACACACTGGTGGACTATTCATCTCCCTCATGTCTTGAGATAAATAAATAGTGTGAATTAATAAATAGATACAATAAATAACAACAGACTACAGAGTTATACCAACTCCTAGTCTGTTCTTCAGGCGCCGACAGTCGATGCCAATTCTTCCAATAGCCTGTAGTCACGCTTCACAATACCCCCGTTTCCTGGAAGGTTAGTGGAGCCCATCAAGAAGCTGTCAACAGAAGTAGCGCACTTTCTACCTTCCTGGATGGCCCACACAATCAAAGACTGACCACGTCTGCAGTCACCGGCAGTGAAGATTTTACCACCGTCCACCGAGTATGAAGCATCAGTCAATGTACCGATCGTTCCCCGCTTAGTCTTCACAAGGTCAGGATCCTCGAATAATTCTGGACCCACGAAACCCATCGACAAAAGCACAATATCGGCCTCAAAAATTTCTTCGCTGCCTGGGACCTCAACCATCTGCCAGACACCAGACTCTGATTTTTTCCACTCCACCCGTACGGTTTTGATAGCCTTTACTTCACCGTCTTCATTTCCAATAAATTCTTTCGAGAGAATACAGTACTCGCGAGGGTCTCTCCCGTAATGCTCCTTAACTTCTGCGTGACCGTAGTCAACTCTCATGACCCGAGGCCATTGTGGCCAAGGATTGTCCTTTGAGCGCTCATTAGGTGGTTGAGGCAAAAGCTCGAAGTTTAAGACGGAAGCTGCACCGTGTCTGACCGAAGTACCCAGACAGTCGTTACCAGTATCACCACCCCCAATTACGATGACCTTTTTACCAGCGATCTGTTGACGAATAATTTCCAAGTCCTTGTTCAGCAGCGCCTTAGTGTTGGCTGTCAACAACGACATAGCAAAATCGATGTTCTTCAATTCACGTCCCGGTATTCTCAAATCCCTAGGAATTGTGGAACCAATCGCGTAGACTATGGCATGATGCGCATTTTTTAGTTCTTCGATTGAAATGTCTTTTCCTATTTCCACATTGTTGATAAAGCTTACACCCTCGGCAGCCATTAAATCGATACGGCGTTGAACAATTGATTTGTCAAGCTTCATGTTTGGAATCCCATACATCAGCAAACCGCCGCAGCGGTCAGCTCTTTCATAAACGGTCACAGAATGGCCTGCCCTGTTTAGCTGATCAGCACATGCCAAACCTGCTGGACCAGAACCAATTACTGCAACTGTACGACCCGTCTTGAACTCTGGGATTTGGGGCTTGATCCACCCCTCTTTGAAACCATTATCGATGATCAAACGCTCAATAGACTTGATACCAACGGGATCGTCAATGATACCCAAAGTACATGAGCCTTGACAAGGTGCCGGGCACACACGACCAGTGAATTCAGGGAAATTGTTCGTTTCTAGCAGTTTGTCCAGAGCGAGCTTCCATTGATTTTTGAAAACAAGTTCGTTGAATTTGGGAATAACATTGGAAATTGGACAGCCAGTGTCAGCAGTACAGAAGGGAACACCACAATCCATACATCTGGCAGTCTGGTATTTGGCATCTTTTTTTGTTAGGCAGCTAGATAGCTCTTTCCAATCCTTCGTACGCGAATTAGAGCCGCGATACTTCTCGTGACGAACCTTGTACAACATGAACCCACGAGTTTTCTCAATTTTCTCCACATTTTTTTCTAGTTGGTCAGTGTTCTGAACGGCGTCTTCTAAATCCTGTACTTTCGGTTCTGCTAGCGTCGCTTTGTGGCTGGTAGTTGAAGCTTTGATTCTAGAGTCTCTTATACCGTCAACCTCGCCGTTAGTAGCATCCGCTTTCAAATCAGTGCCGGAATTGAACTTTTTCAAGAATTTCGCCGTATTTGCTTCCTTCTGCTTGATCTTCTCAACTGACACCTTCTCCAAAACCTTTTTGTAATCAGTCGGAATCACTTTGACGAAGTTCTTTAAATAGTGGTTAAAATTACCCAAAATTCTGGCAGCAAGTTCAGACTTCGTGTAGTTGAAGTGCTCTTGAATTAGGTTTTTAACAAATGCGATCTCCACGGTATCAACTAAGTTTTGTAGCTCAACGGTTTCCAAGTTGATTTTTCCAGCGAAATCATCGTAATCCGAGGTCAGACAGTATGCAATACCGCCAGTGGCACCTGAAAAGGCATTCAAGGATTCCATCTGAGAAAGAACAACGGCACGTCCACCTGTCATGTACTCAAAAGCGTTGTTACCCTTGATTCTTTCAACAACTATGGTGGCACCTGAATTACGCACGCAAAAACGTTCTCCAGCAACACCGGAAATGAACGCGGTACCGGTAGTAGCACCATAGAAGCAGGTATTACCCACGATCACATTCTCGTCGCTCTTGAAGCTGGAGCCTGGTGGTGGCCTAATAACTAAGCGTCCACCAGAAAGTCCTTTTCCAACATAATCGTTGGCATCACCATCCAAGATAAAAGTTACTCCTGAGGCCAAGAAGGCACCGAAGGACTGACCGGCAGAACCTTCGATGTTAACGACGACGGTGTCTTGGGGAAGCCCGTCTTCACCGAACTTCTTGGATATTCTGTAAGACAAAGTGGCACCCAAAGCACGATCTGTGTTGATTATTGAGGCATCAATGTTGACAGGGAGACCGCGATCCAGTGTTACTTCGGCTTCATCGATCAGTTTGTTGTCCAAACGCGTATGCAGCTTATGGTCTTGCTTTTTAGTGAATTTTGTTGCGACACCTGGGCGGATAACATGAGCAGGCGTCAAAATTGGGGAAAGGTCAATGTTGATGGCTTTGGTGTTGACGTTTTCTCGCTTCTTCAATTTCTCTGAATGTCCCACCATTTCATCAATAGTACGGAATCCTAACTTTGCCATGATTTTACGCAAGTCCTGAATCAAGTAGTAAAAGAAGTTGATGACATGTTCGGGCTGACCTTTAAATTTCTCTCTTAGTAGTGGATCCTGTGTGGCGATGCCGACAGCGCATGCATTAAGATGGCATTTCCTTAACATGATACATCCCATGGCAATAAGAGGCACGGTAGCCAAAGTAAAAGATTCAGCCCCTAACAGAACGGCAACTGCGATATCAAAACCGGTTCTAAGTTGACCATCGGTTTGGACAACAACATTACGTCTCAAGTCATTCAAAACCAGGGTTTGATGCGTCTCGGCAAGACCTAACTCCCAAGGCAAACCGGCATACTTGATACCTGTCCACCTCGACGCACCAGTGCCACCGTCGTGGCCGGATACGAGGATGTGATCAGCCTTGGCCTTTGCCACACCAGAAGCAACGATTCCAACACCAACTTCAGATACCAGCTTCACAGATATGCCTGCTCTCGGATTTGAACATTTGAGATCATAGATCAACTGTTTCAAATCCTCGATAGAGTATATATCATGGTGAGGAGGCGGAGAAATGAGGCCCACGTAAGGGGTAGAATGCCTGGTCTTAGCAATATCTGGAGATACTTTATGCGCCGGCAATTCACCACCTTCACCAGGTTTGGCCCCTTGAGCAATCTTTATTTGGATTTCATCTGCATCCGACAAGTAGTGTGAAGTGACACCAAAACGCGCGGAAGCGACCTGCTTGATGGCTGACCTCATCGTGTCGCCATTGGCATGTACAATGCTGCGCTCGGAGTCTTCACCACCTTCACCACAGTTAGATTTGGCGCCAAGTCTATTCATCGCAACCGCCAAGGTCGAATGGGCCTCCATAGAAATCGAGCCATAAGACATGGCACCTGTTGCAAATCTCCTAGCGATCTCCGTCCAGGGCTCCACCTGCTCGAGTGGAATTGGCGTTGCGTCATCAAAATTTAGTTCTAGCAGTCCTCTCAAAGTACAATCTCTTATGGCTTCCATTTCCTTCTTCACATACATTTCCCAAGCATTCTCATTTTTATTGCGAACGGAATCTTGAAGGGATGCGATGGCCGTAGGGTCATTTATGTGCTTGGCTCCGCCATCTCTCCAGTGATACTCACCGCTCTCTGGTAGGTTGACTGACTTGGTAATGGTTTTCCTGCTTGGAAATCCACGTTCGTGCATCGAAAAGGCATCCTGCGCAATGTACTCAAATGTAACACCTTGAATTCTAGAGGCGGTTCCTGCAAAACACAGATCTACTACGGTATTGTCGATACCCAGAGACTCGAAAATTTGTGCACCCTTATAGGAAGCTAGTGTGGAAATGCCCATCTTCGACATGACCTTCAGTATGCCACCGTCGACGGCGTGCTTGTAGTTTTCCAACAGCTTGTTATCGTCGATGACAAGGTCTTCGTTGTCAACATTGCGGACCAGCCCCTCTTGATTCATTCTCACAAGAGTTTCCATTGCCAAGTAAGGAAAGATGGCGTCACAGCCATAACCTAGAAGGACACAGAAGTGGTGAACTTCTCTGGCTTCTCCAGTTTCTAAGATCAATGCGACTTGCGAACGTTGCTTGTTCCTTATCAAATGATGATGGATAGCACCGACAGCGATCAAAGACGATAAAGGGACACGGTCAGCGCCCAGCCTTCTATCGGAAAGCATTAGGATACGCTTGCCTTGATCGATAGCATCAGATGCATCTTGAGTTATGCGGTCTAATGCAGTGGTGTAGCCGAGTAGGCCTTGTGACTTCTCAAATGTGATATCAATGTTAGCCGTCGACCAGGTTGGATGAGCTTTCTCAATGTTCTTAATAGCCTCGTACTCTTTCCAATGGAGAATAGGAGACTTCAAAAGCAGCCGGTCGCACTGGGATGGATGAATCTCTAGGAGATTACCTTGAGGACCCACGTAACATTCTAAAGACATAACGTTAGCTTCACGAATGGGGTCGATAGGAGGGTTAGTTACCTGAGCAAAAAGTTGTCTGAAATAATCATAAAACAGGACCGGATCTTCATTCAAACATGCCAAGGGAGCATCATTTCCCATGGATCCAAGTGCTTCCTTGCTCCCGAGAGCCATGGGAACAAGCACCATAGACACCTGCTCAAACGTGTAGCCTAGTGCTAGAAGTCTGGGATCTTGTTGAGCTTTCAAAGATGAGTGTTCTTCGCTCAAAAATGTTTTGGATGCGTACTTTTCAGTTTTCACAAGTAAATCCTCTATCTTGATTAACTTGGAAAGCCATGACTTGAAGTCCTGCTTCTTGGCAAATTGAGACTTCATTTTTTTGGTGTCTACCATTTGCCCGAGCTCCGTGTCAACCAAAAGCATGTCGCCTGGCTTCAGTTTTCCCTTTTGGACGATCAACGAATTGTCGACTTGAATAACACCAACCTCAGAGGCGCAAATGACGCGATCATCAGAGGTTATGTAGTAACGGCAAGGCCGAAGACCATTTCTGTCAAGCATCGCACCACAGTAGCGTCCATCGGTAAAGTTTAAAAGAGCAGGGCCATCCCAAGGTTCCATGAGGCATGCGGCCCAATCAAACCAAGCCTTCAAGTTTGAGTCCATGTCTTTATGATAAGCCTCTGGAACCATCATCATGATAGCCTCTGGCAAGGATAGCGCACCGTTGATCACTAACAGTTCCAAGACATTGTCTAGAGCCGCAGAGTCAGAACCGCCCTCCTCAATAATAGGATAAAGCTGCTCAAGGTTTTCTTTGAACGTTTCAGAGGACATGACACCTTCGCGCGACCGCATCGAGTTCTTGTTACCACGCAGAGTATTGATTTCACCGTTGTGCGCAATCCACCGCAGTGGTTGGGCTCTGTCCCAAGATGGGAAGGTGTTTGTGGAGAAACGAGAGTGTACTAAAGCCATATGAGATTCGAAATGAGCATTGGTCAAATCGTGATAATAGTGATACACCTGGGTTGGAGTCAGTTGACCTTTGTAAACAATTGTTTTGGTATTCAAAGAACAGGCATAGAACCAATTTTGGATACCAATCGCAGATGTTGCTTTTTTCCGCAGACTGTATAGAAAAGTTTGGAACTCCACGTCGTATTTGGACTTGAATTCCTCGTCGGAGATTTGACGATGTTCTTGATGAGCCGCAGTGTGTACAACTAGTGGCTGTAAAATAGCAGGCTCGCGCGAAAGAGCGACGGCGCCTAATAAAGACGAGTCGCGGGGAACTGACCGCCAGCCCAACACTGTAAGTCCCAAAGACAATGCAATTTCTTCGAAAACACGTTTTCCAACGTCTAGAGCATCGGTGGAGTCTTTTTTGAAGAAAAAATTGCCCACGGCGTACTGGCCCCTGGCTGGTACGTCGATGTCAAGCTCTAGCTTGAATTCGCGCTTCATGAATTCGTGAGGGATTCCAACCAGGATACCGGCACCGTCACCGTTCCCACCTGAAGAGACTGCACCTCTGTGCGTCATGTTACACAGCAAGTAACGAGCATCGGAAACAATTTTGTGTGAAGGTACTCCCTTGATGTTGGCAACGAAACCCACACCACAAGCGTCGCGCTCGTATTCTGGATCGTACAGACCTTGTTTTTGTGGAATGGAATCGGCCCAAAACTGGGTCTTGGAGGACGAAGTGCCAAATCCAGCTACGTCGACGCTCAAAGGAAGGCCACCATCGTATGCTTCCTCCAAAACGTCAAATTTGTCGGATTGTAGCATGTGTCTATTCCTATTCTGTTTTCTTTGAAGTTCTTATGAGACAAAACAATCCTCCGTGTCTAGTAAATGTTTCGACTGCAGTTGACGTCCAACGCCCTTAAAGAGACCGAAAATATAAATAATGCACTGTGGAAATGCAAATCTGCCGAACAGAGCACAGACCAAGCTATCGAACAGGATATCCTTCAAGAAGGAAAATATCCGATAGTTTTTTAAGCGGTTTTCTACCAGAGAAAAAATTCAAGCCCTTTTAGATCTGCCTGCTCGCACAATATGCTGGTTGGTGGTCGGTTGGTGCATTCACGACTCGTTTCGTCCTGCTTCATATACGATGGACCGGTTACCTGACCGGCGGGCACGAAAGAGGGGAGTATCACCCTGCCTTCTTGATAGCTATCCATGTTCAGAAAATGCACCAATCAGAGGTCCGGCCGCCAGAACAGGCCGTAGAGATTTGGTTTTTTCCGTCCACGCTTTCAAAGAGCGCCCTGATCACCTGCTTCATCACTGAGTGCTTGGTGGGCACTCTTATCAGCAGTAACAAGTGCTGCTTTAGTGACATTGAAACGCTGGATTTGGAGCGCACGAGGGGCAAAACCAGATAACGGAAAGAGGGAGAACAGAGGTGAAACCTGCGCCGGGGAACAGCGGGCACACAAAAATTGATGACCGCTGCCTTTCGGACCTGATAGCCTTGTCACGGGGAAACAATATAGACAGGGCTTGGAGGTATGGTTCAGCAAGAACGGAATCAAAGTGCGAAATACGCCGAAAAGTGCGAAAAATAGGTTCTCAGGGGTCAGTCCGGGGATTATCGCGAGAAAAGACTTCTTCTTGAGCATGAGCGTGACGAATGCATAAGATCTACAGCTTTTTTTCTTATGTCTTATCGAGACGTTTGTCAATACAGATTTGGAAACTGAATTAACGATAATTTCACCCTTGTCCTTCCAGTGGGTTGTTTCCCGACCGTTTTCGCCCGTTTAAGTTGGAATTTCAGAGATCAATTCTTGACCAGTACCTGTCATCCACCCTGTTTCAAATTTGAGGCATCTTACTGCTTTCTTTCTTCGTTAATATCGAAGCATGATGGCTGAAAAGTGGTGTTCATGATGGTAAGTTTTTTGCCGCCGAAGATCTTTCTTGATATGAGTCCCGAAAGATCTATTACGTAATGCGATGAGTGTGCTGTATGTGGTGTACGGGTGCTATATTGGAAAATGGTTTTGAGCGTGTGTTCTTGTAAATCTCGAATGCTAAATCCAAGAACTGGGCGTCAGATTTGAGTCATCTTTGAAATCTTGGTGTTTATCCAAGATTTCTGGATTTGGAAGCTTCAATTGGGAGCTCAAGCTTATATCAAACTCGCTTTAGGGTCTACTTCATCGTTGACTAGGAAAAAAGCTACTGGATTTGCCAAAAAAAAAATGTTTACAAGTTTCGGCGAGGAGAAGCATTGAGAGACTAACCTGGCTCAATTTTCGAAACGTGCTGATCGAACCTTCCATGAGATCTGGTTGCGATAATTAGCGAAAACATCGGTTTTTGATTAATTTGGGATTCTGATTTTGCAGGATTGATCCATCGAATAAAGTATGTTTCAGTCGTTGAAGCTAGCAGTTTGAGGTCGTTAATGAGAAGGTCCATGAGACTTGATCGATAGTCTACGCTGAAAGCTTGTTGTTTGATGACATTACGCATTACGTAATCAACGACAACGACGCTATAATGATTGGAAAAGTGTCATCGCGAGAGATGACGAGCTTTTCTGGATAAATAGCGAGTTGATCATCATCATCATCTCTTCCTCCTCATATTTGTCTGCCTGGGTCTTCAAAAATAACATCCTATGGTCAGTTGTTGGATGTCGCATTAGAAGTGAAAGTCCTCGCTCATGTTTCTCCGAATACAAAGCTGTGCGTAGCACAACGTCTATGTCACACCTTTCGAAAAGCCAAAGCTCTCTATACAATATAATCTTACTAGATTTGTTGCCCTCTCCTGGATGGTTTATGTCGAGACTTTTTGATACATAACACACAACGTACTTGGCATCAACTCTCCATGCAAACATCACCAAACACCGGATGATAGTTGACTTTGAAAACATTGATAAGGGACACTGAATACCTACCGACTGTCTTTAGGACTCAAAAAATGTTTCTAGAAGGAAGTCACGATGATGACCCCAAACTGGTTTTGTCAAAAGATCAGCAAAATTGTCCCTGGAGTGAATGTAGGTGAAGCGTAAATTGCCGTCCAAATACTCGTCTCTAATAGCTTCAGCTTTGGAATTCACAATGTCATTCGATTCTAAGAGATCCACAGTACTCAAACTGTCTGTCGTCACCTCTTTGTACGAATGGATTCCCAGGGCGTCTAGAATTTCTTGGATGTAGGATAGCCTTTTACCAGACTGGGTTACAGCGATAGTTTCTGCTTTGTTACAGTTATTACAACGCCTTATAGCTCCTAATGAGTATGCTGATATCGCGTTATCATTGATAGTGTATACCTGGCCCGTGTGAACATTGCATTCTTCCAAAGGCATATAGGATGCATCAGTCATTGCGCCTATCTTGTACACCTTCCTGGTTGCATGACGCCGCCATTTGAGACATCTGTTTCGAGTCTCACATAGAGTTGTCAAAAGGTCCGAAAGGTCTTTCGGTCTATAAACCATGTTGCTGACATCATATGCGATGTCAAAACGACACTTTCTGCTCGCCTGTTCGATGAGCATTCCAGCTTCGATAAGATTTTCATCTAATTTGGAGCAGGTTATATCACCTGCCATTCCATGCGAATTCATCACTAAAGACAGTTCGTCTATAAGACTTTTCATACTCAACTTCATATAACCGCCCAGTCGGTATTCAATGTCGATATCTGAAATACGGAATTCCTGCACAACTGAAGCAGACCTGTTTAGCCTTTCGTACTTTTCCAATGGGTCAAGCAGTTTGGACAATGACTCCATGATATTGTATGAGAATGGCACTGTACTGGCAATTACAACAATAGCATGAGGAGGCAAACAAACGATGCCCTTTGGACTCTTGTCTCCCTTGGTAAAAAGGCCAATTTGCGTCTCTTCCATTTGGAATACAGATGTCAAAGTGTCCCTAATTTCCTCATACAAGCTGCGCCCAAGTCCACACCAAGTGTTATAGGAACCCCATCGATGCAATTCAAATCCCATGTATGGCAAATCGCAGTGAGGAGAAGCTGCGAGATATGTTTTTTCTTGAGGCAACTTCGGGCGTGCCGCCGGTATGCAATCTATGGTCCAGCCTCTATCCAAAGCAACTGCCAGGCTCACTAAGAGTGAGGTGTCTCTCAACATAGAATGGTTCGTCCCTTCAATGAAATCTTTCTCGATATCTTCGGGTGGCAAGCAAATATACGTGCCTTGGTAAGCCTTGAATTTCCAGTCTAAGCTGATAATGTTGTTTTTAGGAATGCCGTAAAGGCTGAAGGGTCGATTCTCGTTCCATGTTCCCCATTTGCGTTTAAGGCCCTTAAGGCAGAATTCATAGCTAGACTGGAATGCCGCTTTTGTGCGTTTGTTCTTGTTACAGCTTATTGCTTCGTCATAGCTCAGATAAATGGCTCGTTTCTCAGAGTCGCCAACACCTTCATCATCTAAGTGGATGTCCTGGATATTTTGAGTAACTTGAATGAGAACGGGGTCATCATTAGGCCACCTTTCGCTTTCTTTGGCACACTTTGCAGCTGAGTCGGAGAGCACAGACATGCCAGTTGGCATTATGACAATAATGAAACCAAGGACAATCAAAGACGAGCGCTTGTAGATGTCAAGCTATTTCGCGCTCAGATCTAATTGAAGGCAAGCAACCCTTCAAGATGTTAGGCTACATATACCAATTACACGGCCACTAAAGACAGCATAATAGTATCGCAACAAATGTGATCCACGATGCAAAGTCACAAGAATTGCTGCTAGAAAGCGATACTTTTTAGTTGCAAGGTCCTGATAACAGCTGCCGTTCGTGGTACTTCACATTGTGAGACATTGCAAATAAGGGAGGCTGCTCAAAGATCAACATTTCTTTGATTTAGATAGTTGAGTGACAGGCTCACAAACTGTCTCAGTAAGTTGATGCCGACGGAATGTGACTTTGATCTTAAATTTTGAGTCTATTATCTGATAGCGATGACATTGCATTTTTAAGCGTCTTACCACTTCCCGTTGCCAACCCAGAAGTTTCACTAGCGATTGAACAGCGAGAGCTTATTTGGCGCTGATTTTCATACCCGACATGCCCACCACTTCTTGCAGCCAAGACAGTTCCAATCGACTGACAGTCCTCGCATAACCCTTGGTTGTGAAAATGTATTCAGTGTATAAAATCGCAGGACATGTTCTATCCATGAACAGCATTGATGACGGGTGCACAGAAATGGTCTCTCCTGTAGTGCTAGTTCTGAAGGACCTATCTGGCATTCCTATAGCTGTGTTCTTTGCAAATCCGGCCAAGAAACACTGTGTGATCAATTTGACATCAAAACTATCTCGTTCTTCTGCATCATGCAAATCCTCAATTCTCACCTTAAGGAGTTTATCCATGTATGATATAAGCTGTGCACGAACCTTAACAACGTTTTTGAAACCTCTTTTGGAAATACACAAATCTTGACACCAAGCGTCTCGTTCTTCAGAATCTCTCAGGGAAATATAGGCGTTGTACAGCTCCTTCATCAAGACCAAGTCTCCAAATTTGGACCCCTGGTTTGCAATAGCAAACCGCCTTTCATTAACTTCATCTCTTTGCTCTGGTAGCGGATTCATCAAAAGGTTTTCAACGCTCAGACAGGAAACGATATCAACAACAGGAAGTAAGCAGTTCATATCATGGGCCTGTAGCAGAACGGAACTGAGATGCGGAGCTAAAGGAAGCAAAGCCATTTTCTGGCCCTTATCAGTTATTTTACCAGAGTCGTCCAGTGCTTTCAGTTGGTAAAGTTCTTGCAAGCCGAGTACGATGGCCTCTCTGCCAGGATTTTCCAGCCACGACCAGTTCACAATATCATCAACCCCTATTTTCTTCAGCATTAGAAGTGGCGATGTTACCTCACTACGTGCAATCTCTGGCTCAGTTTGCTTGGGTAACTTTTGGTAGTCTTGTTCTCTATAGAGTCTGTAGCATTTGCCAGCACTTTCTCTACCAGCACGACCTGTTCTTTGCGACGCACTTGCCTTAGAAATCGGTACCGTAAGAAGTGTCGCCAGCCCCAATTGGTGCCGCCAGACTTTCACCTTACGCAGTCCAGAGTCTACCACAAACTTGACGCCTGAGATCGTAACAGAGGTTTCGGCTAAATTGGTGGAGAACACCACCTTTCTTTTGAAACCCTTGAGAGGTAGAAACACCTTAGCTTGATCGGCAGGCGGTAACGCAGCATAGAGTGGGTAGCCTACCAGTCGCGGTACAGAGGAGCCCAATAGCTCGCTGATTTTATTGAGAATAATGACAGCTTTGTCGATTTCTTCTTGACCTGGCATGAAGCATAAAATGTCACCCAATTGCTCCCCATTATTGATCTGCACGCAACAGCGTATGATAGTGTCGACAATGTCATCACAGGGTGCTTTCAAGTATTGTCGTTGCACTGGATATTTGCGCCCTTCCACGAAGAGGATGGGGGCACCATTGAAAAAGTCGCTAAATTTTTCAGCTTGCAATGTTGCAGACATGACAACCACCTTAAGGTCAGGTCTTGGCCCGCTTACAAGCTCCTTCAAAAATCCGAGGATCAAGTCTGTCAGAATAGTCCGTTCATGGGCCTCGTCGATAATCACGTACGAGTAGTCTGACAGGTTCCTGTCCAGCATAATCTCACGCAACAGCATACCATCTGTGAGATATTTCAGTTTTGTTCTTGCGCTGCTCTTATTATCGAAACGTACCGAGTACCCAACACGATCACCTAGACGACAACCATATTCTTGAGAGACACGCGTAGCCAAATTTATCGCTGCAACTCTCCGCGGCTGGGTCACAGCTATACGTTTAGAACCAGATACATCATGGGAAATTTTATCGAGCAAAAATTGTGGTATCTGCGTGGACTTACCAGAACCGGTCTCACCGATCAAGATTACGATCTGGTTTGCTTCAAGATGCTCCATGATGGCATTTCTATACTTGAAAACTGGCAGTGTCATCCGTACCTTCAGTAGATTAGTAGCAACATGCTTCAGATCGTGTGATGATGGGGTGACTTTTACCAGGGTCGCATCTCTATTGTCGCCATCGTTTTTCCTTTTTCTCGCGCCTAATTGAACCGTTTTGGAAGCTTGAAAAGGAATTCTTTCGCGCACTGCACTCTTTCTACCCTTCGCCATCAGGATGCGACACTCTATATGCTTTTTATAAGTGATTGCAGGGCCAACAGTTCCACTTTCTTCTTCACCTCATCGAGCTCATCGAGCTCATCGATCAGATTTATTGAATTTTCAAGCTTCACACTTTGTACGAAGGAAAAGTTCCAAGAGTTAAATTAAAGTATAGGAATGACAGCACGAATGCTGCGTATAAGAGCGTTACATTTGTTGCTGAACCAGTCCAGTGCTTTTATTGTTGTCTGCCGGTGCTTTTAAATCACTAAATCCGAGTCGAAGAACTCAGCCAATGTTCTCTTCAGAACCTTGCTTCCCAGAGCTCTGAAAAATGCCATCGAAACTACTGCAGTTAATCTGTGCTCTGACGACGGTTGCGATGGTCTTCCAGATTCTTCCAGTGATCTCCATGCCACTAGTAAACAGCATATATCTTTCACGCTACAATGGTAGACTTTTTGGTGTTTTTGGATGGTGTGTTGTGTCTACAGGCGAGTGCACACCACCACGGGTGGGTTACACTTTGCAATGCGCGATGCAAGATACATATGGAATCAAAAATGACACAAATTGTGAATTGGAAGAGTTCAACAGTGATTTCTTACCTTCGCGCGCGAAAAGGGCCATTTCAAAGCTTTTGGTAGTCCACCCGATGTCTTTGTTTTTTACTGCAACATTGTGGATTGCGACTATAGCACTGAACACTCGTTTATTTTCGCGGTCCCGCAAAGCGCTTGCGTGTGCTGTGTTGTGGTCTCTTCCTGCCGTTTTCTTGTCGCTTTTGAGTTTTCTGGTCGACGTGCTATTGTTCGTCCCATACCTAGCTTGGCCAGGCTGGCTGATTCTTGTCAGCACCCTACTTATAGCCGTGGCATCTTGCATAATGTGCGGGGTGCGAAGGTCTGTTTCGCTCCAGAAATACGAGAGGCTTCGAAAAAAAGAGGTCATTGAGTTAGTGCCATTGCAATCCGATAAGATGCAGTCGGAGCTCTCGGATCTTTCACCTGGAGGTCATCAACTACAACGCTCAGCGTCGCTGCAAAACCCACAACTGGTTCAAAAGCCATACTATCCGTCGAGCTGACGACGATAAGCGTCGATATCATGTGTCACGTGATTCAAATCCTACAGTATTAAAATTTTCCAGATCTACAATTACCGTGATATCAAGCCCGATGGGCAATTCGGGTGAGCTAGACAACTCGAGCAAGTGAGCCGGTCAGCCATTGGAGTCTCGATTTTTGAAACATGGGCTTTAGGAATGTCGCGGCTCCCAGGTTTTATTCAACTTTGAAGGACACAATGGCAGCGAAAAGTGCCAAAAAGGCCGTAAATGAGGAAACGTGGAAAGAACTTCACAGAGCTGTTCCAAAGTATCACGAAAGTATACAGCCATTTTATCATCCAAACGTGGCAGAGAGAGCGATTTTATGTGCCACTGAAAATTGCCCACGGCTGCTGGACGGTCATAAAATTGTCCCAGCTATCATAAAGCGTCCGCGTGATATCACGAACACACTGGTGAATGCTAGATGGATGTTCAAATCTGTTAGTGACGCACAGAAGTGGATCACTGATTATCGTGGTGTTGAATCGGCAAGACAAAACAAACGTTTTGCTCTCATAGAAGATCGTGATGTTGAGCAAATTCTCAGACCCAGTCGCTTGGACCCATCACAGTTCTCGGAGCTTCAGAAGTTTGCTGATTTCTACAGAAAACAAGGCCCTGCCGCTCTGGATACTGTTCTCATTTCCGGGCTGATAGAGTCGCTCACATCCCTGCCGGTGATCAAGGTCTTCAGCGAAGAAGTCTTCTTGTACATTTTACAGCATTACTGCAGGACCAAACATGGTGTAGTCGGCCTGACCCACTCGATTATCGAGTTCTTACACAAGGATATCGACGACTTTAAGGTAGCGGAGCTACTTGTATTGCAACTGCTGGTTACGTTGAGACAGAAGCAAGTGCCCGTGGACGCTGATGTCTTCTCTGCAGTCACTAATCTTCTCATTGCGATCTCTGAAAGGTTTCACAAAAGCAACTGCGTGCTGGATTTTTCACCAGCGACCATTCAAGCAGTATTAGATCTACATCTTGAATTTGGTAATTTGAATGAAGCCAAAATGTTGCTTGCCCATTTGGTCAATAGGCACATATGTCCTCAGAGTGCAGTCTTGGAAAGATACTTACTACTTGTGGACGAGACAGTAGGCCCCGCGGGCTCACCTGAGGATTTTCTTAAGAAATTCGCATACATTTCTGACTTCAAGTTAATTTTGGAGAAAGCTATCACACCAACAATAGCATCACTATTAATACCTTACTGCCGTCATTTTGATGAGATTTTGTCGTTGTTGGATATCATAAGCCGTTCCAGGTTAAAGAAGCAAATCTGGGACCAAACTTTACCCCAGTTAGTACGAAGGGTCTCCCTCCTTGAAAACGATACTGTGACAAATTCTTGCAATTTGTCAGTGCTTTTGCAGAGAGCACAGCAAGTCTACGGTTCTTCGCTCTCGAACAAAGTTTTACAAGCTTTTATCGTTCAATATGCGACCAATGGGAACTTTGCAATGGTTACAAACCTAATGAGTCGACTTGATGGACAAGTCAGTGCTAACTTTAGTGCCGGGATTTTGACCGCATCTGATTCATTAGAGACCTCAAGCTCGTTTCCGGGCTTTCGTGTCGACGACAAACGTGCATTTATCAAGTCTTCCGTTTTGCCACGATACAGTTCACTATCAGTTGCCGGAAGGCTGAGTGTTGTTAAAAATGCAGAAACGGAGGACATCCTCGAGCAACTCCTGCGGATGGAGTCCAGCGTCGAAGGAAATGAAAAGAAGTCATTGCTACACGAAGTTATTGCCAAAGCCAAATCCTCGGGTTTGGAGTCTTTGACACTAAAGTATGCAAAATAAGTTACAACCGCTTTCTACCAACTGCATCGAGGTACCTGCCGACTTCTACGAGGCTGTACCAACCTGTCTTGCGAGATGAGCGGGCCGGAAAAAGGCTTCAATGAGTGAATGCCAGTTCAAAAAACAGCCATCAACTGCTCCTCCATAAGGTTTCTACGATAAAACATCGAAGCTTTATCTTACAGGTCAATAAGGCGAGTAGTACAGCTCAATCAAGATCTGTTATCAAGCTTTTTTCTGAACAAGTTGAAGTTGGCAGATGGCCTTCAATTTTGATTCGAACGAAGCTTTTAGACAAGTGCAAGACATGGGCCCACCAAAGAATATCTCTTATTTGATTCATGATCGTGCTTTGAGAAGTGAAAGTTCTGTTTGCAGTGCTGGAATAGCAGTTACACTTTGGTCTGACACTAGGTCGTGAAAACGAAGTGATTTGTTCACGATAATGAGCCCTGATCTCGGGAATGCTTTACAAGAGGCCTAATCGCTGCTGATCGTACGAGACCTGTTGATAATGCGGCAGCTGTCCAAAGTCCAACCGTGGTACAATTTTCTGTACTTACTTGTTTCATGTTGGTTTCATCTTTAGGTTCGTCTACAAGAATCATCATGACAGAATTTTGATCAAGTTAATGGCATTCAAGAATGAAAAGCGGCTTCGATGTGGACTCATGTATGCCTGCAACTCTTGGTGATCGTTGTTCGTGGACAGCAATATCAGAGACTCGACTACATCGATCAGTTCTCCAGGTCACTACAAGAGTCGGATACCAATGCCTATGATTTGGAACGCATTGTTCGGACGAACTTTCCGTTCCATAAGACTTTTTGCGCGGGAGAAGCCCTCAAGGAATTTTTACCAGCCTGCCTTGAGAATGGGATCGAGACTGTCGATCCAAAATTGAAAGTTCGAGCTGCGGTGAGTCTATCATTTTGCGAATTCCAAGAATCGGGCCTCGAAGTCAGGCCAAAACACTGCTCTGACCTGAAATTTGGCGATATCAACATGTGTGTGGAGGAGTTGCGGAGCTCCCCACAATGGTGGACGACCTACAGTGGATATTATCAGCGTTTACCAACTTTATGCTACGAACAGTCTTTGCCTTACGAGAAAGATCAAATGCTTGGTCTTTTCCTCAACATAACCAAGGTCTATTCAAGCTTTAGTGAATCTCTAGATGCTGAACTTACGAGAAAGTTTGCAGGTTTAGAGAATAGAACGGACAAAATGATGGAGACATTCGAAGAAGCTCTACAAAGTCAAATATATGATATGAACAAGCTTTACGCCGATAAACTCAGGTCTTTTACTGACGTTTTCGACCAGGTTCGGGAAGAGGCTGTCAAGGATTTGACGGGCAGCTTAGTGACTGTGCGTAACGAACTTGTTAACGCAGATACTGATTTGTGGCTTGAACTTAGAAGCCTTAAAGAGTGTCTGGAAAGTGTGAACGTTGAGCTTGAAGATCGCGATTACGCCCGACAAATCAGAACGCTCAAAAATGAAAGCCTCGAATTATCGAAAGAAGCCACCGAACGAGGACTTTTGCAATTGAAATCAATGAACGAGGCGCTTGAAAAAGTAGGCACTGAATCGACGCAGCAAATATCAGAAGTGAATTCAAACATAGCAGATTCTTACGTCGATGTCCTCATGGCTTTTCAAGATTTCAGAGACGTTATTCGAAACTCTATGATTCCTCTAATCCAAGATGAAATGCACCCTCATCTCGATGAATTTAACCAAAAATTGCTAAGCAACTTGCAAGAGATTGATGCCGCGATGGAAATTCAAACAGAGACTTGGAGCGATAATCTGCACAACACTTTCGAAAAGGTGAGCACCGGACTTAATCAAACCGCAGCAACTGTCCAGCAATTGGAAATTGATATCAAAACAGCCAATAGGGAACTGGGTTTGTTTATAACTACCCTTCAGATGCTTCAAAGTATTGTGCGTGACACCCTTTCTCGTGCTTACTATCTTGTGACTCTCGTCCCAGTAGCAGCCCGTCCTTTCATCATCATGTATCTGGTTAAGGTACTATCGGCGATTGGCAATATCACACCAAACATTTACCAAGCAGTGGCATACCTACCTCCGTATCTGGGAGAGTCCATTATACTTCTTGGAGCTCTTGTGGGAGGTTCTTACCTCGGCTTCTACACGATGGTGTAACAAATATGTAATTTGACTCATAAGATGAGGATGTTGTTCAGCTTCTTGTTCTTAACTTGTCGTTCAAATTCATCATACTCTATATCGTACATTCAGATGCTAATACATAATAAGTGGGTGACATTCAGCTTAGATACTTTGGTCAGCACCTACTTCTTTTCTAAGGTTTAGTCTTCCGGAAAGTATATCTCCGATCTTGTTGAATTCCTCCCAGTGGATCTCTTGACCCTTTCTCAATTCAACATTGGTCTCCTCTTCCCATAAGTGGGCAATTGGCTTGAAAGAAATGTGGGATCCGTTCACAGCAATGATGGCAGCCGAAGCATCCTCGTCATGAAGAGTGTACTCCTTGACGCCGTTAACGTACTTGAATCTCAAAATTTTGAAATCCTCGTTTTGCTCATCGGAGTTCTTTTTGTTCCATGCTTCAATGAACTTCACACACTTAACAGCATATCTAGAACCAGTGACACGATCTCTGGACGAAGGAACACCACCCTGTTGTACGTGACCAGGGATGGCAGTCCTGGAACCGAACTTGTTGTCTGAGGCCTCTGCGATAATATCAGAAAGAAGCTGTGTGGTGTAGATACTGGAAGCCTGCTCGTTTCTGATCAGAAGCTTACCGTTACGGGTTTCTCCCTGGTCATGACGGAAGTTTTCCTTTAGTAGCGCCAAATCTTCTCTGATGCTCTTTAGATCGATCTCATCTTCAGGAGTATACACGGAAACAGCGCCTGTAACCAACCCTGTGAAAGAAGCGATGTAACCGGAGTGGCCACCTTGCACCTCGACAACAAAGACTCTTCTTCTGGATGCAGAAGCAGATTGCTTGATGGCGTCTGTGTAGTTGACCAAAGCATTTAGACAGGTGTCAACACCTAGAGAGTATTCGGTACCCGGAACGTTGTTGGAAACAGTAGATGGAATCAACACCATAGGAATATTGAAAATTGGGTATTGAGCACGAGCGTCGCGCAATTCCTTCAACGACTTGAAACCCTCGAAGCCACCCAAGATAATAAGACCATCAAACTTGTTCTTCTGGAAATGGTAGGCGATAGAACCCATATCGGAACTGGCGACAGATCTGTTGGTTCCAATTTCGGATCCACCGAGATTGTGCCAGTTCTCCACGTCAATCCACGACAGTTCTTTCACTTCACCTGTTTGAATCAATCCACTGAAGCCATTCAAAATGGCAGAGGCAGTGTGACCACGCGACAAACAGTATAGAGTGGCTGCACGGGTAGCAGCGTTCAAAGCAGCGGATGGAGCTCCGACATGAACAATGGCAATGTTCAATCTCTCGTTTTCTGGTAGTCTTTCGGAGCCATCGTCCTCTACAGTGGTGGAGAGGAAATTCTCATAAAGCTCGATAAACTCGGTATCACGGAGAGAAATGGCTTTGTCAAAGTCCTTGCTTTCGATAGCGTTGGCGACACTCTTAGTTAGCTTCACCGATTCCATCAATGGCACTCTAATAATCTTGTTCTCCAGAATACCAATCAATGGCGAGGGTGTCTCTGGTGTCATTTCCAGAATAGCTTTGACGGCGTCAACACCTTGCAAGGTAGCTAGCCATCTGTCATGAGCCACAGCTGTACCACCTCTCTGGACGTGGCCCAGAGTGGTGATCTTGGTGTCTAAGCCCAAATCGACCAATGCGTCCTTGACTTCATCGGCGGTGATTGGCTTCAAGTTGTTGTCAAGAGCACCTTCCGCCACAATGACGGTGTTGTTTCTACGTCCCTTGTCTCTGTGGGCTTGGCAGACTTTCTTCAATTCAGCTTGCCATTTACCAGCGGGGGCGGCCCTTTCAGGAATGAAGATATAATCGGCACCAGTAGCAATACCGGCCATCAAGGCTAACCAACCACAGTGTCTACCCATGACTTCAACAACAAAGGCTCTAGAGTGAGATTTAGCAGTGGCATCGATGTAGTCAACCATTTCACAAATTCTTTCCAATGCGGAGTAAGCACCGATAGTAGAATCAGTTCCGGACATATCATTGTCAATGGAACCAACAAGACCGACGATCTTGAGGTTTCTGTAAGGTTCAACACGTTCTGCGGTGAAAACGCCATCATTGACGAGTTCTTCGACCAAAGAAGGCCATTCAGATCTGAACAGATCGGCACCGGTTAGAGAACCGTCACCACCGCACACGACCAAGGCGTCGATACCTTCCGTGATCAAGTTGGCAGCAGCTTGCTTTCTTCCCTTGCGTTCTCTGAAGCCCATGCAACGAGCGGTACCGATCAAGGTACCACCTTGGCTGAGCCAGCCTCTGACGTCTTGCCATTCCATCTTGCGTAGAAGTTCTCCACCCTGTAGCAGACCTTCGTAACCCTCGTAAACGGCATAAACGTCGCAACCGTAGTAAATACCGGCTCTGACCACTGCACGAACGGCAGAGTTCATACCTGGAGAGTCACCACCAGAGGTCATCACTGCGATTTTTCTCTTGACACCGCCCTTTCCATCAGAAAGCTCGGAGCCAGTAGAGTTTGCGGAGCCACCGAGCTCCTGTTGCTTGAGGTAGTCTGCGAGTGTTTTGTCCTCGCTCAAAAAGAAGTCTTTGCCCACTGGTTTGTTTTCACCGGCTTTCACGTAGGGTGAAAAGCGCAAGGTGTTGCCAAGTGGATCTTGGGCCACGTATTCGCCATGTTCGAGCTTTTGAGCTTCTGGAACCACGTCCGAAATGTGTTCTGGCTGAGCGGTGTAGTAAGTGACGCTAGTGTCAGCAGTTACGAATGGTTCTGCGGAAACGAGTCTGATTTTCAAAAGAGCGCCGTCACTTTGGTGGTGGTTGGAAGCTTCTTGCTGTGGGATACGGAATCCGTTGCTGTCCACTTCTGAGAGCTTGAAGCTTTCTAGCCAAGTTTCCTTGACGGAACCTTGGGCTGTTCCCGAGGTTGGCGTGCTCTGCTTGTTGCCTCTGAACTTGTCGTAAGTCTTTACGGTGGAGAATCCAAGCTTGTGGTAGAATTTGATCGCGTTTCTGTAGGCAGTCTCGTCTGTCGTGGCGACAGATCTGAAGGCCACGCCGTAAACCGAGTCCTGGGTCATTGTTGCAGAAAATGACAAAAAATACTTGGTTTTTATCCCAGAGTTATTGTGAACCCAGTGTTTCTTCTTAAATGGTGGTCTGTGGGTAAAATAAACAAAACCCTGAAAGCTGAAGAGACAAAAGACAAGATACTAGATCCCAAGACACCAAAAATGATGATGTGTTGATGAAAAAAGAATCTGGACTAAAGTGCCTCAAAATAAAGCTGTTCTTCTGGTTGTTATTCTTGTTTTCGAAAACAAAGTTGAGAAAACTAAACCCAGATTAAAAAACAGAGATTTTCCAGCAGCACCGAGTATCAGCAAAGGTGTTTTAGAAAGTAAATGTTAATGAATCAACGACTCAAACAAACAAACACAAATCTCAAAAATATCAAATTTGGAATTGCTGAGGGAGGGGGCCCTTATACCGAAATCAACCTAAAATATCGCGCTGCGACAGAAAGTTCGAAACGTCTCTCGACTTTTTATATCACCGTACCTGAATCGATACCGGATATAGTTTTAGTTTTGCTGCTGGTGAAAGACGACGAGGTGGGAAAAAAAAATATGGTGGTTTTCGCTGAGGCCATTTTCTAGGTACAAATCATGATTGGTAGTGGTGGTGGGAGGTGGTGGGAGGGTGGTTGCCATTGACGTCGATTGCCGGTTGTTGTTGTTGTCGTTGTCGTTGATGTTGTCGTTGTCGTTGTCGTCATCTCGTGGTCAACTTGGTGATGGTCTGAGTTGAAAATCGACACGAGCTTCCGGGTCACGTGACGAGTGGAAGCTTCAGGCAAGACGCTGCAGGAAGCCGGCGGAAGCTGGAGATATGAGGAGGAGAAAAGAAAAGAAATTTGAAGGTGTATGGGTGCACCCATACACACTATTCGTAGGAAAGCATAGCAACAAAAGAACACGTGACATAAACAACTTTTATTAGGTAAGCCATTTCTGGAGATTGAGATCCACGTGATCCAAAGTCGCGGTGTGACTATCACGTGCCACCAGATCATGCTTCTTCTTGCTCCCTTTCTTTTTTGCCTTCGTTTCTCGAATGCTTCTTCTTTTTCCTATTTTTTTTTCTGCGCTTCCGCGTACTCTATATGTCGATGAGATTAGGACCCTCGCTACGGTAATAAGGCTGCTGCTGCTGCTGCGGCTGTTGTTGTTGTTGTCCCGGGTACTGCAGCTGTTGAGAGCCCTGCGGGCCGTACGACTGGCCATACAGGAACTGTTGTTGTTGTTGTAGTTGCTGCTGCTGCTGCTGCTGCTGGGTGTTCTGGGCGAAAACAGGCACCGTAGGCAAATGCTCGAGCCCGCCAAACGTGTGCGGACGATCCTGGCCCTGAACTTGGCCCTGCATTTGACCTTGTCCAAAAGGATTGGTACTAGCGGTTGCGGAGGCGTGCGCGATGCCCGTTTGCTGGTTGGATTGCGAAAACGGATTGAAAGTCTCACGTTCGTCGCGAACTCGAGCAATATTGTCCAGCGAAAACGGATTCTTCGACCCCGTGGGCATTGCTACCTGTGGCTCGGCGGCCGCTGGCGGTTGTGCAGCACCCGTGTAGCCTCCAAATCCAGCGCCGGTGTAATGTGGGGTCACGTGCGCGTTAGAGCTGTAAAACCCGGTTTGAACAGCTGGCGACTGCTGCTGCTGTTGTGGAAGCTGCGTGTGCTGGTACTGCAATCCCTGCGCTGGAGACTGTTGTGGGATCTGCGTGTTTTGATACTGCGGGCCCTGAACCTGGCTCTGTTGTGGGAACTGTGTGTTTTGATATTGTAGGCCCTGCGCTGGGGATTGTTGTGGAAGTTGTGTATTTTGATACTGTAGGCCTTGCGCTGGAGATTGTTGTTGAAATTGCGTATTTTGATACTGCAGGCCCTGCGCCGGTGATTGTTGTGGCAGTTGCGTGTTTTGATACTGCAAACCCAAACCCTGGGTGGTGTGACGCTGCACCTCCTGCATCCCGGTCTGCTGTGCCACCTGTTGCGAAGCTCCTTGTTGCAGTGCTTGCGCCATGAAAGGATTACTGGTGGGCTGAACCGTAACCGGATTCTGTTCAAACGTAAAGCCTTCAGAGAAAGGATTGTAGCCTGTCTGTTGCTGTGGGATCGTGGGTGAAATCACCATCTGTTGCTGCGACCGCAGTTGTTGCTCCAGTAGCTTTTTCTGCTCCCGAATCTGTTCCAATTCTCGTTGGGCGGGTGTTCTCTTGTCGTCTGCGGGGAAGGTTTGGGCCTTGTTCACGTCATCCCGCAAGTGCTCTTCCAAAGATCGAATCAATTTGGTTGTAATATGCTTGATGACAGGGATCTTCAAACCTACAGCTTTACCAGTTTTCAGATATTTCACTACAACGTCTGTCAATTCCACAAACCGCTTGTATAACTTTAGCGTGCGTTCCGCGTTCTGATGCGTCAATTCGAAGAAACTCTCGAGCAGCGTAATAATGCCCTCATTCAAAGAATTGTAAAGTACTAATAAATCTTGTACCATGAGTCGAAAGGCGGTCATCAATAGGTCGTTGCCCAAATCATACTGCGAATACCGGTTTTTCACCAGTGCGGTAACTTGTAGTTCCAGCGACTCAACATGGTTCAGCGCTTTTTGCGGTTCTTCTGCTACGGGGCCTTTCAGATTTGCAGACCCATCGCGAACATAATCTTTACCGATATTGGCGTATTGTTCGCTGCGGCACTGCAAATAGTCTCGATACCGTCTCAGCGCTTGCAGATCGCCAGAGGACAACTTTGAATGAAACACGTCTTTGAGCTGGAAAAATTCTGGGTGATTGGACAAATATTTGATGGTTACATCTAGCTCTCCCTCCCGTATCATGACATGCACTAAAATTAACGATTTGTAGACGATTGTCCACGCCGTGTCCATAACACGGTCTTCTAAAGCATGCATGATCTCTCGAAAGTCGTGTGGCTCGACAGTACCCAGCAAGATTGGGTCCACGTATTTGGCCTTGGGAGGTGCCATCTTAATTTTCGTCGCACCTTTGACTAGCTTTTGATACGTCGTCATTGCTGCGGTTTTTTCCAGAAAACAGTTGCTAGTACTTTCGAATGCGCCGAAAACTCGTAAACCACTCTCAATGAGCTCTAAAACGCTTTTTTCAGTTCGATTTTTGTTGATGTCTATTAGTGTTGATGAGTTCCAAGTGTCTGCATTTTTATCAGTATTTGGTTATAGGGGCATCTTTCAGCATAGGGCAATGGCCAAAACACAGCGTAGAGAGTGACATATTCACGTGCTAGTGGTTCAAGCAGCAGTTTAAACATGTTGTGGAGTTTCCCAGGCTGCAATTTGAGCATATGCTGTGGCGACAGTGATCACAGTTCATTGGACTATCTATCGAGTCGCAGTAGTAGCAATTGGTGCGTGGTTCTGACTCTTTCAAACTGGGACTCGAAACGCGTCTCGCAGACATTAGCATGGCTCTAAAGGCATCGGATCCTGACCCGGAAGTGAAAAGTTGAGGTTTCTTCAGCTCGATTGCAGGTGAATCATCACCAAAGGAGCGTTTCATCGGTGCAGTTTTGTTGTGTGGCTTTGGACAGAATTTGGATTATCAATTGGAATTTACGCGTTATTGCACTGATGAGCTGTAAATTGGAATAAATTGATGAGATGAGGTGAAAAAGTCGATCACGTGATTGTGATGATTCTTAAAGGTGGTGGTAAAGAAACGGCTATAATATCGGAATGAGACATGTTGTAGAGTTATTAGCGTGTTGAGAGGGTAGTTTTTGGTCTAGCATGTATGGGGTATGGTGTTTTTTAGTATTCTGGAACTGAACTACAGAGATGCAGACATTCCTGAGTTTGGAGTCGAGACCACAACTCGAACACAGTTCAAAGACCATTTGAAGATCTTCGAACTGCACCAAACTTACAGGAAGCTCTTTCATTTTGATGAAAGCTCTAAATGGAGGGATTGTGTCCCTGCTATTTTCAAGATCGGACAATCTTGGCATTTCCGACGAGTGAGTTTACCCAGATTTGCAATTGCGTCATTACTTCGGGAGTGAACGGGGTTTTTTAGAAACTTAGAAGAGAAGAGCACGTCGCTTAAAGTGGTTCTGATGGATGGAATGGTAACCTTCTTCTTCTTAGCGCCAGAAAAATCGTTCAATTCTATTGTGGCGTGGACTTTTATGGGATTGAATCTTCGAGAGGGTGCTCGAAAGAAAGTGTTTTCGTAAAAGGAAACGCTGATTTGGTTCTTGTAAGAAATGTCCATAAGGTGCTACCGCTCAGCAAGGTCTTCTTCGATAGCTTGAGGGATTCAGTATTCTGATTTGGTTCACCGTACAACATGATACACACCATCTCTCCAGGACGACGGAGAAGGTAAAATGAAAACTGACAAAACCCATAATTTCAATTGACTGTTCGCTTTCCGAAAGCAATTGCAGCAGCTAATTATCACCTTTATGAGAACAGCTAGCTCTTTTCATGTTCCAGTTCCCAGATCTACCCCCCCCCATAGACTCTTTTTCGCTCTCGAGTACTCCCGCGAGTACCCTGTGAAGGAAATATTAATTAATTAACTAAATAACTGATCAACAGCCTTAAACCTTATTCAAACCCGACTTCTTCAAGAGCTCTGTACAACCAACAATGGAACATTGAATCACCAACAATGCCAGTCCGGCTACGTTTCTCCGAGAACCGCTGCTCCACATCTCAGCATGTAAAAAGAGTACTCCCTTCTCTAACAAATGCGCCCTATTCGCTGGCTATGGCGTAATCTTGCCAACTCCCAAAATAGCTTCGAGCCTTACTTACGTATAGAGTTTAAAGCATCCTGGAAAACACCATTTTTATTATTCGTAGATCGCAAAGCTCTGCTACTTTCCGTATTCCGATTCCTGATACAAACGACCGAAATCTCCCTGTCACTTTGAGCAATTCTTTCTTGTCCCGTTTCTTCGTCCACTACGTCCACTTCTTTCCACTTCTTTCCACCCCGAACAATACCCCACATTATTAAGTTTGTTTACTCCGGGTCTAACCGTGTTAACCTACCAGTACCTCTACTGCTAGTTCCACTGTTCCCCACAAGCCCTTCGAAAGCCTTCTTTACAAGCCCTCTCTGTCTCTGTGATGAGGTCTCGAATATTGCCTCAGTAAGGTTATGCTGTTATTTTTATCGTTCCGTTTTTCCGTCCACTCTTCCACCTGTTTTTCCACTCGATCCTCTTCTCGGCGATGACGTCTTGCCATCCGGACACCGCCGCAAAAAGAAAACCGAAAAAAATCCGCCATAGCGGCCAAGCCTAAGGAGCCCAGAAATGTCCGTGGCAGCTCATCGCTTCCAAGGAAATTAAGAAATAAAAAAAAAAACAACAATAACGTCATCGCCTAGAACAGCAAGCTCTCCTGCATGTCTCGGGCCAAGGGGTTCTTACTCCCACCCCACAGACGCACACGCACGTTCTTGCTCTCGACCGAGGCCCCCCGTCGCACGCTGTGCTCTGGGGGTCCCGCGCAGATGCCTTTCGCCCCAGGTAAAAGTAGTAGGGGTTGTGCGGCACGCTACTGCGTTTTCTGAGAAAAGCCGCTGTTGTACCGCTACAATGCTGTCTCATCGGGAAATCCAAGTATATAAAGAGCATGTTTTTGCTCTTTGGGTCTCAGGAAGATGTTATATTCATAGCCAGCGGCAAAAACCAAGAAGTTTCAAGGACTCCTGGAATTTGAAGCAGGTTTTGGCGAGAAAAAAATACATCAGCGGTAAAAGCTCAGGAAAGTATATCAAACGACATACACTTATTGCATCTACCTCGCAACTCGCAACTCCTAAATTCTCATTTTTGTCTTTTTGTTTGCACATTACATCATACACCATAAAAAATGAAGATTAAACCCGCTAGCAGAACTAGTACTATGGGTCTGCGCGGCAGAAACCTGCGATTGGCCATCACCATCACTGCGGTGACTGGTTTCTCGCTTTTCGGTTACGACCAGGGTCTTATGTCCGGTCTTATCACCGGTAAACAGTTCAACGACGAATTCCCCGCCACCAAGTCTCAAGGCGATAACGACCGTAAGGCCGAAGTCGTGCAAGGTGCCGTGACATCGTGCTACGAAATCGGGTGTTTCTTTGGGTCTCTTTTCGTCATGTTCATGGGTGAGCGTATCGGCCGTAAGCCGCTCGTCATCCTCGGCGCTTTCGCCACCATCATCGGTACCGTCATCTCCACATCCGCATTCGGCCCACAATGGGGTCTCGGCCAATTTGTCATCGGCAGAGTGTGCACTGGTGTAGGTACGGGTCTAAACACTTCCACCATTCCTGTGTGGCAATCGGAAATGTCCAAACCCGAAAACCGTGGTATTCTTGTCAATCTCGAAGGTTCCGTCATCGCACTTGGTACCATGATTGCATACTGGATTGACTTTGGTCTTTCTTACGTGGATTCCTCAGTGCAATGGCGTTTCCCCGTCGCCATGCAAATTTTCTTTGCGCTTTTGTTGCTAGGTGGTATTTGGGAATTGCCAGACTCTCCACGTTGGTTGATGTCCCGTGGTAGAAACCAGGAAGCCATTGAGATTTTGGCCGCTTTGGACGATCTTCCAACTACCGACGATTCCATTGTGGCAGAAGCTTCTCTCATTCAAGATGCTGTCAACCGTTTCCGCCACGAAAAGAGATCCATCAAAGACTTGTTTACCGGTGGTAACTCCCAAAACTTGCAGCGTGCTTTGATTGCTGCTTCAACTCAATTTTTCCAGCAATTCACCGGTTGTAACGCTGCCATTTACTACAGTACCGTTCTTTTCGAAAAGTCCATCGGTCTAAAGGGCAAACTTCCTTTGATTTTGGGTGGTGTATTCTCCACCATTTACACACTTTCCACAATCCCCTCTTTCTTCCTTGTGGAATCCTTGGGTAGACGGAAACTGTTTTTGCTAGGTGTTACTGGTCAAGCTATTTCTTTCACTATCACTTTCGGTTGTCTGACGAAGAAAGACAATGAGGTCGCTAAGGGTGCCGCTGTTGGTTTATTCTTGTTCATCTGCTTCTTTGGTATGTCTATGTTGTCGCTACCTTGGATTTACCCACCTGAAATTGCCTCCATGCGTGTCCGTTCTGCCACCAACGCTTTCTCCACATGTACCAACTGGTTGTGTAACTTTGCCGTGGTCATGTTCACTCCAATTTTCATCAGCGACGCTGGCTACGGATGTTACTTGTTCTTTGCTGTCATCAACTACCTGTACATTCCTATCATTTTCTTCTTCTACCCAGAAACTGCTGGTAGATCTTTGGAAGAAATCGATATTATCTTCGCTAAGGCTCACATCGACGGTACTCAACCATGGAGAGTCGCTGCCAACCTGCCAAAACTTTCTTTGGCCGAAATCGATGACCAGGCCAACGCTCTTGGTCTATACGATGACGACTTGGAAAAGCAAGACCTGGAAGCAGATGCCGATGCTGAAGGTGAAGACGGATTGAGGAACCGCAACGAAGGCGGTGTTGCCGGTTACAATCTATTCGAAAAGAAGGAGAACGACCAGGACCCAAGCCATGATGCCAGCCCCGCTCTCAGAGGCCCAGCTGATGGTTCTTCCAGCTCTCAGAAATCCGAGTAATCTCACTGCCTCGGACAGGATAGTCATTACTGAAAAGAAAACAAAAAAAAATGGACTTTGATGAAAGATTTCAAATATTGTCCGAACCATATTTCCGTCATTGCGGAATGTACTCAAAGGTAAGTCCGGTGTCGTTGATCGGTCGCGGTGGAAGGCAATACCAACCTTTCCTTAATATAACTTGATCATCACATCTGAACCCTGAACAGGAATGAATAACTTACGTTTCGACGAACCAACACAACATAACCCGTCATTGTAGTGTTAATCATTCCGTGCGGTTTTGTTTGTTTTTCCATCAAACTGGACCATCAATCCTTGCATCCGACGCGTCGGGACTCAATAATCAATTAATCTACATATATATACCGTTACAGACTTTTACAACATCATTGTTATTTATTTGTTAAAATTGTCTTCAAATCTTGGATTTCGAATCTTGGATTGCAGACTGGAAGGGTTGCTGGGCTGTAAGAACGTTGCCAAAATATAGTAAGACAAGACAAAGAACGGATATTGCAGGTAAATCAGATAGATTCAAGACTTCATGACAATTTGTTTCAGTGAACATACCAATATAAAATATCAGTGGAAGTAAAGATCAAGTTCGTAGTTCTGAAAACAGCACGATCTCAGCTATACAACTTTACATGGGAAAAAAATCATATACATATTTTTGAAAATATCGGGAAGTTATTGACTCATTTCAGTCTAATACCTCTAAAGACAAACTCTTCGGTTATTCTAACACGGCTTGAGAGCTTAACGACATTTAACCAATCTCTTAAAAATGATTCATCTTTTAACTTTCAAATTGTTTCTCCGGATCCAGACCACAGAATTTCATCAAAAGACCGTCATTTTGTTGAGCAAAATTTAAGCTAATTTTCGAATATACCTAAATGTTCAAAACATGTCTCAAATTAGTGTGTTTCAAGCGTTTTTGGCTACCCGTCGCCGTGACTATTTGTTTATCTCTATTATCTTCAAAACTTGTTTAATTAACGATATGACTCTCTTCGTCAAAGATGATGAATAAATATCAAAAGAATTTAGTCACGATGAGCAAGGTCTTCCAACTATAAAAACCAACTCCTGATTTAGCTGCTGTCAGTTTTTCTTGATCAATTGCTTCAGATTCTATCCAGAAATGAAAGTTACAAGCTCTCTTTTGAGCTCTGCGTCAAAAACGCTCGATAAATACTCACTTTTCGTGCCTAAGTCCGGTGTCTTTCCAAAAGGTTATGAGGTCGCTTCTTTGGCTTCTGGTGTCAAAAAAAACGGTGCTTTGGATCTAGGTATTATCCGCAACGTTAACAAATCTCGCAAATCATCTGCTGCTGCTGCTTTCACCACTAATCGTTTCAAAGCGGCGCCGGTACAGTTTTCCAAAAAAGTTCTTGATACGAGCTCTGGAGAGGGCATTGACGCTATTGTTGTCAACTCGGGATGCGCCAATGCTGTGACAGGCGATTTGGGTATGCAGGACGCAGAAAATGTGGCCTCACAGGTCAACAAGCATATCGGTGAGAAAAATAGCACGCTGCTCATGTCTACTGGTGTAATTGGCCAAAGACTTCAAATGAACAAAATCTCTAGCGGTATTGATAAACTTTTCATCGAAAACAAGTTCTCGTCCGACTTCGACTCGTGGCTAAATCTTGCTAAGTCAATCTGCACCACCGATACCTTCCCCAAATTGATCTCGTCTAAATTCACTCTTTCCGATGGAACTGAATACACGCTCGTGGGTACTTCCAAGGGAGCGGGAATGATCTGCCCTAATATGGCCACTCTTCTCGGTTTCATTGTGACTGATCTACCCATTAAGCCTAGCGCCCTGCAAAGTATGCTAACCGGTGCCGTAACCCGTTCCTTCAACTGTATCTCCGTTGACGGCGACATGAGTACCAATGATACTATCTGCATGCTGGCCAACGGTGCTATCGATACCCCTGTCATCGACGAATCATCTTCCGATTTCCAGAAGGTCAGCTCCCAGGTTACTGAATTTGCCAAAAACCTAGCTCAACTAGTTGTTCGCGACGGTGAGGGTGCCACGAAATTTGTTACCGTTAACGTCAAAAACAGTGCCGACTTCAAGGACGCCAGAATCATTGCAGAGACAATTTCAAACAGTATGTTGGTGAAGAGTGCTCTCTATGGCCAAGACGCCAACTGGGGTCGTATTTTGTGCGCTATTGGCTACTCTAAGCTTGAAAACTGTAAATCTCTAGACGAGTCCAAAATTAACGTCAGTTTCATTGCCACTGATGGTTCGTTTCCCCGTGAACTCAAGCTCATCGCCAACGGTGTTCCTCAGCTCGATATTGACGAGTCGAGGGCCTCGGAAATATTGGCTCTATCTGACCTCGAGGTCCTAGTTGATCTTGGTACCGGTACTGAAGAGTGTCAGTTCTGGACTTGTGACCTCAGTCACGAATATGTTACAATCAACGGTGACTACCGTTCTTGAATAAAACCACAAAGTAATACTTAGTTAAATTAAACAGTCTAATTGGCCTCCGCACTAGACGGAATCGTTACGTTTTCAGACAAATACCTTGTTAGCTTTTCAGCGTCCAAAACGGCAGTCTTAAAATATTGACGTTTTGGCAAGAACTTGAGAATTTCCATGACCTTGTCTGTGACAAAATCTTCGGATTTTTGTCTTTTATTGTTATTGGATGTGGATGCTGAGTTTGACGTTTCTCTGAGTCTTTTACGACCATTCTCTGTTGCTGGAATCTGAATACCAGAGTCGTACAAATAGTTGAGTTCCAATCTTTTTATCAAGTTGCTGTCTTGCACCTGGTATCGGTCTGTGAAAACCTCGATTTTCTCCAAGTGTGGGAACCTCTCAAAAAATCGATTCTCTATGGAGTATGCATTGTTTAGACTCCCAAATTTTGATTCATAATTGATAACCTTCTTGTAGATGGTCTGCAGTTGGTCTGCATCCACTACTTTGTCCAGTGAGGTTTCGAATAACGATTTTATAAGACTATCTTGATTAATTAGTATCAAGAAGTCCAAATACTTGTTCACATATTCACCGCTGTCAGCAAAATATTTCATCCCCAGTTCTAGTACTTTGCAAGCTGTCTTATGGTCATTCTGATTGTGGTATTCCAGGTATGCATTCTCGACGTAAATTTCGTGAGTTAAAAGGTCTTTCAGCTTACGACATTTACCAAAGACCTTACGAGCAGCAGAGAGCCCGGAGACTCGTTTCATTGCATTCATATAGATGCAGTAAGCAAAAGTAATTTTTTGTCTTATCTCGTAAGTGTCTTGGTTTTCATCGCTCATAATATGATACTCCAGGACCAAGTGGTCGATGCATCTCTCGAGACTCAATTGCATTTCATTAACATCGTTCTGAAGCTCATAAGACTCCGCGAGCTTGAAAGCAAGTGTGCAAGAATTCGCGATCGCTTTCGTTCCTATCGCCAAAATGTCTCTTGCTTTAGCACTCGAACTTGACGTAACGTACATGGAGTAGTTATACCAAATTTCAGGAGAAAACAAAAGGTGTTGTATGGATTGTTTGTAAACGTATTCTATGCGTTGGGCGTGCTCTGGTTCTGGTAAATCCAGCTTATTTTGCAGTTCCCAATCAATCCATTCTTTCCACAACCGCAGTTGCTCGATATCATATTGATCCGGTTGCGGGATTGTTTGACGAGAGCACTGTGAGATACGTGATGGCAGTGTCTTTCTTAGACCCTTTGTTATATTAGCCCATTCCTGATACAGCGATCTTGCCTTCATGTAGTTGGCTGAAAGTTCTCCGATAAACTTTCTGGCTGTGAGAGAGTTTACTTCTTGCTCCCATTGCGTGTATTTGCTCCACGACCTTTCCAGCCCATCAAAAGGGATGCAAAGCATGCGCTTGTACAGTGAACGTGTGAGATCTACTCGTTGTTGCTCCTCCCACTTACTGACAGGCTTCCAATGTTCTAGAAATGACAAATACTCGGCCCAAAACGCAGATGACCGCGGCTCGAAGCTTGCACACTTCGTGGCTACTGCATCAAATGCCTTAAGTACCACGCTGCGTGCTTCTTCGCCGCCTGTAATGATGTTGTTCTTCCTACGAACAAAGTCCAGATACATAAACCACAACCCGAGGTCGTTATTGTCCAGCTCACCCGAAAGACTACGCGTCAGCAGAGTCTCTGCGTGTGCAAATTCGTCACGTTCAAGGTCATACCCGAGTTCTATCGTCCAGAGAGGCGCAAACAGCGGGAATCGTTCATGTAATTTGTCCAGCACTTGGCGTGCATCCGGCAACAGGTCCTCGTCCTGAAGCAGTCGCACAAGCTCTAGATATGTACAGATATCGCTAGGATTCTCCTCTATGCTATCGCTCAATCTACCGCGAATGTCGTCGTCCGCTCTGCTCTGCCGCTTGCTGGGCCTTACAAAAGTTCCCTGACCGTTTTTGGCCAATTCAGGAGTGACAGACATTATCTATAGCTAATATTATATATGAAAATGATCGCGCGTTCGACCAGATGATAGAGGAAGAGGTTTTGGAGGTTGAAAGACGCTAGCTCGGTTGTTTTGGCTCACAGCAAGTGGTGGTAACTTCCCATCAACTGTCTAAATTCTAAATTTTTCAAAATGCTTATTTTTCATATAGACGATATTAATTTCTACACTGGACACTGTGAACGATATAGTGGAATAAAGACAACACCAGCGCTGTCATCGAAATTTTAGAGTACTATGAGGCTTTTATTTTGATATTAGTTCGGCAAAACTACTTCTTTTTCATTTAGCTAACTTTTGACACTTTTTTCGTCAATTTTGGGTGGAAATTGATGGAGAAACAACTCGTTCAGAAGATGACTTACTGATAATATCGGGAAATAATGTATACTCTTACTGTGGATGGCATACCTGGAATTTTGAGTCGTGGGGGTTTGCCATGGGGAATATAGACAGTTTGAAGGACCCAAATGAAGCAAAACGAGTAAGCCAAGTTCAATACAATAATTCGAAAATTGGTAAACATTTTGTCTCTGTTTTACATGTCTGAATCTAAGCCACTTGAACCTCACTAGGGCTTCTAAAAAATGCCCACAACTGTGAAGCAATCTCGATTACCTCTATGCTTTTTACATTCTTGACTCACAGACGTTGTAACCATCGAGACTGATAAAATCTCCAGATAATTCAGGAATTTTTCTTAAATCTCAAAAAAAGAGCTAGAAAGACAAAATAAAATTCCCAATGATACTCCATTGGATTTCCAAAATTATCCCAGTTATCAATATCCCGACAGGACAGCGTTTTGAACTTGTTTTGCCCAAAAGTTGTCTCTTCGTGTCGTGCATCATGCTCTTTCGACAATAGTAGTCGTTAATTAGCCTAGCTCAGCTCATTCAGCTCATCGCAGAGCTCGAAGAAACAGCTTAAGCAACACCCATCTATCTCACGACCATGAGCTATGTGGTGCATCTATGGGGGCTGAACGGGAAGCCAAGCATAATATCTCCAGAAAGCATTGCCCTTTTCTGGTTGTTGAATGAGACAGAAATAGCATCCAAAGACATCACATTGGTCTTCTCTAATAATACAGATTTATCACCTAACCAGGAACTTCCAATTCTAAAAGACGGATCTAAGACAATCTGCGGATTTGCAAACATCGCGTCTTTCTTGACGCCCTCAAAATCGGTTTTAGAAAGTGCTTTATTGCAGTTTGTACAGAACCAGATCGGAACGCTGACCCAGTACCAATTGTATCTGAACAGGAACAATTACGACAATTTCACTCGCAAACTGTTTTCGTGTCTGTTGGAATGGCCGATGTGGTACAACACGCCTTTGAAATACAGAAGTCTTGCGCGTCAACACTGCGAGACGCTGGGATATTTTTCGCACCCGGACGACGCAGACCATGTGGAATTTGACCAGGACCAAATCGACGACCTGGTGCAGTCCAAGGCTTACAAGCTCACCAAGGCGTCCAAGTCCCGCAAGCAAGAGTTGCTGAAATCGGCTCGTTTCAACATACAATTCATGAACCGTTTGAGCGACCAATTGCAGAGCTGGCTTGAGGCCCGTGGAAAATTGAAGACCCACACCGTGGTGGCCGCAGACTATCTACTGTGGGCGAATCTACTCATACAGCTGGAGCTGCCGGACGGTTATTTGGTGCGCGAGCATCTTATCAGGACTGTGGGGGACGATAAGTTCCGGGAGATGGAAGACGAATACAAGAAACGGTCCAAATTCGATTTGCAACTGGAATCCGGCTTGAACCAAAGGGAACCCTTATTTTCGGAGCGCGGAAGCGCTGTAATGAGTGCATACTACGCATTATCCCGTCTGGCGACAATTTGAACCGGCAATTCCGCCTGCCCTTTTTCAATTCTTCTTTGGCTTGTGGAGGCCCTTATACATGAAATAGTACACCACGGTCCCATCGTCGTTGACAATACCCAAAATGATTCTTCGACACTTGAGTTCTGCGAAAATCTGATCCGCTAGTTCCAAAGTCAAGCTGCCGCGGCTGTACTGCTGTAATTCTAGCGGCAAAAACCATTCATTTCCCAGTTCCAGGTCGTCGTTACTCAGTTTATGCGGTGGAACACCGTTCACCACCCAGATGTCCAAATTTGACAGTTTTTTCGCCTGAACAGCATCCCATAATTGTTGGTGAGCCAAGTTTGTTGTAACAAGCTCAAATACCAAAGAATTGTCCATCATATCTGACTTTACTGTCCGCGATGAGCTAGCTGTATTCACCAGCTTCATATACTGGAAATTTTTCAATATTTTAAGTAGATCATCTTCAGTCAAGTTCAGCTTTTATTCAAGAATATATAACTCAACTACAAAAGAACGTCAAGAAACTGTCAATCATGGCCGTTTTAAGACTTTCTGTCATCTGCCTTTTGATCTGGCTAGGCGTTGTAGATGCCTACAGAAAAGCGGTGAATCCTAGACCCACAACAAGTACTTCGGAAGAGATTAAACCATGGCGTAGAACTATTTATTCAAGTCAGGTAGAAGTAGTTACACCCACTGTTATTGCGGGTGTAACTTTCTCGGCCAAGCCTGCAGTGACTTCTGATCCATTGCAACCATGGGTGTCTCTCGATAAGCTCGGAAGCCCCAAAACTAAGAAACCTGAGATCAAAAAAGGTCGCACAGTTAACGGATATCCCGATTACAAAACTTTCTTCCAAACGGCCCATACCACCACCCTTTCTGGCGCAGAACTCGGTGCTCACAACATGGACGACAAAGAGATTTTCGAAGAGGAGTATTTCGATGACGAAGACAAAACATATGTTTCGTTGAACCCTGTCATTCGCTGTACGCCGGACCGCTACAGAAACAAAGGATTGGCCAAAGACGTTTCCAGCGCACCGTTCTGTACTCCTTTCGAAAATGTGGAATGGAAGATTGACCACACCTACTTTGTGACGTGGTTCACCAAATTCTTTGAAGATCCAGCAACGGACAAAATCGCAGAAAAAGTGAGACTACACGCCTTCTACGTCAAGGAGAAAGCCCACGAAAAGGGATTCGGAAAGAGAAGTTTGCGCGGTTCGTTTTTCAGCTCAGAATGGGTGAAAAACGTTGATGGGTTGTACCCAGTGGAACCCACAGAGGAATGGCTTCAGGACAAATACGAAAAACGTATCTTGCTTGCAATCCAGCCCGATTACATTAGCGATGACGAATTTGATCCATGGTCCCACGGGCTATTGTTGAATGTCATTATGGGCTCTCGAGTATTCAAAAACACCAAGGAACAGCTGGCTTTGCAGGACGCGGGTCTTTCCGATGATACCTGGTACTACGTGGCCCTCACCATGCCCACCATGGTTGTTGTGGCATGTGTGGCCATGTATTTCTTTCTTCAACTCAACAAGAACCATCGCGATCTTCGCGACGTTAGACAAATGGCGGTCAACCAAAGACATCGCGTACTGGGTAAATTTAAGACTTTCAACAAGTACAAAAAATTCAAGAATCATACCTACAGCGAGCTGCCCACGCATAGTAAAAAAACTAGTAAGCAAATTTGATTGTCATTGTATATAGTTGCTATCGGTGGGAAAGCGAGAAAACTATTTTCACGAACCATTATTATTCTTTTTTATCGTTGACTTGGTTTGGCCGTTGAGCCCCACCCTATTAAATCCAGTCCTGTTCCGCTGCTACTTGGCAAATCTTTTCCAGAGTTACTACTCTAGGATCTGGTTTATGAGGCTGTTCCTGAACACTTGAACTATCCTCATCAGCCACTTCCTCGATGTAATAGAAGAACGGTTCTAGAACGATCATGATCTTCCAAAAGTTTGCAGACCCACAATTGGCGAAAAGAACTTCTATTAGAGACGGAAGAAATTCCAATTCAATATATTCCTCTGCACTGCACACAAATTCGTCGAGTTCGAAATCTTGCTCATCTGCTGATAGCGTGGCATACATTTCGGATAGTAGCGTCAGCTCCTTGCTTATGGTTTTTGGAATGTCTTGGCGGGCTTGCCATAATAGTCGCTGAGCCGTTTGGAGCTTGCCGTTTTCGGATAAGCTATCTGAGCCTGTAGGGTCTGATGCCGAGGGAGGCTCTTGATTGACAGGTAAAAACCCGTTTCGCTCGCTTTTTTCCATAAGATCGTTATATTCATTGTACAGCGAGATTATCTTCATCATTGGCTTGTAAAGTTGTTGGCACACTTTTTTCTCGCTATTCGGTATGATAACTTTCTCCAAAAAATGGTTGATGAGGCCCTCCATAAAGTTGGCCCAAATCGAGCTAAAAACGTAGTTCTCATCGTGTTCTGACTCCTTGAAATTCTCGTTGATGTTTTGTCGCATTATCTCTTCTATAAGCGTTCCGTAGGGCCGTTCTTGTTGGGGCTCGATAACATGTTTCTGAGGTTCTTTTTCCTTGGTCTTGGATTTCGAAGACAAATCTCTCGGTTCTCCCTCCGACTGGATCCAGTAATCGGACCCGCCTTTTTGTGAAAGTGTTACCAGAAGCAAGAAAAGCCTTACTCTTGTCCAGGGAAGCAAGCTGTGGACTTGCAAATCCGAGATTCTGTTAACACCGCTATTGATCTGCTTGTGAATGCATTTCACAAACCGAGCGATGTTTTCTGCACGTTTCTCGCCGTATTTGTCCGCCAGGTAGGGCATTGAGGTGATGGTCTCGTAGTTTCCCTGGCGAACGTTCATATGCTTCATGAAATTGAACCTATACCTTACTGGCTTCTTCGGAGGACGACACTTGTTGCAACCGCATTTCCGAGCAGGAGCATTCTCGCTGGGAGTGGTCATTAGAGTGTCTGGAACAAGGCTGGAAGCAGGTTAGCCAACGGATAGTGAGCTCTAGAGGGATGTTTATGGGTGGATTTGTAGGTTGTAGATCCATTGTCAGAGTGTCAATCTTAGAAATTTTTCAATTTAGTATTGATTTGCTGCCGAATAGCTAGTCGATTTTCGAGTCATGGGACTAGAGGAAAGAGGTAAAAATCGAGTAGATGTGGTCACATGACCGAGACGAATTCTTATAGGAACAGAGGGCTTTTCTTGGCAAACGCTGGCGGCATATCCTGAGTGGACTAGCCAGCCGCGCATCAGGTTCATCGCTCTCCAAAAGTATTTACGAAATCTTTAAGTTATCCAAAAACTTTGATCTATATTCAATTGACATATTAATAGTGCATACATGCATGCTCTTTATAATTATTGGGTTAATGATTAATCTGAAGAGTTCCTGTGCTTTGGCTCCGAATCGCGCTCTTCGCTGTTTGAGTCTTCGGCGAGAACTTGATCTATGTCGAGATCCAGTTCGTTGATCACTTTCTCTTCAACGTTGGACAAGTCCATGAGACCATAAACGGCAATGGCAATGAGACCCAAAATAGCAGCCAGACACGAGAAAGTCATAGCCACAATACCCTTGGCTGTGAAGCCATCTGGAATGGATTTCTCTTGAACGTTTTCTCCGGCCAAATTCATGTAATCTTCAGAGTTTCCTGCAGCGTTACCTTCGACGGGGATGCCCAAGTTTTTGCATACGCCGGAACTGGTGTCAGTTAGTTGCTGAGAGCTGCGTGCCTGGATACCCTCTGGGTCCTCAATCAAGATGAAAGCCAGACCTTGGGTCAAATGCCACTCAATGTGACAGTGGAACATCCACACACCTGGGTTGTCGGCCTTGAAACGGATAACGAAGTTGGACTGAGGTCTCACGTATAGCGTATCTCTGATCATTGGGTATTCCGGAAATTCTGGGTGGTCGTCCTCAAGGTATGGATGAGGCACTTCGCCTAGAGCGTCGTCGTAACCGACATCACGGACCAAGGTTTGGAAAGCGTGGCCGTGCAAATGGAAAGGATGGGTACCGGTGTCCTGATTGTTAAGAACAATTTCGACGATTTCGTCTTTGCCCAGCACGTACGAGTGCGTGTTGCTACCGTAAACTTCGGCGTTGACAGCGTCTTTGCCGGCAGACAACGCAGTCAAAAGCGCGGGCACCTTTGGCGCCGTGTAAGTAAGGTTATTGAAGAAGGCGTAGTTGACACCGCTGATTAGGTTGTCCATGGTGACGTTGACGGTAATACGGTAATCGGGGTCGCCCAAAGCTTCTTCCTTGTGGTAAGGCACCAAGTAGAAATCGTCAACAAAGTCGAGTTCATCCACAAAGTTCTCGGTGGGTAGAGGAGCGCTTTCGTTGTAAACCATGTAGTTGGTGGTGTTCAGCAAGAGATCGCCGGGGATAACGTCAAGCATGGTGTCGTCGAATTTCTGCATGACCGCGAAATTGCGGTCTGTGGAGTTCTTGGTGTGCACGAGCACAGTGTAACGCTGCGCGGTTGTGATGTAAATCATGTTGGTGGTGTTGCGCTCTGTGTAGATACCATCGACTTCGACGACTTCCATTTCGTGGTCTTCGATCCAAAAGTACTGCGACACAAATCCACCGGTGTTAACAAGACGCAGCATGTACGTGGTGTCTGGCTTGACGACCCAGGTGTTGTTGCGGGTGTTGTTCATGATCAGGTTTTGTGGGATCGGTTCTGCACCTGTGGGGTTGTAGACGCTGAGAAACTTGCTGTTGAGCACATCCGCGACGTCGTGGTACCACTCACCGAGCTGCACAGTCACGTCCTCGTCGTAGTCGTATGGGAAGTCTTTGTCTTCAATCACCATGGACCCACGCATACCGTCCTGGTATTGTCCGGCCGTGTGAGAGTGATACCAGTAGGTCCCGACATTGTCTTCGACTGTGAAGTTGTACAGGAATGTGTCTCCAGGGCCTATAGGACACTGAGTGACCATAGGAGGCCCGTCCATCTGGTTGGTGCCGTTTTGGAACAGACCGTGGAAATGCAGCGAAGTGTTACGGTCGTCGAACCCGTTGTTGAGATACAGTTCCACACGGTCGCCCTTCTTGACTCTGACCTCAGGCCAAGGCCACACTCCGTTGCATGTAATGACCGGTCTTTCCAAGGTCCCGTCAACGTTGTAGTTACCCCATCCAGTGGTCCAGTTGAAACGATGCGTTTCGGCTGCAGCGAACCGCAGGTTCGCTGCCACCAACGCTGTGGAGGCGATCCATCGAAGTAGCATGTTCATGAGTATGAAAAGCCTGTGTTTCCTGTCTTCTATCTCCTGTCTCCCAAGTATGTTTCTTTCCAGGGTCCCGCTCTTGCCCCCATCCCCGCCGTTATATACACACACACAGGTCCAACGCGTCTTGGATCGTGTGGGTGTAGTAGTCCCAATCTGCTTGTCCAATTTTTTTCCTCCACGCCTGCTCTCCGGTCTCTAATTGCACCCAGGAACACAATATCGGAGCCTTCCAACCTAGATTACCAAAACCTGGGTGTACTGCCCTTCGCAGTTGTCCAAACCACCGGAAAGAAAAAGCCTGCCAACGACGGTTGCTAGTTGGGCTGGTATCCTGCGTTGCTTGGCGTAGCGTGCCGTTTTCTAGGACGTCAACTTGGGAAACAACCCGTAGAGTTCTTCAAGCAGAGTTATCTCAGATTCACGGGCGATGATTGGTGAAAGCGGTGCATTGTCGTGCATTGTCGTGCAGTGTGGTGCAGGTTGGATATTTTTTCACACATCATCGGGTTTAGTTTTAGAAAAGACGGGAAGGACAGGGCACTAGGCCAGGAAAGGGCTCTGGGCAGAGTAAAGTTTTTCGGTGGGAGGAAAGGTTTCCGTTGTGAAGTGGAAATAGAAGAGGTGTAGGAAAGGAAGAGAAGAGGTGTAGGAAGAGAAAGAAAAGAGGTGTAAAGAAAGAATGGCAAGAGGAAAGAGGAGGAGAGGAGAGGAGGAGAGAAGAGGAGGAGGATAGGATCGGGAAGAACAAAGAGGTGTAGACAGCAAAAGAAAACACTAGGTCGGTAGGGCGTGAACGGCTAGGTTTTGTTGTGTGTTCTTGGTGTGCTCGATGTATGCAGTAGTTTTTGTTCCCCCTGGTCTTGTACGTCTTGTATCTCTCGTTCTTGTATGTCTTGTTGGCCTCGTCTTTCCATTCGGTACTCACATCTAAGACCCGTTTGCAACCGAGAAGTTTCGTCAATGACCCGGATTTGACCCGAAAAACTTGGTTTTACTCGAATGGGTAAATGTCTCATCGCACACAGCACCAAAATGTAGAGATGAGTAATTATCCACGAAAGATGGAGACGGAACGGGTCCTGAACGGGTTGTTGTTTCGTACGGGACAGGTACTTTTGGGTATCGAGTGCTTTTCGTAGATGGGCCCTTTACCAGAGGTTATATTGATGAAGTCGTAGGCATGATCGGACTTGATGGTCGGATCTGCTCGTCGTGTAAGCGTAAACACGATAAAATGGTCTTTTTAGCAAGTTTCACACTTATGTGGTTGTTCCCCATCAGTTTTGGAACGTTGGAGGAAGTTCTTTGAACGCCGCAAGTACAAAACTCTGTGGCCAACGTAACCAAATGATACTGGACCAGACGTCAGGAAATTGATCATTTCGCGGTATTTCTTACAGAGTCCGATGATGCTCTGGGTATCGGGCTTATCATTCTCCCATTCTTGCACAACTTTAGAAACTCTTTCTCTCTCGAGGCCAACACTGTGTAGCGAGCAGCCTCGAGAGCTTGGTATCGAATTTCGTATGCACTAGCACGAGTATAGTGTCGATACACAAGCGTCTTTTGACTTGGTCTTGCTTGGGATGTCTCTTCACATAGCTGTTTGCAAGCTTCCAAATTATTCCTCTCATTCCTCTGCAGCTAAAAGCTCAGTAGAACATTCGCCCGAGGTGACTATTGGTGTATTGTTTACCGCCTTTGAGAATGACCCTTTCCCGGCTTCCATAATCAACCCCGGTAAAACAATTCCCTTCAATGCTGGAACTCAAGATTGCAGCAACAAAGTATATGTCGATCTTCTTGAATCACCCCAAAATATCAACCAAATTCCGACCTTGAGAATATTGCATGAGAGGGGGCGAGCTTCTATTTCATCGCTGTTGCATAAGCCATGATAAGTGGTGGAGGCAATGGCTATGTTTTTTGCAGCATGCCTTTGGGTAGAACGACCCTACAGCTCGTGAAAAACTCCATGAGTTTTACTGTATAGTCTGGAAGCCGGAGCCGCGGACTTTTGATTACCCCAGCAAAAATGACTTTCAGGCCTTCAATGAGACCTGATCATCCACCTGGAACATCAGTTCATGATATCCGATCAAAGTGACGAATTGTTACAAATGAACATCCAGCGCGTTTCGGAAGCCAAAGGTACCAAGAGTAGGTCGGTATCTGTTTTAGTAGACCTTAATGGGGTTGACCGGTTGGTTATTTTGGCGAGCGGGCCAATCTTTCTCGACTTCTCAAACCCCTGTCTTGTAGGAGCATGAAACGGGAGTTTAATAAGTGACTTGCGCGGTAAATATGATGAAAGTTGCTGGTCTTTCACAAGCTTCTGGTCCCACAAGCTTCTTGCCTTACAAGCTTCATGTTGCCGTGAAAATATGCAAGTGTTGGGACCTGCGTTTGAAAGCATTGTATGATGAGATTGAGTCGACTTTCGAATGCGCTTTCAAATATCTTCACCATTTCTGCAACCGCCTTGTATCAGCGTTCACTGGCACGACTAGAATCATCGATATCGACAAAATTTGGAAAGTGACTGCGCGAAGAAACCCGAATTTATAAAGATGAGCACTCTCTCCCAGAGCTTTTGTATATTTCGTCGCTTCGATAACAACTTCATGCTCCAGAGCTGCGATGGGCATTTCGTCAAGCCATTCGAGTACAACGCCACTTTAGACTTGATTGTGGCTCAAGGACGTATTCTACCCTGCATTGCTCATTATTTCTCAAGCCGGATCTGCTATGAGCCAAAAAAGCAGTCAGGTCGACCTGACCGCTATTAAGCGAATTGTCCAGAAAAAGCCAGGGCCATGTTTAAATGGGCAGCAAAGTATTATTTTTCAGACCTGAAGCATCAATGGCTGACAATCCATAATCGTCTACATCCCAAGACTGGCATGGGGACGTAAAATAGGCTCCTGCCGTGTTCCGGGCGGTCATTTTCAAAGTTATAATCGTGATTTGAGCGGCTATCACAAAAGTGCCTTCTGTAAAACGCTCTTCCGCGATGTAAGCAGGCAGCCGTTTGAGCGCCATCCTGCTCATACAATCGCAGATTTTGGAAAACGCCGGGTCCTTTTATTCAACGTGACATTCTCAATTGAAAGAGCTTTTCTTAGTGAACATATGAGTTCCTTCATGGACAAAAACTCCTTTATCAGCCTGAAACGTTTCTTCTTCGAGGAGAAGCTGTCACTTATCATGATGGACCAATTGCAAGCAAGTACAAACGGCATAACGATACTTGGTAAAAGGCTGTGAGGTTGGAGTGTGTGCTACAAATGCATTGTTTTGTTTCTCGCGCGTTGATTTTCTTTATCGAAAAGCTCATTACGCGTCACTACAAGCACGTCAAGCACGTCAAGCACGTCAATAGAAGGAAACTTCGACGGGCTCGAAACAAGTCCAATTTGGTCTTGAAATGGATTCCACGTCATTGAAATCGGGTACCTATCAAATTCTCGACTCTGGAAATGATGGTTTCCAAATTATTCTTCTAGAGATCTCTTAATCGTACATTGAAAAGTGTCCGCTGTAAATGTCTGTGGGCAGCCATGCCGGTGTGACAGGAAAACTTGCAGCTTGTCTCCGCGGCTAGCATTTGTTCACAATCTTAAAAAGGGTATTTCATATTCGATCTGAAGCATAGCTCTGCGTTGATAAAGGTTTGATCAAATGAAAAATAGCAGCTCAGCCGTCTATTGAAGTAAGGACTAAAATTGAATGTGTCTAAGGGTCCTCAATAATGTTCCAAATTCAACGGTGTTTATCATCATTCTACTACACAATCCGCAAGCTATTACTACAACTTCCTATAGAATTTACATAACTTGGTTGGCCATTCCAGAATGAGCTTTCTAGTCAAGAAGGTTATCGCAGGACAGTACACCTGTGAATAGTTGAGTAAGTTCCTGGATTGTTAGAATCGGTTGATCCCACTATGGTGCCTCGTCGAAAGCGATAACCGTTCACTAACCCATAATACGCTACTGATCCGTTACGTTTTATGGAATTCTGTTTAATGGCCAGTCAGTCTAGGATTTTACTTGCAAATGACAGTGGGCTGAGCTTGAATAGCGGGTTTATGTTCATTGAGTTTTTCTGTTCTTTCTATTGAGCCAAGAGGCGTCAGAATCGTGGTCTAGTGATATGATCAGTGACGGATCATTGGGAAGCGTCACCATGAACACGCACGAAGTACAAAGAGTTTTATCAAGAGGTGGACCGATTTAACTCAAAAACAGCGGATGAACAGGATGAAAATGTTCAAAATAGTGGTTTTTGACCTGACGCTGTGTCGATCGATGAACTGAACTCGCAAATTGGATCACTTCGTACGGTATTTTTGAAATTTCTCACGATTTTCGAACAGGTGGGCCGATGGACGGGGTGGTTCGTTAATCCACTTGTGGTTTCCAGTTTCCTTTATTTCTTTGACGCTGGTTGAAACGTAAGCTACTGCTTTTCAAGTGGTTCGTGTGAGCTTTCCAAAAGTCGACGTCGAGCAGGGTTCGTGCATAGTGCGCTACGGTTTAAGCACTCGGTTCGTAAGGTAACGTGCCAATTACTACAATGAGTCATGAGTCAGCTCTAGCAATCGATGCTCATCGATTGATCAAGAACTCCGAGAAGGTCATTGAAGCAGCGGATTGCTCGAGAGAATGGCAGCAGGCTAACGTGCTCCGTCAAGCAAACTGCTCACTTATCAAAGAGCTGTAAGTCTACTCATCCATTGACGCTGGCCTTCACGATGCGGGCAACACATGTAGCACCGCCGAAAGCTTGTTGAGATGCAGCTTCCTGATGGAATCTGGGCAGTCCAAAAGAACCTTTATTCCATCAACAGGCGCTCACAATGTTGGTAAGATTTAGGTCGCAGCTTTGTGGGCTGAAAACGGTGCAAAGCTAAGTAAGGCACCAATCTCAAAACGCTTGGCAGGCCAACGAAGTACCAGGAAAACTGTAGGCTAGCTGCTATGCTTCAATTCTGTAACCAGCTTCATTGAGACTATCAACATTATAAAGTCTGAAGAACAGTCTTTCATTTGGCGATAATAATTCCAATATCATCACAGTTAGAAGGAGCAATGGGCCTGGAAATTAGCGAAGGCCAGTACAGGTCTCTTCGCATGCCTATTTGTGAACTTTCCAAAGCTCTGTGGGGGGAACAATCGCAAAAAACTGGATTCTGGTTGGCTATCCTAGAGAAGTTTTGAAACTCATCAGAAAGACGGCGATGGTAAAGTACGCACCGCTAAAATTTCACCAATCCTTCTTTCTATTTTCACAGGGTGTTGAGAAATGGGAGTTTTTGTTTTCACAACACCAAAGAGCCACTTCAGGGAAACACGGGATTCCGAGGCAGTCTCTTGGTACTTCTTTTGCGCAGCCGTTATAATAATACCTTTGAGTACCATTCAAAACTTTTACATGCAGGATGCGCATGTACTCTGCATTTGGCCGTCTCTGGTCTTTAAAGCGGCTTGAGTCAGCTGTACAAGCCGCTAGCCATTGAGTTTGGGAAATGCTGTTTGTCGCTACCAAACAGCCTGCCGAACATGTGCTAACACTGCAAAGGATATTTACAGCTCGATATCTCGAGAAAAGAAGTTCTTTGACCAGTTGTACGCTGACTTTTGCTGCCCAGAATCCCCATGCAACCTTGCAAGCTACGCACACACATACCTGACGCTCTCACGACTCGAGATAGCTGGTAAACGAATAAGTCAACGCAAAGGCTCCGCCCTAATCATCAGTTCAGAGCATGAAAGCTTTATAGCAGGCTTTCGAAACCTCTCAGCCGCTGCAAGGTCTATGAAATTTGTGAAAGGTTCACTATCAAGCTCCGTCGTGAACAAGAAGCAAGAATTGTGGTGATTTTTGAAGCTTCAGATTCTTTTTGTCAATTTGACCCGGCAGTACTAACACCATATTTTCGACACTGTTCGAAATTTAAAAATATGGCAAAGTACGAATATCATGTCACTGTTTTCATGAAGGTCGGGGTTTTGCATTTAGCCATGGTCAACGCCAGTCAAGCTTTTCTTTGCCATATCGATTTCTCACTAGTGAGTCGATGACGAATAGAAAACCTATTCTGACAGGGCTTCACAAATTGTTCTCAGTCCAGATCAAAGTCGTCACAGCGAATGAAGCTTGATTTGAGCTTGCGGTCATCAAAATCGAGCGATTATCTAGGCTCAGAAAACCCTCCCGATTCAAATTTCGCACTGATCCCTGCCAACCATGGAATCACCTAAAATCAATTATCAAAAGAGACTTCCACTGCTCTCGAAACTGGCATTCGGTACTTATCCGTCTTTCAGACACACTATAGTATCTCAGTCATGGCAGAAAGGCCTTCGTCACCAGCATTTGGTCTTTTCCAGCTCACATAGACTTTTTGAGCTCGTTAGAAGCCCAAAATCCAGACATTTGGCGTAAACTAGTGTAGAATAACAAGCATTGATCTCTGGAGACAGTACATTGTCATGTTTTTGTTAGGTTTTGTTTCCATTAGGTATATGTATAGTTGAAATAACAAGATAAATTGTAGAATAACATCTATTTACCAACAAACGCAGCGTAAATTGGTGAAAAGCACCTGAAATGAGCTCGATTGAGAAGTTTGTGAGCCAGCAGCCGCTAATAGTCCACTCATCTTTGGCTCAGCTGCGATATTTGGTGCTCAGCGAAGGTCTCCCGCCTCCAAAGGATAGATCATCGGTGAGATTGAGATGCAATGTGTGGTCAGTTCTTGCGAGATGTTCGATGGACGGAGCCACATCAGATTACATTTCGATGGTACGAAGAGGTCCTCCGCCGCCTCCAGTCTACTCCAAAATAAAAAACGACACTTTTCGAACTCTCAACACGGACCCACAGTTCGTAGCGTCAGTTTCGGAAGATGCCATCACCAGATGTCTTTCGTGCTTTGCTTGGTCAGTTATCGATAGTTCGGATGATAGCATGGAAATCAGTACCTACGTACAGGGTATGAATGTTTTGCTTGCACCGATATTGTATAGCAGCCCATCTGAACCCATGGCGTACAAATTATTCCAGTCACTTTGCCAAGATCACATTAGAACCTACCTCAATCAAAGTCTTACAGGAGTGCATAACGGGGCCAAACTGTTAGATATGTGTCTCAAGATCATTGATCCAAAGCTCAGCAAATTTCTGTCAGACAACTTACTCACAGCGGAAATTTACGGTATTCCCTCGGTTCTGACGCTTTCAAGTTGCACCAAACCGCTGGATCAAGTTTGCAAACTATGGGATTTCATGTTTGCCTACGGCTTCCACATGAACATCCTTTTCATTGTTGCGCAACTGGTAGTCATCAGAGCGCGAATAATGAAGAGCAGTTCTCCCATGAACTTACTTCGTGTCTTACCTGAGTTCGATGCGGAAGAGATTATACGATTGGGAGTTGGCTTCGTTGCCAAGTTGCCATCGGCCATTTATGATCTACTTGTGCAGCATCTGGAGAACCCGGATCTTGCCATCAGATAGACAACCTAACCTCCGTCGTGAGATAATTCATCCGGTATGAAATATTGAAAGGAGGAGCAGCTGCAATCTACATAACACTTTCTTAAATAGCTTACAGTATTCCCATGTTGTAATCCCTCTCACTAAAATATGCACAAAGTATTGTTCTATCATTAAATTGACGTCCAGGGAGCTTTTGCATTGCCGAACGCGCACTGTCGATTTCCTTGAACTTGACAAAAATCTTTCCTATGCTCTCTTCTATGGTCTCGAAGCTGGTGCGGTAATCGGCTCCAGGTTTGGGGATTTTGACACTCTCAACCTCGCCGAAAGATTTCATTATGTCTGACTGAGTCATACAATCATGGAGCTCGCTGACAAAATCTTCGTTCTTCAGGTCCTTCCCATCGACACAATTGAGAAGTACAAGCACGCGGGAAGGCTCGTGTTCTTTCCGTGTCACTAAATGCGGCAGTTGCTGAAAAGTGATTTCATCAAAGTCTTGATGTAGTTTCGAATCATTTGGCCTGATCCACCTGTAATGACGGATATCGTTGTTCCACGACTTGGGATCCAACAATGCAGCGCCTGTGAACTCTTGTGTGCCCTCTAAGAAAATGAACTTAAGCCACTCGACCTCAACGCCATGTTTGCTTAAATCCTGTTTTAGCGCTTCCTCGTCAGACGCCTCGAGGCCCAGCAATGCTATCACTTGACCTCCACAAATGGCGTCTTCCGATTTGGCTTTCCGCACACATTCTCCGGGTCTTTGCCAGATAAATTTGCTATGCGTTTTCGCTTCTATGTATTTCTGGCAACTGAGCACGATGGTGGTTATCTCTTCGCTGCTGAAATGAAGCTTCAATCTGTTTTCGCTTAAGATACTGTGGGATTTGAGCTCGTGAGTTTCATCGACAAGCTTGACGAAGGTTCTCACAAATTCAAGGATAGTGGTCATCTCTGGATTGCTTGCCCCAACAGATGTCAAAACAAGTATTTGGTTGAATTTGGTCTTGCTCATGTTAGCTCTGGTAGGATCTTCGAATAAAATACGCGTGCGACGCGTCAGCACTCCACTAGACACAATACCGTCCAGTTTCGAACGATCCAACTCTTGTGGCTGTCCTGGAAGTGGGAATAGGCCCGACAATTTCGCTCTCTCTGCCGGTACTTTTTCAAAGCCCTTGGGAGCTATGTCCCAAAGCGAGGGACGCATTTTTTGGCGTTCACTGAGCGGCTGCACCTGTTCCCAGTTCACGTTTTCATTTCTTTCCCAACGATCGCCAACGTGGTTACTGTTGCCATTGTTCCTACGGCCATTCCCACGTCTATAGTAATCCTGTTGGAATCTGTTGTTATGGCCCCTTCCGGAGCCTCTTGAAGCACCTCCAAAACGACTCGGGCCTGCCCTACCTGTGTATCTCGAATCTGGTGCTTCGTCCTGGTATCTACTTCCTCTAAAATCTCGGTTTCCTCGACTCTCTCTGCTTCTATATCCAATTGACTCTGAATTGCCCGATGGACCAGCAGGGAATCGTCCGTTTTCGTCCCTGAAACTCATGTTTTGTAGCTGACGCTTCTCTCTACACGATGGTGTTGATATCAAGACCTCAATCCTTTTCTATCAGTAGAAGTTGGCCACTTTTTTATACTTTTTCAACTTGACGATGAGCTTGTAGAATTTAAAGATTCTTGAATTTGAAAACCCATCTCAGCTTAAACACACGTAACTCTTTATCAAAACCCGCTCTGAGAGCATAAACAAAGAAGATGGGACCTTCACAATTGGTATCTAGCCTTCTAGCACTACTTGGCTTTTGCCAGTGTGCTTTACTTGGTCTTGATTACGGTCAGGAGTTCAGCAAAGCCATGTTGGTGTCGCCACATGCACCTTTAGAGCTGGTGTTGACACCGGACTCGAAGCGCAAAGATGTGTCTGGACTGGCGCTGAAAAGCTTCAAAGACAGCGTAGAACGAGTTTTCGGGTCGGGAGTGGACTCTGCGCAAGTCAAAACACCCAATGGGGCTCTTTTGCACGTCAAATCGCTGCTAGGAAAGAAAATAGACGATCACTTCAATGCATATCACAAGGCTCATCCGGGGGTCAAATTCGTTGCCACAGAGCGCAATTCAGTCGCATTAGAAAGTTTGAGCAAAGCTTATCCAGTGGAAGAGGTTTTGGGCATGAATCTGGACGAAACTATCGGCAGAGCTAACTCGATGCTGGTGAACGAAAAATCGACTATGGACGAGGTAGACTCGGTGGCTATTGCAGTACCAGAGTTTTTCACGCAGGACCAGCGCTTGGCTCTGATTTCTGGGGCTCAGCTTCCTCGCAAAGAAATCAAAACTGTTCTGGTGAATGACGGAATGACGGTTGCCATCAATTTCGCGCTGTTTCAGCGCGATTTTCCGGCTGGCGAAAAGAAGCACTTCATTTTCTATGACATGGGTAGTGGCTCGACTCGTGCCTCTCTTGTCTCTATAGAACAGCCCGCAAACTTGTCGCAACCATTGAGTGTGGAATTCGGCGGGTACGGCTACGACGCGAGTCTAGGAGGATCGCAGCTAACGCAGAATGTTGCAGAACTTTTGGAAGTCAAGTTTCTCGAACAAAATCCATCCATCAGAACGCAAGTTTTCGAAAACGATGCAAGAGCGCGGGTGCGTATTCGTCAGACTGCTGAAAAGGTTAAGCTAATTTTGAGTGCCAACGCAGATGCTTCCGTTAATATTGAATCGCTTCACAATGATTTAGACTTCAAGACCACTATTACAAGACAAGAATTCGAGCAATTTTCTGAGGATTTGAACACAAGAGTAATTGCCCCGGTTTTGAGAGCTTTGGATGACCAGTTCTCAAATTCGTCGATAAAACTTGCTGATATAGAATCGCTTATTCTGACGGGTGGTGCGACAAGAACTCCTTTCGTTCAGAAACAGCTATCTGAATACTTTGGCGAGGACCTCATCGCTAAAAATGTGAATGCCGACGAGTCGTCAGTTGAAGGTACAACTATCAGGGGGATTCAACTATTCAAATCGTTCCAGACTAAAGCTCTTGATGTAATCGACCGTTCCATTTCCACTTATTCTGCAGTTTTCAATGAAACTGAAGGAGCCCAGAAAATCTTCGCGAAGGGCTGCCAGTATCCAAACACCACTTCGTTTTTAATCAATCCGGTGAAGAATATTACCAATTTTTCCATTGATTTGCAGGAAGACGGCAAAATATTCAAGACGCACACAGTGGTTACGGAACCTATTGTTACAAAGTTCCAACACGAGACTTGTCCTCATGGAGTCGCCTACAATGTGACTTTTTCATTATCTCAAGATCGACTTTTCGACATTGACACTATTGAAGCCATTTGCATTCAGAACTCAAATAACGCCGCAGGAGTGTTCAAGAAGCTCCTCTCCGGGTTTGACGCCGGTCATGACGAGGACGAACCACAAGCAATTGGATCTAGCAAAAGCATTGATAAAGTCAAGAAACTCAAAACTCTTGAAGAGTTTCCTCATTTGAGACCTATGAACGCCAGGGAACTTTTGACCCTCAGAAATCATATTGAAGAGCTTAACAGTCGTGACACACAACGTTTGAGGGTTCAAGAATTGATCAACATTCTAGAGAGTGAATTGTACGACGCCAGGAATTACCTCGAGGAAGGTGACACTGCTTCAAATGGTCCTGCCAAGGAAGTTGGTGTGTTGACAACAGTCGTCACAGACTACTTGGAGTGGCTTGACTATGAAGCAGATGATGCCCGCCCTGAGGAACTCTTGAATAAAATCGAATTAGTGAGAAGCTTGAAGGGCAAAATAACATTGTACATCGACTCAGCCGACGAAGCTCTAGACGCTGATCAATTCACCCAAATGTACAATAACGGCACTCAACTTATCAAACAGCTGAAGGAGAACAGGTTGATGGAAAATGAGACGGTGGAGGCTCTTCGTGAAAGCTTTGATCTAATTGATTTGGATATCACGAAGGAATTCAAAAAACTCAGGGCGCCGCGTCATTTATCTTCCCCGTCCCATAAACTCAAGGACGTTCTTCAGCGCATGGAGTCCGCACTAGCGGAAGTCAATGAGATGCAGAATCTTGCTTCTCTTGATGCAGTTTCCAGGGAAAAGCTGTTTGAACTGAAATTGCAATTTGACTCTTCCTTCCATGATCTTAAAAAATGGGTTGAGTTCGAGCAGAGCGCCCAGAATTTTAAACTAAACGAGTTAGGTTCTCTCTACGCTCGTCGTCAAAGGGTCATCAAGAAGCGCGAAGAACGCAAGTCTCAATCCACCACTTCCACTGGTGAAGGTTCCAATGCTACAACTTTCAGTGAGCAGCAATCTACCACAACAAGTACGACACTTGAACATGATGAATTGTAAATAGGTTTTGCATCTGTGTTCTGATGCAACACATCCTTAGCATTGTGTAACAAGAGTTTGACCCACAGTCGAATCTCATTATTATACACTTTTGAAAACTTTTGTATGTATAGGCCCTAGTGACTTTTACGATGATCCATATGTGATTCGTTGATTCATCCCTCGAGTTGATCAAGATGCTTGAAAGTAAACGGCTCGTAAGGATAGCCCTCACCTTCGAAAAACTTGGACATCGCTTCAACCCAATGTAATCGTAAGGAGTGTAACATGGCAGATGTGCCCTCCATCATTACCAGAATGCACACAGTTAGCACAAACCACATGCCAAACAGAAACACCACTTTCGCGACAGCAAGTGGCGAGCCTGAATTTTTTGAGCTGAAGGCGTTGGCAATCGTCATCGACCATAGCACACTAGACAGCTGGGCGTGTGCCAAAGAGAGTGCCCAGAGTCTCAAGTAAGAAGCAGTGTGAGATATAGAATTCAGGCAGAACTCGATTGTATGGATCACCTGGTGGATAACGACATCTCCAAAATCAAATTCATCGGAGTGCTCGCCGTGGTAGTCTGTAACGATTACGCCGTCGCCGGCATTCTCTTGAAATTCAAGAATACTCTCATTCACTGCCTGCTCGTTGACACTCTGGTAGCCTTGCGAGAGAGCCCTTTTATTCTGAGCCCTCAGGGCCAAAGGTTTGTAAAGAAGCAGCCAGGGGACGCAAACTAGTGCTGCAAGCAAGAAAATGACCTGAAGGAACGCTTGACCGCGAAATAGAGGCTCATCGACAACACCGGGGGCTAAAAACATGTTGATGAGCATGTTTAATAAACCCGGTGCCACTTTTTCATCCTTCACCCAATCTTTCGACCATTTGTAGATGATTGCCCAGGTAAGATAACCAAAAATGGATTGCATGAAGATGAGCCCGGGAATAAAGTTGCCAATAATGTCAATTTTTGAATGAAAGAACCTGTAGTTAACTAGGGAAAAGAGCAATGAGTAAGTCATATGAATGAACCCCATCAGTACGGATAACTTCATCTTGTAAGAGTTAGTGAATATCAAATTATTCTCCGTTCCGTGCCACGCGAAGTCGATTCCAAAAGGATAAGTCCCGGTCCTTATTGCTTCGATTGCATCTCCAGGTTGGAAATTTGAAGGCCATTTCCATCCTGATTTGAAAAAGGTCATGGACAGAGAAAATATATCATTGTAAAGCAGTCCTGTGTAAATGGAGAAAAATCCCATTAAAAGAATGACATAACGACCCGAAAAAGCCATGTCGAATATCTCGCCGTTTGTGGCCCTCGATAGTTCCCGCTCATTCAAAACCAGGTAAAGTCCGACCATGAACAAGATGGCACCATGTCCTGTGTCACCAAACATAATGGCAAACATGAAAGGGAAGGTCACGATAGTAGCAAGACCAGGGTTGACTTCTTTATATGTCGCGACACCATAGGCATCTACAATTGCCTGGAAAGATTGCGTGAACTTGTTTGTTCTGTGATAAGTTGGAGGTTTCCTATTGGTCATGATGACACTAATTACAGCGGTGTTTTCCGATCCAATGTGTTCACTGTGGTCTTTCAGCGCGCTGGACACAGCCATCAACTCATTGGAAGGAACCCAACCTTCTGCAACGAGGCCTTGGGATTCTTCGCGGAATAAGTTTAAAGTCGCATAAATGAGCTTTTCCCTGCGTACCACAGCCTTCCACATGGGTAGCTGATCGGCGACAATGAGAAGCTCGGTATACAGAGTTTGCTCTGTGGTTTGGCAAATTTGTTGCAGGTCCGTGATTTGAGCATTTAGGGTATGAATTGTGCTACTGCCATCGTTTGAAGGAAAGATCTTACCGTTAAGGGATTCGACAACCTTGCGCACTTTTTTCAGCAGGACTTCTCCGTGTGTGAACACAATGAAACAGTCTTTGTCCACAGTTTCCTCTCCAACAAGAAGCGGCTCCCGGATGGGAATGTTGTGGAAGAAAAGGTTGCCCCGAAGTATTCTGAAGAGAATTTTATTCAAAGTTTCGACCTTTGTCCTTTCGATAGATCCTACAATCGTGGTCTGATGCCGAAATCCTTCTTCTAGATCTGCAGATGTCATTTGCGGCCTTCTTGCGCTGGCAGCGTTGTTGGTATCGTTGTTCGCACCGCCTTCATCGAATGAGAAGGCATCGCTGAGCGTCTCGCTAATCACATCGTCGTCGAAGAGAAGATCGTCACCGCTGAGCCTCGGACCTCGAGCATCTGCTGCCACCCGTCCTGCCAGGCCGGGGTTGACCTCTAGATACCGGTGACTCTCGTATGCGGTTTGGCGGTGTTCTATTAGCTGATTTAATCTAGAATGTAGACTTTTGAGCGAATCGTCCAATTGTCGCACCCGGGCTTCGAATTCCACGATTTCTGCTGCGATATCGCTGACGGTGTCGAGAGAGTGGGTTTGCATGGTTGCCAACAACATGCTGATACTGGGGTGCTGCGTAGAGTTGTCCAAGTCGCTGTGCACCGTGTATTTCCAGGTTTCTCGGCTGTATTTCTGTGCAATTCGCTCCATATTCGCACTGAGCCGCTCCATGTCGTCAAATTTGCGGATCTGGCTCACATACCCTCGTTGAAATGCACTCAAGTCCGCGTTGAGATCGCGGAACATCACATTCCCCAGGTTTCCCAGCAAGCTGACCACATCTCTAGACAGCTCCAGAGGTATGTACAGCTGTACGTAGGTCATATCCGCAGATCCTGTCGAGTTTTGTCTTGTTAGTATACACTTTACTCGCCATTCTCAAAATGCACCTAAAAGCTTCAAAAGACCAGCAAAAAAGTCGCCGGAAAAACGCTTGGAAGCTCCCGTTTTCACACATACTAAAGATCGCTTCCTCCTTCGTCATTTCTACAACGAAAACGAATGTCTATGCCACCGATGACCGTCTTTCAACCGCTGTTCTTTCACAACTTGACAAGTCTTCAAGATCCCCTTTTAGATTTTATTCCGATGTAAACTGATCACTGTGTACGGTATAGATTCCACCTGATATATATATGAGCTGGAAACCATAACGTCAAATTATTGAACTTTGACATATAAAGAGAACAAGTAAAAGATCCATATTCGATGATTTGACGTCTTGAATGGGAACTTTTCAACTAGATTAGTCTTGAAATTGCGTGTCAACAGTCTTTGTTTTGTGATTGGCTAAAAATTTGCGACTTTTAGCGTTCTTTTCCGACCTTTTGAGTTGATTTTGGTCCATTGCGCATCCAGAGTAAGAGGTTACATCAGTACGGCGTTCGAACAGAAAAGGGTCTAGTTTCCTGATATTTTATTGTCAAAACTGGTTTCTAAAGTTCCTAAAAGTGACCTGGCCATCTTGCAGATCATTTTGCGCCTGGTTTCCGGCTTGGAAAGCATTTTAAAGGGTAGTTACGAGAAACATTCTAGCGTAACGCTTTTCAACTTCATAGATTACGGTATTTTTCCCAGTGCCAACAGTGATATACGGCTCAATTCCTTAGCCATAACTTTCTTCTCTTTTCTTTCCATCCATCTCTAATGAGCGATGACTTTACAAAAAGCCCAGGAACGCCTCATCGCACAGGAGGCCACTCCAGAGCACCATCAGCATCGCCCTCAGAAATTGTTCCTTACGCAGGTTTTTTGTTTCCGGACGTGAGGGCTATTTACACGCTAAAATTGCACGAATTCCCAGAAATAGCCTGCAGTGAGGTGACACTGTTTGGCTTTGAGATTTATATCGTGGAGCAGTGGGCGCTGGAACGCAGACACTCCACAATCATTACTTCTTATACGGGCAATTCACAGGACATTGTGCGAGCGGTCAAATTCGCACTTCCCGAAGCGCAGGAACATTGGCCTGCTCCATTTCGGGAATACTACGAAGAGCTCGTTCAATACTCTGCACCTAAGTGGACTGAAGATGGCACGCTTTTTGTCAGTACATCTTCTCAGATCCCCTCTGCTCTGAATTTACTTCATGTTGAATGCGGCGACCTTCGCAAAATTTGGGACGTTTTTAAGGTTAATATAGACCTCAAGCGACTCCAATGCGGCGGTCGTTCCGCACTCCTATTGTGCGAGCCGTCAGGCGCCTCGTGTGAAAAGTTCATACAGCTTTACAAGGTTGCGGCTCCCTCTCCAACTTCACAGGAGCAGGAATACAGCTATTCTACACACGCGGTGCTCGAACTCGTAACACTGGTACAGATTTCCCTTACTTATTTCAGCTTACTTGATCCCAATTATAAAGATGGCATTCTTTGCACTTTCACAGAGAATGCAATCAAGGAGTGGTGGTCCTTGTATGGGACTCTATACTTGGGCTGTGACAGGCCTCGTCATGAGGGCCCATTGGGCCCCACAACCGTTGCAGGACTGATCAGCCTGGTGCTGACAATTTTTTTCAAATTAACAGTCCTGAACTGCATGCCCACGAAGGAGCCTTACGATGAAAGTTCTTTCCGCAGTGGTGTTTATCTTTTTCAAAAAAAATTTGGCCTCTTCAAAGCTAACGTCAAAACACTCTCTGCTCTGGACCCAATCTTGGTGTCTAAGCTTTTTGATGTAAGGCCAAAAGCATCGAATACCGATATTTTTAAGATCAAAAAAGCTGTCAAATCAACTGTCCAGGATATCGCCGGTAAGGGCAACCCGATGCAACTATCTAACGATATCTTAACTACTGATCTCGATCATCTTACGAGAAATGTACAGGGGAATGTTCTGTTCCTTCTTTGGCACGGTAAAAGCGCCAAACAGTCATCTCAAAGAAAAAGGCCGAAAGAAAGTTTCAAAAACGTTGTTTTTCATAGAGGAGACCCAACTGATGAAATTTTGAAGTCTAACATCTTTGCCACGAAGTTGAGTAACGAGATTTGGGCCAATTCTAAAGTGAAATTGAGCCCTCAGGAAAATTACAAAAGTTTTGATTTTGAGCACTCATCTGCGCAAAGTGAGCAGCTGAGCAATCACGAGAAAGATGCAGTGCAAAGAAAGAAAGAAGATGCATATATCAAAAATGAGGACGTCTCTTTTCGAAGGGAGTTGCACCGAAGGTCATCTGCGCCATTAATTTCAGCGGAGGTGAATTTCTTGCAGATAGACTACGAAAATGTACCTCGGTCGTCACAGCCCTGTAGCGTCGGGAAGAATCGTCGGTTGAGTTTTTCGCTAGTACAAGATGCTGTAGAGCTATGGAGATTTCCTTTTGATCCGTCGCCTGTTAGGAGCGCTCGAAATGTGCTGGGTATGGAAAAGAGTCTTAAGGAACATTCCAAACTATTTTATGAGGAGCAACAGCATATTGGTGCTGAGGCAGCGGATAAGCGCGAACCTTTGAGCGAAGCCAGTGCTGTATTAAATTCCAAGTTGCAGAAAGTGGTGGAATTGCGAGATTCGCTTTCCACGAAGCGGTCGTTAGTTTTGAGTGACATGTCTGAATTGGATTCTCTTGCTTCCAAATTGAAGTATGACCTTCGAAGTCTGGACGCTCGTATGAGAGACGTTGACGAGCGCATGGCTCAATTCCGCTCCAAAATCGGCAATATGGCATGGTCTTTGGAACACAACAAGTCGAGTCAATTGATGACATCGTCACTTTACAGCAACCCGAAGAAACTCGATAGATACGCGCGGGAAATTTTGGAACGTGCAAATGGGTTTCGATCAAGCGGGGTGATTTTGAATCTGTGGAATAAAGTTGGCAATTTGTCGTCGCCCTTTTCAAGAGAGGTGCATCGCTTTTGGGGCTTTTTATGCAAACGATTGATACCGCAAAAGCTTTCAGGACAATATCGAGCTGAGAGGTCTCACAAATAGAAGATGGTGAAAAATGGTGTCGATATTCAAGACTTCAAAAACTCGCGCAAATGAGAGTTCTACTCTTTCTCAACAAGCGCAGAAACCAATCCACTCATTTTATTTGTTCATTCATTCATTCAATTATCTAATCAGTTTAATTCCGTACTTCTGTTGCACCCGCAGAATCCTGGTATGAAGATACCGGTTTTCCTCAGCTTTCTGAACCTGGTCCCAGTTGACCTGTTTGCAGACCTGCTGCAATTCCTGCATCAGCAAATCGAGTTTTGAACGAGCCGTCTTAGTTGTTTCTGTGAGATCTTGGTTGCTACTTTGCACAGATCTGATTCGGGTCTGAACCACATCTTCGATGAATTGAGATGCTGTACGTGCCCTGTGGGCTCCTTGCTCGACCACAAACTGCTTGATGGACTCCAACAGGTCTTCGATCTGGTCGATCAGGGCCCAAATGCGTTTGCACACGTATTCCTGGCATTCTATCTGGTATACCAAAGCGAAGTTTTCCCGTATAAGTCTATCTTTTTCGCTCTCTGCGCTTATTTCGTGATATCTGTCCCAAACTTGACTTGAAGGCTCTTTTGAAAGCTCTTCATAGGAAGACTGTGTCACCTTGGCCAATCTTCGCACCAAAAGCTCGATTCTTTCCGTTCCTTGACGGGTGGCTCTGCATTCCTTGCTGAGACCTTTCGTAAGGTGAAGCAGGTACTCAAAACTATCTGCAGAGTGTTCCATGGTGGTATGGTCGATTGAATGAGAGCCGTAGCTTCAAAACGGTCAAGATCAGTTCTAAGTTGATGCCCAGTACTCGTCAAGTAGTCATCCTAGAATTGATGCACATTATCAAACTTTATGGTTATGTTGTTTTATTTTTATCACTTTTTCAATAAATGAAGCGGTGGCTCAATGGTAGAGCTTTCGACTCCAGTTAAATTCTGGTTTATACGGAAAATTGCAATCGAAGGGTTGCAGGTTCAATTCCTGTCCGTTTCATTTTATTTTTTTTGAAAAAACATTGGCAGAAATACAGGCCACTGAATTTGAGTGTTTGAAGAATACGTGATATTCACTAAACTATAGGCGAAACCTTGACGTTATACTCGACGATTAATTGGTTGTGGAGTTTTTTACAATTAAATATTCTTATTTGTTGTCTTAAGGTGGTTCCCAGAGTAACTTTCCATAAGTCACCATTTCTCTTCTTAATGTATGAAATTTAATCAAAAACAAATAAAACCTATAAAAACTACAAAACTTAAGTCGCAACTATTCTCATAATTTTGGTTTTATTGATCAGAGAATCCGTCTTGAACTCTACTCACAAGCATCCAAGACTTCGAAAACGTTCGCTGTCATTTTTCAAGAATTTTTCGTTTTTTGGTGGTCCAGGAAGGCTTCATTTAAGAAAGTATGTTTTCAGAACTTGAATCTTTTTGAAAACAAAATTTCGCTTGAAAGATAGGTCAACAGAAGTATAGATGCTCATAGTCGAGCATTAGACTCGACTACTGTAGACTTCTACTAGGGTGTGTGGCTTTAAAACAGATGTTTCGTATATAGTTACACTCATTTGATTTTAAGGCCCTTATAAGATGATGAGATGACAATGGAAAACAACTAAACTAGTTCAGATCTAACAGAATATCTCAATCAACAGCTCTTATTCCCACTCACACAGACGGCATTATGGGATCTGGAGGTACTCATCATGCAGAATACAGTGAGTTTAGCGGTATGGCTCGAGCAGAAGTCTTGGAAGCCGTTCTTGACTCATACAATGCGCTTGCAGAAGGCCAGGACAATTGGGTGTGCAACCTGGCCAACGCGTCAGCTCTGCTATGGCACGCATACAAATCGCTCCCTCTCGATATCAATTGGGCCGGATTCTACGTTTCCAACGGCTCTGAGAGCTCTGAGTTGATACTGGGGCCCTTCCAAGGAAAAGTTGCATGCCAAGTGATCAAAAGTGGCACCGGGGTGTGTGGCACGTCTTTCCAGACGAAACAGACTCAAGTTGTGCAGGATGTCAACAGTTTCCCAGGCCATATCGCATGCGATGGAGATACCAAGAGCGAGATCGTAGTCCCAATTCTGGACGCTACAGGCCGCTGTCTTGGTGTCATCGATATCGATTGTCTTGAGTACAACGGATTTGGGAAGACCGACCAGGAATATCTCGAAAAATTGGCCAAAGCAATCGCCGGCACATGCCACTTCAGCAACTAGTAAACTATTCTGTATCGGTTAAAAAAAAAAGGGCTTTTCTTTAACTTTGGGCACTTCTAGTTCAACTTTGAACTCGGCAAACAAAATCAGAAAAAAATTGATTTCGCCCAGGATCGAACTGGGGACGTTCTGCGTGTTAAGCAGATGCCATAACCGACTAGACCACGAAACCAATTGTTGAGATATTGAAAAAAGTTTTGAAGCCTAACCGGATCTTCAGGTCACGTTTGGAATTTTTTGTCAAGCTCGACGAACTGAAAAATTTTGATGAGATGAGATGCGATGCCCGATGAGCTACAATTCAAAGGTATCTCATCGACACCAGAGTTTCCATTGTTCGATCAAGGTTAGCTTTACCGGAACGCGTCTCTAAGCCAAGACAGAGTCCATAGCTTGTCGTTTGAAAATGGTCAAACTTTCCGGAATCCAGCGTGCTCCTAAGTCTGTTGCGAAGGAGGGCAAGAAACGGACACTTATTGAATCCGAAGCAGCGGGCGATTCGAGCGATGATGAGCTGATCACAGAGGGTCTCATCGACGAGGGGTCTGATGATTCAGACGAGCAGGAAGATCTTGAAAATGAAGACGACAGTGCCGGCGAGACCACGCAATATCAATCAGCAGAAGAAGGATATGAAGATGAGGCAAACGAAGAAGAGCAGGATTCAGATGAAGAACTCAACAGACTTTTGGCTGCCGAAGAACCTGAAGAAAATGACTCGGAAGCGAACGAATCTGTTGAATTCTCTGAAGATAGCGATTCTGCCTCCATGTTGGACAAATTATCAAGCATTCAACTAAACACTATACCTGAAGTTCGCACCAAATTCTCAGACGGCACACCTCGTGTCATCAAGCCCGAGATTAACCCCATCTACGACAGTGACGACAGTGATGTGGAAACAAACAACACTATCGGTAACATACCGCTCTCGGCATACGACGAAATGCCCCACATTGGTTACAGTATCAACGGTAAGAGAATCATGAGACCTGCTAAGGGTACTGCTTTAGACCAACTTTTGGACACGATCGAACTACCTGAGGGCTGGACTGGTCTTCTAGACAAAAATACCGGTGCAAGCTTGAACTTGAGCCAAGAAGAACTGGAACTAATTTCTAAGATTCAGCAAAACGAAAAAACCGACGACTCAGTGGATCCTTATCAGCCATACGTCGACTGGTTTACTAGACACACTGAAGAAACCCCTCTAACAGCTGTTCCAGAGCCAAAAAGAAGATTTGTTCCTTCCAAGAATGAGGCCAAGAGAATTATGAAGATCGTTAGGGCCATAAGAGAGGGCAGGATCATCCCCCGCAACAAGCTGAAGGAGATGAGAGCTCAAGAAGAACAGGCTGGATCTTACGATCTATGGGGAACCGAGAGCATCAATGACCACGTCATGAACTTGCGTGCACCCAAATTACCTCCTCCTACTAACGATGAGAGTTACAATCCTCCCGAGGAATATCTCATGAGCAAGGAGGAGAAAGAGGAATGGGAGAAGTTGGAGCCTAGCGAAAGAGATAGAGGCTTCGTTCCTCAGAAATATGGTGCTCTCAGAAAGGTTCCCGGTTACGGTGAATCTGTTAGAGAAAGATTCGAAAGATCGTTGGATCTATATCTTGCACCAAGAGTGCGCAAGAACAAGCTGAACATTGATCCTGAGTCCTTGATTCCAGAACTGCCATCTCCAAAGGATTTGCGGCCATTCCCCATTCGTTGTTCTACTGTCTACCGGGGTCATGAAGGTAAGATCAGAACACTTTCCATTGATCCAAGTGGTCTATGGCTAGCTACCGGTTCCGATGACGGTACTCTAAGAATATGGGAAATTCTCACTGGAAGAGAAGTTTATAAAGTCCAGCTTGTCGACACGAAGGAGAACACTGACGACAACATAGATGCTATAGAATGGAACCCTGACCAATCCACCGGTATTCTTGCAGCTGCCGCTGGTGAACAGATCTACTTGATAGTGCCACCAATTTTTGGCTTCGAAATCGAGAATAATGGCAGAACAAAGATCGAGGATGGATTCGGTTTCGATACGTTTGGAAACGTCAAGAAATCAGATCTCAATGTAAATGAGACCGAGGACAACGTGGAGTCTGAGGCAACAACAGCCAAAAGCAAAGTGGCTCAGTGGACGAAGCCTACTGAGAGGCAAGCCGAAAAGGACATAGCTGTGGTCATCACATGCAAACACACGGTTAAGAAACTATCATGGCACAGAAAGGGTGACTACTTTGTCACAGTTCAACCCAAGTCTGGTCACACTTCCGTGTTGATTCATCAACTCTCTAAGCATCTCTCTCAGTCACCATTCAAGAAGTCTAAAGGTATTGTCATGCATGCAGTATTCCACCCTTTCAAGCCGCAACTCTTTGTGTGCTCTCAAAGGTACGTCAGAATCTACGACTTGGCGCAGCAGGTTCTTGTGAAGAAGCTAATGCCGGGTGCCCGCTGGCTATCTACCATCGACATTCATCCAAGAGGTGACAATCTACTGGCATCGTCTTTCGACAAGCGTGTCTTGTGGCATGATCTAGATTTGGCAAGCACTCCTTACAAGACCCTGAGATACCACGAAAAAGCGGTACGGAGTGTTTCCTTCCATAAGAAACTTCCATTGTTTTGCTCGGCTTCTGACGATAGTATTATTCACATCTTCCATGCTACTGTGTATGATGACATGATGAAGAATCCACTGTTAGTGCCGCTGAAGAAACTCGAAGGACACAAGACCGTGAACAGTCTTGGTGTTCTAGATTTGATTTGGCATCCAAGAGAAGCTTGGTTGTTCTCAGCAGGAGCAGATGGTACCGCGCGTATGTGGACCAGTTGAGGGCGCGTGCTTCTAGAGGCATATGTATAATATAAAGTTGTTTGTGCAATAAGAAGGTAACAGATAGTATCCGAGAGGATAATGCTAGCTCACAATAGCTATGATCATCACTCGAGAGCTGTCTTCCTGTATTTATTAAGCTCCTACATACCAAACTCGCGCATTAAGTCCATTTCATCTTCGTCTTGATTCTCATCGTCTTGTCGTATCTTATTGGCAGCTTGAGATGCCTGTGTTAGAGTAGCTGTAGGATCCAAAAGTTCTGGTGGGAATTCCGTTTCGTCCTGAATTTCTGGAATCCCTGAAGAGTTCAATTCTTGTCGCACTTTTGGTAACTGTTTTTGTGCGATTCCAGTAGTTTCAGTGGTTTGTGATTCGCCAATGCGGCTGCGGTCGTAAATCATGTCGTCATCAGACGCAGAATCAATTGCAGGATCTCGACTGTTTTCTGGAACAGAAACGGTTTGTCTCTGCGGAGAAGGTGGCTCCGAAGGGGGCATATTTTGATTCCCGTTCGGTGGCAGCACCGTTTCGCCCAGACTTTCAGTTTCCAACTCAGGCTCACCTACCGAGGAGAACCCAAGTTCTTGACGCACAAGTTCAATTCTGTATTCCCTGAGTTCCCTATCAGTTTTACCAAGAGTACGACTTATGGTCACAAAATCCCGAAATTTTGCCTTGGGGAACAAATCGTTGGCCCAAAGTTGGTAGAATTGTAGAAACTGTGTAAGATTTTCGTATGAGGACCTTCGCTTGGAGAAGCGAATTTTTTTTGGAGCTTCTTTCATGATCTTGGGCAGACCTTTCGGGGAGAGCAGTTTTTCAGCAGTAAGTTTGACTTGTGCGCGACGGGGACGAGCGGAAACCTCTGTTGGATCTGGAAGTGGTGTATCGTCAAGACCTGTGGAATTGATGGCAGTGGGATCTAATGGAAGAGAAGAATCGGGATCTTCCTGAGGACCTTGTGAAAACCGCTCTTGAAGCTGCTGGGACATGATTATGGTGGTGGAATGCGATGAACTGGATATAATTGTGCTTTGATTGTTGTAAGAACGCGTAAACGTTTACGCGTAACCGGGTGGAAAATACAGAAGTTTTTACCAATGCAAATGGCACGAAACGTTCAATGGGAAAAGCGGCGACGTAGAGGACGAATTAGGTGTCCTGGAAGTATATCAGAGAGGTATTTGAGGAGATAGAAGGGTGTCTCGTCCATATTGGATTGGTATAAATCGCGATTTGGTTCGATGACGCGATTTGTTCATGTAACTGTAGACGAGGAAACGCCAATTAAGTCACGAGACTTCGAATATTAAGAAAGAAGTCATGTGATACGGAATATGTTGTATCAGGATTTGTGCGAGTTTTGTCGAGCGTGTTCGATCTTGGATTTCGAATTTCTATATCAGAAGCTTAAAGGCAAATTCTGCTTCATGTTTCATTGATATATCTTCCTTATTTGAATACATCTGTCGGGGCCAACAGATTCATGTTTAGGGCCAAATGAGGTGAAACACCTTGAATCTGGTACACTCAATGGACAAGTCTCGACGTTAAAGGAAGAATTGGCTGGAAGAGATGAGCATAAAGAAAAACTACAGAAAAAGCGTATCACGTGACCGTTGTGACGACACATTATGATAAAGTGACAAGGATAACGCCCTTAATGTAGCGGCACGGATTGCAAGTGTTAAAAGGAGCAAAAGAGACGGACGCGTATTGTCAGTGTATAATATAAGTGTGCTCCTAAATATGCGGCTGTTTTTGAAGCGGAGAATCTCAATTGCAACACAAGAATGGAGAGCAAACGGGAAAAGCACGTGACCATAATCACCTAAAAGCATCGCATCCACACAGACACCTGTTGCAAATAGCTATATAGAATTTTATGGTTTGATAGCAGCTGTACAGTTCCGTAAATATGCCATTTTTAGGTGTAGATACGTTTTTGAGACCCTGGGTGAGTCTTTTGGTTAGTACAAAACGATAAACTTTTTGAAGACCCTTCGTGATTCGTTAAAATGAGTTTGAGCTCCCGCTTTGGAGAATCCCATGAAGGCTGACTAGACTGTACTACTCCTTTGCTCCTCAAGCTGGTGACGAGCCACGTGACCCAGATCACTCTGTCCCCAATCTGACGTAAATTCGAAATTTCGAATTTAGGTATGCTGTCTCCCATAGCCAGCGTTGATTGCGTTGAGCCTGGGCTGTCCTAGCTGCAAGTAGGCGTTCAATTGAAAGAATATCATGGGATGTGGTAATTTGTGTGTGTGTGTGTGATCCGGTGGCTCGTGTATACAAATATCACTTCGGGCGTACTTCACGTGCCCGTAAGCGATAGATTAATCGCGCCCTGCGGTTTGAAATGCAACATGTATTGGCTATTGATTTTAGGAGCAGATACGAGAAGGATTTTCCGTGATTAATTTTAGTCTTTTAAATTTGAAAGGACGAGGTTTCCATATCCAGCTCTTTCCTGAGGTTCTTGCCTTTGAGCGCAATGAATACGAATTAGGGCCGCCAAGGCTGCTTAATGCTAATTGCGTTAATGGATCATCATAGAAAACATCTTGTAAAGTCCGTCGCTGTCGCTGTTTACCATATCACGTGATGACGATATGGCCGACTAAACAATATTTTAACGGGGTGGTTTTGTCACACACACACCAACCATACAGAAGCCTTTTTTGATAAGATCTGAAACTCTCTCCGTTCCTCACACTAGTCCACACTGGACTTACATTGAATTGAGGCTTTACGCGTGTGTTCTGTCTCAATGCTTTTATCGTAGGATAATAATGATGAGCCGGTTTCGTTTCGTACAAAATGCCATACCGATATAAGACTGGAAAAACACTTTTAGCAGACACCACAAACGTGAGACAAACTTGAGAAGAGTGTGTGTCTACCACAGGAGAGGAGAAACAACAAAAACAAAAAACCAAAAACAAAAAACCAAAAACCTATTAAGTGTCACGTGACCCTGTGATACGCGCAGCATACCTATCATTAATCACGTACACGATCTTTACTCGAAACGCAAGTACAAAGTGACATATACACCTCCCTCACCTGTGGCTCTTATTGTTGTCTCAACAGGTCCCGGCCCAAAAACCCCTCCGTATTTTTCCCCGTCTTTAAGCCCTAATTCCCTCTCAAAAGACAATACCACCCCCCTCTGTGAGCCGTAGTCTTTCCTCATGAGCCGTACCATCTCACCCATAAGGCATTACATTCACGTGACATGATCACATGACATAACCACACCATAATCACGCCATTATCACACCATAATCACGCTACACTCACATGTTTCCCATTTTACGTAAGTTTTCCACACCCTCAGTGAAAAAAAAAATTGCCTGTGTAAGGCATAGGATAAGTGTGGCATTAAACATCTCAGGCTTTTTCAGACTCTCTCTGGCTTCAAAACACCGTCGTCACAATCAACCGCTTTAACCACTGCAGTGTGAACCAGAGATGCCTCAAATCGGTGAATAGTAGCGTGTAGTAGTAGCAGCGGTGTTGTGTGTGTGTGTGTGTTTTGAACTGTGTAGATGGGAGATGCCAGAAAGATGAGAAACGTATATATAGATGGAGGAGTTTTAAGTTAGACTAGCGATGAGCTACTAATGACTGGTGAGCTACTGTTGAGTTACTTTCTAGATATTGAAGGACCAGTGACGATTATACAAACAGTCAACACACTGTCAACTTATACGCTTCAACTGCTGTCATTTGGTGTATTCCTCACATACTGAGCTGAAAGCTGTGTTATTTTTTTTCACTCTAATATATACACTGACGAAACACACACACACACTGACGACGACACTCTCACACACACACATAATGGAAGCAAGCTCAGGTAAAGTAAGACCCCAGAATACTCAAGTATTGGACTATTGTGGGAAAAATATGGATAACGAAACACCGCATTCGTATGTTTATGCAAAAACTGAGCCTGCTGACGAGGAGGAAGATATGATGGTGGATTTGAGTACAGGGTCGTTGGAAGCGACCAGCATGCGGAATTGGCGTCTGATGTCAGGACTACTGGAGCAGCTACAGAAACTGTGAAAGTAAAGTAAGGAAACGGAAAAAAAAAGCAGGATATGCGAGGATTTGGCTCTGGAGATAAGAGAATAATAATAAAGGTTTTGCGTCTCGTCGCAGGCGGTAGGGACCCAAAATGAGAAAAATTGTTGTTAGGAGATTGACGACGTTTGGTATTTTCTATCAAAATGGTATAGGAATATGTATAGAAATAGTGAAGGAAGGAAAAAATCGGTATTTGAAGGTGGAGTCACGTGATGGGAGAGGGAGAAGGAAGAGAGAAGGGAGGAAAGGAAGGTAAATAATTTATCTAATTGTTTGCTAACGAGATCGGGTTTTGTTTGTTTGATAGCAGAAATACGCAAAGTAACCACATCATATGATATATATGATCACTCATGAGTATGTACTTTTATACGAATCCAGATAGTTTTAATCTCGGCTTCCAGTAATTTGAATTCCACATCTTTGATAAAACACTGAAGACCTGCGTGTAGCTGAGCCAAATATTATCCATAGCACATTTTGAGACCTTAACTCTAGCCATGACTGGGGATGAATTTGGCGAGTTCAGAAATTCGCGAGTCACGTCGTCTAATACGAACATGGACCTCCTAATGGACAGCACTGTTCACGACTCCCGCGACTACGGTAACTGTATACGAAAGTATCACGTGATCCATAAGAGATTGACATACCAGGTGCGGACTTCCTTGCAATTTCTAACATTTAAACCTTCTCCATGACTTCACAGAACTACATTAGTCAATGTCAACAATGATTAAATTTGGGTGGTAATTTGCCGGACTCACAGCCAAAATCATATCATAGTCACTTTATACGTATAACACGAATCTGAAGGTCAAAACTCAATCACTTTATACGTATAACACGAATCTGAAGGTCAAAACTCAATCACTTTAAACGTAGTAATTGCTTGGAATTGCAACAGGAACCGCCAATGGCCGAGATTGAAGTATTTAGCATGTCTATCTTCACTTGTCCACTTTACAGGAATGCTTTCAATAATTGGCATATCCAAGCACTTCATTCGGATTCGTGCCGGATTCTTTGAGCGTCTCATCATCAAGCATTTTGAACGAAAGGGTTCGTGCACTGGAATTCGCGATTCTTCCCCCTGTCCTCCTGCTATACTCTAGCCGCTGAAATAAGTCACTGAAGACGTTTTCTTTTCACTCATCTAGTACAAAGTCACTTATCCATTGCTTACTTCAAGTTTGGACGCAAGTGAATGAAATTCGCTATTGTTTACTTACCGGCTGAACACCGCCAATTACTCGAGAAATCCATTGCGCATGTCTGGTTTGATTTGATATCACGTGCATGCCATGGCTCCTCTCCGATGGTAATACCTACAAAATGAGAGATTCTAGAATTAAAATAGAGACATTTCCAATAGATAACAAGACTATCTACACCGCTTTCATGTCACCAGCTCATGGCTGACACACACACACACCGCTTGAGAAACATATCATTCGAACAGCAAACATTCCGTACATAGCGATTATAGTCCACCACCAGTCACTCTACACGAAACGATTCCAATCTCATTTCCTGGCGTTATCACCAACAAACAGGCCAAATACATCCATCCTCAAGCTGCAAATGCTCAATTCAATACTACGCACCCGTTTACCATCAAGGCAAGCTCACCTGAAAAAAAAGAGCCTGCCAAAAATATGATCTCACTCTCACACAACTGGAAAAACCGAGACATGGAAAAAAGAATTGAGCTCAGTAATCGAGCCATAAATAAAATACAAAATAATACAATCCCCAGCGCTATCACAACGTCCAATAATATCATATTTGTAGGTTCAATCTATTAACGCACCTTGATCACGTGACACCAAGCTCTAAGCCAAAACCTCAACCAAAAGATACAAAACCAAAGCAGCTCCAGCCACTGAAATACATGGTTCCCTCCCTCTCTCTCAATATAAACGTACCCCCGTCATCATACCATCCCAACACCAAGATTTCATTTCGATAAATAAGAATCACGTCATACGAGCGGGTCAAATTTTTTTATTGTCAATATTACAAGTTAGTATTCTAACCTGTTTACCCACTGTCAAAGCTACAATCACCAACACTTTTCACCATCATTGCCACCCCAGGGACACTTGGAAAGACTGTAACAAGCAGTCTGGTGAAACGGGCGATCTCAAGTTTACTTAGGCTCCCTTTTTAAGCGCAATGTTTGGCTCCACGGCGCCCGCTTTTGGGTCCAATACATCTCAATCGAGTACATCCCCGTTTGGCACAGGGTCGTCACAACCGGCTAACAATGCAAGCAGCGGGTTTGGAGGGTTTGGCGCAATGTCTCAGAACAACACCAACGCCGGTGGTGTCGGATCTAGCAGCGGCTCGGGCCTATTTGGTATGTCTAACAATAACAACGGTGGTAGCACTATGGGCAATAATGCAGCGGGCACCAATTCGGGTCCCTTTGGTCAGGCAACACCGGCAGCCAGCAACAACGCGCCTTCCTTGTTTGGATCTTCGTCGTTGTCCTCAAATTCGGGCCTCAATCCCCAGCAAGGCACTGGAACAGCGATTAAGCCGTTTTCTGCTTATACTGAAAAAGACGCTACTACAGGCGTGAACAACGTTTTCCAGTCAATTTCGTGCATGCCTGAATACCGGAATTATTCGTTCGAAGAACTGCGCTTCCAAGACTATCAGGCGAATCGCAGATTCGCTTCCAACGCCCCAACCGCCGCTGCCGGTGTTGCCTCGCCCTTTGGCGCCAATCCATCCAATTCTCCATTCAACAATACTAACTCGATGTCTTCCTTTGGCTCGATAGGCAACAACACCAACACTAATACCAACACGGGCGGTGGGTTGTTTGGTCAAAACAACGCCGCAACGGGTACTGGCACCACGTCTTCCTTTGGGCAACCTTCCAACTCTTTGTTTGGAAACACCGCTCAAGGCAATACCGCCAATTCTCCCTTTGGAATGAATAAACCTGCGTCGTCCGGTGGCCTCTTTGGCCAAAACAGTGCAACTGCAAACACTGGCGGTGGATTGTTCGGCCAAAACGCGAACACCCCAAATCAAAATAGTGGTGGACTTTTCGGTCAAAACAACAACGCTGGTAATAATGCTCTTGGATCAGGCAGTGGTGGCCTCTTTGGAGCTTCCAATCAAAACCAGCAATCAGGAGGTCTCTTCGGAAACACCTCGAATACGGGAGGAAGCTTGTTCGGCCAAAGCAACCAAAATCAAAGCGCGCCTTTTGGTAGTTCAAATACCACTGCCCCGGGAAGCGGACTATTTGGGCAAAACAACACTACAACAGCGAATTCTCCATTTGGTCAGCAAACCCAGCAACCTAGTGGTGGTCTTTTTGGTAGCAAACCTGCTAATAGTGGCGGCATGTTTGGCGGTAGCAGCAATACCCCGGCTGCAGGTGCGGGCGGTCTATTTGGTCAAAGTAATGCTACCAATTCTCCCTTCGGCCAATCCAATAACACAGCTGGTGGCGGCGCTTTTGGGCAAAACCAAGCCCAGAACCAAGGCGGTTTTGGTGGCAGTGGGCTATTTGGACAAGCTAACAACAACAACAACAACAACACATCTGGAGGTCTGTTCGGTCAAAACAACAACGCCAATGCAAATACCGGTGGTGGTCTATTTGGTCAGAATAATGCGTCCAACTCGGGTGGTTTATTTGGTCAAAGCGCGGCTACTAATACCCCCTTTGGTCAAAGCAACTCTGGCTTTTCTTCATTCGGTCAACAACAACCCCAGAATCAGCAAAGTGGCTCACTCTTTGGGGCCAAGCCCGCAGGTACTACTGGCGGAGGCCTATTTGGATCTGGTAATAATACAACAACCGGTTTTGGTCAAAACACGAACGCCGGTGGAGGGTTATTTGGCCAAAACACCAACACCAATACCAACACACCCGCCAACACAGGCGGTTTATTTGGACAAAATAACGCGAGTAATGTCGCCGGAGGCCAGTTCGGCCAAAATGCAAATCAGCAGCAGCAGCAGCCCCAACAACAAACTAGTGGCGCCGGACTTTTCGGTCAAAATAACAATCAACAAAACCAGGGAGGCCTGTTCGGTCAAAATAACAACACTAGCGGTGGCTTGTTTGGCCAGAGTAATAATCAGCAGTCATCGGGAGGTGGACTCTTTGGTGCCAAGCCGGCCGCTGGTTCCTTGGGTGGCCAGTTTGGTCAAGGTGCTAATCAACAGCAGCCACAAGGTGGTGGGCTCTTTGGACAGGCCAATAGCAACCAGTCGAACACTGGTGGTCTTTTCGGAAACAAGCCCGCAGGTTCTACAGGTGGGGGCCTTTTTGGCCAGAACAACTCTACAGGAGCTACGGGCGGTGGTCTTTTTGGTCAAAGTAATGCAGGAACATCTAACACCTCTTCGCTTGGATCAGGTGGCTTATTTGGTAACAAGCCGGCCAGTAGCTCCAGCACTGGAGGCGGGCTTTTTGGCTCCAAACCTGCAGGCCAAAGCGGTGGTGGATTATTTGGTGCCAAGCCCGCGGAAAATGCTAACAGCGGTGGTCTGTTTGGATCAAAGCCTGCTGGTAATCAAATAGGCTTCAGCAATGGACCTAATAATAATACCGGAGTGTCTGGTGGTCTTTTTGGAAGTCAGCAAAATCAACAGCAAGGAATTCAGGCACCGCTTCCTTCAGCACAGCAGGCAAGTATGAATCCTTATGGTACGAATGATTTGTTTTCGCGCGTAATCGTACCTGATTCGATTACGAAACCAATAAAGCCAAGCGCAACCAAGCTGAATGCAGATCTTAAAAAGAAGGCCAGTCTTTCAGGGGCTTACAGACTGGCACCAAAACCATTGTTCGTTCAAAGAAGCACGGTCACCGCTCCAGTTATGCGTTTGGGCAGTAGTGCTTCAGATAAGAGCTCTCATGGTGTTGGAAATCTCGCGAACTCATCGGTAGAATCCCTTGGTAGGGAGCTACAACACCACAACAAATCATCCTCATTCACAAACGAAAGTGATGAGCTGATTTTGGCCTCTAATGATACTTTGTTCAATCCAGATAAAAAGTCATTCAAAAACCTAATTATAAACAGAAAAAAGATGGAGGATTCAGCTCCAAAGGATGACGATCAAGTTCTCCGAATTACGTTTGCCTCGGAGGAAAATGAAAGCAAAGATGACAGTGCGTCTCGCTTCGCAAGCGCATCCGAGAATGAGAAAAAGACGGCACCTTTGTCAGTTGGCGATTCGGGTAAGTTGGCTTTCAAAGACAACCAGGCGACCGCCACGCCCATCGGTAAGTCTGCTTCAGCGTCCTTGACTGAAAAGTCGGACGCTGCAATTGGTGATGACGTGAAGGCTGACGTCCTTCAAAGAAAACTTGGCGTCTTGGGTGATGACGTCTCTTTTGAAGACGATGGATATTATATCTCTCCTTCGCTGGAAAGTCTCTCGTCAATGACCCTTCTACAGCTTCGTAAAGTAAGCGGTCTGACAATCGGTCACAAAGACTACGGCAAAGTCGAATTTTTAGAACCTGTGGACCTGACAAACACTTCTTTGCCAGCCATTTGCGGCCAAATTGTCGTCTTCGAGCCAAGGTCTTGTAGTGTTTACCCGAACGGATCAGAAATTCCTCCCCGTGGCCAGGGATTGAACGTTAGGGCTCGCATCAGTCAATATGGGTGTTATCCTCAGGATAAAGCGACAAGAGAACCAATCAAAAACCCAAATCACCCAATTATTAAAAGACACATCAACCGCTTGAAGGCAATTCCAGATACCAAATTTGAGAGCTACGACCCTCAACTTGGTACCTGGGTGTTCACCACAGACAGTCCAGCTGGAAATTGAGCTCTTGGTAAAACTGCATTAACGTTAAATACTGGAGCTGCATTGTATTTAGACAACTATTTGAAAACAGATTCAAAAATTTCGATCTTGACGAGTTATTCCGTTACTGAAAAGTTCTACGTAGATCTGGTAGACAAATCTCAGACATGAAAACCCAATTAGGAAGCCGCTGCTTGTTCTATGCCATTTAAAACTGTCTCGTTTTCTTTCATTTGTGAATCATGCTCTGCTTTTCCATCCATCGTGTCGGTGGTCCAAGCGTCGGGACCCACAACGAACGGAGATCCGAAAATGCTTGTAAACCATTCCTGTAGTCTATCGTAAAGTCGAGCTTCGCGAAGAAAGCTTTGTTTCAAATTGAACAACGCATTCAAATTGATGACGAGCTCCTGATCGGATAAAAAGACCGTTACCAATTCGTCCTGAGAGCCTCGCAGTGCCGAGCACTGTTCGAGTTCATCGATGAGCATAAGATACTCTTCATGATCGTCTTCATCGGAGTTTTTGAATACCAACTCGCTCATCAGCCTATTGACGAAACCAAGTTTGTCTATCAGATCTGCTTTGATTTCGTTATGCACTTCCAGATTTTTCTTTTGCGAGAGCTTGTTCACGATGGAGTTAGAAGTGGATAACGAAAGTTCCTGAGGGCCCAGCCCCACTATAGACCAATTTTCATCATCTTCGAACTTGTACTTTTGAACTTCGATTTTTACCTTCAAAGAAGGTCTCTTTTTTTTGGATCGTGAAGCTGATTTAGGCTCCTCCTGCAATTCTTGAAGTAAATCTTGTGCATTATCATCTTCATCGTAGATAGCGCGACGTTTGCGTGTCTTACGACCTTTTGCGACATCTTTGGCCTTTGCTTTGGCTTGCCGTTTACTAGAACGACTGCCCTTGCGTACCTTATCTCCCTCATCGTAATCGGATTCCGATACAGCACTCAATGGCTCACTCAACAACTCTTCTTCTTCTTCGTTGTCTTCGTTTTGCGACTTTTCCTCCGGTTCTTCGTCAACGTACTCTTCCTCCTCTGGTTTTCCCTGACTTCCATATTCGATGAATTCCCATACATCGATTCCCTGAGGGCCCTTAGCGGCCATTTCATATGCTGGTATTAGTTTCTTGGTCTGCTTTTTGGAATTTTGTAGCCAATTGGTGCATTGTTCTGCGGATAAAGGCTTGAAATCCACAGGTTTGAGCCAAATGTAGGAGTCATCGCAGAAGAACTTGATGCAGTACGACGTATGGGGTTTGAAGTTTTTACGAAACTTCAAGTGATCGTTGTACACCACGTAGTTGTCCGGGTTGTTTTCATCCTCTATTTCGTCCACAGTCGGTTTTCCCAGCCTCTCTTTGAGCACATTTCCAGGTATAAGCTCCTCGGGAACAATCATGGCGGGCCATGCAGGGAATCCTTTGACCTTAGCCAGGACTACATCCGTAGGTTGATACACAATGCGTTTCTTGGACATATATCGACACTCTGCAACAGCTTGGCAATTCTGAAAACTGGCCTACCCACTAATATTGATACTCCAAGTTCAATTGGTAAGTCACTTGGAAGGTATGAGCTGCTCCCAGCTTGTTATCCTGTTGATAAACGTTGTAAAGTCTTGTTGACGATGCTCATCGGTATCTCATCTGTTAATACTATTTACACTTTCGTGTATGGTGATCTTTGGGTTTTTAAAGATTTCAATATTTTAAGAGTCAAACTGGAAATGTCTGCTGAATTATTCGATTTGATACCATTAATTCGAGTTTAATTTGAGCTTCCGAAATTCTTTTTTGGCGATCTTTTTTTCCTCGTTTTTTTATCTCTTCGCAGTCATCGTTTTACTACTTTAATTTTCCAAAAATGTTTACCTTTCAAACCTGGATCAGACAGATAAAACACCATATATAATCTTTTAATGAGCTCAGACAATGATGGCAATTGTTTGATATCGATCATACCTCTCATTCGATCAAGTTTCGAAAAATACGTCGCTTTATCAACGATGACATCGAATGTCATATCACTTTGTACTATCGTTACACCCGGAGCTCTTCTCGAGTGACAGGTTGTTGATCACTGCGACAAGCCGGTTTCCACACGATGATGCTCTTGTCGTAAACCAGATATTTTAAATTGTGATAGTCCTAATTAAAGCGTTTAACATTGTACAAAGATCGCCTGCTCGTTTTCCCGCGAGTACTCTCGAATTGCAGCCTATAGTTGTGATTGACCGTCACCATGAGCGAGCCAAGTTATCGTGTTGTTTTGTTTGTCATGTTCAATACTGCCCCTGCTGTGAATTGACGCCATTGAAGTATTGGTGATATACTGCAGCTTGCTCTGCGTTTAGATAGGCTGCTGGGTTCCCGAAAGCGGACACCTGAGGCTGTTGCTGCGGCGGTTGCTGGTGCTGTTGTGCGAGTTGATGCGGAATTTGTTGATGGGCCATTTGAGGAGGCAGTTGAGACGAAATCAATGGGGCCTGTTGCTGCTGGTTTTGTTGCTGCATGTGTTGTTGCGCCTGTTGCTGGTTCTGCTGCGATTGTTGTGTTTGCTGCGATCCCGGTGCTACCACGCGGGCCCGCTGCAGCTTGGCAGTCTCTGTGTGGCCGTTTTCCTCTTCTTCTTCTTCCTCTGCGTCGTCCTCTTCCTCTTCAACTTCATCTTCGTCTTCTGGAGCATTTAAACAGGCCTGAATTAGATTTTTACCTTCTGGCTGTGTGACAATAGGCTGGAATTTGGGAGTTGTGAACGTGTAAACGAGCCCGGTCTCGGAAACCACCAGCAGAAGCACTTGGGTGCCCGTCAGCACCGACAATTCGTAAGCCTTTTTCATGATTCCGTGCTTGCGCTTCGAAAACGTTATGTGTCGTCTAGTTTTGTCCTGGATAAACTTGATTTCGATCTTGCGGCGTTCTTTCTGTTGCGGCTGCTGTGAAGAATCTCCGACGTTAACGCTTAGTTCTTTCTCATCGTTGATGTCCGACATGTTTTGGTTTAAATGGCAGAAGAAACCGTAAACTTGACCAAATTTAAAGCTGGAAAAGGCTCAATATACAGATTTTGACACTCTTCTCGAATGGCAACGGGTATGGAGTGCTAAAACACGATTCTAGAAGCGTTCTTTACAGGTTTTTTAATCGATCTTTGACTATCTAAACAACTAGATGGCCTTTGATAAACTAGCTTTCTTGACTGGGTTAAAGATCCCTTTTAGAGGAAAAAGTCTCTCAACTTGGTAACAATTTTTCAAATATTGCCGAAAAGAGAGCGTAAGGGTTACCCGGAGGAGTATTGAAAGAGACCTGGGTGGGATTCGAACTCGGGGTGGGTTTTGGAACTCTGGCCGCTGCGCCATGGGAATGGGATAAGGAAAAAGAGACGAATGGAAGAGACGTAGTCCTGCACGTGATTGTGGTTAGGAAAATTTAATGGGGCCGAATAGGAAGGCTAGAGTAGAATACGTCTTGGCAAAAGTTCAAGCAGTTAGCATAAGATGATTCTTGTAAGGGTGCTTGGGAATTAGAGATGGTTTAAAAAACAGAGATGGTTTGAAAACAGAGATGGTTTAAAAAACAGAGATGATTTAGTAAATAGAGATGGTTTTGAGATGTAATTTTTTTGTTGCTATAAATGAGGTAAACTGGTTCTTCAAATTGGTGAGGTACCTATAGAGACTATTGGGGGTATATTTGAGACGAGATCCATCGTTTGGAGATCAAGACTTGGTACTCTGGCGCGGAATTTTGAATTTTGGGCTCAAAAGTTTGGTCACGTGTTTCTGGAAATTAGGCTAATAAGGTTTTTTTTGGTGCTGGTAGCAGCATGGAGCAGTGTAAATTCTCAATCGAGACAACGACGGCAAACGATATGTTTTGTTTATGTATGTATAAATGTCTTCACAAAACAAAAAGGTTTGAGTTGTGTGATTTGATCACGTGCGCCGACGACAGCGTCAGCTAATTCCTTGTTATGTGTGTGTTTCCGACAATACGAGAAAAAAGAGTTTGAATCATTTCCATACAGAGACCGTGTATGTTGAGAGAGTACAGTAATAGGCTCTGGAAATCAGAAAAAACTCTTGGTGTACTGAAAACATATCAATAATTGACATACAGCTTCAATTTCGCTGCGACAAAGCCTGGAAAAGTCTCAATTTTCTTCTTGGTTTTGCCCGTGACCAAACCTTAGGACTCAAAACACCACCGTGGCGCTCTTAGAATACTAACTCTCCATAACTCACTTACCTCGCAACTAGTTAAGCCCTCTACTTTGAATTTTATGTGGGGGAGTCGCTATATGAAGTCAGAAGGCCGGGTAAACGAAGTAGGCCATTTTCCGTACGGACTTTTCTAACGCGCCAGGAAGCCGGGCTGGTAGAAAAGTTTTAGGGAAGCAGATATTTAAAGTTCGAATGTAAAAACCACGAAATTACAGTCAATTTTACTCGCACCCGGTTGAGGACTTCAAAAATGGTCTAGTATAGACTAAAATTGTTTAATTGTCGTATATAGTGATATGGTTTTCGAGAGAAATGAGTTTTTGTTCAACAATGCAAGACCCGGGTATATCGATCATTTAAGTTATCAAAGCTTTCTTAAACCCTTTTCTCGCTGTCTAACTATCATATCCAATCTCAACATACTTTGTCTGCCCATTACTATCATTCCTCGATGATATCCAATTATTAACGTAGTATATAAAAACTAACCCACCATCGCTCGTACACCATGATGTTCTCGAAAGGCTCAAAAATTCACCAACAGATCCGCTCTACAAACCCTCTCTTGAACACTTTCTTGACCAAGTTTTTCCTGTTGTTTTAGTTTGTCGCTCTTAAAATCCAAGTTCAAACTTTAAGAACCCCCTACTTACCACTACATAATGTCCCAGAACGAAAGAACCTTTATTGCCATCAAGCCAGACGGTGTCCAAAGAGGCCTGATCTCCAAGATCTTGGGCCGTTTTGAAGACAGAGGTTTCAAATTGGTCGGTATCAAGTTGGTTACTCCTACTGAGAACTTGCTCAAGGAGCACTACGCCGAACACGTCAACAAATCGTTCTTCCCCAAGATGCTGTCGTACATGATGTCCGGACCTATCTTGGCCACTGTGTGGGAAGGTAAAGACGTTGTTCGTCAAGGACGTGCGATTTTGGGTGCCACTAACCCTCTAAATTCCGCTCCTGGTACCATCAGAGGTGATTTTGCCATTGATATGGGCAGAAACGTGTGTCACGGATCCGACTCTGTGGAGTCCGCCAATAACGAGATTTCCTTGTGGTTCAAGCCAGAAGAACTTGTTGACTGGAAACTCAACCAGCAGTCCTGGATCTACGAGTAAATTGTCGGGATATGAGCACTCGTACTCTTCTTATTCGCGCGTACTCACACCGGTACTTGTACTCTCCCAATGCTGCAAATTAAAAGCTACAAAGGGGAGCCCGATCCTCTCAGAGTGTTTAGCAAAAGGCTGATGGTTTCATCTCCACCCTTAGCTATCCCTAACTGGGCTATATACATATTCCTACAAACCTCTATATATATATATATGGGAGGCGAGATTATCTACCCTTAGCTCGTCTTTCTTTCAAAACTAGTCATTTTTGTCTAGCTCATCGCATTGTGATAAACTTGACCAAAAAATGAATCCTATATTGAGAAAACTGATTGTGAGAAGGGCCAGCAACATTTCAAGACCCTCCAACGACTACACCCGGCAATATACACCTATCAACCAGTTTCTGGGGTATGCGTGTGGGTTTATCCTTTTGGGAGTTTTTGGAACCGGGGTGTTGAAGTACTTTTATAGGGACTCTGAGATGGTGGAGATCTGGAAAAAAGAGCGGAACCAAGGACGCACGCTGGAGAATGAGAAAGAATTGAAGGAGCCGCAGAATTGAGGGTGCAAGGAGGAGAATGGAGCAAGTTTGGTGGATTGAAAAATGAAGGACGTTTGGTGGATGAAAAATGAAGGACGTTTGGCTTTTGACGAACGGACGAAGATCTGCGTTTGGAAAAATAGGTATTTATACTCGATGTGAGATTCTGGTTGTATTGTGGTAACGCAAATTGCTCTGTCGAGGTTGAGTAATTATTGTTATCGTATGTAGCCAATAAGTGTGATTTGTCGAGCTGTTTTTGGTGTGTAGAGGGTGGTCTTTGTGCTGGGAGTGAGACTTTTTGCAGGGAAATTGACATTATGCGATGGTATTGAGAGTTGCTAGTTGTTGTCCGCTACTTGGTGGACTTGGATACTCGTTGCTAGTTTTAATATCAATTCTGTCGCTGTCATGTGTCACGTGACGTGAATCACTATGTCACGAATTCGATGCTAGATCTAGGAATATGGGTCATTATCATGTGTGTTTACCTTATAGAATAGCAGTATACATTTGGACTGAGTGGGAGTGGCCGTGTTGGGTGGTTAAGGGGGATAATGAGTAACGCTATTTTGTGGGTAACACTTGGGTCACGTGTCGTCGTGTTCGACGGGTTGATTCGGATCCCAAATTCAAGCATCTCGGGGCACTCAGAAGTGCATCCCAACTGGGTCCCTATTGGGTCGTAACTATATACGGAATGGGTCCTTGATCGGGTCCCTCAGTGAATACAAGCGCAGGAAGACTGGGATAACATTTCGAATACGCTTAAAACTCTAATTTAGTGGTAATCAATAATGTAAATCGTTACTGCTTTTGTTGAACCCATTTCGCGTGATTTTGACGTATCAAAATGGATCCCAAAGTGGATCCCAAAGTGGATCCCAAATTGTGAAAAACAGGTACTCTTCGGATACCCAGCTTTCTTGAATATTGGAACCCAATTGTATCTCACCAGGAGACCCTTACCCGGACGTTAAAGGGGACCCATTGTGTATATGCGATCACGTGATAATGTGAATCATTCTGTCGTCCATGTGACTTTTAATCTTAGAGGTGGATCAAACTATAAGTGTTCTTCTATTTGGCTAGCGATGCATAGTCCACCTAAATTGGAACCCTTTTTTACAAGTGGTAATGTCGGAAATATGAGTGGGAAGCAATGAGTAGCGCTATTTGGTATACGACACGTGACACAATGCTATGGATCACTTTTTTTTACGAACCTGACAGCTCGACCTAAGAGGTGGATCAAATGATCTAATTGAAAAGCGATGCTTACTTCAACTGAATGAGAATCTACCATTTGAAACGGCATTGTCCGCCATATGAGAGGAAACCAACGAGTAACGCTATTCTGGTTATCGAAACTTATTCCATTAGTGTCACGTGACATATACAAACACTCACTCATAATTTCTCTTCTTCACCACTAGCATCAATCAACGCATTTCCTTTCTTCTCGTGAAAATACCTACTGCTTTTCTCTACCTCTCTTGTTACTACCTCCATTCTCGCCCCTCCACCACTGTCTCCCAACACACGCGATCTTCCTCCACACCTATATCCCTCCCTTTCTTCCCACTTCTTCAACAAACGGTTGTTTGGCCGAGCGGTCTAAGGCGCCTGATTCAAGAATCACCATTCTTAACACTGTTAAACAGTGGAATCCTCAGGTATCGTAAGATGCAAGAGTTCGAATCTCTTAGCAACCATTAATTTTTTTTGAAATTTTGAAAAGTTTCTTTTATCATGGTGTACGACATCTCCGTATATCACAGTATACGTAGTGCGACGCGTAAACGAGCAATTTTGTTGGAAAAAGAAAAAAAGAACGCGTAAAGGGGTTAAATAATGGCCCCATAGTAAAAAATTTTAATCACCTTAGGGCTAATATCAGACTATATAAAGGATATCTAGAATTACCAATTGATTTTCGAGAAAACGGTGAAGGATGGAACACAACACAGGTTGAGGACGCTGTAAAGACGCTTTTTAAGGACGTTAGCAACCCGTATTCTTTTCTAGATCTAGTGCCATTGTTATAGCCCTGATCTAGCGAAAAAACCGCATCTATACATACCAAATAAGCATGGTAAACGCTAAGGAAACGCCATCCAAAGTGGCAGCCAGTGCACTTTCGGATTTGGAACTAAAAGACGCCAAAAACAACTTGGCGGGCAAACTGGACGCCGTCAATGAGCAACAACAAGAACAAGAACAACCTGGAAACGCAGCTGGGGCCCCAGAACAGTCTAAAAACCTGGAAAACAGACTCAGCAAAGCCGCAGCCGAACACCACCAGTTTCTGCGCTCCCACCAGGTCCACCGCCATAAATTGAAGGAAATGGAACAACACGAGCCCTTGCTGGCCGAAAACAAGCGCAGATTCGTGCTCTTCCCCATTAAATACCACGAAATCTGGCAAGCATACAAGCGGGCAGAGGCGTCGTTTTGGACGGCAGAGGAGATCGATCTATCCAAAGACTTGCACGACTGGAACAACCGAATGAACGAGAACGAACGGTATTTCATCTCGCGGGTGCTAGCGTTTTTCGCAGCCTCAGACGGGATTGTCAACGAAAACTTGGTCGAGAACTTCTCGGCCGAAGTGCAGAGTCCAGAAGCCAAGTGTTTTTACGGATTCCAAATCATGATGGAAAACATCCACTCTGAGACTTACTCGCTGCTGATCGATACCTACATCAAGGATCCCAAGGAAAATGAGTTTTTGTTCAATGCGATCGAGACCATCCCACAAATCAAGGAAAAAGCCGAATGGGCCATAAGGTGGATTCAAGACGAAGAGGCTCTCTTTGGCGAAAGATTGGTTGCGTTTGCAGCCGTGGAAGGTGTGTTTTTCTCGGGTTCCTTTGCAGCTATTTTCTGGTTGAAAAAGAAGGGTTTGATGCCTGGTTTGACGTTTTCCAACGAGCTCATTTGCAGAGACGAAGGTCTGCACACCGATTTCGCATGCTTGCTCTTTGCACACTTGAAAAACAAGCCAGATCCAAAGATTGTCGAAAGAATCATCACAGAAGCGGTCGAAATCGAGCAGCGGTATTTCAGAGACGCGCTGCCCGTATCATTGCTGGGCATGAATGCAGACCTAATGAACCAATACGTGGAGTTTGTCGCGGACAGATTGTTGGTGGCCTTGGGCAACGACAAGTTCTACAACGTCACCAATCCCTTCGACTTTATGGAAAACATCTCGCTGGCCGGTAAGACCAATTTCTTCGAAAAAAGAGTCTCGGATTACCAAAAGGCTGGTGTTATGGCCAAATCCAACAAAACCGAAACACAAGGCGACGGGTTTGCCTTTGACGAAGATTTTTAAACGGTTTGTATGCTTTAATGAGAATGGAATTTGATAACTGCTGGGAGGTGAGAGATGGGAGGTGAGGAATTGAACCTATGTCAGGATCTATTTAATTCACGGGGATCTATTCTTTTGCACCTGAGACGTGTCTCGCCTCACGATACAGACAGCCGCTGTGATTTTTACATATAAAACATTCCTCCTCGTACACGCACGCTCGCACACTCTCCTCACCACTTCGTCACCACCGCAAACGAAAGACCAACGCAGAACTCACCACCATATGCAACGCAAAATGCACCGACTTCTACGACAACCCAATCACCCAGTACACTGTTTGGAATGCAAAGATCAAATCCATCTGTTCACTCAATGGGGTTCGAGAGCAGTCTGTCGAACATCATCGCCGCGATAGAGGCTGCGACAAATGTGTCAGAGAAAGAACAAGAAAAAGAACTCATTTACGACACCGACAAGTTCATTCGTGCCTCCATTCGCATCCGCAACTTCAAATACGACTATCCAAACACGGTCTACAAGTCCTACTTCGAAATAGTCTAATTTCGATGCAAAATTCAGGGCGAGTTTGTTCAGGTCGCCAGCTACCATTTGAGTGGCAGCGGCTGTTCGAAATGTGGCAGAATCTTACGTCGGAACCGTGGAAAGCCATCCAAGCGGCTCACAAGCGTTTTCTCTTGGCTTTCAATTTCAGACATACTGGTGCAGCGATCAATTGCAAGTCTCATGGACCGTTTGTCTGCCTCCCCGATAGGCATCTGAAAGGCGCGAGTTGTCCCACATCTTCGGATTTCGATGCCTTCATCGCAACTACCTCTGTCTTGCATTCAGACAATTGACCGATCTTCCTACAAAAACATCAAGACAAATTGGCGCATCATTTGCCGAGCGCATGGAGACTTCTGGCAATAACTGGGTGACCAAATGCACTCCCTGCCACTGCTTCAGTTGCTTTCTCGAAAGCAAGGGAATTGCGCGTGAGGAAATCATCGCCAGATCAAGGGCCATTCACGATTCCTCATACGATCGCGATCAACTCGTTCTCGACCACATTGCACGATCTTGTCTCGATATTCTGCAAAAAGTGTCAAAAGCATTATCTCCCAACAGGTAAGCAACGTCCAAAGCAGAGAGTGCGCATCTGTTGCGAATCTCAAAACGAAATCGAAAGAAGGATCCGCGCATGGCTTGAAACTACCACTGCACGTCTCCCACCAACAAATAAGCTTGCCAGGTATGAAACGTACGCTCCCGCTCAAGTGCGAACTCTTACTCCCACAATACAATCTCATCACCGTATTTGACGGTAAACAACAGTTTGAACGCGGTGGGAAAGACTTTGTTTTTATCAATTGCGCGACTGCATCAAAAACAAATACTGTGAGACCCATTGCTTCAACTTGCGCAGACTCAAAGACGGCCAGGACATCTTTCTCGCAATCCAAAAAACCCTCGATATCATCAATAAAATGAAGGCAATTGTTCCCACGTCTACCACCTTCCCATAGGCCCCCCACTACCCATACCCGCCAACCCCCGACAATTCCTTCAAGCATAAAAACATATTTTACTCATAGGACCATATATATCATATCCACACATAAACCATAGGGCTTACATACAAATCTACACTTCTCGGCATCTTCAAGCAAAGTGTTTCAAGATTTCCTCGGCAGCCTTGATACCGCTAACGGCCATGGCACCAAACGTGGGGCCCATTCTGTTGCATCCGTGCAACTCGGCAACCTCCATACCGGCAAAATACATCGAGTCCACGCCCGCGTACTTGCCTGCGTTCTTCACCACGCCGGCTTCTGCTCTGTTCATGTCGAGACCTTTCATTCCGCCAAGCTTTTGGTTCTTGTCGATCGACACGATTCTCTTTGCGGAAAACGCACCGAAAGGACCATCGTGGCCTGTAGTCGACAACACAACACCGTGCTTCTGGCTGGGATCCCGGGTTCCGTCGTTCTTGTACCCTGACAACTCGATCACGTTGGGGTCCATACAACTCTGCAAGTCGTGCGCCTGCGTTACCAAAGTCCAATTGGTGACCACGCCGGCCACTTGCACGCCACTCTCGTTGTCTGCTGGTCTGGTCACCAAATCCTCCACGGCCGTTGCGTTGAACAGCTTCACGTTAGGAAATTGCAGCACTTTGCTGAGCGTGGTAGTGACAAACATAGCGGCGTGCTTCACCACAACGTAATCGCCCTCATCTTCGTAAGGAATTTCCAATTCGTCCAAGAAAAGATGCGCTGGCTTTCTCATGATCATAGCGCTCATGAGACTTCCACTGACCCAGCTGCCACCTCCTGGAGCGGTGTTAGCCTCGATGATGGATACTTTTAGATCGGGTCTGTTCTTGGCGATGACGTAGGCGGCAGCGATACCGCTGGAGCCGGCACCGATGATGATCACGTCGCTCACGGCATATTTGTCGAGGTCTTGGAAGTAGCGGGAGGTCATGGCGCGGGAGACGGTGGATTCGCGGATGGGGGCGAACTGGAAGTCGCTCCAGTCGTCCTGTTTGACCACGTCGGAGAGAGCATGGGTGATGGGGGTTGCATTGAGCTGCAATTGGGCGAGGTTTTCGGTTGCGGATTGCGTTTGGGTAGTGGTAGAGGCCATTCTGGTGGTTCAGAGAGTTGGGGGATGTGGTATGTGGTTCTTGTTTGGTAGAGAGAGGGAGAGAGAAAGTAGGAACCGAAAGTTGGACAGAAGGGAGCATTTGGCGTGCCCTTTTATAGTTTTTTGAAGCCTGGAGAGAGTGGGGAGCCATGGGGAATTGCTATACCGGTGGCCCAAACGCTATGAGGGTAGAGTAAGTCTCGACCGAGACCCACTCGTTTCGAGTTCTGACAAGTCCTCTTTTGGCTTGGCGCGCGCGGGCTAGCAGATGCATTTGAGGAGGGGAAACTCGGCCGAGAGCGCTCGGGTGAGGCAATTGGCCTTGGCCTTGTGCAGTGGTGGTTAAGTCGCGGTTCGGATTTGGAATCGGGGCAATCTATAGCATTTGTTTGTTTTTTTGGATCTTGAAAAAGTGGTGTTTGTTCATCAGGGTTTGAAATGGGAATTCATGGAAAAGTGTTGTCCTTTTATGCAATTTTGGGGAAAGCAAGGGTATTTATTCGTGAGGGGTGATGTGATGCGGAGGGAGAACGACGGTGTGGGAAAAGGTGATCAGGGGAGATGATGTGACAGTTTGGAAAAAGTGATGTGAGGGAGAACGACAGTATATGACAGAGTGATAGCACGTTTATGAACAGTCATGTTCAACGGGTCGATTCGGATACCTAGAAGTGCATCCCAATTGGGTCGTAACTATATACGGATTGGATCCTTGATTGGATCACTCATTTATTGTTTTGAATCCCAGAGTGGATCCTAAATTGTGAAAATCAGGTACTTTTCGGATACTTAGCTCCTGACCAAATGATCCCAATCTTTTCCAGAAGTCACTTACCAGGACGTTAATTGGGATCCACTATACATGTCTGCTTATGAGTGCTTGTGCGACATCATCTCAATGGATAGCCTCTAAGTCGTTACTAGTGGTTAACATTGACAATTTTTTTCATCAAAAGTCTCGTAGTCTACCAGCGGGCCCGGATTTTACTGACAAAACGCTCTTCTTCACGCACGTTCTACCTTAAAGGAAACAATATCATCCCTGATTCTTTCCATCGTTATCTCAATTCCAAAAAAATCACTGTCACACTCATATAACAAGGCATACTCACCGTTTTCATCTTGGTTCTCCCATCTTTTATTGTTTTGGTCGTGTTTCTATGTTTTCCATCAAATAATGATCTGTTCTGTCACTTGTCAATTTAACATCTTTTAAACTCATCTCTCTCTCGATACACATAAACAAACACTCCTTTATCACATTAAAGCGCTTCTTGAAGGTCTGGAAAGCCCATGAAAATGCACCAGGATGAGTGCCAAAGCATCGATACTCGAGGATATCGTCAGCACTGAAGCCAGTGACAGCGAAGTGGGAGTTGTAAGGTCCGATGAAGAAGAAAGCTTTATGCAATTGGACGGAGATGCTTTCCGTTTAGATATACCGAGTGGGTCGCAAAAAAATGGCAAATCGCTCTTTGTTAATGAGGACAGCGTTTCGGGCGATCTAGAGGAATTGCCAGGTTTGATCCCCAGTACATCGAATCGTGAATCCAAACACGAGCCAGCAGATCTGTGGGATTTCAAACCATTGGTGCAACAAGAGTTTGAGCGGCGTTTACCGCAAAACTACGAACTGCGCGGATGGAAAAAACCGTCAAGACGCCTGGTTTTGAGCTTGCAAGGTATCCTCGAAAGTAACGTGGGCATTGCGCTGGACAAGTGTTTTGCCAAGTACGAGACCGATTGTGAGCGCATCTTTCTGGACCGCAGTGTGCGCAGCGTGCATAGGGAAAAAGAAATCATGCTTGTGGAACTGGTGGAGCAGATCAAACAGCGAATCTCGCAAGCCCGGTTCCCCACTCGCTGTTCAGACCGCGATTTGGATATCGAATACATCTATGCCAAACGGCAATACATTCAGAGCCAATTTTCACTGGAATCTGCTCGTGTGGAGGCCCTGCAGCACCAGGTCCAAAGGGAACAAACCAGATTGGACGAGCTGAAAACGCTGCGTTCCAAGACCACCGAGCGCAATGCGCGCAAGTTCAAACAGCTGACCGACCAGCTTTCCAAAAACCTTCATCCAGCGCTCAGCAAAGCCATGATCAACTCTTTTGGATTGCTCCGCGACAAGCACGCAAACACAGAACGCTACCAGTACGATGTCGACGATCTCAATCTCCAATTGCATGATCAAAAGCCTCCCGTTTCGCCGCCAAAACTAGAAGAAAGTCTGACCTCGGTACACAGCTACTATGAGGCCCTCCAAGGGTTCGAAGATATCCAAACAGGTGCTTTCAAGAATGCAGAGGGAAAGCCATAGTTCTGGGTTTCAAGAATTGCATTCATTGGTTCAACATACATGTCCGCTGGCTTAAGGTACATGTCTGCTGGCTTAAGATACATGTCCACTGGCTCAACACGCCCATTGGCTCAACAAGCACTCAATCTTTCTCGTTTCATGACTCGAAAAGCCTAAAGCAAATCGTTCCACAATTGCGCCAAAAAAAACCCAAAATTACGGGACAACAACAAAATCTCTGGTCCAAACGGAAAGGAAGACTATCACTCCAGCTACACACGCTTACAAGCCAAGATCGCTTCAAAAACCGTGGTCGATTGAGTAAATCCAACTCTAGCACGTGACGTCCAAAATTGCATCCTCATACTCTTGTACGAAAGAGCTCATTGTATTGGTATCCAGGGAAGTAGTTATTCAAATAAACCTTCAAATATTGTTAAAACTCACCTTCAGCAGCTAAACCTAGGTTTTCTCTACTACAATCGAGTAATTCCTTGGATCTTGCAAGGGCCCTATTGCTCGTTAACAGGACCTCCTATCAATTGGTTGTCTTTGATAGAAATTTGACCGGTATCCTTTGGTGTTCAGCTCATTAGGAACCGATAGCATGAAGGGCACCCGGACGTACAACGGCAAGAAAAGAGACGGGAGTGGAGGCTCTTCCAATGGTAACCATCGTAGTGGCACGGGGAACCACACGGGGATCGGATTCTACGAGACTGAGGACACGACCAGGTCGTTCAATGACCGTTTGAATTACCTTTTGATCAATAGTATTGGCTCTGACGCCCTGGTGACAGTAACAAATGGCGCCAAATACCAAGGTTTACTGACGGCATGCGACCCAACTGGCAGCAACGGGGTTGACGTTGTTCTGCAAAGGGCCAGACTCGTGGAAGACAACTTTGCTGCCGAACAATTGGCGTCAGACCTGATCGAAAATCTGGTGATAAAGGGCGATGACGTAGCAGAGCTACAACTCCAAAATGTGGAGTTCAACGCAGAGGAAAAACCACGAGATGTCTCGGACGAAGCTTTTGAGACCTCCAAGCAGCCAAAAGAGGCTACTTCTGCTGGTGTCCCCACGGAAATCAAGACTGATCCCGAATCTGGAAAGGAAATTGGAAAAGAGGTTAAGAAGGAGATTCAATTGGAAAAAATGCCTGAACGTGAGGTGAAGCCTGAGGTAAAGTCTGAGGTGAAGTCTGAGGTGAAGCCCGAGGTGAAGTCTGAGGTGAAGCCTCAAGCTAGAGCCCCACAGGCCTCACAAGCTCACAATGCACCAAGATCCGTTGAGCCTGCTAAACATGCGTTCAAGACCGACACAGATATTTCCGGAAACAAGAGTGAGGTCAAGGAAAGAAAATTGGAAAGATGGGTTCCAGAGCCGCATGAGGAATTCGCGCTTGGCGATGCTTTAGAAGATAGTAAAGAGTCCTGGAATCAGTTTGCAGTCAATGAAGAAAAATTCGGTATAACTTCAACTTTTGATGAGCATCTTTACACCACCATGATCAACAAGAACGATCCCAAGTATAACGAACGTTTGAGAGAAGCCGATAGAATTGCAAAAGACATCGAATCTCAAGGCAGTTCCGGGAATGTTCACCTGGCCGAAGAAAGGGGTCTGGTCACCGAAGATTCTGGCGTGGACGAAGAAGACAAATACTCTGGTGTGGACCGTAGAGGTGATGAACTGCTAGCTCAGTTGAAAATGAACTCCAAAAGTATTCCTACAAAGGCTAAAAAATACGTTCCTCCCACTTTACGGCACCAGCCTCACAACAACGATCCAGCCATCATTTCTTCAAGAGCAGCGGGCGTGCCACCTCCACCACCAGCCGAGGCTCAAGAAGTTCCATCCGGGTCTCATCCCAAGCGCAACCAACTAGACGCACTCAAGGAGTTTTCTGAAAAGTTCAAAGTCCCATACGATATGCCAGAAGAAGTAAAGACAATGTTCAAAAAGGAATCCGAGACTTCTCCTCGGACTGCCCAAACAGCATTGAAAGTCAATTTGTCGTTACCTCCGAAACCCACCAGCACGCCAACGGTGGTCCAGGGCAACGTTGCCATCACAAGGGGAAGCAGAACATCCCGTGGCTCAACTCCGCTAGCCGGGAAAGCTGAACTGAAAAAAAATGGCACTAGAGGCCCCCAAGGCCAAACACCCGTGTCGTCACCATCCGCTAGCAGACATGCAAATATCACCCGTAGACGTAATGTCAGCCACGGATCGTTTTTGGGTTCCAAGAAGCCGCAGTCTCATAAGAAGGATTTCGCAACCAGTTTCAACATGTTCTACAAGGCCAAAGAGGTTTTCGACGCGGAGAAAAACCAAGGCAAGGGTCCGGCAACGATCGTGTTCGAGAAACCATATTTCACAGCACCAACGTGGATGGGCAATGTTGAGCAATCTTACAAAAGTCTTTTCCCAGACGAGCGCGCCGCTATGCACAGATCACAACTCAAGATGCAGCAGCGCAGTATGGGCGCGCTTTCGAACGCCGGCAGTCCACACATGATGGGGATGCCTGGCATGATGATGGGGATGCCAATGGGTCCTGGAAGTTCCAATAATCCGTACATGATGGCCCCGGGAGCCAACGGGAACATGTACATGCCATTTCAACCTCCCGCCTACTACCCTCAGATGATGCACATGATGCCCATGGGAGAGGATCGAAACAGTGCCAGTCCCCCTCCTGCACGCAACGTATCGTCGCCCCACCCTGGTCCCGGTTTTGTCGCCGCCGGTGGGCCTCCTCATCCTTCAACGCCCATGTCGCCTTTCAATTATTCTCAAGCCCTACAATTTCAGCCAATGATGGGGTCCGGCTCCTTCCGACAGAACTTCCAATCCCAGCAACACTATAACGGCAAACATAGAACACACAATCGCTAAGTCTATGACACTCAGCAGCTGATGATGGGATGATGTGTTGAAAACGTAATTTGAACGTTTTTTAAGCTGTTCGACCGCCAAAACAGCCGTTTGAGCTGCTACAACTTTGGTGGACTCAATGAACTCGCATTTTAGAAACTACATCGATCTTTAAGTATTCTAGGTATTGCGAATTTCAAACTTTCCGGTTCTCAGCTTTAAAGCTCATCGCCTCCATCATATCTATTTGATATATATACATATCTATATAAAGTTGACCTAGAAATTGAAAACTATACCTTGTTCAAACCACTAGTTTCCACCAATTAGGCCAGAAATACACGGTTTGGACGCTGCTAACTTCACCTAAGCCTAATCCAAAGGCCAATTGGGTGTTGAACCTATGTCAACTTTCTTCAGAGGGCCCGTTTGTGGAACAGACAACTGTAGGTCGCGGCTATGGCGTATCATTGATGGACGAAGAACATGTCAATACGGACACGTTATGGAGGGAGATGTGGAGTACAATGACGACGAAGACGATATTAATAGCATGGGCGTTGTTACGCGACGTTTGAACCTAACAACTAACGCTACCGGTAGTTTTCGCTCGAGCATGAACTCACAATCGCAGAATAGCCAAAAATTGAACGAGTTCACCAAAGTTTACGGAGAAGAAGCAGACCGGCTGTTTTTGAAATGTTTTCAGCACATACTAAAGCTGCAATGTGGATGGCTTGTCAAAAGTCAAAATTTCCCGCCCATTTTCCAAGAAGTTGTCAAGACTATGTGGATGCGTCTTTTGAAATCTCTGGAGCAGAACGATAGTCAGGACTTGGAAACTCAAAATGAGACATCCTCGGCACGTCACGACTACTCACAAACGCGTGCCAGATTGGGGCTATCTCTACTATCGAGTTTGGCGCTTCTGTATACAGCTGGTGTGCACTTGAAATTGCCAGCTTTCTGGCCAGACTATTTGCGTTGGGTATGTTCAATGAAGCTAGTCTATTTCAAGGCGAATCTTCAGCTTCCGTCTTCGTGGCGCAAAAGTCTGCCCAACTACTATCTACAAGTTCTGGAAGGAGGAAAGGCCCCCACAGCCGCTCAATTCTACCACAAGTTGTCTGAAACTCACACCCGGATCGAAACACACACACATTTCAACGTTTCGATCACTACAGAACCGCTCATTCTGAAGCTCTTGCTGGCCTTGAGACTCCCGCCTCACTTGTCTTTCTATACATTAGAGTTGATGCGCTTGACAGAGGCAAGAAATGATTTTAACGAGTTCAAGATTCCAAAGCATCGAAGGATTCGAGACCTCAAACTGCATGAGTATATGGAGCCCATAACTGCTGCTTACGTTATTTTAGCATTACGGTTCAAACTTCTCGAGTTGAACCAGTTTCTGAATAATTACTGCACTGTTTGGCTAAGACTTTCAAACCTGGGGACATCGGACGATCTACTGACAACAACATCTTACGGCTTATCTTCGCCCGGATCCTGGGACCAGAAGTCTACCGATAAATATCTACAGTGGATGGAAAGTCAATTTCTTCCTGTGAGCACACGCATGGAAAGCGATTCGCAGAGTTTAGATCAGCGAATTGCCAATCGGAAGCTGCACGCCATGTTTCCGTCACCAAAACAAAGTCTGTTACCGTCAGATAACGAGTCTAACTCCGAAAAAACTTTCACGGATCAGGTACAAGATGCCTACCTTTCCGTATGTGACGGAATGCAACATTTACCGTCCGACCAAGAAGTCACAAGTGAAAATGCGCAAGTACTCGCCTCCCGTGTCGAGGCCCGATTAGTTACCTGGGTTTCCCAACACTGGGCCCTTTCCGAGCAGCAACTAAACGGCTGTCTCCATCACTTACTTTCAGCGAAGGCACGTCAAGCTGCATGATCTACGTGGCCTAGGTTGGAAAAGTTACACATGAGCAATACAATCAAGATACAGGTAGCGTTTCGAAATACGAATGTTCTGATGGATTCGAAGGAGTGCTGTACAACTTCAAAGCAATCAAAATATTTGAAAGAAAACCCGAGGCTGTCATGCGGCCAAAAGATTTACCTCGGCAATCCACACAGGTGGCATACAAACAAACCTTTTTGGAAGCTAAAAATGGACATGACAGGGTGTTTCATTGAGCCGACAGGGTGCGCCTGTGAAGGTAGACTTGCTCGACTTTTGAGGCTCTCGGCGTTTTATTTGTTCGACTCAATGCACTGAGGGTAGGTCAGTTGTGGTGAGGTATGGATCTCGAGGCTCTGAATTAGATACTATAAAGGGAGTCCAACGAGAGGAGATTTCATGGACTGGGTTCCTTGCTCAATCATGCACACTGAAATTTCTCAGTTGAAATGACTTGTATTGGTTCAATCGAAGTTTCCCAGGATCTGGGTTTGCAAGAATGGGATATGCTTTGCTCACAAGGACACGCTCGCAAGATGGGACATATCGAAAACTATTTTGCTTTGGCCCAGAGGCAAGATCTGTATTCAAATTTCGGACTTTTCTGTGAGATGAACAAGTTTTTTTCAATGGACCAGCTGTCTTCTGCATTGCGAGTGATCTGCCTGGAAAACCCACTTTTACTTCATACGGTAGTAGAGCAGCAGTCTGCTGGAGATGGCAATTTCTACCAAAGCGACAAATATCTCTCAAAACCGTGGCCCGAGCACGATTACATTCGGGTGCTTGGAAAAGTGCATATCTCAGACGTGCTATTGAATACAGAAAGCGAATTGAGCGACGTCGTTGCTAAAATATTAGCAGAATTCAGCAGCAACGGTGGTCGCTATACCAGCCAGGTTTTCAAGCTTGTGAACTCAATTAGAATACCCTATAGTCATGAGTCAAGACCCAACTGGCGGATACTGTGTTTTCTTGAGGGTGACTCCCAATGTCGCAAATTTTTATTTCTGTCGAATCATTGTTGCAGTGACGGCATATCCGCATCAAATTTCGTTCATGACTTACAAGAACGTCTGAATGATCCCAGATTGACCTCCACAAATTCAGGAATCAAACTCGATTACAGCCAAGATTACTCTATTTTGCCGAAGCTTCCAGCTCCAATCGAATCGATTCTTGATTACAAGGCCACAAAAATTCATCTGGCCCGCATGGTTGGTAGTCAGTTAATTCGAGAACTCACCGGTTACAGGTCGGCTGGACCACTTGTCAAACGAGTGAAAGAACCAGACGGAAATGAATTCCACAGTTTTTTCTTGAATCTCACACCGCAGGAGCTCAAAAGAGTAAGAAGCAGGATAAAGACCCAGGTGCACTCGAAATGCACCTTCACGCCATTTTTACAAGCCTGCTGGTTCGCAACAATGCACAAATGCGGAAAAGTCTTTACTCATTCGTTCAGAGAGCGTTTCACCAATATTGTAGTGGCTATGAATAGTGCGAAACTGCTGCCATCTGAGGATTTGAAGTTAATTCGAGATTACAGGTTCGGTTGCAATATTGGGGGCTCAAACTACAACTATCAGATCTCATCTTTCGATGTAGCGGATGATCCTAAAGCTTTTTGGAAATTAGTGGAGTATTATAATGACGTGTTTGGTGAAGCAAAGCGCCAGAATCATTTTCTGAGCTCGATGGGCGCTTTGATGCTAGACTCCATGTATGAAAGCAAAAATCTCGACCTCGCTCTTACACAAGCTTTTCTTGACAAGCCGCGTTTGGGTACCATGCTGAGCAACCTTGGTTACATCCCTCAGAACGCAGGAGGTGGAGAATATCAAATTCAGGACTTGATATTCGCACAAGCTACGGGTAGCTTCAGGTTCACTTTCGATATCAGTTGTTGTGCCACAGACGTAGGTGGATTAAACGCTGTCCTATGTGCCGCAAAGGGAGCCCTGAAGAGTGGTAGCGATTGGAATGAGGTGTGTGAGCTATTCAGGAATATCGTATTGAGAGCATAGTGATATCCTTTGACTGAAAGTCCTTCGCTGAAGATCATATATGAAGAGGAGTTCTTCAAGCGTACGACCAAATCGCCCAGCCAATAGCGCTATATGACAAGGGCCATGGGACGAGTATTTTAAGGCCACTGATTCTACTGGTCACATTTAACAGATACCCTAATGCTCTTTGATAAAAGAGCCTAACTTAATCATTGGAAGAAGTGTCACCGACACGACTTTCATGACATCGCATGCTGTTCGAGTCTGAGATAGCAGACGCGATGATAGGACAATCTCATAAAGGTGATGTTCCATGCTGGTCAAGAGCATGCAAGTCTAAGAGGTACGTAACTTGCCTATGTCTGCAACTGCTGCGTTCGAAAATATGCATCATGTGCATAAAATAATACACAGGGCAAAGATGACAGTGTCGCTGCCAAACTCCTGTAACGAGGGACATTATAAATACGGAATCAACTCTTGAATGATCTTCACCGAAAGATGGGAACAAAAGAATAGTCTACTTTCGCAGTTACTCGAAAAGCTCTTCTCTCATCCGCAAATAGACTCATCTCAACTCGTTTGAGAACGTGGCGTATACTCTTGAAAGATTGAGACTCAAAATACTTAGTGATCTGATGTTCCATGCTATCCCTCTCCTTGGTGTTAAGTGAATGTTCTAAAAGCCCACAGCACGAAACACATACTTATAAACCTTGTCAGCAGTTTCGAACAGAGCATCAAATTATATGGATGGTCAAAACAACGTATTCCTAAGATCATAATAACCTTTCACCTCAAGCGCAAAGCGTCAAGTTCGAGATGGGACCTAGAAATAGATACTTCTAAGATTTCCATCTTGGGATTCCTTTTTTGTTTCTTTCCAACCGCATTCGGGCAACAAAACTTGCACATTTCATGTACCTTTGAGTTTAGATGAGAACCTACTTTTTGGAGAGCAGCTCCTCATTCAAATTCTCATTTATAATGGCTTTGAGAATTTTTGCCGCCACCACGAAGTCTTCAACCTCATTGAAGATCTGGACGCTAAACCTTATCCATAAAGCACCACCTTGAAAAAAAAATGGCGCATAGGCCTTTTTTCTGCGTGCTAGGGCATCACAGCGGGCTTTGAATCGCCTGAATTTGTGGAAGTCCGTCGAAAGTTCTTGCTGAACAGAAGAGTACTTGGCATCTAGTGGTAAACTCATGTTAAACAAGCCAGGGGTCGTCAAGGTGTTAGTCGAGTTTTGTAATAATTTAGAGCCTGGTCCGAGAATGAGGCCCACCGCTTTGACAGCAGTTTCTTGTAGTTTCCATTGGTATTCGCGGATGCGTTCCTCACCCCCGCAGATATTCTGGCGGAATCTCAATGCCTCCTCGATGCACAAGTAGACAGAATAAGATGCAGTTCCAACAAACCAGAACTTGTTGTGCATCAAAAGGTCATTGTGCTCGAACTCCGCTGCGGTTTGTGGATTTTCGATAGCGCGACACGCTTCCGCAGAAAAGTTCCAAGAAATTGGCGTCGTCTGAATGGAAGCGTGGTGTTTACGGTTGACGTAAAGTAAAGCACAGCTTTTGGGGGCACTGAGCCATTTGTGCAAGTTTGTGGTCATGAAGTCAGGGTTCAATTCATCCAAAAATTGAAGGTCCAACTGGCCCGCAGCATGCGCACCATCCAGGAGAGATAAGGTGTTGTATTTCTGACATATTTTGATAATGTCTCGGTATGGCAACTTCACTCCTGGCATCGAGCTGATCATGTCGAACATGCACAGTCTGTATTCACCGGTGGAGAGTTTTTCCTCAAAAGCTTCAAGAAGCTTGTCGTCCTCAATGGGATACTCAAGGTCGACAACCTCGTACTGCAAATCGAAAAATTCGGATAAATATCTCACGGTGTTTGCACATGCTTCATACGCTGTAGAATGAATGAGGACTTTGTCTCTCGAGAAATCCCAACGAATTGAACGCAAGACGGTGTTGATACCAACAGTGGCATTAGACACCAAAGCCAAGTTTCGCCAATCCAGCTTGAAATACTCAGCCAGGAGACTGACTTGCCGTTTGTAAAGAACTTCAATCTCGTCAGTCAAATATGCGTCGGGATAGCGTTCTGCATCTTTGCACAGCTGCATTTCTTTCTCAATAACGCACGTTGGTGTGGTTCCAAAAGAGCCATTGTTGACCAAAGTCACCTCGGGATCTAAGAGGGAAAAGTAGCGAGACTTGAAGGCATGACCAAACGCCGGTAGAGTCATGTTTCTCACTGATAGCTTATGGTTCGGGGAGTTTTGTGATCGAAGTGATTCTACCGATGCAGATCATCAAAGAAAGGTTAATTAATTAAACCTCTCTACAGCTGGCAATCACTTGGTCGATATTTATAGGAATGAAAGGGCGATGACAGAGCTCTATTGTTGAGTCAATTGCTTTCGATTGTGATCTGTGGCATTTCTCTTATCTTTTGATTCCAGTATTGTCTCACAATGATGAGTCATTGATGAATGGTAGTTAACTTTGTGTGAGTCAATCACGAACATCGTTGATTTGGAAGCGTGTTAGTGTACTTAGAGGATGCAGCGTGAAGACCGGGACGATCGTGGCCAAACATTGATGGTGCAGTGCCCATGAAGAAGGTATGTTGATCGGGTATTTCTTATTTTGCCATTGTAAGTGCAGTGTGTGTCATTTACAAGACAACATGACACTTTCTTGAATATCAGTCTAGCCTTTCTAAGAGATTGATGCTTGGGATATGGGTTTTGAGGTGCCAGAATCTTTTGCGAGGTTGCCAAGATGAAAGACAGGATGGCTTTGCCCCGTCTTGCCCATGGAGTCGCTTTCAAATTTGAGCGTACCAGGTTTTCGATTATTGACTTTTGTTATTTAAAGGATTGTGGGTTGAAGTTTCTTGCGGGAAAGGTGGTGCTGGAGACCCTCATGCGCTGGGGACCCTCATGCTCAAAGCGTGGAAAGAAATATGTGATTTTGCATTGTCAAAGAGAACTGCGCAGAACTGCGCTGATTGCACGTTTGAAAAGCGGAAACAAACCAGGCACAAGAACAAAGAAACAATTCATTCGTCCCTCTTGATACAACCGCTCGAACAAACGTTTTCAAACCTGGTCTGGACGTGTGAGTACTTCTAAACCTGGAAAGGTCACGTGGCAAAACATTAATCCTCAGATACGCGATGGGTCACTTTCAATAAGTGCAGTCCGTTTACTCGGGGGACCATGGATGAGTGAGTAAACGAGGATTCGATTATGGATAGAAATCCGTGTCTGTGTACGGCAAGCGTAACTTAGGGAAACGAAACACGTGTGTCCTGATCTTTTCGGCGGCCAGAATCGTAGCTGAATTTAACTCATTTATCCCTCCGTCTCAGTCGTCTCTCCTTTCGATCCACATCCACCACATTGCGAAAAGATTTGGATAAAACATTGGTCTTGTTTCTGGAACAGAACTCCTGGTGGTGAGTTTGATAGCTTTATCTTCGTGAACACACCTATTGTTCATAAAAATCCACGAATAAGCAGCAGGAGGGTATTCGCAAATGTACTCTGGTAAACGTACAGTTGCGTAGAAAAGTGGATCGCGTAAAAACCCGATATGTGACCAAAATGTGCAAAGAAGTTAAAACCAAACATGTGGACTTGGAAAGCAGCAGGTCAAGTCTGAAAGAAGTCAGATCTCTTAAAGAGTGTTCACCATGAGAGGTACACATGAAACTTTCCGGCTATGTTTTTCATTGAAATGTGAAGCGCACTTTCTATTTGCATCTAGGTAGGTTCTCGATGGAGGACGGCTACATGTACAGGAGCTCCCATTCACGCTCAAACTACAAACATGATCTCAAGTTTGAAGTGGTCGTTGAAGAAAAGGCTCTCGTTTCGTTCCTTGCCGCGGTGTGGTCCGTTGGACTACTGAAGCTCTCGGAAGTGCCAATGATCTGCTTTGATCGGGACTGCACATAACAAATAGCTCGAAAAAACGCCACATTAATGTTTTTAGATCTTGATTCTCACCATTCCTAAGTACCTGCTGATCTTGTGACTCTTGCAGCGCGATCTTGCGCGGCAAATGATGAGTTACTTATATAGGTATACTTATAGATTTTTGTAAGAAGATTACACAAAACCCTGTCGTCCGACCGTCTAAAAGCATATACCCGAAGGATCCGTTCCGTTCATAAAGATGTACCCATGGGTATTTGTCTTATAAGCACGTGACTTATTCGAATTTAAAAAGCTCATCACCAATTTCACCACACCGCTTCATCAAACTCTCAGAGTCCCACCACCACGGTCGGTTCGTTCAACTCTACAACCCGATCTTACCCTCAAACGAGACCTCTTTTTCCCCAGAGCTTATCTAGCGAATTTTAACGCTTTTCACCTTTAGCTCATCGCTTCGTTCGTGGTAACGTCGTCGTATAGTAAATTTTCGTCAAAATCGAACCATCTCATCTCTCAATTTTGACCTTGCTCGAGAAACGTTCGAAGAAAAACAAGGCTTCACCCCCCCCAGCGCGCTTCTCTGACGACTTTACTGAGCCTGCCAAACCGTTAATCGTTTGTTAAACGGATTGCCAGCAGTACAGTGTTTTTTGGAAGATATAAAAGCGTGTAACGACAGAGTCCGTTATAATTATCAAAGTTTCAGCACTTGGGTAACCACTGACAGTTTTTGGTTCCGAGTTTCACAAAGGAGACTTCAAAGAGAGCGCTTCTGTTTCAGCGAGTCAGCCCACACTTCCAAACATTTTTTGGGAAGATCATATTTGAGCTCAAATTCAAGTCCAATGTCAGGTATACAAGAACCAGAACCAGCACTGCTAAATGCTGACGAAAACGTCACATACGACGCCCTGGTGGTCGGATGCGGTGTTATCGGACCGTGTGTAGCCACAGGGCTTGCTCGCAAGGGCAAAAAAGTGCTTATAGTCGAAAGAGACTGGAGCATGCCCGATAGAATTGTAGGAGAGCTGATGCAACCCGGTGGTGTCAGAGCACTTAGATCCCTGGGAATGGTGCAGGCCATCAACGGAATTGACGCCATCCCAGTCACGGGCTACACGGTGTTCTACAACGGCGAAAAAGTGGCTATTCCATACCCTTACAAGGCGGACACTGGAGCAGTCGAAAAAATTAGCGGTTTGGTACGTGACGGGAACGACAAAGTTCTCAAGGACGACGAGACCATCTCTGTCCAAGACTTTGAACTCGATGAGCGTGAAAGAGGCGTCGGTTTCGTCCACGGCAGGTTTTTGCAGAATTTGCGCCAAATAGTAGCCCAGGAGCCTAATATCACTAGATTACAGGGCAACGTTACAGAAATTTTGAAAAACAAGCAAAACGAAGTAATTGGGGCCAAAGTGGATATTGCAGATCGCGGGAAGGTCAACTTCCACGCCCACATCACGTTCGTGTGCGACGGTATATTCTCGCGCTTCAGAAAGGAACTTTCACCAGAACATGTGCCCAAGGTTGGGTCCTCATTCGTAGGAATGTCTCTATACCATGCCAAGATGCCATCACCAAACCACGGCCACGTCATTCTGGGAACCAGCCACATGCCCATCCTCGTTTACCAGATTTCTCCCGAAGAAACGCGTATCCTGTGTGCCTTCAACTCTCCTAAACTACCTTCGAATTTGAAAGAATGGATGGGCAAAGATGTACAACCCTTCATTCCAGAATCGCTGCGTCCCTCATTCGACGATGCTTTATCTCAGGGAAAGTTCAAATCGATGCCAAACTCTTTCTTGCCCGGTCGCCAAAACAATGTGCTAGGGATGTGCGTTATTGGTGACGCTCTCAACATGAGACACCCATTGACCGGAGGTGGTATGACAGTGGGTCTAAACGACGTGGTTTTGCTGATGAAAAAAATCGGTCACTTGGACTTTAGCGAACGTGAACTGATATTGGATGAGCTACTAGACTACCATTTCGAAAGGAAAAGCTACGACTCTGTCATCAACGTTCTCTCGATTGCTCTGTACTCACTATTCGCTGCCGACAATGACAATTTGAGAGCTTTGCAGAAGGGATGTTTCAAATACTTCAGAAGAGGCGGCGACTGCGTGCGACTACCCGTATCTTTCCTCTCTGGTGTTCTGCCAAGACCCTTCTTACTCACCAAGGTTTTCTTCTCCGTTGCGTTGTATGCCGTCTACATCAATTTTGAGAAAAGAGGTCCTCTTGGCTTCCCCGTGGCGTTGCTTGAGGGTATTGCTATCTTGTTCACCGCAGCAAGGGTCTTCACACCATACTTGTATGCTGAAATGATCGGTTAAATCTCGCTCTTACACTACTATTCCACCATATATTTATGATACAGGACATTTTAACGAATAATTAGGAAAACTCAATGACGGATTGGCTGTGCTAGTGAATTTCTGAATCCGTTCTTCAATGTGAACTAAGCCAAATTCCAGCCATTTCGAAAACTACCGATACTTCCTCCAGCATTTTACCCTGATGTCAGTAGTTTTACTTGATGTAGTTTATTCAAATGGCTTCTGTCATCAAATAAAGTAGGTCATCGGCTGTCCATGAATAATTCTATAAACTAACGAAAAAACATCGCTAAAACCTTAACATCAAGGGTCTCATTACGGCTCAATAGATAATCATATATAATGGAAAGACCACTTTGGTTTCGCTGGCTTAGAGTCTACGCTTTCGGCGGTGCCATCATTGCCACAGGGTGTATACTATTTAAATACACCACTCCATCGGACGAAGAGCTCATAAAAGCACTATCACCAGAACTGAGACTCCAGTTCGAGAGAGAACGCCAGTTGCGTCAGGCTGAACAGCAGGAACTCATGAAGATCGTGCAAGAAACCGCCAAAAGCCAAGATCCCATCTGGAGAACTGGGTCTATCGATTCCCCTTTTGAAAGAAACAACAGTCAACAATCGCGGGAACAGTTTCAACGTGTGAAAGCAGAGGAGATCCAACGGGAAGAGTTGCAGCGTGTTAGACAGGAACTGCAACAGATGAGACAAGAAACCAGTGAAAAAACAAGGAAAAGTTTGCCCACAACCAATTGGTGGAAATTCTGGTAAGCCCACAATAGTGGGATGAAAAACATCACTGGGGGCAGCTTATTGTACATAGTGTTGCATGGCTGAAGCTTTATATTTATTATTATTAATACTATCATTATTCTTGGTTTTCCAGTGCTTAAAAGAACCAATGCGGCAAACGTCCCAGCGCAGTGTGCTCATTGGCTTGAGGCCCAGGTTGAAAATCCAGTTTGTGCAAATGCTTGCAGCGCATTGCCGAACCCAGCACCCGGAAACCGGCTGGACCTACCCTCGGTGCTTGAACTTCTATTCAATTGGTCGACTGCAGCAACAATTCTGGCCACACTCGTTTCAATTACCATTCCTCCCTGTATAATTTCTTCGAGCACGCTTTCGAGCGTTTGCCAGTTGAATATAAGGTCCAGTTCATTAACTTCTGTAAAACACCGGTCCAGGGATTCCACAAACGTCTGGATCAAATCTAGGATGGCCAGTTCGGATTCTTGGTCGTCTACGATGAACGTAAAGTACAGAGTCGCATAATTCTTGTAGATGACTTGAATGCCACCATCATCACCTATATCGTCAGAGCCGGACCGAAGAAGTGAAGGTGGAGTGGTCAGAAACGAGCTTTGAAACTCGCTATTCCGATGAGAAACCAGCTCGTAAACTTGTTGTATAAGCAGTTTTTGTTGAGGCAGTTCTACGGGAGTGTAAAACTTGACCAGTCTGGGTTGTGCCTTCTTGTTAACTGTTAAGGATTCGATTCTCAAAGTTAGTAACATTTCTTTTGAAAGCCGGGCGTGTTAACATCGCACACGCACACACCATCATATACTTACATATAAGGACGGAATGTATCATTTCCCAAGGTGTGCGGAATCTGGACGAAGCTAGTTAGACTGACTGGATCAAAAGGCCATCAAAGCTAGGATTCTAATCCTTATGAGAAGTTCAGAGCTCATCGTGATATTTCATTACGACAGAAAGTGGTTAAATGAAAAATTCAAAAAAAGAATTGCGCAAGCCCGGAATCGAACCGGGGGCCCAACGATGGCAACGTTGGATTTTACCACTAAACCACTTGCGCTTGTTTGTGAAAAGGTGAAAGTTTGAGAGTAACATACTACATTGAGGCAAATGTGTGAATTCGTAGCTGATTTATATAAATCTCATTCGTTAGTGGTAGTCTTTCGCATGCTAGTAGACATTTCTTAGCATCGCTAGACATCGAAGTCAGTAACAGTATAGTCGCGAAGTCCTGTATCGAATCACTGTTTCAGTAAGCTAATCCAGATATGGCTCTATCTTCAATTTTTGGCGGTGCTTCTCCATCGCAGCAGCAAACTGCAACAGGAACCGGCTCTTCGTCGAAGGTGGCCAGCATAAAAGATCAATTGAAGACCCAAATCGGCCAGGAACTAGCTGTTGCTAACGCCAGTGAGCTAGTGAATAAAGTTACCGAAAACTGCTTTGAAAAATGTCTAAGCAGTCCCTATTCTAACCCAGAAGAAGGCTGCGTCGATCAATGCTTGGCCAAGTACATGAGAAGCTGGAATGTTGTGTCCAAGGCTTACGTTGCCAGAATCCAACAGGCCTCCACTTCCGGTGAAATCTGAGTACATAATGCGTGTCGCAAACCAGTGTAAATAGTGAATTTCAAATGCATACGATCAATTTGGTGCACCTTGGGATAGGACAATGCTGTCATCTCATCATCCTATTCTTCACTCCTGGAATGAACCATGAGGCTAAATGATATAAGAATGAGTAGTATGTTATAGTACCGTATATAGTCGTGGGGTCCGCAGGACGCCAAATGCCGATTGTGGGGGGTAGTAGTGGTTGTGGTGGTCAGATAAATATAAGTTTTGTGCCAATAAAAGTAGGATCAAGAAGAAATATCAAATCCTGCATTTTCAACATCGTAGTTTTCAGTTTTTGTTCTGTTATCCTCTTTTCGGAAAATCCTTTTGCTTGTAAAGGAGCGCGCGTTTGTTTTGTTTACTCGTCATCGTCGTCTTCGTCGTCGCCGGATTCGCCGATCTTCAGCTTGACGTCTTTCCACAACTTACCCTTGTTGTGAGCCTCGTACCATGAGGTGACACCGCTGTCAAAAGCGGTTTGGAACACGAACGAGGCAGCGAAAACGGTGCCAACGAAAGTAGCGTTTCTCTTGAAGAAAACGTTGTAAATTGTGGAGAAGGCCTGTTTTTGGTGGGACTTTGGTTAGTATTGAATTCCAGATATCTTAATGACGATGAGTTTTCGAAGCTTTTGAGAAGCTCAAGATTGATCGAATTTGAAGGCCTTGTTTGCGAGTAAAGCGAAAACAGCGACCACAACATCTGAATCCTTAATCTTTGTCTTTCCAGACTTCATATGCCAGTGTATTCAGCTCTAATTTCTCATGAAAGACGTTTGAACAAAACCCTTGGCGTTCCCCGCTCATCATGTCACACAGAAGGCCTTGAAGAGCCCTGAAATTTCACATACCATTATGATCAAACAACAAACTGCTAATGGACTTATTTAAAGTGATAGAGTCACTCTGCTGTCTTCTAACTTTTGATAGATCCTGCTAGTGATGTTGGAACTTCTTAGCGGTCTGGTTGAAATCCTGAAAATTTCCCAATTTAAAAAATCCGTGGACTCTATTGGGTCGTATAGAACGATATATTTTCTTCAAGATCATGTATACACACACATATCAAATAAAAAGCGTTGACTCTATGAGGATATAAAGCCAGAGGATCATGCCACTTGGAAGGGACCTGAGAAAGACTTGAAAGAGTCAAAACAATTGCGGAACTTTTCACGGTGTCAGTGGTTGTTCTTGTGTGTAAATTTGTATCTTTCTCTTGGCGTAACAACGTAAAAAGCGAGAATTCTTTTATGCTGACATGGCACTGAGCCTTGCACTTGAGGAGTATTTCCATCTATTGCCCCATAACTCGCATGGCCTATTCTTCGTCTTCATTCTCTTCGTCTTCGTTTTCTGGAGTTTCGTCGGGAGCTCCGTTCAGGTTTCTGAAATTAGGAATAAAATCAAAACGCGGGACGAAAACGTTTCCCAACCCGGTGTCGTTGTCTTCCAGCAAGGGCCCATCTTCAAATGCACCAGCGTCAGTCCTCAAGTTGTTTATCAGCTGGAAAAAATCACGTATGTCACCGCCAGGAGTCGGTCCAGCTCCCTCCAGTCTTATGCCAGCTTCCTCGAAAAACTCTTCGGGTCGGATCTCCCAGCGAGCCCCAACACCGTCTGCTTCGTCATCCTCAGCCTCGTCGCTGCTGCTGCCGTCACCGAGATCTTCAGTGTTAGCGCGACGGGGCCGAAGCACATTTCGATTGAAATTTAAAACCACTCCATTCGAAATTATCAAGACTCGAAACTCGTCACCCATCACTCTGCTCACAAGGCCCGGAATTTCGTTGTTGAGCCACACACTGGTGAGATGCTCATATCTGCGAAGATTTAGAGAAGTAAGATCGCCTCTTTGAATGGCGTTGCGCCCTGCTTCGCCATGCGAGTTCAAATAGGGAGCAGAAATGGAAATGGAACATCTTGGATTGGTGACTATCAGACACACCTCACTGAGATTGGGTAGGAGGAAAAGACCAAAAGGCCTGAAACAGTGATTAGCCAAATGCTTGATTAGCTCTGTATGGTCTTTCCTTGCGTGAACCTTGACTCCGCAGGCCAGACAAATCTTAAAATCTAACCGATTGCCAGCATTTTTCATGTGCGCAGGGTGCTCGTCCCGCAGTTTGACAACTTGCGAGTTTGTGAGGTAGGTGTTGAGTTGAGGAGCAAGGTCAACTAGTTTTACAACGCCGGTATACTCGTAAGGAATCTTCATCAAGTAAGGATCGTCTGACTTAGTGCCACAAGGGTACTGTAAGAGTGTCTCAAGGCTATCACTTACAGTGAGTGTTCTAATAAGTGTCTCAACATATACGTCAGTGTTCTCAAAGTCCATCGGGGATGATTCCACATCTAATCCATCGATCACTAAACGCGAATCGTCCGCGGCGCTTAAAGTGTCATTGAAGACTTTCAATAGAATCAAACATCTTCTCAGCGTCGGTAATAGGTTTTTCAGTAAAGTCGTGTAAGCCAAATCGTAAAGTTTCTGACACACTTCTTTATCTGATATTCCGACATCGCATAAAGCGCGCATACAATGCATTGTTTTATCAGTGCACTGGTATAATGATTGTTCTTTTTGGCCTCGGTCGTACATTAAGGCAATAGTAGAAGGTGACTGGCCCTTCACAAAGTCGGCTATTAGTTGCCTGGAGAACAAAGAAAGTGCCTTGCTTATTGTTTCAGAGATAGGTATTGGGCTCAGAAGTGCGTGGCGAGCAATGTACTGAAATAGTTGATTTTGGTTCCATACTATGCCTTCGCAATTGACATATGGAATATGATCCATCGAAGGAGGACCTAAGACACTGCACAACCAGGTTATTGATGAAAGAACATTTCGCAAGGATCTGAACTTCTGCTCCTTCCCTTGCAGCAGACTGCTGTTAGTGGTAGAATGCACCCTAGTAGAGATCTCTAGCATCGAAATTGTGTTGGCCCAATGCACGATCATGATGTGTGCTACGTCCGAGCGTTCAAATTTTGGATTAGTAGCCCAATGACGATCGTAATACATGTTTTTTTTGTTGATTTCAACGAACATGTTGAAGACACTACTGAAATCCTCGTTAGGGTCATTTTCGTGTAGGAGGTTTACTGCTGGCTTGGAATTGTTGGATTCCAGCAGACTCTGGACAGAGATGCTATTTTCGTTTCGTAATCTCCGGTACACGGGTATCACGCAATTTGAGTAAGTTTGGCATAACGGACAAATAAAGGAATTAGTTGAAAATCGCTTCTTCTGCGCATAACGTTTGAAGCATTTATAATGGATATGATGATTGCAAGAAACAAACACTTTCCTCGATCCTCTTGAGCCATCTTCCTTGTAGCAGTTCAACGTCTCCTGATCGTATATTGTGGGCTGCTCATCGTTATTACTGAAGGCTCCCCATGAGCTTTCAAGTTCACTCATATCATGTATATTGCCAGCTCTAAAGGCCGGCGAGTTTTCATGATATATTGGTATAACAAACGAGTCAGTAGGTGCTACGTCCTGGCATAACGCACATGTGTACTCCTCGTAAGAGTCCTGGAGCTGATCTACCATGTCGACGTCGTCCCCATTGTTTTTGAAGTCGAGATCGTTCCCTTTCATAAATTTGGTGTGCTGCTTGGAGAACTTCGACAAAATTTTTTGCTGACGTGCTTTTGCGAGCCTTTTCTTCTTATCCTTTTCACTTTCTTCAAAATTTACGCCTTGGTTTAGTTTCCTGGCTTTGTATTTCTTTACAGGCTCTTCGCCGAAACAGGAGATTAGGGAGTCAACAACTACCTCAGGGCACTTCCACATCATCATTTCGAGTAAGTAATCTGCCTTGGATATCACGCTCTCCGAAAACACACTTGATTTACAATCAACGATTGTCAAAAACAGATTACAGACAGGTTTCGATAGGTAAGCATCTGGAATAGAGCCTTTCCCATACACCAGTTCATGGTCTTTGAAGATTCCATGGATCAAATGAAGCAGCCCATATAAAAATGTTCCCTCATCTAGATCGAGGCACATTTGAAGAAGATTGAAGACTACTTTCGCAAACAACCCTGTGCGCGTAAATGCGCCTAGATTCTTGGCAGTTTCGTCCAAATACTTTGGGTGCGTCAGTTGGGGCTCCAGGATGATCTTTTTTGTATCTCCGCCTGGTCCAGCCAAGTGAGATGCGATTACGGACGAGCTGTGTTCAAAATCATTCCCCATATTGGGCAGCTGCATTGCATCAACTTTCTTGTAAAACTCTGGTTTCAGCTTGAAAACTCCGTTGTCCTCTAACCCTCTAGGTTCAACATAAATTGAAACTTCTTCCAAGGCTTTGTCAAACACGCTCGACTTCTCTGTCAGGTACTCAGGCATGCCAGCAAATAAATCTGAATACGACAAGGGTTCCATGAACAAACCATAAATGATCGCATTTTTGAGCTGATAATACTCCTTCTCTTCAGCACTGTGAAATTGCCTGAATGGTTGCCTCTCTGTAAGGACCTGATAAATAAATGCAACGAATTGCTGAATGATGAAAAACACTTTGTCTTCGTAAACCGTATGCGCGTAGTCTTCTTCTCCATCCAGCCAGCTCAATAACTCCCATCTTTCTAAGACATTGTACACCAGTCTCACAAGGTCATCTTTTTCCTCCAAAAAGGTGAGCTGGCACAGGTGAATATCGCGCAAATACGAAGCCATGTCAGGAGTCCGCTTATAATACGATGACTGACGAAGAACAGATACACCATTGCGCACCCAAAATCCAACGTCAATTTGTGAGCACAAAACAATAGACCTCAAAGATATATCAGATATGGCAAGGAAATCGTTGCAGTCCGCTAACGCCTGGAAACCTTCTTCCAGTGGTACTTTCTCCATCAGAAATGAAAGTAAAGTGTGCACTGGGTTCATGAAAGCCACCCGTTGCTTACTCACTTTGAACTTTATTATTTCGTGCGTCCCATGTACCGCTTTGTAGTGGAAAGATCTGTGCCCTAGAAATGTGCTGAGGAGCTTAATGCCATTGAGCAGTAAATCGTGGTCGATTTCATCCTTCTTGCTATCTAGAGTCCTATCCAGTGTCTGGACCATGCTGAAGACAGAGGTGGTATACTCCACGTACGGAATGAAACTTTGATCTTCTCTTAAGACGTGCTCACCCTCCTTTCGCTTTATTTTCCAAGCCCCGTTGAATAACTTGCATAACGTAACAAGCGCAACAAACTCTGGGGGCCGCAAAAAGAGATTAGGATTGTCAATTTTGCTCAAGAGAGTTTCAATTGCATAAAAACCCTGCTTGAAGGAGAATCTGTAGCTCTTTGTAGGATTTGTTTTTTGCACCTTTTGCCAGACTAAGAGCCCCGCGTCCTTCTTCGAAAATTCAGTGAATATGTCGATGATGGACCACATAATGTCACAAAAGTTCCCGTTCTCGAAGATGTTTTTCGCATTAGTAGGGCAAGTGAAAAGTTGCACCACACATTCTCTCAATGCACTTAGTTGAGGTTCTCGGTCCATGAACGCTATCGACCTTGTCATATGATTGAAGATCTCCACTAGCTGTGAGCAAAATAAGGGTTTAAACGTCACACTAGAGGACATTGTAGGAATGATGACGTCTTGGATGTCCTTGCGTAGCTTCTTCCAGTATCTGTTATCAAAAAACAGAAAATGCTGCAATCTGGAGTTGGTGTAACTTTTGTTAGTCGGGGTCGTTGTTCCGTTCAGTGTCAGAGAAATGTAATGAGATTCATCAGGCGAAAGTTCCTTGTGGTGCCCCAATGGAATTACATTGTTTCGGCCCAGTACTGAAAAGTCAGCGTACCTAAACGTTGTATCAGCATCGACTTTCGAGGGGAAATGTTTGTCTATGATCAAGCTGACATCTGGCTTCTCATGGATGTTGCGTGATTCGGAACACAGTACAACACCTAACGCCTCTCTAAATGTCCGCTGGAACTCAGGGTTGGGGATGGTTAGGCAATGATTTAGCCACGCAATTATGTACTTACAAGCCTCTTGATGAACGTATTCACTCCAGGCAGTAAGCGTTGCACTCAAACCATTAGTGCGAATGGCGAAAAACCCGTTCATGATACTTTTCATGTCACTTGAACATTTCAGCATTGCTCGACCTTCGCCATCGATACACGCAGTTAGTTTATCAGTATGCTTATCATCTGGTGCGCCCTGTTTCAAAGCCGCGATCGCTTGTGAATAGTTATGGTATTCATCGTTGTAGACCATGACCGCATATTCCCCGTCATATGGACAAATGTCATCATCGTCCGAGTCTATACCCAAGGAAAAGTTGAACTCACGCTCATAGAGCATTGTTAACTCGTTTTTGTACTTCAAGTCTTTGAGTAGCTGCGATTTTTCCCTGTACTGATCATGCTGTTCCATTTCTCTGAGAGCGATTGTGAGCTCCTTCTGCACAGTCGGAAGTGGTTCAACGTTTTGATTGAAAACGTCCAAAAAATAGTCAAGAACCTCTGAAAGACCATTCTCAAACAGCTGTTGCATTTCGAGAGACTCGAAGCCTTCATTTCGGTCCAAATCATCCATTTCCACTGCATCATTATCAACAAGTTCAGCCCGACAATGCAACGTGGTATTCCATGCCTCCGAGTCCCCACAGTCACAAATACCCGAGTTGAGAGTAGAGCAAATGCTTGTATGTACATGGTGGCCCTGATGGTCTTGGGGATTGAAACAGTGTATGCACAGCACGCACGTTTCGTCAAAACTGCACTCTTTGCAACGATAGATGGGCTCCCCCGGCTGAAATTTACGGCCGCAATTGCGCCCAGCATGACGATGTCGTAGAGTGGACGAGCTTTCGTCTATTGCGTAGAATGGATCGTTTTTTTTCTGCTCTGCCAAATCCATACTCAGCGCCTCCTCTATACTTTTCGGAAACTTGTCGGGCGGTGCAGTGGGGAATAAGTGTGGCAGCAAAGTCCCGAGACCAGAAAAAACAAAGTACAAATACCGGAAAATGAAACTTTTGAGCGTTTTGTCCATGTCTGCTCTTTCCATGGGGCCTTTTGCTCTACTCAAAGACGGACAAGCATGTATCGAGTACAATACACCTCTCAAACGCTGCGGCATCTTGCCGCTTTCGCCTTTAATCATCTTGGATGTCCATGAAATCAGCTCAAAGCCGTTATACTACTGCAGTCCTGTTGGTGGCTTGTGGTTTATCAGCCAGTTTGTGATCAGTGGTGTGTTGAAAAGATGCGTTCATCAAGAAGTTCAAATCGGCTCCTTAAATTCCAATACTATATGGGATTCCGTAAATAGCGATATTATAATACTTGAAAAGTTCATGAACGACAGTTTTCCGAGCAGAACCAAGCAGTGTGTGTGTGCATGTATTTGCAATTGTGGAAGACAGATTTACACGGAAATACACTCACGTAGCCGGTGGGATTTTTTTTCTTTATTTCAAAACACGCCCGTCTTCTCTAACTTTCCAAAAAATAAAAAAAGCTCCGGAGAAAAATCAATAGAACAGATTAGAGATCTTTTTAATTGATATCAAATATCATTGCTTTAAGCTTACGAGAGCATTTGTTGGGCATTTCACTTTAACGCTCTCCTTCCCATCTTTGAGAAATCTCAGTTTACGCCATCCACGCGACATCTACCCGTTCCTCCAGTCGCTCCTCCATTGAATCTTTTACTCGCACATGTCCCTTTCAACGTCCTCAGCTCTCAAAACAGCGAAAAATGGTGGCAAATACAACAAACAATAGGGATTGTACACCATCAAAGCGATTGTAGCTCGAGCTGGAGGGCCAATACAGCGCTTTCAAGATACTGTTGAAGACACTTTAATCATAAACTGTTCCAGGATTAATGGTATGGCCTTTGAAGAGCGACCTGTGCGCGAGTTTCTGCTATCTTTGCCGCGCTTAGCAGGGGAAAGTTACAACGAAGCGGTTAGCTATCTTGTGTGGCAAACGGTGGAGCAGTGCGTGATAGACGGCATCCATTCGATAGACTGGAGTAGTAAGCATGCTGTCTTTAAGTCCCGAAACTGGCAAACAGGTGCGTTTATGTCGTTACAGTTACCGCCGAATTGGCGCGCCGCTTTTTTCAAAAATGTGGAAATTCTCTCTGGCGCAGGTTCCAACGGTCACCGTGGGTCTAGCTGCAGCAGGATCTGTAGGCCTCCAGAGACAGTTTACTACTGCTTTGATTGTACACGAAACCCGCTCTATGAGATCTGTAGCGAGTGTTTTGACCCGCAACGGCATGAGGGCCATCGGTACACGTCGAGATTGGTAACAAGGCCCGAAGGACGTGTTTGTCATTGTGGAGATACCAGTGTTTTATCTGCAGCCAACGAGGATCACGAAGGACCCCTTAGATGTCGCAATGCGGCCAACAATGATCCCATTTCCTTGGACTATGAGAGTGATTCAGACCCCAATTTGATCAGCGTGCTTGAGCAGATGATCGACTACATCATCGACACAATTGTCTATTTCAAGGAGTTGTCAGAGGATCCGGAGAGAACGATTCTTGCTCACGACAATGGCGTTTCGGAGTTTGTTGGAATGGAATACGCTTTGCAACTAAATGGACACGACTGTAATTGGCATATCAAAGACTTGGCCACAAAAATTAGTCTTTTACTTAATAAGCCTCTAGAATACGGCTTAATGATCACAGAAATACTTCAGCGAGGCGATCCGTCAGTTGTCCTTGTCAAGTCTAAAAATCTGGCAAAACTGGAAGAGGTTCATGATGCTTTTGCAGCAGAAAGTATACATTTGAAAATCATAACCACATCGGATGTGTTTAAGGAAAAGCTCGTTGACGAACTTACAAACCTTCTCTACACCCTTTGTGTTAGGAGCCCCTCGCTAAAGCTCAAAATATCTTTGCGCGTTGCATTATGTGGAACCTGGAGATCGGGTCTTCGCTCCACCAAACACACACCTGATGTCTTCAGTCCCTTCACCCCAACAATATCATTACTAGGTGGATTTGTAGTCCCATTCGAACAACGGTTGACGTTTCCATGGTTCAAGGCATGGGAGTTTCCTCATTCTGGAGATAAAAAACATGATCCTAGCATATTGCGAATCATGAGGCACTACGATGAGCGCTTGCGAAAAACTTCTTCTCATGGATTGACCACGAGGTGTGGCTTACTTGAGGGTTCAAGATTCCAAAATCTCCTTGTCCAAGGCTCAGGATTGTTTCCGAACTTATGGAAGTGTCGCCTGCTTAACATTGTAAGTTGCGTTTTCACTATAATTGACGACTCACGAAATTGCATTGCAGCTCAATACATTGACATCTATTCTAACCTGCTTTATAATACCGTAGAATCGGATTCAGCAGGTCACAAACTGTCAATCATGAGCTCGCTCTCCCAACTGGTTTTTCAGGTACCGCGTGTTGCCAACATGATCATCCCGTCGGGATTTATCGAACGAGTACTCCAGGTGGCTTTCACGCTTATGTCCTTTCCGCCACACGATCTAGTAGAATGCCCACCCGTTCCACTCTATCGTGATTTCAAACTTCCAAAAGACTCAATCAAAAACAAACGCAGCATTATCTGTTTCAAGGACATTTACCTGGTTTTTTCAACCAACACCAGCGCAAAGCTCTTGTTAACATCTGAATCGATTTTACAATGTATGATAAAATGTTTTGCAGCTTTCAGCAATGTGCTCCCACTGACGCGTGAAACTTCAGAGCATGTCGAGTTTGAGAATTTCGAGTTTTCCTCCTACTACTTCTACTTTTCTTCAGTATTAGTGATGGTTGACGGTTTTGCAAGAAATATATGCCTGCTTGAAGATCGTGACACCCGCATAAACATTGTTAAGCATTTCTTGAGCATATCGATGGAAAAAGAGTTCGAGTTACTAAGGACCTCGGGTCATGTCACTCGTGGGGTTAGTCTACTGCAAAAGGCACCAGAGCAGGTCTCGGGATTACGTGTATGTCACGAGAGAGTAGGCGACACGACTGCCGACATTATCGATTTTGAAGTTGGCACTGCCCCCCAAACTTTTTTCAGTCCGATGTCATATTTTTTTAAGTTCGTGACCTTGTGGAGTCAATGCGGCCGTTACACCCCTTTGACCTATCCGTTTCATCAATACATGAAAATGGAGGAAATTTTTGCAGATAAACGGCAAATCATATGGATGTGCGAGTCTGCGCTTAGCACTTTGGTTCTTTTAGCGCAGATAACATCCGGCTACTGGGTAAGAAATGGCTCGCCAATTCAGCATCAAGCAAGGATGTACACCAAGTACAGCATGAGAGAATTTACTTACTTCAGTGATATCTACATGTTACAACTGGCCATGAGCATCGGCGAACCCATTGAGTTTTTTATTACTTACATCTCTCGATGGGGCTTGAAGCAATGGGCCCAGGGAATGCCCTCCGGTGATTATCCCGATATTGAGATAACCACGTCAATGGTAGATCAGTGCTTTTTGCTGCTGATACATCTTTTTAGCGAAATTCGTAATCCCGCCATGAAATCGTCAATTGAGGGGTTCGAAATGACAATGCATGCAGAACTAGCCCATGCCCTGTGCTTCAAAAACTCTACACACAGTGAACTTCTGAACATTATACCAGAACACGTCACTAAACACCCTGCGTTTGATCTATACTTGCATGATATGGCGCTCTATACACCACCAACTGAAATGATGGATGCTGGCATCTACAGTCTCAAGGAGGACTACTATTCCATAGTTGACCCATATTTTTTGGGGTACTCTTCGAGCAAACGATATGAGGCTGAGAAATTAATTCGAAGTAGAGCTGCGGCGAGATTGAAATGCGATTACTCGCAAACTTTCATACCGGCAAAAGAATGCTGCTCAAAATTGAGGTCAAGTGTTTTCTGCAAGCTCTACCAAATATCAGGCACTGACGTCTTTTGGCAATTTATAAAAAGGACGCTCGACCACATAGTAAATCTCAATCACGACGTGCTTTTGGGCAAAGTAACACATCTCATCCACCTCTGTGTTGTGAATTATATTTCGGGTTTCTCCTCTCTTTTCTGGAAAGAATTTGACTGCCTGGGTTCACAAGATCCCTATTACAACAGCATCGGTTCCATTTTGTTTTCTTTCCTATCAAATGACGATTTTATCAATGAACATGGAAAAATACGCGAAATCTATCGCTGCTTTACTGAGAAGGCCCCTCATGTTGATATCACTGCGTTTTTGTCAGAACAGACGCCGTCGTTAAATTTTGATCTGCTAAGAGGGTCTATGGAAAACAATGAGAAGAAAGATGAGGGTGTCGAATCAAGAAAACAGCTGGCTAAAGCGAAGAGACTCAAGTTTATGAGAAGAATTGCCAAGCAACAGCAAAAATTCCTTGCCAACAATCAAGTGTCACTTGATTATAAGACAGCTCTACCCTGTCATCAGCATGCACTCGAAGACGAGTGGATTCCTCCGGAGCTGATGTGCGTTTTCTGCAAAATGGGCAAAGAGGATGATCCTTTTGTTTATTTCAGTTTTGTGGAGAGGAATATTTGTGAATTGCTATTTTGCGCAGACGGTCAGGACGCCGAAGGCTTTGATAGAGAAATTAATGTGGATGGGGCGGTCAAAAAAAGCATGGAAACAGGTCCTGTTATTCGCACATGCGGCCATGGTTCTCACGAAAGTTGCTTAGTGAATCATATGAAGTCTGTCAGAACTGTGCATAATCATATCACCAAAAATGTTCCAAATGAGCTAGGGTTCTCCTTGTTCTTTTGCCCATTATGCTCATCGTTATCGAACTCTTTCTTGCCGTATATCCCACCGCATTACAAGAGTGGTAACGCAGAGAATAATCTTGAAGAGAAGCTATCGAAGTCATGCTACAAATCCGCGATGATCCTGGATCGACTTTTTCAGGATAAAGAAAGTAGACCTATGGTCCACACGGACGTGATCAGTAGCATTAAGGCCAACACAATCAAGAACGCAGAAATGGCGTCTAGACTCAACAGGAAAACGAAGGAAGACGGCAATGCACATGGAATCTTTCTTACAAATCAGCATATGGTCTCGTTGAAACTCCTTTCGGATCTGAAACAATTTCTTGGCAAGCCGTTAAATTCGCACCAACAAGAGTCAATTGATTCTCGGGTTACGCTCGAGTTGTTGAACCCCCTCGACGGGCGCATTCAATTTGGTGTAATTGCTCTTGAAGCCAAACCGCAGGCATTACGAGACTTGACGTCGTCCGAAAGTGGGGCTACAATGCAAATCCCTGATCATGTCAAACATTGTCTTCTCCAAGATGTGCTATTTTTGACAACATATGCGACCCGCCTTGGTGAGTTATCATGTAATAAAGCCGTCCAAGATCGCTCATGTTTGAACCCAAGTCCTGGTGAACTTGAGGAGTTACAGATCTTTTCAGCGCTCGTAAAGCGTATCCCAAAGTTACAAGCGATTGAAAAACGGGGTCAAGCCAAGCCAGAGCTCGCGCATGTCTTTAGAATGCTGCGAGATTCCATGACTGTTAGAATGAGGAGAGTAGGTGCTTTAATGTACTTACAGGGCCTTTCCAAGAAGCCTAAAAACAGTTTTGGTATTGATTTCAATAATTTGGACTATTTACTTGAGTTCTGCGGCATGAGCTCATTCAGTGTTTTATTAAAGACCTTGATGGAGAGCACACTAGAGCGAACATTTTCTCGTAATGAAGTTGACGGAGACAGCTTTGGCCTGAAACTGTGTTGTTACGACAGAAATCCTATGATAGAGTTGCCTGATTCTTACACGCAACTGATGGACACCAACTGCAACGGCTATCTACTCAAAACTAAGAGGGAGGAGACTGCGATCTGTTTGTTGTGTGGAGTTCATGTTCGTGTGCAGAATCCTGTGGCTTTGCAAAGTTATTCGATTGGAGAGTGCACTGATCATTGTCTCAATGATTGCCCATCAGTCTCTGGTTTTGGATGTTTTCTGCTAACACTAAGCAACACAGTATACTTGGCATACGGCCATAGAGGAACGTTTTATCAGGCACCATTTTTGAACCAGCATGGGGAGACCGACGAGGATTACCGCAACGGGGCGCCCGTATTTCTCAGCAGAGAACGATATTTACATTTAAGCCAGGACGTGGTATTGGGCAACATGATTCCCCATCTCGTTTACAGATTGACGGACAACTCCTCGGACCTGGGAGGATGGGAAAGCATGTGAAAGCTTTTCCATGTAGAAGGTTGTAGCATACGTAAGGTTGTAGCATAGAATCATTTATTAGTACCTTACAAATAAGAAGAGGTCAAGAGTATATAAGTTCTATTACCATGAAAGAATTGCAAGTGAGGAGGTTACAAAGCTATTCGAGCAGTATTTTATAAGTCAGTTTTTTGCAGCTCGTCAGCGGCTTCTGAAACACTTGCGGAAACGCCGTCAGGGGTAGTTGGAGCACCTGGGTAACGCGAGCCTTTGTCCTTTGGCTTCTTAGCTTTTTTCACCTTTTCTTGGACAGGCGCAGGGTACCCTTTCGCCTCCGCTTCTTGAAATTCTGGATCCTTAGCATAGTCCTCTCTGATAGGAGCTAATAGCTGATTGATAATGTCGCTCACACCCGTTTTCAAGTCAGGTGGTGCAAGCTTTTCGTCCTTGTAGTCCTGTACTAGCTCGGCAAAAGATGTGTAAGTGATTGGGCCACCAAATTTATCTGGTCTGTCAATGAAAAATGTGAAGCTGTTGGCACCTGATTTCAGTTCCTGAATGGGGACAACAACATACTCGATGAAAGAAAGTAGTCCGTTGTCTTCAACGACACCTGGTGCACAGTACGCAGTGTTGATCTTCTTTTTGACTTGTTTTGGCACTTCTAAAATGTCAATCTTAGAGTTTGGATCTGAAGCAGACATTTTACCACCCTGGCCAAGTCCAGGCACCATTGGGTTCATCAAATGAGCCCTTTTTTTGTATCCAATAGAAGGAAGGTTTTCTTCTGCCAAGACGAAAATCTTACGTTGATCCACACCGCCAAACTGGGCGTCAACATCTAAATGCTCTTCATCCAAAGCTTGCATTAGAGGGTAAATTAGCCCGCTGAGCAATGGGTTGGAAACTTGCTTGACAACATCAGCCCCGGCCCTTTTGGCATCATTTTGGGATACTTTGTTCGACAGCTTGAAAATATCCATTGTGTACTCTGCGGAAAGTTGGTACGAGCTACCCACAACGAATTTCAGTTTTTCAATAGGGACATTGATGCTGCGTAGCAGTGACTTAATCACGCATTCGTAGTATTTGGCTCTGTACTGCACCACTTCTAGAGGTGCCTTCATGTTGTCCAAGAAAGCGTGCAAATCCGCCAAAAGTACGCACACTTCACATCCGGCTTTCAAAAAATGTGCCAGCTTAGTCACAGGAACGAAATAACCACAATGAGGACGACCTGTGGGGGCAGTACCCCAGTAAAGCTTCAGTGGTCTCTTTTGCACTTCGAGTACATCTTTGATGATTTGAGGATTTAAAACTTCCTGCAAGTTCTTAGTGATCAGATCAAAAGCGACCTTTGGGTCCACAATAGTTTCTGGTTCACTTGTCATCTCGAAAACAATTCTGCAGACCTGTTCTGGAGTGGTTCTGATGTCTTCAAATCCACTAGAAAGCTGGTGAACTTATGATCAAATTTCTACCATGTAAGCTGAATTTTTAAAAATTTCACTGGCAATGTGGGAAATAGTGATATGATAATGGGAAAACTGGAAATAGTTTCGAGATGTAAGTTTAGGATTCGAATAACGAACATGTGGGCTCTTGTTGACGCTATGAGTACTCTTGCAAATATTCATTGATTTATTTGGAACATATTCTGGCTAAGATCAAGTAGTTTGGGAACTTTTCTGTCTCACTTAAGCGTAAATAATAAATTATTAGAGATTTTATTCATATTTAAAAGCTGAAAAAAATTGGACCTGGTGATAATGTATAGAAACAAATGCTTGTACTCTACAACTTACAAAACATATCGAAACCAGTAGCTCCTCGCTTCTATCGAAAGGTTCCCTCCCATTAGCTTATGACTATCTGTACATCACATCACATCACATCTCACGACTGTGTCGCTGCTGTCAAGTATGAAATGCTAGATGTGTAGGGTTTCACCGCTTTGGATGAAATGTCACTTCTCTAGTTCTCTGAAAGAAGCTTATCCGTTTACGCTCTGTGAAACGATTGAAGTCGTGCAATTATCAGCATTCCATCTTTAAAAAGTTTTTATGAACATTGGCCATTGAGGTCCCTCAAACATAGTCTTGTCCATGTAAACGCATTCAAAATTACATTCATGGCTTTCTGACAGCTCGTTTTTTCAAAAGTGTTTCTTGGAACGAAATACACAACACATCGCATGTATAGACCTTTCGGACTGCACTGTCATCCTAATTTTCGGGATTTGCTGTAGCACCTAGCTTATACCTTTTTTCCTGTGAAAATTCAAAACTCAGAGTTCATTTGTAGTGTTGGCTGAGGCATTTCATACAGCCCTTTGACATGCTTTTTCCTGTCATTAAAATTTCTGCTCGCGTCATTCTCAAAAATGCCAAAGTTGAAAACTAGGATTCTTTTCAAAAAGAACAAATCTCGATTTCAAGACTTACAAAACCTATTTCAAACTATAAAGATAGCCTTGATTGAACGTCTTTACACCCAGGTAACCTAAGCGTTACATTCACATTCAGTCAAGTTCCCTCAAGTCATCACACACGAAGGGTCTAATTATCGAAATATAATGAAGATGTTGCAAAGCATCTATTTGAGCCAACGTTGATGTGCCCGTTTGTCGACTGAAAACAGGGCCGAATTTGAGATCAAAGCAGCATTTTCTTTCCAATAGCACTGGAAACTTGTTTGCTACTATGTCCAATCCGCTTAAGTCCTCCAATAGTGCCTCCCCTTTCATCAAAAGAGAGCAATTGAGAAGAGATTTCTTGAAATCAAGACAAAGGAAAAACGGGACCCCAAAGCCTTACGTCAAGAAGGAAGATCCGGACGCCTACGATGAACGCACTAACAGGCTCTTAAACGGCGATGGAACGGGAAGTGGTGGTAGTTCAGTCGCTCATTCAGGTGTTAAACGGGAAAACCCGGATCCCAGTCAGTACAACGAGTTTCCGTTAAGAGCAGTTTCTCACGAACACCTTGAGAACATAAGAACTCACATTCTCAAATTCCAAAGTAAGAAGAAAATTGAGCCGGCTAAGGACTTGCATCTTCCAGTAAGACTGCATCGTAAAGATACGAGAAACCTGCAATTTCAACTGACAAGAGCTGAAATCGTCCAACGGCAGAAAGAAATCGCAGAATACAAGCGCAAAGCGGATGCCGAAAGGATTATGGGAAGCCCGGCGCCTACAGGTACCGGAACAACTACGCCTGCTCCCACAGACTCGGGAGTCGCCACTCCTGCCCCTTCAACTGCCGTCGCATCCCAAACAGGCACAGCAGCGGGTACACCAGCGCAAACACCTGTGAAGTTAGAAAATAAGGATGAAGCAGTTTCCGTGAGCACCACTGAAGGCAAAAGCTCAGATACAAAACCGAAAGAGACACCGGTGCCACCTGTGACAAGGCTGGAAGATGCAGGGGTAGCAGATGATCCGACCAAGGTTGGGAGAGTGAAGTATGACGGGAAAGAGACCCCAGTAGCGGTTGATGGCAAAGAGGACCCCTTCGCAGATGTGGCTCCCGATGGTGGTGGTCGTTTCAAGAGGGGTAATGTCAAGAGAAAGACACGGTCGTTGAAGTTGCTAGACGAAAATGCAAAGCGACTTAGATTTGAAGAATTTTACCCTTGGGTACTGGAAGATTTTGATGGGCTCAACACATGGGTAGGGTCATACGAAGCGGGAAACTCAGATTCTTATGTTCTTCTTAGCGTCGAGAACGATGGAAGTTTTACTATGATTCCTGCAGATAAGGTGTACAAGTTCACCGCCAGAAACAAATATGCTACGCTAACGATTGACGAGGCTGAAAAGCGCATGGAAAAAAATGGGAAGGGTATTCCACGTTGGCTCATGAAGCATTTGGACGACATTGGAACGACCACTACAAGATATGATAGAACCCAGAGAAGGCTACGAGCAGTGGATGCTCGCCAGGGCGAAGACGATAGAGGTGATAACTCAGAAGTAGAGTTAGACTTTGATGAAGAGTTCGCAGATGACGAGGAGGCTCCAATCATTGATGGTGATGAAAAGGAAAACAAGGAATCAGAGCAAAGAATCAAAAAGGAAATGTTACAAGCCAATGCGATGGGATTGCGTGATGAGGATGAAGATGACGTCGATGATCTTTTCGGGGAAAAAAAGATAGACGACGAAGGTGAAAGAACCATGAAAGCTCTTCAAAAGTCAGACATGGCTGCTCTTTATGAATCAGACGACGAGTCTAAGCTAAACCCTTACTTATCTGAGTCGGAAGCTGATCCAGAAGAGGAAAAGGAGAAAGAGGAAGACCAAGAGAACGGAAAGGGTAGTAGAAAGAGCTCACCAAGAAAAAAGTCACCAAGGAGCTCTCTTCAGGGTCCTCGCATTCATGTTAAGAGTATTAAAAATTTCCAAGTAGTACTAAAAGCTGAAAAGTCAGTCTTGAAGAGTTTCCCCGAAGGGACATGGAACCCTCACGTCAAAGCCGACCGCTTGAACGCTCCAGATGGCGATGTGTCCTCACCCGCAGTGAAGATTGAAGAAAGCGTCGAAGATCCAAACTTGCTGACAGAGAGTGACATTGTGAATGTTGTGTCAGGACGCAAAATGAACTTAAAGCAGTTGATAAAAGAGCTCAAGGAAAAAGTAGCAAGACATCCTTCCAACAAGGAAAGAATGAAGCACCTGGTGAAAAAGCTAGTGAAGCTAAAAGACGGATACTTGGAGCTGACAACAGCAGATTCTAGTTAGCAGATTTCAATTTTTCTGCTTCATATCGCATCACTCGTTAATCACCGGTTTATTACAAGATTTGTGTAGTATAATATAATGAGAGTAAATCCAATTACTTATGCAACCTCCACAATCGCGTCATCATCATCATCTTCTTCCTCGCTATCCCCGTCCTCTTGAGCATCCTCTGCGTTTCTGGTGGGCAATTCTTCGACTTGATCATTCCCGATTTCTCCTCTCATGAGCATGTTGACGACGCGGTCGCAAAGCTCGCTAATGTCGTTGTTGTCGACATTTTTTTCTAATTCTCTGATAAGAGGATACACAGATTTCTCTCTGAGGAATTCTCTGCCAACCTTGGTGGTACACAGCAGCAAGAGACTCTCCAAATGCACACAAATGATCTCAGGAACAGGGTCTCTTATTTTATCCTCCGGAAGAAGCTGCAGCTCGTCTGGCAATTTGAACATATCTTCGTCATCTATTTCGGAATCCTTTGCGCTAGAAATTGGCAAAAGGATGTATGGTAACAAATTGATGTTTTCGTTCGTTAACAGCTCTTCATGCTTCTCTGAATCGAAAAGAGAGTTCTTGATTGTGGAGGCAACACCTTCACGTCTGGTCTTTGAGTCGTATTTTTCCGTGAAGACCAGGAGCTTTGATACTGGCACGACTCCGTCGTATTCTTGTTTCTGAATAAAATACTCTCTTCCCTTGCGAAACCTCGAGATATCCGCGAAAAAATACGCCAAATAATCGTAGTTTGCAAACTTGTTCAACGCTCTGTCGGGGCCTTTGACAAAGCAGTCCATGAGACAGTCCATTACTTTCCCGCTTTTGAAAACGGTTGTGTCCAAGCCTGCGTCAACCGCACTTTTCTTGACCAAACCGAAAATACGTGTTATGCATTCTTCCTTGGCCAAATTAGTGAGCAAAATGCACATAATATCAGCGCTTGAGTTGTTGAGGTCGCAAATCTTCCACGTCAAAAACTCGACAAAATCGCTGTCATCAGCGATCAACCTTCTCATTGTTGGATCATCGCACAAATTCGCCAATATAGTGACCGACTGTTGTACCAAAAGTCTGGAATTCTCTCTCGCCAATTCTTTCAAGTCTTTAATCGCTCTGTAGTTGTCATATTTGAAGATCGCAGCGTTTGAACCGGTGCTGAATCCCACCACGTTATCTAGCGCTATTTGTCTCACAGCTGGCTGTGAAGAGTGTAAAAATGATACCAATTCTTCCAGTTGGGTCGGCATCTTTATCTGACGTCTTCAAATGGGTCAAAACTATACCTAAGGTGTCTTACCAAGTCAGCAAGAGTCGATGAGTTCGCTATTTTATCGACCAAATTTTTTTTCACGCTCAGCTCATCGCTTAGGTAATTTAAAGTAGTATTAGAACTAGTAATTGATGATATTCAAGAGATTTTGAACCTTGAAAAGCTGAACTTTGACAGCTTTTTGACCATTGCATTCGAAATAAAGGTCAAACTAGATACAATTCTCACTGTATTTCAGCTCTATAAGAATCTAGGCTAACTTTGATACATTTTTCTGAATTTTGACGGCATTTTTATACCTTTTTCTTAATTCTTCATAATAAGATGAGTTCTCAAGACTACTATGCGGATGTCAAGTCTCAAGAAAGCATACAGCTTAACAAGAAAATTCTTCTATATATTCAAGATGGAACTTCACTGGGTTTTGGATGTGGAGCAGGAATTCTACAACTAGAGGGTTTGCGTGGTTTTGGATTTTTCGCAGCCTCATATATCGCAGTGATAGGTGTTTTCGTGGGCTGGTTTTGCAAGTTCAGACCAGCAAAGTATTATCAAAGCCCGATTCAAGAGATCGTGGTTGATCCGCTGTTTAGAGAACTTGCCGGGTTCGTGATGGCCTGGACCTTTGTCCACGCGTTGATCGGGTAGATAAGTCTCAATGGCACCTGGAGTGGGAACTCTTCGCCTGGTAGCGAGAGATCAAAAATGCGCTAAGTGCATGGTGAAAGCGGGATCAATGAAAGACCCACGGCTGTTTTTACAATAAATCCGTCAGTAGGTCAATCGAATATCTTTCTTCTTTTGTTCAAATGCTGAATTGGTATAGACAGGTGTGAATTTAAAAATATACAAATATATACAAAAAGTTGGGCGTGCACAACAGTGGCTGGTCTTTACACTTGCACGTTCTGAATAATTGATGCCAATTTCTCAACAGACGCAAGATGGCGGTTGCCCAGAGCGTTGGCCTTGTTGAGAGTGTCCAGGTAGGCCCGAATTGCCATAACGGCAAGCTTTTTATCCGAGCCCTGGGTTACACCCACTAGTTTCTGCACCACATAATTGGCATACTGATCGCGCATCATGAGTATCAAAGGCGCATTCTCTTCTAGATGAGTTGCGTGCCCTTCGTCTCTAGGTAGCACCTTCTCTAGAAATTGCTTCTTTTGAGCGTCGGAGCCAAAAAGCATTGTCTTCTCGACAACGTTTGAGGCAAATTTGTGTTTCGAGTACTCTACGACATTTTTGGAAACAGCATCGGCAATAGACTGCTTTGTTTTCCCGATATGTGTGCTTTGATCTGCGGAGCCATGTTGTAATATGTGCTGAATGACGTAGTTGCCGTATTGATCTTGTATCAGGAAAGGAATGAAAGCATCAAGATCATTCAAAATTGTATCCTGATCTTCTACTGAACCGTATTCCAGGAGTCTCTGAACAACTCGACATCCATAAGAGTGCGTTGACAAATGATAAATTTGCCCCTGTAAGCTTTCCAGAATAAAAGCCAACTTAGTCATCGGGATCCTCTCAACAGCCTTTTGAATGACATGATTCCCGTTCTGATCTTTGATCATTTGCAGAACGCATCCGGACAGCTCGTTGACTAGTGCTACTTTCTGATCATCTTCTATGCATTCTAAGGCTCTTTGGATTACGCGACAAGCGTACATCTGTAAGGAAAGTTTTTGCATTTTGCCCTTGAATTTTTCAAACAGAACGTCTTTCTGAGTTTTGAGCCCATGCTCGAAGTACTTCTGAATGACATAGTTTCCAAAAACGTCGTCCGCCAGTGTTATAGCTTCATCTCTAATCTCATTGAAGATGACTTCCTTCTCAATATCTGTAGCCTTCGCAAGCTCTTGTTGTATGAACCTAGAACCGTGCTGATCTTTGCAAAATTCTAGCGCAGAGCCATAGATATCTGGTAGCTTGTAAGATTTCTTGTCTGGAAAGCTATTTCTGAATTCTTCAAGCAGCGGAGATCTGATAATGTTGTTTTTCGTTTTGCCTCGAGACCCTGTGTGCGGCGAATTAGCTGATGGATTTGGAGTGGGAGAGAAGCTCTGAGAGCCAGAAGTTGCATTAGTAGCTTTGTGGTTTCTGTTATTGTAAAGGTAAGGATTACCCTGAGATTTGGTTAAATCTGTCTTCAAGGATGGCTTCCCTGGGTTTGGTGACGGTGGAAACGATTCTGGTGCCGGAGGACCTACTACAGAAGGAAAAAACATGTACGAGTTTCCTGGGAACATGTAAGGTGGGTATTGGGCCCCCGCTGGTGAATTTTTGTTATCGTTTTCCGGTGGAACGGGCATAGGAACATCACCATTTGGAGATGGAACAACCGGTGGTCCCATTGGATTGGCCATTTTCCAGTAGTTGGGGTACGGCGTAATGCCATACGGAGTACCTATCGGATTGCCCATTGGATTGCCCATCGGGTGGCCCATCGGATTGCCGAACATATCCATAGTAGGCGGCTGGAAATGGGAGTCACCGGCAGGAGCAGATGGACCCTGCGGTCTGAACACAGGAGCTTCTGCAACCTTCCATATATTGCGGTAGTTAAGCTTTGGTTGCTCAGACTCTACCTGAAGATTTTCGCTGAGTGATTCAAGTGCATCCGAAGAATCCGATAGTCTTCTTCCTTCAACCGCTGGTGCTGCGAAAGTCGAATTGCTTGTTGCTCTCGATAGCGATTCCATGGCGTTGAAACTCTCTCTGCGTGAAGCTCTACCCGATGAGGCTCCCAAGTTGGATTCCACTTCTCGTGTCCCTTCCGCCAGACTGCGACCAAACCGTTCAAAAAACCCACCTTGTGTAGGCTGCTGATGTGACGAAGTGCCACCAGCGAGACTGGCAGAGTAATTACCCAGTTTCGCTAGTCGATTTTTCACACCTGAAGGACCAGTCCCAAGCGATACATCACCCACCGAAAGCGTTGTGCGCTTTATAGTGGGAGATTGTTGACCACGGAAAAATGATTCAGACTCTACGTCACTGCTATGGTTGCTGTGGAAAGAGCCACGCCGAAAACTGCCCAGTTGACCGTGCTGTTGGTGCGCTGACAGGTTTGATAGCGCTGAAAGTGACGAAACTATCGAAGCCAGTTCCGAATCCATGTTGGGGCCCTGTGCGTTTCCAGAGCTTGTAGTGCCCTCTTGGGCCATCCACAATTCCCACTGGTTGTCCGTAGTTGACATGGAATGCGCTAGAAATGATACCAACTCGATTTTCGCCAAAAGTTAGAGAAAACTGCTGCTATTCGATACCTTTTTATCCTTACAAGTCCCAATTAGAGAAACTGCAGTTTCTCGAAATTCCCGTTTCTGTTTTGTGAATTTTAAAGGCGCTGAATAAGATGAAAGCCTGTAAACCTGTCAGTGAGGTCTACAAAGAGCTTCGAGACGGCCCAGAACAGTCCAAATTTGCCGTTGTTGTTGGCCAAAAACGTGTTTGAATTCTCGATGACATTTTGGTGATTTTGAGATTGAGATTATTATTGTAAGATTACAGACGTGATAGAGTGAGATGGGTGTCGTGTAATATGATAGTATGCACGTGATTGAGAAGCTGTTTGGATGGTGTAGTCAAGCACTTAGTTTTCTATAGTTTGACAATTAAAACGAGTGAAATAAGTAGCCATAAGACTAGGCAGTCAAGATAGAAGGATCCGGTGGCTATGCCAATGCTTGGAGACCGAACAGAGTTTTGATTCACGCGCCGAACACTCGAGACACTCAGCTCGTCATTTACGATGCTACTAAAACCTCGAGCCTTTCGGGAAGCTCAGTCACTATTGACGAATGAGTGTTGATTGTTCGAGGTTCAAAGTAAATTCGTCAAGTTCTGTGTTATTGAATTGTAAGAACGTGTTAACCACGGTTCAGGTCTAATAACTATAATAACACAAGGTAGAAACTGTTTTCAGAGAGCACCGGGAGTTTCTCTACTATCAAATTACTAAATTGGAAAAAGTGTAAACGCAGATCCGGGCACGTGATGGGTGTCAGGAAAAAGATGTAACGGTTTGGAAATTGTTGGTTTTACCATCGACGAGTACCTCGAGATGTCCTCGAATTTGTTTCAGCTCCGAGTATCATCCAATTCTCTTTACTTGTGAAGAGACAGGGTCTGGGACACTCACAAATCCGCTCGAATCAAATGCCAGGCGGCTCTGTATTTTGCGTATACAATGATGTATATGGAAGCGATTCGGTATGGCTTCACTTCCATCCACGAATCGCTCAACAGCGGCAAGCATGAGTTCTTTAGTATGGCCCAGAACGCTTTGAAGAATGAATGATCGTTTTCTGTAAAAGAACGTTAATCGAATTGTATCTTTACGCACTCTTTAAACTGGGCTTCTTTTGCCAATTGACAAAACGGCAGCTCTCTGGACTTGGGTCACTTACAGCTCTTCAACCAGTAAAACTTGTCGGGAGGTGAACGAGGTCTGGTCAATTTTTGGTAATCAATGGACAAATTCTGAGCCAGTTTTCGCAGAAGGCTTGGTTTAAATTCTCGTCCCCTTGCGTTTCTTTAAACTCGTTCTGTAAGCCATACCTCAGTTTGAGTTCGAAGGAAGGAAAATCAACAGGAGAAGAATAGAAAGGTTGATAAACTCAAAATTCCTTCCTTTTTCTACGGAATCTGAGCTTCGAGACTGAGGGATGAGAGCCCTTGAGTTGCTTATAGCTTTGGTGAATGAAGATATTACCTATTTCAACAGGCAATCCGATATTACTGAACGTTGTTGGATTTCATAAGCATTTGTTGCATTACTCTAAATTATCTGGTAGCCTCATATTTCAACTTAAAAATCTCTTGAATTTTCGGCCCCTACTAGTTTTCTGTTCAATGTGCGTCATGCGTTCATGGAAGGCTTCCTACCGCATAATTCAGTTCCGACATCTGCAATTTTATAATGTATTCTCTAATTTTTTGCTAGCTAAAGTCGGTCTACAAAATTCATCGCAGATGTCGATGATGGGTGCTAATTCTGTGGAGTATGCGCACCACTCGCTATTCAAGCCTTTATACACAAGTTATGATGTTTGATTTGAGTTGTAGCTAGGAAGGATTCAGTCACATTTTTTCCAAAATTGGTGGTGATAACAAATATCAAATACTTCAGAGAGACATCAACTCAACGTCTTTTGAATACCTCAAAGAGACATCAAGATCGGCGTCTAACGGTCATGCATAGAAGTGGGACCCTGCATATTCGAGCAGCGTTGTCTAAACAACGGGTAGCCGTTTGGTCCAGGTAATTTTAAATTACCTGGCGTTATTTATTCGAAAGAGCTTTTGTCAAGTGCCTTCTGACGATCCTCCAATGATTGTGCCAAAAGTTTTCCGTTTGAAAGATGGAATTTGCATTTTTTAGACTCAGATATCCTGATTTGCATTTCAATTGCTATATAGTAGCATCGACCAGGATTCGCGTTCTTCTGTCGAGAAATTATTTAGCCCAAACCATTACTGTTTTCTCGCATCGACATCATAGCGCTGCTGGAGCTAGTTCACATTCACAACGCCATTTTGGAAGCTTCGGATGATACTTAAAATTCAAGACTGGAATGACCTTCGGCAACCCATTAGAAACCCTTTTCAAGTTCCGCTAGTCTACACCGTCACCCGTGTAAAGTGATGACGGTGTTTTTTTAAAATTGACCTGAGATTCAAAATTCGTTCCAACTAGCTAGCTGCTTGATCACACAAGACTTAATCTACTTATTCCCTCTTACTTCAAATGGTCAACTTCTTTCCGTGACACACTAACATCTTTGCAATGGAATGACTATCTTTTAATGATGATGAGCATTATTAAAACGAGGTTCTCCTGATTGACATGGAGGATTTAGCTTTTGCGCTCAACAATCACCATGTCACAAAGATGAATCAAAATTGACATATAAAAGAAGACTAGATAGCTTACCAGCAGCTATGACTAATAGTATAGGAGCATTGGTGAAAGCGGGGACAAAAACGACTCAGGAAACATTGAGTGACCATTCATAGATATCAGCTGTCCGCAATAGCCACACACACAAACCGCTCCCAGCAGTCTCCCTTTACTTTAGCCGCCCATTTTATCACCCACGTTAGCGTAACGGTTTTAGGTCAATTGTTTTCTCCCCGTTCGATTCTTCTTCCGCGTCTTTTTTCCATTTTTTTCAACCGTGACTTTTAACTTTTTTTCTTTTGGTTTTTTTCTTTTTCCGGTTAAAGCTACAATTATACGGTTCCCATAACTTATCTTGATAAAAGAAGAAAAAAAGTATTATCGAGAACAATGAAATCTCGACTCTCAAAAAATTAGAGTTTTGAGTTTTAAAAAGAACAGAATTCAAAAAAACCAATTTCAAAAAAATCAATCATCGTTTACCCAAACCTTCCCAGTTCGAACACTACAATTGCCTTACGACCGGACCATATTCAACCGTGTAATTGTTCGTTTCCTCTACTGTTTCGTACAGTTTCCAACAAACACTATTTGACGCTTTGAGTTTTTGGCATATATATATAATCCCCTGTGTGCCTTGCCCGAGAAGAGAATTTTCCGGCTAGAATTAGGACATTTCCTGGATATCGTGGGAACGAGACTCAAGCGGAAAACAAACACAACAACAACTGCCGAGTGCTGGAGGGTATTTCAAAAAATCAGCTTTACAGTTTCACCACATTTCTTCCACTCAACCTTTCAACAGCTCTACTCTCACGAAAATGGCTTCAACCGTTAATGGAGCACCACCAGACTCTCAACTCAATCATGCAGTAATGAATAGACTGGAAAAATTCCTCAATTCTGTGGATACAAAATTGGAACGACTAGAGGCCCTGCTTCCCGGGGACTCCGGGCTACATGCAGCCGCATGTCTCACCAAAACAGACCAGAGTTCCTCAAACTCTGCTGCGTCTTCTGGAAAAACCCAGCGTCTGCACCGGCTAAAAAGCCGCGGGAAACAGATGGTAAAGTGGAGCAAGTCCCAGGCTGCCCTGGTGCCCAACTACGCCATGCGCAAGATATCACAGTCGTCGTCGTCGTCCAACCACTCAGTGGGACCACCACAGGGTCTCGACGATGATAAAGGAACAATTCTTCAGCTTTACAGGTTTTTGAAAAACACAGTTGAGGAATTCGGAACCGAACCAGCAGCTCTCAATAATGCCGCTCGTGGCCCCAGGCCGGTTCCCGTCCACTCAGCATCTGCCATTGATACCCCCTGTGTTATTACTGAACGTAAAGAGGATACTCCGTTCGGGTCGGATTCTGATATGATCACCATGGTCGACTCCCCTCCCTCTCGACAAGCTTCCAACGTCAAGCGTTTCAAAGAGATCTGGGACAATCACTTTCCAAGCTCCAACAGCGCTGGAAGCACAACAGGTGCTCTTTTCAACTCATCGGCCGCGACTCTGGTGTCTTCCTCCTCCTCTGACGACATTCCGCTGCGATCTGACGGTCTCTCGCCGTCATCCTCTGTAAAGGGCACCGAAGGCAATATTAGCTGGTCTATATCGTCTTCGCCATCCACAGAGGAGCTTTTACAACATCTGGAACTTTTAGATCAGAGAATAGATGGCCTGATTGACGACCCAAAATCGGTCGCAACTTCCATCAAGTTTCATAATTACGCCCACGCTCTGAACTGTGGCATGGAACGCCATCTTCATTACTATGAGCTTCCTTTCCCCTGGAGGGAAAATAGATTCATCGTTCACGGATACCGGTTTTACGACTCCTACGCCAAGTCTCTATTATCTATTTTCAACTGGTACGGCTGGCACAACGAAACCATCAACATCTGGACCCATCTATGCGGTGCCATTTATTTTGCATTCATACTCTTCAAAGAGTTTCCTCAAACAGCTATCTACAATTCTGATCTGGTGCCCACAGCAGCCAAATGGGCAGCGTTTGCCTTCCTTTTTGCTGGCTTGGAATGCTTTGTGTTTTCTGTAATATGGCACACTTTCAATGGTATCTGTCACTTGAACTCCAGGTCTAAGTGCGCCTGTGTCGATTACACGGGCATAACAGTTTTAGTGACAGCGTCTATTCTCACTACCGAGTTTGTGACGCTCTCTGGTGATTCGAGCTCCCCCTACACATGGTCCTTGCTATTTTATGCGATCACGACAACTGTGCTTGGCGCATTTGGATTTTTCATGAATTGGTCACCAAGGTTCGATAGGCCAGAATCCCGGCCATTGAGGATTGCTTTCTATCTCTTGCTAGCGAGTTTCGGGATCATATCGCATGTGCACTCCAGTTTTTTCAACAAGGAATTCAGCTCAGCAGAGTTGATCAAGCCTGTGCTCAGCAAATCGCTTTGCTGGTACCTCATCGGGGTGGTTTTCTATGGGACTTTCGTCCCTGAGCGCTGGAGAACCGATGTGCATTTGCCCAAAAACATTCCATCTGAACAGGAGCTTACAAATGATCTCAACATTATCACAAAGCATAGACACGTTCATTTCCTTGTTGAACCAGTCTCTCGCTGCAAAGAAACATCCCAAACTGGCAAACAAAAATTCTGGTCACTTTGGTGGGTGGATTATTTCTGCTGTTCTCATACATTATGGCACATTTTCGTTCTTTTGGGGGTTTTCGGGCACTACAAAGCCATGCTCGAAATGTTTGAGAAGAGATGGCTAACTAATTGACCAGATCTTGGTGCAGAGCCGAGTGCCCTATAGGATAAACAGCAGCATTTGATTTTTATTTCATATTTTCGACTTTCTCACGTTTTATACATACGATATCACACTTACATCCCGGCGTTAAAGCTCGCGATTTAAACAAAACAGTCTGACTACGTTCTCGATACCGTACCAGGCTGTCGAAACTACCAAACTGGGTGTTTAGCGCTGCTGAAGACTAAATATCGAAACCTTCTCAAACATCTCGCTGTGTACGTCTAGCTCGCTTCTTACAGTGATAAGTTGAGAAAAGATCTTTATAATTTCTGAAAGTAAAGCTCATCGCTAGTAATCCAAATCTTTGTCGAAGCTGCAACACCGACAAAAAGCTCAATGATAAACCAACCTTCCGGCCAGATCAAGCTTACGAACGTTTCTATTGTGAAACTGAAAAAAGGTAAAAAGAAGTTCGAGATTGCGTGCTATCAGAATAAAGTTCATGATTTCAGGAAGGGCATCGAGACTGACCTTGACGAGGTTTTGCAAATCCACCAGGTATTTATAAACGTTTCTAAGGGACTTGTTGCACCTAAAGATGATCTAGCTAGCTGTTTTGACTCTACCGATCTCGATACTATCATTAAGGAAATTCTCACGCGAGGCGAGATGCCTCTGTCAGACAAGGAAAGGCAGCTGATGATGAACAAAATCAACAACGAAATGTTGACGATTATTAGTGCAAAGTGTATCAATCCGAAATCCAAGAAAAGATATCCCCCTTCGATGATCCATAAGGCTCTGATGGAACTCAAATTTAGGGTGGTCATAAATAAATCTCCAAAGACCCAAGCATTGGAAGCGATCAAAGTTTTGACTGCTAGTCAAATCATTCCCATCGCTAGAGCAAGAATGAGAATCAAGGTTGACATGGACAAAACCGGTAACAAAGAAGTTATTGAAAAATTGTCATCGCTCATGAAGGCTGCCGAAGTCAATGAAACGGACACCACATGGTCGTGCAATGCGCTCATAGATCCAGTCGCATACCGGGTTATTGTAGACCTGTGCAACGGTAAGGGAGTTTTACAAGTCTTGGACTTGGCTGTAATTGACAGCAAATAACGCATAAAACTGAGAAGTGCTGGATGTGTGTAATGGGGTATCTAGGTGATTGAAATGCAAATTTTGGAGGCGACTCAAAAAAAAACATCAAGTGTACATTTCCCTGATGTTCCGCAGTAGCATCAGAAGCATCTCGAAGTCGTCATATGTCGAATTGCTTCCGAAGAGCTTGCTACTAAGGGATATGACAAAATCTCCCACGGGAGACACTTCTTCTAGGTCGTTTGCACAGGAGGGGAAAATAGCTTTATAATATAATTCCGCAATCTGGGAACAAACGATTGGTAGCTTCATGTTGTTAGAGTCTCCCAATCTCGTTGAAATATGGTAATTGGATAAGGAATCTTCTGCGAGGGTATAGTCAAATTCGTCCTCATCGCTTTCGCCATCGTTATTTTCTTCTTGTTGTTGAGCACTGTGATTCATACCGTTGCCGTTAAAGCGAGCTGTGTCAAAACTGCGGTTAGGTAAACCTCTTGACTTGACCTCAATGCATGTGTCGAGCTCGCCATTGAATCTTATTTGAACGAGTACCTTATTGTTGAAATGGGCAGTTTCGATCTCTAAAAGACAGGTCGCACCCGTTTCAAAATCGAAGGGTATCGTAGTTGTAACGTTACCTTCGAACATGTTCAATCAGTGAGGCTCAATCAGTTCAACTTACTCTCTTTCTCTGATCTCTTGGTGTTTTCAACTAATTGTTCATCTTATAGAAAAATATCACTAGCAAGCTCATCGCGACTATTCATTCTAAAATGATGACCATTAAACAAGGTAAATACGGGTAAAGCTTCAATGATTTTGAGTATCATATATGCCATCACATCAGCAGCTGTAACGACGTTTTTTTTGACAGTACTTTTCCTGTTTTCACTGTGGCATAACCTAGTTGCAGCGCACTTCAATCCCAGAGATCCTCGAGATACTCGGAGCTCGAAATCTGAAATCAAACCCAAAAAACGCACCAGAAATTCATCTACAGCTTCGGGTACTCCTTTAGCCCTCGATAATGACCGCTTGGACAATATAAAATTTGATCATCTCATCACCAGCCCTCAGACAAACTCAGAAGCATCGGACGATGCTCAATGGGATCACAACAAACACGACAATCCCTTCGGTGACCTACTTTACGCAGAAGATCTGAAGCTAGTGCCCGACCTAAAACACTATTATACACAGTACGGAATTTCAATCGAGGAGCATGAGATCGAGACACAAGATGGGTTTATCTTGGACCTTTGGCATTTTACGCCTGCAGATGATAGAACCGTTTCTGGTAGTAAAAAACAACCAATGCTTCTGCTCCATGGGCTACTTCAGAGTTCCGGCTCTTTTGCTTCAGCAGGGCGGAAATCCCTAGCCTACTATTTTTACGAATCGGGCTTCGATGTCTGGCTGGGAAACAACAGATGCGGATTCAAGCCCAAGTGGAATCAAGCAAAGGTTAAGAGTGATGCAAAATGGAATTGGGACATGAAAGACCTGGTAAAGTACGACCTACGAGCTCTAGTCACCGCTGTGTTGGAAAAAACCGGCAGATCGAAGCTGACACTTGTGGCGCATTCCCAAGGCACTACACAGGGGCTCATGGGCCTCGCAAATGGTGAAACACTGTACGAAGATGACTTCAGACTTGTCGACAAGTTGGAGAATTTCGTCGCTTTGGCTCCTGCGATGTATCCTGGTCCTTTGCTGCAAGAAAAACTGTTCGTGAGATTCATGTCTAGATTCATTGCCACGCCCTTCTTTTTTGGCAAGCGATCTTTCATGCCGCAGATGATGCTAATGCGATCTCTGATGGTCGGAACCAAATTATTTTCATTTTTGTCTTATGTCATGTTCAACTACCTTTTTGATTGGAACGACACACTCTGGGACAAATCTTTACGAGATCGTCACTTTCTATTCTCCCCAGTCAACATCTCTGTAAAACTGATGGAATGGTGGCTAAGCCAAGATATGCGAAAGAAAACATTCAAGACCTACGGTAACGACATTTTTCCAGATGCAAAGACGTGGTTTCCCACCGAGAGCGATCTTTCAATTAAGAAACTGCCCTGTCACACTAATGCTAAAATGAGCACCATAGACCAGTATCCCCGTATTCTGCTCTTCGTGCCCAAGCAAGACCGATTAGTAGACGGCGAACGTCTAATTAATCATTTCGCCGATTTTGAGTCTCAAGAGCTTTACAAATGTTGGTACATTGACGAATATTCGCATCTCGATGTACTGTGGGCTCATGATGTGATAAGCCGGATCGGAAGACCTGTGCTTGACAACATTCGTGTTACTGACGATGCGATGTGAGTTAGATGGTCACGTTTTTTCCATAATGACTGCGTTTTGATATTTAATAGTGCTGAAAAATTTCAGCTCATCGCGCTCATCGACCCCATCGGCTAACTGGGAACATAGAAGTTTGAGAAGACGGTGTAACATCAACCGTCCTTAGAGTTTCTACAAACTATTCCAAATGAAGATCAAAACCATTAGTAGGAGTTCCGATGACTATGTGCCGGTGAAAAGTACCCAGGAATCCCAACTTCCTCGTAATCTCGATCCTGCGCTGCATCCATTTGAGAGAGCTCGTGAATATACCAAGGCTCTTAACGCTACAAAGATGGAGCGCATGTTTGCCAAGCCATTTGTGGGTCAACTTGGCTACGGCCACAGAGATGGTGTTTACACGATTGCCAAAAACTACAACGTCTTAAACAAGCTAGCAACGGCATCTGCAGATGGTGTGGTGAAGTACTGGAATATGTCTACAAGAGAAGAGGTGTGCTCGTTCAAAGCGCACTATGGATTGATACATGGCTTGTGTGTTACTCCTCAGCAATTCTCGCCCAACAAAAATGAAAATTACATGCTCTCTTGCGGTGACGACAGAACAGTCAAGCTGTGGTCGGTAAACACAGACGATTTTTCTTCAATAAAAAACGATGAGGAACTGGTAAGTTCGGGGAGCGGTATCAAGAAGACATACCACGGAGATCATGCCTTTTTGGGACTGGACCATCATAGATCGAAGCCCCAATTTGTCACAGGTGGAGCTCAAATCAATTTATGGGATATCAACAGATCAAGACCTACTTCTAACTTATCTTGGGGTGCCGACAACGTTTCTACTGTAAAATTCAACCAGAACGAAACAGACATACTAGCAAGTGCTGGCAGTGATAATTCAGTGGTCCTCTACGACCTCAGGACTAATTCTCCAACTCAAAAGTTTGTTCAGAAAATGAGAACGAACGCCATTTGCTGGAATCCTATGGAAGCGTACAATTTTGTTGTAGCCAACGAAGACCATAATGCTTATTATTACGATATGCGTAATCTTTCTCGCGCGTTACACGTTTTTAAGGACCATGTCAGCGCCGTCATGGATGTCGACTTCTCTCCCACCGGAGATGAAGTAGTCACTGGCTCTTACGATAAGACAATAAGAATATATCAGGTCAAACATGGACATTCCAGAGAAATCTATCATACTAAGAGAATGCAGCACGTTTTCCAAGTCAAATACACAATGGACAGCAACTACATCGTTAGCGGTTCTGATGATGGTAACGTAAGGCTGTGGAGAGCTAAGGCCTGGGAAAGATCTTCGGTCAAGTCCACTCGTGAAAAGAACAAACTAGAATACGATGAAAAATTGAAGGATAGATTTAAGAATTTGCCTGAGATTAGACGGATTAGCAGACACAGACATGTTCCTAAGGTAATAAAGAAGGCCGGCGAAATCAAGCAGACTGAAATCGACAGCCTCAAGAGGAGAGAGCGGAATGAGCGTAGAACCAATAAGGCTATGGAATTTACTTCAGAAAGGGAAAAGCAGATAGTCGGCTTTGTGCACAAATACAAAGGCGAGAAAGATCAAGGAGATAGGTCAAAGACTGAATAATAGATAGAAAAGGATAAGATGATATCTGCCAAAAAAGAAGGCGGTATTTCATTACAATTATCAAGGAACATTCGACCAATCGTTCGCGAATGAAACGACAATTAAATAGTGAAGTAAGAGGTGAGAAAAAAAAATTATTGAGAAAATACAGAAAGGGAGATCCAGCTTCCTTATAGATGTGATCTATCAAACTTGAGTAACGCTCAGGCGCTTGCTTATCTTTTCTTTGTATCGCCAAGCTTTTTGTCATTTCACTAGACGACATCCAGCTGTTACTGTAAAAGGGCGATGCCACAGGTGGTATATTCATATGGTAACATCCAGAATCCTACTGACATCCGGCACATTCTTTTTTGCTAGATCTTCTAAAAGAGGTAGGATGTCTAGCAATTCATTATCATGTATGTCCGAGAACCAAGATGAGATTGGAATTGCGTGTTGCGGATGGAAGATGTACGAGGCGGGCGAATTGTCGAGAATTATCAAATCGCTCAAAGGTCTTCCGATCTGAGACAGATTTTTGATGTAGTTTCCGTCATAGTTGTAGCAGGAGTCTCTGAAAAGACGATGATGTATGCAATGATTTTGATCTAGCACGTCTAGCAGTGGATCACCGTAACGGGATACACTGGCAGTGAACACAACAACTTCATACAGCTGGCCAACAAGTTTCAAGAACTCGTCGACACCAGGTCTCTTAATAACGTAGACATTGTGAACTTGATTATCAATCTCAACTGGAATCACAAAATCCGCACTGCGCAGAAACTTGAAAGACGAATGTACCAGCGTTTCGTCCAAGTCCAACACCAAACACTTCTTGCCCTCGAATTCGGGCGCGCGAGGAGATAGTAGCGTACTATAGCCAGGGGCGTGAGCTTGTTCTGGCTGCAACATTGTAAGGTCAACAACTTCTTCAGGGCCATCTTGATCCGGGTCATATTCGTAAGATGGGGCTGGCTGCAGTTCGCCACCGGACTCTTCGTTGCTACTGGCCTTGTCTGCCTCGTTAGTTACCAAAATCGCAGTTTCTTCGTTCGGAGTGCCATTTTGCAGCTGAGCGGGCGGCTGCGGCAGATTTGCTGGAGGAGCGTTGTGCTCGTCAGCAGTTCCGGTGCTGGACTCCGTTTCGCCATTGTACACCGACACCATTTGTTTATCTTCTTTGTTTTGAGCTTCGTCTTCGTCCAAATCGTCGTCCCTTTGAGCCTTGCTCACTACCAGGGGCAATTTGTAGGTCGGAGCAGTTTCCGGGGTCTTGGTCGTTGAAGTCGTGCCCGAAACACGCGAGTCGGGCAATCTCGACGTTCCAGAACCGGAGCCGGAGCCAGAGCCAGAGCCACTAGCGTTTCTCGATCCTCGTATGTGATCTCGAGAACCCTCTACACCACTTGGGATTTGACGGGTCGATTTCGACAGCGATGAGTGAATCTGCGATTTCTGCGGCGACAGCTGTCGTTTCTGCGCTCCTCGTTTTTCCATGGGCTTGCCCGATGATCCTGACTGTGACGAAGATGGAGAACAGCACAGTAACGAGGTGATAAACCCCATTTCTCGCGCTCCACTTTACTTAACTCGCTCCAGCACTACAGAGCGTCCCTTCACTATTTTCCTTCGCGGAAAAAAAGGCAGTCACTGAAACTTTAGGGAATTCCTGAGCCCTGTTATAGTCCAACAACCAACCAAAGTGTCTTAGAGACTAGCTGCACGTCTGGAGATATGCTTGGCTTGCTACGATGTGGACGGATTGCTTACCACTTTTCAGTTTAACGATTTTCAATTAAAAAACCTTTCCAGGGTTTCGTACAACGGTATGAAGGTCAAAACACTGAGCTTTACCCGGCCCAGAGAAATGAAGAGCACGTGACTCGAATAAACAGAGTATATATATTATCAGAGTCAACTCTCAGCGATGACAGTGAATGAATAAAATGGATGGAATATATGAGCAGAGACGAAGCCTTGGGGGTTTGCTCTAGTTTTGTAGTAAGATGAGGAAGTCAAATTATATTGTTGTGGTTATTCTTATCTCTGCCTTGTATTTTTTTTTCATTCCCAAAAAAAAAAGCAGACTCGTTAATTATGCATATGGATTGGAAACTAGTTGGATAATAACTGCTCTTCGTGATTAAAATGTTCTTGAAGTGGTTGTAAAAAATTGTGATGACCCTATTGCATTCAGTGGATAAAGAATTGTCATGAAAATGACTGTTTGTCCGTAAAATGAAGTGTTTCGTATTTCATCGCCTTGCACCTCTGGAGTGTCGAGTGAGCAAGAAAGACGATCTGTAGTCATAAGATAGGTTCGGTCTCCACGCCAGAAGCTGCAAAAATGATTATAAGGTGTGCTTGAAAGATGCACTGCGTTCAACTTAAGACGTCTTGCTCACTTTAGTCAAAACATATATTAAAATAAAAGTGTGTGTCGCTGTCGTTGGCTAATCACGTGACTCCATGAGATTTTAGCTATCTAGGTTTGAAATTAGAGCTCCACGTTCTGGGTTTTTTGGGGCGATCTTCTCCTTGAATCGTTTAAACTCTCTAATTGTGGTTTGTCTGTTTACCATAGTTGCAAGTTTGTGACTTTGAGCTGCTAGTCCCTCGATTTGTCACCTACGCTCTCCAGACGACACACTAGTATAAAGTGATCTTAGTCCAAGGCCATATATGGTTGTTAATGTTATCGATTCCTCCCTCAACGTAACCAAGGAATATCAGCTGAAGGCCCGAGAAGTCCATACTTGAAGCCGCAAAGATATAGCATTATTGCGCTATTCATTATCGAAACCAAAAACCGGAATGTTTCGCATGTAAACTCACTCTATCAATTTACTTTATTTTACAATTGTCCGATCCATAAAAGAACTCAACACTCAAATGTGAATGGACCCATCGATCAATGCCTTTCCAGCGCCTCTGTAGATGTGACAAACTCATTTTGGCGTCGCACTTTTCATAACAAAATCTCAGATTTTCTTCGCTCAATTTCGAACCTATTCTCGCACATAGGAATACTTCGAACATTACGTGAACTTCAAAGAGACGTATTTCTATAGATTCGTTACAATATGAGAAATAGCAGGGCATCCTCGCATTCTATCAGCCCACTCGGCCCTGGATACTCGTCCAAACATTCACTGTCGTCGTGAAGTTCGGCTGTTACCCGGCTTTGGATTTTAGAAGCTTTTCAATAGTTGATGCTACAGGCGATGGGATAATCGCATTGAATGCATGGGGAAACGATTCAGTTGCACCTCCATCGAACACTTTAGATCAGGCTGTTCTGTTCAATTCGTCCAGTCAATTAGGACTGTTTTCAAAGGTGTAAAGCATGGACGGTCTAGCCCCGGAATCGAGGATCTTTTCCACTCCTGTGAAAAGCGTTTCGGAAGAGAAGTTTAAAAGCTTGCGAGAGAAAGTTGGACGTGAATCACCTTACCTTTACCGCACAAAGCAACTTTCGGATGTGACCAAAAAAGTGGAATACGACGGAGAGAATTCAGCTTCGAAATTGAGCTCTCAAAGCGTACCGATAACCAACAACACACCAGTAAAAGACACAGTCTCAGCAGAGCCCGTTCCAGCGGCTTTCGCCTTCGAAAATAAAGCTTTGGGTCAGTATTCGCGTCGAATCGTGAACAAAGAGCTCGAAACTCGTCGCATCATATCGAATTTGGTCGCCCTTTTGTTGTGGAACTTGGCCATCAAGTTTTTAACGCTTTTTCTACATCATACGAGCAACGGCATCAATATTCAGCGGACTTTGACTAAATGGGTTCAAGAACTTGTCATTTATCGTTTATTTCCTCGAGTGAATCTAGAATACTCCACTTTTGCTCATATTGCCACGATTGCCAATCTTTCTCACATATTCCACTTGATCGTCTTCTATAACATCACCGTTTCGCTTTGGCGGCTGGTTCTAAAGTCGCAGAACGTGAAAATCGACGATTTACATTTGAGCGACCGTCAAAAACAACTGCTAGGGGTGTCAGACGTGCCTTCGACAAAAAAGCCACTGCCGAACCTCTCTCTATCAAGTAACATCGGTATCAAAGATCAGAAGGCCCAGCTGAATAGGCCGATGTCGCCAAACAATAATGCCACGCCTTTGTTCTTATTCAAGTCGCTTCAAACTCCCCTTAAGTCTCGAGAACAAAGCTCGACAGTACCTACAAGCACTCGTAGTGCTTATGTGAAGAAAGTTAACGCATTTGGGGACCTGAATGCTTCTTACCAAAGGAAACCAAGCTTGACGCCGGGCCAAATATCCTCGAACGCTTTCACCACCCCAAAAAGCCGGAATGGTTACATTCCCAGCAGTAAATACGCATATATGCGGGATTCTCCAAGCCCGAGGAAAACGTTGTAGAGCTAGCATGGGTGTGCACGAATAGGAATAGAATAGAATAATTCAATGGAAGTACAGAAGAATATCAAATTTATCTACCAGTAGCCAGGAAACAAGTATTCGAGCTTGGCTAACGTCTCTTTAGACATGGCGTGTGGCTTGGTCGAAATGCTCATCTTAATTGAACCTTTTAGGCCATCACCAGTGACCATGAATTCAGGCAATTTGTTGGCCATGTTGGTGATGATGGTGGACGCCAATACATTGGCGTTGGATCCGTTGTTGTGCAAGTTCGCAATAACGGTCTCGACTGTGACAGGTTCAGCTTCGTCTCTCCAGGCGTCATAATCAGTTGACATACAAACGATTTGATAAGGGAGTTCACATTCGCGTGCTAGTTTGGCTTCGGGCAAAACGCTCATATTAATCACGTCACCGCCCCACATCCGATACATTTTAGACTCAGCTCTGGTAGAGAACTGTGGTCCCTCCATGCACACAACGGTAACATCTTCCCCGGAATGTAAGGAGCATGACTCCTCCGGGTCAGAGTGCTTCAGAACGTTGCCGAATTGACTGATGTATTGCGCAAACGCTTTCGAAAATGGTTCGCCAAAGCCCACATGGCCAACGAGACCGATGTCGTTGAAGTAAGAAGATTCACGAATCCCTTTGGTTCTATCGATTATTTGCTGGGGCAAAACAAAATCGCGAGGCTTGATGTGCTGCTGTAGCGAGCCTACGGCACTGAAAGACAATACAGCCTTACATTTGAGGTGTTTTAAAGCTGCCATATTGGCTCGAAATGGCACGGTGGAAGGCGAGTATTGATGGTGCAGACCGTGTCTTGAGATGAATGCAACGTGGAAATGCTCTTGGGAGTCTCCGACCATTTTTGATATCGTGATGGGCGACGATGTGGTACCCCATGGTGTCACCATCGCTGGAATAACGGCGATCGCCTCGAGACATTCTAATTGGTACAGACCTGTGCCCCCGATAATTCCCAGGTCCACAGTTCCATCGAATGTAGTTGGAACATGAGATAAATTATTTGTCATTCTTGAGATGATACCTTGCTGAAGAATTCGTTTGTCTATGATCAAAATTGTCGAGTTTACATTTCTTCAAAGCTTCCTCGATGCCATCTTATATAATATCAATTTTTAATGAAGTTGCAAAGGCCCTACTGCGAAAGTTGAGCTGATCACCACTGTGACATGAAAAAACTCTTGATCTTCAGTTTATAGTATTAGCGAGAATATTTACAGGGAATCGATACAAATACTGCAAAGTTTGCACGATAAATGATTGTTTCTAGAAGACATGGAACGCTCGATGACTTGTTTCGCTTGAACTTTTAGGTGGAGGGGGACTCAAATACAGTACGACCGCTTAGAGCCAAACTAAACGGTGAAACCATAGCCCTGCATGCATTTTTTGTACTTGTTTATAAATTCATCGCATTTTCCTGAATCCTGGCCGTTAAACAAGAGACAGGTGTCTCTTTCTTCTTTTTCCGGCTTGCACACGCAGCAAGGCTTTGGCTTGCTGCCCTCAGGTTGCGAGTTTGTTGCTGACTTGTCGCTTGGAGAGCTCATGTTGTTAAGAAACGGTGTTGTTTGAGTTGGGCTGTGATTTGTAACTAGAGAGGCAAGTTGTTCGGAATTTCATCCATATTGGCTTATATATACATGTAAGGGCATCAATCACGCACAGATTTTGACACGAAATACGATAGTGATGTATTTGACACAATGAAGGAAAGACAGGGACTCTTCGCGAATGCTCACACGCCTTCCGACCACTGGAACTGTCCTTTGGGATTAGCTTGATTGAGGAGAATCTTCAGCTAACAATGGTTGAGTTCTTGGAGCAGGCAACGACCAGCTATTGTGAGATTTCTGATGTGTCGTCCGTCTTTCGCGGACCCTGGAAACGTCAAAAGAACACGGTTCAAACGTTTAAGCTAAACCCTTCGCAACTAATTGGCCAGATGCTTATTTGAAAAGGTCTCTGGACCTTTTAGCGTTTGCAGCACTTATTTTATCTTTTCCTGTGAGTCTCGGGCGTAAGTAACCCACAAAAAGCAGCAATTTATTCCAGATCAACGAGTCACCTCGTTTCGCTACAATTTTCCTTCTCCCCTCTCTCTCTCTCTCTCTCTCTCTCTCCTCCTCCTCCTCTCTCTCTCTCTCTCTCTCTCTCCCTCCCTCTCTCTGTCTCACCTGAGTTTTTGGCCACGAGTGACGATCCATCGAAAAGTCTGGTTTGCACGCCAATTATCCAAACGATACAACCCGCGATACCTCAAAAATGAGCTCATTGCTCTTCTTCGTGCTAATAGTTTTGAACCAGAGGGCTAAAGTTCATCCTAAATGCATATTCCATGGTGGGTAGCACAGAAAGAACTCCCGTGATTCTCTCTATAACAAAACGCAATCCAGGATTATCAAACCTTATAAGAGCAGCAGTAAGTAATGCAGCATTGGAATGCCTCCAAATTCAATTCTGATCTGTCTAACTCAGCTTTTCTGTTCGGCCTTCTTTCGTATCGCGTGCTGCCCATTCTATAACGGCTGGGTGATTTTTTAATTAAGTTGACCTCGTCAGTCAACGTATACATCCTAAAAGCAAGGGAACTTCACATCAGTCCATCAACGCTAATCGCACCATTTCGGGCCAGATATGAACGAACAGTCACTGCAGCGGTCTGATTCGACAGAACTGCGAGGAGTTCCGGAAAAACCACAAGAAAAAGGCCAAAGTTCAAGTCCAAATGCTAGTGTTGCCAATAGTGTAAGCAATAGCACAGCTGAGGACAACGAAGCTAGAGGAAGGCCTCATTTCAGGAAGCAATACTCAATGGGTGGTGTTGAGTCAGCTAGCTCTAGTGTGCAGGCACATGGGGGCGCAGAACGTTTCAGGGACGGGTCGAAAAAGGGCAGACACAAGGGATTTCATAATCCGATGGCCTTCCATTCTCCAGATGATCCTATTCCACCATTTTCGCATCCGATCAGGCCTCGAATCCCTCGTTTGACGCGAACAACAAGTAACAGTTCCATTTTTTCCACACCACAGTCGCAAACGGGACAATCTCAGCAGCCATCACAGCAACGTAAGGGATCGCGCGCTGGCTCTCTTTTGAAGAGACTGACTGGCATGAAAATGACTTCTGCAAACACATCGGAACTTTCCGATCAGGAATCTGCACAGAACGGCACAGCTCTTCAGCCGCCTGGAATCCGCCGTAAAATGAGTACCTTGATTCACGGAGGTACCGGGCAACCAGATTCAAACTCTCATGGTCATCATTACTTTGGTGACAGCGATATGAACCCAGAGACCTTCCTTAAGGCTGGGAAAGGTTTGTTTGGCTCCTCTGCGGCCAATAGCAGGCGTGGGTCTGCGGCAAGTGGTGCCGCCAGTGGAATGACCGTACCAAGCGGTAGCAACTCTCCTAAGGTGCATCATATACACGCGACCCGAAACTCCACAACTTCGGCAGGTACAAATCATAACTCCGAAGACCAGAAAATCATTTCGCGTAATCAATTGTCGGATTCCTCAGATAGTCCGGAACGTCCTTCAAGGAATGAGCTAAATAGAAGTACAAGCTACTTCCTGTTGGACACGGATTTGAACAATGTTTCTGATATTACAAATATACGTGGAAACTCGGCAGATGAGGCAGGAAAAGCAAAAGGCAATTCGAAAGTGGTGCCAACGGAGACTCATAAAGCGCCATTGGTGGATACAGAAAAAAACGCACCACATGAGGCAGCACATTCAAAGGCACAATGGATAGCTCCAGAAAGTTGGGATATTGATGAAGAAACAGGCAAGCCCTTGATTTCGAAATCGAAGCGCAGAACACATCGTGGACAATCTAAAAGCCGTCAAAAGGGCCCTTCCGGGTCACAAATGGATCGAGACAGAGCTGGCAGGTCTCATCCTCAAGGTGAGCTTACAAGGAAAGAAGCAACTCCCAGGCTCGATCCGCTAGAGGAGGTCGCTGATCATGAACAGCTTATTCCAAACATCATGCCCGATCAGCACAGAAACTCCGCCGCTTCTTCTAGTAGTGCCAGTGCTACAAGCAAGTCTCAAGACCTCAGTGAAGCCACCTTTTCGACAAGCGATTACGAAGATGAAGTTGGCGATGAGGAGAGGGTGCATAGTTATTCTTCTGGTTCGCCGCAAGCCCCAGAATCGAACGCGCTGAAAAGAGATGAAGAGTTTGATAAGGCGGGGTACGAATTGGAGAGATACTACAACAATTACAGTGACATGGACTCATCGAGGCGATACGCTATTCGAATTTTCAACACCGATGATACATTTACCACTTTATCTTTAACACCGAATACCACAGTGCAGGAAATGATTCCTCAACTGAAAAGAAAGTTTAACGCGGGGCAGGGCAACTATCAGGTCTCATTAAGGGTAGCGAAAGTTTTGAAGGTTCTTTCAGCTACAGCTAGGCCAATTTTGATTCAGCGAAAGCTCCTGCTTCTTAACGGCTATCTGAAGAGCGATCCTCTTTACATCATGGGAACCGAAGACCTCAGTTATGTCTTCAACTTCATTTTCCACCCTGTGGCAACTTCTCATCTAACCCATGAGCAGGAACAGAGACTTTCCAGGGGCGATTTTGTACATGTTGATTTACGAAGCCTGAACCTGACAACTCCTCCGATTATCTTTTACCAGTACACTCCTAACATTGAAAGTCTGGACTGCTCAAACAATGCGAACATATTTCTGCCTCTCGACTTTATTGAAAGTGCCATAAAGCTGTCAAGCTTGAGAATGGTAAACATTCGCGCCTCAAGATTTCCACCGAATATAACGGAAGCTCACAAGCTGGTCTCATTGGACCTGGAAAGAAATTTGATCAAAAGAATTCCGCCATCAATTTCCAATTTGGGGGAGCTCACTATTTTAAATCTCCAGTGTAACGCTCTGGACAGACTTCCTGCTGGGTTTGTTGAGCTGAAGAATCTTCGACTCCTCGATATCTCTTCTAACAACTTCTCCAAATTTCCAGAAGTTATTACGTGCTGTACTAACCTGTTGCAAATCGATCTATCGTACAACAAAATTCAGACCCTTCCCAGCTCAGTGAACCAGTTGACAAAACTAGCGAAGATGAATTTAGCGCGCAACAAGCTTACCGATGTTAGCGAACTTTCAGGGCTGGTTAACCTGAGAACACTCAACTTGAAATACAATCGTTTGACCAACTTAAAACTAAACAATCAGAACCTGCAGAATTTGGCACTTTCTAGTAATCGTATCAGCATATTTGATGACAAACTGTCGAAGTTGAAGACGCTGGAGATTCAAGAAAATCCAATCACTTCAATAGGTCATGAAGGAGAGTATTTGGTCAATTTAGTGGCTTTATCGCTAAACAAAGCCAAGCTGGCCAGTCTCCCTCCCGAGCTTCTGTGCAAGCTTCCACGGCTTGAAAAATTGGAGCTAAATGAAAACAATTTGACCCAGATCCCTGTTGAGATCAGCCGCTTGGCTAGATTGGTCTATTTCTCGGCTGCTCGAAACAAGCTGGAGAGTATCCCAGAAGAGATTTGCGAACTGAAGTTTTTGAAGACTTTGGATATTCATTCCAACAACATAAGCAACCTTGTCAAAGGCTTGGGAAAAATGGAGCTTACGAGTTTTAACGTGTCCTCGAACCTTTTAGGAAACACCATTGACATACAAGAAATCTTTTTGAACAGACGTGATTCTGCATTGGCCAAGAGTCTACTTTTTCTCAGCATGGCAGACAACAACTTGAGCAACCAGTTTTGGACTTTGCTGAACATGTACGAAAATCTAAAAACGCTGAATTTGTCTTACAATAACTTCAGCGATCTCTCGACTTTTAAACTGGAGCACTTGACAGAGCTCTACTTGTCGGGTAACAATTTCGTCACTCTTCAAGGAGAAACAGTTTCGAGATGGACTTCTCTGAAAGTTTTGATGTTGAACGGCAATAACTTACTTTCGCTCCCTTCTGAGCTCTCACAGCTCACGCAACTCAATGTCTTGGATGTTGGGTCAAACCAGCTGAAATACAACATATCCAACTATCATTATGATTGGAATTGGGGCAATAATAAAGAGCTTAGATACCTCAATTTTTCTGGGAATAAAAGGTTTGAGATCAAATCTGCGCTGGACGTAGAGAGCAAGAAAGACTTATCTGATCTGACCATTTTGAAGGAGCTAAGAATTTTGGGTTTGATGGATGTGACTTTAAAAACGTCGAAAATTCCAGACGAAGGGGTCAACTTGCGTTTGAGGACCACGGGTTCTATGTTGAATGGTATGAAATATGGCGTTGCAGATACTCTTGGACAAAAAGATTCTGTCACTGCAAGAGACGTCACATTTGAGAGATTTAGGGGGAACGAGGACGAGTGTTTGATCTGTCTCTACGATGGTAAGAATGAGAGCGCAAGCACTGGCCACAGCATCTCGAAGATTATCAGAGACACTTTTCATAAGATCTTCATACGACAGCTGGAAAAGTATGGTGAAAGTCCTGATGGTATCAAGAACGCCTTGCGCTTCAGCTTTCTCCAATTGAACAAGGAAATCAACAGCATGTTAAACTCTGTTGACAATGAGGTTGAAAGTAAAAACTTTACATCAGCAGACCTCTTGAGTGGATCTTCCGCTGCCGTCGTTTACCTGAAGGGCAAAGCCTTATATGCCGCCAACATTGGAGACACAATGGCAATTCTATCAAAAAATAATGGAGATTTCATAAAGCTAACAACGCTCCACGTCCCATCTAAAGGAGAAGAATACGAGAGGATTCGCATTTCCGGTGGCTATGTGAATAATCGGAAACTAGATGGCGTATCAGAGGTTTCGAGAGCCGTCGGATTTTTCGACCTGCTTCCCCATATTCATGCCTCCCCTGACATTTCGGAAATACGTTTGACTACAACTGATGAACTCCTCATCATTGCTACTAGTAAACTTTGGGAGTACGTGGACTACCAGACTGCATGCGATATATGCAGAGAAAACAAAGTGGAACCAATGCGCGCCGCCGAAAAGCTGAAAGATTACGCTATATCTTTCGGCTGCATGGACAACATGACCATTTTGTGCTTGTCTCTAGACAAATCCAGCGCCAGTCAAAATAATTTCATTCTCAATAGAAATGACCTCATATCAAGGAGGAGTACGTTTGAGGACTCGACTTTGAGGAGATTGAGTCCTGAGATAGCCCCACCTACTGGAAATCTGGCCATGGTCTTCACAGATATCAAAAACTCCACATTTTTGTGGGAGCTTTTTCCTAATGCGATGAGAAGTGCTATAAAAACGCATAACGATGTTATGCGCCGTAATTTGCGTATTTTTGGAGGCTACGAAGTGAAAACTGAAGGTGATGCCTTTATGGTCGCCTTCCCGACACCGATAAGCGCTCTTGTGTGGTGTCTAAGTGTCCAGCTGAAGCTACTGGATGCTGAGTGGCCGGAAGAGATTACATCAATTCAGGGAGGATGCCTAATCAGTGATTCGAAAAATCAGAAAATGTATTTGGGCCTTTCGGTCAGAATGGGTATCCACTGGGGATGCCCAGTCCCTGAGCTTGATGTCGTGACACAGCGTATGGACTACCTGGGACCTGTCGTGAACAAAGCTTCAAGAGTATCTGGTGTTGCAGACGGGGGGCAAATTACGTTGAGCAGCGATTTTTGCTCAGAATATCATAAAATCATGGCATTACATGAGCGCGTCACAAAAGACAATGCCTCTTTGAAAGAAGCATATGGTGAAACGCTAGTGGGAGAGATTTTGGAAAGGGAAATCCATCTACTAGATGGTATGGGATGCGTTTTTGAAGAGCTTGGAGAAAAGAAGCTAAAGGGCTTGGAATCTATTGAACTAATAACCATTGCATATCCCAAAGCCCTAGCCGCGCGACACGATTTTGTCGCAAACGAGACGAATGCCGGAATAATAGACGATAAAAGTCTTTTCGAACTCCGGTCTTTGTCTAACAGACTCGAAACTTTAGCCTCTGTTTTGAACGGCTCACTTATTGAGAAGGACATGACAAAACTAGGCTGTTATATCAACTTCGATAAAAAGACCTCGCTTGCAGTCTCACAGGCTTGTTCGGAATCAGATCGAGTTGCATTCTTGGACCACATTGTCACAAGACTTGAATCTGTGACGGCAATCTTACAGATACGTCAGCGCATGGAAGGATCGTTGAGCAGCACGAAGGGACCTGAGAACACTAATGCGAAATCAATTTTCGACTTGGTGGATGAATTGTTGAGACGCCCAGAAAAATAAATGTTAATTCCCTTTGGACCATCAAAAATAATATGCCATTAGAAAAAGTACTTCTTTCTTGTTTATGTAAAGAATAGACGTGTGGCGATCATGCATAGATCTAGCTACTGAAAAATGCTGCTCGAAGTAAAGGTTTTCAGTGGCCGACTATTTCAAATCCTGTTATGCAAGATGCCGCTGGGCTTCATGCGTACCGAAAACAAATGCTAGGATACTGTGGATTCAACAGTGATGCGCCCTGAGTTTCAAGGCTTCTTTCGTTGCGCATTTAGCATACTTTGGGGACCCACATCCCTGGTAAATCGAGAATGATGTGATGAGAACTCTAACGATCGTCACTTTTGAGCCTCCAAATCCTTCATCTCGAGGCCGTCTTGGAGGGTATGTTCAGAACCGGACTTAGCCGGGGCTACAGATTCGACTGTTTGCGGGTCGACAAGTCCGTCAAAAAAAGTATCTCTCAGCTCTCTCCACCGTGAAGACCACGTACCCAAGAACACGAGGATAAGCGATGACAGCAGCTGAACTACAAACCACGACAGACTAGGCCACCTACCTGTCTTGATCCACACTATTAGCAAGTTCACAGCATGTATGGTGATGCCGAAATCCCAAGCCAGCTTGCTACGGCCCACTATTACTGTCAAAAACAAAACGCATATAAGCGAGTCCAGGAGCCATAGCACTGACAACGTCAAACCAAGCGAGTTGGAAAAGTCAATCGCCTCCCATGAGAACAGCCACTGACCTATCGGTACATCATAACCACCCAGTCTGGACCATCCGTAGAACAAAACATATCCAGTGGCGTAATAGAACAGTTGTAAAAGAACAATCTGTACCGTAATTTTGAGCGGCGAGAGTGAATCCTGTTTGAAAACTTCCGAGGGGCGTAATTCCTGCGGAAGTCTCAGATATCTTCTCACCCAAGCCATGGATAATCGGTTATCGAACGCCGTGTTCGAAACTCAGATTCTTTCTCTACCTTGACCTTTAATTCTATAAATTTGATCAAGCTTTAGATCAATTTATCTGTCTACTACTATATATATGAAAAATTTTAGAAAACAGTGATGAGATGAGATGCGATGAGCTCTTCTAACAAAGACAAAACCAGCTATAGCACAAGTAAAGGATAAACTCTGGCACTCTAAAGGTTAATAACTTACTAGATTTAAACTCAAGTACCAAGTCTGTTTTTTTTGGTTGGAAAAATGGTGGCCCGCGGCAAGTTTAGCAATGTCGATGACTTCGTTCCAACTATCAGTGACAGTGAGAACGAAGTCCCCGATCTAGACGATTCAGAAGACGAAAGCGTAGTCAAGAATGAGACTAAAAGTGATGGAAAGCAAAGCAAGAAACAGAAGTCGAAATCGAAAGCAGCGGTCGAAATTGACGAGGATGTTCATGAAGATCTGAATCCAGGCTTCAAATTCGACCTTGGTGGATCCGAACTATCCACTGGCTTCGATGGCTGGGCTTTTGATGGTGACGCAAAAGCTGACGACGCCAATAAAGATGTTGATTTGGATGGTATTATCAGACGGAAGGGTGGTCTCATCAAACTAGCAGGTACAGAAAATAGTGACGAGGAAGAGATGGAAGAAGAGGAGAAAGAAAATGAAAGTGCAAATGAGGAGGAAGACGATGAAGACCTGGCTTTGGATGGCTTTGGAATGGGTGCTACTGAAAAGGCAAGAGAAAGTTCTGTCGATGAGCACAGCGAAAGCGAAACCGGCGGCGAAAGCGAAGAACAAGTTTCTGACGCAGAAGATGAAAACCCGGAAGAAAACGCTACAGAGGTGCAGTTGGATGACACAGAAGAGGCCAAGGCAGAGTTTTATGCTCCCGATGAGGAGAGTTCCGAGGCTAAAAAGACAGTTCACACAAATTTCAACTCTTTGTCTCTCTCCCGTCCTGTTTTGAAAGGCTTGGGTGCTCTCAACTACGTGAAGCCTTCCCCTATCCAGAGCGCCACTATTCCTATCGCCCTGTTGGGGAAAGATATCATTGCCGGTGCTGTGACTGGTTCTGGTAAAACAGCCGCTTATATGATCCCAATTATCGAGCGGTTGCTTTACAAGCCCGCACAGGTCTCATCTACCCGCGTAATTGTCCTTACCCCAACTCGTGAATTAGCTATCCAGGTCTCAGACGTTGGTCGTAAGCTGTCCAAGTTCGTTAGCAGTATTACCTACGGACTAGCAGTGGGTGGTTTGAACTTAAGACAACAAGAGCAGAATTTGAGATCTCGTCCAGATGTAGTTATCGCTACTCCTGGTCGTCTCATTGACCACATCAGAAATTCCGCTAGTTTTAATGTCGAGTCCGTCGAGGTTCTAGTCATCGATGAGGCTGATCGAATGCTGGAAGAAGGGTTTCACGATGAACTGACGGAGATCATGTCCCTCATCCCAAGCAAGCGTCAAACTTTACTATTTTCTGCCACTATGAATGCCAAGATCAATCAACTAATATCCCTGTCGCTCAAAAAGCCAGTTAAAATAATGATAGATCCGCCAAGACAAGTGGCATCCCAGCTGACGCAAGAATTTGTCCGTATCCGTAAGAGAGAAGACTTGAAGCCAGCTCTGCTATTTCATCTGATAAAGAAGCTGGACGATTATGGTCAAAAGAGGATTGTTGTCTTCGTGGCCAGAAAAGAGATGGCTCACAAGTTGAGAATTATTCTCGGTCTGCTAGGCATGAAAGTTGCCGAGCTACACGGGTCTTTATCCCAGGAACAACGTCTTCAGGCTGTAAATGGATTTAAGACACTTGAAGTGCCGGTACTTATATGTACAGATTTGGCTTCCAGAGGTTTGGATATTCCAAAGATTGAATTTGTTATCAACTTCGATATGCCAAAAACCTATGAAATCTACCTCCATAGGGTTGGTCGTACTGCCAGAGCTGGTAGGGAGGGTCGTTCTATCACTTTTGTGGGCGAATCCTCTCAAGACAGAAATGTGGTTAAAAGTGCTATCAAGTCCGCGGAAGAGAACAACAAGCAGGACACTGTGGTGGGAAGAATGGTTGACTGGACTCGGGTCGAAGAAATCAACGGACTCATCTCGAACAAAGAAGAGGTCATTGGCGAGATTTTAGAAGAGGAGAAAGAGGAAAAGGATATTTTGAGGGCAGAAATGCAAGTGCGTAAGAGTGAGAACTTGTTAAAGCATAAAACCGAAATCTCTTCAAGGCCTAGAAGAACTTGGTTTCAATCCGAAGCAGAAAAAAAGAATTCCAAGATCATGAACACACTATCGAAAAATAAGAAGGAGGTTAACAGTAAGAAGAGAAAAAGAATGGAGGCCACCGAAGACCGCTCTCGCTCCTATAAAAAAACTCAGAAGGATCGTAGCACAGATCAACAAAGAACATATGCCAAGCAAAAGGCAAAAGTCGATGCTAAAAAGAGAAAGCAAGCGAGAAAATAGCTCTTTACAGTGGGTTAGTATAGTAGCATGAGCCAAGGCCAAAAATCAATATGCATTAGTCTTAAATAACAAGAAATGTATTAATCGTAGTGAAAATCAGCGGTTACACTTTGTAGCGTCTCAAGATCATAAAATTCATCTTCAGCTGTCGAATCTTCGATATTGTCTGTCAGGTCTGTTTTATCATCCAGCCCAATGATCTGGACGTTTTTTCTCAAATCGATAAGGCTAGCCACCTGTGACTTAAGCTCTTCAGAGAGAGTAGGCGTTTTCCCCTGTGCAGCCGCAACAAGTAATTGTAAACCATCCAGCCAGATGTAAGACGCTTCTTTAGTATCCACGTAAAATTTCAGCAGAATGTTAGCCTCCTTGTCCAACAGATGTATTTCGGTGTAAACAGCTTTGTTCAGAATGTTAATTAGTTTTGAGTTTTCGGGAACTTTACTCTCAGACTGAACTCTCCAATGTTGGAACTTGTGAACGCGCCTTAAAGGAATAACTACAGTCTTCGACTTTGGTGCTGAGGAATCATTGGTACTCAAGATCTCATTACCGTTGACTGCGGGATTTTGTTCGCTTCTCAATCTATACTCCTTGGCCAAAAGATTCATTTGATTGTCTGACAAAATAATGAAATATACGCGCGGCTGCTTCACGCTACGATCTAAAGGATTGTCACTGTAAACCCAGGCTCCCTTTTGTAGTTGCAATAGGCGTTGATGGCGAACAAACTCAAGAACCTGGTTTGACAACATAGAGTCAAAATGTGAGACTTGAGTTTCCCATTTCTTGTAATGGATGCTTCTTAGCTGCTTCAGTTGCATGCTTCTCAGGTCCGCGTATGTTAATGAGCGTATGTTCACCAAACATGCACCTATGTCGGGCTCCTTGGCCCCGAGAAAGTTGTCATGTTGAAAGAAGGCGATTTCGAATGTTTCCAGCACAGACCCAAAATCGGCAAAGTCCTGAGCGTTCGACTCTATCCAAAGTTCCATGAGCTTGTCCACAAGACTATAGATCAGTATGTCTTTGTTCAAAAAGCATTGCATGATGAAAACACTAAACTTTTCTTCTGCAAAAAATTGATGGAAACACCGCGCCAATTGATCGGACAACCATGAGAGCCCCTTTACTATAGGAAATGCATCGTCCTCAAAAAGTAGACGTTCCGAGTACTTTTTGCGGAAAGAGAGGTTGCTGTCTTTGCAAAAAGTAATCAGATCAATCGCGTTCACTAAAGAAAGCTCAGAGATCTGCTTACCGCCCACCTCTCTTGACTCATCATTAGTTTTTGCCAACTCTTTCAGCTTGAAGTGCTTGTCCAAAAGATCAACCATACTGTTCAACCATTGGGAGGAGAGTCTGTCAATATTTTGAGAGTGTAACGACCAGTGTAGTCTAGCAAGAACTTTAACACAGCTTTGGGCCATTGTTTCGACCTCCTGCTCATATTGCGGCCCATTTTCTAGTATCGTTGTTAAAGTTGTTAGAAAGCCTCCTGATTTTAACGTGAGAAAGCTGTCGAATATTATGCCAGAGGCGGCTTTCGAATCTTCATTGTTCAAAATGGCTAGGCAGTGCAGGTAGCGGCTGACAGCTTTAACGACACTGCCTTCAAGTTCAACGTCGCACTGTAGCCATAGAAGCTGGCTGACCACGGTGTCCAATATAAGATTTTTGTGGGCGGCGGAGCAGAAGTTCTTGACGTAAGGGCTTGAGTCGGTCTTATCCGCCAACGCTTTGGAACCTTTGTCGAGGAAGAAGTGAACAGCCATAACTACTTCCTCATCGTCCATCAAATCCCGGGCTAAGGAAAAGATATTGTTCCAGAAATTTGGTCTCTCTGCTAGACCTTCCGAAAATGCTTTATCATCGCTTTTAGCAAGAGTTCTGTACAGGGTTATGAGCGCAGTCTTGTCATCCTTAGCCTGGCTAAGCATATCCAGTGCTTGGTCGGCAGTACTGTTTTGGGAAGAGGACATATCCAAAATCGTTATGAGAGTTAAGTAACGTTAGGACAAATCAAGTGAGAGGAGGTCTCACCGAGCTTTGGGAAGAATGTACCTCTGGCAAAAGGCATCCAATCGAACAGTAATCCGTCACTTTTCAAAAAAAAATCAATCAACCGTTCAAACTTATTATATTTCTTCTTGTAGTATTCTTACTGACGAGTTAATAGCGACGCTCGGAAGTTTCGAATGGATATCAAAAATTAATACTTCACTTTTCGATACGACCCGATTGAAGAAGTGTATGAGTGTTCATCATGGTTGAATTCAAATAATTTTACTGAGCAATGAAAAACCACTTGCCCGAAACATCTTATAATGTACCCCAACGGGATGATATCAATCTGTCGTTAAATTCGATAGGTGGGTCTAATGAGTCGTTGGTTTCCCTCGATGAGTACCTAAGCAACACCCTGCCCTTGCACTTGCAGCGCCTATTTCTCGATAATTTTCAAAAACGAGAGCAGGAAATCCTGGAGAATGCCTCTAAATCTCTGATGAATGCTGTGAGTGATACACAACAGTACTCAGTGCCAGATGGACTCCATCTGGCATTGAAAAGTGGTTATATAGACTCGAGACAGGGTTCGTTTTCCTCATGGTCTTTCGCTCAGGGCCTCATTGTAGGGCAGGTAAGCGTTATCCTGGTGCTCATTTTCTTCATCAAGTTCTTCGTGTTCAGCGAAGGACCGCTGAAATCAGATGGGCCGAAAAGTGGAAAGCCTAGCAGCTCCGATCTGGATTTCAATAAACCACACTTGTCACCAGTGTCTACATCTCATTTCTTGTCTTCCATTATCCGCAGGCATAGGGACGAAGCGCTAGAGAGCTCGGAGGACACCGAAAGTCGTAAATTTTCGCAGATTGACACCATCTTGGAGAAAACTTACTACAATGTGGACACGCATTCCCCCGAGACTCTGGATTGGTTCAATGTGCTCATTGCTCAAACCATTCAACAGTTTAGAGAAGAGGCTTTGCAGAAAGACAACATTGTTCACTCTCTTAACGACTTCGTGTCACGAAGATCAGAAGAGCTGCCGCAGTACCTGGACACTATCAAAATCACTGAACTTGACATAGGGGAGGATTTTCCCATTTTTTCCAATTGTCGCATACAGTACTCACCAAACTCCAATAAGCAGCGGCTGGAAGCCAAGATTGATATTGATTTGAGCGATCGACTGGCGTTGGGTATTGAAACGAAACTCTTGGTCAATTATCCCAAAGCTTTTGCAGCTGCTTTGCCTGTTCAGTTGACGGTTTCAGTAGTGCGTTTCCAAGCTTGTCTGACCGTATCCCTAACAAGTGCTGAGGAATTCAAGCCGACTGAGGAGGATGGAGCATCATATGAATCTGATAACGGAAGCGGCTATTTTTTGATGTTCTCCTTTTCGCCGGAATACCGTTTAGAATTTGATATTGAGTCTTTGATAGGTGCGAGATCAAAGCTTCAAAACATCCCAAAAATAGGAAGTCTTATCGAATACCAGATCAAAAAGTGGTTCGTAGAAAGATGTGTCGAACCACGCTTTCAGTTCATAAAGCTTCCGAGCCTGTGGCCCAGAAGTAAAAATACAAGGGAGGAAAAGTCAGAAAATGACGACGTGTCTATGAAGTCGGTCGATGTACAAAACGTTTGAAGCCCTTCGATAATTTCATTAGCACACGACGCTTACTCTATAATCGGAGACCTTCCATCTCTCTTTCGGCAGGATTTGCTCTTCTCCTTTGTGAGGCCGGAAAATACATTAAAATCCTGTTGCGTATCTCAACCTCAGTTAGAAAATCGCAGCACTAGCATACTCGATGACACAGGTGATCTTGTCATTCTAAAGCGTGTCACAGGCATATTTATAGCATACGGTCCGTGATTAGCATTTCAAAGAAACAGGCCAGAATCGGGCAAACCCGACGTGCTAAGCTATTGCATCGGTCAGACAGCTACTCGGAAGTTCACACTGGAAGACTGAAATTCATTTTACTTTCTGCTTCTACTAATGAATTATAATGATATAATCGATTTCGTTGGCGAAGTTGATCCTTCTTCAATCCGTATATCTAAAATTTTGTACGTTCTTATGGGATCCGAGCCTGCTCACACACAGTGACACCTCTAGTCAATTTGGTCGGTCTACCGCCGACAACAGTATGTGTCATAGCAGATCATCATTTTATACTATGATCTTGGTATATATTATTTAAAAGTTATTGCATTATAAAGTATCGATGACAGATTAGATCAAAGCTTCACAGCTGTCTCCGTGGGCCTCACCGCTGAACAGTTCATTACGATATGTCATTCACCGGTAAAAAATTTAGATCAAGAAGAGAGCAAATAGCTTATGAAGCTTCCCTTGCGGGAAGATATCAAGCTAGGCTGAAAAAGAATCCATTCTTGTACTTTGGCTTGCCGTTCTGCTCTGTCATTGTCCTTGGTTCGTACTGGCTCTCTGGCTTCACTGCAGTAAGATATGAGCAAAAAGATCGCAAGATTCAAGAGGTAAGTGAGGAGGATCTGGTGAAAATGAAGGCTAACAAACGGCAATTTGATTTGAAAGAAGAATACTACAGGCTACAGGGACTTGGAGAGCAGGATTGGGAGCCTGTACGAGTACCACGAATGAAAGGCGAGTCCGAGAACGTATGGTGATCTGCGATCGGGGACTGCTTGGCATTGTCTCGTTGGAGGAGCAATAACGAGATCTGCATTTCCACGCTCACCCCTCAAGTGTTTATCAACACGAAGCATACTATGGCATATTTGTTCGAAATTTAATATGTTTGAACAACCTTTTATCTACTATATTACACTTTCCAGAGTTATCACCGCGCCGAGGTAGGCTTGAGTCTCAGTGTGCATTAAACGCTTTATGTATAATGAAATAAACTTTTTCGATGGTTTTAGTTCTTTCTGACTGTAATTCTCTGTTTTCATACTTTGGTCATAAAAGGCTACATTAAGCTCGAAGTGCTGGACAACTCAGTCCCACATCATCCAACACATAAACATAGGAAATTTGATAGTATGACAAACTGATTTATGGAAGAAATTGAGGTATATGTAAATGAAGAATAAGCTGTTGGTGCGAGACAGATCATTTTTCGGCCTGAAAGGATGTCACTTTCACTCTGAACAATATATTTTGCGACGTGAAGGTCGCTTCAAGAAAAACTGCTCGTTGACACATACCGCTCCATACTTCGCACCATTATGTGGTAGCAGTATCGGTACGGGAATATCGAGCTCGGTGAGCGTTGGACTCTCTATACCCCAGCATGCGATGGCGCGTCATCAGAGCCTTCTTCCACGTGACCGGTATATTGCTGATCAGGTAGCTGGATAGATCAGTTTGGGAACAAGTTCACACCTAGACTTCTTCAATAGCATGTAAAGCGTGAACTTCTCTGTCTTCGCAAGTCCGGAACCTCCAATATGAGCTTGAGCGAATTTGCCGAAGCGCAAAAACCGTATTACACTGTGCAACCTCGGGTCAAGAGAAGGAAAGTCTCGTGTAGAAAGGGCACTGACCCATTCGTAAAACTTCTGTCCGGGGAAGAGACAATGGACATGGTAAACAAGAGGTGGACTCTATACCATCAGCTTCACTCTCAGTTTTATGCACAAGTTGACGAAATTGTCCAGAGAATCGAGCGCGATATGCGCCGTGAAATTTCCAACGTTTTAGTGAACGGGTCGAAAACTTGTTCATCGCCTTCTTTCAATTGCCTTTTTCTCTTGGGCTCTGACAGTACGACGAACATAGAATTGCTGGATCAGGATGCCCATACGATGAATGTGATCATAGATCTAAAACCAAAAGAGTCGCCAAACGTCCGAATGATGCTGAGGAGGTCCATGTTCAAACTGCTGAGTGCCGCCGAGGCCTCCCAAGCAGGGCAAGCCAATCTCAATTCAAAATCGAAGAGTACCGAAGAAGAAAATAGAAATACGGATAATGAGCTTGACGAATTTGAGTCGACTGCGAACGTCGGGGTCTCCTATGATCTGTCCTTAGTACAAAACTTCAAGAAGGTATTCAAAAAGAACTTGAAGCTTGTGTTTAACTTCAAAGACGTTGATTCTTTCAATTCTCAGGTGCTGGATGACTTCATCAACCTTCTCAAATCGTCTCTCGAGCACGATTCTGTTGATATATGCTTAGTGCTGAATATCAATACAAACTTGTCGAACATTCAGAAAAACCTAAAACAGTCGACCGTTCGTTCATTGAAGAAGAACTTCACCATTATTGACCTCAGCCATAACAAAGGGTTCAAATATGCCAATCAGACGTTTCAGAGCTTTTTGAACACCGTCGAAGGTAAGCTGAATCTATCATCTGACTTTGTTGGTTTCATTCTGGAAAAGATGGCGAATAATGCCACGCATAACCTTCAACTACTTACCAAGATTTTGGATTACTCGCTGATGTCGTATTTTTTCCAGAATCCTTTTTCAGTCTTCATAGATCCCACCAATGTCACGTATCTTGATGACAATTACCTACCTCCACTAATCAAGTGTCCCACATTCATGAGTTTCATTGACGGTATGGTACGAGACCAGGCACCATCTGACGAGATTATTAGACTGCTTGAGAATCAAGACTCGAGTTTGAAAGAGTTTTTTGCTGAGTTTCTCATCAGGGAAAACCCAATCAATGACCACTTGAAGCTTGTAGTCGAAGTGCTCGAGAATCAACTAGGAGTTTTCAACTATAACCTGATTGATTTGTACCATCATATGCTTACTGGAAAACTATCAGAGTTCCTGGCGAAATGGCCGGCCAGCCAAGAGTTCGATGATATCCTCAAATTCAAACTTGTCGATATAATATTCCAGGAGTTGTTTACGCTCGACAACAGCAAGGAACTTTTCTCACAGTCGCTTTTTCCTTATTTGCGCTCTAACCTTGAGGACAATCTTATCAACTCTGATAGGATACTGCCGCCAGCTGTGAAACGGCAGCACAAGGCAAGCCCTTTCAATGAAGACTTTGAAGCAACGATAGACCTACCTCTCTGCAAACTTTTCAGTCTTTACAGGGAAGCGAGCTCGCTCATAAACCTCTACGATTTTTATTGTGCTTTCAAAGAAACAGTGTGTGAGAAAACCCTCCTGAACTATGTAAAGAGCGCGATCGATTCTGCAGATTCAAGATTCAAAGAAGAAGAGCGGACACAAGTCAAGAATTTGGTGAAGAATCAAGGTCTCGATGTCGTTGTTGAGAAAATGATATTAGTCTGGTTCATTCAGTCTGTATCCGAGTTTCAGCAGATTGGTTTGCTGAAAGGGACAAACAATACTTCTTGCGAAGTTGTCGAGAAGTGCATATGGAGGGGATTGTGAGTGCTCGCATGAACTTCAAGAATAAAATCAAAGGTGGTTTTTTTACGTAGGTTGATGGACTAATGGCTACTATAAACTCTTTTGATCTTTATGTTCATTGCTCTATCATGAAAGTGGTCTGCTTCAAAAAAAAGTAGGCCATGGAAGCAACAAAGATAGCTGTCGCAATTGTAAAGGGTTTTTTATAAAGCGCGGCTTTCGAAAATTTGTATCTTACGAAAACCTGGCTTTCGGAAACGGTATCCACCAAGTTTTTCAGCTCTAGCGTGACTTTCGTATGTCCTTGACTCAAATCGAAAAAGGAGTGCTTTGTGGAGACCTTGGTAGAAAATGTTGGCAGGGGACACCAAACGTCCAGAATTTCGGCGCCTTCAGGCAAGTAAACTGAGAAGTTCACGTCATCATAAAAGGTGTTGTCGGGTCCATTCAAAACCGGAACGGACAGCAAAAAGGTGTTATCATTTCCATTTTCGACGCGCAAAAATTGTGAAAGGGTATTGGTCCACCCAATCGTGAAGTTGTACTTCCAACCCCCGAAAATAGGATATCTTGGCTTGAGAAAAAGGTGATCCTGCAAAAACTTGAACGTGGATACAGCGCCGACCAAGTCAGTAAAGTAGTGATCCTCGGAGCGAGAGGGCAACACCATTTCGAGTGCCGTCAAGTGCCCGCTTGGTTTGAAAGCATACTGACCTTTCATGTAGTCCGCTCTAGAAAAACCTTCCGCGAGTGGTGCAGCGTCATTGATTAGCTCGTAATATTCTTCGAACTGAAGGGTGGAGGCCCAATGAGACGCCCAGATATCACGATTAAGTGTTGATACCCTTGGAAGTGGTAGATTGTGATCGAAAAGAATGCGGATTGGAGTCTCTTCAGTAAAGGCTTCCAAAGAGCTGTACGTTCCGCAGGTTAATTCACCGCCTTCGTTTACACAGCTTGCCACCTCACTATCAGCTCTTTGAATTTCTGTAAAGGATGAGCTTCCAACAAACTTGAGAGTATAACTTTCGGTTTTATAGGCTGAAATGGGATATTTGCGGGTGTTCAAAAGTAAGCGTTGAGTTTCTCCAAGGCTCACATGCCCAGGGAATGGTTCAACACTACCCTTGTATACCAACTCGATCACAATGTCGGTGGCCTTGCCGGGCTCAATTGGCGAAGGAAGTCTCACGACGCCCACCTTGATGGCCTTTCCGTTCGCTACAAACGTTTGTTCGGAAAGTATGGCGCTACTCAGAAAAGCGTCTGCTTTTTTCAGCTTCGCAGAGAATAGCGCAACAGTGTCAAAGTCTTCTTCCGGCAAGACGTAGTAATACTGGTCATTCGCTTTGTTGTCAACGTTCTTGATTTGGAGATGTACTTTTTCCTGCAAATAAGTTCTGCTGACATCTACGTTCCTAAGGTACTCCACATTCTCCCAAGAAGCGGGCAGATTGTTTACATCTGCTTGCGCTATGACATAGTGTACGATTGCCAGAAATAAAGCAAACAGCCTGGTGTCTGCAAGCATAGTTTTCGACTTACCTTGAGATATTGATCTTCCACTGTTAAACACGTAGACGGATTCTTAACATTTTTGTTTTTAGAGGCAACATCTATTATGATATCAACTTCAACGAACTAAAAGTTATGGTTCAACAAGCGACCTAATGTTTTTAGGCGCCCCACCATCTGAAATGGATGCATCTGGTAGCCAAGTAGATCAGCAAAGCCCGAATCGGCAGGTTGAAGACCAGTCTACATTGGCACTCATAAATGATAATCTTGGGCACTCGACAAGTTCGCTAGTCCAGAAAGACATAAACGACTTGCTAAAGGATGCAATACTGAAGGGAAGTTGGCAGAAAGAGAACTTAGATTTCACCGGAGAAGTTCAAGAGCCAGCATATGACTATAGAAGACGAGTCAGCCCAATTTCGAGCCCAGTTCGCAGGTTACAGGACACAGAAGGATATTATCAACCAACGAGATTTTCGCTGCAACAAAATGATTCTTACTTTAGGAGACTGTTCAACAGGACCCAAGTTCTGCTGCTGCGAAATGACTTTTCTCTTGATTTCTTGATCATATTGAGGCGTTACGTTCATTTGCTCATCGAAGAAGACGAGAATCCTATGGATGACCAATATGTGCTCGAGCTGCAAAACGAATTGGACAAAGGGTTTGTGCTCACTGCGCGTCTTTACAACCTATTAGAACTCTTTTTGTCTCATCCCAGCAACCGCCTTATGATGTTGGCGCAATATGAGCAAAGAAAGCGAAGATCAATTGTCGAATCTGTTTTTACTAGATGGAAACTTCTCACCAAGGTAGACATGAACTTAATGCAGCTCAGCTTAGCCTGGAATAGCTACCTTCGAAAGAAATATTTCAGCTCTTGGAGGCGGAAGACGCGCTTCAAATGTAAAGAGTTGGAGATGGAGGCCGATAATCTCATTAATTTTAAGTGTCAAGCTAACACTTTTGACATGTGGATGAAGCGTACCGATGCTCAAAAAGTGAAACAGGATCTGGCTGACGTTTTCTTCCTGCAAAAGTACCTTACGATGTTCAAGGAAGAGGTGAAGATTAGGGCAAATCAGATCGAAGCTGCAAATTCACAGTATCGCAGAAGGTGCGTAAGCCGCGCATTTTCGTCACTCAAGTTACAAAAGATACAAAAGTTGGTTGAAGAACGTGTGACGCTGGACGTCAAGAAGGAGCATTTTCGGCAGCTTTCAGAGCGATATAATGACATTAGATCCATGAACTATAAGGCAGCGCTTCTTGCTCGACATCATACCTTGAGCCCTTTCATGAATAAATGGAGGTTGCGCTTTGCTGAGGATTTTATGAAGAAGAGGCAGATGGGTCAATTAGAGATTTTGTTCCGGGAAAAAATGGCTTTCAAAGTTGTCAAAGACTTCGTAGACTGGAAGGATCGCGAAGCTCATGCAATCGCCCACCTCAATCGTGTTTTTGTGAGATACGTATTTCAAGATTTGTGGTATAGGAGGTACAAGGAAAGACAGCTACTGAACAATTATTGTTCGAAACAAGATGCGTTTTTAACAGCTAGACAATTTTCTAGCTGGAAAGCTTGGTCGCACCAGACCAATCGGGCGCTTTGTTTCAATGAGAAAGCTATTTGCAAAAGAACCTTTCGACTCTTGCGACTTGGAGCTTTGTCAGCACGTTTAAGAAGCAGGCATGGTGAAGTACTTGTGCGTAAGGTACATCTACGATGGCTCGAGGCCACTCGACTTGAGCTGGTCTTGGCAGACTGCCGCCAGAAACTGCTGAAAAAGTTCTGGAATCGCAAATTAAAGAACAGGTACTGGTCACTTGTTGACCTTTCTTCTATAACCAAAAAGTGTCGAGACTCCCAAATAGCCAGAGAAAACTTTGATAAATGGCTCAGCGCATATCGCACAACTGGCGAGTTACAGAGGAGAGCCGAGTTTTTTAAAAAGGTTAGAGCGATCGTCAAGTTGAAAACGGTACTGATTCATTGTGACCAGCTCAACGCAGCGAGCCGGACATACGCAATTCAAAAGGACAATCACGGAATGCAGAAGTTCTTTTCCATCTGGCAGTCAAGCATGCGGATCCAAATACGTTTGAAACTGGAAATTGTGTTGGATCAGTACTTGTCTCTTAAGGAGAGATCGACAATGAAAAAACATATGGCCATTTGGTTGTCCCGATTTCAGTACGTTTCATTGAAATGCACTAAAGTAGCCGATGCATTGAGAGAACGAGCCGTGACCTCGGTAGCTTTTGCGAAAGCAATAGAGAAACTAGAATTGCACGAGGAATGGTGGAAAGTCGCTGTAGAATTGAATGACCAGTCAAGTTTAGTGATCGCATTCGACAAATTGAAACTCGGATACAATCAGGTTGCTGCGATGCAACGGGACCTGGCACGGTTACAGGCTGACCGAGAGCTTTCAAGCTTAGTCCACTGTATGAACGTTTGGACGATGAAGCAGCTGAAGTGCTCTCGAAACAGCGAAACTGTCGAGATCTTCAAGAATAGATGGAACCGGGCTGGTTTGAGGGCAATACTTTTATTGTGGAGAGAAAAAGTTGCGTACGGCCACTCGAAGCATTCTGATGGGGACGTCCAGAACTTTGGGTTGAATGAGGGTGATCAAGATCTCATAACCCCAACCAGGATTAGAAATAGCGGTCGCATCACGATTCCGGGTTCAGAGAAAATGAAACAGAACAGGATGGAAGCCATGAGGAATCACTATCGTAGAGCACGCAAGGCTATCCCCAGTCCTATAAGATTTTCTGAAAGACTGGACACTGTAACCAAGAAAAGACTGGAGGCTAAGTCTATCGCCCTGGAGCATGGGAACATCTCACCGCCGCCGAAGATGGACCTAGAGAAAATAAACAGAAAGTTGGCCTCCAAAAAGCCTGCTATTAGTTTCAAGAGCATCCCTGAAGCACGCCTGAGCCCAGTAACATCATCACCATACTCATATGCCCCAATTGTCGACCGCTCTCTTCTATCGCATCACGACGCCGATTTGGATCGCTCACCGAGTATTAGATAGCTTTTATCGTGTCATGGAGATCAACTGCTTCAAAGTAGGTAGGACTTAATGTAATTTGTTCAGGTCACGGGATTTATAGAATAGATGGAAAAGGTGGCAAAATAAACCATCAAGCTTCAGAACACTACAAACCAGATTCAATTGAGGCCAGGAACCATACTGTTCAGCCAATAATGAACGGAATTCAAGTAGACATCAATCATTTGAAGAAGGGCGAGGTCAGCCTGGGAACTTCTATGTATGTCATGAAGTTTTGTGAGAAATTGCACTAATTGAAACATACTAACAAGCACTAAAACAGCATGGCCGTCACCTTTAGGGATGGTGTGATTCTGGGTGCGGACTCAAGAACGACCACCGGCTCTTATATCGCTAACAGAGTCACAGACAAGCTAACCAGGGTACACGAAAAAGTGTGGTGCTGCAGATCCGGATCAGCAGCCGATACGCAAGCCGTAGCAGACATTGTCAAATATTATCTCGATTTGTACACCACCCAGTTCGGAGAGCCATCAACGAAAACCGCTGCATCGATCTTCAAGACCCTATGTTATGAGAATAAGGACAATCTCACCGCAGGTATCATTGTGGCTGGCTACGACGACAAAAACAAGGGAGAAGTTTACAGCATACCATTGGGAGGCTCTTTACACAAGCAGAAATATGCCATTGCGGGCTCTGGCTCAACATTTATCTACGGGTACTGCGACAAAAACTACAAGGATGACATGTCGAAAGAGGAAACGATAGATTTCATGAAAAACTCCCTTTCGCAAGCCATCAAATGGGATGGATCATCTGGTGGTGTGATCAGGATGGTAGTGCTAACGAAAGAAGGAGCCGAACGTCTTATCTTCTATCCTGATGAGTATGAGAACCTGTAGATTATATAGCGCTGCACGTATAAAAATATAACGTAATTTTGTGAGCTCGGCCATGACGCCTTTCAAGTTGGAAGATCTGAGTAGATTGCGTAAAGGACTCTACTGGCCGCTCATATGACTAGTTGAAAACTAGAGTCCTAGGAGAATGCCGACACTGGAGGAGCGCCTGAATACTGTTTTGCCTAGCTCAGTGGAGTTCGAGTTGTTGCATCTATTGAGCCCGTCAAAAGAAACCCACCCACTGGTGCTAGAAAGCTTCCCCGTACGCGGCAATCGACGCGTTGTAAAAGCGCAGCACTTTTTCGCTCTAGCTAGTGCGCACAAAATATTCTACGCGCTTGAGGTTTATGTATACATTACCCTAGGCTCTGAATCATGCGAGAAACTGGTTTTCGTCTCGAAGGCCGATACCAATGGGTATTGTGACCATGGGCTGTCGATGAAGGACGTCACTAAAGCGCTTATTGAGTATGTGTCATCTATAATTCCTGATTTCTATCTTCAACGCGTCATAGAGCGTCCAGAGAGACGAAAAGTGCAAATTGATGCCATTACGCAGCAAACAACTACAAAAAGAGCGCTTCGCATTCTGAAAAATAGGCTGGAAACTGAACACAAATTCTCATCACGCTCTATCCAAGATGTCTACACCAAGATTGAGAGACCTTCGTCTCAATGGAGCTGTAAAATTTGCTTGTTCACAAGATCGGAACCACAGTATCTCTTTGCAGAATCGTCTCATAACACAAAGAAACACATCCTTCCTGGCAACAAGCTGCTGAAATGGTGGCTTTCTGTTATCGATGATATTCTCATCAACATTTTCAGCCATGAGACAACCGCCCGCCTTCAAATTCCGGGTGAAGAAACTTTGGTAACGCATAAACACATTCGCAATCTCAAGAGTAGAAATTGGCGTGTCGGTGACATCTTTGATGGAAGACCGGACGATCCTGCCGTATTTAAAATCCCACTGTTTCCAGATGATCCGAAAGGACGCTTTCTTGAGCAATTGGTGGACGAGGGAAGAGCTAGAAAAGTATCGCTCTCACAATTCTGGGTGGAATTACAGATACAACAAGAGTTCAGACTCGGAGACACAGTTTCTGTGATAGGCGTGAGCGGATCAATAAAGCCTTCAGCCTGTCAATCAGTTGCCGATGACGAAGTCATACGAACTAATAGTAGGAAAATCTTCAACATGATAAAAAGCTACATCACAGGGGAGGAATATGACAATGAAGAGGGACCGCTTGATGCGTACACGAACGTGAAAGATTTCTTGCAGCTCAGGCTAGGGCGCTCAACGATCAGCATCAGAGGAAGGAAAAAGCTGGAAACCTCTCCAAGGCATCAAAACTCGGGTATCCCATATAAAACCGACTCAGCTCAAATTTGCAAGCCTAAGCCTCAAACTTTGAACGCGCAACTTGTTCGTAAGAAAGCCAAGAAATAGTGTGCTGGAGACCTAGCGATGTCATATGGCCTTAGAAGTCGTATATATACGTTCATACGAATCTTCCATGATTGGTCCATAAAACGCAATTAAAGCTTGACAGCATGCAACTTTTCTGATCTGATAGATTTTCTAGATTTATGTTTATGAAGGAAATAGCACACTAGCTAGACACTTCGAGAATATCGAAAACCCCAAAATCACCGGCTAACCCCAGAGATGGCCAGTTTGGAAGATCTTATCCCTACAGCTAACAAGCTGCAGGATGTTATGTATGATGCTGGCATTGACACCCTTGACTTGCCCGTACTGGCAGTCATAGGATCTCAATCATCTGGAAAGTCTTCTATTTTAGAGACACTTGTGGGCAAAGACTTTTTACCCAGAGGAACAGGGATTGTCACCAGAAGGCCACTAGTTTTACAATTGAACAATGTTGCACCTAATTCGCCTTTGATCAAAGAGCACCATGGGGAGTTTGAAAGTTCCGTAACACACGAAAACAACAATAATGGCGAATTGACATTGGAGGATCATTTGCGCAAAAAACAGGGCTTTGAGTCCATCGACAGGAGTGAATGGGGTGAATTTTTGCATCTGCCAGGTCGCCGTTTTTATGATTTTGCCGAGATCAGAAACGAGATTCAAAACGAAACAGCAAGGATTGCTGGTAAAAACAAAGGCATCAGTCGCATTCCCATTAACCTCAAAGTATACTCTCCCCGCGTGCTGAACCTGACCTTGGTAGATTTGCCAGGCATCACAAAAGTGCCTATTGGCGAACAGCCCGCCGATATTGAAAGGCAAATAAAAAATTTGATTTTGGAGTACGTGGCCAAGCCCAACTGTATCATTCTAGCCGTATCACCTGCAAATGTTGACTTAGTGAACTCCGAATCGCTGAAGCTAGCACGAGAAGTGGATCCACATGGACGGAGAACGATAGGTGTCATAACTAAAATGGACCTTATGGATAGCGGAACCAATGCACTAGACATTCTTTCAGGTAAACTTTATCCGCTGAAGCTCGGTTTCGTTGGTGTGGTTAACAGATCGCAACAGGATATACAATCTAACATAAGCGTGGAGGACGCGCTCGATAACGAAGAGGCCTTTTTCGTTAGACATCCCGTTTACAGGACAATCAGCACTAGATGCGGTACGCGTTATCTAGCTAAGCTGCTGAACCACATTCTTTTGAACCACATTCGTGATAAATTGCCCGATATAAAGGCCAGGCTGAATACACTGATTGGGCAGACAGAGCAAGAGTTACAGACGTATGGTGGAACGGGCGCTATAACAAAAGAAAACCGCGCGGGGCTTGTTTTGCAACTTATGAACAAGTTCGCCGCTCGTTTTGTTTCTTCGATCGAAGGCACTTCAACAGACATCGGCACAAAAGAATTGTGCGGAGGTGCACGCATATACTTCATTTACAACAACATTTTTGGGAGCTCTTTGAAGTCTATTAGCCCAACAGAAAATTTATCCACTAGAGACATCCAAACAGCCATTCGCAATTCCACAGGGCCTCGTCCTTCACTGTTCGTCCCCGAGCTAGCATTCGATTTGCTTGTCAAGCCACAAATTCAACTTCTTCTGGAGCCCTCTGAGCGCTGTGTTGAACTAGTTTACGAAGAGCTCATGAAAATATGTCACAACTGTGGTACACCGGAATTGGCGAGGTATCCTAAGCTCCAGGCCAAGCTGATTGAAGTTGTTAGTGAGCTTTTGCGAGAAAGACTGGGCCCAACACGCTCATACGTCGAGAGCCTAATCGAAATTCACCGCGCCTATATCAACACCAACCATCCTAACTTTTTGAGTGCGACGGAAGTGATGGCTGATATAGTCGATAGCAGGAAAGGTGGAAAAACAAAGCCTACGAAAAAACCAGATTTGGAAGATGCAAGGCAGTCGCTTGCTAAAGACCTCGCAAGAAAACATAACGAGGATAGCTCTCCTACCTTGACTTCCATAAGTGATAGCGACAAAAACCGCTCAAGTGAAGCGTTTTCGGATGATGACGAAAATGAATCCTCGAAGCAGTCCAAGGACTCATTCTTAAACTATTTTTTCGGCAAAGACCAGCCAGGAAGCAGCCAATTGAATGGCTCTAGAGATGCCTACAATTTGGACTCTCACAAAGAGCGCGTCGCTGAGCTCACGGAATTTGAGAGCCTAAACTTGCATGATGGAGGTCAAAACAGTGAGGATCTGTTGCCTCAAATGAGTGAAAGAGAACAGTTGGAATGTGAATTGATCAGACGACTAATTGTTTCCTACTTTGGAATTGTTAGGGAAATGATACAAGATCAAATTCCAAAAGCGGTCATGTGCTTGCTAGTGAATTTCTCTAAAGAGATAATTCAAAATCGTCTTGTCACAAAACTTTACAAAGAGTCTTTGTTCGAAGATCTTCTTATGGAGGATCAAAATTTAGCTCAAGACAGGCAAAAGTGCGTCAAGTTACTCGAGACGTATAAGGCAGCTTCTCACATTATGAACGACATTTTGTAAAAGTAATTAGTAAATTAAATGTCAAGAAAAGACCCCACAAAAAGCCTTAAAATTTAATTGATATAAAAAAAATTATATGACTCTTATCATGTGATACAAATAACACAATTTTTTATATTTAAATTTGAAGTTTTAATTGGCTTTAGTTAATATTTTATGTTATTTGCAAATTAAATTTATAAAGTAAGAAAGTTAGCTTTCCGAAGTTATTTTTTTGTTTGAGAAAATATACTTTATGATATTTTTTGACCTTGATATTATAAGTAGTAATTAACTGCGGAATGTGCGATAACTAGTTGTATGGCCGGTTCTGATTGCCATTCGATTCGATCGAGACAGGTTCTCGAAGCGCGTTTACAGAGTACAGATTTGCGAAGGGAGCCGGCTCGCTGTCTGAAGCAAGCCTGTCTGGTGGTTCAGTATAACGCCCAGAAACAACGCTCCGAGCAGTTGATGAATATCCGGTCCGTTGCTTACGATTATGCGATGGTAACAACCCTTCTTCCACTGCAGTCCTTTCGTCAACCCGGATTTTACTACCGGCCTGCCTTCGCCCAAATATTACGAGAGCGCAGCTAAGCAAACCCAAGATAAACATGATTCCAATAACGGCGCCCATTGCGAATGCCGTGCCTGGAAGTCTCAGCTTGTAACCCTCTTTATCAATCCATGACAGTGAAATAGGCCTGTCAATAACAAACACGCACGAGTGACCGCCGGACGATGAGCAACCCTTTTTTAGTATTCGAACTTCTTTATCCGCGCCGCCCGCCACGCGTAAAAGATGTGCGTTAGAAGAACTCTCTCTACAGTTTAACTCATTTCCTTGCAGAGTTTTAATACCATCTTCACAGCCTAAAAGAGCCTCTGTATAATTGGAGAACACGACGTGCAACTTCAAGAACTCTTCCAGTTGTCCCGAGTTCAAATCGAAATCCTCCAGTAGCATGGAAAGAGCTGTTGGGACCAAGAGTGAGTATTCATCGCTGTTGTCGAAAATATCTTTGAGGCTATCAAAACTTCTCAAGTAAGCCACAAAGTCAAATGAACCTGTAACCTCCAAGAGGTTCTGAAGACTAATGCTCAGATTTTCTGGGTAGTAGATTTCATTAATGGGGTGGATGACGCCCTGGTCAAAAAACATGTCATGACCTTTTCTCAATTTGACGGGCTCGGCAATACTGCTAAGGTTCAATTCTATGACACTGCTCTCATTCCCACTCTGAAGTGTTGCCGAAACTTGCTCATCATATAAATTTGAGGTTTCATATGAAAGAAGTTCAGAGTCGGTATATATCAGATCGTTGAGAATGTAGTTCTTCATGATCATGTTCAACGCAGTAACATTATGCTCCAAATACTCCAAATTGAGCTCCATAGTGTTCCACGATTTAAAACAAGGTAGCAAAGCTGTGTAGCCTCTGTTATTAGGCCGAAGGTCTAAGAGGTTTAGCTCCCTCAAAAATTCCAGAGATTTTGAGCAGCCAGAAAATGGATTAATAGCTGTCAGAAAGTCACCTGGGAGTACGACCTCATGTTCCATCAAATATATTGCCGTGTTGCCAATTCTAAAAGGTACATTATTCTTTACGCGGTACTTTTGATTGACAATAAACTCAACGCCACTACTCTTGTTTTTCATTTCTACTTTCAGCCGTTGACATTTTCCTCCCAAACGTTTGTTCGATGAGCAAAACATTGAGTCGTACAGCTTAGTTGAGAAATTGCTGTATTCCTCTTCGATCAAAGAAACATCGGCGTTCACGAAGTGATAGAGCAAGCTACTCTTGGAGTAGCCAGGAAGGTCGTAACTTGTTTCCGCGGGAACGAAAATGGCCAATGGCTCATCAAAAGTCCCATTGATGAGATGAGAAAGTTTTCTCATGTGTACTTCTTCCACAAAACGGGCAGCTCCCAAACCTATGAGGTACTTTTCTGCCGTGAAATTGAGGCCATAGGATAGAAAGTCTAGTTTCGGAAAAACGTGTGCGATACCAGACTTATAGATTGAGTTACTGAGCGTTGCCACCGAGCTGTTCACAGCAATATCAGACCCATTAGAGTGAGACGTTAAAAAGAGCAAGTCGCCTATTAAATTGCGAACTTTGACGGGATCCTGAAGGCCACCAAAGACCCCGTCAAGTACAAGCTTTTTCAACAAGTATTCGCGGTCCGTAGAGTGCTTACGTCTTGCTTTCCCTGAATTTAGAAGCTCATCTGCGTTTTCATCACCATTCAATAAATAAGCAAGTTCCACTGAGTTAAACTCCCTTTCCATTGCGTCATTGTTGGGAATTAGGACAGTCCTATGATCGAATAAAGATTTCAAGTCGGGGTGGTTTAGGCCTCCTAGTAACTTTGAGAAGTACGAGATCTGAGGTATGCTTTTGGCCAACTCATCAAAAAGCTGCTCCCGTGGTAAAAGGGAACTGAGACTGTAAATCGTAGCATTTTGCATGTTGGGCTGTTGATCCTCTTTGATAGCAGGTTTGGCATTAAGTAGAAGAGCACCATCATTTTTGAGTTCCAGCAAGTGCGGAACGCTATCGTTCGTCACCAGTATATGTGTCCCCACTCTAACAGCTAAGGGATTCAAAACATAGTCATGCAGAAGATAGTCGTCTGTATGCAAAGTTTCCCTGTCAGTCAAGAAAGCCGAATTGAGTGGTGCTAATATGGTAAAGTTATTGAGGTCATTCAGATAATCTATATCACCTCTCTTCTGGATATGTCTGAGAAAAGTAGAAAACTCTACGTTTTGCCAAAGTATGTCAACCACGGTGGTAAAGGGAAAGTCGTCTGGATCCTTGTGATCAGGTTTGGTTTGCAGAGCAAACGCATAGCAGCTTCTGAGCACTAAGAGCACACAGATTGTCCAAATGCGACTCACCATGGTGCATCGTGCTCGTATTGCAAATTGTTGAAGCTATCAGAATGTTTGTATGAATAATTCCTGACTTTAATGATTTTTAGTCGTGAAAAATCACGAACATATGACATTAATTATTCAACTAGGTCGAATTCGAAGCTGAGGGGAACGTATACATTACCGGAGGGAAGCGTCGGTAAGTCGGTGATGATAGCACTGAAGAGCTTCAGTTGATTCAGGGTACTTAATCAAAAGAATTGATAGATGCAGGAACAGCAGTTGAAGTATATGTCAGAACACGATGCGTTCAGGCTGATGCCTTCTGATCACTGTTCATCGCCATCACCAGCATCATCATCTTCCAAGTCAGCGAAAGAAGAGACTGTATTTGACTTGCAATACAAATCACTTATTGATGAGGAGACAGTTCGCATGAGAACTCTTCAGGAGAGGCTATCAAGCGCCCAGCTCGCAAGGCATTCTCATAAAGATTTCAAAGGGCAAGATGAGAATGAAGTTGCAGCTCGCTCGGTGTTTGTTGGAAACCTGAGTCATCTCGTCACAGCTCAACAGCTACAAGAAATATTTAAGGGTAGCGTAAGCCGCGTCAACAGAGTAGATATCCAAGTCGATACTAAGACGCAGTTGTCAAGGGGATTTGCATACGTTGAATTTGCTCAGCCGAAAGACGTTGTGGAGGGTATAAAGCTAAATGGAATGGTACTTCTCGAAAGGGCCTTGAAAGTGGTTCCCAAACGACCTCAATCTGGTCAGATTTTAAATAGGGTTGGTTGGAGAGGGCATTATCCTAAACGGCGTCGTGGTCTTCACCAGGGTCATTTGAGACCGTTCATAAGGGGAAGTGGCAGAGGCTTCATTCGAGGCAGATCAAGAGGGAGAGGTAAGCGCTACATTTGATCATGAGCACACATTCATCTCTTTTGACGCTGTTTCTTGAAATCTCGTAATGGCCGCATACTGTCAGCAGCAATGTGATCATCATCGGTGTGGTTATCGTCGCCATGGTCATTAGCTTCGTCTAGTGCTAGGTGCTATTTCATAGAACCTTGACGAAAGTACCTTGAAGTCTTGGTGCCAGGAAATGAGTTTTTCGTCCCCGCCTCAATCTTGAGTATCTGGTACGAGAAAAGGTTAAAAGAAGAGTAAAATGATAGATATGTGAACTTTGGCCATTTGTGGAGGAGAATTTGAGGACCTCGGCGCTTGCCACCAATGCGATTCGTGAACTTGTCAAGCTGATAAGCCCTTCCATCGCTATCGACGTCACCTGATACCTTTACTGAACCTATGTTTAGATCGCATCAAATATAAAATGCAGCAGCTTTTCGTGCCTGATGGATCTAGAGAAAACCTTCTCGTAGAGTTGCTCGAGAGGTTTCAGTCCGATTAACATTCGATCATTTATAGAAACCAGTCGAATGCCAGAGGACGGTGAACGCTCTGTCTTGAACCGGAAAAAGTCTCAAAATGTTCACTATATGTCGATACCCATAAACAGGGGCTCCGAAGGCGAAATCTACGATGAGCTCCACCAGCAAGACGGTTCCCATCGGAGAAACCTTTTTGATCAGCCGATAGGCTCCTTCAAAGGTGTCAACTCTCTGGGTAGGTTTGCATCCTCATTAAGAAGAGCCAATTCGTTCATGAACATTGACGTGGGGCCTGATAAGGAGCGTACCTACCTCAAAGATGGTCAAGATGCGCTATTCGATCCATACACTTTAGCCCCTTCCGCAGATGGAAGGCGGCTGTCACACGCAGTCGCTGGACGAGGTGGCCTGTCCCTTAGACCTTCCATGAGTGAATTATATGATGATGGTGCTCTGTTTGATGAACAAGATAGCATCACAGTACCTGGAACCATCTTTCCTCAAGATGAGATAGCGTCGAGAAGACCAACTTTGAGCTTCCAAGACTTAGATGGAAATATAGATCCTGATGCTCACTCAATTATCTTGAAGAAAGTGGAAAATAAAGATGGCAAGATCGTGACACTTCTAGCGGGGCAATCCACTGCTCCTCAAACTGTTTTCAATTCTGTCAATATTTTGATAGGTATAGGCCTTTTTGCGTTACCTCTCGGTCTCAGGTATGCGGGTCTCATCGTCGGAATCCCCATGCTTGCCATCTTCGCCTTTACCGCTTTTTACACTGCTGAGCTGATTTCGCGTTGCCAGGATGAAGATCCGACAATGATTTCCTACGGTGACCTCGGTTATGCAGCTTTTGGCTCCAAAGGCAGGGCCTTCATTTCTTTCTTGTTCACAATTGATCTTTTATCGTCCGGCGTGGCCTTGATGATTATCTTCGGAGACTCTCTCAATGTCTTATTCCCAAAATATTCTGTCACTTTCTTTAAGCTGGTTGCATTTTTTGCCATTTTGCCGCAGACATTGGCACCACTGAACGTTCTTTCAACTTTCTCGCTACTCGGAATAGTTTCCACCCTCGGAACTGTTTTTTGCATCGCTTTCTGTGGCCTCTACAAAACATCATCTCCTGGTTCATTGGTGGATATAATGTCTCCGCCATTGTGGCCGCAGAACATGACCAATTTCGGGCTAGCAGTTGGCATTTTAAGCGCTTGCTGGGGTGGGCACGCTGTCTTTCCAAATCTGAAAAGCGACATGAGACATCCTGCAAAATACAGGAATTGTTTAAAAACGACATTTGCGATTACTGCTTCGGCAGACATCTCAACCGCGGTTCTCGGCATATTGATGTTCGGTGTGAGCGTTAAGGACGAAGTCACTAAAAGTTTGCAATTAACACCAGGATATCCACGTTTCATTTACGTCTTAATATCCGCTCTGATGACACTCATTCCGATTGCGAAAACTGCGCTCACGACCCGACCAATCAATGCTGTGCTAGATGTCACGATGGGTATCACAACTTCGCAGCCGGGGAGTGACGGATCCCTTCCCCGGTCGAAACGTATCATTTCTTCATTCAACGGGCTATTGATTAACGCCATCATCATTGGAATCAGTATTCTATTTCCCGAATTCGATAAGTTCATTGCTTTTGTGGGAGCGGGACTCTGCTTTACCATCTGTGGCCTCTTGCCATGCATTTTTTACATGACCATCTGCTCCGAGACCATAACGAGTTGGGAAAAAATCGTATGCACAATCATCATTCTCTTCAGCGTCGTGCTATCTATCTTCGGAGTAGGTGCAGCCATTATTGCGTGAACTGGGAACAGCAGCGGCGGAGAACTGCTTGGTAACGGCAGACACCCTTTATCACTATCGAATTCCGCGTCATGGCATCTCGTCTTTCCATTAATTAAATATATAAAAATTTTGGATGTAAATTATGCGATGAGGTTGATGCATGAATACACAGATACAAAGAAAATAGAAGACAAAATATGACCTCTCAGTTCTTGTCAACCATAGGTGAGAATCCTGTCAACATTTTTGACGGCTCAACGGCCTTTTCAGACTTTTCTTTGGAACTTGTGAAGTCCTATGTCGACGGAGTAATTCAAAGTCAGAGCAACGACAATGACAGTAAGAGACTGCTCGACGAAATCACCATAGATGGCTTAGATGCAAACCAAGTTTGGCAACAAGTTAGGCTGGTTATGGAAAGTAGCGGCTCACAGCTGCTGGAAAAAATTGGCGAGGTGAGAAGGATCACCGATGATGTCATCGGTAGCGATAGCGAACCAGCTGAAAGTGAAGAATACTCGCAAGATGAAGATGATGAAACGGTACCAGCATTAGAGTTTTCCGAGAGCGAAAGTATGGATAGTTATGCTGATGACATCCGACACAAAGAGGAGAATGAGTCGGATGAAGAAGAAGAAAATGAAAGTGGAAGTGAGAAATATATGAACAAGGATAGCGAGGCAGATAGCGACGAGAACGAACGTGAATCTTTGAACGAACCACTCGCTAAACTCGGTGGTGATTTGGAAAGTGCTAGTCCAGCAGCAAGTGCCTCTAAGAAGAAGGACGATTACGGTTTGAATGACGAGTTTTTTGATCTCGAGGAATTTAACAAACAAACGCTCAAAGCAGAAGATGGCGAGGATAACGCCGACGAGGATATCGACTACTTTGCCGAAATGCCATCAGATGAGGACGAGGAAGCCGATTATTATGACGATTTTTTCGACAAGCCTAAGGTTGCCGGACGCGATGATTTTAGTCGAGGAGCCGAAGGCAGCGAAAGCGACTTTGGAAACTCAGAAAGTGATGCTGACTATGAAGTCTTCCGTGCCATGGAGTCTGCAAAGATGGATTTATTTGCGAACGACGATGATCAGGTCGAATCTAATGATGAAAAAAATGATGTTGAGGAACTATCGACATTCCAGCGTCAGCAACTTGAAATTCAGCGTCAGATTGCACAGCTTGAGAAAGAGGCTGTTGCTGAGAAGAAGTGGGCTTTAAAAGGTGAAGTAAAAGCTAAGGATAGACCTGACGACGCTTTGTTGACTGAGGACATCGAGTTCGAAAGAACATCGAAGCCGGTGCCGGTCATAACTGCTGAGGTGACAGAGTCTTTGGAGGACTTAATTCGTAGAAGAGTTCTGCATTTCGAGTTCGATGATCTAGCTAGAAGAGTTATTTCTAGCACCAATTTTTCAGGACCGAAACGTCAATTTGACCTCAGTGATGCCAAATCCTCGAAATCGCTAGCAGAACTGTATGAGGATGATTACAAAGGAGGTTCACAGGAAGCAGACGTTTCGGAAGAGCTCCAAAAAGCACACGACGAAATCTCAGAACGCTTTAACGATCTCATGTACAAGCTAGATGCTCTCTCGTCTGCTCATTTCGTTCCAAAACCAGCTCAAAAGCAATTAGAGGTGAAGGTTCAGAGTGCCGCTCTCAACATGGAAGATGCTCAGCCGTTAACAATGTCGACGGCCTCTACACTTGCCCCACAAGAAGTATACACCCCTGGCGCGGTCCGTGGTACAAACGAAGTGTCTTTGAAAAACGGCACTGTGATGTCCAGAGACGAACTTTCTCGGGAAGACAAAAATAGATTGAGACGGGCATTGAAGAGAAAGAGATCCAAACACGCACAATCCAAGTCAGAAGATCCAAGAAAGAAAACCAAGCGCGACGATGTTATAGATTCGTTATCCCAAGCCAGAAATGTGACAATCATTGGTAAAAAGGGAGAGAAAACCGACGTTAGGGGTAATGCGAAGAAGTCAAGGGCATCGGAACCCAAAAACTTTAAATTATAGAGGCGTATACTTAGTCTATAAAAATTCGATAACTGCATTTAAGAACGCCGCTGACGTCTATCCATCCGAGGCATCGTGAGAGCTTCGGGCCTTATGTCTCGAACTTAGAGATCATCTTGAGGTACTACATACTACCTATGACAATATTCTAGAGACTGGCACGCTCGGTGGTTTTCGATGCTTCCAGCATTATGCAGTTTGAAAGACGACTTCCTTTGTAGAAGTCGCTATATTTCTTTTTTTCGAGCGGACGGTCCGCATTGCCGAGCTTTCACTTCAGAGCTTCTCTTGACTTCTCTAACATTGCTTTCGTACCTTTCACCACCAGAGGGTTGTAATGTTTCAAGAGAAGAGTGTTTTCCCAAATTGTCGCAGCTTCGGCATTACTTCTCGCAGGAGTGTCTGCCTCCAGCTGGAATGATCCATTACCAACACGGTCCTCGGTAGAGTAAAGACCACCAATCTCGGGATATTTACCAATGAGTTTGTCCATGAATTTGAGCAATGCTATTACAGTTTTTTCGGGAGTATTAGTGGCTGCCATGTGTAGCCGCTTGGTGAAGGCTGCCGCGCGGGTCTTGGATCCTGACTTTGATCTGAAAAAGACGTAATCTAGTGCGCGCAGAAGAAGTTCTGCCTTGGTTGAGATATTCACAGAAGGTTTAATGAAATCGCAATTCAAAGGATCCGCAAGTCGCAAAGACTTGTGAGAATACTCGATATCAGCGTCTAAAGAAATGTTCGGTATGACGGCATAAAGGGCATCCACGAAAGACGAAAGATCCATTGTCATTTTTATCGCGTTATGGCGAGACACGAGAGAAAATGCCGTCACAATGCAAAGAAGCACTTTACGCGTTTCTGTTGATGATAGACTGTCAAGATCGCTGGTCGCAATTAACTCCCTCATGACCTCCAGAAAATCTCCTAAAAGATCGAAGTTGGACATATGTCCAAATTTCGATAAACCTTCTAAAACAGCACCAATTAGTGGTGAGATACCGTTTCTGAGTATATTCAAATAAAGAGCCAAGGTGAGCTTCAAAATTTCTGCTTGATTTCTTTCTCTTTCCTCCGCAAAAACAGTTTGTTCGGCTCTGCGCATTTCCTCCTCAACCTTCTTCATTTCTTTTCTGACCTTTCTCTGCTTCTTGGAGATATGAACTCTGTCCTTCTTTTTCATCTTTGGTTTTGATACAGACTCTTGTTTGGTATTGGGATCGTAATCTTGCAGTACTTCAAGGGAGAGCAAGACATTCAGTACTGATTCATCCACCAAATAGGCCCTAGTTTTCAAAGTCTTACTCAGTATGCGAACAATTTCCAGCGACACTGATCCTTCGTCGTCCTCACTTAGCACCGTTTCAAGAGCCGTGACCAGGGAGGTGTATACTGGATCAGCTGAAGGATTTGGTTTGCAAATCCTACGTATTATGGCGCTGAAAACTTCACCGTTGAAGTTGAAATGGGCGGCAGTTGGCAGAATTTCTACAAGTGCGTTGGCGGCCAAATTTCCCAGTGATACCTGTAATGGACTAGAGCTATTGGGAGTTTTCGCAAGACTGGCCAGCAATTCGATGTACTCCTTATAGTTGTGTACCAAGGTAGCTTCAAAGTTTCGAAGCCTTGCAACCTCTTTTGAAACCTTTTCTCGTCTTTCTAAATCGGACAGAGGTCTTATTTTATAACTGGGGATGATGCTTTTGAACACTGACACCAATGCCAGCATCGAAAATTTGCAAGTATTCGAGTTTTTCGATTGTGCCATCTTTCGTAGTCTGGTCAGGCAGCCTACATTTTCCTCGGCGTTCTCCATAAGATTTTCGACTAGTTCGGCTAATTCTTCTTTCAGCCTCATCACACCTTCTACTGTGTCAACTGGTGCAGTTTCGCTCTCTGCATCGCTTTCATCCTGCTGCTGGTCTTCTGGAACAGTGTCTGGCTTCTCTTCCTCTTCCTCCTTTTTGTCACTTTCCTCTGGTTTGGACTTTCTCACTCTGCGCTCTACTTTTCCTTTCACTTTTATAGGAAGTCCCTCTATTTGGTCTTCCTCGTACCCAAGACTACGGGGTGTCATTTCGTAGGCCTGTTCTTCATCGTCCCACGAATTCTTGGAGGGGATTGCATCTTCGATGTTCTCGACATCGTCCCGGGTGAAAAGCCCACCTTCGAGAAGAGCATCTTGTTCTTTCCGTCTTTTAGTTGCTTTGTCCTGAACAGCTTTTTGCGATCTCTTTCGCGACGCCATTGCTGCTGTTTCTGTTTATATCTATCAAATGTCCTTATGCGATGTGATGCGATGCGATGAGATGAGATGAGATGAGATTGATTTTTGTTAATACTTAAAATTTTTCAGACGTCAAACTTTCAGGTGCCAGCGTCTGTAAATAAGTTAATAATTTAAAGTTATGCTAACGCTTTAAACGACACGATTCTGACCGCGAATTGCGTGCGCTATGCGCTCAAAATCTCTTGCTTTGAACAGTGTGCGGTTGCGGCCGTTTTTGAGAGCGTGTGTGGCTAATTCGGCATATGTGTCACGATGGTACAAGGTGATGTTTTGGTTCGGGCTGGAAAGAGATCCCACGTTGGAGCTTCTGTTGAGTCTGATCGGGACTTGCACCCCTGTTTTTTTATTTCAAATTTGGCTTTCTAATCCTGCTAGTTGGTTTCCCAGACTCGAACACTACAATTTGGCTATCTCTTCTGTCTTTTGAGAAGTTGACGTTGACGTCCACACAAAGGTGCGATTCACCGTGAGCACTATCATTAAAGGCCTGTCATCAGCGTGCCTTACAATTACTTCGTTTGCTGCTGAGTTGTGGAATGATTGAGAAGCTCTGTTTTGGGCACCCTTCCGTAGGTGAAGATGGCACCCGCGAGAGTGGTTTAAAAATTTAGAAAAAATCAGGAAAAATCAGGGAAAAATCGAGGAAAAGCGAAGAGCAGCCGAACAATTACTCAGGTAAGCTTTGAACCTCTACACTGCTCTGAAATGCAATGTTCACATTTTTCTTTCTTCTAATCCACTCGCGATTAAATGCATGTGCACCTCTTTTCCCGCAAAAGGTCGATGCGTGATTCAAAAAAATGCTGAAAAATGGTCGTCTACAAGAAGTGAATATTGGTAATGTCAGGAAGACAATTGCGCTAATTAAAAGCTGTCCTTGTGCCCTTACAAAAGTTTTCTGGAGCATTGAACTTAGAGGTATGGTCTGTCACGTGACTTAATAATTTATTTCAATGGTAAATTTCTATGGTAACAGTATTTGCAGACGTTGACTTGAGCTTAAAAGTAAAACTGGAAAGACACAGCTCTTTGTCGAGCGCCAGACTCATTTGAAGTTCTCTTCTTAGCCATTACTGGGGCAAGGCTGAAGGATGGCCTTTAAACTTATCATGGTTGATCCAAGACCAGCAACCCGAATTGAGGGCTCCGCGACATCGCAAAGGCGGTCGCATAATAATAAATCCGCGAGGGAGAACGCTGAACAGAGTGATCTTCCTGTCATGATACACTGTTTCGACTCTGGTGCGACGGGTAAAGCAATTTCTCGTAGTAAAACCGCTATTGGCAAAAGAAAGACGATGAAAGTTGGTAAAGGACGTGGATCTAGTGAGAGACATGAACTTGTTTTTTGTCCGTCTCCCTTTGCTTCTGCAAAACCAGCAACGCCAATCGAACGTGATGTACATTCAGGTCACATTCGAAAGCCAACAAAGGAGAAAATAAATAACGGTGTTCCTCAAAGTAATCTAACGTTTGTGAGTTCGATCACGGACGATTATCAATTGGAATACGCAAACCCCTGGCAATCGTCCTTTGAATTTGATGGAAGAAAGCCACAACGCCCACTTTTTCGCATAACCAGTCCGAAGCTTCGCAAAAACGTCACGAAGCCCAACAGCCATATGACCCCGTCTAACATAATAGATCCCAGCTTTGCATTTTCTCACAATTCCTTAAATGTTCCCAATGACAAAAGCACCAAACATCAACAAATCGATTTTGATACCAATCCTATCTTCAAGATACCACTGAACAATAGGTGACCCAAGTAAGGCGTAGCCACTTCCACAACTAAGGCGCAGGCGTACAGTTCATCAAAAACTTTTCTTTTCGGTAATCACACGAATACTGAAAAAGTTCATCTTCATCATAAACTTCTATGATAATACTTCATTGTCGGCGACAGCTAATGTTCACAGCCTGCCGTTTCGCACAAATCCCTGCATAAATTTCAAATAATGTAACATTTAACTGGCTCTATAGACTCTTTATGTAATCCAGAACCATGTTTTGAAGGTTTTGATCAAAATCAGATTCTTCAAGCATTGTCCCATAGCTAGTCAAATGCCTTTTCACCAGCTGAACTGCAGTTTTGCTTGGCAGAATTTGTTCTGATGCAGCTTTTTCAAGTATCACTTGTGCAAAATCTCTGTCCTTGTTTCTCAAAAACGCTACTACCAAAGCTTCCGTCAGTAGAGCAGCGTCGGATACAGAATTGTTATCAGAAGGTTTCTTGTTCGATGATTTGATGTTATCATTGAAGACTGTTAAAGATTTCTCCAAGTCGAACACCGAATAGCCAGCGATGAGGCCTCGACTGATAATAGAAGGTAAAGCTTCCGGGTTTTGGTTAGGACTGAAGGCCATGGCCTCTTTTATTAGCATCTCGTCTGCGCCCTTTACACCATTAAAAGTGTACACCAAAAACATCTCATCATACAGTCTTGGATGTGGCTTCTTCACCTTGTCAAAAAACAAGCTTGCTCTATTGACATCGTTTTTGTAGATCCCCAAACTACGCACAGCAGTCGTATAAAGCTCTTTTACAGTGTCGGACTCACTGTCAGAATGTTCCACCACAGCTAAAAAACTGTCAAAAGAGTCTTTAGTGGCGAGCTTCGCCGGTGAGGAGATCGAGAAACTACTGTTACTCGTCTGACGCATTGCTTGTAGATCATGTTGAATGCTGCGGTCAGCCTCCAGCTCTTCCTCCGTGAGCTGAACAAATTCGTTTTGACCAAGTATTGTGAAAACGTCTCTAAACATTGATGAATTTTCACAGAGTAAGACCTCTGGATTTTGCTGGAATAATTGGCACGTTTGATAGTCGGTGAGCTGGAGATCTTCGTTCAGCAGGAATGTCTCCGAAGGCTTGTAATGCTTCAAAATATAAGGTACGATAGTGGTGGCTTTGGTTGCTAAGCATGCTCGCAACAGTGCTTCCCACGCATCGTCCTGAATAATGCTCACATCTTCAATGAGGGAAAGCAAAAAAATGCTTTTAGTAACGTCTTGCAAAGTTAAATCGGTTTTCCCATCTGCAATATCAGCGGAATCAAAGCTTAAAAGTTTCGTGAATATAGTCCCCAGAACTTCCTGAGAGTCTTTTGCAGTTTTCCAATTATCTGTAAATATTTCCCATGAGCTCTTGACCCTACCAGGATTACCCTTTATGATCTCGGCTAAACTCTTGGGACTCAATTGACCGCCTAATTTTTGTAATTCTTTAGCATGCACGGATCCTACACCATAGTCATGGGCAGTTAAGGATTCTATGACCCTATTATGCAGTAAACTGCGATCAATATTGAGATCCTGTTTGCCAGCTAGCCCTTTTAGCACAAACTCAGAAAAGTCATATGGTGACAACTCTTCATTGAGGTTTTTTGTTTGCACCAGCTGCTGAAAAGGCTTCTCTTTGAGAATATTTTTGTACAGACTTTTGAGATCAGCAGCCTGCGAATAAGACCTCCTCAACTGACGTGAGGAACAACGTTTGGCCAGAAACATCTATGTTACGATACGCTGTTTTGATCGATGAGATGTTGGAAAGGTAATTTCACTGCGCCAGCCAATAATTTATGCTTGAGAAGGGTCCGTCAGTGACGGTAAAAGAATTTAGAATACATACGAAGTTAGTTCAAGGTTGAGTCATCCTCACTCAACAGCCGCCTCTTGAGTTATTGTCCTTCTTTTGTTTTATGTTCGAGTTGAGTCTGACGGGCAACAGTTCGCCTTATAGTAATGCGTAGAATACCACGGTAATCATCGCTAAAATAGATCCTGATGGGCCCATTGAACTCCCCACTCCAGAGTATACTGAAAGTTCTGCCGTTGAATCAGAATTTGTAGAAGTTGACGACGAAACCGTGAAGACTGAGGAGCTAGTGAAGCTTTCAGATGTTGCCGTAGAGCTCACTGAGTTGAACTGCGAGGCAGCCACTGTGCCTGGGTATTTTGAGTTTGGTGCATCACTAGAAAAGCTGGCGCTGTTGGAAATCAATAATGTATCGGTACTAGCGACAGTGGAAATGAGAGTGTTTTCGGTACTACGTTGTGCATCTGACGTTGGTGTGCTGGCGATTGAAGTCTGGGATGACAACTGTGCTGTTGAGATGCCGGAAGATAATACTGTGTTTGTCAGAAAGCTTGACTGTTCTGTGCTCGAAGAACTGGACGCTGGTGGGGACAATGTGACCGGCGATTTCGATGTCGATGATGAGCTGTCAAATTTTGTAGCTGACGTGCTCTCAATGATAGTCGTAGCTCTGGTGTCTGTAACATCCGAGCTGGAAATCGAAAGCGAAATTTCAGAAGTGCTTGAACTCACATCTTGGGTGAGCGATGGAGCCGTTGATGAACCCGAGGACGCGATTGACGAATCCGGCTGAGTGCTCGAAAAAGAGGGCGCTGATGAGGGCGCTGACGACCCCGTAGTTGAGGAGGTTTGAGAAGAAGAAACGCCACTTGGGACGCTAGTAGAGTGTACGAGGGTAGTTTGAGAGGAGTTGCACGCACTTCCATTGCAAGTCGTGTGATCCGTCCCGGATGTAGTGCTGACAATATCCGTACTGGACTGCAGAGACAAAACTGAAGATGACTCTATCCTGCTGGTCGATGTCGTCGTCACACTTGCAGATGAGACAGAACTGGGGACAGAAAGCGTTCCTGGGGAGGTTGTGGTGAAAGATGTCATGCTTGAGGATGACATCGTACGTGTAGATGATACTGCACTAGACGATGTGAACCCCCCAGAGGAAGATTTAGAGAGGGCACTGGAAGGCAAGCTTGAAATGGGTCTAGAACTTGAGAAAGAATCAGTACTGGACAGCGTTCTAGTGCTTGAGGAATCAAAATCAGAGTTTGTGGTGCTGGAGCAGGAAGTGGTGCAGAGGGTTGTAGCCGACGACATCGTGCTAGAAACTGCGGTGCTTGAAGACTTCGGCGTGCTCTTAGGTGTAAGTTGTGAGCTCGAAGAAGCTGAGGTACTGCTGCTCTTTGCTGAGCTAGAAGGAGTTGAGCTGGTGCTGTTGATTGCTGTACTAGAAGAGACCGAGCTAGTGCTGCTCTTTGCTGAGCTAGAAGAGACCGAGCTAGTACTGCTCTTTGCTGAGCTAGAAGAGACCGAGCTAGTACTGCTCTTTGCTGTACTAGAAGGGACCGAGCTAATGCTGCTCTTTATTGTACTAGAAGGGACCGAGCTGGTGCTGCTCTTTGCTGAGCTAGAAGGAGTCGAGCTGGTGCTGCTTACGGCTGTACTAGAAAAGACCGAGCTAGTGCTGCTGTTTGCTGGGCTAGAAGGAGTTGAGCTGGTGCTGCTTATTTCTGAGCTAGAGGGAGTTGAGCTGGTGCTGCTTACTATTGTACTCGATGAAGTCAAAGTTCTGCTGCTAATTGCGGAATCGGAAGAGGGCGAGCTGGAAAGTGATGTTGTGGTAGAGGTCACCGGTAAGCTGGAGGAGGATACCTGGCTGGAGGACGCTTCACGAGAAGAAGATGTCGAGACAGATGACTGCACCGTGCTAGAAGAGAACTTTGAACCTGATGACACCGATGTCCTAGATGAAGAATCAGAACTGACTGTTGATGGGCTGGAAGACGAAGTTGTAGCTGATCTTGAAGACACAGCACTCGAGCTTTTAGGTATCGTATGAGCACTCGACACCTCGTTAGATGTTGACGAAACTATGCTGGATGAACAGGCCCGATTGGGGCAAGATTCAACGGTTGACGTTGCAGTGGATAAGGTAGGAGAGCTCGAAAGCGAGGAAGGGCCGATCGAGCTTGTGGGTGGAATATCTACATGGACCGTGACCACAGTGACTCCCGACGATATAGAATCAGTGGTTGTAGTCGCGTAGCTATTCGTCCAGGTTGTTGTGGTGGTGGTTGTAGTGGTGCTTCGTGAATTGCTTTGCCCACTCACAAGTGCGCTGCCGGTGAATGTTCCATCCTTTATGATAAAAACAGGCGACTGTTGGGCAGTAGTGGTGTAGGTTGTGCCAGCTTTCGTATCTGTACATGTGTAGTCGAACGAAACGCTATGGACGACCCTGGTAGCCGATTTGTCCAAAGATTGTAGATTGTTGATCCATATTTGATAGTTCGGCTTTAAACTGTTGAAGGAAAGAGACAGGGTGGCGCCATTGCAGGAGTAGTCCCCATCGTAACTTTCATAGTCGGTTGGGAAGAACCAGTCATTAAAATCTTTAGATATTTGAACCTGTGCGTCCGCACAATCGTAACCGTCAACCTGACCATCGGGGCTATAATCAATAACTTGGGTGCCTCCAAGAATATACCCGTCATTGCAGGTGAAACCGAGGTAATATGATTCCATGGTTCCATACGTTGTTGTGTGGCCTTCATAATAGAAATTGCCAAAATCTTCTGAAGCATGGTCGAAGTTCGCTGACGCACTAAAACTGTTGCCGAAGTCAATCGTCTGTTGACCGGCCACGAAGTACTTGGCGTTGCTCAGCTCGTATTGGTAAGAAGCACCACCACTGCTGAATACGACACCAATTGCGAGATTCCCGCTAAGAGAAGAGAAGGAAGAGAAGCCTTCGACAGCATCGCATCTAAGAATCGAGCTTTCAAACTTGTAAGCGGCCTGCTGGGATGCGGAACACTTGAATGCTTGTAAACCGTCAGCAGTCGTGATGAATTGATAATCGGCGTCGTCGGCAAACTTGATGCGGTAGACGTGAGGAAGGTCAAGCAGGAAATAGTCATTCACAGACACTTCGTTGGCATTCTTTATTTCAAAATTAAAGGATAGCTTCCAGATCTTGTGAGGAAGTCTTTGAGTGCTGAGGGCTTCGATTGAAAGGTCGCTGTAACTGATGGAGGAGATCTGCGAGGCATTCGACAAACCAACAAAAAAACTTAGTGACGACACCAAGTAGAAGGCCCAGAATATCATTTTAGCGAGAGAGTTGTTGGGTAGTTCTTGGTGACACAACAGAAAAACGAATATGAACCAGAAACTGAAAAGAGTCGATTAGTGCAGATTGAATAGCTCGTTTCATCACTCATTTATATGAATCTGTGAGAGACCTGTTCGATCAACCAGCATTCAAAGTCCCTTATTCGGGCTCGAGGAAGATGTGCTGAGATCCTCATGTAACCTGACCCTCAAATGACAACATGGCTCTTGACACTGAGCAAAACAGATTCACCTCTCCAGAGTTTTGTCGCATTTTGACACCAGCGCATAAGTGAAAGCCGCGGTTCCATTAGAGAACCACAGGAACATAACGATAGTTTCAAAAGCTACCGCTAAGAACAGTATCAGCACGCTTGCGAATTTGACACATTCCAAATGGGGATACAAAGCCGTGAGGGCTTCCTGGCTCGTTTCCTGCTGTCAACAGTATTCGAGAACTTCGCTTTTGATCTTTCCTGTTTGGGCCTTGAATGGACACAACTCAAAGATCGACCGGGGAAGAGATCGCTGCTTTCAATGAGCAAAACAATAGCTCAAATTACCTAAAGAAGCCTTGAATGAACTACTGACAGACAAAATTGGCCTCAGCAAGAGCCAGGTGCCTTGAACGACATGGTGTGTTTCGTGTTTAGTGGTAAAATGTTGTTTGATCTCAGGTTTTGAATACAACAACCCTCGTTGTTCTGAATCCTGGGAAATGTCCAGGATCGTCCTCTCGAACTGCAAAGGTAATTCTAGAAAGACAGAAGGGTTTCAAACCTTTCAACATTGTTTTCAAAAGAGCTTTTTTTTCATTGGTAGTCATCTCAACTGAAAGATACCCTAATAAAAGATCACCTTGCTCGAGCATCATACGCTTCGAACTTGCAACGTCTATTCAATACTTGTAGGACAACTAATCACTTGGTCGGTTGTCAGACGAATACAGGCAGCTGCCAACAGAATGCGTCAAAGAACATGATGGCTGCGAAGAAGTGGTTTGGAATTTTAATGTTTTGCTTGTAAAATGTCAATTTCGAGATTATCACTACATATCCCAAATCACAATTCAGCTCAAGCGATGAATAAGTAACACAATCAGAATTTACTTTTCTGGCATACGTAGACAAATGACTAATATTGGCTGTGTTGATGTGATTTTAAGCATATGTATAATTTTCTTAAAGAAGAATCGAGTTTTCTGGTTTTTAGCAAGCCCGCGATGCACATCGTAGCTATAAAACTGCCGGAACTAGAGCTACCAGTTATTCGAAAAACAGGCCTCAGTACTATCATGGGCTTTGGACTTCAAGTTCAATCTTGACAGACTCTTCATAAGTTTATGGCAAAAAGAAGCCCTGTAGGGGGCTCGAACCCCTAACCTTATGATTAAGAGTCATACGCGCTACCGATTGCGCCAACAAGGCTCTTCTTGAGATTGTAGGAGTACTTGGAACAATATACCCAGCAGCTACTGTCATACTTATGCGAGTCACACTAGAGGAAGCCCAGCGAGACGAACTAAGTTCAGAGGCCTGGCTACTGACAACAAATACAAGGCCTGGCACGGCAATCTTATAATCATTATGAGAGCCTTGTTAGCCACTGACCGATTCTTATAAAAATAGTACACTTTTCTTGCGACTCTTTGCCTCAGATTAGATATACATACATGTAATACACTCTACAAAATGTCAGCAGTCAAATTTTCGAGTTCTTCCTCTCAGCTATTATACTCCGTCTCTCACAGAAATTGACCCGACATACCACCTCTTCGTCACAGTCCTGATCTTTTTGCCCCAGATGTACACCGGGACTGCAAATAGTGCGATCCCAAAATTGATAACTGCTAAGGCAATGTAGGTGTTTTCCGTACCCGAAGCGTCCAGCCAATCCGAGCATACAAAGGTGAAAATGCAGGAAATAGTGTTATTAATGATCGCAGTGCACACCATACCCTCCAAAACCATATCAGGATAGCAGTCCATTAGGTAAGCCATTGCAATGTCACCAGAACAGCCCCAACTGAAGCCAATGAATCCAAGCCCAACGTAAATAACCTGCCAAGGCAATTCTCTAGCCGTACCAATACCAAACATCAATAGGCCGGCGGGTCCAATGATGGCTGTGGCAAACGAAAAGAGAAGTCTGTACTCTGCCTCCAAGATACCATCGTTGCGACGTGCCATCCACAAAACGAAGTGATCACTCACCACTCCTGCATAAATACACCCTATAACAGCTCCGATTAAGGTTGGCACATTCATAATTGCAACACCATAGTCGCTGTAGTTCCAAGGAGGGTCGTAGTATGCTGTATCTTCAGTAGTCAGGTAGAATGTGAGAAAAACGTCTTGAATTCCCCAGAAAAAGCCTGAAAGCCACACTGGTGGAAACAGGAACATTCTCATGTTCAAGGCGAGATATTGGAAGTACTGTTTGACTCCAAACCCACGCAAGTTTGTTGCTTTGGTGATCAGGGAGATACGACGATGGTAAGGTTTCATTTTCTCTTCGGATCCCTCTATCAACTTGAAATCTTCAAACGAAGCCTCTATGCTTTGGACGACATCATTGGATTTTTCCACTTTTTGACTCGTGGTTGGTTCGATGTCCTTGCGAGTGCCCTTCTGATCGTCACTTTTCTCAAGAGCAGCTATCAAATTTTGTTTTTCGTTACTGCTTCGACCAGATGCTCTTTTCGAAGTGGGAGTCAAGTATTTGTTGCGGTCAAAATACGTTTCTTCACAGCCAAAGACGATGAAAATCAACAGCGCGCCCGAGATGATAGCAGCCGACCAACCGACCCAACGGAACGACGTCATGCCTGCGATGTAACCAGCTACCAGAGGTCCAAGGAAAGTTCCGACACTAGTGGCCAGGATATAAACCGTCAAAACGGAGCCTAGCTGATGCTGGTAGAAAATGTCACTTAGCGACAGTTGCACCTGAGCTTCCGCGCATGACTCGCTAATGCCAACGAAGAGCTGCGACCATATCGTGTCGCGCGTCTTACTGGCACAAGCAAACCAAATCGCACCGCTCAGCCCTAACACAGTGCATATGATGTAGGTGATCTTACGCCCGTAAAGATTGGCAAGTGGTGCTAGGAATAGGGTCGCCCAGCCGATGCCCAAAAACAGGACGCCTGCGCCGGTATTCATGGAATTGTAGGAGATCCCATAGATTTCGTTGAGCGAGTCCTGCGCAGCTCCCGCATCATTGCTGGTAGCTGCCGTGAAAGCAGTGATGAACGCCATCAGCCCGAAATGCAACATTTTGCGCCATCTTGTCCAGTTCAGTGGATCATTGGGCGATTCCGAAGGCTGCGGGATTAGCACCACACCCGCGTCTGTCTTGCGTAGGGTGGACTCATAAATAACGCCGTTTTCGAGACTCTGTGACGAGTAGATGTTGAAAGTGCCTGGCACATAGTCTGGATGGTGAATGTTAGTGTATCTGTCCATGCTATCAGAGGGCCAGAAAAGTAGCCAGAAACTAGAGTTTTTCGAAGCTTTTCAAGGTGGTTTAAACCCGTTCCAAAGACTGAAGAAAACTCTATTTTCTAGCAATCCTTCGAGGTACAATCCACGACCACTCTTGAAGCTTTTAAACTGTTTATCGGTGAGCTCCTTAGACGCTTTTTTAGGCTTGCCGTGGTCCTGATAAAAACCATCTTCCTCATCATCGCTTCAATAACCTTGTCGAAATTTTGATAGCCAGATTACGTAAGGTCGAGTCTCGAAGAGATTAGCCTTGGCAGTAGTCACATGACCTGACGAGACTAGTTAGTTATGCTTTTGGCGACGACAGTGTGTGCTAAGAGGGCCAGATCTTGCAAGAGGTAGCCCATAGGTAGCCCATAGACCATGGGGTGATGGTGTTGAGATAATGGTGTTGAGAATGAGGGCATTGAGGATCTTGACTAGACTTTTTCGTGAGCTTCTTTGGGTGTAGTCTTTCAGTGCGTTTCTTGTCTTGCCTTTTTGGCTATTTCTTTATGGTTATGCAAGGACGAGAGGAAGCATTTAGCAGTGAGAATAGAACGTCATGTTCTGCCAGAACTTTATTTTCATTGCACGAATTTCGTGGTGTCCTATCTGAACTCCGGTGAATATAGTATTATGGCATGAGTCGTGATCAAATACCATCGTTAAAATAAGCACCGCGTACTCTCTTAGATGTCATACATCGGGCGACGCTTCACAGCCAGGACAATTGTGCAGAATCTCATGAATAAATACGTCACAGTCGATGCAAAAATCGCGGTGGCAGTCTGCACAACGGTAACGAGAGCTGGTCAGCAATTCATGCGACTTGTGATTCTTTAGACGAGGAAAGCGTTTCTGACAACTGAAGCAGGTTTCTGAAGGGAAGGTCTCATTTACACCAACCTCTTGAAAGGTCTTGAGCGGCATAAGATGGTGGTAGGAACGCGCCAGATGGGTCGACAATATCAACATTAAATCGCAGCAGGGGCACACGGTCGGTAGGGAACACACTTTGCTCTTGCAGTTGGGACAGAAGTAGCCACCATACATAAGCTTAGAGTGACATGTGCAGAACGAAGGCATATCCTCGTATACTCGAGTTGGAAAACCCATCTTCACAAGGGTAAAGCCCTTATTAATCTTATTGACAGGCAATGGCGTTACAGCGTCTGCAAAAAGATCTCTAAAGTGAACTTCGTTTAGAATCACACCGTAGAACGAGTTGTCACCGTAGTTGGTCTGTTTGCAGAGCTCTTTGCACACCGCCACCTGGGCGGAAAGACCAATGACACGTACACGAATCCGCTCCTGAACTAGCGATCCTATAGTCTGATGGATATCGCCAGGGTCTGTACTTGACAGTGCGCCGAACACGATGAGGACTTCGCGAGTGCAATGCGCTGGAACATGCAGGAGTAGTCCTCGAGCCATTTCTAGCGCATTTTGCAGCGAGCTGTTTCCTTGAGGTTCCTGTTTTCGTATGTTCTTTAAAGCGTCGATGTGATCCTGCGGGTTCCCACTAACCTGGCTAACTAGCTGCGCCAAGTCGTTTCTCATGCACACAATGCCAATTTGCGAGATCGGATTCTGGTCAAAAAACTCATGCACAAAGTTCAAAGCGTATTGGATAGTCATTGCATATCTGTTTGGCCGAAGATCCTTTTCAGTCATAGAATCGCTGCAATCTAGCACCAGTATCAAAGTTCTAATGATCCCACGTTGAAATGGTGTCATATTTTTGTTGCTAGCACGCTTTTTGCGTGCCTCAATGATGCTGGACACCAATGCTGCCATGTCTCCCTCATCGTCCACTTTAACCAGGTCCCAACTTCTTTGAATGTCCTCTTCCCATGCATAGCCACCGTTTGCTCCTAGCAGGTTCTTGTTGGCAACTTTTTTCTTCTTTCTGCTGCTCCCTGGTCGACTGTCAGCTCGCTCTTCATCCTCACTGAAGATATTCTCATCACCTTCGCTGAGGGAGTTGCCATCCTCGTTGTAATCCTCTTCGATCCGAACATGTTTCTTGACTTTACCCGCCTTTCCCTTGACCTTTTGGGCTGGTTTTTTCAGCGAATCATCGTCAGAATCAGAATCAGCGATACGTGGCATGAAGTTTCAATGGCTTGGGAAAATCCTGAGTAAAAACTGTTGAAGTTCATGCAAAATCGAGTTGGCATCGCATCGCATTCTTATTTTATGAATGAATGTCAATTCAAAAAGTTTCACACGTGATGTGAAATTGAGTGCATAAAGTAACGATTGAACGGTCGACTAGAGGAAGACCTAGATAATTGACTAAAAGAATGGATATAAAAGTGACTACAAAAAAGCACAAACATCCAACTCGATGACCAACTCGATGGCCAACTCAATAACCAGCTAGATGTCCAGTGACAGTGAATCTATAACACTTGGTAGCACTATTGTTTGCATCGTGAGCCCCAGACGAGAGTGTTTATAATCTCAAGGCCATTGATGAATTACCACAGCTTGCACTTTGTAGCAAATCAATTGGGTATTCTTAGCAATCACTATTTTGGAGCAAGTTTTTGCATTTATCGAACAAAGCACACGCACATATACCATTTTCATCTAGAAACCTGGCGTGCATACTATATTATGCACTTCAAAGCATTTTGAAGCTCTCTGCGTTCAATGTATATGGCGACGGTTGTAATGTCCAGGACTTGGAGGCGATTCGCCCTCTTCATCCCAGTGAACTGGGAAGGGAGCCATGAAAAACTCGAGCAAGCCACCATGTTCTCCAAACAGCTCCTCATGAGTAAACCAATTGCGGTCTATGTAATCCCCATTCAACTTAACATTTTTAATGTATTTGTTTCTGGTCGAACTGGAAGGTGACGAACCGTGAGTTTCTCGGTAGAGACCATGCGCTATTATCACAATTTTGATTGACTCATCAATGCTGATGACGACTTTTGACAATTTTGGGCTTGTGATGAGGTAGATATCTGTGCCTGCAACTGGAAAGAACCCAGAAAGAGCGAACCATAACCAAGCCTGGATTGATCCCGCTCCCGAGCAGCGCGGCAAGCCTTTCGGACCAAGCTTGAATTTTTTTCCGATAAGATAATCCACAGTCTCAGACGTCTTGTACTGCAAATTGACGAAATTGTACAAGAATGGCGTCATGAAGCTTGGCTCATTAAGACTGTCTGCAAAACCGCGACCGTTGAGACTGAACATATCGTCCAGCCTTTCTACAAAAATTTCCTTGGAACCCATTAGTGCCTTGAGCGATTTCATGTCGTAAGGTACCTGCCAACCGTATTCTATAGGTTTTGCCATATAGGCGTCATCTTTCCAAAGACAGCCAAAACAGGACAATGGGTCGTATTTCTTGGTGTAGAAGTCTCCGTCACGATCTTTGGGCTGGATGAAACCGTGGTAATAGAGATGTGGAGCTGTTGCTCTTGGATTCCAAAGCTGCTGCCAATTAGAACATCTTTTCATATATTTTTGACTTGTCTTGATAAAACCTAGTCCTCTGGCCACTACTGAAATGGCAAAGTCATTGTACGCATAATCCATTGTTCTTGTCAGAGAACGCGAGAATTCTTGCGTGACATACCCAAACTCTAACCAATCGGATAGTGCAAAGCGACCGCGTGTATCTTTCTTTCCGTGCCTAGGTTCCGGATACCTTTCCGAGTTTGTCTGCATAGCACGAAGTCCAACCTTCCAGTCAATTCTATGCTTAATACCCTTAGAAAATGCGTCTGCAAGCACAATGTCACTGCTACTGCCACCAATCACCCTGGTATTTAAGGATGCTGTGCGACCCTCTGGCATGAAACCATCATGCCTCCAAGCGTCGATCAAGCTTCTGATAAAATCAGTGGCTCTGGAACGGTCTAAAATAGTAAACATAGGAATCAAACAGCGAAACGCTTTCCATAGTGAGGGAAAGTCGTCATAATAAGGTTCTCGACTGAGCCATGGTGCTTCAAGACCGGATCTGTCAACTGGCATTAGGTGTGAGCCATACAAGGAATTGAAATACTTTTGGACCACTATGGGGTCCTCCTCAGATACATCAATCGAAATTTTGGAGAAAACTTCGCGGTTCCAAGTATTCACCGCATTTTCAACGCTCCAGTCCAAGTCGAATAGGTGTGTAGAAGGATAATCATGGTGAATATTGGCCTGGGCAGTCGGAACGTCACGAAAACTTACGCCGACATGCGAATGCAATATTCTAGTTCCAACTTCAAACTCGAAGAGTGCCCCTAGATTATAGTTTGACTCATCTGCCTCGCCGTGTCTCAATCCGCTGTGAGAGTGGTCGTCTTTGAACACGCGCACTTTCTTCGCGGCTTTATCAAAAACCCCATAAAAGCTGACACTCCAGGACTTCGTAGGACTTGTACCATGCGAAAAATAAGCTTTGCCGTGGTAAGACTTCAGATCTTTGGATATTTGTATGAACCCGCCTCTGAATTGTTGCGATAACCACGGCTTATGGAATGAGTGCAAGTGATGGCTCACGTTGACCAGAATGACAGGTGCAAGCAACCTACTGTTCTTATGTTTCAGTGGTCGACTAACTGGGAAGGTGTATTTGTAGAGTCCAGACCGACGGGAGGCGGAGAACTCGATTTCGATGCGATCTTCCAACCACACTTTGTAGTAACCAATGTGTCCGGCATCGGGATGGGACCTTGATGCCACTATCGGTTCCGTGGTATCAATATGGTGAAGAGATTTTGCGAGCAATGGCAATTGCGAAACAACACCATAATGCGGAGTAATGTCTGTCCCGGACTCGTGCAGCATAGAAACACCGGAGATTTCTCCACCGAACTGGTATCCGGCGTACGAATCTCCAAGATGTGGATCCAGCACGTCCACGCCCATTTTGCACATGCCAAAGGGCAAAGATACCCCGGGAAACATATGCCCATGTGCTTGGGTGCCAAAAAAGACGTCAACGTAGTTCAAGAACGGGAAGAGAAGGGAGAGCCGCGCAGAATTGCTTGAGAATGAGGCAGGTCTCTGTGGGCCACCGATACTCACCGCGTCACGATTTTGTGCGCTTTCTTGCAGCTTTTGAGACCACAGAGCCTCCAGCTCTTTACTGGCGTCAGCGACAGCACGGTGCACAAATATCAATAACACGTACCATGCAAACATAGCTCAGACTCTTCGAGTGAATAAGGAGTAATCAGGATTTGAGTTCTTACCTGGAGGATTGAATTCTTTTCTGGGTAAAGTCTAGCATTTGTGAACCTGTCTATCTGTCGTGGGATTATCCACTGACGTCTAGCTAGCTAGACAGGGTCATGAATATTGTCACTTACACATTTTTGTGTCATCTGGTGACGCAAAGCATGATTACGTAACCATACTCTGGTACCGTAATAGGAAAAGCCATTACCCGATGTGGTAGCATCAGGGGTCTTATCCTAATTCGGAAAATTCCTTCCTCGAGGCCGCTTCGCTGATCATTCTGCAGATTGTTCGAGGTGCATAACCGCTATTGAAAAGACATGTCGCGATGTTCGTGATTTCTTCATGACTGAAAGATCCCATTTTTCAGCAGAATGAGGTGTCAGATTTAGAGAACTAGTCCATCACTTCTCGGTCGAGTTCAGGTGACTTGAAAGCTGTTTTTTTCTTCCTGGAGTGCTAACGGCTTCCTGAGAGACCAGAACTGAAAAGTTCTTTCCGGTCTAAGCAGCACGCTACTTGAATGCCAGGGCGAGATCCATAAATGAATGAGGACATCATTCGAATGCATTATAAAAGGAACGGACTCGATGGTGCAACCGATGGAAAATTCTACTCCAGCCGTAGCTAGACTGACTGAACTTTGAACAACTGGTGTTTTATTTGCAAGCTTTGATGTCGTCTTCTATTGAATCGAACGCAGACGGGAAACGGGTGTCTTCAGATGTGGTTGAAGTCATCAGCGATGAAAACGTAGATGTAGCGTTGAAGTATCTGCAAAAAGCGCACGCAGAAGACGTAGCGTTTAGTGATCAATCCACCGACAAATCCGGCTTCAAGGGACGATCTGACGAAAGTCGCACTTATTTCGGTACCCACACGCTGGAGCCTCGTATTCTGCGCAAAGTGGACTGCTTCATCCTCCCGTTTCTGTGTCTCACGTATCTGTTCATGTTTCTGGACAAAGCGCTGCTGAATTATGCGGCTTCTATGGGCATCAAAAAACACTTGAAGGGTAATGATTTTTCGAATCTGGGAACCATCTTTTCAGCAGCCTACATCTTCGCAGAGCCGTTTGTGACCTTCTGTATCCAGCGTTGGCCAATTTCCAAAGTTATGGGTACTTTTATCACTCTGTGGGGAATAGTCTTGGCTTGTCACGCGGCCTGTAAGTCTTACGCATCGCTGATGGTGGTTCGCACACTACTGGGAATCTTCGAGTCCAGCAGTGCGGTTGGATGCATTGCAATTAGTGGGATGTACTACACGAAGTCCGAGCAATCTGCTAGAATCGGGTTCTGGGCAACTCAGGCAGGTACAGGGTATATTGTGGGTGGTTTGATTTCTTTTGGGTTCCTCCACTACACAGGGACCACGTTCACATCTTGGCAAATCATGTTCTTGGTCGTGGGACTCGTCACCATTGTTTTTGGAATAGCGACGTTCCTGTATCTTCCCGACAATGTTACAAATGCGTGGTTTTTGGGTGAGAGCGAAAAGGTTGAGGTTCTGCGTCACATCAAGGCCAACCAGACCGGCCACGAAAACAAAAAATTCAAACTTGCCCAAATCAAAGAACTGTTTTTACATGACAAGCTCACCTACCCGATGCTCTTGGTCACCGCTTGCTCCCAAATTTCCACGGGTGCCATTGGCACCTTTTCTGTCACAATAACACAAACCTTTGGCTTCGACAAATACGAATCTGCGCTTTTGCAGCTGCCAATTGGTACCATCACTGCGATCATTATCTTGATCACTACCCAAATGCTTTCGCGTTTTGGTCAGTTCACGCTGATCACCACTTCCATGTATATTCCAGCCATCATAGGTTGTATTGTCATGCTGACTCTACCTCTCTCCCACAAAATTGGCAACCTATTTGCTCTCTACTTGCTGTACAGTGGTTCCTGTGTCATTACCAATATCTACATCTGGAATTCGTGCAACACCTCTGGCTATTCCAAGCGTGTGTTCCGCAATGCCGTAACGATGATCGTCTACAATGTTTCTTGCATCGTAGCTCCGCAGATGTTTAGAAGCAATTCCTTTCCGCGTTACATTCCTGCTAAGATCGCACTGCTGGTTACCCAAGCTGTATGCGTTCCGCTACAGCTCTACATCGGCTATCTTTGCAGGAAAGAGAATCGCGCAAGGGACAAAGAACAAGAAGGTCAACCTAAAACACAATACCAGTTCTTGGATACAACTGACATTGAAAACAGAAGCTTTAGGTATTTCTACTAAAGTTGGAAAGAGGTTAGTTCTATAGGTTGACAAAGTTCATAGTTGTATTTACCAAATTCAAATTAAGAGGTCTAATTTTATTTGAAAAATGACAGAAGCGATGAGCTTCGAACTTAACAACACGATCAGTGAATAGAAAGCTCAAATAGTGAGTAGAATAGCTGGAAATGTCTTTAGGAGATGATCTTGATGATGGCTTAGACTATGAAGTTGAAGCAAGCGATTTGGAAGATGCTGTAGAGGTTGATAACGAGATAGAATCGAAGCCTTTGAAAAGAAGCCGAACAAACAGCGAACAAGAAGAAGAGGAGCGTCCTGCTGAAAAAACACAGAGCAAACGTCAAAAAAAACTAGCCAAGTCGAAACTGCATTTGAAAAAAGTTGAAAAAGTGGAACACGAAAGGGAACAGAAAAAGCTGCTTCCGAAATCCAATGCAGAGCGTATCGTGGAGCATCTAGCAACTTTGATCCGTGAAAGAAACCCAGATCTCAGCGCCTTAGAGCTTGAGGAGCAGTACTTCAAAAAGACGGATTTCATTTCCACCGAGAAATATCAAAAAGACAGAACATTGCATAATTTCCAAGATTTTGTCAATACGTTCTCAAAGTCACCCAGAGCTGTCGTTCTATCAGCGTCGAATATCAGAGTGGCAGACGTATTCAGAAGTCTGGGCGGCTCCCAAAATGCGGTGAAGCTATTCTCAAAGACGAAGCTAAAGGATGATGTTGCCAGGGTTGATTTCTTGTTGAAAGAACCCAGCAAAGAAGATAATTCTGGGAAGAAAAAGTCTAAGGACAAGAAAAAGCAAAGCAAAGTCAAGTACTTCGTTTCTACTCCTGGTAGAATGTCCAAAATCTTAGACTCGACTGATGCGCTGTTCGATGGCAAAGATAAATTAGACATCTTCTTGGACGCTAGTTATCTGGATCCCAAGTCTAATACTCTATTCACAAGCGAAGATTGTACGGCTCTTTTCAAAGTTTTGAAAGACTTTTTGCAGAAGAAAAGTTCCGTTAAGATCCTTTTATTTTGAATAATGTATGTATAGCACATAGATGTGAAAGATTGTTTTCAACCAATCTCCTGTCCGTTACTTGATTTTCATGTCCTTTAAGAAAACGGCCTTCTCAAAGACAGCTTCCGAGCCAGCATCGAAGGTTTCCTTGTAAGGTTGAAACTTGGGCTACTGCTTTTTCTTCTATCCTTGAGTGGGTTGATCGTCTCTGCTGGTCTATCATAATCGTCCATCTTTTTGACGGGTGATGAGGACTGTCGCCGGAACTCTGGCTGGGAACTGTCGGTAATGAAGCTTGATGACCGGCTCCTCGAGTCTTCGGCAATGACTTCAAGAGGCTCTCGGCTCTCATTAAGTGCAGGACTTTTTGGTAAATGCTTGGGTTTATTAAGCCTGAAGACTTGGTTCACAGGTTTCAAATAGATGGATGCAATGGTACCAATGTTAAGTTCCAATTCTTCGACGATTTGAGGATCGAGCTGAGTATTCAGGGCTATGGGTGGCAAAGTTCCGTCGATTATTTCCCTCGCAGCATCCATACCTATTTTACCATCCAGGTTGTTCTGAGCAAAAGACAAAAGTCTCCAGTAAACAAAAGCTCTGTCCCTCAAGTCAGGATCGTCGACTCTTTCAGTTGCATTTTTGAGGATATCAACACAGAGCTTTTCCGTCACTGAAGTAGGATTTCTGGTAAAAAGCCTGACAGCTGAGCCCAGTATGACAAATTGGACTTCAAGAACTTCTTCGAGGAAATTGTTTGCAAATAACTGGAACAACTCAAGATAATTCGGGAGATGATTGTAATTCTGGGTTATGATCCAAATCATAGACCCGCGCGATTCCGGCTCTTGTACCCAATCAGTAAAACGTACCAGCTTTTCGAGACAAAGATCATACTTCTCTGGGTACCTTCTCAACACGTTTTTGAATACGGACACGATTTCCTGTACAATGTACTCAACCTCGAAGTCTAGAAGTTCCAAAAGTAGCCCTATACACTCGTCAGCAGATTGCTCAAGTTTCACGGTTAGGTTTCCGACCGCCCTGATAGCTTTTCGAGACATCTGAATATCAATATCTGTGGCGTACTCCTTTAACTCTTGTAAGATCTGTGAGAGATTATCTTCTTTAGCCAAAAGATACAGAATTTCCAGCTTCGTATCTTTAATGTAGATTGGATCGTTGAATTCAACGAAGAAGTACGAAATGTCAATCGTCAAGACGGGCTTTTCTTTACCTAGCAACAAAAGGATAATGTTTCGTAGAACCAGAAATTGAAGCTCAGCAGGTTTATTGAGTAATGAGACCATAGATCCCGACAATTGCTTGAGAAGACGCTCGGTCAAAAAATCAACGTAGTTGGTTAAGTACAGAACAAACTTGAATGCATTCATGACCACCGACGTATTATTATGTTGCAATTGAGAGACTGACTTTTCAATCATATAATGAGCGTCTGAATGACTCTCGGGAACGTAAGATCCAGTTAGTGAATCGACTACACGAGCGGAGTCCCATTCATTGAGTTTCGTCAGTAACTCAAGCATATCAGCGCATGTATCGAAGCTCACAGTAAAATTTCGAAGGGTTGTAGTGGTTTCTTGAATCTCGTGTAGCAAATAAAGTGCATTTGCACGTACTGCCGGTCTTTCTCTGTGGTTATTCAGTACATCACTCAAAAGCTCTACTAAGGGTGAAGCTCGTGAGGTATCGTAATTTACTAGCTTGGCAGCGGCGTAGAGTGCCGTTTTTTTGACTTGTTCGGAACTCGAGCTTCTGTGCAGAATTGTGACCACGGCGTTACGGCATTCGTCCATGTATGAATCCAAAGGAACCGCTACTAGAGTTCGGAGCGCCAAAGTTTGCAGCCGTTCAGATCCAGACGTGAGGTCACCCACAACAAGTCGCAAAGCATCTTCAAAGTAGTTAGATTTACTTTGGGCCATGGCTACCAAGTATTGATGACAGATTCGCTTCACTTCCATATTATCGTCAATTTGCCAAAATTCCAACACATCGGGAAAAAGAGCGACCATCTCAGAAGCAAATCCCATTGTTATGTTGGCTATGATTTTCTTCAAGGCATTCTTCCGTTTTGCTGCTGATGCCCGATGCTTTTTGACATTTCCCTGTTGCAGCTCAGCACGGATCTCGTAAGCCTTATATCTCGAGAAAATGCGTTGATCCGACATCTTGTCGACCAGGTAGGTTCTTGAACTTTTATCAAGATCAATTGAGTCAGTAACTAAGGCCAGACACAGCTTTGATGTCCTGAAGGATGGAAGTTAGCTTCTCTTAAAGTCATTTCTTATATAGAATTGTAAGAGCGGGATATACATCTTCACATCAAAAATCACGAACATATACATCGATGAAGAATGGTAAGAGAATGTTAAGAGAAGACTCCAATGATAGCGGTGATGGATGGCGGCTACTTGACTGGCTGATCAACTAAAGTCGGCATCTTTCAACAAAATCTTCAGATCTTCGGAAAAAGCGAAAAAGTATCGCATTTTCGTTATTCCCAGTGAAGCTTGATAAAGGGAACGGTATGTACGGTTTGAGTCGATTTTCAATCAAACGGTGGACTCTTCGTCTTGTAAATTATTCCCTTTGTTGTCAAGGCTTCGTTGAAATGCTGCTATTTTCTCAGAAGGCAGGGCGACCTCAGAATTTCGAAGTATATTGAAGACTCCCGATGATATCGGTGTCGTAACTACTGAGAAACGTCACGATCAATACCAAACCTTTCCGATGAGAATTGTCTTATCGTTTTCCGAACCAAGGCATCAGAACAAAGAAGCGCACACTCCTGTGAAAGTTTGATAATTCATCTTTGGGATCGCGCAGTCACTAATTGTAGTCCCGCAGCTTGCTCATATTTTCGAAGCCCATGCCGTCCTTAACTTTGATTGACAGTCATCAGTTGTTTAGGCTGTTGACTTGCAATTGAAAGTTCAACTTTCAGAAACGCTGGGCCTCTTTATCTGATTCGAGAGCTTGGACGGCTCGTGGGCTTTGCCGTCATGGCTAGAGCTTATATTTTCGTTTCCCTCTTTCCAATCATTGAAGTCAATGAGAGCCTGCATGCACCCCCATTCGGTAATTTTGCGCGCAAGCCAATCAAGGTTTACTGGCTTAGTTAGATAGTCGTTACAACCCGCCAAAAGCGCTTCTGCTTTGTCCGAATTGGAGTTTGAAGCCGTGAGAGCAACCATGATCACGGGTGCCTTAGAGCTATGACTTCTTCGAGGTTCCAAGTTTCTGGCAAATGCCGAGTCCGAGTTCTGGCTGCGTTTCAGTACCTGATTCTGCGTCCCTATACCATTTAGTTTTTCCAACTTTCTTATCTCCTTGGCAGCGTCTATTCCAGACAGCAGCGGGAGTCCTAAATCCATTAATATTAAATGCGTTCCTCCCTCTTCCCATTTTTCTACAGCTTCGACACCATTCTTTGCCGTTTTGTAGGATATTTTGTGCTTACGCAGAAAGGAGGATAGAATGGCTTGGTTGATCATGTTGTCTTCCACAATCAAAATATTAATCTTGGCAAACACCTTGTCTATGGTGACAGATTCCGTAGTGACCGTCTCCAGTACGGTACGCAGAAAAGGAGACCCCTCTTTTTGCACTACAGGGTCGCGAGACGGTACCAGCCCGACCTCTTCTTCCACTAAGGGAGCATTTTTCAGTGCAGGTGAGTCGAACGTAAAAGTTGCATGCGTGTCATCGGTTGCAGATGGGGAATTGACGTTCGGCGAAGGCAGATTAACATCACCCTCATAGCCTCGCGGCAGCAATAAGATGGCCTGTTTCTGATCCGCGCATTCTTCGTCATTCGTCAAACTCAATTTCCGGAGCTCTTCTTCATCTACTACCAATTGATAGTCTATCATATCTTCCACTATGGGTTGTTGTTCGTCCATTTCGTCGCTTATGTCATTGAAGACAGGTACATTGTTGGTGCCGGAAAAAATCAGCAAAGCATCTGTGGGTTTCTGGTTTGTGGTACCACCGAAGAGGGTCGTGCAAACATCTATGACCAGTTCGTCAGGCTGCAGCAGCGACTGATGAGGTACCGAGCGGGGCAAGTCATCAGCCTTGGGTGCTACCGTCGAGGCTGATTCCACAGCGGGAGATAGCCTTTTAGCCAAACCACTTTTCACAGGAGATAGTGAGCAAGAGTCCCTGGCTGAATTCGTCGAGTGATTGTTGGCCAGCCTCAGTTGAGCCACAGGCGTTAAGTTCGGCACGATATTCGGTACTTTGCTTCCCTGAAGTGCTACCGGCGAGTCCAGAGTTGCAGCACGGGGACTGCACGACCTTGAAGCATGCCAGGATTTAGGTACGTTTGGCGCTAAGGTGGTTCGCACGTTAAAGTTTGCTGAACTTGTCGGTACCGGATGCTGCAGTTGGTCTGTGGTAGGCTCCATTCTGAAGCTTTTGGAGGGTGTTTCGTGAGCCAAAAACGGTGGTTGCTGTTGCTGTTGCTGTTGATGCAAGTATTCCCCATTGTTTTGGAGGTCGCACTGGCATAGCACGCCAATTCCAATGCCAAAACTATCGTTCTCGTAAGCCCACCGTGTGTTTTTGAATTTTGCGAAGATACGATCCTTCAAGTCGTCTACTGTGTCGTTTTTGCTGTACTCAATTGCCGTTGCCTGGTTGGTCAGGTTCGGCATCAAACTCGATGCTTCCAGCTTAACCCATACCTTCAAAACATTCTCATTCGAATTGGTCAAATTCTTATAGTTAGAGGGACTTGAGACCGAGCTTCTGATCCCATTTCGAGTGCTCATTTAGCGTCCTTATTGGCGATCAAAAGTGATGGTGAAAGATGGTATGATTGGTGAGTTCGATGCGTTGATGTATCGTTGCATGGTGCTCATTATCATTTCACGATATATTTGCAGATTCCTCGGTTTCGCGTCATGTGATGTAGGGTCTAAAGGCGACATCGAATAAAATAACGATAAAAAGCGCCAACTGACACTATCGACACTATCAAAGTCGAAGTAAAAGACAAAACACTGATTGGCTTTACCTCTTTCTGTATGGTAGTTTTTTTGGTCTTTAAGGGTCGCTTTGGGTGATTCAAAGTTGAAGTTTTGTGGTCACGTGGTGAGAGTGTTGCGAGAAGCGTTGGACAGCAAGCTATCAGAGAGCTTTGAGTCCTTGGGAAACTGTTTCACATACGCGTTGCCCCACTTGGAATGGATCACTACATTGAGGCCATTCGGTGAGTTTCTTCTTCTATGAGAAAACAGAGAAAAAAAAAAGTAAGCATCGTCGCAGAAATTGACTGTATTTGCCATCAAAAATGACATATAACCCTGGAATATCCTCGGAAGCTTCGATCTGCATTAGTAGGCGCTGGTGCGCAGTTTAGCGTTCGACATTGTCGGTAAGACAACAACATTTCCGGAGATACTGGTGCACGTGCTAAACGACTGGATGCGCGTCACAGTAATAGGATTCGATGATGACAGGGCTCGGTACTGGGGTGTGGTTAGGATGGAAAAGAACGCCGATGCGTCCAAGCTACTCTCTGAAACAATTTTCAGACCTTTACTGGCAAGCCTAAAAAGCTTCCGGAGACTGTCTCAGGGAAAGACGGCGTCGTATGCTTTTCCCGAACTATTCCTTGTTACCAGATGAGATTGAAAGACCTAGATGGTCTTGATCAGCTTTCATTCGCCGTTCCTCCTATAGTGTATGCAGCACCTTTCAGTCTTCTCTTGTTATATTACTACAGTTCCCGAGTGACTGTAATCAATGGTGACTTGGTGGTAAAGGCAAATGCGAAAATGAGAAATTTTAAAAGAGCGGAAAAGCTCCCCAGTCAGCGACTCCCAGCTGAGTATATTGTGCGGCTGTGAGACTATCCACCATGTTGTCGCAGCAAAAAAATAAATCGCACGACTGATTTGCAGCCAGAGCTTTCTTTCTCTCTCACATAGGCAATATCTTCCTCTTTACTTGAGGATTTCATGCTAGTGATCCGTCAAATGGGTTTTCAGTACAATAGAATCATCACCAAAGATCCTGCAATGTGAAACGACCCAGTTGTTCGGTGGAGATCCGATGACAGGAAATAAGCGTTAATAATATTCCTCTGCGACAAACCGCACAAGCTGACGGGAAACTTGGCACCTAAGTGATCGTAACTCTACAATGGCAGCCATCCATCTATTTTGTCATAACCAAAAGAGAAAAAGTTCACTTCTTTTGATCGCCGTGCGAATCAAGTGTAGTAGTTTTTATACTTCGGTTCGCTCCTATCCAAAGTTGAGCAAAAGGTCTAAATTCCAATTGTTCTGGTACACTTCATAGGCTTTCCGAACCAATATACAGCATACTTTGTAGTCGAGTAAAATCCAGACGTATCATTGAATTGGAAACTTTGTACCCTTTTTAACAATTTCGAATCTCATTGACAAACTCGGTATCAAAGCTTCAAATCACGGCCATTGAAGAGTAAGCAGAAATCTACTATTTCGATCTCAAAAGACCTACTGATATAGTTTAACGAGCTAATATCAACATACAAGCTCGATTTGGATCGGTTCGTTTCCCATTGTCTTGATTCAGTGGTTAATGCTCTTGATGAAATTGTAATAATAACATATAATCCCATCGCGCTGCCATTAACGAAAACATAACATAGCAGAATGGAAGAACAAGTACCTGAGAGCTCACAAATAGCCACTGAACTTGGCGAGCAAGATGCGAACAGGTTGCTTCTACAATATCTTCTCTTACATCGAGGATCCTGTGATGAAGGTCAGCTACTGAAGGCATTGAAAACACTTGAAGTAAAAGATCTAAACGCGACTGAATGGCAAAATAGGCTCAACAAATGGATGGCAAGCGTTAACTTGACGCTCAACGCCTTGGATTACAAGGTATCCAGACTGAGGAATCGATCAGGTGGTTGGAGCTATGTTTATGTCGATCTGGCACCGGCAGAAGATACCAAGGGAGCCACAAGACTCAATCTCGATGAGCTGAATTTCGTGCAATGGGCGATTCAACGGTTTTTGGGCGACAGGAGTGCTATTCAGGCGCGAGGCTCGAAAAGTTCTGTGGAAAACGCAGTGGATGGAATTTTGCGCGAAAAATTCGGATCGTCTGAGTTCGAGAGCTTACAGCTTCGACTGTATCATACGTCTGGGTCTACAGAACTCTGCCAATACGAGGAAATGGACGCATTGAAAGTCGAATACCTTCTGGCCCGACTTTGTCAATTACGGTGGTTTTACGAAACGGCTGAAGGCCGCTTTGGTCTGGATGTGCGAGCACTAGCAGAGCTTCAAACCTACATACGCGAAAAATACAGCGTTCCTGATTGTTCCGTTTGCAGTGAACTTGCTTTGGAGGGCATTCAGTGCAAATGTAACGAAAATGCATGGCACGTTGCGTGTCTGCGCCATTTTTTGGCGCATGTGGGGACTTCGTGTCCGAGCTGCGGCTCGAGCCTTGAACAAGCCGTCTACATGACCTGAGAAGAAGGAGAAACAAAGCGAGACCCGAAAAAAAAAATGACACATTTACTACCTATCTACATGGTTCTTTCCCCACACGCTATGTGCGGGCGTCTATTATTTCCTCAATCCTCTCTTCTCGAGAAAGTCCTTCGCTTCGTTGATCTTCGTGGCCAGGTACGGACTCCCACCTTTGTCCGGATGATTTGCCAACATGATGCGTCTGTGGACCTCTTTCAGTTTTTTGCGGTTCAGGTTGCTTTCGTTCAAATTCAGAATCTGCATGGCCTCCTTAGAGTTCATCTTCCCGTCGAATCCACCTTTCAAGAATTGCACTCCCGTTTTCCCGCCTCCCAGCATTCTGGAAACGCTTTTGAAAGCACCAGCGGCAAAATATAGTCCTAAAAACCCACCCACGCCTGTTAGAACAGGGTGTCGACCCATGAGACCCAAGAATTCATCGAATTTCTCGTCCATATCACTTCTTTGACGCACCTGCTGTTGCTGAACCATTTCTGGGCCGTTTGGCGCCGTGAGACCGTCATTGGAAAGCCCTGAACTTTCAGGAAATGGCTGCCCTGGGATCGCCAGCTGTGGAGCCTCTATAGGTGCCATTTCTTCTTCCCGTGTGCGATTTTAGTTGCGAAAACGCTCAGATTTACTGACTTCAATGCTCAAATGATGATTATGATGATGATGGTATACTAAAATAATCAATTTCTGAAAATATCAAAGATCACACCCCACGAAGGACTTTAAAAAAGTGAAAAATTTTAGGAATTAATGATCTCATCTCATCTCATCTCATCTCATCGCCAGTATTGAACGCTAACACCAAAGCTCCAGCAAACGCTAAAGCTTTCCAAAGAGACAGGTCTAGGTATTTGTCAAAGTTTAAGAAGGCTTTTAGAGTTCGATACACTTCCCTTTGGTCTGTGTTTCAGCTAGCGGCGTTAGTGGACAAAAAAGTCATCGAAGCATATAAAAGACAGTTAGCATGAGAGTTTACAGCTGTCATTTCTGTTCTTCGCCGGTATATCCCGGTCACGGAATCATGTTTGTGAGAAACGACGCCAAGGAGTTCCGGTTTTGCAGGTCGAAGTGCCACAAGAACTTCAAACAACGCAGAAACCCCAGAAAACTGCGTTGGACCAAGGCGTTTAGAAAGGCTGCCGGTAAAGAGCTGGCAGTGGACAGCACGTTGGCGTTTGCACAGCGCAGAAACGTTCCTGTACGGTACAACAGAGAGCTGGTTGCTACGACTTTGAGGGCAATGGCCAGAGTGGAGGAGATCAGACAGAAGAGAGAACGTGCGTTCTACAAGAACCGTATGCGTGGTAACAAGGAGCGCGATTTCCTCAGAGACAAGAAGCTCGTGGAATCGAACCCAGAACTGTTGAACATCAGAGACGTGGAATTGGCGCGTGCCGAGGCCAAGGCTGCCGAAGCAGAGGAAAGCGAGGAAATGGACGTGGACAGCGACGAGGAAGAAGAAGAGGAAGACGAAGAAGAGGAAGAGGCCCAGAAACAAAAGGTTCTCCTCACCAACAAGCGCAAGAACAAGAAACTCGCTTTCTAACTACCAAAGTAAAAGCTGCTGGGACGTGCATGACACTATTTTTCTTTTGGCAAGAAAACAGAAAAATAAATAGATTTGTATAATAGAAAAGAAGCACACAGGACTTGAATTTGTTTTGGGAGTTGCAGCACTTCTCTCTTTTTCCCCCCTCTCTTTCTCTTTCACTGGGGCGTTTCGCTTATGCGACGCCATTTGGCTCCCACATCACTCTGCCAGAACTCCTTGAACGCTCTGAGCTCTGCCAACGACCATACCCTTACGTCCATAGCCTCCACTCGTCCCTCTACAATACAACATCGCACATCGCATACGCTGCCTTCAATCAGCGTTCCATCCGTCCAGCACCGTCCGCAACGGCCTTCTTCGCTCACTGAAATCTCCAGTGGGCCCCCAATCTCCTGATCCAGCTCTTTAAGGTTTTGTAGCACCAATTGCACCTCATCTGCATCTTCATGCTGAGAATTGACACCAACACACTGTCCAATCACTCTTAAACGTTCTATACCCAAAACTGATCGGTTTTTAGCGGCCAGAACCCGCACTTTTTGCATGTCAACAACCACTAGGCTCATGTTCACATACTCCCCAAGCTGAAACCACTGTCGAGGCCTTTGACTGCTTTGTTTTTGGTTTTCAAAAGCTCTTGAAGTTGTCTTTTCTATAAGATCATATATTATAATGCATGTCATCTCGGACTTGGCATTGCATAACCAAAATTGAAACTAAACAGATGCAATGGAAGGCTTCAGGCTGGGCTTGGAGTCGTAGCTCATCATATGAGTAGTTATGAGGGTACTGGAAACTGTGAGATAATCTCCAAGCGGTTTTGAAGCAACTCTAGGGATGGAATTAGAGATCATTGAACCAGACTAGGCTTACGACGAGCAAGTTTTAGAATACTGTAAAGACTTCGATGATAGTGAGGCAAACAGTACAATTCTTGGGACTTGAGGGATCGGAAATCATATATAAGCAGTCCTTTCTGGCTTTATGGATCCTGGAACTTGTTAATTGATGGATTAATTCCTTTAACCATACTCACTCACCAGTAAGCCGAACATCAATCTACAATTGAGATGTCTACCGATAAAATTACCTTTCTTTTGAACTGGCAACCAGCACCATACCATATCCCTATCTTTTTGGCCAACCAAAAAGGCTTCTTCAAGGAGCAGGGTCTTGATGTTGCGCTTTTGGAGCCTACCAACCCATCGGACGTGACAGAGCTTATTGGCTCTGGCAAGGTCGACATGGGTTTGAAAGCCATGATTCACACCTTGGCTGCCAAGGCCAGAGGTTTTCCAGTCACCTCTGTGGGTTCTTTGTTGGACGAGCCATTCACGGGTTTGTTGTACATGAACGGCCGCGGTATCACCGAAGATTTCCAGTCGCTCAAGGGCAAAAAAGTGGGCTACGTGGGTGAATTCGGAAAGATCCAGTTGGATGAATTGACTAAAGCCTACGGAATGACCCCCTCTGACTACACCGCTGTCAGATGTGGTATGAACGTTGCCAAGTACATCATCGAGGGCAAGATTGACGCCGGTATTGGTATCGAGTGCATGCAGCAAGTCCAATTGGAGGAGTACCTAAAGCAACAAGGCAAGCCTGCCACTGACGCTAGAATGCTAAGAATCGACAAGTTGGCCTGTCTTGGATGTTGCTGCTTCTGCACCATTTTGTACATCTGCAACGATGAATTCTTGGCTGCTAACCCCGAAAAGGTCAGAAAGTTCTTGAAGGCTGTCAAGAAGGCCACCGACTACGTTTTGGCCAGCCCAATTGATGCCTGGAAGGAGTACATCGACTTCAAGCCTGAGTTGGACACCGACATGACTTTCAAGCAGTACCAAAGATGTTACGCTTACTTCTCTAGCTCCTTGTTCAATGTCCACCGTGACTGGAACAAGGTTACCGGCTACGGTAAGAGACTAGAGATCTTGCCCCCAGACTACAAGGCTAACTACACCAATGAGTACTTGTCCTGGGAAGAGCCAAATGAGGTCGAGGACCCATTGGAAGCGCAAAGATTGATGGCCATCCACCAAGAAAACTGCAGAGAGAAGGGTGGTTTCAAGAGATTGGAAGTGCCTTTGAAGGCTTGATAAATTCTAATCAGCCCAGACCAGAATTTTTTCTATATGACGAATCTAAATAGACTATGTACAGACGTACAACGATCAATGTTATAACCAATATTGTTCAATATCAAAAAAAACCCTGTACTGGAAGCTTTCTCTACAAACGTTAAATCGAGCATGGCTGACAGGTGAGCTTCAGGTAGAATTGCTTGAGCTTCATGTTTAGAAAGCTGTGTTCTAAAATTTAAAAATAACGACAACTGCAGGATTCGAACCTGCGCGGGCAGAGCCCAAAAGATTTCTAATCTTACGCCTTAACCACTCGGCCAAATTGCCTTATTATGAAATAGTTGGGTTAAAGCTTGACCTATATAGGTGGCTTTAGAAAACGATTATTGTCGTGTAGGGCTATCAAGAACGACTGTGATGTCTAAGTGGTTTCTTCATCGCTTGAACAGCTCCAACTTTTCCTGTCGCTAAGCATGTTAGATTCATAGCTATCCTATGTGACGTGATAGCTTCAGAACAGTACAAGCACTCATCCTGCCAGCCAAGGCGTTTTAAAAGAATCAATAACGATGTCCTCCGTCCGACTCTTGCCCTCTTGTCATTCGAACTTCAGTCTTTTAAGTAAAGACGAAGACAAGGGAAACGGGTTCTTAATCTACTTTCAGAGCCTGAAAACAACAAGACGAAAACCTAGTTATTTTTATGCCTTTTTTTCTTGATGTTTTTATGTCTTGGTCTAATTGTTCAACATTGAGCCAGTTGCCTCCATTGAACAGCGTGCAGATGAGATTGATGTCAAACAAATACCAACCAGGCAGAGTCTAAAGTATCTTAAAGCTCAATATTACAAGTAATTATTTAGTAAATAGACTCACCACATCTTCGTCATGAATCTTATGCGTCAATCCACATTTCTGTGGAGAATGCTTGGCTGAAGACCCCCAGACTAATGCATATTTGAACTTATCCTTGAAGTCTCTATGGATCGAGTGACACAAATCCCCAACCGTAGAATTGTTCCTCACCACCAAGGGATCTGAGAAATCCGGTTTTATACCTCTCTTTTTGGTAAAAACACGGCTCAGGTTAAGTTGGTACCATATTTCGTCCACGACGTCATCAAGGCCCAAATCAGTTTCGCACGACATCACTACCGTGTTTGGTTCTCTTGCTAAACGATCCACTTCCTCCAACGAGACTGCATCTATCTTGTTGTACGCGTATAGACACTTGATGTAGCTGCAGTGCTGGTCGTTCAGAATGTCAATGAAATCATCAATAGTGCACTTATCATCACGCACCAGTACATCAGCGTTGTGTATTCTGTAGTCTTTCAAAATACCCTTGACAGCTTCCTCTGTAAGGTTTGCTTTAGAAGGCGAAGTAAACGTTACTTTAACACCGCCGGTTTCTTTCTTTTTATAATAGATGTTGGGCTTTTCTTTGTTCAAACGGATCCCCACAGCTTCCAGTTCCTTTTCTAGTGACTCACGCTGGTGTGCACCCTTTGTAGCATCCAAAACCATCAAAACCAAATCCGCGGTTCTGGCCGTCGATATTACCTGTCGGCCACGACCTTTACCCTGTGAGGCACCATAAATGATACCCGGAAGATCCACAATCTGCACTTCCGCGCCCTGATATTTCAGCACACCAGGCACTGATGTAAGTGTGGTGAAAGCGTAATGGGCAACCTCAGCCTTGGTGGTCGTTATTTTACTCAAAAGTGACGATTTTCCGACCGAGGGATATCCAATCAAAACCGCACGGGCGTCTCCAGACTTGGCCACTTCAAATCCTGTACCACCACCACCTGTGGGTGCTGTTTCCTCTGCCAAAAGCTGTTGTCTTAGACGAGCTAATTTACCTTTTAGAAGGCCCAGATGGTACTCGGTCGCTTTGTTTTTTTGCGTCCGAGCCATCTCCTCCTCAATTGCCTTAATCTTCTCAATAACCCCCATCTTGATCGCGCTAGATTGTTTAATTCTTGGTGCTAGAAGTTTGTTTCTTGGTGAGTTGAACAGAGCATGCTTCTTGAAGAGGTTTGATTAAATTCGAGTAGCTTGATTATATTACTGTCGTGTGAACTGATATCAAACGTGTCTCAAACGGGTCATCGAAGCACTGAAACGGGTTGAAAACAAATACCATGGATCTTAAAAATTCAATTTCGTGAATCTTTAAACGGGTTGCACATTTATAGAACCGGGTCGCACACGGGTTTTGATCAGAACACTGCGTAAATCGATAAAACAATCGCTTATATTGTTGATTTGGATGTCAAAAAATGGGATAGCTTGCTTCATCGTTGATCAATGATGATCAGTTTCAATACAAAGTCACCATGATGGCACTTTCGTCGAGCGTCTGCCATGTCAATGTTCCAATTTTACGCTGGCAGGGTGTGCTCGTAGATAGGGTTCGGTAACCAACAGAGGCATGGCTGATGAGAGAGGCACGTTTGCGAAAGAAGAGCGTTTGTTAACATCTTAATTGCTTAAAGTCTTATTGAGATTTACTCGTCAGCTCAAAATGAAGAGACCGCGCTTGGGTCACTCTTGAGGGTTTTGACGGAACGAATTTCAAAGCGGATCATGATTAACAGTGGAGCAGGTTCTTTCAGTCTAACGGGCGAACATTGCAATTTGTTGAACAGCACTCTAACGGCTGTAAAGAATGGTTTGATTATTTATCCAGTTTTGGGAGTTTCTATGCAATCCAAGACCGCTTTGAAGCTTTGTTAGATATGAAGTGAGCTTTTTTATCGAAGCTAGTATCGATCCTTCCTTTCTCTTGTTTGTTTCCATTGAAAGAGTGCGAGCTATCCATATTTTGTTTCCGAATCTAGGTCTGTTCAGAAGCTTGAGGTCTGAGTTTCTGGTAAGCGAAATCTTATAACCTTGCCAAGCACCGAATTGCTTGAATGCGAAAACTGTCTTAGTGTCTTGCACGAATCGCGAAGGGTCCTCGATGTTTGGCTGGCATCGATGACTCACTCTGACTACAAATGAGAATTTGCCGTGAAATTCGGCTTCCGGTTCGCCTTGTGTGACTAACGTATTGGAAGCTCAAACTCTGCTGAAAGTTTTGTTTTGATCAATTCTGCAGAATGGATGGTCAAGTGTCTTTGCATCATGTCCAAGAAAAGGTTAATGCTGAGCGGGAACTTTAGAGATTGCGAAATGTAAACTACTCTCCGTCGATTCTCGTTGTTTACAATGTGTCACTGAAAGAGGCCAGGTTGATGGTCCCTCATCACTTTTTCGTGTGCTGTTGTCGAGCTGATACCAAACATCATTCACTCCTTCGATGTTCTAGTGCCATTCAAGAGGGCAAGTGATCCTATATCGGTACTTCGCGTTCCTAAAACTCCCGAAATCCATTTTTAACTCGAGAGAAAATATTGGCGTAACTACTTGAATGCTTTACCTCTGCCAGAAAGACGCTTTCGCTCAATTGACGAAAGCTTCGAAGAAGATGGATCTTTACAACTGGTCAACATCTGGTTTTCGTGAGGACCGAAAAAATTCGCCAATGCCCTTTATGAATTTGCCTTGACTGATTTGGGGGGTTCTCAGGTTAAATGTCACTAGTCCTCACTATTCCATTCTGATAAAAGAAAACCTTCCCAACGAGACAGTTGCTGTACACTTAAACTGTCCAGCTGGGCAGCTTTTTCAGTCGGAAAGAGTCATAGCTCAAGGATTCAAGTTGTCTCATAGCAAATACCATTCGACTGTTGTGGCCCAATGTCCTTCACCAACCATGATTTGGACCAATTGAATATTTAAAACCTATCGACAGACAAATTTCAGGGCCAAAATCTGACCAGTTGTGAAAATTCCATCCAAGCAAGTCGAGTGTTCTTTGTTCCGCAAAATCCTGTACCATGTACGGATATATGAAATAACAATCAGCGATACCTGAAACAACCTTCGGTGACTTTGATCTGACGCATCAGATGTTCTAGTGAAAACCGTGTTTGCCTTTAAGGTAATCCCTGCCATCAACAAAGTAACGAATACATCCATTACCAGATCAAGTCCCTTACCGTTTTGGACTAAACTTGAAGGTGTCATCTCTGCAAATAAGTTTACCACGTCAACTGCAGCAGATGAGGTGGTTAATGCAGCGAGAAGCCACAAAATTCTCTTTTCGATATTATGATCTTGAAGAGCTCCATACTAGATTACAACCTCAGCTTGGAGGGTCACGAAGGTCCTTCGACAGAGAGTTTTGATAGCTTCATTGCTTTCTGGCCCAGTCATCCGTTTGTCGGCAAGATTTCAAAAGATTACACTTGATTTTACGCCGATAGTGTTGGGTCCAGAGAAGGCTTTCGAGTCAACGGGCACTAGACGCTGTGCTCAGGGCAGCACAGATGTCAACGTTTCCATGAGATGATTAACTGGTGACTTGATCTCTGGCAGTCTCTGAAATATCACTTTGTACTAAACCGACATACTGAAAGGAACAATACGAAGTAACGAAACGTATTGGTAGTCACCGCATCGCCGCGAGCAGTTTGCCTAACCTTTCTTCAAGATGTACTTATGATTTGAGGAAGGATCTGCGACGTTCAAGAGATTATGGTGACTGCGTCGAAAATAGTGATAATAACCTACGCTCCAAAGCAGGAGGCCAAATTTATTAAACTACAGCTACCAAAACGAACAAGAAATAGACATGGACTTGAGACCCGATTAAAAAGAACTCGTTATCGTCAACTTCCAGCAGTCCAGCCATCAAAAAACTGGCCAAAATTCTTCAAATCACCAAATCACGTGATCCAAAACCAAGCACTTGGTTATACCAATATATACAATTAACACCCTTGCAAGACCGTTCTTACCAGAACTTCGACACAGACCCTGTCTGAAACAGATCAAATTCGATTCCAGATAATTTGAATAGGCTGCGAAAGCTTTATAACTAGTAGTAAAACCATCGTTCGAAAACCGTGTACAGTGATATCAAATACAATTCAATACTAAATGTTGAAGCGCATATACCATACCAATGGAACATCGAAACTACTACCAAACTCCAAGAAAACCAGCATCAACCACCATTTTGGGCTTAAACCCTCTACATATTCGAGCAACGACTCTCAAATCAAAGACTTTTACCAACTTGAGCGACAAAAAAAACCGCCGGTTCTGACTAAACGCGAACTTTTAAGACACCAACTTCAAAGCGTCACACATCTCCCTAAACTAAACCCGGTTTGAACATGTCATTTTACAACCCAGGACTAGCCAACGAAGGCAACAACTTTTACCAGTCTTCTGCTCCTTTTCAGGTTCCTCAAGGATCCATGTCTTTTTCGCAACAACCGGCATCTGGAACAGCGTTTGCGCGCGAGCCATTGGCCACCGGCCTACTTAATGCACTTTCTACTAAGGGCTATCCCGACGAGCTGCCTCTTTTGGAAGAGGTTGGGATCAACTTTTCCCACATTGTGAGCAAAACCAAAATGGTTCTCACACCTTTGCAAAGGGCAGACTCGCTTCCTCTCGATGTCGTAGCAGACTGCGATTTAGCAGGCCCGCTGATTTTCTGTCTCCTGTTCGGCACGCTGCTACTGGCTGCAGGGAAAGTGCATTTTGGATACATCTACGGTGTAGCACTGTTTGGAACAGTATCATTGCACACGCTTTTGAAGTTGATGGGAAGCGGTAGCAATACCAGCGGGACCACCGTCGATGGAGCACATCGTCAGTCTGACCAGCTATTTCTCAGAACGGCTTCGATTTTGGGCTACTGTTTCTTGCCCTTGTGTCTGTTATCCCTGGTTGGTGTTTTCGCCTCGCTCAACAACGTTTTAGGATACACACTTGCTTTGGTTTTCGTATGTTGGTGCACTTGGTCCTCGTCAGGATTCTTCACGGCTGCCATGCACCTCCACAACACCAGGGTTCTCATTGCATATCCGTTGTCTATTTTTTACAGTGTCTTTGCACTAATGGCCATATTCGTGTAAGAGCGTAAAGACCATTAAAGGGAAGACAGAAGTACAAGTTGAAACAGAGGGGCAACGTTCCATGAAGGGACACGTAAACGGTACTCCAGAACAAAAGTTCATCGCTCTCGAAAGCTTTCAAATGGTCGTTTTCTCGAGTAAACTCGAAGAACTCGCGCCCGCACGTGACCTCTAAAGCTCATCGCCCGGCCAATTTAATAGGGCTTTCCGAGCTGCATAAACTAACTTTTCATGTCCATCAACCATCGACAAAAGTATTTGGATGATAAACCTATGAAATCAAGCTTCCAGAGAACTTTGAAGGAGCTATGCAATGGCAGAATCTATCATATTACCACACCCATTTTTTATCCGAACGCCCGACCTCATTTGGGCCACTTATACTCGAGTTTGTTGTGCGATGTGAGTAAAAGATGGCATGCCATGCTGGAACAGCGAACACTCCTCACAACGGGAACTGATGAGCACGGCCTCAAAATTCAAACCGCGAGCGAAAGAAACGGATTTCAGAGCCCCAAACCGTTTGTGGATAAATTGTGCGAGGATTTTATCAAATTGGATCATCAAGCGAATGTTGACTTCACACGTTTTATTCGGACAACAGACTCAGACCACGTACAGTGCGTTCAAAAGCTGTGGAACAGGTGTTGGGAGCGTGGATTTATCTACAAGGGTAAGCACGATGGTTGGTATTCGGTCTCTGATGAGTGTTTTTATCCAGATTCGAAAATTGTGCAGATTGGTGAAAATGGACAAGAAATCGCACTTTCACACAGTGACATTGATAACAGCAGACCTTTCATAAATACTGAAACACGAAATGAGGTCGTTTATCACTCAGAAACGAATTATTTCTTTAAATTATCAGCCTTTCAGGACAAGTTGTTGTCCTTTCTCGAAAAGGAAAACCCTGAGTTCATCTATCCGGCCTCTAGGCGTCAACATATCCTTAATGAGTTGCGTGAGTCCCGACTTCGAGACCTGTCAGTATCGAGACCGTCTTCAAGGATTAGATGGGGTATCGACGTCCCACAGGATCCATCTCAAAAAATCTACGTCTGGTTTGATGCTTTGTGCAACTACCTGACCTCTGTAGGAGGGATTGATGCCGTGGCAGAGAAGAAAAAAGTTATGTTGCAACACAAGGGTATACAAACTGCACAAGACGCTCACCAGTGGTGGATAAATACCACTCACCTCATCGGGAAGGATATTGCCAAGTTCCATACCATTTATTGGCCAGCCTTTCTACTGGCAGCCGATCTGCCGTTGCCGAAACAAGTAATAGTCCATGGACACTGGCTTTCCGGCGGTACCAAGATGAGCAAATCGGTAGGCAATGTCGTCGATCCTCTGGAAATGATATCACATTACGGGTGTGATCCCATGAGATGGTACATACTTGAAAATTCACACATAGAAGCTGACGGTGATTTTCGCGAGGAGCGACTACACTCCACAAGGGAACAATTAGTTTCAAAATGGGGCAACCTGCTCAATAGATGCTGTGGTTCAAAATTCAACCTCTCGCGAGCCGTCCAGACTTTTTGTTCTGCTGGTGAAAATCGCCGGGAGCTACTGAGGTCCATAGAAGATACCGCATTCCTCTCGTCATACACAAGCTTGGAAAAGAAGCTAGAAGACCTTCCGTCATCATATCAAGAACACATCGAGAAGCTTGATACTAGATCTGCCCTGAACTTACTGCGGGATACCATCAATGAAGCAAATGCTTTTGTCCAAACCAGCACGCCTTGGCTCAAGTCAGGTATTGAGCAGGACGCCATACTTTTCATAGCTGTGGAAGTTGTGCGAATTACCGCAATCTTATCACAGCCTGTCATACCGACTCTGTCCAGGCAATTACTCGATCGTTTAGATGTTTCTGAAAGTAAAAGATCTTTGAGAGACGTACCATTAGGTGCAGACGCCGCGTATGCTTCCCGGGCCAATGAAAGGGGGCGACCAGTTCCCATCAAGAGAATTCCAGCCAGAGTACATAATTAAGATCCCCAGCCCTTTATAAGATATACGCGAAAATAGTACTATACAACATCAATTGTAACTACTTCTGTGTCCAATGTTTCCAGATCCAAAATGACGACCTCTCCCGTCTTGCTGAAATCCGGAATTGTAAGAATTTTGACATCGGCTCCGCCTTCCAGCTTCACGCTGCGTGAGGCGAAAGCAGGCTGGTTGCCAACGAAAAAAACATGAGGCAGTTTGCTCAAAATAAACGGATCGTTTGATTTGTAGGGATAACACCAAAGCGTATCCGGTGCTGTGGGTGCTATATTTTGCCATTTCAGACATCCTTCAATCATGTTGAGCCTGGTCTCCATCTCGTTTTGCTCGTTAGCCGCGTCCGGGACCACGTACTTGTATATGTCATCGATATTTTGCCCGCTAGTTCCCAGTAACGAAACACCATCAAAGTCGAGCCATACTGGATTCGTAGTGGGCGTGAAAAGCTCATTTTGAACTTTCTGAAAGAAAGGCTTTATTGTGTCTTCGAAAAGGGCCTTATGAAGCGGCTGTTGAGGTAAACTTTGGTCACTAGGATCGCGTGCACCAGGCATCAGATCTATTGGAAGTGATTGCAGCACGTTGCCTAGGAACGTTCCAAGCTCTTTCAGACAACCGGCTAGCGTAGAAGGTTCAGATGCGTTGAGGGAATTGCCACTAATGACAAGTCTTCTTATTTTAGAGACTAGCTCTGTATTAACCAAGTCGCCTGTCAGATAATCTTGTAGCAATTGCAACCTGATGGAAAGTCGCGGGTCGTCGGGACGAATATTCAGACCCGAAATGATAGCAACTTTGCCCGCATCAGGACGTTTGGGAAAGACCGGCTGAGGTAACGCAACCGGATAACATACGTCTAGAACTTGGAACGATCCGGCGTCAGCTTCCATTCCTAGAATGCCCAGCACGGTACCACTCACAAACGGTTTGGCTTTCACGATATCACCAACCAGCAGCAGACGTCCGCTTTCATCTTCTAACATGATCTCATCTGTACCGTCTGCGTCGGTGTAGCTTTTTACCAGATCTGGCGCGCCATATACGTCGTTCACCACTTCTTCGAGAACATTGGGTTTATACTTCAGCTCACAGTAAATTGTTCCGACACACCAGCATGGCTCGTTGGCTTGGATATCCAATACTTTATTCTTTTTGACCACTGTGCTGCCATTGAGCCTGAAATGAGAGTCCCATTTGATCTCACAGTTTTCAGTGACTCTTTCTCGCAGTACTTTGAGTCTATGCTGGTACATGTGAAAGTACTGGCCGTCGTATTTGCGAGATTCGTAGTCTAGCCAAAACGGGTTCTCTTTCAGCCCATTGACCAGCCCTTGACGTGTAATCGCATCGGGACTTGACTGTTTTCTCAATTCGCTGGAAAACGAGAGCCACAAGTTAGTAAAAGATCAGAAAATTTCCACAAAGAAAACGAACATATTGCTCAAGCCAATTGCATACTTAAATCGGTTCAAAACAGTGTCCATGGTTCGATTTCTGATGATTTTATCAGTGGGATACTATCTCATCGCTGTGTGGATTTTCAAAGTAAAGTTCCTGATAGTTATGACATTTTTCATCAACATTAAAGCCACACGTGACTGGTGATAGTGGAATACAGGCTTCGCTAAAGACCACGAAGTGTACCAGATGATGTTGTTCGATGTGATGCCTTGGGAGACCAATCAAGCGTCTCGAGGAAAGGACGGAAGGTAAGCTTTCTCCAGCTTCTTCCTGTTTTCTTTTACCGCTGCTCAAATAAACTTTATCGAAAATTTCCGTCTTCAATGCTGTCTTCTGTGTTGAGAGTGGGAATGGACATGTAAACCTCAACTTTTGAAACCAGCAAGGCTAGGAGCGAGCGTTACAATCTAGTTTAGAAGCCTGGCTTTTTCGACAGAAGTTTCGCTCTCGATACTCGAAAAAAAGTTCGCATTCTTATTGATAAATAATACTGGAAAGTTCGAGATCGTCAGCTGCTTCTGTAGGGTCTGACACTTCCGCTTGATTTGCAATTTCTGGTCTGGTTCCAAGTCGTTTTTGTAGATCACGAAATTCCCAGCTTACGTTACCGATGTGATTGGCAGCTTCCTCAGACACGGATATCGTTCGTTTGATCCTGTCGATATCGGCCTCACTGGTTGGAACGTGCTTCTCACGCTTGTGCTCCTTTACATCGGTAGTATGACCTACGCTCATGCCCACTTTCACCAATGTTTCGATCTGCTCGCACGAATTTTGCAGCAGATCAGTATCAAAAACGACGTCTTGCGACGGAATGACTAGCAGGATTGTTGACCCACCGAACTTAAAGTACCCCAGTTCCTGTCCTCGTTCAATCGTCTGACCTTCTTTGCACGTAAAGATGATTGACCCAACCATCATTGCACCAACGGCAATGCATAAAATTGTTCCAAACTCCGGGGAATGGATGGAAAGCACAGTGCGAACATTTTCCCCGAAAACGTCTAGTTCAGTTCTCACCGCCATCGGATTGACCGTATAATATTCTCCAGATATCTCAAGCGGCTTTCCCACGACGCCATTGCAGGGAGAATGAAATCGATGATAGTCTTGTGGTGCCAGACGGAAAATACCGATGCTGCATGAAGCATCATTGAAGATCTCAGGGTGATAATCTCCAGTTAGCTTTGCCAGTGTAAAATTTCTGCCCTTGATCCATATTTCTTTCGACGACTTGATGGTTGAAAACACTGTACATCTACTATCAGCAGGAGAGAGAAGTACCCTAGGGTCGTCAACCTCCGGAGACCTGCTCCCTGGCTTGAGCTTTCTGAAGAAGAACTCGTTGAATGTACCATAAGGCGTCTCTTCACATTCCGAGAGGTCTAGGGAGTGAAACTTGATGAATGGAATAATTTGTTTGACAGAAGCCGGGCTATCGAATTTTTTCCCTTGCTTTATGGACTGATTCTTCAACAAATTCTTGAATTTTTTGGATTGCGTACCTTTGGCATTGTAGATTATCCGAATGCCAAGTCTGACGTGTGCGCTTATTTTCTCTTCAAGAACAATTCCAGAGTCTCTATCTTGGACCAATATGTTGGCATTGTTCGAGCCCAAGGCATACTTGCCGTAAGTCAGCTTGATCAGAAACTTGGAAAACCATCTTTTTGTTGCAAAATCCGATGACACATACGACGGCCTCAACATTCGTCTTTTATCTTCGCTTGATGAGCATATCGAAAAATGTGTTATAAGGTCATTCTCGGGCAATAGCTTGAAGCTTGCACTACGCTTGGTAGTTTTACAGCGACGGGAACATAAGGGACATCTTTTAATACCCTTGAACCCGGACGAGCCCTTAGAAAACTGCAAATACGTAACCAGCTCTTTCTTGGTTAGCACATCATGAGACCAAGGTGATTTGTTAAAATGGTAAAAGAAGTCATTGATCTCGTCATAAGAAAACGTCCCCAACTTTTCCATTAATAGACTGACGTCTACAAGATCTAGTTCATCGGCTCTACAGAGCTTGTTAAGAGCTCTTTCCCAAAAGTGTTTTTTCAAATCGGAGTAGGCCGCGAACTTGAACTGTATGTTTAAAACAGGTTCAGAAGTCGTAGAATCAATGGAGTCACTGAAATTCAAAGGAATCTCTACAGATGTCCAGTCATCGCCGTGATGCCTGCCGGTTTGTTTTTGAATAAGCTCACTCCAAGACATGTCACCACTGGCTACTTTGTCATGATACGAAAACGAGTCTTTGTCGATGACTTTGAAATGAAAACTGAAATTTGTCTCGCTTGGGAAAACCTCGAAGGCGAGCCGCTCGTTAAAAGTAGGGTTCAGCGAATGTTTTTTACAGGACGTTTTGAAAACCCTACGACCAAATGCAACGATGACAAAAGGATCCATCATGTAAGTCTTGGAAAATTTGTTCTTGAGAGCTGGCAAATTAACGATGCTTTCGATATCCATGAATATAACGCCGGTGGCATGGCCTTCTTTGGATAGCTCATAGTTTTCCGTTACCATCCCACGACGTGACCGATGGGGCCGGCGGCGACGATTGGATAAAGATAGGAACCTATTAGTGCTTATCGAGTTCGTGTCGCTGGTGTCGCCGCTACCTCCCTTTGTGAAGATAGAGGGAGTTCTGGAAGTGGTAGGCGGCACAGAGACGTCAAGATCAGATCTTGACAACACAACGTCGTATTCGTCAAGTGCGGTAGCCACCTTAGCCATATCGAGGTGGTTGCTATCCACGTCGTCCGTAGAACTTAAATCATTGGAGTCGTCCGCTGGATCTTCGAACTCTGGGAGCTCTAAATACTTCCCGGTGCCAGCGTTATTATACTCAGTCCCATCGTATTCCATATTTTCATCATCATCGATTTCCTCAACATCGAAATCCTCATCATCCGCATCGTCGTCGTTGATGTCGCCATAGCCTCCCGATGCTTCGTCGACGTCTGGGTCGTCTTGAATAATTTCCTCAAAGTCTGTTGCGCTTTCGTCATCATCGTCATCAACTGGTGTGTTTCTTGCACCAGTCGCTTCGTCTACCGTAGTGGAGCTCGAGGGTAAATCCGAAATAGCAACTTTGCTGAAACTTTTGTTACCAAGACTGGGCCTTTTAGAAGAAGTTGAGAAAGAAGTATCACTAATCCATTCGTTGAAGGCTTTGATAAGGCTCGTGCCTCGTGTGCAACTCAACGAAACGGCCAGTTGAATTTGGCCTGTGGCCAAAGACGGTGGTGCGTCCTGCATGTCGTGATGCATGAATTTCAAACTGTTACGATTGAAGAGTGGATACCAAGCCGCACTTTTCAAAAAATTGTAGCTGGTAGGTTGATCCTTGCGTCGGAAAATATCACGCAGCGAGAGCCGGACTTCACCCAAATAAAGGTAGCGACTCGAACTATCGTAGCTACGAGACGCATCTTCCTGCGATCGCAGGGTTTCCACAGCGCTGTCATCCACAGCATTGCTCAAGAAGTCATACACCACTATTCGCACATACTCCGATGTTGCTTTCTGGGGTAATTTCAACTTGAGCACCTGGTTCCACGACGGCGAGCTGGTGTTTCTTTGCTTGGCAGTACGACTGAACTTGCCATTGCTGATAGCCACACAGATAGGATTGCAACCAGAGTTCTCCACTGTGATGTTGTGAGCCTGCAGGGCATGAATTTTCAAAGTCAACCGCGGTTCTCTCTTCTTGCGTCGTATGATGCCCATTTCGAGTCGGATTTTTTCACACGGGTGGAGTGGATAGTAGCTTCAGACCTAGAAAACACAATTGCGGGTCTGTTTACTTGCTTTGACGGGCTCTAGAGCCATGCTTCGGTGCTGTAGTTGTGGTCGATGGGCTAAGGTCCTGGACTCGAGCTTCTGGACTTCTTTCATAATGTATTTGTATTTATGGGTAATATCGAGAGTACTTTACGTCGATAGTGAGCGCCATACCCGTACTAAATGACACTAAATATTTTCGATTCTCTCAAAAGTTTTATCTGCTTGAAGCGAACGATGATAAGTGTCACCGTCTATCGCAGCTGATCCCAGATTACTCCGTTCTACAAGGCATTAATTTCAAAATTTCTCTTTTTTTTTCATCAAATCTTCAGCAAGTTTATTACCGTCTTTCTGGGCTCAAAAAAACCGTTAAAATTACACTAAAAATATGGTTATAGTCTTCTCAGTAGCGCCAATCTTCTCAATGGACTAGTGAGCCGGGATTCATTATTAATTAGCTATTTTCTCTGTCCAAATTTCAACCCGTTTTTTGCTTTCACAGCTGTGATTTTTCATTATGAGCTTCTGCTAATAAGATACGAAAAATTTCGATGGGTGGATATTACAAGAACATAGTGGTCTTGAACTCATCGAACGGTATCGAACACCCAAGAAGCTACAAAGAAATTTCGAAATAGAGGTCTAAGAAGCTTTAAGACTGATTCAAAGAAACTTCTGCAAATTTAGGAATCTTGTAGTTCAGATAGAATTCATTATCCGCTTTCATTACAACTTTTTTGAGCTCAAATCGGTTAGTTTTCGACGAGGTAGGCTTTCCATAAGTTCAAGTCTTCCAAAAAGCAGTATAATAGCACCCACAAGCATCAAACATGGGTAAACGGTTTTCTGAATCGGCCGCCAAAAAAGCAGCTGGAAATCAGCGTAAAAAAGAACAGGCTCATGCCAAGGAAAGAGCTCATAGGGACGCACTAGAAGCTCAAGAAGCTGCCAAATGGGAACAGGGTGCCGACAAAGGTAACCCCAAGAAAGCGGAGGAGGAACAGAAGAAACAGGCGAAATTGAAGGCGAAGAGGGACCGTGATGAACTGCTGGCAGCAGAAGAAGCATCTTTGGGCAAAGGTGGGAAAGGCAAATAATGTGGCACGACGGAACCGGTCTGGGAAGAAGAGCCAGAACCGAATAAGGAACACGTTCCCTTTGAGGTTCTGATTTGGTGTAATTGTTTTACGGTGCGAACGCCAGGGCGGGTGGAAAGCCAGGACTCATCGCCCCCCCTTTGCAATGCATTTTTTTGATAGAGTTGTGGTATGTACAACAACCCTTCTATAATAATTTTTGAATGAAGGAATGAGCAGATGTATGGGAACAGGCGGGGGAATGACTTTCAACCTTACTTGATCTTTTTGAGAACTCTGGGAATCTGTTCGTGTGCTAGATAAGAATTCACAACGGGCACACGGACTCTATCGTTGGCCTGCTCGACCCATGATTTCTTATTCTTGGACTGCCCATGCAGAAACTCTGTCCAGTCCAAATCTGCCACGGTGCGCACGCTCTGTGCAACGTTGGCTTCGAACTCGTGCTTCGTGAATTTGTCGGGAAACACCAGCACCTGATACAAATAAAACCCGTCTTTGGCAATGCCACATTTCGTGCGGCCATCGTCTTGCAAAAATTTCCATTTCGTGCTGGCATTTGTCTCGGGATTTTGAGCTTCATACATTGTTTGTTCTTCGACCGCTTGAGATCCTTGCAACTTGGTCCAGTTTTCAACGAAGCAACCGTGCAAAAAAGCTCGCAGCGAACGTCTCAGATATGCGTAGTTTCGGGGTACGTTAGAGCCATCGAGCGAGAAAATCGATTGCAGTCTCTTTAGGTTACTAACGTCGATACTTTTGCCATACTTGTCGATCCGCGATCCTTGCTCGAAAACAGTAGTGTTGGACACACTGCGTCCATTTTCGCTGCGAGAAACGTTCCCATTTAAAAAAACCTCGCCCACGATGCGCACATTGATGGCGGGTTTACTCTTTCGAAATACCGATAGAAAATGGTCTGGAGGAAAATACAGAAGCCGAAAAAAATCGCAATGGTAGACTTTACTTTGCGCTGAGAAGACTCGAAAAGTGTTCTGGTAAACCTGTGCGATACTTATGGTGCCTCGAAGCTTGGATCGAGCTTCCAAAGATGCACCACGCTTTGTTATATGTCTTGCGAGCTGCTTGTTGGGCTTGGCGAAAAAAGTGTTTTGTTCGCCAATTGTTGTGACCGTTGGAGAGGCATTAAGGGCAGAATCAAAATCATTTTTCGCACAGACCGGGCGAGTTTTCGCTGTGACTGGGTATTTGTTATTGTTCAAATTTAAACCAGCCTTAAGCTCTTTCAAAACAAGTCTTCCAGACATCCAAATCGAGTCAGGAAAACGGGAAATTTTATATAGAATAGCAGACCATGCTTGAACAAGGCCCAAAATATCTCTAAAGACTCTTTAAAAAGCGCTTTATGTTGTTTTTGTTTAGCTCATCGCAGCTTATTTGTTAACTTGAGATGTCAATTAATTGAAAATCTTACTGCTCATGCAATCTTTCTCACTTTGACGTCTGTATACGTAAGAAAGCATGAAATCCGGTTGAATATGAAAGAAATGGCCAAATATTTAGAGGGCATTCAATTTTTGAGTCTAAAATACATGTACACCTCGAGCTCATTCAATGCCCATTGTTGTCTGTGAGTTTACGCTTGTTTTTTTTTGAATTAAAACGGCGCTACCGATTGGAAAGAAAAAACTAGAATTTTACAATTAGTTTCTAGCTCGCAGTCACAGATTTTAGTAGATGAACAGTCTTGGGATCATTTCAATGCGATCGCCTCTTGCTTAAAGTTCTGCCAGACGGTGTGTGAGCAGTTCGCATCACCATACACGGCCGTGTCGCAGCTTAGCAAATTAAACGTAGAAAGTGACATCAAAAAGTTTTCTCTTTCTTGCTCTAATTCAAGACCTGAATGATTCAAGTTTGTATTTTCAACTCCCAATCTCGATATCCCAGATTTTGTGTATCTTCTGTAGGCGTTTCTGCTTTTTGAAAATGCACGTGATCAAACTTTTCCAGCGCATATAATTTTCGATATCCGGATGTACGAAAAACCTTGAGAAGCCAAGCGATGAGCTCTAACCGATCGAAGTTCAACTCCCAAATGGTCGACGATACCAAGCCAGATCGCGGACCTGAGATGGTCAATGGGATTCAATACACTCGGGGCTTGCGTATAGTGACTCCTTATTACCATTCCCGAACCTCTTTCGCAAAAGGACGCTGGCTTGGACGCAAGCTAGTGGATGTCTTAAGCGACGAGTTCAAATCTTTCTCCAGCGAACAATATAAGCAGGGCTCCCAGAAGGACTTCCAAATTATACGTGATGGTGTTCCTTTGAGTGCTGCAGAAACTTCAACGACCGAGATCCAGAACAAGGACATCATCAAAACCACTTTCCACAAGCACGAGCCTCCAGTACGGCAATGGTCTTCAGACGAAAACGACACCAAGAATGGCGGCCGAATTGCAGGGTTTGAGATCGTCCACGAATGCAGCGATCTTCTGGTCCTCAACAAACCATGTGGCGTACCTATCCACCCGACAGGGCAGTATTTCAGAAATTCAATGGTAGAAGCTTTGAAAGCGCAAGGCATGAACGTTTTCCCGACCCATAGGTTGGATAAGGTAACCTCAGGGATACTCATTATGGGGAAAAACCCCTTCACAGCTAATAAAATTCAAGATCGAATTCGGCAGCGAACTATGCGGAAAACGTACTTGGCGAGGGTGGAAGGGCGTTTTCCTAAAACACCCGACAGCATATTCCCGGGAGACACAAACTTTCCAACGGCCTCTGAAGCTTGTGCGAATGAAAGCAGGGCCACAATAGAGGAATCTCAAATGTATACTATCGAGCTCAAGAAACAATTCCCAGCCGCCTTCTCTGGTGCTCGTGATGCAGTCACTCGGTTTTATCCGGTGAAGTATTTTGCAGAGTGTAACCAAACCTTAGTAGCATGTCAGCCCATCACAGGCCGAACCCATCAGATTAGAATTCATCTCGCAAGACTGGGGCATCCCATAGTCAATGATCCATTTTACAATAAAAATCAAACAAAATTTCCAAAACGCCTGCAGTTTATGCTTGATGTGCCCAACTGGAATAACAACAATGTTGCTGCAAAAAGCTTGGAGTCATACTTCCAGGAATTTGTCCAGGAGTCAGAGTCTTCCAAGGGTCTACAGACGGCCAGCAAGCAACAAGTCTGCAACGAGTGCGACATAGTCCTCTACCCAGATCCACAACTTCGAGACCTGGAGCTCTTTCTGCATGCTTGGAACTATTCCGACTGCTCAGGCGAGCTGAGCTACGAAACGAGCCTACCAGCATGGGCTCTCTGATAACGACGCCAAAACAATAATTCATGCATATTCTGTACACACGCATACGGAAAACCTACCACCCCACAAAACTTCTTTCCACGGCTCTGAAAACTTTCAGCTTGCCGCTCTTCATATCATGTAAGCGATAACTAGCTTGTCTGGTCTTGCCGTGTTGTTCTTCAATGACTCTGAACTTATTCTTAGAAAAATCATACTCCGTAATCACAGCAGCATACGGTGTTGTATCCATTCCAAGTTCATGAGTAGTTTTTGGAAGCAGTTTTCCATGAGAATGAAATTTTCCTCTCCTTACAACCAGTATATCACCGGGCCTCACCGATTTTAGCGCCTCTTCAGCAAAGGCACCGTCAGGCGAATACGTCAGCAAGGGGACACCATAAGTTCTTGAAGCGATTGGTGGTAAAACACTTTCGGGCATCTTTTTGATTATTTCGAAAACGAAGTCTTGCGACGGTTGATTTAAGGATTGGCTGGCCATCTCAAATATTTTGTAACCTATCTTCGATGCAAATTCATTCAGCTTGTGGGCCGATGAAGGGCTTGGTAGAAACTCTTGCCAAAATTTGATCGTCTCGTGGGCTTTCGATGGGTTATACACCACCGTGGCGTGAAGTTGGGTATAGTCTTCAAAAAGAATATAGAAATCCCGCATTAACCAATGCTGATTACACCTTTTTGTGAGCATGGTTTCATCAACTTCCCAGATGTATTTCAGGCGATTATCACTGATGAGGCCAGCTGGTATTGTTTTCTCTAGCCACCACTCATTAGTATGATCAAATTTTATCGTAGGCCTGTGCCTTTCGTCATTGACCTCAAATGTCTGAGTCCGTTCCATTTGTCTGTCCTGTGGCGCATTGACGGGGGCTTGCGATGCACGGTCATTTATAGATGTTCTTCTCCTCACTGGCTGAGCTTGTGATGAATCTTTGGGCAAGGGGCTTCCTGGTGATGGGTGCGTAGAAGCAGGGCCTTTCGAAGTGGTAGGGATAGGTGGTGGACCCCTTTCACCCATGGCGCGACGACTAGCCCCATGCGCTTCATGTTTAAAAGATTCTGAGAAACCTTGGTTAGAGACTGAAGGTGGAGGGGGAGGGGGAGGGGATTTCGGCCCCATGCCTAGAGACTTTAAATTATCCGTGGCAATTTGAGGCTGAGGTGGTGGTGGTGGTACCTTGGGTGCGGCAAGATGGGGCATTGATACCGGCTCTACAGGTTGTTTATCCTTCAATTGGTCATTGGAAGGCTGTGATTCGATGTTTTCTCCTTGAGAACTTGTAGTCGTAAATTCGTTTGGCTTCTCTTGCCCTGATACCGAAGTGGGGACAGGAGGAGGTGTGGGAAGAGGTGGAACGGGAGGCATGACAGGTGTTTGCTTCTTAGAAGGGATGGGCGGTACGGACGCAGGTGGTGGAGCAGGTTTTGAGTCAGGGATAGGTGGTGCATGAGACATAGGTGCCTTGGTGATATTTGGTATAGGCGGAATTCTGCTTTCATCGACCGAATGTCTATCAGTTTGCTTAGGTTGCACATGAGAGGACGCCAAAGCTCCATCTTCATCGCTTGACTGAGATTGTTGGACTTCAATATCGCCTGTAGACTGCGAGCTGTCCACACTGTCGTGGTTCATGTGATCTTTTAATTGTAGATCTCCAGGAGACCCTGCTGCGAAGGCCGCATTTTCAAGTGTCTGCTTCGATAGTGGCGGAACATGTTTTGAATTATTCAATGTCGCTGCTGTTTCATCCACTGAGGATTCGTAACCCGTGGAGTCTGAGATTGATCCATTGATGGAGTGAGGTTTATCCACCTCTATGGTTGGCTCACGTTGGAGTGGGATATCTTCAGTCTCTGCGAAACGTGCCTCTGGCTCGTCTGACAGAATAGGTGTCTGCTCTGGCCCTTTTCCAAAATAATTACTTTCCACTTGTCCAGCTTCATCCTCTGCATCAGCAAGCATACCGGGTGTGTCAAGTGGCACATTTGATGCATTCGGTTTCACCAATTTGGCATATTCATGAGTTGGTTTAGAAACTTCTTCTCCAGATAAATTCTTGTCTTCTCGAGAGCTTGACACACTTTTGGATGCCTTGTTCTCAGCTGAATTATCGTTATCTGTGGGTAAAGGTTTCTGAGCCTTTTGAAGAGCCGCTGGGTCAGCAAAGGGAAGTACTGGAACTGCTCGTGGCAAATCGGCTTCGGAGGTCTTGTCTGCTTCCCTGTGTTCTGCTTTTTTTGAAAGAATAGTAGAGGCTCTAGTGGGCTGTGCCGGCATCCCAAATGGATTGAAAGACATTGGCATTCCCATTCTTCCAGCACCAGCAAGCTTAGCCATCCGTTCTCTCAAAGCAGCACGACGAGCTTCTTCCTCGTCCTCGACGTTATTCTCGTCTTTTTCGCTCTGGCCAGCACCGTCCTCATCGCGATTTTGTAAGCCTTCGTCGTCATTCTCCTCGTCCGAATGCGACTCAAGTGCAGGTGGCTTAGGGTGTGAGTTTTCGAATTCGGGGCTAAAGCCCGAGCCCTCCTGTGGAACGTCGTCCTCATCTCGAGCTATTTCAGATTCAGGTGTTGGCTCAATACTGTCTTGAACAATGGCTGCTTCATGATGTTCATGCCTTTTCTCCTTTTCCAATAGCTTCTGTTGTCTTTCTTGTTCCTTCTCTTGATTGATCTTTTGTTGCTCTTGTAACAACGCGATCCGTTCTTTGAGACTCATTTTAGGTTGCTCAGCCAGAATGGGTTCGTTCTCGGAAGATTTTGCAATCGTGGAAGAAGGAGGCTGACTACTTTCTGGCTGCACAGGCTCAACAACCTGAGGCTTTGAAAAAACCGACAGATCTGGATTAGAGGTAGGGGGCATTGCATGAGACATATTTGAGTGTGTCGCTTCTTCTTTTTCAACTGAACTCGCGAAGTCCAGCTGTTCATCTTGGACTACACTTGCCCCAGTATCAGCACCTGGTTTTTCCGTTTTCTCAAGGTCTGTGTCGACCGAGGTTTGTGGAGCTTCGTCACCACCATCATCGGCAATTGTTGCTGAGTCTGCTGGTTTTTCGAGATCTGAGGTAGCATGAGGCTGAGGAAGTTCATCCCCACCCTTTGGTCTTTCTGTTACCGCCACAAAAGCCTTGGGAAAAAGCCCTTCCTTCAAGTTCCCCTGTGGGTCCCGGTAATCACCAAAATACCACTCAGCGTCCTCGACGGACCGTACGGTAATTGTGGTACCTTTTTCGAAATTGAGATCGTCTTCATGTTCCGAAGAATACGGATACTGCGCTAAGACCTCGAACGGGGTGTTGGGATCGCCCATTTTTGGCCTTTTTGTTGAACTGGATAATGTAATGGGATGCTTGGGTACTGAGTGTCCGGTTTGATTCCAAACCATCCCTTTACTATGTTTGAAGATCACCAAGAACGAGCGCAGTGAGTTCGAAATCACAACTTTTGTAGACTGAGTGACGCTCATGTCCATGAAGTCGAGCATGGAGCCTCTTAATCGCATGAAGTAATCATCTAGTGTACTGGATTGACTTGGGTGGTCTATTTGGTCGCCTGAGCGGTGATCCGCAGTTTTTTTTCGAAACTTCATAGTTTGGTCTCAACTTTAGAAACTCCGAGCGAAAAGCCTAGCGCCCGAATAGCAATTTGATTTCAGCATGTTCAGATCATAGATTTGGGCATGCTTTCAATGCTTGTGGGAATTGGCTCGAGATTTGGAGCTACGAATGGTAGCATCGAACATTAGATGTCGCAAAATTGACAAAAACGCAACGTTAACGACAGTATCAACATTTGACAGGTTATTTGAAGCAACAATGAAAGTGTAATTAGAATTTCGTGGAACCCTGAACTTGGCCGATTGCAAAACTGGCAATAAGTTTCGAAGGTTATGGGGGCATCAATATCTCGGTGTTCACCAAACGTTCCTAGACCAAAACAGAACTCCCAGCTGCAACTCCCAAATCAATCAGTTCATAACTCAAATACTTTCAGATCCAGCTTTTCATAAAGTGAGGTCACTTTGTCTCAATAGTGTTTTCACAGGCTAGATGCTCAGTGTGTCCAATGAAACCGGGTAGTCTTGCGCAAGATTACGGTTGCGCATCATTCCTTGATCCTATTTAATCAGTAGCATTGCTAAAGAAAATGAAGGTTTATTTTACTCTGGAGATGACTTACTTGGTCCTGACAAAAATTAGCCGCCGAAGTCGACATCTAGTCCAATCTCGACGCTAAAAGTGGCCAAATATAGCTGGAATTTGCGAGTTACACAGGAGTGTTGCGAGTTCGAAATTCTTGATAACCTTTCAACATAATTTATGGTCTTTTCAAGCAATGTGTTGCGGGAAGAAAGAAGGGATAGAGCTGTGAATTATGCCGGTTTTTATAGTCTTTCCTTATGGGCACGTGAAAAGCACATGCCCATGTTGATATCTAATAATCTGGCATTTACATCGAAATTACCTGGGGAAGAAACATTACAAGAAACCGATGAGGTGTCTGGTACAAGCGCCGCTAAGGATCAAGAAAGCTCAAGCTTAAAGCTTTCAGGAGCTCTCTATTTGTTTGATTCGTGTGAAGTTTGCTTCTAGAAGTTTTTCAGGCTGTCAAAACGGTGATTTTTGAGGTCAACTGCAAAGTCTTCTAAGTGCTCATGTTCAAACTTCAAAAATAAACAAAACAGCCCGATAATCCTGCCACTTATGATGAATAAGTCTATCGAACGTGTCATCGGTGCAATTGCGGATGACGATATTACGCTTCGGCGGCTTTTGAAGCGGATTCTGGCCGTATATGGTCTTTCAGGCGTATTAACTTTCGCGAAATTGACAAATCTGAAGAGCTCATCGCAGCAAACCAAAACGGTTGCTCTTTTGCAAGCGTTCAAGACCGCTTCGTGGATCTGTGCTTTGCTTGGAAGTTATCCGGTTTTGCACAAGGCATTAAAAAACAAGACACTGGCTTTTAACGGCGCACTGCTGGCAACCACACAATTAAAAGTGCCGCCTTGGGTGTCAACATATCTTGCCTTCGAGTCTGTTCTAGACTATATTATTAAGACCAGCAGCATTCCGAATCTGATGTCTCAATTGAGTAATCATAATGCCAATTTCATCCGACAAACGCTTCTTTGTTTGTTGATACCATGGTTGCGGGACGCCAGTAATCCTTCACGGGCCAAAACTATTCTTTTTCAACGCAAAACTCCCCTCAGAGACTTCGTAACATTGTTCGCTTTGTGGAATTCGATTTCGCTCTACCAATATCTCAAGTCGTCTCTGTACAAACAACGGCAGCGTCCCAAACGGTACAGTATCGAGACGAACGGTATCCAGGATTCAGTAACACTGAATTCGCGTTTGTTCAAAGATAAATGGAAGGAGATTAATGAAATGACAACGTCGCGATCTGTGTGGGAAAAAATCGTAGGTTGTTGCTGCGGTGAAAACCTGCATGTACCGCTTAAGTGGGTAGCCTGGAGACAACTGCTGTGGGCGCTGCTGAACACCAAGTCCCGCTACAGTTCGAATTTGCAAGTGTCAGCGTTGCTGATGTTCGGTGTTTACGTGCTAGACAGCAAGGAAAATGAAATGTTTATGCGACCCGGGGTGCTTAAATACCTGATGAGGCTTTGGATTACAGACCGGATACACGACAAGCCAGACTGGCAGAACCTTTTGTTCTGGACTGGTGCTAACTTGTCTTGGTACAACAAGATACGGACGCAAGCTCTTTAGCTCAGGAACAAGATATGGATGCGCTGTTAGAGCCAGGGCTTATTCATGTCCTGTCCAACTCAGCCTGATACCACTATAATTGTAACAGATTGCTATTGACAGCCGCTTCGTTTGTCCAATTCTGTATTTGATTTGATTTGATATTTTTACGGTGTTTTTGATAGGAAGAAAAGATTTACTGCTCTATACATCCGCTGTTGCGCTTATGGGAACTATGCTCCTGGCGCACTGGGGTTTCCCTTGACCTTAAGAAGGATCTCCTTGAATTTGGACCGATCTCTGCCGTTCACAAGGTCTGCGTCATCCACGTTTATCAGCTGCAGCACACGGTCCCACGTCGAATTGCCCTGGCTGGAAAACTCCTGCTTTTCTTTGAGAAACTTTTCGGCCTCTTCTCTTGTGCTTTTGATCTGCTGTTCCTTCTTGCGGTTGTAGTTTTCGTAGAAATCGTCCATGTGTTTTACGGCTTCCTCTTGTAGCTTGGTTTTGGCCTCCTCCTGGACTACGTCTCGTTCTTTGACTTCTCTGTCCCGGGACTCTTTCCATTCGGCGATCGCCTGCGATTCTGTTTGTCTCGACACCGTATTCTTGGCCTGTGAGTCTTGTGCTTGATCGTACAGGTCGTTTTCGCCTGTTGTCGATTCGCTGTGGTGCACTCCGGTGTCTTCCGAGTCCGCTGGTACTTCTGTGAAATCGCCGAAGTCTTCTTCTTCGTCGTTTTTCAAAAACTCCGAATCTTCCTCGGTCTTGAATTCGTCTCCTAGCAGTTCTGCCTCTCTTTTCAAGAAATCTGTTTCTTCACGTCCAGAAGCCACTTCTGATTCGAACGTTTCGTCCTCCAAAGGTGGGAATTTTTCGGCCATTTTTTCAAATGTGGGATAAAGTTTATGTGGCTATCCTATGAACTAAAAATCTCGAGCAGATCAGTAACGGATGCCGAGTTTCTTGCTTGAGAACTTTGTTTTGAAGTTTATGAAACTTTGAGTTGACAAGTTTTCGAATCTCTTTGACATTAGAATAATATATTCAAATCATTCCCCTATTGTATTAATACTGTATAAAGTTGAAAAAGATGTGAAGAATATATGGACTTGTAACACGTGATTGTCGCGTGACACTAATCACATGATTTAGGCGTGACAAGCACGTGGCTATTTATTGGCGCCTGAAGAGTGTGGATTACATAAGCAAAGTGCACGAGTAAGTCCATGCTCGAGATCTTGATCAACCGATCAACCGATCAACCCATCTATCTTTTATCTACTTTACAACACCTTGATCAGTAGATTTGTATCTTTACGCTGCCGCCAATGGCCCGCACCTCTTGCGAATCCAGATCCAGGACGCGAAGTCCTGGAATCCCATTGAAGTAGCCTCTTGAAATCGAAAAAAACTCCAAATTCACACACAAGGTTTCGGACGGCTGTAGCGTTGGAAGTCGACGGTCGTTCGACAGTAGTACGATAGTCTGTGTATTTTTCATCCATCGTTTATGCAACATGTACTCTTTCTCCACTGGGAATTGGCCCTGAGGCTCCACGGCCGAATTTGAGCAGTAGACAACCAGGTCCAACGGCCCCGGTGAGTGGTTTATAATCTGCAAGGGCAGAGAAAACTTGGCACCCATGGCAAACCTGGGTGGCTGAACAGCCAAGAAATCGAAAGCTACGCCGCTGAGCTTGTCTGTGGCGACTAGGGAGTTGGTGGAAGCCGCAAATTTCATAGACGGCGTATGCATGGGTGTTGACATCACTGAGGTGGGCTGGGACACCAGTCTCGCCATGGCATTCGATCTTCGCAGCGTGACGTCCGTTTCCCAGGCAGTTTTGACCGCGAACTCGAAGCGCTGTGTCTGTACGGTGTATCGGAGCAGCACACGCACGCGGTGGGAGTCCAGGGTTTTCGTTTGCGGCAGCGCGTAGTTGATACTGTAACTATCCCAAACACCAAGCGTCAAACCTGGCTCTAAGCTGCACACTGGATTTACAGCAGCACTGGAGTAATTGTTCAGCACCCGATAGTCGATTTCGTTCATCACAATCTTGAACTCTGCAAGACCGTACTGGGTCATAAGGCTGTGACACGATTTGGACGTTTGCAAATCGAGCGATGAAAAAATGCACTGCTTGGCAGGCAATGCAACATTGCGAAGTCGAACGTTGAGCAAGGTGTGGATTGGAAATGACGTTTCTACCGCGTGAAGCTCTATTTCAGATGGTTCCTCATCCACGGGTTTGGGAGGCTTGACTGTTCCCAAAGGCTCGAAACTTGGCAAAAGGGGTTCTTGTGCCGTTTCCGACTCGGCACTATACGGCTTGGATTCTTGCTCGAGCTTTTGAACCGCATAACAAGCTTTGATCAGCCATTGATTCTTATGGCCGTTATTCATCACCATATTGGATTGAAAAATGTAGTCGTCTACAACCGATTTTTGTAGCTCCCAAAGACCATCACCATGATTGAGCAAACATTCTTTGGGTCGATCCGTGTTGAAAACGCATGCTTCATTGATATACACTTGAATATCGTGAATTGTAGAGTTGGATTCCAGTAGCAAGAAGATTCTCAGATCTTCGTCAAAGACCACGAATTTGCGGTCCAAATGCGACTGCTGCAACTGCTTCACATCCTCATCGATAGTCTTGCTTAATGGCACCAATAATTCCATGCCAATGGGTTCTCTATCGAGTCTATTTGAAGTTGATGGCTTATTTTGTTAGAACCGTTGATCTAAGATCAGGTTTACATCTATGCATTTATTATTATACGGTAAGGTCCTCTATCAATCGTGGAACTAACATTGAGATTCAAAAGGGAAAGAAATGTAAGATTATAAGGATTTTTCGAGGCATTGAATGTATTTTTGACAAGAGAATGGACCTAATGGTCTTTTTTCGAGTCGATTTGGATAAAATTTCGGTGTTCTCGAGAATTGTATGTATAAAACTTATGAGCATCGACTTTTGATAGGCTTATTCTTACACCTTGAGATTTCTGTCTTTCCGATGGCTTTTCGCTTGCATTGACTGTTCAACTGCGAACCTGGCTCGTAACAGATACGTTCGTTATTCAATGAGACCGGGTTTTCGGTCTGGTATATAGATACTCTCTATATGCGCGAATTGGACTTGTGCAGTTCCCTACTATTTACACGACTGCTAAGCGAAAGGTAATCCGTCGTGGGCATCGTTACAAGTAAACCATTCTCCCGAGCTTGTTGAAGCCGATTTTGCGGTCTTTTTTCGAGTCGCGATTGCCAGAACCGTAACGCAAACCGACATCACCAACATGAGCGGATTCAAATTTGAACAAAGACCTTTCACCCTTGTTCAGTTGACCAAAGATGATCTTTTTCTTGTTATGCGAGGGCGCAGATGTATTGTGATCAGCAGAATGCTCTCCTAGGGTTGCCAATTTTTCCAATGTTTCTGCAGCAGGTTCTAGTTCCAGTACCTTGGCAGCGTCCACGGGCCCGAAGGGTTCTGACTCGGCAATAGTCACGAAACGCGACCGCAGTGCTTTTGCTGGGACTGGAATTTCCGAAAGGTTTTCTCTGGAGGCTTCAATCCGAGGTTCGAACAACGGGAACATTTTGTATAGGGTAGAAGCCATGCTTTTGAGTCCTGGTGCTATGCGATTCTGAAGAAAAGACAAAAAAAAAGTTAGTAAAATGGGAAAGTTTAGGGTTTCAACCCCGTCACACATTGCCTACATTCAATGCCAATTTCGCAAAGTCTTGTATCGTCAGAAATAGTATGAAATTTTAACCATTTGGTAATGTCTTCAAGACTAATCGAATATTTTTTCATTTTAACTCATCATGATAAAGAAAGACTTTGACTCGAAGGCCACTGAATGTGAAAGGAAAAGGTTTCGCGGGTTAATATCAATAGTTGCAAAGAACATACGTTTTTTTCCCAATTTTGTTCGATATCCATAAGTTTCACAGCAGCCTCAACGCGCGGGATCTTGAGCCCGTAGCGCTGTGACACGACCTGCGTCGAGAGCTGTTTGTTTTGAATATCATCGCGGATTTGAAGCTTGAGCTCTTCGCTGAGAACGCGGTTGGTAAAACAGTGTTTGTTGCCTGGGAAAGGCTGCAGTTTCCGGTCACGCGAAGCTGCAGAGCTTCTTTGGAACCGCTGCGAGGCCGCAGGCGCCACAGACCCGTCTGCTTGTAGCGTGAGGGGCTCCCCTGTCACTGGATCCTGCAACGACTGACCCTTTTCGAGATCTGGCGTTATATACCTGGGTTCGTGATTTTGCGGTACTTCGAAATACCGGTTTGTCACGTAGTCACCCTTGAAGTTGCGAGGACCCAAAAACTGACGCATGGCATATTTCAGGTTACTGTCATGTTTCTTGGGGTTCTGTTTGCCCAGTCTTTTGAATGGGTAAAACGGATATGCGATTCTTCTTCGTGAAATGAACCGAACTTGCTGTGTTTGAACCGGCGAGATTCCTGGAATGGAATTGGGTTTGGTCCGAAGACTACTACTCAACATTTCAAGAGAAGTTAGAAAAGCGAAAAGTGGTGGGTCTTTGGCAATGGATTCGAACCAGTTTTTGTAGTTTAAATAGTTTTCAAGATCGATGAGAAGATTTTCCAGTAGCGTTGAAAACAATTATAATTTTATTTTCGTCATTAATGCTTCGAAAAATGGCAATGACGTAAGCAGTCTGTATCACGTGTAAGGTAAGCACGAAATTCTTGACATTGCAATAGCCGAATAACGTGCAACGTTTTGCCATCTCAAAATGGTCAAGAGTTTAGTTCATGGTTTATAAGATTAGTCTGAAAGAATCGGCTTGAAATTAGTGATATGTTTGCAACATCATTTTGGTTTTACTCCAAAAATTGGCGAATTTACATGATATTCGAGACATTAGCCAAAGGAGAAGCAAGCCCTTCAATGGGCTATATAATTAGATTATTGGTAAAACCACAAGGTGTGTAAAACCGTCATAAAAAACCTGAGTTTTAACTGGTCACGTGACGCGTGTCAGATGAAAGATTTGCCAATTCATCTAATGGAAATGTTGTCTAAAGCGTGATGGCCTAAGAAGTTACGTTTTGATGACAATATGTCCTCCGTAGTACTCAAAGGTTATCAGCAGGTATGCTTCTTTGGCTGAAAGTGTATTTTCAGACTAAGTAACGTCCAGCACGTGACAATACTACAACGGAGGATTTGAAAACTAACCGAGAAACGTGGAAAACAGATCGGACCACAAGTAAGGGTTTCATGAAAAAGAGTGGTGTTATCCGTGGCTCATCAGATCATGTCACTGCAAATTTTCGATTCACGAAATATGACGCTGACACGTATCACGATAGGGAGCTATATAAGAAATGATGGGGCGTACTCGAGTGTGTTTTTCCGTCTAAAAGCATATACAACATAGTCATGTGATGAGCTACTCATTTCACATCTCTGCTCAGTATTTCACTCAAAAGATGGTTTTTGACGGCTCAAAGTCTCAAGTGACCAGTATTTAAATCAACAGTAAATACCTCAACTCTCAGACGTTGCACTCTCAGACCTTTTTAACGCTGATACCCAACAAAATATGGATCACATCATACGACATAAAGTATTCTCAGAATTTATTTGAACCGCGTACTCGACTTTTCCCCCGCAAACAGGTAAGTAAAACATGATGCTGAATACTAAGCCTTAGCGATCTTTGAACGGCAAAGTTTGGTCATGTCGCTCTTTGAAACATGTCTGCAATTATCACCAGTCACGTGATAGAAAGAAGAATCCTTATTGTCATGCACGCCAGGCGGCCAGAAAGCTTTCCGACCACTCAAACGATACTTCTTCTCGAGTGGAAGTACTGATGCTTCAAATAGCATCATCCTTTAGCTTCAGGTTGGGCATCTATAGACTACATTCGTTATATTCGCAATCAATATCACTTCATACGAAACGCCAAACCTGCAGGTTTATAGACGCGTTCAGCTCATCTCCATCTCAAAATCATACACACCAACTCGACTCCCAGCAATATCAACCAAAGCGCCCAGCTGCTAATCTCCTGGTTCATAATGCAACGAACTCCGCGATACCCAGATTTATACAATGCCAGCATGCAAGACGCCTACAATCAATTGCTGTCTGAGAGAAACCACGAAGATCAGGCGGTAAGTTTCAAAGATTCAGAAGGTGAAGGACACGACGGTAAAGACTTCAGTGACGATTTTAGTGACGAAATCAGTGAGGACTTCTCTAACGATAGGTTGGACATTAGTGGTCGTTCAAGCCACGGAAGATCAGAGCTGGACGATGATTACGAACAGTTTAAGACGTCGTTGATGCGCGATGACTGGCCTGAGCAGGAAGAAGAAGAGGATGACGACGACGATTACGAAGACAAGGATTATACAGAAGAAGCAGATCGGAGCTTCATCATGGAAAGTGACGAGCCTGATGCGGAACCGTGGAATTTTGAAAATCGTGGAAATTCAAGGGCTGGCATACTACCGAAAAAAGGCGTCTTCAACACTGCGGCACTCATCGTGCTATTTCTAATAGTCACAATGTTTTGGAGACCATGGTCCACATCACACAAGTTGGAAACATCCATTTTCGATGAGCAGCCTTCTGCCACCACAGGAAATGCTCAAATACGCGCGCAACTCAACAGTCTGTACCGGGAACTTCAAGACGACCGGAAAACTGCGAAGAAAGAGCTTGACAACGCGATCCGCTTGGTTATCTTGCAAGTCGAGAAAAACATCAAAAAACTGCTACCCAAAGATATGGCATCAGTTCAATCGCAGATCGAGCGTCTTGACAGTCAAGTGCAAGATATGTCACGTAGCGTGAGTCTGAACAATGTGACTGAGTGGCAGGACTCTTTGGTGGCTGAACTGCATAATCTTCTGCCTGAACAAATACCCGTTGTGTTGAATAACTCCACCAAAGGCCTAATGGTAGTGCCAGAACTTCACGTATACTTGGCAGAGCTTATACCGCAAATTGTCAACAGGACCGTTTCGATAGCTTCTACACAGCCATTCCGCTACGACGCTGGCCAGTACGTGCGGGAAATCCTCAGAGATGAATACCAATACGTCGACAAGTCCTATTTTTTAAAGGAGCTAGACTCGGCTTTGAATTCCAACAAGGAGGACATTCTACGCGAGATGGAATCTCGAATCTCGATTTTAGAGAACGTACCGCAGCAGTATTCCAATGTGTTGCAGCGCAGGCTTATTCACAAGATTTACAACGCTAACCAACACCAGTGGCAGGACGACCTGGACTTTGCAACTGCGGCTCAGGGCACCCGTCTCATCAATCATTTGTGTTCCAAGAGTTTTCAGGGCACTCAAGGCATTCCCTCCAATGGAGTGTCTCCACTCGATCTGCTTATGGATTTCCAGCCTGCACCTTCGACCTACTGGCTCTGCAGCAACGACAGAGGCTCTAAGGAGTGTTCCTGGGCTGTGCGTTTTGCACAGCCACTTTACTTGACACGCATATCCTACGTGCATGGCCGTTTCACAAACAACCTTCATCTAATGAATGCTGCCCCGAGCACAATCTCGGTCTACGTCAAGCTGCAATCCTCTGGCAACGATGCAGCATTTCGTCGTATAGCCACCGAGAACGGTCATGGATCCGCCTGGGCTCAAGACCGCTCCTTCATCGAGATTGGGTCTTGGAACTACGACACTTCTGACCCTCGCATTCGCCAGAATTTCCCTCTGCCTCCGTGGCTCATACAATGCAAACCCCAGATTAGAGCTCTGGCCTTAATTGTTCGCTCTAATTACGGAAACGCCCACTATACAGCGCTTCGCAAGTTCGTCGTCAATGCTGTCACTGTACAAGACCTGCAGTTGAGCTCCAGCTACTCTCAGTCACAGCACTTTGAAATTCCAGAATATGCCTCTCCTATGCAAGACTCTGAAAAATTACGTGCATCCCAGGTTGCCGCCTGGCAGCTTCGCAATAATCATAATCCATCATCACAGGGCGGTGTCCACGAAGATGTCCCCTCTTTCGGGCAAGACGAGTTCGACGACAAATAAGCCGTGGTCAACAACCTACTGAGGGTAAGAATGAAAGCAAGAAAGAAAGAAAAAAACAAAGGTCAGAAACTGCTCAAGACCTGATGCCCTAGTTTATGTCAACCGCTTCCGAGGTGCGCCTGTTATCTATCTATCACCCATGATCGGCTGTGCTCTAATTTTTTGCCATTGCCTGCGAAGATAGGTGCGTCCTTCGGTAAATGCTAAAATTCACCACAGTAGCAAACATGACAACACTGCAAAAAAAAAACCGTCCTGCTGAGATTACTATATCAGGGAAACTGCGATGCCGCCATGAACGTTCGGTCGGTTAAGTGTTCATGAAGGGTTGCCGAAATGATATAATCAGACTGAGATATTTTAAGAGAGAAACAGAGAATAGAGGTGGTCGCTAACAAGAGTTGAAAGAAAACCTTTCGTTTACCGCATTGTCCAATCAACCCTATAAAAAGAAGGCAACGTTGAGGATAACGTGAAAGTTACAGTAAAATCGTTGTTGCTGAAATAATAGTGTGGTGCGTTTGTTGCTAAAGAAGATGAAATCCGTATTGGGACTTAAATTGCCGGGTCTTTCTTCGTCGGAGACCTCTTTTGAAAAAGCATCCAAATTACAGGCAACACCAGAATCAGGGAAACCTCAAAATGATGTTTGGGAGCCGTTGAGGCCTTTGCTCATTTTACTAGATTGTCATCGGCGGAAATCTTATCTTTCATGGACCGATGTGGGTGAGATTTTGCTGCAAGTCGGTGGTCAATCAGACGTGGTGCCGGTTACAAGCGTGGCTTTGAGGGGCACAGAATTGCAATTGGTGGTGCAGCCGAAAGCTCACGAATACGACAACTGTATGATGCTAGACGTGGCAAATGGAATTTCGCCCATGAGCTGGAGATTGGAACAGACCTCGCTCGTTTTGAATGACGGAGCCCTGACGTTGTGGTGCCGTTCCTTGGAAGGGCAGGCAGACTTACGTCTTCTGTACGATATGTGCATGCTCGCGAGATTCGAGTACATGTCGCTATACAAGGCGCTGACGGCTACGGTGATTTCGACGCATGGAAGCCAGATGTCGGACATTGCAGCCGTTTTACTCGCTCAGCATAGCTACAAGGACTGGTGCTACATCAGCATCGATGGGGAATGGGTCAAGGCGTGGTGCCATATCGACCGGAGCCCCAAACGTGCGGGCTGCCACGACGGACGCCATCAGATCAAGTTTTTCCGGGACTCGAAATCGCTTAATTCCAAAAACCTGCTTTGCTTCATACCGGATTGTGGTGAAGTCGAAGATTTGTTTTTCGTAGCTGATCAAGATGACGATGTGACACAAGTGGATCTTGCAGACAGGTATGGAGCAGGGTTTTCATCTCATCTCAAGGGAACTGGTTCCCTTTCGGACTCTTTTGAATCGTCAATGGCGAGCCTGCTGTCGAAACTCACGACAGTCCGTATAGTGGGAGATGTTTACTTACCCGCTGATGGCGCTAGCTCCGAGTCTAGTGGTAGCAAATCCTCGATTCTAGGGTCTGGGCCTTTCTCTCCGAAGAAGAAGCGCCGGAATACGGTTTCGTTTAACGGAAGTAGTACATCGTCAAGTGAGCGCTCCACACCAAGCCACAAGCGCTCGGTATCGATGAGCTCCTCCGTGCACCATCCGCAAGCGAGCGACTATGACAACAAAAGGTCTGAAATCCTGATAAAACCTATCGCACACAGCGGAGTCAACCACCTGGAGTCGCTGATCCGCTGTGCGCTGCCTATGATGAGCTGTCTGAGCTTGTACGGCAGGCCCGTGCATTTCAGCAACTCTCGTGACGATCCAAACTCACTTTTGTTTGGCCTTCCTCGGCTACCCGTTGTTGACTATTTTGCTAGAGAAGAGATTAGGCCGTTGTTCGAGTATCTCGAAACAAGTGTCGGAGAATCCGAGTCGCTAAACAAGACGCTAGCTGCACAAAAACAGTTTTTGGCGCAACAATTGGCCGATCCAAATCGTCGCAACCGTACTTTCACTACACTCGAGGATATGGTTCGTACCGGATCAGATTTTTCGGTTTTCACAAGCTCAACCACTGGCTCAGTCAGCAATTCGCCGTTGATATAACAAGGTGGTTCTTCAAACACTGCACCAAGAGCTGTATGATTAGTTTAATGTAGATTTAATGAAATGTTATGGATTGCACAGAGAGCTTGAGCCACTGACTAGCTGGACGATAGAATTCGAAACACCCACCGATCGAATGAAAAGAAGAAAGTATCACCAAGGTAGAGTTGAGATGCTAGTCACGAAGTTTGTCAACCATGGGGAGAAAAACATTGGTGAGAATCAGGGTGTACACCTGCACTATTCGCGTACTGGATACTCGTAGGTAGTAGGTGAAGCAGTGACATGATAGTACATAGTGATAATATAAACTGCTGATATTTTTTTGAATTGGATTCAACAAAGAGATCCGCCAAAAACTTCTAGAGTTTACACATCCTCTTTGAAGCTTAGAGCTGAGCTCAGGTGGCCACAAGATCTCTATGATTAGTTTTGAAGATGGTGATGCTATTTTCGTTGAAGATGATCTCAACTGCCTATAAATATTAGATTCGGGGGCGGCTATTTTTGACCCTTACACTTCACTAAAACACCAACGATTGTCAAAAAATGGCGCTGAACATTGATGGAGGTCAACCAAGAGCTCCAAAAATCTACTCGTTTACTCCCGGTTACAAGTTTCCTTTGGAACAAATCGGAGTTCTGATCCCCAGTTTAGCAGAGTTTAGTTGGTCTTTGAATATTCCCAATTCTTAGCTTCAATGGCAAAGCTTGTTGCATGGTGATTGAAGATTTGATTATTGGAATCCGGAGAGGGCAAATGAGCCCTTGAGCTATGGTGACTTGCTCATGTCGCTTGAACCGAGTTCAAGGCAGCAATTTTAAGGGCGGAAAATGGATCTAACACAAATATCGTTGAAGTCGTTTTGCAAATTTCAGTTTTTGGGACATCGATAGTTTGTCCGGAACGCAGTAGGTTCGAAATCATTCCGGGCCTCTCGGTTGTTTCAAAGCCTTAAAAGTTTCAATTCATGGATTTTATGTTCAAGATGCGTTCGTGAGTTTCCCAAGAGTTCTAATTCAGAAACCCAGCAACAAGCTAAAGAGATGATGCTAACTTCGGAGTAAAAAGTTTTGTCATACCACAAAGCTTTCCAATCTCCCATTAATGAATCAGACATTGCAAGTCTTTCCACTGACTTTCAACAGAAAAAACAAAGGCGAGTGGCAAAACCAATATGAGGTCACTTCGAAAGCAGGAATTGGCGAAAACTTTGGTCTTCAACGTAATCGAGCGGAGTTACCATGCAACGTCATTACGAAAGCACTTTTGACTGAAACTTGAACCGAAAATCTTCGTCAAAACTCACCTCTATCTGAAAAACCGTATATTCCCAGACTCGCAAGGAAAAGAACACAGGAAGCCCCCAGGCAGCATTACGTTATCGATGGAATGACCTCTGAACCTGGCGAACCCGAAATTTCCATGCTGCCGCTTGATGTTGGCGTCAACTTCACTTCAAGCACATGACGTGTATTTCGTACTCGTACTCGTACTCGTACTCTTGGCCATAGTAAATCGAAGATTTGAAAAATTGCCACTTTTACCAAGTTAAACATCTCTTCTCTGCTGCAAGAGTCCATCACACAGCTAACTCGTCACTGTATCCACCCCCAATGCAAGCTCCCGTGGTGTTTATGAACACGTCGCAAGAGCGCACGACCGGCCGAGAGGCCCAGATCTCAAATATCACAGCGGCGAAGGCTGTTGCGGACGTGATCCGCACCTGTTTGGGCCCCAAGGCCATGCTCAAGATGCTGTTGGATCCTATGGGCGGTTTGGTATTAACTAATGATGGACACGCAATTCTGCGGGAAATTGACGTTGCCCATCCTGCTGCGAAGTCCATGCTTGAGTTGTCGCGTACCCAGGACGAAGAAGTGGGAGATGGTACTACTACAGTGATTATCTTGGCAGGTGAAATTTTGGCACAATGCGCCCCATACATTATCGAAAAGAATATTCATCCTGTGGTTGTTATTCAGGCTCTCAAGTTGGCTTTGAGCGATGCTCTTGCTGAGGTAGAGAGGGTATCGAAACCAGTAGACGTTGAAAACACGTCCGCGATGATGAAACTTGTGGCAGCTGCCATTGGAACCAAATATGTAGCTCAATGGAGTGACCTCATGTGCCAGCTGGCCGTTGATGCAGTTCGTTCTGTTCGCGTGGGAACTCCGGGTGATGCTTCCGCTCCTGTGGAGATCGATACCAAACGTTATGTGCGCATTGAAAAAGTACCCGGTGGAGATGTTACCGAATCCCGCGTTTTGAAAGGTGTCATGCTTAATAAAGACGTGGTACATCCTAAGATGGCTAGATACATTGAAAACCCACGCGTGGTTCTACTGGACTGTCCTCTTGAGTACAAGAAGGGTGAATCTCAAACAAATATTGAAATTACTCGCGAGGAAGACTGGAATCGTATTCTGCAGATTGAGGAGGAGCAAGTGCGTTTATTATGCGAACAAATCCTATCTGTCAACCCAACAGTGGTCATCACCGAGAAGGGTGTTTCAGATCTTGCTCAACACTATTTGCTGAAAGGTGGCTGCAGCGTTTTGAGACGTACAAAAAAATCTGACAATAACCGTATTGCCCGAGTAACGGGTGCCACAATCGTAAACAGAGTGGAAGATATTAAAGAATCTGATGTGGGTACGCAATGTGGTACATTCAAGGTGGAGCTGATTGGTGACGAATATTTCACGTTCCTTGATAACTGCAAAGATCCAAAAGCTTGTACTATAATCTTACGCGGTGCTTCCAAAGATATTCTCAACGAAATCGAAAGGAATCTACAGGATGCCATGGCTGTGGCCCGCAACGTCATGCTTTCGCCTTCGCTATCGCCAGGAGGAGGCGCCACTGAAATGGCTGTGTCTGTAAAACTGGCCGAGAAGGCCAAGCAACTCGAAGGTATTCAGCAGTGGCCATACCAGGCTGTCGCAGATGCCATGGAGTGTATCCCACGTACATTGATCCAAAACGCAGGCGGAAACCCAATTAGAGTGCTCTCACAGCTAAGATCTAAACATGCTCAGGGCAGCTCGACCGCGGGTATTGACGGTGATACAGGTAAAGTCACCGACATGGTTGAATATGGCGTTTGGGAACCAGAGGTCATTAAACAACAAAGCATCAAAACGGCCATTGAAAGTGCATGTCTTCTCCTGAGAGTTGACGACATCGTTAGTGGTGTAAGAAAGCAGGAGTAATAGGAAAGTTTGGTAACTAGTTCTGCGATGGAAAGTGTATTGCCTTACTTATCTAAATTGTATATATCAGTCTGTATTTGTGAAGTACAAAGGTCAGATTGACTTGTGAATGTTGTGCATTGCTCTTTAAAAGAACTCATCTCCTAGATTTTGTCAGATCGGATTCTAAGCTCAATACCTTGGCTTTCAGGCGGTGTCCGCTTTGCTCCAAGGCATTCTCTAGGCTGAGTCTATGGTCCCTCAAACTCGATGTGATGGGTAACTGACCTTGTGAACCACTGTTCAACAGCATATCAAAGAGAGGACGCCAAATGTCCTGTCTCCAATACCTTTTGAAGCTATGCGTCAAAGCATACTGACAGTTTGGTAACGCCCGCGTTTCAATAAAACTTCCAAATAACATCGCATGAATTATCCCTGCCAAACCGTAGTAATCTGCTTCGTACGTCCAAGCACGTCCCTCTCGCATTTCTGGACAGTCCTGTTGATCTGTCTTCCAATCCGCCTTGAATTTGGCTCCTGCAGGTACCAGCGTGAGGTCGAAAGATCTTCCAAAATCAATCAAATAAACACCTTTCTGATCCCATCCAGTTCTTTCATTAGCATTGTAATCCGAAAGTGACTGAGATCCCATCTCGAATCTTACCATGCAGTTGTCGGGCTTCAAATCGCCATGAATAATACCAACATCGTGAATGCATTCTAGTATCTTAATGAGCTCAACTGCGAAATACATAACCAGCAGCTCATCGAGAGGTCCGCTGTTACGCTCCTTTTCCAAATTTATCAGGTCTAATATCGTACCTTGGCTGGCATAATGTAGTACCAGATAGCTCTCATCTTGAAAACAATGCAGCGAGTCCACACTGATGATAGAGGACAAAACGGGTTGTCCGTTGAGCCTCTTTTGTACTTGCCTCAAAATGTAGAATTCCCAGATGCTAGCAGGTTTCTCGACTTTCAGGGCTTTCAATGATCCTGTGCTTGACTCTGCTAAGTACACAGTGGCATAACCTCCTTCCCCGAGCTGTGACCTGATACAGTATAAATCATTAGTCTTTTTAAAGTCAACTATCGGATTTTTGTTCGCATTTTTGGAAACAGTGTGAATCTTGCGTAGCAGAGCACTCATTTTGAGAGGCTGGTTATACTGGTAGAATGTCTCATAGCTTGAAAGTGGCGGATCAACGCTCTGCAGCAACAAACGCCTGTTATTGTCACTTAAGGGATTGCTTATCAAAATAGGAAGAGCTTTCATTGCATTAGCATCGCTTTGAGGTTGCGTCAGGAATGGTGAGCTTTCGGCTGTATTCGCGATATATGCTTCGTTTTTGTTGTCCGTTGTAGCTTCGTTCAGTTGATCGAAGGCCAAACCGACGTTGAATTTAGATTCAGTCCTTTCTTGAATGGGGGTCATGTACTCTTGGAGCTTGCTTTTGTATGTTGGAGTGTTGTTTTCCTTGTAAATGCTGGGTTCGGAACGAGATGACTGATTTTTATGAGGCGTTTTTTCGCCATGGTCTAGCCGCGTTTTTGACTTGATTTCAGTAAGGTCGTCCATATGTTTACGCGTAAACTCCTGTGTAAAGTTTTCAAACATTGCGAACTTGCTTGCAGTGTCATCATTATCGACAACCGATGGCGGAAGCGAGAAATTCTGGTTGAACATGGAATAGACCTCGTTGATGGCATCCTTCGAAAAGAATGTTACTGTGGGAGATGCCGGTGGGTTAGTCTTTGAAGAGCCAACAGTATTGCTGGCTTCGTCTTTCAAAGGTAAAATAGACGTTCTCTCAATTGCTCGGTAGTCTACGGAACTATGCTGTTGGGTTGGAATCTCAATCTCCTGGAGAGCAGCAACAGGTGTCAGTGTTGAAGGCGTTTTCTCACGTAAGGGTATTTTCAGCTTTTTAGTTTCCCTTCTATGTGAGCTGTGGTCATCATTCTCCGCTGTCGGCAGCCTTTTGGACTTTCTCAATTTATGATAGACATTACGAGACATTGCCAGTCTCTCTTCAATGCAAAACTCTTCGTTAGCATTAGGATATATCAGATCGAAATTGCAGTCTATCTGTTCTGATTTTCGACCTGGTATTTCCAAAACTTTGTAAATGGGCCCACTTCGGCCTATAGCATCCTTAAAAATCGGCAATCTGGATGCGGAAGCCTTTGTGGGTTCTTCTTGCTTTAAAGATCCGATATTTGACCCAGAAGTAAGCAACTGCTTACTCATTTCATTTTCTTTATTTCTCTGGTGTTTGGAATCGAAGTAATCCCATCCGTCTGATCGCAGCTCGTTTTTATTCAACCCCGTCTCATTTATGTCTTTGAATATCTCGTATTTGAAAGACGAGGATCGTGCCAGTGGAACGTTTTGACCGGCCTCTTGGATCTCGGCTTTTTGTTTGCCAAGAACGTTAACGAGATCGTCGTCCAAAATACTTTCACCACCTTTAATTTCTTGGATTTCAATTTTGGAATTGTGCACCAGTTCATCGAATCTTTGAAGCGTTTTTCGCAGTCTTGCCAAAGGTCTAGCATTACTTTCGATACCTTTTTTCAAAATGTCCCTTGCCTGAGAGTACTGTTTCTGTTGCTGTAGAAAAGCACACAAGCTCTCGTAAAACACTGCCAGAGAAATCCCGATCTGCTTTCGCGTCATGTAAACGTACAGAGTTTGCCTTTCCAGAGGCGAGCCCGCAAAAAGATTCAAATAACTTATCCACAACTTCACGTAGCGAGGATCATTTTTGTAGGTTGCAAAATCGCGAAAATACATAAGACACCGTTCCAACACTTCCAACATCCCGCTTTGTTTGGACTGACCACCCTGTGGATACGCATTGTTGATCCAGGTAATATACTGCAGGAAAAGTTCCAAAGGGTCGTCCAAATCTTCCAATTCCTGCAAAAGTCGTTTCTCAAACTCTAAGCGTTGCTTGGCAGTAGCATCCCCATTAGCATTATCCATATTACTCGTCTTTTGACTCAAACTCTTCGAAAGTGCCAGTGCTGATCTACCAGATCGCAGAGGAACAATATTCTCTTTTTCGCCTTCTAAAACATCAAATTCAACCGGATTTTCTCTCAAATTTGGCATGTCGTTGCTCCAAATCCACGCAAAAGCACTCGATAGCTTTTTGGGCGGGCTGAAAGATCCTTTTGGGTCTTAAATAGCTGTAAAAGTTCCTGCAATTGGATGTTTTTGTTTGGATATTTTGTCATTTTAAATATAATAAACAGTAATATATATACGTGAAGACTAGAAGAAACAGAAAGTGTGTCGCGAAGCATTCGAGGAGTTACAGGGATTCAATTGTTCTTTATTATATTATTTACTTGTTGATTAATGCTCTGTTCGAATTGCAAGCGCGAAAGTAGCTTTTGTTGAAGGTCCGTGGACCGGAAAAATCAGTTCTCTGCCCACTTACAGTAGAAACTAAAAATCGTCGATAACACCAGGAAACCGCACACCAATGGGGGCCCGATCTTGTCCTGGTAGTCGACAGCATGCTTCATACGAATGTTGACGACTCGCTTGCAATAGACATATCCATTGTAGAGGATGGTGACCAGAGCAGTGCAGAAAAATCCGACAGAAGCGACCATCGTCGCGTCAGTGCCGTAGTTGAGCATGGAAATGGCCACAGCGTTGAGAGTCAGCCCAATAGACAGCCACGATAAAAAGGTCCTTTCTGTGGCAAAATACACCTTAGGTTCGACTCTCACTGGTACACATATGGTCTTTCCTGGAGGCGCGCAAACCTGAGTGTCGAAAACCGTGCCCTCGGGCACTTTAGTGATCTGATCGCCATGCAAGTAATGGTCCAGAGAGGCGTAAAGTTGGTTGTACAGACGGACTACCGGGTTAGACGAGGTTTTGGCCCTGTGTGCAGCAGGTCCGGCTCCAGCTTCCGTAGTGTCAGCGCCAGCAGTGGCACCATAGCCCACGCTTTCCTCTATATCAAGCAGATTACCATTGGGGTGAGAATGATCCTCGTAAATTTCATCATCAGAGTCGTTTTCGTCGCGACCCGGCCTGCTGATGTTTATGTGAGTGGGAATAGCGGGTTTTCTGATGTCTACGTCCATTTGCGGTAACCAGAAGGGAATCGACTCAGTCTTGTCGCCCAACAACGACGCCACACCATGAATGAACTTAGAGAATTTGGGAACGGGTTCCACCAAGTGAGAACCTACCAGTTCACGAACCCAAGCGGGTGGCTCCTGGCCCAATTGTGTCTGCAATTTGACTTCCAAGACGGCATATGGGAACCTGCAAACGTCCTTCTCAGGCAATTGCGAAAAAGGCCAATCAACGCCGATATCCATGCGCCTCCAGTTGTTGTTGGTCCTATCGTGACCATCAAAGTCGTCTTCTCTAACCATGGTCAATTCTGTGTCCAATGAAATACGCACACGGGCATCACCGGGAAGTTGGAAAGCGGTTCTGTTGTAGAAAGAGCGTACCACGGGTCGCAATTTCTTCTTCAGCATAGTGTATTGGACCTCAGTGGCCAAAGCTTCCAAGTTTTCGATTTCTTTCAAACTCTTCTTCCCGTCTTTGCGCATTTTAGCAAAAGCTTGTTCCACGGTGTACTTACCGTGCAAAAACTCATTGATGTAACGCTCTTTCAACGCAAATCTGGCCTTCACAGATTTTTCACCAGTCCAATCTTCTCTGTGCGTTTTCCGCTCGACGAAAATTGTGTCGGAACCCATGCCTCCGTACCATCTTAGACGGTGAGCTTCGGCACCTTCGTCTTTCCTTAGACGACCATAGTACAAGTCCAAATCCTCATTATCGTAGTAGATGGAAGTGATGGCTGAGTCCTCAGACTCGAACTCTTTGTTGCTGTTGAACACCAGAACGGGCAAATGCTTCAAGATGATCAATTTGAGCTCTGTAATGTTGTCTGGATGGACCCAGTACTTGGTCGTCTGTCTGACGAAATTTTGCTGCTTACCACCGGACGCGGCATCGCCTCTAATCGGATTACCACGAGTTCTGACCAGATCGTACAGTTGCGAGATTTTCACTACTAGATCGTCGTAGTTTTCTTTGAAAAATGGCTTCGAGTCCAAACGCACTTGGAAGACAGGTCTTAAGATAAACTTGGTCTTTTTGTCGTGTTTTTTGATGATTTTCTGGAACCCCGTATAGTTTAGTCTTGAGAACTTAGCCAGGTCGTGCACATCGGCGATGATATCCGATAGCTCCTCCTCCAAAATCTCGAAGTCCAGCTCCGATGGAGGCACGTTCGAGTCCAAAGCACGCACGGTAGATTGCACTTGTTCATGTGCCTCTTTAACTCTTCTAACAACCTCGTTATGTTTCACTTTGCAGAAAGTGTAGACCTTGTCCAATTCTAGTTCCAGCGATTCCAGAAACTGTGTTTCCAACGTTTCGCTCCATTCTCCTCCGTTTGACCCCAGATTTTCTTCCAAATCGTTCTTGAGATCGTCGTAACAGATGTAGTAGTAGCTGTACTCTCTGATAAGTGCCCGGTTGAGCTGTTCCCCGAACTTCATCGTGAGCAGTTGTCTTTATCGAAGCTCCGAGGCTCTTTTCGGACTAATATGCTTGGCTAGGAGCCAAAAATTCGCCAAAATGGACGCTTGAAAATTCTATCACGGCCTATTCGACAAGACGAATCCAATTACGGTGTCTAAATCTACCTGATTGTCAATGCAGGAGAGCTGTTGGAGACAAATGCAAAGGGCAAAGTATCTGTTAGAACAGTTGAACTTTTTAAACGCTCTTCCTTTTATAGTTTGATGGAAGACGAAATCTGAAATTAATATATATATTAGATTGAATTATATAAGGAGCACGAGGCATGTGCAAAAGGAGAATAGATCACGTGGTACTTGGTGATGGAAAATACAAGTAACGACAGGAAAATCAAAAACGATGAGATTTCGTAGTTAGAGGAAAGCGTCTAGAAATGATGTATGCTATGAACTGTAGATGCTAATCGACTCGCTAGTAGGCTGGAATAAACATATCGGGGAAATTTCTTGGGAGGGTTTATTCCGCGTTTGAAAAGAAAAAAAAGAGTAGTGAGACTCCAAGATGTGGATATGGTCGATATTGCAAGGAAAGAGAAAAGTTAAGCGGTGGGATGCACGGCTGATAGTATTTTTGTTTCTCTCATGGCCATGGATGGTGGCTCCACGCTATTCTCAGACACGATGTCATAAATCGCAGTTGGGTCACTTGGTACGATGGCGTCGTTTGCATAAACATACACCACACGTAAGAGGATGTGTGCTTTACAGGGCGGATGCTGTCTGCATTTATCTTGTTCCTTGCCGACGCTTTCTTTGCAAGGATTAGCAGAACTGTTGAATCGCAGTTATCATTTTTTCTGTTTCCTCCGAAGTGAACCGCGAATCGCACTCCTCCACTATCGAGTACAAATGCACCAGATTGGAGGGCATCTGGTTCATGATCTGCAGTTTTTCTGCTTTGAACAGCGAAAACTCATTTAGCTGGTTCATTAGCGTGGAAAATTTGGTATCGTTCATCTTCGTGAGCGGAGACTTGGCCTCTTTTTTCGCACCTTCTTCCGTCTCCTCACCATCGCCAGCCCCCTTCGCCTCTGAAAGATATCTGATAGTGTTTCTGGTGATGGCTTGCAATTCTGGGTGGTTATAAGGTCTGCGTTTGCGTTTTTTGTCTGTCATGTTCACATCGCCGTCAGAATTCCAATCATGTCTACGTTCCAGCTGAGACAAAAACTGCAGAACCTCGTAATCGCTAATGAAAGCATCTCGTACTGTTTCGATCTTCATATCTGATGGGAACTGGATGGCTGGAGACCACTTTCCTAACCGGTTTCGTATCCAACTGGAGTGCGATGCTCATCGCTAGTAATTATCGAAATTTTCCATGTATAGGAAATTGAAAGTCATCATGTGGTGTGTGAGATCAGATCAATTGAGAAGTATTCCTCGAGTACTTATAACAAATAAGAGCCTTGTTGGCGCAATCGGTAGCGCGTATGACTCTTAATCATAAGGTTAGGGGTTCGAGCCCCCTACAGGGCTTAATTTTTTTGAATTATGAAAACAGTATAGCTTGATGTCAGTTTAAAAGTCAGTATTTGAAGAATAAACATATAATCGCGAAGTAGTGTCGACTGGTGTTGACTTTTTAACTCCTGCCAAGGACCGAGTGTTTTGATTAGTTTACCTGACCATATATCTAGAAAAGCTCCAGCTTCATTGTTCACGAGGTGCAAACAATTTGAACTGAACCAATAAAGCTAGGTGACAAAAGCATTCATCGCTCTAAAAGATTGCTTGATATGTAAAATTTTCCTAGTTGACTCTTCATGGGCCCTCGGCGGTGATTTTACTCACTGCCAAGCGGCTTAAAAGAAACTCACTTGTCTTAATGTTGATCTGTGAACTTGGCCTTGCCAATGTTAATTGTAGATATGCTATGTTGATCAAGTATTCATGTACCTAAATGCAAGAGGGTTGATTATATTAGGAATGCCGCAGCAGCAAGAAGCGCTGGCAGGCTCATCTTCAGAGTGTATGCTCCATTGCTGGTGTTCATGCTGATAGAGTAAGAGCTGCTGGCAGACGACAAAGTAGAAGTCGAAAGAGTAGAACCAGCAGATGATTTACTTTCATCAGCAGAGGAGGTCACAGCAGCGGCCTCAGCAGTGGTAGTCGAGCTCTCGGGCTTGCCAGAGGATTGGGTAGACGCTGGGATCGTAGAAGCAGATTCGGAGTGAGCAGCAGAAGATTCAGACTTAGGAGCGGCCGAGCTGGACTGAGAGGAGGTGCTGGAAGGAGCACTAGAGGAGGCAGATGACTTGGCAGTAGAAGAGGCGGAGGACTTGGCACTTGAGGAAGCACTTGGGGAAGCACTGGAAGAAGCGCTAGAAGAAGCACTTGAAGAAGCACTTGAAGAAGCACTTGAGGAAGCACTTGGGGAAGCACTGGAAGAAGCGCTAGAAGAAGCACTTGAAGAAGCACTTGAAGAAGCACTTGAAGAAGCACTGGAAGAAGCACTAGAAGAGGCACTGGAAGAAGCACTGGAAGAGGCACTGGAAGAAGCACTAGAAGAGGCACTGGAAGCACTCGAAGTACTCGAAGCTTTCGCGCTGGAGCTGATCGTTTGGCCATTGGTCAACGACGAGAAATCGGCCTGTGCATCTTCGTATCTACCGTAAACCTTACCGTTTTTAGCCTCGATGGATTCCCAGCTTCCAGACTGACCGTTGTACGAGTATTGCTCGCCGGTAGAGTAGTCTGTGATGACCACACGCTTGACGTACATGGTGAAAGGTGCCTTGGTGTAGTCAGTGAGACCTCCGGCCCATTCGATGGTACCTGGCTGGTTGTCAGGATCACCGCCGGCCCAGCAGCCCATCATGACGTACATTGGGGACTGTGGGTAGCCCTCGCTGGAGTCGTTTGTTAGAGTTCTGACGGGAGAGCCGTCCAAGTACCAGACGGTCTTGTCCATGGCCCAGTCGACCGTGTAGTTGTGGAATTTTTCTTGTGGGGCGTCTACGCCGTGGAAGGCGCCTCTGTCCCATGTGGTGGTGTCACCTTTAAAGAAATAGTTGGATTGGAACTGTGTGATGTCTCCTCCGGTCCATTCCAAGTCGATTTCGTCCAGGTCATCGCTCTGAAGGTAGAAAGAAGAGATGATACCTTGACCTGCGGCAGCCTTGAACTCCACCTCCACTTTACCGAACATCAGGTAAAAGTCCGATTTGAGACTTGGGTTGTCAAAACGCTTGTTGATCGTCATGGCCATGCCATCGTCAGTGTAATTGATCTGGCCCGTAGCATATTGTAGTTTATGGAAATGTTCAGATTCAGAAGTGAACGATTCGCTGAATGCGGATCCCAAAGCTGGGTCTGGTGAGCATCCGGAAGTTTTGATCGGGTTGCAGCTGGCAGCAGTACTGGAGGACTCTGCAAGAGCCTTTGCTGCTGAAAGCGCCAGTAGCACACTTTTCAAGAAGGCCATTATTTCGCTGATTAGAGTGGGCAACGAAAGACAGTTCAAGAAAAATTAGAAGATTCAGAAGAATAAGCTTTAAAGTGTGAAAGAAGATATATACATAAATGTAAATTTATATATAAAACCAAATTCGTGGATTCCACCGTGCTTAGCCAGCATCGCGAATAATTTTCGCTGTCTCATCGACTGTTCCCGTTCATCACCGTAACAAATTTGATTTCGTGACGGAGTTAATGGGGTGAACACACGAACAACTGTCAGAAGCGGAGGGCGGGTGTACGTAAATAAGGTTGTAGTAATTATAGAAGCATTTCGTGGCTAAACGCCAGTTGGAACCGTAGTGGTGATGTTACGTGTCGCTGTTTCTGGTTTTCGAGGTTTTGATATGTTTAACCAGCCGTGCAAATATCTGACGAATCGGGTAATGAAGCGATGAGGCAACGAAAAAGTTAGAGACCCTTCTGAATCGGGTAATAAGATCACCGAAACAGGAAACACTGAAAAAATGGATTAAAGCCGAGACGGGAAAAAAAAGGCGTTAGGAAAAATTTGAGAGTATCTCGTGACCTTCGTTGTTCGCGATGAACGACAAGGCTGGTATTTTTAGAGGGTTATAATTAACTGGAGGCTTGGTCAAGCCAAAAAAAATAAAATGAAACGGACAGGAATTGAACCTGCAACCCTTCGATTGCAATTTTTCCGTATAAACCAGGATTTAACTGGAGTCGAAAGCTCTACCATTGAGCCACCGCTTCATCTGTGAGAATGTGAGAAGATGTTAAGAGATATATGTGAATAAACAGGTCAGATGATAGTCAGAATCAGGCCCGGTGTGGGCGGATGAAGAGCTAGACAGTTTGGGAGAGACTTGAACAGATGTGTGATAGGAACTACTACTTGAAAGAAATGGTTTTTGATGAATTTCTAGATGTTTCCCGTTTGGTTCCCGTTTGGTTCCCGTTTGTTTCCAATACCCGTTTGTTTCCAGTTTGTTTTTCAAACACCTTCAAATAAGCTTGGAAATCGTTTCCCCTCCTGCCAACTAGTCATTTGTCGGCTCGGCGAGTAGAGAGCTGGGGAAACGGTCAACTAGAGGGCAAACAAGTTGGACGAAGAACCACGCTCGACCAACTGATTTTGAAGCAGTTGGTCGCAGAGACGATAGATACGGCTTTTCAATGAGTATTCTGATAATATTTCATTAGTGTGCAAAGTGCATCAGTATCGAGCGCGATCCTACTACATTAACACATCGTCACATCTGTAAAAATGTGAACGAAAAAATAAGAGCCTAGCTTTACCCTTTACTCCACATATGGGGTCTAGAAAAACCCACAGTCATTCAAGCATGATGTCCACCATCAACTACGAATGCTCAAAGCGTCCCCCGTCTCTAACTTTTCTCACAAAATTTTGGTGATGCTTATATCTGAGCGTATATACATACAGTTATATATGAAAATTCAAGCAAGCTCATCGAACTGATTCCAAAACCTCGAGAACTCCCCCAATTCGGGGCGAATAAAGGTCCCACCACCACTATAAATAGCTACCTGACAGCCATGGCCCCGGCTCTGATCTACAAATCTGGTTCAAGAGGCCTCAAACACGGACTTCTTCGAAGTTTGGCCATCACTTTTGGACCATCCACAAATATTACCATTGAAGAACAGGAAGGTGCAACAGAGCCCTCAAGCGCTTCAGAGCTTATACAGCAGCTCTCACATAAGGACAACGGCTACGAATTGCGAAAAGGTATTGCCACGGAGCTTTTGGACCTCATCGAAGAGCTCCCTGCAGAATCCGTGCTTAAGGTGTGGAATGGCGCAAACGACCTTGTTGAGAGAAGAGTGCCCCACGACGCTCGTGAAGTAGCTCTGAAACTCTTGCGCGCTTGTTTGAAGCGTCTTGCTCCGAATATGAACGGCACGCTGGTCTTGGCGTTCTATCACAGCTTAATGCGGTCCAATTTCTGGGACTGTGAAGATACAGAAGCGAAACTGAATGTTTTTATCGACTGTCTGTCTACTTTGACTAACGGTGGTACCAGATTCTACTCACTTCTTACACCTCACGGTGATGTTAGTGGTCTGGACGAGTTTTTGAGAGATACTCTAGCACGCTTAGGAACAAGAGACTTCTATGGACCGGTCATTACCACGAAAACTTTAGAGTTTGTAGCAAATTGCGTCGAGAGCGGTCTATTTTTGAGCATAGAATCGATGGAGCATATTACACTGATAGCAAACAAGTCTGCACAGGACAGTGTGCGACGAAGTTGCTTGACGGCTTTGGCTATGGCTACGCACGAGGTACCGGCACCTTCCAAAGCATTAATATCGGACGAAATTCGTTCGTTAGTCGAAATGCAAAATCGCGAGGACCATGTTGAAGAGTCACTTTTACCAATATTGAACCTTCTTTTTCTGGGACGCAATGCACATGAGCTTATTCAGGCGTTTCTCCGATCAAATAAAAAAGACACTAGTCGAGTGGCGTATTTCATTGTGTTCATAGAGCTCTTAACTCAAGAACAATACAAGCAATTGTGGAATCACCCTGACATATCGGCGGAACGTGTCGGCCAGCTTCTGGCTACGCTTATGAACTCTCTATACATACAGAAAGACAGCTCTGAAAATGCAAGCTTTCTGATACTAGGGGCGATGACGCAGCTCCTACAATCTGATACTTTCTTAGCTTACATGTTGGACTTTCCCTCATTCTGGATTGGTGATAATCCAAACAGCTCGGATTGTAATGCATTCAGATTATTGGGTTTGGTTCTTAAGACCAAAAGGTTGAGTGATCTCAGCAAAAAGCGTGTTCACTCAATCTTTGAAAGATTAGTCTGCATGTTGGCTACCAACAACATGCGATACTTGGGGTTCCGGGACTTTCTACAGGCACTGCCTCATATCTTCGACTACTGTGAACTTTTGGATACTGTGCTTATAAGCCAATTACTTGATCTTTTAAGTGAAAACATAGCAGTAGCGGTTAAATGGCAACCGTTTTTCACCACTGTCATTTCCAAGCTTTATGTGCCCCAAACTTTATCAACGACAAGAATCCAGGTCTTAAAGCTCATACAAAAAGCAGCGAAAGAAGCATTTTGTCAAGACGAAAATACCAGAAACCTCCCGATCCAGTCTCTACAACAGCTACTCTCAAATTACGAGACGGAAGAAGATGAAAGCGTTGTAATTGCTTTGACAGATCTTTACTCGAGTGCTTGCAAATACTTTCACGCAAATGCTGTTGAAAATTTGAACGAGAAATTGATGAATCCCGCTTTCGCTGCCAGCTCCGGGAGGAGACGCTCCAGCGGTATTCTTTTCCCAATAGGTTCCACTTCCACCTCGAAACGGCAACGAAACAAGCAGATAATACTTGCAACAGCTTCAGCAAAGTTGGCAACATGGAGTATGGCATTCCGGCCAGCTGACCTATTTGTGTGCTTTTACCGCGTTTTAATCCAAATCGTTGAATATGCATACCGAATGGAAGATACTGACCTCTATTTGATTCCTGCTAGAGTATTGACAAAAATTCAATGCCGTGGAGATGATGGTGCCGTTTTGGCAGAGGTAAATGAAATTGAAGGTATCTCCACGGCTTTGGGAAAGAACTCGAAATTCAATGGTTTCTGCAAAGACTCAAAGTGGTCTTTTCCTGAGGACATAGATTACCTTCATGAAGCTCAACAGAAATGCTTTATTCGAGACGCTGTGCTTCCTAAGTTTGAGAAAGAGGAAACGGTATTAGGGTCGTCAAAAATCAACATACGACTCTGGTTATCAGTTGCCATACTCACATTGGAGAAGCCTTTTGACTGGGAAGTTTACTCATACGTTTTGACATATATGTGTCCTCAATTTGCGAATTTGATACCTTTAAGACCCATTGATGATATGGCGCTGCGTTATCAAGAGGTAATATGCAATCACCTAAAGCATGGTGCGGGGCGAAGAGTGAAAATTCCAAAATTCCTCTATACTGACGATCTGCATGTTGCATATATTAGAAGTCTTTCGTCAATCCTGGGATATCATCGTTTTGCTCCAAAAAGTTTTGCGGATGGAATAACGGACTCGCTGCATCACGGAATGCAAGCTACCGAGAAGACTTTAACTCCTTCCTTGAATCTTCTCACTATTTGTTCACATGAAATTCCAGCCTCTCTAAAACGCTTCCTAACACCAATTCTCGTCCAACTACAAACACGAATTACCAGTCCCTTTAGTACACCTGCAATCTTGGAATTTCTTTTGGCTCTGTCCGACACGCCAACCATCATATCTCATCTGACACTCGACGAAGTCAAACGAGTGTTTGCCATTGCATTCAAGCTCATTGAGAGCTCAAAAGATTTGAAAATGAGAGCGCAAATCAAGAATGTCGAACAGCATATTTCTTACGCTGAACAGGATGCGGAATATTCGCCTTCTAGTTTGTCATTCACAATAACTCCATCAATGGCCCATTTCTTCCTCACGCTGTCTTATAACGTCATTTCAAACTGGTTCTTGAGGATGAGCTCATCAAATCGGACGGAGCTGGCTCCGTTTGTGGTTAAAAGTTTGAGATCGATGGTCTCCGGTGGCGCGGGATTTGATTTTGACGCGCACGCCTATTTGGATCTGGTAGCACGTTTTACCACATCTCGTAATGACTCTACGCTTTATTCCAGAACATTCAAGGAAAGGACCCATGAAGAAAAAGATGAAGGTGGGTTTAGTTTCGGTACTTGGGTAATGCCTGATAAAATTGTAACGATAGAGACCCATAAACAGACGGGTGACTCCACTGTAATAGTAAGAAGCAGTTCTGGAGCCGATACGCTCAATTTGCGGCTGGTCCGCCCTGAGGTTCCAAAAACCTACGACATTTTTTCCATTGGGAGTGAGGATGCGGTGGAAACAAACAGCAACGATACAATTGATTGTTTTTTCACTGCCGCGTATACTTTGATGCGAGTAGTTTCATTTGCTGAGGCACCAGTGAGGGTTCCCGATAACGGGCCGATTGCCAGGTCAATCCAGCTCTTTGACACAATTCCGTACAAAGATCTCCATAAAATCGGCTTGTTTTATGTGGGGCCCCAGCAATGCCAAGAAGCAGAAATCCTCGCTAATACGTCTGGATCCTTTCAGTATAAAACCTTTTTGTCGCGGTTGGGCCGGGTCATCCGGCTCGATGCTTCCACTAGACTATACCTGGGAGGTCTAGAGCCTGTGACGGACGGTCATTATGCCCTGGTCTGGGGTGACGAAAAAACTCAGGTTGTTTTCCATACGGTGACATTGATGCCAAACAATTCTAACGATGAACAATTGTCATTAAAGAAGAGACATGTGGGTAACGATTTCGTGAACATTTTTTATGATGAATCTGGGCTCCCAGGGTTTGATTTCAATATTGTCAGGAGTCAGTTCAACTTCATAAACATTGTGATCAATCCTTTAGAAGAGGGCAGAAGCGACCTGTTCAAAGTACGCATGTACAGAAAATCTGGCGTCCCGGCGTTCTTCTCGTCCTCACACTTTAAGATCATGACATCCATGAATCTGGCAAAATACATTCGCCAGGTTTCGATCATAGCTGACACGTTTGCCTCAAGCTGGTTCGCAACCACTGCTCCGGAAGTTTGCACCACTTGGGCACGGAGAGCCGAATATTTGCGGGGAATAAATGAGAAATTGGGCGCCACGGAGGGCCAGCAGCATCTTAGAGATGATTTTACTGATTTTACAAAAAACATCTAATTGGCTGGTTACTGAAACGGCGTGATAGCACTGTTCATGTGGTATTTCAGAGATAAAGCTTGAATTAACGAGGGTATGGAGCCATGCGAAGCTAAACACGGTGAAAGCTGCCAGAGAAGAAAGAGGCATCTACTCGAACAGTCCAGGCTCAAATACAAACCATAACAGGACTTGGACAGCGGCTCATGTCGAGCGCTCAAATTCAATCTAAAGGAATAGTTTCTGGTTAAACATGAAAGGTCTAGAGACTCTACAACCCACGTGACATGTAGTATCATGCCCAAAATCATATGATACGAATGATCAGGTCAAAATAAATAATTGATTAATGTGAACTATAATCATCTCAGCGGCTAACACTCACAGACTTGAATAAGAAGAAGAAGAAGCTCACGAAGAGCGGAATATACCATCAAGAATGAAATTAGCGTGGTTTTCTTTAAGATGAGGCACACCTTTTGAAGGTTTTATGGTTCTTTAACGAATCCAAACCGTGCCATACAGCCTATATTGATGCCAATTTGGTTTTAAAGGTATAATGTTCTTTTGAAAGAAAGGCAAAGCTGTCTGCTTGAGCTGAAACAATTTGGAACGAGGTCTCTCTGAGAGAGACGCTCAGGGTCTGAAGCATTTATTGACCGCTCAAGGCGTGATTAAGAAATCGGGTTTTGGATCTTTGTGTGCTTGTTAGTGTATTTTGTTATCGGAAGCAGCAATGAGAAATACATGGGGAGCGCCTAATGCACTGCGTTAATGCGATGTGACTATAAAGAGAATTAACTTCAAGAAGTGTCAATGGAGATCGTATATCCTCAAAGTGGATCGCTTTGTCTTGGCTGATAAGACATTATCACGCAGATGGTCGCACTGACTTCCACGCCAGATACGACTTATCAGCATTTTGAGAACTTCACTTTAAGACTTCTGTCTCAACTAGCTTCGACCCATATTTGTGACTCATGCATTTTTGGGGAAAAGCCTCTGTTTTGAGACGAAATGCGGTACTTGCTACTCTTCCTTTAGATCAGTCAAGTCTGGGTTGAGAGTGCGTTGTCACCGGGGGGATATTCAAGCTAAAAGCGAAAATATCGCTCTCGCTCTCAGAGGGAAACGAAACACCGCTTCATCTTCGAAAGTATAAAATTGTTCTTTTTGGCTAAGATCTACTGCGGTGATACTTTGAAGGCATAGTATTTGATACCGACACATGAAAGATATCTCCGTCATTTTCCTCCTGGCCGCAACATTGGTTTCTTTCATCGGGGTTCACACATGGCTACTTAACACAGGTCTTGTCATAAGAGAAACCATGAAATGGAGTTCTTTTCACGACCAGCTTCGTCAAATCTCGTCAAAGTCTCGTCAATGCTTCGCCGAAGTCTCGTCAAAGCTTCGCCAAAGCTCCTCCACCTCAAACACCCTCGTTATCCTCCTCATCGCTTGAGTTAGACGCCAGCATGTGACGCCTACCGATCTTTGAGATGTCAGCTATGAATACCTCTTTGTTCATGAGTACCTTCAATTTCAAGAGAGTTTAAAAAATTTTCTTTTCAAGAAAGCTAAGAAAGCTCAAATCTAGCAGTAGATCGTGGATTAATAGTGTCATCCAAGAGCTATAAGAAACAAACGTTTGCGTGGTATTCAAGTCGAGGATTACAAGGACTTGGAAACATTGATAGCACCTGAAAAAACACGAATTTTCAGCTTTCAAACAAGACCAAGCAAGCTCAAAATTATAAAGACATTCATCTCCGAAGCGAACTCAACTCAGTAAAATGTCTACGTCCAGTTGCCGTTTTTACGAGAACAAATACCCCGAAGTGGATGATGTGGTGATGGTCAACGTGCAGCAAATCGCCGAAATGGGTGCGTACGTCAAACTACTGGAATATGACAACATCGAAGGTATGGTACTGCTGAGTGAACTTTCTAGAAGACGTATCAGATCGATCCAGAAACTGATCCGTGTGGGCAGAAATGAGGTTGTGGTTGTGCTGCGTGTAGACAAGGAAAAAGGTTACATCGATTTGTCCAAACGTCGTGTTTCGTCTGAAGACATCATTAAGTGTGAAGAACGCTACCAAAAATCCAAAGCCGTCCATTCGATCGTCAGACACTGCGCTGAGAAATTCAACTTCCCTGTGGAGCAGCTCTACAAGACCGTGGCCTGGCCCTTGAGTCGAAAGTACGGCCATGCTTACGATGCCTTCAAGTTGTCTATCGTTGACGAAACAGTGTTCGAAGGCCTCGAACCTCCCAGCCCAGAGATCTTCCAGGAACTACGTTTGTACATTTCCCGCAGACTAACCCCACAGGCCGTCAAGATCCGCGCTGACATCGAAGTGTCGTGCTTCAGCTACGAGGGTATTGATGCCATCAAATCGGCCCTTCGCGCCGCGGAGGACCTATCCACTGACCAGATGCAAATCCGCGTCAAACTGGTTGCTGCCCCACTGTACGTGTTGACCACACAGGCCCTTGAAAAACAGCAGGGTATCGAGCTACTTGAGCAAGCCATTGCCAAGATTACAGAAGTGATTTCCGCTAACGACGGTTTCTGCAACACCACCATGGCTCCCAAAGCTGTCACAGCTACGGAAGATGCCGAGCTACAGGCCCTATTGGAAAACAAGGCTCTCGAGGACAACTCCGATTCTGAGGAAGACGAGTCTGACCACGAGTAGATTTCTTCTTGTTAGGTATAAAACTTTCAAAAAACTGAGAGTTTTAACAAATTGCATTCTACCTCGCTTTACAGGCTATCTCTCGTGCCCAAATTTACCTCGAAGTTGCCTTACGACCCGGCGCTTCTTTTGCACTTTCTGCGGAGTCTCCACGTCGCTGTCTCTCCCATCTCTGGCTGAATTTCTGTTGTACCCTTTTCTCTCCAGTGGTGCTATATGAAATTGTATATAAAGTATAAAAGGGCTATCTTACAGCATCACCCAAACTTGTTGGAACATTGAAGCAGGAGCTGGTAGCCTTAACAACTAACTTTTCAAACGCAGTTCAATCTTTTTAGCTTTACCTATTTGCCATGAGCATTCGTCCAGCTACCCACAGTGGTTCCTGGTACAGTTCTGATGCGGAGAAACTATCTTCGCAACTTTTGCAGTTTTTGGGCTCCAATGCCGTTGTAAGCGGTGCCAGAGTGGTGATATCGCCCCACGCAGGCTACACGTACTGTGGTCGCACGATGGGCAAAGCCTACGGGGCCTTGGACTTGTCTGGAGTGAAACGAATTTTTATCTTGGGCCCATCGCACCATATTTACTTCAAAAATAAGGGACTAGTGAGTGGATATCGTGAGTTGTCAACACCAGCTGGACCTCTGGCCGTGGATACTACCACGGTAAGCACGCTTGTGCGGCAGCACGAGGAGTTTGAGCTGATGGACTCTGAAGTTGACTGCGATGAGCATTCATTGGAAATGCAATATCCTATGCTGTATGCGACGCTGCAGAAGCGTAAAATTGATCCCAAGAGTGTGTCTGTGGTACCAATCATGGTATCTCACAACTCTGCTCGTGTGGATCACCAGGTGGGCAAAATTTTGAGCGAGTTCCTTAAAGATTCAAGTAATGCTTTCATTGTGAGCTCTGATTTCTGCCATTGGGGACGCCGTTTTAACTTCACTGGTTACGTGGGTGGCACCAAGGAGATTTATGAGGCTCTGGAGGAAGACACAGAGATTGAATCGCTCACGGCTCGGAGTAAGCTATCGCATCATCAGGTTCCCATTTGGAGGAGCATTGAATTCTTGGACAAGTTTGCAATGTCCATATTGACACGAGAGGAACCCCGCGACAAGTATGATCTATGGAAACACTACTTGGAAGTGACAGGCAATACCATTTGCGGTGAGAAACCAATAAGCGTAATGTTGTCCGCTCTGAGTCAGCATGAAAGTGCCAGAATCCAATTTGAATGGCCTGACTATTCGCAGTCAAGTCGAGTAAGTAGCGTGACGGATTCGAGCGTAAGCTATGGCGCAGGGTATTGCAGAATTTAATGGGACTTATCGGATAGTCTACATATATGCAAAGACATTTGAATGACAATACTGATGGACAAGTGATATTGTAAAGTTCCCGTTTTACTCTCTCGACTAGATTTATCGACTGAATTGGAAAAGTCTTGACCCCTTGTAGCGCAAAGAGCATCCTTGGCTTTCGTTTGAACCTGACGATGAGCTTAGGTGAGGACCCGAGATTTAGCGCACCGATGTCAATGAACCTCTTTTTATGTTGAAATGGTTTTTGAGACTAGAAGGCGACGAACCGCATCGAATTACAAGACGAAACAGGGACAGCGGCTCTTGACAAAGAACTATGGAGTGTTGTGACCATGCTAACTTCGAAGCAGATGCCATGGATATTAGATGAGTTGCGAGTAGACAAGGCTCTGAAAAGTATCTTGAATTTGAGCCAAACCAAGTGCGTTAGCTGAAGGATGGTATCATTCGTGACTGGTAATTGAAACGGAGGAGATCAACAGCGTGGTGTTCTCAAAAAGCCAGAACTGGACTTGTTCGCGATGAGAGGTGCTCAATAGAAGGCAACAAGTCATTTATCGGGTGACATTACAGCCCTGAGAAGCGGGATTGAGAAACCTGTAAATGTTGGTTTGGGAACTAAGCACCATCGATGAGTTGAGAGACGAATTGATCTCGAACATCCACCGATGCGGCTATTCGGATCAAATACTGGACAAAAAGATCATCCGTTGAAAGATAAATTTGTGTGAAATCTGTGGGATATAGCCCTCTTGGACGTTAAGTCCTCAAGTGAGTTTCAATTGTTCGCTGCCATGCGCCTGAAGCACTGACTTCTGGTCAACTTAGGAAACTTGTCAGGGACAATTGACACCCACTTGAGGACTTAACGTCTAAGAGGAAGATAGCTGTGGTCAACTAGAGCTATGTTTGAAACACATCAGAGTGCCTGGTGTATTCACTGCCGAAAATCCATCATGTTTTTCAGCACAATGTATCCAGTTGTGGCAGTCCGACTGCTGGCAAGAACCAGAGCCAATGAGGTACTGCAAGATGCGTGAAAAACCACTATTTTGTCGAAAGTAATCGACGACAATGAGCCAGATCTGGGGATTCGAGATTCTCAATGGTGGTATTTACCTTTTACGTGGCAAGGATTACGTACTGTTGAGCCGAGCGTGGCGACCCTGAAATTGTTGCCACGGCTGACTGTATCGCGCTGTAAAAAGTGCCGATCATCTTCTCAAACCCGTCTTTCCTAACATCCGTGAGAGTGTCTTTTCCACGATCAACCTGCACCTTGGGTGGTGAAGTTTACTGTAATTGAGTTAGCCTCCTATACTAAAGGTGGAACGGTCTTTCCGTATTATGCTTTTTTATCAAAATAGAGATAAGGAGAGGAATTGTGGGCGCTGGAATCCATTATGACTGGGTATCCAGTGAGAAATAGTTGTTCAAGTTACTTGATGAACTTTCTATTCTGACGCTGTCATCAGACCTGTCAAGTGAGTAAGCTATCACGTGCATCTTGGTAAACGCTGTAATATACTCATGGACGGCAAATGGTTAACACGTGCTCGCGGATCAATGGGGATCTCTCTAAATGTCCGGGTAAGCTATACTTTTTTTCTGAATTTGAACTTGGATCATTTATCACGGACAATTTGAATCCTCAAAAGTACCTAATTTTCACAATCTGGGATCCGTTTGGGATCCGTTTGAGATCCACATGCGATGCACATGGTATCCATTTGGATTCCATTCTGATATCTAGAAGAACCCGTAATTTTAGACATGAACAACAGAATTCTCCATCGGGAAATTGAGTCCATGACGGTGAAGCAAAGATGAGATCGAAACTTCATTTTTCAATTTCAAACTAGCATTAACTGTCAGATTCACCTTTTGGATCGTGCGACAGATCCATGACAAGGTGATACGAGCACGTGAGACGTGACAGCGTTAGAATCGATGAACACTCAGCTTCGCAGCGCTTATGATTCAAGGGAAAAGAACGGAACCACCACATCACGTCAAACCTCTTTCAAACTTCTCTTGCTCATCGGAAGCGAAACGGTTTCCAAAATCGTATTGAAGGGAATGATTTACCCAAATAAAACCATTCTCTGTGCAAGTAAGTCAGTACGGAAAGATTAAACTTAGATACTATATCAGTAGTCACCCGGTCTTAATGGAATTTACTACCCACGGTATAGAACGGTTTTCTTACCACGACAATCCAGAGACTCAAAAAGATCTCCCAACGATTAAAGTCACATGCTTTAGGCGCTCTTCTTATTACGTTGAATTCCACCTTCGACCTCATAGTAGTATATTCAGAGAACAGATCAAAAACTCGTTCCGTATATAGTTATGATCCATTAGGGATGCACTTCAAAAAGTATGGCCTGGATATTTGAAAATGCATCCCAAATGGATCATCGTTCTATACGGAGTGGGCTCGCTGCGTATACGGTAATAAAAGGTTGTCCGAAGTAGAATTAGAGCCAATGGTGTTTGTTAAGACCCACTTTTCGTCTTGTGTGATACAGCTAAAGATTCCACATATAACTATATACGGGTCAGAGTTAGATGGGCAAGTAAGTTGCTAAGTGGTTGGTATTGGAGCACCGCGTACATAATGATCTGGTTTTCTCTGGCCACTCGTATAGAAATGTGAAATCGAGAATTCTACAGCTGGTACTCTGGGATTTGCGCGCTAGTAGAATCTGCGGAAGATCATTGGAGATGTTTCACTTTAGAGCCGGGGGTTTTGAAAAGTTTCTGATTTTTCACGACAAAAGAAAGACGCCTCACCGTACGAAACTACGACCCATTAGGGATGCAACTTGAAAGATCAGGTGTAGATGCCGGCAAGTGGATCCCAAATGGATCATATCTGTATACGAATAGATCTTGAATCTAATGAATGCCAATTTGTTTCCCGAATACCGCTAACCGTGGGGCGTTTGGAAGAAATCTTAGAGAAAACGTATTTCAAGTATTACGACCCGTTACGTATAGAACGATGACCCATTTGGGCAGTGCTCTAAAATGTATGGTTACCAAGTGGGTCATAACTATATACGTATACACTGTACATATCCCGTCGCTGTCGCCGGGGGAAAAAATGACAAAAAAACGTTTACCACGACGCCAGGAAAGGAAGAAGTGATCAAAGCCTGTGTCACTCAAGTTTCCGATTCAAAACATCCTTACCAAACAGAAAACCTAGTACTCTTAGCCACCAGGTCTTTACGAAATCATATTCATCCACATTTCCGCAGAAAACCCAAATAAAACCCAACTTTCTCCCACTATAGGTGAAAAAAATACTAAAAAACCCGCACCGACTAAAGAAAACCAACCAAATTCATTTGAAATCAAAACCAGCAACTAACATCCCTCTCCTGCACTACAATCGCTCTACACCGTGACTTGACACTTCGCAAAGTGTGCATTACTCACACTCTTGTCCCCCGTTTCTTATGACTTCTGTCAAAAACTCGCTAAGAGCACATGATTTGATAGGGCTCCCAGCCACAACCAACTTTGACCCATTCCCGCCCACTTAGGCTACCAGAATATATAATTCAGTATAAAGACCCACTTTTCACCGGAAATTCTAAACGATCATCAACTTAACCTTCTTTCCACCACTTTTGCAAGGCTTCAACACCTTACCACTACAATTCTCATTGTCAACCCACTATTTAAAAAATAAGAAATAATGCCAGCTCCACACGGTGGTAAACTCCAAGATTTGCTCGCTCGCGATGCTCCAATCAAGGCACAATTGGTGCAAGAAGCATCTGAAATTCCTCTGCAATGGAATTTGACGGAAAGACAAATCTGCGATTTGGAATTGATTCAAAATGGTGGGTTTTCTCCATTATCAGGATTCTTGAACAAGAAGGACTACGAAGGTGTTGTTCATGACTCTAGATTAAGCAATGGTTTGATCTGGACAATGCCAATTACTTTGGACGTTGACGAAAAATTCGCTTCAAAACTGCAACCGGAGACCAAAGTGACTTTGTTGCAGGACAACGAAATTCCCGTCGCTATTCTTACTGTCACTGACGTCTACAAGCCAGACAAGAAAGTTGAAGCCAAACAAGTTTTCAGAGGCGATCCTGAACACCCAGCAGTGAAATATTTGTACGAAACTGCAGGCGAGTTCTACGTTGGTGGTGAGATCCAGGCGATCCAAACGCCAGTGCATTACGATTATCCAGGGTTGCGTAAGACGCCCGCACAATTGAGACTGGAATTCCAGTCCAAGGACTGGGACCGTATTGTTGCTTTCCAAACCCGTAATCCAATGCACAGAGCTCACAGAGAGCTCACGGTCAGAGCCGCCAGAGAACAGAACGCTAAAGTCTTGATCCATCCAGTGGTCGGGCTAACCAAGCCAGGCGACATCGATCATCACACCCGTGTGCGTGTTTACCAGGAAATCATCAAGAGATATCCAAACGGTATGGCCCAGCTGTCGTTGCTGCCTCTAGCCATGCGTATGGGTGGTGATCGTGAAGCGGTGTGGCACGCTATCATCAGAAAAAACTACGGTGCCACTCATTTCATTGTTGGTAGAGACCACGCTGGTCCTGGTAAAAACTCTGCAAATGTAGACTTCTACGGCCCCTACGACGCCCAAGAGCTCGTCGAGTCTTACAAAAACGAATTGGACATCGAAGTTGTCCCATTCAGAATGGTCACTTACCTGCCAGAAGAAGAACGTTACGCCCCAATTGATCAAATTGATCTCTCCAAGACCTCTACTTTGAACATTAGCGGTACCGAATTGAGAAATCGCTTGAGAACCGGTGGTCCCATCCCAGAATGGTTTTCGTACCCAGAAGTGGTCAAAATTCTTAGAGAGTCTAACCCACCAAGACCAAAGCAAGGTTTCGCCATCGTGTTGTCCAACGCATTGGCCAACAACAAACAGCTCTCCATTGCTCTGCTGTCCACTTTCTTGCAGTTTGGTGGGGGCAGACACTACAAAGCTCTAGATCACAAGAACGACGCTAACGTTTTGGAGCTAGTACCAGATTTCATCAAGAGCGGAACTGGATTGATTCTTACCGAATTTGAAAACGTCAAAAGCGTCACCAACGCCTACGTTGTCGGAGCTGACGAGGACGCTAACATCAAGCTTGACAGTAACGACGAATCAATCTTGCACATTGTGCAAAAGGTTGTGTTGTTCTTGGAAGACAATGCTTTCTTCCAGTTCTAAGCTTCTTTTTCCAGGAGCATTTACGTACGATAAGGCTTATAGACCTCTAAAAGATATGATAAACGTCGCAGTGGTGCGTGTTGTTGCGTTGTTGAAGTGTTGAGTTGTTGACCATGGAAACTGGCTTGACTTTATAGGTTAACGAAGTACATTTTGTGATGAGATGATTGAAGAGGGACTCAACTAGTTTTGTCAAAGGTATGGGAAGGTATTGCCGGTGATATACATTGATGTGATAGCCGGGGTTTTTAAGTAGGTAAAATACGCTAATGAATAGTAAAACAAGCCCTTTTGGGCACTACTCGTGGCGAAGCAAATGAATTGTGAAGAATGTGGGCAGAAAGGGAAAAAGAGCTTCAAGTTACTAGCCGTTGGGACGTGAGTCTTCCACTTACTCCTGTATTCATGGTTTTAAACCTGTCATCTGTCACCAAATCACGTGACATACACTATTTGCTTAATAGTCTTGAAAATGACACAACGGAAAGAATAGATCGCCTTTTTTACTGTCTATATTTCGTTAAATATCAAAGCGTTTCATCGCACCTATGTACAAGTGCATTTTCAACCGTCTCGAAAAATCAGGTTAAAGTAAGCTGCTTGTCATCTTTTAAAGTATGGTTTTTTCGAGTTCATTGCTAACCAATACGACAAACATAGCCTATCCATAAGAAAACAACACTACAAAGGCCAGCCAGCCGTGTCTTTGCGTCAGTAAATTCAAAAAGATGTATAAACGTTACTGCGTGGGCTACTTCATCACTATACACGAATATGACGCTGGATCAAAACCTTGTCAATTCCATGGCAAATTTGACAATAATATAAATACTACCCTACTCAAATTCTAAACTCAATTCGTACTAACTCCACTTTTGTATTGCTACTCAGCTCAACGTGACTACTTTCAATTGTCTTGATGATCTTAGAAATTCGTATAAAGCGACCACAGTCTCAAATCATATTTAATTTAAACCAGATCGTGCTGAACTTCAGCTCATCGGCAAGCAACAACAACCGCTATCCAAGAACACCTAGAGCCTTCTTCTCTATGCTAACTTTCACTTCAGAGACATGCAGAAAACTCAAGGATTGGATACTTAAAGAGCTGATTGAAAAAGATCCCGATATAGCCGCAGAATTGACTGATTTTGTCTTGGAAATAGTAAAAGATCTATCGAGCATCAATGACAAGACAGATGGCTCTCACGAGGCTCAAGAGTTGGCTAAGTTGCAGCTCAAGGGAATCATAAAGAATCCGCAAAAATTGCTTTCTCAATTGCCATTGAAGCTTGGCTTGCTGGAAACTCAGGAAAAAAACCTGAGTCCAACATCATCTGTTAAAGTCCTCAATATTCCAATTCGAAATTTATCCACAGATCAGATTCGGGCTCAATTTCAACTTTTCGGCTCCATCAAAACGTGTAAAGCCTCTGTCCAGAAGCGCCAAGCTATTATACAATATCACAACGAGTCTTGTGCGATCCGGTGCACCAAATCTACGACCGTTTTCTTCAACAATAGATTTGTCAAAGTTGAGCTGTTTCACGGAAATATTGAAGAGTTTGATGGTATCACTCTCATAGCATCTCACCAAAGCGCAAAAAAGCCCGATACTACAATCTCGAAACAAGTATCGCCTTCTCCAGAGGAAAATAACCTTAACAAACGAATTGAGCAGGTACAAAATGTTCAGCAGACTATATTCGAGAATATCCAAAAGTCAAACGAGACTTTCAAGACGGATTTCAGTGAACTTTTAAACTCCAAAGAGAAACTTTTACATGCTCATCAATCGCTTCTGAAAGAGCTACTGAGAAAAACTACAGAAATTTCGTCCGATGAAGAAAACACCAGTCTAGGTCCACTATTACTAGAGTTCAAACAGCTGCAGAAAAGTATGGATGAGCTTAGCATCACACCCAAAGAAATGACAGAGATAAAGATACGGAAGTTGAATATGGACCATCCCAACGAGCTCGAGGTGAAAGATGCCCGCGCAGCAGCGTCGAAGAAAAAACGAGCCAAGAAGGCTGCTTTGGTGAGGAAAAAAATGCGGAGGAAAAGATGAAATCCCAGGTTGATCCCAAAATGGATCACGAAACTAAAAATACAAACCAAAAATACACTACAACTTTGGACAGACCCGGTTCCGTCTTGATCTGCTGAACATTATTTTTTTCTTTTGGAAGCCGCGTCATTCAGCCAGTCTTCACAAATTACCCATGTCCCGCGTTTTGGCGCGCATTCGCTCAATTCGTGCTTTAAGTTGCGATGTAACCTCTGCTGCGCGTTTCCAACTTTCGTCATTGAAAAAGTTACTATTGACGCTGGAATATTGGTCGGTGCTGGAACTCCCAGATTGCCGATCTGCCGAACTTGCTTCATTTCTCAGCTGCAGCGAGTTCACTCTGTTACGGAGATCATCGCTTGAATCACTCGGTGACCTCACCCTGTTGTTCAAACTCGATACGCGACTGTTGAAGCCTCTTTCCCGTTGGCTCTCTACGGACGGTGAACTTAGCCCATTAGAGGACGATGAAATTACTCTTCTAGGAGGCGGTGTACCAGGTGGTGCTTGTGAAAGTGGTGCAGAGGGGGGATCGAATGACAAGGCGGATCTGACCCCATAGTTCGACGAAGGTAGCGTAGTCTTTGCTTCCAGTTCAGCTTCTAGAACAGAGACACGATCTTGGAGACGCGTTATCTGCATGTCTTTAGATCGCAACTCTAGATTTCGCTCATGCAGGGTCGTCTGGGCAGCGCTAAGCTGTTCTTGAAGCGAAGATTTTTCCGAGTTTACCCGCGAAGATCGACTTTGGAATTCAGTTATTGTGTTGAGGAAATCCTGCCTCTCTTTGAGCCACTTTTGCTTTTGACCACGCAGATCTTCCAATTCTACGCTAAAAGCTTGGTTTTTACTGGAAGTCATCGGAGAGTCGGTGGTCAAGGCACGCGTGGTAAGTCTTGATTTAGCTGAGGGTAGCCCATTGTGATGAGGTTCAATCCTGTTCCCTGTCTTCAAGGGAGAAGAGGGCCCTCGTTTGGATGGTAGCGTAGAAAGTGGTTTGCGAAGGGAGTTAGCAGCCCCATCGTAACCTGGAGACGTCAGGCCTGTTTTCATTGGAGCCTTGCCGCGATGATTATCTGGCGTGTGCGATGGAAAATGATTTCTCTCTTTGATCGTGTCTTGTGGTCGCTGCGTGCGTAGTCCACCAGCGACTTGTACTTTTTCGAAATGCTCGTAGACTTTTTTCTTTTTCAGGTTGTCAAGCTTGTCAACCACATCTGAAACTTCTCTTTCACCGACGAGCTTCATTAGCGTTGCAATACATTCGTACCCGGTTTCACGAATGGCAGGTTGCGTGTCACCGACAATCTTAAGCGCCGCTTGAGATATATCCGGAACCAGTTTTATAAGTAGTTCGTCATTAGAGTTATGAGCTTCGGGCTTCCACGTTTTAAGAAGACGTGTTAAGAATTTTGTACTCTCCATTCGTACCTGCGGTGTTTTGTGTGCCATGAAACGTAAAGTTTCTTCCAAGCAAGCATCCACACCGCAACATTCGGAAATCTGGTTGAGAGCTTGGCAAATGCTTTCGTTGACAGACGGTTTCTTCTCCTTAGATCTTTCCAATAATGCAGTCAGCACTAGCGAACCGTAATGTTTGCTAAAATTGCTGGACAGTTTTGAGCACAACTGCTGGATACATTGTGCTGCTAAGGTTACAGCCTGCACATTTGCGTCTTTTTCTATAACCTGAGCCAAGGCTCTCAAAAAATCACTATAGTCTTGATTCTTGGCCTCGAGCTTTTTGACGGGCATTAGGATCTGGTTGAGGACTTCGTCGAGGCATTCAACTCTGTCTTTCCACTTGGAGGAAGAGATTCGGTCATTAAAGTCGCTGGGAAATTTTTCCAGTACCAAACTTGCAGGTAAAAGATCAAAGGCGTTAATTGTGGGACCTTTTGGACCATTGTTTTCTTTCTCAACGTTGTTTTGACCATGCTTGAAGGCACCCCCCATTAAAGTGTCACCATCTTTATCAGTTTCCAATTGCTCATATTCCATTTGTTTTTGCCATTGGAATTGCCTTGGTTGAGATGATGGCGGGATATCGTCGTTGTATTGTTGAAACGTTTTGTCCAAGTCGCGCTGTTGAATTGGTTTCAATCTTTCCAGAAGAACTTCTTGCAAAAGATCACGTCCCAGCCATTTGTAAAGTTGTAGAACCAGATCCATGGTTTGTGAACGGACATTTTTGTCAGCATGACTGGAAAGACGCGGTATGGGCTCCAAGAAAAGCGGAAGGAAGCTAGATAAGTTTGTGATCTGTTGCAACCCGAAATACTCCACTATTCGAGCCATACATTCCACACAGCTCGCAACAAGCCGCGGTAGCTTATTTTTCAGCAATGGTTCCAGAAGCTCAATGGATGCGCTGATGGAATCGTCCAATGATACTAATGTCAAGATACATTCTTGGGCTTTTTGCTTTGTAGCAGCCCTAGAAGAACCCAGTCCCTTTTCAGCCAGAGGTGGTATCCATGTGATCCGTAGAGAGTTTGAAGACGGAGTTTCAGGAAGTTGACACAGATATTCCAGAAGACTCAACAATGCCGCAACGGCTTGTTCTTGTGCCACAACGTTGGAATCCACGATATATTGGGCGAAAAGATCCGGATTTGTCCAGTACTGAGAAACTTCGCGCTGAATTGACCTAACAGAAGCTTTCTGGAAGGAATTGTTCAACTCCTGGTAACCATGCATCCGTGCTTTCCATAGTTTGTGGTTCAACCTTTCGGGCAAGGGAAGCGAAGTGAAATCGCCGTCTTCTGTCTCTGACATTGTAGACTAAATCAGCGGCGCTGTGTGAACCTGGACGAGTTGTGATTGAGCCGAAAAAGGCTGGTGCTTTTACTCAATGTGGTTGACAAAAGGGAAGGAGATGAGTTCAGGATTTGATCTGTCTGTTCACTATAATGATATTTCGCGAAATTATAGATCAAATCCTACGCATGTGACATTCACATGACCTGCGACAGAGAAAGAGAATAAAGATGTGAGTCAATGCGAGAATTTATGGTGCAGATGTGTTTGCAGATGGTGTTGGTTTGCAATGTGCGCAGCTAATTCAGAGAATTGGTTCTATATATTTATGGGAATTCGTGTGTCACGGTTACGACAACAGCTTCATATTTAGGGTGATATGTTTAAATGAAGGAAATTTGAATTATCAAATTATCAGATGGCCATTCTGGTTAAATCACTGCTGCTGAGTGATATCAACGGTCGAACAGGTCTCTTTGACTGATTTGTTACCTTTTTTTTGACGCTGTCACCTGGTCACGTGATGATAATCGCTTAAAACTGGGTTCGACACTTTCCCTAGGTTTTGACGACTGGTTTCTCGAGAAAATCGTGCGCGGCTTCCTTGATTATTGAGAAGCGTATTCAAACATTAATCATTCGTCTTTTAAATTGCAGAAGTTCAACCGAATGACAAATGACATCGTACGAACATCTAATTGCCAATGTCAATCCCAAAGCCCCAATTTGGAACGAATAGTGTGAAGACGAAAGAAGGTCTAACAAAGCAGCTTGTAGGGTGAAAGAAACACGGACTGCAAATGTGGATAAGACAAAAAATATCAGTCCGTATCAAATGATACACATGTTTCGATGGGTTTTCTGGAAGGGCAGCCAAGTCATACAAGTTATCCAGGCGGTCTCCAAACACTTGTGCTGCTTGTCTAATCTAGCTGCCATTTCTTCGTATGTCGAATAAACCATGATAACTTATAGGTCTGGACGTTACACGTGACCATAAGCATCCATTGAGTTTTTTAGTTTTCACCCTCATCTCATATAAGGCAATTTGGCCGAGTGGTTAAGGCGTAAGATTAGAAATCTTTTGGGCTCTGCCCGCGCAGGTTCGAATCCTGCAGTTGTCGTTATTTTTTGGAAAATTCAAAGACACCCTCATTGCGAGCTCAGCAACACGTAAACGATGTCATTTCTCCCTTGTTTTTTGTCGATAACTGACCCACGTCTTCGATTGCTCAGAGCACAAGAACAGAATTCTAGCTTTTTAAATCCTAAGCGTCGAAGTTCATCCATCAACATTATACTTCGAAATCCTCATGTCGAAGCTCTTCCATCTACATTAGACTTAGAAATCCTAAGCGTACCTCTCCTGAGCAGATCAGGACAATAAAGCCCTTATAGCACATTCTTTTGGCCCCAAAAAATGCCGTTTTGATACTTGGACCATCACTTTCGTAACCAATCTGCCATTGATGACTCTAATCCACCAATTTCGCAGTTCTTGACGGATTTTTGTCGTAGTTTCTACCACTCTTTCCAAATTCAACCTATTAGTCAATCGTCTCTACAAATTACAACAATTACACACCTTAAGCCTGTCTAAAGATAAAGATCAATCTCATCGACTCGTTCGTTGTTTGTCATGAGCTTAGTAAAATAGTCAAGTTCTAGCTATTTCCTTTAAATTTGTCACCTACATAATTTTTGCATATAAAAAGGGCAGTGAAAAAGTACATCAAGAAAAGTTGGATATTTTACACAGTTTATACACCAAAGTTGAACTACGTCTTTAAGACTCCTATTTTAGCTTTTTACTACCCTTTTCCCCTTTAAATATACACACATACCACATCAAAAATGGTCACTCAAATTGCTAACGTTGCTGACTTCGACAAGGCTATCCAGGCCGACAAATTGGTTGTTGTCGACTTTTTCGCTACATGGTGTGGACCTTGCAAAATGATCGCTCCAATGCTAGAGAAATTCGCTGCTGAGTACTCTTCTGCCGATTTCTACAAATTGGACGTTGACGAGGTGCCAGAAGCTGCCCAAAAGAACGAGGTTTCCGCTATGCCAACCATCGTGCTTTTCAAGAAAGGTGCTATCGTTGACAAGGTTGTTGGTGCCAACCCAGCTTTGATCAAGCAGAAGATCGCTGCCCACGCCTAAGAAACGAGGGAAAAAAAAGTCAACAACAAAAGAAGAAATCGATACAGTGCGCTTAAAAAGCCATTTTGTATCGGATTAAATGAACATGCTTTGTATCTTACCTAGTCTATCTACTCGCAAAATCGACACATTTTTGACAAGATCTGTATCTGGGGAATTCCCGTCTGTGACTGCCCAGAAGGTGAAAATTGCGATGAAATAATGGATGGCTTCTTGCCCCGCTCATTAGGCTAATAGGGTTGCGATTTCGGCATCCGTGTATCCAAACACGTAAAATGCATCTTTCAACGACTTGGTGTTCAGCTTCGATGGAGCGGCCTGCTGGACCCTTGGTTTCGCGTTCCACGCGATTCCAAACCCTGCCACGCCCATCGCGGGCAAATCGTTGCCTCCGTCGCCGACCATCACGGTCAATTCCACAGGAACCTGGTACTCTTTTGCCAGCTCCAGCAGTGTCTGTGCTTTGCACTCACCGTCCACTACATCTCCAATAGTGTGTCCGCTTAACACCTCAACCTCAGGCTGGTTGCAATCGGTTTCCGTGGCCAGCACATTGGCTCTTGCGAAATCCAGTTCTAGAACGTCCTTCATGTGGTTGGCAAACGGCGTGAACCCTCCACTTAGCACCGCAAGCTTGCAGCCGGTCTTTTTCAAACCACGACACAGCTCAGGCACGCCCTGGGTGACCCGTAGCTTCTGTTTTATCTCGTCGTACAGCGTGGCCGTCTTGATACCCTTGAGCAACCCCACGCGCTCTGCGAGCGACTGTTTGAAATCTAGCTCATTATTCATGGCCCGCTCTGTGATCTCGGCCACTTTGTCTTCAACTTGAGCATACGCAGCGATCAATTCGATCACTTCCTGGTAAATCAGTGTGGAGTCCATATCGAACACTACCAGACCCTTTTCCTTACGGAATTTCGAGTTTTTTTGCACGACAATATCCACATCGCCTGTTTCCAAACACTCTAATTGTTTGCGTAAATCTAGAACGCTTCTGGAGGTACTGAGGAAATAGTCTTGAGCACGGGCAGAAAGCTCCACTTCAGAGCCAATTTGCACATCTTCTAGCTCACCTAAAAATTTGGAAATTTGACCTTTAAATTCCTCGCTCAAAACTCTATCATGTCCAATGGCTGTTACCACGATATTAGAGCTCATTGTTTGTTAATAGCTCGATGTTTTTGAACTCATCAACACCACAGTTCTTCTCATCTTGATCAACTTGGGTTAATTTTTCACTCTGGCACCTATTAATTAGGGGATTATGTAATCCAGCACTTTAATTGACCTTGAAAAAACCCAAGTTTCATTTGATAATTGAAGCTGGGTGAAAATGAGATATCCAAATTTCCAGGAAACTTTAAAGACAAGTTTCCATTCATTGAGCGTGTTTCAAAAGCCCAGGCTTGTTTCTTTCGCTTCGCACAGTTTCAGGAAATATACTGCTTTTTTCGCAGTTCGAATCGGATCAGTAACAAGTTGGAAAAGAACCAAAATATCGATCACAACGTTGTTAGCTGACCTCACCTTTAACTCAACCTAACTACGCATTGGTTGACCCACATATCATGTCTAAGACGCTGCGCATTTTGGTGCCCGTGAAAAGGGTCATCGACTATGCCATAAAACCAAGAATCAATAAGGCCGGCACTGGTGTCGAGAAAACAGGTGTGAAATTTAGCATGAACCCATTTGACGACATTGCGGTTGAAGAGGCCGTGCGTATTCGTGAATCGCACAAGAAACTAGTGGAGAACATCCACGCAGTGTCGATTGGGCCTGCCAAGGCTCAGGATATCTTGAGAACAGCGTTGGCCAAGGGCGCAGACACATGCACGTTGATCGATGCAAAGGAGGCGGAGCTAGAACCGCTAGCAGTGGCAAAAGTCTTGAAACAGGTGGTGGCAAAGCAAAACGCAAACCTGGTCATTCTGGGGAAACAAAGTATTGACGACGATTGCAACAACACGGGCCAAATGCTCGCAGGGCTCTTGAACTGGCCACAGGCCACCAACGCGGCAAAAGTGGAAGTAGACGAGTCCTCTATGACCGCAAAAGTGACCAGAGAAATCGACGGTGGAGAAGAAACCGTAAGTGCACCACTTCCCCTCGTGATCACCACTGATCTGCGTCTAAATCAACCGCGTTATGCTACATTGCCCAACTTGATGAAGGCCAAGAAAAAACCTATGGAGAAACTGACGCTAGCGGACTTTTCAGACGTCTCCACAGAGCCCAGACTACAAGTCCTCAAGCTCGAAGAACCACCCACCAGATCAGCAGGCGAGAAGGTCGCGTCTGTTGACGAACTGATCGAAAAATTGAAATCCGTGAAGGCTATCTAGTTGTACTTTTCAATACAAGTATTTGAATTTATGAGCTTTCAGCTTTCAAACTTTCTGTAACTTGGCTCCCTGGAAGTCTTGTACGTACCAGAAGATAACCGACTGCCTGTAACGTCTATTTTCCCTTTTTCTTGCGATTTGCCCAACTATTATTCCTTACGCCGTGCTGGTGACAGAACTCCGTTGGTAGTCATTCCAGGTGGTCGTTTGGATAAACAGTTTTCTGCGTACCAGGTATCAAATTCCGCGGTTTTTCGGTGTCGCAGATCAATTGCCTCTTGGATTTGTTTACATTCGTTGATCCAGGCCTGTAAGTGTTGTTTGACGGGCGTTGGTTGCGGCAAGCTTATGGGTGAAAGATCCAACTTGGTCACTGCCTGCGGTAAGAGTGTGATGTGACCATTGCGTAAAGTGATATGGCGAAGAAGCTCTTCGGCTGGCTGGTCCATTTGGGACAAGAGATTGGAATAGATGCGGACTTGTTAGACTGAGAGGTTTTCTTGGAAGGGCGAGAGATGAGGTGTGAGATTCTAGTCTAGATTGACATACATAGCTTAATTACTAGATGTTCACGAGTACTTGCGAGTACAGGTGGGCGAGTTCGCCATGAGACAGCAAGAGCAGAAGATTGTTTGGCTTGAAGGTGATGAACTATGGTGTGACAGGATTTAAAGCCACCTTTTTGCTGCTAGGATGTTACCAAAACGTTTTTCGCAAGAGAGTTGCCGTACTAGGAATCAAAATGCTAGTAAGGTGACGGGTATTTGTTAGAAACGTGAATCAAAAAATTTTTAATGCGTTTGAATAAGCTTGCTGTGAGACCCAAGCTGAATCTTTGGTGTGTATGATTTCGAGACTTATGTGCCATCGAGGCAGAGAAGGAGTAAGAGAGAAAGTTGACGCATGGTAGGTTTTATGGGTGATGAGTGTTTATACCATTTGAATTTTCAAAAGAAGTGGGCAGGGCTTGGTGTAATGTCAGAATGAACCATCTTTCGCAAGAATGAGGTCATCTACTGTCAACCGCTTCATGGAAACCAGAGAGCGTCACGAATTCAGGTCGCTTTGTCTTGAAGCTGACGCTGTCACCGATCACGTGACTCTGATCATTTTATCATTAGGGTGAACCAGATGCAAGAGGAGTGTCTTAACAAACAGCTTTATCAAAGCTTTGTTAATCGCATAAGTATAGATCAAATAAGAACCACGAAGCACGAAAATCAAGCCTTTCTTCCACACTGAAGAACCCTTGAAACTTTCCAAAACTACAAGAGGCTCGTATATGACGATCTCTCATCAACCTCGCCAAAATAATGATATATAATCAGCCCATGAGAATAAGACGTTAGCGGGCTCTTCGCTTCCAAGACCACTCACAAGATTCGAAATTTACATACTTAGAGCTAGATACTCCTCCCTATAGTCTTTTTCGTCTTTCTCTCTATACAATGCTAAATACTTCACCCATAAATATCGAACAATGGCTTCAGGACAATGGCCATCTTCTGCAGCCTCCGGTCAACAACTTTTGTCTGCACAGAGGCGGTTTCACGGTGATGATTGTGGGAGGGCCCAACGAACGGACTGATTACCACGTCAATCCCACACCAGAATGGTTTCACCAGAAACGGGGCTTCATGACCTTGCGGGTCGTTGATGAGACCTTGGAGGGTGCAGCTCGCTTCAAGGATGTCACGATTCGCGAAGGTGACTCGTATCTGCTACCTGCCAATGTGCCACACAACCCCGTTCGTTACGAAAATACTGTGGGCATTGTTGTGGAGCAGGATCGTCCCGAGGGCAAACACGATATGCTGAGATGGTACTGTTCGAAATGTCAGTCCGTGGTGTGTCAGTTTGACTTCCAGATGCATGATCTGGGCACCCAGGTGAAAGAGGGGATTCTCGCGTTCGACAGTGACTTGAAGCACAGAATATGCTCCAATTGCGGGACTGAGAACTTCTCAAAGCCGCAGTAAGAAGCTTGAACGCTACTTCATCCAATATACTAGTATTACTAAACTTTCCTACAATGCAATGATAATAAAGATAAGAATTCAACTCTCAGATCAAAAAACGATGTTAGATGAGAAAAGAGTATGGCTAATTACGATTGAGTTGTGGTGCTTGAGCTGACCGTATGTGCAAAGGATTGATTGATGGGCTTCAAATGGTGGATGTGCTTTAAATTTGTTTCCCATTTTCGATTCGATGAGCTACTGACGCTATGAGAAGATGTCTTTAATTAGACATTGTCATGGTGAAAAATTCATGGCGATGGTCGATAAAATCGTCAAATTCAAGTGGTAAAAGACATTGAGAAACTAGCTTACAATGGCTTCTTCCTTCTGTGGTAACACCGCAGATTGCTCGTCGAAAAGTGAACCTGTTTTGGCTAATCAGGATGCCAACGATACGCTTGTAACGTCGTCAGATCCTCGTCATCCTGCTAACCTAATTTGTTCGCTATGCAAGCTCTTCTACTACAACAACTGGGTGACCGGAACGGGAGGTGGGATTTCTATCAAACATCCAGAAACGGGCCATATCTATATTGCACCTTCGGGCGTGCAAAAGGAACAATTGAAGCCGGAACACATGTTTGTCATGGACCCTGTGTCTAAGGGCTATTTACGCACTCCGCAGCTATACAAGCCCAGTGCATGCACACCATTGTTCATGTCTTGTTACTCACAGAGAGATGCAGGTGCAGTGATCCACACACATTCACAACACGCGGTGATGTGCTCTTTGATTTTCGACAAAGAGTTTCGTATCGCGAATATAGAGCAGATCAAGGCCATTCCAAGCGGCCAGAAAGACTCAGTAACTGGTAAGGACATCAATCTCTCGTTTTTCGATACCCTGGTGATCCCAATCATAGACAACACCGCCCACGAAGAAGATTTGACGGAAGGCTTGCAAGAAGCACTTGATAGGTACCCTGCAGCCACAGCAGTCATTGTGAGAAGGCATGGAATATACGTGTGGGGTCCTAGCGTCGACAAGGCCAAAGTTTTCAACGAGGCGATCGATTATTTGATGGAGGTGGCATGCAAAATGCGCCAATTGGGGATTCCACCGGACTGCAGCATTGGCGAGGAAAAAAAGTACCTAAAATAATGGAAAGCTGGTCCGCAGTTGGTTTTTGAGAATATTTCGAATGTTGTTTTTTTGACCTTCAATTTACTATACCGTTCTAAAGACATGGTGGGGTGTGAGTTCTATCCTTTCATTGTGGGAATCAGAAATGCTATTTTTCATGCGACGCAGAAGACGCATTTAGCGTATGTTGCTGCTTTTGGTTTTGTTGTTGTTGTTGCTGCTTGGCTGCCCAGACTTTTTGCCATACGACGTGTTCGTTAGGCACGTAATTCCGCGTATCTTTGAGGGATTCCACTCCCTGAGATGCCAATTCAATGTCTGAATCTGCTGAATTCTCTAGTAGTCCGCAACAAACGATCTGGCTCCCTCGTAACACATACGAACTGGCTATTTTTTCGCCCGAAACGCGGTCTTTGACCTGAGAAATCAGTAAGTTCGTACTGTTATCAAAGCCCTCGAGCGTTGCACATACGCATTGTCCTTCGGTCGTGACCACCACCACACGCTTGTTGAGAAACTCCTTCAGCAAGGGCGACATTGACAAACGCACGCTTTCCGTGAGTAAGCAATGTGCGAAGGTTCTTAACAAGTACCCAACAGCTTGGCTAAGCTAAGCTATTTGATGAGTAGTGGAGGAGGAGGAGAAGGAGTCCTTGCAGACCAGGTTTAGGTTTTGTTATAGTTAATGGTCTATATACTGAGAAGTACTTAAAATTAGAGTACTTGTAAACGACTTTGGGTTCATCATGTGAAACGACTTGTGGAAGGTTAAAAACCCAAGGTGGTCGGTGTCCCTTGTAAACAGGTTGGGGTTTACATTGAGTATTGAGTGTGGAAAAAACGCGTAAAAAATGGCATTTGGCGTGAAAAGGCTTTTATTTACGCGACTGCAGTATACATGAAGCGCTAGAAAAATCAAATGTAACTCATAGCAAGCCTAGTCTCGAGCCTACTCGAATTTCGTCTGCTCTTGATAACTACTCAACATGACGAGCCCTAAGGTAGAGTTACTCGTTAAGTTACATCGAGAGATCTGCGGTGTTCACAGCTTAACGGGATACTTGCAGTATCTGGCCCGGCATTCAAAGATTGACGGGCGCCAAGAGTTCCTACGAAACTATGATTCAGGCCAGTATTTTCTGAGGTACCAATATGGCAATGCTTATATTCGTCAACTAACGAACGCAACCACACGGCGCGCACCGCAAATGGCTCTCGAGAACTTAGAGGATAGGGGAGTTTTCTCCAATGGAGAGCACAAAGCATTGGAAAAATACCTCGAGAAGCTGCTTGTAGATGAAATCAATTTTGAATCTATAAGAAGGACCAGAGCTCGGGGCAAAAATTTCCGGTATAATAGCAGATATCATAGCGGTGGGAGGTTTCGACTTACTTATACGGACGCTGACTTCCGCAAGTTGACCGGATTTAGTAAGTTCGATCTCGATCGCATAGTCAAGGCACTGAAGATACCTTCTAACATTGGTTCTTACTCACTTGACGCTTTCGAATGTTTCTTCATCTTCATCGTTAGAATGAGAAGTGGCTGTACTTACACAGTACTGACCAGCATTTGCGGCAGAGAACCCACTACAATATCCAAGATTATCACATTTATGACATGCTACTTGTTCCACATTGTAAGCCCATCTCTGTCAGTTGCAAATGCGCCGTGGCTTGCGAGCCGCTTATCGCTCATCGACCAAAGCCTTCTGAGATCCAACAAATCAGTCCCTAACAGCAGAATTGTGGGCTTTATCGATGGCACGCACGTCAAGATTGCGAGGCCGCATGGAAGTTCTGAATTGCAAAATTCAGCGTATAGCGGGCATAAAAAAACTCATATCTTGAAGTATCAAGCGGTGACAACGCCTGATGGTACTTGCATAGATTTAGCAGGACCCTTCGCTGGTAGTCAGCACGACTCCTTTCTTTTAGCAAATAGCGGCTTATACGGAAGATTGAAGCCAGCTCTAAAGATCAGTAGCGTTCAATACAGAATATACGGGGATCCTGCGTATCGGAGTTCTGACGTGCACACGGTGGGGTTTAAAGGACAGAATCTGACAGCTGCCGAAAAAAACTACAACAAAACCCTGGCGAAATCTCGTGTTTCGATAGAGTGGTTTTTTGGTGCGGTAAAGAACAACTTCCAGATTTTCAATGCCCTGGGAAAACTGAAAGTAGGTAGAGTGAGATTTTGCGGTGCGTACTTTACCATCGCTGTCTTTCTGACAAACCTCAAACATTGTCTAGAAGGATCGCAAGGATCCAAGTACTTTGGTATTGACCCACCATCCTTCGAGGAATTCACGAGTAGGCTCAAATTTCCAAAATATTTTGACAATTTTATTATCGATAATCAAGGAGAGGGCACTTACTACTCTAGACAGTATGAGCACTTAAGCTTTGATCAACTGGAAAACCTTGCTTGAGCCAGCTTTGCAATGAAAACTTTGTAAATCAGCCATGCGGACAAAATTTAGCTAACACTGACACTCTAACATTTGTGATAATTAGTTCACGCATAGTGTGCTAAAAAGTCTTGAAGCATCTTCTTTACAGCATTAGTCGATGAAGAATTCCCCTTTTCTAGGCTTTGGGCCATGAGCGTCATTTCCATTACAGTCTTAATCTTTTTGGCTTCATGATCGAATTGTTCACGCTTTTCTTTTTGAGCGCTGTATTCCATTTGTTGTTGTTGAAATTCTATAATCTGCTGTTGAGCTTTTGCTTCGCGTTTCCTTTCTTCCGAAAGTGTTGCTTCAATAGTTCGTAGCGCAGAATCTTGCAGTTCTCTCGTTGGTGCTGAGAGTTCAGAGAAATAATGGGCAAATGACGCGACATCTCTTGAGTTCAGCGACTTGCCTGATCTGTTCCTCTTTTCGACCGTGATAGTATTAGGTTGGTTCACGTCATCTATGGAAGACTGCTCATCAGAGTCTAAAGGGACAAGGCTCTCAATGACACTCGGAATACTATTTGAGCATAGCATCTGGCCCACAGACCTCTTATTATGTCGTTGGTCGGTAACACGTTTATGGTATTCTGCTTTACTCAGTTCCGAATCATTTTTCAGCCTACAGAGCTGTTCCAAAACGTCATCTATTTTGTCAACTCCAGTAATCGAGAAAGGATTTCTCTCATCTCCTGTAGTGACAGCAAATAATTTGGGATGTGCCATGTCTGTTAGATATCTGCACCTCTGTTTAATTTGACCCTCTGTTGGTATGATATTGTTTTTCGAATTGTAATGACAACAGAAGATCATACAAAATACAACTCCATTTAAGAGATATGAAGCTGCTTCGTTCTAGCTTCTCAACTCTAGGTGATTTCAGACGTTCCAAGCCGTAAAATGGACCGATTTCGTTGCAATACTTGACCAGGTAGTACGTCGAGTTGTCAGTCCACCTGAACTTAAATTCTTTCCCATGATCTGATGATCTGTAGCCTTTCACTCTTATCAATTCTCTGATAGCATTTGCCATTTTATCCAGTGAAAGGCGAGGATTCTTTATAGTAGCTAAATCCTCCCTTATGATTGATGAATGAAAGTACTCAAGATAAAGCTCCGATTGTTCCATTGCGGCATGATTCGTTGAGCTCGCGACGTATTCAGCGGTGGCTGATGTTCTGTACTCATCAAGGCCAGCACCAGTTGTTGCTGGGTTGGCTTGTAAACCCTCATCAGCGAGCGAGTCACTTGATGAAGCGTCAGAATGATGTTGACCCGTTGACTGGTTGTCACTTGTACAAGAAGCTGCTTCCATTGCCCTCTTGAACTTGTTTCTCAATGGTCAGACCCACTGGTGATCATCTTCTGATCGACCTGATACGCGCTATTGTTGTTACTTCAATAACAATTCTTTAATCAACAAGTCACTGGGAACGAAATCAGCTCGAAATCAACTTGTGGAAATATTTCCCAAGGTACTCGAAAAATGTACCTTGCGTTTCAACTTGTGGACAAAAAAAAGAAAAAAACGATCCACAAGTCGTTTCACATTATAAACCCAAAGTCGTTTACAAGTACTCTATTGATGTTCGTATACAATGATACACCCACTGCTTATATAGAAAGCTATGCTTAGGTAATTCAGTCTGTCGTTCTGGATAGCACTTTATTTAGAAAACATCAAGGAAATAGCCGCCGAGGGTATCAAAAACACTTATTTAAACGGCTAAAATAACGCCACTGACTTCACCAATGTCAGAAAGTAACGTCCCGACGGAATGCTCGACGCCTACAACGTCTCTGTGCGAAGAAACGGACCGTCAGATCCTCAAATGGGCCGGAAAACTGGAACTGGAATCAATTGATTTGCGAGACAAGTCTGCCAGGCTGTTTCAGGTGCTGGAAACTAATTCACAAACGCTGAAAAACTCCTATGAGAAGATGGCAATTGCAACAGCAGGATTTGGCGGAATAAAAGGTGCGTAAGTACTGTGGGAACACCAGTTTCCCCTTTTCAACGACGGCAAACATTTTCTAACAATTGAAGTTTAAAAGAGGTTCAAGAACAGCTTAAACACACGTCACAACTTTTGGAAACCATTGTGAAAGCCCAAAGCGAGAGCCGCACGCATTTGGAGGATTTCCGGAAAAATTCGGTAGCGCTGCTGGCCAATAACACAGCTGTTCAGTCCACAGAGTTCGATAAAGCTGCACGTAACTATAAGAATGGGCTCGATCAAGTTTCGGAGCACATTGACAGACAACTTCAATCTTATCACTGCGAACAATCGGCACAAAACGTAGCTAGCGTTTTAAAGGCTGAAAGCGCTTTCACAAGTCTCATGAGCCAAAGTGTAGCTGCGTCACAGGTACTGACGTCAATTTCAGCGGTAACTTCAAAGATTTCTGAGCGGTTGGTGGCATTGGAAAGGAAATCAGAGGGATGGCAGGGCAGCATTAGCACATTGTGTGATCTGAAGAAAGAGCTGGTGGGAATTGAAGAAGTAAAGGCCGAATTGGCGACACTGAGGGAGCTTAAATCGGATGTTGCTTTTCTAAGACAAAACTCAACGAGTTCAGACGCTTTGAAAAGTCTCAGGACAGAAGTGGGAGAGTTGCGGGGATTAAAAACAGACGTGGATGCCGTCCTCAGTCTGAGAATGGAAATGAGCGCACTTCGAAAATTGATTGTTGCGACCACAGTACGAGAAAAGGAACACAGACCCGAAAAGTCTACTTTACCGCCAAAATCTGTTCCAAAAATCACGAAACCAGTGTCACCAGCCTCATCCCGTGAACGGCTACGACGCAGGAGAACGCAAACAAGCGCTGGGACGCGTTGGATCATCCCTTGGGATGAGATTTCGGATAACGATTCTGCTACATTGATGTCGTGCGAGCTGTAAAGAATCAGACAGAATAGCTATACGTCGGGTAAAGTACTGCACACACCAGCGTGAGGAAAGTCACCGTTCGAAGGGCATATATTCGATGGGTCTCATTACATTATGGCATATTTGCCCGGCGAAGATACAAATCAATCCGTTTGTCTTTGTTCTACGTTAATCACGGCCCGTTGTTTATTTATGCTTACAACAAACGTTCCAGAGTTTCCCAGCTTACCTTTGGTCTTCAGTGTGGGGTAGTATAACTCGTAACAGGGCATGTATCGCAAAATGAAGGCCCTCACCTGCTCTTGGCTCATGCCGTGGCCTGTTTTCGCTATCAAAGCAGTCTCCTGTTCCTGGCGCCAGGCATAAACATTTTCGACATCTGCTGCGATTACGACCCCTACCGAGAACTGTTTTGCATCATCCCATAGCAGATCAGCGTAAGACTTCAAATATGCGTTGATTACGGTGTAGTGATCCAATGGATGCACACTTAGGACATTTCCAATTTGGTTGGACGCTTTGTTGCACATACAAGTGAGCTTTTCCTGAGACAAACTTTCAAAACCCAGAAACCAACCTTCCATGATCACTATATCCACAGGCAATTGCACCTCTTTGCTTGATTCAATTCTGTCACCTTCGCCGGCAAAACGGGATTTATCATAAGCTGGGATTCGTGTCAAGCCAGTATTATCATAAAGTCGACTCATAAACGTCTTCAATAGTTGCATGTCATGGGTACCTGGTAAGCCTCGGCCCTGCAGCATGGCGTTTTCGGGATAACGTTTGGCCAGTGTCTGCTGATCACTGTGGGTGAGGTAGAAATCATCAATGGAAACGACAATACTCTTCAGCTCGGGTCTGGTCTCATGAAGAATTTGTTTGACACCTTCAGAGGAGAACGTTTTCCCCGAGCCTTGCGGACCTGAAATATACACGATCAAAGGCTTTCGTGTTCCATTGACAATTGTTCTCGAGTCACTAACATGCGTTTCAAAACGTCCGAGAGCAAATTGAGCTGCTACTTGCGCAACAGTGGCTGTTGAGGTCATTGTTGAGCCTTTTTTGCCGTTCGAAGGGAAAAACAGGGTAGTTCGTTATTATGTGCTGCTGACTCGAGAACGATGATAGTCCGTGAAAAACAAGAACGACAAGCGTTTCCTCAAACAAAGAAGCGTCAAAGGGCAACAAAAGGTGGCCGTATTTTCGGGATTCAGTTTCCATAATAGTTCCTCCTCACAGCCTCAAAGTCTCCATTTAAACTCAAAATAATGCTGTCACGATTGCTTGCATTAGGTCGCATATCGGAAACAAAATTCATTTCGGCAGTACCTGGAAAGGCTCCACCAGGAGCCAAAGCTACATTCGGAGGAACAATAGTGGCACAAGCCTTATGGGCAGCAATCAAGACCACTAGCCGTTCGTTTGAGCCAGCTTCGCTTCAGTGCTACTTCCTTGTAGGAGGTGACCCGAAGGAACGCATTGTTTACGAGGTAGAACTACTGAGAGATGGAAGGAGCTTCGCGCATCGTCTGGTGCGTGCTTATCAGTTTAAAAAGGTTATTTGTGTTGCTACAATCATGCTGTATGATTCGGAGGCTTCGCGTCCTCTGCCAGCCGGTGACTCCGTCTCTTTCCTTAAAAACCTGGAGGACTTCCCAGAGCTGAAAAAGATGCGCCCAGCCGCGCAGCTTTTCGAACAAAAGGTAATTGGGAACTTGGATAGGTACCACCATTTGAACGAGTCATGGAAAAGTCCAAAAATTCTCGATCCGTTTGTCAAGCGCTTTGAATCAGGAGCGATAGATTATCAGTTTCCTGAGGACATTTTCGATTCGGCTGAGTACCACGGCAAAGACAAGCAAACTCATCTCACAAAGTTGGACTACTATCAACGCGTGAGAAGACCGGCTGCAAATAATTTTGAAGAAAGTGAAGATTCCAAGGATCCAAGATTTCAGTACGTGCAATTCGCATATTTAACAGATGCGTATCTGTTACTCTGTTTGCCGTATTTCCATCTACTCCCACTATACTGTCACAAATTCAGTGTTTCCCTAGACCATACGATTCACTTCCACAAACGACCCAATGTGTATGACTGGCTAGCCTTGAGAGTTACTAATCCGAGGTCAGAAAACGGGCGGCACCTTGTTCGAGGAGAGTATTACAATGACAACAAGGAACCAGTGGCCTCGGTTACGCAAGAGGGCCTTGTTGTTTACGACAGTCCTTCAAAAATTAGGTCTCGTTTCTGAGCAAGCAAGTTTGTCACTCGCGCCAGTGAAATACCCATAAGATATCTAGCTCGTAAATCTTAATGTCATTTAATATACATTCATGCTTAAAACATGCCCTCTATTTCGCCTTCATCATTCACCTCAATGTTCATGAAACCACAGTGGGTGGGCAGGCCAGGGATTGTCTGGATCTCAGCTGCAAGAGCGTACAAGTAGCCAGCACCAACAGAAGCGCGTATATCACGGATTGGGAAAGTGAATCCTGTTGGAACACCCTTGAGATTTGCGTCGTGAGACAAGGAATACTGCGTCTTCGCTATGCAGATTGGCAGCTTGTTAAAGCCTTGCTTAGTGTAAAGATCAATCTTTCTCTGAGCTTCAGGTGAAAACTCGACTGAGCCAGCCCCGTACATTTTCTTGGCAATGGCACCAATTTTGTCTTCGATAGACAACCCTTCAGTATCGTAGAGAAACTGGAAATCTTGGCTTGGCTCCTCACAAGCTCTTATAACACCTTCTGCCAAATCGGTTGCACCCTTTCCACCTTCTTCCCAGTGATTGGACACAATAGCATCAAAAGCACCAGCTTTTAGAGACTCTTCTTTGACAACCTCGTGTTCACGGTCGGTGTCTGAAGACATCTTGTTGATAGCAACAACAACGGGTAGGTTGTAGGTGTTTACGTTGGAGATATGTTTGGCCAAATTGGCACAGCCCTTTCGTAGAAGATCAATGTTCTCATTCAAATATTCGGTAGGCAATGGAGCACCTGCTTTCACCTCAGGACCGCCGCCGTGAACTTTCAAAGCTCTGATGGTGGCCACAATGACCACGGCGTCTGGTACAAGACCGGATGACCTACATTTGATGTTCAAAAATCTTTCACCGCCCATGGTGAAGTCGAAACCTGCCTCGGTGACAACATAACCTTGTGTCTCTTTTCTGACTTTGTCGCTCGCGCCTTGCTCAACACCTGCCAATTTCAAAGCAATCTTGTCAGCAATAGCCGAGTTTGCGCCAATAGAAATGTTGGCAAAAGGTCCTGCGTGGACAAAAACTGGAGTGCCTTCAAGGGTTTGCATGATGTTGGGCTTCACTGCATCCTTCAAGAGAGCGGTCATTGCACCAGCGCAACCGATATCTTCACAGGTAATAGGGACACCGGCTCTTGAAGTACCGATCACAATGTTACCTAGTCTTTCTCTCATGTCTGCCAAAGAGTTGGCCAATGCCAGGATGGCCATACATTCGGAAGCGACAGAAATGTCGAAAGCGGTCTTTCTAGTGATGCCACGCTCAGTGGGGGCTTCACCGATAGTAATACCTCTCAAAAACCTATCGTTACAATCCACAACTCTTCTCCAGGTGATAGACTCGGGGTCGATATCTAGACGAGCGAATTGAGTGATCTCCTCGGAAGTCAAAGAGTCGGGATCTTTTTTGTCAATGCCCAACTTTCTAAGTCTTCTCAACATAGTAGGGGTGAATGTTCTGGTCCCACGCTTTGAGGGTACCAACCTCTTGTATAAGGCCGCGTCTTTCTGGGTTTGTTCATGGAAGATACGAGTGTCGATTGCAGCTGCCAAAAGGTTATTCGCCATGGAAATTGCGTGAATGTCACCAGTGACATGTAGATTGAACTCATCCATAGGAATTACTTGCGAGTAACCACCTCCTGCGGCACCACCTTTGATACCAAAAGTTGGACCCATGGAAGGTTGACGAACATTAGCAAAAACGGTTTTTTTCAAATGAGCACCGAGAGCCTGAGCCAATCCAACGGTAGTAGTGGATTTACCTTCTCCAAGAGGAGTAGGTGTGATACCTGCCACAAGAACATATTTACCGTTTTCTCTCGTGGCCAAACGGTCCAAAATGTCTAACTTGACTTTAGCCTTGGTGGATCCATATGGTTCTAGTTCAATGGGCAAAATACCGGCCTCCGATGCAATTTGGGTGATTTCCTTTGGTCTTTGGGCTCTTGAAATCTCAAAGTCAGAGGGCACAGGTTTTTGAAGGTTGAGAGGAAGAGGAGTGAATGCTGGTTTGGCATCGCTGTTTAGAGAACGTTTTGCGGCGATAAATACGTTACTCATCAACATGGCAACGGTCATGGGCCCCACACCACCTGGAACTGGGGTGATGAGCTTAACGTTTTGCCGAGTTGGTTCAAACTCCACGTCACCGACACATCTGTATCCGCTTTTTTTGGTCGAGTCGTCGACGTAGTTGGTGCCTACATCGATTACGACGCAGGTGTTGTTGCCCTTAAACCATTCGCCTTTCACACACTCAGGCTTGCCGATGGCCACTACGACGATATCAGCAGTGGCCATGTATGACGATATATCCTTTGATCTGGAATGCAAAACCGTCACAGTAGCGTCTTTGGACTTTAGCAATTCGGCAACGGGAGACCCAACAATGTCGGATCTTCCGAGCACTACCGCTTTAGAACCTGCAATTGGCACTGCAGACCTTTCCAAAAGCTCTATGATGCCCTGCGGGGTGCAAGGATGGAAAAATGGTTTCCCGTTCTTCTTATTCAATTCTCCGATGTTATGAGGTCCAAATCCGTCCACATCCTTGTAGCCAGCGACAGCAGATGTGATTTTGTCTTCATCAATATGAGATGGTAGTGGGAGTTGCACCAAGATACCGTGAACCTGGTTGTTGTTGTTTTTTTCCACAATCGCGGTCAAAAGCTCGGATTCCGAAACGGTCTCGTCCAAGTGCACGAATTGCACGTCGATACCTGCTTCACTTGCAGCTTTCCGTTTCATTCTGACGTATGTTGCTGAGTCCTGACGGTTGCCCACTTGGAAAATAGCCAAAGTTGGCTTGAGAGACGCATTTTGCGTCTGCAGCGTCTTGATTTGATCTGAGATCTCGTCGCGGATGGTTTTGGCAATGGCCTTACCATCTATCAAAGAAGCAACCATTGTTCAATGAAATGCAGAAGCTTTCTCGCAACTTTGTCAAAAGTTTCTGTACAGTTGTTCGGAGCCCTAAGTGAAATGAAGAACAGTCTCAGCAGTACCAGCTTTATATATGTACAAACGGCTATCGTCACAGGTCGGCCATAGCCTGATGAAATCCTATGAATTGGTGCCCTTCTGGGTTATTATTTTCCTGACTCGGGTAGGAAATACGACGGAACTATTTCGCCACAGTAGAACGAGGCCTTACCATGTGAAGGCGCGAAATCGGCGATAAATCGTCCACGACAGCGAGCTACGCGATGAGGAAGTTTGTTGGAGTACTTAGAGGTAGTTTTGGGGGCAATGGTGGTGGAGTTGACGGGAAAAGACTATACAAGAAATTGTAATGTAAGTAAGGCTGAAAAAGGGCGATTTTAAGGGTATTTGAGGGGTCAAGAGTACACTTCATGGAGCTTTGAAATACGCTGAACACGTATAAACAGGTTTCAGGGTCATTGGAAGGCGTTTTGATCACTTATTCGCGTTGTTTTGGGTGGTTCAGAAGTGAAGTTCAGATATGAAAGATTGATTAGATATGGGATTAATTAATCTATATTGTGCAAGTCACTGTATACGTCATAGTAGTCACATGATTGAGAGAAAAGTTGTTGATCACTTTGTACTAAGCCATATCATGTGGTGTTTATGGCCTCCGTGCTCTTAAGCTATTACACAAGCCTTTCCCTAAATGTTCAGCGTTTTATATACATCGGGTTAGCCCAAGTTCAATCTGTTTCCTCCACATCCATCTTTCCTCATGAGATTACCCAAACAATGTCAAGTTGATTGAAGTGCGTCTAGAATAGCTCAATTTTGGTCCAATTTGGACCGTTTTAAAGCTGAAAAAACCCACATTAGCTTTCTTAAATCGCATGAATCTTTTGGAACAGCTCTCTGGGAGTCTGAATCAACCAAAACTTCTTTAACTCGCCAACTATATTTCATGTCACGTATCACGAATATCTCATCTTCAAATATAGCCCAAGCCATCTAAGATATTCAAGTGTGGCTACATCGTTGTCGAACCTTCAATCGTAAAATCAGTCGACACAACCCATAACGCTCCTTACAAGCCATTAGATATGACCGACACTGGTTTGCCCGAGCCCTGGACCGTCCGTTTTAGCAAATCCAAAAGTAAACAATACTTCTTTAATCCGCAAACTAAACAGTCTCAATGGGAAGAACCCGAAGGGACGGACCATGCAGCGCTCAAAAAGTACCTGGTGGAGCATCCGTTGAGAGTACGGTGCTTGCATCTGCTAATTAAACACAAGGACTCGAAAAGACCAGCTTCGCATCGTGCTGACCCCATCACAATCTCGAAAGAAGAAGCCCTTGAAGAATTGTCTGTATACCAGCGGAAAATCGAGCAAGGCGAAAAATTCGAAGATTTGGCGAAATTTCGTAGCGATTGCTCATCTTTCAAGCGTGGTGGCGACTTGGGCTATTTTGCCCACGGCGAGATGCAACCGCCATTCGAGAAAGCTGCGTTTGCGTTAAAGGTAGGCCAAATTTCGGGTCCGGTGGAATCTGCTAGCGGAGTCCATCTCATCAAGAGAGTGGCTTGAACTCTAAAGGCCACAACAATTCCACAAAATCAATCCGTACAGCTACTTATAATGCCTGATTCTAGCCCGTGTTTTTTTCCTCTACAGTACATATTACGTCTTGGGTCACATCCACAGGTCTTTCTGGTACGACTCAGTGACGCTCTGGTCTTCGCCATATAAGCTCTGCCAATGGTTGAAGCCACCACGCAGCACGTATATCTTGAATTTAGACAGATCGTCGTCTCCCAGCTGACGCAGAAACTTCATCGCAGCAGAGGGGCCCCTCTGCTGCGACAATGCGCAGTGGAAAACGCAGTTTACAACGCTCGAGCCTGCTGCTGCGCTTCTCAAACGGTCTCGTAGCTCGCGGCATTTATCCTCATCGTCACGGATCTGGCGATACGGTACGTTGAACGAACCTTTGATATGGCCACCTACATGATCGCTACCCCGGACGTCAATGATCCGGAAAGGCTCGTTGGACGCAGAATGGCCCAATTGAAGCCATTTGAAAAGCTCCGGAGCATCTATATACTTAATTGCAGCGATAGAACGCGATTCCATGATAGTTAGAATATGAAAGAGAGCTTGAATCTTGCTTTGTAGGTTTACAACTGTAACTATTGGTGTTCTAGGTTCAGAGCAGAGGTGGTGCATTTTTATCAAGAAATGAGAATGAGATCGTAGTCACTATATACGCAGAAAGTATGCGGGGGTCTTTCTGCCCTTGATTACTCGAGTACATCAGATGTCAGCATGGTGTTCAACTTATCACGTGATTATGGAATGATACAGGATCGTTACATACGCTGATATTTTTTCAACTTTGGGTAGTTTTACACGAGATACGTATGTAGTGCTTAGCCTCGAGGACTAAGCGTCTACAACAGCTTTCAGCGTAAGTAGCAGCATTTGAGAGTATGTTCTTCTTTTAGCCGGTACTGATCCTTCAGAGTCAGGAAATTATTTGCACAACGCTCGTAAAAGCTGCACACCCAGTCTCCGATCCTAATGGGCTGATATCCACCAAAAACCCATGACGCCAAAGACTTTTGAACAAGTTTTGGCGTCAAAGCGAAGGGATTCACAAATCGGCACCTGCACTACCGGATCTTCGTGCTTTTCACCCCATAGGTTCAATAACTCGAGGCCGAAAGTGTGATGGGTGCTTTTTTCAGTAGGTGCAACTCAGGGCGACGTTTGCACGCGGCTCGAAAAACGCATGATAAGCGTCTGATTTGGCCAAGGTTGCTTTAAAGCCAAAGTTGGGAGTTCCCTTTTCCATAATGAAGGCCTCCAAACAGCCATTATTCTCCAATCTCAAATGAGCACATTTTTGACTTTTTGAGTGTTCCACCGCTTTCAATAAATCAACTCTCTGACGGATCCATTTCTTCCTGGACATTCGGAGATGTTCTTGATAGTTGACATGAGTATCGGTATATCTTTTTCAGAATACGACAAGATCCACATTGTCTTCGAAAGTCCGAGTTAAGTAGTTAGAAAGGGGAGGGCATATACCGAGGATTTTCTCCCCGGCCAAACTGATTTCAAAAACCTGCTGAAGCTAGCCATGCGATAACTAGACTAAGGTCAGAAAACCAAAGAAAAACTGAATGCTTAATGAATTGGTTCCAATTCTCAGTTATAGTTGGCAATTCAATCGATCAAGTTTCCAGCCATAGATAAAAACAAGTCAATTAAATCTACAATAAGGCACGTGACGAGTACAGTCATTTGTACTCTTGGGATCATGTGCTATAACTTTTCACGAGTCACGTGCATTTTAACACCGTCCAATTTAAAGGTAGTATTCTACCTTCTAAATAAACGAACACACACACATACACACACATATACATACCTTTGAAGACAACAATATTGCCAGAAACTAGCCATTGTAGCAACAGGAAGGCAATTTGAGCACCTGAGACCTAATTCATTGGTTTCCTAGGGTCCGATTTACCCAGTCACGCAAATATCAGCTCGAAAGAAGATGGCTAGACACTCAGATAAGGCTCCTCAAAAATCGAGCTTAACTAGCGGCGGATCGCTCACAAATTTGTTCAAGCTAAATCGTAAACGTCATGCTGACGACGGCGATGAGTCTGTATCTACATCTAATGCGGCTTCATCTCACTCAGAAGCGTCCCATAACGACCAAGATTCTAGCGAAAATGAAGAGCAACAACAGGGTCCAAAGTTCAAAAAAAGACGTACGCTTTCAACGGCTGAGGCGGAAGCCCAGGAAGCCCGGGAACGTGAATTGGACGCAAGACTGCCCGAGGAACTTCGCAAATACCGCCCACGCGGGTTTTCGCTCAATCTGCCGCCAAAGGACCGGCCTATACGTGTGTACGCAGATGGGGTTTTCGATTTGTTCCATTTGGGCCACATGAAGCAACTCGAACAGTGCAAAAAGTGCATGCCAAACGTGCAGCTGATTTGCGGTGTTCCCTCGGATCGTGTCACGCATAAATTGAAGGGTCTTACTGTTCTGACCGATCAGCAGCGCTATGAAACGTTGCGGCACTGCAAATGGGTGGACGAAGTGATTGAAGACGCGCCATGGTGTCTGACCACTGAGTTCTTGGAAGAACACAACATTGACTACGTTGCCCACGACGATTTGCCCTACGCTGCCTCGGACAGTGACGATATTTACCGCCCCGTCAAGGAACTGGGCAAATTTGTGGCAACGCAACGCACAGATGGCATTTCCACCAGCGATATTATTACAAGGATTATTCGCGATTACGACAAGTATCTAATGCGTAATTTCGCGCGCGGTGCGTCTCGTCGTGATTTAAATGTGTCGTGGCTCAAGAAAAACGAATTGGACTTCAAAAAACATGTTCAGGATTTCCGATCTTATTTCAAGAAGAGCCACGACTCCATCAACCATGCTTCCAAAGATCTTTACGTTGAAGTACGCGAGATGTTGCTACGAAAGACCCTGGGCAAAAAAGTGTACGCCAAGTTAGCAGGCCAAAAAGTGCCTCAAAAGTCTATCAGAGGTTCTTCGCCAGCCTCGGAGTTCGCTCGTACCTATGGGGACGAACCAAGCTACGGTAACCATCTTGAAAAACAAAGTCAAGATGACCACGACGAAGAAAATGACAGCGAAGATGGAGACAAAGAAAGTCAAGATCTTAACGATGATCAGCGATCCGATTCCCATTAAAATCAAATTCTTCACTCGGTCAATTCCCAACTATCTAGAAATAATAACAACACGATAGGTTCTGGTCTTCTATTGCCCTTCAGCGGTGCTCTGTTACTCGTATGACAGTTTGATTCTGCCCGAACGCCGGTACCGGCGTTTTTTTCATTCTGCTCAGATGACTGAAAAATTTTTGAAATTATATGACTGACTTGAGTTCAGCATATAATTTGAGCGATGAGATGAGCTTTACAACACAGGAGAATACTACAATTGATCGCTAGAAGTCGGATCCCGAATCTCCACAATAATTCATCGACTTTGAGATGGTTTTCCTCAGCAGATTGTCGAACGCGGCAACCAGAAGACACTTTTCAAGCTCTCAAAATGTGTGCAAGAAGTTGAACAAATACTCGAATATCATCACCGAACCAAAAGATCAAGGTGCTTCGCAGGCCATGCTTTACGCCACCGGCTTCAAACAAGCGGATTTCGAAAAGGCTCAGGTGGGTGTTGGGTCCTGTTGGTGGAGTGGTAATCCATGCAACATGCATTTGATGGACTTTAACCACCGTATAACGGAATCCGTCAATAAGGCCGGCTTGAAAGGTATGCAATTCAATACCATTGGTGTCTCGGACGGTATCTCCATGGGTACAGACGGTATGCGCTACTCTCTGCAAAGTAGAGAAATTATCGCTGACTCGTTTGAGACCATCATGATGGCCCAACACTACGATGCCAACATTGCGATCCCTTCGTGCGACAAGAACATGCCTGGTGTTTTGATGGCGTTTGGAAGACACAACAGACCCTCTATCATGGTTTACGGAGGTACCATTTTGCCCGGAAACCCTACTTGTGGATCTCAAAAGATCCCAGAGAAGATTGATGTTGTGTCTGCTTTCCAATCCTACGGTCAGTACTTGTCCAAGAACTTCACCGAAAAAGAGCGTCTCGACGTGGTGCAGCACTCCTGTCCCGGTCCTGGCTCTTGTGGTGGTATGTACACCGCCAACACAATGGCCTCGGTTGCCGAAGTGTTGGGTATGACTTTGCCTAACTCCTCGTCCTACCCAGCTGTCTCCGACGCAAAACTTGCCGAATTGGACAACATTGGTGAAGCTATCAAGAAAACTATGGAATTGGGTATCTTGCCTCGTGACGTCATGACTAGAGAATCCTTCTTGAATGCTATTACATATGTCGTGGCCACCGGTGGTTCCACTAACGCTGTCCTTCATATGGTTGCTGTGGCTGACTCTGCAGGTGTGAAGATTACTCCTGATGACTTCCAGCGTATCAGCGACAAAACCCCATTGCTCGGTGATTTCAAACCTTCCGGTAAGTACATGATGTCGGACCTATATCCTCTCGGTGGTACCCAGGCCATTATCAAGTCACTGTTCGAGCAAGGTCTATTAGACGGTAACACCATTACTGTGACTGGTGAAACCCTCGGTGAGCGTGCTGAAAAGGCTACCGGGCTACCAGAGGATCAGGACCTTTTCAGACCTATGTCCAACCCAATCAAGCCTCAAGGCCATTTGCAAATCTTGTACGGGTCTCTTGCTCCAGGTGGCTCTGTTGGTAAGATCACCGGTAAAGAGGGCACTTACTTCAAGGGTAAAGCCCGTGTTTTCGACGAAGAAGCAGGCTTCATTCGCGCATTGGAAAACGGGGAAATTAAGAAGGGAGAAAAGACCGTGGTTTTGATCCGTTACCAAGGTCCTAAGGGTGGTCCAGGTATGCCAGAAATGTTGAAGCCTTCCTCCGCTTTGATGGGTTACGGTTTGGGCCAGGACGTCGCCTTGTTGACTGACGGTAGATTTTCCGGTGGTTCCCACGGTTTCCTGATCGGTCACGTTGTTCCAGAAGCCGCAGAGGGTGGTCCAATCGGTTTGGTCAAGGACGGCGATGTTATCACCATCGATGCCAACAACAATAAGATCGATGTCGCCGTTTCTGACGAAGAAATGGCCCAGCGTAGATCTCAGTGGGTGGCTCCTGCTCCTCGTTACACCAGAGGAACACTTGCCAAGTACCACAAATTGGTGACCAATGCGTCTTTGGGCTGTGTGACTGACGCATAAGCAAACACTGCCCTGGAAAGTATTTCTGGAACCAGCGTCGCTCTCCAAAGTACTTTTAAACTTTTTGAAGAAAACTCATAGAAGGAAATCTAAGAGTTGTCTTGATATTTATAACAATCACTTACTAATGTAGCATTAAATAACATTTAATCCTGTCCATTGAATGGACGATTAACTCATGAAATTCGAATCGCTTGGCTCAAGTTTATCCAGCTGTCTGCTCTGTAGGCCTCCGAAAGTTTATCACTTTGTACTATGGAATTTTTCACCATCTCATCGCATCTAGATCTCATCTCATCTCAACGCATCTCGCACTTTCAAGTTGATTTCAGCGCTCCAAAAACAAGGTAGGACAATGATTGTACCCGAGGGTATTTTCATCGGGGGTAATAGACAAACTCAGGTTAGTTCCTTCTCTTCGCAGCACGAAATTCTGGCCTTTGGAGCAGGAAAAACCATTGCTTTATGGAAACCTTTGGATTCGAGTAGTCATGGAGTTTATAGAACTTTGAAAGGCCACAATGCCGAAGTCACTTGCGTCAGGTTTGTTCACGGGACGGATTTGCTGATCTCTGCATCAGAAGATTTCCAAATTAGAATCTGGAGGAAGCACACCAGCACGCTGGAGAATGGCAGGACTACTTTTGAGTGCATACAAACATTGACCCACCATAAACATACGATTACTGCCATTTCGGTACTAGAAACTATGTTTGTCGTGGGCTGTGCGGATGGATCAGTTTCCATATGGGGCCTGGGCGCTAAAAATGAAGCAAAACTGATGCATGTCTTCGAGCCCAAAAAGAATACTTTTCCTCTGAGTTTGGCACTACAAGAAATCGACGAAAACAAGGTACTATTGGCTGTCGGAGGAACCAATACCAATGTTTTCATATATTCTTTCTTATGGGAACCCAAACTTTTAGAATTATCTGAATTCCAGCAGGCCGCTGTCTTGGAGGGTCACGAAGACTGGATCAAGGCTATAGATTTCCATCAGGAATCGGCAGGAAACTTGATGCTTGCCACAGGGTCCCAAGATCGATACATTAGACTGTGGAAGATAAGAGCGAACGAGCTTATTGACAATTCTGACGAAGACAAGTCCAAACTCAAACTTCTGAGCAACAAACAAAGCAAGTTTACAATTGGCTCCGATTTCAAAGTAGCCATCAGTTTTGAGGCCTTGATTATCGGTCACGATGATTGGATTTCCAGCTTACAATGGCATGAAAATCAGCTGCGTCTCATGGCATCAACTGCGGATACCGCAGTTATGGTATGGGAGCCAGATGAGGACTCTGGCGTATGGGTTTGTACGTCAAGACTAGGTGAACTATCATCTAAGGGTGCTTCCACTGCCACTGGATCTGCAGGTGGATTTTGGTCATCTAATTGGCTCATCAAAGGAGGAGAAGACTACATTGTAACCAATGGTAAGACCGGCTCTTGGAGGATGTGGAAATCGGATGGTGCAGGCTTATGGGAACAACACTTAGCCCCAACTGGACCAGTTAAATCAGTTACAGACGTTGCATGGGCTCCCAATGGCCGTTACTTATTGCTGACATCCTTGGACCAAACTACAAGGCTGGTTGCTAAATGCATTGACCGCAATTCAAAAAGTTCGGGTTCTTGGTTCGAGTTTTCAAGGCCTCAGATCCATGGCTACGATATGACGTGCGTGGAACCGATTTCTAATACCAGGTTCGTTAGTGGAGCTGACGAGAAGATTATAAGATCTTTTGAAGAGCCAAAAGGCGTTGCTCAAATTTTGAGCCGATTTTCAGGTATTCCTATTGAAAACGAGAACAGCATGCCCGAGTCTGCATCACTCCCTGCACTTGGTCTGTCGAGTAAAGCTACCACAGAAGCCGAGTTGGAAGAAGATGATGATCCTGACGTGAGGGAATCTAACGAGACAAAGAATATTTCTTTTGATCTAATTGCATCCTCTTCAGAGCCACCTATTGAAGATCAGCTACAGAGGCACACCCTGTGGCCGGAAATCGAAAAACTATACGGTCATGGCTATGAAATCTCGTGCTTGGACGTAAGCCCTGATGCCCGACTGGTGGCATCGGCATGTAAATCTAACAATACTCAGCACGCTGTGATACGAATTTTTGACGTCGGAGCATGGCTACAAGTAAGACCTGCAGAGCCTTTCCACAATTTGACCATTACCAGACTACGATTCTCTAAGGACAACACACACTTATTGAGCGTAAGTCGCGATAGACAATGGGCTGTTTGGGAGAGAAATCCATCAACAAATGAGTTTGATTTGGTTCACAAGAACGAAAAAGCTCACACTAGAATCATTTGGGACTGCGAGTGGGCTCCTTTGGGCTTTGGTAAAGTTTTCTTCACAGCTTCAAGAGATAAAAGTGTCAAGGCCTGGCGCTTCACTCCTGAGGCAGCAACGTATACACAGGTGTCTCAGGTAAAGCTGTCCGAACCAGTAACAGCATTGGCAGTTTACCCCGAGCTAATCGATGGAAAAGTCTTGTTGGCGATTGGGCTGGAGAGTGGTTCTGTCCAACTACAACACTATGGTGACGATTTTAACAAATTGTTCGAGCTAAATGATGAGATTTCGGCAGCCGATAGGATCAACAGACTGAGGTGGTCGTCATACCACGAAGATGGTTCGTGCATCTTGGCAGCCGCAAGTGCAGATCATTCGGCCCGTATTTATTCTGTTGAGATCAACCACATAGAGAGTGCATCTGGCTGTTAATACATAAAACGGTTTAAAGATTAAAACGTAACCGTCCAAGAGCTCAGCCAGTTCAGGCTTTTGTAGTCCTTTGCAGGACCGTTCATCCCCTGGGCGAGTGGTGAAAGTAGAATGTAGATGTAGACACACCCGCCAAATAATAACATGTAAAGGCAATCTTTGATGTGATATCTGTTGGGCACGCATCTTTCGAGCATGAAACCGAACACCACTATGGCAAAATACAACGCCGGAACGTAATGGTGAACGTAAGTAACCCTTCCCATGAAAACAAATGGTAAAAAGTGTAGAAGCCATGCCAAGAATGGTAATATGCCCTGCATTCCCAGCTCGCAAACTTCATCACTTGAAATAACCAGGGATTGTCTTCTCCATCTCAGCGTCAGTTGCGCAAAGTAAAATACGATTAACACCAAGGCAGCAGTGGAGAGCCAAGTTTGAAATGGTGAGCCCAGGAGATAGTATCTCACATTGTGAACACTCCATCCGCACATCCTGAGGCCAGTGTGCAGGGTAGGCCACTCCCATGCTTTAGTTGCCAAAGAATCATATTTGTCCTCATCTGGAACCAAGGCATTGTTTGATGAAGCCATTGCGAAGTTTATCAAAACGAAGTCGGCCCAGAATTTTGATTTTGGAGGAATATAACCCTCTGCTTTGTCTCTGTTGACATTCCAATGGTCTTCGATATTCCACCATGTCGATTTGTCGCGTCTAGTCCAAGAGTGCTTGCACACAATTTCGGCCTGTTTAAACCCCCAAGCAGGATACGCTAGCCCCGTAGTTGCAAGATAGCAACCAAGTTCCTTGTGCCTTAGTCGGAAACTGGTGGAGATGGGGTGTACCACAGAAGAATCTTCTTTAGGGAATGAAGAGTTAGAAGAGTCAAGCTGCTCAACAATCTCAACAATCCAATCGTCTTTCGTGTCGCCGACGATTTCGTCCCCATAGCCTGATACTTCGTAGCAATTGTTAGAGACATGGGCTGGAACGTCATGCGAATGCAGATTGGCTTTGGTGTTTTTATGAACAAGACGAATTTCAGATTCGTGACGCAGCGTTACAGAGTCACCCCGGAGCAAACCATTCTCGTCAACCTCCTCGCCAGATTCTCTTGAGAAATTGATCAGCCAATGGTTGTTGTTATCGGAATGTCCGTAGCCCGTTATTTGATGCTGCCCTGATCCAAATGGATAAAGTTGAACGTGTGAATGAAGCAGGTTGGGACTGAGGCCATGCGATCTAATGCTTACTGTTGATCCAAAAGCGACATCTCTGGGTCCTATTTCAATCTTGTTACCATCAAGATTCACTTGAAACAAGGTGTTAGTGGACGCATCGCCCGTTCCTGATTTGTGCAAAATGGTGAAATGGATCTTAAAACAAAAGAGGTAGATCATGAACGGTATGATTATCAAATCGATTACACGAATCAACCAGTGTTTGTAGTATTGTAGTTTGCCCATTTTTGGATTGTGATAGCTAACAAAGAGATCTGCAATGGTGTAGATGCCAGCCACCAAAGTTATGAACAAACCTACCCATTTTACTGAGCACACACATCCGATGGATATCCCCAACAAGAGCATCCAGCAGGACCATTTTTTCGAGAGCTGTTGTTTGCGAAGCGTGTGAACTTTGGTGATGCAATAGAAGGTTGTGGCCGTGAAGAACAGCAAAATGGAGTCCAAAAGAATGAATTTGGACAATGCTATATAGGACAGTTCCAAAGCCACCATGAGTCCCAGCAAAGTTGATCCCATCAAGCTGAAACCGAGGTTCCGTGCTGAAATCATCATAAGAGGAGCGCAAAGAGCACCAAATGACGCATTGAATTGGCGCATGAATTTATAGTTAACACCCTCTGGGAACGCTGCTCCAGATTCGAATTCAAATTCTCCGTCAAACACGGTCAAATACTCACTGAGTGCAATGAGCATTTTACCTAGCGGTGGATGAACGTCATGGTAAAATTCATGTTTGATATAGTAAGATCCAAACTTCCCGAAATGCGCTTCATCCCACATTACTATGTCGCTTGCATCGATTTTCCTGAATCTCACGTAGAACGCTAAAACTGTGATGGCTATCACCCCAATGAACTGCAAGATTGAGCTATAGTCTGTTGGACGGTAAGAAGACTTCAATTGCGCGCTGTGTGGTCGAGATTTAGAATCCTCAGCTGGCTCATCGACGACTTTCTCATCAAAGTTTTTACTCCGATCTCGAAGCTTCAGCTCGGACGACTTGGGCAAAAACCCAGTTGAGCTCATGTCTTGATTATAATGCAAACACAAGCCTGGCCAGAGCTCTCTTCTGATCTCTTTAGGGAGTTTCTTTGTTTAAGTTGAACAACTTCGCTTTGGTATAAATTTGAGATGTAGAGACATGTAAGAACTGTGAAATAGTGACATCGACGAAAACAAGCTGGAACGGTTGAATTGTAGTCTGGTTTAGATACTTTGGGATAGCTGTGAAGCTATAAGATGCTATTATGATGGCATGATGGTTCTGTCGACAGGTTGCCGATGGGAAATGAATTTTTAGCTAGAAATTACACATTTTGAAGTCGCGAATGGGTCGCAGTTCCTCAAACTTGACACAATTCCAGAGTGAGGACTCCATTCTCTCGTGGTCATCGTAGTTCTCGTAAACCTGTGCCAAATACCACCATAATTCTGGCGAATGGTAGCCCTCTATGGATTTGTCGATGACCTCTTCAAGCAAAATCTTGAGCCTGGCAAACGCAGCAGATCTATCTTTCTCGCCAACAAAAGCGTCGCTTTTGGCCTCTGATGATTTCTGCAAAGCCATTTGGTGAACAGTGTCTTCTTCCGGGTCAGGTATCAGACATTTCGCGAATCCGACGGTTGCGTCAATGTTTAGCGGATCATAGAACAGGACCTTCTCAAATAACTCAAGGGACCGTTTTTTGTCGCTCGCCAAAGCCATGTAGCCTTCAGCCAGGTCATTATTAAGGTTTTGGAATTTCGTGGTTTGGGCCCGGGACTCTGCAAGAGCTTCCCGGGCATCGCTGGGGGATTTGCGCATGTAAAGCTTCACGACGAACAACCACACAGTTTGCTGGAGATATTCTTTGCTCTTATTGAACTCTGGCCCCAGATTGCAGTCTGTCGCGTCGGAAGGGAATGCAGTGTCGAGAAGCTCGAATAGCTCGGGAAGAAGTTCTAAGGCGTCCTCAACACCGAACATATCAACTGTTAATTTAAGCTGGGTTAGCTTAATATGTACCATTTGCCATCTTTCTGAAGTGGACAAGGTGGTACCATCTTGAAGAGCTTGCTGAAAAGCCTGAAGAACCGAGCACACTATTTTGAAAGAAATCGTTTTATCCTCATTTATTGACTCACACAGCGCAAGCAAGTGCCAAGCACGATAGTTCTCGGGCTCTTTCTCAAGAATTGAGCTTTTGAGAAACTTGATGGCTTGAGCGATCTCGCGCTTTTGAGCCAAGGCATAAGCATAATTGAAATTGAGAGAGTCAAAAGTGGAATCTGCTGCAGTTGCATTAGCCAAATAGTGGGTGTGTGAAGATTGAAAAAAGCTATTCAAGTCTTCACTCTCGTATTCATACAAGCAATTCCACGACTGCGCCAACACTTTCAAAAGCTTTTTGGGCAAAAACAATTTGATCCCGTTTGAAGCCACATCCGAAGATTGTTCTCTTTCTATCAGCGGTAGCGAGATGTTGTTGTAGAACTCGCGGAGTAGGATCTTAAAGTTTTTCAAAAACCCGCCTACACTGAAAACGTTTTCTATTTCCAGGTTGCCGGATAGACTGGCAATAAACCTGTAACTTTCCAGTATCGAGACGAAATCTAGCCAACAACCGTCATTCAAATGCTTATAGTTCTCGTTATAGCTCATGAAATTGACAAAATTCAAGACGGCTTCTTTACTCTCTTTTTTCATTCCGAAATATATCATGGCTGTTTTAGAAACCTCTAAACTTTGGAAAGTTTTACCCAAAGACTGCACTATGAAGTCTCGCCACTCAGTGGATTTGGGAGGCCCGCGATTGAGGAAATAATATTGTAAAACAACGTGAAATTGTTCCAAATCATAATCATTGCGCTCTTCAGCGGTTGGAAACCTAGCTGCATTTAGCAATTTGGTACCTATCTCAAGTAGCTGTTGATCATGATTAGCAGAGTCCGCCTGGACTGCGATATAGTATGCCACATTGGAGGGCTTCAAATGCTTAAGTACCTCGTTCCAACTCATCTGAAGCCTTGCTACAATCAGATCCAAGTAATGGAATGTTAAAGCGTGCGATTCGCGTGGCAGCTCTGTGATAACCCTGGCTATATTTTGCAGATAGTGGTCGACAATTTCTTCCTCGCTTTTCAACAAACCAGTGAAATACAGATGCTCGATCTTAAGAAACGTTTCAAACGGTTCCGTTGCGAGTTTCACCTTCTGTGCATCATCTAGAGACTTCTGCGCTGATTCAACCTCAGACAATTGATATTTCAAAATGCCTTGCAGGTTTAACCATATACTCCTCTTGATCGAATCAGAAAGATTGGGATAATCTATTTTGTTGAGCTCACCTAGCAGCACTTTAAAAACGTCTTTAGTAGCAATGCTACTGCCAAATACATGGTAGTGGGTCCTGTACTGCAGACTTAAAAGAGCATTGAGCTGCTTGTCAGAACAATTGAACACGCCACAGCCTAGCAAGCGGTCCCGGAGTGCAAGTGATGAATCTTCAGCTTCCTGAGTCATGTTCAGAGTGATTGGAGTTAAACCAGATTGCCACGGCCGTGCAATTGAGTTGAATCTGGAGATGACATGGTTTACTATTTAGCCTGCCCGTTTTCCATATATAGTGTGTGAATAAAGATTAAGCCTTTGGTAGTCACTATATACGTATCTGACACCACCTGCACTAAGTTCACTCCTCTGCTGGAGTACCATCAGCATTTGTCGTGGGCTTCTTCTTCTTTTTCGTATCTATCTTTTCGACTTTAACGTCTTTCATTCCCTTTTCCTCCAGCAACTTGTGAATGTAGGCCTCAACTTCGTCTGCCAAATCACCTTGGATGACAATTTCTTCTTTTTTCTCGGCGTTCTTCGAAACCGAGCAGCCCGTAGCGAATTTCGATGCAAATGTCTTGGCTAGCTTCTTCATATCGATTTCAAATACCTCAAGACCACTTATGGCCACCATACTTTTCCTCTTGGTACGTGCTTCTCTTTTGATGATCACTTTGGACGAAAGCTTTTTCGCCAATTCACGTTGTTCGCGATTCTCTTGCTTGGATTGCAATCTTTTGAGATCCTTTTCTAGCTTTTCTTCACGTTCGTCGCCAATAGAGCTGGCTGCTAGCTTACTTGTCGTCTCTTCGACCTCTGCATCGCCGTAATATTTGGAAAAAAGACTAGGATGGTTTTCTTGCACCCAAACTTTGCAACGCTTCAATTTTCCGGAAAACTCGCAGTAGTCCAGTGGGTAGGTGCATACGCCGCAGTAGACAACAGTTTTAAGTGACATTGCGTTGAGCTTCAAAAGGAAAATGCTAGGTAAAACGGTTGTGTGTCTAAAAACTAGCTGGATTTCGTTATACTGGTTGAAGCTCATCATTGATTTAACTTCTCAGAAATATAGTTGGTCGCTGTGTACGATGGTAGACTAACTAGCCGTTACGATTCGAAAATGATCCCATGAGTTAACGCAACTCACTTTTGCTTGCATCGGTTTGAGATTCAGTTTCGGAACTGTGTGGCATTGCGTCTTTTTTTATGTGGAAATGTAGGCCAATCCAGAGATTTGACTTTCGATACAAGACTCTCGACAGAATTGATAAAAATGATAATCTAAGGCACTTCACACCGGGGCATCGATTATTAGGGAAACTGTCACTGAAAAATTGCAGTTACTCGACCAGAGCTTTGAGATCGAGCTGAGTATTCGTCGTATGGATATATTGCTAATTGAGCTTGTTGGGATATTTATCAGTTCATTTTACAATAACCAGCAAAACCCACACTTCTAATGTGTGTGAAGCTGAACATATTTAGCAACAATAACTGACAGTTCATTGATAGTTGCTACAGCCTTCAAGTGAGCTCACAATACTGATCCGCCCTGGTTTGGATCATTTTCTGGTCACTTTGTACTATTCTGTCACCGTCTTCAAAAAAGGAGTGAAACGACAAGAAACTATTTTGGAATGAGCAGCAGTACAAAGCCGTATTGATCCTTTCAGCTGAAGAATACAAAAATGGCATATAAATCGACAACTTTACCAGCTAACCAATCTCTAGCTTTTCTGGGTGCTAGATTAAAGATGGTCACGTGATGTTTTAAAATGCTCCAAAATTGAGGTTTTATCCCGTCAAAATGACTTCTGAAACACATATCAAAGTCCAAATATCATACGTCTTATTACAAGGCACAGATTTTCCGAATCAAAGCGATCAAAATCAGCAATCGGTTGCATTGTATTTTTAATCACTCTATACGTCAATACATAGCATTTCTATAATCAATATTACAGAATTGAAAGGTGCCTCTAAGGACACATCCGATGAGCACACTGAACAAGTCGTCAACTGACGACTAACCTTTGGTGTTAGAGCTTACTCTGTATTGATCAATCGATTCCTTATGAGCGACAATTTTGGACGGAAAAAATCCCAACGCTGGGTGAGCGTTTCCAAGGGGAATTACAACGGACAAGAATGGGACAGCAGCGACGAAGAGACAGAAGCTTTCAGCAACACACAGGATCCATCAGGTTCTGAAACGATTGCTGGAAAGGCACCGCCCTTACCTCGGCTGAGCCACGACAGCTCCACGATTGAATACTCTGCGGGAGAAGATGAAGACTCTCAAATAAATGAGGGCACAAACGAACAATCACCAATGGCATCGACTTTAAGCAGTCACCGAACCGACCAAGATACCGCCAGCAATGAAATGCATTTAGAGAGCACCCATTTGAAAGGGAATAAATCTATAGCTTCAGAATTCGAATATTCAGAGTCTGACGACGACGACAATGATGAAGAGGAATACAGGGTACCCAAGACAGGATACTTTGCAAGCATGATGGAATTCAAAGATTCAAATCATGGAAACGAAGCACCACAGGAATCAGAAAAACAGAACGATCACTCCAATGGTGTTCATGAGAATACCTTAGAGACCGAGAATTCGGGAAGTCGAAAAGTGTCCATTGACCACTCTGAAGAGTCTTTGAAAGATACAGGGGGCTCAAATTTAGCAACGGGGACACCACAAAGCACAGCAGAATCGCATGGCGTACCGCGCGGGCTGGAAAAAGGACCGGAAAGGTCTGCAGATTCTGCAGATTCTATGCCAGCTCAGACTGACGTTACGCGCAAAACTAGTGACTCAAAAGATTCTACTTCTGAGGCAACACCGCAACAACCATTCTCAGTACACGATTCATCGGGTTCTTCGTCGGAAAGGCTGAACGCCGACCGTCGTTCTTCAAATTTGGATGAGATTTGCACGTCGCGTTCTTGGTCGACTCGTTCAAACCGGTCTGTCGGCGAGGAGCACGAAGCAATTGGGGAATTGAATGAAGACTCTTTTAAGCAGCATACACCAGTCAGGCCTTCGCATTCGCGTACTAGGAGCGTGGTGACCGATGCCTCTGGGGAATCATTCACAAATAGGAAAACTAGTGTGATTTCATCTGATGGGTATGAAGATAACGCCTCATTTTTCAACCACTATGGAAACAACAGCCCGCAATCTTCATCTGCAGGTGGGAGTAACAGATCTCCGCAGAAAGCTCAAGCTTCGTCTCCCTTAAAATTAAGATACACCTCCAAAACGGATCTTCATCCTTCAGATATGACTGAGCATGAGTCTGCAACAGAAGTTGAGAATGTCAGAAGTGAGGAAAGAAGCTCTCCTTCTGATAATGGCACCAATGATTCAGATGTGGATGATGACGAAAGTGTGATAAGAATTCCCAAAAACGGCTACTACGCTCAGATCATGAAGGACTTCTCTAAGGATGCTGCCACAAAGGAAGGAAGCGATACTAACCAGAGTCATGAAGATGCAGAAAGTGACATAGTGAGCACCGAGACGGGTTCGATAACAGACAGTATTCAGGCTTCTCGTGCGCGGTCATTCGAAAGCCAAAATGCGAATCAGGAAAAACTGAACAGTGAGCCTGAATCACCAAATGACGCAGTAGATGATAATGGCTCGGTGAGAAGCAATGAGGAGCGTAAAAAGTCAGCATTGAGACAGTCGATCAACCTAGGTAAGTGGCAACCCGACACTGATGCCAATAGAGCAAATTTCTTAGGTGGCGCGACGCCCACAGATGATGTGCCAGAGGGATACGTGGTTGATAGAGACGGTCAACTGGTTGACCTCAATCCTTCAAAGATGAGAACCGAAAGGGCCATATCCATGTATTCTGACGCAGCTAGCGCATGGAATGCTTTTCCAGCATCTGCGGGTGCTGTGGGTGGGGACACCGATACGGTTTATGACACCAAGACAATATATGATAACCAGACTATTTTCAATGTACCCGGCGCGATTTTGAATCACAATTCGTTACCTCCGCTACCTCGGGATGTGTCCGAAAGTGCTCGGACAAATACGATAGCGGATTCTGACTCGATACTGAAGCACCTAAATGGCGAGAAAAGGCATCATACTTCAAACTTGAAGGAGGACTTTTCAGTGCAGGCTCCAGACTCCAGCGAGATTGCCCAGCTGAATAAGAAGACGATTCCGTCACTAGACTTGGACGCGTTACTCCAATCAAAAAGCAAACCTCATGCGACTAAAATCAGAGAGCTCACAAGCTATTCGAGAGAGCTTAACGATTACGATAGTGGTCTACACATATGGATAAGTTTTGCTTTAAAATCGTCTGCATCTGATAGAGACTATATCTTTGACGAGTACAAGGTAAACAAGCATGTCAAGGATGCATACGCACAGGCTGATGAACTAGGCAAAAAGATGACAGTGAGCAATACGGTAGCGAATGTTAATCAAAATGTCTCCCACTTGAAGCGCAAAGTATTTTCGCATTCAATGAAGGAGAAATCGAAGGGCCTTTTCTCTTCGATAGGGAAAAAGAAGACTTGACTTGACCGAGTCTTTCCATCTTGGGCCGCAATGTGTGGTAACAGAACAAAAATAGAATGGGTTTGATGCTGTGGTTGTTATATTCTCGTACATAGGTAAGACATTACGAGTTATTGATTTGATGAAATGTTCGCGAGTCTTTTCTCGCCGCGCTTTCTTAGCTCTTTGTCCATAAGGTCTCTGGTACAATGAGCACCCGCGATTCCAATGGCAAGAACACTTTCCATGCGGTCGAGTGCTAACTTGTCCTCCACAAGCAGCAGTGATAACTTCTCCGATCGTCCCATTACGCCCAGCGTGACGCTGCTCATGGCGTTTTCTTCGACAGTATTCAGGTCCAAAAGTGGAGTTGTATCATACAGCCCTATCGAGACTCCACTGATGTAGTCGTAGATTGCAATGCCAGCGTCTATCAAAGCCAATGTAATTCCATTGATTAGAGAGCCCATTAGGCCTCCGTCTTGCTGTAAAACATGAATTTGAATGTCAATTTGTGTGCGAGGGTATAAATGCATCAGTATATTCTTCTCGAATGTGCGTACCAAAGCAGTTTGCATCTCGAGCACTCGTCTTTCGTTTTTATGAGACGACTTGCTTCTTTCTGTTTTGGAAAATCGAGTGATATTGACAGAAACGGTCAACACTGCCTTTGTTGCATTCATATTTGACCGGAGCTTAGGTTCTTGTGGCCCGTTCACTAAGGTAATGATCTTGTTGTTACCTTGCTCTAAGTAAGATGAGCCATCGGATGCATTAGCATGTGTATTTATTGAGCATTCAAATCGACGGAGCTCATTCCACCGGCGACCATCTACACGAAGGCCCTCAGGAGAATATATTTCAAGTCTAGACATGGCCCAGAGACGTTTCTGCTTATGTTTTTTGATGAAGTTGTTTTCGAACGTTAAGTTGTAGTCTTCATGATGGATCCTGTAATTTTTCAAAATTTCATTTCACTAACAGCGTAAAACAAAAATCGACGATATCGCGATGAGATGAAAGCTTTGGGCTCACCAGACCTAGCTAGTCTTCTTGTGCTGGATGCGAGCATTTGAAAGAGCCAAGTCTTGAATGAACTGGCCCAAAATCCAAACATTCGCAAGGAAAAACAATAGACTAGCCAAAAAAAGACCTGGAAAGAATACATTTTGGCCCTTGAACTCCAGTAAGTAGCCCTGTAGAAGCCAAAAAGACTGTGTTAAAATCCAGGCAATAGCCATGCAGATTCCCCTGGTCTTTGAGAGCTGTGTTCTTGCAAGGTAGAATGGCAGGAAGATCAAATACCAAATGAAGTACTGCGATGTGCATACTTTGTTGAAGGTGACGAAAGCGTAGGTCTGCAAAAAGAGTACGCAGAGCAGATAATTAAAGCTGCGGTTGCGAACCACCAGTACCGATAGCCCCAATGTTACTATTGCTTGCGGCAAAAACGCTAGTTGTGCGCCATATGACTTGTCAGGAAGCGCAGACTGGAAATACAACAACATGTGGAAGACCGAGAAATTGTGTCTGTGATCCGTGCGGTACAAGTGGTAAAAGTATGCCTGATCCAGGAACTCTTCCCCGTACAGACGGTACATCCCGTAGCAACAAGCTCCCAGAGAGACAAGTGTGGCAGTTCCGATTTTGAGCAGCGCACCAAGTCCAGCTTTCCGGTTGAAATACACATACGCTGCGATCGGAACGCTGTAAATGAGCGGGTATATCTTGAAATGGATGGCTAGACCATAGACCAGGCCGGAAAGGACGTAATTTTCCTGACGCAAATAGTACAGTGATAGCAGGATCAGGAAACACAGCACGCTTTCGGCGTTTCCACGCGTGCTAATTGTGATAACCATAAAATTTAGAAGCCATAACGAGCTCAGAACCAGACGTTTGCGTTGTGTTTCTGTTTCCAGGAGCCTCAAAATAAGGGCTCCTGTTAGCAGATCGAACACCACGAAGAGCATCTTCCCGAAGTGAATCCAGTTCAAAAGGTGATTAGGCACCAGCAGCCAACTCAAAAGCGGCGTGTAGCGGTAAGTGTCCCGCAGGAAGGGCGACAATCCCAAGGAAACGTATTTGGCCGCATCGTTAAACACAAAATAGTCGATATCTGTGTATTTTACATCGAAATGCTCATCTTGATATATGCCGTAAAGGAAGAACCCAACTCTTACCAAAAAAGCAGCAGAGAAAAGCAGTCGGGAGCTGAAAGTCGCCATAATAGTGAAACAGAACACACTGGGTTCAATTCCGTTGGAATTGAGCTTTGAAAGTTGCTGTATGTGTCACAAATTGTCTTTGAATGTGATTTCAAACTGCGAATTTAAGAGTTAATACATCCAAGTTCACTTAATTCACACTACAATAAGGTCAAATAAGAGCAGAGACTCACGCTGTTTACTGAAGTAGAGCCCAATTGGCGTGAGGTCTTGTATCACTAGCTAAACATGGATGACCACCAACTGAGCTATGAAGAGTTAGTGGATTATATAGTCAACGACAAGCCGGTTCCCAATATTATGCATGTACCAAACGTAACGCTTCCAGCGACTCTTAGTAAAGACTCGAGCATGCGACAGCGGCCTAAACCATGGGAAATAGCTAACAGTGCTACGACGGCAAGTGAAACAAGACTTAAACAAAGCTCACCGGCCTTGGCAGTTCAAAAGGACGATGTTCATCCGTCCAAGAGTTCCGAAAGCCTTTCCAAGTACTATTCGATCGAAACCGAGTTTGAAGAGCAGCTTCAACGGTTTTTGGGCAACAATGAAAGCAGCTCAAGCAGTTCAGAAAAGAAGACCTAGCTGCGTTTCGCAAGCAGTCCTTCCACCTATATGTATATCTATATTCTACAGTTTAAGCATTGATGAAGTGGTGATTTGGTACACCACTGAAGACGACAAAAAAAGACATTTTATGAAACACTTTGATTGTATCGTTTATCCAATCGTGATGTGTGTATGTCGTTCTTATTTGGCACCGCTGGTCCGCAGCACAAACTCGAAGCATGCTAGAGCAGCGGCGTTCGCAGGGAAACTTCTCAAAAAACTAGGCACGAAGCCTTTGAAAAATCCAGCGAGACCTCGTGTGCGCCAAATGTCCGAAGCTGCCATTCTCCAGGACTTGAAGCTTCCGTCGTATTTGTCGTTGCAGAGAACTACCTGTTTGATAACGTCACTGGGATACGCCGTAGTCCAAAACCCAAACGATGCGCTGAAGCCGCCTGCCCAAAAATTAATCGCAGTGTCACTCATACTGGTGTTTTTCTTGAACCACTGTGTGAGAAGCTCGTAGGACCCCCACCAATAAACAAAATGGGTTCTGAAGATAAGAGTGCTGATCAAACCCTTGTACAAGCCCCGTATCCCGTCGGCACTGTAAACTTTGCGGATAACATCGATGGGTCCCTTGTATTTGGCAGTTGAGGCATCGTATTGAACTTGTAATTTGGCCTTGGCTAGTTCAACTGGCGCCGCGATGAAACTGACAGACCAGCCTGCCATAACCCCACTCAATATGCACCCCGATAGTGGCAGTTTTTCCTCATGGGTATAAACGTATTTTTTCAGTAGCATGCGGTAGTTGTGAAGACACCCTAACATGACGGAATCCATCAAAATCCATCCAACCAGTGGAGGAGTGAACCCCAAATAGAAACCACGAATGCCTTGCTGCTTCATCGTCTGGTAAACACAATCCAAGGGTCCCTTGAATCTACCGGTGTCTTGAGATGTCTGTAATCTCACTTTGATGGTGTCAAATGGGTGTCCCACAGCGTTTTTGGCAAATCCAGAGAACATACCCGAAACGAAGCCCATCAAACGCGAATACGTCTCGTTCGGCAGCGCATGATTCTTTTCAGCGGTACTAGCCATGATTGGAAACTGCCTGAGTTGCAACCTTGTCGAGAATTGAACGTTTTTTAAGAGTGCTCATCAAGCTCATCGCCGAAATTTTTCACTTGTCAGTAATGACACACACCGTTGACTAGCGAAATACCACGAGCAGCAGCGACTTCAACACCCTTGGGCAGGGATTAAGAGCGAATTGACAATTTCCGGACAATGGTGGTATAGCAGACAAATTTCTGATCATGGAGATGTAGTTTTTTCATGATCGGTTTGTCCATAGACATTTTAAGATTTAACGAGAATGAAGATTAAAGTTGGGCTTGATAACGGGCCCACGAATCAGAAGTGTGAATAAGTATCTATAATTATCTGTAAAAAAATCCTAATGTCTATATTTGATTGCCCCTCCAATTGAGCTCTCAAAAGTGGAGGAAACGATATATCTTGGTGTCGCCAGTCAGAATTCTAGTTGCGTAGAGAAAGTCTTTGTCGACACTTACATGAAAACAATTATACCGCATAAACACGGATTTGGTCACTTAAATGGGCGGTAATGCTTTGGGAGCCTTTGGCTTCCGCTGGCGATAAGCTAGGGTTTTCGTGTCATCAGTCGGTGCTGTCCTCCATACGTTAGGCCGATATCTCATCACTTCGCACTCTTCTGTCTGTCACTTCCTACCATTCAGTCATCTCTAAACCTTTTGGCGTTGACAGTACGAAACTACCAGACCAGACCAGCAGTTGACTTCTAGAGCATCCGTGTAGCTTCAATTTTGCCTCACGTCTCTATTATACATCTCACTTTCAAAATTCAGTCATTCGAGGCAAAGACGGAAACCGAGAAACCAAATCAGAATTGAACGATCAAGCAAATGAATTCACAGGAAGTTCGATAATGGTCAAAGTATTTTCATGCATAGTTTCATGCATAGTTTCACACACTGATAGCCTTCTCCGTTTCTTCAAAGTTCGTCGTTTGCATTTTTCATTTCTCAAAAGGTGTTGATGGGCTCAAACAATAATTTGAAAAAAGACTCCAATTGTCAGTTCATCTGCTATCTAGATGTGTGCCTCTCACTCATTCTAAACTTCAAATACTCGCCTTACTGTGTGTCTCTTCATCCTCTTTTCTCATGGCTCCTCTACGACGCTGAAATCAAGTGTGATTGATTAATGTAATTTAAACAACTTGGTCTTGATCTTGAAAGAACAACGTATTTCCAACCTATTGCGATCGTTCGTCTTGAACTTGAGACTTTCTGGTAGCTCATTGCACTCTTCTACACGTATCGTTAAACCTCTCTTCTACAAATTAAGGTCGAAATAGGTTCCCATGTCCAAAGTTACAGAGAAAACTGCACAACCTGAAGATCTCAACGAACAGGTGCGTAGATGCCCGCTCTTGATACAAGACTATATACGAGGAATGATAAACCTTTCGTTTTATGTGTACTTTCATGAAACAAGGGTGAGCGATAGCGATGCTGCTGAGAAGAAGTTTAACGAAGTGCGGACAAAAACGAGTGCATTAATGGAACAGACGCGGACCGCACGATTCGAGGCATGGGAGAAACACGGTCCTGCTGCTGTTAAGGCATTGCTCAGCCCTCAATTTCTGTACCAAATGCGTGAATGCTCCCAAATACTCTATGACGATATGATGGAACTCATGAGGCGATGCAGAGACTATCAGTTCCGCGTCTATTCATCCATGATAGCAACGCCGCGAGTCTTGAACAACTGCGTTCTTGGTTTCATACAGATATACCACTTTGTCAGGAAACTACCGGTTCAGCAGCAATACTCGATATCTGCGTTACAAACGCAAGTGCTAGAGAAAGAGCTGCGGAGCGATCTTCTCGATCCTTGGAAGGTGCAAGTGGAAAGTCTGGCCGAGATTGCTGATTCTGACATGATTTCAGAGGAATATTACTCGCAGCAACACAGGGTGGGCGACATAATCTACGACGATCGCGACGATGACGACATCAAGTACAATTGGCCGTTTTACGAAGACCGGGAAGTAGAGTCCGACGGTAGGACATCTAGAGAGGTGTGCTAACCAGCTGATTCAAGCGACTTCCTACAAGTCTCCGAAAGAAATTGGCTGAAAAACCTCGGAAAATGAATTTTAATGGCCAAACGTCCAGAAAAGGATCAGAATTTGGATCAGAATTTGATAAACATGGATAACCTCCTCACTATAACCAGCAGCAAGGACGGGCTGGATCTAATCGTGAGCCAATCCGTACAACGTCAACCAAAGCTCAGCTGTGAAACAACCATACACCACATACACAAATACTGTTTGGATCTTATCACTTCACACGAACGTCTTCAACCTAATTAAAAAGTCCATCTCATAAAAGTCCAGGATTCTTCTACATGTCTCATCAAAGAACTCACCCCTTCAGTCCACCAGAACAAACAAAAAAACATGTCTGAGGTGCTTCAAGATATCCAAAAGAAGCTGGTTTTTCCAATTGACTTTGCCAGCCAGCGTCGTACCGACCGATTGGTGCATCGGACGCTACTTTTCGGCACAATTTCGACCAGTTTGATCGGTTTTTTTACCCAATCACTTTTCAACTTGATGGTCGGTTTCGGAGCCACCGTCGCACTCTGTATGCTCGTGGCTCTTCCCAGCTACACAGCCTACAATAAACAGCGTCCAGAGTGGGTCAAGCCTAAAATTCGGGTGTAAAATACTGAATTTTCGCGAATTTCAAATCCATTTTTTCTTAAGATTTGAAATGGCCCGCCAATCAAGCAAGAACGCCTTTCTTTGAGACCATTGTGTATATAAACGGTGCTCAAAATACGCAGATCTCGCTCTTTCCCCCCGTTGACGAGTTTGAACGCCCTGGATGGCGATTTTGTCCCGGTTGGCCGTGTTTTTAGCAAACAATCTCGTGATACTACGTATACAAGGGAACGCAACCAACTTGGATATAAAAGCTCGAGGAAAAGCTCGAAGATGAAAAAAAGGCGGAGGGAAGAAAAGGATACAAGAAGAACCATACAACAGTCCGTTTTTGTTCGCAAGCACTTTTGCCAATACACAAGACTTAGAGCACAAGAATGACTGATCATTTGGGAGCTTTTTATTTGGGATTTGATCTTTCCACGCAACAATTGAAATGTTTGGTGATTGATCAAAACTTAAAGTTGGTTCACTCAGAGACAGTTGTGTTTGAAAAGGAACTGGCGCATTACAAAACGGAAAAGGGTGTGTATTTTCATGAAGATGGTACCGCAGAATGTCCCGTGGCAATGTGGCTGGAAGCCATCGATATGGTATTCGAAAAAATGAGCAAGCAGGATCACATTGACTTGTCATTGGTGAAGGCGATGAGTGGGTCGTGCCAACAACATGGTTCCGTGTACTGGTCGCAAGAGGGCCCCCAAATGCTGCCCCAACTTACGGTAGAAGCCAGTTTGAAAGACCAGCTCGCGGCCCGTGCGTTTTCTAGAAAGGTGTGCCCCAATTGGCAGGACCACAGTACCGGAAGTGAGTGCCACCAGTTTGAAGAAGCGTGTGGTGGAGCTGCAGAACTAGCGCACATCACCGGGTCTCGTGCTCACCATCGCTTTACTGGTCCTCAAATCATGAAGATCGCGAAAAAAGAGCCAGAAACGTATGCCAAGACGGGCAAAATCTCATTGGTTTCGTCATTCCTTGCTTCCATCTTGGCAGGCCAGTTCACTACTCTGGAAGAAGCCGACGCTTGTGGCATGAACCTGTACGATATCGAAAAACGCGCATATGACGATAAACTTCTCAAGCTAGTGGATGACGATTCCCAAAGGCTTAAAAAGAAGCTTGGAGGCGCCCCTATACCATCTGAAAACCCTACTCCCGTGGGCATCATTTCCTCGTATTTTGTAGAAAAGTATGGTCTGAATCCAGACTGTCAGATTTATCCCTTCACGGGAGATAATCTGGCCACCATTTGCTCCTTGCCACTACAACCCAATGATGTTTTGGTGTCTTTAGGCACAAGCACAACCATTTTACTCGTCACAGACCAATATCATCCTTCCCCGAACTATCACTTGTTCCTTCACCCCACGATCCCTAAACATTACATGGGCATGATTTGCTACTGTAACGGAGCGCTCGCGAGAGAAAAAATCAGAGACCAAATGAGTGAGACCCACGATTGGGAGCCCTTTAACGCTGCGGTAACATCGCAGTCTCTTAATAACGACAACGAAATTGCATGTTACTTCCCACTTGGAGAAATTGTGCCAAGCGTCCCTAGCTCTTACCGCAGAGCGGTTTTCGGCAAGTCTGCGGACGGGGAAGATGAAAGCTTGAGACTGGTCGATGCATTCGAAAGTGTCGCCCACGATGCGAAAAACATCGTCGAGTCTCAGGCCCTGAGCTGCCGTGTGAGGATCAGTCCGCTATTGTCAGAGGACTGCTCCGATACAAGTTGCAAAATGGGATCATCCCAGGTCCATTTCGACTGCGACAATTTCCCGCTCACAGAGTACACGAAGCGGCCAAGGAGGGCCTTTTTTGTTGGAGGTGCTTCTAAGAACGATGCCATTGTCACACGCTTCGCACAAGTTTTAGGCGCCACTGAGGGGAATTACCGTCTGGAGACACCCAACTCGTGCGCGCTGGGAGGGTGCTATCGGGCTTTGTGGTCGCATCTATCGCATGAGAATCTGACGCCATTGGCTTTTGATCAATTTCTCAACAAAACTTTCAGGTGGGACACCGACGTCAATTCCATAGGCTTGACGGAAAAAAAGGACTGGTTGCATTACAATAGTAAGATTCATGCCCTGAGTGAATTGGAGAAGACGCTTTGATACTGGAGCGTACAAACGTAAATAAAAGCTCTGAGGCTGAGGCCTACAGTGTATGTAGTAATGGAAGAAAAGTTGAATTTTCTCGATGCAGGAAAGACCCGTAGCGTCCTAAGGTCATCATCATAAAGGACAAACACTGCTTAGAAACTGAATGTGAAAATCGTTATATCAATAGACTGAAGACTGAAGTGTTCCACTTCGTGGAGATAATATCATCTACTCACCATACCATAAAGGGAGGAGCGTTCACACCTCATTTTTTACTCACAACCTTTAATTCACCGATAACATTTCGGAAACTTGACCAAATTCTGTCCAAAAAATTTCATAACATAGCCGAAACTCTAAGCACCAGCCTTAACAAGGTCTCAAATTCTTCAAGCATCTGCTGTTGGACTGAGGATTTCCGTGACGCTTGTTGAAACGGTTACCTCGCAGCCTTTATATTGGCGATGCTTATTGGTAAGGAAAAAATTGTATTTTGGATATTGAAGTTGAAGCCCATCACCATTGAAAGAAAATACTCTTTTAAACCACCAAAAGAGCCATTGTAAAGCGTTTCTGGAGAACCTGAAGCACTAGAAATGTTTATCCGCAATGCTTTGACAAGTTCAGTAAAAAAAACGGCGTTTTTACGAGGCCTACACGGCTCACAATCGCTTTTCAAAGCAGAAGTGTTTGCCATGCCAGCTATGTCCCCTACGATGGAAAAGGGCGGAATTGTCGAATGGAAATTCAAAGTGGGAGATTCGTTTTCAGCTGGTGATGTTCTGCTGGAAGTTGAGACCGATAAGTCTCAAATCGACGTTGAGGCCCAGGATGACGGGAAGTTGGCGAAGATTATGGTTGACAATGGAGCCAAAGATATAAAGGTTGGAGAGCCCATTGCTTATCTGGCTGAGCCCGAGGACGATCTGGCCACTTTGGAATTGCCATCAGAAAGTGCCCCTAAGAAGGAAACGGCACAGGAAGCCGCAAAACCTGAAGCGTCTTCGAAGGCTTCTGTGAAAGACGACTCCAATCGCTCGGCGGCGACCAACAAGACTGGTTCTTCGCCATCGTCGTCGTCGTCTTCATCTGGGAAAGCCAATTCATCTCAAGTCCTATTTCCATCGGTGCAGCTTCTTCTTCACGAAAATGGGATCACCAATGAACAGGCTTTGGAAAGCATTCCTGCATCGGGACCCAATGGCCGAATCCTGAAGGGTGATGTTCTGTCGCACTTGGGTAAAATCTCTCACGACTCGGTGACTAAGCTTACAACATATATTCAGAAATTCGAAAAACTGGACCTTTCTAACATAGAATTGAAGCAACCGGAACCGCAACAAAAGCTTCAGGAAACAGTGTCTGCAAAGCCTCAACCTATAGTGATCTCCGAGCAGATTCATGTGAAGACAGCACCCGATGTCACCACAGAGCAACTTCTGCGGTCTCTCAAGTCCTACATTAATGAGGCCAAATATTTATCGCATGAACAACCTATTGCGAATGCAAATTCGGTATACTACGATTCTGTGTTTGAGGATCTAATCACCCCGGAACCAAAGCAGCAAAGATTCGAGGTTTCTTATGATGTGGTACCACTATCGACCGGGGAGTTGATCTCTCAGCAGCAAGACGACATTTTCGACCTTCTTGCGGGATCTTCCACCAGAGCCAACGCTGTAAAGGCAGAGCATGAAATCGCTTCAAGTAACGAGTTTTTGATAAACTTGGATGTTCAAGTGAGCGAGAGATTCGGGGATGCCAAGGTGAAAGCACAAAGGTTTGTGGACTATGTGAAGGATTTAGAGATCTCTTTGGAGAATTAGTGTAAGTTCAAAATTTAATGTATATTCCGAGTAGAGAGGAAATCAGTAGTGTTGCTGAATGTTGGTGAATGAGGAGAAAACATGAAAATTGAGATGAAAGTGGGGTGAGAGTTGAGGTTTTGGAGTTCAGCGGTTGTTAAAGGAAGTAATGGGGGGTCATAATACGAAGAAACAATAACATTGGGAGCTAATAAGTGTGAAATGATCGTAATAATGAGGTTTTGAAGGTCATTTTAGGCTGAGAGTTAGATATGAAAGATTCTTACGCTACAAGTCAAGATTGCCGAGTTTTTGAAATTGCAGAATGCGCAAGTGAATGAAGTTTGAACAAGTCAAATTCTGTCTTCGACGAAAGCTGTTAAGCGGGATGCCAGATGATGGGTTGTGGACAGGACTCGTTAAGAATCCTAACCGACAGTGTTACCCGGCCCCTGGGAAAATTCAGCTAAGCATCAAATCACTTTCTCCCAAACTGACTCCACTACGTCCAAAAGTCACGTGCCTCTTCTTTTTTTTCAGCATCCCTAATTTAGACATCTCGTACAGGTTTTCAAGGGCTCGTGTAGCATTGTAATTGTTCTATGCAGGAAGTTTCTACAAACGGTGTTTATGCGTGTTGTTCAACAATTTTTTTCATTATGGGTGGGGGAAGCGGGAAGGGCGGAAGGCGGCTTGGACATTAAAGGTTACCAAGTGATTTTTTTTCAGCCTCAAATTTTTAGCAGTTCAGCGGCTTCCAATTACGTATTCATTCTTCTTGCCACGTATACCTAAAAAAAAAAATGATAGCTTACGCCCGATGGGGTCACGTGACCGCGGGGGGAAACGCACAACATGGGGTGTAGAATAGAAAGAGAGATCCCATCCTGAAGGACCTAAATTCTTCAAATCGAAAATTAAATGTTTTCCATCGGTTGATATGTTTTTATCAATATTTTCTTTATAATATTCATATTCGATGTCGTTCTTTAAGCTTAATATCCATTTTTTTAGGTTAATTATCTTATAATAGTTGTTAGTTGTGATGTTTAAATTCATTTTTCATCTTTATTGATTCGTGATTTATGATGTGACGGAGAATGATGAATATCGCGTTATTTTAAACGCATATGCGCTAATGGGGAGGAAGGCTACAAGTACTACTGAACAACTGAGAGCGTCAGCGATTAGTTGTGAATGGCATTGATGAATATTACCGTAATTAGAATGAGAGCGTCAGCGATCAGTTGTGAATAGTTGAAACTATAATCATGCACAATTGAGAGCGTCAACATCTGTGAATATTTGCACGGTTGAAAATTAGGAGGGGGAAAAGGAAGATGGATCGAAAAAAAAGGGAGTGGGGAGGGGAAGGTATTTTTTAGATATAAAGATCAATTTCGAGATTTTTAGGACATGAATCAACTATGGTATGTGATATGTGATCAGTACGGAGTATTCCAAAAAATGTCGGTCTTAATCTTTTTAGAAGAAAATGATAACTTTAAAATTAATTTTCCAATAGATGATCCAGATTATAATGATCAAATGTATGAAATAGTGAGATTCAAAGAAGAACAAGACATTTTTGATGTCATACTTGACAGTGCGGGTTACCACGATATGTATATTGTAAAAATAAAAAATAGAGTTTTTTATCGTAGTAAATCCATGGGGTATGATAAATTTGTCGATTTTGAATATGACAGTGAAGATTTTGGAATGACGTTGTGTGGTATATATGCTGACAAAGATCCTATATTTCAATGTTTAGATGAAAAATATTATTAACAATCTTCGAACTTCTCTTTTTTACGCCAAATATTTATGAATGCAGACATACTTCCAATTCACGCAATCGTCAGATCTTGTACAAGAAGTGCAAAATAGTCTATTCTCAGGATCTATATAGTACATGGTATAATAATAAGGCGGGTATAAATTATATTTTTCACACAATTGGGTTTTATATTCTAGAATGGGTATATCAATTTTTTGAAATTTTATAGTGTCGTTTCCAATGATATTATATTTTAAATCGGGAATTTCGTTAGCATAACACACTAAAATTTCAGAATGGTTTCTATCATAATCATCTCGGTTCACGTATTTGATTTCCTTTTCTCTAATCTCTTTTTCATAGTTGAAAGCTAATCTAGTGTCTTTTAAAAAATGCTTGTCGTTTTTCACGACCAAATACTGGGATGCACAATCATCGTCTCCTTTATGAATGATATCATTTTTTATGTCATTTTCATCGTTAATTTCTTTAATTTTAACATTTAAATTTTCTGGTACATTTTTTTGGTTTGGGTATTTGAAGATTTTTACGGGGTTCATAATGTGTTGGTATGTATAGTATAATCGTTTATCATATTGAAGGTGTTGGAAATTACATATTCAATGTATATTTTGGGTCTATTCTAATTAGTATATTATACTATATAAATTAAGGAGTCACGTGATGGAGGAAAATAATGAATTATCGCGTTATTTTCGCATTTCCCTCTAAACGCATATGCGTTTATGGGGAAGAAGTATGAATGAACAACTGGGTGCGTTGGCGATGGCTACAAGCACTACTGAACAACTGAGAGCGTAAGCGATCAGTTGTGAATAGCATAGGTGAATATCTGCACAGTTAAAGTGAGAAGTCAGTGATCAGTGGCGGATTGTATGGAACAAGCATGAATGAACAATTAAGAGCGTCAGTATTGATGAAAATTTGCATAGTCAGAATGAGAGTAGTACAATTCAACAAGACAATTGTTGACCAACTGATCAGTTGTGAATAGCATTGATGAGAATTTGCATACTTAGAATGAAGGCGTCTGCTATCATGGCTCTTGCATAGAGCATCAGCGATTAATCGTGAACAAAGTAGTTAAGCCCCAGCCATCGTAACAAGTGTGAATAAATGGCTAGCTCTACTGCTCACAACTGATCGCTGAGGCTCTCATTCTAACTATGCAAATATTCATCAATACTATTCACAACTGAGAGCGTTAGCGATCAATTGTTCAGTAGTGTTTGTACCATCACTCTAATTATGCTAATATTCACCTATTCAATAGTGCTTGTAGCCATCGCTAACGCACCCAGTCTAACTATACTAATATTCACATATGCTATTCACAACTGATCGCTGACGCTCTCACTTGTTCAGTAATGCAAATATTGATCAATACTATTCACAACTGATCGCTGACGCTCTCAGTTGTTCATTCATACTTCTTCCCCATAAGCGCATACATGCATCCTCCCCCAAGCGCATATTCATTTATGCGTTTATGCGGTGGTGTGATGCCCATCGCGTGGTGCCACCTGCCACAAAACCAGAATCCCGATTCCTCTTAGAAAACACCGTACGACTCCGATTCCAACACCATAATAAATCGTTCACTCTGAATAAAAAAAGGGCACACCCACACACCCTCCGCGCATCGCCCAGATCGACTATATAAGGAACACATCAAAGACCCATTCCTACATCCAAGACCTTTACCATTACTCTCATCTTTTTCTCTTACTTTCCATTCTCCAGCAGTTGATTCAATTCCCATCAACACACTCAATTGCAAATACCCCATACCAGAAAAATGTCTGAAATTACTCTAGGTCGTTATCTTTTCGAAAGATTGAAGCAAGTTGACGTTACCACCGTCTTCGGTTTGCCAGGTGACTTCAACCTTCGTCTTTTGGATGAAATCTACGAGGTCTCCGGTATGAGATGGGCCGGTAACGCTAACGAGTTGAACTCTGCTTACGCTGCCGATGCCTACGCCCGTATCAAGGGTATGTCGTGTTTGATCACCACCTTCGGTGTCGGTGAATTGTCCGCTCTAAACGGTATTGCCGGTTCTTACGCCGAACACGTTGGTGTTCTACACGTTGTCGGTGTCCCATCCGTCTCTTCCCAGGCCAAGCAGCTATTGTTGCACCACACCTTGGGTAACGGTGACTTCACCGTCTTCCACAGAATGTCCGCCAACATCTCTGAAACCACCGCTATGATCACCGACGTGGCCACCGCCCCAGCCGAGATTGACCGTTGTATCCGTACCACCTACATTCGTCAAAGACCAGTGTACTTGGGTCTACCAGCCAACGTTGTCGACCAGATGATCCCAGCCAAGCTTTTGGACACCCCTATCGACTTGGCCTTGAAGCCAAACGACCCTAACGCCGAAGAGGAAGTCGTTGCCACTTTGTTGGAAATGATCAAGGACGCCAAGAACCCAGTCATCTTGGCTGATGCTTGTGCCTCCAGACACGATGTCAAGGCCGAGACCAAGAAGCTCATTGACGTTACTCAATTTCCATCTTTCGTCACCCCAATGGGTAAGGGTTCCATTGACGAACAACACCCACGTTTCGGTGGTGTCTACGTCGGTACCTTGTCTTCTCCAGAAGTGAAGGAAGCCGTTGAATCCGCCGACTTGGTTTTGTCTGTCGGTGCCTTGTTGTCCGATTTCAACACTGGTTCTTTCTCTTACTCTTACAAGACCAAGAACGTTGTCGAATTCCACTCTGACCACATCAAGGTTAGAAACGCCACTTTCCCAGGTGTTCAAATGAAATTTGTTTTGCAAAAGCTTTTGACCCGTGTTGGTGCCGTTTGCAAGGACTACAAGCCAGTTGCCGTCCCAGCTTTGCCAGCTCCAAACGCTGAAGTCGACCCAAAGACTCCATTGAACCAACAATGGTTGTGGAACCAGGTTGGCAAGTTCTTGCAAGAGGGTGACATCATCATCACCGAAACCGGTACCGCTGCTTTCGGTATCAACCAAACTCACTTCCCAAACAACACTTACGGTATCTCCCAAGTCTTGTGGGGTTCTATCGGTTACGCCACTGGTGCCTGTTTGGGTGCCGTTATGGCCGCTGAAGAAGTTGACAAGAACAAGAGAGTTATCTTGTTCACCGGTGAAGGTTCTATGCAATTGACCGTCCAGGAAATCTCCACCATGGTCAGATGGAACTTGAAGCCATACTTGTTCGTTCTAAACAACAACGGTTACACCATTGAAAGATTGATTCACGGTGAAACCGCTCAATACAACGACATTCAGCCATGGAAGCACTTGGACCTATTGCCAACTTTCGGTGCTACTGACTACGAAACTCACAGAGTTTCTACCACCGGTGAATGGAACAAGCTTGCCGAGTGCGCCAAGTTCAACAAGAACGACAAGATCAGAATGGTCGAAGTCATGTTGCCAACCATGGACGCTCCAGAATCTTTGGTCAAGCAAGCTCAATTGACTGCTGCCACTAACGCCAAGTCTGCTTAAAGGGCTCGCAAGGTTAAAATAACGAACAATTAAAAAACCCTAAAGTTTTCTGTTTTTTGTTATATAGTGTTTATGTCCAGCAAGTAGGTTTGTTATAGAAATGATTGACGAACTTTTATCAAGTATAAATTATGAAATTCATGGCTTCAATTGAAGAATAAAGCCTCTAAACTTCATCTCATTCAAAGGTAGAGAGTCTACAAGTAAATATCTGATAGGATGAACTGATGAGAGAGTCTTGTTCATGGGGTAAGTGTTTCAAAATGATTCATCAAGTTTATCCAGTAAAAAAACGACTTTTGAAGTTACTACCAAAAATCTTAGTCTCCTTCAATCCCCAATCTTTAGCAATTGCTGATCGAAAGATGGTTTGACGAGATGTAAAATAATCTCAAAATGAAAAGTCAAGGTAGTATCAGCGACGCACTTGGTCTCAGAAAATTAATTACACGGGGCGTCACACATCGCTCATTTCTAATTCTCTTGAAGCAACTTTGACAATCTCTCGAACTTATTTGAATAGATCTGTTTGTTGATTTCTGAGCCTGTTTTGTCTTTCCTGCATACTGTCTTAGTTTCCGATGCGAGTGCAAGCTTTGCCAGAAAGATTGTGGCCGAGAAAAGTTGAAAGTCAAGTTGCAGCTTGTCTGCCTAAGACGAGTCGCATTACTCTTATTATGGAGTCAGCCGGTAATCTCCCAAAAATTGTTTTTCCTCTGCTTTCTATTGTATCATGGGTGTTATACGGTTCTACAGTCGGTTGCGAATTGTATGAGTTCCGGGTATAAACTTTTTTCAAATCCATCACAAGAAAGCGTAGAGGCTAGTAACGATTGGAATCTGGCATGACATTCTTTACCATCGAAAAATACCCTTCTGTCACGCATAACACCCTCGTTGTTCAGATAGAAGTTCATTTCCTTCGCAACTTCATCCCATTCCTTTGCACTTTCCCCAATTACCAACTGTTGCTCCATTTTGAACAGCATCAAAACGTGTTTCGGTGTAGAGGGAGCTTGTTTCCTGCTAAGTCTTGTATAAAGAAAGAAACCGGGCAACGTTTGCAGAATACCGAGCACGGATGTCACAGCTATGCCGGCTGGGTCAAATCTCCACGCCAAGAGGGAATAGAAGAGCATGACAGCTGGAAGGTAAAATAACGCCTGTTTCGCACCATAAGCCAAATCATATACCAACGAAAAGCGGTAAGTGTCTATGGGCAAATTTTGGTGTGGTTTTAGGGACATTGTAATCTCAATCAATTCCGTAGAATTCCAGTAACTCTCATTACTTTTCTCATATATCTGCACGGCAAGTTGCTCCTCTTGGATTATAGAGGAACTGTTTACAAACGGAAGATAAACTTGACTTCGGAATAGACGCAGACACTCCTCACCATCATAGATGCAAAGGTTGGAGTGCCATAGTCCTTCCTCACGCAAGTATTCATTGGCATGTCGAGCAATTAGAACCCAGCTAGCGTGATCAAAACCTGACCCAAGCTCAACAACTTCTTTTACAAGCAGTGAACGTAGCTTAGCAATGCTATTTTGTTTTTTGAAGAAGTATGCGAAGGGCAATGTCGCCAAAACCAGCTCACCACTCATGAACGTAATGAACTGAGTGAGCGGTGATGACCAGGAACTTGTACTTTTCACAACAATCACAGCAACGAAAGGAAAAATGGCCAGCGTAAAGAGCCATACGTAAAAGTACTTGGCTTTAGCTAGATCGTGCAGTTTCCAGGACATTTTGCTGCTGAAAAGTTCAGCTGGGAGCTTAGAAAAACGCGGTTCTCGTAGATGAGAAGAGGGACTCTCAAACATGGTGAATGGTTTAGCAATTATGAGACTAACGCTTCTTGAACTCGATGTTTGAACTCCGCGATGAGTATGATATTTGCCAAGGATAAAATATTGATAATTAAGGACTTCATGGATATCACGTGACGGTGTCGGTTCCATTCGAGAAAAATAGTTACGTAAGCTAAAGGGTTCAAGAAGGAAAAGAGAAAGGACGCGACTGAAACAATTCTGGTGGTTTTTGTCATGAATAAATAGAGGGTCTTTGACGGTCATTTGAGGTCGATGTTTGGCTGAAAGGACAATTAAAAGAAGCCTGTCAAAGTGCTTTTGAGATATCATCATGTACTTACTTGACATCTGTCACTGGTCACGTGACCAGTCCTCGAACCAACGACACTAGTTGGCCCCCCATCTCATATTCGATCCCTAGATCCAACCCTGGGCGCTATTTTCATTGTCTTTGTCTGAGTTTGAAATGACTTTTCCATTAAGCGTGTTTCCCATATCCTTTGTTTTTCATAGTCACCAGTAAGAATTATCAGGCTAAGATTCAAGACTGAAATCCGACAAGTAGCTCCCAAAATATTTGTATTATTCGAGAAGTGATAAGACATGTATCTACTCACTGAAGTTCTACATCGTTCAACAAACATTTTCGAATTTTAACGGTCAATATCCAACCTTCGTTTCCAAACTTCAAGCGAATGTCCTCTACATTCCACCTCACCACCGACAATTTCAAACTTTCTTACTTTAAAGGACACGAATCGGATTCAAACTAAATGTGTATATATATTAATGCAAACAATCGCGGTTTCAGGTACTTTTGAAGGCTACCTTTTGTTCGCCTTTAAATCCTTTCATTGCCAAAATAAATGCCATTTACTCCCATATAAAAGCTTTCTTTACAACACCACTTAGAATATCCATCCCAAGAATCTGTCGTAAAACCAGTTGAGACTCCATTTCTCATTTTGCAGTTTCTCCTTTAGCTCAGCATCGTAAATCTTACCCTCTTCCTCTTCAGCATCAATGGCTGCCTTGAAAGTGTAGAGATCAACGTCTTCTGGAGCGATCAGTTTGGTGCGCATGATGACTTTGTAGCCAACGTAGCAGATCAAGAATACTGGGATACCAATGTAACCGGAAATAAAAGTCTTGTAATCGAATTTATGACCTAGGAACACGGTGTAGTTCTTAATCAAACCGATTAAGATGCAGAAACCCAAGCACACGTACGCGGACCAAGGCTGCATGGCGGCGGTGTAGGAAAGACTGGATTTGTCGCCGAATTGAGCACGCATGGCTTTGTCGAACCGGATGTATGTGATCAAAATGGCGATCCAACTCAACAAACCAAAGATGGACACAACGTTGACGAAATAGTTGAAAACCTGTCCCGACGACGACGACACGTTCATGTATGCCAGCAAGCAGAACAAGACCGAGAGCGCAAGGGAGTAGTATGGAACCCCCCATCTGTTGGTCTTGGCGAAGATTTTGGGAGCCTTGTGGTCGATGGCCAGACCGTAAAGGGTTCTGGAAGCGACGTAGAGATCGGAGTTACAGGCGCTAAAGACAAAGACCAAAACGCATGCGTTGAAGATGTGGGGCAAAACGGGGATCTGGGCGTTGACGATGGCGACGACAAATGGAGAGGCCGCCGCGGAGGTGCTCATTTTCTTGGCCTTTAGCAAAAGCGGATCGTTGTAGGCCACGACCATTCCCAATAGGAAAATGGTGATGACGTAGAAAACCACGATACGTTAGAGGGTGAGTTTGATGGCGCGAGGGACACTTTTTCTGGGGTTTCTGGCTTCTGCGGCAACAATACCGCACAGTTCGGTACCGGTGTATGCAAACAATGCGAGGGCGAAAACCGAAGCGAAAGAAACGAATTTACCTTTGGAACCGGGGATTCCAGTGTAGGGTTTGAAAGCTCCTGGATCTTTCCAGTATCTGAAACCCGTGCGGTCGTGGGATGGCGCGCCGCCAAGCATGATGACGAAAAGCAGGATGATGAGTCCCAGCATGACCAGGACTTTTACGGACGAGAGCCAGAATTCGAATTCTCCGAAAAATCGAACGCCCACGGTGTTGATGAAAACGATAAGTATTAGGAAAATGGTGATCCAAACTCCCGGGTTGACTTTGTCTCTGCTGACCTAGTATTGCATTACCATGGCGCCTGCGGTGAGCTGGTTGGGCGTTACGATGAAGTACTTGAACAAGTACGAGTACCCGACTGCGAAACCGAGCGCTGGGTCGCAGTAGCGCGAGGCGTAGGAGGTGAACCCGTCCAGAGGGATGAAAGCGGCCATCTCGCCAAGACAGCTCATCACAGTGTATACCAGAAGCCCGATGAACGAGTAAGAGATGAGGATAGAGACGGGGCCTGCACTTGCGAGGGAACCACCGGTTCCGATGAGCAGACCGGTTCCGAGGGACCCGCCAATGGCGATCATGGAAACGTGGCGGGCTTCCAGTTCTTTTTTCAGTCTAGTTCCTTCGACTTTACCGTCTTCGCCTAGCGGCAAAGCGTCCGAGACGGACGTGTGTCCGTCATGAATAGATTCATCTGTATAGAGGGCAGTTCCTGGTTTTTTTTCCAGGTCGTTAGGAAGCACAGACATGGGGAGTAGAGAAGGAGAAGTTGAAGAAGAAGAAGAAGGAGAAGTTGAAGAAGAAGAAGAAGAAGAAGAAGTATAAGTAGAAATGAAATTATTGAATTATTCACTTTTCTCTTTTCACACAAACCTTCTACTTCCGCAATCCACCGTATCTGCCCTCATCTTATACCAAAGTTTCGCCCAGTTGGAGACCTCTCACCAACGCACCACGACTCATCATCATTCACTTGCCTATCGCATCATCATCATCAAAACCGCTTCGGTCCGGCCGACCCATCTAAGCAGACAGTGAGCCAACCAGCAACCAAGCAGGCAAGACAAACTCTTGTATCACGCAATTGAGCAAATCTTGTATCACGACCAGATAACGTTGAGAAAACTTGATTGTCGAGGTCAACAAAGTTTGTTGTTCTCCAAGATTGGAATGAGCCAGTGGGATGAGCCAGTGGGATGAGATGAGATGAGTATGAGATGAGTGTTTAGATCTCTCTATCTATCTATGTAATCGGTATTATCTAGCGGTAATACACTTCCTATTTTCGTTTTCCTACTCCATTTTCTAAGAAAGACCCTCTTAAACCCTTCTGGACCCTCGGAACCCTCAAATTTTGGTGAAATTATCTTGCTTACGTAAAAGGGAAAGATATCTAGCAGTGTTTTCTTGATTACGTAAGATTCCAGATAAGCGAGCGTTCAAAACTGGAAATTTTGATGATAAGAAGATGTGCTTATGTACGGGTGGGGTGGGTATACGGCTCTTAACGTAAGGGACCTGATACAGAGATAAGGGGTGGGAGGTTGGAGGGGCACAGAAGAAGGCGAAGGAGGTGCGAGAAGGAAACTGGAAGGAAGAAGAGAAGAAAAGAAGCCGCATGTGAAGAGCCGCAAGCACAGTCGAACAACTGAGAGCGTAAGCGATCAGTTGTGAGTACAAGTCAAGGCTAAAAGCACAGCTGAACAACTGAGAGCGCTAGCGATCAGTTGTGAATAGAAGTCACGGCTAAAAGCACGAATAACTGAGAGCGCTAGCGATCAGTTGTGAGTAGAAGTCAAAGGCTACTAGCACGAACAAATCAGAGCGTCAGCGATCAGTTGTGAGTAGAAGTCAAGACTACAAGAATGAACAACTGAGAGCGAAAGCGATTAGAAGAGAAGGCTACAAGCATGAACAACTGACCGCTAACGCTTACAGTTGTTCGTAGTAAAATCTATGAGCTGAGTTGAACAATTGAGCGCGTCAGCGATCAGCTGTGAATAGTAGAGGTTACTTCAAACAGTCCAACATTCGTTCGCTGACGCTCTCGACTGTAAGCAGTAGAGATGGTAACAAGCACAGCCGAACAGTCTAGCGACTCCAATAATTGTCGAACGGGTGAAAGCGTTAGCGTAGGTTACTCCAAGCACAGCCGAACAACTGAGAGCGTTAGCGATCAGTTGTGATTAGAAGTAAAAGCACGAATAACTGAGAGCGCTAGCGATCAGTTGTGAGTAGAAGTCAAAGGCTACTAGCCAGAGCAAATCAGAGCGTCAGCGATCAGTTGTGAGTGGAAGTCAAGACTACAAGCATGAACAACTGAGAGCGTCAGTGATCAGTTGTGAATAGTATAGATGGAAACAGGAATAGTTGAACAATTGAGAGCGTAAGCGATCAAGTGTGAAGAAGAGAATGGCTTCTGGCACAGTTGAACTACTGAGAGCGTCAGCAATCACTTGTGAATAGTAGAGAAGGCTAGTGAGTATTGTAGAGAAGGCTACAACCCTGATAAATTGATCGCTTACGCTCTCAGTTGAGAGTAAAAGAGGCTTGTGAGTATTGTAGAAGGCTACAAGCATGAATAACTGAGAGCGTTAGCGATCAGTTGCGAGTGGTAGATAAAACTATAAGCACTACTGAACAACTGTTCGCTGACGCTCTCACATGACGCTCTCAGTTGACGCTCTCAGTTGTGAATAGTAGAGAAGGCAGGACTGTTCATGAGTCCATGACTCCACCTAGAGTCCACTTCCGTCTGTAGTGAGTTCGGAAGCGAGTCCGACGTATAAGTGACTTCCATATGATTTTGGCTGTGTGTCCGGCAATTTATTGAATTACACTTAGTATTCGTTGACATTGATGAATGTCATGGAAGAGGCTTAAATATTAGAGAGTGCAGGGTATACCTCTGCAGGGTATACCTCTGCAGGGTATACCTCTTACTTGTTTCGTAGACCTGGGCGATTCTCAGAAACAAACGCGCTACGGCCAGCACTTACGAGTCAAATGGTATTATCGTATACAGTTACCGGAGTCGCGAAGTTGACGACTCCTTTGTCGTATAAAGGTACTGGAATCGTGACTCCCCGGACTCGCAGGAGTCGTGAACAGTGCTGAGAGAAGGCTACAAGCATAAACAACTGAGAGCGTCAGCGATCAGTTGTGAATAGTAGAGATGGCTATAAGCATGAGCAACTGGGAGCGTCAGCGAACAGTTGCGAATAGTAGAGATGGCAATAAGCATGGTTTAACAATTGAGAGCACGACTACAAACATAGTTGAACAATTGAGAGCGTCAGCGATAAATTGTGAAAAGTAGAGATGGCTACAAGCATAAACAACCGAGAGTCAGCGATCAGTTGTGAGTGGAAGTCAAGACTGATCGCTAATGCTCTCAGTTGTGGCTAGAAGAGAAGGCCATAAGCATGAACAATTGGAAGTAACAGAGATTACTGAGTATTGTAGAACAGCCGAGAGCATTAGCAATCAGTTGTGAGTAGTAGAGATGGCTACAAACAACCGAGAGCATTAGCGATCTGTTGTGAACGGTAGATAAGGCTATTAGCGTGAACAGTTGAGAGTAATAAAGATGACTACAAGCATGAAAAATTGAGAGCGTCAGTGATCAGCTGTGAATAGTGGTAATTACTGAGACACTTGGAGAACAACTGAGAATCTCAGCGGTCAGTGTGAGTAGCAGAGCTATCTATAAGCATGAAAAATTGAGAGCATTGGCTACTCCAAGCATAGTCGAATAACTGAAGGCGTTGGCGTTCAGCTGTGAGTGGTGGAGACGATAACAAGCATGAACAACTGAGAGCCAGAGACTGCAACAAGAATAGTTGAACAATTGATCGCTTACGCTCTCAATTGTGAAAAAGAGAATGGCCTCTGGCACAGTTGAACTACTGAGAGCGTTTGCGATCGATGTGGATGGTAGAGGCTACTGGGTTTTATAGAACAATTGAGAGCTTCATCTATCAGTCGTGATTAGTAGAAACTATAAGCTTGAAAAGTAGAGAGTAATAGAGGCTAGTGGGTTGTATAGCAACTGGGCGATCAATTGTGAAAAGTATACTATACTTGGTATGAAGAATTGAGAGCAGGACTGGGGACGAGTACTGGGTAGCCACCGCGAGTATGACGTAAATAATGACAAGTATTTTCACGAGTAGCCTCGGCGGGTAGAATCTGTCTTGATAAAACCCAAGATTTAAATGATTTTAATTTACCTACAACAGTCAGAACTGAAGCGAACATTGTGATCTTGAAAACCTCGCCTGACGTGTCTACAAGCACAGCTGAACAGTCGAGAGCATTGGCTACTCCAAGCACGAACAACTGAGAGCGTTAGCGATCAGTTGTGAGTAGAAGTCAAAGGCTACTAGCACGAACAACTGAGAGCGTAAGCGATCAATTGTCATAAAGAGAATGGCTTCTGGCACAGTTGAACCACTGAGAGCGCTAGCAATCAGTTGTGAGCGGAAGTCAAGGCTACAACCACAGCTGAACAGCTAAAAGCGTCAGCGATTGGCTGTGAAGAAGGCAAATGGCTATAAGCGTTACTGAACAACTGAGAACAACTGAGAGCGCTAGCGATCAGTTGTGAGTAGAAGTCAAGGCTAAAAGCATGAACAAGTGAGAGCGTCAGCGATAAATTGTGAATAGTAGAGGTGGCTACAAGCATAAACAACTGAGAGTCAGCGATCAGTTGTGAGTGGAATTCAAGACTACAAGAATGAACAACTGAGAGCGTCAGCGATCAGTTGTGAAAAAGAGAATGGCCTCAGGCACAGTTGAACTACTGAGAGCGTTAGCGATCAGTTGTGAATAGTAGAGAAGGCTAGTGAGTATTGTAGAAGGCTTCAACCCTGAAAAATTGATCGCTTACGCTCTCAGTGGAAGTCAAGACTACAAGCATGAACAACTGATTGCTTACGCTCTCAGTCTAACTATGCAAATATTCACCTATGCTATTCACAACTGATCGCTGACGCTCTGATATTCAAAGCGCACCTGCTATTCCCAAAACAAAATGCTTGCGTCCCTTCACTGAACCAGACGGCTGGACCTTCACGCAGGCTTTTCGAGCGTGAGAGAATATTGTAGTCTACAGGCACAACAATCGTTGCCTTTGATTATGCGACAAAGCCCACTGATGTGATAGCCGCTTTCGTCTTAGGCATGCATTTACATGTGAAAAACGACTGATAACATTCGATTGCTGCATTTCAGACAATTATCTCGTCGTCATCGAATTTCGCTGTAAAGCAGACGAAGTTGGGAAATCAAGTAGGTGTGTTTTTAAGTTATGGTTAAAAGGAGCTGTACCAGAACACTAGCTCAAGATTTCTTGATACGTGTGAAATATCGGAGAGCTTGGTCAAAAAAAACAACCTTTCAAGCCGCGGTTGAGGTATTTCAGGCGTAGCTACCCCAAAGCAGACTAAAAGGCCACTTGACTTTCATATGATTCCGGCTGTGAGTCCGGCAATTTATTAAATTACATTTAGTAATGGAAGAGGCTTAAATATTAGAGAGTGCAAGGTATACCTCTTAATTGTTTCGTAGACCTGGGTGATTCTCAGAAACAAACGCGCTGCGGCCAGCACGTACGAGTCAAGTGAATAGTAGAGATGGCTATAAGCACAACTGAGCAACTGAGAGCGTTAGCGAACAGTTGCGAATAGTAGAGGTGGCTACAAGCATGAACAACTGAGAGCACGACTACAAACATAGTTGAACAATTGAGAGCGTCAGCGATAAATTGCGAATAGTAGAGGTGGCTACAAGCATAAACAATTGAGAGCGTTAGCGATCAATCGAGAGTGAAAGAGGTCACAGAGTACTGTAGAGCAACTGAGAGCGGAGATCGGCTGTGAATAATAGAGAAGGCTACAAGCATGAAAAATTGATCGCTCACGCTCTCAATTGAGAGCTTCAGCAGTCAATTGGCATTAATAGTGGTGACTAGAAAAGTTAACCGCGTTAGCGATCAATTGTTAATGTAAGTGAGGATACTAGCAGCATTGATCAAATTACAGCGGTAGCTATCAGCTGTGAATAGTAGAGGTTGCTGGAAGTATTTTAGAACAACTGAGAGCATAAAATAATCAGTTGCGATAAGTAGAGGCGGCAACAAGCATGAACAACTGACAGCATCAGCGATTAATGTGTATTAAACTGAAGGCCACAAGCATAAGCAACTTAGAGCATTAGCGATCGACTGTGAGCAGCAGATGTTTCTGAGACACCGGTTGAATAAGTGAGAACCTAAACTGAGAGCATTGGCCATCAATGTGGGTAGAAGTCAAGGCTACAAGCATGAACCACTGAGATCATCAGCGATCGACTGTGAGTAGTAGAGGTTTATAAGCATGAATTGAGAGTTGGCGATCAGTTGTGAACAGTTTACTGTTGATGCTCTCAGTTGTAAGTAGCAGAGGCGGCTAATAGAATCGTAGAATGATTTAAAGCTTCAGCTATCAGTGTGAGTAGCACTCGAATTACAAGCATAGAAACACAACTGAGGGCATCAGCCGTCAATTGGGAGAAGTAGACGTTGCTGAAAAATTGTAGACCAGTTTATTGCTGACACTCTCAGTACATATTACTGGAAGTTCTTATAAGAACTGATTGCTGATGCTCTCAGTTGTTCAGTAATAGAGGTAGTGAGTACCACCCAAGGCTACTACCATCTAAACAACTGAGTAGCAAAGGTGGTTTCAAGCATAGGTGACCAGTTGAGAGCTGCATCAATCATTGCGGCGGCTACAAGCACGGTTCAAAATTTGAGGGCATCCGCGATCAATTGTGAGTAGTAGAGGCCTTTGAGGTTAATTTAAGAACTAAGAGCGTCACCGGTCAGTAATGAATATTGAAGTGACTTTAATACTTGTAGAACTGAGATCATCAGCGATCAACTGTAAGTAGTAGAGGTAATATAAGCACGAACAACTGATCGTTGGTGCTCGCAGTTGTGAGTAGTAGACGTTACTGAACTATTGTAGAACTGAGATCGTCAGCGTTTATATGGGAACAGCAAAAGTGGCTATAAGTACAGGCAAACTGCTGATCGCTGACGCTCTTAGTAGAGGTATGTATTAGCATGAACAACTGATCGCTGGCGCTCTCATTTATGGCTACATGCACGATCAAACAACAAACAAGTTCAAACACCTTTGAATAAGGAAGAGCTACATTAAACTTGAACTGGCTTCAAACACAGTGCAACAATTGAGAACATTAGAGGCGATTTAAAGCACAACAGCTGAGAGGTCATGATCAGTTCGAATAAGAAAAGATTCAAACACCCTAGAGTAAAACTTTTCCACAAGCACCATCGAGACAGCTGAGAGCGTCACTTTTGAGTAAGAAATGGCGACCACACCCAGAAAAGAGTTCTAATCACTGTCGAACAGGAAAATGGTCCTAACACTATAGAGTAAAAAAAGGCGTTCAATGCAACCAAGCTAGCCTACAATCACCATTGAGCAATTGATCGCTAACGCTCTATGGCAAAAATAGTTTACAATTAATCCAACAATCGAGAGCGTAAGCTACGAGTGACAATGAGAACAATTAAAGTCACTTTTAGACAAAAATGGCCAGAAGAAATGGCATTCACTCATTTGAGCACTAAAGGCTTTATGCACTGTTGAAAAAGGTTGGCTGTCAGAGCAATAGAGCAGTAACGTTTATAAATACGATTGAGCAAGAAATGACTTAAATCGCGATTGCATATAATGGATATGACTTGTTTTGATCGAGAATTGGCATCAATTACCGTTGAATGAGAAGTGCATAAGATGACAATTGAATATCACCATCATTGATTGAAAGACGGCTTTTAGTGCAATTAAGTAAAAAATGGATATGGGAACCATTGAACAAGACATGGCTACAAGAGCATGATAATGACTACATTCACGATTAAACAGAAGCGACTATCACCACAACTAAACAAGAAATGGCTATAAGTGCAAGCGGCTATAAGCATCGTTGAACGACATCTGGCTTCAACAGTAATTGAGTAATATAGGACTAAATTGGTCGGATTCAGCTCTCGAACTAAGCGTCATATTCACAGCAGAGTAATCTCAAGCACGTGATACGTGACAGCGACAGCGACAGCGACAGAATCGAGAAAGTTTGAGCTTCTAGCCAAGCTTTTTAACCGGCCATGGTGCAGCGGACAGCTAAGGGTACCAGCCGGCGTCATCACACAATGCAATTGGCATTAAAAGTTGCTCACTATCATCGATGATAAAATGATTTCTAAAATTGTGTAGAAGGGCATGGTAAACCCAACGGTTGCTATGGCTTCGCATATTTCCTGATAGGTTTGATGACGTTGTGCCTTACTCAAAAGTAGAGAAATCCTACTTGGCTTTTGGCAAAAGTGACATAAATGTTGGGTGTGTCAAATACCGATCCAACGTAACCGGACTCCCTTCCGAAATCTAATAGTATCCACCGTTCAAATCACAGTTGTAACCATTGAACTATACCTATTTTATTCAATAGGCTTTCGATGACTTTACCATTTGTTGATCTCCCAGCGCACAGGGCAGTAATGTGTGCTTATGTCCCAAGCAGCTCGTTAAAAATGATACCCGTTTGAGAACCGGAAACTTCATTTCGTCGAAACGGAGATCCGATCAGCAACCCGTTGGGAAGATCGCACTCGTTCCCAGCCCACTCGCGTACGAAGAGCGACGAACAGGTTTTATGAGCATCGTTTAATACAAAGCTTCTATCCTTTCGGCAGTCGATCACCGGGATCTGGAGATACACGTCGCTCCACTAATCCCGAACCTCGCACTTCGGTTTCCTAGGGTCACACACACTTCGGGACGTTTTTGAAGGCTTTTGAAATAACTACGTGATGATCCGGACTTATTCTGCGCGTTGTTCGTATTCTCAAAGAACGGTTTTACTCTTATCAATCGCATTTCATGTTTCTGACGTTTAACCCGGCTTTTAACTGATCAAAGACTGAGTCTCTAAATTCTTTTCGGATCGAAAACGAGTCGTCACATATCACGGTTCGGGTTTTAACAGATACCATTGCACGTGCTCTCTTTTGTGACTCGTCAAAGAGTACCAAATCACGTGCCCCTGCGCCAGCGTCAGAATTTGACAAAAATAATAAAAATGGAAAATTAACAGACATACATTGTAAACTATACTTTGTCGAGTAAGCGTTGAATTCAAAAACACTGGCTAGCACCACTGAACTCAGTTAGAATATCTAATCACAGCTGCCTTAGTTTCCATGATCACAGCCTGACTCACATAATTGAATCTTATTCTCATCGATGACGGTGCAATTTCCAAACCGATCAGAGAAGCGCGAGTTTCATTCAGGCTTTAACGCAACGGGGAAGTAACATCAGGGTATCAATACATGAGCAGATCGATTTCTATTGCAATATCCAGTATTTACAAAAAAATGAGATATCAGCCGTTCAGACGTAACACAGGCACGGAGTCTCGACACTAATCTAAACCGATTTCTTGGTAATTTATATTGACGACCTGGGTCGGTCTTGCTTGTTTGTATAGCTCGTATGTGGATTTCCTTGTGTTGTGTTCAGTGGATAAAGGACCTTTGATTGGGTTAGAAATAGCATGCCCTGCCAGGAGCCGTGTCACCGCTCCCTGCGATGACAGGTTTTCAAGCGTAGCTGGGACAACTGTAGATGCACAGACGACTTAAAGTTTCCAACCACCAACGGTGATCATTCCATTTGATTGTGTGATATCATTATTAAGATGATCAATATGTTTAAGTTGTCCAAGTTACTTAAATAGCCCGTCAACAAAGACTTTGCAGCGCCTTTGGGCTAAAATATTTAACTCTCCCAGATGCTCTTTGAAGTGACAACATACCTCTAGGTTTGCTACCTCTCTATCTCATTCGTGCAAGACACGCGGCATCTAATTATTATAATTGTCAATGGTGCTAAGTACACAAAATGCTCTAGCTTCTCATTCGACTGACCTAGCACCCTGATTCTATCGCACTTCTATCTTGCCACCACCCCCGTTTTCATTCAGTCATCTCTCAATTAACACTCTTGGGCGCCAGCTTGAACGTCAAAATATCGTTCTGGCCCTTTTCTACCACTGCGTCCTCACTTACTCTAACGCCATTAATAGTCTCAACTGCGGCAATGGTGACTTCGCCCATAACGTAGCGCGCCACTTTACCTACATTTGTACCTCTCTTGATCAAGAAGCAGTCCCTGAAAACTTCTTCCCCATGATTACCTGTGAACGTGCTGATGTTTCTCACGGTGTATACTGGTATCAGATCCAAAGCGTCGGCAGCAGCTTGCAAGACCTGAACAACACCGGTGGAACCAAATCGGTACAGCACCAAGTCTCGAATATTTTCGATACGCTGCAATAATTTATCGTCCAAGACCTTCAAGTTTTCAGGATCATCCTCACAAGTGTCAACAAACTCAGTACCTTCCTCGTAACGAATAAATCCTTGTTTTTGTAGCTTTCTCAGGAACACCTCAGTAATTGCGCTACAAAGCACTGCCTTGGTGTCTGGATATTTCAACATGATTTTGGAAACATTTTTGTCCGCGTCTGGGTGGTCGATCTTGTTTAAGCCTAAGACCGTAGGGAATTTTTCCATCATGAAGGACTTGACTACTTTGGTAATCCATTCTCTGTCCCATTGCTCCAAAGGTGGCAGTCCTTTGATTCTTTGCAGAGCGCGATGGATCATCGATGCTTGTGACCCGTATCCACCAAATTGCGCTTGTAATGTGTCGACAGCACTGGATTTGGTAGCTGTGTGTCTACGAACAATGGACCCCCATCTTTTCTCCAAATTGCCCTCAATCCACAGTCGTATTTCATCTTGAAGCCATTCTATATCATACAACGGGTCGTAACCCCTGGTGTTTTTACCTTCAGAGTCTGTAGTACCACTGACGTCTACAACGTGTATCAGTGCGTCTGCATGTCTCAAATCGTCCAAAAACTTGTTTCCCAATCCTCTGCCAGAATGAGCACCGGGTACCAAACCTGCAACATCTAAAAGCATGATTGGAATGTGTCTCTTACCGTTGCTGCACCAGCCATAGTTGGGTTTACACCGTTTTTCCAAGCCATATCTGGCACAAGCACAATCGACTTGCAAGTATCCAGTAGCTCTGTTGGGCTCGATCGTCGTGAAAGGAAACGATCCTACCTGTGCGGCTGCATCAGTCAAAGAGTTTAAGGTGGTGGATTTTCCCGAAGAGGGCTTTCCAACAATACCAATGAGGGGATCTCTAGGCATCTTGTATGCTATGTTTTTAGGCGATTTTTCAACTATGGCTCTGCTCTTGAAAAGTTGTCAAATCTTATATATGATGTTCTTAAAAATTTGAGATGAGCTACGGTAACTCGACTAAACAAGAGGGAGCCTCGGCACTCGAGTGCGATGCTTTGAGATTGTCGAGAAAGCACACAGGACTGAGCTGAGCAAAAAAACGCGGTCAAAAAAGACCTTCTTTTGATGTTCTTGTAGGTTCACATTACACTCGAAAAATCCGAAGCTTTAGACTTTGAAGAAACATATACGACATTCATAAAACTATATGGAATATAGATGGCGAGGGTTCCGTAGAATCATCGATTCATACCTTAAAACAGGTAAACTGGCACCATCACGGTTCTCATTTTGCATGGAGTCCGTGTTAGGTAGAGGGTCCTCACTTCTGACTTACTGCGATTTGGTGGCCTTCTCAGCTCTTTCGGCATCCCTTTTTGCGTAGATCTTGGCGGTGAAGGGCTCTTCGAATTGCTGGGCAATGTTGTACATCAAGTTCACCAAAAGCGTGGCGAAAATGCCTGCAGCTTTGCCGTAGTAAAGGGCGGTTCCTAAAAACGAAAGTGTGGAACCGTGGTACATGGGGTTGTTGCTGACGTTGAAGGGGAAAGACGTCACAATGTGGTCCATTAAAATGCCGAAATAGTCACCCAAATACGTACCAGTGACACCTAGCTGGTACATCGACGTAACGACGAGGACCTGGCCCACACCAGTCAAACCCATACCAATGGTCTTGATGACATCGTTGTCGAGTGCAGCAGACGTTTTCTGCAATCCTAGCGCCTGGTGGTAGAAGTAATCGCGCACTATCCCAAGGGAAAAAATGGTGAATGCCAGCAAGTAGCACCCGCGTTTAGCAGATCCTGCGATCTTGGTGATGAAGTGGGTGTTGTATTCCAAACGCGCCACAATGTTCCAGAAAGTTGGGTTGAAAACTACAAAGAAAAGTGCCATCTGCAAGTTCTTTTCAGATCCATCGATGTCCGACAACAATTCTATGTACAAGTCTTGGGCCTTATGGGCCAATTGACCGATTTCCTTAGAGACATCCATTATCAAAATATGAAATCACGATCTAGCAGTTGTAAAGAACTCGCTAGAGACTATTGGTGAAGTGAGCAGCAGGTTTGAGTTGTAGTTTGATCTGAAGCCTTTGAATCTTGACAACTTTATATATATACATCTTCAAACAGTATTACATTATCACCTTGGACAACATGTGAAATCCAGATTTGTACAGACAAAATAGAGTCACGTGGACAACTAGCACTTTCGACGAATTCAATTTCAACTTTTTTAGTTGTTTTTCGAGTTGAGTTTTAGTTTCAAGTAGAGATTGGACTCAAAGTTCTGAGTAGATGTCAGCTGACCTTGAATATCATCTTTCACTAATGTGTCGTTATGATAGTGTAATTTAGTAGCCTTTAACTATAGCGAACCAGAGATTTAACGATACTTGAAGCCATCGATACCATGGCCACAAGTAGCCAACTTGTGGTGTTACTCCGATATGCGTTATTGAATTGTGGGTGTTAGGAACACATTTCAACAGATCAAGGGTTTATTTAGGACCTGAATGAACCTCTAAGGCGTGATATCTCCTAGTCCTTGGAAAAAGATTCGAAGAACACGCAGATCAAACCGCAAGTTCTGTCAAAGTTCAAACCTTTCCCAGACTTCTGGGCTTCAATTCAGTTTTGAGGACGTTAAGACACAATGGTGTGGGACTCTGTGGAACCTGAGGCCAATCCTCACAGTTTCAATCTTGGGGGCTACATTGGCTCACACGAATTGGGTAATTCTCACTTGATGCCGAAAATATGAAGAGGAGTACAACTCCGCAGCTCAATCATGCGAGAGTAGAAATCAGGGCACCTCTTTATCTCCACATTTGTGTGAGCCTGAATGGGCTCCCACACCTGGCTATAAAATGGTATGCTATTGTTCAATCGTCCGTGAAGCCTACAAACCCGGCTTCACAACAGCTTCAAGGTCTTCATAATCGTTCTAAGCGCGATGAAGCTAATGAAAGATTTAAAGCTCTCGCATGTCTACATGCATGTAAGCTTTGCTCAAGATTATGGACTTCTGGCCATCATAAGTATCTGCACCACAATCTACGGCATCATCCCAGCTATCATATCGATCTTGATGGGTTTGGTATTCGATTTGCTCCGAAAACCGGATCCTCAACACCACAATACTGTCAATGACCTAATGCACCAGCTTACTTTGAGGAGTATGGCAATCATGATAACAGGCGTCGCCAGCGCTCCTATTTGCTGGCTTTCTATCACGGCGTGGATGTCTTTGGGCGAAAGACAAGGTTTTAGAGTCAGGCGCAGATTACTTCATTCGTATTTGAGAAAGAGTATGGCGTGGTATGATGCAAACGAACAGCTTTCCGGCGAGTTCACGCAACTCAATAGGTGCGCCGAAGAGTTACGATCCAGCTCCGCTGAAGCTTCAGCCATAATTTTTCAAAATGTAGTAACCGTGATCGCCTTATTGGGAACCGCCTTCTACTACTCCTGGTCATTAACTCTGGTTATAATAGCGAATTCACCACTCGTTATCGCATTTGCAATATTATGCTCGCGAAAAGTTGAAAAGCATAGCAAACTTGAAAACTCAGAAACTGCAAATGCTGCAAACATACTGGCATGGTCACTGAACGCTGCCAAAATGATACGCTTGTTGGGGACCCAAAAACTTGAGACTCTCAAATTTCAAGCCAGCGTGGCAAAATGTCGTCAACATTTCAACAACACTGCCTTATACTCCTCCTTAAACTACTCTGTTTTGCGCTTTTTGACACTTTGTATGTTTGTTCAAGGGTTTTGGTATGGTAATGTCCAAATCAGAGCAGGACGTCTCAAACCTGGAGATGTCATAACTTGTTTTTCGGCTTGTATCCTACTGGCGAGCACACTGAATACCACACTGCATCAAATAATAACGGTTCAAAAAGGTGCTGTTGCCCTTCGAAAAGTGCTAGTTTTTATTGAAGCTCCCGGAAGCTATACTAAAGAGCAGTTGACAATGAGTCAACCCCACACTTCGGTACCATGGTATGGCAGTTCCGTTAGTCTAGAAAACGTCTCCTTTTCTTATCCAACAAGGAGGAGTGATCAAGCTTTGAAAAATGTCACTATGGAGTTTACTGCCAATCAATTGAACTTCATAGTTGGAAAGTCAGGATCGGGAAAGTCAACAATTGGAAGTCTTCTTCTCAAGCTCTACGATCAAGACAGTGGTGCTATCAAAATAGGTGGTGTCAATACGATGCAAATTGAGCAACACCAACTACTGAGAAATATCACTTTGGTTGAACAGACTACCTCTCTCTTCAACGACACGCTAAAGCACAACATTCAATTAGGGTCTTTCGTTTCTAAAGATGATGACTACCTATTAAAAGAGGCGTGCCAGATGTCGATGCTGGAAGGCGTGGTGAGAGATCTTGCAAAAGGCTTAGATACTCTTATCGGCAACTCAGGTACCGACCTTAGTGGCGGTGAGCGACAGCGCGTTGCTATCGCCAGAGCTAGGTTTAGAGATGCCCCGATTTTAATTTTAGATGAATCTCTGAGTGCACAGGATCGTGTGCATAAAAGCCTCCTCATGGAGGCCATAAGGTGCTGGAGAAAGGGTAAAACAACGATTATTTTGACTCACGAGCTGAGTGACATCTCAAAAAACGATTACGTCTTTCTGATGGACGATGGAGAAGTCAAAGAGAGGGGTTTGAAACACGAACTTCTCCAATGTCCATCGTCAACATTTGCCAAACTCAGCAGGTTCCAGGATTGCGAAGAGGATAGTGACGATGCTCAAACTCTCGGTGACCGTGATCTTTCCGATCTGAATTCAAAGTCCAAGGAGGTTTGTGTTGATGTCGAGGAGCTATATTCAGAGATTGGTTCGCCGTTGACCCAGAAATCCTGTACGGTCTTTGAGCCCGAACAACTAGAGGAACCTACCAATTTCTTTAGAGATTCTGTGGATCTTTTACAATCTAATATGATGACCTCGCCTCGCAAGAAAAAAGTACAGGCCGATGCTAGGATCGATCTGGCATGTATTGATTTCGGCCATCAAAGACAAGTTCCCGCAGACCTTGAGAAACAGAAACGTGAGTTGCCGCTCATGGGCATCAAGGTCATAATGCATAAAATGTTTTCGACCCTTAGGGACAGAAAAGCTCTATTCATTGGGGTGGTTGGTGCGCTTTTAGCGGGTGTCGCAAATCCGGTCTTCTCCTATACATTCTCTAGGCTATTAGGAGGAATTGCGTCGTCGGCTCCAAGGCATAGGGCCAATGCATTTGCGACAAAATGGTCCTTAATAGTGCTGCTGGTAGCCTTTTTGGATTCTGGATTCAACTTTTTGAAGTCCTACTTACTTTCAAGAAGCAGCGAAACATGGATTAGAGATTTAAGATTTTTGGCTCTACAGAGTATAGAGCAGAAAGAAATATGGTGGTTCAACAGAAAACTGAACAGTACGTCCAAGGTTTCTTCGTTAATATTGAACGACTTAAGAGACCTGAGAGCCCTCGCTTCAGAGTTCCTTGCCGCATTGACGACATTGTTGGTGGTATCTGCTTGTGGCTTGATATGGGCACTTGTATCAGGGTGGAAGCTGAGTCTAGTTTGCATTTCTCTGGTTCCGATATTTGTTCTTTTTTCCGGCTTTTATGGAGGGATGTTGCAGAAGCGTGAAGCCGACTACAAATCTAGCATTGCCGCTTTAGAAGATCATTTCTACAATGCCGTCAAAAATATCAAAACTGTGCAGTGCTTTCAATTCGAGGAAGCTATAATTGATGTTTTTACCACATTGGAGCTGTCTTCAAGAAATTTTGGACGCAAGCGGGCACTTGGAACAGGCTTTGGAGTTGCCGTTTCCAACGCTCTCACTTTCGCCACGCAAGCTATTTTGTTGTACTTTGGTATGAAACTCGTAATCACAGGTGAATATACTTCTGGCAAAATGTTGGAGACACTAACACTTTTACTGTTCACTATAATGACTTGTATGTCATTAATTTCACAGGTTCCGGAGTTGAGTAGAGGCCAGAGAGCTGCAACGTACCTCTTCGAGATTCTAAAATCAGACGATACTACTGGGGTTGCTTGCGCTGGTAAGACTAAAATCAATCAACCGGTGGATAGTGAGCATCCCTTGATCAAGATAGAGCATCTATACTTTTCCTACCCGGATACCTCGAGTGCAGTGGTATATCGAGATGTAAGCTTGAAAATCAGCGAAGGGGAAAAGGTTGCATTGGTCGGACGATCTGGCTCAGGAAAGTCCACGCTATGGCAACTAGTAGCACGTCTGTACCCAGTTTCAAACGAGAGCATCTGGGTCGATGGAGTCGATGTGAATCTCTGGGATGCCAATGTTTTGAGATCTCATATCGCGGTGGTTGAACAGCAGCCACAAATTTTCCCGGGCTCGTTGGCTCAGAACTTGACTTACGGGCTTCAACGCGATATCTGCGAACGCGAAATTCAAGACCTGTTAGATCTAGTGGGCTTGAGAGAGTTCGTTCTCTCTTTGCCGGGTCATTTGCACGCAGAAATCGATACACAACTACTTTCGGGCGGGCAAGTTCAACGATTGGCAATCGTGAGGGCGCTTTTACGGAAGCCAAAAATCTTAATTTTTGACGAGTGCACCTCTGCATTGGATGCACAGCATAGCTTCATTATGTCAGACCTTGTTAAACGTGGCCTGAGTGGCATAACGACACTTGTTATCACTCATAGCGAGCAAATGATGCGGGCCTGCGATCGAATTGTGACTTTCTCTAGGGGCGCAATTGTGGAGGATGGTACCTTCGAGCATTTGCAGCTTCGAAAAGGAGAATTGTTCCAGATCCTCTCATCGAATAAGTAAGATGCCATTACACTTTTTTCATTCTTGTTCAGCCGGTGTTGTGTGCTGAATTTCTCATTATGGATCACTCATATACGTACTTTACAAGTGAATAGTTATATATGGAACCTCAACATCCTCTCCAGCTTTATCATCAGCACAGATTTCCAAAATCATAGTTTTAACATGTGGAGCTACCGTGTTTTTCGTTACAAGCTTCACAACTTCAGTGATAGGTAGATGCAGCCTGTCTTTGAGCTTCTTGGGGGGGAAGAAAGAAGCGTAAAGTAAGGATACCCCATAAGATAACATAGTTATTTCAAGGCCCTCTTTTTCGTCGAAATGGTCGATTATCTCTTTCAAAGTAACATTTCCGTTGATGTCGAACCTGTCCCATATTTTATCGTAGGATTTATCGTTATACTTGCCCTGTGGAGAAGCGATAGGGTCCGAGAAACCAAAAAATGGCAAAGCCAAGTTGATGAACCCATTCGAGTAGGCTTCAATGTCGGTCTTACCAGCAACAACCTTGTAGAGTTCCAAGTTCACCAAACCTGTGACCAAACCGGTAGTTGTTGCGATGGCTGGAATGATACGGCCAGCAATGAACTTGGTCTTCTGGCGGTCCGCGGGTTCGATAGAGTAATTGAGAGCCCTGTCATTAGATGCAGCGGCAATAAACTCTATGTGATGATTTGTGTCATCATCCTTTTCAAAGTCCACTGGAACAAGCTTGAAACCTGCTAGTGAGGATGGCTCTGGAAGGGAAGCAGCAAGTGTTTCCAGGGCGTCGCCTTCAACACCGTTGTTTGCATTTGGATCAGGTTCGTCATCGTTCGCTTGTATTTTAACATCTGATCTGGGCGAAAATGTAGGCACTTCGATTTTCGCAAGAACGGTCTTGTAATAGGATTTATCTGCTTCACCGTCATCACCCGTCAAACCATAATTAAATGCTCTGAGGTTGGCACCTGCAACCACAAAGTGAAAATGATCAGGATTCTCTGAGTTGAAAACTAAAGGCTCTGGAGCGCGCTTTGGACCAGACCAGAATGGAGCACCATTTGATGTTTTGGCATCTTTAGGGAAATTGTACAGAAGCTGTTGAATCTCGTGATTGAACTTCTTCTCGAATTCCAGACGGGCCCATTTTATGCAATCCTCAAATGTATAAGGCCTGTTTGTGAGTGAGTCAGAAATGGATTCAAGAATTCCCTTCACATCACCTGCTTGCTTCAGAGTCTGCTCCACGAAGTTGGGTTGGGTTAAGTATAAGTTGACATTTTCAGGGCCTTCGGCGAAGTATCCTTGGAACAATGATTTAGCCCACGCAATAGTGTGGTCGATTTTGTTAGGAAAGGAACGCAAGGTACATAGTGGGATAGACTTCTCAGGAGGATCTCTAGAAGAAGAGTATGACTCTGTGACATTAGGGATCACGACTTGAGTGTTACCTTTTGTGCCCAAAGTTCCTGATTCCAATAGAGGCTTCTTGAAGAAGACGCAGCGACGGTCCACATAAGTACGAGCGTCTACGTTATCCAGCGCATTGGTGACAAAGTCCAAACTGTTCCAAAACTTGTCGTCGAACAGATCCTCGGACTCGGGCCCCACCTTGTCCGTCAGCCATTCGATTTTTCCTTTAAGATCAGGGTTCATAACAGACACTGCCTCGGAGGCAACTTCAGATTTATTTCTACCCACGTCCTTAGGACGGAAGAGAAATTGACGGTTTAAATTGGACTTCTCAATTGAATCGTTATCGGTAATTATGACTTTTCCTTCGGGACCAGACCCCAAACCCAGCAATGCCCAATTCTTTAACATTTCACAACCGATTGCACCAGAGCCCACCAAAAAGACCTTAGAGTTGGCTACAAGTCTTTGAAAGTCAAGCCCAAATACTGCGATTTGAGCATCATATCTGGAGTTGATACTGCGAGTGGTTTCTTCAGTTCTAGGAAATTTTTCTGGATCTGGCAAAGACTCTAACGAATCGAAATACATGTACTGCTTCAGAGGGGTGAATTTACCAGAACAAGCCTTCAAGGCCTCCTGTGCTACGAGACCTCCGAAAAATGCAACAACAGCAGGAATGTCACCTCTAGACTGGAAGGACAACTCTTCAATTAATTCCTGGTTGACGTCAACATCTTCGCCGAGGACAAGTGGCTGTTCCTGAGCCAACTCTTTCGCAATCTTGACCACCTCAGCGGCATCTTCCTTATTGACGCTACGAGGCAGCTGTCCCTGATGATATAGTTGAAATCTCTGTAGAGCTTGAAAACCCAAGTGAAGTTGAGACGCCCTATCGAACTTTGCATAATCGCAGAATAAATGCTCTGGATCGTGTAACGAATTCCGAAGAGTCTTGAAAGATAGCTTTAAAGGCATCTTTACTTGTGTGAAAACACCGCCCTTCTTGTAGGTGCCTAGCTCTTTTACAGAGCCAATTCTGAAGGCAAAGGGACCTAGAACTTCGACTTTGTATGGCTCACCATCGTTCAGCTTCTCTAGACCTTCAATCTCAGAAAACTTGACGAAATTTCCGTCTTCCAGATTGTGTCTGTTGTCATCTAGCATCGTAACCGTTCCGTCCGGTTCAATGTCCGAAACAATGCCGGAGACCGGTTCTTCGCCTCTGGGATCAATGACAGTAAAATCTTCGCCAAAATCGTTGAAAACACTGCCAAAAAGACCTCTGGTTTCGGTGGCCATGAACATTATGCCTTTGGCGTGACACAAGTCATTGAGCTCGATTTTACGTTCCAACGACAACGTATCAGTAGCAACCACGACCTGATAGTGCGAAAGCTGCTCCTGATCTTGAAGAGAGCCCAACACGTCTATTGGCACATAAGAGTTCAATTCTGCCAATTTTGCCCGAGAGACAACGTCCCTTGGCTTACCCACGTCATTTTCCGAAAGGAAAAACTGACTAGATAGGTCCTGTAGCTGAACAGGTTCGGGGTCATGCAATGTGAGCGACTTTACACCCGCTAGTGCTATGTTTTTAGCGATTTCAACACCCAACCCTTTTAATCCGATAATCAAAACTGTGGAATGCTGCATTTTAAGCATGGCTTCCTTGCCCAACACGTAAAGCTGACGAGAGTACAGGCTCTCGTCAATCTCACCCGGCTTGGTCATTCTGAAGTTGGTCGAGCAGTATTTTGATGTTCAGGGTTTGTGAACGGCAAAACCTTGTAGAAATAGAAAGGGTTTGCCACCAGGTACATTTAATAATCCATGATAGAATTTCGAATTTCTTATAATTCAAATCACAGTATACGGATGCGGGTCTTGAAGAAGATCCTGTCATGGCTCGAGCAGCATTGGCAATGACATTGAACGTCCTTTTCTCGTTGCATTCAATCGACGCTTTGTGATTAGAATTTGATGAGTTGTGAGGGTGTGTTTTGCAGCTGTGATGCGAATTTTGTTAATTATTGATTAGGCGGTCCAGGTTGATGGTGATGCAATTGATGACAGCATAGAGCTCGAAATACGATGTGTCAAATGCATTTAGAATTTGGTGGACTGATGTGACTAATGGGCATTGAGAGCTTGAGGTTTTCTATCGGGCCATCTGATAGATAGCAGCTTTGCAAGAGCCCAGTGTGGAGAATAACTGGTGGAGTGGAAGCATTGCTCTAAATTTCGTCCGCGATGTCTTCCCCAGCGCTCCAACTATCCAATGATTGAATCGAGCCACTCAATGAGTCTTCGTCTGGTGGTTGGTGGAGCCCGAATTTGAAGAACCGGTTTTGGAGCAAAATTTGGAGCCGTCTGTATTCATCACAATATCCATCGCAGCTTGAAAGCTGGTCCACGCCTTGCAAATTTTGCTCAGGTAGGTGGCCGAGCTTGATGCTGAGTAACGATACAGCGAGTGGAAAGAGGCAAGGAAATTTGTCTCTCTTAGATAGCCACCATTGCAAAACATCGATTTCCGGTTCATACGTGATCGTTTCTCGAGTATACAAATTCCACTCCATTGAACCAACTTCTAGCTGAGACAGAAAGGAATCAGGCTGTAAAGCAGATTCAAAATGATCATCGGAAAAACAAGAAATCTTATCGCAAATTACCGGACTTTGGAACCCCACTTCTGCACGACCCCGTTCTTTCAAGTGACACCTGATAATTTTCATTCCTCTCTCGACACACTCGTCAGCATCCGCCTCAGTCATATATTTACGGACTTTGCCATGTCCTACTGACGGGTCGAGCATCGCTGCAGCGAAGTAGATATCGTTTTTCTTGAACAGGTCAAGGTAACCAACAAACTCGCTCACACTCTGATGTACAGCGTTCAGTACTTTGAGCTTGATAGCTTTAGGAAGGTCATTATTTCCATTGATGAAAGAGAAGTCGCTACTGTCAACAGTGGAGCTTACCAGCTTGTTAAAATTTGCAGAATGGCATGCATCGTAAAATCTTTTCAACGTGCAATAGATCACGACTGCGTTTGACAGGCGGTTAAATTCATCTGTTTCAACCAACGTTTTCATATGATGAAAAACTGAGCAGCATGAAACAAAGTATGAAAGACATACGATTGACTTTTTGAGCACCTGGAAAGCCTGGTTGATCTCTTTCATTTCTACCTCATAGCCAGAGAAATCGAGTTTCAACCAGTTTTGGTATTTGATCCAATAAGTCAAGCAGGCAAATGCTTGATACCATACACACATAGCAGTAGGTTTGGTAAAGACAGGAATGGGATGAATTTCAGCTTCTTCCAGTGATCTTTTCAGACCTTCTGAGTCATTCAAAACCCTCCCTAGTTTGTCCAGTTCAGCAAAAGCTTTTGTCATCGCGTCATCTGTGGCACGAATGTGGGAGACGATTATGCTCAAAAGCGTTTCCACAAGTTCACTGACACATCTAACTGAGGGTGTCTTTGCCATATCAGAGTCCACGTCGATGCTCCCATCGTACAAGGAATTGTCGCCCTGGTTGTTCCATTCTTGATTACAGGTTAAAAGTATCGCTTTATCAGAAATTTTGAAGCGTTCGAAGGTGTTCATGACACTGCTCTTAAGACTATTAGCACCCAATCCTTCAAACCCTAGACTGATAACATCCAAGAGGTGTGTTTCTCTATGCTGCCATATGTCCTGCGTATCCTCAACAAAGACGCCTACAGTTTTATTGTTAAGGGAACCCGGAATGAAAGCTGCCGAAAGGGTTAAATAGGGCGCGCTAGTCTCTGTCCGATGTATTTGAGGTGCAACGGTAACGTAGTCCGCTGTTTGCATCATACCGATCAGTTCATCATCGAAGCTCCGCAGGTAGCTGGAAAACCTTTCTAGAATTGGTCTGGGCTCCACTGTTCTTTCTTTGTTTCTGATAAGTCTTTTCCATGCTGTCGAAGATGTTATCGACACGGGCAGTTGTTTCTCAATCAAAAGGTCGACTTCGAAAAACTCCTCGGGTCGCTCTACGGACTCGGTGGCAATAAAATTGGGGAGAAGGCTCTTTTTAATGACAAGCGCTCTCGATTTCGCTTTTTCTATTGTTTCACGAGGTTTTCTGCCGCTGCTGGTGAGCAATTGTGGATGCAGATTTTTGAGATGTTTCGATAAGTTCCCAGTGGACTTACGCTCTTTGAATACTTTTCCACAATGGACGCAAGTGGCAACTTTCATCCCATCATAATGTGACACCTGGAAATGTTTCCGCAAGCTAGATCGGCGCATCCAACCCGTTGTGCGGGTCTCGACAAGTGTCGTTTCAGTCTGGAGCGAGGGGGACTCACACATGGTCGAGATGATTGCTGGGACAATGTTTTGTTCCATAGTTATCATATCATGCCTTTTTTTGTGAAAGAGTAGTAATGTTTAGTTGGTCTTCGTAATGTTTTGAATTTTCAATTAGCCGCCGTCGAAAAATGTCGTCGCATACGAAGAAATGGGTCTTTTCAAAAGTGGGTCATTACAGTGGGTCGTCAAAGTGGGTCATGAAAATGGGTTCTGAGTAAGCTAGCAAAGTGGGTAGTGAAAGTGGGTTTTTGAAACTCAATTACCAATCATGGAGTATGGCCCTAAGAAACTCAATGTATTACCATACTTTATAGTAATGATGAATTCTCGAGTACAGGAGATATCGCTCGCGAGCTCTGATAAATTCTCAAACACAGGAAAAGTTGTTTACAAGCTCTGACATAGGAAAGCTTCAACTGAAACAGAGAGAACCCAGAGACACTAGTCTGAATCCTCAATCTTGCATTTTTTGTTATGGGTCTTTACAGTGCTGTCCAACGGGTTGACCCGGATCAAAAATTTGCAACCCGGGTTGCAAAATTCGGGTACTTAACGGGTTGCTGTTTTTTTCAATCAGGTCTTTGAGTATTAATAATTTAATATTTACGGATCCTTCAGTGAGTTTCAATCACATTCAATAGCGTCGCTAACGGGTTGGGAACACCTCACATCGCCTCGGTGACAAAGAGGAGCAGCTCATGTTTGTTCGCGATGCTAAAAAACGTTTAGACTTGATATGAATTGTATAATGCTACCTGGGCTAAATACTGGTCAAAATACTAATTACGCCGCCCAGCGACCGTCGAGATGGTCATCATCATCATAGGCATCATCATCATCAACACCGTAATCATCATCCTGACAATCATCCTCAAGGGGTTCTTCATCAGATGATATATTTATAAAATCATCGGCATCGCCCGGTTTCGTGAGTAGAAGTTCCTTGTCGTACAGGCCGAAGTTAAAAAAGCGGTCTCTTAAAAGCATGATTCTCCTCGCATTAGCGCTCCCGAGACTTCTGCGGTCGCTTCTCATTAGTTTTCCACTGATAGAGAATGTTCTCTCAATACCGCATGTGCTGAACTTTGTGTACAACATGGATAAAGCCAACGGAAACAAATGAGGGTAGGTCAAACGCCGCGAGTACCACCACTTCACGGCATCTGTCAAAGAATCTGAAGTTAAATGAGAATCAGCCTTATAGTTCTCCCATTCTTCCAGAGCTTTAGAGGTTCTTTCTGGAGGCTGCTTGAAATGCAATTTTAGCCTTTTGAACTTGGTGACGCGATTCGTGTTCACTGGCTTGAGCATATTGTCAATGTACGGATGGTTTTCGGATTGGCACTGCTTGAGGTAGCCCTTGACATATGCCTCTACCCTTCGAAAGTGCTCTGATCCCTCATTATCACCAAAAAATTCTTTAAAATAATCGCCTTTGATACTAGGATCCAAGAACGCCGCAACGAAGTAGATGTCGTTCTTTTCATACAACTCGAAGTATTCGTCGAATTTTGACCTGGAAGAGATGATGGCTTTCAAAACAGTACTCTTTATCTCTTCAGAGAGTTCGAACTTTCCATTAATGAAGGTGAAATCAAAAAACCCCTCTGGAGAAGCTGGAATGGTTTCCGTTTCACCCCTGCTGCATAAGTCATAAAATTCCTTCATCGTGGAATAGAAAGTGACTGCATTAGCTATGTTGCTTGCATTGTTGTCTTGCAAAGTATCGTTCATTAGCTGGAAGATCGAGCAACAGCTCGTAAAATACTCTAAGAGTTGTACTGTTTCGTCCGTGAGCTGCAGCCGCATTTCTATCTTCGGAAGGACATTGTGATATTGTTCATTTGACTTCAAACTCTGAGCCCACCCTAAATATCCTTTGTGATGCTTTAGAAATGTAGCGACCTGTTTCCAAATGAAAATCCACCGCGTTTCGGGAGCCGAAGGCACCAAGGGTAATCTAGTATCCGCTATAGCAGACCTTAAAAGAGATGACCTCTTGATTATTTTGGCGAACGCACTAACATCTCTCAAGCCTTTTTCAAACCTCTCATCTTCCCTCAGCTTTCTCACGATCTCCTGAAACAGAAGGTTCAAAATGTGACTTGCGCAGCGAACATGATGAAAGTTTTTTGTCTTCTTGAATGCCGTCGTCCTCGAAGGTTTTATGAGATTGTGAAGAAGGAAAGAATGCATGGCCGTATTATTAGTAGCATTGTCAGAGGTAAAGGAGAGGACTTTATTTGTTATTCTAAATCGGTTCAAAACCTCCACGACCGTGGTATGCAGACTTTCACCTGTATGGCGTGAGCCGCTGATATCAACAAAATCCAAAAGGTGACTGTTATTGGTCTCTTCACAGTTATTGAGTAATGCCTTTTCTCCAACGCCTTGTAACATCTTTTCATTCAGCAAGTTCGGAGCGAATGAAGCTGCAATACCCAAATAAGAGTGACCGTTGCCTCCAGTCCACACATCTAGCTCTAAGTTTATGAAATCGGTTTGTTCTAGAGCCGCAACGAGTGCCTTATCGAACCATTGGGAGTAGGTTTCGAGTTTTGTATTTATCGTGGTGCGAGATTGAATGAATGACATTTCTGGACATGCCTTACATATCCATTTCCACGTTCTAGAGCTGACAAACGAAAACGGCAACAGTCTTTCCGTCAAAAAGCCAATTGTCCCGATGGAGCCAGGACTGTGCTTACACTCGCGAGCAATTTCTCCCGGCAGCGGAAGCGAGCGAGATTTCATGATCAAAGAGTCTAGTGAACGCTCCTTTATAGTTGCAGCCTTTTGGGATCTGTACTGGCAGGGGTGAATGTTCTTGACGTGCTTGGAGAGATTACCCGTAGAATTGCTTTCGTAGAAGGTTCTTCCGCAATGTATACAGCTAGCTGTGGTCAAACCATCTGTTTGAGAAAGTCGAAAGTGCTTGCGAAGTGCGGACCTTTGCATCCATTGTGATTTTCCACGCGCTAGAGCCTTTTTTGTATTGTGGTGGGGCAAGTCACCTAGGTGGTTCTCAGGATCACTTAGAACCGTATCCCCTTCAAGATCAGTACTGGGACTCGGCGCTAGTTCATGTGGTGCAATCATAAGAGGGGCTTCCATTGTTGGTAGAAACTGTGGCCTGAGCCATGTTCCTGAATGTGAAGTAATGAATTCTGAATTTTGTCACCTTTTATATCTTCAAAAGTTTACGCGTTGCATTTTAAAAAAGACGCGTTACATTTTAGAAAAAACGCGTCCAGGTTCCTCTCAGGTTGCAGTTCAATTCTAAGCGGGTTGTACGACAGGTTATGATTTGCCCGAAGCGGGTTCTTTCAGGTACCTAGCTATTTAGCAGATGGGTCCTCAAATTTTATGAATTTTTTTTACCCGGCCAGTTTTGCAACCCGTTGGACAGCACTGGGTCTTTACCAGGTATCACTCTGTACGAACAGATTTCCCAAATGATCATCAACACTGAGCACATAGAACGATGGATGATGATACGAGTAGTGTTCACTCACCTGAACGCCATCTCAGGAAGAGAACTACTTGATCCCAAAGCACCTAGCATGACAAAACTCGAATCACTACTCAAGCCTCAATCGCTTTACGGCGGTGCCATTTCATGCGTCATTCCAGAAGGTTTCTTGGACGCTTCAATGCTGCGTGAGGTGCCGGACACCCAAGAAGTTTTCGTGAACTCCCGCGATGCAAGCGAAAAAAACAAGTTTTCAGACGGCTTGGGCCTCGATGAAAGCATTATCGTCGACCTTCTGCAACGTGTAGATGCCGCAAACGATCGCGATGCACTCGATATGCATCTACAAGAAATAGCAGGTCTTAACGAAAGCAACGAGTGGAAAGTGACAAAGCTCGACGTCTCGAATGCATACCAAACCTGTGTGGCCATCGAATCTGCCTACAAGTGGGGCAAACAGGAACTCAAAGAAACGATTGTTCTTTGTCTGGCCCTAATACGTCTCGAAGATGTCGAGACAGACGTGATCATAAGCATCAATGTACCAGTTTCGGGCAAAAAAACACTTGAAGAAACGCACAAGTGGGTCCTGGATCCCTCACAGTCACTGCCCCCAAACATTGAGTCCGCCTACGCCATACTCAGACTCATGGCTTCCAGTTTCAAAGTTCTAGACAAGTCATTGTTCGTGTAGAACGAGTGCCGATCAAAATTTTGGTTTCGTGCAGAAGATCAACATTAATGATATCGACTTTGAATTTAAAGTTGAATTCTTTCATCATCTCAAAATCTGGTTTTGAAGTGAAAAAGTGCTTGATAAATAGATCAAAAACGGGAACTTCATCGTGTTAGAACGTTAGCTCCAGCGTGTGGCAAAGGGGTAGCGGCGACCGTGAGGATTTCAAAAGGAATTGAGCGCGTTGGTTACGAAAAACCCGATTTGAGACATCTCATTTGCATCGATAGAACACTCACACAGGGCCTTGCAATAACAAGCTTTTGAGCTTGGAACGGAAAGGATAAGAAAGATGGTTAAAGCTCGAAGACCAGCATGGAGACGGTATATTTACGTAATTATTCCATTGTGCATCGCCAGCATATGGTTATGGCGGTTTTTGAATAATCCAGAGGCAACAGACCTGCAAGCGTTACTGCAGAATTTGCCCAAGGAAATCACACAAAGCATAGACTCTGCGTCACAGACAAAGCAAGACGCGTCCATGGTGGAGATGTTCGAAAAGCTTTCTGCAGATTTGCTGCAGAAACAGGACGAACAACTTCAAAAGTTCGAAAGGGAGCGCAAAAGGCTAGAAAAACAGATCCGGGACTTGAGACAGCCGTCTCCGCACGCCACGCTGCGCGAGAAACTCGCTCTGGTCTTCGAATATCGTCCGGCCCATCGGTTTCCGGCTTTTGTATGGCAAACGTGGCCGTATTCTGATATGGATAGCCGCATGGACCCTGTGTTGCAAAGCTACGAAAGACACTGGGGTGATAAAAACCCGGGCTTTGTTCACGAAATTATCAACGATGACGCTGCATCTGCTTTAGTGCATTACATGTACTCTTCGATTCCAGAGGTAGTAGATGCGTATGAAATATTGCCTTCTGCCAACTTGAAAGCGGATTTTTTCAAATATTTGATTCTGCTTGCTCGCGGCGGTGTTTACGCTGACATTGATACCGACGCCTTACAGCCGGTACCCAACTGGATCCCTGAAAATGTGTCTCCACGCGAAACAGGTCTGATAATTGGGATAGAGAACGACGCTTCCAATCCCGACTGGAGGAGCAATTACGTGAGAAGACTGCAGTTCTGCAACTGGATCATTCAAGCTAAGCCAGGTCATCCTGTGGTGCGAGAAGTGGTGGCCCGAATCACAGAGACCACTTTACAGCGCCGTTCAGAAGGCGAGCTGCGCATGAACCTCAGAAATGACCTCAACATTATGGGTTGGACCGGATCGGGGATCTGGACTGACGTCGTTTTCACATACATGAACGATTACGTGCAGAGTGGCATTCTCAACAAGATCACTTGGAAAGAGTTTCACAAGTTGGATGTTCCGAAACTTGTTGGAGACGTGCTGGTGTTTCCTCAGAGCTCTTTCAATGCTCCTGAAAAGGACTCCAAGGACAAAGACTCGGAAACCAACAGAGCTCTTCACTTTGCCACGCATTCGGGACTAAAAAGCTGGAAAGCAGCCCCCAAAATTTCCGATGAAGAGTAGTTGAGGTGTTGCGAAGTTTCCTCTTCTTTTGTAGTACAAGTGTAAAAACAATTACGACAAGGTTGTAGTCATTCAAGTTTAAGTCATAGTCTAAGACCAATCAGAGAAGGCGCCCAAGCTCTACTAAAAACTGGGCTAAAAAAGACTTTCCTCGTCATTCAAACGAAGTCAGTTGTCCCTATCTGGTTCCTCATCATTAGGTCATTAACAAGATAAAAGAATAAAATAAATCTACGCAACATCAGCAGCGTCTATGTTCGCAAATTACACCAAATCTACCTAGATTCAATGCACTTCAACGCATATGTCGCTGCTACGGTTTCTGGTAGATGTGAAGAAAGAAGGCTTTAGAAGCTGTGATGATTTCTTTTATAGCTGCCAAAAAATTTCATTTCGTATACAGTGATATATACTTACGCGTCTCACAAGCCTTAGGGCTAAATATGCGGTTTGCCTGACAAAGCGGTAGATCGTCAGTCTCTTTCTTATTGAAATGATCCAAATATTTAATTCCTCGACTGCTCTGCGTTCTCTCTCTAAATGCTACGTTGTGTGTTTCCCGCCCTAGTCTTTTCATTGAAGACTTTCAGACTCAGCTCTCTGTTTTGCCTCTCTTTCAATCCTTTCCTCTATGTCTCTTAGCTCTTGCTCCCTTTGTAGAAGCTCCTGTCTTTTCAAAAGCAGTTCCTGCTGAACGCGCTCCTCGAACGCTTTGAGTCTTTCTTCTTCTAGTCTTATCTGCTCTTCACGCGCCAGATACGTGTCCTGGCCCGCAGCAGACTGTTTCAATGACGAGCTAGCCGACTCGCGTTCTGCAGCGTGCAATGAAGACTTACCAGACATCACTGGGGATCCGGCACCATTTTCATTAGCGGCAAAATGGGCTCCGTGCGAACTAGGAGCGGATGGCTCGCCAGAAAGTGCCTCAGTTCTGTATCGTTCGTATAGAATCTCATGGGTGTAGTCCTTCAAGTCATGCAAATGAGAAATCAATAGCGTATTCCTGAGGTGAACAAAATCGGAAATAGTAGAATCCTCCACGTCCAGCGTGCCCCATGGGTACTGACGGCCGCGGATAAGGGTGCCATCGCCCAGGTCGTACACCTCGTTCGATCCGACCACCGAGAAGGGCATCAAAGAACGCAGATGCATGTTGTTTTCGTAGTCCTCGTCGGAAATATCTGTTTCCTCGAAGGGGAAGTTGTAAATGGGGAGATGGTAATAATCGATGTCTTCCATAATCAGCTTCTTGTTGAGCTTTAGTTCCGCAGGTGTCAATGAGTCTGCTTTGCTAATCACCGGGATCACATTCACAAGCGGAGCCAGTGTTCTCATGAACTCCACGTCTGTTTCTTTGAGCCCGTGTCCCGTAGGGTTAACCAAATATAGACAGCAATGTACCCTCCCATCCTTGAAACGTGGATTTCTTCTCACACGGCTTTCCTCAAGAAGAATCTCGTCGTACTGGTGTTTTATGTAGTCCGAGATTACATTGAAGTTTTGAGAATTGTCTAAAGATCCGCCAAACCCGGGCGTATCTATAATGTTCAGCTGAATTTTGACACCTTCGTCGTCTTCCAATTCCACCGTTTCTTCTCTAAGCTGCAGCTCTATTTGTGTAGACGCATCTGTTGGCAGCATTACCGTTGTTGAAACGTCCACCACTTGCTGGCCACACAGCGTGTTGACGAAAGTTGATCTGCCACTTCCTGACTCTCCGACGACCATTAACGTAAAGTTAATGCCTCTCTTCAGATTTTTCCGCTTTCTCAAAGCAGCAGAGGCCTCAATGATGCTAGCCATGGTTCAATTGAGTGTGTATCTGGTCTCTTTTGTGCTTTAGATTGTTTTGAAAGGTGTTGTTTTGAAGATAGATTCGAAATTTTTTTCTAAATTCCTAATTGTAAGAGTAGGCGTTTCAGCATGTCAATGAAAACAAGATTTCGTTAGACAGAGGAGAAAGACCAGTGAAGGAGAGAGAGTTGTTTCAGAACTGCTCAATGACTAGAAACTCCGTGATTGACTCATTTTCTCTGTAAAAACGCGATCAAAATTGGACAAGTTTTGACCGATTTGGACGGGATTGCCAAAAATCACCAGATACAATACTAGTGCAGTCAAACGCATTGATATGCAATAAAATTAAGATGCTGAAATCTGTAATTTCTTTGTTTTACCCAAAACTGTCATCGTCGGAATTCAAAATCAGTTTCGAAAAGTGATAATGAAAACCGCACCCCAGGTCTCGCCAGCAGAAACTCAACAAAATACGGCATAAATATATGCCCGCATTTTGAATGACTGCTTAGATTTTCGATACACCATGATGATTTCACAATCAAACATATAGAGCGTCGTCCATCGCAAAATACCGAATAATGCAGTGTTTAGGTCTCAAAAAAAACCGGAATTCATGAAGTTCACTGTTCCAAAGCCCCTTCACATATTACATCATTTTATAAAGCATCTTCCTCGATACTTGGCTCACGAGTCATTGCACGTTGAGACGTCAAAGTTCGATCTACGTCGCTGTCGTCAAATTCTTTAAAGCTTGAAAATGACATTATCACCAAACACGTGATTGAATGCTCAAATGTCTGAAAAATTTTGGCATCGCCATCTACAATATAATGAATTGACTCACACTCATCGCACAGGTAGCTGTCCGTTCGGTTCGAAAGAATACTTAAACAAGCTATCAAGCTTGCAAATTATCCTAATTTCATCACACTAAGGCAAATTTATAGACTCCGCTGACCGAAAAAAAAATGAGCGTTTCTTACAAAAGAAAGGTCGTCCTTATCGATAATTACGATTCCTTTACCTGGAATTTGTATGAATACCTTTGCAGAGAGGGTGCCGACGTCCAGGTTTTCCGTAATGATAAAATCACGCTACAAGAGGTGATAGCCCTAGAACCAGAAATCCTGTTCATTTCCCCGGGTCCAGGCCATCCAAAAACGGATTCCGGTATCTCTAGAGACTGCATACGACACTTTGCAGGTAAGATACCTGTCACTGGTGTCTGCATGGGTCAGCAATGCATGTTCGAGGTGTTTGGCGGGAACGTCGCATACGCGGGAGAAATTGTCCACGGAAAAACGTCGCAAATCGAGCATGACAACAAGGGAATTTTCAAAAACGTTCCACAAGGCGTTTCCGTGACCCGGTACCATTCTTTGGCTGGTGAAAACTCTACTTTGCCTGACGAACTAGAAGTCACCGCAAGAACTGACTCTGGTGTCATTATGGGTGTCAGACACAAGACCTATACCGTTGAAGGTGTTCAGTTCCATCCAGAATCGATCCTTTCGGAATCCGGTCGCACCATGATCAGAAACATTTTAAGCATCCAGGGCGGAACCTGGGAAGAACACGAAAAAGCTGCAAAATTGAAAGTTACCAAAGGCAGTTCGATCCTCGACAAAATTTACGCTCAAAGACAAAAAGACGTCGAGGAACTTTCATCAGTCCCTGGTTTCACGCAACGCGATTTACAACAGAATTTCGAGTTGGGTATTGCTCCTGCTGTACAGAACTTTTACGATAGACTTCTTGCTGGGACAAAAAGTGCTGCAGTAATAGCGGAAATAAAGAGAGCCTCGCCCTCTAAGGGAGATATTGATGTCAATGCCATTGCTGCAGAACAAGCAGTCAAGTATGCAAGGGCTGGTGCTGCTGCTATTTCGGTTCTGACTGAACCTCACTGGTTCAAAGGAAGCATTCAAGACTTGGTAAATGTAAGAAAGGTGCTCGATTTTGAATACAAGGACAACTTGGCACAAAGGCCTTGTGTGCTCAGAAAAGAATTTATTTTCAGCAAGTATCAGATTTTGGAAGCTCGCTTGGCAGGTGCTGACACAGTTTTGCTGATTGTCAAGATGTTACCACAACCACTGCTGCGTGAGCTGTACGATTATTCAAGGTCGGAGATGGGACTCGAACCGCTGGTGGAGGTCAGTTCGAAGGACGAGATGCAGAGAGCTCTGGAGCTTGGTGCGAAAGTCATTGGGGTCAACAATAGAGACCTGCATTCTTTCAACGTGGACCTTAACACCACCAGTTCTCTGGCTTCCTCAGTACCTGCCGGTACAATTTTACTCGCCCTATCCGGCATCACAAGTGGAGCCGATGCAAAGAACTATAAAAGCGAGGGAGTTCGTGGGCTATTAGTAGGAGAAGCCCTCATGAGAGCATTTGACGTGAACACGCTAATGGCAGAGCTTCTTGCCTGATAGAATCATTTAATTTACATATCGATGGTGTGAAGTAGTCAACAAAATATACTGTATCAATCGTTTTTGGAAGTTCCCGGTTTCGAAAAATCAGAGCTTTGAACGTACCTGAGGCCTTTGAAAGTACGCTCCTTGTTGTGAGTCTGAAGTGCAACCAAAAATCCCAAGTCGTTCAGCTTGGGCCAGTTCACAAACTGCTCACCATTCTTGAAAACAAATCTCAAAGACAGCGCTACAATAGCGCTAGACAAGAAGAAAAATGAGAGATTCTTGGAACTTGTAAAATGGTTTTTGGGGAAGAAAATGGTGGCTGCAATAACAGTTAGAGCAGCGCAAATCACGGTTGGTATTATCTGGATTGTGAATGGTCTTCTATCAGTAAATGGAGATTGCATTCCACTATCGAATAACGAGAAATTGCCCAAAAATAAATCGTAGCTGTCTTGTCTGGGGCCATCAGTTAAGTTATTTTGGTAGTAGCGAGAGACAGAATTCAAAAAGTCCTTGAACGCACCAGCCCGGGTACGCTTACCGGTTCTTGTAAAGTCTGTCTTGAGTGCGCCAGTGCCAGAGTAGGCGAAACTTACCGCGTCTGCGTTGTCGGCCCAAAAGCTTTGAAACTGTACTAAAAGTTTCAAGTCCTGTTCCCATAGTTGATCCGGGGAAAGCACTTTCGAGGTGACAAACTCTTGTTGCAACACCCAGTGGGCCAGCACCGACTGGACCACGTTTGTCCTGTCCAAGCAGTCCATGCAGTTTGTGCGGACAACTGATTTTTGTTCATTGAGCAGGTCGATGGTGCTTCCATCCAGAGCCACGGTTTTATGGAACACGTCTTTTGGATCAAGTCCCATCTTCGTCAAATGGTCAATAAGCAATTTAATTCTATGCCATCTCATTTTCCGGCACTCGTGGTGGAAATCGAAGTAGACGTAATGGATCTTAGGGTCCTCAAGACCGCTGACGGCAGACTCATAAGCGTTTTTCACCGGTAGCTCGTGGCCCTTTTGGTTGACTAGATTAACCAGGTAGTTGTCGCCGTAAAGCTGCTTCTGCTGGTTGAAATGTTTGGCAGTAGACTCTAAGCTGGCGTTGGGGCCCAGCACCACGCTGGGCTTGTACTTGAGGTTGTTTATTTCGCCCCAGTACACAGGAACAGAGCCACGAGTTTGTAAAAACGCGTAGAAATCCGACCGATCTGTTTTACCGGCAGTCTTGGTCACCAAAAACTGCTCAGTTTCATTGAAATTAGCTACATTGCCGTCTGCATCAATACCACGACGAAAGTATCGGGTGCCAGCTCTGAATCTGCTGCGTCTGGTCACGAGGCCAATTGTTATAGGTGTATTGTGGATATTTGAATCGATGAAATGTGCGTATCCAAATATCATGGGCTGAATGAAAGCCGCAGCTCTGCGGTCTACAGTAGCCAGATTGCGCAATGGCTGAGTAGCGTAGTGATTCCAGAAAAAACGGGTGTCTGCGTTTTCCCAAGAGTTTGGACCCAACTTCTCGTTTCTCTGCGCAGAATTCGTCAAATCGTAGGTGTACGAGAAAAAGAGCGTTGCGTTAGAAAGTTGCAGCTCCAAAAGTGCCAGATACTGCTGTTCGTCTTTGTCTTTTCTTCCCTGCTTGTTGAGAGCAACAATAGCATGTTCCACGACCTTGAAAACCCTATGGCCGACCAATGCACCGTATTCCTCCACTCTGCGTGCTATGATGGCGTACGAGTTGGTTTTTAGCTTAATACACCCAATAAGACCGGCCACTTTATGGATTTCCCCGTTGACTGGAAACGAATCTACTGATTCGATGCTGACGTCTTGCTCAGTAGGACCGAGTGTGAGAACCGCATCTTTTTCGCCCGAAGAAGATGCAAGCTTGAAAACAAGCCGATTATTGAGTTGAGCGTACAGTAAAGGTCCAGACATTACAGCTTTGAAGAGCTTCTAGTACGTCCAGAATTGAATCTGGGTTCTCTAGCGGTATGCTTTCGTTCAACTTTCAAGGTTTTCTTGAACTTAAACTGATTTTTGTTAATTTCACCTTATTTGAAGAGACATATATATGGCTATATCACGAGAGGCTTGGCTTTAAAAGATAAATAAAATACACACGTGACTTCAAAAGGGACGAGCGTTTGCTTAGAGGTCACATGGTTTGATTACATAAGAAAAGTTCATTTGGAAGCATCGTAGATCACATGATGTAAATTCTTCATTCGAAAAGATTTTGGTCATCGATTAAGGGAACACTTGGTCTACAGCTCACTGCTATCTTCATTGATATGAGGTTTAAGTAGCGCAACTTTGAATGATGTATGCTTAAAGTTCTCCCCGGTTACTGTCTTCGGTTACATAGGATACAAACGCTCGGGTGCGTGCAAGGTGATAGTAATAAGGCAAGACAGCTTGGTTTACAGGAAAGATTGAACACCCATCGTAAGGATTTCATCTAAAGTTTACAACAACTGTGAAATCTTTGCAGTGGGCCTACGAGAATATTTGTATGGTTGAAAAATGCTTCTTATGGGCCTAGCTGGTTTCCACTGCTGCAGAGAAAAGGAACTGGAATTCTGGATTCTGGATTCTGGTCGTGAAGTGTAGTATTTCAGACTTGTTGGCACTTTGTGCGGCATAAGAAGAATCTGCTAAAATTGACTCAGCTATTTGACTGAATATCAGTTCATCTTCAGAACAACTCATCGTAAAACTATGTTCTATCTTAGTTTTTCAAGAAAAAATCACTGATTGATTTCACACTACTCGAGGGATTATTTTTGAATGCCAAGCGTGATAAAAAAATTGCAGCGCACTTTCTCAAGTGGTTACATTACAGCTTCACCAGGGATTGACAGCGGTGGAGTGAATTTTGAATTTTGGCTGGCTGTGTGTCATGTATCACGTGCACTTCAGTCTGACACCTCTTATTACATCACAGCACTGTTTCAGGCACCTGCTCTGAGTAAAGTCAGTAAATTTATGATTTACTGTACGTCTGTCTAGCTATCAAAACTCACCTTTCGTACGACTGAAAGCTCTATCTCTTGTTTATCGTGCACCACGACCTGACCTAGCTCTTTCTCACTACAACAGCATACTGCAGCCCACCAGACTGTTCTTGATTACACCGAATATGACCAATCTTGGCCAGAGCAGTCCTTTGCCTCGCACAAGAGATGCTCTCAAACCGGACCAAGTGCATGATACCGTTGTTATTGAAATTACACATCATCTTATCATTATGTGTCTCCAGAGACACCATTGGTCACGTGCACCACTAAGTAGCTATCTACGAAGAGCATCCCGAAATTCGACAAAAATCCGCAACTAACTACAATCCTACTCTCCATCTTCCACCTGAACTCTTTCCAGGGACCAACCTTCTCCTCGAACAATTTCTTAACTCACATTCGCATGTCTGCTAGTAATTTCCAGCTCAGTGCCATCCTTTCGGGGCATGAGCAAGATGTAAAAGGTGTTGTGGCTGTTGACTCAGACAGAATTGCAAGCTGTTCTCGAGATGGAACAGTTAGAGTTTGGAAGAGAGGTTACGAGGGCATTTGGCAAAATAACATTGCGTACCAGTCAGATAAATATGTGAACAGTCTATGTTACGATGCTGAAAGCCAACTTCTTTTTTGCGGTGGCCAGGATACATTGATCAACAGCGTGCTACCAAGTTCTTGCGATCTGACATCTGAACCTACATACGTTCTCGTAGGTCATTCTAGCAACGTGTGTGTGCTTAATAGTACTCAGGGCTATGTCTTGAGTGGAAGTTGGGATGCCACCGCTCGGGTTTGGTTTCAAGGCGCTATCAAGGACGAACTCAAGGGCCACCAGGCGTCCGTGTGGGATGTCAAGATGCTGCCGCAAATAGGCCAGTATCTTACCGCTTCGGCGGACCAGACCATCAAATTGTGGCATGGCGAGAAAACAGTAAAGACTTTTGATAAAATCCATTCAGATGTGATCAGACATCTCGATATCAACTCCACAGGAGACCAGTTTGTCAGTTGCTCCAATGACGGCACCATCAAGATAAATGATATGGAAGGACGTACACTTCGGACTCTAACTGGTCATGAAAGTTTTGTCTACTGTGTGAAATATGCACCAAACGGCGATATAATTAGCTGCGGTGAAGATCGCTCTGTGCGAGTATGGAGTCCAGACGGGTCTATCAAGCAAGTGATACGCATTCCTGCCGTTTCGGTTTGGGATCTGGCCATAATGGACAACGGGGACATTGTTGCAGGTAGCAGTGATGGCGTAGTGCGCATTTTTACAAGCGATCAAAGTCGTGTTGCCAATCAAAAAGAATTGGAGCAGTTTGCCAAAGAGGTAGAAGAAACAACCATAAGTTCGCAAGCGTCTGGGTTTGACGAATCAAAACTTTCTTCTTCTGACGTTTTGCAAAAGCCTGGGAAAGAAGGGCAAGTAGTCGTTGTGAAAAGCGCTTCTGGTGTGAATGAGGCTCACCAGTTTTCCCAAGGCAAATGGACAAAGGTAGGCGATGTGATAAGTTCGGTTGGAAATGATCAGAAGAAGGAATTCGATGGGAAAATGTTCGACTATGTGTTCGACGTTGATGTCGAGGAGGGCGCTCCGCCGCTCAAACTGCCTTTCAACGCTAATGACAATCCATATCAGGCTGCTGACGACTTCCTCGCTAGATATGAGTTGCCAGCAAGCTACAGAGAAGACGTTGTTCGCTTTTTGATCACGAACACAGGCGGCATTGACCTTCATCAAGATAATGCGGTGCCTCAAGCCACTACTAATAGCAAGAGTCCGGAACCTGCACCACCAAAAACTAACATGGCTGTGCTTCCCGTGACGACATATCTCGACATAACTTCCTACAACGCCGATGCCATTTTTGGGGCGATCGCCAAGCTCAACGAAAAGGAAAAGACATTCGATGACGAAGATTTGGCAGCTCTGGGAGCCGGTTTGCACAATCTTGATGACAACTCCGAATTACTACTCGCTCAAGCTTCCATGATTCGTTCATCTTGGGAAATTAAAACTCCTGCTTACGACATACTACGTTTGATTGTCAGTCGTTTACTGCATGCTGATGACATCAGCGACTTTGTGGAGGAAGGTTTAGGCTCTTCGGATTTGCAGCTAGAAATGCTCACAATTAGGACCCTTGCCAACGCTTTCCAGAACACGAATTGGGGTTTAGACCTACTGTCGAAAAGCTCTGTGTATGAGTCAGTCTTCCAAACTATTGATGCAAACCGCTCACAAACCGCCAAGACGGGAAATCTAGCCATTGCCGTCACCACTTTAATCCTCAATTACAGTGCTATGATTGTGAAGGACCAGAAAGTGGATCTTCTTCCTACCATAGCCGATGCGCTAAACAACAAGTTTGGCCCTTCTGAAATGGTCCAGAATTCTGAAGAGGCAGCATACCGCGCTCTTGTCGCATACGGTAATCTGGCTATTATAGAGACTACGCTTCTACAATTTGCCTCGTCAGTAAAATGGGTGAAGTCAGTTAAAAACAATTACAGCCATCTTTCTCGCTTTGATCAGATACTGAAAGATCTAAACATCGCCTAGGCATATACTTTGATCTTCATGGCAAGTAGTAGGAGAAATATTCAATTGTTCAAATATCAAGCACTTTTATACTGCTAATTAAATTAACAATTATTCAATTCAAGCTATCACATCTCATAGATTCAAAAAGACTTTAAGTCCAACAGCAGTGATAATGTCGATTGAAGATGACCTTAATACTATAATTGGTGAAAACGTACGTTTTTGTATGGAATCGTTAGAGAAGAAGCGATGTCTTAATCTCAACTCTTCGACGAATTACGATCCAGTTTGCTAAGTCTGCCAGTTTATTTGTATATGTAGTATAAACTGGCAAACAACGTTTCTAAAGATACTAACAATTCCATCGCAATAACTCTCAGCCCCCCGCCAGGAAGACAACTGTAAGTGATTGAAATTTGAGGAGTTTCCTTCGAAATGGTTGAGATGACAAGTTATTAACAGCGATCTTGAGAAATATCGTCGTCGAGATTTGAGAAATGGATTGGCATCGAGGCTTGGACAGGGATCTGGTGAATCTCGAGAAGATGTAAGACGCGATTTAGATCCAGATTCCTACGCCAAGTCAGCTCGGCTGTACAACGATGAAGACGTGAGAGGTTCTCTACCGAAGCCCAAAAAGAGACTTCGCATTATGCAGATTCCACTTGACGTCTCCGATTTTACTGTGGAAGATTTGGTAAAAGAAGTAGCGACCCCGATCTACGCCAACTTTTACGACCATCCCGAAAGCCGCACAGGGGTTTTTGAGTTTGATAACACGACTCAATTGGAAGAAGTGGCTAAAGCGTTCACAGACAAGGAAATCAATGGATCTAGACTTTCCGTGGAAATTTATGAGCTCAAGGGACGTCAAAACCGTCGTGTGCAAAAAAGAGGACATCACGGAGGTCAGCGTGCCCAGCGTGGTGGTCAGCGTGGCGGTCGGCGGGGTGGCCAGCGAGGATCTGTCGAAAAGCCTAGTGCGGATCAGTTGGACCAAGAACTTGACGCTTACATGAGAAATTGAATAAGTAGGTTTCTATTTTGACTAACAAAAGTTGTATGTTCATGACATTATTTGAATATATTCATCTTATCTATACTAGTTGGTGCACATGGGGGTTTGATTCATCGCATAATTTAGAGTACACGGTTGATTTTGATCCACAGGCGATCCATGTTATTATGCCTGGTAATTACTCGTGGTGCAATTATTTGCTGGCAATTTCGATAGCTGGAGCGCAACCTAGCGACTTCTTCAAAGAGCCGTAGATACCGAACTGCAAAGAGGTCAAGGTACCAACCATGACCAAACGAGTTGGTAGACCAGCGAAAGAACCGACGAAACCTAGTTCCTTGGCTAGTTGACCCAACAAACCGATAGTGGACTGACCAGGAGCCTTCTTGGTCTTGTTGACCTTGGACAACAAAGTGTCGGCTGGCTGGGAAACAATGGCGGCGGCCAAACCAGCAGTCAAACCAGAGAGCAAGTTCAAACCAGTGGTGGTGGAGGTGCTCAAGGTGTCCTTTGGACCAGCAAAGCCGAAGTAGACTTCAGCAGCACGTTCGAACACCAAGAACTTAGCGATGTTGTATGGAATCTGTTTGAACAAGATAGGGGTGAAACCGTTGTAGAAAGAGCTTAGACCTTCTTCCCTCATGATTCTGGAGAAACCACCGACTAGACCGTTGGAGAAGTTTGGCTGAGACACCAATCTGATTCTGGTAGCTTCCAAAGGACACAAGGCAATATCGGCGAAGAACTCAGCAATGGCGGCAGAACCGATGTAGATGGAGTTCTTGTAGTTAACAGCCTGGTCGTAACCCAAAGTGTCGATGAAAAGCTTCTTGAAAACTTCGTAACCACCGAACTTGAAAGAACCTTGTAGGGAGTAACCCAACAAAGTAGGACCGAAACCGGTCAAAAGAGCGCCGGCACCCTCGCTGGAAACAATCTGCTTGAAAGAGCTGATCATACCCTTGTTGTAAACGGTTGGTTCCAATTGAATTCTGGTCTTCACCACATCGATAGGAACCATGGCAGAGTGGGTAACACCACAACCAATGGCACCAGCCAAGGCAAACTTGGAATAGTCAGAAATAGAGTATTGGGGGATCGCAGCAGACATCTCGAATAAAACTGGAGGTGATGATTGTCGAATTCGCTTTGTGTATTTGTTACCGAGAGTAACAAGACCAAAGTTTAATTTTCATGAGTTTATATACCAACGGTCTGTGGAAATTGAATCGATAAAAAAAATTGTTTATAAAAGAAACAGCGCTCACGTATCAAATTACAAAAAACTTTTTTCTTGTTATAGGAAATGGTTGTCGAAGTGTGGGAATCTTCGAATTATCGACTGTGATTGGTTGATTTCGTGAAAGGACGATGGCGAGCAGATGAGACAGACAGGTTGACAGGGCAACTAGTCTAAGTTGCCTAGAGACGTAATGCTTTCGTCGAATGACGGAATTAACGGATTATGCGTTTTCGAACCGGAGTGGGAAGGAGAGATTTTGAATGATGTCAAAAACAGGCTGTGTGATGGGTTCATATGTGCTGTGTGAGTGATAAATTTAAGTCGCAATCCGCCTTGGGTGTACGTCTCTAGGCATTCCGCTGTTGTCAGTAGGTTTTTTGATGTAATGAATTCAAGATATTGCCAGACTCAAGAGAGAGTTGGCACGTTAAGAAAGGAAGTGCCGTGGCAGCGGAGAATAATTTTCATTGGCTATTTAGATAAAAATCGGAGCTTTTGGCATGGCACGATGCTTAATGGAACAATCTTTTGATGGCGATGGTTGTAAAGATATCACTTTACACTAATCGCGTCGCCGGCGCATATGTATCATCCGCCTAAAATTTCCCCAACGAGCCCATAACACACTTTTTTATGGGCTCAAGATCGAAACAGTCTCCGCAGTATAAAGCTCGACTTCTTGTGATACAGGCTGTAACAACAACATGGAACTGTACCGTTTTCGTTGAAGGTTCCAATTTACGTCATACCGCCGAATAAATTAGAGTAGCATATTAGTAGATAGTGATATCTTTGTGATGAAGCTACTGCTTCAGTCCAAGCCAGGTCCTAAATCTCACGAGCTGTAGTCAGTAATTCATGCTTCGTATGCCTTTAGGTTTATCTTAAATTAGTTTTTATGAGGCCCCCGTAGAAACTTGGGCTTGGTATTTGGTGCACTGCATCATTCAGTTGCGAATGGGGTTCAAGCGGCAAAACACCTTTAGATATAGCCGCTGTTGAGCTCTGGAAGAGACCATTCCCACTTTTTTGTATATTGGCGGGAACAATATGCCAAATTGAAATCAGTAAAATCCTAAACCGACTAAAATGAAAAATGCTAATGCTTTATGAAAAATCTCAAGTCCAAATTTCGAAGGACATTCGAACATCTAAGCGTTCAGTATCGCGGCCAATTGTCCTTGCAACAAAACACGTCGGAGCACAACAGTCCGAGTCAGATATGTGGAGTCGGACTACAGGAGACCGACGACGGTTGGCACTGTTCCGTTTTCGGACTACAACAGCCCGTCCCGGAATTTCAACAAATATTTCCCGAAGACAGAAGGCCGACAGCGGCTCACAATGGTCCGTTACCGGACTAGAGTTTCTTACACACGGGGCAAAACCATCCACCCTGGCTCACGATCATCTTGTAATTTTCGTCGTAAAGCATAGCCGGAACATAGTAATCCGCCATAGGCTTCAGTCGCGGACTTAAATGACGTTCTTGTGTGGGAAAAGCCCGAGGAAGCTTTATGGAACCTTTTCAAATGTCGCCAACTTTGATTTGATGTGATTTGACTGGCAAATGGCACTCACCATGATTCTAAGCGATAATTCTCTTGAAAGTTTGGATTAACTCTATTTGCCGACCAAGTAATCCCGCGTAACCACCTCGCGACTGTTGCACTTTCTGTCAAAAGAACTTTAAAGAATCGCTGATATAAAGTTTATTAGGAGTTCTATAATTAAGGCCGGCTGAGAATTCAACTGGCATTCGAAGCACAGCTAAAGACGGTTCCATAGGCATCGGCCTGATAGTTGTAAATGATACTTTGAACCGCAGCATAAAGACCAGGCCCCAAAATGTAGAGTCCTGTTCCAATGAGGAATATTGAAATGTAGAAGTGAATTTTCTCAGTAAAAGTCAAGAGTTTGAAGTATTTTGGAGTGTGGTATTTTTCCTCCTTAAGTTTGAAGTAGGCCATACCCCAGAAAACAAATCCAAACCAACAGTCGAACAGCGACGACATCAAAGACAACAGGTCAGAAAAGAACGGCACCACTTCTGCAATGATGAAGGCAACGATCCAGGTCACGAGCAGAATGCCGACCCATGCAGCCCAACCTAAAGTTGTGTGAGAGTACAAGTGCTTTGAACGCTTGAAAAAGGTAAAAAAGAGTAAGCGAGCGGAAACGTTGGCGTACAATGACCCTGCAAAAATAAGTGTGGGTACTGCGAACGAGAACGAGATGATCTTGTAGGTCCTGGTGAGTGAGCCGAAAGCTGGCGCCGTGACGTATTCGTTGCCCACATAGACATAGATGATGACACCAGCTAATGTGAAGATTACCACTTCTAAAAGCGTCACAATGTAAAGCACCTTCCTGAACTCCCCAGGTCTCTTCATCTCAGATATAAACTGTGGGTAGGTGATTTGACCCACAAATGTGTAGACGATATTCAAGAAGGCACCCATCCCATCTACGAAGGTGGTGCCCTCTTTGGGGAACGCCCGGAATGTCACAGGCGTGCCATCGTAACCGGCTGGGTGGTCTTGCACCCCCACAAAAATCATGGCCAATACGACAGCGATGAACATGGTGATGGCTGAGAAGTACGCAACTTTCGACAAAGACGAGAACGTCCTAGGAATGGAAACCACAAACGCGATGCACGCCACGATCACGCTAAAGTCCACTGTGCACAACGAGTGGTTGGTGACCGTGTTGAGGTACTTGGCGCCTACCAGCACGTGTAACCCTTGAATAAGCGTATTGTTGGCCAAGAAACACAACAGGGTAGCGTACCACGCCCACCGTTTGCCCCAAAACAGATGTTGACCGATATCACACACACTTTTCAGGTGTGGGAATTTCTCGCAATAATCGATAATCGTTAGACCCGTGTATAGCACCGTTCCTGCGACAAACAGGGTAAGGATGATACCTGGCACGATGCCCAGCACCGAGTAGGACCAAGGAAACGACATTATGGCTAGCACAATGTACTCAGAAAGCAGCAGTCCCGTTGTGTGCTGCCAAGAACACGTCTTGTACTTGATATCGTGCTCTTCCTCGTTTTGCAATGCTCCCAACAGCGAGTCCGAAGAGTTCGCAGACGCTGTCTTTCCTACAGGCGTGAGAATAGCAACGTTTTCTGATGAAGCATCCGAATCTGGCCCTTGGCTCTCATCGTAGCGATGGTGTTCATCAGCCGCGACCGATCTTTCGACGTTAGATTTGCTCATCCTAAAGGCACCGTGAGGTGTTGTGTAGCAATTGTGGGTATCCGACTTGGGGAATGTTTTACACACAAACCAGAAAGAAAGCTGTCCATCTATTGTGAGATCTTGTCAAAACAGAGACAATCGCTTACTACTCGATAATCCTCCAATATATAATAAGTTTTGCTGTTCCGAGTGTCTTTTTTTTAAACTGGAGGGCCGTGAAGAGCTTCGAAAAGCTGCTACCTTAGTTAGAGAGCCCTTGGCTAATTCTAATTTCTGACATAGTGTGGCACTAAAATAGATATCACCATGGTCAACGTGGTGAAGGGCTACCCTGAAAGACATCGTGACGATGTGGTGTGGGATTGGTCCGGGAAAAAGCACCTACGTGGGGTATGGGTTTATGGGTATGGGTGTGTGGGTTCTGGAGTGTGTGGGTGTTAAGATACATCAAAGATGTGTGGGTTTTTTGCCAAGCAAGTGCGGGGTAACGTTTCGATAACAAAAAATTACGTGACATGTCAATGACGTTTGGTTTTTTGGGGCCCTTCCGGTGTATGGGTGTGTGGATGTGCGGGTGGTGAAACTGAGTTTAAGTGGAGTACAAAGTGATTTTTTAAACTTGAAAGTTGAGTAGCAATAGTGGGGGATGTGATAGTAGAGAACGCACCACTTGGGCAATTGAATTGCGACTAGCGCTCGAATGCCACGACAAGAAATTGCTATGATGTTCAAGTCACCGGAGCGGCACGATCGCATCAAATCTGAAGTACGTACATTTGCACACGAGAGGGCGCGCCCTATCGCTAAATTATTTCTCGTCTAAATTCGAAGAGTACAGTCGAGTACATTAGCGAGTCAAGGGCGGGTCAGCACGTGATCTGGACTGGCACAACAGCGTCACTTATCTAGAGGATGCATCATAGTTGGCGGTTTGGTAAAACCGCGACACATCATTAGACAGCGTCTTGAATGCTTGTTTGGATCGAGAGTGTAGCTAGCAAAGTTAATGTTCATTATCTTTGTAAGCTAAAAGCACTGGAATGCAAAATATTAAACTGGAATTCAATTTCAAAGTTGAGCGAAGAACACCATTTCGCATCGTCATTCCGGTATTGGTCTCATTGTAATCGTCTTCTGAAATTGTGCTCAACTTTTCACTGCGAAAAACAAAGTCCACTGGTAGAAACATGTTTTTTGTTTGCCAGCCGCTGCCTTTCGCGCTGCCTTTAAGGATAGGATATAAGTCTTAGGTTCTCGATGGGAATACTTAGGCCCAGTACTTATCCTTTCAACGAGGTTGGTTGCCGTCCATCTGGAAAAGGTTTAACTTGGACATCGGTGTTTGCTAGCTCCCCTTGACGCTCTCGATGTTGAGATCAAAGCATTCTTACCGCCGAAAGCTGCTTATGTGCTAAGTCTTGTTTTAATTCAAAAAGTTGCGGCCTGCCCTTTTTCCAGCTACCATGATGATGATTGAGGCATCTGCTCTGCATCTCTTGCTGGTCTCTTACAGAGATGTATTAGTTTGTGAAATCGATTCAAGGTCATCAAGAATTCTCATTCACCAGCGAAGAGTGTCGAACCACCCGCAATTTCTATGCTCCCGGATCAGAACAATAAGCATTGTAAGATAAAAACTGGAGTGAGTGCGCTGAAAGTCGTTGTAGCATTCATATTTGGCTGCGAAAGCCCACCAAGTGGATATCGCTCCAAATTTGAAGACAACGCGAGCGCCTAAAAGACTCCGCTGTGACAAAATCGTGAAAAGTTCCCATCTCTCGGCTCAAACGCAGTAGTCTCAAAAAGGCAGTTTAGACAATTGCCAGGGCCTGAATGTGAACGAAAGCTATTCGAAATTTGGTCGAGAGCTTCATGATTTTGTTGCGCCGAACTCAATTCAAAACTAGCGAACACTCAATAGCGACCGCGATCGCCAAGGCGCTTCACTCGTGCCTCAGTGTGTCACTTTGAGGACTGCAGCAACAAGTGTGTGTAATCTGATCTATCCGATTGTGCGACTGTTTGCTCTTCTGGTTACAATTAACTGAGCCAAAGGGCACAAACAAGCTCTACCCTTGAAGTTGATGTATTGTTATATTTTGTCTCGCTTGTACAAACAAGCTAACCGGAAATTACAAAGATCAGCTCATCTTAAACAATCATTCATAGCTCTACGTGTGCGAAGGTTATAAAAAAACGCCCAACTATACACATAACTTAAAAACAGAAATTAGAATTTACCACCGTACTCAGCAGCCCTCTGTTTAGCAATGGCGTACGACTCTTCAGCTGTAATTTTCTTCAACCACTTGTCAATATTTGGGTAGTGCTCTGCTTGAGCGAAGCCACGCTGGAAAGCTATTTGCAGCGGGAAGGATAGCAGGATATCTGCCCCACTGAGCCTACCGTCCACAAGATAGCCGTTATTTTTGGATATTTCACCCTCCACAAAGTCCATCTGGTTCTTGACCTCGCCCCGTGAGTATTTTTCGCTGATCTTGTTAGACACCTTGCCGGCCAAATACGAGAGTGGGAACGGAATGGGTGCTTTGTTTACCATAGATAGAAGAAATTCGATCATCAGCGGAGGCTGCAAGGAGCCCTCGGCATAGTAAAGATAATATTCGATCTGATCGGCAGCATCTGGGTTGGGATTGTTCAAAATATTGGACTTGTCAAAGTTTTGCAAAATTTGGTGAAAGATAAACCCTGACTCTGCAAGAGTTTTCGTCTTTTTCGTGGTCTTGTCTTCAATCGTAACTATAGGTGCCCTGCCCAATGGGTGGACCTTTTTAAGCTCGTCAGGAGCCCGGAACCCCTCAGTTCTCTTGTAAGGAACAATCTCATAATCCAACTTCAAATGGTCGAGCAGCCACAACACTCTGAAGGCTCTGGATTCGTTCAACCAATGAACTCTTATAATAGGTAGGGACATCTTGACTAATTGATTGGGGATAAGCAAGTTTCGAAAATATCAAGAGTTACTGTTTCACTATCACCAAACGGACTCCAAACGGACTTGCGTTGTCTTGTACCTTGAAGAAAAAGGGTCCCTCTTGTTCACGTGTATGCTAAGGACCGTGCCAGGATTTAACCCAATCGCAACATTTGGTATATACTTTGTTCACTTGAGTACAGCGTTCATGCTGCTCATCTTAATCACAACTAATCTACTTTTCTTGTGAGCTCGAGAAATGATACCGCTTGCGACCGTTTGCAACTTTGTCACCAGTAGGCCAGTTCCTCATGTATTTTACACAACTTGATAAGAAACGAAGGTTTACTTACAATAAAAGAGACTTTTAACACTGTTGCCGAAAAGCTGCGTCTGTGAAGGACCCCAAATTATGTTTTGGTCAATGACTCTTGAGGGATAAAAGCTTTCCTTCGGACTTGTTGTCGAACTTGAATATTACTTGACTGGTCATAGTCATCGCAGGGGTAAAAAATGGCCACATTGGCTTCAGTTAGAAACTATGAAACCAAAAGGTTGCCATGAATACTGTGGAAAGCTTGTATGTGTGTTGACTAGCTTCTCTGCATGTTTGTAATTTCGGCAACAAGTGCTCCTTATCTGTCGTTCTGGTAGCACTTATCATCTTTATTTGGAAAACCTTTAGTAAAGGGGCAATCGATATGCGAAAAATAATAATCCTGCCAGACTCCAGTTCACCGTGAAAGGTTCAGCATCCGCTACCGTTGCGAGAACATCAGTTTTGGCCAGCTATCATTCCCATAAACTTTGAAATCGTTCTTATATGCAAGACTGGACTACCACTGCAGCTGGAAAGCGTGCGAGGACACTCTCGCAGATTCCAAAGGAATGGCTCCATTCGAGCATAACTCAAGACATGGCAGAGAAGGGCGCGAATAATGCGTGCGAATATCTCGATAGCATACTTCCTGTGAACGAAGTGGGCATCACCTCTCTTGATGCCACCGCACTGGCTGAAAAAATTAAGGCGAGACAATTGACAAGCTTTCAAGTATGCTATGCTTTTTGTCACAGGGCTGCACTTGCACATCAATTGCTCAATTGCTGCATCGAGATTTTTTTCGATGAAGCACTTGAAAGAGCTAAACAGTTAGACGCCTACTACTCTACAACGGGCAAGCTGAAGGGCCCATTACATGGGGTTCCATTCTCGCTCAAAGATCAGGTCAATTTGCCAGGTGTGGAGACAACAATTGGATACGTGTCCAGGGTAGGCCAGAAGGCTGAAAAAATGTCACTACTAGCTGAAATCTTGCAGGCGCAAGGGGCCGTTTTTTTCGTGAAGACCACCGTTCCAACTGCTATGCTTGCATCAGAGACAGTTTCGACTTTACACGGACGAACTCTGAACGCTATCGACATCAATTTCTCCAGTGGAGGAAGCTCTGGCGGGGAAGGTTCTTTGATTGCTGCAAAAGGATCTCCTTTAGGGGTTGGTACCGATATCGGTGGTAGCATTCGCATTCCAGCAGCTTTCCAAGGCTTGTACGGACTAAGACCTTCACACGGAAGAATTCCGTATATGGATGTAACAAATTCTTACGAGGGACAGGAATTAATCTCGTCAGTCATCGGTCCCATCAGCTCTTCTCTCAGAGACCTGGAGCTTTTCACAAAACTGATTGTAACCAGTAACAGCTGGAAGTGTGATCCTGACATTGTTAATATTCCCTGGAGGAGTCATGACGAGTTAAAGACACAAAAGCTGAGACTCGGAATAATGACCTGGGACGGAATGGTGATGCCACATCCACCAGTTTTACGCGCTCTTGAAGAGACTCGTAAAGCATTGGCACACGGCGGCCACGAGCTAATCGAATGGTCTTTTCCATATAGTGCGGAGCTTGTCGACGTGGCCGAACAAGTCTATGGCGCGGACTTCTACAATGAAGTCGAAGAAATTCTGAACGAAACCCAGGAGCCTGTATCTGACTACATGCAGATTGCCCGGAACAACATCTTGACGAAAGGCGGATTGGGAAAACCGTTGTCCGTGCATCAATGGTGGGAGGTAGCTCTAAAAATCCGCCGGTTAAAGCAGCAATATTTAGAATGCTGGAGGAACACGGCAAACCGGACATCAGACAGTAGGCCCATCGATGCGATCATCTGTCCCGTGTGGCCTTCTGCAGGGTTTTTGGACAAGGAGGTAGAATATGGATGTGAAAACTACACGGTCCCTTTCAACGTTCTAGACTATTCTTGTATTGTGCTACCGGTGACAAAGGTGGACGAAAAAAAGGACGTGCCGAATGAAGCTCACGTAGCCACGAACGCGGAAGACAAGAAGATGCGATCATACTATGAACCCAAAAAGTTTTCGAAAATGCCCGTATGTCTTCAAGTGGTGTGTCCGCGTTTGGAGGAAGAAAAAGCATTGGCCATTGCGTCCGTGGTAGAAAGCTGTCACTCTAAGATGTTTGACGTGCCAGTATGAATGCTGCCATAGCGGGCATTATTACCAGATAAATAGCTGTGTGTTGCATGGCATCCACCCTTTAGACTGTATAGGACAAGGACTATGGTACTTTATTGTACCGTAATACATGGGTACAATTCCGATACTGGTGGCACATTAACACACGAGACGGGAGAGCACATAGAGCGTGAAACATTTATGTGAGAGGTAGCAGGTTATATTTCGAAATTAAAGTTTTGGTGTCTTGACGCAACATTTAGTTAGATGATCTAAGATTATCGCCATTTTTAACTTTTCGAAAAGCACCGCTGAAAATGGAAACTCGTTTAAGGTTCTTAATTCGTAGCATGTTCACCAATGAGGAAGAACGCAGCTCCTCACATTTCAAGCCTACACCCGAGCATGTTTTAACGCTTTGACTAAAAGCAGCATCGAAACACTTGACACGTGATACGAAGTTTATATAACGATTCATCTATACTTTTATACCCACAAGAGGTGCCAGATGGTTCAACGACCTTTCTAAAACCCGTAATGCTCGGAGGATTTTTACCTCTTAAGCTCTGAGACGATAAAATGGCCAGTTGAAGCATTTTAGACTTTGTTTGCCTACAGCCCAATTCCAAACAATGACACTCCATCTTCGCAGAGAACACTTTATCACAATTGAACCATGCATTAATATCGGCATAGGACCTCCAATGTGACGAGAGAAGTCAAAAAATTCAAGATTACCATGGCCAGTCAAGAAGCAATTTCTATCGCTCACCGCTGTGTGTTTTTTTACAATGCCAGCGAAGCTACAATCTTAATTATTCTGACATTCGCGGAGAACAACGCACTACAATTACATGGCATATGACTATGCCCGGCTCATCGATCCCTACCAGCCACATTGTATTTTTAATAACGATATTCGTTGTTCTTACAAGAGTCGTGTGTCCGCTGCCAAGTGTAGCCAGCCACCCTTTGCTCTACCCAATTGTCCACTCGATAAGCGAGTAAAAAAATCCTACGACTGAACGAATCAGCCCAAGCCAAAAACGAATTCCCGCGTACAACTTAAACGGTTGTGCTTGTTGGACGGCTGCTACGATATTTCGATATATCGGAGTGAGCAAAGCCACAATCGCACCAACCTTCTCTTCTTAGGCTTCGCGCACGGCTTCGCTCATTTCCCATATTGCAAAATACATCAACTGAAAAATTGAAATTTAACGGCATTTCCAGCGTAAGGCTTCCTATAGGTTTTTTCAAAAAGTTGAGCACAATCCTGGCCGGCTCATGTTCCGAGATATTACTGAGCACTCCATGTCTCGATTTTTACGTATACGACGGTTCAATTCAATCGTTGTGATCTTAGTTGATGATGTTGTTGAAAAGGCACTATAAAGCCGAAAAAGTAAAAATGTATTGCCTAATGGTGTGATGAGATCGGTCAAGACGACTCAAGTGAATCGTAAGAAACATCTCGAGGAAAATCATCGTCCTGAAAGAATATATTACAGCTCTGTAGCTTAGACTTATTGTTGTTCGAATTTTTGAATTGTCCGAACCTACAACTAGCCATGCTTTCCGAGCAGACACGCAACATCGTAAAGGCCACAGTGCCGGTCCTCGAGCAACATGGTACTACTATAACCTCAGTTTTTTATAAAAACATGCTCAATGATCACAAAGAACTCCTCAACACCTTCAATAAAACTAATCAGTCCAGGGGCTTGCAGCCCACTGCTTTGGCCATGACGGTGCTAGCAGCCGCTAAAAACATTGACAATTTAGAGGTGCTCGTGCCACACGTCGTACAGATCGGCCACAAGCATCGTGCATTGCAGGTGCTGCCAGAGCACTATCCTATAGTTGGTGAGTACTTATTGAAAGCAATTAAGGAGGTTCTCGGAGATGCTGCCACAGACGACATCATAAACGCTTGGGCAGATGCATATGGCGCCATTGCTCAGGTATTTATCGATGTCGAGGCTGGCCTGTACAAAAACGCCGCCTGGAGTGGCTGGAAATCATTCGAGGTTGTGAAACGTGAGAGTGTGGCAGATGAAATCGTGGAGTTCACTGTCGTGCCTTCCAAAGAATCCGGAATTGATCTTTCCACTCGTCTCTTTGTTCCTGGACAGTATGTGACAGTGAAAACGCACCCCACAAATGACAACAATCAATACGACGCCCTTCGTCATTACTCTATCTGCTCCTCTTCTGCGACTGACGGCCTCAAATTCGCTGTCAAACGCGAGCACGATGCGGAACATTCCGGCTTAGTCTCCACTTTTCTCCATGACAGCGTTGAAGCAGGGGACAGTATCTATTTGAGTGCTCCTGCAGGTGATTTCGCGCTTGACAACGATCTCAAAAAGCAGACTGAGGTGCCAGTTGTTTTCTTAAGCGCAGGTGTCGGTGCCACACCTTTAGTGTCGATGCTTGAGGAACAAGTAGAGGTGAACCCAGAAAGACCTATTTTTTGGATCCAGTCAGCTTACAACCGGGAAAGACAGCCCTTTGCTTCCCGCGTCGAGAAAGTGCTTGAAAAATGCAGCAATGCTACAATTGAATCAGTGCACACACAAACTATGCCCCGGATAGATTCGAAATACCTCTTGGAAAAACTCCCAAAGCACTCAGACATCTACGTTTGCGGTTCTTTTGAGTTCATGTCAACTATCATTGACACACTTAAGGCCCTCGACCACAGCGATGACAGGGTCCACTACGAACCTTTTGGTCCTAAGATGGCCACCGGTGCCTGATGTGGTATAAAAACAGATTATGCGACGTAGTTTTCGAACTTTATGTTATACGTTTGCGGCGCGTTGGACGTCTGTGAGACACAAATATCTGACCGCCAACCAGGTATGAGAGGTCGCTCAAAATTATTTATCTTGTTTAAAACAATTGAAAAGTCATATCTTCTTCATAAGGCATTCAGCTAGACGTTGGCAATAAGTCTGCTTTCTTCAATTTGGACTGAGGGAATGCATGGTGTGCGTTTAGAATCGTGCTGCTACTGAATAATGAGAAGATGTGACGCACAGTTCATTCGCGTTTCTAAAGAATCGGAGCGACTGTAACACACAAGTTTCATTGAGATGTTCAAGTTTAAATGCCAATAGTTGGGCGCTGTCATGCGTTACTTAGTGGCTGCCTTATGTTTTTACTGGCGAGCGATCAATCGCAGAACCCACGTTCCGGCATTACCGAATGGAACTGCTCATCTTTCAATACAACCAAAATAAGAGCACATTCCTTGCCATACATATCAAACTGTTCAAGCGTAGAGAGCCGATTTATGAGAAAGCAGCTAAACTTCCAGAAGAATTATCCTTGCATACATCGACCGTATTAGCCAAGTAAAGTGTATACTTTTTGTTTCATTGAGATGAAGCTAAACTACCACTATCACTATATGTGTCGAGAGCTGAAGATGGAAAAGAAAGAAAGTGACAATTCACAATTATGAGACTGTAAAGACACTGCAAGACGTGGATTCATAAGTACTTCTCAAGACACCTTGAAAGACTTATTCGTGTTTTCTCAACTTCGAATAACGCTCAGCTCTCCCATCAGTGATTGGGTCGTCACGCTTTATGTACTCATCATCTCCCAGTTTCTGTCCATAGTCCTCGGTCAACAGCGGATCTCTCAGAAAGAAAGTTAATAAAAACTTTGGTGCGACAAAAATTAGTCCCACCAAGACTTCGTATCTCTGGACGTGTCTGTAAGCTTCGATCATCGCATCTCTTGCGGGAGAGCCCCATTCATGCTCGAGCATGAAGCTTAGCGGCATATTATACGCCTCTAAAGCCAGGGCAGGATCACCCAAAACCTTGATCAACCTGGGGTATAAACTCTGGGTCCAAATTGCACCAGAAACCGCTGCACCAACTGCATCACCTATTCTGAAGATTGTAAGGCCAAAAGCAGTGACTGTGGCCATGTTTTCATGCGATGTCACAGGTTGCATCGAAATGTTTATAGGATAGTTGAAGAAACAGCTCGTTATGCCTCAAACTACCATAGCTCCAATCACGCCTTTACCAGTGTCACTACCACCACGGAAATGATAAAATAGAGCCATTGTAACAAAGTAAAGTGAGCAGCCGAAAACAGCAAATGGTTTCAGTCTTGAGAATCTCGCGACAAAAATTCCGATAATTGGTGAAAATACAGCGGCAACAAAACTGTAGAGACTTGATATTCTTTTTGCTGACAGAGACGTTTCATTTTCAGCAACCAACAAAATCGTGTACAGATAAGCGGCCGCCATCATGTAACTGAAACAGATCAAAAAAGTGATCAGTACTGGTGCCCAGATGCCGCGATCTTTCAACATCTTGAATGGAGCCAAAGGCACCAAAGCCAGCTTGCTTTCCCAATAAATGAAAATCGGGACAAGCACTGAACCGATCAACAGTGGCGCAATAATCCTGCCACTTCTCCAATGCGTTGATACATCCCCAGCAATCGTGAGTGGGATAAGAATACAACCGCTAGAAACGCTGAACAGCAGCACGCCCAAGACGTCTAGCTTCCAGAAAAGCTGTTTTAGCGTTTGCACTAGTCAATGGGTTTGAAAGTATGTTCTCTCCTCGCTCAGGCTCGCCCATTCAACATTGTTTCTGAGCTTCCACCTCATATGAAGAAGACAACCTATTATTGGCAGACAAGTGGCGGGGAAGATAAAAGCCCACATCGCAATACCCCAGGACCAGTTCTTTTCCGGATCCGCCACATGGACGACGTTACCGGAAATCCATACAGTGACTAGTGCTGGCAAAGCAGGGACGAAGTTGAATAGCAGTCTCCATTTCAATGACGAGCAGTCAGACAGCATTAATGTCACCTGGAACATGAAACCGACAAGACCAACATAGTAGAAGATAGCACCTGCGGCGTTTCTTTGGACATCGTAAGCTTGAGACTGGATGATGGTACCAACAACATAAAAGATTATAGCCACGATGAACATTGACAATCTGCCAAAAACGTCTGACAACCCTGCAAAAAAAATCTGAGCAACGGCGGATATCGTCAGACTTACAACGCTCACCGTTGACAAAAGAGAATGCGTTTGATAGTAGTTCATTGCATAAGTCATGTAAATGTTCCTGATGATGCTATCGAGCCCGTAAGAAAAAGCGCAAATAAAGGCAGAAAACAAGAGCACAGATTTCAAATACCAATTGTCATATTGGTTCGCCATGAGCTCAGCCTTACGGATTATTATTCTTTTGGTGACTTGAAGCTTATCGATCGGTTCATGTTCAGTAGTATGATCATTGCTGACCTCTTTTTCGGTATCAAGTACAGACGTTTTCCCATAGCATTCGCCAGGATGGCTGCCCAGCCTCAAAGAGGTCTTCTCGCGTTCATATTCACACACTATTTACCTGACAGACTCAAAATGATCTTTTCTGGAGAGATTTTTCTAGCTGACATGAATGAAGCATTTCATTTCACCTCTACTTTATAGCAGAAATAGATGTCAGGGCTCATTTTCCTCGAAGAGCATGAGGGACTCTTGTACCGGTACTCCTTTACCATGAAATGGGTGCAACGATATGCAGACCCGCATTACATGCTTTTTCTGTTTTGAATGCGTGGACCCTGATCAGCAGGGCAAATAACAGGGCCATGGCGGGTAGACATGATGCATCAGGTAGTCAACGATGCTTATGAGAAACGGGGTGCAAATCTCGATGGACAAACATTCAGGGTCCATCTAGGCAAAAACGCCTCAAACGGGCTGATGCATCGATAACTTACAACCGTCTTTTAAGTTATGCTTTCCATTCAAGAGCGCAGGTCAGTAGATGGTGGGCGATAAGCTGTTTTTTATGCAGATCAATTATCCAATTGGGTTTATATAGTGCTAATAAGCGTTTCGTGTTAAATGACAATTATTGCGTTGAAGATCGACGGAGTTTAGTAGGAAGTCTATTCTTGTAACAAGTCACGGGTTTGGTCGAGGAGAAGGTGGAAAATAAGACGCGTGAATAAGAATTAGATTAGAAAGTGAACATAAGATCGGACGCGTAAACAAAGAACCAAGTAAACACTTGATGTAGAAAACGCTAACTTAAGCATAAATTCAAGGTTTTTAGCTATAGGAGCTTTTTTGGACTAACTGACACGACACCTTGAGCTACACGAAGCGAACAGGGTCTTGTAGCTAGAATTTCAAACCGATACAATCCGAGCTTTCAATGAAATAGAGCATTTGTTCGTTGCCTTTTCAGCGGCCCCGCAAGTCCATTGTAACAGATCCCAGTATGCGCAGAGGAAAATAAAGTCTCCGATAAAGAGCCCAGAGAGAAATAAAAGTGTAACATGTTGCTGTTCTTGGGCCCGGAAAAGAGCTCTATCTGACCATTGCCAAATGTAACAGCAGTGCCAGCTTTCGGCATCAGAGGGCTTCTGCTGGGTTTCATAAGCAAACCGGGTTTTGTAAGCCCAATCCGATGCTGTAGTCAAGGCATCGAAATTAAAGTTTGATATCTGGGCCGTACTCACTTGACGCTTTCTAATGCTCAATTTGTGTGATCGTTCTGATCGATACTGTTTCAATTACCGAGGTGGTTGCCAACAAACGTGGGCTATAAACCTCTGCAATGCCCAAAACCATGACATTCATTACCTGTTAGTTGTTTTATAGTGAAATGCAGGGCCGTGCTGCGTGGCTTTCGCAACGCTATTTGGCAATTGACTAAACACTTTCAAGGTCTAACATATCAGTCCGTCAAAGAAGAGCTGTTGACCTTTTGATAGTGATGAAGTTGGCAGTTTTCGAACAGAATGGCACGAGCATCCAAATTCTCATCGGCTGAGACTTTCCTAAAGCCGCCTTCGCGGTAACGACCTGATACAACAAAATTATACTCAGCCAATACCAAGAGCGTCGAGTTTATGATCTTACTTCATGCTAATATACTCAATATATAAAGTAAGGATGTCTAACATCGTCATATTGAGAAGCATCATTCTATCACCTCTAGGTTTGTGTTCATTTTCATCAATAGATCAAGAATTCTTATGCCATGTTGGAATTGTTCACGCTTACGCCCCTACGTCTCACATTAGCTTAGCTCTTCGAGTTTGCTGACACTCATACAATGTGTGTTTGAGGTAGCGCCAAATTTAGGTTCTTTCACTACTGTGCCTTTTCATAGCACTTCTTATGGCCCAAGCATTCTGCTTTCACCTGTTCCTGCAGTCAGCATGCTGTAGTGAAATCAAAGAGGCATAGGCAGCGGCTTCTTTAAGGCTGCGTAAGTTTTCATTATCAGCTTATCTTCTTCTCACTATCATTAGGTGAGGTGAAGTGGCCCCATACATCGATTCTTGTTCTACTGGTCCAAAATGGCTCGTGTCCTTGACCACAAATCCTAAAGTTATTAGCGCGTGTCTTCTGGCAGTCAGCAGTTTTATGATGGCTCGTGCAATATTTGAATCACCACGCTGAGAAGATTCAACCACCGCTAGGTCCTCAAAAAAGATCGCCAGACTCGCATTCAAAATGCCAAGGTTCCGCTATTAGAATCTTGCGAGACTCGAAAATTCGATGTAAGCGGTCCAATATATGGCGTGCATAAAATGTGGTTACTGTAAAGAGCAAGTCAAGTTTCGAGAACGTTTATTCACCAAAAAAAAGTCTCTTCGTATAATGTACTACTCAAAGCACTTGTCATAGCCCGTAAATACGTAGCGGTATCTGACATCACCATCAAGCATTTTTTGCCAGACCTCAGCCACGTTCTTCTCGTTTATATCAACCAATTCAACCCACGGTTTGATTTTTTTTTCAGCGGCAAGCTGTAGCATATATTCGATGTCTTTAGGGGACCCAGTAACAGAGCCACCGACATGGTAATCGTTGAGCAGCATGGTAAATGGTGTCAATGTCAGTTTGTCTTGGATTGGAGGAGCGGTGATGAAAATGAGTCTCCCACCAGCAATTAAGAGGGACAAAAGATCTTCAATGTTGCTTTGCGAAAACGAGGATGTCGTCATTACCAAAAGGTCCAGAGTCTCAGCGTGCTCTTTCATCAAATTTTCGTCAGCGGTCGCAACATAATGGTCAGCGCCTAATTTTCCAGCGTCTTCCTCTTTGCGATGCGATCTTGAAATAGCGGTAACTTCTGCACCCAGAGCTTTCGCAAACAAAATCGACATATGTCCAATTCCACCAATTCCAACAATCCCAACCTTTGTTCCTTTTTTGACCCCGCCTGTCAATAACGGCTTGAAACCTGTAATCCCGCCGCAAAGCATAGGTGCAGCTACAGCAGAGTCCAGCCCCTCCGGAATCTTGAAGACAAACCCGGAGTTGGCTCTGATGTGGGACGCATAGCCACCCTGCGTTTCGAAATCGTTTTTATGATTCACGCATGTGTAAGTGAGAACAGTCTTTTTACAATTTTCTTGGCGTCCTCTAGAACAGCGGATGCAGTCACCGCAAGAATCAATCTGGGCACCAACTCCGACTCTATCATTCAATTTAAACCTTTCTCTGTCAACTCCTTCTCCCAAAGCAGTTATTCTGCCGATAATTTCGTGTCCTACGGCGAAGGGCTTGTACATACGACCCCAGTTGCCAGATACAGCATGGATATCAGACCCGCAAACGCCACAAAAATCAATTTTCAACTCAATATCCTCAGGTCCCAGCAATGGGGGGTTATAGTAGAATCTTTCGGGGTCTCTCCATTTATCGAAGTCAACAACACCAATAGCCTCGTATTTCACTTTTGTATCCATTTTGAACTCTTGTTTTTCCAAAACTAGTTTGTCACTAGGATCTATAAGGAAGGTGTTGAAAAGTTGCCATGGCACATCAGGTCTGTTGGTCTGCCCTTAACTTATACTTTCGTGGAGATCTTGCAGCTTACTAATTCACTTCAAACCTTTTAGCAGACGTATTGGTGGACACAATAGGTCGAAGACTCGGTATGAAGCTAAAATCTTTTGAAAAGCGAAGTCAAACAATCCTCGGCCGAGGGCTTCTGATGTAAAGCATGTGATAAACGTAGATCGTCCAACGTTGCCAAAATATCACTTCAAATTGGTGGATTACCCCACACACACCTTATTATTCACTCGTGGGCGACTTCTCTTACTAGCATATTGGAGAGTTCAAAAGGTCTGTATTTCATGGCGAATTTCTGAGCAGAAAAATAGAGCTGAAATAGAGCTGGTGTTTAAACTTCATGCCTCAAATACTTGAACATGAGTGGGGTACCCGTCAGTACCTAAAACATTAAGACTGGTTGTGAGTTTGAGTTACGCGAGTTTTATGGAAAGGGAGAATCGATATTTTGATATTTATCTTATTACTTCCTACTCTTGCCAAAATTCCTAAACCAACATCACGTGCTCTCGAACGAAAGATAAATAGCGGGGGTGTTTTCCACCAACAGAAGCTATACAAACTAGCGCTCATTATACAAGTAACACCTAAAATGGTCGAAGCTGTCTCTTCTGTTCAATTTCTAAAGCCACGAAAGAAAATCTTGAACGGCAATTCGAGATCGATGGAATGAAATAACCCTATGAACGATTTCGAAAAAGGAGTTTGGAGTTCATGAAGCAGCTGATGCAATGTTCATTCTTTCGGAAAGCAAAGAATTGGGGTCCTGGATGGCAATATGATGCCAACTCTCTGTTAAAAAAGTTCATCAATCGGCTCTAGTGGATATTAGCGCAAAGAAGAGAAAGAGGAATAAATATCACTTACCGCGCTCAACATCTCAATAGACATGGCTCGTTTCTCGTCAAATTTCTTCTCCTTTCCACATTAACAGACAGTGCTTTTTGTGAGTGCTTTCAATAGAAAAATTGGTATTAAAAAAGAACCTCCGTTCATATCGAGAAGAGCTTTGACGCATTTAGCAGCTGGTCGATATGGATGCTCAACATTAAAATTCCGTCAATCAGCTCAATTGAACTTTCATCAACACCTTCGATCGATGGCCACTTCTCATCAATACAGATTCTGAACAGCTTTCACTCACCAACAGAGTAGAATTATCAAAAAAAAAGAATCGTGCCATTGGTCAGTTTCCAGTGCCTTTATACCACTCATGAAGGTGACACGAGAGAAAATTGTACTGACCCCTTCATCGAGCTCCTTGTTTTGATTCCAATGGTATTCCGCACTAACGAATACTGGGGAAGAAGACCATATCACAAAGCTTCAGACGGAAATAATGGGTTTTGATGAGGATGGAGGAAAATGCTCATTTCCAATCAAAAGTGCTGCTTTCTAGTTTCTCCCAAAGATTTGGTGTTCTTTTCTTCCCTTTTGTTGGAGTGTACTGGAAGTTTATATAACGCTGGAGGTACAGAATAAGACTGAGAAGAGATCCTGCAGTGTGTCTTCGTCAAGTAAACAACCTAAATGGCAAGCTTTAAACTGATGCAAATAAATGGCTTTTACGCAAAAGCAGAAAATCGTTATCTTTACTGTGGTTTTTTAGATGAAGTATACTGACTGTGCCACTATTAATCGAGTAAAACATTGCTGATCTGTCAGCATATTATAGGCGTTGGCACAAGTCTGGCCAATGGGATACCAAACAGAGCACAAGTCGAACGTATAAGAGAACTGGTTGCTGTATTCTTTTCCATTTCAGAGACAACTGATGAGTCTAAATGGAGTAATTACACAATCGAATGTATCTCAAAAACCTTTATTTTGTTGGGTTAATCTTTGTCGAGCAAAACTACACACGCAACTTATCGGCTGTCTGCTTTCCTACCATTTTATATTTACGCTCGGAACGTAGCCCAAAAACTACAATTCAATTTTCCGTTTCGACACAAAAATACTGCAAAGGAAGGCGATGGCTGACGATCCCAAAGCCATCCAGAAGGCATTTTTGATAGAGTCGCTCAACATATACCCCATCTCAGAACGCGCCCCGTCAAAATGATTCATTCGATAAGACGCGATATTGTCGACTGTGTTATAATCGTCAAGCCTGAGATTACTGTGCCTCATTTTATTGTGCACAGAGGTTGAGAAAACCATGGTTGAGAGGATGCTACCAAGCGTGGTCCCCAGAGACTTCAGTAGTGCATTCACAGAGGTGGTTTCTAGCATATCCGCCTCATAGGTGACATTGGTTTTATCAAGCTGAACATGACATGCAATTAGTGCAGATGGCAGCACGAATCCTAGAGCAACTCCAGGAAGAATCAGTACGCCAATTTGAGTGTGCTTACTAGATGTGTTGTCGAGCATCATCATAAGTCCACCTCCCAAAACACCCATTGCGCTACCAAATAGTAGGGGAGGCTTGATTTGACCTGCCTTTTTTACAAGGATTCCACTAACAATGGAAAACACAACGGTAGAGATTAAAATAGGAATGAGGTGAAGTCCAGCTTTCCAAGCAGAAAATCCGCAAACGAGTTGAAAAAACTGAACGCTGTAAATCATTTGCACGTTGTATGCGATTGTAGAGAAGAATCCAGTAAAATTAGCAAACAAAATAGATTTCTGTGACATTAATCGCCAGCTCAAAAGAGGTCTGAACTCGCTTCGAGTCTTCATTCGCTCAAAAACTTGGAAGTCATAGACCAAAGAAAGAACAATCAGCAAAAATCCTACAATAATGAAAGAAATAACAATGCCAGACTTCCAAGGATGAGTTTGACCCCCAAAAGTTAACGCCAACAGGAAAAGTAGCCAGCCGGCAGTAAAAAGGGCAAAAGATATGATGTCAAAGCCAAATAATATATGCTGCAAAAGTTTGCCGGGGGATGTTCTGTTGAGTCGAAAGCCCAAAAACTTTTTGATGGCCTTACCACTTTTCTTCCGTAAGTTGACGCCTTCCGGATTGTAAAAGCACATGAAAGTTGCAATTGCCAATCCACCGATGGGAAGGTTGATGTAGAAGCACCATCTCCAGGTTACATGTGTGGTGAAAGCTCCACCTAAGAAGGGCCCCGCAATGGATGCGACAGCGAAAGTACAGTTAAGTAATGACAGTACTAAAGGACGAGATTTTTCGCTAACAAGTTGACATCCTATAACAAGACTCAGTGTTTGCAGCCCGCTTCCACCAACTCCTGCTACTACCCGGCCAGCGATTAACATGTTCATTGAGCTCGCCAGAGCTGATATCAAGGAGCCCGCTTCAAAAAGTAATATGCAGCTCACCACACTTATCCTGGGCCCTAATGTGGCGGATAACCTACCCCATAATAAGCTAAATAATGCATTAGGCAAAGAATAGCCCGTCACAATCCAGCCGCTCTTGGTATAGTCTCCAAAAGAATTGCAGACAGTGTCAATAATCGTCCCAACAATGAGAACATCCAATGCTGTTACAAACATCGACAGTCCCAAGGAAAACAGACTCAAAAAAAGTTTGGTTCTATCACTTTTCCGCTCTTCAGATGAAGTGCATGTTTTTTGTTTGATATTCAAATCAACAATGTCGCTAGAAGCCTTTCTTTCCAGGTCCGAATGTGAACCATTCCCAATCTCGGACATTTTTAGCCTTCACTGCTAGTCAATCGGTTGGCGATTTAACAATGTTGAGCTCACTTTTATATGCTCAGATGATTCTTGTTTGGAGTTCGTATGCCAAGGGTCGCGTTTAGGTGCCTTCAAAAAAGATGTACGCAAAGGGACTGTACACCTGCGTGGTCCCCGTAATAGCGGGAAATGCAGAGGACAGTACAAGCGACGACTGGACTATAAGGAACATAAGCGCACTGAAAAAATTCTACTAGCGGTTGTTTGAATCCTTATTGATAGAAGCCATCTCTTTCATCTGTTGAGCTTATGATGTTCTTCCGAAAGGTGTCTGTCCGTTGAGGGCTGGAGGCCAATGGCCTTCGAGCTCGGAGTTTTGGGTCTTCTCTCGAAATTACAGAATATTATTATTAGGTCAGCAATATCATGCAGTAACGATGCCAGGGTGCATTTCCATTTACGAAAAACCAAAGATCCAATTGCACCCTCATTCCATAAAATAGACCGATGTTTTGACCAACGGCTCGAACTAAGTCAGGGTCAAATCTGCCAAACCAACTCCGGAGAGTACGCACTCGATTGCAGCAACTGGTGGATGCAATCTCAATATAACGAACGATTTGATGCATACGCAAAAGTGGTCTGTAGATTTACGAATCTTGTGACTCTAAGAACTTCAAAGAACTGTGTGGCCCAGTGAGTTAGTGGAGCTGTCGAATCCAATGGTACCATTTCAAAGATTGTTTTGCTGGGGCGCCTATGAAAAATAGAGAGCTGTTGGCTTTCAGCAATTAAAAGAGTGACGCTACTCTACTGAAACGCACTTGAAAGCTCCAGCAACGAGTGGTATAGAGCATTGTTTTCTAGTGTTGAAAAACCTGTTGAGTCAATCTGTCTTCTCCTTGATTCAGCAATACATTGTGAATGTCTCGCGCGTCTTGAGATTTATTATACTACTATCACTATTTACGCAAGTGTGAGAGGATTCAAGTGACACAGCCCAGCTCTGTAAAGTAACTAACTTGTGTCACACTTGGTAATTTGGCAGAATTTAAGCTGTAAGCTTGCGGTAATGCTTTCAAAGCTTTCTTTCCAAATGGAAGAATCGGCCACATCATTTTTGGCGCTATATGGACTCAAGCAATACCCAAACCGCTTCGAGCTTGATTAAATGAACTGGATCTTGCAAGCTCCGCATGTTACCATGTGGCTGGCTGATTGTGAGGCACATTTCAAAAAGAAGCGATGATAAACGCATACAGGGCTGTACAAAACAACATGATGCTCATAGAGATGGCCCTAACTGGTTTATTTCGAATTGTCGGTTTTTCCGTTGGTAACGGACCAATTTCGGAAGATAATGATATCTGTACAGACTCAAATAATCCAGGTCCGTTCGTTTTGCAATTACTCAAAAGAACGTCGTTTTTGAGACAACGAATAACGAATCAAGATTTAATAATTCGAGAGCCGTGATGATACCATTCTATGTTGCGCTGAAGTCTGATTGTCGATACGTGATCTAGCCAAGATGTATACATAAACCACAGTATTGAAATAAACTCATCATGCGTGATCTAGCCAAGATGTACACACAAATCACAGTATTGAAGGAAACTCACCATGAATGATAGTTCATGAAGCAGACCTTCGCCTCCATTTGTGCAGGTTCCTAAAACTCATCCTGTCAAATCCTTTACTTAGAACTGGCGTCAGCTTCAAGTTCAAGTGATTTTAACCTCGTGATAGGTTAAGCTTTTTTTGTTGACAGCATCTGATCTCAAGAAACTATTGTCACGTTACCAATATTATTACGCTGGAGGGTGTGATTATTCGTTTAGTGCAATGCTGCATCTGAGCATTGAATATTTGATCAAAATATTCTTAAGATTACCTTCATGATTATGTTCATTGCGCTTTTATATATAAAAGTCAACTTCCACCGGCGAAAAACTTCTAAACCGTTCTAAGCTAATAATCCGCCATTAACTGTCACGATGACTATCAAACGCATTCTAATACTTGTTGGTGATTTTGTCGAGGACTATGAAATTATGGTTCCATTCCAGATGCTCTGCATGGTTGGTCACAAGGTGGATGTGGCCTCTCCAGGTAAAAAAGCCGGCGATAAAGTAGCCACTGCCATTCATGACTTTGAGGGACACCAAACTTACACCGAGAAGCCCGGACATAATTTTTCGCTGAATTCCACATATTCCGATGTCAAGGTCGAAGATTACGACGCTTTAGTGATACCGGGAGGACGTGCGCCAGAGCACCTGGCCACCGATGAAAGTGTTCTCGATCTAGTCCGCGCTTTTGCAAAGGGAGATAAACCGATTGCTGCCGTTTGTCACGGCCCTCAGCTTCTTGCGGCGGCCGGTGTCATCAATGGAAGAAAGGTGTCCGCTTACCCAGCCTGTCGTGCGGAGATGTTGTTGGCTGGCGCTGAGTTTCAAGCCATCAAAATTGACGGTGCTGTGACAGATGGAAAACTGGTGACGGCACCAGCTTGGCCAGCTCATCCTGCTTGGATTGGTCAGTTCCTCGCTGTTTTGGGTTCCAAAATCGAAGCATAATGTGCAACCAGAACACTACTGTTGGCAGGTTATACTCGAGTAAACCAGAAAAAACCCGCTTATCATATACTTGACCTCATTGTTATATATGAATAACACACCGGACCTTCGCCACTTTGATAGCGTGGTCAAGAGTAAGCGCTGGCGATGCTGGGCGTCAGGCTCGGTCTTAAGTAATATGACCAATACGGATGACTACCGAATTTTGATCAAAATGCGTGAAATAAATCAGCGACGAGGTCAACTGAGTTCGCAAGCTACAAGCAAATGGAAAAAGTGTAATTAGAATCAGTGGACCGTCGGGGTGACCGGGATCAAGCATATCCACTTCAATTTGAAGATCCGACGGTCAACTCGTTCTTTGATGACGACGTGCAAGCCAACTAAACAGAAGTCAGAGGTCATGATGGGAACAGATTATCGGAAACTTCCAAAAGCTCCAGTTGTCGAACAAATTTCACTGCTATGGAGCATATAGTGCTCTTTTTACACTTCTCCCATTCAGCGATTGTAAATGAGAAGCTAACTGGAATATAAATCCCCTACTTGCACGAACTGGGCTGCCACTAACTAAAAATGAGGTGATAAACATATTTTCTTCAAATCATGGACCCGATTACACATTCACATTAGGTCAACGCAATTTAGAGCTTTGATATTGGTCGATTTAACGCCTTCGAAAGCCCGGAAACCTATTTCATCGGCCAGCGCCTGTTTAAATCTCTGAAAATGGATCGAGCTGTATAAATTAATGACTTGTCGATCCATGATGCCGAGCTTGCTAGGCGTGTACTTTAAATCTTTACAAGTTCGATGTCCCGTTTAACGCACTTGATTACCAGGAGCTCATATTTGCATTATTAACATTTATGTTGTATGATTGTTTGAGATGTTGAGAGCAATGTCGCTGTCATAACCTAACGCTCGGGGCACAACGGCTACCACTAGATCCCGGTAACGATTTCAAACCTGCACACGTTGATACGTTGAGATGTACAGCCGATACCAATTCTCTACATCCTCGGCCGGAGACGGGTCGGCAATTGGCTGTGCTGTGTGTTCCGGCGCAAGGAATATCCAAGTATTTCTCCCCTTGCCTAAAACTGAATCTGGTGTCCAGCTGCCCGAGAGCTGCTCATACACGCTTGGTAGAACTGCAGGGCTCAATGATTGACAGCGCTAGAAGAGCGCACGCTTTCTTGCACCCATGAATTAATTTGTGCAACATTCAGCAAAATCAATAGGTTAGTGATAGAGAGGAGAACGAGCGAAAAAACTACAAATATTGCTAGGAATTTGTAGTCCGGCAGCTTTTGTTCTTTCTGCATCTTGTTATCTTCGTTGACCCCTAGCAATGTTCCAGTTTCTTCCTTGTATTGAACCATGGCAAGTATATATTGATATAAATTGTTTGAGGCAGCTATGTAGACCTCAATACAGTTTTCAATATTTCTAAAAATTGCCAGCTACCTATATATACTCGAAACTTGGCATACTAGATTGCCATAGGGGATGCGTCAGATCCCCTCCCCAGAATTAGCAAGCTGGCAGGCAATGTTAATAACTAAATAGTTTATTTTTATTGGTTTTTTTTGGCCTCTTACTGTAGACAACCCTGTACGGGAGTTTTCGAAATTAAATCATTATCCCCGCGAGCCCACTGCACCCCTATGACGATGTCAGCTCCTTTGAGGGCCAACAACCGTAGCAGCCGTTTTATAGACAAAATGGATAAAACAAGCTTACAATTTTGGAAAAATCACTTTTGCTGTGATCATTTTGTCGCTTGAAAGAAAAAATGCGCTGGTCTTTTTGTTTGGTTATGACATCGGCAACTTAGAGAACCTTACCGTAAGCATCAGAGTTTGAGTGAAGCCCGCCTTACATGTAAGTAGCGATTTTTGCGTAGCGTAAATATCTATTTCCCATATACTCGCTTCTCGACCGAAGGATAGACGTTACTCTAGGGGAGGTGAGAAATGAACAGGCAAACAAAACACATGAGGTTCTAAAAGTTTAGTCAACGAATTGTGTGATGTCAGCCTCAAGCCCTCACCACTTTACCCTTCTGGGTCCCGCGTTCAACTGATCTGTTGCCCAACGTCACTTGTCTACTTGTAGCAAAATTGAACGAAGTTCACGAGCGTCTTCGAAAAGAACGTCACACATTTTTGGCTGCTTGTAGGGTCTTTCCGTCTCAGTTTTAGGATGTAAAAGAAACTATAGTTGTTTGGGATAATCAATCGCTGGACGCTGTCCAGAAATCGAGCTGCTGTTTATAGAATAAAAATCTGTTGGGTTCGCTAGCAACGTCTCTTTTACCGTCATGATCATCCAATGTAAAATTGTGCGCGGGACAACGTCCATGTGCTTTATTTAAGCTGATAGGAGCTCAGATCTCGAGGGTAGAGATTGTTTTCCGATCAGCACTGCAGTTCTAAAGACTTTCAATGGCTTTTCGATGCCTGAATGAAGTCAACTCCCGCTATTTAAATCTCTTTTCTTTCACCTCAAATGCACTGGAGTGCATTGGCTGAAAATGGTTCACCTTACTATCTGTGAAATTTTTGTTTTGAGTACTGTTAGCCGCAGTACACGCATCTAGTCGAATTCCGATTCGATTTGAATAGGTGGTCCATCTAAAATTTGGCTAAATTGAAGGTAAGTTTCTCGCAAAGAACCTACTTAGAATTCATGGATTTATTACTAGGCAGCTTTTTTCTAAGATTAATTTAGCCATGTTTACTGACGAGCTCGCCAGAAGTGCCAGGTTGACGAATATGGCCAGGTTGAAACGAAATCGTGTTGTGCGTTGGTAGAGTAAGTTCTGCCCCTTAAGGGTGCAGTGATAGGCCGCTGAATAGTGGTAGATGGGGTCCTTAACAAAGACCTCAAATAACGATTTTAAGTTAGCGGCCGATTAAAATAGCAGCTTCGTGAAGCGATAATAAGCCATGAAGGGATTTTTATTTTACTGTTGCGGTGTTTGAGGTAAGGTCTTTTTCTAACTTGTGTCTCTAAAAGATCAGTGGTACGTGTCAAAACATTAAACGAACTGCTTTAAGTGATCTAGGCATATACACCAAAAACATATAGTGTCTGCTCATGAAAGCCTGAACATTTTACTTAAGTACTTTTACTCGGCGCAAATCCGTCATAAGCTGCCATTTATTTCAATGCGTAAGTAGCACGCGCGATTTAGTGGAATGGATGCTTCTTGTGATACGAAGAGGTGTTTCGACATCCACTTTTCAGTAAAAATTTCTGTATACGGTCATAATCTGGATAGCATGAGCTCATCAATTGCATTGGCAGAAAGTGTTGTAGTTTTGAGCGCACCACTGTCCGTCTTGAAAATTTTGAACGTAGTCGTATCCGGTTTCAGCTCTGTGGAATGCAGCCCAACAACAATTAGCCTGTTTAAAGTTAAGATCATGAATGCACAAACAACCTTTGCTCACTCTCATTCACACACTCCAATTATGGTCTTCAAGCATTGTATCCCATTCATGCAAAACTTCAGCGTCATTATTCCAGTATTCCCAATTTTCGGCGTCGTCCCAGTTCGCAATGGTTCCAGAGCTGTAGGATTGCAGGAAAAAACTCCCCATTAGTCTCATCGTATCCATTAAAACCATCCTTTTTATACATAGTACCGTTTGACAGAGATAGAGGATAGATTACTGCATGCATAATGTTTGTTTTTACATGAACTAGCGTCTGTAAGTTTTTGTGAGGACTCAAATGTGTGAACTGCAGCGGCCATTCGTCAAATTCTCTTTTCTGCAAGCCAGGCAAACGGCATATTGGATAAACAGTAGTAACATCGCTGATGATCTTTTGCGTTTCGTTGACACGCTTTACACTTTCAAATATGTCATTCTGGCAGATCCCAATGCTCTTGATATAGACGCCCCTGTTCAGTAATGTCGAGTAAGTGAGGCCTTTATCGTTTTCTTCAACAGGGAGCACCTTCAGGGATAGCACTTTAGCCACAGCCCGGCCAACCTTCGCTAGAGTCGAAGTTGAAATCCTGGTCTCACCGTCGTCGTAAACTGTCAAACAACGCTTCTCAAAGTTGAGCCCAAAACGTGAGTCTCCACCAGCTTAGCTGTAGTCGTACCAGAACCCACAGCACATTGTAACCCACTCCATGCCAAGTCTCTCAATCTCATCTCTGTGCGCCTTTCCAATGGGGCCTAGCATTGTGTCCTGGCCCGAAAGTTATGTTGTCAACGTCAAGGCCATATTTGCTGGGCATAACATAAGGAAAACCGGCCTTGGCTGTTGCCTGAACAAGCTTGCTATGTGTATCCCTTGGAGCTTTTGGGGCCATTGTTATGATAAGAAACTGCTGGCCCTTGAGGGCGGACACAATGGTGGCATCATTATTGTAATCAATTGGAGTAACCTGAACACCATTTGGGATCATGTTTACACCATCATTGCTGGTAAGGACTGTCAAGCTTGCATGTCGAATAGCGATGCTGTGGAAATACGACGGACGAGTTTAATGGCGGAAATAAAACGAACTCCCAATTGATTCCCCATATACTGCTCGTTGCCAAATTGAAGGCTATGCTTGAAACAGCTCTCACTAAAATTGATTCTGCTCTAAGTTTTACTTCATTGACGTGATCGAGCAAATGTGTACTAAATCATAATATTCAAATTATCGAAGAGTAATCGAGCTTCTAAAGTGCACTTTGTGGCAAACATGTATCGTTGAAGGCAGCCCATTATTCCACATATTGACACATCTTATGAAAACGACAATCAATTTGCCGATTTTCTGACGAAAAGGTTGGCAACAAATCATTTTCAAACGATTGAAAAACTCTTTTAGTGTGCTATTGACCTGCCTTGGGTGCTTATGGGCCCCTTACCAGACTTTTGCTACCCAATACTTAGCTGCAGGCATTTGCCTTGGCAAAACCGAAAATCTCGTTCGAGTTCTGGGGTATGAACAGCACAGCCGTAGTGGCATTGAAGTCAGTATCTAAAGATGCAGAAACCTCGACGAGACTGTAAACAAGACCACATCTTGCAGGCCTATTTGCCTAAGAGGTTATCAAATTTGATTGGTCATTAACAACACTTTTGGTAATTTATGTCATTGCGAGCCATGAAGAAGCGATCACATATTTGTTCACTTCACGATACTACGTACTTAGAGACGTTTTGGGCCAAGTAGGAGGCATCTGTTGGTCCCTAAGATTGAAATACTCATCTGATACATGTCAGCGACAGAACTGACAAGCTAGTTGAATTTGAAGTTGATTACTTTATAGCAGAGCACGACAAAATCGCAGGTGTATTAACAATTTTGGGCTTCATAATATTAAATGCCTATTCAACTGTCTGGACGGCGCGTATTGTGTTGTGTCCTTGATAAAAAGACATTTACGTCACTATCTACTTTCGCGTCACCTTCGAGGAGCGATCTCTACGAATGCCAAGACTACAGGAACTGTTCCACGCCCTTCTTCACCTAGAGACACGCGTGGCGTGATTTACGCCAAGAAATTATCGAAAAACGAACCCTTCATTAATAATCTGTTTATGCGCCTTCTTTTCATCAACTCCGACGTCGATGATTAATATAATTTTTAACAACATGGCGTTTCGCAGAGTGTCATCGAGAAAATGAAGGCTTCGTTTTGGCTCAGCAACACCTCTTGGCACGCTTTGGGAGGCTCAAATGGTGTGAAATGTTGATGATATTGGCTACTTCGATTAATCATGCGGGTTAAAGCGCTTCCTGTTGTTACCCGCGTACGTGACATTTCACAACCCACGACTACTGTGATCCAAGTCTTTTCCAAGGGCTTGGAAGCGATGACAAATGGATGTGAGAGTTTACCTCATTGACATCAAGATCTCAAGGTATAAAAGCAGAACGCTCATCGTGTCTGCCAACATGATCTTGTCAATAGTTGTTCCCAAAGCAAGCAAAGTTGAAACTCTCAGGTCTTCACTAAAGCTTTAAGAAAAATAAAACAACTCCATAATATACAATGCCCTCCAAATCGTACTTCGTCGCTGGCGGCAACAGAGGAATTGGTCTCGCACTAGTCAAAGAATTGAGTTCCGACACTAAGAACACCGTTATTGCCACTGCTAGACAGCCAAACTCTGCTAAGGACTTGAAAGACTGGGCTGCTAAACACGCTAATGTGCACATCGTGCAATTGGACGTCACCTCCAGTAAAAGCGCCGAGGCTGCCGCCAAGGAGACTGCCAAACTATTGCCCGACGGGCTAGACGTGCTGGTTTCAAACGCCGGGGTTCTTAAAGATCTAGGCAAGTTTTTGGACCACCCGGATGAGCTTTACATCGAGCAATTCGACGTCAACGCCGTGGGTCCAGTTAGATTGGTAAAGGCGTTCAAACCCTTGCTAGACAAGAAGGACACCAAAGAGGTTGCCGTGGTATCTTCACTAGTTGGGTCTCTCAACGTCGAGCTACCAGTGGGATTCTCTGGTTACGGGGTGTCCAAGGCCGCCACTAACTATGTTGTGAAGGGATTGATAGGCGAACTTGCTCCCGAGGGCTACAGTTTCGTGGCCATCCACCCGGGTCTTGTCGGTAGCGACATGGGAGACGACACATTTGCGCAATTGGGTGACGAAGTCGCTGGCCAACTAAAGAGCGCGTTGCCATTGCTCACCCCTGAAGAGTCTGCCAAGGCTATCAAGGAGAATGTTTTGACAGGCTTGAAAGCGAAGAACGCTGGGAAGTTCCTGAGCTACGATGGTTCCGAGCTGCCATGGTAGAAGGTGATTGGCGCTGGCTGTGGGTAGTTGTTTATAAGTCTAGAAAGCACTTAAGTTACTCATATAGATGTTCAATTTTAGTGATTACTGATGGAGGGATGGTAAATATAGTTACGCTATTAGAGCAGTGAGACGATTTTTACCGCAGTGAATAGACACTTGTTGGACTAGTAGATCGTGGCAAGGATCTTTCGTCAGATGAAAGCAGCTGATTTCCGTTTTTAAATGTTAATGCGCGATGAGCGCATATGACGATTGTATCACGTCCGTTCAGCCAAATATGTATAGAACATCAAAAACCAGCGCATCAGTGACGAGATCAAGAAGATTGTCTGTCACTTAAAGCTTGAATCACAGAGATATGTGTTGAAAGTCATTGAGTTGCTGGTAAATTAGCTACTGTTAGGATGGGTAGAACCCACTTATTTATTATCACCTGCGCCATGGTTTGGGCAGTCTATTATAACTACTAGATTGGTCGATTTAGCTGGCACGAGCTTGATCAACGGGTGCTTTGAAGAGTTAAAAAGAAAAGCACGGTCGGTCTGGTGTTTGCACCGCCTAAACACATATGTTCTTTTCAAAAGTGCTATTTTGAAACTGGCAGTATAATTTGATATCACAGATTCTGTTGTGTCAATCAAACAGCTTCCAAGCTTGATAGACACTGCCAGCTTTTAATTTACTGTTGGTAAACTTTGAAGAGCTAAAGATAGCTCGTGGTGCATTATAGTAAATGAACGGGCTCGGCATTTTCTCTTAAGACATAGCGAGACCCCATATCCGAAGACGTAGCATGCGGTAAATGCCAGAAACCTTCCTTTCATTATTGAAAGTGATTACTCCATCGATCTGGTGAAAATGTATTTATTTCCGTGTAGCAGAATAGGAAAGCTCGTGGTAAAGATGACTAAATTTGAAACTATCTTATGTCAATCTCCAGTGCTTAGGACACACAGGCATCAAAGACAAGTGGGTGCGCTCTTATAACATGCCGTTGTTAGTCCGCTTTGTACTATTGAAATTGGGGGTCTCATTATGTACTTATAATCACCGCGACCGATCTCCAAGCATGTAAATACTATCCAAGTCTCTGAAATAGCTGAAAGGAATCAGATGTGTTTGGCATAACGAGGACCAGTAAGTGCTGACACAGTTACGTTGAAATACTCATCCGCTCCTCGTCGAGCTCGATAATGTGATTGATTTCTTACTGCAGAACGCACAAAAATGATCAAGAACACCTTTTCTTCACAGTTCCAGGACCTTCGATGTTATAGACCGCGAATCATCTATTTTAACCTTAATTTTTAGTCTAGGTTACGCATGGGTATAGCATGTACAGCCCAAACACCTTGCTATATTTCAACATATCACGCTAGCTCTTTGCCCCATGACGCCATTGTTCAGAGCTAAAGAGCGATGACATAATAGGGTGCGTCATATGCCCAATGAGAATCACACAAATAGTGCATTTGAGCAGTCTTTTCGAGGAGTCTATCAGCGGTCTGTCATAAGCAAGAAACCTCTAAGATTTTTGTTTTCATAACATTCATAAGCTAAGAAACAACCACCTACTCACTACTCTTTGATGTCCTTTACATATTGTTTTATAGCTGGCGGTACCGTTGGCAATGGTCTCGCACTAGTCAAACAAGTGAGCTCCGAAACAGAGCACTGTTATTGCTACTACGAGGGAACCAAACTCAGGACTAGGTGGCTATGCTTTGCTTTTTGTTGAGGTACTGACCTAGTATATAACATTTCATTTCTCAAGGAAAGTGTCATTTGTAGTTCCCTGTTATGAGCTCGTATAGCTGGGTGGTCGATATTGATAGGGAGCCGATAAGATCACATGCTGATAACCTCAAGAGCATCACATGCTGCTTATCTAATCTCTTATCATCCGTGACAGAAGTACTATGTAATGATTTGTTAACACGTGATGTCGTTACTGGTGATTTGCATAAACTGTCATGTCTCTGGGGTCTCATCAAGACTGGTTCACGAAACTACAAGCAATTTGAGTATTGACTAGTCTCTTGCATGGCGCGGGTTCTATAATCGGGACTTTACTCCAGCTCCATGCCATTGAAATTCAATTTTTGGTCGGGCATTAGAACGACCAAGATACTTTTTATTTATGAGTATACTTACCGACATTCAGTTTTAGGTTCTCAGATAATTATGACACCATGTGCGTTTCTACGGCTCTTTCGAAAAACTATAAATAAAGGTCCGTTTTGCTCCCAGAGAGGTATGCCTTTGTGGATGGATACCTTGTTCATACTGATGAAGACGGACACCAACGGCTAGAAGTACCTGGTCGCAATGTCAAAAGAATGACGAAAGAGGAACGCTCCCTTTACATGCGCGACTTGTCGCATTATATGAACAGTGAATATAATCTATTCAGCTGTGATTCTGCGAGCCTTTAAGATCTCCTACGCAGCTGATGGTGGATAGAAATTGATACAAAAGTCACGCAACGCCCTCTACTCCATATTCTCGTTCGTCTCAACGGCTTCAAAGTTGATGATCTTTGTCCAAGCATGGACACTCCTGATCGGATTCGCCGAAAACTGGATGCGTTCAAACAATTTGTGGTCTACTCTACGCTATACAATAGTCCTGATGAGAATGTGCAGTACTTTAC